ATCGTTTTTGATCAATTAGTTTTTGATGGTCTTTGATCAATAATTTTTCAGTTTGTTCAAGTTCTTCCGTTGACAATGGTCCATAATCCAATCCATCGCCTTTTACTTCCATTAGGTTTCTGATCTTTTTCTTTCTTTCTGGTGACAATTTGCTTATAGAACGATTGATAAATCGAATTACAAATGCTGCAACTTTTTTCATTTGAGTAATCGATTTTCCTTCGATATTTCCAAATAGCGATTCTCTGTTCGTAACTACCTTTCGGACTGCTGCAATTCTCTGAATTTCGAAGCCTTCGGTATCATTTATTGAAAATAAACTTTTCTCACATTCTTCGCTTTTCAGCCATTCTCTTGGTCCCGTCCACTACTGATGTTCAGCAAACTCGTCTTTGCCGGATCCTCTTGTTCCAATATCCGCGACGTTTTCTGATGTTGGAACATGTCCAAATTGTACATGAGTGTTGGAGTTCATTATATCAAAAACGATTTTTCGAATGTCCCGTAGTCGGTTATTAATGAATGCTCCAATTTCTTTTTTCCCAGGCGATCGTTTGATCCATTTGAGGGCAATGTCGCTATCCGAAAAAATTATGAGATGTTCCACAAATTTCGATCCTTCTTGTAAATCATGTAAAACTTCTTTCGCCAATTCGCATGCATTTCGAATCGCGGTCATTTCCGATTTTGGAATCGTCCATACATCATCCTTCGGAATTAGCTTCTGCTTTGCGCGCAATAGATGTGCTTCCGAATCAATCACGTAAATACACGCTGCAGTTGCATTGATGTTTGCATCAGCAAAAACAATTATTTTCATTGGCCCATGTTTCGGCATGATTTTCCTTGGCAATGTTTTCGAAAATCCATTTGCTTGCTGCTTAATAGTGTCCCATTCAAGTTGTAGATCTTCGTCAAGTGTTTGATCCCACGTCAAATTTCGATTCCATAATTTTCTCAAAAAAAGTTTCAGCGGCAGCATAAGAGGTGAAAGTATTCCCATCGGGTCGTATACTGCTCCAATTGCTTGTGATACGATTCTTTTCGTCACCTTCCCATCGGCTTCGTCTTTGATGTTACATCGGAACGTCAATTCATCTTGATCACAGTTCCAAGAAATTCCTAAAATCTTCGGTTTTTCGTCAGTTGATCGGTCTTTTTCTGCAACGAAATCCATGAATTCCTTCGAATTCGACATGAATTCGCGTATATTCATATTTTGTTCATCAAACAGGCGCTTGCATTGTTTGTATATATCCGTTCCTGATGAATCAGTTGTCAAGATTACATTGTCAACATAAAAGTTTTCCCAAATTGATTGCGCGATTTCAGGGGTTTCTTTATCTTTTGTCAAGTGATTATGAATCGTTGCTGCTAGCAAAAATGGTGAACAGTTTAGTCCAAATATTACTCGAGTGAATCGAACAATTAGCATGTTTTCGGGTGTCATGCTCTTCTCAACATCTTTGACCCAAAGACATCTCGTTGCGTCTCGGTCTCTTTCTATGACTCGGACGTTTAAGAAAGCCTTTTCAACATCCGCCGCGATGGCTACTTCTCCTGTTCGAAACCGTGTTAAAACTCCTGTCAATGAAGGCATCATTGTTGGTCCTTGAAAAAGATAATCGTTCAGTGAAGACTCATTCTTGTAGTGTGCTGAACCGTCAATTACTACTCGAACCTTCGTTGTATGTTTGGTTGGTGTGATCACTGGACGATGAGGGTTGTAATGAACAATTCCTTCTGACTTTTCCGGATTCCCGACTGTTTCTAACACTCCTTGATTCAACTGTGTTTTAAAAATTTCGTCAATCTTACGTAGTATTTCAATAGGGTAGGATCTGAAAACACTTTCCAATCTTTTTAATGCTAATGTGAAGTTTGTTGGTAGAGTCTCAGCTCCGTCCTTCCACGGTAGCTCCACATAATATCCATCACTTCGTTTTTCCATTGTATCTTCAATTCGTTTTAGTACCAATTCATTTTCTTGGTGAATTTCGTCATTCACTGGTCCAGCGATTTCTCCTTGTTTCATTTCTTCAAATTCAATGACGTTTTCTACGACGTTGCGCACTACCGTATTCACTCGTCGTGTCGAGTTTTCCTGTTTCATCTTCATATCATCATGGTCAGCTCTACGTCCAGTGATTACTGCACCATTTGTGGTTAAGATGTATGTCAATCCTGATGGAAGTGTGTGCTGCATCCAGAATTCATAAATGTAATCATTACCAACAACTACATCGGGATCTGATATTGTTTTTAAGCATTCCGGATTGATAGTGATACCTTCGTCTTCCAGGAACTTTAAATCACGGTCATCCAGCACTGGTTTATCGATTGGTTCCACAAGATAATCTTTTACTGTCGCTTCCACTTCAATTCTTTGGTTGTTTCCTTTGTCTATCAAGATTTTTGCAACTTGGTATTTTTCTGGATTCTTCGCGATTTGTCCGAATGTTTGTAGTTTCACCCATTCTTCGCGAATCATCTCCAATTGCCAGTCTTCTACGATTGACTTTTTCACATATGTCGAATTCGCTCCAGAATCAAGCATCACGACGATTTTTTTCCACTCCGACGTTGCTGGGCTGTATCCCCACATCTGAACTGTAGGTAAATAGCTGTCGCCTGTCCCATTCACAAAATTTTGATGTGCTTGACGTGTTCGACTGACTTCTCGTTGATCTTCCTGTCGTACTGGTATTGAAACGTTTTGATGACTCCCTCCGTCATTTTTCTTCTTCGCTGTTGTTTTTTGTGCTTTATTGTTCCTGTTATTTATGTTTTTGCACAACAATCGATGATGACTTCTTTGACAGTTTCTGCATTTCTCGCTTCTGCATTCTCTTGAGGAATGCCCAGATTTTAAACAATTAAAACAATTTTTGAGCTCCTTAATTCGTTTCCATTTCTCATCAATAGAAGAATAATTAAGACAATTGTCTGCGCGGTGATTTTTCTCACAGAAATAACACCGGAATTGTTTTTCGTTAACTATATTTCTTCGAACCACATTTTGTTTCACTTCTCTGACCTGTTCGTTTTCACAGTCGTTCTCAACATTCGCTTCCGTTTTCAAAGTCTTTTCCAGGCTTTTCATCAGTGTGGTCAAATTCCAATCTTCCGGTGATTCTTCACGCATTCGGTAGACACTCTTTTGGATCTCTCGCGAGAATTTCTTCGTAATCAATTCTCTGGTCATTTCGATATCCATTGCTTCTCCGCTAGTTTCCAATTGATTCAAAGTTGCCGCTACTTCGTCGAATAACATCTGTTGATCTTCGATCTTACTCGACTGTGCTTTACAATTCTTGAGTTGTTTTCCCAATTCTTTCACTCGTATTTTGTTGTTTCCAAATTTCTCCTTGATAAAGGCGATTGCTTGCGGATAGTTTTCATTGGTTACTGGGAATCTGCTTGCAGCAATCTTTGCTTTTCCTTTCAATGCATTCATCAAGTATGAAAATTTCAACACATTTGACATATTGTCATTCATATGAACGGCTTCTTCAAATATGGTCCAAAATGCAACGAATTCATTTGGATTCCCATGAAATTCTGGTATACGTATTTCTGATAGTCCGATGTTCAACGGTTTGTTTCCCGTAACATTTTGTCTTCTTGTATCTCCTGTGTTTGCTTTCAACTTCTTCTTCAGTGTGAATAATTTCGGTCGGTACAAGTTTGTCATGCGATCAGTTTTGTCTTGAATTTCTTCGTTCTTCATCATTTTGGTTTTCACTTTTATTTCGTCCTCTTGTGTCGTTTCCTCAAGCTCATCTATCGTCTCAACCAACTTATCCAACCTTGTTTGTACCTTCGTTGCTAGAGTTTCCATCTTATACATTTCTTCTTCTATCTCATCCACCAGTTCTTCCAACGCTTCATGGTTTCTAGCTACACTCTCCCATACTCCTTGCTTAGCAACTAATTTTAAATACTCTTCTTCAAACAATTTTTCTGCCTTGGTACATAGCCCCAACAGACTCGACAGACTTGACATTTTGTCAGCAAAGTTATATGTTAGTCATGCAATTATAACGGGCAACCAGAAATCCAATTATTTTTAGCGTTATAGGGATGATTAATATTGAGCTGAATCGATAAGATAAGAAAAAGATATTAGAAAATAAAAGATGATGCAATTTCGTGAATGTATTGCAATTCCGGAAGTTTTCTGAATCCTATAGCCGTCGGCTTTTCCGTACTAGATCCCTCAGGCCTACGTGGTAACAACACGAATTTGGAAAATAAACAAATGTTAGAACTATTCAAGATTATCTCAAAAAAAAAAAAAAAAATCTATCTTTTACTAATTTTAACTTAAACATCGTGAATAGTGGCGCAAATTTTGATGAAGTTTTTTTTTCTGAAGCCGGGAGGCCATTACGAAATTGGTTGAAGAATAATAGTTGTTACTTATCGCTCTTACATATACAATGTTAGATTTTAATTTTGAACATTGCCAATTCTGTTATCTTCTTGTTTCTAAATTTTAATTGTGTTTTGAAACTCAAGTGTATTAGTCACTTAAGCGTAGGCCCGGGGAGTGTGCTCGTTAGCACTGTTCAGACACGCCCATTGATGCAATATTTGTGATTGTTACAACGATGATCAATCATTATTAACATTGTGGCTCGCTATGAATTATTGCTTTTTCTATTTGTATTTTTGTTAGTTTTATAACCTACTTATATTTTATTCTTGCCTCGTTTATTAAATAAAAGGTTTAATTACCCAAGTTTGAGGTGTCAAAACAGACCCAATGAAATGGAATGAGGGGACGCGGGTCCCCCTCGAGGCGGCTGTCGTGTGGCCCCGAAACATTTGATGACGGAGGTGAGAAGAGCCATGTTGCACTCGTCGATGATTTTTGCTGTTGCTCTTTTGCCCGCTGCTGCTGCTCATTCGTTTTGCTCTTTGTGTATATCAGGTGTTTTGATTATTCGCACTTCTTCGATTTCATTTGGGCGCCGTGTTCCATTTCGCATTTCAGAATGGTCCGAATGGCCGAGCGGATCACCGAGAACTTCATTCCCGAAGAGAAAGCTCGGTATGACGCATCGTTTAGGTATCATTTCTGAATTGTTTGAATATTGAAGGAGTCGCGTCAGGACGCGAATGAACTCGAGGGGATCGCTGGGCACCACGGCGAGCCAGAAAATCACGATAAGTCGGTTTTGATTTTGGCGAACCATCGCAATGTGACGACAAATTTCCAGTTGAGACCGACAGCGGCGTCGTCGAGGTCGAAGCCAGCGAACACGGATTTCTCGACGCATTCCGCGAGGCCAACATGGACGGCGTCAATCATCTGAATGCGCACAATCCGATAACGAGGTACCCGATCGAATTCCGATCATTCCGACGCATCGATTCAGAGGCCTCTGGCGCGCCATCATAATGATCTTCGTGGTGCTCGCGATGATCCAATGCTATTCGCAAATCCGTCTCTACATCAGCGAGCCGGTCGCCACCAACATCGAGGCGCACTATCCGCAGCGAATCGCGTTTCCGACGGTCGCCATCTGCAACAACAATCAATTCCGGTTGACCTATCTCACCGGCGGCCGAATCATGAATCGTCGCGCCAAGAACATCGTCGGCTCGTTGTTGTCGATCGGCCACGACACCGACTCGGTGTTCGACACCGTCCTCCGCAAATCGTGGGATATGGACGCCGTCAAATTTCTGCGTTCGGCCGCCCATTGGAAATCGCGAATGATTCTCGGTTGCACGTGGCCGAACGGAACGACGTGCAAACTCACCGACTTCAAAGCGGTCTGGACGACGACGGGCCTGTGTTGGGCCATCAACACCGACGCCAGTCATCCGTTTGAAGTGACCGGCTCCGGCGCCAAACACGGCCTTCGCCTATTGCTCAACGTTGAGAGCTACGAGCGCGTCGATGCGTGCACAAAGCATTTCCGCACCCGATCACTTCCAGGCCTCAAGATTTTGATCTACAACCAAACCGACGTGCCGGAGAGCAGTTTGAACGGCGTCAACGTGCCAACCGGCTACTCAATGGACATCCCGTTCAAAATGCAGCACGTAAGAACAAATCAATACCATCCTCACTATTTCGATTTTTTTTGATAGCGCTCAAAACTCTTCGGAACTCAATGCATCGAGGAGACGGACCATCATCGCGAGGCATCGGCCGACTTCAACAATCCCGAGAACATTCGGACGTGCTCACTTCGAAAATACATGAACGAGGTCGAGGCTTCATGTCATTGCAGTATGCGTCGTGCGTTCACACCAAACGTCACCGGTAGGTCACAATGATGTTGTCAATGGAGCGCATTTGTTGGGTGTAGACGCGAAAATGGCGCCGTGCAATGTTGACCAATATTTTGGATGTGCGCTGCCGGCGATGAATCGGGTTCGCGAGAGCGGCACCGCCAACACCTGTCTGCCGCCGTGCAAAACCATCGACTACACCGCCTGGCAGGTACCTTGAGAGAGGGGGGGGGGTCCAAAAATGGATTTTTGAGAAGAACCGTTCAGGACATGAATCGTCTACCGCTGAACATCATGCCGGCGCTGATTCAGGAGCAAGAGGAGGAGGACGAGGACGACGTCGAGCAGGAGGAGTTCGAGGAGAACGTAGGCTGGCCGATTGAACACCAGTGAATTCGTCACGCCGATTTGCAGCGCACAATTCCGACGAAGGACGGCGGCGAGACGTTCAGCTGCGAGGATAGCGCCTATCTCGACGAGTCGCAAGTGACGCGAATCAAACGCGAAGCGCATCGAGCCTATGAGATGCAAGCGCGACATCAGGAGGACATCTTTCTCCGCTCGCGACGCCTCATCACTCGATTGCGAAGCGCGATTCACACGTGAGATGCGCGGTGAGAGAGTGCAAAATTTGAACCGTTTTTTTTGAATTAGAATCGACAAACACAAATGGGGATGGCATGAGGACGCGTTCGTCGGCGTCTATGATCGCCTTTCAGAGATCTCATGTTTCGCCAACTTCAGGTTGAATCTAGAACAATATGTGATGGTCCTTTGAATTGGGTCTTGCAGCGGCCGCAACAGCGATATGATAGAAGTGTTGACGTCTCGTCCAGCTAGCAGCGAGGAGCGCAAAACCGACCAAATGTTCTATGTAAGGGGTGTTTCGAAGTTTTTCAGTCTTGATTTTCTGGAAATTTAGATTCTCGACGAGACGCATTACCTACGGAACACCACCAAGTACAAATCGATCGGCGATCTCAAATCGAGGTATGGCGATCGTGTCGACGAGGTCGCCGAAGAGATCTCGATCATTCTTCGAATAATGGAGAAGTTGTGGAACATCTTTCTGCCGTCGTCCTATCAGAAATCGTTGAGCGGCAATTTCGAGCGAATGGATCGCATTCTCGAGCTCATGGATCAGTATGAGCTCAACAAGCTTCAACGACGCGCGTGGGCCGAAAAAATGCAATCGCGACAAATGCGCCATTTTTTCGAGGAGGAGTTCTACGAGTCGTTCTATCAGCCGCTGATGCGCGATCTCGACCAAACGCTCGTCAGACAAATCGGCGAGATTCTCGACGACTGGAAAAAGGTGGAGATTTTTTTGAAGCGCGGCTCCGCCGCCCGAATCGGCTCGATCATCTTCTTCGGCGACAACAAACCGCACAACAATGAGAAGTTCGAGAAGCTTCTTGTCGAAATGTACGAATGCACGTCGAATCAGATTCACAAAGAGGCCGACAAGATGTTGCACAACTTCAAACGATCCTACCGCGAACTGCAATCGGCATATGGGAAATTGTTCAAGGAAGAGCTGCCGGATTACTTGGAGAATTTCGAGTTTGGCAACAAGTTTGTTAGCGACAACTTCGCCATGGTCAACATTTTCCTTCACAAAATGAATCTCGAGGTTTGGAGTCAGGATCGCACCTACGGCTTCTGGAGTTTGGCGTGTGACATCGGTGGAGCGCTCGGCCTATTCCTCGGTGTCTCACTTCTAACAATTATCGAAATTGTCTATTTGTGCATTCAGTACGGGTTCTGCGGTAAACGGGCACGCAATTTCCAGTGCATACCATTGTAGGTCGACGTTTCTACTAGAAGTTCCCGAATTGTTCATTTCAGAGATACTTTGACAAGGGGTTTGAAGAGGGCGGCGACTTGCTGCGATTGCTGCAAACATCGTCAGGCGGCGAAACCGGCGAGATTATACCAGAAAAAGTCGCAAGGCTATCAGCGGAGGTAGATCACCGAAAAACGTCGGGTGACGAAATTCACTGAAACTTGTAGATTTACTGAAGATAGCGAAAAATATTGCCCACGTTCTCGAACAACCAGCGTCGATAGGCGAAGTAAAACATCTATATGGAAAGATGATTCGAAGGCTTCGTCAATGACGCCAACGGAGTTCAACGATTTCATGGAACGGGTCCAACTCAACTCGCAGCCTCCGGACTACGAGCAAGCAGGTACGCGATGCTTCAAAACAACAATTTACCAGAAAATCTAAATACACAACAAGCAACAATAACAATAACAATAACAAAAACAAAAATAATAACAACAATAGAAAGAAAAACAAAATTAATTGGCCGACTTGGTTGTGGTGTTATAGACGGTGTGCGTGTGATATGGGTTAGCTAAGTCAATCGGCTCTGCGGCGAACACCGATGAGAAGGTCACCGGGGTGTTGGTGGGCTTGAGAAACACGGTGGTGTGGGCGGAGAATTGATGATCACGCACGTTGATCACCTTGTAGAGAACAGTGAGAAAAATGAGACGAATCGCGTACAAAATAACGAGCAATTGGAAACAAATGTAGCCGGAAATCGGCGTGATTTCGGCGATTGGGTCTGGCGTATAGGAAACCAAATCAATTAAATAAAAAAGACGATAGAATTGAAGGCCTGCGAGATAAACGTAAAATGCGAATGTTGGAACTTGGATGATGGCAGAAATGATAACGGGCACACGAGAGCGCATTCGGACGGCGGCGAGCTCGAGCCAAATGCTCAACGCCAAAAGCAAATCCGGCACACAGGCGATGGTTTTGACATAATCGAGTGGGTGAATGTGGGAGACGAGAAGATTGATTCCAACAATGATGATTGTAAGAGCGGTGACAACATTCAAGCTGTTGTGTCCAACCTTGTTCAACAATTTGGTAATATCATTGTCATCCATGCCTAGAAGTTTCTTTTGAATTTCAAATAAAATAAAACATCGGGTAATATTTACCATAAAATGGTTTCATTCCTTTGCGGAAGACCAGCATAGACAATTTGAGCGGATTGGAATTCACGCTGACCGGCATTTTCTAAATAACAAATGTGAAAATGTTGACGCGAAATTAACAGGATGAGAGTCCCTTGCGAAAATTTTCAAAATTTTAGGCCAAACCTCATAAAATATCGCGTTTTTATATTCTATAGGCCAGCGACAATGTGGAAAACTATTAAAAATTATGGTTTCCCATTAAGATCGTGGAAAAACACATAAGGAATCGAGAATAGTCTGTACGAGTCATAAATTAGAGCAGCAAAGAAAATGAGGAAATTTCTTTTCGAAATTCGAAATTCGACATAAACAACGCCGGTTCATACACCACCCGCAAAATTGCACTCAAAATGTCTACAGTACCCGAATGAGAATTTCTCGCGTTTTTTGCGATATAATCACATTTTCGATTCTAACAAAGATTTATCCAAAAGAAAATAAAATTAATAGTGGCAACGGATGATTTTCTCCTTGAACGCTTCCATTCGATAGTGCGGAATGAGAAGTGAGAGCATGAACAGAATATTATTGTCCGGATGGAATGCGTCAAGGCACAAAAGGGCGATGCCGATGATGGTGACGATCGTATCGAATGGTAGGAGAAGACGTCGGCTAATATGGAGATGAAAACGAATGTGGAGGCGATGAAGAATCGTCCAAAGCGCAACGGTGATAAAGAGGAGCGGATAGCGAGAGATTCTGCAATAATTTTTGTGAAAATTTGCCAAAATAATTGTCCTACTGGTAATTGGCATGAAGCCAAATGATGAGATCATGCATCACCCATCCAATGACGAGCGCCGTTGAGTAGATGACGACCTTGGATTGAGGAACATCCATGATCGGCTGGAATCTTATAGAGTCCGACGTGGTCACAACATTGACAATCGGACATGACAATAATTACAAGCGTGAGTGTTTGCGAGAAAAGCTATAAATGATTTTATGCTGGTTTTACCATATAAACGCTTTCAAAAATATTTTCAACATAGTTATAGCGATTGTGCGAAGTGTTGTCGATTTGTCGAGGTCGTCGCCGATTCGATGATTGCGGCCGAATAGTGTAATGAGAAAAAGCGCCATATAATCGAGTGGCACGAACAAAAAGAACATATAAGTGAAACCGATGCTCATTTGGAGTGCGGACAGTAGGAAAAAGTCGACAACGATGACGTCGCGAATTTTGCCGGCGGTTTCTCTGCGAAATTCGCCGTGCGTTTTTATTCTCGTTTTGAGTTCATACCTATATCGTTCATGAATTCCTGGCGAATCCTTGTATTTATTGTAGAAATACCCTAAGCCCATTGCGGAAACTGTGACGAAAATAAGGCGTGCTGGAAAAGAAATTCGTTTCAGTTTTTCAGGAATTAAAAGTGCAAAAATCACTTACAAGAATCCATTAGGCGTGAGAGTGGGTGATTTCATGAAAACAATTGGAATTGTGGAACCCATTCGCGCTAAAATAATGGAGCAAAATGGGCGTAGATCACGCCTTTTTTTCCAAAAAAATAATAATAAACAGAAAATGCACTTTTTGTCAATGTTTGATACGGTAGGTTTGACAAGTCCGTGACACACTGCGACGCAAAAATGCAGACAGAAACTATTTCACGCCTAAAATCTTCGAAATTGAAAAAATACTCATTTGCAACACATGTTTCGTTTAATTACTATTTATTGGAATCGCCAACAAGCAACAACAAGCAAAGTTCGCTTAAACCACATGTTTAACGATGTACAATTGGATTTTGAGCGCGCGTAACTCGTCATACTTGGCCAACGCCAACATCGTGGTGACGGCGCGCGCGACGTCCAACAAAAAGAAGATGGCGATGCTGTTGAGCATGAAGTCGTGAGCGTGATGAATCTGGAACGCGATGAACGCGTCAGCACCGATTGAGACGGCTAGCCGAATGGCGGCGAGGAGGCAGCGGCTCGCCGCCAAACAGAACGTCGAGCTCACAACGGCGAGCAGCGAGAGCATCGAGGCGATTGTGTAGAACACGACGACATCACGATTCCACGTCAGGGTCCTAGAATGTTAACGAATTGAAACGGCGACGTTTCCGAACATCCTACCCGTCGAAACCGCCATAGTAGGAGTAATGAATGATGGTGGCGAGGACGGTCATCTGGAAGACGCCAACGACGACGTCAAGAACCATCGCCGAACGCGCGACGCGTTTAAGAATCGCGTATTCGCGCATTTGAAGTTTGAGTGATCGAAGAATGGTCCCATAGATGGGCAGATGGTCCAACTTCGTTTTTTTTCTGTTTACAAGCTGCCAGGTGTTAGGAATTTAAGCGCAATGAAAAAAATTAGTCGCAAACGGTGCCGATGAAGACATCTGCCATCGTCACCTCGGCACCCACCACCAAGGAGGCGCAGAGAAAAATGGTGTGGGGCTCATAGGCCAACCACATATGGCAATTAACACACACACACACACGCGCGCTCGAATACATAGGGCGACATTAAAGCGTTGAATTGATTTATGCTGATCTGAGGATGATGAAGATGGCGAGGCGAATCGCCTCGATCACGTAGAAGATGATGGCACCGAACGGCGACGCCGCAAAAATGCCGAACCATATCGAAATGTTGACGGCGTTTCGCGCGCAGTAGATCAAACGATACGCGCGTCGATATTGCACAAGGTACATTTGAAGGAACGTGAGAATCGCGGCGAATATGATCGGAACGTACTCATCGATGCGACTGCAATTCATTTTTGAGCAATCAAATCGATCGCCTTGCATTCGCTCGCACCTGATTGGATAGTGGCTGATGAACAGCAGAATGATTTGAATGATGCCGAGAAGCGAGTCGCCGTCGACGTAGTGTTGAAGGTTGTCCTTTGGCATCGCGGCGGCGGCGGCGGCTGCAATTGAAACGAAAGGAATGCGAATTGAACAAACCACCCACAAATCTTACCACGGTGGCGGCGAGCGCGTGGCGGCATGTTGAATAATACTGAACATCTGCGGAAAGTCGCAAAGTCATTGAGGGGGAGGGGCGTTGCGCGGGTATCCCGCCGGCTTTTTCTCTGCGTCTCTATCTGCGCGCGCGCGCAGATAGAGAGTTTAAATCTTCAACGTGCTGCGGACATTCATCGGGGTTGTGTGCTCGCATCAAGACAATCTTAAAGGCTGGAGATCAATGTTGAGTAGGGCCACCATACCATATAAGGGAGGTGGATTGGAGTGAGATTCATTGGCAATGAAATCAAGAATGGTGTTCTCTTCGTATTGCCAAAATTCAAGAATCACAATATTTTAGAGGTTTAATTGAAATGTAGAAAAGTGATTGATTCTTATTCTTCTTTAAAAAGTGCTGCGGACAAAATTAATCAGCATTATCGATTCATTCTAGGTCTTCGAGCCGCATCACTTCGTTGATCCTTCTTTTCACCGGCTCAATATCGGGGACCATTCTCTACTTCTTGCAAGCCCCCCCCTTCTCCCATATGCTCCAAATGCCAATGTCTTTGGATGTCGAAGATTCTGGAATTGGAGTGAGACTCATTGTTGAGAGAGTCTGATCTGAAGACGCCTGATGGGAACGAATCTTATTTGAGACGACGAGATTCATTGTCTTTTCAGTTCTAGGAAAACTCGACAATCTACTGATTCCAGAATTCTGCAATCCCAGTAAGCTCATCTTCGGCTCAATTGAGGGAATCCTTTAGAGAAAAGAAGCTAGATCAACTGAATTGATTTTTCAAGACAAACCCACCTTCTTTATATTTCTATCTGCGGACAATTTTCCGAGTTCCGCCCCCAAAATTGCCTTCACGCAATTCTTGATGTAGCATCCGATGAGCTGATCGACACGATCCTATAGACAGTATGGTGACGGCGAGGCATAAAATGCTTCCAATGGGAATTCAATTTGTAGAAGGAGAGCGGAACCCGGAAAATTGTCCGCAGATAGAAAAATAAAGAAAGTGGTTTGTCTTGAAAAATCAATTCAGTTGATCTAGCTTCTTCTCTCTAAAAGATTCCCCACATTGAGATTGCAGAATTCTGGAATCTGTAGATTGTCGAGTTTGCTTAGAACTGATGACCTACTAGAGGGAATTCGGACGGATTGCGAAATCGAGAGCGAGCAGGAGTTATGTCGATTAGAATAAGTGGCCTCGGAAGAGTCTTAAAGAGAATCGACTAAATGAATCAATGGAATCTGATGGGATTTGGGAAGTGCCTTGAAGAGCCATGAATGAGAAATATTTATTGTGAATCAATAATAGCCAATTAATCACGATGAGGTGGTCGATCGCGATTCGCGTTGCGCTTCGCCGGCAATCGGCGCCACAATCAGCCAGCGGATGAGAATCAGCAATAGATGGAAATAGGTGTTGACGGTGACGATGGCGGTTGGCGGGAGGCGCAACGCGAACAATTTCATGATGGTGCTCACGAGAAGCGTCGTGCGTTTCGGCTCATGATAGACGATGACGTGAGCGAGAGTGACCATAATGCATGACAAGTAGAAGCGCAATTTGAGGAGACTGAAATTGATTAATAAAGGTGTGCCGGATTCGTATTTGACGGTGTCACTCAGAAAATGGGCACGGATCCAGAGGGAATCCGATTTGGAGTGTCGTGACGATGGCGTCGAGAAGCAGCCAGTAGATGGCGCGCATTGTTGCGATGAATGAGAAGCGATGAGGGGGCGGGCGGGGATTAGCTGGCCCGGTAGAGTGTCGGCAGCTGAGAGACGACAAGAGCGACATCAAATAATCGTTGTGATGATTGTGCGCGTTTGGTCGTAGTGCTTGCCGATGAGCCGCGCGATCATGAAGAACAGATTGAAGCGGATGAGCTCGAAGGCGATGAACGTGAAAATGGTGAGACGACGCGATTGGTTTGACTCGACGCTGATGAGCATGTCGATGAGGAAGATGGCGTCGAACAGGAATCGAATCGTCGCGATCAGCGTCGGCGCGTTCGTTCGCTTCCCATACACGATGATAATGTAGGATAGGACGGTCCACATCGGCAAAATGATCCAGAGGAATCGACCGCGATTGGATTCCGTCAAATAGTCGCAAACGAGTAGGCTGAGCGCTGTGAGTTGGGCGACCAACGCGCCAACGTCGATGACGAGCGCGAGTCTCGCTCGACCAATGTGATCTGAAGAGTGTGCCTCGCTAAGGGGGATGGGGGTTGATCAAATTCTTACCGATGCGCTTCGGATTGAGAATGTGATCCGGCGAGACGTTGAAGTAGGTCGTCGGCATCGCGACGACACTGTCAGCCTCTTCCGAATCATCTGAATCGATAATTTGCAATACAATACGGGTTACTGTAGATTACGGTGGCTTGTCAGTTTGATCTCCAATGGATTGAATGGCGGCAAGTCGTGCATTGCCGGCAGTTGGGCTGCGAAAAAACGAGTCAGCGAATAGAATTGTGGCCAGCAAGAGAGCGCAGAGAAGCTATAGAGCCTTATAAGGTAAATTGAGAAGGTACTGTAGAGTGTTGTTGTTGTTGTTGACGCGCAAGATAATTTCGTGGGAAAAAACGGTACGAAAATTGTTTGCCAAGGAAAATTTTTAGAATCAAAATTGTTTCGGAGAGGTTGGGGGGGGGGTCTTGGAATATAAAATTTAAAAAAATGTAATACTCAAATATGATTTTATATAAAAAAAATGCCATTTTTTGTTTGGGAGGCTGTAATTAATGACTTAATTGCCTAATTAAATGGTGACGTCGATTGGAGGAGCCATTTTTCAATTAGACTCGCCGCGAATGGGATTTCGGCTTATGAGTACGAGCTGAGAGCGTGAGCTTTATCTATAGAATGTGTAGAGACGGTTTAATGGTCGCTGAATGAGTAGGAGCTGGAGGAGCTCGCTAGGAGAATGAGCGATTGCTGATTTTTTTTTCGTTGTTGCAGGCGATGACGGCGACGCCTACGAATTGGCCGCCGGCGTTGGCGGCGATCCAAAAATTAATAGGTTGTTTTTTTTTTCTCGCCGACTAACAAAAAGAGATTTTCGAATTAAGGCTCACCGAGATTCGAGAGGAGAGCGCCGTGAACTCGTCGGGATACAATTCGGATGAGATGCGAGCCGCCCATTATCAGGTGACCACATTTATTCCAACAACGAACAAAAAATAGTTGCGCTAGGGGCTTTTTTTTCCATCAAATTCTCATCGACCTCCTAGAAAAAATCGCCCTTGGTGATTTTTTTTTGGAATATTAGCAATGGAGCGCGTTTGCTGCTCCCGAGCAAATCCGAGTTTTTTTTTGTCTTGAAATAATAATAATAATTGCCGAGTCCGAATATCGTCATTTTTTCTTATTTTTAACTACTTAGCGAAATTTTCGCTAAAAAATTCCGGCTCTTCTGCGATTTTTTTGACAATTAGCAATGGAGCGCGTTTGCGGCTTCCGAACAAAACCGGGTTTTTTTCTGTTTATTATTTTGTCGTAATAAATGTCGTATTTTTTAAACTGCCTGACGAAATTTTCGCCAAAAAATTCCGGTGTTTTCGGGTTTTTTTTTTGAAAAATAGCAATGGAGCGCGTTTGCTGTATACGCGTAAATTTCCAATAGAGCAAATGATTTATGAGTTTTTCTCTAAGTAAGTCGTCATATTCGGTCGGTTTTTTTGCAATTCCACAATGGAGCGCGTTTACAACATCATCATATATGTGGTTCGAGTGATGCGGGTTCGATGCCGCCCCGCGACATTCTCATTTTTGCAAAATTGAAAAATAAATTTTTGTTAGCTTTTTCAGCATAAACTTCAATTTTCGAGATTTTTTATTTTTTGTTTTGCTTCGAATTTCAATAGACACCCTAAAATGATCATATTTTGCCGCTTTTCGTGATTTTTGAAAATTAGCAATGGAGCGCATTTGCTTCACTGTTGGGAGAAATCCGATAGAGATGCTTTTGCTTTCAAATTGACCTCCAAACCTAGTTAGACGTTTTAGCAATAGAGCGCATTTACAACATCAGAATATATATGAATAGTTCGATTGATGAGATGATCGACGCGGGTTCGATGCCGCCTCGTGACATTCTCATTTTTGCACGAAAGATTCTATGAGCGATGGTGTTTTTTTTGGGAAAATACAAAATAAATATACTTGAAAAGACAATTTGAGATACGAATTTCGTAGTTTTCGTTTTTTTTTTTCAGAAAAACGAGCGATTTTTGTGGAATTTTAGCAAAATCTCGAAAAAAGCCAACCGAGGCCTCATAAATTTTTTGTTCGCTTCAGAATCCGCACCGACACTCAACGCCGTCGCCACCACCGGAAACCGAGCCGATCTCGATGTCGGAGGTGTCCGAAACTCAAGCTCCGCCCCTTTTCCATTCTCCAAAATCCGATCGACACTCATACGTGTAATTTTTCAATTGTCTTTCGATTAAAAAAAAAAAAGAAATTTCCAATTTTTTTTTTGTTTGACGATTGTTGTTGTTGTTTGAATAGGCGGCCTAATGAGCATTTCGACCTGCTCGAGCTCATCCGCGCCCGCTCGAAGCACCTCCAGCTCGCTGTGCCTCGCCCCTCTCGCCACGCTGCGCCACCGAGAAGCCGAGCTCGATGCCAAATTCTATTCGCACTGATTTATTCATCACTCTATTGCACTTTTCGTTCACCCACCACTCAAACATACCTGCTCCAGCTCGGCCAACAATTTTTTTTTTGGTGGTTTTTTTGGTGGTCCAGCTCCTCACCGCTTCTCGTGCTCACAGTTTCTCGTCATGACAACCGCATATTTTCACCTGCTCGCCAATCAATCAGAGCCCGATTGTTATTTCGCCACGGGACCATGAGAATTATGGCCGTCGTCTTGCTCGCCTTGTGCTCGAAAAAAAAAATGGGACCCTCCTAATTTCGTTCGTCCTCAGGGTGTCATCCAACTCACTTTTCATCTCTTCTTCTTCTTTTTCTTACTAATTGCGAGAGTCAAAAAAAAACAAGATTCTCTCTTTTCTGTTTGCCTTTTTTTTTTGACAACCCACTTTATTACATTTTTTTTGGTGCACACCCCCTTTAAGAAATCGCGCCACGTGTTTTCAGACTTTCAAATAGTGCTACAGTAATCCCCAAGGTTCCGAGTTACGTTAACGTTAAAAAATCACATTCTTTTTAATTTCGATCTACCGTCACCACCTCGAAAGTGTCGCTGATATTCAGCTGCCGTCTCAAAAATTTTTGCAGGTGCCCCACCATCGATTTGAGTGGATTACGCGGGTCTCGTCGCGATCTCGTTACCCCCCTCCCCCATGCGCGCCACCGTCTCACTATTGTAAGTCGATGGTCCGTTGGGCGACCAATGAAACTAATATTTGAGGAGCTGCTGCGACGTCCAGCCGATCGCCTACGAGCGTTGCCGCTATTTAGAGGTGCCCAATATGCAGGTAGGCGATTTTGCAAGAATTTTGATCTACCCAAAATTGACAGCAGTTCGGCCAGGCGCTGTCGGCGTCATGCAGCGATCTCGTCGACACCGTGCTCGCCCTTCATTCGAACGTGATGGTAAGTGCGCGGGCGGGTAGATCGAAAAACGCCGCCGCCCATATCACAAAAATCGAGGGCGTCCGGTCGCCATTCCGTTTAATGGCCCATTCTTTTCCATATATGTATGTACACATAATGTGTGTGTTTCGCCGATAACACACACACACACAGAGGCATACGCATTGCTTCCCCCCAATCATTCCTCAATCATTCCTCAATCACCTCCCTCGCCATGAACATTGTCCAATGGTTTTTGCCGTGTAATCAGAGCCGTCGGAGGAGGCGGCGACGGCGGCGAACCGCCGATTCGTTTTGTGTAAGTCGTATCGATTTTCATTTTTCCCCAATTTTTTTTGCTTGTTTTGCCGGCTAACACAAAATCGAAATTTCCATTTCCCCCGTTTTTTTTTACTTCAAAATTGTCGAATTTGAGTCTTCACGTCCTTCTTTGTCTTTTTTTGCAATCAATTTTCTCGCTATGCGCCTTTAAAATTGGCGCCCGAAATTGAAAAAAGAAATCCGCTTATTTGACACCAATACTGGTTTTTTTGGTTTTCATGAAAAAAAGAACAATAAAAATTTTGATGTCGTCATTTTTTTCCATTTTTAATTGCCTCACGAAATTTTCGCCGAAAAATTTCGGCGCTTTTACGATTTTTTTGACAATTAGCAATGGAGCGCGTTTGATGCTTTCGAGCAAAACCGGGTTTTTTTTGTCTTGAATCAACAATAATAATTTCGCGGCCCGAGTGTCGTATTTTTTAAACTACCTGACAAAATTTTCGCCGAAAAATTCCGGTGTTTTAATTAGCAATGGCGCGCGTTTGCTGCGTATTCGCGATTTCCCAATAGAGCAAAATAATTTTTGGATTTTTTTAAAGTAAGCCATCGTATTCGGTCGGTTTTTATGATTTTTTGCGCGTTTACAACATCAAAATATATGGTTCGAGTGATGCGGGTTCGATGCCGCCCCGCGACATTCTCATTTTTGCAAAATTGAAAAATTATTTTTTGTTAGCTTTTTCAGCATAAACTTCAATTTTCGAGATTTTTTATTTTTTGTTTTGCTTCGAATTCCAATAGACACCCTAAAATGTTCATATTTGGTCGCTTTTCGTGATTTTTGAAAATTAGCAATGGAGCGCATTTGCTTCACTGTTGGGAGAAATCCGATAGAGATGCTTTTGCTTTCAAATTGACCTCCAAACCTAGTTCGTCGTTTTCCTTGATCTTTCGCAATTTTAGCATTAGAGCGCGTTTACAACATCAGAAAACATGAAGTTCAATTGATAAGATGATCAACGCGGGTTCGATGCCGCCCCGCGACATTCTCATTTTTGCAAAGTTGAAAAATAATTTTTTTGTTAGCTTTTTCAACATGAGCTTCAATAAGAGCAATTAATGCGCGGACTCGTTGATTGTCCGCAGCATAGTTATGATTTACGGTTCTTCTAGTCAAAAACTTCGCTGGCAATTTTGCGCACCCGGATCGACGTCCGCAGCCATCCCACGACTCATAAGTTCTAAAACAGTGAGACGCTCAACGACAAATGCCACAAGTTTGAGAGTCTTTCATTCAGTCTCTCCTCTCGTTGAATGCATTGCGACCCGTAAAATCGTCCGCAGCATGACGATGATATGACAATAGGGTTTTTTTTTCTGTTCTCGGCTTCTCCGAAAAACGCGACCATGAAGAAGAAGAAGAAGAAGATGAAATCCATTTCGGCCAATTTCCACGTGATTAGCGAAAAATAAAAGAAATTGGCGCGGTGCGCGCAAATATGCATAGATGGGTCCCGCCTAAAATCACTTCCCATAAAAGTCCATTAGGTTGTTTCGTTTGGTTTTTTTCTTCTTCGTGCTTCGCAGTTCCTCGTCGTGTTGACGGACGGCATTTCGTCGAAAAATTAGTGTGGTCCCTACAAGAAAATATATATTCCCCAACCCCCCAACAAACTGCCAAATATGCAGCGCCACGACAAATTCAGTACGGTGGTGAGTGTGATTTGAATTTGCATAATCGGCACCCGCCCAAAAAAAAATTTCTCTGTTTTTTTTTTTATTTCATGATTTTTCCGCTCGGATTCCCGTCGAATGTTCGAAAACCCGCCAATACGGTATCAAATTTTCAATGATTTTCCTATTTTTTTTGCTTTGAATTTCAATTTTTGCCATGAAAAATTCAACCAAGTTTTTGTTAGATTTTAGCGATTTTTGTGTTTTGCGCGCGCGAAAAATTTCACCAATTTTCGCATTTTGGAATTGAGCTTTTCCCATTTTTGCTAATTTTTTTTGCTTTTTTTTTAGAGAATTCAATTGGTCCCACAATTTTGGGACCCCTCTTTTGCAATTTTTGAGTTTTTTTTTTCCTAAATTTTCAGCAACAAAAAATATCACTTTTCCTCAAATAATTCAAATTTTTATTGATGAATCCAAAGTTTTTGAGGATATTTCAAAAAATCCAAAATTTTTGATTGCATCCTGTCCTGCTAAATTTTCGCAATTCGAATCGGATTGATTTTGATCTACCAGTGGGTCTTGAGACGAAAATCGTGTTGCTAGACGCGTTGCGGTTCGCGTGCGGTATGCCAAACTATCAAATTAAAAAAAGTCGAAAAAATTGAAATGAGCACGCGCACGCGAACCGCGACGCGTCAGAACTTTTTTTTTTCAAATTTTCATTTTTGTCATTTTTTCAGAGAAAACATTTCAATTTTTTGGTTCGGCAGATTTTTTTCTTCTCTAAAAATAAAGAAAAATAAAATTTCCAAAGATATTGACCAAAAATTGAAAATCACGATTTTCGCGTCGAGATCTACACGATTTCGCAGTATGCGCCTTTAAAATTGAATACGAATCGACAAATTTTTCCAATTTGTTCAATTATCATTCAAATTGCAAAAAAAAAACTTAATTTTGTCGATTTTTTTGGCAAATTTTCGAAAAAATCTTTTTTGAAAATTGCGATTTTCAGAATTTTTGGAAGATTTTTTTCCATTTTTTTTTTGCAATTTTCAAACACAAGAAAGATCGATTTTTATGAATTAGAAAAAAACGAAATTGAAAATTCCCGAAAATCGGGACCTTTCGCGTATTTTCCAAGGCGATTTGCTCAAAAAAAAAAATCGAAAAAATTTTTTTTGTTCGTTTCAGATGAGATTCTGATTTCGATGATTTCAGAGCGCTCACGAGGCGAGCTCGATTCGCGAAGCCGCCGAACGACGATCGCAATTCGCGCGCGTCTCGACGCGAAGTGTCTCGGCGCCGCCGCGAAAAAAGTGGTTTCGTTCGAAGCCGAGTCTCGCCGGTTCGTTTTTCGCTTTTTGTCGACATTCATCTGCCGACAGTGTTGCGGGTTTTCGCCTCACTCCATATTTGTGTGTGTGAAAAATTTCAAATTCAATTTTTCGACGCTTCCAGATGGAATGGACGATCGTTTGAGCGGCAGCAGTTCGGCGGTGTGCGACGAGTTCACGAAGAAGCTCGTCGCCGCCATCACGACATGGCACGATATTCATTCATCGCTTCTTCGCCTTTCAATAGGTAAATGATGGTCCCCAGGGCGTCACGTGGCGGGTGTGTGGATATTCATTCAAAGATGTATGACATTTGCACGAATAATTAGTAAAGTAGCCGGGCGGGGGGGGGAGCTGGACGAGCTCGAGCTCGAAGGCATTAACTAATGAGCTGTGAGACGATTCCCCCCCCCCACTGCCTTTTTTGTTGCAGATCGCTCATCGTCGAATGAGAGCGACGAGAGGAGCCGACATCACTCAACATCGAGCTCGTGCTCGACGTGCACCGATGATAGCGGCGGCAGTAGTGCCGAGGAGCACGAGCCAGGTTTGATGGCGTTTGGACCATCGCCTCGTGTGTTAGCCCTTCTCATCGAATTGCAGACGAACGACGTCGTCATTTGTCGGCGTCGGCAGCCGGCGGCGCGCGCTTCTCCATCTCGAATCCCGATCTCACCAATTGTCAGATCAAGCAGATGTTTCCCGAGATGGCCGATCATTGGCGGTTCGTTGTTTTGTGGTCCCCAGAATGGGGGTGGGGTTTCAGGTGCAATTTCCAATTCTCGCCGAACAAAAGCAAACAAACAACCATTATTGCCTTTTATGGGGGGGGGGGAAATGTTGAAGAAGAAGGGTGAGATGATGAGGCGCAATTGCTGCGGACATTCATCGAGGACGATTCAAAACTGGAAATGCTGAAAAGCAAAAATATCCCAATGACATATAATATACATATATATATGAAATAGGAATCGGGCGGCTATAATCCGATCACATTGCGCTCAAAGTCCATCGGTGAGGCTGGTGATAAAGGTAGAGAAGCGAAGAGCAGAGGGCCTCGATGACTTTGTCGTCGAGTCACCGCAAAAACGCGATGAAATCGAGAAGGCATAAAAAATGGGCGGGGTTTGACGACGACGACGACGACGACGACGACGTTGGTGTAGAGGAGGGGACCCCGTCGGGAGAGGGGGGGGGCGCCGCACGGATTAGCTTTAGCTCTGCGCGTGTGTGTGTATGTGTGTGTGCGCACACCCACAAAAAAAAACGACCTTCTTCGATTTATTCGCTCGCGCGAGACGCTCAACGGAATGCAACGATGATCACCGCGCTTCGGAAGCACAGCAGCAGCGAGACGACGCCGCACAGTCCGAAGAAGCATCGGAAAAAGAAGAAGGCGATACAGGAGGCGCAATCGTCGCCGATCGTCGTCGGCGACGTCGTCGAGGCGACGTCGAAGAAGCAGCGTCACAAGAAGAAGAGTTGGCGCGGCGAGAATGCGGCGCGGAAGCTCAGCGAGGCGCTTCCCGCCGCCCTCCGAAGTCCGACGCAAATTTTGAGACGCGCGAAGAAGCCGCTCGGGCCGAGCCTCAGCTGGGATCCCGAGCATCGCAGTCGATCGCCGTCGATGACGCGCAGTCGTGTGCACTCGGATGGCAGCTCGGAGGCGGCGGCGACGACGACGACGGCGACGACGACGCGCGATGACGATCAGATGATGTGCATCGAGGAGCCGCGATTCGAGCTCGAGATCACTTGTGTGCATTGCGCGATGACCGCCGAGCATCGACGACGAATGTTGAAGGTAATCGTTTTGAGAATTTCGCCGAACAAATGTCCGCAGATGTAAAATTTATTAACAAAAATTGCTTCAAACATAGTTCGTTAATAATTTCCTGTATGTGTGGCCTCTTTGATTCCAATTTTAATCATCGCAAATGCAATTGTGGACCATCGCACTTTTTTTTGAGGCGGTAATTCAAACTTGAATTTCTTCTGTAATCAAACTCATCTTCTTTTATTTCAATATATTAATTGAACCCGTTAATATGTCCGCAGATGAGAAATCTAATTTTAGCCAAACAAAAATGCTTGTGCAACATTTCAATCATTTTCTGATCTACGAAAACCGCGCAATTGCTATTTTTATCTCGAAAACGTTTCTCGAATGAAATCCGCTATTTTAACACGCGTGCTAATTCTCATAATCATAATGTAGCGATACGTAATTTCCGGTCGGACGATTTCCGGAGCTCGACACGAGAAACGCAATTTCAGGAAATGATTTATTATTTCCCATTTTTTTTTTGACGGTGTTAATTTACGGTCTCAAAATTCGGTTGCCCATGGTTTTCAAACCAAAAAAAAAAACAATGAGACACAAATTTTTTACAATGTTTTTTTTTGGTTGACGACAAGTGCGCTCCATCGCCAATCAACCTTTTTCGGCGATGCCTACCTTTTTTTCTCAGCGCCTCCAAAATAATATTCGTGTCGCGTAGCCCAATTATAGCCTACCATTACTTCCGATTCCTTCCGTCGTTCAATGTTCGCCAATAGATCGAAAATTCATTGGTGTTTTTGTGCTGCTCAAAAATGCATTGCAGCTCGCGCAAGCGGTCACTTATACGCACCTTACCCCCACGCCGGTGTTCGTCGCGGGTGGCGCAGGCGGTAAGCGGCGCGCGCCGTTTTGCAGCCCGCGGGTTCAATCCCGCCATTGCGCGTCGTCTATTTAACGACTCATTTGACACCAAACACGCCTTCCCTCGCCGATTATGCATATACTCTTTTCTCCATATACATATATACATTCATTTTTTTAAATGCCTTATCCTCTCGTTGCGTATTTTCTTTAAAGCGCTTCGTTTTTCTATTGCGACTCGTTTCCAACAAGAAGACAAAAGAGAGAAAGAAGAAGAAGGAAACAAAAGTGTGGCTTCCACATTTAATCCGTTTATTACATTTTCGATAATGTGGGGACCCTTTCGTTTTGTTGTTTGTTTGTTCGGACCCCAACGGATGCCAATTAGGCGAGCTGGTCGCGCTGACTCACCAGGCACTCATCGATTTTGTTTATTTCAAAACCAAAAAAAAAATTTTTTTTGTTGGTAGATCAAAATCGAAATTTTCTCATTTCAAAGCCACATTGCGATATTTGGTAGATCAAAAAAAATCAATTTGCAGACCGAAATCGAGAGCGCCGTAATGCGACTGGCGCGTCGTTTGGGGAACGGCCGAAGCAGCGGATGGCGAGATGAGAACGGACCATCGACGAGTCGGACCGCTGGTGGACACCATCACCATCATCCGCCACCCCCTTTAACCGTCAACAACAATATCAATAGTAATCATCACTCGCATCATCGCGGCACGACGCCCGACATTGTGGTGTCGTCGATAAGCTCGGACGATGAGGACCATCAGAGTATGGATCGGTGCACGAGCTCCGAGATGGGCAACTCGCTTCAATCCTCCGTTGCTAGGTGAGTATTCCGGGGATTTCTAGCGATTTTCAACAATTTTGTCGATTTTTTTCTGCGTTTTTCTTTGAGAAACTTGAGATTTTCAGTAGTCCCGGCTCGTCGGCATGCACGAGTCCGTCGATGCCGCGAAACGGCCACGAGATGACGTTCGACACGCCGGCGTCGGACGCGTCGCCGCCGTCGCCGCTTCGCCTTCAGCCGCCGGCGCTCCTCTCGCCGTATCCCGACTCGGCGTCGCCGCCGCGCTCCAACTCGGTCGATTTGTCGACGCTTCGACGCGACATCGAGCTGTTGTCGGTGTCGTCGGGCGATTCGGACGCGGCGTCCGACAACGATTTCGAGCCGCCGACGCCCGCCGAATCGGTGCGCACGTTTCGCTCGAAGAGCCACGATCCGGCGGCGACTGACAGCCTATTGCGACGGCCGAGTCGAATCGAGCATCTGTCGGAGTTGTTCAGGCACTGAATTCGAAATTGCACTTGACATTTGGGGCCTAGAATTTTTTTCTTCTCAAATTTTAAATCGCCTACTAATTATAGCGTATAATCATTTGCAGAAAAGCTTTGGCGAAGTCCCCGGTGGTTCGCCGGACGGCTGCCGATCAGGAATCGCAGAACACACTCAACAAACACCGATCGAGCCGCTATTGGGTGGAGGAAGAGGTCTGGGCTGCGGTATGTAGTATAGAATAGGCTGGACCGAGTTTTTTTTTTCCTTTCGGCATGGCCAGCTTTTCCGATTTTTTTTTGTCTTGCTCGTGTTATATTCAATTTTTTTTTTTCAGAAAATTGAAAGATAATTGGATTTTACGTAAATTTTATTAGAAGAAAAAACGCATTATCGCCAAAAATTATTATTTTTTTTTTGAAAAATTGTTTATAAAGCATTATAAAGCGAATACACTATTTTTAAATTTCTTCAATTTTTCCCTAGTTCATCATTCTATCATAGCTTTTCCATTATTTTTTCAAATAATTTTTGCATTTTCTTTTTTCAAAATCATAAAATCTGTGAATTTTGGATAATTTGCAGCGCATTTCCACAATATAAGGACAATTTAATTAATTCTCGCCAATTTCAAAGTTGTGTACGCAATTCATCGTGGCGTGAATGCACAATGTTTTTTTGAATTTCGAAAGTTTTCTTTAAAAAATTGTTTTTAAAAGCATTTCCTCATTTCCTTTTCAAAAATCCGCTATAATTTGTTGTAAACTTGTTTTTGCAGGTGCTGCGCAAATTGAAAATCACCACTAAACCGGAAAAAACGTGACTTCCTGCTTGTTAGTTAATTTGCGCAGCACTTTAGCATCGTAGTGCTTGAAATTAGTAGAAAATTTGATTAAATTACTGCAAAATTGTTTTTTTTTCCTCTCGATTTTTTAAGGGAATGTGTTTATTTAAAAATGTTGTATTCCAGATCCATCCGTCGGAGCACATCTGGCTTCCATCATCCGCCGGCTCATCAGCATCAGCCGATTCCGAATGCTACGTCGGCGAAAAGGATTGTCGTCGTCAGGGCGAGAAGCGTCGCTGCGCCGCGTGTCATATTGTCGCCCACGTGGCGTGTTTTTCCTTATTAGGAAAAGTAGCAATTTCGAATCGTTTCCACATTGCTCTCATTCATTTTTTCAGCTGAATCTTGGTTGTAAAACAACGTTTCGCGATTATTCGCGAAAAACGAGCTCGAAAGAATCATTGGACGGGTTGAGCGCCCATCATTGGGTCCATAAATGGAGGCATGAGGGACGGTGCAACACATGCGGCAAATCGTTCCAACAAAAAATGTTCTTCCAGGGTAAAGAGAAGAAGGTTCGTGTTTTTTTTTTTTCTTTTCAACACATATCCAACGAGTCGCTTCTAAGGAAACTATCGCGGTGACGTGCTCGTGGTGCAAAGAATCGTACCATCTGAAAAATTGTTTTGTTCGCGAGAAGCTCGAGGAGCGCTGTCAGCGCGGAGCCCTACGCGAGATGATCGTTCCGCCCAACTGGATTCTTCGTCTCGCCCATCGCAAGCGAAGCAATCATCGACACGGCAAATCCGGCAAACGGAAAGCGTCGAGGCAGTTCATCGTGAAACCGACCGACCTCTGGCTCAACGCGCCATCCCAACCGCTTTTGGTGTTTGTGAACCCGAAATCCGGCGGCAATAAAGGGGCGAAAGCGCTTCACACCCTCTGCTGGCTTCTGAATCCGCGACAAGTCTTCGACATCACTTCTCTGAAAGGCCCAAAGTTTGGGCTCGAGATGTTCCGCAAAGTCGTCACTCAGCTTCGGATTCTGGTGTGCGGTGGCGATGGAACCGTCGGATGGGTGCTGTCCACTCTAGACAATGTGAGTTGACTCATCGGCTAATTTTCTGTTTTTTTTTTTCAGCTTAACTGGCCGACGTATCCAGCCATGGCGATAATGCCGCTCGGAACCGGCAACGATTTAGCGAGATGCTTGGGATGGGGCGGCGTATTCTCCGACGAGCCGATGAGCCAACTCCTTCAGGCGATTCTCCACGAGACCACCGTCACCCATTTGGACAGGTTCGTTTGCTGAAACTCGACTCTCGACTTAGATTCTCTGATTTCAGATGGCGATTGGACGTCGAGCCGAACACTAGTGTGGTGCTTGAAGGCGATGACGATGAAGGGATGCAGTCGGCGTTGCCGCTGACCGTCATGAACAATTATTTCTCGATTGGTGCTGATGCTCACGTCGCCTTGCAATTCCATCATTCAAGGAGTAGGTCGACGAGTTTCGTTCAGAGTCTTGACGGTTCGTCGTTTTACAGGCGCCAATCCGCAGATGCTCAATAGCCGATTGAAGAACCGAATCGCCTACGGTGGTCTTGGCACAATTGATTTGTTCAAGAGAAGCTGGAAGGATCTATCCGAATATATCACACTGGAATGCGATGGCGTCGACATGACGCCAAGAATCAAAGAGCTCAAACTGCATTGCATTCTGTTCCACAACATCACGTATTATGCGGGTGGCACGATTCCGTGGGGCGAATCGTCGGATCAGAAGCCGAGTTGTTGCGACGGCAAGGTCGAGGTGCTTGGCTTCACCACCGCCACATTGGCGGCGCTTCAGATGGGCGGCAAAGGCGAACGAATCGCGCAGTGCGCCACATTCAAAGTGACGACGAACAAGGCGATTCCGATGCAGGTCGACGGCGAGCCTTGCCTCCTCGCGCCCTCATTGATCAGCATGACGTTCCACAGTAAGGTGCCGATGCTGAAGCGCGAGAAGAAGACGCCGTGCACGCCGAATCTGATGAGAAGAAGTACGAAGTCGGGCCATCGCGATTCGCTCGTTCAAAACACGTCGCTCATCATTCAATTGCCGTTGATAGTCGTCGGCAAAGCGGACTATGACAATTATAAGGATTGTTTCGAGCGTTTGAAGGATACCGCGTATGAGATTGGCATCATCAACATCGAATCGGAAGCGGAGTTGAGCTCGGCGAGGGTTCTCATTCAACGAATGCTTGTTGAACACCACTCGCTGCCGTACGAGCCGGACAAGAATTGGAGGTTTTTGGATTGTAAGAGACACAGCGAGAGAATGGCTGAAAAAAAAAGAGAAATGCTGAAATTTTAGACGTCTCGAACGCCGAAGAGGGCACGTTTCGGGTGTCGAAGCAGCAGGAAATGGTGCAGAGTGTTAGCGATGTGTGCAACACCGATGAATGCATTCTCATATTGGATCACGCGTTTCCGTCGATTACTGATCGAGAAGCCGTCGAGTTGTTCCAGCCGACGCAGTGAGTTTTCTTGTTTTTTTTTTTTGATAATTTTAAAGTTACCTAATTTTAGAAAGAAATATCAATGTTCAAATAAACAAATCAAATTTTTTTTTGCTTGTCTTCGACCGAAATTTTTCAAAAAAAATGAGACTAGGTTTCAATAGAAACCTTAATTTTGGTCTCAACGCGATGACTGAAATTTCAGCGCGCGGTTTTTATTTCTTAACTGTTTAAATTTCATTTTAAACATCTGCGGACATTTTGCGGTTTGTTGCTGGTGGCAATTCAAACGAAGGTCGCGACCCTCCTGAGTTCTATATGGGGAGCCCTTTTTCTTTTACTATCCTTCTTCAGCAGCAGCAGCAGCAGCAAGAATGCGTACATTGCATTATAGCTTACGCGCATTTAATATTCAGTCAACGATTAATTTAGATCGATGCTGATGCGCCTTTAAATGCTGTCTTGAGACGTTTTTCTGAAATTCACTAATGTTTTTTGTAGGCCGTCCTCGTCGTCGTCGTCATCGACTCAACGCTACCACAGCTCGCGGCGAATTTCCGAAACGCTTCGAATAGTGCTAAGCTCAGATGTTCAAGAAACGCACCTTTAGGTATTAATTGATCTCCACGGTCCCGCCACGAAAATGTTTTATTTCGACTATTTATTATTTTGCTTCATCTTCTGCTGTTGTGTTTCCTATTTTTCTTTTACACCGGTGTGTCACAAAGTATGTATTTTTCATAGAAGATATCGTATATATTATATATATATATAATATAAAATATATAGTATTAGATTGATTAACGCCACATTTGCTGAGAGCAGCATCTGTCGATGTACTTGATGCTCTCGTCGATCATGAGTTTGACGGATTCGAGCGCGGCGCACATGGCGACGTTGCCGAAGCCGTGCGTCATCTGGAATCGAGATTGTGATTCAAATCGAAAAATCATGTAAGTGAGGTCAAAACCAATGTGAAATGCGAGAGATGTTGCTGAATTGCGGGCTCGAGCGGCAGGTTGTTTCTCGGCAAAAATGGCGTCAGCGGGGTACGGTCGCTTGAGAGCAGCTCGCCGAGCTCGCCGATGATTTTTCTGCAAGTTGAAGCGATTCGATTGGTTGGCCACGCCCATCCTCCCTCTCATTGAGGGGGATGCGCGGTGTGCGCCTTTAAAAACCTGCTCATTTCAAGACAATTGCGACGTTTGAGCACGTCGGGATCGATGCTCAACGCGTTCTTCGTCAAATAGACGCCGATTTCGCGCGAATGGAACTCCTTCTCGCAAACCGCCGCGAAATCCTTCGCCATATGCAACGCCTCCTCTGAAATCGAGATGTTGGAGAATGTCGAATCGACGACGCGCAACCTTCGACGAGCGCCGTCCACGCGGTCACGTTCGCCTGCTTGCGACGTCCAGCCGGCAGTGTGAGGCCGAGCTTTTTGAGCGAATCGCGAAGCGTCTTGCCGCCGTCTTTCGATTTCGCCCTAAACAAAAAAAAACACAATTGTGGGTAGATCACAAAAATGAAGACAACTTTCTCAAAATGCCGCCGAGAAGCGAGGCGTTGAGGCATTCGGGCGGCGAGATTCGCCGCTGAATCTCGCCCACCGTCACCCGGTATTTCGTCGTCGAGCTCAACAGACTCGTTCGGCCTGGCACCGTGCAGTAGACGTCGCCGACGATGTCCATGTTTGACGAGGCGTCGAAAACGACGAACGGACGATCGGATTTCATTCCTGAACGATGTGTGCAAATTGTCGTCAAATCTAATGCATTTTTTCGATGTCTATGGAAAACCACAATTTTTTGATTTGAAAAAAAAAATACAAATGCGGACAATGCGTTTTAATTGACGACAAAACGCACAAATAGACATGTGGAAATCAGTCGCCACAAGACCCAACACATTTTCCTCGTGATGTGCTTTTAAACAATTATTCAAAATTACTAAGTGAAACTGAAAATATAAATTTCGGATACGGTAATTTTAAAGGCACACAATAGATTTATGTTGTGCTGACAAGGTGGCGATTTAGCGAATTTTTCGCTGCGAGACCTTGTAGATCAAACGCGTTTTTTAAAAATTGAAAACCAGACAATTCAATGCAATTGCAGTTACTGTAGAGCGCAATGTCCGCAATCACCGACCCAACCTTCATGCTCGTCCATCTTACAGTAACCGGGCGCCTGTAGCGAGTTGTCGCCAAAAAACTGCGGCGGCGGCGGTGGAAACTCTCTGGTGTAGGTGAACGTGCTCACACCGCACACCTGAAACAGCTCAGAGCTTCATGAGGTCGGTCGGACTCCTTCCCTCGCTCCTACCTGCGGTTGTATCAAGTGCGGTGTGTACGGTATATCGTAGTGGCACGAGATGTGCATATGCGACGGTGCGAACGCGCGAACGCTCTCATACTGCAAAAAAAAATCGGCGAGCCGAATTGTCGATGGGTGGGGGCACTTACAAACGGCGGTGGTCTCGACGCGACAATCATCTCCTCGTCGCCGGAAGCCGCTTCCTCGTCGTCGTCGGAACGAAACTCGTCCTCCGAGCACGCCATCATTTTGCGATTCATTGACGATGTCGTATTACGGTAGCCGAGAATCTAAAACAAATATGCTGGGCGTGGGGAGCCGTTGGGTTGCAACCAAAAATGATGAATATTATTAAACGTGAGAGCCGCACGGGATTTGCGCGCCTCCGCCCCTCCCGAAAAACGGATTACGGTAGCCGGACGACGCTTATTAAAAGTGGCATAATGCGCAAAAATGCAAATAGAACAAATCTCATTTTGAAGGAGCAATCTCGTCTTGAGAGACAAATTTATTATGGTCCCCCCCCCCCTCTTTCACTTCTTCTTTGGATAATTTTATGATGAGAGAGGAAGGGGTCCGAATGAATTGACAGATGCAATTAATCCGAGATAATTGCCCACCACTTGATTCAATTAATTATTGATTGGTCAATATTGCCATCCCACTTTGAAATGTCTTCAGTGCCCCCCGTTTCAACGAGTTTTCAAAGGACCATTTGAAATTGGCTTCAGCTTTCGATTAAGGACCATTTTTAGGGCAATTTGGGGTTCATTCGATTTAGAAGCGAAATCTTCTAGAGTTTTAATAAATATTTGCAAAATATAATTTTCATCATCAATTATTTCAGAATCGGCGTCTTCTACGATCCTCATTTGTGTCAATTTTTTGATGAATTGGGAAATTTACACATTTTTCTATCGATTATATTCCATAAAAGGCATTATTTTCTAATTTCAGCGTATGCAGCCAGGTCCGCAAACAAAATATCCGCCATTTCTTGAGAAAATGAGAATGCACGCGAATTGCGTCAGTCCTCCTCGGTTGGCGCAAATGCCGATTTTATTCAACTAACTTGTCACTTGATAATTGCATGTTTTCTTTTAATTTTTGCATTTGTGAGCTGAAATAAAATAAAATATGTTTAGAAAATTAATTGTTGCGTTTTCTTGCTTTCCAATTAATTGAAAATGAATTATGCTAAATTTGCAGGATGTCAACCGAGCAAAACCAACAATGCTCATACCGCGATGACATCCTTCGCCAGTTTTCGGATCGCGAGCAACGCCTTCGGCCAGTTCAGCAAATGTTTCGCAATTATAATGCGCTTGCCGAGAAGCTGGCACGTTCAAGGCATTCTCGTGCATCGGCGAGCATTCCGAATCGATCCACCGACGATTTGAAAGCGCTGAAAGAGGAGCTCGCGACTGTATATAAGCGAAAAAGCAAAAACGACCAGGATCTCATTGATGCGAATCGGAGGCTCATCGAAACCGAATCAAAACTCGCACAAGCCATTTCTCAGAGGGACAAATTACGGGAAACAGTGAGCACACTTAGCACCAAAATCGCCAAAATGGAGGTTTTCAAAATGAATTTTCTTCAAAAATTCCATTGAAAATTGCAGAAAGAGGTAGAAGATATCAAAGAATGCAATAATGATCTGAATAAGCTGCGACTTAGCTCGTTGGCTGAAATTAATAGTCTTACCGAGAAGCGGAAAGAGCTTGAGGATGAGAGGCTCATGCTGCTCAGCAAGATACGAGAGCTTCAGGAGCAGCACGCCGAGTTTATGAACGCGGAGCTCGAGCTTCAGGAGAAGAGGGCGCAGTTGAGGATTCGAGAGCAAATTGCCAATGCTATAAAGGTTTGGTGATGATTTTCATTGGAGCAAAAAGCAAGCACCGCTCACGCAATTTCAGGACACCACCTACGATGAGCGCGTTTCGTCGGCGTTCGGCAACTCTCCCGATTCGTCTGGCGACGATCTCATAGCCGACGCGGTGCCCACTGGGTTGCGATTTCGCCTCAACACTCACGAGGGCGACGTCAACGACGTCGAATGGCTCAGCGAGGATATGTTCGCCTCGTGCGGCTCCGAGAACAAAATTCGAATTTGGCGAACGTCGGAGAATCACAAAGAAGCCACCAAGGTCTCATCGTTGGCCGGCTGCATTCGCAGTATTCTAAGGCTTGACTTCGAGCCGGATCGTCGGGTGATCCTCGGATCAAGCACAGATAAGACATGCCGCATATGGAATGTCGATACGCAGCGATTAGTGGCCACCTTCTCCGGCCATTCGGATAAGGTCACGTCAGCCAGGTAAGGCCATTCAACGATTTAAAGGGTCTTACCGTAGTCGTTAGGTTCTACCAATTAATCAACGTCGTGTCGGGCTCTAATGATCGGACCATCAAACTTTGGGACGTCTCCAATTTGCGATGCGTGAGAACAGCGATGGTCGGCTCAAGTGTGTTCGATTTAGTCACCAAGTGCGGAACCCAACAGGCGAACTTCGCGTCGGCCCATTTCGATAAAAAAGTGCGTATTGGTCTCTCGCCGCGAAATTGTTGAGCTCTGACGTTTCAGGTGCGATTTTGGGACGCTCGAATGACGGATGCGGTTCGGACCATTGAGCTCGGACACCGTGTCACCTCTCTAGATGTCTCCTTAGACGGGCAGCAGATACTCACGGCGTGTCGCGACGACACCCTTCAGCTCATCGATCTCCGAACGTTCGCCACACTCCACATGTACTCGGCCGAACAGTACCGGACCACTTCGGACATGACTCGCGCGGTTTTCTCGCCGACTGGAGAATTTGTGGCCAGTGGCGCAGCGAATGGATATATTTTTGTGTGGAATACCAAGACGACGAAATTGGAGAAGGTTCTCCGACCGACTTGCAAAGAGTAAGACTTTTTTTGATTATTTTTTATCCTCAAAATTTACTTGAATTTTTTTCAAGGAATAACTCGATTTTGTCGTTGTCGTGGAACCCGTCGGGTCGCGGACTTCTTGCCGGTGACAAACAGAAATCGTGCATGCTCTTCAGATAAATTTTATTTTAATAATTCCTTGTAAAAATTGTAAATATATAAATATAATTTTGATTGTGTACGGTAGCTTTTTCATGTACGCAGTACACCGACACGACAATATGCACTCATACTTTTTTTTTTCGTTTAACATTATGATTAATTGAGTTAAACGCACTTGAATTGTGTCAATACTCACCGCTTGACGCGAATTACATTTTTATTGTGATATTGTAAAGTTGGTCAGGTGTTCATCTAGTAGAAATCGGGTTTATGTGTTGCCATCGAAAATGTTTGTTGTTTTACTAAAATTTATAGAAATTTCAGAATCCTGTTGAAGAAATTGGTAGTCGGAAGATGATTTTTTAAAGGTTTGATATTTTGTTTCATTCAAAGAAAAATGTGTCATGGCAAAGAGTATAATTGAATACGCCGAAAAGATCATCTCTCAAAATCAGCGCTTCTATTCAAAATTAGCCATACCAAGAAAAAAAGGTGTTTTCAGCTTAATTCAATTTGTCGGGTTGTCATGGTGTCGGCGTTGATTGCACCTCGAAGTTTCAAAAATTTGTTGAAAAAAAAATAAATCGTTTTTTTTAATTCTCAAAATTTTCACATTTGTTTGCCATTGAAATTGGTATTTTGCCAAGATTTATTTACGAAACGCTTAATTAAATCCCATTTTCTCTTCTTCCCATCGCCGACGCATTATTCGTCATTGTTCCTATATTGTCTACATGTCACATTCTTCTGATCAATGGCCGATTAGTGTAATCACCAGTGTTGTTAATTTTGACGAATAGAAAAACGAGTATTTTCAAATAAAAATGTGTGTGTTTTTTTTTCGGACAGAATACACCTTATTTGACGGCATATTGCATACGTCCATTTATAAATCTAGACGCGCCCCGCGAACTAATCAATACTCGCATCTCAACAATTGGCAGATCGCCAAGTGAACGTTTTATGACATCGACCGACTCATTATCAACGCTGCGTGTCCATTTTCTCAACACCGCTTGATTTCGCTAATATTTTGTCGTCGTTTTGCCCCCCAACTATTCCCATCGTTTTCTCATCATTATTTAACCCCCTAATTTGGCCTTAAATTTTGTTAATTGCGTCGAAATTCGAAATTTGTTGTTGGCCGTTGTCGATTATGATGCAATGTGTGCAAACACCGCCGCGCACATGTGTACGCGGTTTTTTGAAATTTCTTTTTTTTTTGAAAAGCTTGTTTTTTTGAAAAATTCGGGTAAATGAAAGGCAATCGGTTTCGAAATTGAATATAAATTTATACGTAACAAAGCATTCGAGAATTTCAATCAAATTGGATTATTAAATTAAAAATGAGAAATAAATCAATCGATTTCAATGATTTTTGAATCGAAAGTATGTTTTCAAAAATCTATTTTGAATACTTTATATAAATCGAATCAGATTAATTTTTATTTTAAATCGAAGGATTTTCATTTACCTGAAAAGTAAAAAAAAATATAGTAAAACAATTTTGTAAAAACTGAAATTTGAAATATTTTGAATTTGATTATTATTATTATTATTATTATTATTAATAATTGATAAGGGGGCGAGCGAGAGAAACAATGATAAACATAAGTGTACCTTTCTGCATTTTCTGACCAATTTCATGCCTCAATGACCAAATGAGGCAGTATAAGACAGAAATCTCTGCGTTATCAATCTGGCCCGCCTCTCAACCAAAAAAACAACGGCACCACATTATCATCAAATCGACAGACAACAACGACGCTCACCGCCGCCACCGCCGCGCAATCATCACTCATTCGCGTTCGATCCAAAAACTCGATACTAAAAATGGAGCTCTACGAGTATTTCTATCCGGATGAGTTCAGGCCTCAACCGGCTGCGTCGGAATCATCGGATTCGGGTATCGGCGCCGTCAGCAACAGTCCATTGGGTTGGGACGTCGACTTCAGCACACCGCCGACGCCGCCCGAAAAGCCGAGAATGCCCGAGTGCGACGTGTGCGCCTCGCCGACGGCCAACACCATGCATTTCGGCGGCCGATCGTGCAAGGTAAATTTTGCACGTTTATTATTATTTTTCTTTCGGTATTTTTCTATTCCCCTTCAAATAGTGCATGGCAAATAAACCACGCGTATTCTTATCAATTCGTTGTCTATTTTGAACTGCGGAAATGCGCCCGGTTTTTCGATGATCGAAACGCCGACGCATGGGACAAGGTACAAAGTTCGACATATTCTGTTTTGAATTTTGTGTCTTGCCTAGAAAATGTTGTGACCTCTCTGATCACCCGGGGGGCTAGAATGTAGCCTGACCAGGAGTTCAACTTTTGCAAATTTTCCGACAATATTGCCGAATTTTCAGTATTGTAATTGGTTGCAGGCGTGCGCCGCATTCTTCCGTCGAAGCGTGGCGATGTCGATGACCTATGAGTGCATCGGACCCGCCGACGACCGATACCAGTGCAAAATCCATTTCGAACTTCGCATGTTGTGCCGTCATTGCCGATTTTTGAAGTGCGTTTCGGCGGGAATGAAGCGAGAATGTAAGAGATTGAGACGGAGAGGGTTTTAAGAAGAAGAAAAAAATGTTTGGCAAAATTTTGACAATTATTTTTTTTTTGTTGTAGTGGTTCAAGCGCGAAAAGAGGACACGCGAATCTCGAAACGCAAATCGCGAGGTCTCGTGCAGAATTTCAATGTCAACAAAAATGAGATGACGACGACGACGACATACGAGGAGTACGTTAGCGTCTATTCGGCGGCGCCCGAATCGGTGACGCCGAGAAGTGAGCCCGAAATGGAGACGTACCAAATCGTCAAAGATCCCACCAACGAGATGGGCATCAATTCGGTGATCTCGCTATCGCCGCCGCCATCCACAATGAACATGGTCCATTATATCGTAAGCTCTTCGTCATCGCGATATTTATGTGGATTTTTTTTTGAAATTCAGAAGCCGTGCCCATCATCGTCGACATCCTCAATGATCTACGATCCGAATCAAGCGAGTACGAGTCATGCCTACTATCCGACGCATACGGTATATGGTGGGTCTCGACGCGAAAATGCTGTTAATTAGAAAAACGACAATAACAACAAATAAAAGCAATATTGTTTTAGATATTCCGGCGCCGAATTACCTTGACGATCGAATCGTCGCCCTAATGGATCATTATATCAAATCGGAGACGGCGCTGAATGATCGCCGACGGATCATGTACACCGACACGCAAATCAGAGACGTGTTCGACGGCGCTTGCGTTTGTGTAAGCATTTGATGGCGGTTTCGGTCTTGACACGAAAATTTGCAGCCATACGAGCGGCGACATTTGAAGCAGTTCGACTATAAGACGTTCACCGGATTCGTTCGTCAGGACTTTATAATGGTTCTCGATTTCGTCAACGAGTTTCCCGAGTTTCATCGGCTCACGAAAAATGAGAAGGTTTGAGCCGCTTGAAGCGAATTGATCGACTCATCGAATCGCATTCAGAACATGTTCTACCGGATGGCGTTCGCTGTCGATTCGATGATCTCATCGGCGTATTACACATCGAAAGTCGGCATTCAGGAGAACCTGCTCGTGTTGTTCAACGCGCATTGTATTCGAATGGAGCCGAGGCCGTTGAGCGGCGAGGAGCCGAACGCGCGCGCTCAATTCGACAACGACAACGACTTTCTGAAGTATAAAACGCTGATGCCGGTGAAAATCAAGCAATATTTCGAGATGGCGGTGCCGTTCGCGAGACTCGAAGCGAGTTTCGAGGAGTTCGTTCTACTCAAAGCGCTAACTATATGGCACATCAGCCATTATAAGTTGCTCGATGAGGGACGAGCGATATGCGCGAGGCAGCGCGACGCCATCATTGCGGCGCTTCATCGAGTTGTTGAGGATCGAGGTGATGAGGATCCGGCGACTCGCGTCGGACAACTACTATTGAGCATGAGCTATATTATGGTAAGCGATTGTTATGGCTTAAAAATATATACATACATATATTGATGATCGAGAAATCAAAGTTTAAAAAAAACAAGAATTCTTTTTTTGCAAAAATTGACCGAAAATTAATTTTTTGGCTTAAAAAAATTGAAAAATCAGGAATTTTTTAAAATTTTGACTATTATTTTTTGTGAAAATATTAATTTTTTTAAGTTTCTGAAACGAAACCATTTTTAAAAATTGAGAAATTTGAAAAAGTCTTAAAAATCTGGGTTTTCAATAATTTTTGACACAAACTTCTTTTTTTATTGACTTCAATAAAAATCAAAACAAAAGATTTTTAAAACTTGAATATTTGGAAAATTCGGAAAAGAAATCAGGATTTTCAAGAAATACAAGCCTTTTTTGTTTGAAATTTCCCAGATTATAATAAAAATCAGATTGTTTTTGTAAAAAAGCATTTTTTTTTATTGATTATACGATGATTGTCGAAAAAAAACGATGAATTTTTGAGAAATTTTTAAATTTTTGGATTTTTTTTTAAATAAAAAATCAATTTTTTGGCAGGCGTTTTTCAAAAAATCATTTTTTTTGCTTGAAACTTTGAAAAATGCAAAAGCGAGATCAGTATTTTCAAAAAATTTAAGCCAATTTTCGGAAATTTTCGAGACTCTCAATAAAAATCAATTTTTTGCGAAGGGATTCCTTTGGAAAATCGAATAATTTTGTCATTGATTTGACGGAAAAATCCATTTTTCCACCCAGAAAACTATAATGAAAATCAAACTTCAACATTTTTTCGCTTTTCAGGAGCAAGTTCAAGCGATGACGAGCTCATACGTGATGATCTCATTCTTCGACGTGCTCGACTGCGACAGCCTCCTACACGATTTGTGCTCATTCAAGTACTAGCTCGCTGTCGATTTTCCACAATACTTGTTCAGGGCCGAATATTCGGAATGAATTGTGCCTTCCTCATGTATATATTGTTTATAATATGGTGTGCCATACAGACAATTCCAAAAAAAAACAGCCAGCAACAGAGTCGATTTTATATTCTTTTTTTTCAGTTCATTTTTATTTTATTCCAAATATTGCATTTTGTTCCGTTTCAAACCTCCAAATAAATAGGCAAAACGAAGAATTTCCAGCGATTTCTGCAATGGGTTATTTTTTTTTGGTTCGTGCCATTCTCGCTTCGATGGTCCCCTTACTGTGCCACCAAATATGGCCTCGACCATAAGCGATTAATGTCGACATTTGGGCATGTCCAGCCGACCGAGAACCATTCGATGAGAATGCTGTGATTGTTGGCGGGAAACTCGATTGGTGTGATTTGGCGCACCTCGATCTGCAATTTTTTTGGTTTTGGGTGGATGATTTTCTTTTTTTTTGAGTTCAATACCGAGACTTGTTTTCCGGGCGGTATTAGAAATTTGGTGGGATGAAGCGCGTAGAAGCCTGTCGTCGACAGGAGGGCCCTGAAAATCGGCCGCGGGGTCTTGCGACGATCGACCCACGGTAGGGACCTACCTCATCGCCACCCATTCCAAATTGCTGTTGTTGGTGACGTTGAGAATCGCGCTGGCGCCGCGCGCCACGTGAAACGGCTGCAATTGGGCGAAACCCGTGAGTTGTCGGCGGCTTCGGGCCATGACCTACCCTCGGCGAGACGGTGAGCGTCTCGAGTTGCGTGTCGTCGGTGTTCTCGGCGAGCGATCGGGTCGCCGTTGACATGCTCATCAACGTCGGCGGATGCTCGACGACGCTCAACGATCTGGTCGGATCATCGGCGGGCGCGGCGACGGCGGACACCTCGGCGACGCGCCACATCAAAAGGATCACGTAGGTGGTGTACATCGAAACGCTTGCCTAGAATCCATAGAATTGGTCCGCCGATTTTCAGTCCCACCAGAATTGTCCATTTGAAGTAGCCGTACCTACAATAGGCGAGCGTCTTCTCATCGCGATCCCAAATCTCGAGACTCTCATTGAACGGCTCGTAAATGGCGAGAACGACGAACAACGCGAGGAGAATATCGATCGATATCGACGATTTTCGATTGAGGCCGTACGCGATTTTCTGCGAACATTTTTTTTGGATTGAATTGAAATCGCTTCGATCGCCCGCTCACAAATTTGCGCGACATCGATATCTCGTAATAGAGGAGAAATGGCGATACGGTAACGAATATTGCCGACGTGAGCGAGGTGCTCATAATCTGAAAATTCCAGCGAGCTACCTGGACCCACTTCTAGCGAGCTACCTGGACGACGAACTTCCACGGCGTCTGAAATCGGCCCAACGCGTGCTCGACGCATCGCATCGTCGCCGGACACCAACAAAATAATGCGGCCGACATTAGAACGGCGATCTGAACGAATGATACCGTACTCTACCGTAATCCCCATTCTTACACAGGCGGTGTTGAGATTCCGAATGCGCGATGCTTTGTTGCCGTCGAGCAACACCATGCCGTGCTCGACGATCGCTTGTGAGCCGATGAATTTGAGAATGACGACGATTGAAGCGACGAGAAGCGAGGCGACCATCAAATTGACACACTGGAACGAGTGCTACAGTAGGCTTAAAGGCGCATGGCCTACCTCCGTGTAGCTCAATGAGATTGTCGTCGTTTGAAAATCGGCATTGCATTTCGGCGAATCGCAGCAACAATGGATTTGATTTGCTGAAAATGCTATGAGTTCGCGTTGCGGGACCCGCGTCGCCACGCACCTCCCTTTAAACAGGTGCTCGTCGCGTTGAGCAGCTTCGCGCACGCCTCGAAACTCAGCATCGCGTCGTCGACGCAATCGAAACGCTCCACGGTGCCCTCGAGAAGGGTATAGAAGTGGGCGAAGCAGATGGAGCTGTTGCACGATCGCTCGGCTCCTGGAGCATTATGGCATAGGTGCGAGTTGATAAGCGGAACGATATTGAATAGAAACACGATTCGTTGCATTAATTCTTGCTTTTTTTCGGAAATGCCGATAACTGACGTGAAATCCTCTTTTCTTTTTTACTATTGACTTCTTATCTATAACCTTTCTTATCATTGTTTGTCTTCGATGGCCCCTTGCAAGGTCATTCATTTTTTAGTGGTCCCTTGATTGCCATGCGATCGATTTTGCGAATAATTCTCGCCTTGTTTATCATTTTTCAAATGTAAGTTTCTCTGCGGGGGGAAGGACACGTATATGGCTTTGACTCCCGGCGGCACCGCAGCCTCCTTAGCTCAGTTGGTAGAGCGTGAGACTTTTAATCTTAAGGTCAGGGGTTCGAGTCCCCTAGGTGGCTTGAACTTTTTTTCACATTATTTCTTTATAGAGTTTCTTGTCGACGCGACGCCAATCAGAAGCTGAAAGCGTGTTGTGCTCGTCAGAAGCAAGCTGATAAAGAATGCAAGAAGCGGTTTTGCGATTTCAATGCGATTAATCAGGGAAATGTGAGTAATTCATTTTTTTCCTGTTTCAAATACATCGAAATTTCTAGATGCTTCATTATCTCAACACTTGCGGTCCCAGGAACAAGACAGTTCAATTGATGTGGGATTGCGCTTCTTCGCGTGTCGATCACACGGAATGCTGTAAAAAGAAGTAAGTGGGAACTCAATTCCCATTGTTCAAAAACGCTTTCTCTTTCAGCAATGTCGTTCCCGCTTGTTTGCCATATTGCGCCGCACAAGGCCGAGTGCCAAACGAACAAGTGACACATGTGTTCTGCATGCAGAACTTCGACAACATTCGTCAGTGCTTCCGAAGTCACCTCGAACAGCATCCGAATATTTTCGGCGATAATTGATTTTTAAATCATTTAATTGCAATAAAAATTAAAAAAAGATTCAAGCCACCTAGGGGACTCGAACCCCTGACCTTAAGATTAAAAGTCTCACGCTCTACCAACTGAGCTAAGGAGGCCCACGAGGGCGGGCGGTCACGAGGCACAAACATGTTTGCCGAGTGCGAACATGTTTGATGAGAGTTTGAGAGAGTGCGAGACGGTTAGAGAGGGGGGGGGGGAGTGCGAAACGGGATTCTATTGAATCATGTTAGCAGAACAAAAGCATTTTCATTTTTGAGAATGATAACGGAACAGGTCTCCAGGATGTGAATCTCGCCAGCAAATCCCGAGTCATTTCAATGCTTCTTCACGCGTTTCTACTAGCCGTTTTGGCGTTTGGTGAGATTTCGTATCAATTTCAGAATTAATGCTAGGGTCTCTTTTGGTGTTTCAGGCGTCACAGAATGCGTTGAAATGATGCCAAGAGCAACGGCGTTAAGAGCCCACCGATCAGAGATCAGAAGGTGAGACAAGTTTTGAAATGGTCCTTTTTTAAAAATTGCTGTAAATCTTGATTCTAGATTAGATGGCATGAAACAATTCATTTCTAGTTTTTGAGAAATTCAAAATTTCCCATTCTCTCCAAATTGTCCTTTATTCGGGATTATAGGGGTTTAAAAAATTTGGATTTTTGAAAATTCAATTTTTTTTTCGATATTTAGAGCACCTCCATCAGTCGCCTCGTTCGCTCCTCTTGCCAAATCGCTTCGTCCAACGTCGACGGGCATTCGTCGAGCTCCCGAGATCGCGTCGCCATCAATGCGAGCACCCCATCGGAGCCATTCGCTCGCCGCTCGGACGCCAATGGTCCATCCAATGAGTATGCCGCGAATTGTGCCCGAATTCATCAAGGTGCCGATTCCGGTCATCGATCCGAATGATTTGCCGACGCTCGCCACCCTGCCGCCACACACCCTTCCCACGTTCACACCAATTCCGGGAATGCCAACGATGCCGGCGCTCACGATGCCGCCATCGTTTCAGCGCCTTCTCGGCATCACGACGACGACAATGAAGCCGGAGCCCATCGAGAAGGTGATGACGCAAAACGACGATCGCGATGAATTCTCGATTCCAACATACACGAAAGAACTGAATTCGGTGAGATCGCGACTCTCGAAATTCGTTCGCGGCGAAAAGGCGAATGTCGTGAAGGCTGAAGAAAATGCCGATTGGATTGTTCCATTCTAAACCGATTTAAATCATTAATAATAATAATAATGTTAATTAATAACGTGAGAATGATTCTCTATAATAAATTATTAATTGTTTTATTTTGTACAAGACACTTTATATCATTGTGGTAAGTTGGTTTAAAATAGTGTCAAGCCACCTAGGGGACTCGAACCCCTGACCTTAAGATTAAAAGTCTCACGCTCTACCAACTGAGCTAAGGAGGCCCACGAGAGCGGGCGGCCATGAGGCATAGGCATGTGTTGCCCTACTCGCAAACAACATTCTGCAGATGGCCACAAATTTTCACACAAAGTGTTGCGATGAAATTGTTTTCGATCACAAGAACGTGGTGGTGGCGTGCGATTTGAACAACGGCAAGGTAACGACGAGATCGACTCGAAAATATTTTGGAAGGAATGCGAACTCGTTTAAAGGTGGTTCACGTCGACGTCAGCAGCGAATTAATGGGCCACGTGTTCGCCGGCGATGAGATATTGACCGTCAACGGCGAAGGGGTAGCAAATCGGCATTGTGTGAACCCCCGAAAAATGTTTGACGTCTTCAGAACATCAAAACCACATCCGATTTCAATAAGGCGATCGTTTCCAAGGCGCCGGGCAAAATTAAAATCGAATTGATGCGCGACGATCATTGTCTCGCCGAGGAGAAGGTGCGACTCGTTTCAGAAGCGCAAAAAAAAAATAATTGGCGTCAAAATGAATTTGAATTTGGGCTTCTTCAGATTCTACCACCACGGCGACCCAACACCCAACTCACGGAGGTGAGCTTGAAGTACCGAGGCGGCGCGGCGACGGGAATCATCATTCATCGGGCAATTTTAAAGCGGCAACGTTTTTCGCTGAAATTCCTTTCCGCTTTCAGATGTCGTCACACCCAACCACTGTCACCATTTCCATGGTGCAATCGGCGTCGAGCGCGTGCAAATTCGTCAAATCCGGCGACATTCTCGTCAAAGTCAATGACATCTATGTGATGGATCGCGACGCGGCGCGAAAGGTGCGAATTTGTGAAAAGCGCGTCCCCAACGCTGAAATCGCATTTTCAGCTTCTCTATGCGAGTGTGAACAACGCGAAATCGGTGGTTTTGACACTCGAGCGTTCCACCAATGATCAGCCGATCGGACCGTCGCCGCCGCCGCCCGACGGCGCCAAAACCACTGGCGGCGTGATGAAGTCGATCATGGGATCGGCACCGGTCTCGCCGGCGTCTGTTATTTCACCATCGATGATGGCGGCGCCGAAGATCAACAATGTCAACAAACAATATGATGTGGTAGGCCCCCCCCCCCGCCTAGAAGTGTGAGCTCCTGGAAATTGCACAATTTAGAGCCTTCCGGCCGACGTCATCGAGATAATGAAGGCGAACAAGGATTTTTTCAAGAAGAAGTGCCCAAATCCGCCGTGCCTCATCAAAATCAAATCGGCCGCGTCGACAAGTTCGCGCCGTCGCGCGTCGCGCGCAAAATTTGAATTTTTACAGGCGCCGCTTCGATGACCGCCGATCAGCCAGAAGTTGCGATTCCATGCGATCCGTCGCCGAAACCGCTTCGTGTCACACCGAAACGCGTCGGTTCTTGAATTCGACAGCAGCTAGCTTTTTTTTTTCTTCGCCTCGCTCCACTCTAGTAAACATTCCACCGAATTTGTTTATTTGCTTCTTCATTTTTTTTCATTTTTGCGAGCCGACCGGAAAATCAATTTTTTTGATTTGAAATGCATATAAATAGACAAATTTTTGGCGCGAAAATGCAAATATTATAAAAACAAAGTTGGTGAAACTCAGCTGGTGCTATAATTGATTTCCCCCCGCTGCCAGCATCTCGGACGCTGCTGATATGGATGGAGTTTTGAGTTTGCACGTCCGGAGCCGGCGTCTGCGTCTCTTCGTCTCCAACACTGTTTTCCGGTTTTTTTTTTTTGAGGGGCGCCGCGGCCGGACATTCGGGCGCCGGTTCCCGGCACCCCGACGACGAATCGGTGCCTTGCGGTGAATGTTACGGCGAGAGAGCGCGCCGACGACGAGAGCGACGAGAGGTGCGGCGCAACACGAGAGGGCGCCGACGAGAGACGGTCGAGGCAGCGGCGCGTCGTTGAGAGTGCGCAGGCGACGAGACGGCGGCGAGAGAGCGACGAGCGAATGCGAGTGAGGACGACGGCGAGCGCGCGTTCGTTTGGCCTGGCCTGGCCTGGCTTTCAATGTTTTTTTTTCTTAACCCACTTCACGCCCCAGTTTTTGTCGTTCACCTGCACACGAGCAGAGTTTCATTGGTCATCGAGAAATATCTTCGTAGAAAATTCCTTTAAGATTGTAGATTTTCATGAAAATCGCCTGAATTTCCCTTCTTTTTTTTGAAAAATTCTCCATTAATTTCATTTTTTTTAAGAGTTTCCGGTTTCTTGTAGAAACGTCGCAAACCTTTCCACCTTTTTTTTTATTATCAACATCTCGCCGTTATGAAATGATGAGTCACCACAATAAAAAAAATTGGTCTGCAATAAACCATTAAGAAATGCAAATAATTACTTAATATTGAATTTGTTGACATTTCCAAAATTTTTTGTCCAATTTTCCCCTATGTTGAATTGGTCGATTCGGCGTTCAGCAGCTCGACCTTGGCCTATCTTTCGCCTCAATTTCCCTTGCAAATTCGCTATTCTTTCCGTTGAAAAAAGCGGCGTGAATTTTTATTTTTGATGGGGGGTACGGTAGGCAATGGGTGTCACACGGCTACGCAATTTTGCGTAAACATTTTTCGAATTTCGAAACACCATTTATTTATTTATTTTCGCTTCATTTTTTCTAGCCCCATGACCAACTTTGTGGAAAACAATCAGAGTGTCTGGCGCATGACCGCCGGCGGGCGCTCAGCTGATCAATCGTCTCCCTCGTGTTGTCTCCGTTCGGCTCCTCAATTTTCTCGACAAATTTCGCTTTTGTCTTATTCCGACGTTTTTTTTTTCAGAAGTCCATCGTCACCGCCGCTAGCAAATGCCTGCGTTTGCGCCGCTCGCCGCATCCAACGAGAAGGTTCGTTCATTGAAACAATTTCGATTTTTGTTTCAAAATAATAACACTTTTATTATTTGTTCTTCCTGCAGAACTCGGATGTCAACAGCTTGTGGGCATCCGATGACGACGACGACGCTTCATCAATAGCGTCACGCCGCTCAATCAGGTCAAAAGCTCGATCATGCGTCTATTGCATTTTCAGCGTAAGTCCATTTTTCTTGTCTTCAAATCGATTCGACTGGGGTGAGAAAAGAGGAAGGGGGGGGGGAAGAGGGCGATTTCGTCCTCTCGTCGTCGAGACGCTTCCACATTTCTCGCGCTGCCGCCGCCGTCAATTCGATTTTTGCAGATCCCCACCGCTCAGTACATCAAACTGCTTGTGCTCTTCGTGCTCGCCATCATACACTTGGTGTACCTTGGCGACAACCTCGACAAGGCTCGCGCGTTCCTCAAATTAACGCATGAGGTATTGATTATGATTCACGCGCTACCGTAGTCCAATTAATAACGCGGATTATCTCGAGCTAGCTATTTCTGTTTGTTTGCAGGCGGAGCTTCCACATCGCTATGATAATCGTCAAGCCGACATCTTCTTGCCCCAATTACTCATTGCCAAAGAATATGTGATCGAGGTAAGAATTCCTGCCGCTCGATTCATTCTCACCATTGATTTGATAGTATCAGCGAAGTCTTTGGCTTGCCGTTGGCTCGATGTGCACCGCGTTGTGCATCAGCACAATCATTCTGATGGACATGTTCGAGTACACGAATAATACGAGAAATATCGCGACGCTGGTAAGTGACGCGATTCCCGCGCCAACCATGTTGCTTCATTTCAGTTCCGCGTCATCGACGTGCTCTCGATTCTCTTCATCGCCCTCACGCTGCTATTCCGTCTCGACGCCGCTTCGCATATCGCGCCGAGCTTGCCGGCCGGTCTCCGCGCAGCGAATCACCTCGTCTCGTCCAACGAGTTCGTCAACGCGTTGAACTGCACGATTCTTCCGAGAGACAATGAGGCAACTCGACGGTTTTCCGACAATCACCTAATCGTTTCATATTTCAGCTGTCGCTTTGCGCTGACGTCTTCATGAGCTCGCTGTTCCCGATCAAGCTCCTCCAGTACCTTATCATTCTTCTCGTGCTCACCGGCGCGTATGTGGCTCTCGGTGAGTTCACACACACAAAAAAAAATCTCAAGGCGTCTCATTTATCCAATTTAAGCGTATTTGATCGAATGGTGCATTCGCCACTATTTTCCGCCAAAATATGAGCCGAGTCCGATAAGCGCCGTCTCGCGCGACATGCTCATCGCCGACATCAAATCGATTTTGAGCGCCGAGCAACACGTGCTCATTCACGCCTAAATCTCTTCGTCCGACCATTTTTTTTTCAAATCATTTCGTTTTTTTTAAAAGTAGCAATTTCGTGTTGTGCCGTTTTCCAGCGGATGTGCATATTAAAGAGCCGTTATCCGTAGGGTAGCATGCATTCACGTGGAATTGCGCGTTCCACGAGAATCCATCGAAAGTCCGATCTACCTCACCCCCTCTCAAATCATTTAACACCATCATATTTAATTGGGACCACGTCGACCGCGATGCTGTTGACGCGGTCCCTTTTATGGACGAGTACCCTACGGAAATGGACTTGATGACTCCCAGAGCTCCCCCCCCCCCTCCCATCTCTATATATATACATATGTAATTCATCTATCTATTCATCGTGTACCTATTTTGTTTTGTTTCGGTACCTCTTCTATCAATCCGATTTTCTCACCTCTGGCTAACCAATTTTTTTGTTGTTCTTCTTCTTCTTCTTTATACGTGGTGTTGTCCATCTCATTCACAGCAACAATTGAAAAATCGTTACTTTCTTGGTCTTATTTTGAACTGTGTGTGTGTGTGTGAAATTGAATTCCTTCTACGTTTTTTTTTCATGTTCCATTGTAATCAATCAGAACGCGTCGTCGTCGTTGTATTCAATCAAATTCGTAATAAAGTTGAGATGATGTTGCTCCGCTGGGGTACGGTAGTCAAGAAAGCAGAAAATTAATTTTTCAGTCGGATTAATCCAAATTAAGAGTTGATTCGTTTAAAGGCGCATGAGTCACTTGTACTTTAAATAGGATTGAAGAGCAGATAGACATGATTAAAAGTGCATAAGGATATGGAATATTGGTTTAAAGGCGCATTGCAAATCGCTCCATGAAAAGGGAATTTTTTAAGGTATTTGAGAATTGAAAAATTTTAAAGGAGGGCATTAGGGGACCATGTATTTCTCGATGGTCCCCACCTGTGCGGAGCCGTTGAGAACAATGAAATATAGGTGGAGACGTAGATAATGGTCCGCATTTTCGATGAGAATTCACTGACGCCACCAATTAGGCGAGTTTATTCGATTTCTGGGAATATGACGAATATTTCTACCATCAATTTGGTGGAAACTGTAGATTTTTTTTGTAAAATTTGCTGAAAACATGGCATTTTTCGTTTTTTTGGTTGATTTTGTTGAGAAAAATGCATTTTTTTGACAATTTCGAGCCTGAAAAAAGGATTTCGACATCAAAATTCATTTGCGATTCGAGCACGGCGATATTGAACGCGAAAATGTTGAGTAAAAATCATTTTTCCGATTTTCGACCACTTTTTTGTTGAAAAATGCCTAAAAATAATCATGAAATTCGTGCAAAAATGCTGAAATTTTGTTTTCAGCGAAAAATTCACCGATTGGTTGTTCGATTTCGCGCAAAATCCGTTTCACACGTTCTACAACGTAAAAAGAATCGCGAAAATTAAGAAATTTCAAAAAATTTCAGACAAAATCGCTATTTTTCTATTTTTTTTAGTCGTGATGTCGACATGATTTTGGCGAATCCCATCTGCGGACAATTTCGGGGACATCGCGAATATGTCGCCAGCTAGTCTATAGATATTTATTTTCCATCTGCGGACATCTACGCCGACAATACCAATTTCCAGTAAAAATCGCATCTGCGGACATCTAGCGAAGGGTCTCTGAAATTGTCCGCAGATGAGTTTCTTCTTTCAATGAAGGTTAACAATTTTTTCTCCAATTCTATTTGTAGTGGACTTCAAGCTGCGGACAATTTCGGGGTTTTCAAATTGTCGGCAACTTGATTTTGTCGGTGTCGCGCGATCTTGGCCAAATGCCAAAAAATCAATTACGGTGGTCTTGGCGTAAAAATAAGTGTAGATTTACGGGCCTAAGTATAAGGATAGTTTAAAGGCGCGCCGAGACCTCGTTTTAAATGTTGGGCAATTTGCCAATTTCAACGAACACCGACAATACCAATTTTCACTAAAAATAGCATCTGCGGACATCTGGCGGGGATTTCTGAAATTGTCCGCAGCAAATCTAGGCATTGTTCAGACGATGCCAACCCGCGCGAATTTCATCTCTCCAATAAAACAATGGATGATGAATCTGGTAAACCATTATTTTCAGAGTAAATTATGAGTCCAATTTCAGAAGTTTAATACAAGCCCGGTTTTTTGATAGCAGCTTCTCATCGCCAACGATTTCCTCGAAGTAATCCGCTTAGGGGAAAAAATTCAAAAAAAAAAGTTTTTTTTTCCCCCGCTGACGATCCTTCAGAATCTGAATCCGGCGCTTCGTGTCGTCGAGAAGCGCACAAAACGGTCAACGCCAAATTAATCCGTCGTGTATTGGTGAGAATTTTTGTTTTCTCTAGAAAATTTCCAACATTTTTGTCAGTATCGCAGATTTCCATAAACTTCGATGGATTCAGAAGCGCTGTGAACGTCGCCTCGATCATGCTTCTGAGTTCGACCTTTTATTGTTTGATCTACTCGCAATGGCCGGATATGCGATTAGAATGCAAGACGTTGATATGCGATTTCCGATATTTCGCGTAAAAACGGAAATCGACCAAAAAAAAATAAATAAAGAAATGCTAAATTTTAAAGGCGCATGACATTTTTGAGAAACTAATGATTTGAAAAATGTCCGCAGATGCTTTCAATAATATTATTTTTGGTTTTTTCTTGCAGTCCAACGCGCGAGAATCGAGAACAATTCGCCGGGCGTGTTCGGACCACTCCAATAATTTCTAATAAATATGCAATTATTTTTGGCGACAAGCTGAAGAAAAGAGAAAGGGGGTGGCGAGAGAGTGTTGAGACGCTGGAGACGCAGGGTGAGAGCGATGGGTGGGCGGTCAGACAAGGCAAGAAAATATTCAGCAGCATCACTTCGTTTTTTTTTTGCTTTTTGCCCTTCTACCCGAAATGCCCAATTTGTGGCCGCTTGTCGCCACCGCCGACAAGGTGATCATCCCATCGTTGAATCGCAGCGAGCTTCGGTTTTTCTAGAATGTCGAACTCGGCGAACGATCGCCATCGAGATCGCGATCGACGAGGCGTTGCGTGCTGATGCTGTGGAAACACTTGAGTTTCGGCGTACGCGATTCTGCTCCACAATTCCCCGCGAATTTTGCGATTCAGCTCGTCGCCGCTCAAATCATCAAGCTCGTCGTTCTTTGCGTCAGCGTCTACATGATCTACCTCAACTCGTACGGCACCAAAATCACGCGAAATCTCTTCGAGGAGGTCTCAGCCATTCATTAAAGGCGTATTGGCGTTGTATTTCAGGCGGAGTTTCCCGTCGATGTCAACAATGAGACGTGCGTTCATTTGCAGCAAATCCAAATCGCCAAGAGCCACTTTGAAAAGGTGCCACCATTTAATTGCACTCCTAATTACCATAATTATGATGACATAGTACATGGATGATATGGCGTTCAGCATCGCCATGATGGGCGCCACCATTGCGCTCACCACGTTCAACATCTTCTCGGCGCAGAAGGCCGACTTCGACCCAAATATTGTAACATCAATTTTAGGTAAAAGCTTGAGAGAGAGAGAATTCAGATGACCGTCATCGACATCCTCCTTCTCATCTTCTTGCACGCCAATATTGGGCGACCGTGTTCGCCACGATTGCACCAAAGCATTCGGTCGGGCTTGGCGGCGGCCAACTACCTCATACCCACCGACAACTTCGCCAACGCGCTCCACTGCATTATGGTGGAGAATTCGAATAGCGAGGTGAGTGGTCCGTCGGTAAAATGTTTAGGTCCCTCTTGTAGGTCCCTCAATGCGCCGATGTTCTCATCAGATCGCTTCTTCCCGACTACGTTCGTCAAGCAATCGCCCTTCTCATGATTCTCTCGATCATCGTGATTCTGAATGGTATTCGATAATCTCCAAGATCTCGCTGACTCATCGTCGCGCGTTTCAGCTCATTGTCATGATGTGTATGAGAAGAAGGTCGAGCAGAAGGTGGCGAAGAAGCAGCAGCAGCGACGACAGCATGTGCCGAAACCGCGACCAATCGCGCATCGCGTCAAGAAGGTTCGTGCTCAGGGAGCCGGACCAGCGGCTCGTCGCTAATTCGTGTCAACGTTTCGCAATAAAGCAATTTTGAAAAGACAATTACAACGTCATCGGATTCGATGGAGCTTCTTTGTCTTATTCTCTTGTGGGCGGCTAATGGGGGTCCGAGTGTGGTGGAACAATGGCCAAGAGATTGAGCGAAAACAGCATTTAAAATGAGGAGAGAGACGGAAATTTAAACCAATTTTTGACGATTCTAATTGCAATTTTTTTTCAACAGAAATTCTAATTCGTGTCGAGACCCGTTGAAACTCTAGACGAAGAAAAGGAGAATCTGAAAAAAACGTGCACCGTAAATCGACAACAGTCAGACTGTTTTTTAAAAAGAAAGACGAGATTTGCGGCTTTCGTGGTGAGACCAATTTAGTTTTTTTTTTTAAATTCGAGTTGCGATTGTTTACAAAAAGCGCAATAATATTTTAGCGACAACTTGTTCATGGCAGTTTTTTTTTATGATGGAGTCCAAGCTAAAACTGTCGAAAATTGGGTCAATGACCGCCTTTCTCATCTAACGACGTTAAAAAAGGCATGGCCGAAAAATCGGCGGCCGCGAAAATCTAGTCCCTCTCCCCCCGGGGGCGAATTTAATTTTTTCTGGTAAATCGAATACAATAAAAACTAAACGTGTCCCTATAATATTTTTGATTTTTCTCAATCAACTTTAGAAATTAAAAGATTTTAGAATTTCTTGAGATAATTTGAAATTTGCTCAATAAATTCTAGAAAATCATATAACATTAAAAAAAATTTTAAGTTTAGCGATTCTCAATAAGTTTTAGAAAGTATCAATAAACTTTAGAATTTCTCATAATTTTTTAGAATTCATTATTAAATATAGTTGGCGTCCAGCGACTGCTGTAGATTTACGGGAATGCGTCTTTCGAAATGGTCTCGCAAGGACTAGCGGGTTACTTCAAATTTTATGGACCGACCGGTTCGATAATTTTTTAATCGAATATAGTTGGAAATTCAAGAAAATGGGAAACTCATTAAGAAAAATGAAGCAGTTCGGCGTTCACGCGTGGCGAGACCTTTTCAAGGCGCATGCGCGTAAATCTACCCGCGTACAACATTCGCCGTTTTGATTTTCAAAATTTTTTATTTGATTTGCCTGAGTTATCACTTAAACCCTTTTGTTAGAAATTGGATGGTAGTTCATTGGTAGAACGTGTGCTATGCTAACCTGGTTGGACAGGATTGCGATCCACGCAAAGGTTCGAGCGCGCTGGCTTGAAGATGCGGCTCGCCGTGCATCGCTAGAACGAATAATAACGTTAGCAGAAGTTATGGATTAAAATTGTAGCCAAAAGAAATCAGAAATTGCCCTAAAATTAAGATGAAACTGGCGAAAAGCGAGGCAAACAACGAGCCAGGAAAAGAAAAAAAAAAATTCTCTGGTGCCGTTACTGTAGCAGTGGGTTGTGTGTGCGCGGCGGCTCCGCTGGGGCGATTTACGCGCGCTTAAGGAAAGGTAAAAATATTCGCAAGATAGCTAGGGTTATGTTGACAAAGATTACGCCATAATAATTAGTTGCAGCTCAAACTTGGGTAACAAAACCAAATTCAACATACAAATGAAGCAACGATACATCTTAACGAAACAAAATATAGCAATGGGTCTTAGTAGCTAAAACCTAGCTAAAAACGCACCGCGCAAGATTTGAATTATTCGGATTTTGCCGGCGCGACTCGGCCACGGCCATCTCTAACTCGGCCAGCCGATTGGGAGTACATTTATCTCGAGATTCTGACAATCACATCTTGAAAATGCAAACAACTGGTGCAATAATAAATGTAAAACATAAATGGTATCGATGCACAAAAAGTGCATCAGAAAAACCTCACCATGGCGTCAAACTTTTATGTGGGTGTACATGGAATTGTCTGAATTCGAGCTCAATCATGGGGAGCATTTTATTCATAAAAAAAAATTAATTTCCGCATTTCTTATTTGCGCTCTTATTCAATTTTTTTCCGTCTAACCCACACTAGAAAAAATCAGGAAATTCTCGTGCCAATTGGGTTTAACTAAATAAGAGTTAATCGAATTTCTTCTAGTTCAGCTAAAAAAGAAATAGCATTAATTGTCGAAGGCTGATCATTTTCCGAGCAATTCGACCAATATCGGCTTTTTTTTGCTTGGTAAAATTAAAGTACATTAAAGGCGCGTGCAAGACTCACAAATTAAAAGGGTCCTATCAAGATGATCTCTTCTACCTAACAATACTCTGAAATGTTGAAAATTTTCATCTATACCTCGCCCCCTCATATCGCAATATTTTTTCATTCAACTCCAATTTCCTAGAGCCGCGTATATCGACGTTTTGGAGTCACGTGTCCACGCAAGACCCTCTCGTAAATCGACCCCGCATCGCACACAAAAACAAATTAAAAAGAAAATTGAGAGAATTGTATAGAATGGTGCTCAAACTCTGAGTCAAACGACTGAACAAAATTTCAAAAATTATTGGCTATGCGTCTCGAGACAGCGAGAAGTACGCAATACTGCGTACATTGCATTATAGCTTACGCGCATTTAATATTCGGTCAACGATACATTTAAATCGACACTATTTTCGCGAAATTGAAGGTCCCCGTCTTTCTTAAGTCGTATAATAATCCTGAAATTGATTTAGATTACATGCGCCTTTAATAGGGGCGCAAATGCCAAGAACAATTGCGTTGCATTGACCGTGTGGAGTACACACGATCTTGTTTTCGTCTCAAGACCATTGCAAGAAAAGCTCGCTGCAAAAGGTTGAAAAAAGTGATTTAAATTCCCAACAAAGATATCGACAACCATTATTTTTTAAAAGACGCGGCTACAGAAATCGGCCGTTGCAAGACCTTTCTGACGTTTTGGGGTTCGCTTTTTATCAGAGTTGGACGGAATTCCGCGTTCCGCGTTTATAAATTATTCATTCCGCCCAACTCTGCCTCTGACGAAAACGAAACCCAAATCAGGCCTTCTCTCTTAGATTCAGACTATTTTAAGCCAATTTTTAATTGTTTTTGTAATTCTCATCAGAATGAAATCACCTGTGATCCCTAATTCGTATTAAAAACCCACCAAATCAATTTAGTATTTCGACCAAATGCCATATTTTCCTTTCATTGTTTTTTTTTCTTTAAAAATTTCAACCTTAAATGTTATCATATGATTGTGGACCATCAACCTTTCAAATTTGAATTTATTCAATTAGCGGGATGGTACTGTATTGAGCAAGTCCGCAAACACCGATCAACGTTTTTTTTTTTGTGAAATTTTCCAATTTTGATTTCTGTTTTTATAGCAATTTCTCAAATGAATTTTTGCGATGCTTTGGTCCCATTTCGAACTGAGGATTTTTTCGACGGATTCTACGATGCTTATAAATTTGATCGATCAAGGTAACGATGCCCAAAAAAAGGGACATTGAAATATTCTCATTTTTAGGTCAACATTCCTAATTTACAAATATGTGAGCCGCACGATTTCGGCAATTTCTCTAATTGTCCTCATTTTCACGTGCCACGTCATCGTCACCGCCAAAACCAAAGTGTTGAGCAGCTATCGGAATCTGCTCATTTGCCAAATATGGTGCGCATTTCTATCGGGCATCTGCCTATCGATATCGTCGATTCATTCGATCTATCCGTTCCGAATATTGATCACCGATCGAATTTCCGCTATTGATCATCTGCCGTTCATCTCGATGTATTGCTGCGTTGCGACGTCGGCATTTCTAGGAGTCTTCTCGCTCGACGCCATTATCTTCAATTTTATCAAATCGTCCAGATTGATGTAGGGGGAGTTGAGCGCGGCAAAAAAAAAACATATAGCGCTGAAGTGGCCTAGAAAAATTAGCTTCGGCCACGGCCACAGTGAATTTATAACAAAATTTATTATTATTTTGAAATAAAAGTGAATCTCAACAAAAAGAAGTCACCAATTCGAGATAACAAAAATGCATTTCAATGTGGCCGCGGCCGCGGCACGAAATATTCGGCCATGGCTCATTTTTCGTCCACATTTGTTTTCAGTCAATGTCTTCTATTAAAACATTAAATACATCACTAAATTATTAAATTAAACGAAATCTGAAAATTTCAAAGTATTTTGTGCGTTTTGATGGGGACCACTTTTCAAAATCTCGAAAATTGAATTATTTAGGGTTGGAAGGCATAACCAAGAAGAGAAATTGTTTTATTTTCGATTGGCCTACTATATTTGTGCCGTATTATTCGCCATTATTCACACAATCATCATTTTTTGTGGTACCTCATCTTATATCAAGTAATTTCTTTGACAAATCAAATTTCTTCAGGAGCAATTCCGGATAATGAGTCAATTAAACTGGCCTCAATTAAATATGATCCGAGACTCATCGAATTCTACGCGCACAATCATTTCGATGTTGTTATCATCACCGTCGGATGGAAAATTATAAAATTCGAGCTTCTGATGACTATCGCTCTCATCACAGTCGTTTTTCTTTTATTCCTCTCAACGTAATTTATAATTGCAAAAAAATGAGAAAATTCGATTAATCAATTTAAATGTTTTAAATTCATCGTGCAAACACCCGACGCACAAATGCAGATTTTGGATTACGATAAATATTGAAAAGCTTCGCTCGAATTTTTTCGTTTTTTTTGGCAATTGAGTGCAATTTATGGACCTATTCATGCAACGAAAAAAATTTTTTTAAATCAATTCTTTTCATTTGAATTCCCAAGAATGACGCGATATATCGTAATTCTCCGCATACTTATTTTCAAAGGCGCACGCGCAAATGTTGCGCGGGTCACGACGCGAAGTCGGTACTGTAATTTTTAATTTTTTTATTCTGTGTGTTGTTTTTCCCTATTTTTCGTCATTTTCGACAATAATTAATTGATTTTTTGAATTTTTTTTCATTGCATGAATAGGTCCATTAGAAAATAGTTATTTAATAATAATAATAATAATATTCAGAACCGCGTATTACATCAAGAAATATTCGTCGATGACTTCGCAACTTGTGCAAACCCAGCAGAAGCTGATTCTCCGATTGGAGATCATCTACGCTCTCATGTTCTATTGTTTCCTTTCGCCGATTATTTTGACGGCCTGGTCGATTTTCTTTTATCCGCTGGAATATTTGAAGACGTTTGAACGATTTTCCGCAAAAACCAGCGATTCACTATTTAATTTTCCAGATTTCCCACCTATTTTCTTGCCCTTCTTCCCATCAACATGTCGTCATTCTTCAACTGCATCGCCCAATTATGGATTGTCAAGCCTTATCGAGTGTTGGCCGTTCAGCTTCTCACCGGAAAATCGGAGGTACACGAATTTTTCTAAATAATCTATCATTATTATTATTATTATAGAAATTTACGAATCGGCGGACAAGAATTGATCGCTGCGAGACACTGAACACCGACTACGTGTGCCTTTAATTAGGGAATCCGAAAAAGGTAGCAAAAAAATGTTCAGAAATTTAAATATTTTTGAAATTTCTATGAAAATCATGAGTCATTGCAAAAATGAAATAATTAATTAAAGGCACATGACGCTTAAAACCAATCGGGTCTTGCGGCGACTGATTCATTTTTGCATTTTCCGATTGCCACGTAGCGGAATTCCGCCTTCCGCCTTAAAAAAAATCTACGTTTGGCGAATTGCCAATTTCGTTTTTTAGACTTATTTCGCTGATTTCGGCAATCAAAATCGTTAAGTTGAATCGATAAAATGTTGAGAATAATCCAAAAATTGAAAAAAAAATGACCTGGACGACGAGAATTTTCAAGTTTTTATTAATACCAAAAATTTTTTCACTGAATCGAAAAAAATGGCTAAATGCCAAGAGGGGTCTCGATGCGCGGTATGCTCCTTTAATCAATCCATGTAGCTAAGCCCGTAACTCTAGACTTTTAATTTTTCGACCACTGACTCGAAAACGTGGAGATCGCGGGTTCGGTCTCGCTCTGTCGCCAAGTCTTTCACTCTCTGCGTCTCCATCCACCGCACACTCTCCTCTCGTTGTCTTGCACTCTCTCGATTGTGCACAGTCTCTCAAAAGCGCTGACGGCTTTTGCACATTTTAAACAATGGAATTTTTGAATTTTCGCCATCTGCTCATTGTTTGCTCCCCAAGAAATATGATTTGATCGCCGAAAATAAGCCAAATATTTTAAAGTCACCTTGAAATGTTCTTTTTTTCTTGATTTGCCTGAAAACCAAAAATTAACCAACGCTGGCCCCACTGTGTCTGCTTGCACCTGCGAACAACACATGTTGATCTACGGTTTCGCGAAACAATGCGTTGAGTATTGAATTGCCGCCAGAATTTCCTCGCAAATCTCACTCATTTTTTGCTGCTTTATCTCGATTTAATTTTTTTGGATTCGTGAGTTGTGGAGCGACTTGTTTTGAGTGCATCGTGGATTATTGTTAAGTGGAAGAGATCTTCTTGATATGACCCTTTATTTTAAATGTCTTGCACAATGTTTAAATGTTTATCCGACGCTTCGATCTTTAGATCATCATCAGGGAAGGTCAATTTACCTACAAGATAATAAGTAGTAGATTGGTCAAAAAGGAATAAAAGAGTTAAGTTGTAAGTATCAATCAAAAAACAAACACCCATAAGAACAAAAACAAGAAACAAAACAATGTCCAATACGTAACACAAAAAAATATGTTAGGAGTGTTAATGCGTTAATGTGAGGATGTAAGTAGATCAAAAAATTTTTTAATAGAAAAATAGAGGGTAGGTTTAGAAAAGTTTTTTTTTTAGCTATGACTAAGAAAAATCCCCTCGAAAATCCCCTCTCTTCTCCGGAATACAAAACCTTCTCAAAAAATTTGGCTAAAGAAGTTTTGGCCTCTAATGGTTATAACATTACAAATAGATCTAGACCTAAAAGGCATAACTTCCCATATCCAGATAAAATCATAAAAAATGTACTTCCGGTTCCGTTCATCTCCGATACCACTACTCAAATAATCAAGACATCAGTTAGACAAGTTGACTTGGATGTCACTGTAGTAGAACTTAAAGGTAAATCACTTAGGGACATCCTTGTCAAATTTTTGATGTTCGATGTGAGGGTAGAGGATTCAGGGTTTGTCCGGAGCTGGGAGTTGGTACTTGTACCATTAAAGGAGTCATTTATGAAATCGAATGTGGTTGTGGAAAGAATTACGTCGGTGAAACAGGAAGGCCTTTAGCCTCTCGTTTCAACGAACATGCTAGAGCTGCTTTGAAACCAAATCTAAAATCATACAAAAACACGGTTTGGTCTAATAACTCATTAGAAATTCATAACGGGGAGCCCTTACAACTTTCTATTAAAATACTAGATATCGAGAGGAACACAACTCGTCGAAGAATACTGGAAGGAATTTATATTAAAACCAAGAATCCTGAACTTAATACTAAAGAAGAACTTATAGATTTGGTCTCGGATTTGGGAATTCGAGGGGATTTTTCTTAGTCATAGCTAAAAAAAAAAACTTTTCTAAACCTACCCTCTATTTTTCTATTAAAAAATTTTTTGATCTACTTACATCCTCACATTAACGCATTAACACTCCTAACATATTTTTTTGTGTTACGTATTGGACATTGTTTTGTTTCTTGTTTTTGTTCTTATGGGTGTTTGTTTTTTGATTGTTACTTACAACTTAACTCTTTTATTCCTTTTTGACCAATCTACTACTTATTATCTTGTAGGTAAATTGACCTTCCCTGATGATGATCTAAAGATCGAAACGTCGGATAAACATTTAAACATTGTGCAAGACATTTAAAATAAAGGGTCATATCAAGAAGATCTCTTCCACTTAACAATTTTTTGGATTCGTAATATCACAGAAAAAAAAACCTCCAAATAACACCCGTCTTATTTGAATACTTTCTTTCGATTAGTGTTTTTCGTGGAAAAGCTGTCTCAAATTTCATATGTCGTGTTGAGACCAAAATTAAAGGCTCAAGAATTGGGGAGAGGTGGGTCCTCGAAAATCACTGCTAATTCAAAATAATCGCTGACTGAATATTAAATGCGCGTACGCTATAATGCAATGTACGCAGTCTCGCGTAATTCTCGCCGCCTCGAGAAGGCACATAGGCAATAATTTTCGAAATTTCTAGCTATTTTTTGCGCAAATGCAAAAATCTCGAAATAATTTTCAAGTTGTATGCTTCCCTAAATTTGAATTGCCGCGTCGCTTTCCTAACTTATAACAAAACTCCATTAACATCGCGCTATTTTCATTCATTTTTTGTTTGGTTTTCTGTTTGGTTTTTTCATTTCTCGGGTTGGCTTCATTTACGCAAATAAATCAAAATGTCAATTTCAGTTTTTTCTTGGTTTTAGGCAACTTTCAATTATTTTCATGAGACTTGCCTACTTTTGGGTGCTGAATTTCTCTAACTGAAACCTTGCCAAGCTATCATGGTCCCTTTGGCTCTGAGACAGTATGGTGCCATTCTGGTAACATTGAAGATTAAGGGGACCATTATCAGTAGCAGTAGACCCTAGGCTTCCTACTCTATCACGAAACCATTCAGAAGAGATTGACGTCAAAGCGAGCTGAAATTTTCAACGAACATTTTCAGCATTTCAGCATACAGATAAAACGTACAACAACACACAAAAATTAGTAGTTTTAGCCAAAATATTAAATCGCCGCAAGACCATATAATTAAAGACGTATTCCACTAATAGGAATTGTGTTTTTTTTTTTCAGAAAGCGTTGCCGGTCGCCGCTTCAACGTCAAAGGTGTCATTAGGAAATAACACATATAAATTCCAGCTGCATTATAATATCATTGCTCTTCCAAATGCATTTGCGTGATGCTTTGATTCCATTTCGTCCGGAAGATTATTTCAACGGATTCTACGATGTTTATAAATATGATCGATCAAGGTTTTGATGTTCCCCTTCTTTTAAAACCCAATTAAATTGATTTCAGTCCAAAATTTTTCATTTATAAATGGCTAAGCCGAGTATTTCTGTTCGTCTCATTAATTGCCCTCATTTTCACGTGCCACGTCATCCTTACCGCCAAAACCAAAGTGTTGAACAGCTATCGGAATCTGCTAATGTGCCAAATTTGGCTCTTCGCGTTGTCGAGCTTCTTTGCCGTCGCTTCGACCGTTCACCTCATCTATCCCTATCGATTTTTCATCACCGACAAAATTTTGAACGTCAACAATCTGCCAATCATCTCAATGTTGTGCTGCGTCGTGGCAACCGCTTCGGCCACCATCGTCTCATTCGAAATCATGTTTTGCAATTGCATCAGAACTTCAAAGGGATTCATGTAAGCGTGCCTTTTTTGGCGAGTCTAAACCGCATTCTCAATAGAGCGCATTTGCATCGTTTTCGTTTTTTTTTAATTAAAAATCAGACCAATCTTCAGCGATTTTTGAACCTTTTCAGGCAGTGCCTCGTGGCATAATAACAGTAGATCTTATAGTGCATAGTTTCTTCGAAAATACTCATCAAGCAGATGCTCTTCATTTGGCAAAAATGCAATGATGCATGTACGCTCTATTGATAGCTCATTTTCGATGCAGATATTCGTGTTTCCACGAAGACTGAGAAATGAAAATTAAAAAAAGATGCAGAAAAAAGAAATATGATCATTATTTCTGTTTTTCCTTTCTTTTCTCTCCTCCCGTTTCGTAAATCTACAATTACAGGATGGGAACCCATAGTCAGGAATTGAAATTGTATTATTTTCGCGTTACTTCATATATAATCATATTTTTCTTGGCTATCATTAACATCATTTTAGTCATCTATGGTATTGTTTAAAATAATTATAGTCGGCGACTGCTGCATGCGGGTAGATTTACGGGAATACGTTTTTCGAAATGGTTTCGCAAGGGCGAACAGGTTATTTCAAATTTTGTGGGTCAGTTCTTCACGCGTGGCGAGACCTTTTCAAGGCGCATGCGCGTAAATCTACCCGCGTACAGCAGTCGCCGGACGCCGACTATACCTATGCCACAATGATAATAATGATTTTCAGGAACAATACTGGATAATGAGCCAATTAAGCTCGCCTCGATTGAATATGATCCGAGACTCATCGAATTCTATGAAGAGAATTACTTGGATGTAATCATCATAACAATCCCATGGGATATCGTATTAACCGAATTGAAAGTTACAATTATAATCGGTATTCTTGGACCGATTTCAATATTTTTATTGTAAATTTCGAGTGAACATCATAATTTTAGAAAAAAACCAATATTCAGAACCACGTATTTCATCAGAAAATATTCGTCGATGACCTCACAACTTGTGCAAACCCAGCAGAAGCTGATTCTCCGATTGGAGATCGTCTATTCATTGTTGTTTCTCGTGTTCGTTTCGCCGATTATGATCATATTTTGGTCGATTTATTTTTTCGTCATCGAACCATTGAAATGGTATATTTTGAATTGTTCTCAACGAAAATAGAGAGAAAATCGATTTTTCAGGTTTCCAATGTATTATATTGCATTTCTACCTTTAGCAATGTCATCATTCTTCAACTGCATCGCCCAATTATGGATTGTCAAGCCTTATCGAGTGTTGGCCGTTCAGCTTCTCACCGGAAAATCGGATGTGAAACATTTGAGGAATCGCCGCGCGTTTCTACATTCATCTCTACCGAATTCTCAGTGATGCGTGGCAATTTTCACGGATTTTCGTTTTGGAGAGTGTTTGCGGAAGAATTGGCATTGTGTGCAAACACCACGACGCAATGGCTCACAGCTGTGAGCGGGGGAAATGGACAACAATTTAAAGAATTGGCTTCCAAAAACATTCTTGGACATGGTTTTTTCTAAGGGTCTTTGCCTAATAAATACAGGTTTTTCATTATTTTTTAATTTCAAAATACTCGCAATCAACGTATTTATGCGATTCGCTCTAATTGACAGAATTTTCGTTAGCTATGTAGTAGATTGCACAAAGTTCGGACCCTCTACATCACATCACGAAGAAGAAGATGACCTTGGACACCAGAGCTGCACGGAATTCCGTTTTCCGTGACATTTTCCTGTTCCGTATTCCGTGTCCCGCTTGAGATATCTCTCAATACCTTGCACGTCTAGCGAATCTAATATACCGGATCATCGAATTACACAATGGCAACGCCGGTATCGATTCAAGTTCATGTAAGTTGCGAGATAGCGTTTGAGCATTGAGACGAGATTGAAGGTGTTCTTCGTGATGCACTCATTATGCCCGATTTTATCGCTTATTCTACATGTTATCATTTTGAAGAGAATTCGAACATCGACGAATATTTCGGCGAACAAAAAGACCATCGAAATCAACATATTTCTTTAAATCCTCCCAATTTTTGCCATGTTTTTTGTAAGCAACAACTACAAGGTCTTGCAGCGAAACAGACTTTTTTGAGAGAAAACGGCATAAAACGTCGATGGGGGAAACTTGCAAACTATTTTTTTTCAAAATTAGAAATTCTCAATTCCCCAGGCAAAATCACTTTCCTTGCTAGTCAAATGAACGCCTTTGCATCCCTGCGTCTCCAACAATCGCACACTGTTTTTCGGCATAGGCGTCTCCATCTCGACATGACATTAGAATCGCCGCACATCGTGGGCATCGGTGGTTCAGTGGTAGAATGCTCGCCTGCCACGCGGGCGGCCCGGGTTCGATTCCCGGTCGATGCAATTGCCTTTTAGGTTTAAGGAGCCCTTTTTATACAGTACCACGGTTCTTCGTTCAAGTTCTTCGTGATCAAGACCATCGGCACAATCGTCATCGATTTCGTCATTGTGAAATTGTTGCCCAGAAATGTTCGAGCGCACGCGCCCTTCTTCTGTCGCGTCGTCTACTACAGCCTCTTTGAGCTCATCATCGCCGATGGAATGAGCTTCGCGATGTGGCTGGTCCTTCTCATTGATTTGATGCGTTCCTTCTCACGTCTTCTCAATTGATTTACTCAATAAATCGATTTTGTTGTTAAATTCGTGTTTGAAATTGACAAAAAAACCAACAATTTTCATCAAAAGACGGTCAAGTGATGCTTTCGTTTAATGAAAATCATGGAAGTGAAAAATCGATATCGGAGAAGCGGAAATGAAAAAATCATTGACCAAAATTCGTATAATTCGTGATTGTTGCCAAAAAAACCGCTTCTATAGAAAAATATCTCAATTTTTAAGCAGGTTGTCGAAGAAATAATTTATCACGTGAATATTTAAAACGTCAAAACCAACATGACTTCATTTTTATTCATTTCTAATTTGTTTCCAGTGTTTTTTGCGCTCTTCATTCGCCGTTAACCAGCTAATCACAGTCGTGTAAGTGTTTGCTTCATCTTTTATGTTTTTCAATCAGTTTTTTTTTTACGAATTCAGTTATTTTAAAAATTGTGATATCCGTTTGTCCCGAGATCGAAGGTTCCGAACCGCTGTGAGCGTGTCTCGAGAACATTCGTTGATTCGGATCTGAGAGAGCCCGCACGGACGCCGCGTTCTCGTGCCACGAGACGCGGAGCAAACGTCCCGCTTCGGTGACCCATAGGGTCCGACCCAGGAGGGAAATGCCTGGAGAAGTCGAAGCGCACACGGCGGAGTGGCGTCGGGACCATTCGATGTAGGGACCGCCAAATTGGCAACAAACGTTTGAATGTCTCAAATTTATTCATAATAATTTCACGCTCAAAAATTTTGGTAGAAATCCAAAGAAAATCACAATGACCAAGGCGATGAGGATGACGAACATGAGAATCGGGCTTTGAAACAGTGACATTTTTTACTTCTTTAATCGTTTTTTTTTCAATATTTTGTTTCAGATCAGAAAATTTCGAAACTGATTGGAACATTTCGGATCAGAAGATAAACATATAAGGTAATCATCACACACTAGCTGTTATCGATTGCTAACAATCATTTCGTAGAGCATGTTTAGAATAGGGTAAAATAAGGAATAAAGTGAATATTTCTGACTGACAGGTAATTTTCAAAAGTTGGAAATATTGTTTTTCTATTCACGACGAAAGTTGGAAAGTTCGCGTCAGGGCTGTGCGACAATGGAATTGCCGATTTTTCAAATTGCCGATTTGCCGACATTTATATTTTCGGCAATTTGGTGTCAAAAAAAAAAATCGGCGCAACAAAAAGGAATGTCCATTGAATAATTTGGAATACCGTGAAAATTCGGTATTTATATTTCGAATTATCGTTGAAATCATTTAATTGCCGAATTGCCGAAATTTCCGATTGCCGCACAGCCCTGGTTCGCGTATCGTATCGGTTTACCTACATTTTATCGTTCATTTCGTTCATTAAAAAACGGGTTAATTAGCCCTTTCTAATAAGTTTGTAAATTGCCAATTAATTCGCAAATAATGATTAAAAATAAGATTAGGATAAGGACGTACACCAGGGCTGTGCGGCAATGGAATTTCCGATTGCCGCACAGCTCTGATGTACACCGCACACCGTGACTGCCAATTTAAATTTTTATTCAATAATCCGCCTCCGCGCGAAAAGAAACATCAGCTTAAAGTCTGCAAGTCTTTGCAGTAGCGAGATCCACTGCATAATTCCAATTATATCTAAAACGGACGGAAAACATATCAAACAATGCGCAGAAAACTGATGAAAAAGGGGTCTGCCACAGATCATTTTTTTGTCCGCATTTGATCCATGTTTCATCGGGTTTTCATCCATTTTCCGCCAGCTCATCAACAACGTTTCGTCTGTTTTTTATCAATTTTCCTTGCTCATTTATGCTGTTTTTAATCTATTTTCCATCGGTTTGGTTCCATTTCAACCATTGTGCAAATCCGACTGTTTCAGAAACGCCGAGTTTATTGCATTACAACGAAACATTAGGTTTTTTAAATAATAATAACAAATGAAAACAAAATAATTAAACAGGAAATGTGTCCCTATCATAGTTAAATTCAACAACATAAATTAAAGAAAACTCAGTCCCGCAAAAATAGTGAATGAACTATTAATGGGTATTAGCAGAAACTTAATACAGACCGTAATATCATCAGAAGGTTTGGATATTCTGAATTATTAAGCCAAGCGAAGTTTTGTTTATATATTATTGATAATCGGCTCGATTATTAACTTCTCATTCTCGTGTTTTTCGCAATATGAAACTGAAACAGAATTATTACATATTTTAATGAAAAAAGAAAATACCAGCACGCCGAAAAGTGATCATTTCTGATGCTTCCTTAACATTCCAAACGGCGAATTATATTGTGAATATTTTTCCCCGTTCACAGAAATTGGCCGTGAAGGGCCTACATTCTTCTTGCATAAACTTGGAACCAACCGTACAAATTGTTTCAGAATTTCGCTCGGCCGAGATTCCATTCGTTTGTATAGTTCGTATTCCAGAGTCCTCCGGAGCCTGAATCTGAAAAACAGAGTAGCGTTATTATCGAATGACGTTGGAAATTTCTTCCGGGCATACCTAGATAAGACGACATGGGTGAAATTGTTACAAATATGCGTATATAGAGCGATTCAAAACTTGTAGTTGAAATTGTCATTGGATTTCCAAACATTTCAATGGTGTCATCCAAATGGAAAATAATTTCCTTAAAATTAGTTTAGATTTTAGAAGAAAATTACACATCAGCTACATGATTTTTAGTGGTGAAATACTTGCACAAACACTATTCGAAATATCCAACATTCTCATATTGGCCTCGTCGACTTCTTTTCAATGTTTCTCTCCTCCGCTTTTCGATAATTGTCCTTGACCAAACGATACAACTCGAGTTCTTAATTTGGTCTGAAATACTTCTTTTGTTGAGATTTAAGAGCGTTTATTTTTTGCTATTGATGAACAGTTTTACTATTTTCACGTAAAAACATCAAAAATTATTACATTAATTAATTTAGAACTTGTTCTTTACGCACTTTTGATTCACTAAAACACAAGAAAGGCGCAGCAACGTAATTTGCCAGCTATACATTTAAAAAGAGTGACAAGAAATTAAAAGTTTTATAATTGTTTAAAAATTACTTTCGTTAAGAACTAATTGGCCCCTTTTTATTTTCTTCCTTGTCCTTCTTGGCATTGAAATTCCGTTTTCAGGAAAGCTTTCTTTGAGAATATTCTGAAAGAATCATTCTATCACCAAAGAAATAAGATGGAGTAAATGCGAAAGTAACTGACCAAGTTTATATCGATTTTTACGAACTGTTCTCTTAGAAAATATGCGTTGAAGATTTAAGAACACCTCAATGAACGTTAGGTCGTGTTAGTTCTATATTTTTATATATTTCAGCAACTATTTTTTTATTAATTTAAGGAAAACGAAAGTATTTAATAATTTTTAGGAATTTCTATTTCGAAATTCATAAGAAGTCTGTGTGCACAGGACGAAAATCTACACAATTTGTATACAGTATCATGCGTATTTAATTCCATCCGCTATTTGCCTATTTTTTATCCATCTTTAGTCCATTTTCCTGGCAGGTTATTTGCAATCTATTTTTCGTCTATTTGTTAGGGGTTTTTCATCTGTTTTTTTCCGCTATCTTTTTTTCTTTCATTTTTTAACCCTTTTTCATCTGTTTTCCTGGCTCATCTATTTTTTATATACCATTCAACCGTTTTTCATCTACTGGAATTATGCAGTGATCTACATCAGGGCTGTGCGGCAATCGGCAATTTCGGCAATTTCGGCAATCGGCAATTCCTTTGCCGCACAGCCCTGATCTACATATAATTAATACGGAATCAACATTTTTTGTAACGACCATTTTCATATACTTGCGATGGCGGGTCGGACTGAATTGTCCGATTTATCAGTCGTAAATTTATTTAGATAGTTTTTTACTTCATTTCAATCAGTGTTGTAAAAAAAAACAGATTCATCCCCCCCCCTTTTTTAGAAAACCCGATTTTAATGATTTTTTAATTTCGATAACATTTTTAATTTTTGGAGTTGCTTCTCTGCGATCACTGATTATTTTTATTCTGAAAAAGTGTTTCTGTGTTTAGATACTAAAAATACATGAAAACACAAAATTCTGACACAATTCCAAATATTTACAGAAAGAAACTTTCGATGGAATCAATCGAATCGACATTTGAATCAAAATTGGACGATAATTTTGGTTTCTTTTATTTTTATCCTTGTTTTTTTGTTGTTTTTAATTTTTCTAATTTTTCTACTTTACTATATATGTCAGGTAAGTCTTTTTAACGGAAGGATTGTGCTAAACCCTTTCAAGAGTTCAAGTCGCCAAAACTTCGAAAATTATTTGTTTCCATTTTTGGTATTTTGGGATGTTGAGTTGTTTGAAGGGTTTTGTCACACAAATGGGTCCCAGGTAAGGTGGTTTTTGGTTTTCCTTCTTTTTTTAATCCAAAAAGTAATGGAAATGATTAAAAATGTTTAAGTGGGGGTTTTTTTCCGCTCGCGCTTTTTTTCTTGAGGCGTTACGACGACCTTGGCGAAGTTAGAAGCACCATGTTCGTCGCCCGTCGCAAGTATGGTTTTTATGGCCTACTACAACCCACCCTTGATTTTTCTCTCCTACTTTTCTACCCACGATTTGTATTATTTATGTTGTGTCCTTAAGTTCCGCGTGTGTGGTGCCGAAGCGTGGGGCTCGAAGTGATGTAGAGTTGGATAGCTTTATCCTATCCAACTCTACATCACTGTATATCCTTAGCTGAACACTACAATCTATGAGGGCCGGGTATTTATACTAGTGGGGATGTGCTTCGAGAATGTTCTACAATGTGCGTATGGGGATATTTACGTGAGGGATTGGGTTCTAGAATATTCCATAACCTACGAAATTCTCGGCTGGTGATTTCCCTCCGGGAGACGATGGACATGGCGTTGAGCGATATGCTTGCAAGAAGGTCTGCAAGGCTTCTGCCGAAGGTTCCTCCCCTTTCAATTTGAGAAGTCCCCTCTTGAAGGTGTCCACGAACCTTTGAGCTTGTCCATTTGATTGTGGATGGAACGGTGGTGATCCAAGACTGCTCAATTCGCAAATTCTAGGCTTGAACAGTCCCAGACTGCTCGAGCCTTCAAGATTCATCTTGACGCGGCCCTAGGCCGATCAAGACTCATCTGCCTCCGTCGGTACAGGCCCCTCGGGCCACCGACATGCTCCCCGAGCATGGTAAGAGGCTTCAACAAAACATGTAGAAGAGAACAGCCAAAAAAAAAACGACCGCTCGCGGTCAAAACAGAGCGAAGAACTGTCTAATTTAGGCCAAAAAACTCATTTGTTTACTCCCAAAATCCTACTTCCTGGCGTCGCGGCGGGAACACGTGGGAAAATCACCCATAACGCCCTATAGACTCTCACCGTATGCGTCTATTCATTAGGGTTGCAACCGCGCCCCATCGCACAGTGTAGATTTACGGCCACATTTTCGAAATTATTTCTCCTCTCATTTTTCCATTTTACCTCTATCTTTTTCATTTATTTTCCCCTTTTCAGGTCAAATCGTCCAGGATTTGACAGGTGCACTTATAATCGTTATAGTACAAGTAGAAGAAAATGTCAAATTCCGTGGTAAATTGACTGAAAATTAACGGAAAATAGGGAAAAACAAATTTAAAAATTCTCGCAGAGAGAGAGAGAGAGAGTGTGTGTGAACGAGGAGGGCGCGCGCGATGAGGTAGAGATATCGCGCGTATGGGAAAAAGACAGTGGGCGTCAGAGAGACGCAGAATCAATCGGCTAAAGGGGGATGTAGTGAGGCCGCTAGGATATCTCGCGGCGAAAAGCGACAGTAATCAAGCGGCGACATTTTAGCGAATTTGGAGACCGATTTTTGAGCTCAGTTTTGGGCCTTTGACGCCGTTCTTTTAGTGATTGTGCTGAAATCTGTTATTCTCGAGTGTAGAAGATGCGTGGAGACCTTCTGGAGACGCAAGGTTAGTGTTTTTCGTTATTTACCTTGCGTTTCTAGAGGTGATGAAAGAAGGAACCAAGCCGCCAAATTGGCGGCGATGAAGGGCTTCTGCCTGATTAATTAGTTCTTGCACCACGAAATACTGTTGCTTCGGGAAGGTTAAATCTGGGTTTGGCCCGGATTTTCAAAGAACAATTGCATCTACATGGTTTTTTTCATCACCGACAAAATTTTCAACGTCAGCAATTTGCCAATATTCTCAATATTGTGCGAAGTCCGCCGTGGACTACGCCTTCCGTCTTCCGGTTTCCGGTTTCAGAAAATTTAAGTTCGTTTAGCTCTGGTAGGAACCAACATCAATCAATTGGAAATTTTCCAAACAAAAAAATCCTACGAGCACAGCATTCCCCCTATTGGTGCACATTTTTGCGTATTCCCAGTGTGAATTAATAAATATTAAATAATTCCCAAGCAATGTTTCTTTAATATGTAAGAAGAAGCATTAAAACGATCAACACACCCTCAAAAATTGATTTTTGGTAAAGTAATGGTTTTTTTTAATTATAAAAGGGCTTGAGGTGTATGCTCATTGGAGCAAGTCTCCATCCAAATCTCATTCGTTTTTTTTTTCAAATTTCACCTATTCGAATCCAATTGGTTTTGAGTTACCAGATTTCGCCAACACCAGATTTGATTTTTGACAACGGATTTTCTATATTTTAGATGGTCAAAACAATGTGTTTGAGCAGGACAACACAAAATTCTCGAAATAGTGAGGAGCATCGAATGACGCCATTTCAAGTAAAGGTTAGAGAGCGTTGAAAATTGAGAGACGCCGAGATTGATACATTGAATCATTTTGATAATGGTCTGATGATCAAAGTCGAAAAATAAAGAAAATAGAAACCCGTCGGCAACCCTCAAATTATGAAACTTATAACAATGATTCAACTCACCAAACTACTTATTTTAAGCCAATAATAAACAACCAATTTAAATGTCAAAATGGCATTTTAAGCAGCTAATTTTGGCAATTCAATTTGTTTAAAAATATATTTGCATATTTGCCATAAATGAGCGATTTCACTCTCGGCAAATGTATTCAATACGGCTTCGACTTTTTTCTAGGAACACTCATTCATTGCACATCCGGCTATCTATTCTGCATAAATGTTGGCAAAGAAAAAATGGTTCGAAAAAAAATAGAGAAACGATGAGATTTCTGTGCAAAGTGTCGTCAAGTGCGGCGCATTGCGTGCAAACACACCGTCTCTTCATTTTCGAAAAATTGTGCTTGAATTTTTGAATTGTCGCTAGAAAAATATGACATTTTGCAGATAGCATTTTTTTAAATCAAATTTTTTCAGATGTACACTTATGCATTCAATATCCGATTGAGCCTAATTATGGTTCTATCCTATATTCTAACCTATGGACAATTGCTTGCTCTCTTATTATCATTTGCTCACGTTTCCAACGCTTTCATGGCCTTATTGGCAGTATTGTGAGTTGGAAAAATGCCAAATAGAAAAATGAGAACTATTTGCAGCTTTTTCCCAATATTAATGGAAAAACTCGAGACATTTCTCGATGGTCCCGTCATTCCTGGCTTCATCCTTCTTCTCGGCATTCAGAGATTTATTGTTCTATTCGCAGATGATAAATACCATCAATTTGTAACTGGGTAGATCCAAAAAACCAGAAGGACCCATAATTGCAATATTGATTTATTTTAGAACGATTTTGAAAATCTACCTCAACTCGTTGATTCTTATTGCAATTGCATATATGGTTTGGGTGAATCACGATGTGGAAAGATTGCATTTAATTGGAGAAGCCTGCCAAAAAAGAATGGTATTGGTTCTTGTTCGAGAAAGAAATTCTCGAGAAAAATGTGAAGACGAAAAATTGCAGACGTCACAACGAATTTGACGCGATTTTTCACTTTTGCTTAAAAAAATTTTTTCGAGTTTTTCTCGAGAAATCCTTTCTTCCAAAAATTCTCGAATCGAATTTCAGATATTCTCACATTATTCCGGATCATCGAATTACACAATGGCAACGCCGGTATCGATTCAAGTTCATGTAAGTTGCGAGATAGCGTTTGAGCATTGAGACGAGATTGAAGGTGTTCTTTGTGATGCACTCATTATGCCCGATTCTATCGCTTATTCTACATGTTATCATTTTGAAGAGAATCCAAAAATCGAAGAATATGTCGGCGAACAAAAAGACTATCGAAATCAACATATTTCTTCAAATCCTCCCAATTTTTGCCGTGTTTTTTGTAAGCAACAATTTGAAAATATGTGATTGCCGCCGAAACATTGCCAGCGGTGTTTGCGGACTTTTTATTTTGGTGAAAATTCAATGCGCAACTATTCGATGTCGTCAGACGCATTGCGGTTCGTCGCCGTTTTAACTACAAGGTCTTGCAGCGAAAAATTTTGGTAGCCGCATTTTTTGGGGGGAAACGTATTAAAGAAAAACAATTATTCAAATCTGAACCTTCGGACCCAAAATATTGAGACTCTTTGAAAGAAAACGGCATAATAACGTCGATGGGGGAAATTTGCGAACTATTTTTTTTTTCAAAATTAAAAATTCTCAATCCCCCAGGCAAAATCACCTTCTTTGCTAGTCAAATGAACGCCTTTGCATCCCTGCGTCTCCATCAATCGCACACTGTTTTTCGGCATAGGCGTCTCCATCTCGACATGACATTAGAAACGCCACACATCGTGGGCATCGGTGGTTCAGTGGTAGAATGCTCGTCTGCCACGCGGGCGGCCCGGGTTCGATTCCCGGTCGATGCAATTTCTTTTTGGGTTTTGAGGAGCCCTTTTTATATATGCGAATTTTCAGCATAACTTGTTAAAGATGTTTAGCCCTTCTCAAAGCTTCGCAAAAATTTAAATTAACCAGTATAAAATGTGTGCAAACACTGGTGAACCAAAAAATACGTCGAAATTGAAATTTTTTTCAATTTCGGCCATTCTGTCGCAATTTTTTATAGCTTCGCATGCTCCTGTTCATTTATTTCATATTTTTTGGCAGCATCTCGTTTTTTATATTTTCAACCGAAACGTTGTGCGACTACAGCAGCGAATTGTTACTCCTTCAAATCGGCTACATTTTCGGAAATCTTGATCGAATTCGAACCGTTTTCAAAATTTCGCCCAAAGCGGAAAATCAGCAATTCGTCGAAACGATTCATTAATTATCATAATTAATAAATTTTTTTGCATATTATTTTGAATTTGTTCACGATAGCCATTAGAAAATATTTTCTATAATTTTGAGAACAAAATTCGCATCGCGGCGCGCAATTTTTGCAATGTTGCGGCACACCTCTTCAAAATTGCCGAAAAAAAAGCGACCTCTAATTTCCATTGGCAGTTTATTATTGAAACGACAACAAATCAACAAATCAACAAATAAACAACAACAAATCATCGAATGAGATTCAAAGAGCAAAAATGGAAAAGCGGAAATCGGCGGGGAAGTGAAGTCTCGCGTACTCGATCTTGCTATCCGTCATAATGCGAAGCACAACTATGATCAAATAATAGAAGGTGCACTCATAATCGTTATAGTACAAGTAGAAGAACAATTGCATGTACATGGTGTTGCGGATCAACGTCAACATCGGACAATCGTCGATTCTTTTGAGCCACATGTATTCGGTCATGATGAACATGGCGACGTGGCTCGCGTACTCGCTGAAACGAGACAAATTGGCTGATTGGCGAAATGCGAGTGATGGATTACGGTGGCAATTGGTTGTAGTACCAGATGAGGAATTGGAAAAGCTGAAGGTAGGTGAAGATCACGTCCAAGTAGAGGTAGCTTCGCACCTCATCCCTGTCTGCAAATTGGAAAATTGAGGAAGCCAGGTCTTCCCAGGCGTTTGCGCAGGCCACCAGTGAGGCGTTGATAGGCGACGCGCAAAGCGCTGCATTTTGGCGCGAGAGGTCACGGGTTCAAATTCGGTTCCTACCCGACGCATTTTTGAGTTAATTAGGAAAAAGACTTACTTCGAATGGCGCGAAGGAAATTCTCGAGCCACATTCCAGCAAGCCGCAAATCGAGTTCGAATGAGCAATCCACCCAAGGCAGCGTTCGATTGCACAAATGGGCGGCGCCAAAATCGCGCTGTCTTCTCGGCGCCCTCTCAATTCGGCACCCCTTATAATATGGAGAGCGCGTGAAACCTCTTTTATGACACACCGAAAACAATGCGGGTCGGAGACATCTAGAAGAAAAAATTCAAAAACTTCAATCGCTCGCGCCGACGCCACGATGATGTATTCTCGAATATGGCGCGCGCCAAATTCGAAATTTTCGAATTTCCAGAGAGACATCTGGCCGTCGACGTCGTCGTAAATCATCGAGACAATCGCGACCAGCTGTTTTCGCAACTTTTGTTCGAGCCGGCCAACATCTGGAATGTTGATTTGTGAAGTTCGAGCTGCCGACAATTGTAGATCAAATTTCAGCACTTTTTAAATTGGTCTTTAAAGATGAAGTACCATTGAATGGCTATATTATCAAATTGACTTTTAAATACGCGCCTTTAAAAAAAATCCGGCATGCGCCTTTAAACAGTGAATCGGCACTATTCGAATCGTCATGGGACCCGATTTGAAAGTGCATGGTAAACTAACCGCCACACAATGTGTTTACGACGCGTCAACCCCAAAAAAACAAAAAATATGGTTGGATGCCACGTTTAATGTGCGTTTTAATGGAACGATCATGAGAAAAAACAAAAACGGACGATTGCTATTCGTCATCGACGAGCGCGATGGGGCGAATTATCAATTTCAAACAACTGATGGCGAGCAGGATCGTCGTTTTTTCGAATTTTTGGGGGAGGAATTTCATTGAAACACATCTGCGGACATTTTCCGGGATGCGCCGCAATCGCCAATTCATTGTGAATTAGTGATGGCGGCAATTCAAACACACGCTCTACGAGACATCCAGGGGTCCCACAAAGGGTTACGGTAACCCACCGCTCGGTGTACTGCGTACTGAAACACTGGAATCTACGACAGTTGGCTAGCAGAATCGGCGGCTACGAATTAAGAAAAATTTTTATAGGTTGATAACATTGAATATCGAGAAATTTCGAGACAACTCAATTCAATCGCCAAAATGAAGCGATTAAAGGCGCATATTGCGGAAAATGTGTGGCGTCTTGCGACAATTGATTCGAACCACATTGAGATCAACGTGTGCGCCTTTAAGATATTGGATGTGCCGTAAAAAAAGTTTCGGAAATATTTCGCTCTGGGGCGGGATCGAACCCACGATCCCCATGATTATGAGTCTAAGACTTTTGCCACTGCGCTATTGCGCCAACCAAAGCTGACCCTCTCGAAGGCGACTATATAGCTAGATGGCTAGCTGCCATCTTAATCACAGAAGTGTGATTGCCTAATCCGTCGTATAGTCAATCCTGAAGCAATCGAATTAATTGGATAAAATGCCATTAGTACAGTGTATTAGTACCCAGCAAATCCGATCCGATCCGCAAATGGGCCTTCGGAATCCGATTTGTGCGACGCCTCGTTTGGACCATCTTTCTCTCGCTCTTTCAGTCGTCAACCAAAAAAAAATTCGTCCCGTTATGTCAGCGGTACAAAATTGCCTCGCTAAATTATAATTGCCGGTAACATTTCAGTGGCGCCACAATCGTGTGCACTTCCCGCGAGCTGGTCATGCTCTTCATATGTTCATGCTTCCCGTCCTCATGTGCCTTTTCATGCAATACGGCAGCGAGGATCTGAAAATGATGAAGCAGATCTCGACGCTGTTCAATGAGGTAGATGAAGGTGAAGAGCTCTTTCGGCTAGCAGCTTCAACGATTTAGGCTCAATTCCCGAAGCGTTTGAACAATGAGACCGGGCTTCTTCTGAAACAAGTCGAGCTCGCCAATGAGCATCTGATTCATGTAATCCCCTACCGTCAATTTCTTCAGATTCCCAAAAAAAAAACAATTCCAGACGTACGGCACGGCCGTATACGAGAATGGTCTTAATGCCTTTATGGTGTTCTCAACCTTCGCCAGTCTCATTATCAGCATCTTCTACTATCGAGCGACGCCGGGAATCGTGGCCATCGTGACGGCTTCTCGTTCAGCCAATTCCAGAATCGCCCGATTTCAGATTCGCTGTTGTCAATGGTCGGCGTTCGTGTTCATCATATTGGGGGTAATGCGACACTCGTTGGAAATTGAGAGCTTCTCGATTATCGAGCGAGGAATGATGCCGGCGAGCAAAATCGTCTCGGCCGCCGCTTTCGAGTCATCGCTGAATTGCACGATCGACGCGAACGGCACCGACGAATCGTTGTGCGGATCGATCATCGAGAAGCTCGTCGGACAGCGTGACGCCATCGTCTTCTACGCGATTCTCATCGTCGCCGCGTGCCTTCCATTCACAATTAGTACGGACCATTATAAGTCAACCATAATGCTGACGACTGACGCTTCAGAATATGCCGCTGAGAAGCGTTTGGATGACGACGACGACGATGATGATGAGCAGAATGTCGAATGCGTCGTGATCGAGGTGAAATCGACCGAATCGCATTGAGACATTTCTCAACTTCTGCGAATAAATTATTTTGTGTTAATTTGTATTTTGGACCTAAGTGGGCGGGGTCACCGAGACAGTCAAGAATTCTGAAGATGTGGCGCATTGAATATTAGATTCGTGGTGGGAAAAAAAATCCGATTGTTGGGTCTCGCATGGAATTCTTTATGCACTTTTACGATTGCTTCATCCCGATTTACTACTTGCGAGTTATAAAAGACATAATTTGAATACATAGAAGAAGTATGATGTAAAGCTTTTGGTTTCTCTTGATTCTTATCGTTGGCGATGTCGATGTGATGGATTCGAAAATCTCTTGGATCATTGTGAGGCATACCAGGAAGACGACGACGACTATCATCACAATAGTTCCGACTACAGTCAGTCGCCGACGTGTGCAAAAGAGAATTGCCAACTTCTGGATTTTTTGCTCTTTCTTGGCAGTCTCTAAAATGTTGGTGAAGAAGAACACCTCGACATCTCATTTTGACCACGAACATTCGAGTATGGAATCGAATGGATCCAATGAGTGATTTCGAAATAAGCTTGATCGCAAGCCGAATCTCGAAGTTGGTTGGTATTCGCCGACACCACATGTTGCCATTTTGAACAATAATCATTTTCAAATTGCCGCCGCGCTCTCGCCATCTCGAATTCTCTCGCCATCGGTGCGAGACCCGGGCGCTGCGCGTCAGCTCAACATTGCGCGGACGCGAACATCTGTTCGAGTTGCCATACTTTCATATTTCTCAATTTCCAACTTTTCGCTTTTTTAAATTGCCCCTCTCATCATTGATTGCCAGCGTGATCATGTCAGCTTCCAAGGAAGACATCGAAATGGGAAGCATGTCGGATTCGGACGACTCGAGCATCATCACCGACTACGATGATCCGCACGAGATTGAGCCGACCAGCTGGCTCGAGATTGTCTCGATGTTCACACTTCCCAGTGTGAGGCTCGACGATTCCTAATTCGTCACCATCAATATTTGAATTGTAGATCCGCACCGCGCAACTCGCCAAATTCCCGCTCCTCATTTTCCTCATGCTCCTCTATTGCGCCTACTATCTGCCGCTGGTTCCCGTCATTCAGCAATTCGTCGATTTGGTCGATGAGGTTCAGACGACGTCTCATTGGACCGCTTTCGAGCGCCGAAGCGCTGATATCACTTTGGACCTTCTTCAAGAGGTTGGATGGTTATCCCTTTTAAGGCAAAGCTTCTCCTCATTTTCAGTACATGGCTGATTGTCAGAAGTTGTTCTATATTATGATGACCAACCCGATTCTCATGATTTTCGTGTTCATCGACACCATGGACTGCAAACGCTATGAAATTGACGCGAAATTTTTCGTGGTAGGGTCCCACATATAGGAATGCTCCTTTAAGATTCTCATTGCAGGTGCTTTCCATGGACATCACCACCTTGCTCTTCGCCAAAGTTGTTCTTCTCGATTGCATCATTGCCACCGAAGTGATTCCGAGTATGATGAACGAGTCGATGGGAATGAATTCGTTGGAGACCGAGTTCAACTGCACTACACAGGGAATTCCGAGTGTAAGCTGACGAAAATGAGTTGAAACATTATCTTCAATGCCTTCAGATGGAATACTGTAGTCTCAAATTCTATTTGCTGATGCTTCCGGATGATCTCATGACGCTTATTATCACGATGATTCAAATCAACGTGTTCTACACCATCTATGGTAGTGCCTAACGGACCATGTTGATTTAACAATGGCCCACTTTTGTTGCAGCCTTCACTCTGACGTTCCTCGTCCGCCGCTATTGCAGATCGGAGTTTCACGACTGCTCGACATTCAGCATCATCGTCGAGATGCTCAAGAATCCCGATGCGGTGCTTGCTCGCAGATCGGCGTGCTACATTTAATTGATCTTAATTATTAAGTTGAAATTCTTTGTTTTTTTTTCGGACGCTAGTTCTGTAGATTTCGATTAGCAATTTTCGGCGCAAAATCCCAAATCATAATTCCGACTATTTCTGTTTTTGTTGTTCCTTTTTTAATAAATAGTCGTGAAGGAACAGATTTGAATGATTGGACGAAATTAAAAAAAAAACATTGGCTGTTTGACAGCTGCAAAGAGACGTGCGCGTGTCTGCGTACTCTGCATTTTAACGTACGCGCAGATAATATTTAGGCCGAGCGTAAATTCACAATTTCGTACATCCACACTGATTATGCGATTGAATTTCCCGTGGGTTATTTGACGCCGATAATAAATACCCCACACGGTTACTGTAGGCGAAACAGTGCAAACACCGAAGTGCAAAGATGCACGAATTCATCGAGACGAATTTTTGGAACAAAAATTGGATTTTTTTTCTTATTTCGATGATATCTGTATTTTTTTTAATTTAAAATAATTTTATCTCGGAATAATTTTTGACTTCTAATCTTCTGAATTATACGGATGCTGTGGAAACCAGACAACGATAAAAATGCGCAGTTCAGTTTAATAAGATCGACTAAATCTTCGGTTTCTTCTCAATCATAATGTGAGATTCGCAAATGCTCTCAAACCAAGTAAGATTTTTAAATTCCGCGAAAAAATTTGAAGAAATGATTTAAAATTGAGAAACATGCCAAATATTTTTAAAAAACTTGTCAAAAATACAAAAATATTCGATTTAAAAATTTAAGATAATTTAAATTTATGGAAAAAACTTGAACTCGTTGAATTGAATTTTTAAAAAATAAATAGAACTGAGTCGAAACGAATCATGATCGCTCATTTCTAGGATTTCTACCCATTCATTTTTCTATTATTATCTATATATTTGCGAATGTTATTGGAAACTTCATGGAGTCTATTTGTTGGGGTGAGCAGCGCGCTGACGATCGCCGTCAGCATGTTGACGTGCGCGCAGAAGCCCGACGGCAACATCGGCAGCGGGTAGGTTTGCGGCGGCAGCGCCGCGTCCGCACTGACTTGGAAGTTTGCGATGTTAGGCGCAAATATTCTAGGAGCGGCTCGACGACGACGACAACGACGACGACGGCAGGCCTGCCGCCAGAAGCGTCGGTGAAATCCGTCAAAACGAACAAGTCGAAAATCAAACAGGTGGGTCTGTTTCGGTGTACTCCCACGTTGTAACTCGTTGCAGTTGTCAAAAGCGGTCAGCGAGAAGAGTCGACGCGATATGGTGGATTCGATAAAAGTGATGCGAGGCAAGGTGAGGCCGAAGAAGAATGCGGCGGCGACGGCAAGCAAACGCGAGGATTCGGATTCGCAGCACACGGAGCTCATTCATGTGCCGCTTGGCAAGGCAGCAGAGTAATTCAGAGCTCGTTGATCGCCTCACATAATTGGCAATTAATTAGAAAGGAGCCGGCGGTGTCGAAGTTGATCACCTCGCCGGAAAAGGGCAAATCGCACGAGGCGTCGACGAAAACGGCGCCGAAAAAGAAGGTCACGTTTGCCGAGAAGATTGAGCGAAAGCCGAAGAAGTGAACGGAACTCAAATGTTCTTTTTTAGTGGTTAATTGTCTAATTATATTTTATAAACTTTGATTTTTTTTTGCTTGCTAATTTCCCAGTGGAATTGAAATTTTGAAATAAAAAAGATTTGTGATGGTACTGTAAACACAGCGACGCGAAATTGCACCAAAAGTCGGGGCTTCTCTAAGAGTTGCCAACTCAGCGATTTGAAAAAGACACCAACTTTAGCGGTTTGTTCTAAAACTTACCCTACGAGTACGACACTCCAATTACACATCGCCCTCAATTTAGCGTGAAAAAAAAAGAATAGGAGATCGCGTGTTTTTGGTAGATTCGCATCGAGACCCATCGCATCAATAAGCGGTATGCGTCTTAAAATACCGTATCTGCGTCATTTTGTTTTATTTTTAAGAATTTTACTTATTGTTTTAATGAATGGTTTTTTTCGTTTACGGTATTTATGCAATGGGTCTCGATGCGAATCCACTCGCCGTGATGAAACTCGGATGTAATTGAACTTGACCATAATAGAAGAGAAAAGCTACAATAGAATTCGGTGGAATATAATTCTTCCGTAATAAAACTCTGCTAGAATGGAACTCGATTCTCAGTAGAGCGCAATTGCATCATTGTTTTGTTTGATGGAAAACCGTACGGTTCAATACCTCCCTACAGTTTCTTAAATCGCATCCAGTTGTCATCAATTTCTAAAAGTCCTCTTTGTGGCCCACACGGCATGTTTTTCCAAAATAACTGTAAAATATAGAAAATTGAGAAGAAAAATGTTAAAAAATCCTCAATCAAAACAATGATGCAATTGCGCTCTACTGAGAACTGAGTTATATTACGGCCAAGTTCAATTCCGGCGAGTTATATTAAAGAAAGTTCTATTCCAAACTAGTTCTATTACAGCCCAGTTCAATTCCGAGGTTCCACCGTGTCTCTTCGGTTCTCTTTTTTTTCAGCATCGCATTTTTTATAAAAATGAAATTAAAAGCGCACGCCACTCATTTCGAAAAATTCCGTTCCCCCAATATTCTAGTTTTTTTTTTCGCTCATTTCTTCGTGATAAAAGCGAGAAAAAAGCGAATGTGTTGTTTTCGCAGAAAAAAAAAAACAATGTTGAGTACAATTCTGCCCTCGAATAATTTGTTTCCATGAACGAGAGCACATGATTCAAGCTCAATCATCATTAGTAGTTTTCAAGGAAACAATGATGATTCATCAAATTATTAATGCTTAATTATTCGCGAAAATTTGAAAAGTGCATTTGAGGAGGTCTCACCTCGAGATACTACGTCGACAGCTGGTCGTATACACGTTTTTTCCAAAGAAAAACATTGAAGTGTCTCGGACGACTCGCTTCAACGAGACCAATTATAACGAACGAGCTTGATTTCCCTTAAAAGTGCAAATCGAGGTGTGATCACCGCTTGCGTATGAAAACCGTGCGGCGGCGAGAGAGCGCGCGGGGAGCAGAGACGACGAGGCCACGCCCAACGCGACACGCGCCTCGTCGAAATTCGCCTCATTTGTGCTCTCTCAAACCCCCCCCCCTCGACGATCGACTAGCTGCTTCCAATTCCTTGAATTATATTCTGGCTGCCTGCTAGCGGTGTTCATGATGCCGTCGTTTCAACCGTACGAGAATCTCAAGGTGAGCCAGGCTGAGGGCGACCAGTGCCAAAAACTATGATGATGGCCATGGCCGATTTTCCCCGCATTTTAGGCCAACGATTAAAGGCGCATGCCATTAGTAATAGAATGATATCTCGCTGCGAATTTCCATTTGTGATTATATCGCGCTCCATTGCACACAATCAAGCATACGCTGGCCAACGATTAAAGGCGCATAGACGTTTAAGAGAAATGATGTCTCGCAGCGAATTGCTTGTTGGGAGCATTTAAAGGAGGACGCCATTTTTTTTAAAAAGAGTGTCGCCTCATGGAAGAAAAAAATAGCCCCCCCCCATTATTATTCAAATTATCATTTTATTTAATGTGATTCTAGACGCCTTAAAAGGCGTCCGCGGCGCCAACCACAGTAACCCGCGCTCATAAATATTGTCGAATAAATTTTTATGAGGGGGCATTAATGCGGTCGCGGCGAGGAGCCTCGAATGTCAACAACACGAAATAGTCGTTCGTCTTCAGAAAACGGACGTAGAAGATGGGACGACGATGAAGTTGGATGATACGCAGCCAAAGGTGTCGTTGGTGTCCGACGTCGTCAATGAGATCGACGCCTACATGGCGAATCCCAAGGTTCGTGCGCGACACTCGTGAAATCGCTTTTGATGATTTGCCAGTTCAGCCGCGCTTCACAATTTTTGTCAAATTTCTTGGCTACTGTCTGATACTGGCTTGCTTGTACAGCGGTCTCGTCAATCCCGCCGTTCGATCGTCCATCGATTTTCTCGACGCCGCCGAAATGATGACGTCGTCGTCGGCCGCCAATTTCAGCGGAATCAATTTGATGCACGTCCACATCGCCAAACTTCGATTGTATCAATTTCTCGGCCTCAACTGCTGGATCATTCTGACGATGGTGATGGCTATTCTCAGCGCGATTCTCGTCGGCGACAACATCAATGAGACGGCGGGATTCGCGAATCCGTTTCGCATCGTTGACTGCCTCGTCATCATCGTCATCGGACTTCAGCTCGTCGTGCAGAGCGTCCTCGCCAGCCAATTGCTCACCGTCGTCCCGAACGCCCTTCACTCGGCGGCATTGATGGCGTCGGACGATGATGTTCTCATCTTTGAGGCCTCGCTGAACTGTAGAATTGACAATGAAGAAATGAAGGTTGGGATTCCAGTCATGGTAATCCATTGGATTATTTTTTCAGTGGGCCTTGACACCTGGACTCAGGGATTCGTGCCAAAGCGTCTATCGCTCGCTTCAGATCTCGCCCTACGCGATATGCGCCGTCGCGTTCTACGTGCTTGCCGTCGGCGCCTATGTCGCCTATTGTAGATCATCGCACAATCCGTTCCACGAACTCATCTCTTAATTTCAGCCTACCACATTCATTGGAGCAAACACATGTCGACGACGATCATCGCCGCGTCGCCAGCCATTCAGAAGATCCTGAAGAATGGCTTGACGTATGAGCGTCGTCCGCGTCGCGAGCGCGTCGTGATCGGCGGAATATTCAATGTAAGGCTGAAATGTGGAGAAAAAGCGCATAATGTGATTCCTAGCAGCTCGCGATTGCCCAGAAGATCAAGATCGTCCTGTTCACCGTCATCATCATGGCCACCCTCATCTGCTATATGATTAGCGTCGAATCTGTGGCGCTGCTGACACACGCGATGACCAAGGTATTATAGATGAAGCGAAATTCTTCAGATATAAAAGTGCCAATCAATTTTTAGGCATTGTTCATCGAATCCATCAATTTCCTCGAGTTCACCAAAATCCGAATCGCCCAGGATTACATGGCAATGGTATTTGATAATTGGATTCCGACGCGGTTCCATCGTGATTTTCAGATCGTCGCTTCGGCCTTCTGGTTTCTCGTGGGAATCTCGGCATCGTCCATCATCGGCTACATCATCTTGATTGATTTGCATCGCGACAATTCTCGCATGACGACTCGCCCGTATTTGGTAGGAGCTTCGACGAGGTGCGAACCTAGTTAAATCGAATTGCAGCTCGCCTTCGTTGATCTGATGATCATGATTGTCCCATTGAAGTTGATGGCTAGCCGGGTGATGGGATCCGATTTCTACGCGAACCAAATGCCGGTGTTCAACGAGGGAATCATGATTGCCCAAAATTACGAATCCAATATTACGACGGCCTACATGCACTGCAATCTCTCCAACAAAGGACCACTGGTATGGAGGTCAACTTGGAATCCCAACGATCGCGACTCGTTTCAGGAGAACTACTGCTCGTCGGTGATCGCGCAACGCATCTTTCCGGACAGCCCGCTCGCCTTCTGCATCGTTTTCATCGTCTTCTGGTACTCATTCTTTGGTAAGCGCGATTCCTGGCCGGCCTTCAAAACCACCGTCTTCGTCTTTCAGCACTTCGTTGCGAATGGCGCCATCGTTGCCAATTGCTGATGGCGTGTCGAATTCGACGCCCACGCATTTGCGTCAGAGTTCCGTATCCGGAACAGCCGGAGGAGACAGAGAATCCGCCAGTCTAATATCGATTCTTCGTCGTTTTTTTGCGAGCTTCAAAATTTCTAAATCGATTTTTTTTTGGAAACCTTATCTTCTACCAATTCTTCTAATGGATTTTAATTTAATTTCTTTCCTTTAATAAAAATGGCTCGTTATTGTATTTTTTTATTTTAAGACTTTTTTTAGGGTCAATGGCAACGTGTACCGTTTTTGCTTTGAAAACAGGATTGCAAAATATGAAAAAAATGAGAAACATAAGCGTACAGTACCTTTCTCGCTGCAAAACCATATTCAAATATTCGCGTGTGCCTTTAATAAGACACAGTAAACTTCATTTCTTTTCGAATTTATTTTTAGATTTAAAAACTATTTTATTTGTTTTTTCTTCCGTTATGGTATGTATTGTTGGGAAATGACAAATGTATCTAGGTGTCGTGGGATCCTGCGTTTTGTACGCAATGCTAAGAGACAGTTACCGTAATCCTCGCAGCGATTTACGGAGTTTTTTTTTTTTTAATTTTCTTTAAATTTTTTGCTGAATTTTCTTATTTTCTTTAGAAATCTTTTATTTAAAACCTGTAGAAACCGAGTTTAATTATTTATTGTTCAGAATATGCACTTTTCCATTTGTCCAGTTGAGTTGGGAATTATTGTGAAGATTTTGACGCTCTAAAAATTATTTTGAAAATGAAGAATACAAAAACAAGATAATAGAAACGCGTACAAATTTCAAAACACGATTAAATAATTTTATTAATGACAAAAAAGTTTTCTTTTTAATCTCTGCTGTTTTTACCAAAAAAATCGTTTAAAAGTGCTTATTCTGCTAAATAAATTATTAAACTCGGTTTCTGAAAAATTAAAATAATAAAATTTCAAAGGGAAATACGGAAGTTGATCGAAAAATAAAAAAATGAATATGCGAAATTAAATAAAAAGTCCCCGTAAATCGCTGCGAGGATTACGGTAACTGTCTCTTAGCATTGCGTACAAAACGCTGGATCCTACGACACCTTGATACATTTGTCATTTTTCAACAATATGAACAAAATAATGTTCAAATTGATTTTTTACATAAAAAATAGCTGTAAAAGGTTGACGGTTTCAATTATTATTTGATTTTTTTCCGAAAGTATATAATAGGGATATATTTAAAAAAAAAATGTTTTTTTTTAAGTTTATAGAAACTAAAAATTGCTGCATTTTTCGAGAAACTAATTCTAAAACTTCCTATTATTTTTTAATAATATATCACATTCATTCACCATCATCCCCGAGCTCATTGCACTTTCTTTTCAGAAAATCTCATCTCATTTGATTCATACTCGACGAAGTCGACAAAAAAAAACAAAAACAACAACGCGTGCCTCATTAAGTATGTATAATACACTAATATGATGGTTAGTTATGCGAGAAGCATGCCGTTTGAGCCCGCCGCGCGTTCACCACAAAAAATGGCAGAAGAAGAGAAAGGGCCGATTAAGGAGGTGAGCAGAGCAAATGGAGAGAGATAGAGAAGTGCTCTCCGCCGGCTCCACACACACTATCGATTGAGCCAGAAGCTCGCGCGCCCGCCCCACGACAACGTTCATTCTCTTCCGAAATGCCCGGCTTGGCACCACTCATCGCTGCCAATCAGAAGGTACGAAGTCCTTAATTGGCTAGCTAATTAGTTATAACCTACAGAGTGTGGAGATCGTCATCTCTGATGAGCCACCACCACCACCATCACCGTCTCCACGACAGCGATCACTTGTTGCTCTCGTCATGGACCTCATCATCCACCCACGGATCCCGATGGTGTTCTTCCTGAAGCTCTTCATCATCGTCCTTCGAACCGCCGTCATGTTCACCTACGGCGATTGCGATTTCGACAAATCGCGTCAACTCCTCAAGTTTTACAGCGAGGTTTTTTGAGAAATTTCATCGTGCTTCTTTTTCGTTTCTTTTTTTTTGAAATTCAAACATTGCAGGCGGAATTCCCGATTCATATCAACGACGCCACTTATCTCCATTTGCAGCAAGTCCACATCTCGCAGCAATACGTTGATGACGTGAGCGAGGAAATGAGTTGCAAAAATATCGACATAAATGTTTGCAGTATGAGAGCAGCGGAATCCGAATGACGATCGGCTCGTTCACCGTCTTCATCATTGTGAGCATGATGATCGCTGTTGATAGTATGAGCTTGAGGCATTGCCAATTCCCGGCAAGAATCGCCATCAGAACACCAATTTTTGATTGATTTTTTTCAGTTGCACTTTTTCGACATTCTTTGCATGCTTTTTCTAAGCTTCACCGATTTTTTTCGCGCCGAGAACATTTCCAATATGATGCCGACGATATCTGGCGGAATTCGCGCCGCCGGCAAACTCATCGACCCGGAAAACTTCAAAAACGCGCTGAATTGCACACTGGACGAATCGAATATGGAGGTTATTCAGTGGGCCAGAAGCTGACGCTAATGATTCAACGAAATTCAGATTCCGCATTGCGACGACGTCTTCATCGATTCGGTGATGCCGCCGGAGATCCTCTACCAGCTCGGCACCCTCGTCGCCCTGCTCACCGCCTACGTCTCATACGGCACGCTAATCTCGATCATCCAATATCCGGTTTTCATTGTTTTTCATTTTTTTTTTCAGCTTATTTCCTGGATTGGCGCAAACAATTGCGAAAACCCGAAATCGACTGCACCGCCGACATCGACATCACGCGACCATCGAACTCGAATCGCGCCGAGTCATTCCTCACGCGCATCTTCAATGTAATTGCGATTGATTCTGATGAGGCAATTCTTTGTTTGCAGACGCGCACATCGCATTGTGTCAAGCTTTTCGTTTTGTTCTCCCTCGCCGGCATCATTTTCGCGAATTTCTACGTGAATTCGCACAAGACGCGCGACACGCTCAAAGTGTACAACGAGGCCGAGTTTGCCGCGAAATTGGACAATCTCACACAACTTCATTTGCTCGAAATCCAAATTTCCAAAGATCACATCATTGATGTAAGCGGCGATTTTTGATCGTTGGAATTCCGGAAATGTCGAAGACGACAAAAAAAAAACATGTTTTCGAGAGTCGGCCTTCAAACAACAAAATGTTGTAGTTTCGAACACAATTCTTGTGTGGTTTACAGCATCAAAAGTACATATGGACCGTCGTCGCCGGAATTTGCGTGTCGCTTTACATGAGCCTTCTGATTCTGATGGACATCGTCAAGTATCGAACCACACGAAGAATCACCTATTTGGTTTCAAACCAACTCAAACTCGGTTGAGAAATGTGACATTTTGCAGTTGTGCCTTTTGGACATGGCCATTCTCCACTGCTCCGCTCTGATTGTCAAATGGCGTCTCGCCTATTCCGATGACATCCTTCCAAGCCTTCAAGCCGGCCTTTACGCTGCTGGCCAATTGGTCCCGGTTGACGATGTGCCAGTGATGGTCGACTGCACACCAGCCTACGATAAGGTTGCCAGAAGCTCATAATCAAACTTCATTGACGCGATGGGTTTCAGATGCGTCTTTGCGCTGCCGAGGTTCTTGACTCGATGTTCCCGGAGGCGATTCGATCCATCACCGCCGTCACAATGATCGCCATGTTCGCCTACACGTTCACCGGTAAGCATGCTCGAGATTCTCAATCATTTGTTGTTGTTGTTTTTTTTCTACAGCCTTCTACGTTGACTGGGTGACACGTTGCGAGATTCGCATTCGCCGCCAAATCGAGCGAGCCGCAATCGACGACGCTTGAGTCGTCCTTACAAATCAACGATGAAACTGATATCATAGAATTGGTAGAGAGTCCATATTGTCTGTAGACAATCGCATCCATGTTAACCGCGTAATATACATATATTTTTTTTTAATTGAGCATAAAATAAAGTCATGTTAATTAGATATCGATTAAAAGCAACCGGATTGATGGGATGTTGCCGAGTGTTGCGGTGTTCCAATGGCCCGGCATCAGATCGCTTAGAGCCATGTATGGAGACACGATTTTTTCGATGGCTTGATTGCGAACACGCTGTGAATTTGAATTAACGGGAAATTGGAGAATGTTTGGAGAATCCTACCGTATCGTCGGAGCACAACTCGCCGACAATCATATGCTGAATGATGTTGCCTTCGGTGACGTCGATGTCGTTGAGAAACTGCGACGTCTCGAGATAGTTGTACGAGATGCGAACGCGTCCCATTCCGAACCACATCACCTCGGCGACCTTCTCAAAGATTCGCGACGAGACGATGAGGCGATAATCGACGCGGCCGAGTATCGGCGCCAATCGCATGGCGTCGACGACGTCGAAATGTCGAAGCGCCTCGTCGTGGCGGCGAATCGCCGCTGTCGAATGTTTGTAGAGATTGTGCAATGTTCTCGTCAGCGTGATTCGAATCTTGAAGTTGTCGAACTCGAGATTCTCGTTGTCTACGAGAAACTTCCACCCGCGAACATCAATAATCTTGAATTGAACACCTTGGTCTTACTGTAGCGTATCACTGTACCTGTAGAATCTTGACAATCAGTCCTGGCAATCGATCGGTGTCGGCGGTATTCCGGGAAGCCACCAACGGAATCCTGACGAGCATTTTGTGGATGGCTTGCGTCGTCGTCTCGAACAGCGCGCGCATCTGACGACTTCGCGACGCCTCGAAAGTGTCGCATAGAAACAGAAGCGTCTCGAAGACGATGAAGATGAGTCGCTCGAAAGTGTTGCCGTCTGAAATCGAGCATCTCGATGATCGGCAATCGGAACAGTCTGCGGTTACCGCGCGCCGGACGCGCCTCGCCGATCGCGTAGGCAGTATTGAATACACCGAAATACAACTTCTCGAGATGTTTCGGCTCGCACGTGTCCAGTATCGTCTTGGTGTTCAGCGCGCGCAACATCGTTTCGATGATCTTAAGCTGCTGCTCGGGATCGCTTCGAACGCACGGCACCATGATTACCGAGAACATCTGAACGAGACGTCGCAAAATTTTCTTCACGAGAATGCGTTACCGGCACAAGTTCGGACAGATTCGCGGCGAGACCCTCGGCGATCTTCTTCTCGCAATAATCGCCGATCGACGCCCAAATCGTCGCCGCGTCGATCGGCGCCATCAGAACGTTGAGCGCGTCCATCGTCGAGCTCCACCGATAGATCATATTGATGTTGCGGATGCACAATGGGAACACCTTGTGAAATATCGTTCGGTAGACGGTCGGATTGCGATGAATGTGATTCAGAAGGGTGATCACCTTCATCTCGGGCAGTGCCCAACCGCGTTCCTCGTTGAATTGATAGAAAGCGAGAAATGAGAAGTCGAGAGCCGAGCCTTTGACGAATTGCTCGATCGCCGCAATTATTAATCGCGTTGAGCGAGCTTCGGATTCTGAGGAAATTACGTAAAATAATTTTCTTTATTTTTTTTTTGGAAAAAAATGCGATCTCAAAAATGTCGTCAGACGCGTTGCGGCTTGCGTGCGGTCATATTTGATGATCGCACGCGAACCGCATCGCGTCCGACGACTTTTGAAATTGTCAATATGCGTCAAATTTTCAAATTATCGTCGAATAAAATGCATCAGGTGTAAACACGCGGCTCATTTTTGGAAATCAAATGTGTGCAATTTTACGTGTGAGTGTATTACGTGGATTTTTTTTTAAAAGACCGTTAATTCAATATTTTCTGAAGCGTCGAATACACGATTATGCTTGTTTCGATTTTTTAAATAAATTTTTTGATTCGCTTGATTTTATCTTAAATTCCAAAAAAAACCAATAACATTTAAAAATGTCGAAATTTCAAGAAATGGTCTCGAGACGACGAGACGTACAGGATTTCGGAGATACTGTAGAATGCAACGCGAGACCCAAGCGAGATGCGCGCTTTCTCGTAAATGTCCCCCGACAATTCGAAAAACCAACCAGAATTACTGAAGAGATAATCAAGGAGCTTCTCATAGGCCATATCCTCCTCATGAGAGAAGTTCGCCAAGCAGGATTTCACGAGCATCACCACGTTGGCGTCGGTCAACGCCGTCGAGTCGATCGGAAAGTTGACGGAAAGAAATCGGATGACGAGACGCGACATCTTCGGATGTCGTTCGTCCAAAAGTCCGCAGACACCGTCAATCTGGAAAGAAGCGATATTCGAGAATCGTGCGAGAATTAAAGAAAATAAAATATATACCAACCATCTCGGAATTCTTAAAAATCATTCGCGTCTGATTGAGAAACTGAATCGCCGCCAATTTCGTGTCGAGACCCGAATTGCGGACGACGCGCCAAAACGTGCTGAAGAATTCGTCGTCTCCGCTAATGGCGCGCATGTGTTCCAGCGATTTTCCCGATTTTTTCGCCTATTTTGTTAATTGCAAAAAAATTCCAAAAAAAAATAGAATCCAACCTGTGCAAGCTGCGCACTTAATAATTCATGATCAATCTTCATTTTTGGTGGGGACGAGAAGATGAGACGCCAACACGAACGAGCACAATGACGGGTGGCTCGTTGCCATGAGGACGCCACTCTTATCGATTCGCATCCGCTTCAAAAGCATTCACATTATTAAATACAAATTTACCAAGAAAAAATATGAATGATTTTTGAGATTCATATATCGATGAGAAAAAAAATTTGAATTGATGGTAGGTACATTGACGAGTGGTGGTTTTTCGAACAACACTAGCATCGGGTCAGGATTTAAATATTTTATTGATGGCATTATATTCATAAAGACCGATTTTCGAACATTCTGGAATGATACAATCGATTATAGGAAAATTTTAATTAAATTGGCAAAAAAAACCATGGCCGACTTTTTTCGGCGGCCAAATTTTCGGCCAGCCGGCGGGAATTTGAATAAACATCTCAACTGTTATTTTACGTAATTTTCTCGCAAAATTCCATTATTGGACACGAATTTCATTTTAGACATTAATTTCCATCAAATTTTTATTGTTGAAAATAATTAGAACGATCCATTTTTGAATGGGAAACATTTATTGAAATAATCGAAAAAAAATCTCTAATTTTTTTCGAAAATAAAAACAGTAACGACGATTTTCGTGCTTAAATTTTAGCTTTCTTACACATACTTTTTTTTTCAGAATTATTTAAAAGCCGATTTCATCCATTATTTATTTTTAGCACTCAAAATCTGTTCAATAAATGTTTCGTTTAAAACCCATTTCGATTTGCCAAATTGCACAATTTTATTTATGTAGCCAAATTTTCTAAATTTTTAAAATCGCATGAGAAATGAATGGCGTTGAAACACCGACGAAAAAATCTGAAAGAAATTGAACTTTCTGCGCATTAATTAATTTTTCATTCACTCGTTTTATATGATATTTGCGTGTAAACTTTAAAACAATTTGAGAATTCATTTTTTTTGAGAACAATTTTTTAATGATCGCCTAAATATGTTGGTTATCTCGGTCGATTTTCTAATACGCCGAAAAGATATCCGAATATGCGCCAAATTCGCTCTAGCGCAAATGTCTAGTTGCCTGCGTATCTACGGAAGACGTTGTGTCTCACACGTAATTTATTTTTCAAACATTATTCCTATTTTATGATTTATAATAGCTATTCGGCCCCAATTTCCTATTTTAGCTGATCAATTAATAAAGAAAATTATTTAATTTGCCTAATTGTTTGATTTGTGTCATTTTTTGCAGAAAATGGATTTGTCAGATGAGGATGAGCTATTTGCAAGGTATTATGAAGCGAAAAAGAAACAGAAAACTATCAAACGGGTAAGACAACGATGGAATTTATTGAGCATTTGATTTTTTATTTCAGCATCTTTCGTTTAATGAAAGAATCGCACAAATGGGTGGAGATAATGGAAAATTTAGCAGAAGGTTGGAAAGTTTTCTAATTTTTTTTCGCAGTAATAACAATTTAAGAATAAATGCTGAAAATCACAATGAAACCTATTTCGAAGACGCGCTAGACGATTGGAGAAACGAGGATCAGGGTCCGGATCTTGGTAGGCGAAAGACAAACAGAGAACTTGTGTGTTGACTCGGTAATCTTCCAGAATCCTTTGTGAATGCGATGAAGGAGTTCGACGTGAAGACGTACGCGCAACTTCTTCACAAATCTGAGCAAGTGTTCAATATTCTCGTGGAGCATATAACAAAACCGGTAGGAAGATCAAAATGGAATCTGGTCAAAATTTTTTCGTTCGTCTTTTTTTTGCAGAATTGCCGCTCGATTCCGGCGTTTTGCGGGATACTCGCCGCGTTCGCGCGAGACCTACGCGACAAATTCGCGCCCCATCTATGGAAATCGTTGGAGTTGTTGTTCAATATTCTCGATATCGGCGCAAGACACGCGGAGAACGTCGAAGCCGCCTATGTGTGCCTCTCAATCATCGTCAAGACGCAATCGAATTTGCTTTGTCGGCAATTGAAAAAGGCGTTCAGGTGAAAAAAATTGAAAATGACCAGAAAAAGAATTGTTGAAACTTCGCAGGCATTTTATCGCATTGTTCGCGAGTAGTCGAGATTTTGCGAGAAGATTCGCTGCTGAATCGTTCGCCTTCCTACTGAGAAAGTCCACAGATCTTCGAGCAATCACCATTTTCATTATGAAGGAGGCTTTTAAGGTGAAATTCGTTGTTTCAAATTGAATAGGAAATGTCAAAATTCAAGAATCCGCATCATTATTTGTCGGACGGCTGTGCTCTTCTATTCTACAACACTTTTGTCGGAATCGCCGGCAGTTTCCATAGCAACTCGTCACAAGTACGCTTAAATATGATATGAGATGAGAGATTTGGGATTCAGATTCTCCGCGACATCGTTCATTCGTCGATCACGTGCGATGATTCAGCGAAGAATCCCGAATTTTTGGAATTTTGCACGAAAATCATTGTGCAGGTCGTCGGCTATACCATCGATTACGCGAAAAACTCCAAATATGACAATCGGCATTTTTATCAGCACGTTTTGACGGTAAATATTATCAATTTCAAAAGAAAAGAAAAAAAAACGAAGATTGTTTTGTGTAGAAATTGCTCGCTGACGCGAAAAATGTGAACGAGACGACGGCTTTTATGAGGATTCTGCTGCCATGCATTGTTGAGAAGAATGAGGAGCTAATGAACGAAGTGAATCGAAAGAAAATGAGAAAAGAGAAGGCGAATAAGAAGAACAAAGGCCTAAATAAGGTACTCTTCGAGAAAACTGCCCACGAAACAAAAAAAAATGACAAATTTTAGATGAAAAACGCGGAGAAATTGGTGTTCGAATGCGGCGGCGAGCTTCGCGTTGCTCTTGAAGCCATTGTGAATCTTGACGATTTTGAGCTGAACTCGAACATTGTCACATTTATCAGCGAGGCGCTTCTCACAATTTTCAACGATGATAAAAATCGACTTTTCTCCAAAGACTTTACCCTGAATATCGTCAAAAAGACGAAAAATCATGATCTAGTAAGTTGAAGAAATGCTCATGATTGGCATATTTGCGGCATTTTAGGCGATCGAGCTGCTTCTGAAGACGTGCCAACTCGAATCGTTTGATTTGTATCTAATGCCGGCGTTGGGCCAAATTGCCGCTGACATTATCAAGGTAGTCCTTAAAATGAAACAACTAATCGAAGCTTGCTTATCTAGGATTATCCGAAGGTTTCCAAGGCGACGGAGAAGATCACAAGGTTCTACTCGTACCTTTGCTGCCAGCGGCGTTCGATTCAGGAAACTATCGAAAGAGGGGCAACGAGGGCCAACTTTTTCGATTTGACTCATCATTATGCCTATCGCGATTGGATTATTCGAAATTTCCAAGGTAATTTTTTTGTGCGATGTTTCCTGGAAAAAAATTTGGACGTGACTTTGTTTCAAACAGAATACCAATCGATTGATGATGTGCCGCAACTAATTGACATGCTCGTTTCTTGGCCATGGCTCTTCTCGTCGACGGAAAATGTGAAGGGCGTCGAATTTGTTGAGCAAATGGCAAAAACTCTTGTGGATGTTGAGGATTCGACGATCCGCCATAGTCAATTGATTCTTGCATGCGTCGCCGGCATCTATTCGGCGAAGAAATCGAGCCTAAACGCGATTCCGCGAGATTCTATTGAGAAGTTTGTGAGGTGAGTCAATAGAGAATTTTCAACGTCACAATTTATTCATTCGCAAAACTCCTAGGCGTCAGAGTTGCTCAGAATCGTCGCTTCTGGTGTTCGAGATGATTCTCGATGTCAACGGGACTTCAGAAAGCGTGGACGAACTCAATCGGTATGGATTTTTCGGTTTCTTACATTCCTTTGGTTTTTCAGAGTTGTTGAGCTTCTCCTTCCCGCCATGAAGAGCGAGAATGAGGCGGAGCGAAGAACGGCGTTGAGGATTCTGTGCAATTTCCGCGTTCCGATGCCGACGATCACCGATGAGAATGGAAAGGTTCAATTCGATTCGTCGTGGGGGCGGTTCGCAATGAATCGATATATTGCAGTGTCGCCAACAAACCGAAACCATCTTTGAGATTCTGCATGAAGCCGAGTGCAGCGAGTTGACGAATTTCCGCGAGCGTCTCCTTCATTTTCGCAAAATTCGCTACGAACAACACAAGGAGTTCATTCCGAATGGAAGCGACGTCGAGAGCGTCGAGCGAATCATTGTCAATGCGCTCGCCTCGCAATTTTTTGTCAATTTCTCGCCACTCTGGAAAGGGATTCACGAGATTTTGACGTCGTTCGCCAGAGGCCTCAATATTGACGTATTCTGGAGTGTGATGGGCGATTGGATTCAGAATGTTACCATGAGTGCGTCGTTTTGAGAATCGCCGAGATGTTTTTGAGACAAAATTTTGTTTGTTGGTTTAGATTTGAAGAAGACCGCGAGCGATTCGAATGGACGCCACCTTCATGGAATTGACGAGGTGAATCGATCGGATTTTGCCAACGCCCGAGTTCAGATTCTGGAGTTCTTCCAATCGATTCCAGACATCGCCGAGCGACGAACGAGAATTCTGAGTCCGATTTTATTGGGAATCTATGAGTGAGATTCTCAACGATCGCGATTTCCTTTTTCATGATTCCACGAATTTGCAGCGATTTTCTGCGATTGACGTCGTCGTCGTCATCATCGCATCAAGTCGACACTTCTGAAGAGGTGACGAATGATGAGGTTGAAGTCGATGATGATGATGATGATGATGATGATAATGTTCCATTGAAGGAGAAGAATGGGAGTCGAAAGGAAGTCGCGCTCACTATTAAGGTATTGTTTGATATTGCAATTTTTCATTGGAAAAATGTTTTGAAGGCACTTCAAGCGCTTCTGTTGGTGTTCGCCAAATTCACAGCGGCAAAAGCGACGTACATGGAAGACAAACTACGCGAAATGTATGAGAATGTGAGTTTTGTGAACATTTTCATTGAATAATTAACAAAATTTCAGCTGATTTCCACAAAATACGAGGGAATTCAACGCGCTGCACTTGCTTGCATCTTCACTTATAGAAACAACATTCTAAATAATTATCGGTACGGTAATTATCGGTCTTCTCATATGCGAATTGATTTAGAGAGAACTTGGAGAAGCTTATCGACGAGAAGCAATTGAGAAACGCGCTCGCCACATTCAAATTGTCGAGCGACGAAGGCGACGCGTCGGTTATCGATGAGCACCGAGCGGTGGTGGTGCCGATTCTTCTTCGAATCCTTCGCGGCAAACTTCAAATCAATGGGAAACAGAAGGGAATGGTCTCGCGGCGAAATGGAATCATCAATGTGATTGGCGGTTGTCGGAGCGATGAGCTCGCGTTCTTCTTGAAACTCTACTTCTCGCAAATTTATCAGATGTTTGGTATTCGTACAATTTTCAGACTAATATGTAATTTTCTTTTTTTTTTAAATAGGTCCCGACGCGAGTTTGGCGGCGATTGAGGAGAAATGCGGAACGGCGGGATTCGCTGGAAATATCAATGTTCGTCTATTCAGCGGGTTAGTTTCATTATTTATTTATTATTATTTTTTATTAAAAAAACCCGTTCAACGACAAGTGAGTGAAAAAGTGGGAAGGGAATTTCTTAAAATAGTTGAATTATGACTAGAAGGCAGACGAGGCCGGTTATCGACGACCGATGGCTCGTCGATTTTGTTGAGCACTCATCGAGAAGCTCGTCCTTCTTTGAGAACAGTGTGACCTTCTCATGATACGAGAACAACTCGTTCGCCGCCACCGTGAGACTGTTCGGCGTGGCGTCGTCGAGGCATTCGACGCGCTCGAAATCGCTTGGCGTTGAATCGGTTAGAAGTGACGTCACGCGAATGAAGTCGTCCGCCCAGCGCATATTGCAATCGCAGATGATCGGATTGTTCTTGAAATTGAAAGAAAAATAACGAAATATTGAAATTGAATTCGATTGGGACTACCTGAAGCTCGAGGGAATGTAGAATTGTGCCGTGTTGATTCACCACTGGCGGTATTGTTGCGATGAATGGATTGATGGTCTTGATGCGATTGTTGGTGAGACTGCAATGATCCTTTAACGACATATAACGATATGCATCGAAACCTGAGTGAAAGAATTGAGACTCCTGTTAGTGTATCAAAGATTTTTGATGGGAACTCGTCGATTGAGGTGTTGTGGACTTCGATGCGAACGCGAAAGCCGCGGATCGTCGCGAATGCGCCGACGTCGATCTAGAGGATTCGATAGAAGCGATAGTCTTTCTTGAATGCCAACTACCTTGCTTATATTTCTTCCCATGATTGTCAGATGCCTTAGAAGGCGAGTGTCGGCGCCGTACAGCTGCCTGTCGAGACGGCTCTCCTTGATGTCGACGTGCAACGAATGCAATGGCGGCAGGTGCTCGAGAATCATTGGAATCTCGTACGGCCACGCGGTGCCCGGAATGTTGTACAACTGAAATTTGTGTGATCATTCGTAAACGAAATTGAATTCGCAAGATACTGAGAAGCTCTTGAGATTGCTGAGATGCCTGTAGGCTCGAGCATCGGGCAGCCTTAGAAGCAGCGGCATATCGGAAATATGAAGGGTCTCGAGCTGATAGAGGTACTGTATGTGCTCATTGTGGAGATGGGTGATCGGATTCGATGAGATGTTGAGATGTTTCAAATGGTGGAGGATCTCGAGAGCCGTCGGCGGAATCGCTTTCAAATTGTTGTGCGCGATGTCCAACGAGACGAGTTTTGTCAGCGGCGCGGTGTCCTTTTCGGAGATCTCGTAGATCTTGTTCCAGCTAATATTCAGCGATTGAATTGAGCGATGGCCGAATTTCGGAACGAAAAAGAGGCCGGTGTTGGCGATATTGATGGAGCTGATCGAATGGCTCAGATCGCGAAAAGCTGTCGGGCTCCATGAGGTCACCGGATTGTTGGAAAGGTCGAGGTTCTTGAGGCTCAGAAGATGCTCGAACGCTCCATCCTCGATCGAATCGATTTTGTTGTTTGCGAATGAAAGGACGGAAATGTTGTTGAGATTGGTGAGCTGTGCGGAGTCGACACTTCTGAAATATTTCAAACAAAAAATAGGCTTCTCGGATTGATTGGAATACTTGATTGCGTTAAAGGAAAGGTCTAGAAGGTGGACGGATGAGCTCGTCGAGGATAATGCTTCCACTGGGATCCTTGAGATCTTATTATTATTCGCATGAAGATCTAGTAAGTTATTCTTTCCGAAAGTGTCTTGATGTAAGAAAAGGATGTTGTTGTGCGATATATCCACGGTATGCAGTTTTTCCTGAAGTGAGGCATTTGAAGGGACCAACAACAACTCAACTCGAACCTGATACTTGAACGTGCCCTTCCAAAGATTCCTTATATAGTTGTGCGACATCAGAATTGTTGACAACTTCACGCATTCGTCGAACGCGTCGCTGTCGACGTCGATGACGCCGTTGTGCGAAATGTCGACGAAATTGAGCTCGGCGGCGTCTTGAAACAATTTGCGCCCGATTTTCTCGACGTTGTTCGATGAGAGGCTCAATTTGCGGAGTCCGCGCGCGATGCATGGAATATCGATGCTGCTGATCTGATTGTGGCTGATGTCGAGATGATGCACTTGGGTGATGCTTCCGAGATAGTCGCAATTGAATTTGCGGAACGCGTTATGAGACAATTTCAAGTGTTGGAGATCGTTGAACGCCCTAAACGCATCCCTATCGATCTCGTTCAAATTGTTGTGATTCAAATGGAGCACGTCGAGTGCGGGAAGCTGATAGAGAGCGCTCGGAAGAATCTTGATGATCCGATTATGCGATATGTCGAGATAGCGAAGATTGCGTAGATTGGCGAACGCCATCGACGGAATCGAGCGGATCTCGTTGTGGCTGAGACGAAGTTGCTGCAGATTCTCGAGGTCGGCAAACGCGCGACTCGAAATCGCGGCGATCTTGTTGTGTGCTAGATTGAGGCTCTTCAATTGCGACGAGCTGCTGGCGCTGAACATCTGAAATCGATTTGTGAGTCAGATGAGAATCTCGATTACGGCTTACATTCTCGGTGATCACTTCGAGATTGTTGCCGGCCAATGAGAGATGCTGAAGCTTCGGCATATCAGCTAGCGAGAAATTGTCAACTTTTCGAAGATGATTGTTGTCGAGCATCAGATGTCGAAGCTTCTCAAGGCGAAAGAGCGATGGGAAGTGCTTCAGCTGATTGTTCTGAACAATTTTACCGTATTCGGAAGTTCTATTAAAATGTCATCTCACCTGAAGGAACAAGCTCTCCAATGATTTGAGCTTCTCGAAGACACTTGGCGAGAAGAATCGAATCCGGTTGAATGAGATGTCGACGTATGTCAAATGGGGCATGTGCTCGAAGAGGTGCACATCGCTGAGATTGGCGATTCGATTTCCGGCGAGATTCAGCTTTCTGACGCTTGTCACTTCCTCCAGTTCGATGTTCGACTGAAAGTGAGATCGTTGAACTCGTTCGTTCATTTTTCGGACGGTCAACCTTCTTCAAAGATTTGATGCGATTTTTGGAGACGTCGAGATGCTCGAGAGCCTTCATTCCGCCGAGCACACCGCTTGGAATGTGCTCCATGTGATTATTGGCTAGAAGGAGCTCGACAAGTGTCTCACGACATCCTCGAAGCATTTGGCCATCGATTCTGGAATTGGCGATGTGGAATTGTGAGAATCTCTTGAAATTGTCCTACCTTGACAACTTATTCCCATTCAAATTGATATGGGTTAGATTCCTCAAATCACGTAGCGCTTCTGGAGTGGTGTGAATGAGATTCTCGGCGATGTTCAGCTTTTTCATTGTTTTGGCGAAATTTTTGAGCATTCCCCTCGGCAAATAGGCGATCCGATTGTAGCTCAAATCGAGCGATTGCATATGGCCGACGGACTCGAAGCACGAATCATCGACGGATTGAATTTGATTGTAGCTAATGTCGAGCTCGCGAATTTTGCGGAAACTTCGAAACGAGTGCTTATCGAGCCGCTTGATTTTGTTGTTTCGTAGAATGAGCTTCATCTCGTTGTCGAAAACGACCTCGTCATTGTCGACGAGATTTGTGATATTATTGCCCTCGAGATCGATGGACTGCAAGTGTTTGAGATCGTTCAACGCCAAATATGGGATTTGTGTGAGCAGATTGTTGCGAAGAACGAGAAAATTCAACGTATGCGGTAGAGCCATTTTTTGGATTTCGGTGATCCGATTATTCGCCAACATCAGCACCACCAATTTGAGGTGATTGAACGCGAGATTCGGTATCACACGAAGCTGATTGTTCTCCAAATAGAGGAATTGAAGATTGTTGAGTTGGGTCTCGTCGAACGTGTTCGATCGGAGGACGTCAATTCGATTGTTCTCCAGATGGAGCACTTGAAGGCTATGGAGATATGTGAGAGCCCATGTTGGAATCACCGAAAGATTGTTGTGCGATAGGTCGAGTTGGGTGAGCTTCATCTGGAACTCGGTGGTTTAAGAATGGTTTTGGTTTTTATTAATCAAAAGATGCTCTAGTTATTTAAAGGCGCATATAAAGTTGGTACAATAGAATTTGTTGTGTGTCTTTCAAAAACTTTCCATTATAATTTTTTCCGGTCCAAAAAGAATTCAAATTATTAGTTTTTGAATAATGGTAGTGAAAGAACTTGAAAATCTGAATGTTTTTGGATGAAAAACAGCGGCTACCAAAATCGATCGTCGCAAGACCCAGATGATTTTTTTGCATTATGAGCCTTTAACAAATTTGATAAAATTGCGATTTTTCACAATTTCATTAAAATGTCGAAATATTAGATAATCAAAATACATTGGGGGTTTTTTTTTAAAGAAAATTTAAGATTTCTATATGCGGAATGGTTTTTTTCTGAGGTACGGTAATTAAAGGCGCATTCCGCAATTGTGCTGCCGAGTCTCACAACGATCGATTCAAAAATTCCGATTTTGCAATTTTTTTGCGCTGTACCTCAAGACCCCGAAACGCGTTCACGTTGACGGTTTGAATTTGATTGTTCGAGAAATCGAGTGTCTGAATATCGTGATGCTTGAACGCATCCTGCTGAATGAACGCCATTGAGCCGTCGGACATTGAAAGCGCGACAATATGCGGAGGGGGTCCTTTAGTGCTCTCGACACTCGGTAGCTGCGGTACTGTCGCTGACGACGAGTGACGGCACATGATGTGAAGTGGCGATGACTGCTCGGGATAGGCTGACGGCGTGGGAACGGAAACACATTGGCACTGCGACCAGACGTCGTAGAAATCGCCGTCAAATCTGTTTTAGGAATCGAAGTTGAGTTGTGAGATTGTGCTCCAACCTGCACCGATCATCATTAGCGATTCTCTTGATGGTCGTCTTCCGCGAGCATGCAAAAATTGGGAACAGGAGTAGTAGTCGAGACCACATCTGCGGATTGCATCTGTGTTGAACGCCGCGATAAATTGCTGGGCTTTTTGGCGTCGCTGCTGCAATGATGAAAAAATGATGAAGGCGCTAATGGATGTTTGACAAGTTGATATGATAATTGATATTATTTGAGTGAGTGGACGACGAGTTGGGGCGGGAGGGGGGGGGGGTCTGAATGTGACATTAGCTAGGCACGCGTTGGCTCGGCGAGGCGGCGAACAGTTGTGCCGGCGGAAATGTTGCACATGAACCCATCGGCGGGATTACAACGAAATATTCGATGATGAAAAACTCCTAAAATTGATGCTCTCAAGTGGTTGTGTTGCATTCGAGAGGGTATTGAAACTGAGCCGCCCGGAAGTTTGTTCGCCGAGAGTGCAAAAAGGTATCGGATGATGGGCAGCGAGAGGGCACACACACACCTGTGGTGGATTTTTGAGAATGTGTAAAATGTGAATACATATGTTTCGTTGGGCAAATTGGCGCCGCCGCCGCCGCCGACGGTGTTTTGTCAATCAAATGTTACATGATGATGTCCTCTCGCATCTCTTTTCTCTCAAACTCGACGCCGAGCCATTTTTTTACCGCGCTCTCTTGGCATTCTCCACTGCAAAACTGATTTAGTGCTGAGTGCGAGCTGACGCTATCAATCTTTGTAGTAAAAATGACATTAACACACTCCGCTCGCACATAGCCCACCCGATGCTAGCGGCGGTGGCGGTGGTGTTCGTCGGGTTTTTGTTGATTTATTGGCACGGGTTCGATGGTTTTTTTTTGTTTTTTTTTTGTTTTGCGGAGAAATGAAAAGAGAAAGAGATAAGTTGGTTTGCGGTCGAATGATTTGGAGATCAAATTGGCGGCATTTTGAATGTTGGGAATTTTTTGAGAAGTCTCAGAGACGAATTAAAGATTGTCAATTTTTTTCTCGATTTCAACTGCTCTGGTAACTTGAAATCAATTGGATTCGACAAAACTCGGCTCGGAAATAAGGCCGGTAATTCTACGGATAAGATTGTGGAATTGTCCGGATCCGATTTTTTTTTTTGATTTTTCGATTCTATTGGGAGAAAATCGAAAAAAAGAAACTACAAGGTTTTTAAGCGTCAGATTTGGGTTTTTCCTTTTTTTTTTCACAGGACCTTTTGTGCTCTATGAGCGTTTAATCAATATATTTTTGAAATTTTAATTTCACAATTGAATTGCGTCCATTCAAAATTTTATTGAATATTGAAAATATAAATTAATAGAAAATTGGTTTTGAGGAAAATTTCAAAAATGTTTGGTTTGGCGAAGGGTAATTCGCGCCGTTTTTGAAGTTGGGTCTCGTCACGATTGATTATGGTAGTCGCAATTTTTCTCTCCAAAACAGGTTATAGAGATGAAGTTTGAGACGCAGATAGAGAGAGAGAGAGAGAGAAAAGAAGAAGATCAAAAAGTAAGTTGGGTCCTAGTACGAAGATTCAATAGAGTGGGGGGGGATATTAGTTCTGGAAGAAAAGAAGAAATTGCGAGCCAACAACAAATATGAAGATTTTGAGCAATTCATAAAGAATTGTAACCAAGGAAAACATGAAGCTCATTGAATACAATCCAATTCGCAGAAAATTGGGAGAGAAGAGCGAATGATATCATTAGGATGGCGGGGCAGGTGCAACAATGCGCAAGTTTACCGCATGACTAATTATATTCTATTATATTCTATCTGTATATAGTATATATGCCCGAAGAAAGTTGCGAGAATCTTATTAGACGAACACATCATAATTATAATGTATAATATAATGGGGTTGGCGTGGCACTCTAGTGGTCGAGTTATTGAAAACGGCTGGTCGCAACGCATAAGCACACCACATTTGTTCATTCCCACAGGATTTTGGTCGAGATGTTGTACTTTGCATGCCAAATTTGGTGAGAAATTGCGCCAAATTGTATTACCTTTTTTGGGGAGGTGGTAGTATTGGTTTAATAGTTTAAAAAAAAGAGGGGGGTGTCGATGCGAAAATAGAATAATTGAATTTTGGGCCTTATTCATATAGATATATATTTTTTTGAATAGCAATAATATTTTTCTTCTTCTTTTTTCAGAATCCTCATTGGCGTCTCGGAGATGCTCAAAAAGATTGCGATGTCAATGGGTGATAACGAGCAGCGTATCATGATGCACATTATTCTTGCATGCGCCATCGTCACCAAACGCGGGCAAGCTTCGTCGAATTGCGATGCCATTAAGAGTTTGCGAATGAGCGTTTGCGAGAGGCTCGCCGAGTTTTTTCAAGCGTTCTCGTCGAGGCCGATCGAACGCGACGAGATGCGCGTCATCAAGTGTTCGGTGCTGGAGGCTTATTTGAAGGATTTGAAGGCGACGAATGTTATTGAAAGGTTGATAAAATTGGAGGTGCGGACAACTCACGGGAAAATGATTCTAGGCACGCGCAACTCCTTCCGGTAGCCCCGTTTGCGATCGTCAAGCTTCTCGCAGCTGTCAGCCGTCTTCCTTCATTGTACAAGCTTCTCACTGTTCGAGTCAAATGGAATGCGCTGGAATCGGAGGAGCATTCGTGCTTAACCCTTGATGTAGCTATTTCAGGCCCCACTAAAAATTGATTAGACTAGTTTCTTTCCAGCTTCTAATTGCCCCCCTCTACTGGCCGGGATGTTTCGAATTGATGCTTAAAACGATTCGAGGCGCGATTCTGAAGTTGTCCGAGCTCGCCGATGAGCCGATGATCGAGATACCCGCGGTGGAATGCGAGCGGTTCTCGTCGGCGAAAGGCGCCAATTTTGGAACGACCCTATTGAGCTCGAGAATTCATTTGCTTCTCGACATTCTCACGCAACATATTGAGCATGAAGTGGCGACGATGAAGAAGCCGTCGGCGGAGAGTATTGTGCTCCTTGGAAGGTATATTTGAACTTGATTGATGATCGAAACTTGTCATTCAGATTTTCCGACTATGTCTCGGAGTATAGCGATGTTGCGAATCGTCTAGCGACACCGCTTCTGATTTGCATAGAGAAGCGCAAATCGAACGAGGAGACGCTCATCAGCATGCTTCAGTCGATGGCGAGAATCGCGCCGATGCTCAATGAGCCGTGTCAATATTTCGCGAAACTTCCGAGAATGTTTTTGAAGTTCGATCGTCGAGCACTCCGCGAATCGCTTGTTTCGATGATCGAGGGTTTCGCACGATCGCAACAACTTCCCGAGAGGACGAGAATGCTTTTGAAGTTGATTGGCGAGCTTGATGCGTGGGATCGAACCAAAGTCGATGAGCCGCATTATGAGCGACGATACGCGGCCTACAACGAGCTAATGACGATTTGGGCGTCGAACGAGGCGGTTGACGCGATGGTTCTTGCCATGCTCGTCTGCACACACTTCCACACGATTTCAACGGTATTTTGAAGATGGCAACACTATGGGGTTACAGTATGTCTTTTTTTGCAGACATCGGACTTGTCGCTTCGAATGACCGCCGGCAACAATGTTCGATCGCTTGTCGAGTTTGCTGGACGCACACTGACTGTTGAAATGAAGCACAACTTCCTAGAGACTTATCTGGCTCCTACAGTTCTTATCTATGTGAAGCATGAGGTTGACGTAAGTGCACAAATAGTCTTGGCCTTACGACCGGATTTTGTTGATAGGCGGTTCGCGAGGAAGCTATCAATGTGCTGATTGTCATGATCAAGGCGTTCCCTGAGAATCAGCACCTTCATGAGCTCGACCAATTCTCGAATGATGATGAGGATTTAGATTTTTTGAAGAATATGAATCATATTCAGGTGCAATCCCGTCATCTATTTATTCGTGTTCAAGTGTTCTTTTTAGATTCATCGCCGCCAGCGCGCGATTCGCCGATTGATCGATGCTGTCGAATCGGGACAATCGGAGCTATCGTTCAGTTGTATGAACAAATACTTGATACCAATGATCAATCCGTATTTGGTGAACTTCTCGGCGAAATTCAACGCGCTTTCCGACGAATGCCTCCGATTGTTGAAGTGCGCCATGTCGCGAGCACCGTGGAGCAAGTACTCGTCGTTCCTTGAAGGATGGCTCGCGAGAGTCGAGAAGGCGACCAAGTCGACGGATGACGAGTTTTCCGATAAGGCGTTGGTTCGGATTGTGGTCGCCGTCATTGAGGCATTCCACTTCGATGTGGAGCTCGATGAGGCGCAGCTTGAGACGGATGCGGATCGGACGGACGAGGAGAAGGAGAAGATTCAGATATTCCAGCGGGTTAATCGGGTGATCCTTCCCCAACTGATTCATACACTCGATTCTCAAACGCATGCGGTGGAGAGAAGCGCGCGAACGATGGAATCGAAAGCGACCGCCTTACATCTCGACATTCAGCGAACACCGATCGCGTTGGCTATCGTCAAACTTTTGGTGAAGCTTCCCGAAGCGATTACAACTCGCCATCTTCACGGAGTTATTCTGAAATTGTGCAATCTGATGATGACGCACTCATTCGACGTTCGCGAGACGGCACGAAAAACGCTTATCCAGATTGTGAAATGCCTTGGCCCGAAATATTTGGCGTCGGTGATCACGGAGATCTCGTTGACGATGACGAAAGGATTTCAAGTGCACGTGGCGATCTACTCGATTCACAGTTTGATTGTCGCGATGAAATCGACGCTGAATGTTGGCGATCTTGACTCGGCGATCGGCGTCATCGTGAAGCTCGCCATTCAGGATCAATTCAACGCGGCCGCCGAGGAGAAGGAGATCGGCGCGATCAAAGCGGAATGCCCGGAAGCGAAGGGCAATCGAACGCCGGAAACGATGCAGCATCTCGGACGCGTCGTGTCGCCGATGGGAATCCAACAGATTTTGGCGCCGTTCCGCGACGTCGTCAACGAGCAGCCGTCGGCGAAAGCGATTCAGAAGGTGTCGGACTTGTTGTCGAAGTTTGTCAGCGGATTGAAGGAGAACGACGGGCTCGAAGCATCGTCGCTTCTCACGTTCATCTTCAAATCGTTGACAGCCGATCTTCAGAAAATGAAGGAGATTGAAGGGAACGGTGTCGTCGGCAAAGCAGAGAAGGAAATCAAACGCGAGAGCTGTTTGTTGCTGCCGGAAGCTCCGAAGAGGCTTGGTGCCATCAATAAGGTCGTCGTTCGGAGTAGGGATCATGTCTTCGCCGAGTTTTTTGTACAATTGTACTCGTCGCTGCTCAAAGAGAAGAAGTTGGATCTTGACGAAGACGGGATGATCGCGAGACTCAATCCGTTCGTACCATTGATTTTGGATTGTTTCGACTTCAAATATGAAAAGGTAAAATTCAATTCGAGACACCGATTCGTTCGTATTTATTCGTTTCAGTTGATCTCGAGCTCACTTCGCGCATTGTGCTCAATGATCCAGATTCAGTTGCCGGCGGTGGAGAAGAACTCGCAACGCATCGCCGACACGTTGTTCATTCTGCTCAGCGATTACTCGTCCATCGGACACGCTGGAAATAAGCCGTCGATTGTTCAACTCAATCAGTTGATCTACAAGACGTTCACGAGTTTCATTGGCGTTTGCGGACGCGGTTTTCTCGACAATGAGAAGCTGACGTTGTTGTTGGCTTATGCGGAAGCCGATATTATGGATCAGCACAAGCAGGCGACGATGTTCTCGTTGATCAAATCGCTGGTGAAGAAGGGTGTTCAGCACGAGAGGGTGAGATTCCGATGTGATTTTGACGATCACGTTTGATTATTGTAGCTAGCCGAGATTATGGATCATCTATCGGAAACCGCCATTCGATCGCATCTGCCGAACATCAGATCGCAATGTCGTGAGACGCTTCTGGATTATATCGGTGGCGCGTCGGATACGGAGAAAAGTCCGGCGAAGTATATCGAATTTTTCCTTGATCAACTCGATTATGAGTATGATGTTGGACGACTAAGCGCCGCCGAAATGCTGACGGCGTTGTTCAAGAATCTCGTCCCGGTAATTCGACAATTTGTTGTTGTTGTTTTTTTTTCACCTTCCACATTCTCAAAAAAAAACTGTTCGATTTTGTTGTTTTAGAAATCGCTTGAGAACGTGCACATGCTATGTGTTGTGAAGCTCGGCGCCGCCATCATGAACGACGAGTCGCCGAAAGTTGTCGCTCAGGTTGGCGTCGCGCTCAGAAGCCTCCTGAACACTGTGGGTGTCGCGCAGCGGCAGGAAACGTTTGAAGTGATTTGTCAGTGGCTTGAAACTGAAGATGTAAGTGCGTATGAATTTCGAGATTCCAAAAATCTGAAAGATCTGATCGACGTGAAATTGGCATTCTAGCTAATCTTCGAAAAATGTTCGCTCTCAAACTATTCCGAAAAACATTTTTTTAGGAGAATGCTCGAGCTGTTGGAATCCAAACGGCCGTTCAGCTGAGTTTTGTCGAGAAAGAAACGATGGCGAATCGCCTACCGGACATTGTGAAACGAATGAGAAAATGCCTGTTCGATGAGGACGTATTTAGCGTAAACTCGTAAGCCACGCCTCCTCCCTTTAATATCCTAAAACAAAAACAAATGATCGATTCGATTTTAAGCGAGAAATCGATTGTGGCGTTTCTTTCGGGATTGACAAGAATTTTGTGCAATATTGGGAAGACTGATATGTTTGACGGAATTGAATTCATGGGTATGTCGAGGATTTTGGGAAATAGTCTCGAGCAGCGTTGATTCATCTTCAGAAGCGTTGGTTGAATTGGCGACGTGTGATGAGTCGTTGAGAATTCGGAACGCGTCGGCCACGCTGATCGGGCAGATTCTGGCGAATTGCGATGAGAGCAAGATTACGAATCAGCTAGCGAAAGATGTGTGCTCGTGGATGTGCCGAACGCTGCGGCATGAGGAGCTCGACGATTCGACGGCCGAGCAGGCATCGAAGAATATCGTGTTCATGGTGAAGTTGCTGGATCTCAATGAGTATGAGGTTGTGGTGGCGTCGATCGCGGCGGCTTGCCGATTCGAAGTGAAGCATCATGTGAAGGAGACGATCAAGGTATCTGTCTAGTGAGCGGCGAGTATTGCTGAATTCACATGATTACAGAGAACGAATTGCTTCAAACTCGCGACGGCGTTGTTCGTGACTGCCGACGTCGCCCGAATCGATGTAATTCTGACGAAATTCCTTCCGCATTTTGTCAGAGAGCTTCGGATGCAGGGTGAGTGAATTGGTGAAATTTCTCCTCGTCAACATTCGCCTGTTGATTCTAGGCGACGATGAGCTGCTCAAACTCACGCAAGAGGTGTGCGCGTTGATCAAGAAGCGCATCGGCGATGAGAACTATAGTATGCGAATCGGCGAATGTCAAAAGAGCGCGGCGAGCAAGATCAATGAGAGGAAGAGGAAGGTCAGAGAGCTGGCGGTGACGGCACCGCACGACGCCGCCGAGCTTCGAAGGAAGAAGAATAGGAAGAAGGCGGAGACGAGGAAGCGAAAGATCGATGCGATGAAGCCCCATCGGCTCATCAAGCGTCGAAATCGGGAGAAGAGATTGGCACAGGAGAACGAGGAGGATTAGGATTATTTTGTTTAGGTCTTTTTTTTTGTACAATTTTTGTTGATGGGTATCTTGTTGTTTTATTTGTTGTTGTTTTTATTGATTGTTATTGTTGTTCGAATAAAAGTTCCAGTTTGGCGGACTTCTGATGGGATCATTCCTCAATGTTTCGCACATTCCTAATATCTTCATTGAATTGCCCCATTGACGGTATTGTTTGTTCTATTCAGGAATGTACCAGTTGCCGGATACACCGCCGCCGCGCGAGAATACGCCACCGATGCCGCAGGTATGTGATTCATTGAGATCCCGCGCGATTGTCGACGCGTCGCATTCCAGATGGCCGTTCCACGGCCGCACGTCGAGTTGTCGCCGACGCCGCCGCCGCCGCCCGAACTTGACGACACGCCGCCTCCGATTCGACCGGCGCCGGACATGATTGACGGATTCGAGTTTTTTGACGACGAGGGTCCGTCGAATCGGAATCGAAACGCGGCCGACGACGATTTAGTCGACATTGACGATCTCTTCAATTGTGGCCCATTTTTTGGCGAGACCGTTGACGAGCAGATCCGAGAGGAGGATTATGATTCGTTTGACGATTTTGTCAAAGATCCGCCGCCGAAAGATTCGCTTAAACGACATCTTCCCTCGTCGTCGACGTCGTCGGATGATGGTTCGGACGATCCGGACTATGACGATGGCGGTGAGAATCAGGCGGCTCGAAAATCGGCGAGAAAAATGAGGAAGACGTCGCAGGCGATGAGGCAACGACAATGTATGGTGGACGAAGCGATGAGAATTCGATGGAGTCAGATGGCGAAGCCGCCGCCGGAAGCGCTGAAGTGCCTATTCGACAACTACGGTCATCGCAAGTTTCGCGACAAACAATGGGATGTGATACGATCGGCGTTGGCTCGCGATGATCAATTCGTGCTCATGTCGACGGGCTATGGCAAAAGTGTGTGCTATCAGCTGCCGGCGCTTCTCCTCAACGGAATGACGGTGGTGATCTCGCCGCTCATCTCGCTGATGAACGATCAGGTCGAAACGCTGAACGCGAAGGGAATCGAGGCGATGAAGCTTGACGGCGACTCGTCGCTGAAGGAGTGGGGCGAGGTGCTCAAATATCCCGATTGTTTTCGATTCGTCTACATGTCGCCGGAGATGGCCACTAGTCAGAAGGGAATCCAGTTGTTGAAGCAATGCCAGAAATGTGGAGTCGGTTTTTATTTGATTCGTCGAAATTCCAATTTCAGACATCGTCCTGCTCGCCGTCGATGAAGCGCATTGTGTCTCGCAATGGGGACACGACTTTCGATCGTCCTATCGCAATTTGTCGAGCCTTCGAAACCACGACGAGCTCAATCAGATACCGATGATTGCGTTGACGGCGACGGCGACGATGCGAGTGCGCCTAGATGTGATCAAAAATTTGAAGTTGAAACTTCCGAAGCTGGTAACCACGTCATTTGATAGGTAACATCAATCAATGGTGGTAGTCGAGAATCCCTTGTGACCGATTCGTTTGAATTCAGACCGAATTTGTACATATCAGTCCATCCGATGAAGGATATTGCTAGCGATCTTCTGCCATTGCTCAAAGAGAATGGAAACGCGCTTGGCCGCCATTTCGGCGGACCCACCATCATTTATTGTCAGACGAAGCAGACGACCGATGATCTGAACACGGTGTTGCAGCGTAAGAGCGAAACGCGGATCGCTGTGCGAGAGTTGAGTGATTTCAGGCAACGGTGTGCTGTCGGCTAAATACCACGCGGGTCTCAACAAATGTCAACGCGAGAAGGCGCATCAGGATTTCGTGCGAGACAAAATCACGACGATCGTCGCCACCGTCGCGTTCGGCATGGGCATCGACAAGCCCGATGTGCGGAATGTCATCCACTACGGATGCCCGAAAGACATTGAATCCTACTATCAGGAGATGGGACGAGCTGGACGAGATGGAGCGCCAAGTGTGTGTCGGGTGTTCTGGGCGCCGAAAGACATTGTGATGAATAAGTGAGCAAAGAAGCCGGTTCGGAATTCAATAAGAACATCTTGTTTTTAGGAATCGGATGATGAGCTCGAAGGTGGCTGAAGACATAATTGCCAACTATGTGTCGATGCTGAAACAGCTTGAGCTTGTGCTCACCACCTCGACTTGTAGAAGATAGTAGGACGCCAACCATGTACCTAAAAACACGCGGGACATTTCAGCCAACTACTCAAACACTTTGATCCGAGCGTTCAGAAGCCGACCGATTCAAAGCCGGATTGTTGCGATCGCTGCACGATTCTCATGAATGGATCGGGCGATATGCAGAGCTCGAAGATCAACGTGGCGACCGAAGCGAAATGGTTGTTCGATGTTGTTGGGCAGATTTACCGGGGTAAGACCGGAATTGGGAAGCCGATTGAGTTTATCCGAGGATCGGTATGTGATTGAAAGATTCTTGCCGAGAGATGTGAGTTTCAGACGAAAGAAGAGTGGAGAGCGAAGAGCACATTTGAAAAGAGGCTGTTCGGAATTGGGAAGGCGCTGAGCGAGAAGTGGTGGAAGACGTTGGCGTCGAGTCTGAGACTCGCCGGCTACTTCAACGAGGTTCGCAATCCGAACTTGCGCTTCGGCTCGTGCATTGAACTGACGGCGACGGCGAGCGAGTGGATGATCAAATCTCCGAGTTTGCTGAACATTGAAGCGAATCCGATTCTAATTCAAGGAAAAACGGAGAAGAATCAGACGCGATCAGCGACGAATGTGGTCCGACAGGCGACCGACGAGAAGCGGTATTGATTGAATGAATGAATGCGCGGAAACAATTTTTGATGAATTGTTTCAGGATTCTCAACGCGTCGAAACAATGCGATTATATTTCGGCGGCCGAATGCCCGCTTCTCAATGACATGAAGCCGAAAGAGGATTTGCAGCATCCGGAAAAGGTTTCGCCAATGATTCGAGACAACTAATTGGAATCTGAAAATTGTAGATTAAAAAGCTTCGCGAGAAGCTAACCGAATTGCGATCCGAGATGGCTTCGATGTACGAGATGGCGCCATTCCAAATTGTCTCGAATACGGTTATTGAAGCTTTTGTCAATTATCGTCCGACTAGGTAATGATGATGGGAAGCTTCAACTCGTAATGCTTGAATTCTGTTTAGCATCGGTGGATTGGATGTGATTGATGGGATGTCGATGGCGCAGAAAGAGCGATACGCTCATCGATTCATTGATTGCGTCGCGAAATTCGCCAAAGAGAATCAAATGACGACGAACGTGACGGGCAACGAGGAGATGCCCGAAATGCTCGTACGCCGAATGGAAATGGATTTGACGCCGGCGGTTCAGAAGGTCTACGCGGCGCACGTCATGTCGAAAGCCGAGCCGGTAATCCGACGAGTCTCTATTGAATTGTTTCCCATTTTCAGAAGATGTTGGCGCAAATGAAGTCGATCAGCGAGAGCACTGTGTACACGTATTTGACGACGGCTGTTGAGAAGGGATTCCCGGTGTTCCTCGAACCGTTGGGCGTTGATCGCCAACTTGTTGAGCAGGTGTTGACGGCAATTCGAGCCAAACTTGGATCGAGTAAGCCAGTTTTATTAATCTTAAAAAATAGTCGAAATTTCAAATTCAAAAGCAATTTTTGTTTGAAATTGACGCGTTGTGTGCATTTTGTCGGCGAATGAGTTGTGTTTGTCCGCAATTTCATTTCAACGTTCTAATTGGAAGAAAAAAGGAACGTTTTTGCATGTCTGATATGAAAATTGCGATTTTTTGGTGATGGAATTTTTTTTCTGCAATCTTTTGCCCTAAACTATCGAAATTGACATGATCGCCGTTGATTTTCAGATGTGATCCGCCTCGCGCCGATCATGGACGCGTTGCCGAAAGATCTCATGGATTATAACCGATTGAAACTTTGTCGCGCGATTTTGATTTATGAGTATGGCTATGAAAGCGATGAGCCGTCAGTGTCGAGAAACTCGATGCCTGATTGGATGGCGACGACGACGACGTCATCAGTGGAATGTCGGGATGAGCGAAAGAATACGAAAAGCAAAATCAAGCTCTAATTACAATTTATTGATTTGTCAATGTGAATGGTGCAATTAATCCAATCGCAAAAATGCACGGCCGTAGATTGTTATGACTGGTCGTGGACGACTATTGGCGCAATAGTAGATCGAAAAATGGCCTGAATTAAAGAATAATCGAATGAATTTAAGGTTTTTGAGGTACCTGAGGTCGTGTAGACAGAGGCGCACGTCAAAGATGCGACCATAAGGATGATCGTATCATCGAGTCGAATTTGGTCATCGATTAATACATGCGAGCAATATTTGAAAGCCTTAAATTGATGCGATTGGGCTATTTGGAGTGATCGAATTACCGCATTTTCAATTAATCCACAATTAAAGTCTATTTCGAAGTATTCGGAAAACTCGGGAGTTGCTATCCTCCTCAATCCACGCGGGATCGTGACGCGCAATTCTTGGAGGATCTCGTGACGAATGAATATGAGGACGACGAGCGCGAGCAGTGTGATCGACTCGCACGAAGCCAACTGCAATTTGGAACATTGATGGTGTGAAATAAAAAAAGAGAATTGAAGGTTACAAAAAGTTTGCGACGGGGTCCCAATACTGCGCGGAACATCACCAGTGCTGCCGTCGGGAGAAAATTGAAGACGAATAGAAAAAGCATGACGGTCTCGACGCGTCTCATCTGAAATTTGAGAAGTTCTCGTCAAAAATTGCAATGAATCAATGATACCTTCATCAATTGCGCCTCGGCGCTAACGATATTCTCATCTTCGGCCAAAAGAAGGTCCCTTGACTGAAATGGGGTTTTTTTTGGTTCGAATTCTATTGGTTTTCAACGAAATTCCGGAAAAAAAGTTCATGAAAAAAACGGTGAACAAAATGGTGTAATACACACGCACGCAAAATTGCACACATTCTCATTGCTTTATTTTTAATACAAATATTTGTTTTATTGAATTATTTTTAAGCAATTCTAAATTTTTCTGAAATCGAATTTAATAATGTGTGATTTTAATTGAAAATCGAAAATTTGCTAAAACAAAAATTGGTGCGCAATTAAAAAAAACTTAGTAGAAATGCCAAACTATTCTAAATTTTTAAAGGCGCACAAGTTGACGCCTGGGAAATATCCACTGGCGAAGACTTCAAGGATATCGTCTCTCACCATCGCACACTATTTTCGTTGGCGTTTTAACCCGCGCGATTTAAAAATGAAAATTTTCTTTTTTTCGAAAATCGCGCTGTGAAATTTGAACGCAGATGAAATTACATTGAATTTTTAGAAGCGCACTTCGCGAACAAAATATTTTGGGCAATAATTTCTTGCTCCTGACTTACAATGTCAAACAGCAGGAGAATCGCCTCCCGCAAATTCAATTTGATATTGTAGAGCTCGACCATCTGAATGATGAACACCACGGTGAGCCCGAGCATCTTGATCGTCGACATGAACCACAACTGCAAATGGAAATACAAATAAGAATTAAAAAAAAAAAGAAAAATCGATGTAGGGTCTCCACCTTCACAAGATAATTAATTTCCGGCATTTGTCGCATCATCAGATTGTGCTGGAAAGGGTCGCGTTGTGGAGCAACTCGTGCCATCGCTTGAAATGGTTCTGAATGAGATGAGCTATGGTACGCGTGCGGGGGGAACTGTATTCGAAAGGGTCTGCTGTGACACAGAGAGAGAGAAAGAGAGACACAGAGAAATCTGAGCAAGCGTTGGTGTGAGCGACACCAAGATAATGGCGTCATGGTGACATTTTTTTTTCTTCTCTTGGTGAACTCCAAAAAATTGGCGAAAATAAGAATATCGATGTGGAAAAAATTGTTTTGAATATTTTTCAAAATCCTATCAAATTTTATTTTAGAGGAAAAAAAACAAATTTCGTTCATTCGTTTAATTTCTATTTTAATTCGACGAAACGCGGGGTTTTTTTCCATGTACCTTTAAAATCGAATAGGGTCCCACCTTGTGGTAGCACATCCCGGAAAATGTCCGCAGACGTTGACAATGAAATGTTTAAAATCGATTTTTGATTTCCTAAAAGGTTTTTAGCAAATCTGCATTATTGTCATGAAACCGCACAAACTTCCAATTTTCCTGACATATTTTCCTGAAATAAATTTTTTTTAACCAAATCTGTCAAAATTTAATTTTTTTTGAAAAGAAAAACCTATTTTTAAATAAGAATCCAATGTACGCATTTTTGCGTGCGCGTGTGTGCACACAAATATAGATTTGATTTTTTGACGACATTTTGGAGAAACTCGATCCAGATTGCACCAAATTGGGATCACTTTTCTTCTTGGAAAAAACTAATAATTCCATTAGGGCGGCCGCGGCCGCGAATAATTCGGCCATGTCACATTTCCGCAATTATTTCGAAAATTTTTAAAATTAATTCGTCGATGATTTCTTTTAAAAACACAAATATAATTATAATTTTCAATTAAATTCTTTAAAAATGCGAGGAATGAAATTGATGATTTTTAAATTTACTAGCCATTTGCCACTTTTTTATCAACAAAATTCGTTATAAAATTGTGTTCTCTCATATAATGACCTTGAAAAATCGAAAAAATCCACTTTTAAGGGTTATTTTTCCGTACGGGACCCACCGTTGCAATTGAAACATTCAAATAATATTTTTTTTTTGATTTTCCTTGTTGCTATACGTTTCACGAGCATTATAAATTGTACCTGACGCGAATCGCCCATTTTCCCACGTTTCATTGCAATGCCCTTTCTCTTCTCTCTGGCTTCTTTTATCACTTCGCCGGGTCTCGACGCGATTCGAGAAATGTCAAAAGAGCGAACTTTTTTTTTTCATTGTTTCTATAGAAAACAATAGGCGCCATAAAATGTTTGCATTATTACTCAATTTCAAAGGCCATATGATCAATGCGTGTGTGGGTCGAAACCCCGAAAAACGTCCGCAGATGGAAATGCTGAAGAACAATAAAGCTAACGCATTTATTATTACTAAAGAATTCAAGTTTTCGACGTTGAGGCACAAAATCGATTATTTCCTGTCGGGCAATTCGATAAGGACGTCGATGGGCTCGATGTCGATCTCAGTGCTGCCCACGCAATCCCGTAAAATGGCAACTGAAACGATTTGATAGAATCTTGAATGAGAAGCTAATCGAATTACTGAATGTGATATAGAAGGCGACCAAGATTGTGAGAAAGCCGAATCCGTAGAGGACGCTCATCGGCATCTGCGATTTGATGAACATCGTCGAGCACAACGGCATCTCCTGAAAATCGATCGATGCGATTGATTTCGGCTTGATCGCGATTTTGCCTCGTCGACAATCAGCGAGCACTCGAACACGTTGGCGAAGTGCGCCGACACCGTCGGATTGCTCATCGACGCCATCGAGTCGCCGAGTGTCGTCGTCAGTGTTTTGAGAATCTCGCGACGGCCGAGCACGACGACGCCGACGACGAGAAGCGAGATCGTCTCGCAGATGTTCAACGAAAAGAAAAATTCAATGATTATTTGGTTTTCATTGGTGGGTTCCCTACTAGGACCAGTGAGCTTTTTTGTAGGGACATGCCGAATAGAAGGACCATCATGGTTAGGCTGGCGTTCAAGAAGAATAGGAAGACCATGAAGATCTCGCAGGCAACAATCTGAAAATGAAACGAGCTATGCGATTCGGACCACTCGATTTACACCCAGCAGATCGGATTGGATCGCGTAGATTCGCTCGATATTGACGCGTGGGATAGCTCGCATTTTGGTCTGAAAATTGGTGAGCAATGGGGCGGAGCCATGTGCTCATCACTCACGTATTCGATGAGCTCGAGAATCGAGTTGAACAATCGCCAGCCGTTGGCGAAATGAAACGATTGGACGGCGAACAGCGCGATGAGAACGACCATTTTCATCATCGAGGCCATCTGAAAATTTGGGAATTGATTGAAACAACGCTTCTGGAGAGGGGAGACTGGGACCTGTATGATAGTGAAGCGTTGGCCAGGTGTCGGCTTGTGAAGACCGATTTTGGTCATGATGGGACGAATCGGCCAGCCGATAGGTGGACGAGCGGATGCGAATGACTCGATAGGGGGGGAGGGGGTGAATGAGAGAGAGACGACGACGATGAGAAGGGCGTTTGTTCGCTTTTTTCTCTTATACGGTGGTAAAAAAGCTTCATTGTGGGTCTCGAAGCGACTGGACTAATTAGGCATGGTCTCGAGGCGAATGCAAATGAAACGAGCTATTATCAATGCTGCACCGTGACTTAAATTTAGATAGTTTGTCTGAAACCCCTAGTGAGCTTCTGAATTGATTTTTATTTGGAAATAGGCAAAACAGCACCGTTCAAATGCTCATAACGTTTTTTTTTCTGAAAACAAAAACCACCAATTTCATATGCATAATTTGGCAATTCCTTTTTTTTGATTTTCCTTGTTGATATACGTTTCACGAGCAATATAAATCATTGCGTACGCGAATCGTCAATCTTCCCACTTTTTATCGTTAATAGTAATGACTTTTTTTGAATACATCGCGAGTTTATTGTGTCATAGGGTATACGGTACACACTTCGGTGTATGCACACAAACACAAGTCCTGACGCGCAAATACGGAGTTTTGCGGAATTGACATTGTTTTTGAGTTTTTGCTTGATATTCCTGAATTTTGTTGTAATTACGCTAGTGATAGCCTAACTAGATATCATTTCTTGTATATTATATCTACTATTTATTTCATTCTGAATGAATCGATTTATTGTGAGTTCTCCGTTGCTATTTTAACTCAGGTAAATGAAAATCAATAGGATTCGAAGAAACATGAAATATATTAATTTGATTCGATTGAAAAAGTGTTTAAATACCATTTGAAAGCTTGGTTTCGATTCAAAATTCTTCGAAATCGATTTATTTTTTTTCTCATTTTCAATTTTGGGAGATTAATTTATTATCGATTTCGATTGAAAACGAAATTATTTTCATTTAACAGAGGACATTCTAGATAAATTCATAGTATGGTTATCTTTTATAACATGATTTTATCACATTTAAACAATTTATTGAAAAGAACCCATAGACACGTTTTGAAAAAAATGTACACAATATTTACATTATCATCGTCATCTAATCCTCCAGCCGATTCCTCGTATTGAGCTCCTTCAAAAAATAAAAACCACCAATTTATTCGCGAAATTTTTAAGAATCTACCACGACGAAATCCGAAGCGCTCTTCACTATCGTCACTATTCCATCGCGCGCCGCGTTCGCGATTCGCGCAACTCCGTCCTGAACGCTTTTGTCGATTTCGCGCCGATGGATCTCGTCAAGCGACGCCTTCAATATATAATAAACGCCGTTTCCTAAAAAAAATTCATCGGTTAATGTTTCTTTTTGAGCAATTTTATACCAATTTCGGTAATTGGAATGATCGGTTTCCAGCTAGTGATCACCGCAGTGACGTCGGGTCGGAATCCCGGAGACCATTCGCGTGCAAGGTGCTGAAAATTCCAGATTTCGTGGAGAGTTAATGCGCTCTATCGCAAAAATCCAAGCTTCTACTAAACCGCAGAGTACCTTGAAACAATCGCCGATTCCCAAAAATCCCCTCTTCGTCTCAACCTCTTTCAGATGGATCGGAATCTCGCTCAAATTGCTATAGCCCATGAGGACCCCGATGAACGTTCCATTCGCTTCCGCGTTGATTTTTCGCTTCCCTTGATAATTGATGAAGATTTTCGTGGGCGGCGCGAAAATCAATTCTCTAAATTCGAAAAATTTGTTTTTGGACCCCCAACAAAAAACGCTTGATTCACTTGATGAAAACGTCCGCGCTTCTGACGACGCCGACATCGGTCGACGCCGATTTCGGCGCCTCATCGATGCGACGCTTGAGCTCCTCCATCCAGTCCCTCAAAAATTCCGCCGTGTCCTGATCCAAGTTCACTTTGATCGGCTGCAATGAGAGCATCAGTTTGCCCTCGCGTTCGGCATTCTCCTGATATTTCACCGCAAATGACGGATCGTGTGTTCGCCGCGGAGTTGCTTCGCTCGAATACTGCAAGTCAACATTTATTTGCTCGCGTCGGCCTCCCAATACACTACCGTTGTCATCAGCAACGCTTCGTCGCTCTTCTCAACGCAATCCTGCGCGTAGAAGTCGTCGATATTCAGAAATATTCGAGTCAAACCGTCGTCGAACAATTTCCAGCTGAGCTCGGTCTGAAATTGTTTTCGTCGATTAAAATACAATCACCGTTTTCAAAAATGAAATGAGAAAGAGGAACCTTTTTAATTTCGACGACGATGAGATTCTGAATCTCACGACGTCTTTCGAAATCCAAACCGCCATAAAGCTCAGCGCTAACATTGATGTTTTTGAAAAAAACGCTAAATGTGCTCATTTTTTTCGGTGGAAAATTGGGTTTTAACCTGCAAATCGGCTGCTCCTCTTCAACTTTTGGAATATTCTCGATGCTCAAAAATTCCATGTCCATCTCAATTTCATTTTCATCGACAAGAATATTGACATACGCCGGCTCATATTCTTCCTTTAACAATTTTACTTTTTTTTTTAAATATTTCGGTTCCCCATATTTCATATATAGCTTTGTGAAACCCCGATGAATGTCCGCAGAGGGAAAATTATTTAAAGCCACATTTCGTCAATAAACTTGTAAAAATTTTCGCGATATAAAGAGACAAAGAGGTGTACAAGATTTATTGATTAATTGTGGCTCAATTGGAATCCAGCTTCTCGTTTTCCATAATAGCCATATCCATATGCTGAAGGATAACCGTATCCGTATCCATAGCTACCGTATGCTCCGTATGGATAGGCACCGTACAATCCACCGTAATATTGAGCTGTTGATTCGGGCATGATGAATGCGCAAATCATCAATGCCACCAATAAGCACACACTGCAAATTAATTAATTACTCTAATTAGCTAATTAATTATGATGACTTACAATTTTGAGGACATTTTGAAGACGAATGATTTTGTTGAAAAACTCGAGCATTTTTATACCTACTAAAATGCAAACAAAAAAGTGTCAAAATTAATATTTGTTTAATTAAACTCTTATTTTTTGCCGTTCGTTTTTTACTCGAAGCAAACATTTCAAAAAGTATAAAAGAGCTCTCAAATATCAAAAATCACACATCAATCGTCTTCAAAATGTCCTCAAAATTGTAAGTCATCATAATTAATTAAAGTAATTAATTAATTTGCAGTGTGTGCTTATTGGTGGCATTGATGATTTGCGCATTCATCATGCCCGAATCAACAGCTCAATATTACGGTGGATTGTACGGTGCCTATCCATACGGAGCATACGGTAGCTATGGATACGGATACGGTTATCCTTCAGCATATGGATATGGTTATTATGGAAAACGAGAAGCTGGATTTCAATTGAATCACAATTAATCAATAAATCTTGTATATTTCTCTATCGAAAATTTCACCGGGTGGAAATCTGCGGACATTCTTCCGGATTTGACATCACTGTATATTAAAAATGCGCGGGGGGGGTTTCCAAAATTTCAATTTCAACAAAACGAACCTCTCCGACTTGTTCATCGCACTCATCCATCGATACAATCGAATAATCGCCATCGCTTGCGGTCTGATTCGGCGAATCCTGCTCGTCAACTTCTCTCAATGCTTCTTCGAGCAAACTCTTCAAAAACAAAAATTCGGTCAAAAAAGAGGAAAACAAAAATGATAGCAACCAATTTAGTTGGTGACAACTCAATAGTTTCCATGAGTTCCGGACACTTCTGTTTGCCGATTTCGCCGAAATCCGTGAGAATGTTGAGAAGCGAAGCCAGCGAATCGGCGCAGAACGAGCATTTGATATTCAATTCTGTCGAACAAATCAATCTCATCGATCCATTTCGGCCTAATATGGATTCAAACTAGAAGCGAAAAATGTTCATTCGAATCCATTGAAAGGGCTCACATTCAACTCAACTTCTCCAGAATCCATGATCTCAATCATCTGGTCTTCTTCCATCCGCCCTATGCACAATTTCGCATGCCTAATAAGGCAAAGAGCCTAGAAATTGCTCAAATCCGAATTTGGAACCGTCTAGGCGCACTTACATTGATCCCATTCGTCAATGAATCGCTTAAATAGAGCATTCCGATTCGCGCTTCCAGCGCTTCGACACTCGTCGGCCTCAAATTCTTATGCTCATAACGAAGTGCGCAGTTTTGAAGGCAAACGCGAAAATCGAACTGAAAGATTCAAATGGATACGGTAGTCGCGGCGGGTGATTACTGTAATCGGGTCCGGCTCATAACCAGCAATCTCGTTGATTTGAATTTTGAGCAAATCGCCGAGGCTTCTCGTCCAATGCTCCTCCCAACATTCGATCGGCCTAATATGGAGTATTAAGCTTCTGAGACTCACGGCGACGAGGGATGTCTGGAAAAAAAGGGATATTGGAATTCGGGTATTCTTTAAAACCATTTCAGCGTCGTCGTTCTCCTTGAATAGTCGAACGACGATCCCAATCGAATCCTCGTCACCCTCATTCGATGATTCGAGATGAATCTCGTCGGCGATTCGCCCGAATTCCGGCGATGTCACACCAACACACTGATGGGAATCTGAAACGGATTTTTCGGGATTTTCAGCCATTCGAAAAAAAAATAACCGCTTACCAGTGGTCAAAAGCGATTGTCGCGCCGAGAAATGAATGAACGAAAGATTCGCGTCGGCGTGAAAGCCGATCGTCGCGCCAAATATGGAGTCATCGAAACGCAAAAGAATTCGCTTCTTGAATCAAACGATTTGGCGAAGAGAGAGAAGGAAAAACTCACGTTCGCCTCGAAAACCGCAAGAAATTGACGAACGCCAACCGACATCGTCAACGAGTGCGGCGCGAATCGCTCGATTCGTTGACGATTGGCCGACGCGAACAACGCGCTTCGTCGCAGCCAAACGACGGTCTCGTTGAGGCGATTCGCGAGCAATTCGAGCGTCGTCGATGATTCGACGCGACATCGCACGTCAGGCATCGTCAAATCGACGACGACGCTCGAACGTCGAGCGCAGCTCGTCGAGAACTCGTCGAGCTCACGACGACGTCCGCACAAAATGTCAATCCGCTGAAGAATTTGGAATTATTTCAATTTTCCAAACACAAACAAAAATTTTTACATCAATCGACTCGTCGTCCTCATTGCTCGCAAACGGCCGCCGAGTTTGCTCGACATTCGGCAATTTGTCGACGAGTCGCGATTTCAGCGAGAATCTTTAAATAATTGAGAGAAGCGAAATGAAATCCAACCAACCTTGAACGATTCCTCGCCAACATTAGCTCATTTTCGGCGAATTTCACTGAAAATTGCCAATTTTTTTTTCGAATAATCGCCAAAATTTTTCCCCCACCCAAACATGCGTCGAATTCGCCAAAAATCGCAAATTCATCACAATTATCGTCGAGATTCACGTGAAGATCGCCGATTTCCAGCGAGAGCGGCTCATTGTGCAATTTTCGCTCGAATTTCGCGCCAATCTCATTCGGCTTCGGCGTTCTCACGTCGATTCGAAGTGTCTCGACGCGAAGTTTGCATTGAAATTCCGATTTTTCGCATTTTTTCGACGAGAATCGCCGAAAAAACGGCGTCGATCGCGAAATTAGGCGAATTCGTTGAAGAAGCGTCAAATCGAATTCGGATTTTGTCAGATTTCGCGCAAAAATCTCGATGGTCATCTGGAAAAATTGGCGAGAATTTCTAAAATCATCGAGAATCTTGCCAATTACTTTCGTCGGACCATTCGCGACGCAGATTCTGACGCCTTCTGAAGACGTCAACAGCGAAATCTGCTCAAAACCTTGCTCCTAAATCATTTTCAATAAAAAAAGAAGTTTGTGCAAAAAAAAATACTTTTCGCAATTTCTCAACAATCTCCAATTTGCCGATTTCAACGCAAAATTGCGTCTCGTCGACGCCGTTTTTCGAAATTCGAATTTCGCCCATCGTCACCGCAAAATGATGGTCGTTGAAGCCGGCAGACGTGTCGAAAAACCTGAAACTCTCGAAAATTTCCACCAAAAATCCGGCGAAACTTCAAAACATTTTCGAGTCGTCGTCGAGCTTCCTTATCGATTCGTCATGCCCGTTTTGGGTGTTGTCGCGATCGAGCGCGTCGTGATGCGGCACACCTAAGCGGATCTCTCGAATTGTCGCGCCCACTCGAATCGTGTCATCAATCTCGACGCACTTCTCGACCTTCGTCTCGCCGATGGGACCATCGAGACGTATCGATTCCAGCATTGTCGGCGATTCGTTGAAGCCATCGAAATTCGATGGTGCCGCTGGCGATAGTGAGCAAATAAACCGGAAAATCGCATTTTTCATTTTTTCATCTCAAAAAAAAAGAAAACCTTTGAATAATGTCGAATTGCGAAACAGCGGCGAAAATTTCAATAGTTTTCACATCAATATCAACACGAAATCGTTTTTGCGAGTTGTCCGCCTCGAAAATCTCGATGGCGACTTGAATCGTCTCGGCGATGCGCGCGAATCTCACCGAATTCGGCTCGATCCTCAACAATTTAATTTTTCTTTTTGCAAGAAAAAAAAAAACAAAGCAAAACCTGGGAATTTCGGCGCTTGTCGATTCATTGCATATAACTGAAAATTGGAAAAAAAATTTCGAGTAGTCGAAATAAATCTTACGCGAAAAAAATTCAGCGTTGATGGCGTCTATCGAGCTGCTCGTATCATGCTCGCTCTGAAATTCAGATGGTCCGAAATTCAATAAACAACCCAACCATGTGCAGCTCGCGTTGAGCCTGAATGCTCGAGCTCATCGATTTGGTGAGGTCCGAGAAGATGTCGGTGTAAAACGAAACACCTTGAAATTTTCAAATCAAATCAACGCCACCAAAAAAAAGAACCTTCGATCATGATTTTTTTGCGCAATCTCGAGTTCTCCTCGAAATTGGTGTCGTCGAGAAATTCGGCCGTCTCGCAATGAACCTCCAACGCCGTCCACAACATCACCGATTGATCCGTGGGCGGTGTCTCGATGCGAACAATCGAATCGACGAGCAAAATTCGGATTCGCGAGCAGATCACGTCGATAATCGTCGAGAATGACTCGATCGATTCTTCGGATGAGCTCGACATCTCCTCATCGGGCATCTTCAAACTGTCCATAAAGCTCATCACAAGCGAGATTGCTGGAAAAATTTTTTTTTCGCTGAAACCCTCTTATTGAAACCTTCATCTTTGCTGATTGTGCTTGTCGATTCTTTCGAGAAGAAGGTCAATTGAAGCTGCTCAAGCTGAATGTCAGAAGTCTCGGCGAGCAATTGTGACCACGGAATTGCCATCGAGATTTTGCCAATAAACCCGTCGGCTAGCGTCAGTGAGCTGCTTGGAAGCAATTTATTGACTTCCTAGTAGAAAATCAAATCTTAAACCTTTTTTGAAACTCTAGTTCACCTCGACATTAATATACAAATTGCACATTTCCAATTTCCCTTCTCCCAAATTCAATGAGCAATCATTCATTGTCAGTTTCGTCAGTAAAAAACGTCCGAAACACCGCTGAAGGATCGTGCGGCACCATATTTCCTTCAATCGTTCGGTTATATTGAAATTGAGCATGAGAAGCTGTAAAAATCGATTTCGAAATGCATTGTTTTAAAAATATTAAAATTCTCAGCAAATCGCGCCGTAGAAACGGCGGTGAATAGCGAGTTTCGGTGAAACGGCGGTGGAACGATGGTTTACTAAACGCGCTAAACCGTGGGCTATGTGTAATATTAGTAGTGTCGTACAACCTTCTAAAAAAAACGAAAATTAATTTAAATTAATTTTCGATTTTATTTAAATTTCATTTAAAGTTTTAATTAAATTTCAAAATGAAGATTTATTTAAATTAATTTTATGAATTTTTTAATTTGTAATTAATTAATTATACTGTATTGATTGTTTTAAAACCTTCTATTGGTTTTAAGATTTAATATAATTAATACTACATTCTTTTTAAATTTGAAAGTTTGATTTGATGAGAATGGTTTTTCCAGAACGTTCGTTTCAACATGAAAAGGAGTAGATTGACGAAAGAAGAGAATGGTATATCTGTGATCAGCATAAAGGAAATAAATTTTGTAGACGCGCGAATTCGGGGCTATGGAGTTCGTCTTTTACCTGTTGAAAACGTCAATGATGTTATTGAAGAAGAAACTGTAGATAATAAAAAACTTGTAATAATCGTCAAAACGCATGAATATCACCATCACATTCAGGTAATGAAAAATTCGCGGCTATATATATAATTGTATGCTTATTTTAGATTAATGCACGAAGTAGAATTTCTTAGAACTTCACCACTGCTTATACAATACGAAGGGGTCAAATATTCCGTCATGGTCGAGCCAGCTGTATCATTTTTGGATCTCAAGGCAAGCTTGTCTTGGTACATAATGAAACATTACGATATAGGGCATGTGTCAGATCTGTGGTCTTCCGAATTGGGCAAGTACACAGGGATGCACACTTTGCACGATCATTGGTTCGAAATCGGGTCGGCAAGCGGTTTCTTTTTTTCCGACATTCAAGAACTGCGAATGATGTAATGAATATGATGAGAGCTAGCGGAAAATTAAGTAAGCAATTCCCTTCAAACCTACATCTAAAATATGAATTGTTAGACATTCTGTCAATTCTTGCCAGCCCATCAAATCAACCGTTCGATGAACTTCATTACCTTTCCGAAGGGTTTTTGAAAAATTTATTGGAACAAATTTTTGGGCGCGGTTCAAATTTGCCTCGGTTGAAAATTTCGACTAGGGTGGTTCAGGCACTTTCATGTTCTCTGATTAATACCATAGATCCACCGGAAACGCCCTGCAGGTTTGCTAGCCCAGAAAGATTCTCGCGTGCGACCGGTTCAGAGATAAGAAAAGTGAGCAATTTTAAAGTTGGGACATTTGATTATATTTTTCAGTCAGTTCAGTTTACTCTTGCTGCGTTATCAATGACATTTAAGTTTCCTCGCATCATGGAAACCACGTTTTTGGCTTGCTTGTTCATATTTAACAACTTGCTATATATGGCAAGGACCGAAGCTCATCTCTACGCAATCCAACAACTTTCGAATTTCATAAAAGGATATATTGGACATGAAAATAGCGAATTCTATACGCTTAAAATGCATGTAAGAAAATTGACTTGTTTAAAACAGAAGAATGGTAGCAATTCCAGCTGATTTTTGATCACTGTGTGGAGTTGATTCGTAGATACGGCAATTGTTCAACAACTTCAACTGCAAGTTTTGAAAAAACGCACTGCTACTTATCGTTAATGACTAATCAACTATCGATTGCGGATATGGCGAAAAAGTTTATAGCGGACAGTTATTTCACAACCGAAAAGAGGTAAATTCTTAATGTAAATCTCTTAAACTTGAATTTCTTCAGTTTGGATTCGACTTTACAGTTAAGTAGTGATATTGAATTTTCGAGGAATTATAGAATTACGAATTCGTCTACAATTTCAACGTTATCACAGAAAGTGGCATCACACGGAGGACAAATTTAATTTTTTGCAGCCAAATGACTAAATAATTTTTTTGTAATAAATTATTCCAGTTTTTCGCGAGTACTTTCAAAAAAACAATAAACGTGGTGAAATATGACAATAGTTTGAAAGTACTAAAACGAAGGCAGTACGACACTCCGCGCGTACGCGTGCAATTTCGAAGAAACGGCGGTGGAAAGTTGGAGGAACGAAAGTGTCTGTTTTCTTCACCGATCATCTGCCGCCGTTTTACTCGCTATTCACCGCCGTTTCTACGGCGCGATTTGCTGAGTTAATAAAAAAAATTCCGTGAATTGTCGTGACGGTGTTATTGCACACAAAACACTAAATCCTACGATTATATTATTTTCATTTCAAATTTTATTTTCTATTTCAATTTTAATCTTACTTCCTTCACAACCTTTTTAATTCTTATCAGTGCATCGCGATAAAATACTTTATTTCAGATATACACACATAGTTGTCATGAACGCGGATGGAACATTTCACAATAATTAAATAATAAATAAATACCGTGGCTGAGCTAAAAAACAAACTGGATGAGCAGCAGAATCGGGAAAAGCTCTGTTAAGAAAACGAAGAGGAAAACGAATTGAGGCCCGTAATCAAAGTGCAGCTATAATGACATAATGTCGAAAAGAAAACAAGACGGAGAAATGTGTGAATGGGAGGGGGGGGGGGCGCAACACAAAAAAAAACTACGAAGAACGCGAGAGCGATAAATATCACGAGAATGTTTCGTTCGTTTCTCTCTCGTATCAAACAATTCGTTTGGCGCGTTTGAATTGGCACGCGGACGCGCGAAGCGCAAACGATTTTTCCAGCAATTTGAGCCGAATTCCAGCATGATCGTTGGCGGCTTGCGACTCGCAATGACCGCGCGCCGGACAACACTCCTCCAATTCGCGACAATATCTCGACCATTCAACAACGTTCTCACAATCAACGTCCGACTCCCTCAAAGGCGCCGACGTTCGACAACTCGAATTCTGTAGGCAACTTGGTTAAATCGATGCAACATTGAACGAATTCAAACCATAAACGCCTTTCGGTTAACACATCCAATGAGATAGTTCAATTTGCTATTGGCCGCCTCATCAATCAACTAAAACCAGAAACCGGTTACCATCTACTCATTTCACTATTCACCTTGTATAGAGGAAGGAGCTGCTCTGAGCATTTATCAAAAGCTGGCGGATACTCCTTGAAGCATTTGAGCCTCATCTCATACTCTTTCTTCAAACACTTCTCGTACCTCTGGCATCCAGTTTTCACCTAAATCTTGCATTTTTCAATTTTTTTCCAAATTTCCAATTAACCGTTCTTCCAACAACTTTGTTGAATGGATCAGGCTTCTTCGTAGTGACTGGTAGAATCACAATCGGATTCCTATAATACGATTCTCTTAAGTAGATGCGTTCGAAACACTTACATTGCTTTCATCGCTGCGCCCATCATCTTGCGTTTCCTGATCGGAATCGGCCACAATTGGTTGTCGAGCGTCGGCGGTGTGCTGCTGAACGCCGACGGTGTGACGTCATCGGTGCCGAATTTGTCGGCGGTCATCGGCAGCGGTATGAGATTGTTGGCCTGCGCGGCGCTCAGCTCGTCGGCGCTGACCGGCGCCGCCGTCGTTCGGAATTGCGGCGGCGCCGTCTCATCGACAGCGAACGACGGCTGCATCGGCCAGCTGACCGACGAATTCGCCTGCTCGTAGCGCGCGTGCGCAAACTGCGGCGTTGTCGTCGGCGGAATATCAATGGCGCTAATGTCGATGTAGTCGGAACTGGAGAAATCGAAATCGTCGTCCGTCTTCGGCAACTCCATATGTTTGTCGAGAAGCTCGTGGGTGATGTAGTCGATTAAAGGATCCACTTCTGGAGGCGATCGAGGTGGTTCCGAAATCGCGGCGGCGTTTGTCGTGGTGGTGGTGGAGGCTTCCGTGGTGGATCGCAATGTCGGGAACGTCACCCGACTAATGATCGGCGGGAATGTGATCGCCGTCACTGGAGCCGCCGACGTCGCCTCGCTACTCGGCGGATCCACAGTCCACGCTCCATTGCTATTCACGAATCCCTCGCTGCTGTCAGGCGGCGGTGTGAATGGTGGCGGATTCTGGCGGCCGGCTGGAAATTCTACAATGTCGAAGACTCTACTCGAATATGATACCGTCGAAGACCGGCGGCTTCCACGGCGGCAGCTGTTGTCGATCATCCACTGCCATCGTCGTCGATTCGCCCGCCTGCGACTCAATGATATCATCATAGATCTGATCAACCGAATTGGATTTTTTCGGCTTCAAATCGGAATCGATTTGCTTCGCGTAGGGTTGCGCGTAGCCGAGAAACGTGCCCTCATTCTGACGGACGAGCAACATTTTTGGAATGAAATTCCTCAAATACTCGCCTTTTTGCTTCAAGTCTCTTGAGAGCTCGTCGAGCTTATGAATACTCTAGAATCAGACGAATCAATTAAAGTGCGGCTCGACGGGATTACCTTCAATCGATTCGCCCTCGATTCTTTGGTGACGAACGCGTGCTGAAGCGGTATCGTTGTGTACTTGGTGCTGTGCTTCTTCTTGCGATGCCTTCTGCGCTTCTTCAATTTTCGCTTGTTGAATGTGAACGGCGAGAACGCCGGCGGTTGTGTCGACACACTTCGGCTGCCTTCATGAAGTTCGGTGAACGGCCGCAACGACGACGTCGGCGGCTCAACGTGAAAGTAATTATTTTGGCCGGCTCGCACATACGTCGCATATTTCGGCTTTGAAATCCCATATTTATGGCCTAAATCACGATTTAAAAAAAAAAAACAAGCAATTTCGCTAAAGAAGTCTATTCGTACGAAATTGTCGACGCGGTTTGAAATTCCATGATTTTGTGATTGGCGCGGCGAATTCCTTCTAAACCAATTAACGCAATTAGGTCAATTTTGAGTTGGCGTCTCACGGCGCTTTGAAAATTCTTGTGCAATCGCTTCTTGATTATCGTCTTCCTCATTTTCGTCTTATCCATCGCGGCGACAATTCGAAACGGCACGACGGTGCGCAACAAATGTCTCGCCGAATTTGACACCTTCTGCGCAATTATTGCATCATCATTCCTAAAAAAAAAACAAAGAAAAATCGCATTTTTTGTTCTCAAATCCTACGCCGAATTGCCGTCTCTGACAATCGAATCCATTTCGACGACGCATCCCTCCAATTGGACTTTGAGCGCGCTTTTCTCGAGCTCGAACTGCTCGCTGATGACGTTCTCGTCGACGACGCGCGTGCACTTCTGCGCCACCGGACAACAACGCGACAGCATATAGCATTGTTGTGTGATGCGTATCACGTCGCTCCAACAATTCGTGCCCGCTGTGACTGGATTGTAAGCCAAGGCGGTGCACGTCGGATCCTGTCAAAACAACAAAAAAAAAATAAATATATGCGAAAGTTGAATGCGCGCGCGGTGTTTTATGTCAACTATTACGGTTTCTAATAGTTGATTGATGTCGGAGATTGCCGAGTAGCGCGCCGTGCACTCGCCGAATTCCGATTCGATGCGATATGATGTCGACGTGTGGTCTCTGCAAGAATTCCAGAATGATTTCAATCAAAACAATAATATTTATTAACAGCGTGGTACTGTAGGACACTTGACGTGTGCAATAGTACACCGCGACGACAAACCACAGACCAACTATAGATTCTTTTTTTTTCTCATTTCTCACCTATAAAGCTTGCCGATTTTGCAGGTGTGCTGCACAATTCGACGATTTTGCTCGGCGCAACTCCATTGGCGTCGGAGAAGCTCGTTGCGGCACTTCACGTACCGATCGCAGCCATTTTCGTCGTCGGCCGCCTAAAAAAAGACGCATTAGAAATATACACATCCTAATTGCCCAATAATTATCGAATTTGTCGCGTCTGCCAATTATTATTACCTGAACTCCACGTATACGTATCGTTAAAAGGATGCTGAAGGCGGCGATGAGGCCGACGAACTTGCGCCTCATTTGGTGTGCCTCTGAAATCGAAACTGAATGTCAGAATGGATGAATGGCAGGCCAATTGGGATGAGAGGGGCGGAGACTGTCGCTTTCTTCTTTAAAGCAACACAGAGAAAGAGAAAAAAAAAAGCAAATTCCTATTTATTGGCATATTATTATTATATCATATATTAGTTTTAATGTTGCCTGATTTATGTGACGCATGATTCATGTGAAAGTGTCACGGCTTGCAAACGCAGCCATCGATGGCAAGCATATTCAAACGATTAAAAAAAACAAAAGTGAAGCATTCTAATTGACGCAAAATTGCACACCACCTCAAATATTTGTTTTTCTTTTTCAAGATTTTTGGCAATTCGGACGCCAAAACGAAACGCGTATAATATAGCTAACTATGCGAATAATAATAATAAACATTTTCGAGAGGTAAATAAGGCGACATTAGCAATTGCAATAAGCTTGCTTAAGCTAGCGGCATGAAAGCAATTAAAATGCGGGGGGCGATCGCTTTGAGGAGAAAAAAAGGAGGGGAGGGGATGGTGGGAGGCGATGAGATGGGTGGCGCCGTACTGAATTGACACCAACCGTTGGCTAGTTTCAAGCATAATTGGTTGACACGCGGATTTGTAGCGAACCGAAAATGTTGGTCTTGAGAGAGAGAGAGATGGTTTTTTTGGGTGGGTGGCTCCTTTAATCGCATCAAATCGAATGCCAATCTTAATCAGGCGGCCGGATTCGGGCAATTTTGGACTTTGCTAGAAGCTTATGGTACTAAGAAGTAACAAAAAACCCCCAAGATCGATTGCGCAAAAGAAAAACTCGTTTTTTAAGAGTTTTTTCTGCATAGGAGGACAAAAAAATATTGGCAGCATATTTGACGCAAAATTGCACACCTCGAATTATCTGAAAACAAAATGCTGTTTGCCAAGTCTACAGTACACATTAAAGGCGCAACGAGAGTTTGCCGAAACATTCCTTAAAGGGGGTTTGGTTGGAAAAAGCGAATAACGATATGAATCATGGAAATGAAATGAAAATGAGATGAATAATTAAGCGTGCAATGTTTTCGAGAATCGACCGGAAAAAGTGGGCGAAATGAATAGATTATTGGCACAGATAGGCGCGGGGGCGAAAATTCTCGATTTCGTCGATTTCCTATATATTAATATATCTATATAGATAGATATATGCATAATTAAATTCGCACCCTTCTTACCGGTAATTGGTTTTTCGATTTGCACTCACTTGGTGGTGGGCACCTTGCTGTTCAAATATTCCGATGAGAAGCTGACGTCGGAATGCAATTGCGATTGATTGATGCGCCATTTATGGGGACCTGTTGAAATGTCGTCGTCATCATCAGATTGCGATTTCGATCAAAACCAACCTCGAATATTGTCCGCAGCACGCCACGACGTGAACCAATGCGAGCGATCGCGCCATTTTCTAACTAATTGCGATTTGATAATGTACTGTCAATTAATAAATGGTATCAATGGCTCCTATAAGGATGTGATTTTTGGTTTAGATGATAAAGCGAGCATTAAACGGAATAGGAGGCTTGAAGGCGGCAATGAGAAGACGCCGTCGACGCAGGAGCAGCCGGTTTTGGAGGCGTCGAAGAGCGGTATGAAGCCGTCGCTCGATGAGGTCGCCAATGCGCCTTTAAATTTTTCTTTTCGAATAGCCGCTTTTAGAACATCACTCAGGAGCATGTCGATGAGACGCCGCCAAAAGTTGAGACGGTGAGCAAGACGATCATGGCGCAATTGGTGCCCGACGAGGAGGAGGCCACACCGCATCCGATTCGATTGTCGCATTCGTCGTCGGAGAATACCGAGGTTCGGTGTGGTGTTCGGAAATAAAAAACGTCGCGAAATTGTGATTTTCAGAAGTTGCAGACGGTGAAAAAACGGGTGAAGCGACGGAAATGTGTGAAGAAGTCGTCGTCGTCGGGCGAAAAATATCGAAGTGCGGCCGTCGATCGAAGCGCGACGTCGCGAAGCCGCAAGAAGCCGCTGAAATCGGCGATGCCGGCAATGAGAAAGAAGGAGGCGACGCACAATCGCGTCGAGAAGAAGGAGAGCAGCTCGATGCGTCGAAAAACGAAGAAGGCGAAAAAGGCGGGGCCGATGAAGGACGAGACGATTCTTCGGCAAATCTTCAACAAGGCCAAATCGACGTTTAAAGTCAAACCGGACGCGCGACTCGGCGACACCTATATTCCGATGTCCGACGAGTACGATCGCGAGCCTGACGTGCAGGCCGAGTATGAGATCGACGAGGTGCCGACGCCGGAACCGCAAATCATTATCAATAACGAGAATAATGGGAAATTGTTTGTCAACGGGCTGCCGTTTTGGTGCACCAAAGAGGAGAAGCCGCCGGTGGAATATTCGGTGAATTTCGCCGAATTGGTGAAAGATTGCGTCGAGGGCAAAATGAAGCTGCTTCCCGAGCTAATCGAGCCGTGAGTAGGGATTCGGTTTGGGCGCAACTCGCGTGCGGCCTAGAAAAATTGGGTTTCGAAAATTTCGGCCACGGCCACACTTGATGGATTAATTTGTTGAAATTTTAAGTAGAACTAAATGAATACGTTTATTTTATGCGTGTTTACGATTTCAAAAAATCGGATATCAAAAATGGAAGTCAGAAATAAATGAAAATCGCTACTAACAAGCATTACATATAATTTTCAAAAATTTTCTGGTAATTGTGTGCCGCACTTGCTGTTCTTCTAAGAATTTGTGTGCCGCACTTGCATTTTTGCTTTTTAAAAGTGTCTCACATGGAGTTGCGCCAATCCGCGCCAATTTCACCATTTATTTCCTGAGTGGGGGGCACTGTAGGGCGTTGTCCGCAAACAGTCGTGTCGGTGAACACACATTCATCAAAAAAATTTTTAAAATATTTCTCAATTTTCAGCAATGATTTGGACATCTATCATCCACTGGATTATATAATGTCGAGGGATAAAGAATATTTCAAAAATCAGAATCGCCTGATGACAAACACAATTCGATCGCTGGTTGGCTGCGGACTGGCGGCGGTATTCCTCGCCGTCCGCTCTCGTCTCTCAATCAATTCGGCGTTTAGGAAGAAGCCGCGCCGCTTCCGTCGACATTCCTTCCAGCCATCACATTCGTGATCCCGCAACGAATGATATTGTACAACCGCAAGTGTCGCTTTCAAACCGCCACCACCGTATTCGTGCCGGGCCAACTGATGCGAAAACGCAAGAATCGCAAAAAGAGGAAGAAGAAGAAGGACGGCGAGAAGAAGTCGTCCGAAACCGCCGCGACGCCATCGTCCTGACGAAATCAACACACAATACTGTTTCATAATTCTGTATTTACGTACTTCAATTTTCTATAGAAAAACGAGGAAAATCAATTATGATATTGATAAAGTGAAGAACGCGAAAAGAAAACCCGCAGGGTCCAACATGAATTGGGGACTAATCGATAATCTATAGATCATTAGTGGGTAAGAAGACGAAAAAAATTGAACTTAAATACAAACAAGTTATAATAAATTTGAAAAGTATCGCTGGTATAATTTCGGGTAGGTCTTCGAAAATGATTCGAGCTGCTTCTGTTTTAACGTAAGCGACATCTTCTTATCCTCAATGACGAGCTAAAAGTCAAATTGATTCATTTCTGGCGCACAATTCTCGCCGAAACTCACCTCGATCATTTTCACGAGCTCTTTTTCAGTCTCGTCCAATCCTTCATACATCGTCTCCTGCTTGGCAGGTCGCAATCCTTTCCCCTGCACCGCAAACCGCACAGGCGTCACATTCTCCGGCGCGCTTCTTCTGCAACAAAAAAAAAGTGTCAACGTCAATGGCTGGCCGAGAGCGCCGAGAAAACGGTGCGAGCATGCAGACAATGGCACAAAATTGATCTACTTTCTGCTTCGCCATCGTCTTTTCGGCGGCGAGCGAACGCACTTGGCACGCAGCGACTCCTCCAATTGCGGCGTCAGTTTTCCGAGTCTTCCCGATGTTCGCAGCTCGACAAGCGTCTAAAATCGACAAGGTTTTTCATCCAAACAAGAATCAAGAAGGCAAAATTGAAAGGAAACCTCAATGAAAATGTCCTGCTGATTATTTGTCATGCATCCACGGGGGAATATGAAAGATCGAAGCTCGTCGATAATTACTCGACAATTCTCCTTATTTTTCGGCTCTTTCTAGAAATTTGAGTTATTTTTTTTGTTGTTGCAAGAGCAAAAAATGAAAAAATGCTCACTCTTCCGAGATAGAATGGACTTCTGAGATCCTCCACCGCGTTCGTTCTCATCGTGATCTGAAGCCACTGCACAATATTATCAATCATCGATCGCAACGGTGAGGGGATCATGAGGAATAGGTACCTGAATAAATAATTGAATCAGCAAAAAAATAAGCAACTCACAATACGGCGAGATTCAGCTTCTCGCCCGAATCCAAATTATTGATCAATTGCTCGGCGATTTTGCCGAGAATCGCCGAAAACTCGTTGGGTATCAGCGGCGACGCGCCGTTTTGCGTCATTTTCTCGAGTTTCGCCGACACCGCCGCCAATGCCGCTTTACACCAAAGGTATAATTGCATCACCGAACTTTTGCCGGACGTCTGCTCCAGATAGAGCGTCGGCGCGCATAATCGCGCCATTTGGAACCACGCCGAAGCCTCTCTTATGATCGGATGCGTCTCGACGAGCAAATCCATTTCATCCTCTTTCCGGTAGTCAAGTCTCTCCTCACTTCCACCAATTTTCATTTTATCAAGTATTGAGCTCAGGAATGACGCATTTTTCTAGAAAATTCCGTTTTTGGAAAAAAAAAACAAAACGAAAAAAATCATACTTTTGAGTCATCGACAGGAAGGGCGAAATCTTCAAGAAACTCAACTTCAATTATGTTTAGCAGGTGCAGTAGAGATAATTCATATATCCGAGCTTCTTCTAAAAAAAAGAATTCCGAAAAAAAAATACAAATTCCCATCGACAATCGGATACCTTCTTTAATTGCCTGCGTCGCAATCTGCTTCGATTTCTTCTCATGCTTATCGCTAGTGAACAAGCTCCAAGTCGATCGAAGGAACGTCGAATTCGACTCTTTCTCCTTCTCCTCCTTCCTTCCTCTCGAATTCGATCGATTTCGGCGAATGTTGCCGAGCGGCGAGAAAAGCCGCTTGAAGCTGTTGCTGCGGCCACTCGAGCGGCTTACAAGGCTCGGTGTCTCCTCGTGAGCGCGAATCGGCGACGGAGCACAATAATATCTGCAAATCGTTATTGGCGCTGGTTTCGCGAAATTTCTCGTCAACAATATGAAAACATAATAGTTTAAAGTGCGAACGTGAGAATGCCCACCTCTGATTACTATCATCATCTGATAAAATATAATAAGCGTGTTCGCTATCAATAAACTTGCGAATGCTTGGATCGACACTTTTGATAATATTTTGCTCGCGCCACAAGTCAAGCAAAAGCACGGCGTTTTTGCGTCCGACGTCTTCGCGTTTAAAACATTCCTTATTTTTCAATATGAACACTTCGAGAATGTTCGCCGCTTCGGCGCCGGTGAATTCGCCAGAATTTCTAGAAAACCAAAATGATATCAAAATTCAGAATTTTGGCGGATTGAGCACCTAATCACTCCAATACTTCGTTTAAAATATGACATCATTTTATCCATGGTTTCCTTGGCTTTAAATTGACTTCGATATTCTGCTGACCCATTTTCTTTTTCATCTGAAACAGAAATTTGTAAGAAAAAAAAAACGCAAACAAATTACCAAGGGGTTCGATTTTGAGAGCGCTTCTCTGCGGCTTCATCGGCGGCATTTGGCGCATGACTCCACGCGGCGGTTTGGGCGGCGGTGGCGATGGTGTATCGTCTAGGACAATCGAGTGCTGTTGGGTGTCAATTAAATTTGGCGATGCTGACATATTGGGCGAGAGGACGACGACGACGACGATCTGCACAAGAATTCGCACGTTGGGGGAACGAGACAACAACGGGAGCAACAACGATGGGATGGTCGCACATTTACAAGAAGCCGGTAGAATTTGCTAGAGGCACACGATTTGGGAGCAAATAAATCAAAAGGGAAAATTAATAAAAAAAATAATAAGGCAACAATCACGCTAATTGAAAACCATCGATGGAACGCTGTAAATCGGCTAAAATTTCAAATTCCGAGATTACCGCCGGTGCGGTGGAGCGCACATGCAACACACATCCCCGCATTCATCGCCGCAAAAACCCCGAATAAGGCAATTTTTGTTTAAAAAATTTCATCTATTGGTTCTTTCCGGTGAAAATGTCGAAAAATGGGGCGGCAGTGATTATCGATGAAATTAAGGGTTTGATTTGGTTTGTTTATTATTATTATTATTGTGTACTAGTTGAAGGGCTGCGCAATTCGTGGAAAAAGCAACAAAATAAAGGTTGCAATAATTATCCAACAAATTTCCAGCGGTTTCGAATTAAACAAACCGCCAAATAAAAGATTTCGACGAATTTAGAAATTTTTGGTTGGTTTGAGTTGCTCGAACAACAAAAATGTGCACTTTCGCCATTAAAATAATTGATGATTAATATAGTTTTTATCAATTTGTTGTTAATAATAGCCAAAAGTTTAATTTAAAAAAAAAATTTTTGCACTTTTAAAATGTCTATTTTTAAAAAATTGTGATGCAATTTTTTTTTTAATTTAAAGCTGAATAAATTTTTACGATTTCTCACACCGGCGGCTCGCCGATAAAAAAAAAGGTCGCAATGGAAAAATAAATAAATAGAACGGAAAAAATCACAAGTCGATGGAATTTTTGAAGAGCCGCTTCGCCGCCCCGCGGTTGCGCGAAAATAAAACGGTGATAAAATATTGGGACGAGCAAAATGAAAATTTGGCCCCTCGTGCAATTTGTCGTCACCTTCCGCGCATTCCGCAAACACCGTGGCGCTTCATTTGACGCCGAAATTGAAATTCATTTTTTTTCAATACAATTTTTTCGTATTCCGCTGCTTCTATCAATCAACCACTTTCACTCAATCGCTGGACTCGTAATCACCGAGGAAAAAAAATGGTTCGCCCACTCCATTTCATTGAATACGCCATGCTGCTGATAACGGAACGCCTAAAACCTGACCAATTTTCGCCACGATACGACGTTTCCTTCTTCCACAAAAATTGCCTATTTGATTATGTCATTAATTCTCGTCGATCCGTTCCAGCCGGATTACATCATCCGGTGTAAATTATGCGTGCGCGGTTTTCGTCATACATCGCAATTAGCATCGGCCATCGTATACGCAAAACTAGGGACATTGACAAGAAGTTTCTAAAAAATTTTGTGGTTTGATCTACTTTTAGCGGTTTTGTTCGCGAAAATATTTGAAATTTCGAATTTTTCAATTTCTAAAATTTACAAAAAATCGAATTATTATGAAATTTTCAATTTTAAATCTTCAAAATCCCAACTTCCTTGTTGAGCATTGATCATTATTCCAGTTGGCTCATTTTTATCGAAATTCGCTGTGTATGCCCCCATTGTCAATTTTCACTGATTATTATCATCTGTGTATGTGTGTGTGTCTTTGACAGTCAATTCAAAATTGGTGTTATCAATCTGAAATGTTTTCCTCATTTTTTTTTGTGAATTGCGTGGGACTCCAGATATGGAAAATATAAGAAGCAATCATATTAGAATTGAATTCAATATTGATAGCTGCGGACAATTTCAAAGAATCCTCGTGTTTATTGCGATAAGCGAAACCCGTAATACGTCCGCAGCTAATTGGTCTTATAGACCAATACCAAGCTAGTGTGTGGGCGCGCCTTTTCAGTTGAACTCATAGAATAGTAGCTGCGGACAGTTCACGGGCAAACCCGCGGTACGTCCGCAGCTAAATTTTCATATCAATTTTTTTATTTATATCAATTTTCGATGACTGAGTAAATAAACCCATTCGAACAAAAAATGGACTAATCGTTTATGCGGTAATTTGTGACCTTTCATTTGATACGTGCTAAACAAACTGTTGTTTGATTCGTCAGCAAAAAATTTTCACGGTGTTGCAAAAAAAAAAGTGATGGCTTTATCAAAGGCGCATGAATACGGTAGTATCAAATTCGGTGTGTTGGCGTTCCGCACATGGTCGCATAGCGATCAAAGATCGGAGCAAAACCATCGAAGATCTCAGCGGATGGCCGATCTTAAAACCGATTTGATGAATGGACGAGTGATGATGTCAGCGGCGGTGTGCGTATGTCTGATTTCATCCCAACAACAATATCTCGCGACGTGTCAACGAAATATCGCGCGCTTCGTCGTCGTTTGGTGCATAATGAATGGCGGGGGGACGGGCGGGACACGTCGACCTCTGGCCCGCCCGTCTTCGATCATCGCCAAGACGCAGAGAGAAACGAGAAGTTGGGGGATTCCCCCACACCAAATCTTGTTTATTTATTGATATCGTTGCTTGTTGTTGTTGTTCCGCAAAATTGCGTCGGCGTGTACACACACATCCATAGGTGTATTTTATTTTCCCTTTTTTTCGTGTGCAATTTGATTCCGACGTGTTTGCAGACATCGCACCACATGGGTGCGAAATCCATCAATAGGTATCATCGCATTGTCAAGTGTCACAGCGCGGTGTTTTGAGATGGATGTTTGATCAGCAATTCAATGTATATCGATAGCACACAAACAAACACGTGTATGTGCTCGCCGAAAAGGTCTTTGGCACTTATAATGTGTCAATCGGTGTCGGCGTGTGCCCCAAGTACCGTTCCCATGCACTCGGTGTCCAGCCGAAAACATCAATTGGTGAGAAAAACAACAAAAACAAATTAACATCAACAGTTTTCCCCAGCGAGACATTCCTCATTTTATTTTATCATGTCTCATCACCCCTCCATTGAGCAATTGTGGACCATCGCAATTTGGTGAGCGCGCCAACTCAAATTAGGCGCTCTATTAAACGTTAAATCGTCGTTTAACAACTCGTCCCCCCCCCCAATTTTGTTATGCGCCTTTAAAATGATCTCCGAACACCGCTCATTATTCAATGTCGCAACTTGTTCGCGGAAAAGCACCATCGGGGGCGAATCATCCTCAACATAATTGGTGATAAGCGCGCTCTATGACTCCGCCCACCCATCCCCTCCCACCAATGATGGGCGGGAACCCAACGAGAGTGGGTCCATTCGTCATTATCATTTCGACAGTCAGCTCGTCGCAAATTATTATTTATTTTTCTTCTTCTTCTTCTTCTTTCGTTGCCATCTCACGATCAACTCTTGCAGACGGCTTCACCTGTTGTATATGCGAATTCTTTGCCAAATGCCGCCACACCTTCAACAGTCGCATCATCATCAGTCGTCGCCACAATCTTGCGGCAAATCGATCTATGCGAACGAGAAGGTGCGCGGCGCGATACGCGATCACGAGCCGACGATCGCGGCGGCGAGCATCGCACCGCGGCACAAGGCCAAAGTGGTGGTGCTCGGCGATTCGGGCGTCGGCAAAACGTCGATCATCTATCGTCACAAGTTTGGCTCGCGATTCGCGCCCGTCAACGCCACCATCGGCGCTTCATTCGTCTCGAATGATGTGTGAGTTTCTCAACGCATTTTTGGATTCCTTTACTATCTCGACAACGTCTATTTTTTTGCAGTGAATCTAGCAAGAAGGAGATGGTTCGCCTTCAAGTTTGGGACACTGCCGGCCAAGAGCGCTACCGGTGCATGGTGCCGATGTACATGCGGAATGCGGACGCCGCGTTGATTATTTACGACGTGACATGCCGAGAGACATTCGAGAATGTCGATCGATGGATTCGGGACCTTGAGCGATCATGCGGCACTGATGACACATCGATTTATTTGATTGGAAACAAGGTAGTGATATTTATTTTGTCATCCAGGGTACTGTAGGTTTTGAATGTACGTGAAGCACGATGACGCGAAATTGCGTACATGTTGAGTTTTTTTTCGATTGATTTTCTCGCAATTTTATATTATTTTTGCAGACAGATCTTACCGAAAAGCGAGAAGTTTCCACTGCTGAAGGTCGAGCGAAAGCGGCAAAAATCAATGCGAAATTCTCGGAGGTCTCCAGTGACCATCCAAATTGTAAGAAATGGTTTTATTATTTTTTGATATTTAATTTTGCGTGTGTTTTTTTTTCCAGTATTTTCAATTCTACTCGGAGAAATTGCCGATGATGTTTTGAAGAATCGTGAGAAGAAATTCAAAAACATTATCACCGATAAAAAGAAGATAATGCTCAGCGATTCGGACTCCGTCGATAGTATAGAGAGCTCCGAGCTGAAGGTCATCAAATCGAAATGTTGTTCCCTTCTGTAACTTCTAGTCTCTGTCAAATGCTAGTCACTAAGTGATTCTTGTTTTTTTCTTTTTTTTACTCATCATCTACTCATTTCTTTTCTTTTCTTTTTTTACATTTTCCCCGTCAACTTCATTTTAATCCTTACGAATCTCAGGTATTGTTTCGTTAATAATTCAGTGTTGTCTTTCAGTTTTTTTTAAATTCCCATTTTCTTTCCCATTTATATATATATATATATATATATATATATATATATATATATATATATATATATATATATATATATTTATTGTTTCTATGTTTCCTTTTACCCGTGTATAACCGTGTACTGGTCGATATTATTCGAATAAAAACGTGTGTATTTGATGATCGAAGCGCGTCGCGAATCGAATTTCAGCAAACAAGCAAACCGCCTCGCCGGGACGGCGCGGCTCCGGTATCAAGGAGCATCCTGTTCCACGCCTTTTCATTTTGTACGTTTTGTTGTTGGTCATCAGCCGCGTTTCATTTACATAAAAATGACCGCAATTTCGCGTCATTTCTTGCAACAGTCGTCAAATAAAATGCATGGTGTGCAAACACGAAAAATCGAAATGAAAAACCAATTTCGGCAATTTTCTCCCCATTCGATTTAAACCTCACCAAGTTTAGCCGAATCAGTTGAGTGCTTGAGTAGTAGTTATTACTAGCTGCGGGAAGGCCAACCGGTTGCCGTGCCAAATCCGCTACTGCGAAAAAAGACCGGACAAGTCCGCATGCCTGCCCGTTTTCCATTTTTACAATGTATATATTGTGCGTATTTGTGTGTACCTTATAATTATTATGCAACACATCAATTCGCTTTCATTTCAGAACCAAAAACGTCCTAGGAAGCCCTCGAATATGCAGAAGAACCTCTAGACGACAATGATTCGTTACCTATTTATTTTCTCGTTTGCACCTTTTATGGCGATTGCCGAAATTGGGAAGGTTCGCCAATACACCCATTTTTGAAAACACCACTTTTTTTGTAGATCAAATCCGATTGTGACGTGGAATTCGCCGACGTCGCCACCAAATTAGCAGCAGAGCATGTTAGCGATCCGCGCGTCGTTGAATACATCCACGCGGTCATGTCCTCATGGTCCCGACACGAAAATTGATTCGAGATATGGAATATTCTTATTTTTTTGCAGCAATAAATCGCCACTTCAGAAAATGACCGAATCGTCGGTGTTCCTTCTGCACAAAGGCACAATTTCGCCAAAAGTCATGGAAGAGATCAAGTAATTTTTGGTGGCGCCAAATTTCGATCGGCTCTTATTATTTCAGAGAGAATTACGATCGAATTCAAAAAAAGAAGGATTTGGAAATGTCGAAGAAAATGAACCAATTACCGCCCGAATTATATAGTGTATGATTTTTGGCTTCAACATTTTTTTGGTTTTTGAGAGATTCGACGATTTGCAGACGGCGCAGAAGCTTCGCATCATTGCCACGTCGGCAGGATTGAGCGGGAACGAGCGAAAACAGCAAATCGATCAGCTTTTGGCTTGTGAGACCCATTCGCCTACAATCACAATCGATTGAGATTTCAGCTCTTCCCGACTCGTACCATCATAAAATTCTGAATCTTCTCGTCGAGACGCCGTCCAAATTTGATGGGGCGCCCGTTCAACAACCCGAAACGCCGGTAGGGCCTAGTCTCGATGAACCGACAATATGTTTTGAGAATTCTTGTCAGATCGACTTGCGGCCGGCGCCGGCATCCTTTGAAATCCCAAAGCAAACAGAGGAGACTGAGCCAGCGAGCTCCAAGAATACGCAAGGCGATCGTGATCCGCGAGTCAATATGCCATTCAACGCGAACGCCTCGCCAATGAATCACATTCAAATCCATCCGCAGCCGATTACGGCCTCCCAGCAGAATATCCTGTTCCCTGATCTGCCACCAACAAGACCTGTAGCTTTTCTGAAAATTGGAAAACGACTAAATTTTGATTGTTAGATCACTCCCACTTCAAACGACGCTTCCACCAGCATCGGAGCCCTCTTCAAGAATCCCAACATTGAAATGCTGCTCAAGAACCTCGTTCAAAAGGGCGTCAAACTCTCAGATGGTCCATTGCCGGCGAATGTTGGCGCGGTAGATCACACGAAGGTGCATTTGACAACTTGGTTAAGAGAAAAAAGACATTATTCAGAATCAGCCGGACATGACGCTGCTCAATCCGAGCTTGTGGTCCGACGCCGCCAAATTCCTCAGTCAATCCAGCAATGATCTACCAACGGCGGTAAGCGACGCTGCGAATTTGCGTCAAATTTCCGATTTTCGCAGCTCTCGAAACTCTTCGATGCCAATTCGGCGGGCATTTCGAGCGCGTTTGGACGGCATCATTCAAGAGCGCCTCCTCAAATCGCGTCGGAAGCGCAATTCTTGCCCTCACGCCGACAATTCGACGGCGCGCTTGATTCCTACGACACTCACGTGGATCGATTTGCCAGTAGCGGACCGCCGAATCGGCAGGAGATTCTCGGCGACTTGTCGAGCCTTCGAGCCCTTCCGCAGCCAGCCATTCAGCCGACGAAGGTTGATGCCATTATTGGCGCGATGCCAACAATGCCACCCGTCAATGGGTATCAGACATACGCGCCAGCACCCACAGCAGCAGTGCCCAGCATAGTGCCAGCGCAACAGCAATTGAAATCGCCTGAGGAGATCACTGGAAGTTATAGGTAAAAAGAAAATCGCCTTATTAGTTAAAAAAAAATTCAACAAAGTTTCAGACAATCGCTAATGCCAGTGTACAACGTGAAAGGAATCAATGGTCAAATGAGAAACGTCAAAATTGATGCGGTTAACGAACAATGAGGAATTCTAGCCGAGAGAATGTATATAAGAGTAAACAATAATTAATAAATTATTAAAGTGAGATTAGCTAATGTGTTTTAAACAGAATACCAGCAATTTTGGGTAAATATTTGAAATGTTAGATGAAAAACAGAATGTACATGGCTCAAAAGGATCAACAACAATCGGCGAGGTTGTTGTCCAACAGCGGGGTTCCGGTGAATAGAAAATAGCCGACGGCTTCACCGACGACCACGGCAAGAATCAGGTTTACGTTGAAGGTCATGACGATGAGCATGAGCACGTAAGCCAAAAGAGCCTGAAAAAAAAACAACGAAATTTGGGGTAACATTTTGATTTCGACCCTAATCCCCCACCAGATTAAAGTTTATACCTGTAATCCATATAGGATCCCTTGGATGATTCGATAGGTGGATAGGAGTCGTTTGGTGAGTCTGAAAGAAAATGACAGATTCTTGCGAATTTTCGATATTGAAACTAAATCGGGCATATTGGGTGCAAGAACATAAAAAAATACGCACTGTGGGACTGACCCTGAGATGGACAGAAGCGGTGCGAATTGCACACTGTCCTCGGAGACACTATCGGCGGCGGCATTGGTGATGGCCAACTCGGATTGTGTGGTTCGTCGCTTCTAAATATGGATTATCGAAGATGAGATATTGAAATTGGCTTTTACATTAGCTTGCCATACTGCCAGGAAGTAGCGGAAGGCTTTCATAGCTTCGTATAAAATACAGAGAAGGAAGGTGATGAGCATCGAGACGGCCATTCCTGGAAATTTCTTGACATTTTAGGAATCATGCGCCTTTAAACGCCGAACCGGAGAATGAGCCGGTCTTCCACCATGCGAAGAGAATTTTCTCCTTCTCGCCAAAATGCAACACCATGCTCATATCCATCGTTGCCTAAAATTTATTAAATAGTGCAATTGAAGAAAGATGGAGCAATAAGAGCAAACAATACAATGATAGCATTGTGGTATTATTATTGTTATCGCGGTCCTAAAACGAATGTTGGTTCGATTCTGACTCGCCAACATTTTTTTGATTGAAAATTGCAAGAGCGAGAAATGACGAGAGGCGATAGACAAGTTTGTTGGAAATGTAAATAGTTGAGAGAATGCGAAACGATCAAAGTTTGAACGGAATTACAATTGAAGGATGGGTTATTTACGAATGGAAAATAATTCGGAACACTCTGGCAGGGATATGATCAAAGAACGAACGTTTTTCTTTAAATTGCTAATTTTTTTAGCGTATTATGAGTGAAACGTCGAGTATTTGCGAATAATAAAGCGTAAAAAGTTTTAAACGGATAAAATGAAAAAAATAAAGCATGAAAATATTTTTTCGTTGGTATTTTTGGCTATAAACGCCGAGCACATAAAATCATTAGCGGGTGTTACAAGTGCGCTCCATCGAACTAGCGGTAGTATGAAATTTCAAAATTTATTTTTGATGGCGAGTTTTTAATGGGATTTTTCCTAAAAGGAAGACACCATAATATCTATTATGAATCTTGTTTTAGATGCCTGATATTTCGCCGGCCAAATACAATCCAAGAGATCGAATCAAGCGACACTTGAAAAGGAAATCGAGGTTTATTCAATTTGTTGTCTATTAAATAGTTTGAAAATATCGATGAGCAGGCAAATTTCCAATGACCTTGGATTTTGTCGCATTAGATTTCTAGGCCATGCTCAAATTTATAAAGCATTCCGATAATTTTTAGCAGCCGATGTCTAGCACCGGCTCTTAACTCATGTACACCGCAAATCAAGACGTTTGATGGCCTTGACACGGAGAGCTGTCCGATTCCAACGTCATCAGCGGCTTCCAATCCTTTTAAGGTGTTCGACAGTCATTTTTCCTCGAGATCATACATTTTTTTTAGATTGGAAGTCCTTTAAAGAAGCGAAAACCAACAGCACATGTGAATTTTGCGGATAGTGTGTTCGATTTGGAAGAAAATGCTCAAGATTCCTTCAGTAATACTCAATTTCTTTTGACACACAATTTAGGCTTTCACGTATTTTTTTCAGCAAAGTATTCGCCGTTGAAGCAAAATCGGACGCCGACGAAGTCACCACGAAAATCGCCTCGTAAAAAGGTGGCAACGGCTAGGAGAATCGAACGGTTTCGCAGTTTCGATCCGGTATTTTCAAAAAAAAACTTCTCATTTTTTCGATTTTCTACAAAATTTCCTCAAATTTAGAGCAATCTTCTAAAAGAGTGCTATGCCACGGATTTCTCGCAACTTCTCGAAGTGTCTGGAAAAGCGGCGGAGAAGAAGGAAGACGAGCTGGAAGTCGGTGAAACGATCCCATTGGATTTGCGGATTGGCACCAAGGTGCGAATGACTTCTGAAATTCCGTTTCCGTGGATGAATGGTAGAAAAACGACGGGTATAACGCGAGAAAATAAATATGTGATATTTGAGTTCGAAATTCAGGTATTGTAACCGTCCGATTACCGGGAAGCGATCGATATGACGGCTTGAGGTACTTCAATCAATTATTCATGTCAGGAAGGGAAGTAGGTGTTTTTTTTTTTTTCAAAAAATTGTTAAAATTAAAATTTCAGCAAACAATTCCAACACCTTGTTCGAATCTATCTTTACTAGAAGCTGCCACACTTTACTGGCAGTTCCCAGTGATTCCTGGAATGTCGATGTATCCAAGGATCTCCTCCCAACTGGGAACTGTTCAGAGGGTGCCGATGCCTCCGTTGGTCACCACCACCATGCTCAATCAATGGGTCGAAGCTTATGAGCAATTATTTCACTCGTACAAAAAAGGCGAGAGGGAGTCGTTCTATGTTGCGTGCTCGGTGTTCAATGTGTTGTTCACGAAGACGTCGGAGAGCGATGAAATCGAGTGCAATGAGGATTCGCAATCATGCTTTCGGACGTCGTCAGGCCAGAAGATGATTGCCATCGTGACGCACACGACGTCGGCGTCGCGTGAGAATCTCAGAAGTCAGGGTGTCGAGTATGAGGTGCTGAATGAACGGACGATGAGGCGCCTGAGCAGTTTGCTCAATCTCACTGAAACGAGCTGCACGAGTTGGTCATTGTGTCGTCAAACCATCTAAACGATGGAAATTTCAGGTTTTTGCGATTCCACTGAGAACTCGATGCTCTCAATTTCGACGATCGCGAATCCGGAAGACGGCGAGAATCAGCCGGATAACGGCGACAGCGATGAGAATGAGAGTCCGACGAAGAAAAACGCGCAATGGCTCAAAGATGTTGGTGTCTCGCCGCGAAATGTCATCAAACATCATTCAAGGTGCGAAATGCGTCATCATTTTCGTTTTGATCGAATTCTTCGGATTTCAGAAAACTCTCCGCTCGATTATCCGGAAAAGACGACGGAATTTCGGCACTTCTCGTCAAAGTAACACTTTTTTTTCGCAAGTTTTGATTCAAGTGTGGTCCTTATAGGGTGCCTCGGTCCAATCCCTGTATAATATGTTGATGTCGTCGGATAGTGTTCACGAGAAGACGGGTCCCTACACGAAAATCCCGCCGACCCTTCTCGCGAGCTCCGCGTTCCTCTACGGCCAACTGCTTTCATTAAATGTGAGACTTTGTATTCCTTTTTTGTTGGCGATTATTCGAAATTCCAGAAAACTAGTCATATTGTGCAAAAAGGCGGCGGAAAAACGTCGGAATACGTGCTCGAATTGGATCGAGGCCCGATTTTGCCGCACACGCCAAAAATGGTAGGTGGCCGAGGAATCGAGCGAGCTAGTCCACGGCCTCGTATTTCAGCTTTTCGAGATGGTGAGAAGCTCGAATCTCTGCGCTGACGGCAAATGCGTTCATTTGCGGGTTGCCGATCGACACGCGAACAATGGGATGAACATTTGGACGGATCGAGCCAAAGATTGGAATATGATTGAAATTTATTCGAGTTCTGTGAAATGGTCGAAAAATATGTAGAGATGTGTGTGTGTGTGTGTGTAATAATTTTATTTACCGTATTTTTATGAACAATAACATTTGTATGATTCTGTGCGTCTCCGCGCGATTCTTTTGTTTTGCGCCTGGAAAAATGAAGTGGTCGGCGAGGACGCGGTGTCGCGTTGTTGGCCATCAAGCAAAAAACTTGTTGAAACCATGTTACAAGTTGCGTTTCTTTATATTTCTTTTTTGTTGATCGTGTAGGCGGCGCTGACCCCCAAATATGGTGAATTTAAAACCCCGACCGCTGAAATTTGTGTGCGGCTGCAAAAAAAGAAATGTTGGCGTTGTTCATCGCGATGTCGTTTGTCGTCGCTTCTTCCGATGCCCAACAACGATCGTCGAATAATTGTGCGTTGATGACGAGCTGCGCTGTGGAGAAGTGTCTGGATTCTGGTATTGATTGCAAAGATTCCCTCAATTATGCCGATTTTTTTTTAGGAATGGTTCGAAAGATCATTGAAGAGTCGCCGAGAGAGGAGGTGTTTGGGAATCTCGTCGAGAAATTTGATATGGTTTGCATTGCGGCCAAATGCGGAAATGAGTGCTCACAATGCAAGCATTGTCATTATGCTCTGGAACAGATGGCGGCGTTGGCGCAGGGCGAGAAAACTTGTAAGATTTTGGCGTCCCAAAAAAATGGGTCTGAAAATTGATTTCTAGCCGGCTTATGCCCGAAATTGGAGAGTTGCGTGTTCAATTGTCTCGCTGCCGATGTTGAAAAGGTGTTGTCATGTGTGGCGAAACAATGTAATGTACACTGCTATGATGGCGACTGTCCTTCTTGCCGAATGATCTCGCGGAAAATATTTTCGCTGATCTGCAAACGCAATTCGATGGTCGCCCAGCCGAATATTAATTACAACGGCACTTGTCCGAATTTGTTCATGGAAATGGCTGATGATTATGTGGCGAGGAAGAAGCGCGTCATTTAGAAGCCGATTGTCAGAATATTGGAATTCAATTCATGTTTGTATATAGATTAATAATTGTACATAAATGAACGATTCAAGAATTCTCGACGTGTTCTTGTTCACGCTTTTTTGTGTAAAATTTCCACCAGACGATGATTGCCGTTGACATTATGATTAGACCGAGAATGAAGCCTGAAAAATCGAAGAAAATTATATTTTTCCCCTCCATCTTACCAATTAGCATTGATATCGCATGAGCCCAATTGAAATTGCTGGGATCGTCTGAAATCTCGCAGAACGCGCCGACGTAGCCGTGAAAACACACGCATTTGACGTCGTCGTCGGCGGACGTCCAACATCGTCCGCGGCGTGAACATCGATTGGGGCACTTTAATGGGGAGACTTGTTGCATTGCTGGAAAGAAAATGGGAGTTTACTGGAAATAAATGATTGTTGGGAACCTGGTTTGTTTATTAATTTGACGACAACATATTTTCTGGACCAGATGTCGTTGAGCCAAGCTTTTGGAACTCATGTCGGACGCCTTGGAAATTTTGAATGAGAAAAAAAATGCGAATTTAATATAGTGTATACTGTAGATTATAAAGTATGTATTGTGTTTGCGGATTCACACACCGTACCGTTGGGAGGAAATCATCGACTTGAAAACAACGCAAATTTCTTCCATTTTTTTGCTGCCACAATTTCGTGAATTCGAAAATTTTTTTATTCATTCGTCAATGCACCTTTTATTTCAAAACTTAATTTTATATTTATAAACCATTTTCCTTTTGATAAAAGAAAATTGTGGTTATAAAAATGCCGACAAAACTGATTTTCAAAATTTTCACATTTCTGGGAAAATGGCGGTATTTTTCAATAGAAAATTAGGCAAATAATATTTATGAATTTATATATTTGATCTTTTTTTATTAGCGTTATTATTTTAAAGATTGTAGAAACATGCTGTTGTAAAAAAATGAAAATTTCAGAGTTGAATATTATGCTTCAAACTCCCAGTCAGGATTACTTCGAGAGCCAACTCCGAAACCGTTTTCAACGCGGAGCACTAGTGTGCAGCACGCCAATTTATCAACCACCGGAACCAATCGACATCCGAATTAATCGTCGCCAAGAGCCAATTGTCGGTGAATTTCGAGTTGAAGCAAAATGTGATATTTTCGATTTTCAGTCTGACACAGAAACCTCAGACGAGCTCGAAGATGGAATGATCGACACCAATCTTCGAACACCAAGGAATCGCGGAATGTTGGCGAGATCGAGCGCGAAGAAACACCAGAAGATTACACTGACTATTCCAGAAACGCCGGTTTGCGCGCGGCCCACACAGGCGTCACTATCAAGACCAGGAAGTCGGGTACATATTAATGGGTTTAAACTTGACGAAAAATATACATTTTTGCATGGATTTAGAACGAGAAGGACTGGAAAACCACGACCCTTCGTCGCGTTTCTTCGCTAACTGAAGCCGAACGCGCCGCATTCTTTGCCCGACTCGCCGAGCCCAAATATCGACGGGAAAAAGCGCTCAAGAAATAATCAATGTGATTCAATTATTAATGACGATTTCATGTAAATAGTTCTCAATTGAAATTTTTCGCGTCTTAAACATCTACCAGCTTCATTTAATGTGATGTAAATTGTTGTAAATAAAATTCTGCCAAACTGAAAATGTGCGGGACGTGTCGTCATATCAAACGCACTGGACGCAATAACGCGTGCTGGTGTTTGCACATCTGTGATGTTGGCGCACGTGTAACAGCACTCATCGTCGATTTTCCTGAATTTTCAACAGCAAATTGAATCGTTCGGAATCTTTTAACAGTTTTTGGCATTGGTTTCGCGTTTATCTGCAAATATATGTTTATATATATATGTTTGTTTTTTTCCGTTGTCCGATTGCTTCGTCGGGCTTGCCTTTCCGGACCGACTGACTAAACAAATCCAGTTTTTCGATCGATTAGGTTCCGCGTTGTATATTCGCCACAATCGCAAGCTTTTGTACAGTTCTACTGATTTACAGCATGTCGGACGATACGGGACCATCGCAAACTGATTTGCAAAATGCGATGCGCAAATTGAGAGCTCTACCCGCCAATAAGGTAATTGCCATCAATTAAATCCCTAATTAATTGAATTATCAGATTTGTTTTGATTGCGGAGCTAGAAATCCAACTTGGTGCACCGTCACGTATGGTAATAATTTTATTAATAACGAATTTTTGATTTTAATTGAAATTGCCTTGATAGCAAAATTTTTTGTCCCAATTTAGTCCGAAAAGGGCAAAATGAAGGGATCTTTGTTCGTTGAAATTTTCAAGGTTAGCGGGTAGATAAGAATCGACATGAAATCGAAATAGTGCAAACTAGCCCGAAATGTTCCTTCAGGCGTCTTCCTGTGCATCGACTGCTCAGCGGTTCATCGAAATCTGGGTGTTCATTTGACATTCGTTCGCTCGACGAATTTAGATACTAACTGGACATGGCTTCAATTGCGCGCCATGCAAGTCGGAGGCAACGCGAATGCGGTAAAACAGAATCCAATTTCTAGAAGAGCTGAATCTAAAAATTGTAGACGCAATTTTTCAAGCAGCACGGCTGCAATACCACCGATGCTCAGCAAAAGTACAAATGTCGCGCGGCGCAGTTGTACAGAGTAATTTGATGTGTGTTGTGAAGCGGTTTGAAATTCAAATTTAGGACAAAATTGCGCAATTGTCGAAAGAGGCTCAGAAAAAGTTTGGAACTCAATTGCTCATTGACACCGTTGCTCATCATGAGGAAAAAGCTACGGTAAGGAATTTCAATAATTTCATCAACAGTTTGATTTTCTAGGAAGAGGAGGACTTTTTCGGCCAAGATTTTGGCCATTCTTCCCAATCGACAACTTCACTTAGCTCCGATGCCTACATCGTTGATCATCATCATCAGAAGAAGGTTGAAGAGCCGACTCATGGGCCAAGCGTTGATCATATTGACTCGGTGCCGGTTGGCACAACGCCTCCGGTGTCGGTGATTTTGAAGAAGCCGATTAAAAAGGCAACGGTAGGTTGTTGAATGATCGCGACATCTCGAAATGTGTGTTGTTTATAGCTCGGAGCCAAAAAGAATGCCCTTGGCGCACAGAAGGTGCGAATCAATTTCGACGAGATCGAGCAACGTGCCGCCGAGAAGGAGAAGCAGCGCGAGGCCGAGATTGCTGCCAGCAAATTGGCATACAAGGAGGAGCAGAATGCGGCGAAGAATGACGATGCGGTGGCGATGGAGAAGCTCAGCGCGAGATTCGCCATGCAGGATATTGATGCGCAACGCAAGAATATTGAAGTGAATTCGGTCGCTCGAACAATTTATAATATTAAGACTCGAATTGTAGGCAAAAGTGGCAAAGGATCCGAAGAAGGCGGCGACGGTGGATCGCCTCGGAATCGGCGGTGTCGGACGCGCACGAGCCGTCCATTCGATTGCCGGCGGTGTTCGAACCATTCAGCAAGCCGACTCGGGATTTCCGACGAAGAAAGTGGTGAAGGATGATGATGATTGGGAAGTGGTTGACGACGGGTAATCTGGAATTCCAACACATCTCAATAATATTTGAATTTTAGCAAATTCTCGTCGTCTGGAAACGATGACGATCTGTTTAGCAAGGATTATTCGAGCAAACCCAACGAGGATGAGTTCTTCGACACTTTTGAGAATCCCCAACCACAGTAGGAATTTTGATTATTGCGTTGATAGTCAATGTCGGTTGATATTTAGAAAGTCGCGATATACTGCATCGTCATCTTCGTCGTCATCTTCGAAACCAACCGTGACGCGTCTCACCGCTGGTTCCTCGTCGATATCAAGCGACGTCGACGTGCAGAAAAAGTTTGGCAACGCGAAGGCGATTTCGAGTGATATGTACTTTGGGAATAATGAGATGGACGTGAGTGGGAATAATTCGATTCCAATTTTGCATTCCTTTTTAGTATGAGACGAAAAGCGCGCTGTCGAAATTTGAAGGTGTCAAATCGTTGGGCTCTGAAGACTTGTGGGGAAACGGTAGTCAGCAGAGGCAGACGAGTCAGGTAATCGAATCAACTTGATTGCGAAAATTGTGTTTTTGGTTTGTTTTAGGTGCCTGACATGTCGGAATTGAAGGATTCGTTCCGCGCTGGAGCGTCGAAAGTCGCCGAGAAATGGTCGAGTTTGTCGTCGTCATTTTCGACTTATATGCAGGTGAGATTTTTTGTATGCACACTCTTAAAATTTGATATTTTTCTACTGAAGTCTTGGCGTTTTTTTTTTTGCAAATTGATTGATTGATTTTAGCGTGCTCCGGCTCCAAATAAGACCTAGAATACGGCAAGTTGAATGTTGTGGTTTTTTTCTTTGGGGGGACGATTCTTTGAGTTTTTTGTGCAATTGTGTCTCTCTCTTTTTTTTCAGTTTTTATATGGGAAATTGTTTGGTTTTCTGTGAATTTTTCTTTTTTTTTTCAGGATCGATACTAAGAATCTGCTTGGGAAACGCACGTATATTATTATATCGACGTATAAATTCTATGCGATGTCGTTTGTGTGTTCCAAAATTTTTAGCCTTATTTTTCCGAGTATATCATTTGCAATTTCTAGTATTCATTTTTTTCTTCTTCTTCTTTGATAATCGCACACCCCGCTCAGCTGTTGGTCAGATCCAACGGCAAACTGTGAATGTCTGCGACTCATCGATTCGCGTTGTCTCTCTTACTCTCTCTCTCTCTATCGCGCGCGTAACTCCACGCCATCACTGTCCGTTGCGTCTTTTGTCGCGATGTGGGCGTGGTCGAACGCCTGACATGTGATTTTATTGATTTTATTTCATAATTCAAGTCGTTTTTGTTTCGCTCCTTTTCGATTTTCCCCCCTCATTGGTCTGTCGCCTAATGATTCCAATCCTCGTACTAATATGATAATTCCTTTTTTGATAGTGCATTGTAATGTATTCGAATTAATTTATTAGTATAAATGGGAATAAATTGATCACGATTTTTGTTTCTGTGAATTTTTCGAATTTAGAAGTATTATCGTACGGTATTTTTTGTTTTCAAAAAAAAACGTTGACGGATTGCGTGCAATTTGTCGTCAAGTATCACGTACAATCTCTGATAACAGTATCCGTATTTTCGAAATTATTTTAATTTTTTGTGCTCGCCAAACTAGATATTTTCGAAACACGCAAATTTTCTCTGTTTCGCCTGTTTTAGCAACAGAAAAAACCAAATTGCTCTATTTTTATTCCACAGTTTCTTCCTAAATTTGTCATTGTTTCACCGAAAATGCTGTTTTCGAACGATGAGTTTGTCGAGTGGTTTTTGAATTTTTTAAAAATAAAATTTGTTGGATGATGTCGAATTTATTGGTTTTTAGAATGGAGTCCAACACCATGGGTGTGCAGAAGCAGCCGAGTGCGGAAGGTGTCCTAGAAAGGGACTACGAAGACACCGACTCTGAGAACGGGATTCCCATTTATAGCAGTTTGGAGAATTTGCTATTAGTAAGGGTTTTCTATTGAAATATTTGTGAAATATGGAAAAATACGCGTTTTAATTAGATGGTTTCAAAATTTTGATTGTTTTTTTGTTCGTCAAATCCAATGCGCTGCAATTAGAATGGATCAAAAATCAGGGGGAATCGAATTTAGGCGGCAATTCCTCTTTTCGAATGACGAAAACTGCTCAAATATGGTATTTCGTGACGATTCGAATTGTACGTGCAAACCGTGCAACACCCAATTAGGGTTCGCGAATTCGCCATCGCATTCCAATTTTTTTGTTTCGGCGAAATTGAAAAGATAAGAAAATGATTGAAATGGTGAATCGAGTTTGGAATTGATTTCAGATTCCGCCGTCGCTTTCTCAGGAATTATCGGAGGCGGCGATGAAAGCGCAAGGCTACCTTGAGAAATGGTCGAATAATCGTCGAGCGATGGTTCGAAAAATGGACAAAATTGCAAGTGATGTGAGTAGAGATAATTAGTTGCTAATTAGCCCATCATTACGTTTAGTTGGACAGCTGGGATCGTGGATGTGCGATTTCGACGGCTGTTGGCAGCGGTGTAGGCGTCGCTAGTGGATTCGCCGCCATCGGAGGACTCATATTCATGCCGCCCGTCGCGATTGCGGGATTCATTGTCGGCACTGTCGCTGGCGCTTCAAATGTGATCACGGGCGTCTCGAAGTGGAGTCACTTCAAAAGCGCAGCGATGGAATTGAACGCGATGGTCGAGAATGACAAAATGCTGTTCAAGGAGCTCATGCAGAGTCGCGAGGAGTTGTTCAGTGTGATCAAGAAGGTGATCGATGAGGAGGAGCAGAATCAGAAGTTTGATGGAATCGACGTTGGCAATAATATCAAGAGCATTTTGGGTGGATCGGTGTTTGGCGCAACTGGCTGCGCCACAAGATTCGCCATTGGGCAAATGGTAAGAAAAAAAGGCGTTTTAATATAGTAGTCATTGCAAAGAATTGCAGGGTCGGTTGTCGTCGAGCTTGGTGAAGGGTGTACTCCATGGCGCCGCCGCCATCGGCATCATTATGGACGCCGTCACGTTGGCGATGAGCGCGAAAGAGTTGAGCGACGGCAAGCCGTCGGATTTCGCCGAACAAGTTCGAGCGGCCGCCCATCAGTACGAGATCCATCGGATGAAGGTGAACCGTGGCTTTCTGAATCAGGATATTTGGAATGACAACGAGGAAGCGGATGCGAATCGCGACGATGAGCTGATGGAGTTCGGCGAGGATTCGTCCGACATTGGGTCTTTCGTTCGTATGAGTCAATCATCGACACCGGTCAATTTCTAGACGAAATAAAAATCATGAATTTGATTAATGTACATAGAAAATGTTTATTTTTGTTTGTATTATAACAATAAATCGATGATTTTTTGAATTGCCGCCTTCAATCGCTACGGGAGCCGGTAAGTATTTGCAATATTGCTTACGTTAGGATTTTCTGCATGATCAAATTTTTTTTATGATTCTGATTTGATTCACAATCCTTTTCACATTTATTTGATTCATATCGATTTTCGGTAAAAAATAATTTATTTGAATAGATTGGGCCCGAGAATAGTTTTTAAAAATATTTCCAATTTCTTGTTTCCGCACATTTGTATGCAAAATTCAATTGGGTAGGGGTTAAAATTTTGAGGGTCCATATCTCGATAACTAGAAGTTTGCGCAGATAGGGACCTAATTCATTCGATTGGAAATTTTCTAAAGAATCTGTATGCAAAAAATTAAAAAAATTTAAGACGGACAGCAAAAAGACCACACTTGTTAGATTAAATAAGACTTTCTAGAGAATAATGTTTTAAATTATCTCGTGCCAATAATTGTAACAAATAAAATAATCACGTTTTTCAGAATGGACGATATTGCATCGATTCGACAGGCTCTCGAGGATAACATTGCCGTATGAGCTTTTACCAAACTTCGAATTGCTTTATATTTTGTATAAATTCAGCTTTCGGATGATTTATCTCAACAACTTCGCGACGTTGCCAACAAAGCGCAGAAATTGCTCAACGAATGGTCGCATTATCGAAAGGATATGATTGAGAAGATGTACGCGATTGCAAATGATGTAACCAAATTTGGCAATTATTATGTTTTCAACTCAATTTTCAGCTTGACACCTGGGAAAAGAATTGCGCGATGTCCACGGCTGTCGGGAGCGGCGTGGGTCTGGCGAGCGGTTTCGCCACCATTGGCGGTCTTTTGCTTTTCCCGCCGGCGGCGATTGCGGGAATGATTGTTGGCGCCGTCGCTGGCGCTTCAAATGTCGCCACAAACGTCTCGAAAATGAATCACTTTAAAAATTTGGCTAATGAATTGAATGGAATGACGTCACATGATAAATATCTCTTCGAGCGCCTCATGGAGGCTCGTAGCGAGCTTTTCGACATCATCGGCAAAGTGATCGACGCCTATTACAAGGATCGCAAGTTCGACGGATTCGACATCCCAGGAAACATTCATCGAATTCTCGGAGCGTCGACTTTTGGAGCTGGCGGTTTCGCCACGAAGTTTGCCGCCGCCCAAATGGTAGTTCGACGCAAAATTCGCCTGAAATCTCGCGAAATTGCAGGGCCGATTGACGTCGAGCCTCGTGAAAGGAATTCTCCACGGCGCGGCGGTTGTCGGAATCATCCTCGACGGAGTCAGCTTGGCAATTAGCGCTAAGGAATTGGGAAAATCGTCGTCGAAATTTGCGCGAGAAGTTCGCGAAGCCGCAGAACAATACGAAAGACAAAGAGAAAAAGTTTGCAACAATTTCTTAAATGAAGACGTTTGGAATGAATGAGCTGAAAAGCAATTGATTGTTTGTTAAATAATTGTTGGATAAATCTGTTGTTAATCGTCCACGTCCAATTTCATTTACAGTGTACGGTGCGCGAGTCGGTCGGTGTTTACGTACTTTTCGCGCGCCAGGTTTAAAATTTCTAAATTCTGCCGATTTCATTTTTTTATTTCTAGAAATACAGGAGTTTTTTAAATTTCTTCAGCCTCATTCGATTCTCAAGTAATGGCTTCGTCGTCAACGGCTGCAACCCTCAAAGACGCCGGATTTTTCATCAAAAATATTCCGAATTCGTTCAATGAGGTAATTTCATGAATACAATTTGAAAAATTCTGAATTTCTAGTGGAATCTTTTCGACATTTTTGCGGCGTATGGTCTTGTTGGCTATTGCAGAATCGGAGGAAAGTCGACAGATAAGGAAAGCCAATTTGGGTAACAATTTTCAATATATTATTCAGTTTCGGAATTGAATAATTCAGATTTGTTAATATGCTCACTGTGGATGCCGCCGATGAAGTTCGCAAGGCAATGAAAGACCAAAAGCTAACTGGAAATGGATTTTGTCTCTACGTAATTAAATAATTGTTAATAGTTCGGCAATTGATTTTTGTAGGTAAGCGACGTGAAGGACGGGACCATGACGATTCAACCAATTCACGCAGTGAAGCCCGGAAATTCAAAGTACCCACCAATCGTGGTCCCATCCGGCTACCTGCCGCTCAACAAAGAGCTCAGTGTCGAAATTGTGGAGCTTCTGCCAATGAGCACCGTGCCATCCCACGTGTTCCTCCTGACAATCCGGCTACTCAATGATGAGCAAACGGGCGCCTTGTATAAATCGATGAATGAGAAGCTGAACACCTCACAGCTCTATAAGATAGATGGAGAATTGCCGGTTATAAGTCCAAATTCCTAAATGAAATTGCAAATTCAAAATTTTCAGATCGGAACTGACTGCCTGTGTCGTGTTAGCTCGAAATCGGTGGCTCGTGCTCGCCGAATCACCGAAACCGAGCTCTATCTCATCGATGAAGGAAAACGCATCGCCTATGATAAATCCAAGTGTTTCTCAATGCCCAAATATTTTTCCGCAATTCCGACAAGGGCAAGATTTTTATTTGATTGTTTTTTTTTTCATGAAACCATTGTTTCAGGTTTTCAATTGCACATTAGACGGATTGTTCTGGGTGGCGCGCGCCGTCGACAACTTCCCGAAAATCCGCCAAGTCGTTATTCAATGGGGATTAATGGAGAAGGATCGAATTCGTGCCAAGACCTTCGGCTTCAAGGGACCATTGAATTGCATCTCGTTGTATGCCGGAAATTGTAAGCCGAATATTTCGCTTATCGAACATTTCCGAACCATTCAGCTGTTCTCACTGAGAAGCTTGTGACAAAGGGAATCGCTGAAAGACAGCCTCGCCGTCCGCTCTCCGAGACGTCTTACGATCGAGACACCATGCTGAAGCTGAAATCTTGCGAAGGGGTACGCGCCTTGAAATCAAATTTGGAGAAGTAATTTTTTTTTGCAGAAACCAGAATTCAATAAGGAAATTATTGAGGATCTTGTAAAATCTGTTGAAAATGTCCATCTTGCATAATTAGCTTCGTTCTTATACCGCCGGTTCATTCATAAATTGCTCTTAAAATTTGAAAAATTCTGAAAATCATTGTTGATCATCGAAAGGAGACGCGTTTCTAGCCGGTGCATCTTAAAATTGCTTATTTTTTGCATAATATATTCATTTTTAAAAGAATCTGGAGGGTCCATATCTCAAGAGATTGGATTAAGCTCTGCGTACTCTTGTAAGGACGTCAATCTCGACGGATTCATATATTCCTTTACGTCGAATAGCTTCATTTATTAAAAAAAATCACTATACATAAAATTTTGGCGAACGAGCACGCCGAAATCGCCCAATTTTGTGGGCGCAATTCGGGCAGACGTGCAGAAAATCGCTGAACGCGTTGAGGAAGCATGGAAGCGGTGAGCACGGCCACAGAAACATGACGGCGAACAGGAAGCACGACAGAATCGCGAACACGCCCGTCTCCCGATGAACATCGGTCTCGACAATATTCTAAACACCAACATGGTCGGCTCGTGTTGGACTTGATCGCCTACCCGACACCGCGGGCAGAATAACACCACCGGTTTGTCGTTGAATGCGTAATCGGGCAGGAGGAAGTGCTCGCCGAATCGCGAGCTCGACAATCCGCGATGATGTCGAAGCTCTTTGAGCTGCTCGAATGTGCATCGCTCCATTCCCGAGAAGCCTCGTCTGATGACGGGCCTCGACAGATGATACTTCTTCGCACCCCTCTTGCGTATCCCTCGCGCGATGCCCAACCATTTTTGGGCGTATCGATTCACGATGATGCGACGGCGTCTAAAATCGTCATTCAATTAACGAATCGCTCAATCAAAGCACCAACCCTCGTTCAGCCAGCCTTCTACCGTACCAAACCTCAATCGCGCTGAGAATTGCGCCGACGACGACGCCGGTTGTGACGAGAATGAAAATGTCCTTCATGTTGACGAGTCCCAATCGAGCGGGCGACTTGTGCACTTCGACAATGCACTTCTCCTTGTTGCTATCGATCCATTTCTGATCCAAATGCTCCATTACGCCGCCTAAACGAGAAATTGAGAAATGGATTAAGCGGACGCGTTTCAGACTTTCCGACATTCGCAATATCGCCGACGTGATATGCGGCGTCCACGGGCTGTGCTTCTGAAGGCCGATGCCGTAGGCGCTTCGGCCGAACAGCGAGCCGCGCGTTCTCAGCTCGCAATGTCTCGCCGCCTCGAATTCGAGACGCGTCGAGTCCCAAATGAACGCGTCGAGTGTTCCATTCAGCAGGAGATGCACCGCTTCGGACGCCTTCCAAACATTGTGCGCCTCCATTTTTCGGAACATCGTCGACAATTCGACATGCCGTTTAAAGTATTGATAGACGTTGGAATTGAGGACGGTGCCGAACGAGAAGTTGGCCGACGGATTGCGAAGGCGCGGATCGGTGACGCCGGTGAGGCCCTTCTCGGGCTGATCGAGAACTAGGAACGCGGCAAGATTGGCGGTGTAGGAGGCGACCATGATCATACAGAAGCCGCACCACACAATGCCGAGTGCTCGCGCCGAGCAGCTACGCGGCGTCTCTAAACAGAAGTGGTCGAAGCGAATTCGAGATGACGCTACTTTCAGAAACGCCGCTGTTCAATAGAACACCCCAGACGAACCACATCGCTTCGCCGAAATTCACGTTGTCGTCGTCGTTTTTGTCGTCGTCCCACGCGTTGAACATCTGAAGGTCGACCTCCTTCTCGCGATCGGCTTGATAGAACCTCTCGAATGGTGACTTGAAGTCGAGACAATAAATGGCGAGGCCGACGAGCAGGACGGACACGAATAGAGCCGTCCATAGAGAGGATTGAAGCGGCTGAAGGAATGATTGCATCGGCGAATCGCGAGGAATCTGAAAATCGTGTGAAAATCATCGCAATTGCACACACATCCCCGCACATTCTTCTCCAATATCCGAATTCCGTGGTACAGCCACGGTTCGGTGAAATCAATAATCCGCTCGCGTTCCGGATTGATCGTCAAACCGCCGATCGCCATGTCGGCCGTGTCGCCGTCAAGCTCGCCAATCATTCCGCTGATGACGAGGCCTTCCATCTCGCCAGCCTGCACCACCCCATACGATTCATTCAGATGTAGTGAGAAGGTGAAGCTCGTGTCGATGCTGTTGTTCGCCTAGAATGCGCGCATATCTTCATAGAGCGTGAGACGAACCTCAGGAAGCGCGAGATTCGAGAGCAGATCGATCGCCAATCCCGCACAACAATAGCTATCGGTGAAATTGTCAAATGTCATCGGGCATGGGTACCAGGGTCCCGGCTGAACAATCGCTCATAGCTCAATGTTGACATCGTGCTCATTCTCACCACAGAAATCGTGTCATACTTGGATATTTCGACGTCGGTGTTCCACATTTCCGCGCACAACTCGGTGCGCTCCACCGGTGTGATGTAGACGAACGGCGGATCGGCGACAGTGACCACCCGCAGATGTTTCGGAAGGCTTATCTCCAACGGCTTCGCGCCTCCGGCCCATTCGATGGCCTCTTCGTCGAGTTGAAGCACATCGCCAATCATGCTTCCGACTTGTCGTCGTCGAATCGCGTTGAAGTTGAGAATGTCGTACTCGACGCCGATTCTTTCGCATTTCTCGTTGAAATGAATTCGAGTTGTGCTCACATCGCAAATTGCGCTGAACACACCACAAGGCATTCAAGTTGACGTTCTAACTATGGTCCTACCTTAGAAGCATTTTCGCTTGACCGCTCCATTCCGGCTGCGCACTCTCCCTGTCGCATTCCACCGGTGGCACAAGTTGCTCATCGACATTGAACGCGTGCTCGAGCGCGATCTTCAGAATAACTAGCGAGTCGCGAAGCACCGAATACGTCGATTGGCTCAGTCGACATCCCAGCGAGCCGTTTGGCACATTTGGAGCCTCGCCGGCGCTTTCGCTGACGAGCCAAACCTTGCCGCTGAGATCGCCGGTGTTCTGGAATATCTTCATAGCGTCATCTTTTCTGGAAGAATTTAATTATATGGGATAATTGATTAATTAGATTTCACTTTGCAAATAACACAATGATATTTGAAGTGACTTCTTCGAAATTTTCGGCTAATGTGTCGTTTAGATGCTCATTGAGCTCCACTTGAATGTACCGTTGAACCTGAAGATAAGAATCTTCAGAATCTCCCCATATGAAAAAGCCTACAATTATTTTGAATTCTACTCGTCGTTTTTCGAATTCGGCTACAAATTGCTCGGCATTTCTATCGCGTTTTACACTGACCACCACAACCTAATACAAAATAAAAAAAAATACAATTGGGATGCGATGAATAATTTGTTTTTACTTGTCTATATTGCAGCCTTAAAAGGAGATGAAGGAATACGAAGGCTTCGTCGGATAATGGCGCCGTCGGTCGAACGAATGTCGGATAAATTTTCTGAAAAAAAAAACAACACCAATTTGCACCATCCACCCAAAATTTGAATTCGACACCTTTTTGCTGAATTCGGCGTCGCGAACCATCACCCCAACCACCGGTATTTTATAGAACGACAACGCATAGGAGGCGGATGAGACGAGACTCAGAAATTCGGCGGACGTCGTCAACGACGCCGAATAGATGACGGAAGCCAGCGACGAGTTGAGCATTTGACCGCAGACGACATCATCGGTTATTGCCAATCGGTTTGCGTCGCTGTAATAATTAACGTTGCGGAAAAAAGTTTGAGTTATTGGGGCGATGATAATTGATGGGACGAGTTGGTTCAATCATCGCCCTTGCCGACGTGCAGGTGCACAATTCTCATGAAAACGTTGAGAAATTTGGCGGGTTGTTGTTGTTGTGAAGTCCGCAAATTTTGCGACGCGAAATTGCGGACGTAAAATCGATTACCCGGTGGCGTCGACGAAAACCGCCTCGATCGTGTCGTTGCCGAACGTGCACTTCTCGCCGCCGAACACTTCAACGAACGCGTGCTGAAATTCCATTTTTTCGTTTTTTTTTGCACACGCCACCTACCGTAACCGAGCCGACGAGCTGCTCGAACGTGAGCTTCTCCTCGGGAAAAATGAGCACCGACAATTTGTAATCGAACGCATCGGCCAACGCGATCGCGAGTGCCCAGCAGCGAATCGCGAAATTGAGCATACGACAACTAAGCAAACGAGAAAACGACGACGTTTTCGGCGTATTTGAAGAGGGCTCATGCTCGCCGACGCCGCCTGATTGGTACGTCTTCAGGTTGGCGGCGAGAGAGCGCCGCGAAACGCGAGACGCCGACGCGTGACCCATAATGAACTTGTATGCGAGGCGCAGTCGAACTTGATTAGTTTCGCTTCCTCCATTTCTTCTTTTTTTTCGCACATGAATGGAAACCGTTTGAGGAAGAACAAAAAAAACACCACCAAAAATTGATTTAATTAGAAGCTACCGTAGTTTTCGACGAAACTTCCGCGTTTTGTCGTCAATTTCGGTGTAATGCAACACAACAAATTGCGGAAATCCTAAAAATTTCCTTTTTTTTTAATTTCAATGCTTTTTTAAATGAATTTTTTGTTTTTTTTTTTCAATTTTGGTATTGTCTTTACTGCGAAAAATTGGGTAGCGATCCTTTTTTGAAATTTCGCCAATTTTCAGTGCTGCTGGCGATATTTTAAATTCAAAAATTGAATTTTTATTTTTGTCGAATATCGACATTTTTTCAGGGCACTTCAATTTTTTCGTATTATTATGAGATTGCACATGACAAATCCCATCTCTCCCATGCGATAAAAACATTGGTCATAAATAACGGCTCGCCCCCTCGTGCGGCTTGGGGGCGTGGCCAGCGGCGGCGAGGAGATGAAGCCGAAGCCAGCGAAAGCTCATCGTCATTCTTCGCATTTCTCACAACTCGAATATGGTTGTAAGTCGCATTTGCTCTCAATAAAATAAAATGTATTGTTTAATTCAGGCTGCTAAAGTCGCCGCCGTCTCTGTTGAGGAGCTCATCAAGAAGCATAGCGATGTCAACCCATTCCTTATTCGGAAATGGGAGCGAATCTTCACGCTCTTTTTTGGTGTGAATTTTGTTCGTTTTTTTTTCACAATTGTAATTTCAGACCGCAATGCGTCTCATCAAGTCGATTGGGGAGACTTCTACCTTGTCGTGAAGAAGGTCCGCGAGATCTATGGCGCCGAGTCCGTCCAAACCGATTTCGCCAAGAAATCGTTGGCGGCACTTTGGGAAGGTCTTTGCACCATCGCCGACGCCGACAAGGATCAACTCATCTCCATCGATGAATGGATCGGATTGTTGAAGAAAACTGATCCGAAGAAGGAGCCGAAATGGTTCGTCGACTATCAGAACTTCATGTTCAAGCTGTTCGACGTCTCGTGTAAGTCGATGGCAGTGATTCGCGAAATTCAAATGTGACGATGTTGCAGGCGACGGAGTAATGGATCTTTCGGAATACACCGACGGCATGAACACTTACGGATTCGACAAATACCTGTGTGAAGCCGCGTTCAGAAAATTCTCAGTGGTAAGATGATCGGAAGATCATTATCAATCGATTTCAAAGTATTCAGGACAAAAAGGGCAACTACGTTCCACAAATGAAGCCGGAGACCTGGAACATCTATTTCCATCAGCTCTTCTATTCCACCGACAAGAAGGACCTTGGAAACCATTTGTTCGGCATCATCGACTTCTAACTTTCTCGTTGTATATACACCTCATTCCATCCGGAAAACGAACCTATTTTATTTTATTTCATATTGACCGGCTCCCTCACGGAGCAATAATCATAAAAAATGTTTTAACCAGATGTCGTGCCGGAAGTCATGGGATCAACTCATGGGGGTTCAAGATATTACAACAACATTGCTGAAAAGCTATCTGCGGACAAAGTTTTATAGATGGGGTCTGAGGGGGGAAGCGAAAGTGAAAATCTCATCATCTCTCATAATAGCTTTGATCTCTGGTATTTTGCATTACACATAATCATGTCTACTCGAGATCCCATCGAAATTTGAATTGCCCGTCGCAGTTTCGAAATTGGCATTCGGAAATAAGATGAGATCTCATTTTTTTCATAGAATATAAAAAATATTGCGCTTTTAATTTAAAAAAATGATTGAAAGCGCCCACACAAACTATTTGATTGAGGTTGGTCGGAAATAACGGATTGATGATATCATCTGCTATTTTCGTTTCGACACATGGCGGTCTTGGGCGAAACATTTGAGTGGGTTAGCGGCTCAATGAGCACATTGGCGTGGAGCCAGCGGGAAATGTTCGCTTAAATTGAAGGGGCTTCAAAATTTTGTGTCTATTTTAGAAAAAAATTCGATTTTTTTATGAGTCATGAAAAATTCCAATATATGAAATTGTCGTTTGGTGTAAATTTGTCTTCAAAAAAAACATGGCTTGTTATTATTCAATAAAGTAAAAACAAAATTTTTAAAATTTTTTCTGCGTTGATTGATCTGATTTTTTGCCATTTGATTGCTTTATAATTTTTTTGTTATATGGAAAAACTTCTTAATTGAGATTTTTGAATTACAACATTAAACACTTTGACTATTAGCAAATTTATCAAATTAACAGACTTGAAATTAATTTTTAAGGGAAATCAAATAAATGGCGTACCGCTATGAAATTTCGGACCAAAATTCGTCGCGATTGGGTTTCGCAACGAAACGACGACAAGAAATGGAAAATTTCCGTTGAATCAGTCGATGTGTTCGTTTTTCATTTGACGGGCTTGCATTGTTCTCCGTTGTTCATTCTTCATCGAACATCTCTCCTCGTTAGTTTTTTTTTTGCCCGTCGACGAAAACCGTCAAGCAATCGAACATCGAAAAAAATATAGATAGGGTTGACCCGATATTTCGACGATGATGATCGAAATCAACAATTCTTCATTTCTACTCGACCAATTCATGTTTGCTGTCGTCGTCGCGTTCGCGTTCGCCAACTATTTTCTGTGTGTCGCCAATGCGACGCCGATCGTCGACGCATTCGTCGAGCATCAGACGATATCGCTGGCGCCGAATGACGAGCTCACAGGTTTCTGAAATTATTTTCTTTAAATCATCTTTTTTTTTCGCACAGATGATAAAACATGGACGAAGCAGGCGATGCAGAAAATGTGGGAGGAACGCAAAAATATGGGACGCACAAATATTTATGTGTTCAAGGTTGGAATCTCGAAAAAAATTGGAAAAACATTCGAAAAAAATAATAAATTCGATCTACAGTAATCATGACGAATTCAAAGGCGCATCATACAATTTTCCTATTCGTGTCGAGACACACTTATTAATTTTCTGTGTGCTTCTTAAAGATTTTAGCAGTTTTTTGGAGATTTAATACGAAATTTAAGATTATTTTTTCTAAGGAAAGACATTTTTTATGGGAAAATTTTGAAATATTCGAATAATTTTGAATTGAAAACCAGAAAAAAAATCAATTTTAGCCGAAAGGAATGCCGCACGTCTCAATCGTGTTCAAAAACGAGTCGTCATCGCCAACCGAATCGCTGAAGCATCGATACGCGTGGGCGTTGATGACGTGGGCGCTTTTGGAGCAGAAAATCAAAAACGGCACCCATGTGTTCGAGGCGTCGTCAGGAAACACGGCGTTCTCATTGGGCTATATGTGCCGAAAATTGGGATTGCCGTTCACTGCGGTGGTAAGAATCCGATTTGAAAAAAATAGAAAAAAATAGAATAGCGATATAAATGGAAATTGAAAAGCTGAGAATCGACGAAGAAAACCATCAAAACGAGGTTGTCTGTGCACACACGCTGACGCAATTTTGCACACATTCCATTTCACACAAATAAATGACCATTTAAAAATTGTTTTTTTCTAATTTTCCCGAAAGAAATTAAAGAAAAATCAAATTGAGGGCAAAAAATTTAGCATAATTTTAAAATTTCGATATTAATTGTCGAATTTTTTGCGAAAATAATAATTTTGAGAAATTCATGAATGCGCGCGTAATTCAAATAATGCAAAAAAAGAAAAATCATGAAAAAAGCGATTTTTTAAGGTGCCTGATACATTGGAAGAAGTGAAGCAGCAAAGAATCAGGGATCAGGGTGCCGAAATTCACAAGGTTCCGATTGGTGAGCGGCTGAAAGCCGCTTCGCAGCTCGCCGAGCAAAATCGCGGATTTTTTATGAATCAATTCAAAAATGCCTACTACGCCGAAGAATTTCACGAAAGTATGGAAGTTGGTTGAAGAAAAAAATGGAAAAAAATTTTAGGCGGCGATTATGGCCACGAATCGGCGAACATATTCCACGAGATTCTTCAGCAATTGAGATCGTCGCGAATCGCGACACCTCACTATTTTGTTCATTCGGCGGGCACCGGTTAGATGGCGCGAATCATCTGCGGACATATTGTCGAGATTTCAGGCGGCACGATTACGTCGATCGGACGCTACGCGAAAAAGTACGGCGTTCCGACGGAGATCGTTCTCGCCGACACGCAATTCTCGATCTACTACGATTATGTGCTTCGCGGCAAATTCACCAACGCGTCTGGCGCCTCGCAATGGGTGTCGCCGGGAATGGCGGGCGTCGGCTACGGGCCAATGGGTGCCGCCAAGTTGGCGGCGACGACGAGCCTCGATCCGGCCGTCATCGATCGGGCGCTCAAGTTGCCCGACGTCGCTTCGACGGCGGCGATTCGCGTCGCCAACGATCACGGCATTCGCGGCGGCACCAGCACCGGCGTCAATTTGCTCGCCGCGCTTCACGTCGCCGCCAGCGCGACGACTCGACGACCGGTGGTGATCGCGACGATACTCGCCGACTCGGCCAACTACTATCGAGAATCGTATTTGAATCGCGAATGGATCGCCGACAAATTCGAAGCTCACGGCGGATTGAAGGTTCGGCTCGCGTCGAGCATCCGACGCATTCGACATTTTTGTAGGTCTACGATTGTTGGCGGAAGGTGATCAAGCAATCGATAGAGCAAGGAACGGATCCGCTGGCGATCGGAAATGAGGCGTGCCGAAATGACAAAATACATTGAAAATGACAACTAATAAATATTTTCTATCTGCGGACAATTGACGGGTTGATATAACAGTCCCCATATTTCACTATAGTGTAGCCGACTACACTGTAGCCAAACCCGCCCATTTTATTATTCTTTCGCTTTTTCTAATCATTTGAGAATGCCGAAACTTCTTGGTATTGATTGGATTGACTTGAATGCTTCATGGGATCGCAAAAAGACCTACTTTGGAACGCTGTTCCATTCGTTTATTCTTTATGGATTAACCACGATCAGCATGATGGTCCCTATTTTTCTGGTACGTCTCTCTTTTCCATTTTTACTGTTCGTAATCTTGTTTCCTTTAGATTTGCACATTTCAATGGCACCTAGTGATTTTGTACGGCGTTTGGTATTTGATTGATCGGAATTCGTCGAAGCGCAGCGCGTACACCAGCGAATGGGTTCGTGGGTAAGTGGGAAACGTGCTGCGGACAACTCGCGGGATTTTGTTTTCAGATGGCGAGTTAATAAATGGTTCGCCGATTATTTCCCGATGAGCATTCATAAGACTGCCGAACTATCACCGGACCATGTAAGGCATCTCGGACCCTCCTTTAAGAAAGCATTGACCATTTGCAGAACTACTTATTCGCCTGCCATCCACATGGCATAATCTCGATTGCCGTTTGGGTGAACTTCGCCACCAATGGCACCAACACCAAAGAGTTGTTCCCCAAATTAGTGTTCAACATTTGCACGATACCCTTCAATTTTCTGTTCCCAATTAAGTAATTAATTGCCAATTTCAAAAGAATTCTTCAATATTTCAAGGCGTGAGCTTCTCCTACTATTCGGCTTCATTGATAGCTCGCGTGAAGCGATTCGGTACAATCTGAATGCGAATCGGAATAAGGGACGAGCGGTGTGCATTGTGATCGGCGGAGCCGAAGAAGCACTCGATGCTCATCCCGGATGCCATACGCTGACGCTCAAATCGAGAAAGGGATTCGTTCGCGAGGCGCTTATCACTGGAGCGCACTTGGTGCCCGTCTACTCATTTGGAGAAAACGAAATCTTCGAGCAGGTGAGCGGCGACCCGCTAAGTTGTCCGCAGCAACGAATCGTTGTCAACTTTCAGCTGGCCAATCCGATCGGATCTCGACTCCGCCAGTTCCAGGAGAAGGGCAAACGGCTTCTCAGCGTCTCCTCGCCGCTCTTCTACGGTCGTGGCGTGTTTCAAAGGGATTTCGGCTATCTTCCGTTCAGAAAGCCGATCGACACTGTTGACTTGTTTTTTTTGGAATTAAATATTGAGTAAGTGTTATGAAATATGGATGCTATCATCAATTAACCCTTGTTTTACAGAATGAAACTACAAGCTGCTAACTGCTTCAACCTAAGACCCAGCTTCTCATAATGCGAAGACCTAGGAAACTTCGCAAATGGATAAAATGTCAAGAGTCATGGGGAAGAAGAATTTGTATCCCCTTCCTGTTGTAAGATGGTTTAATACATTTATTAATTGTATTTAATTGTCGCAAAATTGCGGAAAATTACAAAGTGCCAAAAATTGAAGGAGATGTCTTGGTGCAAAACTAAATGTGTAGATATACGGACAAAATATAAGTATTGAGGCTCATGCCGTGGGCCAAGACATTTCTCATTTTTGGCGTTTAGTTTATTTTTTTCCGCGACAGTAATTCCTCGAACCCGCTTTTAATGTTCCCTCTCCCTCCCATTTTCTTCCTCTTTACTCGATAATTAATATTTTTCCTTCGATATCTATTATTTTATTTTATTATTTGATTTAAATAAATCTAATGCATCCAAATTGTAGCGAATACACAAAAAGAATAAAATTTGACTGGAGCCGACTGGGCGTAATCTGGCGCCAGTTCGAACGAGAATCTGGCGTGAATCGGGCCCAATTCGCAACCAATTTGTCGCAGTTTGATAGCAGTCTCACATCGGTTCGGGCGTGAGACTGCTCCCATTCGGGCGTGAATTGTCCCCGTTCGGACGTGAAACTGCGCCCCCTCCGACGTCGAGCGAGAGCAGTTTTACATTCGAACGGGAGCAGTCTCACTTCCGAACTGGAGCAAATCGTTTGCACCGAGAGAGACGCAGACAGATCGCCGTCAAATAAACGAGGATTTTTGGTGGAAATTCTCGACAAAATTTCTTAGCTAAAATTAAGAAGATCATTTCCATTGGGAAATTGCTTCCAGGCTACCCAAAAAAGGCAAAAAGTGGCGCCAATTCAAATTCGGGTCCCTTCGAAATCCGACGACGAACCATTCATTTTTAAAACTATTTTTCCGGCCCCCGTCAGCTTCATGATTAATGTTGAATTAAATTGCGACCCACAAATAAAAAACAACAACTGACAAGTGCGAACAGCTGTGACGATGATGATGATATCAATATATCGACTAGTGTGTAGCCAAAGTGGTCCGCCCAATCGTCGATATAAATCTTCGGCCGTCTGCTCGATTTATCGGCTCTCGTGTTATTGTTGATCACTTTCGATATTAATAGATTTAAGGGAAAAGAAACTCGTTTTGTTATCAATTATTGGTGGCGTTGTTTTCAGACGTTTTTGTGCGCCTTTAAATTATACATTGATTCGTTGTTTTCCACCTGGCCTTATCACCAATTACCCCCCCTATCCTTGTCGGCGTTCTCTCTCTCTCTCTCCCTTTAATCGAATCAATTCGATCGTGTTCTTCCAGATATCAGCGAATTATGCCGAAATTTCTCGGAATCGATTGGGTCGACGTGAACGCGTCGCTGGATCGCAAAAAAACCTACTTCGGCGTTCTGTTCCACTCATTCATCATCTATACATTATCGCTTTTGAGTATTGCGGTACCGATTTTTCTGGTAATCCCGTTTTGGTTATCTCAAAGAGAGAACCAACAAAATTCTTTGAGATTTGCACATTCCAATGGCTTCTTCTACTCCTCTACGGCGTTTGGTATTATGTTGATCGGAATTCGCCGAAATGCGGCGGTTATTCGAGCGAATGGGTTCGTGGGTAAGTGGGAAACGTGCTGCGGACAACTCGCGGGATTTTGTTTTCAGATGGCGAGTTAATAAATGGTTCGCCGATTATTTCCCGATGAGCATTCATAAGACTGCCGAACTATCACCGGACCATGTAAGGCATCTCGGACCCTCCTTTAAGAAAGCATTGACCATTTGCAGAACTACTTATTCGGCTGCCATCCACATGGTATCATCGCGATTGCGGTTTGGGGAAATTTCGCCACCAATGGCACCAACACCAAAGAGCTTTTTCCATACATCAATTTTAACGTGTGCACTCTTCCCCTCAATTTCGCGTTTCCCGTGAGGTGGGCGGCAAACGCGCTCCATTGAGAATCATCAGAATTTAGGCGCGAATTTCTGCTTCTGTGCGGCTGTATTGACAGCTCGCGCGAGTCGATTCGCTACACACTCGACTCGAATCGCAATAAGGGACGAGCGGTGTGCATTGTGATCGGCGGAGCCGAAGAAGCACTCGATGCTCATCCCGGATGTCATACGCTGACGCTTAAATCGAGAAAGGGATTCGTTCGCGAGGCGCTTATCACTGGAGCGCACTTGGTGCCCGTCTACTCATTTGGAGAAAACGAAATCTTCGAGCAGGTGAGCGGCGACCCGCTAAGTTGTCCGCAGCAGCGAATCGTTGTCAACTTTCAGCTGGCCAATCCAATCGGCTCGCGAATCCGCCAACTACAGGAGATGGGCAAGCGGTTTTTCAGCGTCTCGCAGCCGCTCTTCTACGGTCGTGGCGTGTTTCAAAGGGATTTCGGCTATCTTCCGTTCAGAAAGCCGATCGACACTGTTGTCGGAGCGCCGATTCCAGTGGAGAAAGTCGAGAATCCAACGCGCGAGCAGATCGACGAACTCCATCAGCTGTATATTCAAAAGCTCACCGAGCTCTTCAATGAGCACAAGACCAAATATGGCGTCGACAAGGACGTCGAATTAATTCTTCAGTAATATGTTGCCAAAACATTTAATTTGTCCACAATGAAGGAGAATGACATTGTGGAGTCTTAAAATAATGTGTTGCGGACACATTGCGGGTTTCGCCGCCGTCTATGTTCAACACGTGAGAAACGAAAAAATTTATTGAAATTAAATGGAAATTAGGCGGCACCCGATGTGGATGTGCCAGTTCCGGTCGAAGTGTCTCCGCCTGCAAATAATAGGGATCTAATAGACGATCGGATCGAGAAAACGCACTTTTCTTTCCTTTCTTTCCCTTCTTTCCTTTTTTGGCTTTGGCTTTACGCGCGCGCGGCAAATGCTTCAGACGCGCTTTGACGAAATACTTGACGAGGCACACGTGCAAAACGAGCATCAGAATGCCGAAGACGACGCCGAAGGCGACGCCGACCGATAGAGGCGTCGGAATCGACTCCCATGGAACAGCCGAGTCGCTCATGTCTTACACCTGTGATGACGGCGACGTTTGGCGGCGAGGTTTGAAAATAACTACCTGAGATGTCTCTTATGTGCTTCCAAACTCACAACAAAAAAGGAATATTGACGAGGCGCCGATTATTGTTCGATCATATCGCATTGGTGGCACGTGACCCAGACGAATTTTGTGGAATTTTTGAAATTCATCTTTTTTTTTTGGGAATTTTCTCTTTTTTTAAATTCTGCGGACAATTGCCGCGGCCTTTGAGATTGTCCGCAGCAGGGAGTTCAGATAAATATCCAGATAAGCAAGTAAGAAGCTCCTATAATTTGCGCATTACTAAAAGGCCTCTTCCCAAATTTTTTGGCATTTAGCCAATTTCTGACAATACTATTCAATAATTCTCAAAACACTCATTAAAAATCATATGAACCATCGATTACACGGCGTTCACACTAGTGGGATTTACATGAAAAAAAGATTTTTCTCAATGGAGCGCACATGCAGCTTAGCGCTATTCCGGTGCATAAATTCAACAAATTAAATTTGTGAAATAAATTAGAAATGTTCTCTAAATGGAGCGTTTTTTCAATAAGAACGATTAGTTTTTATATTTCTTCGGGTGGATCATATTCACCGCAATTTATGGTCTAATTAGTTATAAATTAAATAAGTTATTTTAATTTATATAGGATTTTTTTTTAAACATAACATTTTTAAATGATAAAACCATCAATTAAACGAAAGAAATACTACACAATCGAATTATGATATAAAAATTGATGATATGTAGCAGATGAATTCAATGCGAGTAGATAAAGACGCGAGAGAGATAAATAGAAAAAAAGAAGCTGAAAACGGTAAATTAACGTAAGAACTAACGAAATTAAAAAAAAAAAAACAACAAAAAAATTATAGAGAATCTCTTGCAACTTCTCCGCCGAAATGACACACTATTTACATTTTAAATTAGCAAAAAAAAATTAAAAAATAAACAACTATGAAATGTTTTTCCAAGTGTTACCAAACATAACCGTATAACTCAAACCATATAATATAATAATAAATGATATTAACAAAAGAGAGAGTGAAAAAACAGAGAAAAGAAATGTGAATATTTCTACAGTTCAATCTTTAAAAAACTACGGACCTCTGAATACTTATCCGATTGAATTATAGTTAAGCTTTTTCGATAGAAAAAAGCCTTGCGAAAAACGTGGTCGGTGCACTTTTTTGTTAAAATTTGAGAAAAATTCAAAAAACTTGAAAAATGAGTCAAAACCTGGCGATTTTTAAAAAATTCGTCTGCGCGACAAAGACGCCAACAATCGATCACTGACACAGTTTGAGTTTTCATTTCAGGTAAATCCCACTAGTGTGAACGCCGTGATTAGAAGAATTTGTTTGGCAACAGCCGCTGGCCGAGTTTTGCGTGGCCGTGGCCGAGTCGCGTTGGCGAAGAAATTTAAATCTGGCGCGGCTTTTCTTGTTATTTGAAGTTTGAGACTGCAATAAAAATATGTGGTGATATCTTGGTGGGGTAACAGCCAATTGAAGCAACCCCAACAGCAACAAATTTTTGAATTTTCTTGCTGCGGACATCTATCCGGTTTTCAAAATTTGGCAATATTTTCTAAATAGGGTCAGATTAAAATAAAACGATGACAGTGAAGAAAAAAAAAAGAAAATTTTTGACGTCATTTGCATTCTCATTATAATTTTATATCAAAATTTGCGCGCAATGCGTCAGGTTGAATTTTTTCGTTCCACTTCCCTTATACGGACCATTTCGATTGCAGGCACTTATATTGTCGGCAATTTTTGCGATTTGCTTCTCGGATAGCTCGATTCGAGTTCGAGGCGCGTTCAAATGCGACGGAAAACCGTATCCGTACGCCGAATTGCAAATAATCAATGATCGATCGTGTTTGAAGCCATATAATTTGATTCAAATAATAATTTTCGGTTTCAGTTGGATATGATGTTATAAAAAAGCAAATCGCTTCTGACCACGGTGGTCATTTCGATATCGCTGGATACGTTGACTCGTCGAAGCTCACCCCATTTCTCCATATTTGGCATCGATGTTGGAAGAACCCCGACAAACCTCAATATCCATGCTATCGTTATTTTAAAATCCAAATACCCGAAATATTTGTGTCGCATACTCGAATTCCCACAACGGTTTCATTCCACACCTCAACGCGTCAATATTTATTTGAATTTTATCGTTTTAGACATGGGATATGGGTGTTATCGAATTGCATCCGGATCAAGATTTTGAAACAATGGACGGATGCTAAAGAAACTCGTTGTAAATCTCGTTGAAATAAAGTTTTTTTTTTAATTGTCTTGATTATTCATTTTCTGCGGTGGTACGATTTGCAATGTGTGCAAACACCGAGCGTGTATGCACACAGCGGCCACTTTTCCCAAAAATTCCGAATGCATTGCGAATTTGCGTTTTTCCCTAATTTCCAACGCTTTTTTTGTGATTTTTTAATTTTTCTTTAATTTTTCAGGTAAAAACGACAAAGAATGACAGTTCTTAACGGGTAAGCTCATTAAAATGTTGAAATTGCAATGATTTCGAAATAAAATTCCGGTTTTATGAAATTAGCTCGCTCCAAACGTTTTATCGATTTTCCGCATTGAAATAGAGAAAAGTATAATAGCAATTCGTCATTCGAATGTATCAATTTCGAAAATTTAGTTTTTATATTATTCTTGGTTTATTTGGAATTTTTACCCTAAAACATTTTTATTGTAGAATCCCGACTGCTCCGGAAGTTGGTAGCTGGGCTGAGTCTGTCGAGCAAGATAGTAAGGGTTAATAAATCAAAAATCGATACATTTTCTAATTTTTTATAATTTTAGACCAATCTCGCGTTGAGGAAGGTGATGATGGTACCAGAACTGAAACCGCTTTCACTGTTGAAGACGGAGTTAGATATAAGGTAGGAAAAATTGAAGAGATTAGAAAATTTTGATGAATTTTTTTTAAAGGTTGTAACCACATTCAAAGTGATCAACAAGCGGGTTCCAAAGGTGGTCGCCGAGAGAAAAAAGTGGAAAAAATTCGGCTCTTGCAAAGAAGATCCGCCAGGTCCGCACGTCGCCACCACCTATGTTGCCGAAGAGGTCGAGATGCAATTCACCAGAAATCGCGCCGGAGAGCAAATTCTTGACGTCCAAGAGGATAAGCAAGCGGTAAAAATTTGCCAAAATTATAATTAATCGAAATACCCAATTTGGATGCTGCAGACAAAAGCAACAAGCCGCGAGCATTGTCGCCACTGCAAAGGCAACGACCATTGGAGTACACATTGTCCGTACAAGGTCATGTATCAGTTGGATGAAGAAGCCGACGCTGAGAAGGAGAGCGAGAAGGATCGCAACGCGTTGGGACTTCGTCCAGACGGTCGCCAAATCGATAGAAATAGGTAAAATTTTTGGATTTTTGAAGATTTTTCTAATATTTTCACTTGTAGATCTGATGAAAACACGTGCCGCGTTACGAATTTGCCGCAAGAGATGGAGGAAGCCGAACTTCGAGAGATCTTTGGAACAATGGGCCGAATTATTAGAATATTCATCGCTCGCGATAAGATCACCAATTTGCCGAAAGGATTCGCATTCATCACCTATGAGAATCGCGAAGTAGATTTATTTTTGATAAATTCCCGAAAATTTCTGTTTTTTTTTTTCAGGATGCTGCTCGCGCCATTGCGGAATTGAACGATTTGAGAAAATACCACATGGTCCTTAAAGTGGAATGGACCCGTCCAAGCAACCCAAATTAAGCACAATTTTTCCCCTCAATATTACTTGCAGATTTTTTCGTTTTTTTTTTCTCCGGTCTTTGCTGTTGACTATCTTCTTCTTTTTTTGTTTCTATCAGAGTTGTTATTTAATATAATATTATAAATTTTGGGATTTGGTTTTTTGTTTCCAATTTCTTCCTTTAAATAGGCTTTTTACCAGAGTTTCACTTTTTCTTCTACTCAATCTTGTTTGATTCCTTTTTCTTCTAAAAGCCCCCTATTATTTTTCAGATGGGATTCTTAAAAATCCTCCGAAAACAGAGGGCGAGAGAGCGAGAGATGAGAATATTGATATTGGGATTGGACAACGCCGGCAAAACGACGCTGATGAAGAAATTCCTTGGCGAGCCGACCGATACGATTGAGCCGACTTTAGGTTTATTCGATAGAGGTGTTTTTTTTTAAATCTAATTTCTTCTTTTCCAGGCTTTGACATAAAAACTGTGCAATTCAAAGAATTTCAATTGAATTTGTGGGATGTTGGCGGTCAAAAGAGTCTGCGTTCGTATTGGAAGAACTATTTTGAGTCGACAGATGCCCTTATTTGGGTTGTTGATTCGTCAGATAGAGGTACGATTGATATTTCATTTGAATTACCACCTAGGGTCTTGTGTGGAAAAATTTTAGAAGCGAGTTTTGTTTAATAAAAATATCCATTTTCAAAAATGCATTTTGGTTCTTTCAAAATGCTCCCTTTATTTCAATAATAGAGCAGAAATTAAAGGCGCATGAGGTGGGCATTATCCTGTGTCGAAAATTTGTAGTAATTCAACACCATAAGCCAATTTGCATAATTTTGGAAATTTGGATTTTCACTATTTTTGGGAAACGCTCAATATCACCAAAAACGCGGACCTTGTAGACCATTATATTATTTTTGTGGGCGGTAATTCAAATTTCAATTTTAACAGTTTAAATGAGGGTACCGAATCAAATTTATCCCATTTTCTGGAGATTGCAACATTTTCTTGAAATGAGAACGAAAAAATTCTATGTACAGTCACGTTTTGGGTCTTACCACGATAACACTTGATTAGGCCGCCATCACGTTCAAACATGCACATAAATTTTGGATATTTGATTCCAAAAAAATGATCTACCGATTTTTTTGACTCTTTTAAAGCTTTTATTTTTTAATGATTCATACGAGTCAATTTTAAGCAAAAAAACGTGCTTGATGAATTGCAGAGCGGCTTGCGCAATGCGCCGACGAGCTTCACAAATTGCTTCAAGAGGAGAAGCTGGCGGGCGCTTCGTTGTTGGTGCTCGCCAACAAGTGCGATGTGCCGAGCGCCGTCGACGTCAACACAATCGCGAAGGTAATTTGAATTGTTCTCGTTCGATCGATTTGGAGTTCGCCTTCCAGATTCTCGACCTTCAATCGATCAATTCGCACCATTGGAAGATATTCAGCTGTTGCGCGCTGTCCGGCGAGCGTCTGATTCAGGCGATGACGTGGCTTTGCGACGACGTCGGCAGTCGCATATTCATTCTCGACTAATATGGGCTTGGGGTTTCACTTGACACACTCGGATCTCACAGAAATGTTGTACATAAATGACGAATATTGTGTAATAATTGCATTGTTTTTATTTGGTCGCTGTTTTTTTTTCGTTGCTTCTGCCCACTTCATCCGACGACGACGACGACGACGACTACTGCGCGTCAAGTGGGGGCTAGCGATTGGATGAATGCTGAACGGAATGCTTTCGGAAAACATTCGAGAATTCTGAGCAGTTGCTCGACGTGTGTACTGTAGCAATCGTCACAGGTGTGTGTAGATATCAACCTGCGGCGTGTGTTGAATTTCATAATCAAAGAATAAAAATCGAGATGAATCGTTTGGCAGGATTCGAGCGACGATGTGTGGCAATCGTTGGAAAAACCAGACTTGCGAAAACGGCTGAATATGCAAAATTTTGGCGAAATTTCATTTAGAAATTGATAAAAACGGGTCTCAATTTATATTTGGGTGTGTGCGACGACGATAATATATGCATATCCATCTTGATAAGAATTGTTTGTTGATTTTTGGAAGCCTAATCGGAATAAATTGATTACGGTAGTCGGAAGAGATTTGAGGCGAAATCGAATTATTGTCCGCAGATGCGTTGATTTTGAAACCCGCGAATTGTCCGCAGATTCGAGATGATGTATTTTATTTCCAAGGAGACGCGGAGATTGGGCATACGCTATGAGTTTCAAACCCGCGAATTGTCCGCAGATGTGAGATGATGTATTTGTCTCAACACTGCGTCACCCAGGTAACTTTGTTATGCCAAAACAAACCCGGTAATTGTCGGCAGATGACATCCATAAAAGTTTGGCATTAAATTGTTGTAACACACTTAAAAAAAAAAACAAATGAAACCAGACCAGACATTCTTAATGAGCGATCATTAGATTTCTCCCCCCAATGCGCCGCAAAATGGAAATTCGAATTGATATATTCCGGCGCGCCGCGAGAGAAGGCGCTCATAAATAAGTCGCGTTTTGATGGTTTTGTGTGCGAAAAACACTTGCCGCCACTTCTTGAGCGAAAACACCGCCCGATGATGATGATGATTCGCATAATTATGCGATTTTATGTGAATCAAAGACACGCGCTTCATTTAGAAGCTTCTTGCCTTCACCCGGCCGTCAGGCATTCCTTATCGTTTCCTGTGGGGCTCGGATATGTCCGCAGATGGTCCAACACTTATAGGTTGCGCTCGCACGTCTCGAAGCCCCACCCCGAACCTCTCAATGTGCCATCATCATGTTAAAAAAAATATTATCAATTCAGTGGGCGGAGCGATTGCCAATTGAATGATCAGCTGGGTTGGGCTTTGATGATAACGAAACGCCGCTTATATAAACTGCTTTCGCCGGCAATCTCATTCAGTCGTTGCCCCCCTCCTCACAGTTTTTTTTCTTTGTTGATTTTCAGCTCAATGCTTCGCAATCGGCTGACGATCTTGTGTATTCTCGCGGCGACGGTGTCGGCGATTCCCGTCGACAACAACGTCGAAGGCGAGCCGGAGGTCGAATGCGGACCAACGTCGATCACAGGTACCGTCCCCAAAACGATCTCGTCCCACACTCGCGATTCAGTCAACTTCAACACTCGCAATCCGTTCGAGGGTCACGTCTACGTGAAAGGTCTGTTCGATCAGCAGGAGTGCCGCAACGACGAGGGCGGCCGTCAGGTGGCCGGCATCGAGTTGCCGTTCGACACGTGCAACGTGGCGCGCACACGATCGCTGAACCCGAAGGGCGTGTTCGTCACCACCACCGTCGTCGTCTCGTTCCATCCGCAGTTCGTCACCAAGGTTGATCGGTGAGCGGCCATCCACCCACCGCCACCACCGCCATTGATTTTGATTTCAGCGCCTATCGCGTTCAATGCTTCTACATGGAAGCTGACAAGACGGTCTCGACGCAAATCGAAGTCTCCGATCTGACCACCGCCTTCCAGACTCAGGTATCCCCCGCCGTCCCTTCTCGCAATCCAATCAACGCATCTCCCCCCTAGGTGGTCCCAATGCCGATATGCAAGTACGAGATTCTCAACGGCGGTCCAACCGGCGAGCCGGTCCAATTCGCCACCATCGGCCAACAGGTCTACCATAAATGGACGTGCGATTCGGAGACGGTCGACACGTTCTGCGCCGTCGTCCACTCGTGCACCGTCGACGACGGCAACGGCGACACGGTGCAGATACTCGACGAGAACGGCTGCGCGCTCGACAAATTCCTGCTCAACAATCTCGAGTATCCGACGGACTTGATGGCCGGCCAAGAGGCGCACGTCTACAAGTACGCCGATCGCTCGCAGCTCTTCTACCAGTGCCAAATCTCGATCACCGTCAAAGAGCCGAACGAGGAGTGCGCGCGGCCGACGTGCGCCGAGCCGCAGGGATTCGGCGCGCCGAAACAGAATCACACCGCCGCGCAATTCTTCCGTGTGCTCCGGAAGCGCTCCGTCGGCCAACTCGAGAATGTGCTCGACGTGCGCGCCGAGCTCACCGCGTTGGATGTTCGCGACGAGGAGGTTCGTTTGAGCGTGTCGTGCTCCTGATTCGATCATATTCGTTTTTCAGTTGCCGGCGATGCTTCGCGCCGCCGCCCCGCAGGCGCTCGTCTCGAATCAGCGCTTCGACGAGCTCATCTGCGTCACCCCCTACATCTCGTCGCTTCTCGTCGCCGGCATTTGTGTGCTCATGATCTTCGCCGTCATCACCACCTTCTTCTGCATTCGCATCAATCGACCCGTCGACAAATCGATGACCCCATACAAGCACTAGAACTCACTCACTCCTCTCCATTTCATCGTCATCCTCAATTCACCGATCCTCAGAGTGCAATCTCTATGATATTTAATTTATTGCCTATTAGAAATGCGCGAAATAAAAACTATTTGGTTGAAAAAATTTTTTTTCGTAGCTCCTCTCGATGGTCCCATTTTCATTGCTTTCAGATTATTGGGTGAACATCGAAATTCTGCCAAAAATTGTCGAGATCAACAATTCGCAAATTTTTCGGGACCACCTATCCCATCACTGGAAGACGGATGATCCGATGGATGATCCGATCTATGAAGCAAAATTCCGAGCGGCGCAAACGTCTAGAAATTTCGAATTTTTTGGACTGCAATTCCAAAATCTGGAACGTGGCCGTCTCTCGGTGACCGTGAAAAATTTAGGCCATCATTGTACGTCCGTCATCAGTGAAACATTAAGCGAGCGAATATTTATTTTGCCGTTTTCTTGATGAATTTCCATTTGTCAAAATAGCCAGTTAGTCGGCGCGAGACCAAAAAAACGACGCATTCCCCGTAAATCTAATGATTTTCTCCATTTTATTTCAAAATTGCTTCAAAACCAATTTTTCAAATCACACGGGGAAAATTGTGAAAAACCTCAACGCCGATTTTTTTTCGTTCTCCAATTTTCAATTTTTAAATCTCAAATCTTGCGGTCTTGCGGCGAATTTGAAGCACAACAATCGTCACTTCTCAACAGAGCGCACTTGCTTTCAATCATTTATTAAAATCGAGGACTCATTCGTTCCAATACGAGAACACGTCGGCCGATTCGTTCTTGTTCGGATGAAGCGACGCGTGAATCTGATAGAATTTGACGAGCTGATTGAGCGACCAGTGTTTGCGCACGTTCGCCACACCGTAATCGACAAAGTATTGAACGTCGCCGTTGCCGCCGGGCGTCGTGCGAACCGGATAGTGCCGATAGCTGCCATCCGTCGCCTTGTACACAATTATCAGCGGCAGACCATCGGTGAGCTTGTTCAGCGATCCTTTGTAGTACTGAAATGCGATGTAAAAAAGCATGGCCGAAAAATCGGCGGCCGCGCAAATCTAGTCCCCCCGCTGGGGCGAATTTAATTTTTTCTGATAAATCGAATAAAAGATTTTGAGGTTCATTGAGAAACTAAACGTGTCTCTATAATATTTCAGATTTTTCTTAATCAACTTCAGAAATTATTAAAAGATTTTAGAAATTCTGGGAGATAATTTGGAATTTGCTCAATAAATTCTAGAAAATCATATAAGATTTATAAAATATTTTTTAAGTTTAGCGATTTTCAATAAGTTTTAGAACGTCATCAATTAGAATTTCTCATGGTTTTTTAAGTTGAATTTTTGATTCTCAAAATATTTTATTTGAATTTCCTGAGTGGCCGAAAAATCGGCGGCCGCGCAAATCTAGTCCCCCGAATTCAATTTTTTCTGTCGAATTTCAATTTTTCAAAACCAATTCAAACCTCGTGATAAAGGCAAAACGTCGCCGGCTCGGTGACCTGCTTCTCGGCGTCCGACGGGCTCAGCGCTCCAATATAAATCGCGGCCGCGTACGATCTAACAAAACGCAAAGGAAAAATCCAGCAAAAAAAAATTACAACATCATCGCCTACTTGTAAATCTTCTTCTTCGACGACGATCGCGACGATTCCGATTCTTTGGCGACGCCGGTGGTCAGCGAGAACGACGAGTCCGTCGGAAGCGAGCTCATCGTCGTCTTCATCGGATCGCTCGGATGATTGTTGAGCATCGGCGAGCTTCTCGTCGAACTGAATCGCTTGTTGAGGTTCACATAGTTCTCGCGATCCTCGATCGCCTCCGTCTTCCGACAATTTCGAATTTTGTCCGTCTCGCGCATCACCGTCTCCAAGCTGGCGAAAAAAAAATTGATTTGGAAAAAAAAATTCCAAAAAACACCAAACCTCTCAAATTCCGTCTTATTCTTGTTCACCAATCTCTCATCAATCGCCAATTTTCTGAAATGGCGAATTTCGCCAACTGACACCCAAAAGAAAAAAAGCTCTCACGTCAATTTCTTGGCGAGACTCTCGGCCATTTGCTGTTCGGCCGTCGGCGCCGTCAAATTCACATATTGGTTCTCGTCGATTTTCACACTCTCCGAGCTCTCGACTACACCCAAACTAAAGCCATCAACGATCGGCGGACCAAAAAGAACCCACCTTGATGATTATTGCTTTTGCCGCCGGCTGAACACGGCTTTCCATGCAGACAACACACTTTATGCTCTGATTTTGACGAATAATTCTAAATCAAAAAATAGTGTGCGGCGGGTTTGCACAAAAAGTGGGCGTGGCCTCTCACATTCAATGGCTCGTAAAGACTATTGTACGGCGTTTTCGTCAAATGACTATCCATTACACCCAAAAATAGCCCCGCACACAGGCGTTTGACAAACAAACGTGCTCGATAAAATGGTTTGTCAAGAAAAAAAAATGAGGGCGGTTCGATGATTTATCGACGAAACAAGAACGACACGCCTCACGCGGCATAAAAATCAACAGACACAAAAAAATGGATGGTGGGGTGGGGGATTTTGAATTTGCACAACAATTTTCCAAAAAAAAAACCATATGAAATAGCTATGATGAAGAGGTAACCCGACGACAATTAGATAGTGGACACAACCTTTAAAAAAAATAAACGAAAAAGCGAGAACATATAAATTATTATTAGCACATGAAATATGGGGAGGGGGGTGAATATTATGGTCGAATCAACGATTCTTCATCTCCTGATATTGGCGTTTCGACGCGCGTCCGCAGCAGCATCCCAATAATAAGATGACGAACACAATTGCGGCGACGTAGCCAAGAATCGAGTTGCGTTGCGGATGCTCCATCACAAGATTCGCTAGCGCGTGGAACGAGTCGGGCAAAGCCATTTGATATTCCTTGAAATCATTCACATTTTTAAAGGCGCACGCGTTTTTAAAGATGAAACCAATCTTATTGAAGCGTTTCAAAATCGATTCTTTAGTCAAAAATGGACGAATTTTGAATTACCGCCATGGGTCTCGTATGGAAATACCCGTAGCGCGAGTTTTTCTCAATTTAACCAACATTTTCTATAAATCTTAAGCCCTTTTTTTTTTGAAAAATTCGTTCCACCCTAAATTTAATCCATAAATACAATCCAAATTTCACTCACCGCGTGCGCTTTCATCCAAAGCTTATTCCGATCGCTGAGCTTCTGCTTGCAATCCCGCGTCAATCCTTCCGCATTCCTATCGGTCGTATCCATAAGGCACATAATAACTAGACAATGGATGATTAGATGAAATGCCTCAACAACAACATACTTCGACTATGTCCCGGCGGAACGTCTTTGCAAAACCGGAAGATGTCGGTGGCGCAGACCTCATGAAGCACCGGATCCAAGTGGATGTCGACAAGCGATTCTTGAAGGCGTCGAGCGATTTGCTGATAGCAAGCGCCATCGCGAATCGCGCCCTTGTTGAAATCGTTTTTCAGGCATTCAAGAACATTGTCGAAATTGCCACCCTAGAAGAAGAAAAAATGAGCAATAATAATAATAATAATAATAATAATATACCGTCGATATCACCGAATGCGAGCAATGCAGACTAATGGTGCTCTTGCACGCGTTGTATAGCGGCGGATCGAGTTGCGGATCGAATTCGGCCTCGATGATGACGCGCGAGATCTCGCCGGTGCATTGCGCGCTGAACTGCACGTGCGTCTCGTCCGTTATCGATTGGCGGAATTTGTCGCGCAAACAGTTCATCACAACGCCGTCAAGCACCTGTTGCGAGTATTGCGGCATGTTGAGCTTCTTCATATCATCGGGGCAGCTGAAAACAACAAAAAAACTCATAATCAAGATAAGCTAAATATTGTTTCGCAGATGGATTTCATTATAGTTGCGGACGAACAAAATTGAAAATACTTAATTTGCGCTTGATCGTTAATTGGACCCTCGTCACACAAAATGGGTTCGGCGCCTGCGGCATGCGCCTTGAAAAGGTCTCGCATGATGAGTTTGACATTTCCTTGAATTTGATCGAACCAACCCACAAAATTTGAAATGACCTATTAATGACCCCGTAAATCTACCCGCGTATCCCAGCAGTCACCGGACGCTGACTATAGTTCGAGATCAAAATTCGAAATAACTCAAACGCACTATTGTTGGGCTTCCGTCTTACACGCCGCCATGAATCCCGGCCTCAATCGTACGTCTCTCGCCGATTCCTGCATTCGCTCCTTCACCACCGATTTGCATTCGCGTTGGAGGAGTCGCACGATTTTCGAGTTCGTCAAACACTCCAAAACGTTGTCGATTTCGGCGTTGCCACAGAATTTGCCAATATCGTATCTAAATCGCATGGCGATGAAAAAAAAAAAACGAAGAAATGCGCTCGTCAAACCTGCATTTCTTAATGAGCTCGTCGTCCATCGAGTTGTCGACCGCCTCAATTTTCTCGCGATAGAATATCATCGATTTGCATTCGGGACCAAGTTGCTCGAAATTCAATCGAAGGCATTCAATTGTGTCCTAGAAGCAGACGAATTTTTCAGATTCCGAATAAGGCAAAAAAAAAAATAATGGTCACCTCGAAAGTTTCAGCCGCGTTACACTTAAATTGCACAATCTCGTTGGCGCATTTTTGCGAGAGTTTCGGATCAGCCTCAGCCATATGCTCTTTATCATCAAACTGAAAATTAATTTTTGAGCATTTCAAGGAGCATAATATTGGGTCTGTGCACGAAAATCCAGAATTTTGTTTTGAATTGTTATTTTATTCCGAAATTTTCTTGTTAAAATCTGCGGACATTTTCCAGCGATGCTCCACAATCGCCGATTCATTGTGTATTAGCGAATTCAAAACTACATAGTATTATGGACAACGCCGATCACAATTATTAGAAAAATATAAAAAACATGCCGAAATTTCAGATAAAGTCGGAACGGCCCCCCAAAAAGACAACATCGAAAATCCAACATTGAGAACACAAAACGCGTGAGATGACAGCATGCAAATAATGCATTCAATGAAACAGGCCAATAATTTAACACCGCACGCAACGACACCAAATAAAGACTTACTTCTACCTGTTCTTGTTGAAGATAGGCGACTTTGAGCTGCTTCTTGCACGCATCCGACAAATCGCGTTCGGCTCCAAGGACTTTGTGCTCGAAGCGAACCTCCGACAAACATCGGATGATCTCGCCCCTGCAAACAATTCTCAATAGCTAAACCATCAAACCATTCATTATGCTCGACTTGTCATTATTATGATTGCGACAGTTCAACGCGATGTCGTTCTTGCAAGCCTGCTCGAATTTATAGCTGAAATGATAATCGCGAAGCGAGATGAGCTCGAAATGATTGACGTATGATCTACACTTGGTCGTCATCTCTTTGGCATTCTGCAAGTACACCGTGACGCACAATTACACCCCAAAAACCCTCCAACCTTATTATTGACGAGACATTCAAGAACATCGCCATGATCGATCTCCTCGTTCGCGAACTGCTCGCAGTGCGTCATGATGACCGGCTTGCAAGCCTTCGTGAGCAACTGATTGAGTTTCGTGTCTTTTGCCTCCATCTCGGTGAATCGGGTGATCTCCGAATGGCATTCGGGGTATTTTCGTTTGAACGCCTCGGTTTCAAAGTTCTTCTGTAGGCACATCATCTCCTCTTGCGGTTTGACGTTGTTCGAGCAGAACGCCGAGAGCGCCTCGCGGCACGAGTCCTCGATCTCGGGAATGAGATTGACGCGCGCGGCGCGCATTCGCAACAAATTGCGCACTTCTGTTCCGCAACGTTGAGAGAGCTGGAAAAGAAAAAATTGGCATTTCCCATCGGATTCGAGCATTACCGGATTCGCCTCGTCATAGGCACTTCTGTAGAGGCAGGCGAGAACCTGCGGTCCCGGATCTACCTGATTGTTCGTGTTGTGCTGCTGATGCCAATTGTCGACCGCCGAACATCTCGTGACGGCTTCGGCGTGACACGCTTCATAGAGACTCGGCTCGAGTGTCCAATCGCGCGACATGAAGTATTGGACCTCGAGAAGGCGCTTCTCGCAATCCGGAACCATGTCGGGACTGTCGACGTTGCGCATCAAGCATTGAAGCGTCGACATTTCCGAGTTGGCGTCCTGAGCGCATCGGCCTGAAATTGGTATCTCAACATTGTCCGCAGCATCTCGGCCTCACCATCAATAAGACTCTTGCACGAGGCGTACAAAACGCGATCAACCTTGTAGTTCCTTCCAATGTCGGCAACCTTGATGACTTCGGTGAGCGCTTGAATACATTGTGGTCCCAATTTGAGCGTCTCGTTTCGCGTCTCCGCGTGCTCCATAAGACAATGAAGCGTTTTGCCTTCGGCTTCGATGTCGCCGCGCGGACTACACCATTTGTCGATCTCCGCCGAGCATTGCATCACAATCTCCGGCGCCATTTTGAAGTGCGTCATCATCATTTGACGATGGTTCAACATCTCGTGCATGCATTCGCGCGACGGCGGCGCCTCTTTGTGCTCCGGCTGATTGGCGCCGTTCTCAAGACACAACAGGATCCATGAGAGATGGAAGTGGACGGCGGCCTCGAGTTGGCTCTGCGGCTCGCATTTGTAGCGCGCCAACTCCGGCTGGCACGCTTTCGTCAACGGATGAGCCATGCGATAGTCGCGTCCCATGAGGAACGCGCGCTCGGCGAGCATATTCGAGCACTGCAATTGATAATTTATTCGTGCACCTATAGTTTGCAGGTGCTCAAACATTGACCAACCTGAGGATCCATGAATTGATCGTTTCTTGAAAGCATCAAACACTCGAACACCTTGCCCTGGCCCGATGGAACGTCTTTACAGTACCTCTGAATTTATGGAATCGTCGAAGGGACCATTACAATTGCGCTCACCTCTCTATCAGCCCTACACGCAAAGAAAAGCGGGCGATCGAGATGAAAGTCGTCGGCTTGCATTTCAGCCAATCTCAACACCTCATGCTTACATTCATCGCCAAGAATCGCAAGAGCATCGGCTTGCGTCTTCGCGTTCTTCACAACTCTGTCGAGAATGCATTCAAGCGCCATTCCTTGGGTGTGAGCCACTCGAACGCCCTTATGAGCCGCGTTCGGCGTCAATGTGGTACAATTGAAGCTATCTAAGACTGATCGGCACTTTGTGATGAATGGTCCGACGAGGCGGAAGTCAGAGAATGCGAGACGCTCTGTTCTTCCTAAAAAAAAAACGAATCTCATTGAAATTTTAATTGGGTAATTTAGCAATTAACCTAAGAAGGAATGGCATTTTGATGATTGGGTGATGTTTGGAAGGAAGTCAATCAAGCAACTTAGCGAGTATCCCGGTTGTGTGAGCGTTGTACAATATTGCATTCCTAAAAAATGAGATTTCGAATAATTAATTAAAATGCTAATCAGCAACCTTGAACCGATTTCAATTCCTCCTCGCAATATTGCTTGGCGGCGGCATTGAATCGATCGTCCTGAGTTAGTTTGACTTTGAAATCCCAAACGAGCTTCTCGCACTGCTCGGAAAGCGTGTTGGTCTCCGAGAATCCGGCGTCTTGAAGGCATTCGAGAATCGACAAATCGCTATTCAAATCCACATCTTTTCCGCTACAATATTTGTGGATGTCGGATTTGCAAGCGTCGAAACTTATCAATTTTTCATTGTCTTTATTTTGAGCTGCAATTAAATCAATTAATTAATTAATTTTGCGCCGTTATTACTCACCTATAATTGGAGATATTAATAATAAAAGTGATAGTTGCCACATGATGTGGTTCAATTATCGCAAAGCAACAATTGGAGTTTCACCCAGCTCGTTCGAAAAAAAATCTGAAAACGAAAATTGAAAGTGACACGTGTACATCCGGAAAATCGCGGAAACCAAGGAGACATCAATAGAAATTATTGGGTTTTATATTTGAATTGTTGCAAAGAATGCTCAAATGACTGATTTCGGCATTATTTTTATGGAAAGCGTGAGAAAATTGCAAAAAATTACTGAGAAAATAAATTAGTATTGAAAAAAATTGAATTGACGCAAAATTGCGGACTCGAAATTGCACACCGTAATCGCGCATTCAATTTTTTTTTTCATTTTAGCGAAAAATCGACAATAAATATGAGGGAAGTAATGGCGAAAAACAAAAGTAAACATGAATTGGCCTCCCGCCACCACGTGTACGATTATCGATCGCGTCAAAATCCGAGAAGAAATATTGGGAGTGTACGCGTTGCGTCGGCCAATCGCGGCATTCATCGCAATTTCTCGGCGAGAATGCATGAGAAGAAACTCGTTTATGCAATTCATCGATGGTCGCTGCTATTTTCAATGCGAAAAACGCTCATAAATTAATGTGCTGGATGGCGGAGGATTTTTGAGAAGGACGCGAACGCGAAATTGAAACACGTGTACTGATTTGGCGAACGATTGCAGTAAACAAATGGTATAACTGGTTGCGATGCGAAAGGAAACGTCATATACAGGCATTCATTAAAGCGCCTCATTCTGGCTCTTCTTTTCGCAAGTGATTCAGACGAGATTTTACTATTGAAGCCCGCTCGAGTTGAATCTTGTGTAATTCTTGCTGCGGACACTTCGCGGGATACATAACAATCATCGCTTCAAATAATAAATATGTAGAACATTACTTGGCCTCGATGCATGTCCGCAGCATTTGCAAATTATTCCAATTGAATGATAAATGATTCTTGAAAATTAAAAATGGGAAGAACAGAAAAATGTACAAGATTTATTGATTAATTGTGGCTCAATTGAAATCCAGCTTCTCGTTTTCCATAATAACCATATCCATATGCTGAAGGATAACCGTATCCGTATCCATAGCTACCGTATGCTCCGTATGGATAGGCACCGTACAATCCACCGTAATATTGAGCTGTTGATTCGGGCATGATGAATGCGCAAATCATCAATGCCACCAATAAGCACACACTGCAAATTAATTAATTACTCTAATTAGCTAATTAATTATGATGACTTACAATTTTGAAGACATTTTGAAGACGATTGTTGTGTGATTTTTTATATTTGAGAGCTCTTTTATACTTTTTGAAATGTTTGCTTCGAGTAAAAAACGAACGGCAAAAAATACGAGGTTAATTAAACAAATATTAATTTTGACACTTTTTTGTTTGCATTTTAGTAGGTATAAAAATGCTCGAGTTTTTCAACAAAATCAATCGTCTTCAAAATGTCCTCAAAATTGTAAGTCATCATAATTAATTAGCTAATTAGAGTAATTAATTAATTTGCAGTGTGTGCTTATTGGTGGCATTGATGATTTGCGCATTCATCATGCCCGAATCAACAGCTCAATATTACGGTGGATTGTACGGTGCCTATCCATACGGAGCATACGGTAGCTATGGATACGGATACGGTTATCCTTCAGCATATGGATATGGTTATTATGGAAAACGAGAAGCTGGATTCCAATTGAGCCACAATTAATCAATAAATCTTGTACATTTCTCTAATCCTATGAATATTGCTTTGAATTAACCGGAATGATTTCAAAGAAGTTATATATCCTGTTATACTGGATTTTGAAGCTTGCTATAGTCTTTCAACAAATGTTTGCTGCGGACATTCATCGAGGTTGTCGCATTCATCTATGGCAACCATTGCAAAACTCAATTGAATGAAAAAAACTGGCGATTTATTGACAGATAATAAATGATAGTGTCTAGACGACGGCGTTGGCGGCTCGACGAGCCGACGATCGTCGCTGAACGGCGACCGATCGCGTCGGGCACGGGCAATATTCGGCATCGGATCCCGGCTGTCCCGACTGTCCGTCGGGTCCCGGCTGTCCTGGCGCGCCCGGCTGTCCCGGCCGTCCGTCGGGTCCCGGCTGTCCAGCAGGTCCTGCGGCTCCCTGTCCGCCTGGTTGTCCCGGTTGCCCCGGCTGTCCCGGCGCTCCTTGTGGTCCCGTCGGTCCCGCGGGTCCCGGAAGTCCGCGGCTTCGCTGTCCCGACTGTCCCGGCGCTCCCGGTTGTCCGTCGTTTCCGGGCGCTCCCGGCGCTCCCGCGTCTCCAACTGGTCCCGCCGGTCCCGCTGGTCCCGGTCGTCCGCCGAGGCCTGGCGCTCCTGGCTGTCCGTCGGGTCCGGCGGCTCCGGCGGCTCCTGGTGGTCCCGCTGGTCCTGGCTCGCCAGCCGGACACGGAATACAAGCTTTGCCGTCCGGCACAATGCCGATGGTGGGACCATGACCTCCTGGCGTTCCCGGCTCTCCCGGGTGTCCGTCGTCACCCGGCTCTCCTGGTGCTCCCGGCGGACCTGGTGGTCCCGCCGGACAATCATTCGCTTGCGCTCCGCAATTACACAGTCCGGCTTGTCTTTTGGCGCGACCGAAAAGAATCTCGGACGGCGAGCGCGTCGTCTTCACCATTCCGTGCCAAGCTCCCTGCTCATTGAGCTGCAAGTGGCTGATGGTCAGGATCGTTCGGATCGCCTACCTTGAACTCCTCCATCGTCCCCATCGCCTCATCATAGAAGCTGTTGATGTCGTTGAAGATGAATCCGACGGTCAACACGCATCCAATGATGGCGAGGGTGCTGCCAACGCTGGCGATTGTCACCAATGCACTCATTTCGATGCTTCACCCACGCCAACGACTCCATCCCTTTATACCCATATTGGGTGTGTAAATCTGTGCGCCGCTTCTTCCGCATAACACTCGGTGTAATGCTGTTGAAGCTTTTACATCGGTAATCAAGTTTTTTTTCGCGGAACAAGGAAATTGAGGTGTCGAGAAACCACGAGAAATGTCCGCAGATGCATTTACTAGTAGGGAGAGCACCCCTCATATACAGTGATGCAAGCCGCGCTGATTGATGCACCGGTGGGCGAGTGGATAAGTGTCGAAGTTTTTGAATTTTGCACCTGGGTTCGACGCCTCTTTCCACAAATCCATTTTTGCAGAACTAATTTCCGCAAAATTTTTATTAATTCAGACAGTTCAGAGATTTTCGAAAAAAAAATTGAGACCCTTTGAAATCGTCATTCACAAATTCCTTTGACTCATCTGCAATTTCTTCGAATGACACACATTTTATTCCGAATCGCCCTCGAAAACGACGGCTTAACGGCAATTATATTCGCCATAATTGCGCGATTCATCGGTTTAAAAAATCAAAGTTGAACAACTTTTTTTTTCCAAAGCGGTAGGCCTAATAGTGACGCAGGCATTTTGTATAATCTCCGGTTATCATGTTCCAATTTTAGAAGCCTCTTACGTAAATAGCCAGATGGGGGGAAATTTCGGCACGTGACGCTGATTATCGCAGAAATCAAAATTTCCGGGCTCCCGCGGCAAAATGCTGCCTAGAGTTTGGCGGCCTCGATTGATGTCCGCACATTAATTCGCACATATCAAATCACTGCCGATAAGCGCACACCGCTTTATAATTAAGGCGGATCGGCTGCGGACATTAATCGAGGCCGCCAAAATGCATTTTGCATCATTATTGTGAGTCGAAAACAACCAAAACACACATCGTCATCTGATTTTGTGACTCCGGTCTTAAAGGCACAAATTTGTGTCACAAACCAGAATCTTCGATATATTTAAAAATTTTGATGGGAACAAAAAGAAAGTTTGACCCCGATGCGTCATTTTCTTCTAACATCCATAATATTTGGCATTTTATTCGTGGGGGCGTTTGAAAAGGAGGGGGGGGGACGAATTGATAAAAGTTTGAAACGAATTCATACTACGCATGACGCAACAATATTTACTAACATCCTTTTTCGGATGGTATTCGTGTATAAAATGCTTGTCAAATTCCCAAAAAAATGCGCTCGAGTTCCACTAGCACTCATTAATTGAACGGTAGCTGATAAGCGGCATAGATGCTTCAAACTTCGTCGCTTTTCTTTCACTACCCCCCAATCTTCGTTGAGCATACAATATGATGATAATGTTATCAAAAGAGGCGTGCTTCGTTTCTCGTCGATACACTTCAATTCCTTGCTTTCCAATTATAGTTTCATTTCGTTACAGAATGACGTTCCACTGTTAAAAATGCCGATTCCTATAAAAATCGTAGAACATTTCATGTACCGCAGTTACCACCGACTCTCTCAAGTGGAGTTCTGGCGAAGCGGTTCAATGCGCTGTTGGCGCGCGGTGGGTCATTGTTTCAATTCCCCACGACTCATCGCGCGGGTTTTGCGCGAATCGCTTGTCATTTTCCCAAAAATGTTGAGTAATTTTCTCGTTTCTTTAAAGTTTTATTTCCTAAGAATGACGTAAAATAAGGCACAACACATTCCCAACATATTTGTCACGCAATTCCTCTCCCCCCGCTTCTTTATCACACCTCTTAAAACGAAGTGCCGTCGTAAGGCACTAAAAACTCTCAAACACTTTCAAAAAAAAAAAAGAGTTGGTGATGGCCACCCAAAAATATTGGTTATCAGTAGTACGAGCCGTTTCCGGAGGCCAGCAGCAAAAAAATTGGCGATTATTTCGAAACACGATGATTTTTGCATAGACAATTGATGTCGTCATTTGAGCCGTTTCGAGGTATGGGCGGCCCCTACCCGAAGCGATTTAAATTCGTCATCATTCCCATTTCGTTTCGTTCACTTCACCCCACTTTTCATTCAAGTTTCTTCTTGTTCATTTCTCCCATCGGGTAGGTGATGCTAGTGCCTCTCGGAGGAGGACATATATTTACTTTTCAATGAGACCCGCCTCCCCAGAAAGAAAAATTCGATTCATTCAATTTCACACCATTCGTTTTCTCTTATGTGCAATGTTCCGCTCGAAAAAGAAAAATGTCGAAATTCATTTCCATATTTAGCAGCTGAAAAAAAAGCAAACATCGACAATCATGATCGGAATGGTGAATGTTCAATGCGACACTCCTCTTGATTACTACGCGACCGCGCCGATTCCATTGAGCCGCGACTCGTCGGTGAGAAAGAGGAACGACAGCGAGTCGGCGAGTTGTAAGTTGAACCGCCTGCGGACGCTTCGCGGGTTTCGCCACCCTCTATACCCAACGTGTGGAATTGCAGCCAGCAAGCATTCAGGAGCCCGTCGAACGCCGTCATGGAGGCCATTGTTCACCGGACAGCTAATGAAGAAGTCATCGAAGCCAAAATACCTGAAAGACGGTCGAAAGGCGACCGAAGAGGGCGACGAGGTAAAATGGAGGCAATCATTTGGGTTCAATTAATTGATTAATTAATTGCAGCCAAACAAACTCTGGGAGGAGTTGTTTCTTCGCTCGTTTGCGCAAAAAATCGAGCAAGAGGTCTCATCGCCGACGCCGCTCGAAGCGCACAAGAATCTCAACAGCGAGTTGTCGAAATTGAAAATCCAAGGTGGTTGACGAGACGGCAAAATTGCCAAAAACGCCAATGTTTCGCCGAATTTCCAGACAAATCATTCTATCGATCGACGTATTCGCTGGTGTCGCCGACGCGAGTCGAAAACACCGATTTCGACGAATTGGAGCGATTCGAGGAGTCGAGTTCAGATGACGATGAGCCGCTCGGCGATGAGGAGCACGTCGACAAGTAAAAATTTATTTTTTTAAATTTATTGTTCAAATCACCTTTTTGTGTGTGTTTCAGAAAAAATCATCGATCGAATTCTTCAATTGAACGCCCATTGTGCACCATGTTCATCCCATTCATCAAAACCATAAAAGGCAATAAAAAGAAGAACAGCAATCAATAGCAAATTGAGGAGAAATGATGATCATCATAAAAAAAAATCGAAATTCTCATAATATCTTCCAGACAAAAAAAAACGAACACGATTATTCTATTTATTTATTTTTCCCAAACACATACACATTCACTTGTATTTATTATATATTGGCATTCCATTTATAGTCACACGCACTTACAAAATTCTTGATGTCACAACAATATATTGCATTGTATAAATATGTAATAATAGTAAATGTTTAATGAGAAGCAAATCCGATTAGGAGAACGTCACTTTTTCGGTGTCCGGGTTATCAGTTCCGCAATTTTAATTTTCGAATTTAAATTTTGGCTACGTTTTATACAATTATTATATTAATGGGGGCGAAAGGTGATGCGTAGCACATATCCTCAAGTTATATCACTCTCTTTAGGTCACAGGCAAAACGCGACGGATGAAGTCCGGGCGAAGTCCGGATATTTGAACGTCACGGCTAAAAAACGGGCCAAGTACGGACCAAAAATTTCTTTGAAAAACGCCGCGGTAAAAAAACGGACAAAGTCCGGAGATTTATAGGCCACGTTTTTAAAACGTGTTAATTACGGATCTTGATTTTCAGGATAAAACGCCACGGCTAAAAAACGGGCCAAGTACGGACCAAAAATTTCTTTGAAAGGCATCACGGACAAAAAACGGACAAAGTCCGGAGATTTATTGGCCACGTTTTTAAAACGTGTTAATTACGGATCTTGATTTTCAGTATGAAACGCCACGGCTAAAAAACGGATTAAGTACGGACGAAATATTTCTTTGAAAGGCATCACAGACAAAAAACGGACCAATTACGTGACAATTTTTTCGAGTGAAAATGTCACCGACAAACAAAGGACTATTTACTGATCGACACTTCCTGGCTGAAACGTTACGACACAAAAGTTAATTAATATTTAATATAACGGCTTCACTGGAAGCTGTGGCGACCGATGGCTGATAATTAAATTTTCTTGTTGCAGGTTGCCCGATACCGATGCGGTAACCATAGCACGGCTCGAGACTTCCTTTCCTAAGATCGATGTGTCTAAGTTCGCTGCTGTCGATTCACCGTTATGCGTTCTAACTGTTCCGCTCCATATTTATATTCGTTGTTTTGTAATGTAGAGATAATGTGGAAATGGGAGAGTGGGCGAGACGATGAGGCGGTGGGCGAGAGAGAGAATGCGAAATGAAGAGACGCACGCCATCATGCCATCGGGCAATGTCCAGCAAAAAGAGGGCCGCGGCCGAAGTTCACCTTTATTTAAATGCAAGTCCCCAATCGTAAACACCGATTTAGTCAATTACTTATGCTTTTAGTCGTATTATTTCAGTTTATTAAGTTGTTTCCCCAAGCCCACCATCCACCATATTTAGTATCATCATGTTTGTTATTAGTTTGTATCGCTTTGTTAACATTTTGTTCGTTTTCGTTCAATAATGAAGGTTTAATTACCCAAGTTTGAGGTTTACTCGACTTGTTTAACGGTTCCAATACCGTATCATTATTTGGAAAAGTTACTGTTTTATTCCATTGTAGTTGAAAAATGAATAGTGTTCCTTTGAAATTGTTTTTTCAGATTGTAAATGGGTCATTAGGTCATTTAAATAAATACAAAAATTTCCCAATTTTCGTTCAAGTTTTGATAAAGACTACGATTTCAGTCATGGGACGGTCATATCGAAGATTTCTACCATCTTTACCAACAAAAAGTATGTTAAAATTGCATAACTATTTGCTATACTCTCTTTTACTACAATAGGATCAAGAGAAGTATCTTCTTCAAGTGAAGAAAACTTATCTGAACCGATTGATGTTCAACTTTCTGAGTCGCTCAATATAGACATCGATGAAGAGGAAGAAATGTTTCAATGGGATGTGAATTGTGACGAAGTTGAGGAAAACGATGTTGAGGAAAACGATGTTGAGGAAAACGATGAGAAATCTTCAGAAGATTGTCCCCACAGCGGTAGGTAATTTGTCTTAATACTAATCGCCATTTTCGAATAGACTTGGCGCAGTATTTAGCGAATGTGTCGGACGAAGTTTTGACATTCGTAACTTCAGCGTGCATAGCTCGAAGTACCGATGCGGGTAAATAGGAAAAAATTACGAAGAAGTAAAGAGGCAATTACAGATTTCAAGAGATTCCTTTCTTCTCATAAAGATTTAACATTCCGTCGGCAAAGCTTCCAGCTATGGAAGAACAATATGACTATTTATAACGCGCACTATGTGTGCAATAGTTGTGGGAAAGAAACAAATAATATGTTCGCAAAATGGTATAGACGTTGGGCACTTTTTATCTATTGTTTGGGTTTTCAGTTGTGGAACTATAATTAAATATGTTAGAATTGGAGGAATTCAGCAACTCTCGGAGATAGTGGAGTAGTACTGGACAGATATTCATCGGATAAGAAGCGAAATAAAAAATGGGACAAACAAGCATCACAATCTGAATGGAGAGTATGTTTCAAAAGTGTCCCAGATGGATACGGACACGGAACTTCATTTTTCAATTATTGGTAGTATTGACGGTGTGTCATTGACTGGCAATACGAAGTAACAATTTTAAAAGTTGTCATTATAAATGAACAATTTAGGAAAACTGCATGAACACATTTACTTTCAGTTATGCGAAAAAGATAATTTTTTGTAATTTATTCGGCCGCTTCGTCAACGAAACGAACGAAATATCCCAAAATACCGGACAAGTTCTTCGAAATTCTTGGAAGTAAGTAGATTTGAAGTAACATTGACCGGCTAAAAACTTGCGCCTAGTCCATATTGGCCAATGAGAAATTGAATGGTAAAAACTATGCTTTTTTTCAGAAATATTACACCGAGGCTTCGATATAAAAAGTGAAGGGTGGGAAGAAACCGTCGTCGTTTCTCATATACGAGAAATGACAAGAAACTTCATGTAAGTGAGCAACGCGAATGTTATATATATGCTATATACTGTGTTTCAGCGATGATAAACGACGCGGAAAAACCGCCAAAATCGAAGAGTTAATGGAAATGTTCCAATCCAGGTAGAGCACGCGTGTGCAAATGGAATGTGCAAATATTTTTTTTTTTGTTTTTAGAATTATTTTTGTTCTAGTAATTCGATTCGAATCGAATACAACAAATTTCGGATACAAACTTGATCGAAAATTAAGTTTGAAATTTGTGGTACTCGATTACTCTTTGGAAAAACCCGAATGTACTCGTATTTGGTGCGAAACTCGGTGTATTCATTTCGAATTTTAATGTATTTGATTGTGAAACAAAAAATTGACTCTTTCGTATCGAATACGAATTAATCATTTTACAATCGAATACGATTAAATTCAAAACGAATATAGCGATTGCGATTCGTAAATAATTTTTTTTTCGATTTTTCTTAAATAAAACTTTTATAATAATGCTGTCTATATGATTTCAATTTTAATTTTGATTATTATACGAACGGAAGAAAAAAAAGCATGTGAAAAACGCCACCGGGCGAATCACGGTCCGTTCCCGGATACGCTAAGACGTCCGTGTCCGGTACGTCAGCGACACGCTGGAACGGTCAATAACGGACCGTGATTCGCCCGGATTTCATCCGTCGCGTTTTGCCTGTGGTGGCGCAATAGCGTAGTGGCACAGTTTTTAGATTTCTAATCCTTGAGATCGTGGGTTCGATCCCGCTCGGGGGTGAGGAGTTTTGCTGTCTCCACTCTCGTAAAAAAGCAAGCCAAAAAAAGTGAGGCTTCACTGATTAAGCGCGACGCAAGCATAATGGAAGCATTGTGGGAAATCTGTGGAACGGAAGCATAATGCTTCCATATAGGAAGCATAATGTAATTCTTAGTGGCTGTGGAAGAATTATGGGACGAATATGGATGGAATGAAAACGGGATGAATATGCTTCCGGTGTTTGCGAGCCGTGGAACAAATATGGATGGAATATGGATAAAATAATCATATGTCAATAAACATACAATTGGCGTCTGGACGGCAGACCAAGACAATTTCTAGAAAAATCAATACAAAAAACTTATGCTATCATATAAACAATGAAAATTTGAAAATTACATGATACACAACGGACGAAATTTAGCTTCTACCATTTAATGACTTATGTTACTCAGATTTATGTTAATTCAGTCAACTGTTCCTCACTTTGTTTAAAGATTGCCAACTACAATTTAGTCGTATTAATATATTTTTGCCGGTTTTTCCGAAATTGGCATCGCAAACTACTCACAATTTGCTCCAAACTGGTAGCAGACGCGCGTAGAAGAGGCGTGCCGCAGCATTGCAAAACCGTGCGCCGCTTTGCACAATGCGGCCACGCCTCACATTTTCGAAATTCGTTTTCAAAATTTTTGTCCTTTTGCTTTTTCTCAATGAATTTTCAAGATTTTTTGTGTTTTTTTTTTGTCAAAAATTAAAGAATTTTTTTCAATATTAAAGGAAAAATGTTTTTAAAAAATAAAGGAAAAATTTTCATATTTATCATCAAAATCGAAACCAAAAATAAATTGATAGCATTCGAAAATTTTAAAATCGATACGATGTTTTCAAATCGTTTCCGACACTTTTAAAATCGAATTTAAATATTTTCTCAATCGAATTGTGTTTAATTTCTCATCGAATCCGTTTTATTTTTATTTACTTTAACATATTTTTTATTATCGCTCGCTTTTTTCTTTTAATAAAACATAATGTTTTGAAATTTTTTACAGATGAAGACAAGATCGAGAGTGTTGTCAGATATAACTGAAACTGCTCTAGAAGTCAATAACAAAGAACCAGAAGTCCCTAACATGGAACCAAATTCGCTCGACACTTCAGATCCAGATAGTCCAATTTACTCGCCAACTCAGCAAAAAAAATTTTTCTCCACAGTCCTCACAAACAACAAAATCAACGCCAATTCCTAAACCTTCGTACGCGCAATTTGTAAGTTGTTATCATCAAAAATTGGCCTGTTCGACTCCAGAAATGGTTTCAATTAGAAAAATATGCGCAATGAAGTCTTTATAAAGTACTTCCTAAGTTTAAAGCTTGTTGATTATTTGGTTCCAATCAGGGCTGTGCGGCAATGGAATTGCCGATTGCCGAAATTGCCGGTTTTTCAAATTGCCGAAGAAAATTTCGATCGGTAATTTGCCATTAGCCGAATCGCCGAAATTTCCGATTGCCGTACAGCCTTCGTACCAATATCATTCAGTGGCATTTATCTTTTTAAGTGGGGCTCTAGTACAGAAGTCGCCAGACGCCGACTATATAAAGATCCTATACTTTATTGCAAATATCTATATTACAGATGTTCTTATCCATGGCTTTGGGCAACAACCGACAAATGACTTCAAAGCGAAAGCATTACGCATGGTTCGAGAAGTCATGGATAATCTTCTGTAAGATTTTGAGCTATGACTATTAATTTATTTATTTGATTAAGCGATAGAATGCGCCAACGACTTTAAAGGAAATTTGGTGTAGCGCCGGAAGCGCTCGCGGCGCAATTAAGGAAGCTGCTTGATTCTACCAGCAACCCTCAGATGTGAGTATTCATATGTCTTTGAAATTTTAACCAAAATGCCTTTTTGCTTCAAATTTTGGAGTTGTTCTTTCTTCCGCCAATTCACTTTTTATTTTGTGCACTAAAGGGTTTCCAAAAATGCAATAAAAATAAATTATTTTTATTTTTAAGAAAATTATTGATGTAAAAAAAACTGATTGTATTTTCTCGAAAAATTTAGTTTACGTAACAATGGTTTACAAGTTTTTCAAATTAATAGGCCCATTATAATCGAAGTGTAGCGACTAGGAAAAGTGGAGAAAAGGTAAAAATTCGATAACGGTTTCTTTCTACAAGCGTATATTTGCGAAAAAAGGATAGGTTAAATGTGCATTAGGACTTTTGCCTAATTTCTTAGCAATAGTTGTTGTTTTTAAAAATATCATAACACGGCTTTTTAACCAAGTGTGAACGATATGAATTCTACTTATTACAGCGTCCCGCTCGATGTCAGTACTGACAATGATTCGAATAGTTCGGCAGTTGCCAGTAACTAATGGTTTGATTATATCTTAATTGAAATTCATTTCATTGTTGTTTTTTTTTATTTTAAATTAAATAAATGTGTTAATATGAAATAAATTTTGAATACAGCAATCAAATTGTTTTCTTATTTGCCCATATGGAAGGCATACGGCTCATTCCATATACGAAACACGCGGTTCCGCAAAAAAATGCTTCCATTATGCTTCCATATAACTTGCATATAAGATTCCTATGATATCCACAGCCGTTCCACTATGCTTCCATTGTGCCTATGCTGCCGTTTATCTGTGCGAACAGAAAACAATTGAAACGGTGGAGGGGACTTGAGTTTTCTCGGCCACGGCCGCCCTGTATAGTGTTTTATTTGTTTCAAATTGGTCTCCAACCGAAAAAAAAAAACAAATCTGCGATATTTACGTCACGGTGTTTGCACACATTTTTGCGCGCTTATATTGACATTGTTTGATTTAATTTTTTTACTGATCTTCAAAAAAAAATTATCAGCATGGAATTAAATGTGAAAAAAATGTGTGCAATATTGCGTCAGAAACTGGAACCCATTGGGTGCAAAAATAATTTTTTTCAAAATTTTCCCAACGTTTCCCGTTTTTCAAAATTGTTTCTACAATTTGCGAGGCTTTTAGGACCATCCAAACCTCATGATCAGGCTCGGACCATCAGATCAAAAAAAAAAGCGAGAGCTTCAAAAATTAGACTCTCTGAATTTTTCAATCAATTCTCTGAGTCATAATTAATTAGTCACTTGCTAATTAGAGTAATTAATTAATTTTTCATCTTGTGATCAAGACCCCCCTCCGGTTGAGTATTACGGTAGCAATTGTTTACATGTGTCGCCATCTCATGATAACCCCACTTCATTCAATTTTTCCAATGTCCATCATTGTTCGCCGATTGATTCTTGCCCTATTGATCGTCGTCATGATTCTGAATGCGTCCGCCATCGACGTCTACAATTATGCGGGAATTCCGAAGACGCGAGAACCGCCGAAAAACCCCCATATAATCGCCGGTTGATTTTTTTAAGAATAAAATTTTTTATTAAACAAAATATACAAAAAAAATAATGAAGAACACGGGATTTTTGAGGGGGGAGATCATTAAATGACTACATATGAATTATAATTGGGGTGTGGTGGGAGGGGGGTCCAATTATGGCGTCTGAAGGGCTCGCCATTGGTCCTCAGTGGTTTGTCCGATGACGGCTCCATGGAGTAGGCGCGTCTTCTGCAAACGACAAACTCCGGATGACTCATCTTGTTTGCTTTTCAATGCGTCATGCTGCGGACACACACACAACTCACCACAATCGTCGTCGCGCCGGCCAACAGCGACGACATTTGTCCGCAGTTGTTGTGCAGTCCGACGATCTCATCGGCCACCGAGTAGATCACAAACATGTTTTTGCCGTAGCGATAGGGTCTGCAAGAAGGGAAAATTGATATAACAGGGGGGGGTCGTGGGGGGGTCTCACTGAGCGTTGATCTCCTGAATGAATCGCGAGCGGCAGCTCATTCCATGAATCGGACTGCACACGCCGTTGACGAACGGCGAGCTGGAGCACATCAGCGCGCCTGCAACATTTCACAATTGCGTGCTGCCGACGTTCAACCGGGTTTTGTCTACCGTTGTTGGCGCCGGCGACCGAGACGAAATTGTGGACGAGATGATTGATTGGACGGCCCAAATTCACGCCGCTGTCGACGCAATGGCCGCCGATGATCGCCTTGCGCGATATCGGCGAGCCCATCGAAACGGCGACGACGTTCACCGGCTTCTTCGTGTACTCGTGCACCGCCAAAATCAAAGTTCGCACCTGAATTATAAGGCGATTAGATCGGGAGGGGGTTGGGGGGGGGGGTGGTCAGCTGACTTTTTTTTCGAAATTTTGCGCGCACAAATATTTGCATCGTCCCCTCGTTTTATTGCCTTCAGAAAAATTATCAAATCAATCAGAGTTGTATGTATTTTCAAGGATTACTGTAGATCGTTGCTGATTTTTTTTTCGGCAAAATTCTCAAAATTTTGCTGAATTAAACAATTGTTCAATTTTATGGGAAAAAAGGATTTCGACAGGCTCAAAATTGCCAAGGGGATTGAGTCCTCAACCCCCTTCTTGATGACGCCCACGCGCGCCACTGAGCCCACAGATAAACGGCAGCATAGGCACAATGGAAGCATAGTGGAACGGCTGTGGATATCATAGGAATCTTATATGCAAGTTATATGGAAGCATAATGGAAGCATTTTTTTGCGGAACCGCGTGTTTCGTATATGGAATGAGCCGTATGCCTTCCATATGGGCAAATAAGAAAACAATTTGATTGCTGTATTCAAAATTTATTTCATATTAACACATTTATTTAATTTAAAATAAAAAAAAACAACAATGAAATGAATTTCAATTAAGATATAATCAAACCATTAGTTACTGGCAACTGCCGAACTATTCGAATCATTGTCAGTACTGACATCGAGCGGGACGCTGTAATAAGTAGAATTCATATCGTTCACACTTGGTTAAAAAGCCGTGTTATGATATTTTTAAAAACAACAACTATTGCTAAGAAATTAGGCAAAAGTCCTAATGCACATTTAACCTATCCTTTTTTCGCAAATATACGCTTGTAGAAAGAAACCGTTATCGAATTTTTACCTTTTCTCCACTTTTCCTAGTCGCTACACTTCGATTATAATGGGCCTATTAATTTGAAAAACTTGTAAACCATTGTTACGTAAACTAAATTTTTCGAGAAAATACAATCAGTTTTTTTTACATCAATAATTTTCTTAAAAATAAAAATAATTTATTTTTATTGCATTTTTGGAAACCCTTTAGTGCACAAAATAAAAAGTGAATTGGCGGAAGAAAGAACAACTCCAAAATTTGAAGCAAAAAGGCATTTTGGTTAAAATTTCAAAGACATATGAATACTCACATCTGAGGGTTGCTGGTAGAATCAAGCAGCTTCCTTAATTGCGCCGCGAGCGCTTCCGGCGCTACACCAAATTTCCTTTAAAGTCGTTGGCGCATTCTATCGCTTAATCAAATAAATAAATTAATAGTCATAGCTCAAAATCTTACAGAAGATTATCCATGACTTCTCGAACCATGCGTAATGCTTTCGCTTTGAAGTCATTTGTCGGTTGTTGCCCAAAGCCATGGATAAGAACATCTGTAATATAGATATTTGCAATAAAGTATAGGATCTTTATATAGTCGGCGTCTGGCGACTTCTGTACTAGAGCCCCACTTAAAAAGATAAATGCCACTGAATGATATTGGTACGAAGGCTGTACGGCAATCGGAAATTTCGGCGATTCGGCTAATGGCAAATTACCGATCGAAATTTTCTTCGGCAATTTGAAAAACCGGCAATTTCGGCAATCGGCAATTCCATTGCCGCACAGCCCTGATTGGAACCAAATAATCAACAAGCTTTAAACTTAGGAAGTACTTTATAAAGACTTCATTGCGCATATTTTTCTAATTGAAACCATTTCTGGAGTCGAACAGGCCAATTTTTGATGATAACAACTTACAAATTGCGCGTACGAAGGTTTAGGAATTGGCGTTGATTTTGTTGTTTGTGAGGACTGTGGAGAAAAATTTTTTTGCTGAGTTGGCGAGTAAATTGGACTATCTGGATCTGAAGTGTCGAGCGAATTTGGTTCCATGTTAGGGACTTCTGGTTCTTTGTTATTGACTTCTAGAGCAGTTTCAGTTATATCTGACAACACTCTCGATCTTGTCTTCATCTGTAAAAAATTTCAAAACATTATGTTTTATTAAAAGAAAAAAGCGAGCGATAATAAAAAATATGTTAAAGTAAATAAAAATAAAACGGATTCGATGAGAAATTAAACACAATTCGATTGAGAAAATATTTAAATTCGATTTTAAAAGTGTCGGAAACGATTTGAAAACATCGTATCGATTTTAAAATTTTCGAATGCTATCAATTTATTTTTGGTTTCGATTTTGATGATAAACATGAAAATTTTTCCTTTATTTTTTAAAAACATTTTTCCTTTAATTTTGAAAAAAATTCTCTAATTTTTGACAAAAAAAAAACACAAAAAATCTTGAAAATTCATTGAGAAAAAGCAAAAGGACAAAAATTTTGAAAACGAATTTCGAAAATGTGAGGCGTGGCCGCATTGTGCAAAGCGGCGCACGGTTTTGCAATGCTGCGGCACGCCTCTTCTACGCGCGTCTGCTACCAGTTTGGAGCAAATTGTGAGTAGTTTGCGATGCCAATTTCGGAAAAACCGGCAAAAATATATTAATACGACTAAATTGTAGTTGGCAATCTTTAAACAAAGTAAGGAACAGTTGACTGAATTAACATAAATCTGAGTAGCATAAGTCATTAAATGGTAGAAGCTAAATTTCGTATGTTGTGTATCATGTAATTTTCAAATTTTCATTGTTTATATGATAGCATAAGTTTTTTGTATTGATTTTTCTAGAAATTGTCTTGGTCTGCCGTCCAGACGCCAATTGTATGTTTATTGACATATGATTATTTTATCCATATTCCATCCATATTTGTTCCACGGCTCGCAAACACCGGAAGCATATTCATCCCGTTTTCATTCCATCCATATTCGTCCCATAATTCTTCCACAGCCACTAAGAATTACATTATGCTTCCTATATGGAAGCATTATGCTTCCGTTCCACAGATTTCCCACAATGCTTCCATTATGCTTGCGTCGCGCTTAATCAGTGCCATCGCTGCTGCTTGCTGTATGCAAGTTCCGCGCGGTATAAGTGTAAGGAGTTGGAGTGGGTAAAAAAATCAAGAAGCAAATTTAAAACTCGAAATTTTTTAGTTTTTTTGAAATGTTTGCAGAAAACGGCATAGCGCACTCTATAGGGAATTTCGCGAACAATTTGTCAGAAGAAATTTCAAACCTCAACACTTCCCTTGTTAGAGTTAATTCTCTTTAATTTTTACTTTCAATGATATTGAGAATTCAAAAAAATGATATACTCGCCACAAAAATTTCGTTGAACATCGGCAAAAAATAATTCCCAACATCGTTTTCGTTGATTTTTTAATAGAAAATACGTTGGTTTTGGGATTTTCGATATATTTTTGAGAAAAAATTTAAAAAAAATTGTTTTCAAATTCTTTAAAATGCATTCATTATTTTAAGGACCATCGCAATTTATTTCTCGGCCAATTTGAATTTAAACAGTGGGAGTTTGCAAAATTTCGAAATAAATCAAAAAAATTCTATTTCAAGGAAAACATTAATTTTTGGATACTGTATTTAAAGGCGCATGCCAGGGACACAAAATTCGTCCGAATTTTGAATTTTTTTGCGTAGCCCCCTTTTTTGAATTGCCGCCAACGCGGCTAAACGAGTGTGGCGAAACCCGCAAAGTGTCCGCAGATGTTTTAAGCGCATATAAAAAAGGTAAGAAATTCTGATTTTTCTTTTGTAAAAAATTGTTCGAGCATGATTCTCGGCGCAAAGAAGCCGCCATTGATTTGGAAAATCTCTTTAGATCTATTTTTTGTATTAATTCAAACATCTCGGCTTCTCGAATCGTCTATTGTTCCGAATCAAGGTCAACCACCTCCCTTCCTCACTCTCTCTCTCTCTCTCACTGATCTATGAAGCGTTGTGGTCAACGAATCACCAACCTTGAGAACATAATCGCACTGCATTCCGTGCTGAAGCGAGTCCATCAATCGGCCTTTCGCGTACGTCGTCGAGAAGACGGTGCCGTTCGGTTGGCCGTATGAGTAGTACTTCTTGAGGAGCGACTTCTTCGAGAGGCCCGCGTAGCCGGCGAGACCGTGCACCACCACAATCGGAAGGCCGCTGAAAGAACGATGGTCGGTCGTGGTGGGACTACAAACTCGATTCGATTCGAGAACAACCACTACAACCATCAGTGAGTGCGACTCTTCTTGATAAGGAACGGGTTCGATGAAACCGTTTATTACCAACATCGTCTGCGGACACTCATCGAGGACAAGATTACAACGAAAACGGAAGTAGCTGGATATGCAACCCTTGAGGTGTCCGCAGATGATTTTCAACAAAACCAAACCTGGCGTTCGGATTGCCGCCGCCGAACGAGCCGCGTTTGCCCAAATCGGCGCGCAACAAATCATCGGCGATCGGCTTGGTGAATTTGTCGACGAGAAACTCGTAGAAGTGTCGATGGAACGACGCGTGCGCCACGCTCGCCGCCAACACCATCACCAACCACGCAACGATGGACATTCGAATAGTCGACCTCATCGCGGTACCGATTAATTGCGAATGGATTGAACGAATTCGAATGGGTGGGTATCGGTTTGCGTTTAAAATTGTGGGCGTGTCGGCTTCTTCTTCTTCGCGTGTCAGTTTTTGTTTGTTGCGACGACGACGTCGCGTCCATCAGCGCCGCCCCCTCTCCATCGACATGTAGCCTACATCAGGTACAATAGACGTCGCCGAAGGACGCCTCGGACGATTGTGAGAAGAGGTTAGCCTGCATTGTTGTTGTATGTCAAAGCTGTGGTAGGGAAAAAAATTGTAACCCATTGTCATGTTACTAGTGAAAGGACCCACACCAATCTATTATTACACCAGCTTCGCCTTTTTTTGTGGCTCGCTTTACAGAACACGTGAGGCTTACAATTAAATATCGGCCTTAAAAAATTCATTGGCCTTTTGGAATCGAGCAAATGCGCTCTATTGCACTTTCACAACAGCGCGGCTTGGCAGTCGAGGTTTGACCAATGGTCAGCGTTAATTGCCCGCAATGTCTTTTTGACCAGACAAAAAATTTTTTTGGGAAAGTTACTTTTTAATGGGCTTTAATTACCTTATATGGCGGAACCAGCTGTTTCTCTCGAACACACGGTGAACATTGAGAGGCTGAAGGTTATTTTCAAGTGTTCTTTCCTTTTCAGAAGGCGATTAATGGGACTATGTCAATTTTTGGTGGGAAGACAACTGTTCAATTGGAGTGGTTTTTGAGGGATTGACAAGCAAAAACGTTTTACATCCATGAAGCTTCGAACCCTGAACAAATTATTGGCGCATGGACACGTTTGGCACTTTGCCACCCGTGCTCGCTGGTGGGGGTGGCGCTGGCTCGAGTATTAAATCTTATACATCGCAATGGCATCGCTCACAGTGTGGCTGCGCTTGACTCCAAAAATCGGACAGAGTATTCGTTTGCGCAATAATTTGACACGGATATATTCAAACCAACCCTCAAGGAGAATTAATACAAAGTTTCGTCCAATTCGCGAGTGACTTCATGGAGAACCTTCCCCTGTCAGTTATTACACGAAATTCGGTCTCTTTCGCATTGAAGCTTGAAAATATTACATGAATAATTTAATTTTTTTCTTTTGATTGCAATAGAATTGAGTTCCTATAATAAATCCTTTTTCTTGTTGAAAAATTGGCAAAAAATGAAGTGAACCGCGGCATTGCATGCTAGGGATTAGAGGGTGGCGAGGTGCTCGAACATTGTCCGCAGCTGGTAATACTATCTCTATTGTGAATCCTGCACAATGTCATTGTCGTTTCAAGCAACTGTATTAGAGAATTCTAGAATTTTCTTGCAAAAATGGTTTATTTTCCGCAAAAAAGAATAATTAATACGCCAACAAAGAGTAATCCCCAATAAGCAGTGGCAAACCTGAAGAAAAATTAATTTTTAAAGAATTTTCGAAACAAAACAAAAATAATTTTTTCAGTACATATTCTGTGATGCGGTGTCCTCGGAGAATATTCGAACAAATTCTGTAAATTTTTCGATTTAAAAAAAATGCGCCGCAAAAAATTCGAACCATTCGCATGGATTTCGCACGTTTTGAAGCATTTCGATCGTAAAAATTGAACATATTTCATATGAATCAACGGATTATTCTTCATTCGAATCGAGGCTTGTGAGTCGTTCAAACTCGGAAACTCGAGCTCTTCAAGCATCATATTATCCAATATAACCAATGTGCCTTTGAGTGTGTGGAGTTTAGCGAAAACTAATCGCGATTCCGGTCGATTTTTTATGATAAAAAGTCCGTCGTTGATAATTTTGACGTTCGCAGCAAACATATTCATTGATTCCGGGCTCCATGAGCTGATATCAATTGGTCTAAAACCAAGTAAATTCGCATATTTGTTTGTGGCCGGGAAATAATGGTGGCCGTGGCCGCGAAAACAAAACTAGTCCACATTGAAAAAGCGCATTAATTTGTAGAGGTTTTTAAGGAATTTAAAGCCCATACTTGGTATGATTCTCAATGATTGTACAAATTTCCAGAAAATCACAAGTTTTGTTATAATTATCGTAAAAACACGTTGTTTCATTATCTAAAAAAAAATTGAAAATCGTTTTTTAATTAAATTTGAAATTGTCACATCGTTACTTGAATATTCAGCGAATTTATCGTTTTCACAATACCGAACATCGATTAAAATGGCAAATAGAGAAATGATTCGAATGAATTTCGACGCCATATTTGGTTAGAAATGGCAAATTTCAATTAAAACTGACGCGTTGCGCCAAACGGTTTTTTGTCGCCTACATTCTAGCGAAAAGCGGTCTCGAGAAATGTCCGCAGACTGTTTTAACACCTACTATTAATCAGTGTAATGTCAATTCAACGTATTGCCGAAAATGGTTGAGTTTGATCGGTGTAAATGAGACGCTTGAATGACGGGCAACCTTGATGACCGTCCGCAGATGAAAGTGCAAGTGTCAACCCCCTTATTAATATTTGATCTTAATTATTTCTTCCTTCAAATAATGAATTTAGAATGTTTTTTTTGCTGGGCGAATGTACGCAGATTGATTGGTGTATATGAAAAGTAGTAGTTAACATCGTCAGATAGACAAAGCATAGTACGACACTCCAAATAGACATCACCCTCGATTTAGCATGATAGAGAAATGTACAAGATTTATTGATTAATTGTGGCTCAATTGGAATCCAGCTTCTCGTTTTCCATAATAACCATATCCATATGCTGAAGGATAACCGTATCCGAATCCATAGCTACCGTATGCTCCGTATGGATAGGCACCGTACAATCCACCGTAATATTGAGCTGTTGATTCGGGCATGATGAATGCGCAAATCATCAATGCCACCAATAAGCACACACTGCAAATTAATTAATTGCTCTAATTACTCTAATTAATTATGATGACTTACAATTTTGAGGACATTTTGAAGACGATTGATTTTGTTGAAAAACTCGAGCATTTTTATACCTACTAAAATGCAAACAAAAAAGTGTCAAAATGAATATTTGTTTAATTAAACTCTTATTTTTTGCCGTTCGTTTTTTACTCGAAGCAAACATTTCAAAAAGTATAAAAGAGCTCTCAAATATCAAAAATCACACATCAATCGTCTTCAAAATGTCCTCAAAATTGTAAGTCATCATAATTAATTAGAGTAATTAGAGCAATTAATTAATTTGCAGTGTGTGCTTATTGGTGGCATTGATGATTTGCGCATTCATCATGCCCGAATCAACAGCTCAATATTACGGTGGATTGTACGGTGCCTATCCATACGGAGCATACGGTAGCTATGGATACGGATACGGTTATCCTTCAGCATATGGATATGGTTATTATGGAAAACGAGAAGCTGGATTCCAATTGAGCCACAATTAATCAATAAATCTTGTACATTTCTCTCATCCTATGAATATTGCTTTGAATTAACGGGAATGATTTCAAAGAAGTTTTATTTATCCTGTCCTACTGGATTTTGAAGCTTGCTATAGTCATTCAACAAATGTTTGCTGCGGACATTCATCGAGGTTTCCCGAATTCTTCAAAAATGCCTTTTAGAAGAGCAATATGGTGTACAGACATCGAGGGCCACTTATCGCGCCTCTGTATTGGCTATCGCACGTCAGTCGTTGTGAGACCTAGCCTCAATATCTCTATGCGCCTTGAATTACCGCTTCGTATGTGTGTATCATAAATTTTAAACTCACTAGAATTATCTTTTTTTTTCGAGGCTAAAAGAAAAAGGAGCTTAAAGGTGCCACTGATGATGTGTCTGGTATTGTGGCGATTTTCTAAAAAAAAAGAAATTCCAAATTTCCCTGTACCAACTCCCTCTTTCAGGAATTCCCCCAATGTTTAGATGGTCCCTAAATACAATCAACGCATTGAGCATTATACCGATAGCTCATGACAATTATTTCTCGCACATTCGCAATTCCATATATGGACAGCACATAATGGTGCGAAGACGCTGACGACTCAATCGAGAACAGCTGGAATGTCGAAGAACACGATGTGCGAGGTGTCCCCGCACCGGGCGGCACTTGTGTGTGTGTGTGTGTGTGTGTATGTCCCCTCGTTTGCGGGGACATGACGCTAGACGCAGCCACGCCTCACAACGCTAGCATATTTTTCGAAATCGCGCGTCCCCCCCCCATTTTGTGATTATCCCATTTTTATCGATTATCCATTGCTTTTTTTCTGTCACTGACCAATTACTTCATTATTGTTATTTATTTTATTAACTATCATGTTATTACAACTCGAGCCACTTGAAATAAAGCTCTCAATTTATTTCGGCCTAAATATCGATTTTTCCAGAATTTTCCCATTGCTAATAATTCTCGTTTCTCTAACATTAGTTTTCGAATTTTTTTTAATCCCGAATTTCCAGTGTGCAATAGTGCGTCTCGGTGAACTCGTACAAAATTTAAAATTCGCTCATTTTCCGCTTTACACGTCAACATTTTTCCCTGTTTTCCGGCGTTCTCGATCAATTTTTTTTTATAATTTCTGTTCAGAATCATGTCGGAACATGATGGAACCATCGATGGCGATGAGACAATGGAGGAGGAGTCGGTGAATTTGGACAACACCGAGGACGGCGATGAAGATGGTAAAAATCGGAGTCGAGGCGAAAATAAATAAAACCAATTTGAAAATGTTTCAGTTGCTGAAGAAGAGGACGTTGAAGCCGATGAAAGCGCATCATCAACCCACGCTGACAAGAAAAAGTCCAATAAGCGGCATAAGGGACGAAAAGGAAAAGGAAAGAAGACGGCCAATCCTGATCCGTACAACTCGTCGTCAACCGAGATTTGCGAATTTCACGGCTTCGTCGACGTCGATCTTAATTATGACGACGAAGAGTTTGCGAATATTACGAACCTCAAGACTTTCATGAATGTCTCGCGAACGCGAATTCAAGAAGTCAATCCGAAAATGAATACCACCAAACTTTATCCAATGTTCCAAGTGAAATATAAGGAGTATCAAGATCATCTCATTGCCACTGGCAAGTCGATTTCAGCCAAGAAGCAATTGAGGTAAACGATTTTTGTGCAAATTGAATTCAATTAAAAATCGTGTCATCAAATTTGCAGAGCCAAAGTTTCCACTCCTGCCGAGAAGGTGGCTCCGATAAAAATGCGAAGCTCGACGCGTAAGCGTCGACGAAACGATGATTCGGATGGCGATCGCGAGGATAGCGACCAGGAGTTCGAGTCGCTTCTCAAGCAGCACGAGAAGCAGCAAGACGAGCTTGAGCGCGAGAAGGAGGAGCGCAAGGCGAGTCGCGCTGCCGCCAAACAGGACAAGAAGAAGACGGCTCTTGAGAGCTATCGAGCCAATAAGCGCGCCATGAAAGCCGCCGGCGAGGACGACGAAGAGGTGGGCATTTTGAGATTTTCAGCGATGATTTTACTAGAATTATTGTTCAGGAGCATCAAGACCATTGCGAGGTGTGTAAGCAAGGCGGTGAGATTGTGCTCTGCGACACTTGCCCGCGAGCCTATCACACCGTGTGCATTGACGAGAACATGGAGCAGCCGCCGGAGGGCGATTGGAGTTGTCCGCATTGCGAGGAGCACGGACCGCCGACGCACAAGGAGGAAGAGCCGGCGCGACAGAACATGGAGTACTGTCGAATCTGCAAAGAGACCGGCTCGCTGCTCCTCTGCGACACGTGCCCGAGCTCCTATCACGCTTATTGTCTCGATCCGTCGCTCACCGAGATACCGGAGAACGAATGGAGTTGTCCGAGGTGTTCGCTCACCGAGCCGCCGCAACGCGTCGAAAAAATTCTGTGTTGGCGTTGGAAAGAGATCAAATATCCGGATCCGGTCGAGGCGGACGCGAACGACAAAAACGCGATACTGCTGGCGCCGCCGCGAAAAATGGAGCCGCGACGCGAGCGCGAGTTCTTCGTGAAATGGAAATACCTATCATATTGGCATTGCGAATGGCTCAGCGAGACGATGATGGACGTGTTCTTCTCGGCGCTGGTTCGCATGTACTGGAGAAAATACGATTCGGAAACGCCGCCGATTTTCGAGGAGTCCACAATTCAACGCCATCATAAAGACAATGATCCGTACAATCTTCGCGAGAAATATTATCAGTATGGCGTGAAGCCGGAATGGATGCAGATTCATCGCATCATAAACCATATGCAATACGGCAAATCGCAATTCGATTATCTCATCAAATGGAAGGAGTTGGCTTATGAGCAAGCGACTTGGGAACGCGACGACATGGACATCGCGTATTATGAGAACGCGATCATGAAATATTGGATGCATCGCGAGAAAATGATAGGCGACGCGATTCCGAAGCAAGTCCGAAAAATTATTGACAAGCATCGCGAGGAGAAGGGCCTTCCGCCGTATGATCCGAAGGAGGAGGAAGCGGCTTCGAAGAAGAAGAAGAAGGACAAACCCACTGTTGATGTAAGCTCAATGAATCGCTTTGGCTTTATTTGAAGATGTTTTTTTGTAGATTCGCAAGAAGTATGAAGTGCAGCCGGATTATATCACCGAGACTGGCGGCAACCTTCATCCATATCAATTGGAAGGCATCAATTGGCTTCGGCATTGTTGGTCGAACGGAACCGACGCGATTCTTGCCGATGAGATGGGTCTCGGTAAAACGGTGCAATCGTTGACGTTTTTGTACACGCTGATGAAAGAGAACCACACGAAGGGACCATTTTTGGTATGATGTTTAGTTTGGCGAGAAAAAAAACCAACAAAACTGGTTTTTTTTTTCAGATTGCCGCCCCATTATCGACGATTATCAATTGGGAGCGAGAAGCCGAATTGTGGTGCCCCGACTTTTACATCGTCACCTACGTTGGCGATCGCGATTCGCGAATGGTGATACGTGAGCACGAGTTCTCGTTCGTCGAAGGCGCTGTGCGAGGTGGACCGAAAGCTTCGAAGATGAAGTCGCAAGAGAACATGAAGTTCCATGTGCTTCTCACGTCCTATGAATGCATTAATATGGACCGCGCGATTCTCTCTTCAATCGATTGGGCGTGTTTGGTCGTCGATGAGGCGCATCGTCTGAAGAACAACCAATCGACGTTCTTCAAGAATTTGAGGTAGCCGATTCGCAATTGTTTTGATTTTCATCTGAAATCGTTTCAGCGAATACAATATTGGGTATCGTGTGCTTCTCACTGGTACTCCGCTTCAGAACAATCTTGAGGAATTGTTCCATTTGCTCAATTTTTTGGCTCCCGATCGATTCAAGTAAGACGCTTATCAATTTGATGTTATGCTTATTATTATTTTTTTTCAGTGACCTTGAGAACTTCACTGCGGAATTCTCGGAAATCTCGAAGGAGGATCAGATTCAGAAGCTTCACGCGCTCCTCGGACCTCATATGCTTCGCCGTTTGAAGGCCGACGTGCTTACGGGAATGCCGTCCAAATCGGAGTTGATTGTTCGATTGGAATTGTCGCCAATGCAAAAGTATAGATCAATTTTTTAAATTTTTTTTTCCCCAAAATTTGACAATTTTAGGAAGTATTACAAGCATATTTTGACGCGTAACTTTGACGCGTTGAACGTGAAGAGCGGTGGAACCCAGATGTCGCTTTTGAATATTATCATGGAGCTTAAAAAGTGCTGCAATCATCCGTATCTCTTTATGAAGGCGTGCTTGGAAGCGCCGAAGCTGAAAAACGGAATGTACGAGGGAAACGCGCTGGTGAAGAATTGCGGAAAATTTGTGCTGCTTCAGAAGATGATGAGAAAGTTGAAAGAGCGCGGCCATCGTGTTCTCATATTCTCCCAAATGACCATGTAAGGAATATTATTGAAATTTTGATTTTTGAGATGTGCTTTTTTTCCGTCTAGGATGCTTGACATATTGGAGGATTTTTGCGAGTTTGAGGGCTACAAATATGAGCGAATCGACGGTAGCATCACCGGACAACAGCGGCAGGATGCGATCGATCGATTCAATGCGCCGGGCGCGCAACAATTCGTGTTTCTGCTCTCGACACGCGCTGGCGGTCTCGGAATCAATTTGGCCACCGCTGACACCGTCATCATCTATGATTCGGATTGGAATCCGCACAATGACATTCAGGCGTTCTCGCGTGCCCATCGTTTGGGACAGAAGCACAAGGTGATGATTTATCGATTCGTGACGAAGAACTCGGTGGAGGAGCGCATCACCACGGTGGCCAAGAAGAAGATGCTTTTGACACATTTGGTCGTGCGAGCTGGACTCGGCGGCGGCAAGGAGGGTGGCAAGAGTATGAGCAAGTCGGAGCTTGATGATGTGCTTCGTTGGGGAACTGAGGAGCTGTTCAAAGAGGAGGAGCCGGCCGAAGGCGATGGCGACAAGAACAATGAGCATCATATTGTTTGGGATGACGCTGCTGTTGAGGATCTCCTTGATCGGACGAAAGGCGAGCCTGGCGAGGATGGCGACGGCGAGAAGAAGGCGGATTGGACGAATGAGTACCTGAGCTCGTTCAAAGTTGCGACGTATACAACGAAAGAGGCCGAACAGCAAGAAGAGGAGGATATCGATATGGAAGTGATCAAAGAGGGCGAGAAGGAGCCGGATCCGGATTATTGGGAGAAGCTCCTTCGACACCACTATGAGCAGGACCAGGAGGTTGAGGCGCAGAAGCTTGGAAAGGGAAAACGCGTGCGGAAGCAGGTCAACTATGCCGCTGAGAATATGGGACAGGATTGGAATAATCAGAATGTGAGGGATTTAGATATCGAATTGGGGGGATTCATTGAGATGTTTGTGATTGCAGAATCAGAATGATGATGATGATGTGTCGTCGTATGCGGGCTCGGATGGTGGCGATGGAATGCATTCGGATGATGATTATGATGAGAAGCGGAAGAGGCGACGCGACGAGAACTCGGAGAAGTTGCCGCCGCTTCTCGCCAAAGTCAACGGGCAAATCGAGGTGCTCGGATTCAATCCGCGACAGCGTCGCGCGTTCTACAACGCCGTCATGCGTTGGGGAATGCCGCCGCAGGATTCGTACCAATCGCAGTGGCTGGTGAGTCGAGAATTGCTCTTTCGAATTGGAGGCCATGATATCATGTTTACAGATTCGCGACTTGAAAGGAAAATCGGAGCGCGCGTTCCGTGCGTACACCTCGTTGTTCATGAGGCATCTTTGTGAGCCGGGCGCTGATGCGTCGGACACGTTCAATGATGGTGTTCCGCGCGAAGGTCTTAATCGGCAGCACGTGCTCTCGCGAATCGGATTGATGAGTTTGGTTCGACGCAAAGTGCAAGAGTTTGAGGAGTTCAATGGCGAATGGTCGATGCCGGAACTTCAAGATCAGATTGTCGCGCAGGCGGCGAACGCCGACGTCGCCGCGCCGGCGACCAACACCAACTCGGTGGAGACGTCGCGCGAGCAGAGTGTGGCGGCATCGGACGTCAAAGAAGAGAATGCGGATGCGACGCCGGGATTGGAGCCGATGGACACGAATGATGAGAACAAGGCGACAGTGGAGGAGGCGGAGAAGAAGAAGTCGGATGAGGATGTCAAGAAGGACGAGTTGTCGGCGAAGAAGGGCAATCGGCCGCCGTTCAAATTCAACATCACCGATGGCGGATTCACCGAGCTGCACACGTTGTGGCAGAATGAGGAGAAGGTTGCGACGAACGGAAAAGAGTACGAGATTTGGCATCGACGGCATGATTATTGGCTGCTGGCAGCGATTGTCGTTCACGGCTACGGACGATATCAGATCAACTTCCAGGATATTCAGAACGATCCGAAATTTGCGATTATCAATGAGCCGTTCAAACAGGAGATTCCCTCTGGGGCGAATTTCGCCGAGATCAAGACCAAATTTTTGCAGCGACGATTCAAGGTTGGGAGCGATTGTGTTTCGATGAATTTCAACGTTTTGATTCTTTATTTTTGCAGCTTTTGGAGCAGGCGCTCATTATTGAAGAGCAACTGAGACGGGCGGCCTATTTGAATCTGCAGAATAGCGCCGAGAGCACGGCGGCGACCGGACAACTCGCGCAAAGGTTCGCCGATTTGGAGAATGTCGCCGACGCGCATGCGAATGTGGCGAAAGATAGCGCCGCTGGAAATCGCAATGCGAATGCGGTCCTTCACAAAGGTATCATTGACATAATCGTTGTTTGTTTGTTGAATGCCCATTTTTAGTGCTTAATCAGCTCGATGAGCTCCTTTCCGATATGAAGGCCGATGTGTCGAGGCTTCCGGCGACGTTGGCTCAACTTCGGCCGGTCACCCATCGATTGAATATGACGGAGAGACAGTGAGTGGACTTCGCGTCAGATTCTCGGCATTTCATTTGGATTTTTAGGATACTGTCGCGTCTTACCACAAAGGATCCTGAGGCGACTGCTGGTGTCACACCTTTGCCGCCGCCGGGACCATTTGTGACGCCGATGCTTAATCAGCAGTTCCAAGGAATTCAGCCAAAGTTTGCGGCGCTTCATGGAAGCAAAAACGAGGAAGTAGTCGAGGAGAAGAAGGTTGAAGAAGAGGCGGTCAAAGAGGAGGTGAAGGAGGAGCCGAAGGAGGCGGAAGTTGAGGAGAAGGCTGATGAGAATGGTGAGGAGCAGCCGCCGAAACTCGAGGAGATTCCCGAAGGAGCGAAGGCTGAAATGATTGCCGATGAGATGGAGAAGATGGAAGTCGAGGAGACGAAGGTGGAAGAGGAGAAGGCCGAGGAGCCTCAAATTGAGGAAGCGTCGGCTCCTCCGATTCCGGCGTCAGCTCCGGAACCAGTTGCTGAGCAGAAGGAGGAGAATGGTGAAGAAGGTGGTGAACCGATTGAATCGCAGTTTTAACATTAAAAATGATCTAAATATTTGATATTATATTAATTTGTCTTTGGAATCGATTTATATTTTTATTATCATTATTATTGCTATTATGAATATCCTATAAAAATTAACGTTGCAATAAATTATTGTCGCTGTAATTACTTAATTTGTCTGAAAATTTGGAATTTGTATGAAAATCTGAAAATATTTTCGTGCCTAAATGAAACTAAAACGACATAAGATAATTGAGGGCGGAATTTCGATGAGTTTGTACGAATTGCCAAAGCAGGGAGTTGTCATTTTTCGAGGTATTGCTGGAAATTTAGCTGAAATTAGTTTTTTTTTCAAGCGAAAAATGATGAGGATTTGCTGCCGATTGTGCACGCGATCAATCGGAATCAGAAGACGTGTGTGATTCATTTGGAATGCGTCGACACGTGGATTCGAGAAATCAACTCGGACGCCGTCGCGGAGTTTGTTTGAATTTTGTGAATCTCAGAGCGCGCAATTAGAAAGAGAATTTCGAAATTTGCGAACACACCGAATTTGACGCAAATTTTCAGAATTTGCATTGGCGAATTATTGGAAAACCAGGAAAGAAATGAGTGTTTCGTAATTCAGAAAAATTGAGATCCAAAATCGAGAGATGTGCGTTTTCGTGTGATTTTCGAGACATTTGATGGTCCAACGGAAATTTTTCTGAAATTGTTTTATACATTTCGCGGTTTTTTTTCCTCCCTGTGTTCCCTTTGAAACATCGACGGAAATGTTCGCTTGAAAAATTTTCGCATTGGTCCTTGAGCACTATACTGAAAATGAGGACCATAAATACTTTTTTCGTCCCGCCTCGGGGCTTTTAATCTGATGATGGTGGCTGTTTATTTGCGTGCATTTGAAAGCCTCGTACATCGACAACAGTTTAAGGCGCATCAATTTTGTTTTTAGGATTTGTCTGAAAAAAATTTTGAAATGGAAAAAATTGGATTTTTTTTAATGGAAAAGTTTGGACTAGTGGAGAATTTCAAATTTTGATTTATTCGCTTTTTTCCGACGAAAAAATTGAAGAATTGCATTTTTAAAAAATTTATTAGGAATATTCGGTGGTGTGCAATTTTGCGTGCGTGTGTACGCACAACTTTTTTAAAAATCGTTTTGTCAACGCGTTTTTTGTGACGAAGGAAATAATTTTTTTTTAATTTGTACAATTCGATTTGTTTTTTTTTTTTTCAAAGACGAACCAATTTCAGAGTCTCGACAGTCTCATTCTCGTCGAAATCGCCGATATTGAGCGGCGACGTTGAGGCGAAAACGGTGATTTTTCAAGATTTCGACATCTACCTTGACGCGTTCGGATTGCGAGAATCTATAATATTGCTCAATGAGCTGAAAAGTGCGCAGCCCGTGTTTTTTTCTTTGGTAAATTGCTTCTTTTTTTTTCAGAAAACTCGCGAGTTTTTGTGGTTTGTCCGACGTCCACGGTGAAAATCGACGAGTTCAAAGAAATTTCGGCGTTCGCTTCGGCGATCTACACGATTCGGTAGTTTTGGATTTTTGTTTGGTTTCGAAAACGAAATGCACGGTGTTTCTTTGCAGAAAACGCACTGAGCCGCCATCGGAATTTGTGGCTTTCTCGGTGACATACGACAAAAAGGGCAGATTGAGCAATCAGGAGGAGATTATCACAATGGTGGCGAATGGAAAACCGAAATTGCGCAAACTCTGCGATGTTGAGAAAGAGAAGGAGACTGATGCGTCGGTGAACGACATCAGAGCGGCGTTCGAGCTCGACGTTCAAATCAAGGAATCTGAGAAGGCGGCGAGAGACGCGCTTCTGTTGCCGCACGTCAGGAATCGGCAAGAAGACGGCGTTGCGATACGCGATCAGAGTCGAAGGAAGATTCGAGCCGGCGGTCAGATTATCTATGAGCCTGACCAAGCGGATGATTTTGACGACAGCGATCCCGATGATGATTTGAACATTTGATTGATAATACATTGTTTTGTTTTTTTAATTGAAAATAAATTATGCGTTTTCCTGTTTTGACTTGATTTCGGCCTTCTGCACGAGACCATCGATTTTGGCTTGTAGTTGAAAAACCCGATTTGTGATCGATTTGAGAATTAGGGCGTACTCGTCGCGGAAATTCTCGAATTCGGTGCATTCGCTTGAAAAAAATGAGAGCTTTCGTCTAGAATAACGAAGAATCTTCTTACGATTTCCATTTTTGGTAGAGCTCCTCGCATATGCGGATTTCGTCGTCGAGTAATGGAAGAAGATCGGAGATTTTCGAAAAACATTCGGTGTCCAGAGCGCTCTAAATTTTCAATTTTTGAAATTTTGAAAGCTTTCCCCCGATTTTGAAACTTGTAGGCACTCCTCAAAGGTTTTGATGAGCTCAATCCGCTGCAAAATGAGCTGCTCGGAAAAATTGATGGATTCGATTCGCTCGGAAATCGAAGCTGCCGCTTGATTTGACTGAAAATTCCTTTTTGTTTCGATCAATTTAATTTTTTTCTAGAACAACTCACCTGAGCCGCCAATTTGTGCAAATTGTCTAATTTCTGATAGGGAATCGACATTAGAATATTCGCATTTAAATCATCGCGCAATTTCTTGGTGATTTGCTCGATTTCGACGGGAATTGGCTTCGTCTGAATTGCGAAATTTGAAAACTCGCATTTACTTTATTTTCGCATCATTTTCAAAGCACCTTTGAGAATTCATCGACTCCAACTAGTTCCTCGAGTTGCGCTATTTGTTTTTCCATCGCTTCATAATCCATTTTCTGCAAAAATTCTCGAAATTTTGACAAAAAAATGAGGCGAATTGCGAGAAAAATTGAATAAAACGCGCTTGTGCATTTTGGCGTGACGACGAATGCGGACATGTGTACCGTAGCAAAGCGGAAAATTCGAAACATAATTTTTCATTTATTTGCTCATTCAATAGCTCTCAGAAAAGAAATAATCCATAATTTTCACAAGCAAATTAAAGGAATGCATTCGAATTCTCAAATCGTTTTCGGAGTTCTCGAGATTCTCGATGGTTTTCCGGCGAAGCGACAACAACTCATTCATAAATTCATCTAAAAATTCGGTTTTTTTGTGAAAAATTAAAAAAAAGTTAAGATAATTAAAAGAAACTATTGGAAATTCTAGCAAATTCGTCGCAATTCCGAATGTTGAAGCTAGGCGAAGCACAGCTGAAAAATATCTCGAAAAAAAAATAAAATGGTTTTCAAATACCTGTTGGGCGTCGAATTGCTCATTTTTTAAAAAGAAATGAAAAAAAAAACACAAAAGAATTGATTTTAATGACGAATAGATAAGAAATTATACTTGATAATTCTCATTCATTTTTTATTCCATTCTTACTTCATAGAGATGGTTTTTTTTTTCATTTCTCGCCAAATTTGAGAAGACGTTTCTTTGCAGGATTTACTATTGCAACTTGTCATTGAAATATTTCCAATAGCATCATTAATTTTCATCATTGCCGTTTGTGGAGGCAAACAAAACGGAGATGGTCCGAAATCGACGAAAAGCGTCAACGAAACGGCTCAAAAAGAGCCAACAAATACAGTTGATGGTCCGAAAAATGGTAAACGCCTTTAAACGCGCTTTCTATAATTTGTTTCCTTCCATATTCCAGATGGTGCTGCTGATGTTGGCTCGAAAGAGGAATTTGTGGAGAAGAAGGAGAACGAGGCGAAAGAGGAGAAGCCGAAGGAGGAAAAACGCGATGTTGAAAAGGTGAAAGTTGTCCGCAGATGGATTTTTACTTTAGCGCTCCTTTTTAATTTCTTAAGCGTTTTCATTATATCTTTTAAATGTTTCGTTGTGAAATATGACAATCACAAAAAAACGATTTACAGAGAGAGAGAGAGAGTGTGTGTTTGATTCGTCGGTTATCGAACTCCCAATATTTAAATTCAAATTTGAATTGCCGCCTCGAAAAATTGAAAAAAAAATTTCAAAATTATTCCACGGCCCATTTTTTGCTATGATAATATTAGATTTTGCGAAGAATGCGAACTTCACCACAATTTGCGTAGGCAACTTTCAGTGATCAAATGGCTGAGTGGTTGTGCTGCGCGACACTCGGTAGAACTGATTGGAAGCCGCGCGGACGATATTGACCAATTGGACACCAGATACCGTCCGCGCGGACACCGCGATGAAAAATTTGTCTGCTCGTCTGGCGTCTAGCCCTGCAGGCATCTCTCGCCCCTATAAGTGATTTCCGATTGGTTACCGCTGAGATGTGCGGTAACCAATTGGACAACACTGATTAAAAAGAGGTATGCCGCGGCGTTGCGAAACAGTGCGCCGCTTTGCACAATGTGGTCACGCCTCCTATTTTCGAAATACGTTTTCAACACTTTATTTAATTTTTGCTTTTTTACAATGAGTTTTCAAGATTTTTCAGTGTTTTTTTTTTTCAAAAATTAAAGAAAAAATTTGTCTATCATCTACTTTGTGTGTATTTATTAAGGTCTTATATTTTATTGCGAATATTTATGTTACAGATGTCGCGGAAGCGCTGGATGCACAATTAAAGGAGCTGATCGAGTCTACCAGTAATCCTGAGATGTGAGTAGTAAACAATTTAATTTTTATTGAAAATTAAAGAAATTAAAAAATGAGGCAGCACTCAATTTTAATTATTTTATTGCTCATACCAGTATTATTAACCCACAAAATTATTTGACGCTAAGTAGTACTTTGTTGCGTAGCCTTTTGGGTCAATAACAGCTTGACATTTTCTTGCCACTCAATCTAGAAGAGCCTCAAAAACACTGTTCGGGATGGACTTCCACGCCGCTTCGAATTGGTCAGATTTTTGAACCGGATTTGTGGCACGAACTCGAAAAAGACGTCTTTCTAGGTCTTCTCACATATGTTCGATTGGATAAAGGTCTGGAGACTGGCTCAGCCACTCTAAAACACCAATACGACGATCACGAACCAATTGATAATGAAGCGAGGAATGATTTGGATCGTTACCCCGTTGGAAAACAAATCCGCTTCGGACGTTTTGAAGAGCCCATGGTCTCATAGTGTTTGTGCTGAAATCGGTCTATATATGGTGCCAGTCATTCGTCCCAAAGGGTTCATCGCCTTGTCCGAAAAGCAGCTCCATATCATACAACTTCCCCACAGTCGCCACCTGATACTTTGGCGATTATCGAGCACCAATAGGTCGACGAATCCATTTTGTACCATCGCTGCCAAACAGAATGAACTTGATTTCGTCGGAGCAGATGTGTTTGGCCCACTCATGGTGTCCCGAGTTCAAATTCTCTGTGGCCCACATCACACGAGCCAATCGGAAGTATTTCAAAAAGTAAAAGTCAGAACAAGTTGAGATTCAACTTAAAGTTTATCTGGGTAATAACAAACATATAAATACTAAAGTTGTTCAACTCGGCCACCTTTCTGCATGATGACGGCTCGAAGACGTTTTGGGTAGGCATCCACCACCGTAAGCATCTTGGGAGGTCTTAGCAAGAACCCTTTGATTTTGGGAGTTGAATTCTTGCTCGACTGTGAAGCTTCTCGTCAGAGAACACAGTAACCAAATGTTCGCCGACTCGCGTGCACTCCACAAGAAGTTTTCTCTTTTCGAGTCTTTTTTGCTTATTGGCGGCCGAGAGAATAGCTTCTTTTCGCACACGATATGGGGCAAGACCCAATTTATCTTTGACAATCCTTGTCATCGATCTTCGGGACATTCCCATCTCATGAGCCATCGTTGTCAGGCTCCGATGAGCGTTTCGTCTCAGTCGTTCCTTCACGGCTTTCATCTTAGCTAGAGTCGTAATAGAAACTTTTCTTCCTATCCCAGGGCTGTCATCAAGTCCTCCAGTTTCCTGATATCGGCGGAATTTTGACTCCCTGATCTAATAGCGAGCAAACAGTGATTCGATGGATACTACCTTTACCATTTGGCAGAAAATTAGTATTTTTGTTCGAAACTTGGAAAAACAATAGAAAACACATTAAAAACTGGAAAAAAAGTCACCATGGCGCAAAAAAAGATACCGGTAATTATGCCCGATCCTGTAGTTACAAGAGTATAAATGTTAGTTGACGTCCGGTGAGGATCTTCTCTAGACACGCGAACAATGTTACGATCCATGTTTCACGAGGTAGAAACCAGTTTTTCGGGGTGGACACCTATCAAAATGTTTTTCTTAAAGTGTTAAGATATTAAGAAATGTTTGTAAACTGTTACATTTGAGAAATAACGTTTCAATGCTTCATAAACAGAAGATATTGAGCACTGAAATTGTTGCCAGAAGGTTTGACCATGTTTTTTGAGCAATTTTCAAATATTATGACCTGCTAGAGGCGTCTTATACATTACAATAATCATTAAGAAAAAACTGAAAATTCAAAAAAAAACCAAAACTCGAGAAAAAATTTAAAACTTAAGAAAAATTTTAAAAAGATACAAATTGTCGAAAGACTGCTCTGCGTATTCTGTTAAAATTTCAGGTCAATCGGACAACTTTGAAAAAAGTTAAGGCTGAAAATGTGGTTTTGGACAGAATTATGGCCAGCACTGTAGCTCTATCGAGTTGTTTGAATCTGATAGGTACATAAACTGAATTTCAATAATGCGTATAAAATGATTTCAGGGAACAAGAATTCGCCTAAGCCTCGATTGTGTGTGTAAATCTATGTTTTCTGATTGATTGTTTTCATTTAATCAAATAAATGTTGTTATCTACTTTCTGTGTACTTACAATTAGCCATTAATTCGAGCATCTTTCGGAAATACATTTTGGATACCAAGCGGATGGTTCTTGCGAACACCGAGCGTACTTCCTTTGCGAACACCGCGCGGACGTCTTATGCGAACACCGCGCGGACGCCCTATGCGAACACCGAGCGGACGCTCTATGCGAACACCGCGCGGAAGGAAAATGGTGTCCGCCTGGTGTCTGCGTGGCGTCTGCATTTTTCGTCCGCGCGGTAACCGAAATGTGTCCGCGCGGCTTCCAATCAGTTCTACCGAGACGTGCACGCGACCTTTTCGATTTCGATCCCCCCACAAGCAATCATTTTTGCTTCGTTTCAGGACGTGTTTCTCGACGACAAAAACGAGCACATCAATTTCATTGTGGAGAATTGTAAGACGCGCGATCCGGCGATTCTCGTACGCGGTCGATCATTGCCAGCGCATTGATTTCAGATTCTTTCAGAGAGAATTTTGTATTCACGCGAAATTGCTCAACGAGCAAATTGGATGTTTTCAATGGGCGATGAAAAAGCGTTTCGTGTTCGATGAGACCAGCTGGAAGCACTTGAGTCGCCGAATTTCGCTTCTCAAGGCCGAGGTTCGTTGGGACCAAAAATCAAAAAGAGGGTGAGGGGTTGCATATTATAATATATTTTTTTTCGTCTTCTTCTCTCACTGATTATAGGGTTTCGATGTACGCGTGAATACGCGAAAAGCCAAAGAGAACAAGGCGCAAACGGAGGCGAAACCGACGCGAATCGACGCGATTCTCAATCAAAAAAACGCTGGAAAGGTGAGAGCGAGAGAGAGAGAGAGAGTGGAGACGCAGAGAAGCGGACGGTGAGAGGAACGAGGGATGAGGGGGGGAAGCAAAAAGGGGGCACCGTTCACCACCATCACCATCACCACCAAGACGACACCCATTCGGGTGGTGGCTGTCACCCATCTGCCCTACAAATTAGTGCGTGTGTGTGGCACCCGTGGCCCACCGCCCATTTGATTCTCTCTCTCTCTCTCTCTCTCTCTCTCTCTCACCCAGTATACTTTTTTTGTTTCATCTCTCTCCCCACCATCGCCTCTACGCCAAACGATCCCCCCCCCACACTTAGTCGATTCGGTTTCGGTGTTCCCCTTGGCCTCCCCCCACCCTCATCCTCATCCTCTCCTCTCACCTGTGTGCGCTTCCTCGCCTCTCTCACACACACGCAAAATAATTGATAACGATTTGTTAATGGTACGCTTTTTTTGATTCCAGAAGAAGAAGGCCAAAAATCTCGAATGAAATCTCAATTGACTCTTAATAAAGTTGTGTGACTGATTTCTTTCTTTTTAAAGGAGCATATCACATTTTGGTTCGGCCTCGAACCTACCGTAACCAATTTTCTACCAACCAACCACAAAAAAAAATCGTATGCGCCTTTAGACCGCCTAGTTTTTGATTGACCCGTTTTCGCGCAATAACTCTCGCCGTTCGCTATCGCACAATTCGATCTTGACGCGACAGGACCCAACGTGTATACTGTAGTTTTTAAAGGCACACATCGAGACGCTGAACGCGCATCGCCAATGAATAAGCATTGTGCAAACATTTAGTACAGCAGAAGAGATTGGTGGAGGGTCCTAGATGGTCGGTAGTACTATTATCAATGACCTCCCCCATCGTTGGGGCCCGCTCAATTTGCGTTTCGCTTGCGGAATGGTCCCGCCGTGAAATCACTGGGTCATTCTACCGTAAGCCGATAGCAATTTTTGATAAGCGTTATCAATTGCAAACAGAAACAAAAAAAATTGTAGACGGGCCAAAATTTTTGCGCGAAATTTTCGCCGCAGCACACACGTTGAACTCGTGATACCGTACCCAACTGGTCGATCGGCTTGATGAATTATGCGATATCCGGTTGTTTGGTCATTCATGGTCATCATCATCATCATCATTACACACATTCCATTTCTTCCTCTTATCTCACTGATTCGCCTTTTTCACCTCTTTTTTTGCCAATAACTTCGGCCGTTTGTTTCCACAAAATTGTCCGCAGATGGAATTGCACAAAATCGCGCGCGCGCTTCTCCTCCACCGCGTCACTTGGAAGTGCGTAGAACGCGGCGCCATATGGCACCGAATTGCCGCGGACACGCTTCCGGGTTCTATTTGTTTGCTGTTGACAAGTTGTGTGGTGTAACTATACGAAATAAAATTATTATTATTATTATTAGGTATTCTTGCGTAAATTTCCCGCCGAACACATTCAAAATAAACAATTAGGAGCGCGTATCGGAAGGTGAGAAGAAAAAAAAGATGAAAGAAACGGCACATTATGATTTTCTTTTCGTCTCGCCGACGAATTTATTAGGATTTGAGGGGTCCCCCCCTCGAGTTCAATTCGAACTTCCGCTCTTCGTCTAATCCCCCCCCTCTCCCACAGCGTGTTAATGAGTCAGCCATATTTGGCATTTTCCGAGCCTCCTCTCACCTCACCTTATCATCGCAAATTCTTTTTTTTTATTGTGTTCGCCACGTTGCAATTTTCCACCAATCCTACGGTAGGTCCGTTTTAAAGGCGCACTGGCAATGCACTTTCACACCAAGTGCACGTCGTCGCGTCTACGTTCTTTTTTTTGGTCGTTTTGATCTCGTGCCCAAAAATGCAATTCCATTGGCTTTTCCTCGCACTTCTCAATCTTTGAACTACGATAGCACAAGTTCAAATAAGTGCGTCACGAAAATTGAATAATGAAATCATTTTCCCAAAAAATTTGACATCAGGTGCAAAAAAACAAAAAATTATAAACGTTGAGCTAATTAGCCCGCCCCACACCAATTTGCTCTTCGACGCCCTTTCTCGTGATATCATTTTTGTCGCCGCAGATTACGGTAGCTCGAGTTGGCCAACCAGGCCACAAAAAAAAAACCAGCGAACAATGGCCGCTCGCTCGCATCGTCTTATCGCAAATTTCTATCAAATATATATATGCGCGGATCGATTTTGGCCTTCTCCGATTCCTCGCACCATTCATCGTCGGATTCCCATGAGCGCTTCTCACCTCGCCTGACATTCTCAAGAGATCCCCCCACCCCCTACTTATAGTAGCTGACAACTCGACTCTCGGGCTTTCCTGCACAACAAAATGGTGAAGGGTGCAAAAAATGGGCGTGGCCATCATCACCAACACGCCATAAACGCTGTATTCGCTCTCTCTCTCTCCCACACGCTCATTCTATGTGTGTGTGTGTGTTTTTTGGTGGTCTCACATTCCGCGTCCTTCATCATCCCATCGTTCGTTCATGGTTGACCATTCCACCCGCTGAATTCTTCCAGGTGAGCTCCGATGACGGTGGGCAGCTTGTCGACATCATCATCATCAGCTGCTGCCGCCGAAGGCGTTGTGAAGAGCGAGCACGCCTTCATCGACGACGAGCGTCACGTCAAGGTTCGTTGCCAAACAATTAATATATTTTGATAGCGTTTTGTCTCGTCCTTGAATTGTCAATCACTCAGCGAGAGATGAATGTGAGGAGAGAGAGAGAGCGACGCTAAAAAATTAGATAATCAATTTTGCGGGTTCATTCGTCAATGTCGTGCCAACCCCTTTTGCGGTCAAGGCCACCCAAATTTGGTTGTCGTTTCAGCTCGCACCGTCGCCATCAACGTCGAGCATCGCGAGCGCAACATCATCATCGACGGCCTCAAACCGACTCGCGTTTCTCGAGAAAATCGTCAAAATCGAAATTGACGACGATTTTTTCGCGCAAAAATGCAAATGGAGCTCGTGCTGTTTGACGGCGTCGAGCTCCGATGAGATCTACGATCACGTGATTGAGGTAATTAATCAATTAAGCATTCCTAATTATGTTGGCTATCACTCAAGGAGCATATCAATGCGATAATGTCGAAGGAGGAGGTGGAGAGTGTGCGCTGCGAGTGGGACAATTGCCGAACGGAGGTGTGTCGGGGAACGATGGCCAAGAAGGTTGGTGGGTCGGTGGCATACGAAGCCGAATCGAATCGGATTCAGATCGACTGGCTCCAGAAGCATTATCGTAGTCGGCACGCGGTCAACGCGCGATCGTTCAAATGCCTCATCGACGGATGCGCGGCGCGCGCGTCAACGTCGAAGCAGCTCGAGGAGCACGTGCTTCACGCGCACATCGACGCCGAGCGAAAAGCGCGCAAGAAGGCGGAAGCCGAGAGGAAGGCCGTCAAACCGCCGAAGAACCCGTTTCGGTGGAGCCAACAAGAATATCTTGTGCCGGGTAATGCGCCTTTAATTATTCGTATAAATAAAACATCGACATAACTTCGAATTTTGGTGAGAATCGACACCATTTGGCAAATTGCAGACAATTAAAAATTTTATTTTTTCAATTATCGATTCTCATCTAAAATTACAAATTTGATTTTTGTGTAAAACAGAACGAGATTGACAAAATCGAAATGTGTGCAATTATGCGTGCGTGTGCACCACACAATTATTTTGGTTGCGCCATTTCTTTTTTTGGAGAAACCCCATGATTTCTGATAGTTGCGACGCAAACTAGTAATATTGGAAGTTTGGGTCTCGCGACGAAATATATCAAAAAAAGAAATGCCTCGTTTAGGGTTGACCGAAGGCTCGTCATCGCTCACATTTTCGCATCGCGACGTCTACGCCGACCGCAATCAATTCTATCTCGACAACGACGGCAAAGTGAAATTCGAACCTGTGTGGAGGTTGATTATTATAATAATAATTATTATTTAAAAAAAAGACATACATGGTTTAATCATTTCAGCGAAAAACCGAAAGGCAGCGCGAAACGCAAAATGGGATACGGCGCCGAATGGTATGCGAAATACCAACTGGTTCTAGCCGATTCGGAACCTGAAAAAAAGGCGAATAAGGTAGTTTTCAACACGTTTAACTTCGAAAACTATGCATAAATCATTTAGAACGAGTGTTTTAATGTTGAAGAAGAGGAAAAACTCACACTGGCCGATTTGTTCCCGTCGGCAGCGCAGAGAAATCGCGAAACAGCACCTGTCGATGTCCTGGAGAAGCCTAAAATCAAGGTGTTGAAGAGGAAAGCGAGAAAAAGCTTTGAAAGCGGTGTTTGCGCGCCGGAAACACTCCCAAAACGGTCGAGAAGGTAATTTTCGAAATAATTGTCGTCAAATGATGCGCGTTGGTGCAAACACAACGACATCGAATTGCACACATTTTGAAAATGTTGTTTTTTATTTCTCGACGAGGCATTTTTAAATTTTTTCAGCTTGGTTTGCTCGTTTTCAGGCAGTTTGAAAATTGTTGAAGATTTGAGAAAAATTTCTGGCTTTTGAAAATCTAGAAGTTGTGATTTGCGAATAAGTTTGACCTGAAATATTAATTTTTCCATTTATTTGATTAAAAACTTTGTTAGAATTAACTAGCCGTTGGAAAAGTTGAAAAATGTGAGAAAAAAAAAAGAAAATTTCATATTTGTTGAATATCGGCATGGCCTTTTTTGAAATGTGCTTTTTTCGAAAATAATGAAATCATTGATTTTGTTTCGAACCAAATGATTAACAAAAATTCTGAAAAGGCCAATTATATAATATAATCACATATTGAATTAGTTATAGCACACGTTAGTCATATCAAAAAGAAAGTTTAAAATAGCTCAAAAATTCAAACTCGCTGAATATGTGCATTTGCGCGTCAACTCTGTCGGTGTATGTGTGCCAACACCGACTGTGTACCGTACACTATTCTCAGCGTTCAAAATTTTTCTTGTTGCGTTTTGCAGAAGCCTTCCGTACGGCGTGTTCGAGGAAGACAGCACCGACAATGAGGACGACTACGGCTTCGAGAGAATCCCGGAGACGTTGAGAAGGCCGACGACGACGGCGCCGCCACCGCGCGCCATCAAACGCGCCAATTCCATCGAATCGACGTCGTCGTCGAGTCAGGAGTCGGACGGCAAACCCGACGACGATTATTCGATGCGATTGGCGAAATTCGCCCGCTACGGATTGTATCCGATCAAAGCGTCCGTCTATTTAGCTTTAATTGAAAATAGGCGAAAATTGTGATTTTTTCTTTTTTTTTGTTTCCAATTTTGAGCCCCAATATTCATTTTCTAGGCGCTTCCATTTTATTTATTTTTTTTTTCAAATTTATGCGTGCCATTTGTACATTGCTCCAGTGCTCCCTGAGCCCGTTGCGTGGCAACCAACGAATGTGTGTATATATTGCGGTTTTCTATTTTTTTTTTTCACTCGGACCCACCCGATATTCTTTCAATTCATAATTCTTTCATTATAGTAATAATAATTTGAATAATAAATTGCTCATTTCTTTTTTTTTGTTTTGGTTTTCACGCGTTGAAATCGTCATTCCGCCAAATTCATTGTCCACCGAAATCTCGAATCTCGTACTCGTCGTCGGAATGCAATAGGAGGAAGATGAGTGAGTCGTTCGGGTGTTCTTCTCATCGCAAATCATCTGCGGACATTTTTCGAGGATTCGACCTCGTCGATTTGGCGAAAAATTAAAAAAAAAAACCTCGGCCACGGCCACTATTTTCGAGGCCAGAGTGTGTATTAAATTGAAGTTCAAAAACGATTCAATTTTTTTGGAATTCCTGTTATGGTTAAAGGCGCATAAAACAAAATGTTTTAATTTTTGAATAAAATATTGGGGTACTAGAAAAGGGTGGCCGTGGCCGAGTTTTTTGAGATTTTCTCTGCCACGCACATTTTTGGTACTTTTTTTCGGCCGAATTCGGCATAGTATTATGATTCAAACAGTTCGATTTTTTGCCGCACCTCTTCTGTAGAACGCGAATGCAAACAACAATGAATCAAATCAAATATTGATTGTAGCAATCGTAAGAATCCGATTCCAATCGGACTGGCATTTTGCCTTTTTCTTGGGTGGAGAGTGGCGGCGCCTTCGTGGGTGGGATAATCCCAATCTAATCCGTTAATTCATTCTCTTTTCTGCGAAAAAACGTCTAGCAGTTTGAGAGGTCACTAATTATAATGTGAATTTCTTGGAAATTCGCTTCAAGACCCATTCTAGCGATGATTTTCGTCGTAAGACCGCATCGGAATACTGTACCAATAGTTTTCTGTGTGAATTTTCTGCGAGCCCATTCACTTACCTTATTCTTGGTGATTACGGTAGCTGTGATTTTCGGTGTGTCGCTTGTTCTTCGACCCCTTCCTCCTCCCTTCCCCCCCCCCTTCCCCTTCCCGCCATGAGTTTTCCCCTCAAACCAAATAAATATCAATTTGCCATATATTTGCACATGTCGGTTTTTGTTTGATTTTCAAATTACATCTCCTCCTCCCCCCCTCTCCTCCCATGTTCCCCTCTCTCTTCCTCTCCCCCTCTATCCATCCATCCCCCCCCCCAAAAAAACTTTTTGCCATTCGCCACAACAATTTTGGTGGTCGTCATTCTCATTCATTTTTTTTTGTCTGCAATTGCTCGTCGATTATGATGTTTTCCGAAATTGACGGCGATTTGGTGCAATTTGTCGTCAAGTATGGTGCACTCGGATTACTGTAGCCAACTTGTTCAACAAATTTGGCAAAAAAATTAAAGATGTTTGCCAAATTTGGTGGAGCACTATGTGAAATTTTCAAATTCCGCAAATTGTCGTCAAATCTAGCGCATTAAAAAATGTGATCTACCTTTAAAGGAATTGGTTTTGATGACCTAAAAATTGCAATTAGGCGACAAATTCTCGAAATTCTTCAGCGGTTTGCTCGAGCGATGAAATATCGCGTCACCAAGACAACTCGAGCGATTCATTTTTTTTCTTCTCCAATGACGGTGAGCTCACTTTTTACGTCTCTCTGTCTCTCTCTCTCTCATTCTTGCTTTACCCATTCTTTGAAGCTTTTCCTTCCGAAAAACCACATCTCATAAAATGGCCGACATTTTGGTCTCGAAATTGCCACATATTAATCGCCAACTTGCTGCCGACACGTTTGCGGGTTTCGCGCGCCAATTAGATTTTTGATTTCTTCGCTCTTTGCCTACGGTAGCCGTAATAATCGAATCATTCGCGTTGAGAGCATGCGAGGGCCAACGCGACGAGTGGTTGATTTGTGAAACGCGTGCTGCGGACAATCTCCTGGTTTACATTTCGCGCAGAATTGTCCGCAGCACGCATTCCATTTTTGTTGCGCTTTTTTTGGGAGGGTTTTGAATGCGATGTCGCCACCATATCATGAGGCGTGGCGCCCGACAACGTTGCGGGTTTCGCCAATTGCTATCTCAATGTGTTTTAGCGCCAAATTTTCTTCATTATTCTCGTTTTTTTGCAGCAAAATGGAGATCGTCAAACAAATCATACCACATAACGGCTCAATTCCGGAAAAACCGATTCCGTCAGCGTCGGAATGGCTAACGCGTACGTACCCCTTCTTCTTCTTCTTCTTTTCGTTGTCCGCAAGCACTATTATTATAATAGTGACCACCGGAAGCGAGCAATTTTGCGGGGCGGCGGCCCGCAACATTGTCCGCAGATACATATTGATAATTGCAGACATGTCGTCGGTTCACGTGACCGTCCTGATGATGGCGTGCGCGTTCGTCACCGTCACTTGGGTCCTCGCGTTCTTCCATTTGTATTTCGTCATCAAGTACGTCTCAAACGAGCGCATTCGAACCGACTTGTACTCTTTGATATTCATGTATCCGGTTTGTGCTGGGGACCATTCAAACCAGTGCCTATTTTTTTCTCTTCAGCTCACCACATTCTGCAATCTCGTCGGCATGTTCATCCCGCGAGCCGCCATTTTTCTCTACGCCGTCGCTCTTGTGTAAGATTTCGAATTTCGCGCCATTAATATTGCTAGTCGGTGTTTGCGAGACCCAACTCATTTTACGCGCTATGCGCCTTTAATCAATTATTGTAAATACTGCACATTTCACAAAATTTATTGCATTTTTTTTAATCGAAAAAGAAAAATTTCAAACAAAAAAAAAAGAACCAATGAGAAACAATTTTTATTTCTCACCGATTTCTCTTTGCTCGATAATTAGGGAAATCGGAGAAAAAATGGGGCGGGGGGGATCGCCGTGGCCTAGAAAAAATGGCCTCAAATACAAGGTTCGGCCACGGCCACACTTGACAATTTAATTACGCGGAACTAAATGAATATCCATATATTGTATGTTTTTTGGATTTCAAATACCAAATATTAAAATGAAAGTTACAAAATGATAGAAATAAAAGAAAATCGCGACTAACCCAATAATTAAAAAAAAAAATTTTTTTTCAGATTTTTTTCTGTTTCAAACTTGTCATTTGTTTTTCCAGCTACTTTATGTTTTGCCTATTCATCATGGTCACATTGCTCTTCAACATATTCGGCGGCCGGTCCGAAATGAGCGCGTTCCTCCTCCAGAAGAACATCAAAATCAAGCTCACGATGCCGCCGTTGTGCTGCTTCAAATTTATTCCGCTCATCGAGAGCACCGAGTAAGCCGCGCTCGGGCGTCAATGCGCACATTTCGTTGTTCAGCATCAATTTGCGTCGAATCGAATGGCTCGTGTTCCAGACGCCGATCATTCGAACGTCGCTTGAGCTCACTTCCGTCGTCGTCTCGATGGAGCAGGAAGGCCGTCGAGAGAGCATGTAAGCGCGTCGGCCAACCCCCCGGATTCACTGATGTTTTGCAGTTGGTTCGTCTTCTCGCAAGTCGGCGGACTCCTCTCGATGCTCATCGCCTTCTACGGCTGCTATGTGATGGTGCCTTTGGGGCGGGTAAGATCCAATTCACGGCATTCCACCATTCAATCGTGTTCAGGAGAAGCACGCTCCATACCGTTTCGATTTCATCTTCCGAACCGCCGACGTCGCCCAGTGCATCTACACGATTCAGAAGTTCCTGTTCGATTTCTCGGCGGCGGTGGGTCTCATCACGTCGGATCGTCTCCTTCCAGCGGCGGCCAAAGCCCAATGTAAGTCCCTCTCCATCTCTCTCTCAATGATTACCATCAAAGGGTGGGCGTCGTTCATGTTCTCATGGGAGATGATGCTGCTCTCGGCGCTCAGCACCTATTGCCTCCGACCGTCGCGGTGCAAGTTCTTCGACAAATTTCCGGGCAATGAAGTGAGCAACGCGCAACCGTCGACCAGCGTCGGCAATTCGATGGAGACGATTGAGAGCGCCTCGTCGCGATCCGCCAAACCCGACGACGTCATCAATCGATTCGACTCAATTTGAGCTCATTTCCAGCCCAATTCCTTCTCATCCAATAATCATTTCATATTATTAGATCATCATATAATCAATTATGTGCCAATATTCGATACTTTGTATTTGATGATTTTACGCCTCTCGCATTTGTTTTGTGATGAAAATTGATTTTGCAAAAAAAGGACCCCCAAATTGATATTCTACTGTGATAACGCGAATTTTTGTGTCAAACAATAAATTATTATTATTATTATTATATTATTCTTTGAGCTAATTCCTAATTTGAATTTGTGTGCCTCCGCTGGAAATCTGAAAATTTCAATCTCGCTCATGGCCAACTTACAATCTCGCTTACGGTACGTTTCTTCCTCGTGAATTACGGGCATCTCTTCAACGAACCATTTCACATTCTGAAAATTGTTGGCGAAAAATGAAAATGTCGCAAAACGCCCATTCAACGAACCTCTCTTGATGCCGAATCTTTCTCGTCGTTCTCCTTCGCCGCCTCCGATTCCCTCGGAGCGCATTCATCCGTCATTTCGATTTGCACACTATCCGAATATTTGCTCTCGACGCTCCTAAACCCAAAACAAATATATATCGGCTCACACTAATAGGGGTCAATTTTTTTAACAGTGATAAAACTATCAGCGGCCTTCCCAACAACCTTCATCGCAAATTCTCTCTCTCTGTGGTTTAGAAGGGACCATCAAGACCAGAGCTGCACGGAACTCAAATATTCTAAAAACGGAACATAAAGTTAATCAAACTCGAATTCTTTAAAATTAACACTGCAGAATGTGAGAATTTCCAAGGACCTTCTTTTTGTCGAACAAATTTCTCCGGTTGATGTGCTAAAAACTCTCTTAAATTCGCTAGACGTGCTAGGTGTTGAGAGAAATCTCAAGCGGGACATGGAATAAGTTGGAACAAATTTTTTTTAACGGAATACGGAAAACGGAACAGGAAAATGTCACGGAAGACGGAAGACAGAATTCCTTGCAGCTCTGATCAAGACTCCAAAAACAATTTTTTTTAATTTCAACGTCGTCATGAAACATCAAAAAACTATACAGATTGTCAAAAGAAACTAGCTCCTTTTTTTTTTAGTTTTTCGAGTTTTCTTCACAAACAATCAAAGTATTGAGTGCATTCTCATTTCGAGATCCTACTTCAGAAATAGCGTGTGCGGACAATTTTCGAACCTTATCCTTTCGCGGACCATCGCCTCCACATCTCGCGGCAGCGCCTCGTCGTTGTCGGCATGGCTCAGATCGGTTTGCGACGTTCGATGATTCAGATCCAGCGCGGCGACGCACACGCTCTGCCGCCGCTCGCGGTCGCGCTTCTCCGGATACATTTTCGCGATCGCGTTCGATATCCGACGACTCTGATCTCGGATGAAGCCTTTCGATTCACCGTGTGGAAGGTAGCGACTGGAAACCGACAATTAAATACAACCAATGTTGACTCTCTTGCGACAACCTCTTCGTTCCGGTGGTGTCGGTGACCGCCGACGATTCGCTGTCGCCGCGCGAGCGTCGCCGAAGCGTCGAGAACAATCCATTATAATCCTGGTCCCTTAAAAATGATGGAATGGATCAAGTGGAGAATTGCCCGTCCCCCAATTACATGGCAATACAGCTTCCTCGCATATGAGAGGTGTCTCGAATCGCCTGCGCCGGCGAATCCATCGTCGCCGGCTGCTCATCCTCCCAGAACGGATCGCGTTTGATCGGCGGCATTCGCCCATAAGCTTGATCTACAACAGCGTAGCCCACCTGGAGATTGCGCTCGATGATCCAATGCGTCTCGAAGTCCTCGTCGTCCTCGCCCAACGGATTCAGCATCACCTCGGAGACTTTCAGCCATCCGATGATGAAAATGATTTGAAGCGACGTCATTATCGGAAAATAGAGGTCGATTTTGTGTTTCGATGGGATGTCGCGCTGCACGTTGAGATACTGGCGTCCGAACAACGCCAAAATGAAATAGGTGCGAACGGCGAGGTTGACGACTTGCGCGTAGACTAATGGGATTGGGACCATGTCGAAAATGACGAGATTCAAGATTTTCGTGCGAAACTCTCGCATTTTCTGCAATTTTCGGCGATGATCATTCGATTTTTCGATGGGAATTGATTACATCGATAAGATCGACATAGAGGAACGAGTCGGAAATGAAACCCTCGTTTTTGGCGGTTGTCACCAACTCGAACAGCCATTGAATCGGTTGCCAATATTTCGATTGAGGTGAGACAATCGCCTCGAACTCGCGGAATTCCTCCTCATTCATTAGTCCTTGAAATTTCAAAAAACAATTTTTTTAATAAAAATCGTCTCACCAGCGCCAACAAGATGGCGAATCGTTGGAAATCGCCGTCGAATCGCCGGCGAGACGTCGCGAAAAACCAACGCCTGCGCGACAATCATATAGCGAACGCAATTGCGTCGAATCAGTCGCGCTCTTTCCGAATCGCCTCGAATGTATTGGGCAATCGTTAGCGCTGAGGTGTCGATCCAGCCGACGTTGTCGAACACCTTCGTCCATCGATTGTAGACGATGGAAACGTAGAATCCGAGCATGAACGTGACCGGAATAAAAACCGAGAACGTGTCGAAGAACATGCAAAGATCCTCGAACGTCCTCAAAATACGATGATTATTATTAATACACTTTTTTTTGGGCAACTCACTCTCTTTGTTGTTTGTTGAGAAGCACTCGATAAATGACGCTGAGAACGGCGTACATGATGAGCCATATAAGGAGCTCGAGCCAAATCGATTTCCAAACGGAGCCCTTCAAAATATTCTTAATTATTTTTTTACAAAAAACTATCAATTAAACCTTCCATCTGATAAGAACTTTGGCCTGTGTGTACAATGAAGAAGTTGCAATGTCTAGTGAATAAGCGACAGTCATTTTTGTGATAAATTGTAGAGCAATGATTCGCAAACGGTGTGCACATTTGCATAATCGTTTCACTTTCACTTGGCCGGAGAAAAAATGAAAAGTACAATCGAAAAAACTGGAAAAAAAAATGCGGCGGAAACAACCATCGGCGAAATGCGGAAGCGAAGTTGTGCAATTCACCGACACGCAATTCTGCACACATTGATTACCGTAATCTGTTGCCTTTCATTATCGCTTCGAATATTAATGTTTTTCGAAATTTAAATATTTCTCAAATTGTTTTTTTTGGCTCATAACACTGAAAACGAGTTGGGTCTTGCGGCGACATGCATATTCTTGTCATAAATTTTCGAGTAAAAATTTTATTTACATCAATAATCATTGATTTCGAGGTTCAATTACAATTCCATTGAAAACCTGTCGGCAAAATCCCAAAAAAAGATATCAATTTAGAGCGTAACATTTTAAAGGAGCATTGCAAAGAAAACTGCCGATAATTATTACACACGAAATCGGCGAGATCGAAAGTTGCGAATTTAAATATGGAGCATTGAAAAAAACCAACTCAGTATTCAAGTGCTCTTTTTGCGTTCTCTCGACTTCTCAACGGGAAACTCGGAGCCGCTCGATGACGATCGTCTCAATTCCTTTCGTCCCGATATCGATTTTTTGCTCGACACCGGCGAATCGGTATCGGTGTGCCCACGCTTCTTCGCTTCTTCCTCTTCAGCGATCACCGGCAAATTGTCAAGGTACCACGATGGGCTTTTCGGCTGAAATCCAACAATATTTCATCGCCAAGAAACGCAACAAACCAAATGCGGCGGAATTTCAAAATTATCCGAAGGCGGCGGCGATACCGCGTGACTCTCCCTTTCCTTTATACCGTCAGCACCATATTTGATGTGGCTCGGACCACTTTTGGAAGGCATATGCTGGAAATCCTCGAGAATACTATTTAAGCAAACCCGATTTTGACGAGAAATAAACCAAAAACCATCTGCGGACAATTGCGTTACCTTAAACATGTCTTCGAGTTGCGTTTGCGGCATCGAATTCCACAATCGGCCGCTATTCGGCGTGCCATGTTTCTCATCATTGAACGACTGATCGAATTGGCTGATCGAATCGTCGCTGTTTTTACGGCGTCTGCAAAAAATAAGAAAACCAACTTGAATGCCGAGGAGTTAAAAAAAATGAGTCTCACGCGGTACTATTGTTTCGATAGCCTCTCTCAAACTCGGCAAACGAATTCTTCTTTCTATAGCGATCACCTGAAATCCGCTCTAATCAATTCAAGCTGCCGATGACTCGTCGATACCAATTCGACTGCCGTTTCGCATTCGTTTGAACATCTCGCTGAGTCGTCGACCGCCATTGGCGAACGAGTTCGAGAACGCCAGCGATTCGCCAGACGCATAGTTGCTGAAACTAATATTCCAATAATTGGTGTCGTTTTTTTTGGTATGTCTTCTATAACACCTTCCATCCTTGATATTCTTGATGCCTTTCACTGGAACAACGTCGCCATCGTCGACGTCGCCGTCCCAATGGGAAACTCTCGACAAAGTCCGCCGACGGGGTCGAAGCATGAATGGTTCTTCTTCAGTGGCCCTTAACACATTGGAATAAATCGCGTTCGAACGGATTAGAATGCTACATTTCCACACAGGACCCGATTTGCGGGTTCAATGGTCTCAACGCGCTCTCAGCCGTATACAGCGGCTCAGGAAGCTCGTCCTCCCAGAAGTTATCCTTCTCGAGATCCGGATATTTGCCATAAGCCGTGTCTACCACAGTCATTCCAACCTTCAAATATTGAAAAATAAAATGAAAAAAAAAACAATGAGGATTACTTGAAGATTTCTGTCGAGTATCCAATTGCACTCAAAATCGTCGTCGTCCTCGCCCAACGGATTCAGAAGCACCTCAGCGACCTTCATCCAACCAATGAAAAACATGAATTGCAGTATCGACATGATCGGCACGTACAGATCGATCTATATCAATTTTCGTTTCTTTTTTTTTTCGAATTTCGTTCAATCATACTGTTTGCTTGCCAATATCTCGTGTCGGCGACAAATACTGTCGTCCGAATAGGGCAATCAAGAAATATGTGCGTACGCCAAGATGGACAACCTGGGTGTAGACGAGTGGCACCGGCACCCAATCATAGAGAGTGAGGTTGAGGACACACACACGAAATTGGCGAAGTTTCTACAAGCAATACACCCATTAAATGAAAGTAAACCTGATGGTCCGTAAAATAGATTTTTCAAATCATTGAGATCCTTAATAGGATGCTCCTAAGGATCCAAAGAAGCTTGCAAGCTCTAATAATATCAATATGCGGTCAATTTTTGGTTTTTTGGGTACATATTGGGTACATCATCTCGTAAATTCTTCTCGATTTTTCCCATACCTCCATCAAATCAACATAGATGATATCACTCGCTATCATTCCTTCGTCTCTCGCCAATTTCACCATTGAGAATAACCAGTGCATCGGATGCCAGTATTTCTGGAAATCGATGAATGAGGAATTCACGAAAAACAACAAAAATTGCTTACCGCGTGTGGACTTGGTATCGAATCGAATTCAATCATCTCCTTTTCGGTCATAAGCCCCGCTGTCACCAGATGATTCATAGTGGGAAATCGCTTTCGGACGCTGGCGGCGACGTCGCGAAACACCATCGCCTGCGTCAGAATGCAATAGCGAATGCAATTTCGGCGGATGCATCGAGCTCGATCCGATGAGCCTTGAATGTACTGCGCAATCCATAAACAAGGCCTAGACGAATATTAAATATTTTTTTCGATTATTAAAAAAAAACTCTCTTACGTATCAATCCATCCGATATTATCGAAAATTTGCCACCATCGAGTGAACACTGCCGACACGTAGAAGCCGAGCATAAATGTGATGGGAATGAATCCCGAATAGGTTTCGAAAAATATGCATATATCCTCGAATACTCTGAAAAAAAAATGGATTTGAATTGAAAACGACGTTACTAAAAATTCTAAAAATGACAAAGTTAATTAATTTCAAGAAATTTGGCCGAATTTAAATAAACAATTAAACTTTTTGGGAAAAAATGGGACTTAATTTCGAAATTCACCAAAGTCCGCAGGTACACCGCACGCACAATTGCACAATTTTCCAGGAATTATAATTTTTCAATAAAATTAATTTCCTATTCGTTTCAGAACGATACACAATTTTTTATTGATGCAAGACCTTGAAATTAACGTTAAAAATCGAATGACGAATGATGAAAATACAAAAAACTCACACTTTTTGCGCATTCGTCAAGCAAGTTCGATAAATGACGCTAAGAATCGCGTAGAGAATGAGCCAAACGAGCAATTCGGCCCATATTGATTTCCAAATCGATCCCTTGAATCGACTTGCATGATATTCCAGAGTATCTCACGTACCTTCCATCGAAAAAGCAGGCGATACAAGCAAAAAAATGAAGATGAAGCGACGTCGAGTGAATAGGTGACGGTCATCTGTGAAAATATTCAAATTTTTGTCGGTGGTGGGGGGGGGGAAGAATGCAAAAAAAAAACAACAACAACACAACAAATTAGATACAGTGTTCGAAATTGTTCTTTGATGGTCTCGCAGCGAACAATCGATTATTAGAAAATCAGTATATGGTCTATTTATCATGGTTTAGCGCAGTCGACAACAAAGTACTTAAATTCTTTTAGGAAATGTCCGCAGATGCTGCATGACAGAAGAAAATGTGGAGTAAGGCGAAACCCGTAAAATGTCCGCAGCAATCGTAAATTTAAAAAAATTTCCAGGTAAGCCAAGTTTCGATTTATGATAATATCAGGCGGTCTTCGTCGTCGCCATATTTATACACTCTCGATCAATAGAAAATTATTTTCTATTTGATTCACGGATTACCTACCTACTGTTTTTGTTGACATTTGGGCTTGTCATCGATCCGGCTTAAATTTTCAGCGGTTTTTTTTTGAAAAAGAAAACACACACAATAAATTTGTTACTATTAATCAATAATACTATTCCATATATTTATACGACCGACGATTGATAATCGATCAAATAAAAAAAGGGAAACGAAAGAGATGATGATGATAGGCGCGCATGAATGAATGCGTATGAATGTACGCAGTTTGGGTTCTTTCTCATACCAAAAGTGCTATTTGCCATGCGGACATTGTTCCGGGTTTCAAAGAATGTTCCATTGATTTCGGTATCAATGCCAAACGCTCGTTGAGCAAACGTGCGAGACCCGGTGAGACGTCCGCAGATCGAATTCAACATATTTTGATTTGCATTTTTGTGTTTGACAAATAATCAGATCAATGAACGAAATCAAGGCCGGCAAAAAATGTTCAATAGAAAATGTGAAGATCAAACGAAGAAATTTGTCCGCAGATGGTTTTCGTCAGGCCCCCCGGGGGGAGGGGGCCAACAAAAAAACCGGCTAATCACGATTTTACTATTTTATTATCAGAGAGGCAATAGGTTAATTTGATATTGATTGCTAATTCCGATTTTAAAGGCGCATGCGAATGAGATCGTTTCTTAAAGAGGGAAATTATCTTCGAAATAACCTTGAATGATTCATTTTTGGAGAATGCCGTCATAGAAGGCGATTTTCCAGAAATGTTTCCAACAAAACCTGCGATTTCCACATTTTTCGGTTCAAAATGTTTAAATAAAAAGTTTCAAAATCAAATGGAAGGTTTTCTGCTTGTTGAATGCCCATAAAAAGAAATCAAACTATCAATTCTTTTCTCTTTTCAATTTTCTCCCACATTTTTCACGCAATATTCCTAAATTCTAGTCATTTTCTAAAAAAAAACCCAAATCAATGAACTATTTGAAATGTCTTTCTTTTATAATATTATTCAAAACTCTTTTCAATCGAAGTTTGGCAGAAAACTCACAATTTGTGTATTTGGATCGTCGAAATCGTGAGAAATCTTGAAAATCGTGTATGGACTTCATGCTAAATTAAGGTGTCGTATGCAATTTTTCGCATTATGTACAATATCGACATTCGCCTGAAATTTGCCATCTTATTTTTATGCCTCAAGATTTGTAAGAAAATAATTTTTTCAAACTTTCAAATTTTCGCGGGGCGTGCGATGGAGCGCACTTGCAAATTTGCAATTTTCGACTTTTTTTTTAAAATTCATTTTTGTAATTTTTGGACAAAAAATTCCACAATTTCGTTGTTTTCAGCGCAATTCTCATAAAAAATCTTGCGAATTATTTTTTTTGCAGCATCCTCGACACTCGCGACTGGAATGAGTACGCGCTGCGTGTCTTCATTTACAAATTGCGCGTGTTGCGCGGCGGCAAGCTCGTCGTCCAAAAATCGGCCCTCACCGAAATCGTGTTCGGCTCATTGCGGAATCTCACGACGACGATCGCCATCGTCGACAATCTCAATCTTCGCTCGATCATTTTTCCGCGAATGAAAGGAAACTGGGAGACGGATTTTCTCGTCAAAAATAATCCGCGCCTTTTGCCTGTTAGTGCCGAAATTTTGCGCCAACACTGCGTCGGTTTATGCGAGATCGATGGAAATGGTGATCAGTTTTATTCATTTATTTATTTTTTTACATTCTTTTCCAGAGATATATTATTTATTCGACGCCAACGATGTCGGGCACACATTGTTCTCCGTCGCCATCATATTTCTACTCTCATTGGGAGGAATCATCGTTTTTTGCTGTGGGCGAGAATAAAAAACTTTTTTTTTTACAAAAATTGAAATTTGCGCGCGCGGTGTAACTACGGACCCTTTCAAATAATTTTGTCTAATTTAAAAAATTTAATATTTATTTTTGTAGAAGTTTTCCCCTCCTTTTAGACGCCTTCTTTTGGGGTTTGATTATATATGGTTTGAATTGCCGCCTTGAAATTGCTAAAAGTAATTTTTGCAATTTCTAACTATTGTTGGCGTCAAACGACTTGACAAAATTAAAAAAAAATATTGGCTATGTGCCAGTGCGTCTCAAGAAGTACATAAGACTGCGTACATTGCATTATAGTGTACGCGCATTTAATATTCAGTCAACGATAATTTTAAATCTACACTGGTTTCACGAATTTGAAGGCTCCGCCTCTCTTCAGTCGTTTGACGCCGACAATATCATAATATAAAAAATCACAATTTTTATGCGTTTATGACTGCGTAATTCAAAAATTTCAGTTTCTTCCGAACAGATTCGACTAAAACAGAACTTCATTCTTGGAAAAATTTGAAAATGCTTAATCAGAAAATAAAAGAGATATCCTTTTTAAGACGCTGCTTCAAAACTTTGAGAAAAATGCGGCCACCACCAATTCGCACTGTTCGAAATTGCGTCGAACGAGAATCCACAAGGTGCGGGGGGGCGCCCTCCGCGCGTCGCACACTCCCTCGCCCCGCCGCGCATCCGTATCTCCTAGGGCGGGCTGCGGTGGTGGCCGGCGGCTCTTCTATATAAAGACGCGACGCGGTGCTTACGCAGTCCGCATTCCCCTCATCCAATAGTTCCCATTCACTCTCCATATTTCTCGTTTGCAGAAGACCGGAAAATGGAGACATCGGAGCACAAGGAGCTCCGTCGCGTCGCGTTCTTCGCCATCGTCGTCTCGACGGTCGCCGTCATCGCCGCCGTTGTGACGCTGCCGATGCTCTACTCGTACGTCGCCAACTTCCAGTCGCATCTCATCATCGAGACCGACTTCTGCAAGGTAGGCCGCTTCTTCTTCTTCTTGTTTCATCGTCATGATTCGATTCAGACTCGCGCTAGAGACATGTGGGCCGAGATCCATCACATCGACGCGCCGCAATTCCAGCGCGCCAAGCGTCAGTACGGCTCGTCGCCGACACCGGCCGCCTATAATCCACCGGCGCCGGCTGGATACGGTTCGCCGGTCACCAATTCCGAGCCAGCGCCGACATGCTGCTCTTGCCAGCAGGGACCAGCCGGACCACCGGGACCACCGGGCGACGATGGTGTCGCCGGGCAGGACGGCAATCGCGGAAACGACGGAACCGATGGAAAGGACGGAAGCCTTCTCGAGTCGGCCATCGTCAACGAGCCATGCATCATCTGCCCGCCGGGACCGCCGGGACCACAGGGAATGGCCGGTGCCAAGGGACCACAAGGGCCGAAGGGACCCAACGGCGAGAATGGACACGATGGAAAGCCGGGAGCCGATGGAATGCAGGGACCACCGGGAATGATGGGACAGCCGGGACGACAAGGTGTCAGCGGGCCGAAGGGAGCGCCGGGACGCGTGAATCAAGTCAACGGACCACCAGGACCAGCCGGACACAAGGGCATCCGCGGACCGCCGGGACCACGAGGAGAGGCTGGATTGGACGGCAGCAATTCGGAAGGACCGCAGGGACCACAAGGAGACGCCGGACGGCCAGGACCACGCGGAAACCAGGGACCACCGGGACCAGAGGTAATTTGAGAGTCGCGCGTTGGCGGAATTGCAACGTTGATTTTAGGGACCACAAGGGCCACCAGGAGACGAGGGAGGCTGCGAACACTGCCCGATTCCAAGAACCCCGCCAGGCTATTAGAGGAACGCCAAACATTTTTCCGAAAAATACACTTCGCCCAATCATGGGTGTCTCTATTGTCAATAAATCCATTCTCAATCCTATATTTCGTTTTGTTCTTCTTCTTCTTGTGTCAAAAGCATTCCAAACGCGAGAAATCCCGGAAAACTGGATAAGACGGCTGCGGCGATGAATAAAAAAAACTTGATAACGAGTTGATTGCGCTAGTATCCGATCCGATCCGATCCGCCGGGAAAGATAGGCGCGCGCGCGCGCGCGTTGATCGTTAGAAAAACTGGGAAACGCGTTCCGGATGGCGCCAATTTCGAAATGGGATGATGGAATCCGCAAATCGGACGTTGGATTCTAAAAAACGTCGTGTCACCAGAAATGCGTCAGTGTCGCGCGCATGGCGCGTTTTGTGTGCACAAGCCGCGAGCTCAAAATTTGCAAATTTTCGCGTTTTCTACTAACTCTTACTTGAATTTCTACCAATGGTAAAGCTTCTCGAAGAGCAAAAAATTGCACTAATCAAGCAGGAGCGGGAACGGCGTCGATTGGCACGATTGAAGCAGGTAAAATCAAATGTTTCGTTTCCTTTTTTTCTACATTTTTTTTCAAACCCAAGGTTCGACAGCAGGCTTTAGACCAGGCGAAAGCAATTCGAGAAAGTGTTAGTCAGAAGAAAAGAGAAGTTATTGAAGATATAAAGTGAGACACAAAGAAAAATCAATTTTTATTTGAAATATTTTGAAAATTGAATTTAGGCTAGAATTACATATGGAAATCGAAGAAGCCGTTGAGGAAATTGCCAAAAAAGGTCCGGTTATTAGCGCACGATCATTGCCGAGGCGATCAAAATCAAAAAATACGCCTGTATGGTATTTTTAATTTTAAAAAATGATTTTATTCTGCTTGGCAAAATTTCAAAATTTTAATTTTTTCTTGAAATCCCTTCTATTTTTGCCTTCAAATTGTTAAATTCGAAGATATTTTGTGCGAATTATTGTTGTTTAATATTTGAATTTGCTTAAAAGAATTCTGAAATTCTTCCAGATAAGTCGATTTAATTTTGAACCTTATGTGTATCTATTCTGCGTGTGAAAAAAGATTTAAAAAAAAAGTAAAATTCTCAATTAGCTCGAAATTTTTCCATTGGACCATGAAGCAAATGGCATAAATATTTTTTTTCAACGACAAAGAAGCCTTAAAATAATTTATCAAATAACTATGGTTATCAGAAATAGGGTGTTAGAAAAATTACCCAAAAATTTTTAATTTGGTCTGAGAAATCTATAAATTATCAATTTAAGTAACCTACTCAACTTTCAGACGCGACATTCTCGCCGCCGCCCGATGACGGAAGAAGATTGTCGAAAGGCAAAAGCACGAAATGAGAGCGCAATTTCGCGATTGCGCGAGCAGCGACGAAAAGAGAAAATGGAGAAGGAGGAGAAGGTACGACGAAGGAAAGAAGCCGAGCGAGTCGCTAATCAATTTCTTAAGCAATCCGCTTTATAAATGTTTAACAAAAATCTCTTTATGATTGTCAAAAAATGAAAGAATCGAGATCAACAAAAGAAGGATGGAGAAAAAAAGGAAAAAGCATTACATACACGAAATGTGTCGAATCAGGCGCATATATTAACTCCTAACTAGACTATATGCAAGTCGTGAGGATCATTTCAAACAATGTGCACTTTTGAAGTCGCCGGGGAAAAGCTGGGCCTCTTAATTTTCGCAGGTGTACCGATTCCGACTGCCGTAGTTGATGCGACGCGGAGGCCGCTCGCAAACGTCGAACGTCAGTTTGAGGCACGAGATTTCGTTTTCATAAAGCAGCCATGGCAAATAGTCATCTCTGAAAGTTGGCCATTTTTCGAATATTTCCCAATGAGACCGCAAAAATGCCATACTTGTGCCATAAATTTTTTCGATATTCGATGTACCATTGACTGAATTTGTCAAATTGCCCATTATTCACGTCCCACGTTCTTCGGCGTTCCTCGAGTTCTCTGAAAATCGCAATGTTTCCTTTTTTGTTTGATTCAAATACAAATTTTCGCCTACTTTGCCACAGTATCCTCGATTTGCATTTCTTTTAATTGTCGCTTTCTCAAAACCGCTCCAGTTGCATTGAATGCTAGACGAATTTTTGCAATCACCGATCCCTAGAATTGGCGAGATTTGCAGAAAACAAATTAACAAAAAAAAAACACGATGCTCACGTATCCAACTTGCTGGAGACTTGACAACGCCCCTTTGTAGTCTTCGCGGTCGCCTTGCAGGAAATCCATTTCACAATCGCCATCAGCATCGAAGGCTTCCCAATCGTTGAAGCAAAACTCCTGGAAACACATATTTGTTTGGGGAAATCTTTTTCGTAATCAAACAAACCTTTCTAAACGTATAAAATCCGGGTTTCTGTGGGCAGTTGAGCCCGCGCAATTGCGATGCCAACGTGTTCGGCGCGCCATTTCTATGCTCCAAATCGGTTAGTGATTCGCAAACGTCGCAAAAATAACTGTAATATAATTTTTTTTAATTTTTTGAAATTAAAAATTTCTATTAAACGCAAAAATAATCAATTTAAAAGTAAAAAAAGAGTAGGCAAAAATTATTATTCGAAAAAGGTTACTGTCGCAATTCTCACCGAGACCACAATCAAAATACCAATGCGCCTTTAACACTACAGTACCCAAATATAATTAATTTTTTTTTCGCCGCTCACCAATTATTTCCATATCCACCGCAGCCATTATTGCTCGCATTTTGACACTTCATATTCGAAAAATCTTTGACATTCCACCACTGGTACTCAGCTTTTGCGAAAAAGCTGTTATCGATCGCCTCCGGAAAATTTTTCACCTTGACATTTTTGATTTCCAATGTGAAACAACCCGGAAATCGGACGACTTCGGGTTTGATGTGAACTTGGCTCGGATTGATGTCGAGAATTCGTTTTGCGCCGGGTCGCGCTGAAAATTTAAAATAGAAAGAAAATCTTTTTTTTCTCCTCCGAAATCTTCTCAATAAGAGCGATTCGCGATTTTTTGTCTTTTTTTTAGAATAATAAAAAAAATGAAAAAATCGTACTACAACTTGCATCCGCTCTTCCGGGCACCAACCAAACGTCCTGATAATTGCACTTGTGGTTTAATCGCCGTCTGGCGTCCGTTTGCCGAACACCGCTTCTAGAATTTATCATTGGTTTTTTTTTCGGGTCCATGATCGACAAGTGTCACGCGATTTACCGATATCTCGCTCTACACGCCGGATCGAGAATGTCGCAGTCGAGTTGGCAAGTCGAGAATGTGACGAAAGTCAAAAGAATCGCAGCTCGCCGCATTCTCCAAATAATTATTTTCATCTGCGGACAATTTACGGGATAACGAATCTCACGAAATATTGAGGAATTCGCTTCAAATTTGCGCGGAAATAATCGAAATTAACAATTTTACATAAATCTTGAGAAAAAAATGTATTAAAAGAGGCACGCGACGCGAACCGCAACGCGCTTGACAGCATAGGTCTCGCGGCGATTTTTTTCAGAAAAAAATCAATTTTCAATTCAAATAGTTAGCTATATAGCTAGTTATATAATTTGACTAATTTTTCAGCTATCGATCTGAAAATCAATACACTTTTGCCGTTTTAAGCGATGAATTCAATTTTGAAAAAAAATTGACAATCAACAAAGTTCTAGTTCGAAATTGGCTGAAAATTAAAGGAAAAATTAGCACTCAAAGACTTCCGTGTGTGCATGAAAGAATTTCAAAAAAAAAAAGAACGAGAGAAGCGAGAATTGAGTCGAAGGTCAACAATTTTTGTGTGAATGTCGGCGCGTCCTTGACGGCGCCAATTTGAACTTGATAATCTCACAATTCTGTGCGTTTGTTGTTGCCAATTAATAGCCACGTGTCTCTTCTAGAAAAGTGAACACCTCAAACAAGGCCAACCATTTATAGACATGTGGTTGAGAGAAAGAGGCGAATGTGATGATGGTGATGTACAACGAAACAACAAAACGAATCGTTCTTATTCTAAAGACGTCGGTTACACAATTCTTCACGCAATAAGAAAATGTGGCAGACGCGACGAAACAAATTCAATTCCATCTGCCGACGTTTCACGGGACTCGCCGAGGAGAACACATGCACGAATTGGGGAGCGCCGCTTTTTATTTTGAAGTTCCTTTATTCAATCCCACCTGCCGACATATTACGGGCCGGGGCCCGCCAACTGTCCGCAGCAGTGATTCAACAAATCAACAGCAATTGCGTGGGGGAGAGGGCGAAAAAAAAAGATGCGCGCGGGCGCTGCCATCGAAAATCTTGATTTCGTCCGACGCGACGAATGGCATCGCGAAACGCACAACGACGATTTCGAGAGGGCGGATCGAGTCAAAAAGACTGGATTTGGACGACGTCAAATAAAAAAAAATGCGCTGCCAATTATTCATTCAATCGAAACAGATACACACAAATACTCGCCCCAACAAATATCAAACATAGAAGCGTGTGGAACAAAATTTTGCGGGGAAAAAAAACAACAATAACAGTGTACAAGAAAAAAAATGAAATGATGAAAAGAAGAAGAAGAAAAAATTAGTCGCTTACCCCTAGTAGGTGTTAAACTTGCGCGAATCGGCAAAAAATCAAACACACAAAGAGAGAGAGAGAGAGAGAGAGAGAGAGAGAGAAAATTTTTTGTGTTGCAGCTGATGGCGAAAGGCGAAACAAAACACGTTTCAGACGCAAAATAATGTCGGCGTTGTGGAGATTTGGAGAAATACATCAAATTAATTGGAGAATCGAACACACATACAAAATACATTCGGTGGTGGGAGAGGAAGGGGGGGGGAGGGCATCATCATCATCATCATCATCGCATCGGGGGGTGGGGGGCAACAATCAATTATCGACATCCATTGATTTGTCGATTTGACTTTGATGACCGTGCTTTTTGTTGTACTGATCGATGAATTGTTGAGAATTCGCGTAATGCTCGTGGCCTTTTAGATAGCTGAAAATTGATGCGGGGTTTTTGTTTTCAATTTTCAAAAAATGCCATCAATCAAGACGGGTCAATCATGATTTTCAGCAATTTCTAGAATTTTTCTATCATTTTTTGCAAAGAAATCAAGACTCGCCGAAAAAAAGCTGTCAGAAGCTCAGCGGCATCAAGCGCTCTTTTGGACAACTCAAAAATCCAGCGATTTTCCGATCATAAGTTCAAACAATTCTCGTCGTTCCTAGATTTTCTAATATCAACTCTCGGGACCCCCCAAAAAATGTTCGATATTTCGATTTTTCAGTTCATTGCTCAAACGAATCGGCTCTCAATGCCGTCAGACGCGTTGCGGCTCGCGTGCGGTCGCTTAACTCAATTTTTTGATCTCGATTCCCGTCTTCCCCCGTCTTGTTAGATATCATGAAAGAAAAAAAAAGAGCACGCGACGCGAACCGCAACGCGCAGCCGATTCTGATAGTAAGAAACGCCAAAAATTTGAGGAAAACGTCATTCGACAAACGGAAAAAAAAATAAATCTTAGAAAAGTGGTCTCATGCGTTTTTTCTTTGCGCGTCACCCAAAAAAAATGTGTTCGAATGTTTCATTTTGTTACCGTATCCCTCGATAAACTTCAAAATTCAAACTATTTTGAAGGCAATCGACCAGTTTTTTTTCAATTGGCCGAGAAATATAACGATTTTTTCTCAAGCAAAAAATGAAGCGCAAAAAAACGAAAAGAAAAGAAAGACGCACTGCTCGGCAACTGGAATGTTGAGAATCTCCGGCATCATCCACGGTTTGAGCCAACCAACCAACGGACTTTGTCCCGCTTCATAGATCACTGAATTGTGGTAAAACATCAAACCATCGACCTTATAGCTGAAAATGGAACGCAATGAGTGAAATCTGAGAATTTTAGCTAGAAAAAAAAGAAGAAGAGGAAAACTTACTTAAAAGTCTGCTTCATCTTCTCCGTCATCGCTGCTGGAGTAGCCGGGCATTTGTCCGCAGCAACATATCGATATCTAAATTCCATTTTCAACAAGGCGCAAACTCATTGTCCCCATGCGCCTTTAATCACAATTTTATTTTCATTTTAATTTTTCATTAGAAAATTTTCAATATTCGAATATCAGTTATTATATTTGGCAAAAACGGAAATTTTGACAGTTCGCATAATATTAAAGGCGCACACATCAACCAGATCTGATTTTTTTAGACTATATATAAAATTATATTCGCACTTTAAAAAATTAAAATGAAATGACATAAATCGTACAAAAAATACTCTACCGTCTCTTCGCGAAAAAAAAGAACAAAAAAAAAAGATTTGCGACGGTTTTCGGGACCATCGAAAATTTTCTCCAAATAATTCGCATACCTCTGCTTTTTCGACGTCTGCCCGAGTTCGGGCGTTTCCTGAATTTTCGAGTCGAGCATGAACATTCGAAAATCGAACGGACACTCGTTGTATTCTCGGCCGTCCCACGACAGTATGTCGATGACGTAGAACGTGTTGTCGCCAAAAATGCAATCGAGAACCGTGTGCGAGTCTGGAAAAACGACACCAAAACGCGATTAGGTATTGACGAGCGAGTTTGTCACAAAACTACACTTGTTGCGCCCATAGCCGCCGGGTAGGTACGAGTTGAATTGCATCACGTTTCGTCCCGATTTGTTGTACGCATTGGTGAGACCCTGCAAACACCATTTCACAAACTATTTGGCGAGAGTGATCACACTTTTGTGGCCACCACGAGGCAACGCCTTCCGATCGGCGCAACGACCATCGTCCATTGTTCGGACAGCTGATCGGGAATGTCGACGAGCCATTCGCTGAGCATTAGCTGATCGGCATACCTACAAATGCGACCATCAAAAAACGATTGTCGCCTAAAACACACTTATTCCTCATTTTCAACCGCTTCTCTTCTTTCGGCTCATTCACCTCGACAGCCTCCTCCTCCAGCTCCTCATCATCCTCATCTGTCGTCTCATCGCCAACCAGATTTCGAAGCTTCATCAACTTCAAATATCGTCCTTCTTTCTGCCTATCGAGAGCATCTTGTCGCCGTTTCGCCTGAAGCTCGGCCGCTTTCGCCAAATTCTTGTACTGACTGTATCGAGGGTGTTCGCCTGCAAAAATGGCCGCACATTTTTTCTTCTTCTTCATACAGTATCAAAATTTTTTTCCGCATAGCTGAAATCTGTGTGAATCAGCGCCGCTATTTACCACAATTTTTAATTGGCTAATTTTCAATTTGGTGGATTCCAAACAAAAAAAAAGATCGCCTACCCAATGCGTCCGGATCGACTTGGAATCCTTCTCGAAGCTGACCAACTAACGAATCGATTCCGTCGGCCATTCTGAATCATAATTTCCATTTTAGACACAATTTGAAAAAAATCAAAAGTTGAGATAAATATGGGCGGCTCAAAAACCCACTAAAACCACAAATTTCAACAATTTAATAACATTAATATATATATTTCTTAAATCAACAACAACAACTATAACAACAATAATGGAATTATGTAGATTTTCGAAAAAAAAAAATACAATACTTTCTGAACATCGCGGAAAATCACAAATTTCGAATAGTTTTTTGTAAATTTCCCTCAAAAATCTGCATATTAACCATAACAACAAGAATTTAACAAATTCATGATTTGATTAATTGAACATCTGCAACAATTCCTTGACCCATAATTCGAATATCTTCCATTATCTCCTCCTTGTTCAACGTCAGAATCGCGTCCGACACCGATTTGTGAAGAAGGCATTTCGCAATCTACAACCAACCATAATCATTATCTCGTCGGGACCCAATTGTCGAATACCTTTGCCGGCACCTGCTCCTCATGCGGCTTGAACTTCACACCAATCGACTCGCCGCCATATTTATTATAAAAGAACATTGCCACCTGAAATTAGTTGTTCAATGGACCATCTAAAAAAAAACCACACCTGATGGAAATTATTGTTCAATTGATAGACGAGCTCATCGATCGGATCCAATTCAACGACCGGAATCGTTTTCGCTTTCGCATTCCTCTTGAACGACGTCGATTTTCGCACAACCGCGTCCGAATTCAGATTGATGATGGCGTCGTACGGCGAGTAGTCCGACTTGAGAAGACTTTCCTAAAGAAACAAGGAATCGTCACAATTCTAGACTTTGCCAATTCAACCTGAAAATCAACCAGCTTCTCTCCGGTGATGTGCCGTTCGAGGATCTTCGACGCCTCGCCGGCGAATCCGATGAGCCTCTTGAGCACAATTCCACTCGGATTCTCTCGTGTGAACCTGAAAACAAAAATGCGACAAATTCGAAAACAACGCCGCTCTCAAAATCGCGCCCCCACTTGCTGCCGACGGGATCCTCGTCGGTGATCACGACCATCGGCGGTAGAATCGGCCGCATTTTGACGAAATTCTCCTCGAGTCTCGCTCGCTCATCGTCCGTCCAGCTTTTGCCCATGTCGACAATCAATGGACGAGTAAGCCAATTATGGGTGGCGATCAAGTCGAGTGTTCTTGCGAACGCAGTCCAAGATGATCTGTGCAGGTGAAACGAATCGAATAACGCATTTCAATTAGTCGAATTCCTACTGTGGCTCAATGAATCCCTTCTTCGTCACCGCAGCAACGACAAGAAGCTCCAGAATGATGTCATCGATGTGTCCCGACAAAAGTAGCGACCCAATCCATCTACAATAAGCCCCAGTTGGTCAGAAGGATTTCCCCATCGAGTGTCACCTTTTAAGAATCTGAACGGCGTCGGAGAAGAATCGATGGCTCGTTGCGAAGGTTTGCAACGACAATTGAAGAAAAGGCTCGGTGATGAATCTAAGAATATTCGTGAGAATCAAATCAAAACCATTCAAACAAATTTCGCACTTCTTTTTCCACGCGGCAAGCCGCATTCCTTCAACAGAGCTCTCAATTCGACTCGCTCCCGCGTTTTTAAGCTTCTCAACCGCTTCTTGAAGCACATTCTGCATTTTCTCATTGACAACGACGAGCTTGAACACAATTCCATCCTGAAATCTCGCAAAATCAGCTAATTCCAGAAAAATCCAACGTCGGATCGTTTCAAAAATGAAAAACCTGCAAAACGAATAGCTGATCGATGGTGGCGACCGCCACCAAATCGCGACGCCTCAACTTCTCGGCCATTTTGACATAAAACGACGAGGTGAGCCGGCGAATCGACTCCACCTCATTGCCCCAACGTCCCGAATATTCGAGCTTGATGTGCACCGTCAAGGCGGGTGTGAACGGCCGAATTCGATCGTCGATCGGCACCTCGTTCCTGCCGTTGTTCGTCGCGCTGAACGCCGCGTAGACCGACGGCATCAGCGGCTGAAATCGGATGAAGGCTCTAAGATTCTAGTAGATGTCGCACGATTACCTCAGTTCCCCGAATATACGGACTGATTCCGTGCACATTGGTGATCGTCAACGGCAATCCTTTTAGCGATCTCAATGTGGCGCTCAAATTCGCAAACGCTTTCGTCACCGCGCTCTGCTCCTGCTCATCGCTCTTGAGCCCATCCATTTTCCTCCACGAGATCGAGCTTCCTTGAATCTCAATAATCCTAGAAAAACAATCCAATGAATCTCTCAAACAAGAGAAATCGCGTAAAATTTGATTTTGTGCCAAAAAATATTTTTTTTTATTTTAAAAAATTTGAAGAATAACTTGACGAAATCCTTTTAGTGAAAAAAAAATGTGCATATTAGACTTTTTTTTGAATTTTCCGAGGTCGGAATTCCGTGAAGATCGAGAAAATTTCAAATAAAAGTCAAAAATTGTAATTTTTTCTCAGAATTCTTCAAAAAGCACTCACTTTTGCGTGATAAACGACAGAATCCGATGGGGAATGTCGTCATTGGCGCTCAACGACCACACGACGCATTCGCACACTCGACTATCGGCAAACTTTCGAAGCTCGCTGACGTTTTTCCAAAGCGCACGAAACTCGCGAGCCGTCTCGTCTTGCGCCACCGGCCCGATTGTGATCGGATTCGACCAGGCGCTCGTCGAGCGAAATCCGAGCACAAATTTGAATTCTTTCACATCGCCGAAATACTTGTCGACGCTCCACTGAATTTCGACAAAATTGGTCATGAGAATGTGAAAAAAAACCACAATCACCTCGGTGTCGAGACCACGAATGCATTCCATGGTGAAATACTCGAATCTCTCCGACATGGTCTTCTCGATCAGCTGAAAATTTGGCCAGATTTCAATGGGAATTCATTAGCCAGCCAACTTTTTTGAACATCCCAACATAATTGCGCACGATGTCGTTATTATCGGCCGCGTCGGTGCCGATTCGCGCTTCGGCTTTCCTTATTTGGGCGGCGTTGAGCGTGAGCGACGCGTAATGATCGAAATTCGCGTGAATTGGCGTCGATTCGATGAAGAAATTGTCGAATGTGTAAACGTCTCCCAAATTTGGAAGGCAGCTCGCCAATTCCATTTTCAGCTGAAACAAATTTCAGTTTCACAAACGCATTTTTTTTGGCGATTTTTGTGCAAAATTCTACCCGAATGATTTCATTTTTGCCAATTTCGTGGGCGCAATTCCAGAAATTCTGAATAAGTGAGACCTCGAACGCCTTCTTGTAGCCATCTTCGATCTCATCTTCCATTGAATCACCAACCTCCACATAATCCACATTTTCCGTCTCCCATTGTACTGAAATTGATTTTTTATCTTGAAATTCTCAAGCTCATTGAGCTGAAGAGCAGCCTACTCAAATCTTTGACGACAATCCTGAGGACGGTGAGAATTTCTTGTTTATCAGTGATCAATCCTTGATTCAAAAGCCTCAAAAATCGCATCGGGACCACAATATTTGCCAATTCCGTCAATCTTCTATTATGGAGAAGTTTGCAAATCAGTTTTAATGCGATTCGCGCATCTTTGGCACTCTGCAATTTCCATTTATTCGTCGAATTTCGAAAACAAAAAAATACGAACTTTCAGCTTTTCCTCAAGATTTTGCCGAAATTTCGGCTCCTCGATGGTTTGAAGGAATCGCTGATTGAATATCGGCGTCGCACATTCATCTAGACATTAATGGTTTGAAGGAAACAAAAAAAAGGGTTACTTGATTTGTCGAACGCTTTAAAAACGGTCGATGGCCTCAAATTGCCAATCGTCGGAATGAATCGTTTGTTTTTGGCGATGGCGGTGTTGAAAAATGCGAATATCACATCGCCATCTTGAGAATTCACTTTTAAATTCGGATACAACGCGTTATTATTCTCAATGACGAACGTCAACGTCTGAAAATCAACAATATTCTCGGAATTGTGTGCAATTCTTAACAGACTTCATCAATTGTCAAAAAAAACTAGGTTCATCTTTGCAAATCAAACTAAACTCACTTGAATTTCGGAAAATTTCAGCGCGCAAAACAAATTGGCAATGGCGCATGCGTAGTGGGCGCGTTTCGCCGCGTAGGTGAGATTGAGATAGTCCCGATTGCCGAACAAAGCGTCCGGAATTTCGACGAAAACTCGAATATTGTTTGAAATCGTCGATTCCGCCACGATTTTTGTCTAAAATTTCAAAAAAAAAATCAATTTTTCTCCCCAAATCCTTCCAACCGCTTTCGGTTTTTTCCATTCAAATTTATCAACACTCGATGTTGTGTTTTTGATGGCCGACGGGCATCTTTCCAACGGATATTTCACATTTTTTATCGTCCAATAGTCCGTGTCGCGATACTTCAATCAATGTTAAATTTTGTTTTTGATAAAAATTGCAAAAACCAAATCTCACATTAAAATTGTGCTTCATTTTCGCGGCGTCAATCGCTTTCACCAACTTTTTCGCCAAAATCATCGTCTTTTTCTCTTTTTCAATATCCGATGCAGATTGTGCGCACAAATCTTCGCACTAAAAAAAACAAAATTCAATTTTAGGAAATTTCGAATAAAATTCAATTTTTCACTTACCAGAAGACGATACGCATTCGACATGGGTGTCTCATTGGCGGAATTCTCTAAAATATCTTCTGTATCCACCATATTTACCTAAAATTAGAATTGTTGAAAAAAATTCAAGAAAAATACGAAACAATTATTCTCAAAAACACTGATGCCAAAATTACGATAAACCGTGGGCACACGTTCAAGCGTAGTGTCGTTACTCATTTATTTTTTCTTATTTGGCCATTTAAAATTCAATTTGTTTCTTTTTATTAAAACTCGCACAAGCCAAAATGTGAATTAATTCAATACCCATCAAAAGAATACATCAGAATCAATAATAAATAATTAAATCGATATGATACATGGAAAAGAAGTGCACCGAATGGAAATTTACAAATAAATACTGCGAAACAAGCATTTTGTTTGAAGGATATTTTTGATCAAAGAGCATCACACAAGAAGGAAAAGTAAAAAAAAGAAGAGAAAAAATGGTTTAAATTCGTGCGAAATAAGAAAAAAAATTCCTGAATTTCGAATGGAAAACAATCGCTACAACTTTTCGACTAAAATTCTCTCACATCATTTTTTTTTCATCAGAAATTTGAAAAACAAAAACGTTATAATAATGAAAACACGAAGAACCACCCGAAATAATTACACCAAGAAATAGTGGGGAAACGAAATGAAAGAAATTATGGATTTTCAGCGATTCCAGACATCAACAGTGCGGCGAAGTGTCGGCACCGGATAATAATCTCGCCGTGTCGGACGATTGCCGCGAATGTGTCGGCGATCTGCAAATTCACTCACTTTTTTTGGAATTTTGTCTAGAAATCAACTAAAACCCTACTAAAAATTATAATTTTTGATGATTTTCTCAACAACAAAAAAAATGGTTACCTTCGAAAATATTTGCTCGGCGCCGGCGTTTGCGGAAGTGTTGAGTTGATAAGAAGCGCAAAAAGGACCATCATCGCACCGATAAGAAATGGTGGTCCCGGAATGAATTGCCAATCAAACGCGGCTCGTTCCACCTATAAATGATCATATCAGATTAGCCCAGTGAAAATCTTAAAAAAAAACAATTACCCATGTCGACTCATTCCTGCTCGGCGCCAGAATCTTCTCAGTGGCCCGTCGGCCGGTCATGATGGCCGGCAGTGGAGCGACGAGATGTCCAGCTCCACCCGCCTTCTCATCTTCCAGGTCCACATCGAATAGATAGAAGACGAAGCCGAACAGCGCGGGTCCGAAGCCGGTGCATAGTCCGCGGATGCCGGTGATCACACCCTGCACGGTGCCCTGTTTGTCTTTGTCGGACAGAATCGAGACGAACGCCGAAATCGACGGATAGGTGATGCTGCTCATCGCGGCGAGCACACCGGCCGACCACATCATCCAATACCTAGGCGAAATGTGTAAACGGTTAAGGGGGGGGGGGGTCTCGAAGCGATTTAAACAACAACAACAACAGCAAAAATGACTTACTGTGCTCCGAGGCCGTACCACGTGAGCTGGACCAGCTGGAAGAGGAGCCCTAGTGTGATTGTGTGCTTCGTGCCAAACTTATTGGTGAGCAAGAGCAGAAGACCCGTCTGAGCGACGACGGACAAAATTCCGACGAGGCCGATGTACATGGCAACCGCTTCCGGTGAGAAGCCGACGACCTAGAGAGTGAGAGAATGTGAAATTCATTCGAATTTGAATTTTTTTTTACCAATTTCAAATAGACGAAAAAACATGAAAATTGTCCGGACTCCGGCAAATATGAGAGGAACACGATGGTGGCGAGCTGAAGGACAAGCTTATCCTCCCAGACGATTCGCAACGAGCCGAATGGATCGGCCGATTGCCAATTGAACACTTCTTGCGAGAGGATCGGAGCGGCGCCGGCGCTTCGTCGCGATGGAAGCGACTCGGGCACGAATATCACAATGAATAGGACATCAGCGATTGAGACGATAGTGGCCTTCAAAACGAAATTATAGCAACAACAAAAAAAAAGTGAAGAATTGGAATTTACCAATAGGACGACCATACTGTCGCCGTACGTTTCGGAGATGTAGGCTCCGAGAGCCGGTGACGTGACCAGAGAAGCGGCAAACGTGGCCGACACCAATCCATACGCCGATGAGCGCTCCTGAATTGCGGGACGGAATATTGGCAAGGAAAATGGAGAGGAAAAACCTGTTTCTCGGTGATATCGGCAACATAGGCAAGAATTACGCTGAACGTGACCGAGAATAGGCCGCTGAGGCTGAACAACGAGAAGTACCACCACGGGCTGATTTTGAGGCACGGAATCGGCATGCACGTGCACAAGACGGTCAGAATTAGAAACGATTTTCGACCCCACACGTCGGAAAGCGCGCCGACAAGCGGGGCGGAGAGGAACGAGAGGAGACCCTGAAATGAGTGGTCTCCGTGAATTGAAAATTGCGAAAATCAATCGAACCTTTACTCCCAGCACGAGGCCGTTCATCAAAAACTTGTTTGTTGGAAATGTTTCAGCGAGAACCTGGAAAAATTGATTCCAAAATGCATCGAATTGAATTTGGGCCTACATTTATCACTGGCACTGTTAATAATCCCCATGCGAAATATTCGAGAAATATGACGATGAGCGCGTGCGACACAGACGCGTCCGTATATGGATGTCCTTTCTCCGCTTTTGCCTTCTTTTTCCCAAAAACTAGCGACATTATTGAGCGGCTTTTTCTCAGCATACTATGCTAAATTGTATAGATTTATTATTGATTTTGTATTTTATTTTCTTAATAACCTCAAGCTTTGTGATAAGTATACGAGTATTTGGAGATAATCTATCGGATGGGTTCACCTGCAAAAAATTATACTACTTATTCAGACAATATTTACTTTAAAAATAACCTTTGGTACGTTTAATTTTGCCGATTGACTGTTGGTTCGAGGTGAAGCCTGATTTGTCATCACATCAATAAAGCATAACGAGTTTGAGAGGTTCCTGAAACCGAAAAAAAAACATTGAAACGCGAAAAATGAAAAAAAGACGCGCGAATAAAAAAAATGTCGGCGGAAAGAGACGACAGAGAGGCCAATAAAATCAATAAAACCGGACGAACCCCGGTGAGTTTCGTGTTTTATTTGCTTATCCATTTTCTTAACTTTGAAATTTGCGTTTTTCGTCAGTTTTTTGTTACTCCAAAAAAAGAAATAACAATGCGAAAAAAAATCAAAGTGTCTTACTCATACGGACCATCTTGTGATAACGCAAATGTGTCATTTTTATTCGGGACTAACGTTTTGACGGCCACCTCACGCCGGTCATGTGTATTGATTTCGAAATGAGCGCATTGCAACAACATAAAAATATGAAAAAATGAAATAAAGGATGAGAACGCGATTAATATTATAATAGGCTTTGTTTTTAACAGAAATTTTTGAAAAAAAAAAAGATTTTTGGAAAAATTAATTTCGTACAGTATGCTTTTTATTAAAGGCACATATATTACAGGTTTTGAAATATCTTATTGCGATTTTGGTACTGTAATAAAAAAATTATTTTCGCGATGAATTTTTCAATTTTCTTTCTGTTCTTTTTCATTTTTTCTTTGGAAGTTGTGTTTGATGCAAAGAAAAATTGCATTTTCACAAAAATTCTTTGAAACCTTGCATAATATGGTAAAATTGAATAATTTTCGTGCCTGTCTCTCGGTTTTGGTCCTAATTTTTTTTCAATAAAAATGTCACATTTTTTGCAGAAAGCACTTCGATATGATGTTTGAGACTTCTAAATGCCACAATCTCGACGTTCAAAGAAAACAAAACTGAGAATTCCGATATGAATCACATTGTAAAGTAATGGCGAATTTCTTCGATTCAATCTGCCAACCGATGTAATCAATCAATTAGTTTCAAAATAATAAATGAGGGATGATCGATGAAAAAGAAACACGCAAAGGGCGGATTGGCTATCAAATCAGCCGATGGCGTAACAAGTCATTTCGCGATGTCCGCTGATGCCCAAAAATGGGCAAACGATGGAATAAGTAGAAGAAGAATAAGACTGAAGAAGAAGAAAAAGCTGCGCGCAGATTAATGGAGACGGATGAGTGGAAAAGGAAACGAGTTGGATTCGGGGCAAACTTGGCCGATGGCGAACAAGCGACAAGAGAGATAGACGTCGTGTCTGTCGACGATTCGCACTTTTGGATTTCATCCTCAATGATACACAAACATAAAATTATCTTTGATAACCGATTTTTGCAACAAATGTGAAACGAGGAAGTTGAGAAAATAGAATAACTTGGCGGTTTTTTTTTCGTTGACCTTTCTTTGAAAAAAAAAAGAAAAGAGCAAGAGTCATAAACCTTTAAGCCCATCATTGAGGCAAGCTTTAACGAAGAGTCTTTAATAATAACATTTTTTTAGTTCAAATTTCGATTGTGTTCTTTATCGTTCTCGGAGATTGTGATCTTCTTTTCATTTTCAAATTGGACTATTCCTAATGGTGGGCAATTTTTTTTAATTGTTGGTTTGGCGTAACCCGTGTGGTATCCGCAGGCAATGATATTTTTCAAGCAAATTAAGAATTTGATCTCAATTTTTTAATTTTCCTGTTGTCGACAATAGATTTTTATCATGCACGCGGTCGTACGGAATTCCGAAACATTTTTCTACATAATGGATCTATTCAGTGAATGTAAATTAAACAAAAACGACAAATTTTCATTATGCAGCGATGTCGTTTTTGTCGCAATAAGCGCTTAATTTTACTGAGGGGTACTGTAGATCGCGGGTCGATATTTCAAAAAAATTGGCACATGCTCCTTGAATATCGATTTTTTTAAAATATTTTTTATATTAAAATTTTCGTATTTTCACTCGTTTTTCGCGGTTTTTTTTTAAATAATTTAAACTTTTTTTTGAGTAACACTTTTAAATAATAATTTCATATCGTTTTCGTTTTTTTCTATTCCAAAACTGAATCGATTTTATTCGAATATTGTTTTAATTTAAAGAAATTGAATATTTCAGATCGTTCCATGGCTAATTTGGATAGGTTACGAAATAAGAAAAAGGCTATAGTAAGAAATACAATTTAAACAAAAAACAAATAAATGAATTTATAGATTGCACTGCTTATGAAAAAACGAATTATTTTGGTTTGGATATTGAAACAAAATGCATTGAATGCATCTGAAACAATTGAAGTGATCAAGAAACAGAGCTTCGATCTTTTTTGTGAAAAAGTCATATGCGGTGATAAAAGTATTGAGTTGCTTGAATCGCGGGGACCCTCGGATAGTCCGAAGACTGCTAAACGAAGAAAATCAGGTTTCTAGCAATAAAAAATGGAGTTTTATGGGTATGTTTTAGACAGCGATGAGCTGATGAGTATGTTGCGCGAGACGAACAGCGAAATCAAGCAGCTGCTTAGATCGAATGATGAGGAAGCCAAGGAAACCCCCAAATGTAAATTTGACCGATTGTGCAGGGTCATGGCCAGCCACGTTGCGGATTGGCCTGAATTGGATCAAATTCAAGCCGAAGCGAAAGCGATCGCTTTCATCATGGATCTCCAACCGACGGGCAAAAGAAATGAGCAGACGACTTCTCTCAGTTTGTTGGACGAAAATTATTTTTAAGTATTTTTTTTATTATATTAACAATTAAATTTAAAAAGATAAACATTAAACATGATAAAGAAGATAATTTTTTAATGCCGTTCTTTGATCTTCGGCATCGCTGTATGGGTCTTGAAGTAAGGGAAAGTTGTGGTCAGGTGGAAGATCGGGAGGAGCACCTAGTGATATGTTATGTACAACTGAAAGTGCTACAATGAGGGCGCGCGAAGAAGACGGGTCCATATTAAGGGCTTTTTTGAAAATCTGGAATTTCGACTGCATCACACCAAAAAAATTTTCAATTTTCACCCTAGTTGCCGACATAATCTCGTTAAAACGCATGTTTTCTGGAGTCAAGGAAAGCTGCCTATAGGGTTGCATAAGAAACTTAGATAGTCCAAATCCGTTATCAGCAATTATAAATGGAGGCATTATAATGGATGAATTCGGAAGCGGGCGATATCCACCTATTGTGGCTACATTTTCGAGGAGTGCTCCCAAAGGCCCATCTCTGAACATTTGGGAGTCCGAATTTACTCCAAGCTCAGAGATTTGCAAATATATAACACGCAAGTTTGCATCACAACAAAAAAAGAGAATTAAATGAATAAAACGACTTATAATTATAATTTAACGATCCTGTATGCGCAGGATGCTCGATCTTCCAATGCTTTCCATCCAATATGGCAAAACATGGAATTCTTCGACGAGGAGTTCGATCAGAAGAGTTCATAAATCCTTCTTCCAGACGAATTAATTCTCTTCGATTTTGTGGCAATCGGATTTGTTCTCCGGCAACTTGGACGATATCCTCGATTGTATCTCTAACTAGTCGAGAAATCGTTGATTGCGAAACTCCAATTTCCTTCGCAAGAAGATTTTGGCTAATACCTATAAATTTTATAATTTTAATGCTTGTAAAAAACTAACAAACAACTAAAAAATAACCTTCTCTTGTGTATTTTAAGAAAACTGCCAATCGAATTGTCGCATTGATTCGACCTTCGTGATTTCGGCATATCTTCAGAAGTTCCATGAACGTGCTGTTAGAAACGCCGGTCACGAACTTAATTTATTCTACATTACTTATGCAGAAATTCACTTGTTTTACTTGTTTCCTTACCTCAATACCACCACAATCTACTAATCGGTTGACTTTTTCACAAAAAAGATCGAAGCTCTGTTTCTTGATCACTTCAATTGTTTCAGATGCATTCAATGCATTTTGTTTCAATTTCCAAACCAAAATAATTCGTTTTTTCATAAGCAGTGCAATCTATAAATTCATTTATTTGTTTTTTGTTTAAATTGTATTTCTTACTATAGCCTTTTTCTTATTTCGTAACCTATCCAAATTAGCCATGGAACGATCTGAAATATTCAATTTCTTTAAATTAAAACAATATTCGAATAAAATCGATTCAGTTTTGGAATAGAAAAAAACGAAAACGATATGAAATTATTATTTAAAAGTGTTACTCAAAAAAAAGTTTAAATTATTTAAAAAAAAACCGCGAAAAACGAGTGAAAATACGAAAATTTTAATATAAAAAATATTTTAAAAAAATCGATATTCAAGGAGCATGTGCCAATTTTTTTGAAATATCGACCCGCGATCTACAGTACCCCTCAGTAAAATTAAGCGCTTATTGCGACAAAAACGACATCGCTGCATAATGAAAATTTGTCGTTTTTGTTTAATTTACATTCACTGAATAGATCCATAACTTTTTTGTTGCGTTACGGTAGCGAAAATTCCGCAGTCGATTAACGCATACTAAAATGCACATATTTTTTTTTGATTTTCAAATTTCAATAAAAATTATTAATAGTTCGATAAATACATTTTAAAAAATGGAGTCAATTTTAGTTTTCTGCAAAAATTTTTACGATTTCAATTGTTTCATGCTGTCAAAAAAAAGCAACGTGGCATAATTTCGTTCAAATCAAAATTGCGATTCATTTTCGAAATGTCCAACGACAATAGTAGCCAATCTAAGCTCATTCCATCGCCGACGATCACGTTGACACCCGTCGTCCCACCACCGCCACCAACACCGACACCAGGCGCGCCAAAATTCATCACCGTCAATCCCCCAAATATTCTCATCGAAGCATTCAAAGGTGCCGTGGAAAGATCGATAGAAATCAAGTGAGTTTTCAAAAATTAGAATAAATCAATTAAAACAATTGCAGAAACATCTCGCAATTTCGTTTGGCGTTTCGCGTTCGCACCAATGGTCCCACCCGGTATCTCGCGTGCCCAAATAAGGGATTTTTGGCGATTGGCGACAAAGTGTTGGTAATTTTTGTTAAAATTTTTTGCATTGAAGAAGTGCTCGTCTGAAATTTAGGTGAAATTGACGTTGATGGATGCCCGACGATATCAGGCGAATCACGCGTTTCTCGTTCAGGCGATGCCCGCGTACGGATCGCATTCGGATCGTTCGGTACCAAATCATTCACCGAGAAAAAAAAGATGAAATAACGCCCAAAAAATATTTTCAGCTTGTCTGGAAATCGCCGCCACCGGGCAGTATTTACAGCTTCAAAGTCGACGTTTTGTGAGATTTTCTCGACAATTTTCGCACACACCCTTTTTTCTCAGACATCAATCGCGTCTCGACAAATTCCGCAATCTTCCGCCGGGCGTTTCGAGACCCAGAAGTCCTGGTAGGTGATGCTCGTTCCCCCCTCCACTTTTTAAAATAGTGAATTTGAGCCGATCTATCGTCGCCGGGACGAGTCTCGTCGACAACCGACGTCGTTAGTAAGACTCGTTGGACATTGCCCAAAAAATTTTAATGAGTTCAGTCAATCCGCCGGGCGATCAGGGAGATCATGGAGAATACTCAGCGCAGGTTAGGTCGGCGAAACAAAAAATCGATTGGACCCATGCGGGCCTCGAACCCGCGACGTTTGCTTTCAATTTTTGTTGCGCCTTTTTTGAATCAAAGATTACTGTAGACAAAAGCACATTTCATTGCGAGATCTCTATTGAGAAATCGAAAAAAAAATTTTTTCCTTTCAGGTCGCCGAGCAAACCGAAATTTTGCGAAAACTCTTGCGTAAAACTTTTCAAAAGCATCTCTTGCCAATTTTTTTCGACGTTTAGTGGAAAAGCAGCAAAAAACCGCCGAGATGGTCGGCGTTTTGAACGAAATCAAAACGTTTGAAGTGGAATTGGACAGGCAAACCCAATTGGTCAACGAGCTTCAGGAGCGCATCAAAGGCGGCGAGCTGCAATTTTCGGTGGGCTTTTTTTTAATTAAATCGATTTCAAAGATTTTTGAATCGAATTCGATTGAATTAACGTTTTCAATTAACCGTTTCTAAAATTGCTCTCAATTTTCGACGCTGGCCGCTCGCGAGAACGAAATCCGCAACGAGTTGGAGCGAACCAAGCCGAACACCGACAATTTCTAGCCTTAATGGAAAAAAAGAAAATCAAAATAAATTAGTTTCATTTCGTTTTTTGAAAGACATTTGCTCAAAATTGTTGAATATCAACAAGAAAATCGAGATTCGTGTGGACGGTGATGAAACGCGAATGCGATTCGAACATCACGTCGGCGATCGAGGCGCCGAGCACCAACGGCAACGGCAAACGATAGTGGCTCCTTAGGACGTCGGCGATGCGCGCGAACAGCGCCGCGTTGAACGAGTTGTCGATCGTTTCATCGGCGATTTGCGATTTCAAACGAAGCAAAATTTCGAGTTTTGAGCTGAAACAGTTTTTTTTTTTTCAAATGCAATTCGTCTTTAAATTGTCACTTTTGAAGAGCGAAAATTGTGAATTTGCGCGTTGTTCGTCGCTCCTCTTTCGGATAGGTCTCGACACTCGTCAAATGGAGCACAATATTGGGCGAATCTGGAGGAAATTTCGAATTTGTCCCGAATATTTTTCAATTTTATTGATTTTTTTTTGGGGAAAACCCAACTTGTGCTCTCTCGAATCCGAAACGCCGCCTCTTGACACGTGTAGGCGATGTTGGTGAAATTTCTGGAGATGTAAAATTGAAATTGGCGCGAAAAATTGAAAAAAAAAATCGCCTACGAATCGAAATAGCCTTTATCGCAGAGCGTTTGAGCCACTTCGGATAGTAGTCGGTCATGAATATGGTAGATCAAATGGCGCTTCGAATTTTCGACGATTGGCGGCCGGAAATCGGCGCGAAATCGCTCGGAATCGGTTGTGGTGCCTGGCAAAACAAAAAAATAATTTCAATTTTAATTTTTTAAAACTCGAATTTTGTCAGTTTTCATTGAAACTACGCGATTTTTGTTGAGAATCCCAAAATTTTGGTTGGCAATTTCATTAGAAAAATGGAAGTCAATTAAAATGTGTTCGGTGCAAACACGGGGAATCTTCATTTTTTTTGGAAATTCAAAAATTAGAATTTTCAGCCGAATTTTACATAATATTTGACGATGAAAAACGCAGATATTGTAATTTTTAAGACATTTTGAAGGTCGTCAGATTTCAAACGTGTTCGAAATTTGAAAAATCACCGTCAAGATAGTAGCGAATCGCTCGCGATGCCAACTGAATTGGATGCTTCACAATTCGATAGTTGATATTTGCGGAATCTGTCAAAAAATCGAACATTCCATTTTTATTTCGACAATTTCGACCCACCGTGGATTATGGGGAAATGCAATTCGAGCATCGAGATGTCCTCTCGAATGCGCTCATCCAAAATCGACGCCAATTGGTGACATAGATGATTTTTAAAATTGCTTCTGAACGACTATTATCAACGAAAAATAATATTTTTGATGAAACTTTATTGCATTTTCGATAAGCGACGTCACCAGCCAGCCATTCGTCAGCGTTTCATCAATTTCGAAATCCTGAATATCGCTGGAAATTTTCAATGTCAATGTTTGAGCTTTAAATCCATTACCATGTCAAATTCATATAGACAAATGGCAGTCCCGAGTAGGCGATTGGAATTAACGGTCCGATGGAGACATGGCTCGTTGAAATTCGCGCCTTATATGGGTTGGATGTGTGAAAGAATAAAAAATTGCGATCGTAATTGCCGGAAATCTCCAAATCGACGCCATTCAGCTGAAAAATAGAGGAGCTGTGCAATTGCGCGTGTCGGTGCATTGCACACGCCGTCGACGTACCGTAACATTGAAAAAATTATCGGATAATTCCGGTTTGAACTCGTCGATTTTCAACATCGCAATTGTGTGATTCTGAAGGACAATCCCGCAGAAGCACGTCGAGTAGCCCATATTTGGAGGCGACCAATTTGCAAGCGAATTATTGAAATAATAGCGCATTCCCGACAAATACGAATTGATTCCATATTCGGTGACCTAGAAATTATTTTTAAAAAATTTATTTTTTATTCTTGGCCAAAAAAATCGCAAATTCAAGAAGATTTGGCGATTTTTCCATTAAAAAAACGCCAATAAAAACTCACATCGACGACAATATTGTGGGAGTTTTGCGCGAAAATCGTCAAAAGCGCGTCGAATAGGAGCAATAAAAAGAGCGGTGTGAGCATGACTAGTTCGACGACATCAAAATGAGCATTCGCGGCGAATCGACCACAATATTATTGTATCGATCGGAAGATGATGAAGCGGCAAAAGTGTACAACGCCTGTGTATATGTCAATGCGTGTGTGTGTGTGTGTTATCAGCCCTCTTTTGTTTGCTTTTTTATATGCAAAATGTTATTTATTGGATGCTGCGGACAATTGCAGGGTTAGAAGCCGATCGGCGATTCTTGAAAGAATTCCGGATTGAATGGCAACACTCGCATTTGGTCTTCGGTGCCATTCGCCACCTGCAATCAAGCATGCGCCTTTAAAAAAGTTACCGTAACCCAAAGGGGTTTTGAGAGAGAGAAAAAAAACGAATTTCTTTTTAGGCCTACAAATTTTTTCAAGACACCCAAAAAAAGCAACAGCATAATGCGCCTTTAAATTCCTATGTGTGTCATGCGCCTTTAAAATGGCGGTATTCACTGCTTTAACTCATCAAAATCAAGAGTGATTTACCACTTCTTTGGACAGCTTCGTATTGTTGATATTCTCTCGGCTCATGGGCGCCGACTCGCGACTCGGCGTCATCGACTCGCGGCTCATATTCGTCGATTCCTTGCTGCCGACAACTTCGCGGCTCATTCGACTCCGCTCGCGCGACATATTCACCACCTCGCGACTACGTCCAACACTCCGATTTCCTGGCTTCTAAAAAATTCCAGACGAGAAAAAAACATGCATAGGCGAGGCCGTCCATCGCGATGTACTCCCACAGTGTAACTCTCATCGGAACATACCCGCCTACTCGGCTTCGGCGACTGCTTGTTGGCGCTCGACACTCGCGTGATGTTCTCCCAATCGAACGGATCGTCCCATTTGAATTTGCCCTTTTCCATAATTGTGAGAAACAACAAAAAAATTCGATGATAATCGGGCCGATGGAAATAGGTGAGAGTTCTTAAAAATGTGGGTAAGAAAGAGAGAGAGAGGCTTACAAGGAAAGTTGTTTCGGCGAGTATCTTAACGTTTTTTTATCCCGTAGATAGGGGTCCCACAATTTTAAGCCGCGCCACGTGGCAAAAGAGACGCTCAAAAATTTGCGCCTCGCACCTCTATCCAATCCCAAAACCCCCAGCTCTGTTGTAGTCGTGGTAGAGTGGTAACACTCTCCACTGACGTTTTCGAGGCCCTGGGTTCAATCCCCGCGCTCGCCCAAACTACTTCCCTTGTTAGAAACAACGCGTCGATCAACCTCAAATGTTTGGCGATTTCGAGAAGCTCGAGCGGACTATTCTGAAGGACGAACTCATCCGTGTGCATTCGTTTCAGCTCGCCGACGACGCGCTTATCGCTGCAAATCGGGTTGTCGGCTTCGGACGCGTGCCGATGTCTCTCACGTCTGTTGCGCCCACGGCAACGGGCCGCGCAACTCGGCGAGCATGTAAATCATACTCCAGAGATCGTCGACGCGTCCCTGCTCGGATCGATCGTGCATTCGAATCGAGCAATAGCGCGTCGTGCCGCTGAAAATTGCGCATTTCGATAGCGACTCGTCGCGACGCACCGAAACAGCGCCCGATCTCGCGGCCGCCTCATCACGAGCTTATTCGGCGCGTCGCTGTGCGCCACCACGTATTGTCGGGCGAGTCCAAAGTCCAACACGTGGAAGAAGCGCGCCTCGCCGGTGTCGCGTTGTCCGAGCGCCACATTCGCCGGCTTCAAATCCCGATGGATGAAGCCGATCTGGAATTAAACAATTTTGTTTTCAAGCTCAATATCTATATATCTATTTAAAGCGCACATCGTGAATTTGCTTGAGACAAAACAATATATTGGCGCCGATTCGGGCTTGTGTCGACACGGTGCACGCGCGGCCCATTTTTCTGCAATTCGCGACAACTATCTAACACCATTGCCAAAAAGCATTTACCTGTAAATTCGATTCAAACTGTCTCCTAATAAGGTCATCACCATATAGCTGTATTGGGTGACGCGGGCGGCGCACATGAGTTGGGCGACGTGCGGTTTGCCGGCGAGCCGCTTCAGAATCGCCACCTCGAGTTTCAGCACACATCCGCCGGTGGCGAAATTCGATTCGACCTTCATCGCCGCCTTCAAATCATCGTGATTGGCGAGAATCGGACAATCGACGAATCACCTCCGAATCATCATCGAGCGACTTCACCAAATACACACTACCGCAGCCGCCTTCGCCCAGCTTCTTGATCACCTGCCACGAGCATCCGACGATTTTGCCTTTTGGCAGGTCAACTGTTCCATTATCTTCTAGAAATGTTCGTTTCATTCTTATTTTTGTGGCAAAAAAACTCGATTTCGTTTTTTTTTGGCTACCTTCAGGGCTCATCCTGTTTACTAAATAGAAAACGATCTAATGTAAATTGTAGAAATGAGTGCTAATATGCATGACCGGTCGCGTTCGTGGATTAGGTGAAATTACACGCGGCGACGACCGTCGGGGGGAGGACGATTTCGATGAAACGCTTCGCTGGTTGACGTTTGTGAAGTAGAGCGCGTTGGATCGATCATTTTATAGAAAAAAAAAGGGAAAATTGAAAATATTCTTTAAAAAAATTGATAAATTATTATGTGCCGCACAGTGTGCCAAAATCTGTGCGGCAATTGCGAAAATGGTCACGCCCACAATTTATTCGCTTTTTTTTTTAAATTTTTTAGCCGATTTTTCTAAATTTGTTGATTCTTTTTGAATTTTAAAATGTGTTATTGTTTTATAATTTACTATATTGCTATTGGAACCAATCAGTTATGAAAATAGCTGCTAAAATACAAGGAAATTCTTCTTATTAAAAAAATGCTTATTTCTTATCGAAATTTTGTTAAAATTCGGGTTTTTTTCAGAATTCTCCCCCGACCTCTTCTATCACAATTCCATGGAAGGAAAAATGTATGGCAAGAATTTGCTGCCAAAAATTCCCATTTTTACAACTCTGTTTTTCAGACCTTCGATTGCCCTTGACCTATGGCGGATTATTTCGGCGCGAATTGTCAACGATTATGTGTATTCGACCGCCCAGAATCAAGCTTAATGCGTGACGAATTGCGTGTGATGATTTCGGACTTGATAATCCCGTTCGGCGTGCTGATTTTCGCGAATCATCGAGAGAAAATCGATTTTGTCACCTTTCGACGATGGAAATGCCTGCCCTGAATTATTGACACAACAACAATCAATCTACTTGTGTCCGAACAAATATTGATGGAATTGGCGGCGGGAAAAAAACAAACATAGTGACACGGCAATATTTAAAAGCAGGTTTCGGTTTTTCTCATTTATAAACTTTTAGAAGTGAACAAAATTCCCAGTATTCTGTCAATAATCGGTGAACCGCAAGTGATTTTTTTTATTGTAAGAAAAATTTTCGAGAAAAATGTTCCAGAAAAACGCAAGCTTGTTTTTCTCGAAGCCTTCTCGTCACCAATCGAAATCAACAAAAGCTCGAAAATTGTGTAAAAACTCAAGTTTAAATGATCACTTGCGTGGAATTTTTCGCATTTTTTTTTCAGTTTCCATTCCATTTTGAGTCAGGAAATTCCAAAAAAACATACATCCCCCTCCCATTCTAGAAAAATTCGTTGTTTTTTTTCGCAAAGAGTAGGATTTGTTGATATTGGCACAAGCGGTCCGACCCGAAAAAAAAAAAAACATATTTCTTCTTCTCCACCAACTGTCGTTTGTGATGCTTTTCATTCTGATATTTTCAACAACAAAATGACTCATATCATTTTTTCTTGAACATTCGATGGTTTTCGAAATACACACGCTCATAAAAAAAAACGAATACGATAGGTCGCGTGTCCTCTGCGTCTCTGACCGCTTGCCCGCTAAGCGCCGCCCAAATTCGCCCCCGTCGGCAAATCCTGTCCCCGATCAGCATTATATATAATTGTTCGCCGATTGAATGTTCCAATCCTCAATTCACATTGTCATTTTTGCAGTCGAATGTTGAAACTCGCCGCGATTATTTTTGCGATCGTCGCCGTCGTCGCGATGGCGGCGCCGCGCGACAAACGCCAACTCGCCGTCGGCACGATCAGCGTGTCGGGAGCCGGCGGCTCGACGGGATGCGTCGTCACCGGCAACATCCTCTATGCCAACGGTATCAGATTGCGCGAGCTGACGGCCGCCGAGCAAACCGAACTTGACAACTATCAAAACTCATTGGAGCAGTACAAAGAGGTGAGAAATCGCGCTCGAATCGGGTTGAAAACAATCGAGTTGTCGGAATTGCAGCAACTTCGCGAGATTCTGAATCAGCGTCGCGAGAATCTGCGGACCCGCATGACCGGACAGGGCAATGAGGTGAATGAGACGGAAAATTTGCCGAAGGCGCCGGTGAAGCCGTCGTTCTGCTCGGCCGACGAGACGACCCAATATTATTTCGACGGTTGCATGGTGCAGAACAACAAGGTCTACGTTGGCGGCCAATACGCGCGCGATTTGAGCTCCGATGAGATTTCCGAGCTGAAGGTGTTCGATGAGCAGCAGACCGCCTATCAGAAGGCGATTCACGATCAAATGCAGAATGTAAGAAACATTTTTGGCGAAAAAAAAAGACAAGAGACATATTTTCAGCACGTTCGCGGGCTTTTCGGAGGCTCCGACATTTTGTCGGCGTTGTTCGGCGAAGACGCGCCCGGACGACAATCGGCACCAGCTACCACTCAGGCTCCTGGCGTCACCACCACAATGCCGCCGAAGCCGAAAGTGCCGCAATTCTGCACCGCCATTTATTGAGATGATTCTCGACGATTTCAATATCATTTTCTCAGCTTTATCCCTATATTATGCATATTACGGTGTCAAAACTTGTAAATTAATAAATAAAAAACGAATGCAACATTGTTGGCATTTAAAAAAATGGGGTCAATTGACCGAATTTGGCTGTCAGAAACGATCGAAAAACCGAAAACTATCGATGGACGCGACCTCGTTTGATGTCCGCATATGGAAATAATTTATTTGAGAATTTATCAATGATTTGCGAGAAATTATCGCGAAAATCGAATTTCTGGAAAAAAAAACAGAAATTTTTACAATTAAGAAATATTAGAAATCAAGAAATTCATCAAAATATCGACAAAACGAAATGCGAAAATTGAAAACTTGAGAAATATTTGTTCGGAAAGTGCCGATATTCGAGAAATTTCATTTTGAAATGACAAAATTGCATGAAATTTGAACAAAAATTGAGGGTTTTGGAAAAATGAAATTACAGTATCACGTGTCAAAGGCGCATGCCTCATTTCATTCACAAAACATTTCACGCCTAAAATTAAGAAAAATAAAAAAGGCAATATTTCGGCGAAAAAAAAGTTTGTTTCAAAAATAAATTGATTTGCAATTTTCTTTGAGAATATCGCAAATATGATGTGTCAATCCTTTTTGAATTGCATATACATAAAAATTGTGACTAATTAAAAAAAAATTAACAATTTTGAGTGTTTTTTAAATCAATAATTGCACGTTTCTTGAAGAACAAGCAAAAATTACCCAAAAATTTGGGAAAATATTTTTAAAAGTCATTCGGCTTCTCATTCTATCACCAAAGTGCCATTCAATGAAAAGTCGCACACCTTATATGGTGTCAAAAATGTGCATCAATAATTAAATGAGATAACGACAATTTGAAACGGCCTCGTTTGATGTCCGCATATGCAAATCATGATAAGACGCTTGCGTGAGATTGCATCAGTCAGAAGGTTGTCGATAGCTTCTTGCGGTAATCGATTGCAAGTCGAGTGAAATCTCAAACTGTGGGGCATTGGGAACAACAAAACTAAGCCCTTATTAGGCGGTTCTCCCAAAACGGGGACTAGCATTCGAGCAAAGTGGACTTCGGCCACGGCCTCCCCTTTGCTGGCTATCGCCCCAAATTGCATGCCAGCGTGTCGTCTCCTCATTCAGCGCGCTCTCTCGTCCACCGCCTCGTCTTCTCGCCGCCCTCTACCATTCCCATACTATCTCTCCCACCTTGAATTCGACTCTCATCGAAAAGTGCAAATTGCAACACAAATTTGGGCATGTTTTATCAAACCGACGTACACACAACGGCCGAATTCAGCCGAATTTGATAATTGATAACGAGTCGGGCACATTTGCAAGCCTATTACAACCGATGACAAGCGGATTGCGATCGGTGATGGTCGCCGTCGTCGCGGCGGCGGTGGCGGTGATCCTCGTCGAATGCCAACAAGACAAAGATCTCGTCAAGGATCTGCCCGGATTGTTGTTCGAGACCAACTTCGACACCTATTCGGGATATGTCGACGCGAATGCCAAAGGCACTTGGAAAATGCATTATTTGTGAGTTAACCATGCGCATATAAATAGTATATCATTGATGCAGGCTGACCGAATCGCGATCGAAGCCCGACACCGATCCGCTGTTGGTGTGGTTCAATGGTGGGCCCGGGTGCAGCTCGCTTGGCGGACTATTCGAGGAACTGGGACCATTCTATGTCAACTACGATGGCCGAACGCTGTATGAGAATCCGTACGCGTGGAACGCGGTTGGCTCTTTCATTTTTCATTTCGTTTGATGGCATTCAGCATTTTCAGAAGGCCAATGTGCTTTATTTGGAATCGCCCATCGGCGTCGGATACTCGTACGATACGACGACACCCGGCTATTTTCAAGCGAACGACGATCAGACGGCCGATCAGAATCTTCGGGCTCTCACGAATTTCTTCAATGTGTGAGTGGCGAGCTTCGATTGCCTCGTTTCGGACCATTCAAATTTCTTCTTGACGAGACCACAATTATTTTACAATTATTGGTACTTCGAACAGAAAAAACCACCTAGGCTGAGATTCGATTTTTAGGAATTGACGATTGTGTACTCCACACGGACAATGCTGTGTGAATATAAATCGTCGCGAGACACAATTCAATGAGCAATATAAATGTGTGTAGAGAGAGAGAGAGAGATTCTGAAAAAATAGACGACTGATGGAAATTGTCGCTGCGAGACCCCCGTTTGTAAAAAAAAAGCAACAGCCCGCGGGAAATTTGAAAATGGTTTTTTATTTTGAAAAACCGCTTTGATTAATTCGAAAAAATCACAATTTCAATGGCTAGTTTTCGACGGCCGCGGCCGTGGCCGAGTTTTTTTAAAGCTTTTTTTTTCAACCTCAAAACATTTAGACTTCAATACAACTATCAGACACAATATCTAGGAAATAGTGTGCCCGATTGAGAGAGTGCAAAGAGTGGAAGAGAGCGTGCGGTGGAAGGAGGCGCAGACATTGAGTTATAAAAAATTGAGAAATTTCAAAAAAAAAAAAAGTAGAAGGGTTCGAGTCCCGACTGGGCTCATTGATTTTTGCACAAACTGTTTCGTGTGTTTTTCCAGCGCTCAGCCGAAATTCAAAAATCGCACATTCTATTTGTCGGGCGAGTCGTACGCGGGAATCTATATTCCGATGCTCACCGATCTAATTGTTGACGGAATCAACAAAGGAACATTCCCGAACACCCATTTCGCGGTAAATCACCTACCGCCCGTTTTTGACTATTTTTGAATTTGACGTAGGGAGCTGCCATCGGCAATGGTTTTATGAACGTCCGCCAACTTCTCAACTCGCTGACGCTCTGGAGTGCCTATCACGGACGAGTTTCGGTTCAGTATGTGTTTTGATCTACCACCTCCCTTTAAACATATTGTATTTTTTTCAGAGACTGGGAGCGCATCAAGAAGGAATGTGTGAAAGACCACGATGTGGACTCGTTCGATTTTTCGGTAGGGGACCATCGAAATCGGCACCGGACCTGTTTTTTTTTTGTATTTGCAGCAATTCACCGTTTCGAAAAACAATATTGACTACGTTGGCGATAATTCGACGTGCGGAAATTTGATTCAGCCGTTGATCTCGCAAAACGCGCAAGGCGACGAGGGGTTCGTTTCGCTTGTTGATGGTCCATTGGAATTGGCGAGATTCCAGATTCGATCAGTACAATTTCTATCAGGAATGCTACGACAAATCGGTGTTCGAGGCGCCGGCGCCGGGCCGCCGTCGAAAGACAAACATGCTCCATGGACAATCGGCAGCGTTCAAGCAGGTTGGTGCATTGTTGCGTCTCGGTGTACAGTGTATCACCTTTAAATGGGCTTAATGCAATTTTTTTGACATTAGTGCATTTTTGCGTCTCGGTGTACAGTGTACCTCCTTTAAATGGGCTTATTGCAATTTTTTTGACATTAGTTCATTTTTGCGTCTCGGTGTACAGTGTACCTCCTTTAAATGGGCTTATTGCAATTTTTTGACATTAGTGCATTTTTGCGTCTCGGTGTACAGTGTACCTCCTTTAAATGGGCTTATTGCAATTTTTTTGACATTAGTTCATTTTTGCGTCTCGGTGTACAGTGTACCTCCTTTAAATGGGCTTATTGCAATTTTTTGACATTAGTGCATTTTTGCGTCCCGGTGTACAGCGCACCACCTTTAAACGGGCTTAACGCAATTTTTTTTTAAATTAGTGCATTTTTGCGTCTCGGTGTACATTGTACCTCCTTTAAATGGGCTTAATGCAATTTTTTGAAATTAGTGCATTTTTGCGTCTCGGTGTACATTGTACCTCCTTTAAATGGGCTTAATGCAATTTTTTGAAATTAGTGCATTTTTGCGTCTCGGTGTACATTGTACCTCCTTTAAATGGGCTTAATGCAATTTTTTGAAATTAGTGCATTTTTGCGTCTCGGTGTACATTGTACCTCCTTAAAACGGGCTTAACGCATTTTTATTTGAAATTTGTGCATTATTGCGTCTCGGTGTACAGTGTACCACCTTTAAATGGAGTTAGGAGTTAATGCAATTTTTTTGAAATTAGTGCATTTTTTGTCAATTACAGCACGTGCAAACTCGCGCCGCGTTCAAAGGCACGACGATATTCAGCGCGAACACCGCCGAGCTCATCAATCGCAATTCGAACGACAACCAATGGGCGTACTTCTGCTGGAACGAGGACGCCGTGTCGGCGTACCTCAATTTGGAGGAGGTGCAAGCGGCGCTCAACATACCCGACGACTGGAGACAACAGAACAACAGTTGGCAAGATTGTCGCGATAGCATCTACAACAATTATAAGCTCAAATACGACAACACCAAACAGTTCTTCAATTCGACGATCGCGAATCTCAAAAGCGATTTTCGGTTTTTGATCTACAACGGCGACGTCGACACGGTGTGCAATTATTTGGGCGACGCTTATCATATCAAACAAGTCGCCGACGACAACGGGTTCAAGGTAATCGCGTTTTTGATCTACCTTCTCAGGAGTCTTAAAAATGCAAAAATTGAAGACGGGACCACGAACGCCATGGTACTACAGTGCCAACAAGCAGCTCGCCGGATACGTGCAGACGTACAAGGGGACCAACGCCCACAAGATCACCATCACCATCGACGTGCTCACAGTCAAGGTAGGCGATGCGAATTTCAATGGTCCGTGACGAACAAGATTCAGGGCGCCGGCCACATGGTCCCTTATGATCGCGCGGGACCATCGGTTCAAATGATCTCGAATTTCGTGAACTTGGCGTCGAATGGTGCCATCGATTACACGTCGAGCGCCAACTTCGACACCGACATCAAATTGTCGCCGATGAAAAGCGCCGTCGGCGAGCACTCATTGCTCACCATTGCTAGTTTATTGTTGTTATGTACATTTTTGGAATAAAGTGAACACAAATTAGGCGGTTGGTAGAAGTTGACGCTTCTCGTGGCCGTCTGAAGGCGCGTCGTCGTCGTCGACGACGTCGGGATTGTGCATTCCCAACGCGAAATGGTAGAGCCATCCGCCGACGAGGGCGCCGACGAATGGAGCGATCGCCGGCGCCATCCAGTAGCCGCGATACGGCGAATTGAACACACCGGTGCCGTAGACGAAATAGGCGAATAGGCGGGGTCCGAGATCGCGCGCCGGATTGATCGGATAGCCGAGGTTCATGCCGAAGCCGGTGCCGATCATCATGATGAGGAAGCCGAAGAACATCGGATGCCACACTTTTGGGATTTGATTGCGCTCGTCGATGATGACGCATAGGAAGAAGCCGAGAATCGCGGTGCCCACTATCTGAATCATTTGACTCTGCTGAATCACAGTGGTAGAGGACCGGCGCCCACCTGATCGATGTATGGTCCCCAGTAGCCGATGTCGGGATGCGGGTAGCTTGAGAAGCAGCCGGCGGTGCCGTTGGCGCCGAGCACCGTTCGATTACCGCCGTCGAACGCGTCGAATCGCTCTGAAGGCCGACGATGAGGTCGGCTGATGAGAGATTGAGCGCCACTTACCGTAATAGTAGGCGTAGATCAAAGCGGCGGCGACGAACGCGCCGGCGGTTTGCGCCAGCGAGTAGGCGAGCACCCACGCCAATTTCAGATGGCCCATCGACCAGAGGAGCAGCGAGACGGCCGGATTCAGTTGGCCGCCCGACATTCGCGCCGTCGCCATCACGGCGAACATGATCGCGAAGCCCCAGCCGATGTTGACGCCGATCCATTGCGTCGTCGCGCCGCCGCCAATGTGGAATTGCACGACGATGCCGAGGCCGATGAACTGGAAAAACGCGAGATTAGGTGCCGCCGCTAAGCCTAAGTCTAATGCGGTTATCGTGACGCCGCCAAATGGCGCCACGTTTTTTTTGGGCCTTGACTTAATGCTGCCGACAATTCGCTGGTTCCAATAAAAGTGTTTGTTGACAGCTTGTTGTGTTTTCACGTTGCGCCATCTGCGGACAATTCGCGGGCGGTTTCAATATTTGTGGCTAGCTGCGGACAATTGGCGGGGATTTTTATAATCGAGGCGATCTGCGGACAACTCACAGGTGGTTTCAATATTTGCGGCTCGCTCGCTGCGGACAATTTTCGGGTATTCCTACTATGCGATTCCATCTGCGGACAACTCGCGGGCGGTTTTTTAGCGGCTCTCTGCGGACAATTCTCGGGTATTCCTACTCTGCGATTCCATCTGCAGACAACTCGCGTGCGGTTTAAATATTTGTGGCTAGCTGCGGACAATTCTCGGGTATTCCTACTTTGCGAGGCGATCTGCGGACAACTCGCGGGCGGTTTCAATATTTGTGGCTAGCTGCCGACAATCTTCGGGGTTTCTAGAATCGCATGTTTGACGACTTACACAAAGTATGAAGGTGCCGACGAACTCGGAGACAAGATTCCTCGCCAGAATATTGGACTTGATTCCGTGGAATCGAAGACGCTCCTGAAGCCAATCCTGCGAATCGGTTGTCATCGTCGATACGATAGAAAAAAAACGGCAAAACTGAAGACGATTTGTTTGTTTGCCAATGAAGTGCACTCGAATGAGGTGAGTTTGATAAGAAAATTAATCGGAATTCGTTGCGTCTCGTCGCACAAAAGCTGATGAGCACACGAAAGTAGTTGGTTGAGTTATCAAACACAGTGCAAATATCGAGCCGCCGACAAAAAGAGAGCCGAATTGGTTTTTTTTTTCTCTCTAGACGGTCTTAAAGTGTACTTGAAGGCACAAAAATGCGTGCGATACGGCTGAGTTCAACGCGATCGCTCTTTGTGGGCCACCAGCGAGAATTGGTCTTTTTGAAAAATTCCTGCTGCCGACAATTTATTTTTGGGGGCAAACTCGCGAGTTGTCCGCAGTTGCGGAAGATTTAGCAATATGATTGCAGCTATTAGCGAATGGCGAGAATCATATAAAATTCCTGCTGCGGACAATTTTTAGGTGTCGTGGGAAAACCCGCGAGTTGTCCGCAGAACGAAAGATTTGGTTTTATGATTGTGGATACTGGCGAACTGCAAAAAATCATATGAAATTTCTGCTGCGGACAATTTCGGGTGTCGCCGGGGTAAACCCGCAAGTTGTCCGCAGAACGAAAGATTTGGTTTTATGATTGTGGATACTGGCGAACCGAGAAAATCACATAAAATTTCTGCTGCGGACAATTTCGGGTGTCGCCGGTGGTAAACCCGCGAGTTGTCCACAGACACGAAAAGATACACCAGAATGATTATGGATTGGAATGAACCGCTAAAATCATATAAAATTCCAGCTGCGGACAATTTTCGGGAAACTCTGGATTAAATCAATTGTCCGCAGATGACCCCTGATTAGAAGCCACAATTTTCGTGTTCAGATTTCGCTGGAAAACGAAGATGGGCAATTAATTAATTGGCCAATTAAGCCTCCCCCCAATTAATTTTGACATCATCTATTTTGGGTGGTGCCACCAGAACCCCCCCCCCCCCAAATTGCCGTCGGTCGGAATTTTGATAGTCGACAAATTTTCGAGATAACCATCTAACCTTCACACAACGAGGCCCGCCGTCACTCAAACGAATTTCCAGAAGGAATGGAGAGTTCAAACTTGGGCGATAATAAACAAAAAATGCCAAATTTGGGTGTTTGATTGAACACCTCCACACCAACCGATAATATCTTGACGAACACGAGTGGCCTCGAAGTTTTTTGGAAAAAAATACCGATGCTTTGTTTCAGGTGGACATGCGCCTTTAAATTTATGAAGGCTATTTGAGGAGGCATTTTTTGGGAGTGTCCTTCCTATTGCAATTTTCTCACCTCAAAAATGCACTTGAAAGTGCACAAATTCGCTTTTTTTTTGAGGGTCATGCTCCTTTAAGGTATGCCCTTTGAAATAATGGCTTGTGTGCAATGTTGCGTGTCGGTGAACCGCACCGTCAGTCATCATTCTCAAGGCGAATTGTCCGCAGCATGATATGTCTAGGCAATAATCGAATTAGTGACACCGCATTCCATTTTACACACTCATTTCAGCTACAGTAACCCTCTCTCCCCCCCCCCTTTAAACGTGAAACCAGCGAGTTGTCGGGTGCTAAAAAAAAATTGGTGTCTTGCTGAATCATTATGCAAAATCGGTTCAACGAGCCATGAAGCATAGCCAATCGAAAAGGCGCCAATGACCTTGGTGTGGGTGGGTGGGCGTGGTCACCAACACCCGCAAAACAAAAAGAAGGCGCCATAACTGGATGCCCTCCCATTTTCGAGGCGGAAAAAGGCGAAAGTTCGGTTTTTTCCCGTCGGGATTTTCACTTTTCTGCCGTCGGCATTCGAACAAGACGATCTCGAAATTGGTCGCGTTTCATCGACAAATTCGCCAAACATTTTATCAAACTTCCAAAAAAAAAAATTGGCAAAAATCGAAAGCGACAACGAGAGAGATTCATTTCCATTTCATTTGTTTGTTCCCCAATGGTCCCTTGGTGTTGTGGTGCCCCGCGGACCATCACAAATTGTTTGTTTGAATTTTGCACCTCATCATGATCCAACCAATTCAAAAAATTGTGGCCTGAATCCCAATGGTCCCTAGATGACAGCAGCCGGCAAACGGCATCGATTGTCATCGGGAATTGCCGAAACCGAACAACGCCTTTCACTTTTTGCCAATTTCCAGTCGATTTGCATTTCAATACCATAAAAGGTGAAATGCGAAGCCCCCAACCCGAGTAAAAGCTTCACAGCCGGTGTAAAATTGATTAAAGGGACCCCCCCCCCTAGGGCAAATGTGTTCGATGAAATGCCATTGTTTAAGGCGTATCGTGTTGTTACACGAGGTCCACTTGAACTTCAAGTGGTCAACTTTTCATCGCATTTTTTTTCCATCACCATTTTTGGCGTTTTGTTTCCATATCAAGTATTGTATTGTAGTACTAGTAGTCGTCCTACTACTTGTAGTACATTTTCACGGATTCGATTGCATTTATTGATGTTTTTTTGATCTATCTAAAAAGGCAATGATAGTGGTCTTGGCGCAAAAAAATCTAGTAGTGTAGATTTACGGGAAGGTAGTATAAAAAGGGACCTTTTGGTGGCATTTCGCCAATTATTATTTTGCCATAATTCAACTCCTCACACAATTACCGAGCTCAGATGGGTGCGAGGCGAGCAGCGCTGGTGCATTGGCAAGTGCGCGGTGCGGCGAGAAGTGTTACGGTGGTTCGTTGCCCCGCTCTCCGCCCTTTGTAGGCGTTTTGGGGCTGAATAAAACTTTAGCAGAAAAAGGTTCTAATTTCCAAAATTTTATCTTTTCTGGTTTGTTGTTTCAGCGGTTTCGAAGCCCAAAAAAAGCAGAAAAAGAACATCGCAAAACGACCGCCCATTAAAACCGGCCAATTAAAACGGTTTTTGCTGTCTTTTCGTCGCGCAATCTTTAACCGAAAAAAAGCAAATTTTTTTGGAACCATTCAACACCTTTCGTATTGTTTATTTTTTCTCCTTCATCACGATCGACTCCTTCATATCATCACAATAGGCGGAAAAATCGAATTTCGCCTTAGACAGTTTCCATTTTCAAGGTTGGCCTTGTGTTTGGCTTCTTCCCCCCCCCCGTCTTCTCGAAAATTTGTTTCGTTGTGATTTTTTGATTTGATAAAAGTCGCGCAGTGTGATTGATTCATTTCATCACTCAACTTTGTTGTTATCGGGTCCCCCTCGCTCAACTACAGATTCCTGAAATTCTCCCTCCTTCCGGTCCGGTCCGGTCCGGTCCGCCGACTATCTTAATTACGTTGAGAGATCAAAAAAAAAAAGAAAGGAAGCAATTGCTGAAAAACATCCCCGTGAATCTCTCATTCTTTGACCCGCGAATCGAATTTTGATAGTAAAAAATTTTTTTTGTCAAGGTCACCATTCTGGTAGCAAGGGGGGGTGTTGTTCCGCTTTGGGGCCTCGCAAAAAAAAATAAAAATCAAAAAATTGTTTTAGCGAGTTTCGTGGACAAAATATTTGGGGAGGGGGAGCGTTTCTCATTTTCCTCAATTCCATTTTTGTCCTCGTCTTGATTTGTGATCGTTTGGCGGAGAGGTGGGTGTCCGTCGCGTCCCCGCCCTACCTCATTCTCTTGACATTGACTCATTAAGCGTTTTTGAAGAGCGCCTCCTCTCCTCAAACATCCCACCCCCCTTCCTCACAAATTACTTACAGAGGAACCCCCCTTACCACCAGTCAACCATGTGGTGGTGGAATTTACCGCTAGCGGCCACCATTCTCCTTCTATGGATGCCGTCCGCAACAGGTACCATCAAATGGTCCCCTCACATTCTTGATTGTCGATTTCAGTCGTCGCCGATGACGACAATCCGATCACCACCAGATTCCATTGTTTGAAGAATGGCTGCTGCGATCATCACGAATGGTGCCGATTTTGGGCGTCGGTCGGCGAGTGCAAGGTGACAACGCCGGCGACAATCGTCGACACCCTCCCATGTTTCAGACCAACGCCCAATGGATGGTGGACAATTGCCAATTGGCGTGCAACACGTGCCATCGGCCGAGACGACCCACCGCCGCCAAGCCAGCGCCAAAGCGTCGCCCGCCGCCAAAAGCGGGCGCGCGACGCCCGCCACCAACGACGCAACGTCCGTTGGTCACCCGACGACCAACATTCCATACGACGATTGCGACAAGGTATTCAAATGATGTTCTGTGTGCTATTCGTGCTCCTCCCCCCTACCACCATCACCACCATCGTGTGTCTCAATGTCGCTCATCACGTTTGTCCGTTATTGTAGAGTCACGTCGACGCACGTCACCCCGCAGGCAATCAGCACGAGAAGCATTAACCTAAACGGCCGCAAGTCGGTCACCCGCAAGTTTTTCATGTTCTTCCATGGCACTCAAACGACGACGCCATCCACTACTACGAGTTCTACGACGACAACGCCGATCACCACAACGACACCAATACCTACAACTACTACCACCACCACCACTACTACCACTACCACCACGTAAGTATGTACATGTTCTTGGGTTTGCGGTGTGCTCCACTTTGTTTATATGTTGTTGACTGGCTTCAAAGTTTCGTCAGCGGTTTGATGGTGATTTCAGACCTCCACCACCACCACCACCAGCACCAATTAGCGTTGCGCCAAGACGCCCGCCACCAAGGCGGCCGGCGTTCCGCGGTCGCGTTCGCTCAACGATTCGCCCGACGCCTCGCGTGTTCACCATTGTCACCGCGCCGCCGCCAACGACACCGCGGCGAACGTTGGCGCCGTTCACGACGACGACGCAGTTTGTCAGCGCGCCGCCGACGACGACGCGATCGTTCGCGATCAACGCGAACAGCCAACGATGCCGCGAGATCATCAACGATCCGGTGGTGGCCGCCGAGGACATGTGGCGAGAGCGGCTCGCCGTCGCCGTCGAGGACAACTCGCGTCGGCAGACCGTCGATCTGGATCAGGTGATCCGATCCAACACCGCCAACGCGTGCACCCCGCGATTGGACGAGGCCGACTGCGAGTCGAACCTGTGCTATAACGCGCTCTATCGAACGATGGATGGCACGTGCAATAATATGAGAGGCGAGCCGCTTCGCGGAGCATCCTACCGCCCCTATACGAGACTATTGCCCACCATTTATGACAACGAGCTGTCCGAACCTGTTGGTAAGAGGAATGAAAAATTGATTCAGAGATGGAAACGATGATTTATAGGTTCGCTGTTCCCACAGATGCGACCTTCGCCGCGCGAGATCACCCGGAAGCTGACCTCATCGCACGCTTCTGTCGAGGCGCCCGACTTCAACGCGCTCATGATGCAATTCGGGCAGTTCATCTCGCACGACATGGCCAAAACCACACTGGTGCCGTCGTCGAAATGCAACGTCTGCCAGAACATCACGAGTCGCTGCATGGCGGTGGCGTTGGCCGACGACGAGCCGAACGCGAGCTTCCGGCAGACGACGTGCATCAAGGTGTCGCGCTCGTCGCCGATTTGCGGTTCGGGAAATCGCAAACCGCGACAGCAGCTCAACGAGAACACTGGCTATATCGACGCGTCGCCGATTTACGGATCGTCGGTTCATGATTCGAAGAAGTTCAGGGATGGGACGAGCGGATTTTTGAAGTTGCCGATGTTCAATGGAATGCAGAGTACGGTAGTTTTGGGGTTGCGTGCGGTACACCGACGCGCGCAATTGCACACTTCTAGAAAATTCCTTGCATTGATTTTCATGTTTCTTTTTATTTCTATCATTTTTTTTTAAAAGAAAATAGTGGTGTAATTTGCGCAGATTTTGGAAAAACTCTCAAAAAACTGGAAAAACTTTCTAAATAATAAGAAAATTGCGAAAAAAAATCGAATTTTCACCAATTTTTTGAGGGTTTTCTTTTCGAGAAAATCTACAAAGTGCCCTATAACGCGTTCGACTTTATTTCAGTGCTTCCATTCGACCAATCGAATTGCCGAAATCGCAATAATTGCAAAGTGATATTTACGGCAGGCGACAGTCGTGTCAATTTGTTTGTTGGACTCTCAGCGTATCACACGATATTCACGAAGGAGCACAATCGGTAGAGAAAAATTAAGACCCAGTTAAGCTTGTGATACTAATTCTTCTAGACTTGTGAACGCATTCAAACGATTGAATCCGCATTGGGATGGCGAGCGACTCTATCAGGAAGCGAGAAAGGTTGTTGGAGCTGAAGTGCAAGCGATCGTCTACAGAGAATGGCTTCCGAAGGTGCTCGGCGCCGCGTTTTCTTCAGTAGTCGGCGAATATCGAGGCTACGATCCCAATGTTGACTCAACGGTTGCCAATGAGTTCACATCGGCGGCGTTCCGATTCGGGCACGGCATGATCCAGGAGGTCTACCAGCGACTTGACCCATCATTCCGCAACATCTCGTTCGGCGCGTTGCCGTTCCAAAAAGGAACATTGCATTCGGATGTGCTTGTGAACGAGGGCGGCGTCGATCCATTGATTCGCGGAATGTTCTCGCAGAACGTCAAGCGACCTCAACGAATTACGACGACAGTCACCGAGAATATGTTCGGATCCACCGATTTGTCATCGATTAATATTCAGGTAAAAATAGAGGCCCGACAAAAACAAATGAATCGTATGGGGGGAGATTTTCAGCGTGGACGAGATCATGGACATCCGGCCTACGTGAAATACCGAGAGCTTTGCGGAATGGGTACCGCGACAAGTTTTGATCATGTAGGAAAAAGAATTCAATAACAAATATATCAATTTTAATGAAATTTCAGTTTTCGCGCGAGATTCTTAACACCGGCACACGCAACAAACTTCAGAAAGTTTACGGAACCGTTGATCGCGTCGATCTTTGGGTCGGTGCCCTTCTTGAAGATCCCATCATTCGCGGATTAGTTGGTCCCACCGTCGCGTGCATTATTGGTCCGCAATTCAAGCGAACGAGAGACGGCGATCGATTCTACTACGAAAATCCGGGCGTGTTTACGAGACGGCAACTCGTCGAAATCCGCAAAAGCTCGTTGAGCCGCATTATTTGCGATAATACCAACACCATTCAGGTAATAAAACCCTTATATATGGATATAGATAGTCGTAATTTTTTTGTGATTTTCAGATGGTCCCACGCGAGGCGTTCCGTGTTGGGCATATGGTCCCTTGTTCACAGGTGCCCTCAATGGATCTCTCAAAGTGGCGCGAATTCTAAACACATCTTTTCAATACTGTTCCTTTCAAAATGCGGGCTTTGGGCAATTCGTGATTCGCTTGACAAAATGCTCATTTTCATATTCTTGTGTTCTTTTCCCATTTCATTGCATTTTACTGCCTGATTATTATGTTTTTTTTTTGTTTGAACGCTTTTTATATAATGAATGAAGAGGTTAGACAATAAATAGTCTGAAAATCGCGATGAAATGTTTAATAAAAATCGAAAAATAGGCCATTCTTAAAATTTAAAAATAGACGTCGTGAGATAAAATGCAGTACGTGCAAACACCGACTATTGAAACTGCGGAATTATTTGAAACGCGGTGCCATTTTTTGTATTTTGCTGCCGTCTCCACACAAAATCGATTGTCGAAAATGATTCGAATTCCAGAAAATATGAAAATTAATGCGTTTGCGTTGCGAAACGCAAAGAACTGCGAATTCAATTCGAAAACCGGAAATTGTGTAGCGCCGTCGATTCGCAAACGACGCTACGTCAATTGCGCGCACTGCCCGCGTTTTAGTGTAAATCGTTCGCCGTCGCAATCTTTCGGTTGTGTGCAAATTCGACAATTCTTCCCTATTTTATGAGCTCGTTGGGTTTAAGGTTCAAAGAATGCGCAAACTAGTAATCCCAAAATACTACGGACGTCCCTCGATTGGTATGTTTGAGGAAATTAGGCGACAAAAATTTGCGCAAAATTTTTGCAAATTGCAGGTTTGGCTCTATTCGGCTGCACGAATCGCCCATTCTATCATATTTGCGTATTTCCGGATCGTGCGCTTGGTCGCCGCTACGAGAGTAATATTCTAGAGCAGGTAAGCGAAATGAATTAGACGAAAAATAGGAATAATAATAATAATAATTTCGAGGTCGGCACATTTGACCCACTGCCGAACACGCGCAACGAGAAGCTAGTGGCGCTAAACTACGGCCGCCTCAAATATTGGATAGGCGAACGAAACGCGCACATTTCGGTGCCCGTCCTCGAATTGCTCGGAATCGGCGGCCTGTTCCCGGTGCACCCGAAAACGCTGTTGCGCGCCAAAGACAATCGCGAGAAATTGGCGGCGCGGCAAACGGAAACCATCGACGAGGTTCGTGTGTGAATTCATATGCATTTATTCTTATTCGTCTCATTTTCTTTCTTCTTTTTTGCAGGCCGTCACCGAATCAGCCGCTGCCAATTAAATCGACCAATATTTATATTATTGTGTGTGTGTGTGTCTCTCAATCTCTGTTAGAACTATAAATAGATAAAGAAATCATGTTTAATCAACTACTACTACTACTACTACTACTACCTTTGTCATCTGCTCTTCAACAATTATCAAATATTTTCGACAATCCTGACGAGTGCTATAACGGATCGCTTATCGCCTATCCTACCGATGATTATGACATTTATACGGTCTATGAGGAGACGTCGACGTGTATTCGAGCGTTTCACCGCGAAAAAGGTGATCAAACACTTATTTTGGATTTAAAAATATCCCATCGACTTTTTCTAGAGGAGCCATCGCGAAAATGCCCGCCACATTTGATGGATTTCGACGTGCAGCCAATATTGAAATGGCGCGAGGACGCCAGGTACGGTAGACTGAGGGTGGGGAATTTGTGTGCAATATTGCGTCGCGGTGTTTGCGCACAATTTCGAATGATGCCCGAAAAAATCGATTTACTTTTTTCTGCAGAAATGTTGAATATGTCGCGCTTAAAGTGATGATCACTTCGCATTATCGGGTCTCATCGATCTTCTATCGATATGAATGCGTGTTCGCTCAAGATGGAGCTGACGTCTATTGTTCGACGCCGGTTCGCAAAAATCCGCCGTGTCGAGGCCTCAATATTGATTCGAATGCGACGATGGTCGGCACGCCGATTCGTTTGGCGTATAATTGTTTCGTCATGACGGCTTATTCGGTTTATAGGCTGAACGCCACGATTTTTCCGCAAAATTGCAAGTAGGAGGGCAACATTTTTTTTGTGTTTCTTGAGTTTGAATCAATGTTTCAGAGTTTCGCTGAAAGTCACAATGCCGCAAATTCGTCACTTATTCCCGAAGGGTTCGATTCAAAAAAGCGACGAGGTTTGGTTATTTTGCGGAAATTCCAGTTTTCAACTCGGAAACTTTTCCAGCTTGTTTGGGCTCCTGGCCTTATTGTCGACGAAACCGATGATGACGCTATTGTTATTAGAGCTTTCAAGGAAAAAGAAGCGCCGTGTAAGAATTTTTTTTGGTATTAATATAGATTTTTGGAAAATTGTGGGATTTCTTGTTTAAATTGCAAACAGTGTCGTTGAAATGCCCAAAAATTGAAAGAAAATTGTCAATTCTTCCGATTTCATTTGAAAAATGCTAGTTTTGCCATTAAAATGCTTAACATCAAAAACGAGCGAGATTTCTAAAAAGCAATGCTGAAATATCTAGAATTTGTTATGATTTCTTTTTTTTGTTTCAAGGCGACACCATCGACGTGAATATATACCAACACACGAACGGCTCATACAAATTCATCAACGAGTATGTGCTCGAATGCCCAAATTTGGAAGCGATTCGTTGGGAGAACGCGCGCGAAGGCGATTATATCATTTTTGCGAGCGTCCCGTTGGCCGGTTGCCAATTCTCGTGTCACGATGTCAAAACGGTGAGGCGATTTTCGGAGCCATTATGACTTGTTTGATTTTTAGCCGTGTGTTCAATGCGTTCGATCTCAAATGCACATTACGGTACCTTTCGATAGGCGCGCGATGATTTGGAAATTGCGCGACACCGTCGTCGATCATTCGTTGGAAATTCTGGTGAGTGAGGCTCACCGTTGGGTTTGTAGGCGTTTGAGATTTGGTCAAGATGATTTTATTGAGTCCAATAGGTCAAAGTGAGAGAACTTCTAAAGTAGATCATACCTACAAACAGTAGAGAATTATAAGAGACACAGAGAAAAAAAGCGAGAAACGTAGATCGAATGAGCGATTTCTATAAGGCATGTTTGTGGGCACTATAAGATGATTCAAATCATCGCTACATTAATATTTCATTTTTGCGTTGAAGGTCTGCATCGCACTCATCCTTCTATTGATTGCTGTCGCCGTTTCGGCGGCGCTCTTATTCAAATGGTATCGTGACTCGCGAATCGTACGCGAAATCGAGATGGACGAGTTCGTCAAGACGATGATATTGTATTCGGACGATTGCACACAGCACACCGAATGTGTGACGGCGGCGATCGATTGTCTGAGAGGCGCCGGAAAAGTGAACGCGTTGTTTGACGTCGATTTCATCGCCGAATTGGGTTCGTTGCTCGTTTCATTTATTTTTTTTCTCAATTTTTTTTGAAACATTGGACCGTTTTCAGTTTTGAGGCTTTCAAAAATTGTGATTTTAGCAATATTTTGAGCATTTTTTTCTCTTAGAACGTTTTCAAAATTTGGACCATTGAAAATAATTGCGATTTTCTTTTATTTTCTGACATTGAGACTCATTTGCGAAATTTTGAGATTAGAAGTTTTTTCGAATTGGTTTTCTCGAAACGAAATCGTTCGCTTTGAGACCGCTTCGGCATAAAAAAAGTGGTGAAAATGAGAATGACGGAAATTTTCGATATTTGCAAATAATTTTTGAATGAAAAATTGATGGGGAACAAAAAAAAATGCTGTGCAGGTTTCCAACCGTTTCGCTGGATTTGCACGGCGTTCGTCGAAGCGCAGAAGCATTTGATATTCGTCTCGCCGTGCACATCGAAATACTTCGACGCCGACTTCATCGCCGGCCACCAATTGCAGCAGACTCGACCGCTGCCGGATTTGTTTCGCCTATCGATTGACATGATCGTCCGGGTGAGTCGAATCGCGTCCGACGTTCTTGTCGAATCGATGAAATCTTGCAGGAGTGCGGTTTGAATCCGCAACTCGCGCGAAAACGCTTTTGCATTGTCACGTTTCCCTACTTCACCGAAATTCCGGAGCAATTGCGGACGCTTGGATTGCCGGTTTTTAAAAGTGAGGCGTGTTTAGTAGAAGATTAGGGGAACCCAAAAAAAAACCAGAATCGGTGCAAGAATCAAAATTGATTTTTTCTAATGCGCCTTTAAATCTGATAGAGACAAAATTGTAAGAAAATTGGCAAAAATTTAGAGAGTGGTCTTAGTGCGCTGGTAGCCCCAAAATTGTGTTTCGGTAGATCAAAAAGAAACAAAGGAGTCGAGTGTAATTTATATTGTCAAACTGCAACGAAATTGGAAAACATTCGAGAAAAGGTCTCGATGTGCCTTGAACATGTTCATATACCCAGAATCCGTAAATCTACACCATCAGTTTTGCGTCGAGACCACTATTTTTTGGAATTTGGCCAATTTTTCGCAGTCTCGCGACGCTGTCAACATAATCATTTAAAAAATGTACGATTAAAGGCGTATATCTGTAGATTTCGGATTTTTTGAGAGCAGTTTTTCGAATTTAAAAAAAAATCATAAGGAACATGTTAAAATTGTCGATTTCATAAGAAATTGTTTTGCAGTTCCTCAAGAATTTGCGCTGCTCACCGTATTTTTGCACAGTTTCAAGAATGCCGAACGCTCGAATTGGTCGATAATTGTAGGCGATTGGTTTTGTTTTGAAAAATGGTGTGGAAAACAAAAATCGTTTAGATTCCTGACGAGTTGTCGGAGAGATTGGACGCTCGAATCGAGGAGATGCGCAAATTTTGCGCCGACAATCCCGGATGGCAGGAATCGCGATGGGTTCGACGAGAAGTAGGCCAATTTGATTGTTTTTTTTTTTTTTGGAATTTATGGATTTTTGGCGAAAAAATGACGAAATTTGAAAAATTTGGCGTTTTTTGGGGGGAAAATTGCGATTTTTTTTGTTTTTTTTTTCTTTTTTTAATAGAAAACATTTTTGAAGAAAAGCAGAGGGGAAGAACTTGAAGAATCTTAGATTTTTTTTTGAGAAAATGGTATTTTGTGGGAAATGCGCGAAAATTTGTTAGAATTGACATTTTTGCTCTAGAAATTTGCGGAAATGTGGAATTTCTCAATGAAAATTGGAAGAAAATCGAACAATTTGACGAAAAACTCGAAGAAAATTTGGTGTTTTTATTGAAAATTGAAGAATTTTTCCCCCAAAACATGAAACTTTTTTATTTTATTCAAAATTGCTTCAAATTGACCTTTGACCTCTAGAAATTTGTAGAAATTTGAATTTTTGTTGTGAGATTTTGAAGAAAATTAAAAAAAAAATGGAAAATGTATGATTTTTAATGGAAAAATTGGACTTTGACCTTTGATCCATGTGAAATTGATTTTTTTTTCTCAAAAAATTATGATTTGCAGGAAATAGCGCCAATTTCGATCGGACCACCGCCACAAATGGAGGCGGGACGGCCGGCGGATCTCACTGATGAGGATCGCATTCGAATATCCAACGAATTGGGACTATTGCCGCCCGACTCGAGTTCGGAGGACTCCGAATCCGAAATGAACATCGAGGTTTTCGAGCGATCCGAATCGGAAGCTGAAGTCGAAAACGAGCGATCCGAGGCTCAAGGAGATGTTGGTGAGAACGAAGATGTGCCATTGATAAAAAATTGAAAATGGGTGAATAAATGGTTCAAAACCGGACTTGGACTTGTTTTTTTTTGTGGTTTTTTCCATGATTTTCGACGTTTATTTGATGAATTTTACGCGAATATTTCTATTTGGCTTATTGTGCAGAAGCATGGAGCCGACGAGTAGTGCGAGCAATGAGGAGGCATCGATTGGGCCGAATGATGGTTGGTTTCTTTTCTTTTTTTTTGGAAGCAAAGGTCTTGCGCGTTATTTTTTCATTGGAAATTGATAGATTTTCCTCGAATTGATCAAAAAATTGTTTTTTTTTTGTGAATAAAATTCGAAAAATGCATTTTTGTTCGCAATTCCAAGTGATTTTTAGTGCGGTTCTCGAAGAAAATGCAAAATTTGGATTTTTCTTCAGATTTGATTTGAAGAGATTCGTTTTTTCAAGCATTTTTTTGAACTTTTTCGACCTCTACAAAAAGAAAACGCGAGTTTTGCAGAATTTTTGGACACATTTGGGCTTGAATTGCTCGGAAAATGCGATTTTTTCAGATTCTCGACCATCTACAAGCGGCGAAATTGGCGAAGGCGAGAAGATTGGCGAAAAACGCCACAAGTTGGTTGATTTGTTTTTTTTTAAATTTCATTTAAAAACAGAAAAGAGCATCTTGAGTAATTGTGGACCATCGTGGTTTTTCTTTCAAGGCGGTAGATCAAATTCGAATTTGGGTACTGGATAAATTCGAAACCAATTGAATTCGGAATTTATCCGATCCGATTGGTTTTGGATTAGAAGGGACCACGCGAATGCGATTCCCAATATGTATTTTCATTTTAAATCAATCGAAATTTCGTTTCTCAGATGCCACCAATGCGATTATTCGGCGAAATATCCGAGTAAAGTTCGCCGACACGCCGAATCGGCTCATCGCGATTCGTCGAGCGGCGGCGTTCGATGGTACGAGTGTCCGCAGGCGAGATGCGCCGACAAATTCACCACGTTTTTGGAGGTCCGACGACATTTGGCCGACAAACATCCGCTAACGCATCAATGTCCGCATTGCAAATATGAGAATAAGGTTTTTTTTGGTTTTTTGATTCAAAAATGTTAAAAATTGACAATTTTGAGCGGTTTTACTCGAAAAAATGTGAATTTGTGACAAAAATGCCGGATTTTTTGGCAAATTGTGCAGTTTTGAGCGCAAATATCGTTGAGAAATTGCAAATGTCAATTTTTGGCGAATATTTTTGCCTTTTTTTAAGAAAATAAAAGCAGGATATCTTGCTTGTTTGAAATTTGGCAGATTTAAGCGAAAAAGTGTGACGAACTCTTTTTTTGGGCGAAAAATGTTGAAATATTAGAAATTTCAAAAAAATTATGAAGAATTGTCATTTTTGAGAGCGAGAGAGTTTTTAGGCGAAAAATTTGGTGAAATTGGGAATTTTTGAAAATTTTCATTTTTGAGAGCCTTTTAAGGCAAAAAATTAGAGAAACTGGGAATTTTTGAAAAATTTGTGAAAAATTGCCATTTTTGAGAGCTTTTTAGGAAAAAAATGTTGAAAACTTCGGAATTTGAAAAAAAAGTTGTGAAAAATTGCCATTTTTGAGAGCCTTTTAGGCGAAAAATTGGAGAAACTTCAACTTTTTAACGATTTATTTTAATTCGACGATTCTAATTGCAAAAAAAATGTCAAATTTTCAAAATAATTCTAATTTTTTTCCGAATTTTTGATCAAAACTATATTGATATTCACAATTTTTTCTCGATGCCTTCCAGAAACCCGCGTTCGTTCGTCGCCACATCGAACAGATGCACAATAATGGAATTCCGTGTCCAATTTTGGGTTGCGAGGCGAGAATCGCGAAGAATCGCCTCAGGTTTGATTTTTGGGGAAGAAACCAACAAAAAAATTTTCATTTTTTGATCTTTTTGTGAATTTTTTTTGCAGAAAACACCTGAAAGACGAGCACGCCGATCGCGGCGATGAGATTGTCGCGAAAAACTCGACGCCGTCGGTGAGAATCGCGAGAATCCGATGCGATGAGTGCGATTATGAGCCGGACTCGTGTAAAATTGGCGACAAATCGAGGCGAGACGACGTCGAAATGCACCGAGAGACGTAATTCGAATTTTTCGGCTTAATTTATTGTTGGAAAAAATGAGGAATGTGAAAAAAACTGCGGTGTTATCCGAGTCTTACCTACAGTAATCTCAACTGAAAATTATTTAATTAATAATTAATTTTTTTAAAATTATTTAATTACTTTGAAAAATATACAAAATTAATTAATTTTCCACTTTTTCAACAAAAATTTTCTTGAAACCATAAATTCGTTAAGAAAACACAGAAGAAAAAAATTATTTTAATAATTTTCAATTGAGATTACTGTGGCAAAGATTGAGCTGTGCGACTCGGTGTACACACACAATGCATTGGATATCGCTGCAGTTTTTCATATTCGTCATTTTTCCACAATAACATTTTCATAATTTTTTTTCCCCCAATTAGGATTCATGGGAGTGGCGTCGAATGCCCGCTGCGATGTGGACGGCGAATGCGAATCGAGGAGATCGACGAGCATCTCGCTGGCGACCATGCCGACGACGAACCATCAAAGAGCAATGAGCCCGACGATTCCGAATCGACGGCTGCCTCGTTGGCGACGATTGTTGGTGAGTTGGACTTTGACCTCTGTTGAAATTTATGAAAATTGATGGGTTTTGTGAAGAAAATAGTCTTTAATTTTGTGTTTTTTGTTGGAAATGCTTAAAAATTTGTTAAAATTGACATTTTTGCCTTGAAATTTGCGAAAAAATTTGGTAAAATTGGAACGTTTTTGATGATTTTTGATGGAAAATGAACTTTGACCTATCCAGAAATGGGAAATTAATGCCGACATTCTTTTTTTCGGAAAATTCTTTAAAAAAATGAAATTTGCTGAAATTTTGTTTTTTTTTTAATATTTGAAAAAAATTGTTAAAAATCTCTAAAATTGTCATAAAATTTTAGAGAAAACTAAAAAAGTTGGAAAATTTAAGATGGATTAATGAAAAATTGAATTTTGGACTTTGACCCTTTAAAAAATTGCCGATAACTGACGATTGGCCGAAAAAAATTGAGAAAATATTGAAAATTTCCACCAAAATGTTGAAAATTTGGATTTTTAAGAGATTTTCGAGCGGAAATCGAAAGAATCGCTGAGAAATGTGCATTATTCAGCGAAAATTTGGAAATGGTCAATTTTTGGCCAAAAATTTATCGAAATATTTTTCTTCTTGAAAAAAAAAACTGGCAATTTTCTCATTAAAAATGCGCATTTTTTTTTTCAAGGTAATTTTAGCTTCTTTTTGTTGCCTTTTTTGTTGTTTTTTATTCAGAAAATGCGCATATTTAATTGGGAAAAATGATGAATTAAATATGGACAAGTTTTTTTTGCTCGAGGAAACGCGAAGAGCCTTTAAAAAATAGTGTCTGATTACTGTAGTCGAAAAAAAAAATGCAAGTTGTGGCAATTTTTAGAAAAATTGGAATTTTCCGTTAAAAATGGCACTTTTTTTAATGGAAAATTTTAATTATTGCCCATCTGACCCCTACGGACCATCGAAATTTGGAGCCCAACGATATTGTCATCTAATCGACCCCCCAAAAAAAATGTCAATTTGACAAATTTGGTGTTTTCGCGTGTTTTTTCTTTTCTTTTTGAGAGGTGGTAAACAAAAAAAGAAGCGGACCACGATGGCCTATGGTCGGTCTGGCTCAAATTGGTTTTGACACGAGAAATCGCCTAGAAAAAAATTTTCGTTTTCTTTTTTGTGAAAGAAATTGGAGAATTTGTGCGAAAATGATGGAGAAATTGGATTATTGCCGAGAAATTTTGATAATTTTATGAAATTGATTGGAATTTTTGAGGAAAAATGGTGTCAAAAGGCAAATTTATTGAAAAATTTGGATTTTTTAAAAGTAAAATTACTGGAAAGCGCATTTTTTTTTAACGGGAAATTAGTTTTTTTGAATTAAATTGTTGAAAATTGCGTTTTTCTTCCAAAAATGGTGATTTTTTTGAAGTAAAATTTGAAGTAAAAAGCGCTTTTTTAAATGTTTGATTTTTTTTTCAGAAAAATTATCTGAAAATTTTGATTTTTGGCAATTTGCCGCGAAATTTGAAAGGAAATCAAAAATTTTGGGATTTCTCAGAACAAAATTTTTTAAAAAATTTAAAAAATTTTAAAAAAAGAACGAATGAGCAATTTTGATTTTTTTTATTCATCAGAATCCGACGACGACGACGACGACGACGACGAACCGAAAATTGCGGAGAATCGCGGCGAATCGACGCCGACGCCAAACTTTGCGCCAATTTTGGCGAATTTCGCCAATTTTCAAGGTTTCATTTTTTCAAATCTTTTGTCTCAACAATTTTTTTTCATTGGCAGGAATATTTCAATGCTCGAATTGCGGAAAACGATTTATGACGAAAGAATACCTACGGAAACACATACGACGGGTAAATTTTTGCAATAAAATTAATTTTTGAATGGTAGATCACAAATTTTGCAATAGAGCGCGTTTGCTTTTTTGTCCTATAGACTCACGTTTTGACGGGTTTTTTTTTTCACTAAAATTGAGCATTTTTGAAATGGTAGATCACAAATTTTGCGATAGAGCGCGTTTGCTTTTTTGCCCTATAGACTCACGTTTTGACGGGTATTTTTTTCCACTAAAATTGAGCATTTTTGAAATGGTAGATCACAAATTTTGCGATAGAGCGCGTTTGCTGCTTGATGTCAAACTCGTTTCGTCTTTGTCGCGATTCCTCACCACAGCGCTTTCGATTCTTTTTGTCTTTCTGTGAATGCGCAACGGGGCGCACTTGCCGCCGGCGAAGAGAAATTATGTTTCCACCTGACGTGACGGCGCCCCGATTAATCGGAATATTTCCGGTATTTTGGGCGAGAATCGGTGGGTGTGTGTTTTTTTGTGTTTTCCGGTTTTGCCGGAAATTGAGCCACAAATAACTATACGTCTGAATGTATAGTTAGCAAATATATGGATATTAAAATTTGGAAATTTTTTTTGGGGGATTGAGAGTAGATCAAAAAACTGTTTTCCGTCGAAAATGGCGCGCATTTTTTGATTATTCGGTTGTAGATCACAAATTTAGCAATGGAGCGCGATTAAACAATAAATGAATTTTTGTTTTGTTTAAAGGTACATGAGCGAGCGTATGCGGAATGCCGCAAGGAGAATGGGAAGGCGAAGAAGTTTGCGTGTCCGTTCGTCGAATGCGGCAAATCGTTTGCGACGCGCGGCGGCGTCGCCGATCATCTGAACGAGCGGCACACCGGCGAGCGGCCGTATCGCTGCGAGACGTGTCGGCAGGATTTTGCGGCGCGCGCGCGATTCGCGGTGCACTTGAAGAAGTACCATCAGATGAGCATCAAATCCTACAATTTTGTTGGCCAACAATTGAATATCGCGAGATTTCAATGAAAAAATTTGTTGAGGTTTTATTTAATTTGCCAATTAAACACTCGAAATTGCCTTAATTGGTGCCTTTGATGATGTTGACGAACTCCTGAAAATCGATCATTCCGTCGTGATCCAAATCGCCCTGTCGAATCATTTCGCGCGCTTCGGCCTCGGTGAGCTTCTCGCCCAATTGGTACATGACGAAGAGGAGATCGTCGATCGAGATGAGCCCGTCGCCGTTTTTGTCGAACACGCCGAACACGTCGCGCAGTTCGCGCTCCTCGCGCGGATCACAAATCTGGCGATGGAGCACGTTGAGGAACTCGTCGATGTCGATGCAGCCGTTGCCGTCGAGATCGGCCTGCTCGATCATTTGCTCGATTTTCGAGTTGGACGCCTTCTCGCCAAGTTGAAGAAGTGCCACCTAGATTCGTTCGACGTCATTTTTGTCTTGTATGAACAATTCGAAATTTTTTGGTGGAAAATTGAGGAAATTTGAAATTTTTTGGCGCGAATTTCAATGATTTTGACACGATTTTGCGAATTTTCTGAGGAAATTTGAGTTTTTCGAGAATTTTCGAATATTTTTACACCATTTTGACATTTTTTTTTTGGCGAAAATTGAGTTTTAGAAGAATTTTGAAACTTTTTTTGGTGTTTTTTGAAACCTATTTTGGCAGTTTTTTTTTGAGGAAATTGAGGTTTTCACGAATTTTTGAATTTTTTTTTGGGGAAAATTTCAAAATTTTGGCTTTTTTTTGCAATTTTTCAGTTTTTTCGAAAGAATTAATAGATTTTTTAAAGTGCCAAAATTAAAAATAAATTTTTTAATTTTTATAACCAAATTTGAACTGTATTTTTTTTTTCAACAAAATTTGGTGATTTTTCATCAATTATGTTTTTTCAAGCGTTTTCTCAAAAAAAATGAGGATTTACTCGAAATTTCAATTTTTCTTTGAGTTTTCTCGCGAGTTTTCGATTTTCGACAAATTTTCATCAAAAATTCACGGAAAAATGATGTCAGGTCTGGCGAAAATCCATGATTTTCGTCATAAATTTTTGATATTTTGTTTCGTTTTGAAAATGAGCGGCTAGGGACCACAAAATGATGACGAGTGCCTCGATGGATGTGAAATTCTGCAAAATCGCGTCAATTTCAATGCATTACAGTATCTTTTAATTTCCCAAAATTCCGCAAAATCGCGTCAATTTTAATGCATTTTAAAAGTTCACAAAATTCCGCAAAATCGCGTCAATTTTAATGCATTTTAAAAGTTCACAAAATTCCGCAAAATCGCGTCAATTTTAATGCATTTTAAAAGTTCACAAAATTCCGCAAAATCGCGTCAATTTTAATGCATTTTAAAAGTTCACAAAATTCCGCAAAATCGCGTCAATTTTAATGCATTTTAAAAGTTCACAAAATTCCGCAAAATCGCGTCAATTTTAATGCATTTTAAAAGTTCACAAAATCGCGTCAATTTCGAAGCATTAAAATTGTTTTTCCAAATTCCCAAAATTCCGCAAAATCGCGTCAATTTCGATGCATTTAAAAAATTCACAAAATTCCGCAACATCGCGTCAAATTCGACGTCTCAACGAAAAAAAAAATTGAAAAATTCTGCTGGGGACCATCGAATACCTCCAATTCCTGCCGGGTGATTCGTCCGTCGCCATTCTTGTCAAACTCTTTGAAGACTTCTCGAATTTCGGCCTCTTTGAGCGCATCCATTCCTTAATTATTCCGATAATTGCATGCCTAATTAAGTATGAATATTCATAGGGAGCCCATCGAAAAAGAAACGTTGTTGTTGTTGTTGATGGTCCCTTATTTGGAAATTCGACACCTAGTTCGAAATAAGGGACCATTCAAACTTTAACGTGCTAGAATAACTAAAAATAAATCCGTGAAATGTCGTCAAATGCGGTGTTTGCAGAAATTGTCAGATTTCAAGCCGAAGTCCGCAATTTGGCGTCAATTCCGATGCGAATTGTTGGTTGCAATTCGCACGACAAGTGGGGGGCTCAAAATGCAAAAAAAAGAGGCAAATGAGAATGACAAGTGCTCAACTGGGGGTATTAGGCTCGACGCGACGCCTAGGCCACGCCCACACCTCACCGCTCACTTTATGGTCCCAATAAATTTATTGTCGTTGCGGCGAGGTCGAGATAAATCAAATTGAGAAATGAGGGCCCAATTTTTTTTTCTGTCGGTTTGGTGCCAGGAAATTGCACCCAAATTTGGGCAGATTAATTTGAGAAAAAGAAAATTGATTGAAATTGATTTTTTGACGAAATGAAAATTTTGCGGAAAAAATTAGAAATTGTGGATTTTTTTCCGAGAAAATTGAAGGATTTTGCATTTTTCACGAAAAAAAAGTGACAAAAATAAAAAATTTTCGAGAAAATTTATAAAAATTGAGAGATTTTCGAGAAAATTGAAGAATTTTGAAATTTTTACGAAAAAAAATTGCAAAAATAATTTTTTTGGAGAAAATTTATAAAAATTGAGGAAATCGTTTTTTGAAAACGAAGATTTTGAAGAAAATTGAAGAATTTCGAATATTTTATAAAAATTCGATGATTTTTTGAAAAACTTGATAAAATTTTAAGATATTTGCAAAAGTTGAGGAATTTTGAATTTTTTTAAGAAAAAAATGACGAAAATAATTTTTTTAAAGAAAATTTATAAAAATTGAGAAATTTCAGAGAAAATTTGAGAATTTTGAAATTTTTACGAAAAAAAAGTGACAAAAATAAAAATTTTTGGAGAAAATTGAAGAATTTCGATTATTTTATAAAAAATCGAGGATTTTTTTGAAAAACATGATAAAATTCTAAATTTATTTATGAAAATTGATGAATTTTGAAATTTTCAACAAGAAAATTGAAAAAAATTTAGCATTATTTTGCGAATCTTCAAAATTGGCGCATTTTTTCTCGAAAAAACGCATAGTTTTAATAGGAAAAGTGTAGCTATATGAATAGCTAATGGGGGACACACCATATTTTTGGTTGAAATCGTGCAGTTGGCGGCTTCTCTCATGGGTAAAATTAGTCCATCTCTTTCATTGGATTCGCGAAGTGCATATTTTTGGGCGGCGACGAAAATAAAAACGGAAAAATGCATTAAAATTCGCACAAAAAATCGAATTTTCCATCAAAATTGGGCCCAAAAAATGCGAAAAATTGTCGATTTTTTCCAAATTGTGTGGAAGAAGGGCTCAATGAGCACTAACAATGAGCAACTTGGGACAATTTTCGTGTCAATCATTCGAGTTGATTTTTTTCGACTTGTGAAATTGTGTGCCGCGCGAACGCATCAAATGTGTGCGGCGAATGGTTGCTTGTGGCTCCGCCCACTTCGAAAATTTTATTTCTGTTTTTTTTTTTCGAATTTTTTTCTTTCGACAACTTTCCGACTTTTTAGGGACCATCAAGTGCAGATGCCGACAAATTCGTCATGTTTTGACCCGAAATAGACGATAACGAACAGGCGAATTCAATTTTGTGCACCAAATTTTTTTTTTGCAATCGCAATTTTTTTTGTTGGGGGGAAATTTCGACGCGCAAAAACAAGGGAGAGTTTTTGGCGACAATCTGACGTCGTCGAACGCTTCTGAGAATATTTTATGCTTGAATTGAGCTAATTTGAAGAGCAGCCGTCGAAAAAGAAATTTCGGGCGGATGTGAGATTTGCAATTGGAAAATTTGGCGAAATTTACACAAATTAGTCCAAAATTTGGGCATTTTTCGATAATTTTGACACCTGATGGTTGAAGTTTCAAAAATTGGCAACCTGGAATGATGTCCACAGAAGAGTTTCACTATAATGAAAGGATACAGTTAAAGGTACATGATTTTTATTTGCTCTGGTCTTACAGTGAACAGTACTGTATACCAAAATTTTATCGTCCATATTTCGAATTTTAAGAAAATTTGTTGTTTTTTTTTAAATTATACGTTACACAAACGAAATTCCCAACTCAAATTTTGAATTGCCGCCTCGAAAAATAAGTGCGGTGGTCCACAATTATTCACGTCACTCGTTTTTTTGCGACGGAAATAATAGGATTTGTGCTTTCAAAATTTGGTTTTCAGAAATATCTCAAGAAAAAAAGGGAAAATGGTTAAATGTTTTGTTTTTCTAATGAAAAATTAAATACATATCCGTTTTTAAGAAATCGAAATGTCGCGTAAAGTAAATATGAGGTTTTAATTTTTTAATTAAACAAAAAAAATTTGTATTGATTTCAAAGGAATTTCTTCTTAATTTCTTCTCGTTCTTCGACGTTTTCTCGAAAGAAAAAAATTGGCAGCAATTTTGTGACTCATTCTGCGTGAGGTTTCAATTTTTTTCGTTGCAACGTTCCCGTCCGCCGCCGATTATTCGAATACTAATGGAATATTTGTGCGCAATATGTTTTTTTTTTTTCAAAAAATTTATAATCGCCTCGGCAAACACACACCGTTTGCAAACTTTGAACTCAAAAAATTCCACATTTGGTATAAATAAAACCAATTCCGACACAAACGATGCAATTCAATTTCGTGCCCTCAACAATTCTTCTTCTTTTTTTAAATTCATTAGTTCAAATTATTTTGTTTTTGCCACCAGGAATAGTGCAAAAATGTTTTTCAATTAATTAATTAATTGCCCAATTAAGTGCACCACTATTTAAGGCTGCCGAAAACTAGTCTCCAAAGGTTTCAATGGTCCATATTTGGACTTATTTATGCGCTCTTTTTCCTCCAGCCAACCAACTGCCTTCTTTTTCCATCTTTTTCTTTTTTCTTCTCTTTGCTCGGCTGGTTGCTCACCTCTCTCACTCCTTCGTTTTTATATATATATATATATATATATATCTTTTTGGCTCATGTGATCGATCTCTTGGATTGTTACGAAACAGATTGGTAAACATTCTCTCTCATTCTTTCTTTCTTTTTCTTTTTTTTTGCTACTTCTCATTATTAATCCTTGTTATTGAGATGGGGGGGGGATGAAGCGAAGACTAATCCGTTGATGGTTCTCTCTCTTCTCAATGTTCGTCATTTTCAGAAATGACAGCGACGACGAGCAGCGGACGCGAGAAGAAGTTCGCCAGCGAGCCGCGGCCGCCGGCGATCACGAAACGACGCGACGAGCGACTCAAGACGTTTCGATCGTTCGATGAGATCACCGAATCCGAAGAGGAGGATTCTCATGAGCCGATGAGCAGCGGCAGCAGTCGAAGTGTCAGCACCGCGTCCGAACGATCGCCATATGCCGCGTGCGATACCAAGGAGACGAGGAATACCAGAAGTTTCTCATTGACGAGCAATCCGCTGCTCTCGCCGAAAACTGTTAGGTAGGCCGATTTAGTTATTTTTTGCTAGGCTTCTTCTGAATAGTCAGATATTTCTATAATTGCAGGTATGGTGCTCCCCGACTGTCAAGAGGATTCTCGGATCCAGCGATTCGTCGAAAAACTTCACTTCCTAACATTATCTATCCGGAACATGAGGCCGATTTTCTTGGTAACACTTTTAAAGCTCTTTTTTTCTCTTCATTCCGATTTTGAAGCTCTTCCACCGATTCCGGAAGCGACGACGCCGGCTTCACCATCTTCCGGTTCCTCCAAAATCCAATTCCAATAAATTATTATTATTTGTTGTTTCTTTTTTAAAAAAATAATAATGTGATAAATCTTACAGGCTTTTTTATTAATCGTCTCATAAAGCGATTATTAGTGGAATTATTATTTTCCGACGCCGAGTCCCGAGCCGACGCCGATGCCTTTGGTTCCCGGCGCGTCGACGCCGACACCGCCGCTGATGCCGACAACACCGCCGCCCTTCTGATTCGGATCGTCTTGACCGCGTCGAAACGCCTCGGGCGTCTTCGAGCCCATGATGCCGAGATCGAGGCCGACACCGACGCCGACACTCTCGCCCATGCCGGGAATCGGGCCGACGTCGACACCCCAACCGACGCCGACCTCGAGGCCGGGCACCGCGCCGACACCGAACCCGAAATGGCCGTTGACGTCGACGTGCCCAACGGATTTGTCGCCGACGGGCGGGCCCATTCGAGGTCCCGGCAATCGATGAAAGTTGGGAACGTTGCAGAACGCCGAGTAATCCTGCACCAATGAGATGAAAGGAATGCTTCTTGAGAATCAAACCTTGCAAAACTCGACGAGGTCCAATCGCAGCGGCTTACTCGGCGCGCACGTGTAAGCGAACATCGCCTTCATATCCGGACAATACCGCTGATCTTTGGGATGAAGGTTGGGATACACTCGATACAGTAATGGGTCCTGCCGCGGCTGCTGATAGTAGTATGGATAATAGCCTTGGTGATGATGTTTGCGGTGTTTGCGATGCTTGCCGATTCGCGACGGCAGCTCTTCGGTGTAGGGCGCGCGTGTGGAGAGCGTCTCGAACGGATCGTCGCCGCCGTCTTGAATCACGCCATCCTTGGATTGCTGAAAATTGAATTAGGGAGCCAATTGACGTCGGGTGACCTACGCCGGCGAGCTGCTCCAACCGGTGCGCCGTCAAACCGTCGCCGTTGATGATTTTCGACGAACGCGCGCGATGGCCGCCTAAAAGAGAAACGTCAATCAATTTCGTGGTCATCTGAAGGCCAACTTGAACACATTTTCAGATTTGGCGAGGACTTGCACAGCTCGTCTTTGGAGAACTCGAGGAATCGATCACCGCCTAGATATATTATATGCTATATATTTGGATATCGTTTAATTAGCTATATACCATAGACTGATGATGATGATAGTATTAGACAAAGGAGTAGACGCATGTCTGACGAGAAGAACAAAAAAAAATGTCGAGTGATAAAGGTTGTCATTCTTGTACACAGTTTCTTTTGGGGCGCGACGTCTGCGTTTCGCGTATCGGGCGTTGTTCAAATTTCAGACGCCCCCGATTTTTGTGTACGACGCGCGATTAATTCGATGAAGGGGCGTGTGGTCGACGAGACGTTTGACTTTAAATTCTCAGGTGTCTCGAGAAAATTTCAAGAAATTCTGGATCTTCTTGCCGATTCGCATGATTTTGATGGAATTCGTCGCAAAATTTATAGGTGGCCGTGGCCGAGTATTGCAAATGCGCTCCATTGCACCGCGGCCACTATTAAATTTTCAATTGTTCGAGAAACATTTTCCCATGCATTTTTCGCGAGTTTCGTCGTCGATTCGTCGTTTTGTCGCGATTTTCTTGAATATTTCGTTGAATTCGCACATTTTAATGAGAAATTCTGAATATTGCGCGTGGAAAAAATTAAATTTCAGTGCGCAATGGCGAGAAAATTCGATTTTTAGGAACTTTGCGGGATTTTGCCTAGTAGGCGTTTTTGCGGAATGTTTTTGAGGATTTTTGCAATGATTTAAAGCTAATATGAATTAAAGAAATAAAAATTGCCGAAAAAATCACTTTTTGAGTTTTTTCTTCGTTTTATTTCATTAAAAATATTGTTTTTTGCAGAATGTTGCCCGTCCAGATTCTCAAGGACTCAGCACAAGAAGAGCGCGGCGAGAGCGCTCGTCTCAGCTCATTCGTTGGAGCCATCGCTATCGGTGATCTCGTCAAATCCACCCTTGGACCAAAGGGAATGGTAATAATCCGGAATACAAGTTCAAATCACAAATTCCCAATTTTAGGACAAGATTTTGATCAGCGGAGTTGCTGGTAACGATGGAATCAAGGTTACCAACGATGGTGCCACAATTCTAAAGTCGATTGGAGTTGACAACCCAGCCGCCAAGGTTCTTGTGGATATGTCGATGACTCAGGACAGCGAAGTTGGAGATGGCACCACTTCCGTCACCGTTTTGGCGGCGGAGCTTCTCAAAGAGGCCGAAAAGCTCATCAACCAAAGAATCCATCCACAAACGATTATCTCTGGTTACCGAAAAGCGTTGGGAATCGCTCAAGAAGCGCTGAAGAAGTCTAGCATCTCCTCGGGGTATTCAAAATATTTTTATGTTTATTTTTCAAACTTGGCGCAATTCCAGTGAGAAATTGCGCGAGGATCTTCTAAAAATCGCCGGAACCACTTTGGGATCGAAGATTCTCAGCCAGCACAAAGAGCACTTCGCTCAGCTCGCCGTTGATGCCGTCCTTCGACTCAAAGGCTCCGGAAACTTGGAAGCGATTCAGATTATCAAGAAGCTCGGCGGATCAATGAACGAGTCGTATTTGGATGAAGGATTCTTGCTCGAGAAGCTCCCTGGAATGTACCAGCCACGACGAATGGAGAAGGCCAAAGTGCTCATCGCTAACACTCCAATGGACACTGATAAGGTGAAGGTGTTCGGATCGCGTGTGAGAGTTGACGGTGTCGCGAAGGTCGCCGAACTCGAAGCCGCTGAGAAGCTAAAGATGAAGGAGAAGGTTGATAAGATTCTCGCGCACAACTGCAACGTTTTCATCAATCGCCAATTGATCTACAACTATCCGGAGCAGCTTTTCGCCGACGCCAAAGTCATGGCAATTGAGCACGCCGATTTCGAGGGAATCGAGCGTTTGGCTCTCGTTCTTGGCGGCGAGATCGTCTCGACGTTCGACTCGCCGGAAACCGCCAAATTCGGCTATTGCGATTTGATTGAGGAGATCATGATCGGCGAGGATCGACTTTTGCGGTTCTCCGGCGTGAAACTCGGAGAAGCGTGCTCGGTGGTGCTCCGCGGTGCCACTCAGCAGATTCTCGAGGAAGCTGAGAGATCACTTCATGACGCGCTGTGCGTACTGGTGACCCATGTTAAGGTAATTGCATTGATGAAAAAGAAAACTGAAGAAAAAAAATTTATAGGAAGCTAAGACCGTGGCTGGAGCCGGTGCTAGTGAGATTCTCATGAGCACCGCGATCGCTGTCGAAGCTCAAAAAGTTGCTGGCAAAGAGGCTCTAGCGGTTGAAGCGTTCGGAAGAGCCCTTCAGCAGCTGCCGACGATTATCTGCGATAACGCCGGATTGGATTCGGCGGAGCTTGTGACGCGCCTCCGCGCCGAGCACGCCAACGGACACCATAATATGGGAATCGGTAAGAATTCGGAGAAGAATCTTGTCGATTCATGATCATTTCATTGATTTGCAGACATTGAGAAGGGAGAAATCGCTGATGTCGTCGCTCTTGGCGTCATTGAGTCGTACAATGTGAAGCTTTGTATGGTCTCGTCGGCGGCTGAAGCCACTGAGCAGATTCTTCGTGTCGACGATATTATCAAGGCGGCACCGAGACCGAGACAACAAGACAACCGACCATGCTAAGTATATTAATTCAATTTTTTCATCATTTTTTGCCTAATATTCTCAATTGAGGTCATCGATCTCGGCATCTTCCTTTAATTCTTCTTCGATTTTTCCTCTTCTGTTCAGCTTTGCTCCGAATCTCGAAAATTTGTTAAGTTTTTCATTTATTTGCTTCCACACCCAATGATTTTTGTTTGAAAATGAAGTGCAAGTATTAATTGTTAAATTGTTTCGTGTCATGTTGTTCATGTCAGCTTTTCCTATCTCAATTTTCAATTCTCATATCTCAAGTCCTTCTATGGAAGGATTGTAGGATGCAGAGGAGTATTCCGAGGCTGATCCGAAATCGGGGAGGATTCTTGAAGGGCGTATTCAGCGGAGGGAAAACGGCTGAGAAGAGTCTCACGGTGGAAGAACGGGTTCGATTTTATGACAATTGAGCTGCCGAGAATATATTATTTGAAATAATTAAAAATTAGTGATTTTTTTTCGAAAGTTCTAATGTTTTATTCTTGAAATTTGAAAAATTAAGCTGCGGAACCTTTTGTCAATAAGTTTTTGGAGATTTTTTTTTGGAAATTTTACCGTAAATTACTAGAATAAAATAAAATGAAATCAGAAACGCTGTCATGTAAAAATTGGACTTCTGGCATTAGATTGGCCAATTTTGTCAAGCGAAATTAAGAAATATTTAATTTTTTTTGAATATTCTTAGCTGCGGACACAATTATTCTGAGAGCAATGGGACAATTTGAAAAGAAATTCGCTTCAGGAGCGGCTTCAAAAGACGTTGCCGAGTATTCGGGCTCGCGAATCGACGCCGACATCGGCGACCGGCGGCGAAATGTCGGAGTTCGACGCCGACGAGCTTCTCGACAATCGAATCGACACCGACGCGATTCGAGCTCGCGGTTTTCTCAAATACAAACGCAACTATGTGCCGTCAGCGGATGTGAAGCGCGAAATTCGCGAGATTTGCCGACGAATTTTGAGCGTCGACAATATCGACGAGTTTCGATTTGAACACGGCGACAATTCGAAAAAATTTGAGGTTTTTTTTGGTTTTGTCGCGAGTCCTACATTTTTTTTTTGAAGATTCTTCGAACGATTGGCGAGAAAATTGGGCATTGGCCGAACAATGGCAAATTGGTGCATTTGAAATCGATTGGCGACATTGTTGAGTTCTATGAGACGCCCTACAAGAATATTACGCCATATTCGGAGTAGAAAAAAGCAAGTTTGTTGATAATATATGACGATTTGTCTTCCAGACTTGCTCGTGACGAGAAAAAGCCGAAAAATGTGCATGTTTTGGAACAAGCGGTTCGATTCCATCCGGAAGACACTCATATGTATCATGGAGGTATGAAAAATAGAAAAATTGGATTGAAGCTCACTATTCTGGAATAAGTAGAAAAAAATTGGGGACCATTTTTTTACTTAAAAAATAGTTAAAAATTTCAAACACATATCCAATTTTGTTGAAATCTTCTTCAAGAAAAACTAGAAAAGACATTTCATTGCTAAAAAAAGAGGAAAATTCGACTGATGAGTTACACGGTTAGCCGCAGAATCCGAAATTTTGCTTTTTTTTTCGAATTATCACTAAAATATAGTGGGCGTCCGGCGACTGTTGTAGATTTACGGGGGATGCGTCTTTGTTTTTTGGTCTCGCTCGGATTAACTGATAACATTGCATATTATGACCCTGGGAAATGAAAATTAATCGGATTCGAAAATAATTTCTCTTTCAATCGAAAAATGGAATTTTTCGAAAATTTCAATCGACTACGATTTCAAAATTGAAAATGAGAAATAAATTAATCGATTTCGAAGAATTTTGAATCGAAAATCAAGTTTTCAAATCGAACTTAAACACTTTTTTCAAACGAATTTCAATTCGTTCGAATCAGGTTAATTTGATTTCAATTATCTTCGAATATGACTGATTTTGATTTATCTGAGGAATCGGTTCGATAATTTTAAATCGATTGACGCTGTAAATTCAAGAAACTGTCGAACTCATCAAGAAAAAAAATTAAGCTTCCACGCGTGTCGAGACCATTTCGAAAGGCGCGTCGCCGGACGCCGAGGACTACCGTAATTTTGATCGTTGTTCGGCGATTTTCCAAAATGTTTGACCCCTCGAATTTCAAAATTGCAACGCGTTTCCATCATTCGTCTGATAAACATGTTTTGTCGCGAACATACACGTCTAATCCTATCATCTCTGCGTGTCTCTCATTTTGTTTTCTATTTCTTTTTTGGTTCAATTTATCGTTCTTTGCACTATTACGCTTCAATTTTTGAATTCTTGATGATTTCATTATCACTAAAAAAAGAAATACTTGAGGATTTCAGATGGGCTCGCTCACGAGCGCCCGACGCCGCGGAGCCCGCCGGCGAGCCCAACTGATGATTGGAGGGGGGTGTGGCGTGCCGGACGAGATATGCGGAGACGAGGGATGTGCGGCAATGGGATTGGAGAAATTGACGAAGAAAAATTAAGTCGTCAAATTACCGGGTGTTCGAAAATTTAAACATTTTTCTCTTTAAGTCGCTGTGATCATTTTCAGCGAAAATTGGGGCTTAAAAACGCAACCTTTTTTTAAATTTTGGCCCGGCTGGAACGGAAATAAATTGGCAAATTTTCAGGTGTGACGGCATTTCCGGGCACCGGCGGCGAAGTGTTGTCGTTGCGCCAAAAGCGCCTATTGCGCCAATTCAATCCGAAAAAAGAATGGTTCGATTATGAGGATCAGACGTTTGACTATAAGCGGCATGATTCGAATATGCCGTGGGATCCGGAGATCGCCGAGCAAATGGACAGATATACCGACAAGAGATATAATTTGAAAACGAAACAATTTAGTCGAATAAGGCAATAGAGCGCACTTTGTTTTGATTATTATTATTATTATTATGATTGATAGCTTTTTTTTTTGTTAATAAACGCGTGAGTTTGACCTACCGAGAATTATTTGAACCGCGCGCGCGCGAATATTTTTCGCATTGCTTTTGTCGAAGAATGCTCGTTTCATTTCATTGTGCTTATCATTTTGTCTCGTCGTTTTTCATTAAACATCCGAAGTCGAGTGCGGCGAGCTCGTCGATGACGGCTGTTGGAAGGTATTTGTGCGCTTCGTTTCTTTTTTTTGTTGTTAAATCAAATTTCGTCCCATGAAATTGGCTGCCAGAGTTTTTAGGTAATGGTTTTTTTCGATGCGGAGACGAGTGGTACTGTAGATGAGTGTTTGGTGTAGGCACCGAGGCGCGAGATTGCGGACTTGTTAGGGGGTTTTTTGGTTGTCTCAAATTTTGGAAAATATTTCAGATTTTTTTGGATTTGCAAAATGATTGATTGTTTTAGTTTTTTTTAGCGAATGCGCAAAATTTTTCAATTGCTACTCAATTTGGTTGCCCCCAAAAAAGGAGAGTTTTATCTCGTCGAAAACCTTTGGTGTGATGTGCGATCAATGTTTATTGTTGACATGATAAGCCTCTCCTCGTCTTATCAATTTGAATGGTTTCGATTCAAAAACAATCGTTTGATTTTTCAAGAATCAATTCGGTTATGTTTTTTTGCCAAATGCATTTTTATCGCTGTTTGTGTGTGTGTGCGTATCTGAAACTTTGTGCAAGTCCCGTATGAACGCAATGGGTGCCAGATGGGGAGAAGAGCGCGAGGGAGAATGGAAATTGCGAGAAAAATTGCCAGTTGTTCGCCGTCGACGGCGGCGTTTTTTTTTGTTGTGTGCGGCGAGATAGCGTTGCAATTGCGGAGAGCGGTTAGAGAAAGAGGCGAGGACGTGCACATTGGCCATATTCTTCATTCGGCGCCCGCCCGAGGCCCTCGCCGCCGTCCGACGCGTTTTCAGAATCTCAGTCGAACCCGAAATGAAAGTTGAGAACCTCCATTCCTCAATATTTGCTTTTTGGAAAGCGCGAATAAATATGGTTTTTTTTTTGCCGCCCCAACGAACGACCTTGGTTTTTTCTCTTATTCTCAAGAATTGTTTTTTTGTTGCTGTCCCCCGGCCGTTCCGCCCGTATTTCGATTTCGCACTCTTGTCGCCTCGCCGCCGGCCAGCCGCGCCATCGATTTCCAGCCGCCCTTCCCCTCTTCCTCCTCCTAGTTGTTTTTGTGTTGTTGACTTGTTTACCATGATGATGCAATTTGTTGGTGTTTTTTTTTCAGGATGCCAATCACCAAGGTGCACGCACGCCAAATCTACGACTCTCGCGGTAATCCGACGGTCGAGGTTGACCTCTTCACCGAGAAGGGGGTGTTCCGCGCCGCTGTCCCATCGGGCGCGTCGACTGGCGTCCATGAGGCGTTGGAGCTTCGCGACGGCGACAAGGCCGTCCATCTCGGCAAGGGTGTCCTCAAGGCGGTCGCCAACATCAACGACAAAATCGCGCCGGCTCTCATCGCGAAAGGATTCGACGTGACTCAGCAGAAGGAGATTGACGAGTTCATGATTGCCCTTGACGGAACTGAGAACAAGGCGTCGCTTGGCGCCAACGCGATTCTGGGTGTCTCGTTGGCGGTGGCCAAGGCGGGAGCCGTCCACAAAGGTGTGCCGCTCTACAAGTACATCGCCGAGCTCGCCGGCGTCTCGAAGGTCGTCCTGCCGGTGCCGGCGTTCAACGTGATCAACGGCGGCTCGCACGCCGGCAACAAGCTCGCCATGCAGGAGTTTATGATTTTGCCGGTCGGCGCGACGAGTTTTGCCGAGGCGATGCGAATGGGCGCCGAGGTCTATCATCATTTGAAGGGCGAGATCAAGAAGCGCTACGGATTGGACGCGACCGCCGTTGGTGACGAGGGTGGCTTTGCGCCAAACATTCAGGACAACAAGGAGGGATTGGATCTGCTCAACACGGCCATCGCCAAAGCCGGCTATACGGGAAAGGTTGAAACGATGAGGTGCCATTTTCCAAGTGTCTCATTTTGCAGATCTCGATTGGAATGGACGTTGCCGCGTCGGAGTTCTACAAGGACGGCAAGTACGATTTGGACTTCAAGAACCCGCAATCGGACTCGTCGAAATGGCTGACCGGCGAGGAGCTCGCCGCCCTCTACCAGTCGTTCATCAAAGAGTACCCAGTCGTCTCTATTGAAGACGCGTTCGATCAGGATGATTGGGATAACTGGGGCAAGCTTCATGTGAGTCGCGCTTGACTCATCGGGCTTGACCATGATTTTTGTAATTGCAGGCGGCCACCAACATTCAATTGGTTGGCGATGATTTGACGGTGACGAATCCGAAGAGAATCATGACGGCGATTGAGAAGAAGTCGTGCAATTGTTTGTTGCTCAAGGTCAACCAGATTGGATCGGTGACCGAGTCGATCGAGGCGGCGAAATTGTCGCGCGCCAACGGATGGGGCGTGATGGTGTCGCATCGATCCGGCGAGACCGAGGACACGTTCATTGCGGACCTCGTCGTTGGTTTGGCGACGGGACAAATCAAGACAGGCGCGCCGTGCCGCTCGGAGCGTCTCGCCAAGTACAATCAGCTTTTGAGAATTGAGGAGGAGCTTGGTCCCGACGCGGTCTACGCTGGACTCAAATTCAGAAACCCGCAAGCCTAAGGTGTTGAATAATTTTGCAGCATTTTATTATGTAACCACACACTCATTTTAGTCGGCCTAACATTGTCTAATTTTATTTTTGCTGAATGATTTCAACACCACAAACAATGTAGAGTAGAATGTATTTATTTGAACGATTAAATAAAATGTGAATTTGCAAACGACTTGTTTTTTTTGTGCTTCTAAAAATGGAATATAGAGTTGATGCTCAATTTTTGCAAAAAAATATAATAATTGGCCGCACAATAACGTTTTTGTGGCGAGACCATGGTATCTATTGACATATGCGCCTTGAAACTTTAGTGCGATACGGTAATTTTTTGTTTTCCGTTTTAATTTTTTCAATTTTATAGAATTTTACCGCGTGAACGCCAATTTTTGGCAAAAATTATTTCTGAAATGAACGCCAATATGAATGTTTTAATAGTTTTTCTTGTTTCGATATGCGTTGTCCAATCGAACAAAGTGTTGGTGATTGTGAACAGCTACAAAGATCGCTGCCAAATGTCGTTGCCGAATATCAAAGAAGTGTCATATTGCCCGTTTAAGGTAGAATTTTTTTCGCTTTGCGATTTGCGTGATGAGCAATTTCAGACGGATCACGATGAGTCGCCGGTGACGAGCAATAATGAGATCAATCGGAGAGCGTGCGCCAGAGCGAAATTATTTCTTTTCGCCTATTACCCAATGGATAATATTGTGACGAAAAAAGATGAGGGTATGCGCCTTTAAATTGTGGCTATTCTTGTTTTTTTTTTTGAATTTTTCCAGCCATTGATTATAACACATTCCTCTATCGAATAAATAATGTGAGAGGCGATTTAAAGGCGCACGGCGATTGGTGAATTACAGACGTGGAAATTGTTGTATCCGAATCGAATGCCGCCGATTTCGGAGGCTGAGTTGAACGCGCAAAAGAATAATCGATACTATATATGGAATCCGCAGCTCAAATATGATGTACTGTCGTTGAGCGCCAAATCGCGGCAATTTTGCTTTTATAATCCAGGTTTTAATTGAAAATATTCGAAAAAACAATTGATTTGTGCATTTTTTCTTGCAAAAACAAAGGAAGTCGAGTTTATTATCCGAAACGCGATGAGATTTGCAAATTCGATTATTTCATATCGAATCGAGATGAGCTGGCGGCGTTCGTGTCAATGAATTGCACCGAGTTCACCGGCCGGCTCACGGTCACCGATCTGTTCGACATGGGATCGAAGTTCGAGTTGAAATTTGCGCGTTTGCGCCAAATCATTGGACAATTGTACGTGCACTCGCTGAAAATTGCGCGTTTGGAGTTTTCGGCGCTGAAATCGATTGTGCACACGACGCGCGACATTCGGAATGCGCGAGGTTCGTTTCGAGAATGGCGATTATTGATTTCTTTATTTTTTCTCGAATTCTCCCAGGTCCCGCCCTTTTGGTGGCCAACAATCCGCATTTGAAATCGCTGAAATTTGGCCAATTGTCGAATATCACTTGCGAATTCGAGCCGTGCTACGTGAATTTGAACAATTTCGAGCTGACAATCGATGGTGTCGAATTGGCGGCGAACAGTTTTTCGGCATCGCGAATTGCGCGCGACGCCGATTTCGTGCATTCGACGAGATCATGTGATGATGATAATCGTAATTATTTTCGTTTTTTTTTCGACGAGAATTCCTCATTTTTTCCAGAGTTTCTGCTATATTCCATATTTGTTACGAGCTTCTTCGGCGTTTTGCTCATTGTTTCGATTGTTTGGCCGTTTGTTTTCAAGAAGAAATCCGATTTTTAGCCATTATTTTGCCGTTGAAAATAAAGTTTTATTGGATTACAGTAATCGTCGCCGCAAGACCCTATCTAGATTTGAAAGCGCGCCTTTAATTTGTGTTACGGTAGGGTTTCAAAATTCCCCGCGATTTTCTCATGATTGCTTTATTTTTATTTGAAAAAAAAATCAGAAATGTGATGAAATGTGTGGGGTGATGTTGAAAAAAATGTTTTTTTTGTCTGTGGGCGCGGCAAATTGTGGAATTTTTTGCGCCGCATTCATTTTTTGACCAAATTTTATCGGGGGAAAGTTCAACGTCGAAACAGAAATCTTCCCATTTTCCAGTATTTGGCGTCCTTGTTGGTATTGGTACTTTTCTTGAATAATTATTACATTTAGAAAAAATAAAAAATCAAACGATAATTCAGAAGCATGGCTCTCAATGGCGATATGATGCTCCGCGAGCAGGTGCACGCGATGCGCACAAATGCGGGCCGCAAGCGTGCCACATCGCTTCAGAGTTTTTGCTCGGCCAACGCAGACTCCTCAACAGAAAGCGATGATGATATGTAAGAATGGATTTTTTTGGTTGAAAATTTTTCAAAGTCATTTTTTAGGCGGCTTTTGGTGGATTATCCACAGCAGAATGGGCGTCATAGAATGCGAACACGATTCAATAGTGATACGACGCCGGTTAGGAAGAGTTTTCGAAGAAAACTGAAGAAAATCGCCGCGAAAGACAAGTGATTTTTTCCAAATTTCTGCGTTGTTAACAGCAATTTTGATGAATATAGGAGATCGAAGAAGCCCGCTTCTGACGACGTCTTCTCGGGCGATGATGATGGAATCGAAGTGGCTCGTGGAGCACCAACGACGTATGCGGCGCCGTCGAAATTGCGCAAATCGAAAGCGCTCGATTGCCTCGTGTCGGACAAAATTGGCAAGCCGAGTATGGAGCCGGTGCTCACCGCGAGCATCGAGAACGCCAAGTGCCATTTGAACAATGTGCGAATGAAAGTGTTCGCGGCGAGAACTGCAATGCAATTGGAGCCGACGCTAGTGGACAACACCAGAAAGAATCTCGACGCGAAAAAATCGATATTGGTAGGAAATTTGGTGGCGGACGTAACCGAATGCGATTTCAGCCGACCAACACGTCGCCGGGAGCGTTTTCGCTTCAAGCCGCTTACAAATTGGCGTCGTCGCCGGACACGCGAATCGCGACGACGTTGTCGTGCGACGCGAAGCTCACACGCGAGGCGATGACGAATCTGATTCGCAACAGCTACGAGGACACGGCCATCACACAAGAGTTGTTGTTCTCGACGAAATTCGACACGAAATGGAAGAAGCGCTACACGAATTTGTATATGCGACGCGACGCCGATGGCAAACGGCCGAAGATGCCGGTGAACAATCAGGGATGGGTGATGCCGCTGAAGAGCATCTGCGAGAAGTTCGGCATCAACGCGTCGTTCTTCACCGACCATCGATTGGACCTGCATTCGGCTCGCGATCAGGTCCTTCTCATGAGGCTCTTGTCGAGGGATCAGACGAGCTCATGGATAAGCGGCATTCATCCGGAGGCTGTCAAGAATGAGCAGCTCGCTTCGTACCTTCTCAACTCGATGAATGCGAACACGATGATCAAACGCGTGCAGGCGTTCAAGGCGAATGTGTTGGCGGATCGAGATCGTGTCCGACAAGCCGGACAGTGTAAGCGATGCGCCTTTAAATTTGTCGTTTTAATGGTTTTTTCTTGTAGTCTACAATAACATACGAATCGGGAAGCGGATGTTCGGCGCGGCGAGAAAAGCGAAATTCATTTCGACGATCATTGGTGGAATGGAGCGCCGATTCGAGATTCTCGAGAACTCGGTGAACCACATACCGTTCACGCACGACGCCTCGTCGGCGAACGTCGACAAAATTCGAAATGCGCGGGTTCATTGCAAAGACGCGACGCGAGTGTGCCTCGAATTTCCGTACAATTGCGGCATGCACGATTTCATTCATGCGAATCGCGTTTCCGGTGGTCCGTTGTTCAACGAGTTCATTATGACACAAGCGCCGATGAGTAATACCGTTGGTAGGCCGACGAGAAGCCCTAGGCAATTGATTCGATGAGAACATTTTTTAGATGATTTTTGGCGAATGATTTGGCAAGAGGAGGTGCCTTATATTGTGATGCTCATTAGCCGCAAAGAGCAAGAGCGATGCGCGAATTATTGGCCGAGGTAAGCGCGCGCGCAACGGACCATTGAGAGCGTCGAAGCAATTGTTGCAGAAGTCCGGCGGACGCGGCGATTTGTGTGTCGGGCGGTGTGCGCGTCGAGAATTTCGGTGTGTACCAAGCGCCGGATCCGTTGTTCCGCGTCACACATTTGCGCCTGATTGGTCCCGATCAGGAAGAGCGCCACGTTGAGCATTGGCAGGGCGACTTGAACAACTCGTCGAATTTGTACTCGCCGCTCAACATTCTACGATTGCTTCGGAACACGTCGAAGCCGGTGGTGATTCACGACCATCTGGGGGTGTCGCGTGCCGCGTGCCTAGTCGCCGCCGAGATTGCGATTTGTAGTCTCCTCAAAGGACCCACCTATAAGGTGACGCATTAATTGTTCGATTCTCATGGATTCGATTTTCTTTTTGCAGTATCCCGTGCAGCGAGCCGTTCAGTTTTTGCGTCAACGTCGCGCGTTCGCCATCGAGACGCCAATGCAATACATTTTCGTGCATCGACTCGTCGCGTTCTTCTTTCGCGATGTGATGGGCCATGTGAAGGAGTTGGACGCCGATTATGACCGTTGGCTTCGCGACCGATCGCAGCGGATGTTCCTCGATGAGATTGATAGTCCGATTCCCGGTTATCGCCTACTATCGCCGAAAGCCGATCCCGATTTGGTGCGAATGGTCGGAAGGCCCGAACGGCCCAATTATAGACGGTTGGTTTTTTTTCCACTTCTTCAATGGTCCCACAAATGTTCTGTGTGATTGCTTTTTGTGTTGCAGAGAAGCGCCGGATTGTGTTGGCGAGATGCCGGGAAAGATGGCGTCCGACGCTGAAAGTATTCTATCGCCTCCGAAAAAGTTGCTTTTCGATTTTTGATCTACTAATTTTTTCCATTAAAAACTAACCTCCCTTCCCCCCTTCCACTTCTCATTCCACTTTAAACTGAAACTATGTTTTTTTTCTGTATTATACCAACCCTCTCAGCATGCCGCGCATGAATTCCACGTGTTTTTGGTTGTAAATATAATGGCTGTCACTTTCAACATATATTTCTTCCTCTTTTTTTGGTATAAAATTGTCATGTATGATTCTCTGTTTGTGTGTGCCTGTGTGCCTATCTCATTTCTTGATGGTTTTGACGACCATATTTGGTGTACTTTATCGAGAATTCATAGATTTTTTGATGTGGGATGGCGGGCGGGCGGCGCGCCGTCGGCTTTCTCGTGTTTTGGGGCGTGGCGTTCCCCCCCCCCGTTCTCTGCCGGCCGATTGGCAGCTGTTGCACTTTTTCGAGGCCAGCTGCCTGTGCCTTTAAATAGTAATTATAATTGTTATGGGCATTGTGCTCACCGTGCGAATGAGTTTCTTGAAGCCGTCCTTTATTCTTTTGAATTGAAAGCGTCGTGAATGGCTGAAAAACTGAAAATGACTTTTTTTTGGTAATTTTTCTTGTTCAAAATAATGTTTGGCATCATTTAAACTTTTTTTTAAAAGTAATTTGTAGCACTGTTTTTTTGGTTGTCCGCAAAGGTTAGAAACTAGGGCTTAATTGGTGTTTCAACGGAGCACGGCGTTCGAATTTCGAAGAGACATTTCATCATTTTGTTTTTTTTTCTGGCTTCCCCACCCTTTTTTCTATTTTGTTCCAATTTTTTTGAGTGTGGGGTGGGGTGTTGGACTTGTTGCGAAATTTTTTAAGCGATTTATCATCATTTCATTTTTGATTGAAAAAAATTGCGAAATTGTTTGATTTATCGACTATTTTGAGGTTTTTTGTTGCGAAAATGTCGAAAATTTTGGTGAAATTGTATAGAAATTGACATTTGATTGTAAACACGACGGTTTGATTGGCATAAATTTGGCGAAATTATTGGTTGTCTGAAATGTTGCGCGCGCGGCGCCTAACCGTCTGCGCTCTCTCGCTTCTTCGAGCTCTCTCTCTCTCTCATCGCTGTTAAAATGTTGCTCATTGCGTTTTTGTGCCTTTGTTATCGCTTTTTCAAAACTTTTGCCAATTCCGTCGATATTTGCAGAAATGACAAGCACATCGGAGAATTCTCTACGAGATATCGAGAAGTTTCGAGCGTCGGTGCGTTGCGCGTTCGATTTGTACGAGACGAGCAGCGCGTTGTTGAGCTACGCGTTCGGACCGCGAGAATTGATTGGTAGGCGGAAGAAATTGCGCCAAAATTGGTGATTCGCAGCGAAATTTTGGACTAGAAAATTGATATTCCATGATAATCTCGTTTTCCAGACGTTGTTCAACGCGCGTGCGAAGACGAGAGCCTCGTGAAGCAATGCACTGAGCTTCTGCTCAATGTCGTCGATTGGCTGAACGAGGAGATCACAGTGATGGCGAGCAAAATGGAGCAAGTCGGGTAAATTCGTTTTATAGACATTTTTTGTGGTGGCAAAAAAATTGAAAATCGCGCACTTCTAGATTGACATCAGCGGAGTTTGGCGAGTTTCGTGAGCGCCTCATCCTATTGTACGAGGTTGATCGAGCGGTGAATGCGTGCGACGATCTCATCACATCCGAAATGCAAGAGATGCTGAATTCGACGATCGACGCCGTGTTGAGCGCCTATCAATCGACGAAATCGCACGATGTGAGCCAATGGAAACGCCTCAAAACGCCGTATTATCAGTTTTTCACAAAGGTTTGTGATTTTTTAAAGTCTAATATTATCAACAAAAACAAATTCCAAGGTGCCCAATTTTCTGAAAAAAAAAATGACGAGTTTTGAGGAGTTTTTTTGGAATCAATTTTGCCAAAAATTGAAATGTGCCAATTTTTATGACGAATTTTGGAAAATCGCCCAAATTTTGGCTTTACCTGGTCGAATATTATCTAAAATTCAGAAATTACTCAAGTTTTGTTTCAAACCTCATTTTTGGAGCTTTTCGCATGATTTCCGCTAGAATATTTTGAAGTCCCCCCCCCCCAAATTTTTCAAAAATTTGAATTTTTGTTTTTTCGCGTGGATTTCCCGTTTTCCCGTCGAACGTTTTCCAAATTTGGCTTCCAGCAATCGAGTACGCTGTCACAAGAGAATCTGGCGAGTCCGCCGCAGATCTACGCGCGCGAGGACGGTGTCGTTTCGTCGATCGCGTTCGAGAAAGCGCGCAACGATGTCGACGGCAAGAAATGCGTGTTCGTGAGTCGCCTCGTGAGAATCCTCAACGGGATTCGCGCCGACGCGAAATTCGACATTGAAGGGATGCGCGAGATCGTCGCCGCGAGCGCGACATTCACGATTGACGATCGAGACGCCGAAGAGATTTTCGACAGGTTTCATCGCTCAGAAAATGTTAAAAATGATTTTTTTTTGAGATTTTTGAGCGTTTGGGACTCGACGTTGGAGCTGAAAAAACGCGACGAGCCGTATTTGTTCGTGGAAATGTTGCGCAAATTTTTCGCGCAACTCTCGCCGACGAAAAAGAACGCGATTGCCGGCATGCTGTTGGCGAAGTACAACGAGACGGAGCATTTGTTGCCGAATTTGGAGAATTTCATTCGAAACTATCAGCAACAGCTCACCGAGTTGCTCAATCGATTGCCGCATGATCATCAGAAGTTGACGACGGAAGCCGACAAATTTGAGGAGCTCAAAAATCAGGTACCACAGTTTTTTTCCCGTTGTTGTTGTTGCTAATTGGGACACTAAAAAATGCCCTTAGTTTGAATTTGGCATTTTCCACAACAAACAAAAATGACAAATTTTCGTAAAATTGAGATTTTTCTTGTGGAAATTTTGAAATTTCGACTTAAAATTAATATTTTGCAAAAAAAAAACCAATTTTTTTATCGAAATTAAGCATTTTCCATTGTTAAAATTGTGAAATTTTTTTTCATTCTTACAAAATGCACCAACAAAAATGTTTTTTTTTTTGAGATGGCCTGGTTTCTGTTGGCGACACCCGTCACATGCCTTCATCAGCTTCTTCAACTCTGCATCACCAACAAGGGATTCGTGCCGGCCGTCGTGAAAGTGTGCCGCGCGATTCCGGTGCTGTTCGAGGCGCGCGTGTTCGCCACCAACGGCGACGACGGCGTCGAGCAGCACACGCCCGAGCCGGTGCTCATCATCAATTTGAGGCGCATCTTCAAAATCGGCTCGCTGAATTGGCGAAGTCTCGACGAATGGAACAACGCCGCTTATTTGGCGTTGTCGTTCGCGAAAAAACGCAAAGGCAAACTCGACGACGATCCGCCGCTTCTGAATCCCTACGATTTGATTCAACTCGTCGTCGAGGAGCTCGTGCGCGTCAACAATGGAAAACATCGAATCGGCGCGGCGATATTCGCGAAAATGCTGTCGAGGTTCGGCCAATCAATTTTTTTCTTTTCTATTTTGCCAATTTCGATAGGCTATTCGCGAACAACGCCAATAACAAGGAAGTGGCGACGTACAAATGGGCGACGAGTTTGAATCAGCCGAAACGTTTGATTGAGCTTCACCCGATTCGAATTCCCATTCCGATTTCAGAGGACGACACCGTTCCGACGCCCGAGCTCATCCTTCTTCTGTATGACATTCTCATGGAGAATGATGGACATGAGACGTCGGAGCATTGCCGCGACACGATTCGATCGATCGGCTTCAGACTCGAAGGTTTGATTTTGATTTGTGTGATCTGTCGAAGTCAATTGAATGTTGTTTAGAAGAGCAAATTCGATTCGATGATGAGACGATTGAGTTTTTCGCGATGAAACGATTCAACAATGGTCAATGGTGGATCAAATATTCGATTTTTGTATGGCTCAATTATGCGTTGAATTCGCCGAAGCTTCAGGTTGTCTCGTACTATTTTAGGTTTGAATGTTGTTGATTTTGTCAGGTTCCGTCTGGAATCTACACGGCACTTGCCGAATCGGAGAATGACGATTTCGAGCCGATAATTAGCAGCGAGCAATCATCGGCGGCCGAATGCTATTTGAGGAGCTTGTTCGAGCTCGGATTGTTCGACGTCGAGCTCGCCATCGAGCTCGTCAATCGCGGCTTCGACGTGCGTCTCGATGAAGATGAGTCGGTTCATCGGATGGCGATGGCGCTTGTCGATTGCTACGGCAAAAAGTTTAGCCAGAAGAAGGCGAGCGCGCAAATCGCCGAGCTGCTGCGACGCATGTTGGACGTGTTCGATCCGACGCGATTCTTCAAACGATTGGAGTCGTGGTCGGCGTCGATGTTCGAGGGATTGAAATCGATCGATCATTTGTTGTTGTTGTCGCGAGCGGTCAAAATCGCGTTTGAAAGGGTATGACGGAGCACACAGCTCGAACTAATGACACCGTAATTATAAGAGAGGTTGTTAGGGTAACTGATGCCACAGTAACCCTAACAATATATGTCAATTTTCCTTTAATGTCTTCGGCTGGTTTTTCAAAGAGATGTTCACAATTATTTAAAATTGTCCTACAGTACACCTGGGATACGGTAGCTGTTGTTTTAGTTGTGCTTCGTTTCAGAAGAATTCGATGTTCGTCCGCGACACTTCGGCGATTCCGGCGCGTGGATTCGAAGAAATTGAAGGCGTCGAGCAGATTGCCACACAGCTTCTTGACGTCTTCTGCGAGACATCGAAAAAATTGATCGACGATGAGGTTTGCTGGAATTGCCGCCGCAGAATCCATCAATTGCCTCATTTTTTTGCAGTATATAAGCGTTTCACAGTATCGAGAAGAGACGAGAAAGGCGTTGTTTGAGACGAAAGAAGCGCGGTGAGACCCATTTTCTCGTCCGGAATTGCTCAATTTGATTCGTTTTTTTATCAGACCGGAAATATGGAAGATGAAGGCGCTTCTTGAGCGACGCGAGCAGAAGCTCATGTTCCAGATGAACGCGATATTCGAGGAGGCGGTGTGTTTCACTCGTCAAATGCAGCAGATTCCGACGAAATTGCACATTCTGTTGGTGACGATTGTCGAGAAGATGCCGCTGATGCAAAAGTTTGCGACGAACAAAGTTTTGGATGAGATGATCACCGAAAAATCGACGGTTTGGCTAATTACGATTTTTTTTTCAAATTGGCGTTGGTTGCAGAAACAAACCGTGTACGCCTACGCGCAATCGTTGCCGCCGCCAATTGCCGAGCCGGCGGAGTCGACGACGACGGTTGAGCCGATGGTGCGCGCTCAGTGTGGCGTCGACGGCGATGATCGCGTTGCGGCGTGTTCGAAATCGTCGGCGGAGCAGCAGGTTGCGCGCAACACGGTGGTGGTGAAGCCGCAAATGCAGCAGCAGCAGCAGCATAGCGTCGAGAATCGAATGTTCAATAATGGTATGATTATTAATTGCCGACGTTAATTACCATGTATTAATTTGCACGCATTTCGAGCTTATTGTGCCATCGCTTTTGTGTCGATTTCCAGGCGCCAACAACTTTTCGTCGAGGCGATCCCAACAGCAGCCGCAGCAGCAGCAGCAACAGTCGGAGAATCATTATTCGCGGAATGAGACGAGCTCTCGTCACCACTACCGTAATCCGGCAGCCTCCGGCTATCGGAATCGTTCGCGACAGCGCAATTCGCTGAAAGACCCGCACAATTTGTACGCGTCGGATCGCGAGGCGTTCAATCGGCGACAGCGCGAGTTCAGCGGTGGCAGTCGACACAACAGCTATCGAAGCAATGATTTCTATGAGAACGACGATGACGGGTACGGTAGACGTCGTCTATGCTCCTTTAACGATTTGCTTCGCTTTTTTTTGAACAGTAATTAAAGGAGCATAGCCATGTCAACCGAGCGAATGAGTTGACGGATTTGGGTTTTCTAGATATTCGCAATATCACAATTCGACATATCGAGAATACGACAAATATCAGGAATCGAAATCGGGGTACAAGTCGAGGAATGCGAAGCCGTTTTCGGACATTCCCAAAGGTGTTGTTGTTGTTGTTTTTTGTAATTGGTCTATGCGCAATATTGGTGGCTGCAATTCGCGAGGGTGTGATTGAGACCATGCTTGGTGGCGAGGGTGGGAAATTGGCGGATTTTGAAAGCCTCTTGGAATTTGTTGTTGCTGTTGCCGAAATTTTTACATGAATTCTTTACAACAAAATTGGAAATTGAAAAAAATTGACTTAAAAAAAGGAGATTTTTGAAAAATTTTCGCCTTTGAACGATTTTCAAACTGAATGACTCGAGATTTTTTGGTGGGAAATTGCCACCCTCACACCACCCCCCCCCCAAAAAAAAAGGTTTTCCCGTGTTGTCACCAATGCGCCAAACGATTGGTGTCAACACGTGTCACCCACCAAAAAAAAAATGATTTGTTTTGTTAAATGGAAAATTTGCAGGATTTTTGAGCGCCAAATCAATGATTCCGTCATCGAATATGCCGAAAACGGTAAAAACTGATGAAATCGCGGATCTTTGAAGAATTCGTTTTGTTCTTTTACAGGTTTCGAATCGTTTTGCCGACATTTCGAAGAATGGGTCCCAAAACGAACGAGGTCGGGGTTACGGTAGCGTGAAAATTTTGCAAACTTTTTCGTTTCAGGGCCGCATTACTGACTGTTCATTTATACGCGAATCGAAAGTTTTGGCTTAATTTGCTATATTTTATTTATTTTTTGCTTTTTCACCCTCGCCCACCCCCCCCAAACATAATTGTTGCCTTTTTTGTATCTGACAGTTATCGCCACAGTTTGTACGTAGAATGAATTAATTATCGTCAATTTGCATTTCTTGTTTTTTTTTGGCTTTTTGTCGGCGACCGGTTATCATAAATCAAATTGGTGGCGACACCAATTTAGCGTTGGATGGGCGTGGCCTTGGCCTTGGCACCTTTGCACATGGTGCGAACGCGCTAGCGAGTTTCCCATTCATTTCTCATCTTCTTTTGCTAGTTTAGACTTGTTTTTGTTTACTTCGTGATGAGATATCGTTTTGACTTTAGACGATGCACCTTTAATCAGATTACGGTAGCGTTTGAATTTTTATTTTTGCAATTTCCCGATTTCACGCATTTCTTTTTTCGATTTTTGGCAAAACTTTTCGCGTTTTCTGTGAATTTTTCGATTAATTAAGGTAATTAGTATTAATTAGCACCGGTTTTATAGGGAATATTAAAAGTAATTGAAAGATTATCGAGTATTTATGGTTGCTTATACTCTTGCGCAATTTTTGGGTAAAAACGATATTTTTACAGCATTTCACTGATTGTTTGTTTTAAAAATCGAACGTTGCCAATTTTGTTAACAAATTAAAATAGCTTGTTTTTGCAGAAATGACCATAAACCCGTATATGTTGCTACTACTCTTACCGCTGCTGTTCGCCGGCCGCACATCATCAATAACCATCGACGAAATGCTCGTCACTAATAAATATATGTTCATTTCTCAGCACGGGTGCATCACCCAATTCGAGGCCGAAATCTCGCCGGGATTATGTCCGCAGGTGATGCAAAAACCGCCAGCGAGCATCAAGTCGTGCAGCTCGGACAATCGCATTCATTTGTTGCGCGATTTGGACGGCGTTCATGCGCCCAAATTGGGAATGTTCGCGAGTTCGGACAATCGTCGAGGACAGGTCGTGTTTCGTGTGTTCAATTTGAATGTAAGAATTATGCCGGCGATTTTCATCGATGCATATTTTTTGTTCTGCAGGAAACTGGAATGTGGAATAGCGGGATGACGAATCGCAAATACGGCTACTATGTTCATCCGGAATACTCGTCGAGCTCGGTTATAATGACGTTCCCCGTCGAATTCAATGATGTACATTTTCGATTCTTTGGTTAAAATCATTCTTTTTTTGCAGATCAGCACCATTTATGATCCGATGCAACGTTTAATGTATGTGTTTTACACATTGCCGGGACCTGAGAGTCGTGGAATAGTCGAATTTCACTATTTGCGAGGCCTATTTGATGGTATTGCTCACCATTATTTTTTTTGGCACCCCAAATTTGATAATTCTAGAGAATGATAAGCCGCTGATGCTGCCGATGACGAGAACCGTCGGATTCGGAATGGGCAAACTCAACATGCACATTCGTAACTCACAACGATTTGCGTGGACCGAAGACGCCTACACGAGACGCGTGTTTTACAAGGAGATCGTCGATGGCAAATTGGTGACGTTTATGGTCCCAATGGACAGTATCATGTCGACGTTTATTGATGGTGCCGCTGGCAAACGGATCGCCTCCACTGAAGAGAATCGCGATTTTTACGCGATCAACGGCGGAATCAACGCGTATCGAGTCGTCGAGGATGGCTCGTCGATTGTGAAGACCTATTTTAGGTTTGGATCCTGAATCTTTATTTTCTTCTTTTTGAAAATTAAATTTCTTTTTTTTGCAGCCCCACAAACAGCTCATTGACGACAAAAGGAATGACGTGCTCGCATGAGACGGACTCGAAGACGCTGAGCTGGATGACGTCGTTGTTGGTGATTCGCGATCGCGATTATTGCCTTCTCAAATACGCGAGTCAGGCGAAACGCGAGATGTGTGAGCACGAGCGATTGGATTGGCTCGAAATGAATGGATTGGTGGGTTATTTTCGGCACCTCTCGATTCTCACACGAAATTCTTCTATTTTGCAGCTGGATCGTACCGAGGAGGACACCGTCAAATGGCTCATCATCACCATTGTGATATTGCTCATGGTTTTCGCGTTGTCACCACACGACCATCGTAAAAAATTAATTTTGCAGATCATCGTCCTTCTGCTCGTCTATGTCTATTGGCTGCGCTCGACGTTTGCGGCGCCCGACGACCGAATCGCGCAGAACGAGGTAATTTCGTTGTGCGGCGGCGTGGAAACGCGAGATTGATTGCAGTATGAGCAAGAGGCGTCGTTGTTCGTGTCGAAGCAGCGCAGTTTTCCGTCCGTCTATCCGGATCCGGCGTTGTTGGACGTGTCGGTCGACAAATGGAATTAGACGACGTGGGTCTCATTGAATTTTTGTTTTCTTTTTTTTTTTGAAATACACCTCCGGTTCTCACCAATTCCAGTTGATTTCATCCGTTTTTTTTTTCTCTGTTAATTGTAAAATTTTACCCGAAACATTTTTATTTGAATTGGCGCCGAATTTTTTCTTTGGTTTTTGTGAATTTTTGCACAAAATGTTGACCTGCATTTTAATTTTCTGGCAAATTTTGTTTCTCGCCAGAATTATCGATTTTTAACTCTTGCTCCTCGCCATCAAATATGAAATTTTATTGTTTTTTTTCTCTCTCCAATTGTCATCTTCATCGTGCCCAATTACGGTAATAATTCACCCAAACAGAACAACAATTGTCTCTTTTCCTTTCTTTTTTTTTGTTATAATATATTTCATAGTTTATATTGGTTTGTATACGTCCTAAAAAGCGAAATAAACGGAATAATTGAGAAACAACAGGAAAAAAACGCAAAATGAAAGAATTTATGACCCGTTTTGGCGGCGATTCACAAGTTGATACCCGTTTCTTTTTGTTTCCAATGAATTGATTTGAGTTTTTTTTGAATTTGAATTTAGAAGCCCGATTCGGCCAATGAGCTCGTGTCGTGGAGGTAGCCGGCGTTTTGATGGGCTCCGCTGACGGCTGGCGATGAGCAAGTTGATTGTTTGAGCGCGTGCAGAATGCACAAATGGATGAAAATGTATTGTTGCTGGAAAAATGGCGATTTTTTGTTGGGGGGCACAAATCGAAATATTTTCGGTGTTTGCGGACTTTTCATGTTTTTGCGCGTACGCAAACGCCACAATTGACGCGCAAACTCGCTGGGCTGGAATTTACCTCGTTTTGAACCATTTGACAGCGCTCGTATCGCATTTCGCACACGATGCCGAACACATCGATTGGCTCGTTCAATGAGATGGTTTGGAGAAGGCGATCGATGGCGATGAAGGTGCCCGAACGACCGACGCCGGCGCTGGAATGAATTCGATTCGATTTGGAAAATTCAAATTTGCTTTTTCAAAAAATTTTATTTTCTTATTATATATCATTCGGAAGCGTGGTGTTTCAGAATTTGCTCGAAATTCATAATTTCGTATTTTCTTTTGTCGCCTTCTCACCTGCAATGCACAATCGTTGGCATATTGTGCGGCGAGTGTGGTAGATGATTGCGGAACATTCGCGCGAAGCTGATGATGCCGTTGGGATGTTGGGGCACACCAAAATCGGGCCACGCCATGTAATGCCAATGGCGCACAATTCGACTTGGCGAATTGCCGTCGGGCGTCGTCGACGATTTGCGCTCGAGGCGAAGATCGCGAATGATGAACTCGTCGAAGTGCTTTTCGGCGAGTAGCGTCACCTGTAGCGAATCCGATTAATCGCATTAGAAATTCGATTTAAAGGCGCGTGTGCCCTTTAAAAACATGCACTGTGCGCCTTTAAATATGAATGACGTGAAATTGCACACATTCGAAACTACAGTAACCGCGCATCGAAAAATCACCTCGATGTCGCCGTACATGACCGACGAGTTGTCGACGTCCGGCCAATATTGATGGCATTTGTCGCGGCCCTTCTCGACGCACTTGGTGAGCGCGATGATCGCCGGACACTGCTGCTCCCACGTCATCTGCCAGAAGGTGTCGCGCGTCGTCGGCAGCGGTCCCTGGGCGGCGATGAACTCGCGACGCGACGAGAAGCCCGGCACGAAGTTGGCGTTGATGTAGTCGCCGCCGTCGATGCCCGACGGATTGGCGACGCGCACGCGCGAGTGCTCGTAGGCGAGAATGTTGGTGAAGCGATTCTTCGGACGATTCACCGCCAATTCGGCCGAGTGCGTCGATTGGCCGACGCCGACGTTTTTCATCATCTGAATCACACGATTTTTCTCCATGCCTACAGTACCCCCCCCCCCCCCGAAGGATTACTGTAGATTCTCAAGCATACCTCATATTCCTCGGAGAATCGAAAATCGGAATCGGCGCTCATCATCCGCACGTGCTCGTCGAAGTCGTCGATTCGCACCGGTCGCGTCTTGTTCGTGTTGACGCCGCCGATGACGGTGTAGAGCGGCGTGCGATGAATCGGTCCCGACGCGAGACGCTCGAGGCGATGCTCGACGCCGGTTCGCTCGCGGAGACTCCGCGTTCGTCGATGATTGCCGCCGGCGGCAAACGACGGTGTCGGCGCTTCGAGATGCGACGTGCTGCCGGTCGAACGCAGCACACCGTCGGGCGACGACGTCGTCGAGCCGTCGAGGCCGAGTTTCGCGAGACAATCCGCCGCGCGCTCGGCCATCATCATTTTGAGCGCCTCCCACTGCGACTCCTTCTCTTTCGATGGTCCGTTCTTGTAGGCGGCGAGTCTGCAAACAAGCCCCTTCAAATTTTCGGTCGATTCGAATCGACCCCACCTCGATTTCTTCGATCGATTCCAGCAAACGACGATGAGCGTCGCGACGAGACCCAGAAGCACGACGACACTTAGAACGGCGACCAGCGAGAAGAGCGGTATTGACGGCGAGACGGAACCTGCAAACGAGGATTCGATGAGTGGGCGGAGCCAAACGTTTTCAGTCGCTTCTATTAATAGTCGAGTGGTTAATAGTCGTGGGCGGTTCGCCTATTTCGCGAGGGCGCGCGCAATCTCATAATTATAGGGGGGCTGTAAATTTTCGGCGACCGACACCCCAATCGAGATGGCGAAAATGTTTTGTTTTTTTTTTTCGTTTAAAGGTGGTGCCCACCTCCCTTTAAACATCGAATGTTCGACATTTTGCGTTCTTATTGAAAATCTTTAAAGGGGGGATGCACCTTTTGAGAAAGAAGAAAAAAAAACGAACTAGAATTCGAAAATGCAATTTTGAAAACGAGAGAGAGAGGGGTAAGAATTTTTTTTTGAGGCGCTCGCTGATAGTCGGTTCGGCCAGGCCAGGCGGGCGACGACGCAAAAAGCACAACAACTAAGAAACGACGAAGAAGATGAGAAGTGGTGAGGAGGAGGAGGAGGGGATGAAGCTCACACACACACACACACACACACACACACAAAAACTCGAGGGGCGTGGCTCTCACGAAAAGCTCATCATCATCATCATCATCGCTTTTTTGCTGCTGCTGCACGCTGCGGGCAAAAGCAACAAGGTGTGTTGTGTTGCGCGTGGGCGGTTGAGACGACGACGATTCTTTTTCAATTTTTTTTTGCAACCATGGTGAGCCTTCGTCGGTGAGCAAACGCGAACACGTGATTGGTGATCTACCGACAGTGGCACTTTTGCAATTGGTCGCATTCGAAGAAAGTTGGTGAGAAGTTGTCGTTCGGCAAACAACCACGACGACGACGACGATGATGATGGGCTAGACAGAGAAGAGAGAGAACGACGACATATAGGGCCGGAATAAATGATTGTTGTGTAGTTGGAGAGGAGGAGACGAACGAGATTCGCTATAAATGGATATGCGGATTCATATTTCAAGCATTATTCAAATCAAACAAATCGCCGGGATTTTCGAATGCGCTGGAGTTGACGAACAATTGCGGACTTTTTGTTTTGTTTTGCAATCACATCAGATTGCACGCGAAATTGCGTACTTTGGTTTTTATTATGAATAATTGGTGATTCTTGAAAAATGCTTTGAGTCGGCTAATTAGAATTGCGGAAAATAATTTTTCGAGTGCAAAACAACACCGCTATTTTTGGAATTGTTTGGCGTGTGAAATGACGCAAAAATGCAGACAATTAAGAAATTTCCGATTGCACAGAGAATGACGCAAAATTGCAGATAGCTCAAAAATTGAGTTTACACTATATTCTACGCAAAAATGCACACAATTCTCAAATTTTTGATTTCCACCGAGAATGACGCAATATTGCAGAAATCTCAACGAATCTTCGATGCCACAAATTTTACGCAAAATTGCAGAAATTTCAAAAATTGAGTTTACACTATATTCTACGCAAAAATGCACACAATTCTCAAAAATTTGATTTCCACCGAGAATGACGCAAAATTGCAGAAATCTCAACGAATCTTCGATGCCACAAATTCTACGCAAAATTGCAGAAATTTCAAAAATTGAGTTTACACTATATTCTACGCAAAAATGCACACAATTCTCAAAAATTTGATTTCCACCGAGAATGACGCAAAATTGCAGAAATCTCAACGAATCTTCGATGCCACAAATTCTACGCAAAATTGCAGAAATTTCAAAAATTGAGTTTACACTATATTCTACGCAAAAATGCACACAATTCTCAAAAATTTGATTTCCACCGAGAATGACGCAATATTGCAGAAATCTCATAGAAACATGAATGCCGCAAATTCTACACAAAATTGCAGAAACCTCAAAAATCGAGTTTACACTATATTCTACGCAAAAATGCACACAATTCAAAAAACTTTCAGATTGCACTGAGAATGCCGCAAAATTGCAGATATAAAAAAATAATGTGCGCCTCGTACCTGTCATCACAATCTCGCTATAATCGGAATCGGTGAACATGGTCGGCGACGTGAACAGCCGTATCCGAACGCGATACCTCGTCGCCGGTCTCAATGGTCCGTTGCATATCTGCTCGTGTCGACTCTCGACGCACGTCTCGTCGTCGCCGATCTCCTCGTAGACGCTGGCGGGTTCGCGCGACGATGACGTGGCGGCGGCGACGTCGCGAATTTTCGCCACATACGACGGCCACGTGTCGAAGCGTTGGACTTGCGACCACGTGTAGGTGGCGTTGTCGGCGGCGAGCCATCGATTGATCGACTCGTCCGTCGAGACCTCGCTGACGATCACCGCGAACTGTTTCACCTCGCCGTTGCGATTGTCGAACATGGCGCTCGCGAATCGCACGATCATCATCGTGCCGCTGACGCTCTCCTTGATCACCGTCGGCGTTTGCGAGGGCCGCGGCGGCGCGCTGATCGGAATCGAGATGTTGGCCGGCGTCGGCGACGACATCCCGAAGCCGGCCTCGTTGACGGCGCGCACGTCGAACGAGTACGAATTGCCGCCGAGCAGCTCGTCGACGACCACCTGAATCGCGTTGTCGCTTCGATTCGACGCCACGCCGACGTCGATCGTTCGCACCTCGTCGGAGGCGCGCTTGCTGACGTTGACGAGATAGTGCGTCAGGATGCCGTTGGGAAGCGCCGGCGGAAGCCACGAGACGAGCGCCGAGTGCGAGTTGATCGCGTCGACGCGCAACGCCTGCACCGACGCCGGCTTGTCCTGACGCGTCGAGAACGACAACTGCCGCATGGTTCTCGTCGACGGCGGACACGAGAGCGCTCCCGGCTCGCCGCAGATTATCTGAATCAATTCGTTGCTCCTCTGCTCATTCCAGCGCTCTCAAACCTGTGTGTTCACCGTGTACTTGTGGAACGCCTTCAATCCGTCCAAATTGAGAAGCGGCGCGAAGTTGGCGCCGCCCATCATCATCTTGCGATCGTAGACGCTTCGACCGTTCACGTCGCGCACCACAATGTGCAATTGGCAGTTGGCGCCGGTCTCGTGCGTCGCGACGCGAATCGTCGCCGACGATCGCGTCACACTTTCGAGGCTCACGTTCACCGTCGGACTGCTCATTCGAATCGTCTCGTTGTGTCGCGTCTCGGAGATGATGCCGTTCTTCGTCACCGTGTACAATTGGACCTGCGAAAACAGAAAAATGAATTTGCATTCGTTCGCATTTTGATCTACCCGATAGCAGGTGCCTTTGACGAGATTCTCGACGAACACCGATTTGCGATCGTCGCGCGGCGACGTTTCGAATTTGCGCGTTCGACGCGCGTCGGCGTCGTCGCCGACGCGAATCGTCAGCGAGCTGTCGGCGCCGACGACCTTGTTCCAGATGTCGCGAACGCGCGCCAGAAACACCTCGCTCTTCGGCCACAGCACCTCGATGCCGCCGTTCGACTCCTGCAATCATTTGAAGCGGATGAGTCGGAAGTGAGAGGGCCAACTTGAATGGTGAGACCGAACGCGTTGAAGTCGAACGCCGGCGAGAGCACGATGCTCTTCTGCAGCTTCTGACTAGTCGATGAATTGGCGAGCGATGAGATCGAGAAGTCGAATCGCTCGCCGGGCGACAACGCGAAATTGAACCAGCATCTGGAGAATCGAGAATCAACAATACGCATTGGCTGATTGAAGCTACAGTAATCAAGCTACAGTAGTCGCGAATCAAGCGATCCGACAATCTGAATTCAAGCTACAGTGATTCTAGAATCTACATTAATCGGAGATTATCGAGCTACAGTAATAAAAGAGTATCGAAATCTCAAAAACTCATCCAATCAATAATCATTGATCTACCTACAGTAATCCCAGAATCTACAGTAATCTAAAAAAAAGATCTGTGAGATCCTTCAAGCTGCAGTAATCCCAGAATTTACAATCTACAAACCCGAATCTGATAGTATCGAAATCTTAACAATTTTGATCTACCTAGAGTAACCCCAAAATCTACAGTAATCTGAGTGAATCGAAATCTCAAGAATTCTTGGTCTACCTACAGTAACCCAACAGTAATCCGAGGATATATCTAAAATCATTCGAGCTACAGTACTCCTGTAATTTACAGTAATCCAAGAATATCAAAATCTCAAAAATTCATCCAACCAATAAACATTGATCTACCTACAGTAATCCCTGAATCTACAATCTACAATCCTATAATAACTATTCAGAACCTAGAGTAATCGGAGAATGTGTCTAAAATCTTTCAAGCTACAGTACTCCTCGAATCTACCGTAATCAAAGAGACAATCATAGAAGGAAGAGATTGGCACCAACATTCGATGGCCGGATTTGGTCTGTTCGACGCTCGCGTCGTTGATCGTCCGCTCGACGTCGTCGCCGGCGACGGTGATGCGGCACTTGTCGATGCGCGAGCTCGCCGGCAACTCGGCGAGCAATTTGTATTTGCCGCGTTTGACGTCGGCGCGCACGCGGAAATCGATGGGCGGCGACGGGCGGAGTTGGACGGTGCGCGAGAGGCGTCGCGAGACGCGCGCGCCCTTCTGCACCGTCGCCGACACCGCGTACGCCTCGCCGGCCGTCATTCCGTCGCACACCGACAACGACGTCTCCGTCGCCGGTATCGTCACCTGAAATGCGACGATTCTCAACATCGTTTCGTTTTGATCTACCCACATTCGTCACATTCGACGCTCCGACGACGGCGTATTGAAGCGCCAGAAAATCGGCGCCGCTGAACTCGTCGAATTGCCACGCCAATTCGACGCACGCCCCGTTCTGCGTGGCGTTCAACGATTTGATGGGCGATGGTCCTTTAAACAACAATTTCATTCATTTCAAAACGGACCATTTCGATTTGTACTTGTCGAGATTGTCGATATCCACGGCCGACTGCTCATTCCGTCTTTGTGCGCCGTCACGCGCACCGAATAATCGAAGCCCGCGTTGAGATTGCCTGCAAAAATGAAACCCGTGAGGTGTCGGCAGATTGGAAAAGTGTTATAATAGCGGATGCCTCGATGACCGATTTTTTTCCAATTTCTAGGTCTCCAAAATATGGCGTACTTGCAAAACCCGCCAGACGTCCGCAGATCGAAATAATAATAAATTATTCGCAAATTTGAACATTTCTAGAAACCCGCGAGATGTCCGCAGATAAAAATTGTTAAATTCAATGAACATTTCAAAAGGGAACGCGCGCCTAGAATAGCGAAATTTTCGTGTGAAATGTCCGCAGATGCAATATTCAATAGGCAAACCAAAAAATGAGTACCCAAATAGAACTCCAAACTCCGCTGCTCGGGAATATCCAACACTTGCAAGATTGGGAACTTCTTGTCCGGATTGATTTGTCGATATTCGATTGAGAACGAGTCCTGCAGCAAAAATAAAACATGTAGGGTTTGAAACGCCAAAACCGCACCTGAATAAACGTCTCGTTTTTGATGGTCCGCATTGTGATGTTGTGCTCATCGACGCTGATCTCCGAGTGGGCCGTCCGAAAATCGGGAGCCCTCGGATCCATGACGACGCTCTCCTCTTTGATCAATGTGTTCGCGCCATTCTTTTGACCAATTATAGAAATTCTATGAGCAATTATGTTTGTCGGCTAATTGATTTGAATAATCAACGACTCACGAGTAACGATGGCCAGGGCGCAACGCGTGAACTCGAATCGTGAGATCGTTCGATGAGACGAACGTCTTGTTCTGATCGCGTATCTCGTCGCTTCTGCAAATTGCCTCATATCAATATCATGCTGCCGACATCTTTCCGGGTTTCCATTTCATTGATTTTGACATGAAGCGATGGAAAACCCGAGACTTATTGGAAATTCCTCTTGGCCATTCCAATCTGCCGACATCTCGCGGGTTTTCAAAACCAATTATGAGAGGCATGTTTTATATATGAATCGATAGAGAATTTCAAGCTTATTCAAAATTTCCACTTGGCAACTCACATATTCTCGGAGACATCTTGAAGTTTGGCGATGAAGCCCTCGTAGAGCGGATGGTGCCGCGGAAGGGCGATGAGTATCTGCGACCACGGCGAAACCGCGTCTTTTTTGATGGCGAACAAATCGTGCTGCTGACATCGAACCGGGCCGCTGAGAATGGCGAGCGCCACCAACGACGCCAACCACCATCGCATCGAATGGCGGCGTTTCATCGCATTGCGAGTTTTCTGTGGAAAAAAAAATGAACAATTGAAAAAAAAATCGATTGGAATTGACATATTTGGTGATAAAAACGCGATGATTCGGTGGGGGGTTTTTGTCGAAAAATTGGGGTCAGGTGAAAGTGGTGGAATGAGAAACACCGGATAAGCGAAATTTGCGACAAAAAAAACCAAACACAATTCAAAATGTGAACCCTGATTCATATCATTTGTTTGCTGCGGACATCTCACAAGTGATCGCCAAAAAAAAATTTAGAAGGTGGCAATTTTTGGCGTGAGGGGAAAATGAGGAAGAAGGCGCGGCGAGGTTGAGGAGACGATGAAGAAAACGACGACAGTGTGTTGGTGGTCTTATGCACAATATATTGGCAAAGTGTCAAGGTCGGCTGGAGAGACGAAAAACGGCGACGCACTGTTTTGCATAGGCCAGTCGGACGGACGGACGGGCCGACGGATCGCAATGCTTAGTCAAGTGTGTACTGTAGAATATCCGCGCGCGCACACACACACAAACGTCTAGCCAATCGATATATTCGGAAGAAACCAGTTCCAGAATAGTATCAATTACGGTAAAGGCACTTGGCAGAAGTCGCGACAAGTGGCGTCGAACCATTGACGTGTCGCGCGGTGTTCCGCAAAACTTTGCGCTACACCACGCGCGCCATTAGCCGTGTTGGGGATGAGCGCGGTAGATAAGCGGCGCCTTGCCATCCACGCTAATGATTTTCAGATGTTGAAAAAGTTGCACCAACGAAATAGTCGCATTAAAGCGATGATGAAAACGGTGGCGAGTCTGAAGGACACGAGCCCAAACACTGCTCGCGCGTTTTTCCACAAACCAATACAAAAGTTGTGTCGGGTCCTCATGTCCGGAGCAACAAATAACCGGGCGCCGTGGCGAGATAGCGCGCGCAATCGAGTAGTGCGCAGCGGCGAGCCGCTGGTCAGTGTGTTTAGATTGCGCAGCATAAACCGTAAAGCTGGAGAAAAGCACACTGTGCGCTTCGCCGCCGCAACCGTTGTTGAACAGAGAGAGAGAGAGAGATGGAGAAGGAGGCCGGTTGCGACAAATTAGTCGAACTAAACGACGAGAGACAAATCCATTAAAGAATGTGAGGTTTTGTGCGCGGTGACCGCCAAATTACTAACTATATGAGCAGGGGTCACGAACCACGCAAAACACAATTGCCGGTTGGTGGGGTCGAACCAAAACCAACCCGCGCAGAAGGTCTGCAACACACCCAATACACCACCACTGCACTGTTCGCCCCTGGCGCGGATTGGATATAAGCTATCGGCGCTTTTGCGCGCGACATCGCTTCAACCAAGTTGGCCTGCAAAAACTTGTATTTTATAATAATAATGATAATATAATATAAAATGAGGTGAAAAACAATAGAAGGTCACACTGCTATTGCCATTTAAGGGCTGCCTATTCAAGCTGTCGCAGCCGCTTTGTAAAAAATCTGATGCAATTCATCTGTTTTTTGGGTCCATTGTCTTCGCGGCGCTCCTCATTCATTTTCGCATTTGCTTGATGAAAAATCGCCTGTTACATGTCGAATTGTCGGCAGCTCGGTTTTTATATTTACTAGAAATTCGTTCCCTTCGAATCCCGCCAACTGTCCGCAGCAGAACAAGACAAATCACATCCATCGAGATGTCCGCAGCACGTCAAATTGAAGTCGATTCGTGTTGGAGATGAGCCCTCCTAGTAATACACCGCGAATTCAGTTCGATTTGGTCTCATAGCGGAGTAGTTGAAAACCCGCGAGTTGTCCGCAGCAACAAAAAGTTAAAGAAGCCTCATCAGCAACCAGTCGCCGCGCATCAGTGACCCTCCGCAGGCCCCCCTCACCCCTCAAAACAAAGTCTGATAACCTTGTAGCGCGTATTGTAATACAACCAGCTTCACCTCCTCCAAGTTGTTCAAGGTGAACACAGAGACCGATTGTCTCATCGCAATCTTCGCCGTCGTCGTCGTCGTCGTCTTTTTCTCAACGCAATAAAATGCGTGTTTTTATTATATTAGATAGTTTTCGGCCAAAAGTCGCGCCAAGGCCGATCCGGCGGCGCCACTCAGTCCGAAATATCCGATCCGATCCAAATCCCTTCTTATATATATTTATGGTTTATCATTTAAACCTAAAGTCTTTTTTTTTTTTGTGCCTCCCCCCTTTTCTCTCAGTCTCTTCCTTTCCTCATCGCATCCGCGGATAAATGAACCGGAAATGGCCGTCATTTTTCGATTTGCAAGGTCTGCACGCGAAACGCGCCAACTATTTTGTTGGCGCAATTCGCGTGCATTTCAGAAAACCCCCTCCAAACTTCCGCTTTTTTTGGATCTTTTTGATCTACCACCACAAAAAAATAAGTTCGCCGCCAATTAGATCTACTCGAACCCCCCCCCGCAAATGAAGGTCACCGACGACGGTATATTGGATTTTGATATTCGCTCGATTTTCAGCGTCCGAATCGATTCTCCTGCGTATATCACCGGATGGTGATGGCGGCTAATTGTACCAGAAGCAATTCTCGAAAACCGGTTCATCCACCAAACTCTTTTTTTTTCTCCGACTGGCCGCTGATGAGGCGTCGTCGGAGGCGGGTGATTCGAGGTTCTGGGGAGAGAGGGGGGTACCGTTGCACGTTATCATTGATGTTCCGCTTGTCATCATCATCTCCCCCCGAATCGAATCGAATCTTCCTTCCGGCTCTTGCCGATTACACACACATCAACAAAACAAATATCGCTAGGAAAAAGTCACGTAATTTATTACTTGTTACTCGCTTCTTTTTTTTTTTTGAGGATCGTTTAGTCTATCATTCTATCGTGCTGCGGACATCTCACCGCATAGCGTCCGCTAATTCAACCGGTTCGCCTCTCTTTAATTCGATTTGCCATTCTTTTGGTATTGTTGGACTGACCCAGAGCCGCAATGACCTTCAATTCATCAGTGCCACCTACCTATTGTTATCAGGGTTCACATTTCTCAATTCGCGTCTGCGGACGTCTCACGGGTTTCGCGCGATGTCTATTCGAACTTCCCATTGCATTCTAACAACATCTGCGGACACTTCACAGGTTTCACCAATGCCTATTCATCGTGCTGCGGACACACGAAAAGTGGGCGTGTCGCGAAATCGCCTCCTCGAACGGTTTCCATTGCGATTGCCCTATCTCTCTCTCTCTCTCTCTCTGTCAGCTAGAGGAAGACCGAGATGGAGGGTCATGTGATATCTCCGAAAACGTCGTCGCGTTCAAACCCAGCGAAAAAAAAATTTGCATTGGTGAAGACGACGAGAAAAACGCGGTCAAAACTCATGGCCTCTCTCTCTTTCTCTCTCTCGTCGCCAAATGATTTATATGGCGTCGAATTTCCGGCCGCCACGCCCCCCGATCTTCAGAATGCTGCTGCTACTTCTGCACTTATCATCATCATCATCATCATCCACTTTTACCCCATAACCACTCTCTTCCAACGTCTTCCCCCCACCAAACCTTCATTGATTGATAAAATGCAAACCATAAGAAGAAAGAGAATTGAGAAGACAAAAGGGGGATTGAGAGAGAGAGCGATAATTACAACCATTCTTCTTCTTCTTCTTCTTCTTCCCCGACCCGATCGAATCTTGTTTGCCTCTCCTTCCTCCGAGATGCTTTTCCTCTTTCAAGTATTGATCGATTTCAGACATGCCGTCATCGTGCCGATTATTAATAATCGCCGCCGTCGCCTCCGTCATCGTCGGCTGCTGCTTATCGGCGCCGACGGTGTGTCGCGCGTGCACCAAAAATTGTTTCGCGTCGAACTCGTCGACGAACGCGACGAGCAGCAATGTCGATTTGATGAACGAGCTCGAGATGAACGAAATCGATGATTCCACAGGTTTCTTATTTCTTTTCCGATCATTTCACACCATCTTTTTTTTTTGGTGCTCCAGGACGACGACACAAACGCGAGGTTGAGTTTCGCGCGTGCTCGCGATTCCAAATCGAGATGCTTCTCATTCCGATGGCCATCGCTTTGATTCCGCTCGTCCTTTGCGCGTTGTTCGTCTGCACTTGCTGCTGTGGACCGAAAGAGTCGCAAAGTAGCCATTCCTTTATTATTTATTATACTTCTATTCGAATTTCTAGGCAAACTTCCCGACGATTTTCTCGCCTCGCTTCCAATGTCGAAGAAGCGATCGGCGGCGGCGCCCGAAGAGATCGAGCTCGAGTTTGGCAATGGCTATGTCGCGAGGAAAGACTCGAGTCGAACCAAATTCTCAACAACCGTCTCCTATATCGAGGCAAGACGCGAGAGCATCTGGTCAGCGACAAGTGTGGCAAGCGACACGGTAAGGCATTGAACCCGCGTGGGTCAGCGCGAATTGCGCGCGCGACAATGCAAAACGCTTCAAGGACACATTGCGCGTGGAAGGAGAGAGTGTGTATAAGAGCAGCGCCAACAATAATTGTGAAACACGCGTATTGATTGGTGAATTTCAGGCGGCCGAGGCTGTTAAGCACGATTCGATGAAAGCGGAACGCGATGAGCCGGCAAAATTGACCAAGGCCAAATCGTGCGAGTCGATAAAACGCTGCCGATTCTCGGATACCGTCTCGGTGATCTCAGTCGACTCGCTGAATCGCCGATGATAACTTCTCCACAAAAAAAAAGGAATGAAAAAAAAAACAACGTGCTATTTTAATTCATCATTTTTCTTTTGGTCCGATATCCACAATTCTAGTCAAATCGTGTGTTTATTTTGTAGCTTCCCGACTATTTTCTGTTTAATTTTTTTCTCCTTTTTTTTCGCCTGTTCCTTTAAATTCCGGGTCACTGTCTTTTCTATGCACCATTTCGAGCCGCCGGCTTTAATTTATATTCGATGATGTGATTTGTATGTACTTATATGGTGATGATGTGTTTCATACGAGTACGTCCCCCCTTTTTTGCCAACAATTTGCTGTATATAATTTGAACGACCATCGCAAGAATAAATCCTTGTGCTGCGGACATTGTTGCGGGTTCGAAAAAATATTTTCACCAATTCACGCTTTTTAATTTAAAATTTGAATTTTAAAAAATAGGATGGTTCGTAAATATGATAAAGGAAAAAACTACATGCGCCTTTAATTACAGTACCCAAAAAATTTCTGAAATGTGGAAACTTCAAATTGTCAATTCTCCTTTTTTTAAAACTTCCACAAATTCGAAAATTCAATTTTTGCTTCTAAATTAAAAAATTAATTAAAGGCGCATAGCGCGAAAAATGAATTGGATCTTGTGGCGATTTTCAGACGACACAAACTTGAGGCAAAAAAATATATTTAAAAAAATATATATGAAATTTTTTTTTACTATTTCTATCTAGTTCGATTCCCAATAAATCGAGTACCTTGGGAAATCGTGGACCATCGTAATTGTGGCGGCTAATTCAAATTTGAATTCAAACAATCATTTTGCTTTTAGATTACAATACTATGCTACATATAGTTAATGGAGGCTGTGGGAGTCTTTCTAAAATAATACAAAAAAATTTTCACAGCATTTAAATTTTTTTGACCAAGTTCACAATCAAATTGTCATTTCTATATGGAGTACGGTAGCAATTCTATCATGTCCCTTTAAATAGAATTTTCATAATGTTGACGATCGAGCCGAAAATGTTCAACAAATCGTTTTCCTTTCGTTGGTGTCTCGTTCAAAAATGGAAACAAAAAACAAAAATTTGAATATTTATGAGCTTTTTTTTCTTCTTCTGGCAATTCCAAAAACCGTGCTTCGTTCCTTCCAATGTGTGCAAACACATCGACGACAAATTGCACAATTTGATACTATCTAATAATATTAGTGATAACGGCCAGTTTCAATAATCTTTGCCCCATTTCTAATCACAGCAACACTAACAAAAAAAAATGTTGGTTTGGCGGAACCGACAAAATTCGGGTAAACACGCGGCCATTGATCTCTTTAGCATTTTAACCGGTTCGGGATTACTGTAGAGTTTAAAGGCGCATGTTAGGGATGGAATTTTGAATCGCTTGGACATACTTCTAGTTTCAATTGCTCAATTTCATTTAGTTTTTGAATTAAAGGCGCAGATATGAATAAATATAAAATTTGTAATGTTTAAAGGCGCCTAGGCTCAATCGAACTATTTTAAAGGCGCATAGATTTTTAAAATCATTTTTCCTTGAGAATTGTCGTCTGTTCTTCCCACAAGAGGACTAAATATTTCAGTTTCGCAAATCGTAAAGGGTCCATTATGAAATGCAAACACAAAAATTCGATGTGCTCATAAATTGTGGAATTTGATAACAACTGTCCACAAATCAATTTTTGCCAATTGTTTCATGCCGAATACCATCGAAATTCGATTAGGGAGGCCGTCTTTGAATGTCTGCCGCCTCTTCGTGCATTCAGATACGAATCAATCGACGGCGGCGGCGGCGGCGGGAGCGGCAGCGATCCGCCGGCTTCTTGTTTCTTCACTTATCGCCGAAAAACATGATTTTTTATTTATACACACATTCATTCATTTATTCGCCTTTTGCATTTCTTCTTTATTTTTTTTTTTGATGCGCCGCTGTTAATCGTTTTCCCGACAGGTGATACATTTGATTGGCGTGACACCATAATTATGGTGTGTTCTGTGAGCCGCCTTTCAACAATCGACACCCAATTATTTGATGGCTTGATTAGGATGGGTGTAATAATCAATCAGCGGACGCCACACCCAAAAAATGCATTGTTTTGGTTTAACACAACCACCCCGATGCCAACCTTTCAGCAATTCCATTCCAGCTTCTTCCCGACCCTCCAAAAGGCTCGCTGAAATTGTCGGCAGCTAATCGATTATTAGAAAATCACATGCGGACAATGCGATTCTCCCAATCCAATTCCACATTCTTATCATTGCGCAATATAATTGACTGGCTAGCCTCTAGCTAAATGTGTTGCATTAATTTATATGATATATAGTTAGCCGAGTGATGCGACGCGGATTGCGCAGTACCTTTTGACTAACATATATTTAGTAGGGCGTGTGGCGGAAGGACTATGCTAACTATGCTAACTATTACAGTTATAAAGATCTTCTTGGGTTGAGGCCAACAGTAAGCATCGAGATTTAATCGTGTAAAGACCCAAAGATCGAAATGCGCAATTCAAGCTTTTGATGATAACGATAATTGGTGTGAAAATCGTCACCCACTCATCGTGTGTCGGTATAGTTGAAAAGCAAGCCTCTGTTGGCTCGGGGGCTCCTGGCCAGGTGTTGCGCAACATCACAAAGGCCTTCCCGCCTCCCATCGAACATGCTTTTACGAGCTGCACCAACTCTCCCTCTCTCTATCGCCTTTTTTTCTGTTCCTGCTTGCTCGTCGCATGCTTTCGATTTGACGGTCAGCATATATTTGCGCAGAATTTGAATAGCCCACGCGGTTCCCACCCACCTCCCAACCATTTTTGGTCAATACGGCGAGCTGGACGAATTGTTGACACAACGAGCCCGACCATCACGTTCCCATTCGATTCCTAATAAAGGAATCGACACACGCTATATTCATTAGAATTGGTTTTGCGAGCTCCACGTGAGCAACGCCAGCAGTCGAGCAATAAAAAAGAACTAGGTTGGCCGGAAAACCGGGTGATTATCAACCTGGTCTATTTGCTCATTTCCTCCGGTTCGCCAACCGCTCATTTTTTCCAGCATTATGCCAATTGAACTTTGTACATGTACTCTTGACATTTCTCCGTTTTGCGATCTTATTTGGTGTCATCCTCATCTTCGTGCCCCCCATGGAGCAAGTTCGTTCGTATAGCTGGTGAGGTCGGATTATATAATATGAAGGCACTTGGATTGGTTGCCAGGTGCACTTTGTGCCACGCGTGGATTAGACTCGCCAATTTTTAGTAGTACTTCGAGTTGATGGATGACTGCTATACGAAATCCTTGATTTATTGGTTTTGTTAAGAATGTTTGCAGACATTCCAGATGGTCAAGTGACAACGATTAGGAATTGATGAGATACTTCATTGGCTTTTTTTTAGAAATTCAGAAAAAAATAAGCGACTTCAAATGTGGTCTGCTTAGATAATTTGTAGTTTATAGTGGGTCTGCTTAATTCAAAAATGGTCTGCTTATCAATATTGTAGTTTGTAGTGGGTCTGCTTATTCGAATTGCCCGATTTTTGAGCAATTTCTCCAAAAATTCAGAATTTCAGAAAAAAATAAGCGACTTCAAATGTGGTCTGCTTAGATAATTTGTAGTTTATAGTGGGTCTGCTAAGCTTTTGAGCTTCGACAACTCCATTAGCCCCCCAAAATATAGACTTTTCCAGTTCCTTTGAATACCTATAATTTTTTCCTCACGCAAACACTTAATTAGGCAGCTTAAATACCACACTAATTGACTGCTAGCTTTTCTTACGAAAACTGGAAACTTCACTCTACTATTGTACGTATTCATTGTTGAACTTTTGCCTCTTCCTTATCAATGATATCATTTGAATTGCACTTGAGTAGTCAAATTCCATTTGTTATCAAGTCCAAGTGTTCTTTGCCCGTCTGTTGATAGCCACGCCCATTTTTGGCAGATCCACCGAGTGGGAGGAGGCGGGGGCGGAGCGTGGGGTTGAGCACCAGCAACACACACCATGGCGCGTGCCGACACCATTCCATTACACCACACCCGCCCAATTATTAGTTCGTTGTTGGTATTTTTGGCGGAATCGAGGACGATGGCGGTGTGTGCCGAAATTTGGCGCATTTCACATAATTGCTACTCATGTGGCGTGCGTGTGTCTCATGCTATATAGCCGTCCGCCTCCCCCCTCCCCCCCCTTCGACCGACCCGTGTCCAACCTAATTCTATCCATACACACGAGCGAACGAATACACATACATATACCTCAAAGGCATTTCAAATAATGACCATCAAGGCTTGTTTCAATTTTCGATTTTAATGTCGCTCTCCCTTCCATCGTCGCTTTTTCCCGAACACATATGTCCGCAATTTGCTAGGCAGATGGTACCCGACAGATGCTCGATCGCCACCAGCCCCGTCCCACCCCGCCAACAAACCGTGCCACCATTCATTTCCTTCGTTCTGCTTTTTATTTATTATTGATCCATTCTCGATATATGCTTTAGTGCAAATTTATTGGATTTTGCGCCAAAAAAGTGGTCTGCTTAGCAAAATTATAGTTTGTAGTTGGTCTGCTTAGCTCAAAAAATGGCCTGCTTAACTATTCGTGTAGTCTGTAGTGGGTCTGCTTAGAACTGATTTTCTAAAAAACGTGACACCCACGCCAAAAAACCACATTTCTCGAAAATTCTCCATCGTTTGATTTTTTACGTTTCTAATTTTTTCGTTCGTCGCTCGACCAATTATGTCGTACATACATAATTTTTGTGGAGCGCGCGAGCGCCCCCACACACACACCCTAATCTCACCAATCGCATCTTTTCAGTTCCGGGAGAACAATATTTAATCCAGCAATTTTTTTTTACGTCCCTCCATTGTCTCCCGCAATTTTCATCCGCCTTCTCGAAATCTTGATCGTTTAAAGGCGGTGTGTTGCCCTCAATTGATTGATAAAAACCCTCATTTTCCCACATTTCGGGGTCACATCGGGAGCGGTGGCGCGCGTGTGTTGGTTGAAGGCAGCTCGCCAACACAATTTCCAGCGCGCGCCTTTCGAATTACAGCGCGCTCGCCGAAATTCCTGTTTCGCCGTTGTATGTTTGCCCTTCTTCAGCTAATCAGTAAAAGAATTGTTGTAACATCATCATCATCATCATCATCATCGCTGTCATTGCAGTAAAGCCGCGCAATCATTTACCTTATTCGTCTAAACGCGAATCAATAAAATTAATTTGCAGCCGTGACATGGACGAGTTCGACATGTACCGCGAAATGTGCGCGAATCGTCTTCGCCGCCTCGAGCGCTACAAAAAAGCGAAAAGCTTTTGCAGTCTCGAGGACGCCACCGCCACCAATGGTGAAGTGCCGCCGACACCCAAAGACGCCGAATCAACGCCATCGACATTCGACGCGATTCGTGAGAAAATGGTTGGTTTTCCCCTCCTTTCTCCTTCCTCAACAACCCTTTAATCCTCCCTTGTTGGCTCTACAAACAAACATAAGACAACCCACCCGAGTGTAATATGATCAATATATAATACCGTAAAGTTTTTTGTGGCAACCACTCGATCGCCCGGCTGGAGAAGGGGGGTTCGGGTTCGGTCGGGTTGAAGTGTTTTTGCTGTCCCTAGTACGCTATTAACCTTGGGCAAACCGATTAGCGAGGCGGGTGCTAGGAAGAACCAACTAACGGACCAGCCAGCATAAGCGTCGGGTGGGGGAGGCAAATTGTTGGAATTCCTTGCAAAATATTCCGGTTTAATTTAATCTAGATCAAGATAAGGTATTGCGCAATTCGAAGACGAATTTTTGAAAATTTTCTTCTTTTGACACGCGCGCGCGCGAGATTCTCTTCATTATTATGTGCATACATAATAATTTGGTGTCGGGATTGTTCTGATATCCAATTTCCATGACAAACAGCCCCCGCCGGCACCGAAATTCTTGGCCGGCATTGAATTACAGTATTATTTGCAGTTCTCTCTAATGGAGAACGACATGAGCCTCCTGCAGCAGCTGCTCACGCTTAGCGATCAAGTCAGCGAGATCAAGAAAGAGCGATTGCGGCGTGCCGTCTCGCACAACAGCGTCGATTATGACGAGGAGGAGGACGATGATGAGAAGGAGGTTTGATTGGAATTCCCCCTTCAAAATTGCGCATATCTCGAATATTTCAGGATCGTTTTGAAACATTCTCCACGTCGATGTCAGCCGTCACCAATCTGTACGTTGACGATGATCGCCCGCAATTCTTCTCACGTCAGAACTCGGTGCTGCGAATTCCGATTCCGCCGCGGAGCAGCAATCGATTCGGACCGAGGCGCGTGATTCGTCGGCCTTCTGATGTGCTACCGAGACGCACCGTGCTTCACGTCAACAGCGAAGAATCGGACTCATCTTCAGATGCCCAGTATGTTTTCTTTTAATAACGTGGTCTGCTTAACTATTTGTGTAGTTTGTAGTGGGACTGCTTAATTCAAAAGTGGTCTGCCTAACAGTTTTGTAGTTTGTAGTGGGTCTGCTTAGATCAAGAAGTGGCCTGCTTAACTATTTGTGTAGCTTGTAGTCGGTCTGCATATATTAAATCTCGCTGTTTCAGCTCTCCGACATCAGTGACCTACAGTACATCAAACGCTTCGACCGTCTCAATTCCGCCGAAAAAGAATCGCTCGTCAAATTCGTCGATCGACTCTGGAATCGAACCCCAAACACCGTCGCCGACTTTTGAGAGAGAAGTTGCCTGAAAATTAAAAACCACACAAAATAAAATTAAAGTCAATAACAATTTCTCTCTAGTCGTTCTCCATCTTCATCCTATTTCTTCTGATCTACCTCAATTGCCATTTTTTTTGGGATTTTGCGTTTTTTGCAAAAATTCATTTCTGTTCCTTTTTCCTGTCCGATGTTGTACTGGTATTTTCATGTTTTAATTATTATACTAATAATTTCGTATTCTCTTGTTGCATTCCGGCGATTTCTCTAAATTGTATTCGTTTTTTTAGTGTTGCTTTTTTTCGAATTTTCAATAAAAGAAAAATTTTATTGCAAATCGGAACGACCAAAAAAGAAAAAAATAAAAAGAAAGGGCGATATTCAAATGAGTAGTTCCGAAACATACTCCGAATTCACGAAATATGGTGTTATACTGAAAGTCGTCTAATTATAACATATAAGGATCATAGTTACCGTTCATCGTGCATAGTTAGTAGGTTAGTCGGACGATCAGTGAGTTCTTGGCCTCTCGGCGCATTAATGCATTTGTAGTTGATTTGTTTGGGAAAGTCGAAAAAGAAGTTCTCCGAGAGCTCGTCAAGCTCATATTGAGAAGGAACGCGAACAATTCGGGTGTTGTGATCGACTGAAAAATCGAATAATTTAAAGAAATGGATTTGTTCGGAATTTTTCGAAGCTTACGTCAAGCTAAGCAGACCCACTACAAACTACGAATCTGCTAAGCAGACCATTTTTTTGAAATAAGCAGGCCCACTACAAACTACAAACTTGCTAAGCAGACCATTTTTGAGTTAAGCAGATGCATTACAAAGTACAAAATTCTCAACACCTGGATCCTTATTAAGCTCCATAAGCTGATAATAGCTTCTCGGCGATCCTAGATCATCCTGAGCTATAGTCGAATCGTGCTCCGATCCAACTTGATCCGTCCATTCACTGGGTATCTCGCTGTAGCCAAGTGTTTCGCCTACCGACTCGGATACGTCATCGGTTCGCGTCACCACATGATTCGTTTCGTTCCATTCATCCTTCGTCTCGAGATCATCGTCGAAACGCGACTTCTCATTCTCCATGATTTCCATTAGAATCTTGAACGATTACGGTAGCACTAGTGTTGAATGTGTCGGATAGGCTGTACCATTTTTCTGCGAATATTCTCGATTGATGACATTGAAACTTCGGCGGCGGTGTTCAATTCGTGCGACGTGGTTTCCTGCGCCATTTCGTATTCCTTATCAAAATTCTAAATAAATTAAAAGAGCCGAGAAAAACGACGCGATTCGCTGGAATCGGAATGAGAATCGCGTAAATTTCACGCAACATTTGTTTATTTATATAATATTTATTATGCATAAATAATCCATCACATGTTCACAATTCCTGGCATTCGCATCAGCGCCGATTTCGGCAAATGAATCTGCTGTCCGTTATCCCACGAAACAATGCAACATTGATCACCCATTAGCTACAACATAATACATATTATTTTTATCAATCTTGACCTCTACCTGAGTTACTTCTCCTGTCATATTGAGCATGTGATGTTTCATCGGCTCCCAGGCTGTATAGTTGATATCGAATAAATATGAGCATTTCGGGTCTTGGTATTCCTCGCAAGCAATGCAACGGGCAAGAGTGTGGTTGTTTCTGGAATATTAATCTTAGTTAAGCAGACTACAAAACAGTTAAGCAGACCCCCTCAATGACCTTTTATGGGAACATCAGAAATTTTTGGAGAAATTGCTCAAAATTCGGGCAATTCGAATAAGCAGACCCACTACAAACTACAATATTGATAAGCAGACCACTTTTGAATTAAGCAGACCCACTACAAACTACAAATCACCTAAGCAGACCATTTTTTGAGATAAGCAGACCCACTACAAACTACAAATATGCTAAGCGGACCACTTTTTATGCACGACTAATGAAGTATCTCTTCACCCCTTCTCACTCCCTGCCAGGATTATAAGTAAAATCAAACAAAAATAAATAATTTGTGCAAAGAAGGTGTTTTTTGTGCGAATATTTGCGCATTAGCACGCACCTATCGTAAATAAACGGAAGTGACAACGAGTCGTCAACCATATAACGCACAAACGGTTTCCAATAGATCGGAATGGCATCGCGTTTCCATTGCACCTGCACCAAAGTGAAAACCAAAATATTAGCGGCGCAAAAGTATCGAATAAATTACCACATCTCCAACATCGATGTTCATCGGTGTGCAAAGGTCAGCCAAAAGGGGCAAGTTGTAAAACTAAAACGCGAAATGATCGAAAATCGAAATATGGATTCACCTACATTGGCTTCCCTTCTCAATTCATCGCAAGTCTCCGAATTGGCAGGCACCACGAAATGCTCGCCGTCTCTCAAAAAGTTGAGCACCTTCCCAAAATGGGTGGGATCGCGGTCGATGAACAGCTCCTGGTTGGGCCGCTGCCAGCGTTCGCTGATCATCACCGACAGTACAGAGTCGGGAACGCGGGACAATGTCGATACGGTAGTTTCGAACTTTTGGCCGCCGACATTCAAGACGATTCTCTCGGTGCTCGCCGGCTCCGACGCTCCTTCATTCATCTGTAAATTGGAAGCTGAAGGGGGTTAGAGGGAGGGGGGTTTGAAATGTGTTTAATTGAAAAAAAAAACGAGAAGAGATGAGATGTGGGCAAACATTGACGGATTATTTTCAATTTGTCTCGTCGATCTCAACGAAAAAAAACGACAAATTATTGGAAACACCGGGATTCAATTCATATAAGGGAAATTTCCTCACTTTTTTTGGGAAAGGCACAAATTCAACAATGGCACGACGAGAGAGTGTATGAAATCGAGAGGGTCGTCGACGAATCGAGAGAAACAGACAGAGGCGAATTCACAGGAGGAAACGGCAACCACATAGGCATACGACACACATGAGGTGAAGAAGGAGCGCGGGGGGAAGGGGGCTTTTGCTGGCTGCCGGATTAGCCGATTTGTATGATATGATAAATAGGAACAGAGCAGGGAAGGGGAGGGGAGAGCGAGGCGGACGGGGGGGAAGAGGCGGGGGTTGAATTGCAATCAAGATTAACAGATATGTTTGTTAATCGAGCTCTCTCTTATCCACGTGGATTCCAACATTTTTTTTTAAATCATAGATGACATAATCCTCAACAAATAATTTAGATAATCACGAATCCAAAAATGGTGTTTCAAAACAATTGCAAGTTTTCATTTCAAGGATTTTCAAAAGAAAAACATGCATTTTGATTTTTTTTACGCATTTTTATTACCCAAATGAATTTCAAAAAATGCCGACCATTATATTTAAAGGAGCATTCGTGTCTCGAAGAGATGTTCACGTGCCAATAGAAATTGGTGTTTGGAAGCCACTTGAAATCCTCATTTGTTGACTAAACCCCATTTCCACCCAACGAATTCAATAGAAAAAGAAGAAGACGAACATGATGATGATGAAGAAAGTGAATTCGTGGGAATGCCACTGAAGAAGGTGCTCATTAATAAATAATAATCATGGAAAAAAAACGCGGTGAGAAGAAAACCTTTTTTTGATGTATAAACGTATTTCGTTGTGGCCACGAATAGGGCTTAATTCAATTCGATTCGATTCAATTTATATACAAACATGGGTTGGGTTTGAAAGGGAGATGTACTCGTAAATCGATTTCCGGAAAAAAGGAATTAACAAGGAAAATGAAAAAAAAAACCTGAGAGATCATTAAACACATTTCTAAACGAGGTGGGGGGGGGGGTCGAATTACACGTTAAATTCCAAGTTTGGCGGGCAACGCCATCACGTTTTGCCGCTTCTCGAGCTCGTTCAAATCGCGCTGCACACTCTTTATTCCGATGGTGATACGCGTTTTCGGGAAATCCCAATAGGCGATTGTGTAGAATATCGAATTGCAGCCGACTTCGATTAATTCGGCCAGCGAAAAAAGATTGTAGGCTTAAAAGAAAAACGTGCTCGAGGAGGCTCGCGGCGAATTACCTGTCACGCTGCAATGCGCTGCAAAGTACGGATAGCTGATTGGAGTTGACAGCGCCGCGATTATTCCGACAATGAAGATGACGAGCTTGATTCTCCACGTCGTCTCCATCTGAAAAATTTCTCTTCTAATGTTCCATTTGGAAAACTTCAAATTATTTCATTCCACTATTTAAAGGCGCATTCTCTTTAAACCGTACCCTGTTATGAACATCGCGAATTCCCGAGAAATGATGAAGGATTATATTGAAAAGCATGTTGAAATTGAACGAAATAATCCAAATCGCAAATCCGAACGCGTGAATCACTGCAAATTGAACTACTAGAAAAAAAATAAAATGAAAAAGACTCTTACGGAATCCCCCATTGATGTCAACCACCGAGACGAGAATTAATCCAATCGGTTCCAGACGAAGTGTGAACATGTAGAAGTCAATGGCGAACTGGTACCAACTGCTTTTTGGCGCAGTGTTGAGGAATAATCGGCGGTAAAGCTACAAAGAATTCAACAGAATTATCGGTGACAGGGTGACTACATTTAAATTTGGTCAATTCGATTTGGGCCTAATTTAAAACATTTGTTTCCTGTGGAATTTAAACAATTTCCGGTAATTGTAAGAAATTAAATAATAAGTAACACTAATTTTCATATTATCTTCAGTATTAGCTATTAAAAAACTTACATTTCATTAAAATTTTAGCAGACGACTGCAATAATCAAACAAATTTAGTAATTTTTAAACAATAGTGTAGACACCGAGGCTAGAAATTACACACACTTGTGTACAGTAATCACTTTTTTCTAAGAAAAATCTGTAGTCGAGTTCGCGGAAATCCATAAAATCTACACTCACCGTTAAAAAGAACAACCTTGGCGGCAAGTGGATGAACATAATGAAAAGCCAAATAAATTTTTGCGGCGCCCACACTCCAATTGAATACGAGACAGGTGGAAGGGTACTGTAACAATGATTATTTATGTGTTTGGCAATTTCAATGATCTATACATGGTTAGATTTTTGCATTCCTTGCTTTCTGTGAAATTTGAGACCTTCTCAAATTGGAAAATATAGGTGTAAGCGACAACAAAGTAGCAGGCAGCGCCTGGAAGCAGTGCTCCGAGAGCAACAAGCCATCGGACTGGATATTGTGAAAGTTTAACGATCCATGGTAGATCAAAAACGTACTTCGAAGCATTTTCTCAATCGTTTCCTCAATCGGCGATTTCATGACATCTTTCATCTTGGGAACTTCCATCGCGCTGAAATAGAGATAATCAGGATAAAAGATACGTAGAGAAACAAATAAATGAAGAAGAAGGCGAAAAAAGTCGAGCGTCCAAACTATACGAATCCGGTTTTCCTGAGGGGTACCAACCTAATTATCATTGATTCGCAAACTAAATAGTAACTGGGACGGACTTTGACCTTGGCTTTTGATAAAAACCTTACAGAATTTTCTGTCTCGAAAATGAAACATCAAGGACGATCTGTTTCGAACAAAACATGAACAAAATTAATGGGAAATTTTCTTTGGCGAATAACAAAACATCGATTTATTATTATATAGCGGCAGAAAATTGCACTCAATGAAAAACAAGAAACGGGATAAATGACCTTTTTTGAGAACTTCTGCAATTTTTGGAGAAATTGCTGAAAATTTGGGCAATTCAATTAAGCAGACCAACTACGAACTACAATATTGATAAGCAGACCATTTTTTGAATTAAGCAGACCCACTACAAACTACAATATTGATAAGCAGACCATTTTTTTTGAATTAAGCAGACCCACTACAAACTACAATATTGATAAGCAGACCACTTTCTTAAAGGCGCGAAATTTAAAAAACAATATTTGCGAAAAATCGTGACCTTTATATGAATGCTGACAAGTCCAGTCGTTAGCAATTGTTCCAGGACCACGAACAAGCAACTAAACAAAAAACAAAAATTTGATTGAAATGTCGTCAGTGTCGTCATGAGGTGGTTCGAAACACTACCATACAGGGAAAATGTGTTTGGCGGGGAGAGGGAAATGCGAAAAAAAGAGAATTCAAAGATAAAAACGGGTTTCGAGGCTTGTGTAATTCGAGAATGACATGGTATTACGGTGAAATGTGTGATTCTTGACTAGCCGGGGGAGAAGACAATGGAAATCAGGCGGTGTTCACCAACAGATTTGATTTGTGTAATCTTGAAACTAGAACGATTTTCGTTTCATTTTATCCCTTCAACATTAAAAATTCCAAAAAAATATGCGGGAAGTGCGTGAAAATTGCTCATTGCTTTTTGAAATGAACACCACAACTGAAGATGATGTCACCCTCATCCTCGGTAATTTGCTCAACGAATTTCTTGCCAAATTTCATTTCAGACCCACATGAAAAAGTGCCAGCTGGTTACAGTAAGCCGCAATTTAAGGCAATTTTTAGACAAGAATCAAATTTCAGCTGTCGATACTGAGCAAGTTCGGCATGTCATTGACACCATTATGCTCATTATTGTTCTAGTCGTCTTATTTTTCCTTATTCTACACGTAATTTTCTTCAAAAATCGCTTTATTCGCTATAATTTCAGTTTTTCATTCGTCTTCATTACAAGGCGAAAACGGAATACGAGCTCAACGAGCTTCGCCACATGTTTCACAACTCGAATAAAGGTTTTTTTTTGGAAAATTTCGCTTCACGACCCAAATTATTTTCGTTGCAGGACCTTCGCCATTCGCAGTGCCTCGATTTGATCCTTCAAAGAAGGTTGAAGAAGTGCCGCCAATCCAATACGCCATTCAAATGACACCCGAGCAATTCGAGCCCGTCCTTCATCATATTGCCCTTGGAAATCCTCCGAACACTCGAGAGGTCAACAAGGCTGTTAAATTTGTTGCCGCCTAATTATTTAGCTAATTATCAATTTTAAATATCAATTGCATTTGACTCAAAATATACCGTTTTTGTTTGAAAATAAATGTGTTGCCCGACGACATTCCACTATTGACGCATTGCCCGATGTTTAGCGTATATCGCGTACCACATATTTCAAAAAATTGTTTTGTGGAATTTTTTCTACGCGTCTCTTCCAGATTTTCCATGTCGCTGATATGCAAAACGGAAAGAAGCGCTACATGGGAAAATTTCGCCGACGGAATCCCATGCATTCTCGGAATCGATGAGGCCGGAAGGGGTAACTCCACGCGCACAATCGCATCTTTCTAAATTTCAAATCCAAATTTTAGGCCCGGTTCTCGGTCCGATGGTGTACGGCGCCGCAATTTCGCCAATCGATAAAAGCGACGAGTTGAAATCGCTCGGCGTCGATGATTCCAAAGCATTGAACGAGGCGAAACGAGACGAGATTTTCGAAAAAATGGAAAACGACGAGGAAACTCGGCAAATTGTCGCCTACGCGGTTCGCGTGCTTTCACCGGAGCTGATCAGCGCTTCAATGCTTAAAAGGCACAAATACTCGTTGAACGAGATCTCACACGAAGCGGCGATTACCCTAATAAGAGACGCCTTATCATGCCACGTGAATGTCGTCGAGGTGAAGAAATCCCCCCAAAAAATGCTAGGAAACACTGATTAGTCAAACATTTTCTAGATAAAAGTGGACACGGTCGGCCCAAAATCAACATATCAGTCAAAATTGGAGAAGCTCTTTCCAGGAATCTCGATAACCGTCACCGAGAAGGCCGATTCGTTGTTTCCCATCGTGAGTGCCGCATCGATTGCCGCCAAGGTCACGCGAGACCAACGTCTTCGTCAATGGCAATTCAAAGAGGCTGGAGTGAAAATCCCCGACGCCGGCTACGGTAGCGGATATCCCGGCGATCCGAACACGAAGAAGTTCCTCGCGTTGAGCGTCGATCCCATATTCGGCTTCTGCTCGCTGGTTCGTGCTTCTTGGAAGACCGCCAGCACGATTGTCGAGAAGCGGTGCGTTCCTGAAAGCTGGGAAGACGACGATGATGAGAATAGTGGTCCCGGAGCGAAACGCGCGATGCAAGGATGGCTGGCGAATAAGGAAAATGAGGCGCCGCCGAAGAAGCATGCATATTTCTCGGAGCGAGCAATGACTAACATTCTTAAATTATAATTTGTGATAATTTTGTACAATAAATTTTGATCTCAAATCTTAGAATTTCAAGATTTTTTTCCTGTTTCATCGTTTCCACGATTTTCTGTATCTATTTTCTATATTTTTGAACTCGAATAAAAATTTCCAAAAAAAATTTCAGATGGGTTTATTCAGCGTCACGAAGATCTTGAGTGTCGCGTTCCTTGGCTTCATGTTCCACAACTTCTACGGGTTGTACCGTCTGTTCACACCGGAATTGTGTTCGGACCAAGACGTTTTCGAGCATTGTTATACGGTAGTCACGATTCTCGAATTGGATTCCAGAATTCTCATTATGTTTGCTTGCAGCCCTTCCTCAAGCCCAATTCTGATGGGATTTTCGATTTGGTGCAACTTCGGGTGTACGTTTCACCAAAAAAAGATCAACTCGGCCAATTGGTGGCCACATTTGAGGATCTTCAGATCGCCGACGCTTCCAAGAAAACGATTCCTGTCAAGATTCCGGCTTCTGTTGGTACTGACGGCTTCCTCTTCGCCCACGTCATTCTTCTTCCCCATGACTTCAAAGCTGTGAATCCGATGGCGGTAAGTTTTGGTCGCCACAGTGAATCCTAAACGACGATCTTTCAGTCGGCTTGGCGGGTTCACGCCGCTTCGCAGATGATCGTCTTCCAGGAGCCGGTCGCAAAAACGTTCCAGCTTCTCTCCGATGAGAAGGCGCCGACGAGGAAGTCGAAGGTCGTCGAGATCGCCGCGCATTTCCGAAGTGTGCTTCCGATTCGGATTGCCGTCGACTCGTCGAAATTCAAAAAGGCGAAAGTGAGCGGCGAACTTCGCGAGTTTCTCACGATACGCGACAATCATCAATATCTTCCGATGATGTTCATTGATGAGATGAGTATGCGCTCGAAGAATCTCGTCGAGTTGCCCGACTCGCCGAAAGAGCCGATGAATCTGACGATCGATTACGAACCGACGAGCGTCGCCAAACTTCTTCTCCTCACCTCGTCGGCCAGAAGCATCTATCAGCTGACGAATCACGGATTCAAAGACAAAGACATCGACGAGGTGCGCGGATTGTTCACCGAGACTTCCATTGTCCTCCTCATGGTCACCTTCGGCGTCTCCACTCTTCATCTATTGTTCGATGCATTGGCCTTCAAGAATGATATCGCATTCTGGAAAGATCGAAAATCCATGGTTGGATTATCGTCGACGTGAGATGCCTAGAAGATCTAATTAAAAGCAAAACATCATGCTCTATTTTTTTATAGATCGCTTATATGGAGATGCTTCTCTCAAACCATTATATTCTTCTACCTCTACGACCAGGATACCAGCTTATTGGTTCTGATACCGTCAGGAATCTCCACGGTCATCGAATTTTGGAAATTGACTATTGCTTATAAGGTTTTCATTTCTTTTTTTTGCGTTTACCTGAACTATTTCGTTGATGTGACCGTGCGCAAAAAGTTAGTCCGCGACATTTAAATGTTAGGCCGCGCGGTATTAAAATGCGGAAAAATTGATTTCGGAAACATCTCGCTTCGAGAAACTTGAGAAATTATATTGCATGCTCCTTTAATTCAAATACCGTATTTCACAATTTTTTTTGCCTTTTCAGATGACATTCTCGCTGAAATCGGGAATCAAATTTGGGAAGCACACAGCCGAGGAGAACGAGACGGACTCGTTCGACGGTCAAGCCATGAAATACTTGTCATACGTTCTGATGCCGTTGGTGATCGGCGGCGCCATCTACAGCCTCTTCTACGTGCCGCACAAATCATGGCGAAGCTGGATGCTGGAGACGTCGGCGAACGGCGTCTACGCGTTCGGCTTCCTATTCATGCTGCCGCAATTGTTCGTGAACTACAAACTCAAGAGTGTTGCCCATTTGCCGTGGCGAGCATTCATGTACAAGGCGTTCAACACGTTCATCGACGATTTGTTCGCGTTCATCATCACAATGCCAACAGCCCATCGGATGGCGTGTTTTAGGTAGAAGAAAAAAATCTGAAATATGTTCAAATTTGACTATTCTTTTTAGAGATGATATCGTATTTCTTGTATATTTGTACCAGCGATGGCTCTATCCGGTGGATTACACGAGAGTTAACGAATTTGGAGAATCTGGAGCCGAAACTGAAGCGAAGAAGGCGAAGAAACAGAAAATCACATAATTTTCGCGTCGATTGTTGCGCAATGTGTGCAAACACCGCGCACAACACTTGCGCCATAATTGACGACATTTGCAAATTTATTTATTTATTGATTATTAATAAGAATTGGTTCGGTTTCGCCGATGCATTAAGCAAACCCATTGTTGGATTCGTGTTCGATGCATTTTTTTGTGTGTGTGTGTGAAGTACTCGATCGCGAAATGGACAATAAACAAAATTGGGCAAACAGTGAATTGAGCTCGCGAGAGCCGGCGGTCAGTTTCGCTTTTGAATTCGTCATGCGCTTTATTTTATTCATATTCTTACTGCGTTGCATCGATTGTGGAATAGCGGATCGAAATTGTCAGCGGCGACGCGTCGGATATATCACGTCGTGGGGAAAACGTCCGTTCACCGATGCTCAGGTATTTTTTTGAGAAGCCCCTAGAAAAAATTGATTAATCGCCTCAATTCGATTTTTTTTCGAGGCCGAGAAATTGACGCATCTCGTGTTCGCGTTCTTCACCGTCGACTCGGATGCGAGTGTGAGTCTTGAGGGAGAAGCCGCCCGACAGCGTCTTCGCGACATTCGCGACGTCGCCCGACGCCATCCGCACTTGAAGCTCCTCTACGCCGTCGGCGGCTGGGAGAACTCGCAGTACTTCTCGGTGCTCACCGCCGATCATGCTCGTCGTTCGGTGCTGATCGCGAATCTCGTGAAGGTGCTCGTTGAGCACGAGCTCGACGGCATCGACATCGATTGGGAGTATCCGGTGACGGGCGGCGCCGTCGACGGAACGCCGGCGGATCGCCGCAACTACGTGCATTTGATGCGCGAGCTTCGCGACGAGCTCCAACAGCTCGAGGACAAAACCCAACGATCGTACATCGTCTCGTTTGCCGGCGCCGCCGGCCATTGGGTCCTCAAGCCCGGCTACGATTTGGTCCAGCTCCTCAAATATTGCGATTTCGTCAATGTGATGTCGTATGATTATTTCGGCGCGTGGGAATCGAAATGGGGCGCCTACACCGGCCCGCCAGCTCCGCTCTACTTCGCGATGCCTCCGAAATCGTCGGGAAGGATGAACGTGCACGCCACCATGAAGTACTATGGATGCCAGTTGAAGGCAACCAGCAAGGTTCGGGGATAGGGACCATAATATAGTTTTTTGAGATTCGCGAGATTCCAGATCAATATGGGCGTTCCATTTTATGGGCGCTATTGGCACAACGTGGAGAACGCGATCGATGCGGCCGACGATATGTGGCGAAAGGCGCAAGCCAAGAATTCGGAAGGCACCAAATTCGACGGCGGTCACGTCACATGGCACGAGCTTGCTGAGCGCTTCGACAAACGTCGCGCTAAATTCCACGCCGGCTCGAAAGCGCCGTACATCTGGATGCCCGAGAATAAGACGTTCGTCGGATTCGAGAATCCCGAGAGTCTCAAGCACAAGGTCCGACGACGCTATCCAAAATTCGCAATCACGAAATTCCAGATCGACTACATCGTTGAGAACAACATTGGCGGCGTGATGATCTGGGCGATCGATTTCGACGACGATCAACTCTCGATGCTCAACACGGTGGCTTCGGATCGACTGTGCTCGAGCGCGAAATCGGCGTTCAACTATAAATGCTCGCCGATCGACGACAAACGCTGGTGGACGTACGATGACAACGAGGAGTTGGCGGGCATGTGCGGCAAATCCGCTCCATTGTACGACGGCTATTATCCGGTTTGTGATCCCGACGATCCGGGTCACGCGTGCTGCGGAAAGGTTGGACTTGCGCCTCGCACCATCCTCACCCCGATCAATTAATTTCTAGTTCGGCTATTGCGGCAATGGTCCCGAGTTTTGCGCGTGTCCGGAATGCATCGACTACGGAGCCGATCCAACGCTGATTCTCAAGGAGCCCATCAAACCGACGCAGGAGATCACTTGGTATACGGCCGACGCCGGCGAGGGGAAGCGCGGAAGGTGCGGACGCGAGGTGCCGCCGTTGAACGGTCACGCTCCCACGTGCAATCCGGATGATCAGAACGCGCATTGCTGCAGCAACGGCGGCTATTGCGGCAACTCGAAAGAGCACTGCGAATGCAACGGATGCATCGACTTCGCCAAGAATCGCGACTACAAGTACAAACCGCTGGAATGGTGGACGTTCGCCGAGAATCCGGCCAACGTTGGTAGGTGTCCGGCAACACAGGGCTACCGTTGATGCTCAAAGGCGATGATCTCATTTAAAACGTTTCCCATTTGCGCCTTTAAACATCTCGAAATGAGCCAATTGATCTACCTCTCAATTCAGGTCGCTGCGGCTACAACGCCCCTCGGCTTTCCACAGGAAAGATCCCTAAATGCGATCCCGACTCTGAATCCTATTGCTGCAGCAACAGCGGCTATTGCGGCAAGGGCGAACAGTACTGTAGCTGTCTGGGATGTGTCGACTTCAAAGCCAACCCTCAATATGAGTATTGATGTATTTATTCGTAAAACGAGAATTAAAAAAAAATAATAATAAATAATAAACAACGGAACGCCTACAGTAATCCTTGACGCTTGAGATCCTCATACATTTTACGGGTGACGACGTTGCCGGCCGAATCTTCGAACTCCTCATCGAGATCCGGATTCCATTTGCTGCGCTCTTTTTCCATTTTCATCTTTGTCCACAAATCGAGAGCATCTTTGATTTTGGTGATGTTGGCGAAATGCGCGGTGTTGGGAATTCCCAAACATCGCATTCCATGCGAATGACGCCATTCCTAAAAAGAAAACAAATTAGCGATGACAATTGAGTGCCAAAATGCGAACGCTTACGTTGAAATGCTTCTGGAACGCCTTCGGTCCCTTGTACGTTTGATTTCCGCAAATCTCGCACGAGTACGAGATGTTCAATCCGTGAAGTTTGTACAACCAATACGGAATCGGTTTGCCATCCCAACCGAGCGGCAAATTTTTCGGATTGTACGGCGCGCTCTCATCGACCTCCTCCTCTTCCTCGATGACCGGCTCCTCTTCCTCCTCCTCCTCCTCGTGCTCGCCGGCGGCTCGCGCTTGCTTCCTTTCGACGTTCTCGCGCGTCGCCGCTCGCTCGTCGGCCAACAACTCGGCCATACTCGCAATGTGCGCTTCGATTTGGGCGACTTGAAGATTGCGCAGCTTCTGCTTCTCGGCGTCGGCCGTGTTTGACGCCATCGCCGCTTTCTCAAGATCGGACAGCTTGTGACCTTTGGTGGCAAAGAGGCGTTCGGCTCGCTCTTTTAATGTTCTGGAACAGACAATTTTGAATTTTTTTAATCATGCGCCTTTAAAAATGTCGATATACTACAGAAATCATCGTACCCTCCGCACTTCAATCCCAACGCCATCAATGCGCCTTTGAGCCTCTCCAATCCAAGTCCTTCCAATTCAGCAGCGCTGTTATAAGGTGACAAGTCGACGGCAGTCGCCGACGCCTGCGTTCCAGCCTTCTCCTTATCGCTAGTCCAGCCTGGAAGAGTGCCCGCGTTGAACATTTGCGAAACGTGTGCGTCGATCTGAACAAAATAAAATAGTTGGAAGTTTGTCATTCAAAAAAAATATGATACCGCCGCAAAATCGCCTTCCAAATCGTGCAATGGACGAGTTCGTCGGAAAAATGAGACCAAATAATCCTGGAGAGCCGTCACATACTCCTTATAAGCTCCAGTCTTCTTTGTGGTGTTTCTTGGAATGTCGATGAATTTGTCAAAATTCAAAAGGTATGACATATAATCGATTCTCTGGAATTTTCAGACTCGCTTAAAAATTATTAAAAAAAAAAACACCATTACTTTAATATTTTTCAGATTAATGTATTTGACGTATAACGCGTGAAGATCGAGGAACCTTCCATAGCTCTCCTCATCGCTGAACTCGACCATATCGGGCTCGGCGCGCTCAGGATTCTGGATCTCCTCATTGATCTTTTGGAACTCGACTGATAATGGCTCGGCGAGCTCATCGGGATTCCGTCGATGTGCGTCTTTGATATTCTTCAGACGCGAATAGAATTCGGCGAACTCGTTGGGTCCCGACACGGCGTCCAATTCGACTTGTCTAGCACCGTCTTTGTCCTCGTATAATTTTGCAAGCTCGAGTGACGCATTACAGAAACGCTGAAGTTTCAATTTTCTTATTTTGGAAGAAAATTGAACAAAAATTACATCAACAAATCCCTTCACCCGCAATTCACTGTTGATTTTTGCCTTGTGTGTCGGTTTATCGGCGAGATGCTCTTTTACAATGGAATCCAACAATCGTTCTCGTTCTTCATGGTGATTTCTGATAGTTTCCAATACTGATTCCATTACTATAAATTATTATAATTAAAAAACAAGAAAAACAAAAAATAATATGGAAAACATGTTCGAAAAAAATAAAAATTCAATTTGTTTGGTACGCAGGGTAGCGAAAGATGTGGTGTATTTTAGTCGGTGTTTGCAGACAATGCGCAACACCCGACGCAATTATTTTTTACTTTTATTTTTCTATGCTATTTTTCCGATTTTCAACGTTTATTTTTAGAATGCTTGCCACGAGCAGCTCAATTGCAAGAAGGCTTTTTCATTCCACCGTCAGACTAGCTTGCGAGGGTAAATCGAAAGAAGTTCCACCACCAGAAGAGGTTTTTCAAAGAAAAATTGAAATCAATGAATTTTATTTTTTCAGGCGGGATGGGCTTACAATCATATCGAAAAGAAGAAGGGTATGTATAAACCGCATCACAGCATCAATGAGCAAATCGCCTACATGAAAAGCAAAGGTATTTCAAGAATTTCAGACGGCACTTTTCGAAACTCATTATTTTCAGCGTACGCCGATGCTTACAAAGGTCTGCCAATCTACAGATGGTACAAAAGAAACATAAAGGCAACACAAAAATTGTTTGGAGAAGAGATTTTGAGTTTGGCAAATTTCAGGGACAATCGAAATTGCAGCCACCGCCGCGTCTTTTCTGCATCGACAAACACGGGCGGTTCAACAAAAACCACGCGTGTCCGGTAGAAGAGTCTTATTTTCTCGAGATATCCAAGAAATTTCATTTTGAAGGTGTGCCGCGATGAATATTTGTATTTCGACTATCGCAATCCGGCGCTCATCGAGCAGTTCCTCGCCGACGGCACCGACAAACCGATCGATATTCTGAAAAGCGGATTGTGCCGCGAGCAATATGTGCAACTTCAAGCGCAGCTTCTCAAAGCCAAAGAGCACGGAACAATCACGTTCGGTGTCGATTTTCGCAATTTTGATTATCGCCAATGGTACAAGAGTTGGAATGAGGAGCCCGGAAAACCGGTAACACATTTATATGTCTTTTTTCTGGAGGGAAAATTCATTGAATTTTTCAATAAAAATGCTAAACATTGAACATTTTAAGATTTTTGCATTCAGAAATTCATGATTTTTCGAAAAAAAATGAAGAAAAAAATACCATTGATTCCTCGAAATTGAAAATTTCTAGGTGGAACGCGCCGGTGTTCGCCTTCAAGACATCCATCCAGATCCGCTCGTCTCATTCCCGACATTCAAAAACGACAAGAACAATGATTGGGATCAGTGGTGGATTCGACACGACAAATTCGCGAGGAAGGCCAAATAATTTACAAATAATTTATAAAGGCCAAATAATTTATATTTGTTCGTCTAGCTCTAGATTTCTTGTTTTGTTAATTGTTTTGGTTTTTTTATTTAAAATATACATAGAAAAAATTGATGAACCCGTAGAAAGCGAAGAAACAAAAAGAAATGAACATGGGCAAGATATGTCAGACAAGTAATCCGCCGCTCGTCAGCACTGGATACGTTTTCGTGTCGCCATCATCGACGGGCTCGCTCGACGACAGCGGAATCTCGTTCGGCGCATGATAATGGCCGATGACTTTCGACGAATCCTTGGATTGAATTCGGAACGCGCTTTTATACGGCGCCTTCGATCCTGACAGCGCTAGCTGATCGGACAATCGGATTCCCGGCGACGCGATCGGCGCCGCGGTTCTCGTCGCCTCGGCGGCGTCGGACGGCGAGAAGCAGTTGAGCATCGGCGCGAACATCGACGGCACCGAATCCTGACTCGAGTTGCGGTATTTGTAATCGCTCAACGGTATCGTTGACGGCGGCACACCGTCGCTTCCCGATGATCGCGATCGCAGCTGCTCGTACATTCCGTCGCATTCGATACTCTAAAAGGCGCATATCTATAATAATCATGATGGTCCCTCTCGTGTCTCAAACCTCCTCGTCGATTTCCAAGTGTTGCCGAACGCGGAGCAGCGTGCTGCTCTTCGGATCAAAGCTCACCAGCGATGTGACGTTGGCGGCTCGCGGCGTCATCTTGTCGTCGGGCGATCGTCTCTGCAATCCCTAGACGGTGATGATTCGCAAAAGGAAAAGCTTACCGTCGGCGAGAGCACCGATTTGCGTTTCATCGGCTTCGTGTAGACATCTTCAACGGCGTTCTCGTCTTCCGACGATTTCGACGATGAGCACGCCGGAATGTCGGGAGCCGGCTGCAATTATGAGAATTTTGACGCGCGATTTCTTTTTGATCTACCATCATCGAATTTGGCCGAATTTTTCCGCGTTTTCGCTTCGAGACGCGCTCAAACTGTTGGCTTTGGATTGGCGGTTGCGGCGGCGGCGGCGGCGGTAACGGCACATCCTTTCTCGATTCTCTCGACGAATTCTGACTTCTCAGCTCGTCATACGTCGAGTTGACGTAGCCGCTGCTCGACGCGGCGGCTGGTGGCGCGGCGCCAACCTCGACACCCTTGGCGCCACAAATTTGCGCATAATGATTGACGGTCGTCGAGCGCGGCTTCTTCTCGTCGCGTATCTCGACGAGCACCAAAATCGCGAGAATCGTCGAAGCGACGGCGAGCACGATGTGCGCCAACGCTTGCGAAGCCTCGATCGAATAGAACGGCACCAGACAATTGTGTTGCACCCAAATCGTCCTGAAAATTTTCGTTGGCATCGCAATGAGAAGAACGCGCTCGCGATGGTGATTACCGTTTCAGATCGAAATGCGATTGGCACGCCGGTGTGAATCGTAGAAAAAACGAGAATGAGTAGGGCAGGCCGGCGGACAGCAGCGGTCGCGTGATCTCGCCGAACACGCCGATGTACCAAAGGAAAATTAGGACGTTTTGGGCGACCGAAATGAAATTTGAGCACACAAGCGCATATAGTAGAGCTTTTCGCTTTTGGATTGAGCCGAATAAACCGGTAATGCAGCAAACTATCTGCAAAAAAAAGCGGACAAGTTTTTTTTTTTCTGAAAAAGAGGGATTGACATTACAAGTGTCATTGAAACGCCTTGTCGAAATTACACTATGCGCTAGTTTCGAGAGACACCAAAAAAAAGGACAAACTTATTTTTGTCGGGACAATTGTAATGCTGACATGAATATTAGAAAAAATTTGGAGAAAAAAAACATTTTTGGGTGAATTAAAAAAAAATGTTGAAATACGCTAAATCGCTGAGAGCGCGTCAACAGCGGAGTGTCGTTGTTTCTCGCGGCGTAATCAAATCAACTTTCTTATCATATTTATTTTTAGGAATTCACCGAAAAATCGAGGTCGTCGCACTTGAATCCGACCCCCCATGCCCCCCATGCGCGATTTATTTGCATTTCCATCAAAATGAGTGTCCGCCTTTGGTGTTGGTGGGGCCGGATTAGGCATTGACCCTGAGCTTTCCCGCTGTGATGGTTCTTCTCATCGGTTGGAAAGTGAAATTTTCAAATTGTCCTGTCAAGAAAATTGCGCAAAAATCGATGTTTGCTCGCGATTTTTGAGAGAGAGAAGGAAAACTTGATTGACATCGAATTTTTCGGATTCGCAAACGGAAAAAAAGCAAAAATTGCCTTGAAAAATTGGCAAATTATTTCAGTTTTGCGGAAATTCTGCAATTTTGCGTAGCATTCAATGCAAATTTCTTTGTTTTTTTTTTTCAAAAATGCCCCAACGGCGTTTCTCAAAAGCTTTTGAAGACGGCCGAAATAGGGGGGGGGGGCACTTGTCGTCAAGTGTCGCCGACACAGCTCATCCTCATCGAAACCACCAACCTGTAGTAGATCGAAAATGGCGACGAGCCACAATTTGCCAATCAAATCGAATAGGAGGCGAGCGAGCGCGAGGAGAAGCCAAATAAGGACAAGCGTCGACAGCGTCGTCCGGCACGACATCCGATGATCATCCCCGATGAATGGAGCCGACGCGCACCTTTACTGCAATAATCGCTGATTGAAACGATGGATGGTGGCGAAACCCGGAGAAGCGTCGGCAGCACACACAACATAAAACAATAACACCTATAGACGCAAGAAAGCTAATAATCATGTGTGGAGGAGGAATCGACTGTACCGCCAGTCGGTCGGCCGGCGCGACAAGACAACGATGAGAGAGCGTGCGATTCGGTGGAGACGCAGAATGGAAGGCGGAGACAATCCGCCGCATCGACGGTAATTATGAGGCGGGAGAGAGTGGAAGCGGATGGGGCGGGGGGGGGGTTCAGATGCGGATTACTAGTTGCCTACTAATACTACTATAGGGTTTCGTATGGTTTCCAAATATGGTTGGAATTGGAATTCGTATTGAAAAATGGAATTTCTTATCAAATTGAGGGGGTTTCAAAATAAATAATGATGTGAGAATGAGTGAATTGATAACAAACCTTGCTCATTGTAAATTAGGACGACACTCCATGGTTTACGCGTTGCCTTCGTTTTAGCGACGAAAAATTGCACGCATTTTTTTTGGGTGGAAAAAATTCAAATTGAAAATTATATCAACAATTTATAATGGGGAATATTGATTTTTTCTTGTAAATTAAATAATTATCCAATTAATTATGTGGGGGGGGGGGAATTCGAAAAAAAACCCAATCAAGGCCATACAAGAAAAAGTGTGTCGCAAAATTGTTGAAAATGAAATGGAAAGATGGCGACAATCGATAATAAGCACGCGGCGATGGCCGTCGGGTCTCGACGCGAAATATGATATTTCATTGGGACGACAACTCAGCGATGCGGAAAACCGGTAAACATTCGACTCGCCAGTTTGTGTTGACATTGAGCTCAACATACAATGTACAAATAAGGAAAGGAACGGAATTGAGAGCGGGGCAATTTATTATTAAAAAGCACCATATTTGTTTGAGATCGTTCTGGTTGGGGGCTGGACTGCCATATGCGCCTTTAAATCGTCAATTTCTCGGTGAACAATATCGCGCGCAACATTTGACGCATCACGAGGTCCAGAATGTTGCTCACCTCGTCGCTGATCGCGCTCACCTGAAAATATTTGACAAATTTCATCTGCCGACAATTTTTTGTTGCCTCTTTTTTCAAAAAAAGACCCCCCATTAAAATTAATGTGATGATTATTATTATTAGTTTTTTTTTTCAAAATTTTTCTCGCCACTATAAAATGCAACAAATGACGCTGTCAATTTCACATATTTGGACGAGAATGCCGAATTTGGTGAGTTTTGATTTTTTTTTGTTTCATTTCGCCGATTTCCTTCAGAACTTCTATCTTCTTCTGATTTTTGCTCTTCTGTTGCTCAACGCCGACACGATTTCTCGCGTCGCGGCGACGACGTTCGAATGCGTCGAAGACAAGGATTGCACGAGGGAGCGCGTTTGCGACAATGGGAAGTGTCTCGATTTCGACGAAATGTTCAAAAAGTATCATCCTGATGTTTGAAATTGAATCGAAATAAATTATTGATGCACGTCGGGGAAAAATGTCCGCAGATAGGCGCAACCTGCGAGATGTCCGCAGCTAGGCGCAACCTGCGAGGTGTCCGCAGCTAGGCGCAACCCGCGGGATGCCCGCAGCTAGGCGCAAACTATATGCTTGCTGCGGCTAGGTGCAACCTTCGAGGTGTCCGCAGCTAGGCGCATTCTATATGCTTGCCGCGGCTAGGCGCAACCTGCAATCTTGCCGCAGATAAGCGCAACCTGCGGGATGTCCGCAGATAGGCGCAATCCATATCTTTGCCGCGGCTAGGCACAACCCGCGAGATGTCGGCAGCCAAAAAACGCAATAAACTCACCACAAAATCGGAAAACTCGGCGAACATCATCTCGGTCCTCGCCTTCCTCTCATTCGTGCCCATCTTCGTCTCCTTCAACGCCGTCAAATGCACAATCGTGTAATGCGTCTTCTCGGCGATCTCCTGGAGTCGCTCGTCCTGCGCCAACTTCAACAACACCGATTCGGCCTTGTAAGCGTTGTACGATTGTTGCACTTCGGTTCGCAGTGTGCCAACGAGCACGTCGAGTTCGGTCATCTAGAAATGAGTTTTTTGGAAATGGAATCACGATCAATTTGGCGATGCCAATCGGCTGAAGTCGAGTCTCACCTTTCGAATTTGCGCGATTCCCGGCGTCCGATAGATCGCCATGAATTGATCGATCGCCTCTTTGGTGGCGTTGACGAGAAACGCGGGCTTCGGCGACGGCTCGAGGCTCACCTCATCCAAACTGAAGGTGCGCACGTCGATGCGGCTCGCTGCGAGCACGACGACCTGGAGCTGGACAAGCGTCAGCAGCAACATCGATTCGAAATTAAATGAGGGTGAAGGGAAGCTGCGGTGTGTGTGTGTGTGTGTGTGACGAACACGTCAAATTTGGACAGCCCTTTCCTCCCGCTAACCTATTTATTCGTTCAATGCCCCTTGTGCAAACATTCCAACATCACAAAACGACGAAAATTAATATTAAGCTAACATTTTGCAAAGGGCGGTCATTTTACAGCCTATAATTGGTTAGAAGGAAAAACAATGCAATAATCCGAAAAGTATTCAGACATTTTGCTTACAAAAATATGTTGAAAAGAAATTAATAATGCAAAACCCGCTAAGGGTATGGGGATCGAGCGCGCAACCCAATTCTTGATAACCAACGCGCATACCACTGCACCATCGCTGTCTGTTGACTAGCGTCTCTCCGCGCGATATAAGTGTAAGCAGTTGGAGTGTGTCAAAAAATCAAAGGGGCAAGTCTAAAATTTTAGACTTTTTCATTTTCAGACACTCGACAGAGAATATCGCGAACAATTAGATAGAAAAAATTTCAAACCTCAAGGTAAAAAAAACACTCCCCTAACATTTCTCAAAAGGTGGTGATTTTACATCCTATAATTGGCTAGAAGGAAAAACGATGTGAGCTCGAAATTTTAGTTGGCCGCATTTATTCGATCATTGAAAAATCCCCAAAAAAAAGACATGGACGAGCTTATTCTCGGCGATACGACGAACGGCCAAACCGCTAAAATCCTCCCGCCGATCATTCTAATGTTCCCCTATTCGATATTATTCATCAAGTCTCGATTCAAGGACAGAGAGGTCCCAAAATCGAACCCTCAAAATCATTATTTTCGATTTTTTCTTTCCAGCAATTAGTTTATCCCATCTATTTGATGTTCTTCATCGTCTGCTTTTCTGTCACCTTCTTCAAAACCGGCGTCATTGTCATTTTGTATTATTCGAATGCACGAGCGATGGGAAATTTGTCGATGGAATTGACCGTGTAAAGAAAGGGGGGGGGGGCCTCAGCGATGAGCCAAAATCATTATGGTCCCTTATATTATAGCATATTCTTGTACGCGATGATTTGGAATAATGTTTTCATTAATACCCATGTGATACCAGTTGGCCTTCTACTTCTGTCAATTCAACGATACGTGGTGATCAATTTCAAGGAGAAATATTGGAAATTCGTTTCCGGGTTTGCTCGATTCCCCCCGACTTCCCCCTCAATTCCCCCCTCCCTATTTCCAGATATTTCCTCTTATTCCTCATCGTCGTCGACGTCATCACAGCCGTCTGGTTCGTCTTCTATATGGACGCAGTTGGTTGCGGTATGATAAGCTTCTATGAAATTGTTTGTTTGATTGTCATCGTCTAATTATCACCAATTATACTAATTATAGGCTGTCACCGATAATGAATATTGCGATGATGGCGTGTATGTCGATCGCAAAATGAGAATTTCGGCGATTGTAAGTGGAGCGCGTTTGCTGCACAATGATACAAATTTGAATTCCCGCCAATATTTCGATTTCATTTTTTTTTGTTTTTCAATGTCGGCAGACGCGTTGCGGTTCGTGTAATCCAGCGAAAATGCTGTCCCCCCCCCCGCAATGCATCACACCTGACGACATATTGCAGACCGTCGCGACCGCCTATTTTTTGTGCGCGACACTCGCCGTTCTCATCAATCTCATATTATACGTGAAAGTGCGAAAATTGGAAATCATGTCGGCGCGGAAGCGACAAGTCGAATTGAATATTCTCATTCAAACCGCGCCAGTGTTTTTGGCGATTTTGGTGCAATTCGGACCCCCCCCCTTCCTCTATATATATTCTTCAATTTTTCAGCTCAAACTGGGTTTTGTCATAGTTGTCATGAACTTGAAGACGATCGTCGTCGGCGAAATTCTCTCGTTGCTCGTTGAGCTCGAAGTCACTGGTGACGTCGGCATCACAATCGCCATCCCATTCGGCTACATATTTGGCAATATCGATCGTCTGAAATTCATCTGGAAATTGGTGACGTTCAAAAAGGAGAATTCCGTCTACTCGACTAATGTCACCATTTAATTCATTCATAATTGAAAATTTGGATAATTTTTAAAGGCGCACGCGGTTTTCCTTTGGGCTGAGTCTCTCTTGAGACCATTAATTGTTACTGGTTCGGATATAGAAGCTGATGGTCAAGCCGATCTCAGGGTCTGGATCGATTGGCATCACTTGACCATCAGACTTTAAAAATCCGACTAGACATTCCCAAATGTTGGATTATAATAGAAAATGTGTCTATAGAAAACTAAATAATTTTCGAAAGCAAATCGTTTTGGGCATTCAAACCATCATTTCAAAATCGCATTATATTGCGATTCGAAAAACTCGTCTAGACGGAAGACATAAATAAAGAAAATTTCGAAAAAAGGATTTCGCCGACATTATGCGCAATATGGAAACAATAGGCGCGGCGTGGTTTCATCAAAAACTCGAGATTGAGAGAGTCGGCGATTCGGAGAGACCGAGACGAATCGAGCCGGCCAATTCGATCATTCGTTGCTCGAAAATGGCCGACAATCAAGGTGAGCCGATTCGATCATCATTTTCCCATTGCATATTTCTCGTTGCAGTTGTCAACATCCCGCGAATTCTCTACTCTTTCGACGCCTATCTGTTGCCCCTCATTGTCTTGTAAGAATGAATACCTATGCGCCTTTAAACCGTCTCCAACCGAGTTTCCAGACACGGAAAACTGTTCAAGTTCCTCGTGATCAAGACCATCGGCACAATCGTCATCGATTTCGTCATTGTGAAATTGTTGCCCAGAAATGTTCGAGCGCACGCGGCCTTCTTCTGTCGCGTCGCCTACTACAGCCTCTTTCAGCTCATCATCGTCGATGGAATGAGCTTCGCGATGTGGCTGATCCTTCTCATTGATTTGATGCGTTCCTTCTCACGTCTTCTCAATTGATTTACTCAATAAATCGATTTTGTTGTTAAATTCGTGTTTGAAATTGACAAAAGAACCAACAATTTTCATCAAATGTCTGACAGTCAAGTGATGCCAATGGGGGGGGGGGAGCTCTTTGACACAAGACCGAAGCCTCGCATCGGGATTGATCCCAAGACCGAAGCCTTGTGATCGGAGAGTGGCCCGACTCCGAAGAGACCGAACCAGAGAGCTTTGATAACCCACTGACGCCGGACCAATCAGACATTGGCGTCGAAAACGCGTCGCGCTTATCTAGCCACTATTCACAGTGCTGCCGACAATATCGGGGACACGCCGGTCTCTATTCGCCTTATTTGGAGTTTCGCAATCATTCCCCCACCTGCTGCTTAAAAAGCACAACCAACCCCGCCGGTCATGGACTGACTAAGCCACTCACCTGACTTGAATCCTATTGAGCATTTGTGGGAAGGTCAGGTAGATGTGTTCGAGGCCAAACAGTACAAAATGTGTCGAAATGATCGAGCAGCTGAGGAAAGCATGGATGGATATACCAGTTTCAACCCTTCCGAAGTTGATCGAGGCCATGGGTCGCCGATATCAAACTGTGATCGATGCAAATGGCATATCAACAAGATATTGAGTTGTTTCAAGCTTCCTGACACATAATTGCTGTTTCCCATTTTTGTAGTTTCAAGTCGTACCGGTATCAATATTATTCAAGTCGGTTTTTGCTATAATGGATTTTCTGATTTTTTGTCAATAAAATTTTTCCTAATGTGTTTTACATCTTCCAATTTTGTTATTTAATCACTCTATCGATGCTTGAAGTTGTCCAAAAGTTTCAGATCGATTTGTCAACTTTTCGGAAAGTTATGATTAAAAAAAAGCGAAATTGTATATCTTACTGCACGGTACTCTATGTATTTATACTTGATATTAAAAAAAACATGACACAATTTTTAATTGATTTTTTAAATTAAAATCTTTGACTTTGATTGTGTGCCTCAATCGACCTAATTGACACGTGGGTAAAATAAATAGGTACCAATTGCGCGTACACTAAAATGCAAAGTACGCAAACACGCGCCCAGTTCTCTTTGGTACGAGACACTTATATTTTTCAAATTTCGCTCGAATTATTTGGCTCTGGCGGAAAGATCGAATTGAATACGATTTTGACGTTTTCCGAAACATCTTTTTCTCACGGCCGCTCGCTGCTCGCCGGAATTTGATCAACTCTTATGAGTTGTCGTTTTCTCTTTCTGCATTCGGGCAAACTGAGCATAAAAATAAGGAAACAACATTTTGATTTTGAAAAATTGACCGGCGGGATTGGTTGTGTTTTTTAAGCAGCAGGTGGGGAAATGATTGCGAAACTCCAAATGAGACGAATAGAGGCGACGCGTTTTCAACGCCAATGTCTGATTGGTCCGGCGTCAGTGGGTTATCAAAGCTATAGAGCTTTGATAACTAGATCTAGTTTGGTCTCTTCGGAGTCGGGCCACTCTCCGATCACAAGGCTTCGGTCTTGTGTCAAAGAGCTCCCCCCTCCCATTGGCATCACTTGACTGTCAGATTTTTGCAATTTTAATGAAAATACAAAATTGTGTATTTTGGAGAGAGGGTGGCGAGATGCCCGAACATTGTCCGCAGCAGGTAATAGAGATAGCGCGCGCATTTGCAACTCGACTTTGGTTTAAAAAACACAGACTCAAGGTAATTGGGAGATGCAATACGTCCTCGTTGTGGACCCATTCTCGAAGTGGCCTGAGATCGTACCAACTCCGACAATCACAACGACCGCAACAATCGCAATATTCAAGAAGATCTGTGCTCAATTCGGAAATCCGGAGACACTCGTCACTGACAACGGTACTCAATTCACATCAACCAACTTCGCCGACTTCTGTAAGGAGCGAGGAATCAACCACATCAGATCACCACCGTTCCATCCACAATCCAATGGACAAGCTCAAAGGTTCGTGGACACCTTCAGGAGGGGACTTCTCAAATTGAAAGGGGCGGAACCTTCGGCAGAAGCCTTGCAGACCTTCTTGCAAGCATATCGCTCAACGCCATGTCCATCGTCTCCCGGAGGGAAATCACCAGCCGAGAATTTCCTTCAACGCCGAATCCGCACATAATTGGATATTTTTTCGCCAACGTCAAAGACAAAAGTTGGACAACGAAATACAAGCATGGAGCAGCAATTCAACAGGCACCATGGAGCTAGAAAACACAATTTCCAACCAGACGAACCGGTATTCGTCAAGGATTATCGAAGAAGCGCCATACCAACCAACTTGAACGCCAAGACACGCACGCTACTACCGAGACACTCGTGGATGTGTTCAGCCTGCCGTTACCAGTCATCCAAAGTCCAGAATCACACAGTACAAACACAGGACCGAAGAATGTGCCACCTACTATACCAACGCGTACTACTGAACCACACACGACAACTACACAACAGTCGCTTCGTCGATCAGGTCGAGTCCCGATACCAGTCAAGAGACTCGTCATCAATCCATATAGCAAGAGATACATACGTCTAATTGTTAATTGTATGACTTTCAATTGTAATTAACATTCTCTCTTCGTTTAATTGTATGAGAACTCTAACTTAGATGGGGAGGTGTTGTGAGCACACTCACGTAAACTATTGTAATCTCGTAGGTTATGGAATGTTCTAGAACCCAATCCCTCACGTAAATATCCCCACACGCACATTGTAGAACATTCTAGAAGCACATCCCCACTAGTATAAATACCCGGCCATCATACGTTGTAGTGTTCAGCTAAGGATATAATAAAGCTATCCAACTCTACATCACAGTTCACTTCGTCGTAACGCCTCAAGAAAAAAAAAAGCGCGAGCGGAAAAAAAACCCCCACTAAAACATTTTTAATCATTTCCATTACTTTTTGGATTAAAAAAAGAAGTAAAACCGAAAACCACCTTACCTGGGACCCATTTGTGTGACAAAACCCTTCAAGCAACATCCCAAAATACCAAAAACGGAAACAAATAATTTTCGAAGTTTTGGCGAGTTGAACTCTTGAAAGGGTTTAGCACAATCCTTCCGTTAAAAAGACTTACCTGACATATATAGTAAAGTAGAAAAATTAGAAAAATTAAAAACAACAAAAAACAAGGATAAAAATAAAAGAAACCAAAATTATCGTCAAATTTTGATTCAAATGTCGATTCGATTGATTCCATCGAAAGTTTCTTTCTGTAAATATTTGGAATTGTGTCAGAATTTCGTGTTTGCATGTATTTTTAGTATCTAAACACAGAAACACTTTTTCAGAATAAAAATAATCAGTGATCGCAGAGAAGCAACTCCAAAAATTAAAAATGTTATCGAAATTAAAAAATCATTAAAATCGGGTTTTCTAAAAAAGGGGGGGGGATGAATCTGTTTTTTTACAACACTGATTGAAATGATGTAAAAAACTATCTAAATAAATTTACGACTGATAAATCGGACAATTCAGTCCGACCCGCCCATCGCAATTATATGAAAATGGTCGTTACAAAAAATGTTGATTCCGTATTAATTATATGTAGATCAGGGCTGTGCGGCAAAGGAATTGCCGATTGCCGAAATTGCCGAAATTGCCGATTACCGCACAGCCCTGATGTAGATCTCGCTACTGCAAAGACTTGCAGACCCGTTTTTTAATGAACGAAATGAACGATAAAATGTAGGTAAACCGATACGATACGCGAACCAGGGCTGTGCGGAAATCGGAAATTTCGGCAATTCGGCAATTAAATGTTTTCAACGATAATTCGAAATATAAATACCGAATTTTCACGGTATCCCAAATTATTCAATGGACATTCCTTTTTGTTTCGCCGATTTTTTTTGACACCAAATTGCCGAAAATATAAATGTCGGCAAATCGGCAATTTGAAAAATCGGCAATTCCATTGTCGCACAGCCCTGACGCGAACTTTCCAACTTTCGTCGTGAATAGAAAAACAATATTTCCAACTTTTGAAAATTACCTGTCAGTCAGAAATATTCACTTTATTCCTTATTTTACCCTATTCTAAACATGCTCTACGAAATGATTGTTAGCAATCGATAACAGCTAGTGTGTGATGATTACCTTATATGTTTATCTTCTGATCCGAAATGTTCCAATCAGTTTCGAAATTTTCTGATCTGAAACAAAATATTGAAAAAAAAACAATTAAAGAAGTAAAAAATGTCACTGTTTCAAAGCCCGATTCTCATGTTCGTCATCCTCATCGCCTTGGTCATTGCATTGCACGATGTACATGAAAAATTTGAAGTATTCATTTAGAATTAAAAGTGATTTTCTTTGGATTTCTACCAAAATTTTTGAGCGTGAAATTATTATGAATAGAGTTGAGACATTCAAACGTTTGTGGCCAATTTGGCGGTCCCTACATCGAATGGTCCCGACGCCACTCCGCCGTGTGCGCTTCGACTTCTCCAGGCATTTCCCTCCTGGGTCGGACCCTATGGGTCACCGAAGCGGGACGTTTGGTCCGCGTCTCGTGGCACGAGAACGCGGCGTCCGTGCGGGCTCTCTCAGATCCGAATCAACGAATGTTCTCGAGACACGCTCACAGCGGTTCGGAACCATCGATCTCGGGACAAACGGATGTCACAATTTTTAAAATAACTGAATTCGTAAAAAAAACTGATTTAAAAACATAAAAGATGAAGCAAACACTTACACGACTGTGATTAGCTGGTTAACGGCGAATGAAGAGCGCAAAAAAAACAATGGAAACAAATTAGAAATGAATAAAAATGAAGTCATGTTGGTTTTGACGTTTTAAATATTCACGTGAGAAATTATTTCTTCGACAACTTGCTGTCAATTTTTCTGGCGAAAACCGATTTTTTTTTAGAGAATTTCTCTTTAAACTTTATTCACCACGAAAATTTAGTTGATAATTATCGAAAGAAAGCAACTAATTACGTATTGCCTCAACGGAAACCCCGAAGAAGCTGTGCAAAAATTCGATTCGCCAACACTTTCTCTTGAAAGGTTGGAAACTCCAAATTACCTTGAGTAACTGGGTTTTAAACCAAACACGAGACGGAAATGCGCGCGCTATCTCTATTACCTGCTGCGGACAATGTTCGGGCATCTCGCCACCGTCTATCCAAAATACACCATTTAGCCTTTTCATCAAAATTGCAAAAATCTGACAGTCAAGTGATGCCAATGGGAGGGGGGAGCTCTTTGACACAAGACCGAAGCCTTGCATCGGGATCGATCCCAAGACCGAAGCCTTGTGATCGGAGAGTGGCCCGACTCCGAAGAGACCGAACCAGAGAGCTTTGATAACCCACTGACGCCGGACCAATCAGACATTGGCGTCGAAAACGCGTCGCGCTTATCTAGCCACTATTCAAAGTGCTGCCGACAATATCGGGGACACGCCGGTCTCTATTCGCCTTATTTGGAGTTTCGCAATCAATTTTGAGTGCTATCATTGCGTCGGGCGCTCTCTTCAAATGTAAATATTCTTCTTCTTTTTTTACATTGCGCTTGGAGCATATTACCATATATATGACTGAAATAATTAAATTTAAATGTAAGAAAAAACTAATAAAAAAATTAGACACTCGCCAATTAATTGGACGAGTTAAATGTGAATGGAACGAACGATTCAAAACGGTTGAAACAAAATACGATAAACAACGGGCACGTGTTAACGGCGGAGTGTCGTACACTGTGTTTCCACTAAAACTTTTTTCTGTGAACGAGATTAGTCCAGAAATTCTCAATAAGAAAAATGCGCCTATTATTCAAAAAAAAATAATAAAAAATAAATATATTAATAAAAAAAACTAAAATAAATAAAATATTCCGAACGCAAAATGTCTTGTTTCCCAATCGAATTCGACCACATCCGAAAAGAATACGGCCGTTGTTCAAACCGTGATGGCCCCTTATAAGGTGTTTGCGAATGTTTAGAGTTTCAGCTGATGCTTCAGATATTCCAGGCAAGCTTATTGGACTGAAAAGAGGGCCTTTCATTTGAAGAGGGCTCTCATTCCTATGCATGAAGTCAGACATTTAGATACTAAAGCAAGAGGAGTCGAAAATGTGCAAATTATTTTAATAACTTAAAAAGTCAACATTGTGTTTAACAATAGTACTCGAACAATTGAAAACAAGCCACAGAGATTCTGAAATATTGATCCTTCACCCCATTTCACAATTATTTTCAAGTTTCAAAAAATTCTATTAACGTTCTTGGCGTTGCTAGAACATATCGTGATGATTCAAACACTTTGAACAATGTTATAATTGATACACAACATGTTTAATTCTTTTGCAAAATTGTTTTTGGAAAACTGTAATACGCTGATATATTGCGGTTGCCGCAAATGGCCCGCGCGGGCCCCTCGCATTTGATGGCCTCTCGAGAGTCCTTAGAGAGTCCCGCTTACGGCCCGCAGTTGCCCCTCAGAACCCCGCATTATTTTCACCCGCGCGGGCCCCTCCATTCCTATTAAACGCAAATCACCCGCGCGAGCCCTTCTGAGATATTCACCGGCGCGGGGCCCGCAGATATGACCCCCGCCAAATTGTTGGTTCTTTTGTCAATTTCAAACACGAATTTAACAACAAAATCGATTTATTGAGTAAATCAATTGAGAAGACGTGAGAAGGAACGCATCAAATCAATGAGAAGGATCAGCCACATCGCGAAGCTCATTCCATCAACGATGATGAGCTGAAAGAGGCTGTAGTAGGCGACGCGACAGAAGAAGGCCGCGTGCGCTCGAACATTTCTGGGCAACAATTTCACAATGACGAAATCGATGACGATTGTGCCGATGGTCTTGATCACGAAGAACTTGAACAGTTTTCCGTGTCTGGAAACTCGGTTGGAGACGGTTTAAAGGCGCATAGGTATTCATTCTTACAAGACAATGAGGGGCAACAGATAGGCGTCGAAAGAGTAGAGAATTCGCGGGATGTTGACAACTGCAACGAGAAATATGCAATGGGAAAATGATGATCGAATCGGCTCACCTTGATTGTCGGCCATTTTCGAGCAACGAATGATCGAATTGGTCGGCTCGATTCGTCTCGGTCTCTCCGAATCGCCGACTTTCTCAATCTCGAGTTTTTGATGAAACCACGCCGCGCCTATTGTTTCCATATTGCGCATAATGTCGGCGAAATCCTTTTTTCGAAATTTTCTTTATTTATGTCTTCCGTCTAGACGAGTTTTTCGAATCGCAATATAATGCGATTTTGAAATGATGGTTTGAATGCCCAAAACGATTTGCTTTCGAGAATTATTTAGTTTTCTAAGACACATTTTCTATTATAATCCAACATTTGGGAATGTCTAGTCGGATTCTTAAAGTCTGATGGTCAAGTGATGCCAATCGATCCAGACCCTGAGATCGGCTTGACTATCAGCTTCGGGGATCGGATTTGTTTTCTTCTTAATTATTATTCCGGCAGAAATAATTGTATTTAGATGGTCCATGTTCTCAGGCCACTCAAATTCATGAAGGCCGTCAAGCATTCCAACGAAGCCCGAAAACCGGACCAATTAATCCGTTCTAATCCGCGGAACCCCCACACGCCAGTCTCACAACGCTTCTCTGCACCCTTCATTTTGACAATGCTAAAACCGTCGACGCTCTCGATTTTCTTCGCAATGATTTCGGTCATATCGTTGTTCAGGTGAGTGATTTGTTTCTGTATTGCAAATCTGAAATTTTCAGCTATTTGCCGAAATTCTTCGACGAGTTGGCGTCGATCGAGCGAATTTTGGCGAGCGAACTTGACGAGTTCGCGAGAATCGAGGCCCAAATTTGGGCGAATTTCAAAACGACGCCGCAACGACGCAAAAGACATCAGAATTATTATGGAAAAGTGTACAATTATTGCGAATGCGAGTACATCAATGATTGCCCGCCGGGCAGGAAAGGCAGAAGCGGCGCCGACGGCGTTCCCGGCGAGGATGGCCTTCCAGGCATTCCAGGCGAGCCTGGCGTTCCAGGCACTCTTCCCAAGGCGCTCTATGAGAAGATCTACGGCTGTCGTGTGTGTCCGTACGGTCCAAAGGGAAAGATCGGCGAGCCGGGTGCTCCGGGAGCGCCGGGACGCGTCGGCTATCCCGGCGAGACCGGTCGGCGAGGTGTCGACGGGGACCGAGGGGGAATCGGAGAGGATGGTCCGCCGGGCGCGCCGGGACCCAACGGATCGCCCGGGGAAGCCGGTCCACCCGGCGAGCAGGGAATCACCGGCATCAAAGGGATTATGGGAGAGACTGGTGAGCCCGGCGCTCCAGGCCTGCCAGGGGAGCCCGGCACACCAGGCGAGCCGGGAACCGAAGGAATCCCGGGACCGATGGGACCAAGAGGGCACGAAGGACGCCAGGGCGACCGAGGGCCACCAGGTAAGCGATCATTTTGAAAGAAGAGTGGCACACCGTTCATGAATTCAGGTGAATCGGGACCCGTCGGACGACAAGGTGGTCCCGGCCAGGATTCGCACTACTGTCCATGCCCGAGTCGGCAGCAATTGTACAACAATATGAAGCGGAAGGCGACAAAAATTTATTGATACTATCTTTCAATCCATTGCGATCATTATTTGACCATGTAATGAAGCGGCATTCCAGGCTCCCAATCATACGGGAACTCTGGTTTGCCGCAATTCTGCAGCGCTTGTTTCATCAGCTATAAATTTGTTCTTTAATCTCAAAAAAAATGAAACGGGGCGACAAACTCGATAAATGTCTTCATATCTGGGATCGGCGAAATAGTCCCAACTATCAATCATTTGGAGGATCTGCTTGAATTCGTTCGACGGGCACGGATGGACAAACATTTTGTCGAGATTATTGCGAATTGCTATCTTCGCCTGACCGACCGCGTTCATGTCGGTGATCTCTTTCCATGGCACACGGCCCACTGTCAATTCGACTTGCATGTACATCCATGTCTCGATGTCGTCCTTCCTGCAACAAAACGTCAGTGGTCCGGTCGGCGTGCCGGGGGTGCTACCTGCCGAGGTCGATCTGCTTGTGGCACGCGATCGGCGCGTATCTCACTGTTCCGCGAAAACCGGCGGCGGCTCGCGGCTTTCGAATCACACCATTGTTGTCGGTGAACTTGCGCGCCATTCCGAAATCGAGAATGTAGACCTTGCGAAGCTCGTTGAGCTCCATTCGGCCGATTGTGTAGTTGCCGGGTTTGACGTCGCGATGCAAATAGCCAATGTTGTGGAGGTCCTCGAGCGCCTCGAGCGCCTGAACACCGCAGCTCAGCGAGCACGCGAGACTCAATGATTGTTGCGGTGTGCCTTTGCGGAGGTCCTGAAGCGATTTGCCGACGAGCGTCATCACCACATAATTGAAGTTGCCGTAGCGTCCTTTGTCCTCGATTTTGCAGAAGTGTCGACTACCGCGTTTGGTGAGCTCGGCGAGCACGAGCACCTCCATTTTGAGCACCTGCATTTGCTCGCTGATGCCCTCAACCTTCAACGCGTACTTTCCAGTAGGATCACTGCATAGGTACACCGCTCCGCAACCACCTTCACCAAGCTTCTTTACGATTGTCCAACGCTCAACCTGCAATCCAATAGCTCTTTCCAACTATTACCATAATTGGATACTGTAGATCCGGCTGGAAGTTCAACAAGCGGCGGTGGCGGCGCTGTCATAATTGCTCAGAGATTGGTGTGTGTGTTCGCCGCGACAAATCACCAGTTAAATACAAATTCGGAATAATTCGGCGAATCGGCGCAGCGAAATCACGCCGACAATTCCACACATTTATTTTTTGCCAATTGTTTATCTCAAAATTTTTCCCATTAAACCACTATAGATTCATTTCTATGTTGTCACGCATGAATTGTACAGTGTTATTATTCTTAAACGTAAGTCGACGTCGATGATGAATTACGTATCGATTTTTGTTGTAGATCGTTCACATTTTAATATTTCTATCGCCGGTTTTACTCGCGTTGTGCATTACGCGGCAAAGGTTTCGCGGTGATTCCAAGGTCGAACTGATTACGCCGCCGAAGAAGAGCTCGACGACAAACGCAGGATCAGTGACAAAGAATACGAATCCGAATCAAATGTAAGATTTTCTGAAAAAATAGGGACCACTACAAACTTCAGCACTTATTAAGCAGCCCCACTACAAACTATAATTTTGCTAAGCAGACCATTTCTAGTTAAGCAGTTCCACTATAAACTACACAAATAGTTAAACAAGCTACTATTAGGAGCTAAGCAGCCCCACTACAAACTATAATTTTGCTAAGCAGACCATTTCTAGTTAAGCAGTTCCACTATAAACTACACAAATAGTTAAACAAGCTACTATTAGGAGCTAAGCAGACCCACTACAAACTATAATTTTGCTAAGCAGACCCTTTTTCGTTAAGCAGACCCACTACAAACTACACAAATAAGTAAGCAGGCCACTATTAGGAGCTAAGCAGACCCACTACAGACTATAATTTTGCTAAGCAGACCCTTTTTCGTTAAGCAGACCCACTACAAACTACACAAATAAGTAAGCAGGCCACTATTAGGAGCTAAGCAGACCCACTACAGACTATAATTTTGCTAAGCAGACCCTTTTTCGTTAAGCAGACCCACTACAAACTACACAAATAAGTAAGCAGGCCACTATTAGGAGCTAAGCAGACCCACTACAGACTATAATTTTGCTAAGCAGACCCTTTTTCGTTAAGCAGACCCACTACAAACTACACAAATAAGTAAGCAGGCCACTATTAGGAGCTAAGCAGACCCACTACAAACTATAATTTTGCTAAGCAGACCACTTTTCTGTTCAGGAGTTCCACTATAGCTTAGAAGACCAAATTTTTGAGTTAAAAGATTATCTTGTCAATATTTTTCCTAAAACTGTAAATGAATTGAATTACACGTTCCCTTTTCCCTCATAAATAATGAGAGAGAAAGACGCAAGAGATAATCCGCATTACAATAAGAGCGCCATGAAAGTCCATGTCGGGTGGAACTCAAGTGTTCTTGTTGTTACGTGGTTGCCCCGCGAATAATTAATAATGAAATGAGAAAGGTGACCTTTGTTTGAAACTCTCGAGTTGATCGCATCTGATTTCAGAAAACCTCCGAAGCATGTCCCAGTGTCGCCATTCAGAGATGAAGAGGACACTCTCGCGTAATGATCTCTTTAAAATACTCATATAAGGTATTGAGTTTATTAGGAATGTGCAATCAGTTCAAATCGATACCACAGAGGAAACTATAGACTGCGAAAAACATAAGAAAAAGAAAAAGAGGAAGAGTTAATAATTTAACTTATTTTTATTCGATTTTTATTTTTTGTGTATGTGTCATCAGGTCCAATTTTATTGAATTTGATAACCTTGACCGAATATGGAGCGAATCGAATTGAATTGGCGAAAACAAATAGTAATAATAATAATTTCACTTGCGCACTTTTCAAGAATTCCGTCCTCCTCGTATTGTTCGGTTTTCGTGGTGTTCGATCCGCATCGGTTTTGTCCTAATAAGGAAAAGTACACACAAAGTGGTCGACAAATGTAGATCAATCAGAATTTTGCAAATTTTGAACACGTCCTCCAAAATGTGAACTGCGTTCAAATTGGCGCCAATATGAAAAAAAAATTCACATTTTCAAATATTCAAATTCCCGCCAAATTTCGAGTGTATGAAAATCCGTCATATCAACATATCTGAATTTCAAACCTCCCACCAAATCTCAAAACCTGTTAACGTTCAAAAATGTGAAATTTTGAAATTCGCGCCGAACTCGAAATGGCGCGAACTTCGGCGTTTCAAATTCGAACTCTCGTGTCAATTTTAAATGCGCTTTTTAGAGATCCCAACGATGAGGACCATCATTGTCAATTATATGTAGTAGGAGGCTCCGCCCACTGAAAACGAAAAGTCAGAGCCCCACAAAGTTGAGCGTCGGCAAATGTGTACGGTCATTATGTATATAATTAAATGCTCCCCCTCTCATTGGTTTCCGGCGGGCGCGGCGTGTAATAAATAGAAAAAAAAGCAAAGTAATGAAAACCAGTAAGTGAAAGCGATCGCCTTCTCTCTCTCTCTCTCTTTCGGTGCGGCGATTCATAAAAGAATGGAATCCAAATCAAATATGCATAAGCGGTGAAGGATTCCAAAAAAAATGCAGAATAAGAAACCAGCCCGTGTCGTGACCTACTCGGAATCGAATGGACCGTGCCCCTTTTTTTTTGCGCGCCATCTGAATATAGGCCAAGCAAATTGGCTGACCATATATGGATATTCCTGTATGTGTCACGCGCTCCTACACACACCTGCCAACAGCTCTTGTCATCAGGGAGGGGGGGGGGGCTCCGGCTCGCGCATATTATTAATTTTCAAGAGGTGGGTGGTGAGGAGGCGGTCGTGATCACAAAAGGGCCATCCCATTCATAAGGTGACCTTTTATTGCTGATGCACATTGTGCATTTATTCGAATTCCTTCAAGGTCGCGTCTCTTTCATATATATTTTTTTCCCGTCATTCTCACACCCAATAATTGTGGTGACGCTCTGTTATTTTGGACAAGTCGTGTGGAAAATGGGCTGGGTGTAGTCGGTCTTGAGGAACAGGGTCATATCGTATGTAGTAGTCACACGCGACCGCCAAACATAGTTTTCAGTGCTTTTTTTTGGGGCCTACAATTTCTCACCCCATCTCCTTTTATGGTCATGCCATCCCCACTCGGTCCCTTTAAACTAACTCATAGTTGACATATTTGACACGTAGCCGAAATTCAATTTTTCTTAGGTACTGTGAGCCTGTGGCCGTCTAGAATGACATTCATTGCAACCTACGGTACGCATTAAAGGCGCACGATAGTTTAAAATTCAAATTTCCACCTTTTTGCTAGAATCCAACATTTCACACGAATTATTTCTTTTTTGAAGAAATCCCGAATTTTGAACTATTTTTTCAAAGTGGCGCGAATTCAAATTATCGCGACCTTTTCAAAATTCCCTAATTCTCGGCAACATCAAAATAATCGCCATTTTCGAACTTCTATTGCATATTTCAAATTCCCGCCATACAATTCACATAGGCGGCAATTCAAATGCGTCCGATTCTTGGGGTGTTCGATTCCTCCCCCCCCCCCAGCTACCACCAAATTCCAATTCCGCTCAATTTCCCATCGCAGCCATATAATGATTACTGTATCGAGGTTAGGTAACTAGGAATTCCATAATCGGTTTCAAAACTTTTCGATCGGCGATCTCAGACAACAAAAAAACAGAGATGGGCGGAAGAAGCAATTATAGTTGGGTGACGACCTTCGCAAAAACGAAAACTCGACTCCGCCCCCATCACCCCAAACGAAATTCGCTTTTTTTGCGAACCACAACCACACGAGCCATATCGTATCTATACATATATATGTATAATTATGCAACCTTTCATTTGGGTGGTGTGTGACATTCAAATTGTCACCACCACCACCAATTCGCTTTTGCCATTCCTTGGGCGCGTGTTGACCTTCGTTGCTGTCATGGCTGGGCTTTAAATGCAAATATTTGATTGGCAAAATCCATATAAGGGGGGCTGTAAAACCGTTTTGTTCGTCCTTGTCATATTACAATTATTGTTATTCTCGAAGACCCCGCCTTTTGGGCCAAACAAGAGTACAACAAACCCCCCCCCCTTCTCCTTCTCGTTCATCTCGAACCAATTAACCTGGATGCGACCGGCGGACTGGTTGACCTTGGCTCTTTTGCAAATGTTGCCAGTTGAACATGCGTCCGACGTCTTCCGAGACGCATGCTCCTTTAAACTACCAAAGTCGTGCAAAATCTATCTTCTGAATCACCTACGCGCCTTTAAATTCTCTTCTATCCTACCGTAACCCAAAAATACTTTTCAAGAGCCTTCAAATTATCTTCCATCATACTTTTATCCATTTGGTCATGCGCCTCTAAATTACAGTAATCTGAATAAACGCACCTTAAAATATTTGAGTTTCAAGAATTTCCGAACACACGATTTAAAGGAGCATGGCTACCGTAACCCTTTAGCTTCGTTTTTTCTTGTTCAAAATTTCTTAGAAAACCATACCGTTTCCTTACAAGGTCATTTCAGCCGTCACCTAATAGCAATAATAAAAAAAATGCTCAACATAGTCATTTTACTACTAGCAATTTCGCCCAACATTATTGCCATAATCGAGTACGATAATTCAATACAAGGTGAGTGATTCAGGGACGACTTGGGCGGCAAATTGAAAATTGCAGGACAACCGGAAATCGCGTGCACGAATAGCGGCGCGACACTCAAAGTTGAGACGGTCAAAGGCGCGCCGTCGCACGTCTTCATCAAAGGCCATTTCAGAAAGGTGAGCTTCGAATCCCACCGAATTATCCGTATTCGTCTTTTTGTCAGGAGGGATGCTCATTCTCGAACACGAGTCTCGCGAGCTTCGAGTTCTCGCAATGCGATGTCGCGCGAAAACGCGAGGTCAATCCCAAGGGAATCGCCTACAGTATGACGGTCGTGGTGCAATTGCACCCGTTGTTCACCACGAGGGTGGATCGCGCCTACAGTGTGCACTGCTTCTATCAGGAAACTGAAAAGGTCGTCGGCGCCGAGGTGTCGGTTAGCGATCCGACGCCGACATTGATGAGCATCGAGAGCGAGCAGCCGACGTGCACGTACACAATTCACAAGGGCTCCCCAAACGGGCCGTTGGCGAAATTCGCCCAGCTTGGCGACGTGATCTATCATGTTTGGGAGTGCCCGAGCAAGGTTTGAAAGTCGGATTCTTCGAAACCTTTGAAATCGCGAAAATTCAGACCTATGAGATGTTCGTTCACGATTGCTCTGTGGTTGACGTCGAGAATAGCAATAACAAAAAAGTGATTGACGAGAAGGGATGCTCTGAGGACGTCTTCATTATGCCAAATATAGTTTACAATGACAATCGGACCAAGGCTTTTGTCAGCTCGAACGCCTTCAACTTTCCGGACCAGATGAGTGTCCGATTCAATTGTCAAATTCAGATTTGCCCGTCGATAAGCACATCGTGCTATCAGGTTGATCATGGCTTTCTGAAAATTTGACAATTAATTAATTATAGCCAAATTGCAATGGCGAGGCCTCTTCTGTTGATGAGACGACTAGTGAGCCGATTGACGGAATTTTGGCGCGTGATGAGCTCATCACTACGCCGCTGCCGCCGGTCACCGCCACTGTTGAGGAGACGACGACGACTAGTACGACCACCACAAGCACTACCACGACAGCTACAACGACAGCATCGACAACAGCACATCGCGTTTTGGGTAGGTGTACATCGCAATTTTTGGCTTCAAAAATTCTTCCTCTTCTTAATTTGAAGCGTGTTGTCCTTAAAAATTTTGAATTAATTTAATATTTGCAAAAAAAATCATTGAAAAACATAAATTTAAGTAGAAATTTTTAGAAAATTGAATATTTCCGAAAAGAAAAACAAATTTGGTGTAGACACCGCGTCGCGAAATTGCGCCATTTCGCTTACCGTACCCAACCATTTTAATATTGCAGAGTCGAGCACAACCGTCACATTGCCGACCGGTTTCCCGACTCCCGACAATCTTTTCATGCTTCTCAAAAAAATCAAAAACGCGACAAGCGAATTAGAATTGGACGTCGAGGGCTCGGGTCTCGAAATCGCGACGACCGATGAGCCGAGAACGACGAAACGCGAAATTCGAAGGAGAGATGCGATCGACGTCGACATCTCATCGCCAGATTTAATGATTATTGATAGAGATTTTGGTATGCGAATTGAGTTTTCGAGAAAAAAAAAACGAAAGCCTATAATTGCAGTTAATGAGCTTCCAGCACCGTTGGAGCAATTCGCCGAGGCGAAGGGTCTCGAAGCGAATTCGAAATCGATTTGCCTTCCATTCTTCATTGTCTGGATCCTAGTGGGACTTGTGATTTTCGCGCTTTCAATCACATTCACAGCGTTATGCTATTCGATCAAACAACGCCCAAGGTTTCAAATTCTCCCATAAATTCTCAACACATTCCTCAGAAGACCTTCATTCGCGAGTATTTTGTTCTTTTTTTTAATTATTGTATTTATTATTTTTATTCTTGCCTTTCTCATGGGTGATATTTATTAATGTATAGCTTTAATTTATACCAAACATGTATTTTCTTTATTTTAATCAATTGTGCCAGGTAATTAATTAATTAATTAAATGTGATTTGCTAAAATTCATTTCATTCCTATTTTGATAAATTCTATCGATTGGTCGAGAATTTTAGTTTATAGAATACGATGCACCGTGAGCTCTTCCATTATTTTTTATTCGCTTTATAAAATAATTTCAAATTAATATTATTATTTTTCTTTCAGTTCAATGTGTTCTCGAATTGTTCTCAACTTTTATACTATGTTTTCTGCTCATGTTGTGTTGCAAAAATAGTTCAAAACAGAAGAAGGGGGTGTCGACGTCGATGAAAAGCAAGCCGGGCGCGACGAAATCGAGGATGGCCAATGTTGGCGCGAAGCCGGCAATGTCAAAGTCGACGCCGGAGCCGGCCAAAGAGGCGAAACCGGCGAAATCCGACGAAAAAGTCGATAAACCGCAGCCGGTGGAGAAGAAAAAAGAAAAAAATGATGAGAATGAGGTACGGTAGTCGGCGAAAATCCGTAATCTTGCCAGAAAGTGTTTGCGGACACTCACCCGATTTTCCTTTTTTTTTCAATCGAGTTTTCGCAATTTTTCCATTTTAGAATAATAAAGATGGCTCGAAAAAGGACGCGAACGATAAGGAACAAGGAAAAGACACTCTTGCGTAAGAATATCAACGCAAACTCTCAAAATAATAAAATTTTAGAAACGAGGATTTGATGATTTCGCAGAAATCGGTGAAATTGTACGCGAAAGATTTGCCGAAATTGGATAGCACGGTTATGGAAAATGTCACAACGCGTAAAAATCTCGAGTTATTCGTGAAAGTCAACATTTCTTATTGTTTTTTAGCGGCGGTTCACGAGCGCGCTCAAAAAATCGCCGCCGACAAATTGATAATCGATCCGAAGCACACGAGTTACGGCGGAAATATCGATGCGGTTAGCATGAATTCGAAATGCAATTTCATTTTTGTTGGTCGTTTTCAGGAAAATGAGAAACAGGCGAAATTGTCAAAATTCGCCGACGATCTGAAAAAGAAGCAGGAGGACGAAATGAAGGATGTGACGTCGAAACGAATACTCAAAAATAATATGCGGGTGATTCATTTTCAATTGTTTTATTTCGAAATTCTCATTCGAGCACATTTTTTTTTAGGTAAAAGTAAAAGAGGAAAAATGTATATTATATGAGACAAATGAGATTCCGACGGATGATGATGAAGAGGAAGCGAACAACGATGCCGGATAAAATCATTTTACACATTTATCGCGTACTTTTGAAATATGTTGATAGCGGATTTGACAACTCTAGCAATTTGCGATTTTTTTTATTTCGTCATTCCAACCGATTTATATACGAATTTTGAAGAAACCACCCAAACTCGATGATTTTCTCGAAATTAGATTGGCGTTTGAATTTTCGCCAAAACAGCGCTTTTTACAGATTAGAGACATCTCATTCATTTTTTTGTCTATGATCTTGCATTTAAGGTTTAAAAGGTCAGAAAATTGAAACAAATGGTAGTGCGCGAAAATGTGTGAAAACACCGTGACGCAATGTCACAGAAAAGCGCATTACATTTGAATATGCTTTTTTGCATCAAAGTTGAAAATTGTAAAGTTTTTTTAAAATTTAGTTTCTTTCTATGTACTATTGGACACATAATCAGTTTCAACATCGCGTCGAGTTTAGGGATTTTTTTAATTGCAAAATTAGAAGCCATTGTTTTTTTACAAAAACCAAGAGTTTTTCAAAATAACACAAAAAAAAAGAAAATTTCATGTATTTTTTCGAATAATTTTGATAAATAAAAAATGAAGCGGGTTTAAATAGTTTGGTTTTATGCGACCCCCCATATGAGAAAAGTTGGAGGCGAATTGCGCAAAAAAAACAACCATGTATTTATAGGGGATCTAGATGGGAAAGTTTCCCATTGCAACCTGTACGTAACCATCTGCCAATGGAGAGGCCGACACGACCCGGCGTTCCTATCTAATTACACTCGCGCACACACAAGCGGGCGGTAGCCACAGCGGGCCGAATTCAAATAAACATCGATTCGCGCCATTCGAAAAACATCAAAGGAACACCGCCATTGGTGTGAGAGGGGGGCGAGCGGGTGAGTGTACACCATGGCGGGTGGAGACGCAGAAAACCACGCCATCTTTTCGCACTGTGTCTTGCGAGGCCGTCCGCCCCGCTCGCTCGCCACTTTCAAATTCGACCACCATTTTTGTGCGCGCGCGCGTCCCTTATATTATTTATATCAATTTTTTCGAAAAATCATTTATCCTTGAATTGCATCCCCTTTAATTACGGTAGTCGTTTTTTTCAGCACCTTCCCACATGGCCACTATAATTCGCAATTTTTTTCGAGGTAAAAAATCCAGCAAAAAGGAGGATTCCGCTGATGAATTGGTAAGTTCTTCCGTCATTTTTTTCCAAACTCACCAATTTTTCTAGGCCCGAGAGGTGTCGAACCGACGCTCGTTTCGCGCCGGCTCGGCGAAATCGTCTCGCCGAATGACGGCAAGATTCGCTGATGATGGAATGCTGTCGGCCACCGCTGCGTATCACACTAATAATGCTCCGAAATTGCGCAAAGGACCGCAGAGTTGTCCCGGAGGGTGAGTTGTGCATTTTGGCGTCGCCGTGTCTCGCACACATTATTGGTGTGCCCAGAAAGTTTCCCATTTTTCAATATTTCCCATTTTGCAGCTATCGCGACGAATCGCCGTGCTCGAACAATTCGTATGAGTCGGACGTGTACTCGACGAAGAGCCGCCAACGCGATAATGTCCTAAATCAATCGATGCGACAAAATCAGAACAATGACGAGAATCGGCCGATGGGAAAGAGCAACCGGCAACATCATCGATATGAGAATGGCTATCGCCGACGCGGCGACACCTCCGAGTATGGAAGCGACGAAATGTGGCCAGAATGGAAGAATGAGCGACATTCGCACTATGATCAGAGACTTAATGAGTCAGAAAATGATGATTTTGATGTGAAGGAACAAATTGCGGTAATTTTTTTGTTGTTCACCCAATTAATTGTAATTAATTCGATTGTTTTTTTTTTCTAGTTAATGGAGCGCTCGAATCGGAATTATAGGCAAAAATGGAAAGAGTCGGAGCAGAAGAGGCGCGAGGAGAAGAAAAAGTACAAAGAGCTTGAGCGTGAGAGAAATGACATGCAGAATGTAGGAAACATTGGATAATGGCAAAAATTGCAAGATTTTGATTTTCAGGCAATGTTCAGCTATATGCGGCAAGCGGATCAGCTCAAAAAGGAGAAGGATAAGTACAAGCAGAAGCTGAGACAAATGGAGAATGTAATAAATTGACTCATTCGAAATTCAATTCCAAAATTGATTTCAGCAGCTCAATGAGCTTCGTCAACAACAATTTGCGCAGATGAACTTCAACGCGCCGTTCAATTTCTGCTCATCGAATCAGACACGGGTTTCGGCGTTCTTGCCGGTGACTAGCAACACGCCGACGACGATGAACAGCACTGGTGGCGCTGGCGAATCGCTGGTGCAGCCCGGCGATATGAGTATGCTTCAATTCCAGCCGATGTCGGTGCCATCGTTGAATTTGAATAGCACACTGGGCAACTCGCCACACTTCAAGCCTAATCATTTCGAGGACGATGAGGATGAGGTGAAGAACTTCCGCGCCGAAGAGCTCACGATTGAAACCGCGCGCGCGCCAAAAGCCGAACCCGAGGCGATATCATCGTCGTCGGGAGACAGCTCGGTGACGCTCAGCGAGGAAACCGTCAATAAGGAGAATCGCGGGCCATTGAGAGCATTGGAGAACACGACGAGCAGATCATTCTCGATTATGTCCATCTAGTATTTTGTATTTCATTCCATATTTTTGGTTTCGATTCCATTTTTGAAAATATGTTTGATGATTATTAAATAATAAACACCAATTGATCCAATGCAAGGCGAGAGCTGAGAAGGAGAGACGCGTCGTCGCCATAGCAACCGCTCCTCGCTGCCCCCTCATAATACCCTCTTTTTTCTTTTCTAAGCTCGCTCGCCGTCCGCCTCGAAGGCGCACTCATTGATTTTGTTGTTGGTGTGCCGCGTTCGAAACTTTGTTAAATGGCGTTTTTACCTTCAGGCATGTCGAACTTCAAGTTCAGCTTGAACGGCATCACGAGTTTTGTGCAGCAGCGCATCGGCAATAATTATTCGTCGGTGAGCACACTTGACTCTCATGATCGAATTCGTGAAAGGTAGCTTGTTTCTTATTTGCTTTTTGCCGTTTATGGTTGATGTGTAGAATGCGCGAGAAGCCGAATCGAAACAAAAAATCGAATCATACCGATACCATCAACACATTATGTCTCATTCGCTCGGGAATGGTGCTCTCTGGCAGTCGGGATAGTGTAAACACATAAACGTTTCTCTGTGCTTCCAGCAATTTCTGAAATTGCAGAAGATCGCGCTCACCAATGTCGATAATGGCGATCTTGCACTGTTTTGGGACACACACGGCGCCGAGGTCACCAAACTCGCGTATCGGAATTCGGTGGCGAAGCATTCCGTGTTTAGCGGCTCGCGTGATAGCACAATTACCATGTACCATTTGAACAACCCGACACCGTTGCGGGTTTACAATGATCATCGGCTGACGATCACCGGAGTCGCGAACATTGATGGTAAGCGACAGGTGCGGCTTGAAAATGTGGTCTGCTTAGGAGTTTTGTAGTTTGTAGTGGGTCTGCTTAGTTCAAAAAGTGGCCTGCTTCACAAGGATTATAGTTTGTAGTGGGGCTGCTTAACTCAAAAAGTGGTCTGCTTAACCATTTTGTAGTTTGTAGTGGGTCTGCTTATGGACCGATTCATGCAATGAAAAAAAAATCAATTGTTTTCATTTGAATTCCCTATGCACGCACGTCAAAAATTACAAAAAATTGACGCGATATATCGTAATTCTCCGCTATTTATTTTTAAAGGCGCATGCAAAAAGTTGCGCGGGTCACGTTGCGAAGTCGGTACTGTAATTTTTTATTTTTCATTCTATGTGCTATTTTTCCGTATTTTTCAAAAACTTCGAAGAGAAAATGACTAACGGATTTAAGAACGAGTAAAAACAATTATTGTTGGTATAATTACTCCTAACTCGACAATATTTGTCTACTTTTTGTCATTTAGATAGCAATTTTTATGAAAAATTGTGATATTTGTGTTAATTTGATGCAAACTTCGCTCGATGATGCTTTTAATGAACCTTCAGCGTTTATTAAATAAAATATTTCTACAGATTTCCAAAAAAAAACGTTTTAAACGCTCAAAAAATAAAAAAATCGAAAAAAAAACAGCCATTAAAAAATTACAGTACCTACTTCGCGACGTGACCCGCGCAACTTTTCGCATGCGCCTTTAAAAATAAATAGCGGAGAATTACGATATATCGCGTCAATTTTTTGTAATTTTTGACGTGCGTGCATAGGGAATTCAAATGAAAAAATTGATTTTTTTTTTATTTTTTTCATTGCATGAATAGGTCCATTAGGTGATTTGTAGTTTGTAGTGGGCTTTCTACCGGAAAAAAAGGCAGGTGAAAAATTAATTATGCAAATTTAGCAAATTGCAGAATTTCTCCAAAAATAGAAATTGATCTTCGCAAATTATAGGGATCATTATATTGTTATAATTATGATAATTATCATGCACAGATGAATCATTCATCTCGGGTAGTCGAGACACGTCGATCAAAATTTGGGACGTCGAGACGGGCAAAGTTCGAATGCAGAAGGAGATGAATCGCAATCTCGTCACCCATCTTGCCTATAATCCGAATCTGAGCATCATTGCTCAATCGTCCGAAGATAAAACCGTCAAGCTATTCGATCCGAGGAGTTTGGCAGTGATTCATGAGTATCCCAGGAAGCAACACATCCAAATGCATTGCGATTTTATGGAGAACACCCACGTGCTCGTCTCATGCAGCAACGGATTCAACAACGATGGCGGCGAGGTTACGGTAACTAGCTATTCAATGGCTACAGTACCCAACTCAATTGCAGCTTTACGATCTTCGATATGCGAAGCCAATCAAGGAGCTTCGCGGGCATGAAGGCTCGGTGACCTGCGTAACCACAGTACCAATTGGTGATAATAAGAAAATCATCGTGAGCACTGGCGCTGACAAAACCATAAGGGTGTGGAGATTTGAGGATATGAGTGAGTTCGCCATGACGCAATATTGCAGACTTTTAAAAATGTGTAAATTGCAGGTCTCTCGTGGACCGAAGAGTCGCCGTTTGAGATGGACATGATGCAATGCTGCGCGTACGCGGAGGGACAGTATGACAAACCCATTGACAGAAACGATTTCAAGACCCCCCATTGATTTCAGTGTGATTGTCTCCGGCGGCCACGGACGCCTCGCTCACTACCAGGCCCGAATGCACGGCAGCCGAGTTGCGCTCGAGCTTCTCTGGGTTCAGTCGAGCCAGATCTCGGAATCGATCAGCAATCAGACATTTTGAATGGATTGTTCAACAATGCATATCTCGCGGGCTGTGATTCTGATTCTAAATTTGTTATTTGAAAAAAAAAACGCACACGCATTCATTTTGAGAATAATAAAAATTGCAATTTCCGGTTTTTCACAATATATACGGTAGGCCGGAAAACCGCTCAATTTCCGGCCCAAGTTTGATGGCGCCGTTTTTGTCGACGAGATTCATAATCCACTGCATATCCTGGATGTCAACGCACATCCTCCTCCTACTACTTCTGTTAATACTCATCCATTGTGTTACCGTATATGGATTCGATAAAATCGAACTCGAAGACACCACCATCTATTTTCCGCTTAAAATCGATTATGTGGCGCCATTTGGGTGCGCGTTGGAGGGCAAAACGTGCGATGATGAAGGTAATGCAGAGATCGTTGCGAGACCCTAGTGTCGATTTACGGCCCATTACAGTTTGCGCGTAGGTCCCTAAAACAAGCCACGATTTTAGTGAAATCACTATAAATCAAGTTCATTGTTAGTCTATGAAGCTTTCGCTGCGAGACCCATAAATTCTTCTACTGGAAATTATGATACACAGATTCAATATCGTTACGAGACCCTACTCTCGATTTTTCTCACAAGACTCTCAGTTCGATGTGCAGCTCTGATGTGTCGATTTACGAAGCTTCTCGCAATGGGACCCGATCATGAACAATTCCAGGCGCCGCTTATATACCGGCTGCTGTTCAAGTGGCGCTCGAGCGATTCGACAAAAATCCCAACCTTGAGATATTCCACAATCTCTCAGTGAATTATGTGGACACCGCGAAAATTGAGGGACCACGCGCCGCCAAATCGGGTATGTCTCGCCAAATGGTCCGAATGACTCGTTTCGATTTCTAGTGGCGATGAATGACGAAACGATTGCGGTTGTCGGATTATCGCGCGATTGCTACATTCAGACGACGATTCTGAATATTAATAATAAAATTGGGGTGTCAGATGTAAGATGCATATTAGAGGGGGTCCTAAAATGTGCCGATGTGTTTCTGGTTATAGTACTGCCACATGGATTTGTCAAGGGTTAAAGGATTCGATCAGAGTACAGTACTTCTAAATTCCGCGACGGACCCTCTCGCCAAGGTATCGAGCAAAATGCAAATGCCGTTGATCAGCTTATTCAGGCCGTTATGTACTTCCTTAAAATGTATGAATGGAAAAAAGTTGCCGTTGTCTCACCTTCAACGACCCTTCCGGCATTTGACACCAAAGCTAGAAGTGATTTACTAGGTACCACTGTACTATAAAGACGCATACAGTATTCCTATCTGTTTCAGACACTCTTGCTAACAATGACATCGATATTCTGCTTGATAGTCGTGTTAACCCGAACGCCGAATTGAGAACGATTTCGAAAAAAATTGGGGAAGACGCGAAAAAGGCTAGAAGTTCGTTTCTGTCAAATTAGCCTCACAATTCATTTTTTTTCCAGTTTTCATCATTCTTGATTGGTCGCAAAACGCGAAAATCCTTCGAAATTATCTTTTCAAGTTCGGCGAGCTCAATAAAATTCAATCCGGCGAGTATTTCATCATCGCGTTCGTTTCCTATAGCGCCAATTATCAATGGCTTGATGACACCAGCGGAAGTCGAAAGCTTTTGCATCTCGGCGTTGATTCAAGTAGGCCTGAATTTTTTCTAAACGCGGTAAGATAAAATAAAAATTGATTGCAGTTGACGAATTTAACATAACCGATCACGACTTGCAAACCATCTACCGTAATCTAGTAATTCTTTCCGATGGTCCGCCGCCTGTTACACCGAATTCGACATGGGCTCAGGTTCAGAAGAAAGTGAAAGACGCTGCAAAAAAGGCAATTTGTCCGCCATTCTGCGATGGAAATATCTCAAAGGTTGGTCTTCATAGCAGTTTTCTTTAGTTTTTGTGGGGCTACTGCTTAACTCTGTTTAACTCAAAAAGTGGTCTGCTTAACCATTTTGTAGTTTGTAGTGGGACTGCTTAACTCAAAAAGTGGTCTGCTTAACTCAAAAAGCGGCTTGCTTTACAACGGTTAAATTTGTAGTGGGTCGGCTTATGCCAAAAAGTGGTCTGCTTAAAAAACATTTTGTAGTTTGTAGTGGGGCTGCTTTACTCAAAAAGTGGTCTGCTTAACCATTTTGTAGTTTGTAGTGGGGCTGTTTAACTCAAAAAGTGGTCTGCTTAACCATTTTGTAGTTTGTTGTGGGACTGCTTAACTTAAAAAGTGGTCTGCTTAACCATTTTGTAGTTTGTAGTGGGTCTTCTTATGCCAAAAAGTGGTCTGCTTAACCATTTTGTAGTTTGTAGGGGGCTGCTTAACTCGAAAAGCGGCCTGCTTAAATAGTTGTATAGTTTGTAGTGGGTCTGCTTACAGAAAATCGTACCCCGCTGGGATCGCATTAAATCGGTGTTCGACTCATTGGACTACCTGGCTCATTCCGTCGATGATGCCTTGAAGCTGGGAAAAAATATCTACATAACCGAGAACTTGTATGAATTCATGCTGTCTAGAACAATTGAAAGTAGGCATTCGAACGATTTCTTCAAAAATAGTTGTTCGCGACTTAAGGTGTCGCTGGCGTCAACGAGTATGTCGGCGGATTTGGAAACGCGATAGGATCAATGCAAGTGTACAAATTCTTCTCCAGCAAAATTCACAACACATATTCGCTGTTCCCTTGCGCAAGATTGAGCCAAGAATCCATTCTAGCATCCGAGTGGATTCTGACGGACTACGAGGAGGGATTATCGATAAACTTTATCAACGGGTCACCTCCAGGCGACACTCCAAAATGCGGATTCCATGATGAGTTTTGTGGACCACCGCCGAATTACACATTCATCATTGTGATTTCTTGCGGTGCATTCCTTTTGATTGTTCTCTCCGTCGCCGCATTCTTTTTATATCGCCGATATCGCTATGAAAGACGGCTTCATTCACTACACTTATTGATTGATCGCAATCAAATCATTCTCAAAAAGCACGTGAATCTTATGAGCCAACAAAGTTTGAGAAGTATGGCGAGTGTTCAAGGCTCCTTTATACAAGCTGTACGTTTCATTTGTTGGAAATATCGTTTTCGAATGGAAATTTGGATTTTATAGTCTCAAACCTTGAAAAACTCCACATTCTTCCTCGAGGACTACCAACAGGATGAGACGAGCAATGTAAGCACCATATTTGGAGAATCGCAAACTGGATCAATGATAGGATCAGGGGTATTCCGACAGTCAGGATCGGCTACCAATGAAACGACCGACGACCTTAGATGGCATTCGGTAAGCTTCGACTCAGGTACATCAATAATTGATTTTCAGCTTTCCGATTTTGCTGTGGGTCTCTATGAGGGAAGAACAGTGGGATTGAAGAGGATCTATAGAAGTGACATTGAATTGACAAGAAATGTTCGAATGGAAATTGCACAGGTGTTTGAAATTTTTTATAGGAAAACTGTATTGCCCTCTTTATAGCTTCAAGAAAGCGCCAATCCCAACATTATTGGATTCCTTGGAATGATGGTTCAGGCGCCGGATGTCTTTGTAGTCTACGAGCTAGCTCAACGAGGATCCCTCAAGGATATACTGGATAACGACGAATTACCATTGGACGATATTTTCATGAAACAAATGACGAAGGACATTGTGGCGGTAATTAGTCGCCTAATTAATTAATTACGTGAAAACTAGGGTCTTGAATATTTGCACAATTCGCCGGTTGGCTGCCACGGCCGTCTGAAATCCACTAATTGCCTGATTGATAGTCGCTGGATGGTGCGGTTGTCCTCATTTGGGCTTCGCGAGCTTCGAATGGATGAGAATCCGATACGCGATGATGTGCAGGACGGCAGGGACGATCTCTGGACGGCGCCGGAGCTTCTTCGCTGGTCCACAGGGCTCGCCCAGTGCTCACCGTTGCTCGTACAGAAAGCTGATGTGTACTCGCTGGCGATTGTACTCTACGAGACGTTCGGAAGAGCGGGACCATGGGGAGAAGAGCCGATGGAACCGAGAGGTACTGAAATTATCGAAATTGAATAACTTCAAAGCGCACAACAGAGATTGTGAATCGTGTCAAGCGTGGCGAGACCGAGGGGAAGCGCGCGTTTCGTCCCGACATCGCTGTCGTCAAAGATGCTCCAAAAATTGTGCAGGAAACAATTTCGGCGTCATGGGTCGAGGATCCAGCGGAACGGCCATCGCTATTTCAAATTAAGAGGAAATTGAGGCCACTGACAGCAGGATTGTAATCTTTAATTTAAAAAAAACAATTGTTGTTTAACATTTAGAAAACGCACCATTATGGATAATATGGTATCGATGATCGAGAAGTACACGGCAAAATTGGAGAAAGATATTGCTGAAAGGAATGAGGAATTGGAGGCGGAGAAAGAAAAAAGCGAAATGCTGCTGAAAATGATGCTTCCAGAGTGAGAAATAGTTGCATGCGATGGAATTGCGAAAAATCGCGCCGCGTTGTTGCAATAATAAACCACGCCCTTAAATTGTTTACTTTTTTTTCAAAATTCTATCAGATTTTCATTTTTTAAGCACATTGTTTGTATCTTTAGATGCTTTAAAAATTAAAAATAATAATTTCAGTGTTGTCGCTGACAGCCTGAAACGCGGAAACAACGTCACCGCTGAATCATTTGATAGTGTCACGATCTTCTTCTCGGATTGTCCAGGATTCGCCGAACTCTCCGCGTCGTCCCAACCGTTTGAAGTAATCATTTTTAATTATCAAACCATGAGAAAAATATATTTTTTTTCCAGATTGTCCAATTCCTTAATGATTTGTACACCTGTTTCGATAATGTGATCAGCAAATATGATGTGTACAAGGTTGAGACCATCGCCGATTCGTACATGGTCGCTTCCGGGCTCCCAATTCCCAACGGCAAGCATCACGTGGGCGAGATTGCTTCGATGGGATTGGCGCTATTGGACGCTGTCAAGGATTTCCGAATCAAGCATCGGCCGGAGGACAAGGTCCGCCTTCGCATCGGAATGAACTCGGGACCATGTGTAGCAGGTGTGATTGGATTGAAAATGCCGAGATATTGTTTGTTCGGTGATACTGTGAACACAGCTAGTCGAATGGAAAGCAATGGAATCCGTAAGAGAACTTTAAAAGGACCCAACTTGAGATTGATTTAGCTCTTCGTATCAATTGCTCGGAATCTGCGAAGCAGCTGTTGGAGCTTCTCGGAGGCTATGAGATCGAGGAAAGAGGGCTAGTCGAGATGAGGGTTTTTCTTTTTCAAAATGATTAAAACTTTATTTTAATTCCAATTTTCTTACAGGGAAAGGGCAAGCAAATGACATACTTTGTTCGCGGCGAGAATCCCGCGGCGCGTCGGGATCGCATTCTAAAGGATCGCGTCAAATACGCAACCCTCAAAAAGGCGATCGTCGATGAGAAGAAAATCGAATTCTCGTGAACACAACAAATAACGAATCACGAATTAATAAATAAACAACTGTTGATAACGAAAACAACCGTATTTCAAAAGTACTTGTAGATCTGATCGACGTTCCACGCGCTGGCGGTGATCGCCCATGATGGGCTCTTGACGCGATTCTCATGGATCTTCTGGATCATATTTCGAATCGACTTCGATTGCATATGTTCACCGTGTAAGTAGTGGCTGGAGACGCCGACCAGAAGCGGCTTCTCGTCGCTAACCCGATTATCCATTTTCTCAAGGTTCGTTTATGAAGCAAGTAGTTAACGAAAAGTTATTACCTTGATGACAATATCAAAATCCCACTGGCACCTGTTGCCAGGTGCTGAACATGTGAAATAGAGGAACATGTGGTGTTGAGGTGTCGAAGGCACCGCCACCGACGTGCTTGCCACAGTCCAGCCGTCATCGGGAATCAGGTATACCGATATCTGGCCGGTGCCGATGACGCTCAGCGAGTATTCAATGCTCGCCGCGCCTCCAATTTCGGCCCTCTTTTTGAGTTTCGACTCAAGGCGGGTCTCGAACGGAAATTTCAAACGCTCCTCAACTGGTCGCACACGAATATGCCGCTCCTTTATGCGATTTCGTGTCGGGAACAAATACGGCACTTCGCAGTACGGATTGTTGTTGTAATGGCAATGGAGGACGGTGTAATCTTAAAGAGGGTTACGGTAGGGTTACGGTATGTCAAGGTGTCTTACTGTCATCGGCATAGACGAATGGGATGTCATCAGCGCCTCGGTAATCATGAGAGATCGCGTAGAATCTTGTCTCGTTCACCGAAACCTCGACCTCTCTTGTGTACAGTAGCTGGTTGACATGCTGCAAACTGTCAATCCCTACGTGCACATAATGCATTGAATCTTACGAAGAATTGCGTACGCTTTGTGGTCGGATACTGTACATCGAAATTATACGGTGAAGGCCAGACACACGAGAAAACGTAGAGAATGGTGAGGGTGGAAAGAATGACACCAGCGAGCGTGTAGATCAAATTCAACACACTTGACTCTTCCGGCGATCGAGAGTTTTTGGTGCGCGCCGCGAGACCCATCTGCAATGCGCCTTTAAACACCTTCGATTAGCTATCAAAGAATCTCACTAAAGAGAGGACGATGGCGAATCCGGCGAAGCCGACAAAAGTGGCAACGATGGGTTCGGGATTGCCCGAGGTTCGCCCCATGATTGGAATGAAAATCGAGAGCAGCATTTCGGCAGTGTAAATGCACATTGAGCAGCCGGGCAACGACAGTAGTACCGTCGACAAGACGTTGAGATTGGGTCCTGAAACGATGTCGATTTACGCGGCGGAATTCTGATGACGAATTGTATTTTACCAAAGTCGACTAGTTGCATTTTGATGACCGGCAGAAGCTGCAAGGCGAACAGAAAACCGCTGGCGATGTTGTAGTAGGTGAAGACGAAAAGGATCAGCGAGATCACAACGAGATGCTGGATCTCCAGCGATCTGGCGTACTCCTTTCTGGCCTTTACAGGCACCCTGGCGGCCAGGAGGCCTTGAACAGACAGTCCCGTCCAGACGCATGGAAGGCCATAGGCGACCGTTGCCAGCCAATGTCTCGTGTACCAGCGAAGGGCGCCGTAGTTGAACAGCGACATTTGAATCATGCAGTAGATCACGGTAGTCATGCTGGCACAGACTAGAATGTAGTCCCGAGCGGCGATCAGAAAAATTGAGGAATAAGTACGGTAGGATTTGAAGGCGAGATAGAAGACTAGCAGGATTACGGTAATGTTTATCAGATGAGCAATCGATAGTGGGTAGATCACAACGAAAAGACCTAAACCATATTTTGATGATTGTTGATCGGATTCGGATTACCAAGAAAATCAAAGAACACCGTCTTGCGATCCGCGTATTCGGCGGGCTTCTCCAAATACGGCGACGCTAGTAGATGATTGAGTGTGCTGAGCACATTCTCGCCGGCTCGTTGCAATGAGCCGGAAGCGATTCGGAACGCCTCGTCGAACTCCGTATGCCACCAATAGCCGTTTTGGACGAACGCGAGATCGAGACCGGGCACTCGGCCGTGATCGCGGAACACCCGAAAATCGGTGTCGCCGGGATAGACGCCGCTCTGGAAGACCTCTTGGCCGAGAACACTGCAATGCGGATGAACGGCGGCTTCGAGGTAGGAATTGAGGAGCCATTCGTTCGCGGGTCCCGCCTGGAAGAGAAGCTCCCGACCGCCGGAGCCGCTCGCTTCCAGATTGATGAATGCGCGAATGTCATGACGCCAGCGATGTTGGGTGATGAAGCCGTGCGCGGCGAGAAGACTCGACTCTTCGGCGCCGTTGAAGAGAAAGATGACATCATGCTTCAACAGGTTCGGATGGGAGGAGTAGATGCGAATGAGCTCCAGCATGAGAGCACAAGATGAGAGATCGTCGCTACCTGCACTACTCGTGGGCCAGCTGTCATAGTGGCAATTGAGAAGGACGGCGATCGAATCGTGCTTGGGCGTCTGGCCGAGACGCGCGATCACATTCGAGACCTCGAAATTTTTGCATTAAGGATCCTTATAAGGCTGGAAGGCGCTCACATTCTTATAGCAGATGTTCATCCCTTCGGTATCATGTGCTGGTATATCGAAACATCCGTTCACGTATTGAGTGTCGATGTCAAACCTCACGTCTCCAGCGGCGTTGGATTTGATAAGCTGCAGCTCCTTCAGTATTCGGTTCCTAGTCAATTCCTCGCAATTGTGAGAACCTGCCGGTTTCCATCCGAAATTCGAAAGCTCTTCGAGAATTTTGATGGCGCGCACTTCAGAGAATTGAGAATTTTCTGAAAATCGTGTGTTGCTCTTCAATTTGCCCATTATTTGGGCACCTTTGTTAGGTTCAAGAGGTGTTGGAAGGCATTTGTGCAAGTAGATTGAGCCTAGGACAACTGTTGAATAGATTAGAAAAATTGCAAGCCAATGGGAAGAGCTTAACCAACATAATTATTAGGAAATTAACAATGAATATACCTTAATAGGGATGGATCGTCTTTCTCGGAATCCTCTGGATTTTGAATCAGTGGCGGCTCTTCGATGGGTTTTCCTCGCCGGCGAGAAATGGTCGACATCACCCTACAATGATCATATATTAAAGACGAGCATTTTTTCCGCAAATCATTCTTTTCTTTTTTCATCGACAAATGTACGACACAAAAAATAGATAAGGGACGAGAGATTGAGCCAAACGCGGAGAGTGCAGGCATGGAAACGGTTGAGAACTGTCGCACAAAATGCCATATATTATAATGGAAATCTGCACACCGCACATGTCGGAGAGAGATTAGTAATAAAAAGATGAGAGATCAAAAAATCATTGCTATATTAGGGAAAGTTGCGAGAAAAATACGCCGAAGAGAAGAAAAAGTGGTCTGCTTAACCATTTTGTAGTTTGTAGTGGGTCTGCTTAACTCAAAAAGCGGCTTGCTTCACAACGGTTAAAGTTTGTAGTGGGGCTGCTTAATTCAAAAAGTGGTCTGCTTAACCAATATGTAGTTTGTAGTGGGGCTGCTTAACTCAAAAAGTGGTCTGCTTAACCATTTTATAGTTTGTAATGGGGCTGCTTAATTCAAAAAGTGGTCTGCTTAACCATTATGTAGTTTGTAGTGGGGCTGCTTAATTCAAAAAGTGGTCTGCTTAACCAATATGTAGTTTGTAGTGGGGCTGCTTAACTCAAAAAGTGGTCTGCTTAACCATTTTGAAGTTTGTAGTGGGACTGCTTAATTCAAAAAGTGGTCTGCTTAACCATTTTATAGTTTGTAATGGGGCTGCTTAATTCAAAAAGTGGTCTGCTTAACCATTATGTAGTTTGTAGCGGGGCTGCTTAATTCAAAAAGTGGTCTGCTTAATCATTTTGTAGTTTGTAGTGGGTCTGCTTAACGAAATCCATCAAACTTCATGAGCTCAACTATTTCAACAAATTACAAAAAATCAATTAAAAAATCCCACGTCAAAAAATAAATTTAAAGAAAAAACAACAAGAAGATGCGTCGTTCGATAAATTCGCGTCGATTCCATTGTCACACTTTCTTTGGAGTCATTCAGTTGATTAAGTTGCTGAGCAAACAGTCAACATCGTTTTGATATGGCAGCCGAACTCATTCAGTTAAACCCCGGACAGCAGATCGAGCGTTGGACGATTGAGAAGAAGCTTGGTGAGGGTGGTTTCGGTGCCGTCTATCGTGTATTCGATGCCACCGGTAAATACGCGATGAAGGTCGAAGGAGCCAACGAGCAGATTCAAGTGAGCAGCAGCAGGCGATTTAAAGGCGCATTTTCCATTTTCTTTTTCCTAGGTGCTCAAATTGGAAGTATCGGTGCTCACGGAGCTGTTGAAGCGCGGTAATCGTCATTTCTGTAAAATCGAGGACAAAGGACGCTATGGAAACTTCAACTACGTGGTGATGACGCTCGTCGGCAAATCGTTGCAGGACCTGAACAAGGCGGGACCCGGACAGCACATGACAATGGGATGCTCGATCGCGATTGGAATTCAGGCGTTGGAAGCGCTCGAAGATTTGCACAACATTGGATATTTGCATCGTGACGTCAAGCCGGGTAACTACACAATCGGCCGCCCCGAATTGAACGAGATTCGAAAGGTGTACATCCTGGATTTCGGAATGTGCCGAAAATTCACTGGAAACGACGTAGGCATTCATTTTCAGAATTCCACGAAGCTAATCGTCGGCCCCATTTAGGGAACTATTCGAAAGCCCCGTCAAGCCGCCGGATTCCGTGGAACCGTCCGCTACGCTCCGATCAGTTGCCATTTGCAACGCGAGCTGTGCCGCAAGGACGACCTGGAGACCTGGATGTACATGCAGGTCGAGTTGTCGTATGGCCAACTGCCATGGCATCACGTGAATGACATGAACGCTGTCGGACAGCAGAAGCAGGCGATCCGCGCCAATCTCGCCGCTCTATTTCCGCCGCCTTGTCCACACGAGTTCCAGGAGATTATGAGAATGGTTGACGCTCTGAAGTACTACGACGCTCCGAATTACGCTCTTATCTACGCGGTAACCACTGGAATGAGAATTGATCAGATTTGACGATGATTTAGACAATGCGTCGCGCATTCGGCTCGACGGGAACCAGCGAGGCGGCGCCATACGATTGGGAGAACGGCGGACCATCGGCGCACGTTTTGCAATAATTGAAATTGAACTGAATGTTTGCATGAACCGTCTTCTTTATGTGCACAAAATATAATACATGACAGTTTTTTTTTGGAGTTATCTTCTGCCGGCGAGCGCGGCGATGAGCAATCCGCCGACGACGGCGGCAGCGCCGCCAACAATCGCCGCACCGATGAACCCGTCCTTCTGCATATTCTTCTCGACGTTCGCCTTGAGGTGCTTCACTTGAACATTGTCCGGCTCGCTTTTGAGAATCGCGTCAATATAGGACATGGCTTTGTCATAGTTCTGAAATTCGAAAATATTATTTCGAAATTCCCCTTTCCGGATTCCAACCTTTAGCCTTGTGTGGCCCAGCGCTGCATAATAGGCGCACGTTCTGACGTCAGTGTTCACGGAATCTTTCAATAGATCTAGAAAATCAATTTTAATTGTCAAACTACTAATTTTTGTTCAAAATGCCCTCGAGAATTTGAATTCCCTCCTTGATGTCGGTGTTGTTGCGCGAGCCGCATAGCACCGTTGCGAGATATATCGCATTCTCGCTGTTGCTTGCAACCATGTAACGATTTCTCGCCTCCTTAATTATAAATTCAACGAATTGGTCAATAATTAATTGATAATTACCTGAACATCGGATTTTTCATAGCGGTGATCGATAATTGAAGACATTCTTATGATAAAAGTAACTGAAACGAAAATGCTTGCAAAAAAGGAATATTCGAGTAATGGGCGGAGTCGCCTGCGGCGCAACACTTAGCAACGCGACCGCATGCAAAAGCATTGCGAAATTGAAAATGACGAGGATGAGAAATTCGAAAAAAAATGATGAATTACGATTGTTTTCGAAATGTGCAAACACCGAAATGCATACCGTAAACTTAATTGCAGACAAAACCAAATCAAGCCTAAATCTACATTAATTTTCCAGGTGAACCCCCGTTGGGGAATTGTTTTGAAAACAATCCATTTAATAGAATATAATAACAATGCAATAAATAATAACAATAAAAAAAGCTCATTGTTGTCGAGAAATGTATTCGCAATTCAACCGCACATTAAATATTGAGAATTCGCAGCGAATTCTCACCGGAATCTCAATTCTCTTCATAAATCTAATTGGAATTTCGATCAACTCTTATACATGCTCAGCGTTTATGTTCGGGATACGGTATCGCGTCAACTTTTACGTTTTGAGCATCTCGAAAACCGTCGGCAATGTGGCGTTCGGCATAATTTCGATTATTTGGATGGCGCCGGCGAGTTTATTGTGATTTTGAGGCGATTTTCGCGAAAATGACATCAAGATTCAGAGCGACGCCGCTAGTTTCAAGCTTTTTGAACAAATTTTTGAGCCAATTTTTAATGATCGGCATTTATTTTCAATCGATTTTTATACAATTTCTAATGGCTTTCAACAAATGGTCGGCGATTTTTTGCGGAAAAGACAAAACGAAAAACAGTTTTCTGCTTTTGGTATTCAAAAATTCCGGAAAAAATTTAAAAATATTCCACTTTTTACAGTTTGGCACGATTTGCGCATGGGTTATTGGAATTTTCATGACATTTCTTGGAATGCCCAATTGCGCATGCTATTATGAGCCGAATAATCTCATTTTCATCGCGGCGAGTCGTTGCCATCAAAAAATTGTGCATGTTTTACTCTATTCAACTGTTACGATTTTAATAATCGCAAATATTTTGAATGTTTCGACACTAATGGAAACATTTTTTGAGTCACCCGTAATTGATAAACCCGTCCATTTTAATATTTAATTGTATTTTAGAAGAAAAAGTTCTCAGTGAGCTCGCGCGAGAGCGGAAAACGAAAAAATCGGGGACTTCGATTATTTTATCAAGTGGGTTACTGTAGACACCCATAGTCCGCAGCTCAGGTGTTTGCGGACATCCTCAATTATTTTTTGGCGTTTTTTTTTCTTCTTCAAAAAATCACGTTTTTGATTTCAGAGCTGCTTGCAAACCATTGTATATATTGTTGATGTGATAATTTGCGCGGCGCAAAGCGATTCCCACGTGGATTTAAGCTTCATCAACGTTTATGATGTCATAATGTCGAATGGCCTAGTCGCAATGATTGACGGGTTAATTTAATTTGTTTTTTTTTCTTCAAGCTTTTTCCTATTTTTTGCAGATTTCTCATGGCAATATTCAATCGCGACGTTCAGCCAGAATGTCTTGTGAAGCGACGAATGCACAAGAAGAGCTCGATCATCTCCGTCGGCGATTTAATGAGAGCAAATTGATTTATGACTAATGTTTGAGACAATAAAAACAATTGAGAGCATTTTTAGCAATAACCGCACGTTTTCGGGCACTCGTTTCTCATGAAATCGCTGAAATTTGAGAAATTCTCATGAAAAAATTGATCGAATCGCCTACACATATCCAGAATGCCTACAAAGATTGGCGTTCTGCGGGCATTCGGAGATTCCAGTTCTCGCGTTCACCTTATCCACACAATTCGTGTTGCCATTGTCGCTCGAGCAGCATTTGCACGTCTTCGGGCACTCGGTTCGCATGAAGCTTCTGCAAATTACAGATTGCCATTTTTTTTGCTTCCCATGGACAATGCTAGTACCGATATCTGCTGTCGTTGCACAAATTGGCGTTGGCTGGACAGTCGGACACTCCGGTGTTCGGGTTCACCTTGTCCTCGCACACCGGCGTTGGAGTTTGAGCTGAAACAGGAATTAAGCCGGCATTTTTTGGTGACGCCGAATACTTTGAACATCGCCGTCGTTGCAGCAATCGCCGTCGGAAACAATCGTCATTCCTGTTGGGCATTGGCCATTAAGAGACGCTGAAAATTTGCTGAAATTCTTGCAAATTGCAACACCATCAATGAATTACGCATTGTTTGTGTTCTACAGGTGAGCGTTTGCCCGATTGCGGTTGAGATGAGAGCGGCGAACAGCACACAAACCTTCATGATTTTCGAGTTGATGGTTTTTCGAGCTTCATTTTGCTCTTTATAAACTCTGGCGAGTTCGATGCCTGTCTAAATAAATGACGATGATCCCCAAAAATGGCAAAGTTTAATTAATTAATGTTTGAACAGCTTTTTCTTTTCGCTGAAAACTTTGGTCGCAATTTGAATTCGCGACAATGTGCGACGGAGCGCGTTTGCCGCTTTGCGCATTTCGAGCGCGCTGAACGATTTTGCCAATTTTTTTCTCCTCGATGAATTCCGCGTCAATTTTTGAAAATGTAGGTTTCAGATGTTGCTGAAAATTTAAGCGAATTTCAGAAGGATGAATATTATGGGAGATTCGCTGCGGAAGACGACAATCAATCGCCGTGGGACTGCTACCAATTTCAGATAAACGCGAACAAGTCCGAAGAAGTTCAAGTCGAGTTGATGTATAAGAAAATGGGCGAATTGCAAGTCCAACAAGAGGTTTTTACCATGTTTTATAACAATAAAGAAAATTTGAAACTAAAATTTCAGGATGAATTTCCAATGTCTGAGAGTTGGTGGGCGCCGAAGAGTCGAAGTGAAGAATGGACCAAAAAGCCAGAGGAACATTCTTCGGAGAAAAGTGATTCCGAGAAGAATGGTCCCATCATTTTGCAAACTTCTTTAATATCAATTTTTGTTTTCAGAAGAAGTCGCACCAAAGGAGGTGGAATACACAACATTGTCGATTACTCGCAACACGGTTTGCTTAAATGATTCCAAACCGCCGAATGTTAAACTAAATAAGGAAGTTGTTGAGGAGACGGTCACCATGCCGTATTGTAGAGGAATTCCGGCGCGAATTTACGTCAATTGCAAGTCTGGTATGAATTTCGCCATTTTTTAAAGGCGCATTAGGTGTTTTATTATTTTGAGTTGGTGGTTTTCTTCAAAAAATTGCTAAAAATTTTTGCAGATAAAAACCTTGATTGGGTGATTGGCGACGACGATAATGAGCTCGCGACGAGCAACAACAACGAGTACGCCGACGCCAACGAGGGAACGTGGTCGTTTCATCGAAAAATCACGCGGCGCGCTCGAATGTTGCCGCCGCGCGTCAAAAATAAATTCTGCTATGAGTTGATTTACGAGCAGGAGATCTATGTGCCCGATGATGCGCCGCCCGTCGAATTCGTCATCGGCAGCACGTCGAGTCTTGCCAACAATAAATAAACATTCATTTTTATTAATATTTCCATTCCTCCGACTAATTTTTGCGGAAACCCACCAACCGTGTTGTTGCAAACGCGCCCCACCGCACATCAATCTCAATTCGTTTCTTCTTTTTTCGGTTTTTACTACTCAAATTATTTTTTCACATTTCCATTTCGACATAAACAATTTGTGTTAATTATTATTTTTTTGTGTTAAGCGCTATGTATGAAGCGACGCCGAGCGCCGCTGATCAGGAGAAGGCGCTGGATCATGCGTGTCGAATTGTGAAATCGGAGGCGCACGAGATGAAGCGATGCCTCGACAAGGTTTCTCTCATGGCTTTTTCAGATCGCCAACAATAATTAAGCGATTTAGGGGAAGACGATGGACGCGTTGAAGCACGCGCTTCAATTTCTCAACGAGCTTCGCACCGGAGATTTGTCGCCGAAATTCTATTACCGATTGTGTAGCCGCATATAATTAAGGGTTTAAAAAAATGAAGTCAAATTTTTGCAGACATGGATTCGGTGAATGAGCTTCAACAGCTTGAAACGGTGCTCATCGACGATTTTCAGCAGGACGCGTCGAAATTGACAAATTTGTATGAATGTGTTCAATACGCCGGCTCAATTATTCCCAGATTGTAATACACAAAAATTTGATCTCGGAATACTTAAATAAAAATTTAATTAATTCAGGTACCTTTTGGTCACTATTGGCGTGGTTTTCATTAAATGCGGCCTCGGGTCTCGCAAGGAATTACTCAAAGATATGGTGGAGATGTGCCGCGGTGTTCAACATCCACTTCGCGGCTTGTTCCTCAGAAACTATCTTCTTCAATCAACGAGATCGTTGCTGCCCGATGTCGGCGATGACGATGATGATGATGGGGCGGTGCTCGTCGAGCCGGCTGAGGCGAACGGCAAATGCTTGAAGCAGGACGGCACCGTCGCCGACGCCATCGACTTCATCATCATCAATTTCGGCGAGATGAACAAACTCTGGGTCCGAATGCAGCATCAGGGACCATCGAAGGAGCGCGAGAAGCGCGAGAAGGACCGCCTCGAGCTTCGCATTCTCGTCGGCACCAATTTGGTGCGACTCTCGCAATTGGAGAGCCTCACCGAAGAGATGTACACGCGCGAGGTGTTGCCGTGCATTTTGGAGCAGGTCGTTTCGTGTCGGGACCCGATCTCGCAAGAGTACCTCATGGAGTGCGTCATTCAAGTGTTCGCCGATGATTTCCATCTCGCCACGCTCAACGAGTTTCTCGCCGCGTGCGGCCAACTCGCGCCGGAGGTCAACGTCAAGAATGTGCTGATCGCGCTGATCGATCGCCTCGCGTTGTACACGACGAGTTCGATCGAAGGCGAAGCGGCGCGCAACACTCAGAATAAGGTTGAATTTTTTTTTGGGAAGATGAAAATCAAACGCGCATTTTTTCCAGATGCAATTATTCGAGATATTCTCCGAACAGGCCAAGGATCTTATCAAGAATCGTCCCGACATGCCGATGGACGACGTCGTCTCGCTTCACGTAATCCCCAATCTTCACATATTCCAGATTGTTCATCGATTCAATTCTTCTAGGTCGCACTGGTCAGTCTGGCCGTAAAATGCTATCCGAATCGTGTTGACTATGCGAATTTGTCGCTTCTCAGCCTACGGACGATCATCGAGGAGAAGGGCATCACGACGATCGAGGCGTTCGGCAAAGTCGGGCGCGAGTTGACGAAACTCCTCAACATTCCCATCGACGAGTACAAGAATGCGGTGCGGCTCTCGGAGTTGTCCGAATTCGTCGCGCTCGTCAATTTCTTCGATTATCGCGGACGATGCAACACCGCCGCCTACATCATCGCCAACATTCTCGACGAGGAGACGTTCCTGAAGACCCAGGATGACGTGAATGTGGTTTTCGATTTGATCGCACCTCTGATACGCGATCAGCAAGATCAGCCGACGGATGCGAACGAGTCCGAGGATTTTGTCGATGAGCAGAACGCCGTCGCCCGAATGGTGCACATGATAAAAGCGGATGACGTCGACAATCAATATCTCGTATGGGACTCATCTAATGATTCGATTTCCGAGCTTCTCCTATTTCAGCTTCTCAACAGCGCTCGCAAAGTGTTCGGCGAGGGCGGCAAACATCGTCTAAAATACACGCTTCCTCCGATTGTCTTCGAGATTTATCGATTGGTTGTCTCGTTTATCGACCAAAAAGATGCGGATGTGAGAATCTTCGATTCAAGTTGAAAAAAACAAAAAATTGTCGATTTTTTCCAGCCGAATTGGGAGGCCAAAGTTCGAAAAATGTTTGTCTGCGCGATGGGCAGCATCGGCGCGCTGGTGTCGACCGCCGAGCTCGCCGAGTTGCCATTGAAGCTCTATTTGGATGTGAGACTCGCCGCTCTCGAAAATGTTTTGGGTGACACACTTCATTCTTTAGGGAGCCGCTGCCGCCAACAAAGTTCCGTTCACCGACAACCACACGGTCATCTATGAGTTCATCTCGAAGGCGATGTCGATTCTCGAGGACGATGTTGCCGATTCGCGCGATCGCGTGCGTTGCCTTCATCTCACCATCGGCACCCTATTGGCGACGAAACATCTACCCGACGAGAATTGGCAGCCATTGGCGAGTCAGTGCGCGTTGGCGGCGGCGAAAATGTTCAAAAAGGTATGGGTGGGGGGGGGGGTCCGATTCGAATCATTCTATTTCGTCTGTTTCAGCCCGATCAGGTTCGATCGCTGATATCGGCGGCGACACTTTATTGGAACGGCAAAACTATTGAGACGATGGGCGAGCCGATGAGGAATGGCAAACGTGTGGCGGAGATATTGAGGAAGGCGGCGAAGATCGCGAATGAGTGCCTCGAGCCGATTGTTCAGCAGCAGCTATTCATTGCGCTCATCGCCGCTTACACCTATTATTACGAGGATAAGTGTCCGGAGGTGAGTTTTTGCGATGAGAGATGCTCACATGGTTTGCGCCTTTAATTTTAGTAATTTTTTGGACTCTGACCACCAATTTCAGATCAATGTCGAACACATTGAGCAGCTTGTTGCTCGCACCACCGACAATGCTGTTCAACTCGACGTCTCGTCGGAAGCCGACGCCCTCGAGCGTCAATTATCGGAAGCGGTGAAACGATTGAATTTGGCGAAGAGCGAGATCAATGGAGGTGTCGATGATGCTCCGCCGCCAATCGATAATAGTCAATTGTAAATAATTATCGCATAATTAACACAAGCACCAACCGTAATTATGTATAGTGCAATTATTGAGAGGAGTCAGTACAATGTGATGCCAAATATTTATTTTTTTAATTTATTATTATTATTATTATCTGTACTATTTGATATATAGTTAGCCTTGCACCTTGCCATATCTCTACTCTACAGTAATAAGTTGTTATTGTTTGGCATTTTCTTTTTGAGACCAGTTGAGACCCCCCTCCATCTCTCTCCCATTCTTTTAAATTGGACAGTGAAGCGCGCTCATGGGTTTTTTAACCGATTTTTTTCTGTTCTTCGGTGAACACATAAATGTTTCGAAAAAGATGATTATGCGATTTTGATTTTCTTTTTTATTAACTGATTTTTATTCGGATTTTTCTACTTTTTGAATATATTTTGTTTTTTTTTTTTGAATTTCGATTTTTTTTGCAGAATGGAGCGGCTGGTTAGAAAGTTTTGAAAGGTAGGAGAATTTTGATTTTGAAAAATGTTTATTGGAATTTTTTTGAAAAAAAAAACATTTAAGTTTTTAAAAATGACGTTTGAAGAAAAATTACGAAAATTTTGAGTTTCTCTTTAAAATAATTGAGATTCCTTATTTGGTGAAAATTCCACAAAAATTAGGTATACTATAAAATATGGTATAATAGTATAGAATATTTTCAAAAAGTTACGAAATTGCGAAAATTTCGAAATTCACATTCTCATTTGTCATTTTGAAAATTGTCGGGTGGGAGTCTCGAATGGAAAACCATTTTTTGCGTTTTCTAACCTAATATGAAAGAGCATCAAAATTCTAGTAGCGACTTATGAGTCCTTCTGAGTTTTGTGTTTGTGGGACCAATAAAATAAAAACCATCGTGATTCAAAATGTTTTGCTCGACGACCCCCTAAATTGTGCACTTTGAGCACAAAAACAATGAATCACAAAATGATGATGATTATTATTATTGGACACAAAACAAACATGATAGCATTCGAATAAATATTTGTCGATGCCCGAATTCAATTCAATACTATTCAAAACTGTGTCGCCCTTTTTTCCTCGTTGCATTATTTGCCTTCGCTTTTTTTTTTCCAGCGCCCCCAAATGTATTGAGTTTCACCCTCTCACCACCACCATCACACCACCCATTCGGTTCACGCGGGGCGTGAGAAATCAATTCCAACAATTATCTTTTATATATTTTTTTTCTTCCTATTCAACTTTTATGCCACACCTTTTTATTGCACCAAATGGTTCTTATCAATGAATCATTCGGGTTGTCGGTACATATCGATGAAGAGGGTCTCGAAGCGATGTCGATTCGTTGTAAATCGACCCACATTTTCTTTTTGCTTTGTTGCGCTATTTAGCCAATATTCCTTTGAGACCTTAATTTGGCGATTGAATCGAATTTGAATTTGAAACAAAAGTGCCGAAATTCTTTTTTAAAGGCGCATTCCTGCTTTTTTTCTTGAGTTGAGTCTCGCAACGAACGGTGTGGGGGGTTTTTGTTAAGAAATTGCACCCCCCTCAAACAAAAATTTCTTTTTTGAAAAAAAAATGATCATTGTCAATCTTCAAGAAAATTTGAGATCCTCGGATCCAGAGATGACAAATGTGAACAGTGCTCCTCTCAATTTCAAGTATAAGAAACGTCGAGTTGTTTATTTGAAATCGTTTTACATTTTTCCCGTTTAGTTGTGTGTGTGTTTTGTCGGGGCGAATTGTCAATAGAAAATTCGCGAAAATCCAAATGTTCGATTACGTGAAATTGTTTGAGTTTGTCGGAGCAACGAGGACGCGAAAAAAAAACATAGAGGCGGCACAAAGTGCGAGTCACGAATGGACGAGGATGTTGTCCGCGCCGCGATGTCGCATTGTCGCATTGCTCGTTTTATCATAATCGGCATGCTCTTTCGAAATTGCGCTTGAGCTTCATCTAATTGAGTCGTGTTGAGTCTTCTTCACTTGACTCTTTCATCTTTTTCATTAACAATCGCAGAATCCTCGGCGGGCTCTTTGAAGAGCAAATTTGAAAAATCTATATAGTTTTGATGGCGAAATTGTTTGATAAGATTGACTATGCTAACTATATGATGACTAATTTTTGGCCAATTTGAATTGATAAGATTACAGAAACGACAAAACGCGAGCGAGTCACGAATCGAAACGATTGACTATATTTGGACGTGATTACTAATGGAAACTGCAATCGCCAATTGTTCGAATCTCACGCATATCATATCAAGAGGTTCGTTTTTTTTGTGATTTGTGCGCACATGCCAATACCAACTCGAATTGAGCACCAACGGTTCTTTTTGAGCGTTTGAAGAGACATTGATTCTTGTCGAATTGGCTCCCATAGCGATTTAAAGGCGCATTGAGATTTTGAATTTGCTTTTTGGTCAAACCTGGGGCGGTTAAAAAAATTGTTTTTTCCTGCGATTTCAACTTTCACAATTGTTGCCTAAAATAAGTTTTTTTTTGGAAAAGTGAGAAATTTTAAAGGCGCATAGACCTTTAAATCTTGTATATCAACAATTTCGGTAGTTTAAAGGTGCATTGTGGTTTTGTTACATTTATAGGCGCATGCGAGTATTTACCATTTTCATTTCTAGAATCATATGAATCAGACTCATTTTTGGGGGGAGTGGCCGCTATAATTGAATTGATATGTTTGCGAGTGTGTTGGTTAATTATGCGTTGTATAGTTAAGGCAAAAAACGGAGAGGCGGCGCGGTGCGGTCGAAGCAGGAGATATATATATATATGATTATTTCGAAATATTATATGATATATAGTTAGTCGGTTGTGGAGATGGAGAGAGAGAAGAGATGAGTAACTCGTTGAGCAAACAATCCAAAAAAACAAACCCCCTTATATTTCCGACTATTGTTTTCTTGTTGCTATAGCTTTTTTTTTTGCTTTTCGTCCTTTTTTCAGAATTTCAGAACAAAAAAAATCGCGCTCTCTCTTTTTTCGGTGGTTTTTTTTAAATGCTCTTCTACTTACGGTTGTGGGTACAAATATGGTCCGATAGCGAGTAATCAGCTCATTGTCCGATTATGATTGACGGCATAGTTAGCGGAGAGAGAGAGAGAGACATAATAGGTATCGAGAGAGAGAGTGAGACAAAGTCCGAGAGTGCAGCAGTGGGTTGCGTGGGGGGGGGCGAGTTTCTTGAATGTAATCGCGAATTTCGATCTCGACCGACACGCACACAGTCCACACAATAACTCGAAGAGTGATTTGCAGCTCTGGCGTCGGCAACGTCGTCGATCATCGGAGCGGTGGCTGCCGAACTGCCGACGACATCGGCGGCGGCATCAGCAGCAGCATCATCATCATCATCATCATCGTCAGCATTCCATTCATTGCTACTATTGCGAACGCCGAGAGGCATTTGGACAGGCAGCAGGTTTGGAGATTTGGATTTTTTGACGATAAAAATGCAAAGTTGAATATAAATTTGAAAAAGAAAGGCGAAAAATTGTGCTGAAATCGAAATAAATGCGGATGCCGCCGTTTTGAAACGTGACCAGTTCTCGTTGGACACAACTCGACGCCTATTTGGGAAATGTGAATTGATATTGATAGTTTATTTTTATTTTTTTTGCAGGCGCATGGCTGCCCAGCTCGATGTCGCCACATTATTCGCGATAGTCGGCCTCGTGTTCGTCACGTGCCTCTACATTATTCACTGGATCGCGTTTCTTTACTCGTGAGTCTTTTTATTTAAAAAGAATGAAAGAAACAGTGGTGTCGATTTGTAGAAAATACCGATTGCATTGGAAAATTCGAGCGGATCCGAGTCTGCCGGGCGTGTCGGTCATCAAGCCGATTGTTGGAGCCGACGCGAATCTACGCGAGAATCTGGAGACGTTTTTTGTTTCGCAGTATCACAAGGTTGATTTTTGGATAAAATAAATTTAAAAAAAAAACGCATTTTCTCTTCTATATCAAAATTTGTTTGCAGTTTGAGCTGTTGTTCTGTTTCAACGCTGAAAACGATCCGGCGGTGCGAATCGTGCGGCAATTGATGGCGAAATACCCCGAAATTGATGCGAAATTGTTTTTTGGTTGGAAAAAAATTTGCGGAAGATTGAATAAAACCTGGGCAATTTTAGGCGGCGAAAAAGTGGGGATGAATCCGAAAATCAACAACATGATGCCGGCGTACCGCGCCGCGAAATACCCGCTGATACTGATCAGCGACAGCGGCATTCTGATGAAGGCCGACTCGATTCTCGACATGGCGTCGACGATGATGAGCCATGAGAAGATGGCGCTCGTCACACAGGTGCCCTATTGCAATGATCGTCGTGGGTTCGCCGCCGCGTTCGAGCAGATCTTCTTCGGCACATCGCACGGTCGCATCTATCTCGCCGGCAATTGTATGGAGTTTGTGTGCTCCACCGGCATGTCGTCGATGATGAAGAAGGCGGCGTTGGAGGAGCTCGGCGGCATTCAGGCGTTCGGCATGTATCTGGCCGAAGATTATTTTTTCGGACGCCAACTCGCCGACCATGGCTACAAGTCGGCGATCTCGACGAATCCCGCCCTTCAGAATAGTCCGCCAAGCGATGTGTTCGCGTTTTTGGATCGGATTTGTAGATGGATCAAATTGAGGATCGCCATGCTGCCACATATCATTCTTGTCGAGCCGCTTCAAGTAGCCAACTCGGTGGTTTTGATTGATTTAAATCAAATGTATTTTTTAAGGATTGCTTCATAACCGCAATCATAATGGGAACGTGCCTCGATTATTTGTTTGCCATCAATTTTTATGCGACTTTTGTGGCGCATATCGTTTTTTGGATTTCGATGGATTACTCGCTGATGAGCTCGATTCAGGTGAGCTGCGAAAAAACAATTTGAATCAAACATTTTCTATTGAATACAGATTTTTTTAACATTTTTTTATTTGAAAATACTCATTTTCGCCTGGTTTCCCCTGAAAAATGTGCAAAAATTAGGAACAATTGACAATTTTTAACAAAAATAAAAAAAAACAATAGGAGTCCGCAAACACCGATAACTTGCGGACTTTGAAAGCTACAGTACCTAGAAAAAAATTTTTATTTTCATTTTTTTTCTTTCAGAACGGCCCTCTACCATTCTCATTGCCATGTTTTATTGGTATTTGGCTTTTGCGTGAACTCTCGGCTCCCATTGTATTCGTTTCTGCCCTATGCCGTCCAACGATTCGATGGAGGAACAATATATTCAAATTGGAATGGGGTGGCCGTATAAAACAAGAGTAGAAGCTCTCAAAAATGCTATTTTTCTTTCTAGATTTTGGTTTTTTTGTTTCTTTTTATCCCTTGATCATCTCTCCTGTGATATTCAACACATTTCTGATATTTATTTTTTTTTTCAAAACCAAAATTTCGACGTATCAAATTGAAGAGTTTCATCATCGAATATTCGTCTCCCGGGTCTCCCAAAATCAATTTTTCCCACAATCATTTCAGTTTTTCTTGTTTAAAATGTGATTTTTTATCTGATTTATTTTTATCAGGGAGCTTCCCGCTCATTTATTGCTTGACGGGTATGCCTGAGAATTTTAATAACGTGTTATTGAGAAATCGACTTTAATAAAATGAAATATTGTGATTTTTCGAAAAAAGGCAATTTTTGCGTTTGGTTTTTGGCGCTGAAAATATTGAAAATTGTTGAGAAATGCGAAAAAAATAACATATTGGTGTTTTTGTTTTGCCAGAAAATGCTTCGGGGATTGCGAGCCGCTGGTGTGAATTTTTCGAGATTTCAGAGTAAAATTTGGCAATTTTGTATCAATTTTAATCATTGATTTTGAGGATTCAGCGTCGAAGTTTCGCAGAACGAATATGAGACAGTCGCCGAGGAGACGCTGCAGAGGTTTTTTTTTGCTGAAAATTTCAAGTCGAAATGCGCAAATTTCAAGATTGTCCGATTATTTTGACCATTTTGGGGATGTCTATCCGGTTTCTGAGCAATATGATGTGTCGCATTCGATGGGTGTCCTTACTGTCGTCGTCTCGGAAAAAATTGGTGATTTTTGAATTTCGAATAAAAAATTTTGAATAGAATTTGAGTTTCTTAGAAATTTGTATAGAAATGTGATTATTGTGAAGCAAAAATATAAATTTTCTTTATGGAATTTAATTTTGCGTTTTTTTTTTGAGAATTTGCTTCAAAATGCTGAAATCATTAATCGAAAAAATTAGATTTTTCTTGAAAATGCTCAAAATTGTCAAATTACTGAAAATTCGGCACTTTTTGAATTTGGAATGAAGAAATTTGAGCAGAAATTGTAAATATTGCAATTTTCTGAAATTTTGATATTTTTGAATCTAAAATTCCCAAAATTTTGAATAAAAATTTTAAAAATTGGCACTATTTTGTTTAAAATGCTCCAAAAAAATTTGACCAAAATATTTTTTTATTAAAAAAATGTTAAAATTTGGCATTTCGCAAAAAATGTGAGCCTTTCGAATCCAAAATTTAAAAAAATTGGCCCTCTTTTGAGAATTTTCGTTAAAAAGCTTAAAAAGTTTCACTTAAAGAAATTTTTATTCAAGAAATGTTGAAATTTGGCTTTTTTTTTTGAAAATTTGAACCTTTTGAATTCAAAATTTCGAATAAAGATATGATTTTTTTTAACAAAATGCCTAAAATTTGGAATTTCGAACGATTTCAGGTACCTATGTGATCAATAAACAGTCACCAAATAAGCAAATCTGGTTGTCGAGCCCAATATCGGGTCCGAAACGCTATGATTTGAAGGAGAAGCGATGGGTTTACGCGCACGATGGAGAAGCGATGGATGAGTTGCTGAATCGCGAGTTTCGACGCATTCTCAATGATGAAAATATCGATTTTCATAAAATTTTGGCATAATTATTCAGCGAATTTCCATAGAATGAATAGTTTTTTCGAAAAGCATCGAGATTTGAAAATGTACGCAAACACGCGCGACGCAATATTGCATCCAATGAAAATTGTTTGGTTTTTTGTCACTTTAAAGGCGCATTGATTTTTACTTGCCATTAATAGTCATTTATATGCGATTCGACCAACTTTTGAGCGCAAAAATTTTGAAAATTACAAAAATCGATTTTCTATACACATTTTCAGTTATATGGGAAAATTTTGGCGAAAATCAAATTTGTAAAAATTTAATTAACGAATAATTAAGTAATTTAAACAATTGTATTTGATTTGCCACCCCATAAATGGCGATATCAGATATAATCAATTGATTGAGGTGTCCTTGTTGGGCGGCGGGACGAGGACACTCGACACGGACCACGTTAAACGGTTTACAAGGGGGGGACGCCGATAATTGTCGATATTGCGCATCATCTCATTTTTTTCTCTTTTTTTGCTTTACAATGCAAATTCGCATTTTCGCGTCAAGAGTTTTGCAAACAAATTGTCGATGCTCCTTTAATCGCCGTTACTGTCACCGAATTTAATTGCTCTCCGAAATTATCGATTCAAATCGGGCAATTTCGCGAATATTCTTGAATTTCTTTATTTTTATTTTCAGAATCCTAAAAAAATGACGACTCAATTAAAGAGGATTGGATTAATCGAGCTAACAAACTTCCAGAATGATCGATCATATGATGTAGGGGGATGGAAAATAGTTTAACCGAAATATTGATGCCCATTTTTTAGGTGACAGTAAGCGATATCTATTCAGATTCGGAGAAAACGAATAGGTTGGTGATTTTTCGCATTTTTTTTTAGTAAATTAGAAAAAAATTCAGAATTGCTCGAGTAATCGTCGCTGAGCCATGGGGCACTTCGTGCATGTACTCTCATTTGAAGCAAGTCAATTTCAAAGTGAACACATTGAAAATTTCGGTGGTATTATTTTAAATTCCCCATTTCCCTTCGACAAATCCATCATTTCAGGAGAACATTTCCGATATTGCATGCGTGTTGAAACTTATTAAATGCGACCATTTGGATTTGTATTATTATGGCGTCGAGAATCTCGAGAGAAAGCTCGCCGTCATACCGCAATGCTATAAATCGATGACAATTCGATTGTGGTTCAAGAAGCTTCCCGTTGGAATTTCGAGCATTCCTCAGGTTTCCGCTGCTTTTTTTCTTCTTTGGCTCACATCTATATTTTTTGTTTCAGATTCGAAATCTCGAAACGCTCTCGATTTTTGACTATGAGAAGCACAAAAATTTACATAATGCTTCTTCGATTGACGAGGAGAAGCTTCGAAGTGTCACTATGGTAACCAGACGCTTTATTCATATTTTTTTTGAAGCACTCGAAATTTGTAGGATTATATTCGCGAGGAGATTCCAAAGGCTGCGATGATCTCGTTGAGCACAAATCAATTTGTGTGCATCCCAAAAATTTTCAAAGAATTCAAATACAAGCATTTGGGAAGAAGATGTCCGATAAACGAGTAAAAAATCATTTTCGTTCGCATTCAATTCGAAAAATGTCGACAAATTCTAGCGAGAAATCGATATTGTCGCTGGGCAAAATCGAGTTCGGCACCCAATATGTTCTAATCATCGATGATCGCGCTCAGCGGGCTTCCGGCAAATTCTCGCTGTATGTCGCCGTCGTTGAATGGTGTCAAATGTTGCCGAAAGCGAAATACTACGGGATTCTGACGAAGAACGAGCTTCCGATGTGGAATCGATTGCCGGTGGAGTTGCAAAATCAAATTGTTGAGAATTTGGACGTTCGCACAAGGCTCGTTGATCCTCGAAATTTTGTTAATCGATTTTCTTTTTGAGAATCAACCTCTCGCAATGCTCGAAACAGATGTATAATGTCGAGCGACGCGCGAAAATCAAAATCGATCGTCTCGATTTTGAGGAGGAGATCGAGGAGGCTTCAAATGAGGTGAACGCGCCTTTAAATTAATGCCAACAACTCGTTTGTTTGTTTTTTTTTTTCACTTTCAGCGATTAATTCGAATCAAAATTTGGATTGCGTCCGAATTGAGCAACAAACCATTCAATTTGCTCGACTATTTCGACAATCGCGAACAGTTTGGCAAATTTGCGACGCGAATTAATCACCCACAACCTAATTATAGATATCAAGGCACAATTGTGAAGCTCGCCATCATCGCCAACACCAAAATTTTGGCGGACGTCGCCGTGATTCTCGAGCGATTATTGGCGAAAGCCAATTGGAACGTGTTTCACGTGTTTCTCTCGGTGGTAATTCGCGCCAATTTGGGTGATTTTACTGGTGAGGGACCGCCAATTTTCCAGATGAACACCGCCTATTTGAAATCGATCATCGAGAGGATCAACATGAGATCGTTTTCGGCTCGCTTCATCGATATTCCCGATTTGATGAGCACGTTGCGAATGGTGCCGGCCAATTTGAGCGCGTTGTATTTGGAGATGCACAATCATTTGCGAAGTGCCGATTTGACGGAAGACGTGCTTGCGATGCCGCAGGTTGGTCCCATTTAATTGACCCACAATCATTTTTTGTTAATATCCAAAATTCCGCGTTTTCACATAAATATGTATTGTCAAATGACTGAAGGGAGGCGGGACCTTCAAATTTGCAAAATTGGTGTAAATTTAAATTTATCGTTGACTGAATATTAATTGGGCGTACGCTATAATGCGATGTACGCAGTCTAGCTGCCTCGAGACGCAATACTTTTTTTTTAAATACCGTCAAGTCGTTTGATTCCAACAAGAGGTTTTCCATACGAGACCCAAATTTGAAGTCTAGCGAAAACCAACAACAGCAATTTGAAGGTGAAAAATGCGGAAAAAGTGTTCCTCATGAATTACGCGCGGCTCAGCGTCGAGACATTCTTCGCGTGGAAAGCGAAGACGATCGACATCTACACGGACGAGTTGAAAGAGAGGGATATTCTCAAATTTCTAATGGTTAGATGCGCGTTTGAGAAATCAAAAGCACGAATTCGAAATTTAGAAAATCGCCAATGGCAATTATCGTGAGACGGGCGTATTTTTGTCGCTCGAATCGGAAATCGAATTGGATGTTCGACGCATTTTGACGAGATTCGAGTTTTTGGAGCTTGGCAACGATCCGGGGTGAGCGATTCATTTTCGTTTTGTTTTTGAGCCGCACTAATTATGGTAATTATAGGGAGATTTGCCCGATGATCACAAAAACGCCGGAAAATGAGCATTTGAAGACGCATTTAAATATTTATCAGCCTCGGCCGAATCGCAAAATTGCCTTCAGATTTTTGTTCACGATGGCGTTTGTCGATTTCAGCGCCGATCGACGACACCAACATCATTATTTTGCGATTTCGGCCACCAAATAATTATGGTCCCCACCTTTATAATTAATTACTCACTAATTGTAATTATGTATCTAGTCGAATGTGATACCCCTCGCCACCCCCCTCATTTTTCTTTGTAATATTAGTAATAATATATATATATAGTTATTAATAGAAGGGTCAAGGTAGAAAAGGAGGTTTTATTTTTCTACATTACCCTATTTATATAGTACATATACGGATTGATTTTGAAGAATAAATGGGAATGCTGGTATGTGGACACGGCGACGCGAAATTGCGGACCCGAATTAATTGCAGGTGGCGTCGTTAAAAAAAGAAAACGCGAATATTGCCTTTTTCAAATAATTTATATGCTACAAGCGAAATTTATTTTTTTTTTAATCTTAAGGTGTGCAAAGCGCGCTCCAGCGCAACCTCAAATTTTTGTGTTTGTTTCTTTTTTTTAGATGATTTAAAGATGGAAGAGCCCGAAGGTGAAGCTGCTCAGCGATTCATGTTTGTCAAATGTGTGACATTCGCGCGTGTGTGCAAAACGGGCGCCGGTGTAAGCTTTTTGTGGATTTTTGGATTTTCGAAAAATTGCGATATTTTTTTTAGGAAGGAATTGTCGCATATGTCACACCGACACCAGAGTTCGTTTGTTTTTTGAAACTGATTATTTCGCTTCAAGAATCATGGAAATCGAATTTTGGGTGTTGTGCAAACACACGCACGAGAAATTGCACAAAAACACCGCCCACCTCTATAGATGGAAAAAAATGATCGGCGAATTTTCAGCGGCGGCGAATGTCAAATGGATCAGACCGACGATTTCTCGCTAACCGCGCGTCTTCTTGAAGACGTCGAATGGAATACGCTGGCGTTGGAAATTTTTGATGTAATTTCTAGTTGCGCCTTTAAAAAACGGTTTTGTGTTTATCAAAATCAATTTGAATTTTATGAAAATTGCTGAAGAGAAATACAATTTCATGGTGAAATTAGCGTTAATTGAAGGGCGAATGCAGAGAAAATGTAAAAAAAATCATTTTTTTGGTTTAAATTTTCACCATATGGTTGATTGCGGCGATTTGTAGGAGCCAAACGAGGCGGCGACGAACATCATCCGACGAGTCAAAAGCAAATCGCTTAAAGTGTGTTGCACGAATTGCACAAAATTGCGCGAGATGCTCCAAATCGTTCCCAAATCCTATACGACCATCAATGTCGCGTTGGAGGAGTTCAATTGGAGAAGTTTGCGGCGAATCGTCAAATTTCCCGAGGTGCGAGCCATTTTTTTTAAAGGCGCACGCCGATTTGTAGGTGCGCCGCGTCGATTTGCTCAACGTCTCCGACCATCGGTTCGTCTTCAATTATCGCATCAGCTATAAGGACCGACTCATGCAGTTCTGCTCGAATCGTCTTACCGAGGCGGACCTCGCGCGTATCACCAAGGTTTCGTCGGAAAATCTTTGTTTTTTACCGTCAATTTTTTGATTCTGTAGAGTTTTGTGCGAAAAAAGACGAACACGAGCTTCTCGTTTTCATTGGGCTGCTCGCGAAATTTAAGCGCGCCGACGATTCTCAAAGATTTGAGTTTTCGACATCTCAAAGGCAATCCACCGTGCTCGCACGACATCATGTAACTAACTATGCGTCATATATTGTTAAAGGCATTTTGTAGAAGAAAACACTTCAAGACGATGAACAACGCGATGAACACGCGCTATGTGATGTTCATCGATGAGCCGGCGCGTCGCCAGTGGAGCAGCTATTCGCTGTACGTGATGGCGCTCAATTATCGCGCGACGCACATCGAATCGAAATTGTTCGGCATTTTGTCGGATGTCGCATTCGGCGTCTGGCACAAATTGCCGGTCGAATTGAAGAAATGTGTCATCGAGCGAATGGATTATCGCACTAGGTGTGGAGTCTCGCGAAGATTCAAATTTTGATATTGGAAAATTGAAACAAACGAGAATTTCGCATTGCCAAATTGGCAAAAAATTGGTTAAAATTGAGAAGTATAATGATTTTTCAGAAAAAATTTAGCGCAATGCTCGCGATTGATGTACGAATTGGAAAACGAATCAAGAGTTTACATTGTTGAATTGAGCATTTCCGACTCGTTTTCGCCCGAATGGAATGAGGTTTAAAGGCGCATCATGGGCGGCATTCGAAGTTTGCACATTTTTCGATTTTTTAGAGATTCCTCACCATCACCGTCAGCTTCACCGCGTGCTCGACAGATTTGCATTCTGAATATTTAGACGTTATTGAGTAAGACTGATACGGGCGTTACTTTTTTCAAAAATTAAATTCCATAGTTTAAAAGAAAAATTTCATAGAGTTAAAGTGAAAAATGAGGAAATTTAAAAAAAAATCAGTTTCGGGTTGGTGCATTTTCGCGTGACAGTCTTTACACTGTACGCTAGTTGTTGTATACAGTAGCGCGTATAAAACAGGGCTGTGCGGCAATGGAATTGCCGAAATTGCCGAAATTGCCGATTTTTCAAATTGCCGAATTGCCGAATTGCCGAAGAGAACGTTCGATCGGCAAATTGCCGAATTGCCGGATTGCCGAAATTTTGATTTTCGGCAATTTGCCGAATTGCCGATTTGCCGAAATTTTGATTTTCGGCAATTTGATATCAAAAAAAAAATCGGCGAAACAAAAATCAATGTCCATTGAATAATTTGGGATACCGTGAAAATTCGGTATTTATATTTCGAATTATCGTTGAAAACATTTAATAGCCGAAATTTTTATTTTCGGCATTTTGCCGAATTGCCGAATTGCCGAAATTTTGATTTTCGGCAAATTGCCGAATTGCCGGATTGCCGAAATTTTGATTTTCGGCAATTTGCTGAATTGCCGGATTGCCGAAATTTTGAATTTCGGCAATTTGCCGAATTGCCGAATTGCCGAAATTTCCGATTGCCGCACAGCCCTGGTATAAAAAAGATTGTTTTTCAAAATTGATTTTCTGCGAAAATATGCACAAAATCGAACAATTTTGTAAAATTTTAAAAATTAATTATTTTTTTAAGCTATGGAAGAAACAAATACCAGATTGTTCGACGATTTTTGATGGGCGAACGCGATCGAATCGAGGTGCGAACGATATTGGAGAAGATTCTGAAGCGGGCGAATTGGAATGTGAACAATTTGAACATAACGGTTCGATTTCGGCTGAGAATCGCACAAATCGATGCGTTGTTTCCAGGTTTTTCCCGAATTCCTAAAGCCGATCATTGAGAAGATCGACTTCACCATGCTGATCGCGACGATGACGGATGCCGATGATCTGAAGGACGCTCTCGAAGCAATTCCGCACAATTTGAAGAAGGTTGTGACGAAGGAACGAATCAAAGACAGCAACATGGAATTGGGCATCGAGATTCTCTCGACGCCACAGGTTTCCGTTTTCAACTCGAAATTACTATCTGCTTTTTGTTAAAGATCAAAACCGCACAATCATTGAAACTCGTCAATTTCTGTCATGTGAATTTGAAATTGGTTTGGAGTTGGGCGGCGAAAACCATTCATATTTTCACCGACGATCTTCGCGAGCCGCAAATTGAGCAATTCATGATGGTTGGTCGTCTTGAATTTGCGATTTCCGACATGATTTTTTTGGTGTTTCTTTTTAAAAATGCCAATTTTGGTGAATGCACACCTCGCATTTTGAACCTGCCTCGATTCGTTTAAAGGCGCATACGAAAACTATTTTAGAAGGTGCTCGACACGGGAATATTGCGAACGATTTCGGTGCGAACGACACACCAGCTGAATCTCGCCGAAATTTTGCGCCACTTCGACATCGTCGCCCACCGGCCGATCGCCAATTACGAAATTCCGTATGATCTACAGGAGACGTTGAAATCGTTGCTGGAGATTGGCGCCAAACGCGACGATGACGAACGAATCGTATTCGAGATCGCGTTTTGCGATCTCGTCAATCGCAATTTCCAACCGCATTATTATCGAGTGGCGCTGAAAATCGCTGAAAACGGATGAAGATCAATTTCAATTTGATAAATCATTCATTCAATGGTTTTTTTTTTGTATAAAATGCCTGTGATTTTGGTTTTTTTTCAAACAACTCATTATTTTTAGGCGGCTTGCATTTCATTTTTTAAAATTCAAAATGAGCGTGTCGGATTTTGTGTGCGACGACGCGATTCGACCGTTGACGATCCGCTTATTCGAGAATCATCAATGAGGTGTCGAGATTAGTGGTCCAATTATTAGGAAGGCGTCAAATGGTTGAGTGCGCGCGTGGCGAGACCCGTCGCGATTTAAAGGCGCATTGCAGGAGAAGCGCCACGTGTCGAGCAACGTCGTTTTTGGCCAAGCGGAATTTCTGGACGTTTTTCGACGTCGACTTTGATATTGTTATCATTTAAAATATGTTCAGTGGGGGATGTGATGACGGTATGCGCCTTTAAAATGTTACATACGCCATCGATGTTTTAGTCGTTTTTCAGAAGGTTGTCGCATCGGCGCAAAATGATTCGTACATTCTCATCGCGATCGATCTCAACAATGAGTGCAATATTTCGACGCCAGTTTAGACAAATGCCCGTAATTCGAAAGCTATTCGCCGCCGAATGATAAACGCGTTTGATCATTCAAATTTGTTCGTCTTCGACGATAATTCGATTTCAAAGATGAGAAATGTGGTTTGCGATGACGTCGGCCGGGGTGGGTCACCGAATGCGGGAATTGTCCACTCAAAAACACGCCGTCATTTTCATGTTTTAGGGAAATTCTCGACAATTTTTTGTCGAGTTTTTAGAAATCGAATTGTGACGATGAGCTTTATTAGAATTTCGCGAAGATCACAAAAAAAATTGCAGATACACATTTTTCTTGGCGACCGCAACGCGCCCAAACCAACCAACACAAAATGGCCAATCATTAAAAAAATTTTTTTTCGCACCCAACACCATTTGTGTAAAATGATTGTTGTGTTCGGCGGCAAAACAAAACAAAATAACCCCAAATCGCAACACATAAGAGGATTATTTTCGTGCGTGAGGGCCTTGTTTTGGTAATTCGATTTCACGCGTTTCTGCCCGCCACTTGAATAGCTGACTGTTCATTTTTTTTCCTTCGAAACAAATGTCGCCTAGGCAATTTTACGGGTCTTTAAGGGAAACTTTAAATGTCATCCCATAGATCCTTGAACAGTTTTGGTCTCACCGCGAACAATCCCATCCATCATTTAGAAATGCCTGTTTTGCCATCGCCAATATCATATGATTACTATTACACACTTGCCTTGTTTGTCTGTAGTGAAGATCACACATACACACAGAAATAAAATGATGTCGTCTATTCAGGCAATGAGCGTCGCTTCACTTCCCGATCACGTCAAGAGTAAGCGCATCGTCGCGACATTCGCGATCGGCATCTTCTTGCAGATCTGTTTCCGTCGGAGAATCGTGCGTTCGCCGAATCGATAACCGCCGACGAGGGCCGCGTGTTGCGCGAGGTGTTCGCGCAACACGCGTGCTTCGCCGAATGCGGCGAGATGATCGAGGCGGTGGCGGCGCGCGACGCGCAATTGGGCGCACGATTGGCCGGTGTGCTCGAGGCGAACAAGAAGCGCCTCGACGGATTGTCGGCGGAAGCCGTCGAGTACTCGAAACAGGTTGTTCAACGCCAACAAAATGGCTTTTTTCCCTCAAATCTAAACCAACCTTTAAAATTGACAGATCATCTCAATGGTCACCCATGTGCTCTGCTCGCTAACCGTCGGCAAACCGGTCAGCGACGATGAAGCCAATAAGCTTCACGCCGACTTTCAGAAGCTCAACGCCGCCGATCAAGCGGCCCTCAAGAAAAACAATCCAGACATCAATTTCTAATGTCATTCATTCATAATTTTCATACCATGTTAATCTATATATATATATATAATTATTAGCTTCTGCTATAATAAGCGCACTGCATATAGCAAATCGTGTCCTGAAATGAATGAATTTTTGAGCAATGAGCGAAAAAAAAAATAGTTTTGCCAAATCCAACCTCTAGAATCTCCTCTTTACTATGCGACTTGAATAGTCGCGCACAATCCGGCGCCACCGAGTAGCACTTCAAACCGTACCGTGTGCACGTACACGATGAGCACGGCGAGACCGCCTTCGTCGAATGTCGCGCAATTCTCGTCCGCTTATAGCTACAATAGTCTGAAAACGCAAATCGGGGATGCGTGGAAAACTCGAAATCATACCATCATCTTTCCATTTCGTAAAATCGATTTGTTCGAACAATTTGCAATCGATGAGCGCGTTTCTGCAAAAAAAAAAAAGACAGGCATTTTCATCAAAGGAAAAAACGTCAAATTCTACAAAAATTGATCGGGCACTGAGAAGACGTCTCGCGAGACCGCTTCGAGTTTCGAGTTGGCGCAAATCAGCGAACTCAGCGACACTTTTCGAATCTCTTGGAGTTGGTCTGCAAAATGGCAATCCAAATCCAACAAAAAATAAGCCACTTTGGTTTTCTCAAAGGTTTTTTTATGTGGGGAAAGCCGAAAATCGAATAATTTTTTTTCAAGAACAAAAACAAAAAAAACCTTTCGTGAATCTCGTGTACTCATTGCCATTCTCATAGTAGAATCGATCGCACTTCTTCAGCCGCCTGAATTGCTCCGCGATGAGACATGCCGCCGTCGGACCAACAATTCCGCCTGTAAACCATCATCATTTGATTTGTTTTGTTTTTTTTTTTTTGAAAACTCACCCGCCACCGTCTTCTCCGACACGATTCCCGTGAAGAGATCAATGTCGTCCGGCGAGTCGTAGACGCGCGAAATCGCCTCAAGACCATTCGGCTCGATGTCGGAGAACACCGAATGGAACGAGGTGAGCTTCGGCAAACCGCACCACTCGCTGAATATCGACGCGATTTCAAAACAACCAAAAACTGCGCGCAGAATGAAATCGTCGCACTTACCGATATTGATTGTACGGCTGAATTGCGTGATCCCTTCCTCGTTGAATATTGATCGATATCAAATCAAGACCGGTTCCGATTTTGCCGCGATCCGAAAACAGAAAATTTCTAAAAGAAAGAGAGCATTAGAATTTTTGCTCAAGATCTAATCGATCGTCAATACCTCACCGAATCATCGACATAGCGATCGGTCGCCATTTGCCGCTGAGTTCGCATTCCGCCAAGAATCTCATCAACACCTTCAAATCGTTTCAAATCAATTGCGACTCTTCTCCCCACAAGACCCAACTCATTTTCAGCCTGGCGCGCCTTTAATCAATTATTTCTTCGAAAACAGTAATTAAAGGCGCACACGGGATTTTTTCTCGAAATATGGATCTCATAGTGAACACGACTATATTTAGAAGGCAACACACAAAAAGGTATACCGTGATAATCATAAATTTTGGACATATTCAAAAATTCCGACGCCAAATCGACAACCTTCTCAATCGGCTCGTCAGGCGAGAATTGCATTGGCGTATATCTGAAACGATTCAAAATAAAAAAATAATTTTTTTCGATGATAATAATTAATTAGTGTTTGTATTTATAGCATTTTCAACGACCTTCGCGTTCGCGCAATTACAACCGTTATTAATTGAACCAATTTTTTGGCAGATGCGAATTTTCTATTAAAGAACCACCCCCCTCCCCCTTGCTGAGCCGTGGGGCGAGTTTTTTTTATTTTAAAAACTCGTCAATTTTCATTTTTTTCTTCAATTTTTTTATTTAAACAAAAAATGAAAAAATTTATTAATGTATAATTTTTTACATTTTTATTGCCTGAATACGTCCATTGGAGAAAAAATATACTGGAAAAAAAACCTACTTAATTAAAGGCGCATAACGAATTGGGTCTTGTGGCGACCTTAGGGTCAATTTATTTTTTCGAAAAAAAACGTCGTAGTAATGCATATTTGTGTTCAATCATCGAATGTGTGCAATTTTGCGCGCGCGTGTATGCACACCTCTCGAATCGCGCATTTTTTTGGATTTTCGTCTATAATTTTTCGCTACAATGTTCAAATAGAAAAAATTATTAAAAAAAAAAATAATAATAACAGGGGAACCGCACGCGAACCGCAACGCGTCTGCCGACATTAAATAATTTCCTTCCGTGGCCAATTTTTCAGATATACAAGTTATGAATATTGGCACACCTATTTATTTCTTAGCTATGAATTCAATTTTAAAATCAGAATTTCAAAAATGTTCACAATTTACAAAATTACACCCAAAAACAGAGGTGGCTTTATGAATGTGAAACGCACTGAAAAAAATGTCTGTTTTGGCGGCAATTCAAAACAGCCTTTGAAAATGATAATGAAAACCTGGTGACCGTCGAATGGCCGAATCGAAACGCGGCGGCGGCGAACGGCTGCAATATCGACGCATCGCATTCCTCATAACCATCGAAATAGCCATTTTTGAGCGGTCTCAACTCGTACTCGTCCATCATATTCTGGCCGACGATTATTGGCAAATATTGATTGTAGACGACGTGCGCGAATTCGGCTGATATCAGCTTTCGTGTCTCCTGAAATTTTTCCAGAAATTATTCCGGCGTCGTTGGCCGAATGGCCGAATGCCTGATAGATGCGCTCATCGTCCCATTTCTCATTGAGATTCTTGAGAATCGTGCTGACGCGATCGTGCTCGCGATGGAATATCGAGTGCACCGCGATGAGCAACGTCTGCTGCGAGTTTCGATCATCGCCTATAATCAACCCAATTCAATCTAGACAATCTGCACTCATGACCTGCTATGAAGCATGGATAGTTGGGCGATGAGACACATCCGTCCTGTTCGGAGTCATCCGATTGGCTCAGCGTGATGCCATAATGCGATTGCTTTCCCAATCTCGTCACCTTCAGCTTCCCATCGGTAAACGTGCGTAGGCGATCGCCTTCGCATTGCGTCGATCCATACATCACCGAGCCATCAAGATAAGCAGTGATCTATTTCGAAAAATAATTGTTGACTCTCCCTCACTCTCTCTCGCGTGTCGCGCCAAAACCTGATTCATCTGATTCCGATAGCCCAACGTCTTCTGGGCGGGAAGGCTTCGCACAAACGATAGGCATTCGGACGACGGAAAATAGCGATCCGATTCCGGCACCGGTATCGGATAGCACGACGGCGACACCGTCAGCGACGCATCGCAACTGAACATGAAAACAAATGTTGGTGGAATTCGAACGATCAACCTCGAGCAATTCAGCGGCGTTCCATCGGCATTCTGATCAACTGGCGAATGCGTGATGTCGTGATCGATGAACTGCCCAAACTCCATTAGCAAATGGGTGTACTAGAAGATTGGCGAGTGGCGAAATTTGCCAAAACAAAAGAATACCTTGACATTTTCAATGGGAGCTGCTGAATGAACCGCGTTTGAGATGATTCTCGGCGATGATAGACGACCGCCGCTCACCGATTTTGATCGAGGCGCACTGATCCCTAGAATCCTTCGATTAAGAGCGAAATAGCGAGCAACCCCCTCAAAGTACCATCATCATAAGCCGGTTGAAGGAGTCGCTTCAATTCAGCGAACGTGTTCGCCGCTCCAGGATTCTTCAAATTGTTGCACCATCCCGTATAGGTGCGGTAGGGATTCGTCGGATCGCACGGAAGCGGCTTCGGATTACAATTCTCGATGCTTCGACTTCGAAAATCGTCGCCAACGTGAATGCCTTGAATGTCGGCGAGATTCAATTGACGCTCGTTGATCAATTTGTGGGTCGCCTAGAAAAAACAACCAATTCCATCTGCCGACAATTTTGATTACCTCAAGAAGAATGAAGCTGATGTTCGCCTCAATGACGGCTTCATCTTTCGCCAACATCATTTTCGCATATTTGCCGATCGACGCCGAATTGAATAATCCGTCTTAAAATGGAATAGTGAAAAAAACAAAAAAAAAGAGCGAAAAAAATATGGGAAATACGCTGAAAATTGTCGGGATTGCTTCGACGCAATCGCTCCTCATTGACTTTTTCGATGCAAATTCCGAGAAGCTCGTCGAATTTCGTCTCGATGGGCTCTCGCAAACTCTCCGATTCCATCCATTTGCTCAAATCGATCGTCGGGAATTCCGTTGAATTGCATTTTATTGGAATGTTCCTTGAAGACAATAAAAAATTTAGACAAATCTTCGATATACTCAATCGTCGCAAAAAAAAGTGGAAGACAAAATTTCGAATAAAAAATAAGCGCGATATTTCTTTTGATAGAAATTTTGAAGAATTTGTGAAAAAAATTTCGCAACTCTCACGCCTTTTTCTTAATTTGAACCTCCAAATTTCAATAAATTTGATCGAAATCTTACGTGAACGCGTCCGGCACGATGAACCCATTGGTTTGGGCGTTTTCAACTTTTGCGTGCCTACACAATAGGCTCGAAATCGAGGATTTTCGAATCTCGTCGAGTTGATCCGATGTCAGCACGTTCTCATACCAATAGGGATCGCCAAATTTCGTCTGAAATCACTAATTGCTTCGTTTATCTAAAACATCGGATCAACTTTTTGGAATTGCAACGCCAGAATGCATCCAAACGTGGGTCCGACGAGCGATCCGTAAACGGGATATTCGGATAATCCGAACAGGAATAGATCGACGTCGCGAACATCACCGAACATTCGCGATGACGCGTCGAGAATTTCGGCGTCGATCACCTCGCCGAGTTGGTCAAAGGTCTCGAGCTGAAAATAATATCAATTGTAGATTTACGCGTCTTCAATTCATGAGGTTGACGGGCGAATTAGTATGGTACCATCAAATTCTCACACTTCAAATCGAAATTTGAAAATACAATGATCCATAATTGCCTAATAAATTTAAAATCGCAAAGCTGTGCCGAAAATCAACTCAATATGAATCTACCTCTCCGCCACCGCATTCCTCCCGCCATTGCGCGTATGTCGCCAATCCGTGATCCCTTCCGAGCATGACAATCTCGGCGAGCAGCGATTTCGCCGACGACGAACGCGATTGGCGATAGATGAACGGCCGTCGGATCGTCGACGAGTCGCCAATCTTCTTCTCGTCGTCGTCGTCCATGAATTTGAAGAACAATCCGACGGCGGCGGCGAACTCATTCAGCGTGTTCGGATTGAGGTTCTCGCACATGCCGCCGCTACACATCGCCTTGTCGAGATCGTAGCGAGCCTAAACGAATTTCGACGTGAAGGTGTCCCGCCAATTCTTCCCACCATCGTGTCGTCGCCAATAAGAATCGGCAAGAACTCGTGATAAGTGATGAATTGGAGTTCAGCGATCACAAATTTGCGAGCTTCTTCCAGTATCGTCTGTTGAGAGTGATGAGGATAAAGCTTCTACAAGAAAAACAAAGCTCTGCGGACATTGACACGGGTTCTACCTACCTTCAATTTATCGTATATATAATTATGTTCGGCTTCGAACAAAGACACCAGCGGGTTTTGATGGTCCGACGTGAAATGGGTCGTGAATTTGCCTATTAGCCTCTATTCAGCCTCTTCTACTTCTTCTTACCATTAGGTCTCACCTGTCTTCAAATGCTTGCCACTTTGATAAACCGGACCGGCGTCCAGAAACGATGTCGCCAGATTCATTTGCTCCCGTCGTCCAAACTCGCACTTCGCAGTTGGAGCTGGAGCAGATCGAACGTAGCAGTCCAAATTTGACAATGCTAGGCATTCAGAGCTCTCCGTGTTGCAGCATGTCAGCTTTTCTGAATTATTTTTTTTAGTTAGTCAATCAGCAATAATATATTTGAAAAATTTTGAAGGCGGCAATTTTTGAAAAAAAAATACCTTGAAAATGCGCCAAACGCACCAAATCCTGATAAATGAGCTCGGCGAAATCGACGAATGTCTGAGTCAACGGAATTGGCGGACCCCGTCTCGCTTTCGGTAGATTCTCGTCGACGAAGCTCGCCGAAGGAAGTGGTCCGCCGCCGCGGCCCACAAATCGCGGAGCGCCAATATCTGAAACACACATTGTGATTTTTCTTTTGCGAAAAACAAAAATTGCGTACCATCCTCGTAATTGGCATGAATTCGTCGTGAAAACTGCGTCATTGTGGCTCCGGCCAACGGCCACCAAACATTTGTGCACCGCCCATTAACGTGCCGATATTTTCCATAAGCGCATCGATATTTTTTCAGGGGACATAGCGATTTGGGAAGCTTTCCGCCGGTTTTCCTGAAATTTTCATTTTTTTTCCCCTGCATACATACAATTATGAATTTTACCCGGACTTTTTTGTCAATCGCACGGCCGTCAATGCCGCAATACTGTAATTTCTGGCCAATTCATAATCGCTATTTGTTTGAATATACACTTGAGAAGTAAATTCTGAATGGAATACAGTTTAGATTAATTTATAAAAATAATGATTCCAAAAAATTTACCCCGTTTGATGTCTTCATAGACATCTGCAATATAGTTCGAAGAAACATCTGAAAAATAATTAAACATTTTTTCGTTTTAAACAGTTTTTTTAATTAAAAAATTGACAAAAACTATTCATCGTTCGTCAATAGAATTAATTACCGTACTGTTCTTGTAAAGACTCGCGCAAAAAGAAACCATGCGCCTTTAAAAATATTACAGTAACCCACTTATTTCTTTTTTTAAATATATTAATGCGAGAGAGTTTCGAGCGAATAAAAAAAATAATTAAATTTTGCTAGCGTTCAAAAATTGATTAAATTATTTCTGCCAACAAAAAAGTTGTTTTAAACTATTTTTTATTAAAAATTGACAAAAACTATTCATCGTTCGTCAATAAGATTAATTACCGTAACGTTCTTGTAAAGACTCACGCTGAAAGAAACCACGCGCCTTTAAAATATTACAGTAACCCACTTATTTCTTTTTTTATTTTGCAAGAAAATTTCGACCGCATAATAAAATAATTTTCTCGGGTTCAAAAATTGATTAAATTATTTCTGCTAATAGAACCCACCTGCACACTGCCCAAACTCGCATTCTCTTCCAATGGTAAACTCAAAAAGCAGAAATTTGAGTAAAAGAATGAACAAGTTGTTCATTATTTGCTGAATGACGTCGTCGTCGTTGGAAGGAGGAGTAGAAGAAGAAGGATTCTTTGTGAAGCGACAATAACGTGCGCTCGGATTGTGAACGTATTCTCACACCCCGATGATCTGGTTTCGTTTTCGTTCGCATTCTTCAGACACACGGGGCCCCTCAGCGTTTTTTTCCTTCCCCCCTTTCAGTGCCCCGTTTCTAACGACCTCTTCCATTCTATTGTGTGGTTTGTCTCAAATCCTATCGAATGGCCCCGATTTATTCTATTTTATCAATCAACTCAACTGGAGAATTGGTGTACATTTGAAATGAATTGTAATGGGGGGGGGGATTTTCGAAGAAAGCGCATTCACTTTCATTTTTTCTATATTTTTTTTTCATTTATTACACTCCAAAATTCCCAGTTTGTAAATTTGAATTCCCGCCGCGGAAAAAAAAATGCGATGGTCCATATTTTCAAATTTTTAATTTGTCAGCAGCTTTTGAAAAAAAAAATTCTCGAACCCCAAAAATCATATTGTTACAAATTCTCAACCGTTTGGCTAAAAGCCAGGGGTGGTCTCGAAGCGAACAGACGTGTCTGTGTACTCCACACGGACAAAGCAGCGCCAAAAAAAGAAATGGGCGAGAAATTCATGGCGCGAAAAAAAATGAATGAAATTTTGAAAATTCTGCCCTGATTCTGATTTTGAAGTATTTTTCCAATGCACCTTTAAAATTAAATTTAAAGACACCTCCTTTCAATCAATAAAAAACATTAAGCGCGACTTAGTCAATACGGTACCAACGGGACCAAAATTAGATGGTCCGGGACCAAAGTTACACCGTAAAATATCAATTGGTCCCCAGCCGGCAAACGGACCAGGACTCTAAGTTTATTTTGAGAGAGTCTCAACTCATCCGCCCAGCTGGAGCCCACAGTGACAAAAAGAAAATAATAAAACGATTCAAAGTGTCGACTGGATGTTCGCCGATGGCTCACCTGAAAACAAAAAGAAAATTTGGGCCAATTTCAAAATGGGAAAATTTAAATTTAAACATTTTCTCGAAATTTCTCAATCAATTTTGAAATAATAATAAATATTCGTTTTTTTTTACAAAATCGAGCCTCCTCCAAAAAACAAAAAAAGCAAACCTTATTATCATAATGCTCCATTCCATTTCGCTGCCTTCAGTAAGGGACCAACTAAATTGAAAATATTTCTTTTCAACATCAATTAAAAATTTAATTAACTTTCAAATATTCAATGTGTTTAAAAAATTAGTTCTAATTAAATTAAAAAATAATAATTTTATACCATGGCCGAAAATTTCGCGGCCGCAGCCGGCGGCCGCCCGAATTGTATCCAACAAAAGCCACCCACGATCGAATCGGGACCAACAAATCTGAAAATGAATTTTTATAATTCAAAAAAAATTTCGTTGTGTCGCGGGCCAGCGGAAAATTGGCTAAATGCCAAAAAAAAGGTGCGAAACTAAAATATCGGATAGCTTAAAGGCGCACACCTCGCGCACCAAGACCTCATTTCAAAATTTGTTGCCATTTACCCCGAGTTCAAGATTCTTTTGCTGAAACTCCCGGAACCATCTGAACAAGATGACCCTGAAAAATTCAAATTTTCAAATTAGAATTGTCAAATTCAAATAATAAACCAAATGCGAGACATTGGCTTCTGACCATCTCCAGCTTGTCGGCGGCATTCTCAATTTTCAAGCTCGTCGATTTCCTCGAATTCTTGCAAAAAATGCATATATTTCTACATTTTCATTCAAAAAAAGGCTTGATTCAAAAATTTCAGCGACAAATTTTTTTTTCAAATTGCACCAACGCCACGACGACGCCATCCGCCAAACGAACGCCACCCACCACCATCGTGCGCGCTTGGACTTCTCCAGGCGTTTGCCCTCCTGGATCGGATCCTTCGGATCACCGAGGCGGGGTGTTTCGGCCGAAGCTGTTGGTGTGTGTGGCGGGCAACAGCTCGACGCACCCGTGCGGGCTCCCTCAATTCCGACTCAACGAATGTTCTCGAGACACGCGTCACAATGGTTTCGCGGCGAATGGCTCGTCGATGGGAAAAAATCGCAAAATTTTTGAGAATTTTTGTTGGAAATTAATCAAGAAATCAAGAAAAACATACACAACAATTGGGTTTCGACCCCACACGAATTTTTCGCGGAAATTTCGGCCTGAAATAATTATCAATTAACTAATTATAGCTATATAAACGATTTTCAATCGAATTTGCTATACAATCCAAGAAAAACGCTTTAAAAAAATGCCGAAAACGAACAATTTTTATGAATGATTACTGTAGAAATTGTGTGGTACGTAAACACCATAATTGACGACATTTATTTTGTTTTTATCAATATTCAGATTAAAAAATTTCAGCTGATTGCCGGCTCATCTGTTACCCGAAAATCAACTCACTTGCTTCTATTTCCAAAAAAATTTAAAATGATCGGATTGATGTGCTGGAATGGACACGTTTTTGGTGCACGTCTGTTGTTCGAAATGTCGCACGTGGAAAATCGAGTTTTTGAAATGATTCGAAAAATTCAATGTTGATTATAAAATCGACAAAAACATAGATTTAACAAGGGAGGTGTTTTTACTTAGTGGTTTGGAATTTTTTCTAATTTTGCACACAAACAGATCAAGAAATTCCCTATCGAGTGTGGTATGTCGTTTTCTGCAAAAGTTCCAAAAAGTCCCAAAACTTTGGGTCCGAAGTTTCAAATTTTGATCCATTGTTTTTATTCACTGTTTCATGATTTTTGCCATACTTCCTCACCACGCACAAATACCGCATTTCGATGGAGCTGCGGCAAGCAGCGATTGTTCAGTGGGATGTATACGGGTTATCAAGAAAAGGATTGTTGGTTCGTTGCCCCTTCTCGCAATTTCTTTTGCAATTTGTGATAAAATTTATACAAGTTTTATAATGGCTTGAAGGTTTAATTTTGTGAAACGAATAGTTGTCTCGAACAGAAAATGAGACTGTGAAAATAGGAAGTTCATTTGATTTCAAAAATTTTTTTTCAAAATTTTTTCCACTCTGCTGCCCAACCATATTGCAACCATCTTCGGAGTTTTGGAGAGCATAATTGGCGGAAAGCAATAGACAACACTGTGCGATTAAAAATTATAGGGAAATGCGAGTTTTATAAACAACTTGCTAGAATACTGGATTCCCGGCTGTGAATCTTGAACGTCGATTGTTACTACACCGAGGATGGTGGTTGCAATATGGTTGGGCAGCAGAGTGGAAAAAATTTTGGAAAAAAATTTTTGAAATCAAATGAACTTCCTATTTTCACAGTCTCATTTTCTGTTCGAGACAACTATTCGTTTCACAAAATTAAACCTTCAAGCCATTATAAAACTTGTATAAATTTTATCACAAATTGCAAAAGAAATTGCGAGAAGGGGCAACGAACCAACAATCCTTTTCTTGATAACCCGTATACATCCCACTGAACAATCGCTGCATGCCGCAGCTCCATCGAAATGCGGTATTTGTGCGTGGTGAGGAAGTATGGCAAAAATCATGAAACAGTGAATAAAAACAATGGATCAAAATTTGAAACTTCGGACCCAAAGTTTTGGGACTTTTTGGAACTTTTGCAGAAAACGACATACCACACTCGATAGGGAATTTCTTGATCTGTTTGTGTGCAAAATTAGAAAAAATTCCAAACCACTAAGTAAAAACACCTCCCTTGTAAGGGATTTTAGATAAAATATAAAGCAAAAATGAACTGTAATGTAAAATTGTGTATTTTGGATAGAGGGTGGCGAGATGCCCGAACATTGTCCGCAGCAGGTAATAGAGATAGCGCGCGCATTTCCACCTTGTCTTTGGTTTAAAACCCAGTTACTCAAGGAAATTTGGAGTTTCCAACCTTTCAAGAGAAAGTGTTGGCGAATCGAATTTTTGCACAGCTTCTTCGGGGTTTCCGTTGAGGCAATACATAATCAATTAGCATAATTAGATGGTTATCGTCTTACTTATAGCTATTCGATCATCGCAGTAGGATAAGTCGCGATTTCTTCTTTAGAAGTCGTCGCCATCGTCCGAACACTTCTATATTGAACAAGTTGTTCATTATTTGCTGAAAGAAAAAATGAAATGCAAACAATACCAGAAAAATGTAGAATTTTAAAAATTTATATCAAAAAGAAACTTTTTCTCAAAAAAGTTTTACCGCCGGTGTTCAAATTCGTCGATCCTCATTCAATTTTGAAAGCGACTCATTGATAAATGGTTTTTTTAATTTTAAAAATTTAAAAAAAAAAGATTAAATTTTTTTGTGCCTTTTTACTCAAATTGCGCAAAGTTTGTCAATTTTACTGGCGAAAACCGATTCGTTTTGAGAGAATTTCTCTTTAAACTTTATTCATCACGAAAATTTAGTTGATAACCATCTAATTATGCTAATCGATTATGTATTGCCTCAACGGAAACCCCGAAGAAGCCGTGCAAAAATTCGATTCGCCAACACTTTCTCTTGAAAGGTTGGAAACTCCAAATTACCTTGAGTAACTGGGTTTTAAACCAAAGGAAAGATGGAAATGCGCGCGCTATCTCTATTACCTGCTGCGGACAATGTTCGGGCATCTCGCCACCGTCTATCCAAAATACACCATTTAGCATTTTTTACATTTTTTTCATATATTTTGTGCAATGTATCTTTAAATGGAAACTGTAGTAGCAATTTGAGCTCAGCCATTTTTTATTCATGCGTTTTATAGAGAATCGATATATAATTTAATGCAAAAAAATATAGGAGAATGTAGTATATATTGAATAATGAACATTGTTTTCGGAGATTCTGAAGCATTGAGAATCTTAGAATCTCAATTTTCAGCTGAAAATTGTGTTCATTGATTTGGGCACAAATCAGAAGGGCCTGCCGAACACATGTCATAACAATCGCGCGCGAGAAATGTGTTCTGGTGTGTGGCGCAATTGTGAAAACACTTTTTCGCGTTTTAACAACGCGGGTTCGAGTCCACCCCAATCATATCCGATTTTGCCGCTTTTGATCTCTCGAGATTATAGTTCATTTTGTCGAACACGCCAAGAACAAGACCCCCCACATACACTAACACACAGGCAAACGCACACAATAAGAGGAAATGCAAACAGAAGAGTTGAGGTTAGCGTCATTACCTGACAGTATTAGAAAATGCGCGATGATTTCTAAATAATGTTCAGGTAAGACGACAACCCCGCGTCTTTAATCGAATATGAGCTGTTTGAGGGGGAGCACGAGCATCGACGAGAAGCCGAAGCGAACGAATGATGTCGAGTCGGCGGGCCGGGCCGGGGCGACGATGTGTCGCGCGCACGCTCCGCCCACTTTTGAGTGGCGGCGCTTACGGTAGGTGCGCAAATATTATTCTGGACGTACGCCAGACGAAGACCGCCCGAGCGACATCGCAGCCGCAATTGCTTCTGCGTCTGTCTAGCGATGATTGTGCGCGCCACCAACATCAACGGCACAGGTGAAATTTTGTGCTCTCGAGGCGATTGCGAGACAGCTGATATGCGTTTTCCTGGAAATTTCGACGCCGCGCACTTTTCCAATTAGCAGGCGAACCATGGCGGGATGAAAATTCCGTATTAAGCGAATCCAACAATTTGCGGAATTTGTGAAAATGCCCTGCGGACACTTCGCGGGTTTCGCCTTGCGCTTGGACGAACACGCATCCTTACCGCTAGCGGCAGCAAGAAAGCAGTTATCTGAATAACGTGCTGCGGACAATTCGCGGGACGCCTAATACGAAATCTTGCCTTTGACAATTCGCTATTCAAAGGCGCATGCACTTTTGAACTCGGCCAACCTGTTATTTTCTTATATTTGCCGCCTAACTAGACAACATATAGTTAACAAGGGGGGTCATAGCGGAAATCGGCGGTGGCGGCGGCGGCTCTGCCTCATCATCTTGTGATACAGTGGCTAATCTTGTACAAACATGTGTAGATCACTTGAAACGACGACGACGTGCTCCTCCGACGATATTTGAACTAGTTTCTGGCGAGGCATAGGAGGGGCTCTCTTATCAGAAGCGAAACAACAATCCATTTATGTACATAGATGTCGGTTTTACGGTGATCTCGAGTGGCCTGCCGCGCTGTTCGACGGCCTACAAGATGCACTTGATTCCGACGAATTGGAGTTTGAGAGCGGGACCATTGAAATATTGAAAAGGAAAAGGAAAATCGAAAAATATTCGGAATAGTGGAAGCGCGCCGCGGTATTGCACAATACTGCGCCGCCGCAAGCCACGCCCACTTATTTTTTTTTCAAAATTCGAATTCAATTTTTCACCTAAATTTTCCAAATTTTTCCGTTTTTTGCAAAATTTTTGCGTTTTTATTTAATTTTCTTTCAAAAATCTAAAAGAATTGCATATTTTAAGCTTAAAATTATTTAATTTGAATGGAAGAACGTTAAGAAAATCGCGAAAATTGAAAATTATCGATTTTTTTGGCTCATGTTTTCTTCTTGTCGATTTATGTAATTTTTTTTTATTTTTCAATATTCAGGATCCCAAAAATGAAAAAAAAACGTGAAACTCATCGATCCCGAAAAAAAATCGGCGAGGACGCGTGATTTCAAAATGCGCTCGTGCCGCATTTTCGTCGTCAATTTTCTTGCGAAACCCTGAAAACCGATAAAGGCAAACGCGTCGGAAAGAAGCAACTTGAAATGAATTCGTGAGTCGCCACCACCTGATGTTTGACGCATAATGAGTATTGCTAACATTAGCAGGAATGATTAACTATGCGAATAACACATAGTCAATCATTCGGGTTACGGTATGCGAGGGGGGGGGTCTTTTGGTTTTCGGTCATTTTACGTAAATACATTACTGTAGCCCTGTGCTCACCAGGCCCCCCAACTGTTCGCAGTTGCTCATTTCAATCCATTTCAGACATTCGAAGCCCAATCCGACGGAGGTGTTCATCAATTCGGAGCGCGACATCGTCCAACGCTCGTTGGTCTTCCGCAACACGTCCGGCAAAGATTTTGTGCTCAAATTGATCGCGTCGAATCGCTCGGCGATTCTGTTCCCGACGACGTTGTTCCGATTCCCGCCGCACTCGTACCGCACAATTCAGTTTCGCGTCGACACGCGCCACGTGTCGACGTTCGACATCCCGCAAATTCGCGGATTCGTGCTTCCGGTTTATAGCAAACAATTGCGGCAGTGGATCGATCGCAAAGACAGCGCCGAATGTCCGACGCAGGAGGCGTTCTGCTTGTCGATCAAACTCAACAAGGGCTTCTCGGCGCCGTTGACCGTCGTCAATTTGCCCGGCAACGCCACGTGCATTGACGCCGTTGATCATCCGGTCGACGTTGAAGAACTTGACACCATCACAGCGGTCAACATTGAAAGCGGTGAGTGGTTTTTGTTTGCAAATTTTGGTCTAGCTCTAAATCAACTGGTTCAAAAATTAACATTTTTCGCAATTTTCCTTTCCTATTTTTATTCAAACCCCCAAGAAATTGGCTCAATGTCTTCTAAGCGAATACCAGACGCACCTAGCGGAAGAAAATTGCGAGAAAATCGCTATTCGGATGGCTGACAAAATTCCAAAAATCTCATTCACGTTCAGGTTTTTTGAAGGCTACGGTGCCACAGTTTTTGAAATTAAATCGCTGCAAGAATCGTGAAACTGTATTATATGCGCCTTTCATCTTTAAGGGCAATAGAGAAAAAATTTGAATGCAGAAAAAAAATGAAAATTAATATTTTTTTGTTCTCTTTTTTTATTTTCTCTGTATTGCTAAAAGAAATTTAATCGTTACGTTTAAAGGCGCATATGAGAAAATTACGGTAAGGATCTTATAGCGATTTAAGAAAAACTTTGGATTCAAGACAAAACGAACGCCAGAGTAGATGGCCCTGAACTCGACATTTTCAATAAAATTTCAGATGTCGTCACCGCTGAGCCGATTGGCAACATGATGGCAATAGTTGAAGCTCAACGCAAAAAGACCGCCGACAACTCGTAGGCTTTTTTTTTTTTCAATTTTTCCCGTTCAATTAATTTTCGCTTCAAGTTGCTGGCTGTCTGGAATCATTTGCGGCGGTCCGACACCGAACGCCGAGCCGAATTGCGACAAATCGAAATCAACCAGCCGAGGATCGTGCAAATCGCAGTAGGGATTTTCGAATTTCGATGAGTCTCGCGAATTTTTCGTTTTTTTTTAGAAGTCGTCGTAATCGTCCGAACACTTGTCTGGATGCCGCACCGTGCGCCGGATCCTCTTGAAAAAAAACCATGTGTCGAATAAAATCATTTTTGCATATTTTGTTCGCATTCGGTATTTTTTAAATCTCATTTCGGGACCATTGAAACGATGTTGAGAGGATTGATTTGAAGAGAGCGCCAGACGCAAAGATAGCACTCAAAATTGATTGCGAAACTCCAAATAAGGCGAATAGAGTCCGGCGTGTCCCCGTTATTGTCGGCAGCACTGTGAATTGTGGCTAGATAAGCGCGACGCGTTTTTGACGCCAATGTCTGATTGGTCCGGCATCAGTGGGTTATCAAAGCTCTCTGGTTCGGTCTCTTCGGAGTCGGGCCACTCTCCGATCACAAGGCTTCGGTCTTGGGATCAATCCCGATGCAAGGCTTCGGTCTTGTGTCAAAGAGCTGCCCCCCATTGGCATCACTTGACTGTCAGATTTTTGCAATTTTGATGAAAATGCTAAATGGTGTATTTTGGATAGACGGTGGCGAGATGCCCGAACATTGTCCGCAGTAGGTAATAGAGATAGCGCGCGCATTTCCATCTTTCCTTTGGTTTAAAACCCAGTTACTCAAGGTAATTTGGAGTTTCCAACCTTTCAAGAGAAAGTGTTGGCGAATCGAATTTTTGCAAAGCTTCTTCGGGGTTTCCGTTGAAGCGATACACAATCAATAAATAGAATTAGATTGTTCATCTGATTTACAGCGATTCAAATTAAAAACAACATGATCATTATGATATAGTTTATGGTGGTACTTTCATCTTCTGCATCGCAGCTTCCAATGTTGTATCATCGAACAGGTGGAAATAGAAAAAACCAGCTGAACCGCAAGTCGAAAATCAGATAATTTGGCTTTAAAGCAAGAGTTGCGCGTCGAAAAGGGAGATTCGAAAGATTCTGAAGTAACATGGTAGCAATCGTGCACTTTTTGGACAAGTTCCGCCACCCGAATTATAATTGCCCCACGTCGGTCGGCAATTGTCGCAAAACTCATAATTATAATGTTTCAATGTGTCGTCCAATTCGACAGCAGCTTTTTAAAATTCCCATTTTTTCGCTACAGTAAACCCCAAAAAAAGGAATTCATCTTATATAATCGTATGAACTATTGTTACAGTAACCCTCTGCGCCTTTCAAATTCTCTTTATCAATTTCGCGAATCTGTTGTACTTGTAGTCGTCGAAGGTGAGGAGTGTGTAATCTTTTTCGCCTTCATCTCCCTCTTATTCGTCGCCCCGTCGAACTCGTTTCCTCATTGTTTCCCCCCGCTTTTCCATTTTTCAGCTTCTCCCTCTCATCTGCTATCAGTTTCAGATTCTCATCTCTCTGTTTTGTCTCGTTCTAGACAATTCTTCCTTTTTGGCTAGAAATTTGCCCACAAAAAGCATCAAGGTCACTTTTTGTCGAATAATTGGACCCCCCCCCGTTGCCCATCACCTCCAGCCCGCTCCCATCTCTTCTTCTCTCCTCGACCTTTACACACCGCCTTTGTGTTGTTGTGTCCCGGCACGAAAATGAGTTTGCCAAAAAAAAACTATTTTTCTGTCGTCGGGCTCGAACTCGCGACCCATTGCGCCTCAATCAACTTGTTTTTTTTTTCGTTTTCTAGACCATTAATTATCCAATTACTAATTGCCAAATTATTAATAATCGATTCTCTTTCTGTTGAATGTCAATTTTTGCTTGAAATTTTCTACAGTTTAAATTTGTTTCCAAAAAATGCTGAAAATTGGTTGGAAAATGCGAAAAAATCGAAAAATTTGAGGGAAAAAGTGAAAATCAAAAATATTTTAGTACCGTACCCATTATTAAAGGCGCATGTGACAATATGCGCAAAACATTTCACGCCTAAAACTACAATTTGTTTTTTTAATCAAAATTATTCAGCAAAACATTCAAAATAAATATTTTTCAAGTGTTTTTTGTTTTTGTTTGTTTCTCAGTTGTTTACAACGACAAGACTATTAGAAGAAGGATGTTTTGTCTCAAAAAGTTGTCAATTTTCGAGAAACATTAGCAAAACTCTTTCAAAAATGAGTTAATCGTCATTTCCGCTGGTGAAAATGCTTAGAATGGGCACTAGAATAGATGTACCAAATATGATTTAAATCGATGAGATTGAAAATTTTGACATTTTTTGTTAATGTCTCTTCGATCGGCAACAAAATTTTCATTTTTCTTGATCATCATGTTGATATGTTCATGACTAGATTCGAGTAGCACTTATATGCAAACTGCGCATGCGCAATCCAGTGCACAAATGGCGCAGTTGTTATGATGCACGACTTGACAGCGCGTTTTGCAATTTCGACCTCGCTCACTCCGCTTTTGCAAACTTTTGTGCTCCGCATTGCTCATTTCATTTTTGTCGTATTTTTATAAAGTGTTTCATGCATCATCCTGAGCCTTTTTTCCATCTTCTCCCCAATTTTTAGACTGTTTGATTGAATTTTGACAATTTTCATTTTCACCGCAACGTCGATCACGAAAAACAATTTCAAAATTCTGCAATCTTGCCGATTTTTTCCACCTTCTTTATACGAAATCTAACAATTTTCTTTAAAAAAATTCATGAATGCAAATTGTGATTTGAATGATTCATGGTCATTTTTATGTAAAAATTCCGAAATTTGACGATTTTTGATGGATTAGGCATGTCGTTTTTCATAGGGTTTCTCGTTCTAAACCATACCAAAAACAAACAAACGGAATAAAAAAAAATTGAAAAATTCTTGTTTTAATGGTTTCGCTGAATTGTTATCATAAAACATTAAATTGCGGTTTTAGGCGTGAAATGTTTTTCGCATATTGTCACATGCGCCTTTAATAATGGTTACGGTACTAAAAATATTTTTGATTTTCACTTTTTTGCCACAAATTTTTCGATTTTTTCGCAATTTCCAACAAATTTTCAGCATTTTTTTGGCAAAAATAAATCGCCAAAAATTAAATAAACTATTTCCTAATTAGAAAATTACCGCCAACATTGTTTTCACTGCAAATTTCAAGCAAGTCGAATTTTCGAAAATGACCCAAAAAAAGTGTTTCGTCGACCCACAAAACGGTCAGTTTGTTTGTTTGTTTGTTTCGTTATTTGCCCATTTCATTGATTGTCTTTCGTTGTGTTTTTTTTTCGCGTCAAGACCATCGTCCAACGTTTTTGTCCAATATTGAACGTCGATTGCAGATTTCGTCGAAAAGCGACGATGGCGTTTCGCGACAATCCATCAACGACGTCAAATTTCTCGCAAAACCTGTATTTCTACTCGATTGTAGGTGATAATTTCCGAAAAATCGGCGTCAAATTGCAAAAATGCGCCAAATTCATTTCCAATTTCAGCTAGTCAACTCGATTTCCACCATCGTCCATTATTGCACCGACGGCTTCTTCTCAATTTCGCTTCTCTCGTCGATCGTCTTCGCTACCGTACTCCACTACAAATCCACGTCATCGTCGCTTCAAGACATCAATTTGTCGCTTCGTCGTCAGCATCTCTCAACAACGTCGCGAATCTTCTCGACGACCCTTCTCGCCGCCATTCGCGTCGCCTTCATCTCCATCAAAGAGGAGTCGAGTCCGAGTCTGGTAAATCGTTTCGAGACCGCCAACAATTCCGCAACGTGTTGCTTGTTACAGTATCTCGCCTATCTCTCGTTGTTCATCGCCTTCTCCGACAATCTGCAGCTTCTCACCGACGCCGAGAGCTACGGAATGAGCACGAGCGCCGGCGGCACCAGCGAACTTCAACCTCATCGCCCACAACGGACCGTTCGCTACGCGCCAGCCGGCTAGGCGAAAAAAATCTTTGAAAGATCCGACAACTTCATCTGATCTCGTGTTTTGACGCCCCGGGTCCCCATTTTTTTGCCCATAAAAAATTGCTCAACAGATTGGAAAAAAAGAGAATTAATTCAAAACACTTCAAATGGGTTATTTTGCTACAAAAAAATAGTATTTGGACTGATTAAAACTTGAAATGAGCCAACAACGAATGAATGAATGAATGAATAAAGAAGATCAGATGAGCTCCAGAATAATGGAGTAATCAACAAATAAATAATTAATTATATATAATTATAATTAAAGGTGATGAAAAAAAAAACCAAAACTCAACAATTTTCCATTTATTTTCGACGCTCGCGCTCCTGCTGCGTTGGCGGCGGCGGCGTGCCTTTGCGGTACAAATTGTCTGAAACAAAAACCAATTTTCGGTAATTATCCTTCTCATTAGGCGCAATTTTCAAAAATTAACAAATCACTTATTATTTCGAGACCATTTGGTCATTTTGAACTAAAAAATAATGCTAAATTTGGCAAAATTTGTCATTTTCATGATAATTTTCAATTTCCAATCCGACGTACCAACATATTCCTCGAGTAATCGATCCCTCTCATTCGCGCTCATCTCCGTCATTCTGATCCATCGATTATCCTTCTAAAAATGCTCCAAATAAGGTCAAATTAAATGGGAGGAAATCACGTTCGAACCTCAAGAACCGACAAGATATCCTTCAAATGCTGCTCGCTTTCCTCCATCAGCTTCTTACTCTTATGTGTGATGATTTTCGTCTCAACGAGCATCTCTTTAAACTCATCAACCAACTGATCATGCCTCTTCTCTTGCCAATCGCGGAAATCTCTCTCAACCTTCTACAAAAATTTTTGATTTCAAATAAATAAAAAATAAAAAACCAAAAAAAGAACGAACCCTCTCCGAGTTACTAGCCACCTTCGAGAACACTTCCTCCTCATCCTGAATGATCCGCTTCGCCTCCTTCCAGCGCATCGTCGGCGTGATCTTCGCATGATTATCAAGCATCACGAAGAACGCGTCTCGTCGCTTCCTCTCAAGTGACCTACAACAATTTCGATGGTCCCATCAGAATTTCAAACACGCATACCTGATATGGTCATCAAAAAGCGCCTCCTTCTTCTGCTTATCAAGCAAATCGCATTCGGCATATCGATCGTCTTTTCTCAGCAATCGTCTGCTCTCATGCCAATCGCTATCAACCGATTTCACCTAGAAATTCGCTGGTAATGTAAACTCTAACAAATAAATGCCAAAATTTACCAAATCAATGAGCAACGCTTTGAATTTCTCCTCGTGCTCCGCCATTCGGTGCTTCTCGCTCTCGCGATTTCGCTCACGCAACTGATCGCCGAGTTCCGCTTCAACTTCGCGTTGACGATTCGCGATGGCCGCCTCGGCCGCCAAACGACGCTCGCGCTCTTGCTCCTCCTCAATATCCTGCAAAAATTTTTTTTTGAATAAAGTAAGAAACGCTTCAAAACTACAAATTCTCAAACTTTTTACGATTTTTTGCTAAAATTAAAAAAAAAAAACCAAAAATTATGCTAGTCTTTTACAATTTTTTACTCAAATTTTTGCAAAAATCAGAAAAGTGCAATTTTCAATCTTAGAAAAAAATTCTAAAATTTGCTATCGAATAAATTGTCAAGCATTGGAAGACACCAAAATTCAAAATATTCAAAAATTTTCGAATTCGAAACAAAATCGCTTACCGACGCCGTCTCATCGGCCAGCTTCTCAATGAAATCCTTAAACAGCGCCTCTCTCGTCGAGCTACTATCCAACGCAATATAGCGCTCGTCATTCTCGAGCGTCTTCTTCACATGCGACCATTTCGATTTTCTCGTCAAACCCGTCTGCTCTTCGAGCAATGTCACAAATGCCGCTTTCAGCTTCTCCTTTTTCGCCTTCTTCTCCTCCTTCTCCTTTTTGTACAACTCGCCAACGAAATCATTGAACATGTCCTCGCGATCGCGCATTCGCTCGACGCCCTTGAATCGCGAATCTTTGCCGAATTTCGATGAAAACGACGAGAACGACGATTTGCCGTGTAGTTCGGCCTCTTTGAGAAGCTCCTGGAACTTCTCCTTCGCTTCTTTCGCCTTCTTTTTTCGTTCAGCTCGTTCTGCTTCAACTTTTTCGCGAACGTAGGCTTCAAAAGACTGCAAAATTTCAAAACAATTATAAAAATTGTCAAAAGAAAAAATAAATCAACAAACCGCTCTTCGTTCAGTCGCACTAAGAAGCAAGTAGCGTTTGTCGAACACAATTTTCGATAGCTCCTTCTCAAAAGTGGTTCCCGTCGAGACGCCTCGCTCATGTAGCATCTCTTTGAACTGCTTCAATCGCTCTTCCAACGGAATCTTCTCGCGCTCTTGTGCTGCTTGAAGTTCGGCCTGTATCGCCGGATCCACCGGTTTCTGAAGCATCTGCCGCGGCTTCTCCTTCGTATTCTTCTCAACCTTCTGCGCCGCCATCAACGCCTCCTTTTTGCGCTCCGAGCGACTCTTTTTCGCTTTCGGTGGCCCATCGTCATCATTTTCATCAGAATCATCAGATGAATCCTTCTCCTTGGGAGTCTCTTCTAAAAAAAATAGAATTTTGCGTGAAAAAGGCTAGGGGTTATTTCAGCCACAACCAAGAAATAAATCTTGAAATACCCAAAAAAAAAAAAACAATCCGGCGAAAATCGATTTTGAATAAAATGAATTTCAATTTTTTGCGATAACTCCCACCTTTTTTGGTCTCGGGCGGTTTTGAAATGAGCAAATCAACGTCCTCTCGTCCAAACGTGTCCGGTGGCCGCTCCCAAACCGACGTCTTCGTCGACGGATTGTAAAAGAACACTTTGCCATCGCCAGTCCAAACGACACACCACGGAGTTCCACTGACGGGCGTGCTGCTCGTCGGCCTCGACAGATCCTTCTTCTTCGCCGCTTCCGCGTTGACGGCAGCAGCTGCCGCCGCTCCAGAAGCCTGCGCTTTCGACAACGGCATACCGCCACCATTCGCGCTGTTGGCCTTCTGCAAATGTCTCAAAATATCGTTGCTTTGAATAGTTTGCGTGTCTGACCTGAGCCATAAACGCCGCCAGAGCTGCTTGAGCTTTCGCCTGCGCTTCGGCGATTGCCGCTGCCTGCGCCGGATCCATCGCCGGCTCCTTCTCGCCCTCCTCTTTGGCAATCAGCGCTTTCGGCTTCTCCCAAGTGTTCTCCTGGGTGATCGAATTGTAATAGTATTTTCTGCCATCGGGTGCGGTGAATTCACTCCAAGCGTCGTCCGGATTCGCTCCAGCGGTCGATTTTTCTGCAAAACGCCGAAATCATCGATGGGCGAGAAACATTGAAGATGGTTTGATGATGAAAAATAATAATAATAATAAAGCAAGGAATGAAACGAATCTCTCGTTTTGCCTAATGCTCTCTTCGTCTAGATTATGATGATTAAAACTGGACATTACACATTCAAACGAGGAAGAGGAGGAAGAGGATGGAGGAGGAGGAGGCCAATGGTTGCAATTCTCCGCACATCGATGCCAATTTTGCGTTTCCTGTGCAATTATTCAACAACTAATCGTTAAAAATTAAAAAACACGATTTCTTTGTTTTTTTTTTCTTGTTCCCATCATTTTACCCAAAAAACATTACGTTATTTCTCTCTTATTAATCCCTGCTTGGCTTGCCCGCTTCGCGGATAACATAACACAACTCTCAAGGTTCTTTCTGTAAGTTTGAACAACGAAACCAAACTAGAAAAAAAGTTTTGGAGGCTTTCGATTAAATCAGGGGAAAACAAACCTTGTCGCCTGAAAGGTTTTTAATTAGGCTGATTAATACGATTAATTAGGTGTGATGGTCTCTAATTTTAAAGAAAATTGTTAGTACCTTCACGCTCTTTCCTTTCCTCCTCAGCCGAGCGACTAATAAGCTCGGCTAACTCTGTTTGATTAATAATCCTCGCATTTTCCGGCTTCTCCCATACGGTATTCCGGTTGACGGGATGATAGAAATACTTTTTGCCTTCTGCCGTCTCGGTTTCCACCCATAATTCTTCGCCATCCGCGCAGCCAGCCAACTGCAAAGGAAACGCTCATAATGCGAAATATTCACTAATTAGAGATTAATTACCCTCTTCAGTCGTCCCTCTTGCTCGAGTGGATCGGCGACTTGCGGCTGCATGCCGTAAGCGCCATAACCTGGCGGTAGTTGACCGGCGCCGCGATAGTTACCTGCAAATGCGCCGCGCATTGGCGGGAAACCGCGACCGCGCGGCGGAAATCCCGCCGGTGGGAATCCTCGACCTCGTGGTGGTGGGTATGCTACAAAAATTTCAGAGTTGTGTCTTTTTTTTTAATTGGAAAATTACCTCCTGGAAGACCCGGCGGAGCGCCGCGACCGCGAAATGGCGGAAATCCGGAGGGCGGATAGCCTGGCGGCATTCCTCTGCCTCGAAAACCGCCCCTCATTCTAAAAAGAACCGAATAATATTTTTCGAAGAGCTTCCAAAATTTGTCTCACCCTGGAGGCGCTCCTCGACCTCGATATCCGCCATTGTCGCCATCGGCGTGCTCTGAATAGCCGGCACCATCATGGAAATTTTCGTATTTCTGATCGGCTTCCATATGCTGATCGCCGTAGTTTTCCTGATCCTCGTGGCTCATTTCGACTGTAATTGATGAATGTCGAAAGAAAAACCTCAAAACATGAAGTCTGGTTGATTTTTTTTGCATAAAACAAAATGAAAATATTTTATTTTCAATATTTTTACGATGAAATCACAAAAATCAACGCAATTTTGAGAAAACAAGAGGAAATGAGGAAATATTCAAAAAATGTGGTACGAAATTCACGCGTCCGAGACGCGAAGCGTGTTCTCAATGGAGCGCACTTGCATCGCCATTCGAATTTTTCGATTTGAACATGTTTTTTTTTGGCACAAAAATTCCCAAAACTCTAATTTTTTACAGTAATGCCTTCTGAAACTCTTGATTTCGAAGGCTGCAATTTTTTTCGAATACGTCTCGCCTACTCAATCCTCACCGGGCGTCCGATTCGAATTAGCAATATTCGGAAGGACGACGATGCACCAGGAATTCGCGATTTCGAAGCAAAATTGATTGCGTTGATGGAAAAAGTCACCAATGGCACAAAAGTTGAAATTAGTCGAACAGGTACACTCGTTTTTTTTTTGAGGAAGTTGGACGAGAATTTGCGTTTCTTCCAGGAACCCAGGTGATTTTTCGACCGGGAATGATCACTGGCGGAGTTGTTACGATGGATTGCGGAACTGAAAGGTGTATTTCGTATTTTCTCGAACCTTTAATTCTTTTATCGCCGTTCTGTAAGGTCCCGATGACGATAAAATTAAAAGGTATTTCGAATTTCAGTGTTTCAAAAAACAATTTCCATTTGAGGGATCACTAACGCCCCAAACGAGCTATCGGTTGACGGAATAAAAGCGGCGTGGCTCTCGGTATACAACAAATTTGTGCTAAACGATGAGAAGTTGGACGTGAAAATCACGGCGAGAGGTTTGAAGCCGGATGGTGGAGGATGTGTGACGTTCACGGCGCCAATTGTCAAGACATTGAGGCCGGTTAAAGTGGGTTTCGGTGGCGAAAATCGCGAAAAATTTGCCATTTCTAGAGAGAAAAAGCGGGAAAGGTGTGCAAAATTCGAGGGCAAGCCTACGTGACAAAAGTGACGCCATCATTGGCGTATCGAATGATCGACGCGGCGAAAAAAGCGATGCACGGCTACATTTCCGACGTTTTTATTGCGGTTGATCAGCGAAAAGGCGATTCCGGCGGCTTGTCGCCCGGCTACGGCCTGTTTTTGACCGCTGAGACCACTGAAGGCGTCATTTATCAGGCCGAAGCGATTTCGAGGCACAAAGGCGAACTGGGTGATCCGATTTTGCCGGAGGACATTGGCATCGAGGCGGGGCATAAGCTTCTTCAGCAGATTTATATGGTATTTCTATTTTTTGGGTTTTATCATGGAAATGAAAAAAAAAACGCGGAGATTTGAGATTTTTAGTCCAAATGCCGAAGAAAATCCAATTTTTGTGGGATTTTTACGCGATTTTAGCCGAAATGATTGCAGGGAGGAGCTCTCGACAGCAGCGCGCAGGTTCTGGCGAGCAGTTTCATGACGCTGTGCCCGAAGGACGTTTCAAATTTCCTCTACGGACCATTGCCCGTCTATAGTATCCATGCTCTTCGGCATATCAAACAGTTTTTCGAAGTCGAATTCAAAATGGAGGATTTTCGGAGGAGTTTGAGCGACGACGACGAAGAATTGAAGATTGGAAGTCGCGATAAAGTCAAAATTACCGCTGTTGGCGTCGGTTTCAGCAATTTGAATAAGACGATTTTGTAGAATTCGAAGTTTTATTGGTTTTTTGTTGAATTTTGTTGTTTTTTTTTTGTTGAATTTTAATAAAAATCTTCGCTTTTTTTGTTTTCCAAAAATTTATTTTCTCTTGGTTGCACCTAAGTTTTTGTATATTTTTAAGCACATAAAATAGCTGAAAATTATTGGTTTTTTTTCTTGTTTTAGAATGTCGAAGAATATGAAGAAGAAGGTGAGATTTTTGGGTTGTATTTCTCAGGAATTTTAACATTTTAGCTGAAATTTGAAAAAAAAAAAATTGGGGTTTTTAGATCAATAATCGGAAAAAAATTGATTTTTTGCGCAAAAAGCGATGAATTTGGAATTTGCTTTTGAAAAAAAAAATAAGATTTTTCAGGAGACCTATACGGCAATTCGCTCGTTTCCGTTCTTCGCTTTCACCGATCAACCGGAAAAACCGGCGACTTCATGCCCCGATCAGGAATCGGAGAAGATTCCGAAAGTTTGCTCTTCGACGGCACCGCCGAAATCGAATCGGGTAAATTGTGGCCAAAAATGCCAATTTTTTGGCGATAATTAACAAAATTATGCCATTTTATGGAAATTATTTCCATTTTTTTGAATTTTCAAGTTGAAAAAAATATGCTAAAATAGGATTTTTGAAAAATGATGAAGAATTTTGAAATTTTTAATGAAAATTGAAAAATCTTGATTTGACGAATTTTGTCTCAGAGAAAAAAATGCGTCGTCAAACGAGGGTATCGCGAGAAGTTCATCGACGATTTTCGACGAACGATGAACTCGACGAATTTGGAAATTCCGAAAGAGCCGATGAAGAGGCTGATTCTTGAGATTTTGCATGATATCAATCCGGTACGGTTGCATTTTTGTTGGAAAATTGCGAAAAAATTTCGATTAGTTATATAAAATTGAATTTTGGGCAATTTTTCGCGTCGAAAAAATCAAAAAATCGACATTTTCTAATAGGAATTGCACATCAAGGCGAACGCCGTCGATCAACTTCATCAGCTCGCCGAAGAATACATGACATTCGAGTTTGCGATTTTGGGATTGCTCGCGTTTCACGGAAAACGCGAAACATTGATGTTGGCCGACGTGAACATGTGGAATTCGATCAAAACGCTCATCGAGTCGAGAATCGACGCCAAATTGTAGACGCGATTTTTTGTTCAAATGCATTTTTATTACTTATTTTCGTCAATTTTCCGTTTGAGACAATTTTTTCTAATTTGTGTCGTAGAATGTTGCGCATTGTGTGCAAACACCGACCGCCTTGGCGCCAATGAATTTAATTGAAATATTTGAATTTTGACACTTTTTTTTTAATTTCATTGAATTTTCGTTGTTGTCATTGATTTGTTAACGGTTTGAAATAAGAAAGATATTAATGAAATAGTTTGTGGAAAATTTCACTAGTCTACAGTATTGTGGTTTGAAGGCGCATTGCAAAAAAGTTTTGTTAAGGTCTCGCGCGGAAACGCAAGAACCTGTGATATATTTGACTTTTCGGTGGTTTTTCATCGCTTATTCGCCATGAATATGTTTCAAGATGAAGTTTGGAAATATTTTTTGAAAGTTGATCCGAATTTTGTGCCGAAAACGACGGAATTAAGTAGATCTGAATGGGAATGGCTCGTGAAGGTTGGATTTTAGGAATTTTCGAATTAAAAAATTGTTTAGGTGGAAGAATTGATGGATAGCTCGTTTGGACGAATGATTGTGAATCAAGGAGAGGATTTTATTGAAATTCGAATTCCGCTAAGGTTCAACTATTGATTTTCCATTGGCAATTTTTGACATTTCAGGTCTGAAATGTATAATTTGACGATTTCTCGGTCTGCAGCCTTCCCAGAAAATGCGCCGTCGATTAATTCAAAATTTATCGATGGATTTGAAATGGGAAATTGGTATTTCGAATATTCCTTTTTTGTTTGTTAAAAAATTTGCATTTGAGGAGCAAGAGCTCAAAATTGTCCGAATTGGTCGCCGAATTCAAGAATTATTCGCAAATAATTGATGAAGCGCTTCAGGAGCTCAAAGAAGCTCAAGATGATGGATTTGAGTTGAAGACGGTGAAAATTGATGACGATGAGCCGTCGAATTTATTTGCCGAACTTCAAGTGCCCGTAGTTTTCGTTATTTAACTCAAAAATTCTGAAAATTCTTTTTCAAGGAATTTGATGAGAAAATCAGCATTTCAATCGAGTTTGCGAATCCGCGGAATTTTCCGCGATTATTGCGCGCATCGAATCCCGCTCGATTGGCCAACTTCAATTGTGAGCGCTGGAATGCCGAGCTGAAAATCGGTGCGAATCTCCTGAAATTATATCGAGATTTTGTCGCGAAATCGCCGCCGAAAATAATGGAGTTTGAGACGACCAACGATGAAGAAGCGTTGGATTTCATTTGATTTTCGCTATTTTTAGAATTTCATAATCGAATCATTCATCGATTTCTCGATAATTCGATTATCAAATTTAAAATTCGGTATAAAAATGCGACAAAAATTTTTTATACGCAAAAAATTTTGAAATCATGCGTTTCATTGTTCTCGTCGTCTTTTTCGCCATCGTCGCTGCCACAATGGTAAGAGAGAAATTGATTTGCCAAATATGGAACACCCCTTCTCAATTTTCAGGCATTTTTCCCCCGGTACCAACCCGAATGGTCCGTCAATCCGAAGGAGCCCATCACCGAGCAAGATGTTCAGCTGGCACGCAAGCTCATGCGCAAATTCACTCTTCATCTTGGCGATATTGTAATTGGATGATGAAATTTTCCAGAATAAATCATTGATTTTTGCAAATTTTCCCCAAAAATGTTTTATTTTTTTGGGTTTTTGACCCGCCTATTTTTTTTTTCCTACCGGTTTTTGGCTAGTTTTCAACATTTTATGAATATTTTTGAGACCAAAAAAAAACAATGTCATACACGATAGGCGCGATACCGAAAACGGAAACAGAGGCGAAGCCGCTTCACTCGATTCCGTGCAAATTGGATTTCAATGGTCCCGCCGATGTTGACGGGTTTGAGAATTGCCTCACGCGATTTTTCATTTTTTTTTCTTCCGGTTTTTAGCAAATTTGTTCGACACCACGATGAGAATGAGAAATTTGAGCGGGCGGTGTTCCGCGGACGAGGTCTCGAAGGCGCCGAATTCAAACCGTCGCCCGGCTACGCGATTTTTGTGTTGAAACCGAGAAAAGGTGGAGAATTCTTCTGAACACTCGGTTTTTTGGTCTCAAATTCAAAATTGAGGAGTTTTCTGAAAAAAAAAAAAACAATTGAAATTAAAATCTGAAATGCGAGCAAACGCGCTCCACCGCACACCTTTTTCTGACGTTCGCTTTTTTTTTCAGAAAAAATCAATTTTGTTATCAGTTTTTGTTGATTGTTGAACGCGTTTTTTTGATTTTGTGCCGATATTTTCAGGTCCCAAAGGTGAAATATTGGATATTGAGGCGAAAGCATCGAAAATTCAAATTTGGGAATGGGATCGGCAGTGCGGGGACGGCGCCGAACGCACGATTATCGCAAAAGCGGCGAAATATTTGAAAATCGCCGATTCGATTTGTGATTGACAGCAGAATTACTCATTTTTTTTCATTGCGATTTCTTGTTTGTACAATGAATTTCACGATTTTCTTGCAGAAATTCCATTTTATTTTTCGAGAAATAACGGAGTTTTCGCGGGTTTTTGAGCTGGAATTGAAGAATTTTCGCATGTTTTAAATGATTAGTCGTTGAAACTCGTAATTTTTGGATTTTTTTTAGCCGAAATTGCATTTTTTTTTCGAGATTTTTCGCCAGGAAACGTAGAATTCTTGAAGCTTAAAAAGTGGGCCAAAAAACTTTAAAAAAAAATTTTTTTCTGTTTCAAAAAATGCCTAATAATTCTATTTTTGAGACAAATTTTCAAGTTTTTGTAATGTTTTTGACATTCTAAAAAATATGATTTCTGTTGGCGCGAATTTTGTTCGTTTTCGAGAAATGTCGAGATTTTTGATCGTCAAAATTTGGTTTTTATTTTCATCGTCAAGATTTTGTCGAATGGTTTCGAGAAATTTTTCATCGAAAATTTCTTGTTTTCAGCGAAATGACGACGAGAATGCAAAGAAGCTCACGAAATTATGGTGTTTTCAAGCAGGTTTCGCAATTTTTTTTTATTTTTGACGTTGATTTTCATTTTTTTTCGCAGATTCCCAAAGCGTGGCGAACCGACGAATTCAATATTTGCCGACGAGAGCGTTTCTATTTTAGGGGGCAGGTGCCGGAAACGGAAGAAGAGCGACTGGCTCGAATTGCGGCAGGTGATTTGTGTGCATTATTGCGTCGGTGTGTACCACACACACTATGCAACTACAGTACCCTGAAAATAATTGTTATGGTTTTTTTGCAGCGTATCGCCGAGTTGGCGCAGTTCAGCCGCCGCCTCCGATTCCGAATCATATCAAAGTGCCGCCGAGTCCGGAAAATGAGCGTGGCGTCGAGATGCAGGTCTACGACGGCGATCCGCATTAAAATTATTATTTTGTGATGTATATAAGTGTAATAAATTGATTCTGCGAAATTGAGTTTTTTTTCTGAGAATCGAAATGTTGAAAAAGAAGAGCAAACATTAAAATATCTAAAATTTGATGAAAATTTTGGTGTTTTCAAAAGATGAAATTTCAGATGGGACGAGTTTTTAAGAGAAAAGCGGCGGAGAGTGAGGAACAAGTAAATTTTGATTGAACAGAATTTGGTTTAGTGAATTTTGCGATTTTTTAGAAGAGTAGCACGAAGAGGAATCGAGAGGAACGCGAGGAAGAGGATGAGGAATTGAATGAGGGTGAAATTTGAGAAAAATTTTTGTTCGCTGGAATTCGTATTTGTTTTTTTTTTAGTTGTTGATGAGGAGCAGGAATCGGATGAGTCGGAGGGTGAGAAAAGTGTGAGAATTGAGATATTTAGAATTTTCAGATGATTCTGATGAGGAGGACGAGGAAAGTGTAAGGAATTGGCGAAATAGACATTGATTTTTATAAAATTTGTTTGCAGATTGAGGAAGACGAGGAAGAGGGCGAGGAAAATGTTGGAAATTGTCGATTGGTTCGAGAAATTTTCAATTCTTTTCTTTTTATAGGGAGATGGAGATGATGAGAAATTTTTGGATTTCGACTTTGAGGGATTTCCGATGGAGGAGAATGATCGCGACGGAATTGTTAACATGCTCACTCAGGTGCCGAAAAAAAAATTGGGAATTTGTGACAATTTCGAGCATTTTTCAGACATTTTTGCGAACTGACATCGATTTGAAAGGAATGGCCGATGCGCTCATCGAACAGGCGCCGTTTGGTTTGGTTGTTGGGGTGAGAATTGCAGGTTTTTGCGAAAATCGAGCAAAAATTTGCGAGATTGTCGAGAAAATGGTGAAATTTGAGAAATTTTGATGTAAAAATAGAATATTTTTTGATTTTTTGTTATAGAAAATGCAAAAATTTGTAAAATTCGATGATTTTTTGCGAAAATTTGAGAGATATTTGAAGAATTGTGCGAAAAATTTCGAAAATTGAATATTTTTTAGATTTTCTCTTGGGAAAATGCTTAAATTAATGAGATTTGATGATTTTTGGAAACATTTTAAATTTTTGAAATAGAATTTGGCGAAAAATGCCGAAAATTGAATATTTTTAAAGATTTTTCCAGTAGATGATTGGAAAATCGAAATTTATTGCAAAAATCGTGCAAAAAATTGGCAGATTGCATATTTTGGCATTTTTTTTTAATGGATTTTCTTGAAAATTTGCTGAAAAAATCACTTTTAAACAAAATGTTGAGAATTGGCGAAATTTCGCCAAATCGAAGAAGTTTTTGTTGCTGAAAAAAAAAAAGAATTTCAGCCGGCTGATGATGAAGCTGACGAGGACGACAAAAACGCGGTGCACGCGATTTGCACAGCGATTCAAATTTGTCCGAAAAAGGCGAAAAGTGCGAAATTCGAGAAGGATATTGAAGCATTTTTGACGTCGAGAGCAAAAAAATCGGCTCCAAAAGAGGTTTGTGTTTTTTTCGACCGAAATTTTCCGAACCCGCCCCAATTTTTTTTGTTTTGCAGTTTTTGAGAAAATTGGACGAATTTCTTCAAGACGATTCGACGATGATTTTTGTCAACGAGCGAATGCTCAATTTTCCCACCATAATTGTGCCGAAGAATTTTGCGAGCTTGAGGTTTTTTTTTTTGAGTTTAAGAAAATGATTGGATTTTGTTTCAGAAATGACATTGTTGGGCTCGCGGAGCCGCCGAAAAATGTGATTTATATTCAGAAGATTCGAATCGGCGAGGCGAAGGAGGGAGATCAGCAGAAGGAGCAGAAGGCGAGGAGAAAAATGGGAAAAGCGGAAAAGGTGAGATTGATTTTTGAAGAAAAATTATGAGAAAATATGAATTTTTGGCAATTTCTAGTGGAAAATTGAAGAAAAATGCATTTTTGAAGGATTTTAGAAGAAATTTTTGACAATTTCCAGCGGAAAATATATGAAAAATTAATTTTTAATAGATTTTTGAAGAAAATTTATGAGAAAATGTGAATTTTTGATAATTTCTAGTGGAAAATTGAAGAAAATGCATTTTTGAAGGATTTTTGAAAATGAAATGAATTGAAAATAATTTTTTTAATGGAATTTTCAATTTTTTTAAATAAAAAAAACTATTTTTCTCAAAAAATTAGGATTTCTCATGTTTAGAAGCGACTTTCTGATTTTTTTTTTGCATTTAAAAAATTTCTGAAATAAATTTTTGAGGAAAAATTATTTTTTTTGGCGAAAAATTGAATAAATAGGTAAACGGATTTTTTTCGGTTAATTTTTGGAAAATTTTCAATTTAAATTTTAATTTTAAGCAGTTTTGAAGAGAATTTCGAATTCTCTGGCAAATGAGACCAAAAATCACAGTTTTTCATTGAGCTTTTGAAATATCCCGAATTTTCTTTCCATTTTGCCTCAAAAATAGGGGTTTTCCATGTTCAGAAGCGACTTGCTGCTTCGCAATTGGCCCAGGCTGACATCGAATTCGACAACGCCGAGGACAAATTCCTTTTTGAGGTGATTTTCGATGGTTTCATCTCGAAAATGTGTTGATTTTTATAGTTGGAGGATGGCGATGAGATGCATTTTGATTATCCGGTGCATATGGACGTCGAACCCGGCAGCAAATTCCATGTCATCGAGAAAAAAGGCCGAAAATGGAATCCGTTTCGCCGTCTTGTCCTCATGGACTACAAGCGGTTGGTTGGCGTGGCCGCCGATTTCGCGGCCCCGCGTTTTTCATTTTCTATTTTGAATTTTTTTTGCAGATTCGACGCATTTTTGCAGCGCGGAATGCATCTTTAAATCGTTTTTTTTTATATTAATTTTGATGTTGATTTGCTTTGTTGTTGTTTCTATCGTTCATAAATTGTTGAATTTTGTCGAAATTGCGTTTTTAGATGAAGGTTTGCGTGAAGAAGACTGAAGAGGAGATTCGGAGAGAGCTGTTCGGTCCGATTAGAGAAGCGGCGACCACTAGTTTTAATTTAGGTGCATCTTATTTGGAGAAAAGCGAAAAATTGTATTTCTTGGAGTAAAAATTGGGAGAATTTTTGAAATTTGCCAAATTTTGAGATTTTAATGGAAATAATTTAACGATTTTTTGGCACAAATTGAATTTTTTCGTCGATATTCGAAATTTGCGCAATTTTTTTTGAAAAATTGATAAATTTTGAATTAAAAAAATATTATAAATTCTAAAATCGAATTTTTAAGGCATCGATCCACGCGAATCATGGTGCGAATTATCGGAAATGCGACTAATGCAATTAATAATCGATTTTAAACCGGCGGGTGTTCAAAAATATTTCAATTTGGCGGCAATTGTCGAGCGAATGGCGTTCATTTTCGACGATGATCCGTCGCACTGCGAAATTTATCTCAATGGTTCGTTTTAGTGTGTGTTTAAATCTCAGAAAAACGCGGCGATCAAAATTTTTCGCTATGAAGATGAACCGCACGCGAACCGCGACGCGTCTGCCGACATTGAATAATTGCGGTAGCCGCATTTTTTCTGGTAAAACAGGCTATAAAATTCGATTTTTTTTCTTGTTCCGCCGGCCTCGAATGACCTTGTGATGCGCGAATTCTGCAAAAATCACGCCATTTTGCCGGCGGAAAATTAATGAGACTGATGAAAAATTTTTTTTGAGAAGAATTGCAATTGTCCCCTAATAATCATATATTTTTTTTTGTTCGATGATTCAGAACGCGATCGCGTCAAATTTCGGCAGCAACAACGCGAATTGTGCTCGTCGCTTCATCCGGAAAACGTGAAGCGATTGAAGTTCCCGACGAATTTTGCGACGAGACCGAGTCCGAAGGAGATTGAGCGAAAAGTCCAAGAGTTGTATGATATGAAAGTTGTCGAGAAGAATGAAGGTAGATGAGGTTTTTTTTTAAATTCGCTGTGAGACCCACATGCGCCTTTAATCCATCAAAAATTTAGCACGGAGAAAAAGTGAAAGGAAACATTAAAAAAAACGCGATTGGTGGCGCAAACATTTTTCGCGAATTGAAAAAAAAATTGGCACATATTTGATTTTTTTTAATGCATTTTTTTTTATTTTCCTAGAAAAAAATTGCATTTTTATTGCAAATCCACAATTTTTTGAAAATTGTCGCTCAATTCAAAATATTTAAACACGGGAGAATTGAAAAAATTGAAAGTCGATGGTTTTTAATGCAATTATTCAAAATTTGAAATTATTTTTCATGGATACAGTAATTAAAGGCGCATTAACAGTTTGGGAAACATGCTCAATTTTCGGCTCGAAGTGGAGCAGAAAAACCTTTTTTTTTTGAGCCCGATTTACGAAAAAAAACGTGATTTTGGCGAGATTTTTTTCATGAGAGCTTTTTTTTGTGCTCGAGTCAGGCGGCATTTCGAAATTCGTGATTTTGGCCAACTTGTATCGATGGCAAAAGTTGCGGAAAATCCTAATTTTTCAGCTAACATTTTCGAGCCGAAAATTCCACTGAGAACCCAAACGCGCTCTATTGCGAATTGTCATTTGAGCAAACGCGCTCCATCGCACAAACGTTAATTTCTTCTCCTTGCAGGTCTTCCCGACAATTTCGACATGCCCAGCGAGTTCTTTCTTCCCGACGGCGAGTTTTCCGAGTTGATGCGCAAAAAAGAAGAGCGCAGTGTGTCGGTGACATCGTCGACGACGACGACGACGTCGAAGCGACGAAAATTGGGAACACCGTCCGACGACTAGCCATCCGCGACGCTCGTCGTATTATCTCGTCTATTTTTGGCAAATAAATTTTTCCGTATTTGGACAAATGATTTGTCGACAACAATGTTTGTTTTGAGAGCCTGAGCGCATTCTCAAAAAGTCTGCTGTTGATTGAGCTCGCCAACTGCTCAAGTTCATCGATCAAATGATGCGCTTGTCTAGCTCCTTTAGTCCGACTTCAAAAAAAAAAGCTGGAGCAACTTGGTATGAGGTCAAACCAGGCGAGTAGCGCGCGGCTTCTCCAGCTCCCTTTTAGTTGGAGACCTCCCCAGAAAGAGGGGCAGAGAGCTGGAGCAGCTCAAAACTCATTCATTTGTTTTTTTGGTCGCAAAAATGCATACTCGTACTAATCATGTGCTGGTCCAGCTCTTCTAGTCGGCAAGAGAATGACGTGATTCGTTGGTGTGTATTTTGCTGACATAAAAGATCCATTTGTAATCATTCTCATCATCGACGACGACGAGTTTCTGAGGTTCGCTCTCGTCACCGGCGCCCTCTCGTCTCGCCGCGCTCTCTCGTCGGGCTGATGCAATTTGCGCTCAGCCACTGCAAATATATAAATGTATATACAATGGCTTCGACATGTGTCCATTTGCCCTTTTTTTTGCGCCACAGATCACAATTTTTGGCCTTGAAATTGCTCTTGAATTCGAAATTTTATTACCAGTTTTGATAAGATAACGAGTCAGCTGTAGTCTGGCGATAATCACGCATCGAAAATTGTGATTCTTTTTTTTTTTTGAAAATTTTTTTGAGCGCGTTACTGTAGGCTATATACATTGGAGCTGACGCAATTCCACACCAAACATTTTTGTTGAATTTTCGAAAAATGCATTTGCGGCTCAATTTTTTTTTGTTCAAAAAGATTATTTTTCAAGCAAACTTGAAAGAAACTCGAAAAATTAGTTGGGATTGACAGTCCTGCGATGAAAAATTGAAATTATTCAAGAAAAAACAAAAATATTGCCATCGCGAAAAAAACGAGCACTTCGCACTTTTCGAGGCGGTAATTTAAATTCGAATTTGAATATTGGAAATTTGGATATCGTACTCTGTATATACCACGAAACTAGCTCGTATTTGTTTGCGAATGCAACATTTTGCCGCTTCCGCTTGTTACTGTAGTCAACAATCGCCGCAACTGACGCAACATTGCACCACGTTCGCGTCGTTCCGCGTATTGTGATCATTTGAACCTGATAAATGTTGCTGATTCGTCTGGCGCCACGTGCCAGGCGAGAGGCAATCGTCGACGAAATAGTGCGAACAAGAAACATCACCATTTTTCTCAATTCGTCTCGTTCGGCCCCGCCGTTTCAACGACACGCCGCCCATTTCTTATCATTTGTGTTTATATAAACGCGCATCATGTTTCTCACTTCCCCACGTGCCATTTACTATTTTTATATATATAGTAATAATAATAATAATAATAACTAAAATTTCAGAATGGCGTCTTTCCCGCATTTCGGCACATCTGCTATCCATGTCGGACAGGAGCCAGAACAGTGGGACATGAATCAGGTAGCTTAAAAAGGACACAAATCTGAAACTCCGAGTTATTCTGCAGGTCGTCCCACCCATCAGCCTCTCCACCACCTACAAACAAGACAGACCAGGGGAGCCGAAGGTGCATGACTACTCGCGAGCCGGCAATCCGTCGCGCGATGTCCTTCAGAAGAATCTCGCCTCTTTGGAAGACGCCAAGCATTGCTATGTCTATTCATCGGGTTTGGCCGCTTCAATGGCGATCATCAATATGCTGAAGTCTGGCGATCACATCATTTGCTCCGATGATGTCTACGGTGGAACCCAGCGACTCATTCGTCTCGTTTCGGTGCCGAATCACGGCCTTCAAGTCGACTTCGCCGATTTGACGAACATCGCGAATCTCGAGCGCGCCATCAAGCCCAACACGAAAATGGTGTGGTTCGAGTCGCCGTCGAATCCGCTGCTCAAAGTCGTCGACATCGCCGCCGTCGTGCAGGCCGCCAAAACCGCGAATCCGCAAATCGTTGTCGTCGTCGACAACACGTTCATGTCGCCGTATTTCCAGCGTCCGATCAGTCTCGGCGCCGACGTCGTCGTTCACTCCATCACCAAGTACATCAACGGCCATTCGGATGTGGTGATGGGCGCCGTGGTGACCGACAGCGACGAAATTCAACAGCATCTCTTCTTCCAGCAACTAGGTAGCCCCCATTTTCAATGGTCCCTATAATAAACGGAAGTTGGTGATTTTCAGCCGTCGGCGCGGTTCCGTCGCCCTTCGACTGCTTCCTCGTCAATCGAGGTTTGAAGACGTTGCATCTTCGAATGAAGCAGCATTATGAGAATGCGCTAGCGATTGCCAACTATCTTGAAGCCAACGATCGCATCGAATCCGTAAGCCATCAAATTATCATCATCCTTATTGATCTTCAATCCGTTCAGGTCCTCTATCCAGCTCTTCCGTCGCATCCCAACCACGAAGTGCACAAGAAGCAGACGAAAGGAATGTCGGGAATGATCTCGTTCTACCTGAAAGGCGGCCTCGAGGAGAGTCGGACGTTCCTCAGCGCTCTCAAGGTGTTCACGTTGGCCGAATCGTTGGGCGGCTACGAATCGCTCGCCGAGCTTCCAGCGATCATGACGCACGCTTCGGTGCCGGAGGCGGTTCGAAAGGAGTTGCGCATCACCGACAATCTCATTCGGATTTCCGTCGGCATCGAGGATCTCGACGATCTCGTCGCCGATTTGGATCAGGCATTGAAGGCGGCGATTCCGAAGATCTAAAGCGTCTAGTTTTAACAAATTTTATTCCATTCTTGAAAACTCATTTGATTCTTTCATCTATGAACTTGTCTGTCGCCTATGGACGACAATACCGGTCATTTTATTATTAACTATAATTAATTATGCGATAAAGCCATTATAATCATAATCGATTTGTTCCTTGCGAATTTTCTCGTCGTGTTGTCCCATTTTTTTTTCAGCGAAGAAACATTTTAAGGCAAAAATTGTCAATTTTCAGCAATTTTTGGCTAAAAAGTTCCTTTAAAAATAATAATTTTGAGCGAAATAGAAGTTTTTGATCTACCACACGGCAATTCAAAAAACATTCGGCGCCAAAATTGATGCATGCGATCAAATGCCCAGATTTTGGGTGTGTTCGATCATTTCCTTACTCACACAGAGAGCATGGCGACACCGGTAAGAAATTGGTCAAACGGAAAATTAATTTTTTCGTTTTACAGTTGGCCGATTCCGGATGGGATTTGTGGAACGGAATGACGATTTTCGACAATTCCACAATCGAAAAATGCGCGAGTTTTGAGCAAAAGGTGCGATTTTCTGGAAGAATCAATGAAAAATTGAATTTTTTTCGTTTAGAGAATCTCTCGGTCGTCGAGCTCGCGATCAACGACGACAGTTGGATGCGGTTTGTGTCGTTCGCTCAACTCGCCGAACTGGCGACATCATTCGCGTGAGAATTGCCGAACGCTCGTCGGAATGCAGCCGTGCCGAATCTGCGGCGCCGCCGGTCGAATGAATCACACGGAAACGTGAGATTTTTAGAGACAAATTGAGGAAAAATCGAATGTTTTCCATCAATTTTGGCTATTTCTAGCCAAAATATTGATTTTTTTGTCATTTTGAAAGAAAAAAATTATTTGCGAGAATCGTAATTTGCTGAATTTATAACGAAAATCGCAATTTTTCTCTTATTCTCGAGAAGCGAAATTTTCAGAAAAACATCATTTTTGTTGGAAATTGGAAATTTCTAAAAGAAAATCAATGAAAAATTATAATATGCTCAAAAAAATCAGGTGCTTTTTTCAGCTACTGCCCAAACAAGAAGCCAATCCATCTGAAATTGAATCCGCATTTCGAGTTGCTCTCAAAATTGCGCCAAGCGCAACGCCTCAACACCATCGCCAACAATTATGTTCACCAATTCGCCAATCTGTGCCAATCAGCTCCGAGAATTAGCTATGCCCAATGGTGTGAGGGGAACAAATAAGGTTAATTACCCAATTATAATTAGAGACTACCAATTAATTAATTTGTGTATTGAGTACCCAGTGCTCCCTCGAGAAAAAAAAGCAAATTTCTATTTGAATGCCTACTTACTCTTTTTTTTTGTTTTTGTTCCACAAACAGATTTCTATATGTAATAAATGAAGGCTTACCATAAAAGGGGCAACTATAAGGACCTCATGTTGGCTTCAGAGCTTCGAAAGCTCCTCGTCATCCATTTTTCGCTTCTCAGCGTCGATGAGAAGCGAAGCTTCTCCGAAGCTTTTGGAATTAGCTGAATCTCCACTGTATGCACTTTAGTCTCCTTGATTTCATTTTTGAGTTTCGCCTTATCAAACGGCTATATTATCAACTGTCGATAATTCATAGTTTTTTAAAAACTGTAAACAACAAAATTTTTAGAAAATAATCTCATTATTAAAATTTTTCGCCCATAAACACTATTTAATTTGAGATGATAACTCTGCGAATCGCCTATAAATATAATAAAGGGCATTTTAAAATCAATTTTCACTTTCTAACAGGATGATTCATTATAAATAAAATTATTCCACTTTAAACTCCCATTTTTACCGCAAATTTTTATTTTTACTCTTGTCCTTTAGGGAAAAGCTGCAGATTTTGAGGGCGCATATCGAAATTTAAATGAAAATCGCTGACGCGATTTAGGTGCACACGTGCACGTAAAATGCGTCAATTATGAGTTGCTGGCGCAAATCGTGTTGTTAATTTTAGATTTTCTGCAATTCTTAAACTCTTATTTCTGCACCGTCTGAAATTTGTACATTTTTCGAAATTTTGCGCATAAATGCGGAAAAAATTCTTAAATATTATTCAATTAATTTTGGCTTAGCAAATACATTTTGCCTTGATTTTTTGGGACCCAAATTATGCACCGTTCAAAAATTAAAAATTTCAGTTTTTCAGATATTTTGAATTATTATTTTTGTGATTTTCTATCGATTAAAAATTGATATAAATGTTTATTCTAATTTTCAACACCACGTTCTTCATATTTCATCATTTCTTGCATTATTACATCATCGAAAAATCGATTATTTCAGAATGTCGTGGTTATTCGGTGTCAAACAGAACACGGTTCCACCAATTCCCGACGACTTCCAAGCTGGTGGTCCACCGGGTGCCGGTCAGCAGCCAGCAGCACCGCAGCCCAACCAAGGCAGCAGCAAAATGGCCTACTCATTCGACTCGACTGCTCTCGAAAGAGCCGCAAAAGCGGCAAAAGATCTCGAAAAATTTCCAAATGCGAAGGAGGCTCTCGAATTGTCGCGACTTCAAGAAGTCACTCGTCAAAAGGAGATTGAAAACGAGACGAAGGTGAAAAAAAAAACAATCCGGCCACAATGGGGGGAAAAATTCTAATTTCAGAGAATCGAAGCTCAACTGGCTAGCCTGAAGTCTGATCACATTCGTACCGCTGAAGAGGAGAGGCGGAAGACGTTGAACGAGGAAACGAAGCACGCCAGAGCTGTAGCCTATCAATAAATGAGGGGTTTTGTTCACAATTTGGATTTTCAGAGAGCCGAGTATCAAGACCAACTCGCTAGGAAGCGACAAGAAGAGGAGCTCGCGATGAAGGCCCGAATGCAGGAAGAAAGTCTCCGCAAACAAGAGGAGTCCGTCAAGAAGCAAGAGCAATTGAGAAAACGTACAATTTGCTTCCTTTTTTGTTAATTTTTGAAACAAAAACCCGCAATCATAATTTTTTAGAAACAATTGAGCACGAGCTCGCGTTGAAGCATAAATACGAGTTGGAGAAGATCGAGGCGAAGACGCGCGCTCAAGCGAAAGCGGCTCGCGAGAATCGCGACGTCAATCTCGAGCAGCTCAAACTTCACGAGGAGGAGAATCGCAAAACCGTACTCGAAAAGATTCGCACCAGCGGCGAGCTCATCGGCACCGGATTGAATCAATTCTTGAGCGACAAAACGAAAATCACAGCCGCCGTTGGTGGCCTAACCGCTTTGGCCGTCGGATGGTACACGGCCAAACGCGGAACTTCCGTCGTCGCGCGATACGCCGAAGCGCGTCTGGGAAAGCCTAGTCTGGTCCGAGAGACTTCTAGAATCACACCACTCGAGGTTTTCAAACATCCGATTAAGACTGCTCAAATGCTCAGCAGAAAGAAGAAGGACCCCCTTGAAGGTGTGGTGCTTTCGGTAGGTCGATTCTGAAGTATGCGCCTTTAATGAAGAATCTTGCAGCCCGCTTTGGAGAGTCGCCTTCGCGACATTGCCATCACCACTTCGAACACCAAGAGGAACAACGTAATGCCAATTTCTTATCAAGCAATTCAGTGATTCCCCTCATTTAGGGTCTTTTCCGCAACGTGATGTTCTACGGACCACCGGGAACCGGAAAAACGCTGTTCGCCAAAAGTTTGGCGCAACACAGCGGTCTCGACTACGCGATTCTCACTGGCGGCGACATTGCGCCGCTAGGACGCGACGGTGTCTCTGCAATTCACAAGGTGTTCGATTGGGCGTCGAAGAGCCGAAAGGGACTCGTCGTGTTCATCGATGAAGCCGACGCATTCCTTCAGAAGCGTTCGCGGAACGGAATGTCGGAAGACACGCGCGCCGCGCTCAACGCGTTCCTCTTCCGAACCGGTGAGCAATCGAGGAAGTTCATGCTTGTCGTCGCCTCCAATCAGCCGGAGCAATTTGATTGGGCTGTCAATGATCGGTAATTTTGAATTCGTTGACCACCCCTTGTCGATATGCGTGTTTCAGTTTGGATCAGCTCGTCGAGTTTGCGCTTCCAGGCCAGCCGGAACGCGAGCGCATCCTTCTGCAATACTTTGACGAGCATATCGTGAAGCCGGCGACGAGCGGCGCCCGCGGCCAACGTCTGAAGCTCGCCAATTTTGACTGGATCGGCAAATGTGCGGAGGTCTCGAAGAAGACCAAAGGAATGAGCGGACGTGAACTGAGCAAATTGGTCATCGGATGGCAGGTGAGCCAGAATTCGCATATGCGGGAATTGATTTCGAATTTTTTAAGGCGTCAGCGTACGCATCGGAATCGGGAATTCTCACCGAGGAGATCATTGATCGCAACACGGAGGACGCGATGAAGCAGCATGAGCACAAAATGGAATGGTTGGAGCGCGAGCAGCGAATGGCGCGAAATCAGGAGATCATGTTCGGAACCGAAGTCCGACAAACCGCCGTATAATATTGATTGATAAGCTTTTTGTTTCCGGGTTATCATTCCCAAGTAGGATTTTTTTCATTTCTTCTTTTTTTCGTAGAGCTAGGAGTTCTTGTTCTTGTTTTTGTTTCTTGTTTCTTGTTTGTTTCCACCCACCCAATGAAATATATCAATTTCGAAATGCTTCTTCCATTTTTTTTGTTGATTTTACGGTCAAAGCTCCGATTCAGATTCCTTGTAAGCTGTCTTTTTTTTGTTGGCGTTGGGAAAAGCTTGACGATTTGTTTAGGTGTAGTCTCAGAAAAAGTGTATAGAATCGCTAGAAATTACGTCAAGCCATCAGGAAGAAGAAGAAGAAGAAGGAAGGGAGTTAGTTGGCGCCGCTGGAAGATGAAAAACTGATTTGAGAATGCCAACGACGTCGACGACAAGTTCAGAAGCGCGACAACCGCGGGAGGCGGAGGAAGTGTACATTCATATGCATCGCAATTTTCGCGCCTCCCGCAATGTTCGCGCCCATTGGCTGCTCCACAATTTGTGGGGCACCACGAGAATTGCGGATGATGATTTTAAGGTAGGCACCATCATATTGAGAATCTATGCTCCAGAATTTTTGTGCCGTTTAAGCATTTACAGCGGAGATCCGCGTTCAGCCAAAAAATGACGAAATTCGTTGAAACGCGAAGAATTTTGGAGTTTTTTTTTGTTCAAAAAAAAAAATTCAAACCTAGAATTTATTTTTGGTCAAAACCGGTGTCTGCATAGCACCGGAAATTCCGGCAGATTCCAAAATTGATGTTGTTTTTTTTTTCCAGGGCGACGATTTCTCCACCGAGCTGACCGTCGTTGGAATTGTGCCAAAAGGCGGCGACGGGAATGAGGTGGTCGTTGGAGAGGACTTTCAAGTCACCGATAATACAAAAGTATGGTTGGCAACTCAAAAAAAAAAAAAGAAAAATGAAATGGATTCAGATTATTTATATTTCTCGATACTATCGTCATGTCTATGTTCTTGATTTGAGCCCGTCGACAATTGTTGCGGTGAGTGTTTCAGACAATATGATGAAGCTGAAAAATGAATTTGTCGTTGTCAGGACGAGGAAACCGATAGCTGCTTGTGTACGCGAATCATGAAGAGCTTGCGTACGGTGATGAGCGCCACGGCCAAGGGCTTCATCATTCCGGGAACCGCGCGACGATTCCAGCCGCAAATCTATCTCGCCGTTGTCGTTTTTGTGCCGTTCTTGAAGTTTGAGCACGAAATGGTGGGTGTTGTTGTTTTGGCTCAAATGAAGCAGCGGTTTTCAGACGATGCTCGAAGGCGTCCTGTTGACCGAATCGAACGTTTCGGAAGTGGCCGATTTGATTCAGACGAAATTTCAAGTGCTCTTCAACAAATACTATAATTTCGCGAAGCCGGTGCTCACCGAATGGAACAAAATGAAGAAGACGCGTTATGGCGGCGAGGCGGCGTCGAGTTCGGCGAACGATTCGACACCAACGATGAGCGAGGCTTCGTCGGCCGATGTGCCGCCGGAAATACCGCTGATCGATGTGGAGGAGCGGCCGCGGCGAATCGCGCCCAAGCCCGTCGAGAAGCCGCTGAGCAAAAAGGATCGAATGAGCACGGTGAGATACAAACGCGGAATATGGTGGGTGTCGTCGTCGTCGGCGTTGAGTCGTTGATCGAATTTTTTTTTATCAGGAAGGTGACGATTGAGCCGGAAGCGGCGGCGACTTGTATGCTCACCGGCGATGGCGGCTACATTCAGCCGGAATGGTCGCTGATATTCATGCTGCGGCTCGGATTGATCGCGACACAAATGTTGCCGGAGAACACGCAATCAAGTATTTCGGCGCGTCGAGGCGACCGCTTTGAAGTTCTAGCCCGACTTTCAGACCTCATCGTCATCACTGATGGTGTGTGCGGGATGCCGGATGAGCGAGCGCTTCAGCAATTGCTCACCCAACTTCGAAGCTACACCATTGCCTGCTCATTCGTTCAGCTTCAGCGTCAAGCCTGCAATGAATCCGTGTTCGGGCACGTCGGCTCGTGCGAGCTCCTTCGATTCCTGTCGACGGCCACGTTTGGAAGCTATTTGCCGTCATATGGGTTGGTTGTCATCGGATTTCAATTTTCACTTTTTTTTTCTCTTCAAGACCCGAAACCTTCTACAACGACAACGCTTTTGGATACATGTGCGAGGAGGATGTCGACGTGCGTGTGGCGAAGACGATCGCAGGTTTTTTTTCGCCTCGGGACCCATTCAGATGCGTTATTCCGAATTCTAGAGAGCAATATGAACATTTATCATCGATCGTTGGTTTGTTGGTCGTTTCGCAGCGCGCTGTCGGAGAACTCTTATATCAATGAAGCGTATAACCGAATTAATCCCGAATTTGTCAATTTACAAAAAAGGTTCCGTCCTCCACCCTTTAAGGATTACTGTATGATCCAATTTTTTGTTTTTAGATGTATGGAGACGCATCGTCGATTCCGAATGACGCATCGCGCCACACTCAACCAGTTGCTGTACGTTCGACTTCGCGAAGGGTTCACATTGAAGAGGATCGAATTCCATCCGGAGCTCGAGAAGGTCACCGTCACACTTTGTATGGTGTTCCGACCGCTCGTCCATATTGATTATGTGATTGTGGCGCCGTGGCCGACACCGTCAACCGTCAAACAGGACATCATTGTGGAGCTCGTCATTCAAGCTCCCTACAACGAGCTCAAAGACTTGCTGGTGGATGGCAAATATTTGGATCCGGAGCGTTTGAATTTGACGAAGAGCGCAATCGATGGGTGAATTCGATTCCGGCATTCCCGAATGTGTTCAATCCAATTTGTTTCAGAATAATCGAGGCCGATCGGATTCTCATTCATCTTCACAATTTTGACGTGAATCCGCACTTCTACACGATTCCGACTGGCGTTTCGATCGATTACGCGCTGTTCGGAAGCTATCAGAAGAACGCGAAACGATTGCCGCCGATTTGTCTCGGGTGAGAATTGTCGGCGAATTCCTCGTAGAATTTGGTTTTTGTCCAGAAAACACGACGAGAACTCGACAAAAAGCTTCATCGGCTTCTGGCGTGTCCTTCTCGACATGCAGGATGCTGCATGGCAGCGATGGGTTCACACGCATTCGGAGCGCGTCCTTCTAACACCGCATCGTGTTCCGTTCGAGGTGTTCAGCATGTCGTCCTACTATCGTGTATCCCATTCATTCGCGCCCGTTTCGAATTAATGATGCTTGAATTTCAGTTTGAATGCTACACGGCGCTGAATCGCCTCTATTCGATGATCAAAGCGCAGAGCTCGTTCTGTCTCGTCGCTAATCACACCTATGTGACAATGGTGTATCGCGATGACGCCACCGACGGCGATCCGCCGGCATTCTTCTATCTGAAGCGAATTTGCAACGACGCGCCGTTTCTGGTCATCAAGACGGCGTTCCTCGGCGGCATTCGATCGGCGTTGCGGCGTCGCATCGTCGATAGTCAACGAGAGCGCCTATTGAAGATTGCGCTTCGCGGCAAAATGACGGAGCCGAGAAACGATTTCAGCAATTTGAACGCGCTTCACATCATCAGACGGCCGCTGGAGAAGATTCTCGTCAGATACAATTATATACCGGAGGATTTGCGGCAGATTGCGCGCATCAATGAGACGACGCTTGACGCCGACGAGATTCGAATCATCACACTTCATAACGCGATCGCGAAAACGTTGTGCTGCCGCCGACAGGTGTTGATATTGTCGCCGCACAATTTCGCCGAAGGCGCCTGGATGATTCGTCCCGCCGCCGATTTCATTCTCAACGTCATTCTCCAGAAGCGGCTGGTGAAGGATCGATATCGTCCCGCGTGGAGCAAGAACAACATTTTCTCGATGGTCCGCCAAGTGTACAACTCGACGGGCAGCTCGCTCGAGCAATACATCATGTTTCCGCCGAGCGAGCTTGAAGGCGAAGACGACGCGCCGTTGTCGAAGCGCACCGTCACAATGGGATTTCGACCCGAGAAGCCGATACCGCGACCGACGAAAGAGGTGACGCGTGCGTTGGCGTTGGTCAGCGAGTTTTGGTTCGAGCCGAATGTTCCGGAGCTCGCCGGATTCCAGATGCAATTGGAGAATCCGCCATTGGTATGTTTGACGATGAAATATAGTGGAATGTGTCGGTTTTTTAGGAATATCGACACGACGAGGACCTTCATATCACTTCAGTTCTATTGACGATCGACCGAATGATTTATGCGTGCAGTATGAGAGACGTCAGAGCATGATTATTAGAATATAATGATGTTCAGGCTTGAAAACGGCATTGGAGAATATCGATAAAGAAAAAGAGATCGACGTTCCGATCATGTTCCCCGATCACTTTGGTTGTCGTCGAATCGGACCCGACGAGATGACGAAAATTCGAATGTCGCGCAAACTCGACGATCTCGTCAAATCCGAACAAGTGTCGGAGTTTGTCAAAGTGCACACCAACATGTTCTCATTGGAGCGTTTGATGCGCAATTCGGAGAAGAAGCTGTTCATGCTGAAGCATTTCATGAGAAGTATGGGGGCATTTTTGAAAGAATGGCGAGACGCGATTTTCTTTTTTTTTTTTTGCAGACAATTACGATGTGCCGTTGTGCCAGCAGATGGTGCTGAACGCGGTTCATTTCCAATTGGATCGATGCTTCGATGTCTATTGGGATATGAATCGGTCAGAGAATGAGGCGATCCTGAAATATCTTCGCCGTCGACGAGGTTGACAACATCCCGCCATTGTTCGATGAAGCGTTTCACGCAATCATTGTTTGTAGATTATGAGCGCACCAATTTTCGCCTCTACGCCAAAGGTTTGACGCCATGGAGTTTTGTGGTGGTCATCATCGCGGCGCCGGTTCAACGCAATGATAGTCTGTGTCGCGGGATTCCGATGCTGTGCGCGCATATCAACGAGGGTCAGACGGCGTATTGCAGCGCGTTCGAGCATTTCGACGACGAGGGCATCGTCAGCGTTTCGGCGGATGGTATGTACATAGTCGTGGTGAAAAACGTGAATCGCGTTTCGCAACAATTATTGATTCTAGACGTTCCGGCGGATTGGTTCACGAATTCGCGAACCGGATGGGCGCCGTACAATTCGATGGGCTTCTCGGAGAGCGTCACCGACATTTCGAGTTTTGTCGCGTTCATGGAGCAGGATTTGTTGTCGAGGGCTCGAATCGCCGCATTGTTCGAGACGACGCGTCGAAGTCGGATTTGTTGTCGCGATAATCGAGAAACTAGCTCGTTTTTGAATTATTTCAGACATGTGCGTCGAAGAGGAGAAGGTGTTCTCGATGACGAGCGACATCATTTTCAATGAGGTCGAAGTCGAATCGCTTCCCGATGCGTTCCTCGCCTTCTGCACACATCTCCAATCCGACGTCGAATGGCCGTCGTACAAATGGTGTAGTCGTGAGACGAACATCGATACGATGCTTCAAGAAGCGCTCAAAAAGTCGTTCATTCCGGTGCCAGGCGCTCGGAACCTGTTCTTCGCGAAACAGAAGGATCGCGTGCCGTTGAACGCCGATGTCTCGTATCTCGGCATCAGCGACGCGAATCTGCCGATGTTCATCCAATTCCAGTGTTGCGTCGAGTATCCGAACAAGGACGTCGAAACGTTTCCGGTGAACTTCATTCCGACGTGCATTTACCAAGTGCTCAATCGATGTCGACATATTCCAAAGCAGCCGTTCGGTAGGAGAAGAAGCCGCGTTCGCAATTGCGATTATTTCTGATTTCCAGACATTCGCAAACTTCGCGTCTCTCTTGACATTCTTGTCAAGTCGAACGAGGAGTTCACTGGAATGACGATTGATCAGACGGTGTTCGATATTCTCTCGTTTAGCAATCCGATTGTGGTATGTGAACCTGAGTTTTGTCTGTTTTGTGATCACTGTTCGGTTTTTTTTTCAGCAAAGAATACGCGCCCGGAAGCACCGCGAACGATTGGATACTATGAATGAATTGAGAGAGCGCCTCGAGGAGGGCAGCAACGGTTTGACGCGCAAAGAGCGACGCCTTCTCCTCTATCTCACGAACACACTTGACGCGCTACTGGTGCTGGAGAAGAAGCTTGTCTTCACACGACGGCCCGACATTGACGGCGACTCGGTGCGCGACATGTGTCGATACATCAACAAATTGATCGGCAAGAAGCCGCGAACGCAAGTCGACAAACGCAAAAAGCCGCTGTCGTTTGTGATACCCAGCGATCGTGCGAAAGACATGTTTCTGAATAAGCTCGATGGTTTGGAGGTCGAGTATTGCAAGTTGCGGCGATTCGCCGGCACCGGATTGTACTACTCGTCGCACGTTGTCAATCCGTTGAAGTTGGCGCGAATGGTGCCGAAGGTGGCGAATGATGTCACCGGTCGCGACGTCATCAACGACTTCTGGCTGATCCTCAAAATTGGCAACAGCATCACGATGTACTTCTTCCAGCGTTACAATGATGTCCATTCGATGATCATGGAATCGTTGTGGCGCGGTGTGCGCGGTGTGTTGCGAAGCGTCAATCAGGAGCTCCTTCTCGAGCGAATGTTCGAGACGCGCGAATGCGACGATCTGCTGGTGAACAAAGAGGACGAGGAGTTCGACAATGATTCGCAGAGTGTGTCGGCGTCGGTGATCTCCGAGCCGCCGTCGATCATCAACGAGGCGTTTCGTTTCGAGTATTCGGCCGGCTATTTCGCGTGCAAAATTCAGAAGACCATCTGGCTTCATGTGCCGCAGCGTTTGCGCGAGCGAAGCGTTCGCGAGAAGAAGCCGCACCTCTCGTTGGGCTTCGAGAAGCTTCGCAATTGCCTTCAGGAATATGGTGTTCGCAATATGCGCAATATGTTCATAATGAAAGATGAGGCGCACAATTGCCATATGTACATGCAGCTTCATATGACGCCGGAGACGTACGCGGCCGCGCATGAAACGAGCAAATCGACGAGAAAACAATCGTTGTAAGACATTTTCGATTTTATTGATTTTTAGGGACCATTTATTTATGTGTTGTTTGCAGTTCGATTGAGGAGAAATTGGAGACCGACATCGCGCTGACGATATACGCGATCGAGCCGATTGACGACGAATTTTGCCGTCAACTGTCGAGCGCATTACAGATCAAGTATATTCTGAACGATTCAAACGTCGATGTCGAATTTTTGTTTTAGGCTTTACCATGCTCTGACGGATGAGATTCTTCGCGGATTCTTGCACAATCGCGAGCTCGCGCTATTGAGCTGCGAGATTCCGTACCTTCAGCCGATCGACAACGATCCCGACTCGCGCGTCTTCTACTCGATTCCATCAATTTTCGGCACGTTCCTCACACCGATCATGCATTTCGTCAATCAGCATCTGAGCTCGCTCAATTATATCGCGCCGGTGAACGTGCGAGACGATTCGATTGGATCGAGATCGTCGTCGTTCTCGTCGCGATCGACGATGATGGCGAAGAACGACGAGAAGCAAGAAGCGATGAAGCGCACGAGGCTTCACGTTCATCCGGCGTATCGCGGTGTGATTCCATTGGACTACAATGATTCGAAGTTCAAGCTTCATCTGAAGTTGCCCACCGCTGGAGTGACATCTGTCGGAATTGCGATCGTCGAGTTCCGAATGGTGAACACGCGTGGCGAAATCATTTTGGATTCGGTCCACGCCGATATGGATGAGGCGAGCCGCCACATGCTGGTGCCGAACATTCCCGGCGATATGAACATCGCTTACAAGGATATAACCAAAGTCCAGAAGCACTTCATGCCCGTCGATGATAAATCGATGGCCGCTTACATTGAAGTGATCGCCTATAAGCACGGTGATACTCAAATCGAGGATGTTGAAGACACAATGATGAGAGCAATCGAAATGGTAACTGGTTTGGGTTTTTATGAAGGTCGCAATCATTGTAATTCAGAGTCTTTACGATGTGATCACCGAATATGGCTATTTGAACACGACGCTTCTCGAATCCACCGCGAGATTGTCCCATCATCCGAGCTTCAACGGAATGCGAAGCTTCGAAGAGGCGGCATCGTCGGAGCCCGCCGGCGGATTCCGACGAAGCATTTGTATGCATAGTGTGGACTTGAGTTTTCCGAAGGCGTCGCTCACAAGGAACAGCTCACTTCCGCGGGACGTTCACGAGGGCAACTCGACGCGCGACGAGCTCGGCAAATCGGTGTTCATCAGCCGCCGCAACATCTATGGCATTATGAAATGGTTCGATTTTATCTCGACGAAGCAGAGCGACATGAACACGATCACCAAGGATACGATCATGTTTGAATGTCAGCACACCATCATTCCGGTTTGTGTCGCATGCGCGAGAATCCCTTGAAATCTTGCTTGTTTTTCAGCCGCTGATTGAAATTCGGAATCGGATCAAAGAGGATCTTGGATCAGGCGATCTCGAGAACATCTTTCTGTGCAGTCTGAAGAAGAAAGAGGATTATGATCAACATTTTCCCAACTCGCTTCGTGAATCAAGCCTGTCGCTTCACGGCGGAACGTGCACATGCGACAACCATGGCAAATATGAGATACTTCCGAATGATCCGGAGAACCTCAAAGAGTATCAATACTTGAAAGCGGATATCGGAATTGATGAGACGAATGGAAGTCCGAACGAGTATCTGATTGTCTCGTACATGCGCGACGTGTTTGCGGAATTGGCGGAAACGCAGAATCGAGGCGATGACAAGGTCGTCGAGTATGTGACGTTGTTCCAGAATCATTTGCACGGCAAATTCGAGCCGCTGATCGAGACGAACGCGTTCGTGCCGAGACAACGATTGCTGATGGCGTTGGTGAAAGGCGAAGTGATGACGATCTACTTCTACAACTTCCATCCGAACATTCTGAATGAGGTTCAGACGAGAGTGCAAAAGATTGCCAGTTGGTACAACGCGAAAACGCAGCTCTTGCGCGAGATCGGCCTTCAAAAGATGGGAATCACGCATTTGTCGCCGCGCGCGGTCAGCGCGCAACCCGAATTCAACTACGAGCAATTGATCTGGAAGGGTCCCGAGCAGCTGATTCGCAAATCGATTCCGCCTGAGCGCGTCGTTTTTCCGACGAACATGAACAATCCGGAATACTCGAACATCTTCTTCCGAATGTACCGACAGCCGCAATTGCAGACGACGATGGGAAGCTGTAAGGAGATGGATTCTATGAGTGTGTTTGCTATTCTAATGTATTTTCAGCGTTGATGGTTTATAAGAGCGATTGTGTTGCGGCGAATCATTTTGAGCAGATGTTGCGATGGCGGAAGCTGCTCAAAAGGCAGTTGAATGTTCAGGGCAAAATCAAGAAGGTTCATGACATGTTACTTCAGAATCGGCTCGATATTACGGTAGGGTCGAATTATTCTATTCATCAATGCGATTCTCTATTTTGTAGGAAATGGATCTTCATCAGTTCTTGAAGCCACCACAACTCGACACGAGAGAAGAGCCTGAGCCGGAATCGCAACTCGGGCATGACGATCTTCAGAAGACGACGATTCACGGCACCGTTCGCTCGTTGACGCACGGCGAATCGGATATTCTCAAGGCGAAAGGCGAGCTGATTGTGAAACGAGTGGTGAAGAAGAAGCCGGTCGCCGACGAGGTGCACTCGATTCAAATTCCGATGTTCATCATCGAGGACTGGCGTGAATTGGCGGACGCCGCCGATCAATTAAACGGCGACGAGCCCGAAGAAGCGCAAGAAGCGATGATGGCGACAAGGCGGAATGTGAAGGCGAAATCGGAGGAATGGGCGGCGAAGGTCGGCGAGGAGATGACGGGACGACTGTTGTCGATTGTCGAGAGTAAGCGGCTTGAGATCAATGAGCCGCGTCTGATGCTCGATGAGACCGCCGATGTGATTCAAGTGCACGATGAGGAGTTCAAGGAGAAGAAGAAGAAGAAAGAGAGGAAGACGAGTATTGGCGGGAAGATTGGTGCATTGGTGCAGCGGATGAGAAGCAATCCGGAGGCATCGGCGCCGGCACCTGCGCCATCGCCATCGCCGCCACCACCGCCGCCAGAGCCGAAGGGCGCCTTCTCTCGTGCGCGAGCTTTCACAACTAATCTGATTGCTAGATCGTTTAAGAAAACGCCGAAATCGTAAGGGTTCCCCCGCGGAAAATCGCGATTTTAATGCAATTCGTTTTAGCGATGGAACTGAGCGAAATGGTGTGGAAACCGGCGAGGACATGCTGGACCTCGAAGGGCTTTCGTTCAACCGAAAAATTACTCGCTCGTTTGGTCCCAATGTGGTATGTTTCAATTTGATCAACCGCAATTGTTTCATTTTTTTAAGCTCGAAATTGTGTTCGATCACCTTCAAACAACGGTGGCGTTCATTGAGAAAACCACCGGCTACCGTCAGCTGCTCGTCACCGATATTTCGGATGCTTCGATGCGAGCGAATCGCTATCGCGTCGAGCGCATCGCCAAAGACGACCACCAACTGCAGCCGTACATTGTGTTGTTCAAGGTGTTCCAAGGTGAGTGTGATGGTGGAATGGATGTCTGAATTGCGATTCTCATATTCAGGCGGAATCGTCTTCATTGAGGTCTCGTATCAGCGTCCGAATTTCTGCGTCAAATATTTTGTGTATGAGCGCGCGAAACATTCAACATCGGATTATTATATGGTAATCGATTCGAATTGGCTTTATCAAAAAAATTTACGGAAGCAATCTCGTTTTAGATCGAGAAGATGCGCAAACTCTATGAGAAGGAGACGCAACAGCTTTACGACGAAATTGATCGATTGAAGAGATGCTGCGATTTGCACAGCTTCCACTTTGACTATCATGTTCGACTCGTCGCCAAATATCTGCAGAAGCCGTTGGCGAGCAAATCGTTGCTCGGCACCAATTACAATGTGCTGGAGCTGCTGACGTCGTTGCGCGACTATCACTCGAGGCGATTCATCGAGATTCGATCGAACAACACGATTCGATTTGACGAGTTTGATTGCACCGCGAAGGTTGGCACCAACTTTTGGACGTGCTACGCCGAATCGAACATGGAGAAGACGTTGGGAAATGTGCTTCGATTGAAGCGCAATGTTGAGATTGTGCTCGATGAGCCGGAAGAGGGACCATCGGATCAGGGCGAGCAGCTCACCGAGTTTGACTATATGATTGTTGAATGCTATGATACTGCGGTGAAGAATGAGGTAATTGGAATGGGGGTCAGGCGTTTAAGGGGGATTCGATTTCAGAAGATGATTGCTCGAACCTATTTCCTGTTGAATTGCACACCGACGGACTATGACGAGTACACGCAATTCCTTCCTTACGCGGTTTTGTCGGTGTTTGTGGAACGAGGTTGGTGTGACGATATCGTCGCGATGAGCCACATTTGTCAATTTTCAGAAGACGTCAACGAGGAGCTTCGCGAGATTTCGTTCGATCTCGTGTCGGAGCCGACGACGCAAACCGACAACGAGACGGTCTCGCGGCCGTGTCGTCGGAAGTTGGCGAGGAGAGAGAGGAAGCGGATGGTGTGCGCGCCGAGGCGAAAGAAGACGTCGCGACGAAGCAGCGAGACGCAAAAGAGGCGAATTGAGGAGAAGGCGAGGCGACGGAAGCGCAAGGAGGCGGAGAAGAAGAGTTTGCGCAAGCGCAATGAGAATCATCAATGCGAAACACAGTTTATCACTAATGCTACCGTAACGTTTGTTGAGCCCGAAACCGATTAGAAGACTACCGTAACCACCATTTTTTGTATTATATAACAGCTATTCTCTCTTCTTCTTAGCATTATTACATGTATCACTCTTGTTCTACTAACCGCCACACGATATGCTCAAACTAACAACACTATTAGAATTATTAGTATTTTTTGTCTCTAAATAATTCATTTCGATTTGCCGACGTGTTAACACTAGTTGTGTGCGGGTATATTTACAATATTTCTTCTTTTTCTTTTATTTTCTGTTGGTTTTTTTTCTTTCTCTCGTCTATCTTTTTTATCTTCGTCTTTTTTGGTTATTTCTTCCTCTCTGTGTGTATGTGTGGGTATTTATTAATAAAAAAAACCATTGCCAAACAAATATCTGAAATTTTGTCGTTTTTTTTTAATCGAACATTCGAATTCAGAAAAAAAAGCACCCGAGCGCTTCGAGACCTCTCCGCACAATTTCAGGTGATCCTTCAATTGGCGGTACTGTAGTCACTTTTATAATTGTTCAAATTTCGCTGGCTTGTTGATTTTACAAAATGATCGTTTGATCTCGGGCGGGCTCGAACCGCCGGCCTTCTGTGTGTTAGACAGATGTGATAACCACTACACCACGAGATCGCTGGTGTCGGCGGGGCGCCACGGCATAGAAAAATTGCGAGTGCCAGTCATCAAAGTTGAGAAGACGATGAAAATGTTGGGGACGACCGACCCTACAATTGATCGATAAAAAAATTTTGGCGTAGCAAATAAAATTTTAAATTTGTTTTGAATTAAATTAAACAAAATTTATTTGCTCAAAAGACTTGCAGTATCAGCAACAGTTTTAACAGGAAGTCGAAGCGTTTCATCATTTTGCATCGTCGATTCCATTGTGACATCGGTTTTGATTGAATTGTTTCTGAAATCGGTTCATTGTTATTTGGACATTTATCAAATTTACACTTCTTCGAGGCTTCTTTAGAACCGCGCGAATCCTCGATTCGCTTCTTATGGCTTTCCTCCATCGCCGTTCGAATATCTTCCTCAGTGAACGAGGAGATACTAATGGAATAGTCGATATCCTCATCGAGGAATGTTAATCCTCCTCGAGGTGTTAGCACCAAGTAGCACGATATTATCGTCCCAAATAGGACAATCGGGACGCATGAGAGGATGAGCATATAGCTCCCATAACTATCTTCCTCTTCATTCTTTTCATCACTGTCCTCGGCTGGCGGCCTTCTAGAGATGTAAGCAAAATAATCCGGCGGAAGATGGATGTTGGGCTTCCAGCTAGGCAGCAAACTTTCTGCAAAATGAAAACGTTTGATCTCGGGCGGGCTCGAACCGCCGGCCTTCTGTGTGTTAGACAGATGTGATAACCACTACACCACGAGATCGCTGGCGTCTTCGCGGCGCCACGCCATAGAAAAATTGCGTTCGACCCTTACCATATTGTGGAGTGAGTGTTGAAAGTCGCTGGTAAAATCGGAGGGTTTCGCGAATTTTTTGCACATTCCTCTTCCTGTACAAATCGAATTCCACCCTAAATAAATTTGACCAAAACTATCGGAAAAATCAATTTTTGCCTTATATAACCGCCGGCGTTCTTATAGCTGCTAATAACATTGATTTTCGATGCATTCGTTTTAGAGTTCAATCGCTCCGTGAAAACTTTGAACTAAAAATTTTCAATTTTTAGAATTTTTTTAAGATTTACCTTTAATATATTGGGAATTGGGCCGTATACTGGCGATTTACAATCGTCCGCGGATTCGCCGTCCACGAGAACTACAAGAGTTTGTCCAATTCGTAACGGGACCTGGCAATTGGAAAATTTTCAATTTAAAAGCAATTTTTCCGCTTACATGGGTTATCGCAAAACATAATTCCTCATCATCCCTTCTTTTGATGTTCGCTTTATCATCAATTATATAATTCTGAGAAAAATGATAAAATTTCTAGGGGAAAAAAAAACAAAAATTCATACATATTCCAATAAGCATCGAATTTCTCGCAGCGAATTCGCCGAGAGATTCGTAAAATAGTCGCGAAGAAGAAAAATGTGCGGTTTCGGCTCATTCTTCTCCCAAATGCTAATGTTTTTCGAGCAAATCTGCAAAAATCATCAATATTTTCACAATTTTTCAATCATTTTACTGAAAACGCTTGATTTGAATGGAAAATCGCAATTAGAAATAGGAACGACCACATTGAATTTGAAAAAAAAATATTGAAAATGGCTATCATCGGCCACGAGGAAAAATTATTTATCGATTTTTTAAACGTTTCAAAAATCACGAAAATTCATATTTGTGAATAAAACTTTTTAAAAAAGTCGAAATTCCACGGAAAATGCTTCAAATTCCTCAAAAATTGGAATTTTCCAATTAAAAATAAATAAAATAAAAATAATTTTGTGGAGGAAATAAAAAATTCCGCAAAAATATATTAAAAACTCTGAAAAACCAATGAAAATTGAAATATTGCAAACCGATGTGATTGCACGCTTCGAGACCCATGAACACAATTTCGGCTGCTCCTTTAATCTGCGTTACTGTAGTCGAGTTTTTTTTTAACTTTTGAAATTCACAATTTAATGAGAAAATTAGGTACTCAAACGTGAATATTATAACATCAAGAAATCAGTTTTCAAAAAAGTAGCTATGGCTCACATTAATAATAAGTCTCTAATAAAATGAAAAGGAATTTGGACATTTTTAAAATTAAATTTTTTGATAGTCAAATTTCTGCAATAAGTCGTTTCTATTCACAAGTAGCGAATTAGAGACCTTCAGTTTGTAAAGAGACATCAATAATATTGATTTTGCAAAAAAAGACGCTTGATCTCGGGCGGGCTCGAACCGCCGGCCTTCTGTGTGTTAGACAGATGTGATAACCACTACACCACGAGATCGCTGGCGTCTTCGCGACGCTACGGCATAGAAAAATTGCGAATGCTCTCTACTAGGCCACTCATCGAAATTGAGACAGCGATGAAAAAAAAAGTTTGTAATAAATTCTTATTTAAAGAAAAAAACGTGCCAACCATAAAAGATGATAAATGAAGATAAGAGAATTCGACTTAAATGAGCTCGGTATTACAAGGCTCAGCAGCAGCACGTTTCCGCGAACAACTGGTGAGTGTGGGTGTAGAATTTCAGAAACAAAAAAAAAACTAGACGTGCATATGTGTTTTTTTTTCTCTCTAGGAATTTCGAAGCGTTAGAAAAATGAGCGAGATGGTTGTGATTCCGAACACGCCGACACTCGTCGCCGAGCAGAACATCGAGCGACCGCGCGCCACCGCTCCAGCACCACCACCGGCACCAGCAGCACCAGCAGCTCCGCGAGCCTCGAAACGCGAGCAGCATTCGAAACGCGACAAATTGCCGACGGTCGGCGAGGTGATCATCAACGAGCGAAACGAGCCGATCATGCTGAAGACGAAGCTCGGCGATGGGGCAATGGGCCACGTGTTTCTCGCCACCTACGACGGCGAGGCCGTGGCCGTCAAAACCGAAAAATATTCGACGGCCATGCTGCCAATGGAGCTTCGTGTGCTCTCGATTGCGCAACGCGAGAAATGCAAACACTTTTGCCGGATTTATGACTATGTAAATTTCAGTGTGCCGAAATTATTTTTAGACTCGCAAATTCAGGGAACCGTTCGAAAAGAGTTCAACTACATGATCATCACACTTCTATATAAGGATTTGTATCGATTGCGGTCGGAAATGGCGAATCGCTCGTTCTCGCTGAACACTTCCACTAAAATCGCGTTGGACACTCTTGAGGCCATCGAGGAGCTTCACTCGATCGGATTTTTGAGTCGAGACGTGAAGCCGAGCAATTTTGCGCCCGGGTTACGGTAGCCACTCGTTGATGGGTCTTGACGCGAACGACAATAGTTTAGGGAACAACAGAAGCACAAAACGATATTCATGTTTGATTTTGGTCTCGCCAAGAAGTTTGTCGATCGCGAAAATCGAAAACTGAAGTCTCGCGGCGAAGTTGGCTGGCGGGGTACGGTAAGATACGGTAGCTTGAACGCGCACAAGAGATTGGACCTTGGACGACGCGACGATATCGAATGCTGGTTCTACATGCTCATTGAGATGTACGTCTCCGAATTGCCGTGGCGTTTTTTGACGGAACGCGCCGCCGTCGGAAAAGCGAAAGAGCACGTGCGAGCCGAGGGACGCAAGAATTTCTTTCACAACGTCCCCAAACAGTAATCATGAAAATCACGGACGCCCATTGTGATATCGGTGTTGTAGATTTGAAACGATTCTCAACATGATTGACGGCTATCAATTCGAGACGCGGCCCGATTACAAGGCAATCAAGCGGCTTATTCAAGAAGTGCGCAATGAGAATGGTTTGACGGATCGCGTCAAGTGGGACTGGCAGACGGACGAGTCGCAGCACTCGGAGCTCACCGAGACGACGTCGGTGATGTCGGACAACGCGATTCTCGCCGAGGAGGGAACTATCAATTTAACCGAGAGTGAGTGATCGCCGGCCGGGGGGTCGAGCTCGCGATGGTTGGCGCGCCAGCGCGACGCGCAACCAATTTGCCAAAATTGCGCACGTGGTCACTGCGAATAATGGCGTATGCGTGTTGTTTACTCGCCACAAAATCTTTTTTGAAATTGCAGGTCAGCAGGGATGAGAAATGCAATGAAGAAGAAAATTCCGGAAAAACGAATGCTGAATCCATTTTCTTTGTGCTGCAAATTTCTCACTTCTCTCGTTTTGCATTTTTCGAATTCCATTTATTATAATATTATTGTATCATGTTCTACTCGTTTTTCGTTGTACTATTGTGCATTTCTGTTTGTTTTGTGTTTGCACCATTCCCAGGAGAAAAAATAATTTATGCCTTGCCAATTCAATCCCATTAAAAAAAATTATTCTCGTGATTCGAAATAAACGCATTTTGAGAAATTTTCGAATAATGGGACAGCAGCAAAGCAGCGCTGCTCCATCACTGGTGAGAAACTCGCGCGAGCCGATGAAGAAGCCGTCGGACATGAAGGCGGTAAAGACCGAGTCCACCGCGACAACAGTGAAGCCGGATAAATCGGAAAAATCGTGGTTTCAGTTGCTTTGGGCGCCAGCGGCGACCCAAAAACCGCAAGTCCGCAATTTGGCGTCACGGTGCACCACACGAAATATTGATTACAGAAAGAATCGGACGATTACATTGAATTGAACAGTTTTCAAGTGATTCCGCCTCCGCCGCCGCCATTATCAAAAAGTCGGACATTAAATTCTTGAGTTTAATAAAGAATTAATCGAATCGCGACCTCACGTGAATCGCCATAGAATAAATGGCTGCAAAGATAATTTCAAATTTCGCTGACAAATTCTCCGGTGAGTTTGACTACGTGCAAATGCTACCATTCAAGAAGGACTCGCTATGTAAACATGATGACGCTTGTTCGACTCTCGCACGTTTCCCTTTCCTCCCATTAACCGTAACCCTCCGCTATTAATCATCAGCTGGTGCGTTCTTTGTTGTTCAATTGAGAGACGCCAGGCGGTCAGAGGGTTTTGGGCGCGCGCGCGTGTCAACGCCAATTTGTTGCACCCAGCCACCAGCGTTCGTGGTGTAATGGTCAGCATGGATGCCTTCCAAGCATTCGACGGGGGTTCGATTCCCCCCGAACGCAAGAAAACAATTTTGCTATTGTTTTCTCAATGGTGTTTTCTCAATGGTGACAGTGAGAGGGGTGGCCTATGAGGCGGGGTGCGGCGAGGGGGCTCGTAAAATAAAAGGCGATCGCATGCATCTTTGCGAAGTGCACGTCGCCTAGCGCCCCGCCTATGCGTCGAGAAGCTTCGAAACCGTTATTGGCCCCCTCTACAACGCCGCACGCGTCGCCCGTATTAGTTAAGGCATCGCGATGCAAGAGGCTTGCCGCGCATTTTAGGCCTCAAATTGTGCGTCAGGGTCTCGCCGCGCGGGCATACTGTAGCACTCGTTGGCAATTTTTTATTCGTTCCGAAAATTTGCACCAAATTGTTTGATTTGCAGTGAAACGACATGTCGCTTAGCAAAGTGCCGCGTCAATCGTTTATCAGATTCGTGATTGCGAGTCGCACGGCGAGCACATCGTCCGGCTCAATTCCAGCACCGGCGCGAGTGCAACTCAAAATTGAAAATGAGCAGGTATAGGGCAAAATCGCTGCGAGACCCAACTCGATGTTCTAAAACACAAAATAATATGAATTATTTGTCAAATGTGCCATTTTTGCTCTATTATGGGTCTCGCCGCGATTCGCTTCTGATGGCCGATCTCGACGTCGCTTCGCGTTTCCAGGGACACTTCAAATACACGCGCAATTGGTCGCGTGATCCGCGCTACGCGAAAAACGCGATTCAGAAGGGCGACACGCCGTTCACGTAAGACCACGACGACGGGAGCGGGAATCGATATAGTAGTGCGAATGAATCGTTTTCAGATTTTTGACGCGTCGCCTCGGACACGCCTACGAGGTCTACCCGTTGCTGGTGTTGTGCGGCACGTGGTTCGCGTTGTTCCTCTACGCGTGCTATTGGAGTTTTGGAAAGGTCGAAGTGTGGCTGGATCGAAGTGAGTCTCAAAATGGTCCCCACGCATTGTTCTTTCGTCGTTTTGCAGGCAGTAGTGTGGCGCCGTGGGATTGGGAGCGAATTCGCGACAAATATTGGAAGCTTCCGACTGTGGCGTGAGTTGAATTTTGAATTTGAATTGCCGCCATCACCGCCTCTAACAAACCGGGGGGCGATGGTGGCGAAACCCGGAGAATGTCCGCAGATGGCTGCAATGAAATTCCTCCTCCCCCATTTTGACGCTCCTGGATATATTTTAAAATTTTTAGAATGGATTTGGACGGTCGGACGCATAAGCGGTGTGAGATCATGGAAATTCTGCAGGACGAGATGCTGGAAGCGGCCAAGAAGCGAGGAACTCGATAATTTCGGAATATCTTTACTTTCTTTCCTTTTTTATTTTTGACCCCCTCTCAGAAAACGTCTAGTGTAGAAATAGACGATGATGAAAAATAAATTATTTGGATCGAAATCAATCAAAATGTGATGAATTTGGGCGCGAAAAATGGCGAATATGTGAGAAATTCGCAGATTTTCGCGAAAAATACCACCACTTTTTATGAGCACATTTTATTCGAAGAGGGATTTTTTTGTTGGAGAAAATTTCAAAATTGGGCAGTTTTATGACCAATTTTGTGAAAATTCAAACAATTTAGGGGATTTGGGATTTTTTGGGATTTTTTTGCAAAAAAAAAAATTAGTTTTTTCTTTCTTTATTTTTATAACACAATCGAAAAAAAAATTTTTTTTTAATAAAGAAAGCTCATTTTTGGTTATTTTCTTTCAAACTTGGCCAAAAAATACGTAGATTTTTTGTGAAACGTATAATTAGCCAACATTTTTGAAAAAAACACGAATCAAATTTTATTAAAATGCCAATTTTTATTCAAATCATTCGACATTTTAGAACATTTTTTGTTTATAATTGAGAAATGCCAATTTTTTCAAATCATTCTTCTTTCTTCGAACTTTACAACACTTTTGAGTAAAGCCATGAATATTTTAATATTTTTTAAGTACCCAAATAACTTATTCATTAATACTCATCGTTTAACTTCAGAATTCGTGATTTTCTCAATTTCGCCACTTTAAAAAAATAAAGGTTTTGGTAAAAAATTAATTTTTCGTGGAAGCACCCTTCATTATTAGTTGGTCGAAAATCTTCGAATTTTTTCTGGAAACTATTGTGCAAATTGTTTTTAAGCTTCACAAAATTATTTTTCTTTCAATTTTACATCGACTTTTGACAAAATATACGATTTCGAGCAAAAATCGGACCATTCGAAGTTGAAAATTTGAACAATATTTAGGATGGCCTAGAATTTCCGCGGCCGTGGCCGGCGAGTTTTCGATGGGTCTCGGAGCGAAGAGACGAGGGCAACCACCCGCCCGTTGGTTTTCTTTCATTTTTCGTGTTTTATTTGCGTTTTTCCGGTGAAATATTGATTTTTTTAACTAATGTTTCTTTTGAAAAATAATTATAAACGTGAAAGTAGTTGTTAACTTTACTTTGACTCTAAAATTCATTAATAAATTCCGAAAAAAATCATGTTTTTGGTATAGAACGCGATTAAGCAAGAAATGGCAATTGAGGAATATATCAAATATTTCTCTTACTTTTAAATAAATAAAAAAACTCTAAAGATAATTTGGCTCGTTTATTTAAATATAATTATTTTTCTTATGAAAATTATTTTAAAAAGAAATATTTTTTTTCAATTTAATTTGCGTAATAAAACCATTAATGAAAACTTTGAATTTTCTTCTACTATTTTTATCATTTTTAATTGCCAATTGAAATTCTTTCAGTATGTCTTGGTTCCGTCCTCCACCACCGCATACGCAGCTTAGACCTTGGGTCCCGGATGCGATCTTCATCCCAATCTCCCGTGCCGTTGAGCGCGTCGGTGTCTACTTCTACAACAGGTGAATCTCAAACATGTTAAGTTAAAAACTGATCTTATAATTTTCAGAGTTTTGAACAAGACCGAGATTGGACTGTTCGACAAGAGATGGAACAAGAAGGTGCACGGCCCATATTGCCACTGGAGATACTATGGAAAATGTAAGACAAAATTCATATGTTGAAAATAAAATAATATTGATTTTCAGTGGACACTAAGCTCATGGACGTGAAGCTTGGAGAGCTCCCGGCATGGATCGCTCGCCGCGAGAAGACCCCATCGGCTTTCTACAACGAATTCATGCGCAACATCTGGAGAGTCCACAACCTTTACTACTCTGGACCAGTCTACGCGAACACCGTAATAAAAATTGACGAATTGAAACATTCATATCAATTTGAGTTTTAGGTTAAAACCATCTTCCGCTTCATCTTTGCCTATTCATTCTTGAACTGGCTCGTCAAGTCGCACCGTTACCTCGATTTCCAGAAGACCATGTACCATTGGTAGACGCTCATTTCTCGTCTATTTGGCGGTGCCCGAACGGGGAGGACGACAACACACGATTCATCTCTATCTCTCGCAGTTTATTTTACATTTTCGTTTCGTTTCCTTTTCACCATTTAGATCCCTTATTTTTTGAGTGTTTAAGTTTTTTGTGTATTATTATTAAAAGTGAGAGATCAGAAACGCTGTGTTTTTGTTCTCGTTGAATTATTTCGACTGAATAAATAGTGTATGATAGTTGGAGGCGAAATTCCATTTTTTTTCATTGATGACGCACACTGTGACTGGTGTCCAGTTGGGATATATGCGGAGATGTTCTCAATAGATAATAATCAACGAGACCAATATTGAGAATCTTCGCATTGTTCGAATTCGCGGGCGATGCTTGGTGAACGTCGCGGCGCTCTTATCGTCTTCGAAGGTAACAATTTTATTAAATGCCATAAAAGGATTCAATTCGATTTCACCTAGGATTGGATAAATCCGGAAAATCGACGCAGGCTAAAAGGCTGTTCGAGCACTTGAAGAAAACGAATGGTGAAGGTTCTGTAATACTTCAAGCGTTTCCAGGTAATTAAATGGTAATTAGGTAATTAATTAATGGCTTAATGTTAAGATCGCTCGGCCGTATTTGGGCAGGTTATTGATCGCTATTTGCGAAAAGAGATCGATTTGAGCGAGAAGGCGCTTCATCTCGCGTTTTCAGCGGATCGCTGGGAGAAAGTGAGCCATTTTTTTGGTGTTAATTTTTCGGAAAAACCAATGAGCCGATTTGAAGGAGAAAATGATACGCGATTCGATTGGCAACGGAATCGACGTGATTTGTGATCGCTATTGCTACAGCGGAGTGGCGTATTCATTGGCGAAAGGTGCAGAATTTTGAATTTTGTGCATATTTGGCGAGATTTTCGCGGAAAATTTGGACTTTACACATTTTTTTTAACACGAAGATGAGAATTTTGCATGAAAAATTTGTCGCTATCATTAAAAAAAAAGAAAGGCGAAAATTCCCCTCAAATTGACACTTTTCGTCAAAACCCCAATGTTTTCTACTCGAATTCAAAATTTTGATCATTTTTAAATAATTTTTGCATTTTTTTAATGGAAAAGCTTAAAAATGGCTAAAATGTATTCATTTTTCCCGAAAAATGAGCACATTGAAATCTTCGAACTTGGCATGAAGTCTGGAAAAATAATTTGAAAAAAGACTGAAAAACTAAAAAAGAGCCTATGAAGATTTCAAATTTCTTGTATTTGTTTTTCCAAAATTTGCATGAAAATGATGAAAATTTGAAGATTTGCTTTGTTTTCGCCATTTTGATTTGTTCGAAAAATCAAAAAGAGCGAGAGATTGGAATTTTTTGATCTCCTTCGCGATTGCCATCGGTTTTTCGATTTTCCGAACTCGATATCTATCTCGATGATCTTCCAAAATTCCGGAAATCCCCTCCCCCCCCCATCTAGTGTTCGAAAATGCCGAAGAACGACGACGTTCGTAATTTGGAAATTGCGGTTTTTTTTTGTTGTTGCTGGGCGAACACCTGTTCCGAAATGTTCCCGTCTGTTCGAACAAAATTCGAATCACACACCCCAATTACCGTTTTGTTTGGCTGACGACGCGGCTCACTCACACACGAAGGTCATCTCCGCCAAATTGGGATCGACCAGTGCCGAAGCATGTCCGGACCGGATAACAGGTGCGCGACAAGCTAATAAGCTGGTGGCTGCTCGTTTTCGAGCCAGCACCTGTGTGATCTCAAGAATTCCTCATAATGATGTTGATGGTCCCCAATTTTCTTCAAGGTTGATTTTCCTCCGTGGCCCGCTCTCCCCAGATTTTGAAATATTTTTGGCAACATGTTGGCAAAAGAGAGTGGGGGGGGGGCTGAAAGCTCAATAGAAGGAAACAGAAAAAAAAACTTGTCGTCTCTCATTGATGATGGGCCGGAAGTTGTTATTCCTCTCCTCCGCTCTCCACCATATGATCCCCCCATATATGGAATAGGATGGATGGATGGAGCCGGCGGAATTGTTTGCGAAAACAATTTGGTGACAACTAACCGTTTTCAAGAGCCTTTCCGCAACGTCGTTTGCCCTTTTATGGAAACTGCGGGGGGATTAGAAGTCAATTGAGATGGCGGCACTGTTTTTGATTCTCGCCTTTTGCTATTTGTGTGCTTTTATCATTATCGCCGCTTTCGGGTTGTTGCTTGCTCGGCTGGATGACCCGCGCGTGCTCTTTTTCGGGTTACGGTATCGATGGGCTTGAGGCGATCCGACAGGGTTACGGTAAGATGGGATTGGTAAGTCAAGGATTACGGTAGCTATATGGAGCTGAAGCAATTAGATAGCTCTAGACATGATTTGCTGTCAAGGTTACGGTAATTTCTTGACTTCCACCAAAAGATCTTCTGACGAATGAGATTATCCACCTCTCTCTCTCTCTCTCCCTCATTTTTATCATTACCTTGAAAATTGCGTTTCAATAATTATAGGATACTCAATGGAGAGGGGGCAATTTGTTTGGTGCGCGGCTCGAATTTCGAATTCTTGTAAATCCCTATGCGCGCCCGGAAATTAATCGTCATCCACCTGGTCGGTGGCGAGCTCGAGCCGTTTTGATGTCATCCGACGCGCCGCTCACACACATCTTAGGAGGAATTGCAATTAAACTTGTTGTTGGTGCAGCCGGCTGCTCTCTTGCGCACCAGCAGGTAACATTAGGGTCCCCTCTTCCCCCTCTCGCCGTCCATATATAGTAGTAATAATATTGTTATAATTATCGTCTTCCTTATCCCCCTCTCCGCTTGCTTCTATTTGCCTTTGTCTCATATTGCCGCGCTCACTTCCTCCGAGGAGCAGATGATTTATGGATGGCGAATGTGGTTGAGCGGCTTCTTCTCATAACAACGTATAAACGAGCTAATTGTGGTCCCACCGTCGGCGTGGATTGCTGTTATTATAATTCGTATTATTGGTGTTGTTGAAATCCTGGATGAATGTCGGAAGATGAGCAATCGCGAGGCCTCGTTGAATGTCGGCAGATAATTCGAATTGTCTCGTGAGAAGGTGTCGGGTGTCGCATTTTACCTGACAAGCCATCTGGTTCGACGGCTTAAATCTAATCTTCTACCTGATTGCGACGTTCGCAGCTGGCTGTCATCGAGCAGGCGGCCAAGTCAAATTCTCTCACGCTATGATTCAATTAGGCCGCTGATTAGATTTTTGATTTAGTGCATTTCGCGAACAAATAATAATTTACGACCCTACGCCCTCTCGCTGGAGAAATTGAGCAGCAGAAGAAGAAGAAAAAATCCAATTCGAAGAGGTTGTTTGATTGTCTGTGGTGGGCGAGCAAACAGATTTATGCTACGGTATTGATGCCTAATTGTCGTCCGCATTTCTTTTACAATGTTTAGTCAACACATGCACATTGTGCATATACGGTAGTGAGGGGTAGGATAGTGCACTTTGGATGAATTCGCCGTTGTGCAAACATGGCTGAATGGATTGGGGAAGAAGAAGAAGACGAAAAATAGTTGAATAGGGTCGCGTTTAAAGATGTGCGATATTCGAAAATCGCGACGCCTTATCAGAAATGCGCGAACCTACAGTAATCCGAAGCGGGCGAAGCCACTTGAGCGATTTAATCGTCGCCGCAAATAAACGCAACAATTCTCTTTTTTTTTCGCCTTTGCAGGTCTCGACGCGAATTGGGTTCGTCAATCCGACGTGGGACTTCCGCGTCCCGACGTCGTCATGTTTTTCGACGTCTCGCCGACGGTGGCGAGCCGTCGTGGCGGATTCGGCGACGAGCGTCTCGAATGTGAAACGCTTCAGACGAAAGTCACGAAGCGGATGGAAGAGCTTCGCGCGGATAATTGGGTGGTAATTAGCGATCACTAATTGCCTAATGACATTTTTTCTTGTATTTTTATAGACGGTCAACGCCGACGGCTCGTACGATGAAGTGGAATCGCAAGTTCGCAAAATCTATGATAATATCGATTTGGAGCAACCATTGGGATATTTGGAGCAAATTTGAAACGTTCAATAAATTTATTTTTACAAGACAAAAAAAATTTCGGAAACAAATCACAACGAAATGATACAAGGGGTCCACAAGCGTACAATAAATACTATAAACGGATGAAAGAGGGCGACGACAAACTGATGACGATTTTCTCATCAAATCAAATTCAATAGGGCGGCAAGTTTGGTGGGCTGATGAAAATGGTGATGGTGATGGTGGTGATGGTGCAAACGATGGTGCTGGTGCTTTTTCAAATGTCTGTCGAGATTCGTCTGCTGTCCGAAGCAGCGCTCACAGCGGGAGCAGCGGAACGGTCGCTCCTGGAACATGGCGACGATGAGGCGTGAGCTTGGTGTTCGGCTAGAACATTTTTAATCGGTCGCCTTGATTTTGGCGTTGTGATGACAAGACCGAAAATCGTTGTACCTTATTATGGATGTTGCGCACGTGTCGTTGAAGGTTCGATGAGATCGAGAATGAGCGCTCGCAATACTGACACTGAAAACGGGGGACGAGCATTAGGAGATGCCGATCGGATGATTATGATTATTACCTTGTAGGGCTGCTCGCCGGTGTGCGTTCGGAGGTGTCGCGTGAGATTCGCCGATCTCGGGAACACCTTCTGGCAGAACTTGCACGTGTACCGATCCTTGTTGTTCGACGACGCCGTTGCGCCGTTCGACGACGTCGTCTTGCCGGGCGTCGTCATGAACGACGCCGTCGAATAGTTGAACGGTCGTTGAAGCATCGCGAGGAAGCTGTTGGCGCTGATCGGATTCAGATTCGACGATGATGGTGGCGGCGGCGGCGACGCGAGAATACTGCTGATCGAGTGCGGCGTCTTCTTCTCATCGTGCGTCGTCGACTCATTGTCGTCGTCGTCGTTGCCCGAATCGACGCTGTCGCCGTCGTCCGACTTTGAGCCCGTCTCCATTTCCGACGTCGACGACGCTTTCGGCGTCGATGTCAAATCGAGAGGCGTCGTCGTCGTCGTCGTCGTCGTGGCCGGCGGCGTTGACTCGTGACCACTTGAATGAGCGATTCAGAATCAAAATTTCAAAAAAAAAAAACACGAACCTGGTTGAATCGGCTTCCGGCGAGGCGCACATCATCTTAGCATATAAATCGGGATTGGCGAACAAATTGAACGGCACTTGCGCGGCGATCTGCATCCAATACGCCATCGGATGCGGAAATGGCGATGTGTTGGCGGCGGTGGTGTTGGTGGTGGCGTTGGCGCCAACGCTGGCGGCGGCGGCTGCGGCGGCCGCCGCCAACATCGGCTTATACATGGCGGTCATCTCGCAAATCGGACGATGCTTGAGTAGTGCTGAATGCGATGGCATTTGCGCGTGACACGTCTGACACTGCCAACCGTCCTGAAGTCGATGAATCGAAATGTGTATTCGGATGGATGCGGATGGGAATGAATGAATGAAGGAGCTGGACGATGTGATGCGCAGTCGCGCGCGCGCGCGGATGGATGGCACCTTTTGGCTCCGCCCATTTTTGGCGAAGGTGGTGCAAACGCGAGGGTGTGGCTGCATGACAGGCAGGTAAACAATTATATTGATGCGCGTAGGGTACTAGGCTGCCTGCGGGAGGTAGAGCTCGCACTGATGGTAGCCAAAAGAATAACTATAATTTCAAGAGTCTCTAGAAGTATTTTATTTCGAAATAAAGAAAAACATCTGCGGACATTTTCCGGGGCTCGCCTGGCGGAAATTCGAAAAAAAACAAAACGCGGCTAAGTTTCAAGGCGCGCGCGCCTTGTTGATGGGTCTCGCGGCGAACCGACACCTCTTACCAGATGAACGCGTCGATGGCGGCACAAATTCGAGAATTGCGTGTAGGACTTTGAGCAGATATGGCAACGAAACGGCTTGAGACTGCAGTGAATATGCGAGTGTTGTTTGAGACCGCTGAAATTTCGCACAATTTCCGTTTGGCACATTCATAAACCCGTCAACACCTCCCATCATCATCATCATCATCAACATCTCGAAGGGGGGGGGGTGCACTTAATTTAGATGGTCCCCATCGCATTTTTATTGTGGCAAGGGGTTGGGGGAGGGGATCATTCATGATACTAAACAAACACACCTCGACCACCTGTAGGGAGGTGAAGCTGCTGCATGCACACACTCACGCCATATATTCATTTTCTCATGAAAAACGCTCAAATCGAATTATGGCGATAATGAAATATATGGGCGGTGTACGGTAGCATATAATCACTAACTAACGAGCTAATCTGACGTCAAGAATTTCTTGGGGGAGGGGGACCCTCTTCGGACCCACTTAATAATAACCATAATAATAATAATAATAATAATAATAATAGAATATCAAGTGGATTGGGTAATAAGAGAGGGGGGGGGGTGTATTGCACCAATTGAGAAATGAGGTAAAGCTCACCTGGCACTCGAGAAGCTCTTCGGGCAAACGCCGCAGTTGTGCGCCTGACTGCCTTCGGGAATAATCTGGCCGGGTGCGAGCTCGCCGGTTTCGCGCACCACTTCCTCCTCTTCCTCCTCCTCCTCTTCCTCACCGCCGTCGTCGTCGTCGTCGTCCTCGGCGGCGTCGGCGTCGAGCTCCTCCTCGTCGACGTCCTCCTGTTGGCGTGGTGGTGGTGGTGGTGGCGGTGGCGACGGTGACGATGGTGGTGGCGATTTGTCAACGCTTAAAAAAAACGAAATGAATCGATTTAAATGAATGTGGATATCTTGATGAACACGATTCGTCGATCGTCCTCCTTATATGCGGATGAGCTCGCATCAACGACCTCGATCTTCTCGCCCCCCCCTTCCCATCAAAACCAGTTGAATTCAAACACTACCACTTTCGATTTCCTACCGTTTCACAATCTCCAAATTCTCCTCCTCGTCGCACTCCTCGTCGCTGAGCCTCTGCAGAAGAAGGCGCTCGCCGATTTTGATGGTCCGACTCGTCTGCAGGAACGTCTTCGTCTCGTGCTGCCGAATGCAAATGTTGGCCAGCTCGCCGTCTTCGGCCTCTTTGATCAAATTCAATATGAGCAACGCGTTCGGATCGTTCGAGGTGTTCTGAAGCGGCGCAACGATGAATCAATGGGGTTCAACAAAGAAACAATTGAATTGAAATGCCAACCTTATCGATGACGCCGATGAGGCGACCCGGCGGAATCGCGATCACCGCGTTCAGCGAGTTCCCGTGCGTCTCGTCCGTCTTCACTTCGACACTGTGTAGAAATTCGCAGTCAATGCTCATGGCCTACAAATCGGAAGGTGAAGATGAAGAAGTCTCAAAATGGAAAAGACGAGAGGAAGAGGAGGAGGAGGAGGAGGAGGAGGAGGAGGAGGAGGGCGGCGCCGATGGCCCGCCCCCTAGCCAATCAGAGGGGATGAGCGCGCGCGCGCAGCACTGTCCAGCTCCCAAATAAGGCGCGCTCTCAATAAGTAATGGGGAGGAGGGGGTGAGGAGGAGGAGTAATAAAAGAAGATTGGCCGCACCGGAAGACGTCGGGGCCATTCTCACCTGCTGGAAGGGCTTCTGCCTCGCCTCACCCTACCTCTCAACAAGGTAACTATTATAGAAGAGTTGTTTGATGGATTGAAGAGTAAGAAGAAGAAGAAGAAGAAGAAGAGGAGGAGAAAAAAATTGGGGCTATTAAATTCTTTCTTCTTCTTCTTCTTCTTCTGCCATCGTTTTGTGGGTGCTCGCCGATGGGAGAAGAAGAAAAAAATGAGGAAAACTTCTAAATACGGATGAGGGTGGGGATTCAGATGGCCTACAGTAGGCCGGGCATTGCCAACAAAAAAAAACGAAAAGCATCCGGAGAGCCCCGCCGAAATGGATGAAGGCGTCGATTGGCGCGTTGACGTGTGAAAAACCACCAACTCGCGACAATCGAATTTTCGTGTGAATATGCGCACACCGCCGCAGGTATATATGTATTATATGCTCAAATTGGCTCGGCTAAGCGTAAATGAGATTTGGTGGTGCGTGCGGGTAGATCAAGAGCACACACTTCGAGACGACGAGTCTCATTTGGCGATGGAGCGCGATTGTTGCAGGCAAGAAAAAAAAGTGAGGGGGAGGGAGATGCGAAGAATTGAAATATCAATGGAGCGCGATTACCCACGCGCTACAAACCTATCAACTAGGGTAGATCAAAGAGGCCTTCGCAATGGAGCGCGATTGGAATGCTGAGCCGAACCAAATACACATATGAAGTGTGACGAGCTCGCGATTGTTCATCTCGCTCTCGGCAAGCATGCGCCCGAATTCATATCCGGTTACACATCATCATCATCATCATCATCATCTTTTTTGTTGTCTTCTTCTTCGTCGTCGTCTTCGTCTTCAGGTATACAAAGCCTCGACGCGCACACAAACACATCAATTTCAGGGAGGAGCACGAGCATTGTGGAGCTGGAGCTGGAGCAACTGGCAGCGGAGGGGGGGGGGGAGAAACCACTTATGGGAAGAAGAGGCAACAACAACAGCAAAAAAAACATACATACATACACGCCGAGACTGGCGCGGTGGTTTCCAGTGCAAATATGTATTATGAGGGGAGAATGAATGGCGCATCTGGAAGAGGCTACCGTAATCTATGCGTGCGCATCATTGGCACAATTTTTTGGTGCGCGTTATTATGATGCGACTACGAACACTATTTGTAGGCGCCGCCCGTGTCGGCCCTACACTTTCATATCTTTTTTTGCCTATCCTTTTCTCAATAATAATAATTATTATTTCATCAGCGCTATGGTCCCGTGCCGAAAATAATAGCACGTCGACCATAGGCGAAATGAACAATATCAGAAGACGCGCCAAAATCAGCCAAATACGACGAGAATGCACCTGCATCTCGAAGCCACCCACTCGTGGTTACGGTAGAGGTCTTGAAGCGAGAAATTGGCTTGGGTTGGCCATTGAGTTCAAATCAAATCAGTGAGCCAAAAACACCATCCGAGCAAACAACGCCAGCCGGCCGGCCGGCAGAAACAGAATATGATCGCTGTCGGATCTCGGCGAGCCGAGGGGCACAAAAATAATATTTGTGGATGAGGCCGATGTGTGTTTCTGTCAAAAACTGATGACAGCTCTCTCCTCGGCGTTGGAGAGATTTGGAGGAAGGCGAGGAGGGGGAGGGGAGGGGAATCGAGCCGCACCCCGCCTCCTACAAATAGAAAACAACAAGAAACAAATAAATAAGGTGGGCATCCGGGGGGAGGAGGAGGTCTGAGGAAGAGATGCACCTGCTCTCATTACGGATTACGGTAGACGCGTGTCTAATTGGCTAATTGGCATGCTTCGCTAAGCTTCTCCTCCGGCCCACCTGCACAATATTGGGAGAGCAACTAAAAAAAATTTGGAAGAGAAAGAGAGAGAGAGTTACTGTATGGAGCATTGCTCAGAACTCGATTGTGTGTATGTGTGTGTGTGTGCATTTATTTGCACCGCCACCCCTCGTCCATTTTATGGGCTATTCATTGCAAAATGAATGGCCGAATCGAGTCGCGTCGCGGCCTGGACGACGACGAATAATTGAGTGGACAGGTAATCTCGAATGTATTGCACAATTTTTTTTCGGGTGAAGCGCGCGCGAGCCGCAGCTCATCTAAATTTGATGAGGTGCGCCAATGGGGGGGGGGGATTACGGTCGCGTTGAATTTTAAAAGAGCACACCACGTTCACCAAAGTTGCACCACGCGCCTATCTTATTCTAATTGGGTGTGTGTGTGCGAGCGCGCGCGCGCGCGAGGCTGTCATTTAGGCGAGCGGTTTTATCATTCCACCTGCTTTTCGCGCGATGTGACAACCCCGGATTCGATTAATAATGAATGAAGTTGGAATCGTCGCGGGACCCAAATCACAAAAGGGTGGGTGGCTTCTCGCTCAATTCATTTCATCAATGAATTGCAGCATTCAAATCAGAAATTCCCAAATCAACCAGTGAATACAGTTGCTCGTGTCGGCCATTCAACGAAAGACTGACTCATCTCAATGTGCCAGGCACCAAACAAATCACCGTATACGAATTATCAATCAATTTAGAAGGGGGGTATCGAAAAGGGGAGAAAAAAAGGGCCGGCGGCTTGGCCAAAATAAAATTAGCACGTTTGCCCGAGTTTGTCGGCGAGAGTCGACCAGGTGAAACTCAAGTGATGAGTGTTTGCGAGCCGCCTCAAACAGCCCTCATATTAGGTAATGATAGGGTTTCGAAAATGCAGGGGCACAATTCTCATTCTCTCTATCTCTCTCTCTCTAGCTTTTATCTCAATGACGCTTCGAATCGGCAGGTGAAAATTCTCGGAATGAATCCGCCATCTACCGTAATCGCCGCCGCGGAATTTTACCTGAATTAATTCTCGGCAACGGTCTCGGAGCACCCATAAAATTTTACGACATTGTTGCATGCGGCACGCATAAACATATATTAACTACCTACTAGTAGTAGTTGTTGTTATTCTGGATTGTGGATTAATTAAAAATCACTGCCTTTATTGGGAATGGGCGAAGGAGCGGGGGTGACAATTCAAAATCTCAACTGATCGACGAATTGCGAGCACTCGCCGACCTCCTTCTTGTCAAAGTACGGTGTCGCGACGAAATTGCACACTTTGCGTTGGTTGGCGTCGAAGCACAACTCGCGATAGCACGCGTCGCACAGAAAGCCGGGATTCGACGGCAACAGATCGTCGTGCTCCATGATCGCCCATTCTGCCGATGATTCGGCGCACAGTGCGCACGAGACGCGACGCGAATTGCGCTCGATGAGACGTCGTGGGAATTCGACGTCATCGTGCGATTCATTTCTGCAAAAGCAAGAAAAAACTCAACATTTTTTGATTTTTCAAAACATTTTTTAATAGTTTTGCCTTAAAAACTTCTTCTTTTCAATTTTTTACATTCAAAATCCAAAAAAAAAATTCATCTGGCTTCTTCTACCTCATGATGACGTCATTGAGAACAACGAGATGCTCGCAGACGCCCTGATGAATGTAGACGTATGGGAGACCAAGTCGTCCAACGAGTTCGCCGATTCTTCAAAAAATGCCAAAAATTATAGGGTGCTCACTCGCACAACTCATAAGCGAAATGCCTCCACAAACTTTTGGCTTCTCATCGGCCGCACGTCGAACTCGTCGAACATCGAACGACGACGCGACGCCCAATTGCGGATCTCCAGCGACGGATCGACGACGTTCGGATCGTCGGACGGATCGATGTAGAAGGTGTCGTGAATGAAGAACATCGACGACGGAAATTTGTTCTGCAAAATCGAATTTCGTTGAAATCTGGACAAAAATTTTTAAAAGGCTGAATAGCCCACAAAAGTGTGTCAACTTTGCCGAATTTTTGAACTTCTTTTCAATTTTTCTCATTTATAAAACTATTTTTAGCTAAATATTTCTCGGGAAATCTGCATAATTTCATTTTCAATTTATTATTAAACTCTGATAAAAAATGCATGAAAATGTTCATAAAAACAGCTTAAATTTTGGATTTTGTAAATTTTGCCTCATTTTTCGATTATTCAAATAAATTTTTGCAATTTATTCCTCTTTAAACCTAATTTGATACCAAAAACAATAAAATGTATCAAATTTCAGCATCATTATTAGTTTTTTTTCGAATTTTATTCAAGCAATGTGATTTTTCGTTTCAAAAAAATTGAATATTGGTTGCTTTAAATTTTGAATCGCTTGGGTCTCGTATGGAAAAAACTTTGAAATTTTCTAGATAACAAAATGCAAAATGTATTTCCAAAAATTATTATTGGTAAGCAGATTTTGGGGGAAAGAATTTTAACAGACTGGGGTATTTTTAAAAAATCCGAAAACTGCCAACCCCAGCGAAATTCAAAAAACCTTGGCAATATCATTGAGTTGCGGCTTCTTCTCGCTGAAATCCTCGCAAAACGTGTAGTCCGCCGGACAGCCGAACGCGTTCCTCAAATCGGCCAGCGTGTTCTCGCCGGTGAGCTCGATGCGATCGGTGACTTTGAGCAATCGGCCGAGTCGAACCTCGTGATATTTCAATTCGCGACTGTAGCCGTGATAGACGGACACCGCGACGATCATGTCGGACTAAACCACAAAACAAAATTTGAAATGGTCCGCGCGACGAAAATATTCGAAAAAACAAAATCTCACATAATCTTTCGGGAACTCGATGGGTTTTTGGGGTCCCAGGCGATCTGAAATCGATCGATTTTCTCAAAAACGACCGTTTTTTTTTTCGGCTACCATCCCGATAAGGACTCTGCCGTGCCAGCGCCTTGTAATCGATTCGATCATAACGCAGCGATCTCAACGCAATCGACTTGTACTGCATATTCCGGCGGCGGTAATCTTCGGCGGCTTTCAATCTAAAACGGACCATTTGCGTTTTGTCACGATGGCGGCCGGCTTCAACGTTTGCGAGACGAGATTGCGACGCTCGCCGCTCGCGTCCACCTCGTTGCTTCCCATTGATGATCGGATGTCGGAGACACTGCAAAACTGCTCATTTCTCCAATTAACGCCAATCAATGGTTTACTCGATTGAGGCTAGAATATTATCAGCCATTAAATGATTCATGCCGCATTCCATCAAGCACCCTTTCGGCTCTTTGCCATCCAGCGCTTGATTCAACGCCAATTGCGCCTCGCGCCCAAATTTGTGGAACATTCTGAAAATTGGCAATGTCTCGAATTGTTCCCCCACAATAATTATAGGCCGCTTTCTTGAAATTCACTGGTGACGATGCGAAATCGAGCTCATCGGCCTTCAAAATTCGATCCATCGCAATTAATCGGCCAATTTCACCTGAAGACAATGGCTTAATTGATAACGCCCCCCGACGCTTTTTATTATCAGCAATTCGATTGATAAAATTTGGCAAATTTAATTCAAAATCGCTGACACATTCTCGGTTTTTAAAAGGTTTCAATTATCTAATTCTATTAATTGGTTCCGTGTTCTATATGTATAGTGCGATCCAGTTTCTCTTGTATACAAATCTTGCACTGTCTAATTCTCTCACTATTTTTTTACCCCCCAATAAACATTCGCCATCTTTTTTCGTTTACATTCACCCTCGTTTGTATGCGCAATCGTTATGGAAGATATGTCGGCAGATTGCCAATGGAAACCGATGATCTCGTGCTTCGCGTATTCCCCAAAAATATTCGACCGATTCTCGTGCTCGCCGGCGGCGTCTTATGCATGCTAACACTGGGAATCGTCTACACGTTCGGTAAAACACAACGAAACATTCAATTTACTACTATTAATTTCTCTAGGCAACATTCTACCCTACATGCTCTCCTATTATCGATGGAAAACCAATCCAAATATGACGGCGGGCACGATGTTCTGGCTTCAAACACTGCTGAGTGCGTTCTTTGTTGATTTACACCCAAAAATGACTCACCGTTTACGCGAATTTCCCAAAAAAACGAAGGAAAACATCAAAAAAAAATGATGAAATTCAAATTTTCTATTTAATCCGCAGAAGCCTCACGCAAAATTGCACCATATTTTCCTACCGTACCACCACTAATCATTTTTTTTCTAGGCGGACTGCCAATGGGCATGGTAATCGGCGGCCTAGTGGAAAGATGTTGTAACGGGAGAAAAGGAGCAATAATTGGTTGCATTCTCTACACGTAAATTACAAAAAAAAAAGCAAAAAAAAAAAAGAATTTATTGTTAAAGTTTCGGAATCGGTTCGACATTCTACGCGATCCAGCACTCCTATGCCGCCACATTGCTCACATTCGGAGTGATCGGGAGTTTGGGAAGCAGCATAACGTACAGCTCAATTCTGCCAACAGCGCAGAGGGTGAGTCTTGAGCCATTTGTCTCTAAAAATTTTTTTTGTAATTTTCGAACGTCGAAAAAATCAAAACCAAGTAAAAAACCTACTTTAAAAAAAGCGAGAATTACGCGTTTTTTTGAAAAATTCGTTCCAGTGGCTTCCCGACAACGTCGGAATGGCCGGCGGCGTGATAATCGGCGGCTACGGTTGCGGCGCCTTCATTCTCAGCCCCCTCCAAACCACCTACATCAATCCGTTGGACTATCGCGTGAACGATGAAGGCTTCTTCACCCAAGTGGACCTGCTCGAGCGCGTTCCCTACGTGTTCGTCGTGATGGCGGCGCTGTTCGCGATTCTCCAAACCATCGGCGTCATTTTCATCGGCCAACCATGCGAGGAAGTCAATTTCGGCAACGAGAGCCTCCTCGGCGCCGAGCAGCAAGTCGTCATCGAGAAGCAGCGAATCGCGCCCCAACTTCGCACCTCAACATTCATTGTCTTGTTCGTCTCGCTAACGTGCAACGCGACGTTCGCGCAACTCACCAGCGGCTTATACAAAGCCTACGGACAGAAATTCATCGCTTCTGACTTTTTTCTGAGTCTCGTCGGCTCGATGTCGAGTGTGTTCAACGCGTTGAGCCGTGTCGTCTGGGGTATCATTGTCGACGCGTCGAGCTATCAATTCTCAATGTCCATCGTCACCACAATCGGCGCGTTCCTCTCATTCACGCTTCCATTGGTCCGATCCGCTGGAAACGACATCCTCTTCATGACGGCGGTAATGCTTCATTTTGGGGGCTGCCAACAATTTTCTCAATTTTGTGAGCCTTCAAGCCTCCAATTTTCTTGTCGCACAGCCCTAATTCTTCTTTTTTCCCCTCAAAAAAATTATTTTTTAGGTAAGCTTCATGTTTTCCTGCATCGGCGGCACCTTCTCCCTATTCCCCTTCATCACACACGTTTGCTTCGGAAAAACCAATTTCAGCGTCATCTACGGTTTCCTTCAATGCGCTGTGGTATCGCAAATGTCTGAAAAAGAAACAATTTGAGAAATGGTCGATTTGCAGAGCGTTGCGGGCCTCATTGCCGGTCTTGTGTCGACTCACCTGTTGCCGATGATTGGCTATGAATACCTGTTCATGATCTCCGGATTCTTTATGACGATGTCATTGGCGTTGACGACGCTTCTTCATAAAACCGATATTGCGAGTGTGCGCGCCATCGGACGGGTACAAATCTACGAGAGCAATGACGAGGAGAATTGAAAATCGAGTGTGTCTTTCTATTTGGTTCTGTGATATTTTGATCTCGATCTGAATTTTAAAATAAAATTTGTCAATTTTTAAACAAAATCAATTTCTGAAGAAAAAAACGATTACCAGAAAATTGCGGCCAAATATATATATATATTTTTTTTTTGAAAATTAAAAGAAATTGTGTAGAGAAACGCAGACGACACTATGAAATGTGTGCATTCACCGCGACGAGAAATTGCACGCACATTCAAATTTTACTTCAAAATGTTGCAAATTCAAAGAAATCATTTTCCTTGTTTTTTTTTTCTCTGCATTTACTCTTCTGTAATATCATCTTCAACGGAATTCATAAAAATTTAAATGAAAAATGAAAGAGGGAATTAAATTATTGGTTAGATGGCGATAATTTGTGGCATTTTGAGTTAAACAAATATTATCATAGTCTGTGCGTTGCGGTTCGCGTGCGGTCAAGGCGAATTTTAAATGTTCAAATGTATTCCCAATCGATTGAGATTGGTCTAGTTATATGGATTGTCAAATTTAGCCCCCCCCCCCTTAGAAATTGAATTTTCGAAAAAAAAAAACGTTTAATCATTTTCAGATATTGTTGGAAGAAACTCGAAAAAAAAACCAAATTGTGAACCAATTTTTAAACGTGACACACCAAATAATAATTTATAAAATAGGAAAAAAAATGAGATTTTCAATTATTTTCTGCATTCACCGTTACGATAAAATGCACATCACTTGAAGCGATTTATTTTCCTCAATCATTCGCTCACATTTGAATCATTCACTTTTGAACGTCGACAAAATAAATTTCTGAGCTTCTTCCATTGCTCAACATTTCCAAAAATGTAGCCGAGCGGAAAGAATATCGTCAATGATTCGCTGGAGCACAAATCGCTGACAATCAAATTGGTCCGCGACGAGAACAAATGGTCCTTGAAAATGATGAAAATGCGAATAATGATGATAATAAGCGTTGGCATTGTTTGAAGAATGATATTGATTTGGACTTGCATCTTTCGATGCGGCAAAATTCGCATGGTCCGTATGCGAAGCAACAAATACAAATTGATAGCGATTGCCAAAATTGGAAAGATGATGCTGATTGCAACGATGGCGTAAAATTGGCCAATTAGCCGCGTCGACATCACAGTGTCGCCGCACGAAAATTGGTTGGCAAGAACGGAATGGAACGGGCACGAATTGAGCATATCATAATTGCATTCGAGCATCACTGATATCAAATAGATGATAGCGATTAGCCGAATGATTCGCAACGTGTGCTTCATCCATTTGCCGGTGACATATTTATGATAGTCCGTACTCAAAACGACCATCACGTATCGTTGAACGGCGAGGAAAAGAAGGTAGGATGGAATAATGGGACCATCGAGAATCCGCGAGTAAATTAGAGATAAGTATACGGAAACCCTTGAAGAAATTAAAAATTAATTAAATGATTTAATTGGGATGTTATTTACAACATAATTATGATGTAATAATGAGGAATATCGCCGGGAATTCCCGTTCCGTACACAATTCCATAACTGTTCCACGCTTGAAAAACGCCTTGGAAAAATGTTAGAAGAACCATCGTTCTCGTGATCGTATAGGTGAACATTTCCCTCTCTTGCGCTCGATTTTTATAAAATAATATCGCATAAATGAATGGTAGAATAAAATAAATGATTAAATGGATGAATACCTTTACTCGTACTATTGGATTTGTAATATCATATTCAGTGGAGTTCATGAAAATTGGAATAAAAGATGAAAGAGAGATTGAAATTATTGGTTAGAAGGCGATAATTTGTGGCATTTTGAGATTTTCAAAAAATAAAAGAAACAAAATATTTTTGGATTTCTGTTGAAATCAACATTTTAAAATTCACGTCATATTTTTTTGGCGCAGATTTGCGTGGCGGTGTATGCACTACTTGACTTCTACAGTATCGTGATTAAGAATTGCCAATAAGTGAGTCTTGTTTTCTATTTTTTTTTAATTCTTACAAATCGAATCCAACAATATAATTTTTAAAGCGAATTGATTACGATAATTTTTACACATTCATAAAATTCCGCGTCGATTTGGTCCGATTCCGAATTTGTTTGTTTACCCAAGAAAATCATTAAAAATTTCGCGTTGAAACATAAAAATGCGTATCTATTGAAATATTAGTGAAATTAATTCGAATAAATTCCTCTAAAATTCAAACTCATAGAAATGCGAATTAATTTATTTCGTTACTGTGAGTGCAGCAATGTGCAATACGTAGCGCATACACTGTCACGCAAAAATGCACCACTCTCAAAATTGTATTTTTTCTTCAATCCCAGAGCATTTTCCCCCAAAATGTGAGCTTTTTAGAAAAATTCGCGCGTCAAATGTTTGACGTGACATTCGCCCGTCTCATCTGGATTATTTTCTGCCAAACAATTCATCGCAATTCAACGGTAGGTAAAAAGTATAGTATTTTTTCCTAAAATTGAATTTGTTTCAAGATAATCACATCGGGTGTCAAATAAACGATGGGCGAGATTGCTGAACGATATTATGAGCAAATTCTGACGACACTGGAGACGATGCGGCGTCGATGCATCGCTTATTACGATGGAATTTTCTATATCGGTTGGTTGTTGTGCAAAATTCATCAAAATTTCGACATTTTTGAGGCCGTAAAGTGGCGAAAGCTGCCGAGCGGCTCAAGGAAATCGCTGAGCCGGCCACCTACGATGCCCGCGATTTTGTGAGCTACCGCAATGATGCCTAGAATATAGTTTGGCTTCAGATTGTCCAATCGTGCGCGGAGACCGATCCACTTCAAAACATCGAAACCGAATCCAAGAACAACGTCGTCGAAATGTACCTCGGCATCAGTGTGATCCTCATCGGCTTCGCCGGCGGCCAATTGAGCGGAGCTTACGCGATGTCGCCGATTATTGAACACTTTTTTGACGCCTATGTCGAAATTCTCGTTCTTCTCGCAATTCCGGCTTTCGTGTTTTTCAATATCCGCAAAAACGTCAGTCTGGATGATCATGAGCGCCGCACAACGCTCTTCTCATCGACAATGTTCTTCGGCGTCCTTCTTGGACATCTAATGGGTCCGCGTCTTCTCTCAATCGCCCCTTCTGTGATGTTCGCCACTCCTCTTCTCTTCGCATTGGCGGTAATTAAAAATTTTCCGTCGTTTCTTAAGATTGATTGTTTTAGTTTGACAATGGCGTCGTTCCCACCGGTCTTCCCGCTCTAAGCCGCCATACATTCTTCTACATTTTCTCGGTGATCACCGTGTTCGTCACGACCATTGTAGGTAAGCCAGCCACAAAAAAGTTTCGCTCCCGGGTGGGCTCGAACCACCAACCTTTCGGTTAACACAGATAAACGGCAGCATAGGCACAATGGAAGCATAATGGAACGGCTGTGGATATCATAGGAATCTTATATGCAAGTTATATGGAAGCATAATGGAAGCATTTTTTTGCGGAACCGCGTGTTTCGTATATGGAATGAGCCGTATGCCTTCCATATGGGCAAATAAGAAAACAATTTGATTGCTGTATTCAAAATTTATTTCATATTAACACATTTATTTAATTTAAAATAAAAAAAAAACAACAATGAAATGAATTTCAATTAAGATATAATCAAACCATTAGTTACTGGCAACTGCCGAACTATTCGAATCATTGTCAGTACTGACATCGAGCGGGACGCTGTAATAAGTAGAATTCATATCGTTCACACTTGGTTAAAAAGCCGTGTTATGATATTTTTAAAAACAACAACTATTGCTAAGAAATTAGGCAAAAGTCCTAATGCACATTTAACCTATCCTTTTTTCGCAAATATACGCTTGTAGAAAGAAACCGTTATCGAATTTTTACCTTTTCTCCACTTTTCCTAGTCGCTACACTTCGATTATAATGGGCCTATTAATTTGAAAAACTTGTAAACCATTGTTACGTAAACTAAATTTTTCGAGAAAATACAATCAGTTTTTTTTACATCAATAATTTTCTTAAAAATAAAAATAATTTATTTTTATTGCATTTTTGGAAACCCTTTAGTGCACAAAATAAAAAGTGAATTGGCGGAAGAAAGAACAACTCCAAAATTTGAAGCAAAAAGGCATTTTGGTTAAAATTTCAAAGACATATGAATACTCACATCTGAGGGTTGCTGGTAGAATCAAGCAGCTTCCTTAATTGCGCCGCGAGCGCTTCCGGCGCTACACCAAATTTCCTTTAAAGTCGTTGGCACATTCTATCGCTTAATCAAATAAATAAATTAATAGTCATAGCTCAAAATCTTACAGAAGATTATCCATGACTTCTCGAACCATGCGTAATGCTTTCGCTTTGAAGTCATTTGTCGGTTGTTGCCCAAAGCCATGGATAAGAACATCTGTAATATAGATATTTGCAATAAAGTATAGGATCTTTATATAGTCGGCGTCTGGCGACTTCTGTACTAGAGCCCCACTTAAAAAGATAAATGCCACTGAATGATATTGGTACGAAGGCTGTACGGCAATCGGAAATTTCGGCGATTCGGCTAATGGCAAATTACCGATCGAAATTTTCTTCGGCAATTTGAAAAACCGGCAATTTCGGCAATCGGCAATTCCATTGCCGCACAGCCCTGATTGGAACCAAATAATCAACAAGCTTTAAACTTAGGAAGTACTTTATAAAGACTTCATTGCGCATATTTATCTAATTGAAACCATTTCTGGAGTCGAACAGGCCAATTTTTGATGATAACAACTTACAAATTGCGCGTACGAAGGTTTAGGAATTGGCGTTGATTTTGTTGTTTGTGAGGACTGTGGAGAAAAATTTTTTTGCTGAGTTGGCGAGTAAATTGGACTATCTGGATCTGAAGTGTCGAGCGAATTTGGTTCCATGTTAGGGACTTCTGGTTCTTTGTTATTGACTTCTAGAGCAGTTTCAGTTATATCTGACAACACTCTCGATCTTGTCTTCATCTGTAAAAAATTTCAAAACATTATGTTTTATTAAAAGAAAAAAGCGAGCGATAATAAAAAATATGTTAAAGTAAATAAAAATAAAACGGATTCGATGAGAAATTAAACACAATTCGATTGAGAAAATATTTAAATTCGATTTTAAAAGTGTCGGAAACGATTTGAAAACATCGTATCGATTTTAAAATTTTCGAATGATGATAAACATGAAAATGATAAACATGAAAATTTTTCGTTTATTTTTTAAAAACATTTTTCCTTTAATTTTGAAAAAAATTCTTTAATTTTTGACAAAAAAAAACACAAAAAATCTTGAAAATTCATTGAGAAAAAGCAAAAGGACAAAAATTTTGAAAACGAATTTCGAAAATGTGAGGCGTGGCCGCATTGTGCAAAGCGGCGCACGGTTTTGCAATGCTGCGGCACGCCTCTTCTACGCGCGTCTGCTACCAGTTTGGAGCAAATTGTGAGTAGTTTGCGATGCCAATTTCGGAAAAACCGGCAAAAATATATTAATACGACTAAATTGTAGTTGGCAATCTTTAAACAAAGTAAGGAACAGTTAGTTGACTGAATTAACATAAATCTGAGTAGCATAAGTCATTAAATGGTAGAAGCTAAATTTCGTATGTTGTGTATCATGTAATTTTCAAATTTTCATTGTTTATATGATAGCATAAGTTTTTTGTATTGATTTTTCTAGAAATTGTCTTGGTCTGCCGTCCAGACGCCAATTGTATAATGTGTAATGATATATGATTATTTTATCCATATTTCATCCATATTCGTTCCACGGCTCGCAAACACCGGAAGCATATTCATCCCGTTTTCATTCCATCCATATTCGTCCCATATTTCTTCCACAGCCACTAAGAATTACATTATGCTTCCTATATGGAAGCATTATGCTTCCGTTCCACAGATTTCCCACAATACTTCCATTATGCTTGCGTCGCGCTTAATCAGTGAACAGCCGAACGCGCTGCCTATTGCGCCACGGAAGCGCTGAGTGCGTGGCGGCAAGAGTGCAATGATAAATGTGCTGGTTTGCAGCGGCCTTCGTCCTCGGCTATTTCACGTTTGTCGGCGCACTGTTCAACATTTTGCACGCCGCCGGCCTCTTTCTCCATTTTCAGGTGAATTTGTGCGATAATTACCGTAATTAAGTGATTTCTGTGTAGATAATTATGCAATATGTCAAAGACAAAAGTTTTATGGTTGGCGAGAGTCAAATGGCCTATGTCGGAACTATTATAGTCGTACAGGTATAGCAAAAATTTTCTTTTTTTTTCAGATGTGAAAAGACAACAATTAAAATTTCAGGTGATTTTTGCAACAATTTTCGGCTCGAATCCCCATCTGAAATCGAAGTGATGTTAATTTGTTGTGTTCGCGAAAAAAGAAGAAAGAAATAAACATTTTTTTTTGATTTTTACGCGTGAGAATTGACCATCAATTTTCGGCATTTTTCTAACGAGAACAACAAGTGAAAAAACGCGCAAATTGAGGGGGAAAAAGAAAAAAGATGAGCTATCATTCATGCCGAAAACGACACTGCAAAAAGCCGAAGCGAAATGTCGATAAGGAATATCCGAAGCGGCACGATGAGGAGACGCCTCCGCAGGCGATTGTTCGCCAACCCAAAGTCTACGAAGCCACCGACGACACAAAATGGTCGGTGCCTTCCGAATCCGAAGCATCCACCTATAAAAGCTCGAGAAGGTCGCGAAGAGCGTCGCCGAATCAATTCGCCATCGAAAGTTTGGTTGAGCCGCAACTCGAGCAGCACTATCAAGGCGTATTAAACAAAAAAGAGGTACGGTAGACGCGTGTGGGTTGTGCGTGTACACCGAGGCGGCAATGTGCACACAAGAAAAATGTTGATTTCAGGCCGCTCAAATCACCCGCCTCGACGATTTTATATTGTATTATCGAATTGCGAAAGAGCCGCTGAAAGCCGATGTGCCGATATCGATTCCATTATTCATTTGTCATCGCAACACCGACAACCAGGTGTTCAATTTTCGCGTTCAGCAAGTCATCAGCGAGAACAACAGCCTCTGGTGGACGGTGATCATCAACAAGCAGCCGACTCAATTGGTATTGTTCGAGTCGAACGCGGCCAACTCATCCAACATTCGTGTTCTTCAGTTTCGCCGAATGTCCGACCTCGTCCGCTGCTATCACACCTATCGCTACACTCATCCGGAGACGGGCAAATCGGAGGTGTTCCCGTTGTGGAAGGATCGCAAAGCGACCGTCGAGAACATCGCGCCGCCGACGAATTAATGCGAGCCGCCGAAATAAAAACATATTTTATTCGAGTGTGCGTGTTGTTGTTTTACTGTACATCATCAAAAAACATCAACGTGTCAACAACGGCAATAAACGGGGCCCGTCGGCGATAAAACGTCGACATAAAATGTGGAGCCGTATAAATAGGTGAAGCCGATTCGACAACAGGCATTTTCCATCCACACATACACACACACACAAAAAGATGCACGTTGCGATTCTCGCTCTCGTGCTGCTAATTCCGATTTGCTCATCATCGGGAGCGCCGCCATGTAAGGGGGCGGGGTGTTGTTGGTTTTGGTTGAAAACGGCTGGTTGCAGATTGCGAGCCGGAGCCGCCTTGTATACCGGAGCCGCCTTGCGAGCCGGAACCGCCTTGCGAGCCGGAGCCGCCATGCGACGACACGACGACACCGCCGCCACCGACGACGACGACGACAACGACGAAACCGCCGCCATATTGCCCTCAAAATTTCACGATGTTCGTTCGAACGCCGACGTCGAAGAACAACTTCACATCGCATTGGTGCATGCGCTACGTGTTCACCGATGAGCCGATCAAGAGCGGCGACGCGCACAAACTTTGCGAGCAGTACGGCGCCGTTCTGACGATCTACGAGAGTTTTGACGAACGAAAGGTGCTCAACGGTAATAGAGAGAAAGAGAGAGCGGAAGAGATTTCAGCCGCCCGACATTTTCAGACATTGCCGTCGACGTGGCGAAAAATCGATATCGCCATATCATTTCGCTAACGACTGACGGCCGACGCGTTCCCGAATGCGACTACTATCATCGCGATGATGAGTATTGTAAAGACAAAACGAAAGTGTTCAAGATGCAAGATGCCAACACCGATCCGACATATGCATTTGAAAGTTGGATGCTCGGACAGCCGGACAGTCAGAACAACGCCGAGGAAGGGGCATTCCAACGCACCAGGTAGATGTCAATCAAAGAAGACGGCTCGCTGACGTACCAATCTGATTCTAGAAATATGACGGGTACCGATAACCGCTATGTCGAGGATTGTCTCACGCAGATTGTTGACAACACCGAAGATAGTTTGAAACTAAATGATATGTTGTGAGTGTGTCGATATCGGACCATCGCGAATGGTTCGTCGTTTTTTTTCCCCATTTTTCAGCTGCGATTTCGCCATTCCATTCAACATCGACGTTCCCGAGTTCCAGAGTCGCGGCGCGTTGTGCGGTCGGCACGCGTTCAACAGCTAAATGAATCGCAACGGAAATAAATCGCGAATTCATTTCGTGTTCAATGCCCATGATAAAGCTCTCGATCCGATTTCTCGAGGTGCGCTTGCGCGAGCAGTTTGTTCTTCTCGGCGCGCTTCCGCCGCTTTCGCTCCTTCTTCTGCTCCTCGCTTTCCGGCGGCAGATCATCGCCGTGCGATTCGAGATCCGTCTGAAAGAGAGACCATTTTTGGAAATACAAAAAACAACATGTTGGTCGAGTTGCCTTCGGCTCTTCGGGCTTATTCTTGAGGTGGCCGAGACCCCAATCGATTTCCGAATTATCATCGCCATTCGTCGCCTTCTTCTCATCGGTCTTCGGTGGATGATCCGACGGCGGAGCCGATTTCTGAATTTCGAAAATTTCCAAAAACGTCGCGAATGGATGTAATACTTCTTTGGCGGCAGCCTTCGAGCTCTTCGCCGTCTCCGCTGAATCGTGATTCTTATTCGTCACCGGCGCGGCTTCAACGACGACAGCGGCTGGTGGTGGCGGCGGTGGCGGCGCCGCCGTTGCCGCCACCGCTATTTTTTCGTCGCTGATGGTCACCGCCGCCGGAAACATTGGCGATTGGCTGACGGTTGGCGATGGTGTCGCCATTTTTGGCGGCGCCTTCTTCTTCTGCTTCTTCTTCTTATTCTTTTTTGATGTTGGTGCTGACTGCAAAATTGTCGAGTTGCACCAATTTTTTTTTGGTTTTTGGCGCCAATCACCTTTGTCGCCTCTTTCGTGGCGCATTTCGCAATTTCGAACACCGCAAAACTGACGGAAAACATGAACAACGCAATTTCGGCCATATCATGGGATGGCGAACATAGAAAATGAGTCAATGGCGTTGATTATTATTTATTTCGATTTCTTTTTTTTTCTTCCTCGTCTTTTTTTTCTCCAATTACCAATTAATTAATTAACAATAATTATCATCATTATTATGATATTTTAAAAAAACTGATAAAAAACAAGAAAAGGGGGATAATTTGTTGATCATCTGCAATAATAAAAAATAATGGAATTCGTTGGGATTCCGATGTGGTGGCTCACATGAATCCAACCTTCTCCATGGAGATTTTGAATACGACGTCCATGCAGCTGTCGAACACGTGATCGATGTTGCGCGTGTCGGTGGCGTTGGTGAAGTGCGCGTACACCGGCTTCTCGTGTTGAATGCTTGAGCCGACCTGTCGGGTGAATCGCTCCTTCACATAGTTGGCGCATGACTCGAAATTTTGGGCGCCTGAAAATTGATGGCGGTGGCAATCAGCACATTTCTCACTAAGCGTTGTCATGACAACCTTTGTAATTTTTGAAGCACGTCTCCAATTTGTACGTGTTGATTTTGTCGCGAAAAATGTCGATTTTGTTCAAAAACAGAATGATCGCCGTCTTTTTGCCGAAGCATGGATGATTCGCGACGCTCTTGAACAGATCCATCGAGTATCGTAGGCGATTCTTCGGACTGCCGTCCTTCTCTTTGATCTCGCCGTCTTGCATCACGAGATTGTAGCCGCTGATCTCGGCGATGAACAAAACGCCGTTGACATTGTCGAAGCAATGTATCCATTTGCGTTGCTCGGATCGCTGACCGCCGACGTCAACCATTCGCAGTGTGACTTGTCGGAATGGGAACTCGATTTCGGTGATGCCCGTCGTCGGCACGCGCGCCTTCAAAACGTCCATTTGAGTGGCTTTGAAGTCGGGCGCCGCGATCCTTTCAATATCGTTAAGAAAACTGCAAAAATTGCATTTTCGCGACCCAACAATTTTTTTGATTACTATGTCGCCGAATCCATAAGATCGATCTCGTTCTTTCGGCTGAGCACCGCCTTGACAAATTCGGAATCATAAAGAACTCGAATCGTGCTCGCCAACTCGCGAGGTAGCTCGACTTCTGACGGCCGCACATGCTTCTTATAGGCTTCGAAAAAGTTGAGAGCCGCCTGCAAAAAATATTTTTCATCGGTAGTTGAAGCTAGAAAATTGTATCAAGCCTACTCGAACTTCCTCATTATCATCGGGCGTGAATTTGAGCTTCTCGGCGGCGCGCAATATCTGATCCATCGATTGCACAATATTGCTGTAGATGAGGTAGCGAAAATTGACGTAATCAAGCTCGGAGAAGCCGTTGAGGTGAAGAATGCGCATCTGTTTGAACACGGTGCTTTTGCCGCACTCGGGACCGCCTTTAAAACAAAAACCACTCAATTTGTGAGGACGCGAGAACTCGCGGGGAACCTAGCAGCAAGATTTTCAGCGTTCGCCTCAAATGCACCTTCTCCTTCTCGAGTTGTCGTTCGATAAGGCTATTCTTGCGGACCATCTCGCCCATGCTGAGCGCCGTGCCACCGCACACATTTACCCTAAAAACAGGAAGCAAAAAAAATTGGCGTGATGCGAATTAATTAATTAAAGCGCGCAAATTACTTGTTGTGCAATTGCGCGTTGATGCCGCATCCCCCACACAGCCAAACGCCAAAATTGATGTTTGAGACGGTCGTTGTGTCGGCGACAATCGTTGAATCCAGCTAAACGAACCAGATCAATGGAATTTTAAAATTGAGAGCAACCTCTGGTTGTCGAGTTATAATGTCACCAGAAGGCGCGACAATGTTCGTCGTCGTCGTCGTCGTGAAGATACCACCGGTGTGACTAACGCCGAAATGAGTAGTTGTCGTAAATGATGCAATTGTTCTGAAGACAAAAGTTAATAAAGTTTTTGTGACAATATGTGTCCGCAAACACCATCGCATAAAATTGCGTACAATTTTGAACAAAACGAAAAGGCGTTTTTTTCTTCGAAAAAAAAAAAACTCTAGAAAAATCTTTATGAATGCGTTAAAGTGGAAACGAGTGATTCGGCAAGCTCTAATGAGCATTTACTTGAATAATGTGTGAAAAACAAAAAAAAGGAGGCGAAACGAGCGGGCGGGCGACACCTCAATTCCCCCAAGTCGCTAAAAACCTGATAATTATTTATCCGACAACTCAATTATAGGGTGTGACAACGTCATAATTAAACGGCGAAGGGCGTGACAGGAAAAATGAAGAAGACGAGAGCGAAGCAAACTTGAAAAATTGTCGAATCACATGAATTCAGGTGCAAACTTCCAGCTGCCGCTGCCCGCCATTGACGCATTGCCGTGATTGCTGCTGTTTGGGCACAAGCCTTCCAGGGTGGATCGAATTTGCGCGAATCACACCCATTAAAACCCATTCTATTACAATTCCTCAATTCTACTCTTTATATCACATGAAAAAAATCGAAGAAGAATAATTGCTGACAATCTAAAAACAAAAGACTTTACACATTTCAATCAATCAATAATAGTAATAATTATATATATATGTATATAAAATTCCATTTCACCCGTCAATGAGTGGAAGAAAACGAAACAATAATTATAATTATTGATAAATATGTATAATAAGTATATATTCATTCTTCAGCCGGCTCGACAAGTGTTAAAACCCGCTCAAGCAGCTGCTGGTACTGATGGATATAGTCGTTGGTCTTCAGAATCTTCTCAATGTACTCAGCTCTAGTGTTCATCTCTCGAAGCTTATCGCGAAGATCTACTCGCTTCCTCGCCACCTTCTGCTTCTCCTCCCAAAGGCTCTCTTGCGTGTATTTCGCCTAGAGTGATATCGGCACATTTTCAAAATCGTCAACATTTTTTCGAGACAAACAACCTTCATATGGAATTCGGAGAGTTGCGCCTTCACATCGGTCATATAGGCCATGAATGCGATTCGGTACTCTTCGCACGTCTTTTTGAACAACCTGCAAAAAGATTAAACGAATTGCAGGTGGACTTTCACTCGTCATTCTCTCGCCAATTTTAGAATGAACTACATATCTATTTTCAAGTAAAAAAAAAAAGACAAACAAAAACTCACGGCTTCGGCAGCTCCTCTTCTTCAAGACGATTCGCATAGCTCAATATTTTCGTCGTGTAATGCAGAATATCAACGGCGGTATTATGCTGCATGACCATCGTCTTCAATTGTGTGTTCAGTGTGATCACTGGAATTCCAACGTCAAAATCTTAATTACCATATTGTCAGCGTCGCGCGCCTGTGGGGATATTGGATAAATGCCAAAACATTTTAAAACAGGTCTCGATGCGCCTTTAACCTATCCAATAGATCTCGTAAATCTACACTTTTAGTTTTGCGTATTTTTTGGCATTCAGCCAAAATTTCCGATGTCGCGCGACGTCGTCAATTCAACTCACTGTCTTCGGCTCTTTCCATCACCCGCTTATGGAATTGTGTTTCGACGGTCGCCGTCAGACTCTCATCAATTTTCCGTTGCATTACGGCGAGATTGACGGCCAACTGTCGTCGTTCCGTCTTCTCATCGCATAGTTTGTCGACGACCTCACGCGTTTTCACCTCATACTTGCCAAGCGTCTAGAAAAAAATTGAATTTGCGCCATGATTCAGAATTCTTTTCGATGTTCAAATAGCGGAAACAAAAATTGTGTGCGTCAACGCACAAATTTCCGAGAATCACTCTCACCCCATGCTCATCAATGTTCAATCGTGCGGCTCGAAGCTTCTCATCGACCTGACCAATGTCTCGACACAGTTCAGAGCACACCGTCTTCGAATGCTTCTTAACCTCATTATAACGCTTGACAAGATCGTTGAGCTTTTGGTTATCGCTAAAAAATTGAAACTAAAACATTTTTGGGTGAAATCCTATCAAAAAATTTCCTACTCAGTGGAGTACCCTTTAACAAGCTCATGTACATGCGACCACTGCTTCTCAAGACTAATATATTCGACTTGAGCTTGCGCGTATTGAAACGCGTCAAACTCGATCATTTTGGTGAGTCGTCGGAGTTCTTCATTAATCTAAAGTATTTCGATTGAAATTTCAGGGGTTTTTGCGGATGACTCACATTGTTAATGACTTCTTCATACCGCTCCCTTCCTTCTTTGTCATTGCTCATTTCCGCTTGATAAATCTCCTCAATTTTTGCGCTATCCAAATTCTCTTTAATCCACCGCCCGACAGCGTATCGAACTTTCTGGAAGACAAAAAAAAAACGAGTTTGCCAAATTCTGCAAAAATGATTCGAGTCACCTCACTGCTGCAAGCTTCCAGCGCCGCCGTTGCCTCATTCGCCTTGAACTCCTTGATGCTCTCCGACGTCTTCTTCTGCACCACGTCCTTGACCGCCTGCACGTACTCGGCGAACGTGGTGCGCGCGTCGATCTCCAAATTCATCGGCCGACTAATTTCGGTGCGCTTCATATTCCGCTTCGTGAACGTCTTGTCCTCGCTGACCTGTTTGTCAAGGAACTCCATGAACTCTTTCTTCTTCTGAAAACGCACAAAATCAATTGCAAAATTTGTGTGGGTGAAAAATTTGCGTTACCGCCTGCAGGTCTTCGTTTATCTGATTGTTGTAATACTCGACTATATTCGCGTACCATTGCGCGGTATTCTCAAGCTTGTCCTTCTTCGACATCTCCTCAGAGACTTTCACCAACCATTGGATGATCGGAAAAATGCTGACGTAGTCCAATCCCTGAATTTGATGCGGCTCGATGCGATACGGGCAATTCAATCCTAGCAACGCTCTAACTATCACTTCTGTCGTGGATCTATAAAATTAACTTAAACTGGCTATTAGTTAACTCGTCTACATTCGGTGTCCTATTGAGCAATTCTCCTCGTAGAGTAGATTCAAATCAACCGATATATTACACCGCACTAAACACCAAACCATTCCGCCAACAATCTGAATTTACATTAATTCGTTGCCTTTGAATTATTGCCTCTGAAAATTACCCTATCGAAATAATCTAGTGATGACGACATCACTTTCTTGTAACCAGCGGCGTTTAAAATTTCTATACATTCTTCGCGTTTTTCAATTTGTAGGCATTCGAGACCGATCTGAAATTGTTGTTTTTGAGAAATAAATAAAACGAAAAAACTTGACACCGAACCTTTGTTGATGGCGGTTTTGACATTATGGTGGTGTTGTCTGAAACTAGAAAAAATGATAATGATAAGGATTGATGAATTGATGAAATATAGTTTATTTCTAAAGAAAACCCGCGGCCCGACGCGCAGAGGAATCTGACTATGAAATGGGGCATTTTCAAAAGAATCTGTGCATTGTGTGCGTCATATTGCGCGCATTGGCCGTGAAAGTGCGTGCGCGTGCGCGGCAAATTCAAAAACGCCTCCTATTTTTTTGTCCGTTTTTCCTTTCATCAATGAGCAAACACGCAGCGACAAAATCGGCATTATTTTCGTCGCCAGTAACGCCGGTAATTTTTGCAAAAATTAATTGAAGCCTAAAACGTTGGTTTTCAGAAGGCAAAACGTTTCGCAAACGCTGATGTCGTGTTGAACGCGACAAAATTCCAAGAAGCGATTCAGGAGAATGCGGCGAAAATCGCCGAGACAACGCCAGATCCGATATCATTAAAAGATCGTGGTAATTTAGGAAAAATAGCACGAAAAAAATGAAATACAATTTTCTAGTGGAACCGATGGAAATTGACGAGACGAGCGGCGACGAGCCGTGCTCAACGGCGAAAACGCCGAAAAGGAGATCGATTCCGGCGTTCGCCAAACGCAAATCGATATGTTTAACATTTGCCGAGGCCGAGAACGACAAAGTCAAAGAGATGTCGAGAATGGTGGAAGCGGCGCACGAGTATCGCGATTTTCTCAAATCGCAAATCGACAAGTTCGACGAGATCGACGCGCGAAGTCGTCGACGTCTCGAGCGTGCTCGACTGCGCGCCGCTTCCGAATTCGTCACGTCGAGAAATTCGACGCAAAAAGTGCCGAATATTCATGAGATCATGACGACGAAATCGCAGCGAACCGAAATTGACGCACTCAACGAGGCGCTCATCAATTTCCGCAAATTGACCGTCAAAAATGTGAGATTTGCGAAAAATCAAAAAAAAAAATTTAGTAACCGATTTGAAATTTAGGTGAAACACGCCGCATTACAAGCGAAATATATGGAAAATGAGAAGAAAATTGAGAAAGAGGTTGGATTTTGAAAAAAAAATTTTCCATTCAATTATTTTTTCTTTGCTCTAGGAGAAAAAACTCGAGGCGCTTCGAAAGCTTCATGAAACGCTGATGCTCGGCGATGATGAGCGCGAGCAGATTCGCCAACGGAAGGCGACAATCGAGGAGAATGCGAGAATGGCGGCGAATTTGTTGGGTGTGGCGCGCGAGATGGCGTCCATCGCATTGGCGCCAATTCAAATCATTTAATCATAATAATCATCATTTGACTGTAAATATTATTATTCGTTGGCGGCAAATTATTTTTATTAGTATTTTATTATTCATTAAAGATGGCTGATATTTATTTATTATGCGACTTTGAACAATCGATTTCAAAAAATAGACAATTTCAACAAAAAAGTCCGTTTTGTTAATAGAAAACCCAAAATGGTGTCGAAATAGTTAATTTGTTGAACCAGTCGGTGGTCTCGTCACGAGGTGTTGCTACAATTATGGATTCGAGTCTTGCCTCTGGTGTTGATGGTGCTCCAGAGGTCGTTGAAGCTTCCAGCGAAGCGAGCTGGTTGGTTTCGAAATTTCCAATCACTAATTTCCAAATCACGGCTAGAGAAGCAAATAATTGAAAAATTGATAATTTTTGTTACCATTTTTCACGGTTCTATTAATTTAAATTGATTTTTGTTGGACAATATGTACATCGTTTGTTATTAGCCGCTTCATCACCATATTGGGTACACAACGAAATGGTTCACGCTGGACCTTGCGACGAAATGGTTAGTCGCACAAAAATTATCTCCCAATTCCCCACGGTTTAAATCAAAATTTGAATTACCGCACGAGAAATCGAAAAAAGTAATCAAGTTGCTCGTGTTTTTGATATGATGTGGCTCTAATTGGCGTTGCAGAGACTTCCAAACTCAAAATGAAGGATTCTGACACTCTGAATCTGAATACATAATATCGATGACATCTGCAAAAAAAGTATTGTAATATTTGAAGCGACAAATCCCTCGGGTGAATGAAAATCAATTGGATTCGAAAATAATTTCGTTTTCAATCTAAATCGAATATAAATTAATCTGTTTCGAATTATTCCACTTTCCATCGGATGCGATTTCAAAATTGAAAATGAGAAATAAATCAATCGATTTCGAAGATTTTTGAATCGAAACCAAAATTTCAAATTGAATTTAAGCGTTTTCTTAATCGAATTTGAATTATTTTTCAATCGAAACAGGTTAATTTATATTTAATTTTTCTTTGATTGATTTTCATTTACCTGAGCCAGCGGGACAATCGATTTAAAAAATCGCAACAAATTCGACAAGAATTGTAAAATTATTGCAAACATGATGTATTTTGAAATGGTCCCAAACACATTAATTTCGAAATATCGCGCATTTTTAAATATTCATATATTATCGATTTAAAATGAACAAAAAAATGTGTCTATGAATAATCCGAAGTTGAGATGTTAAATGGAATCGGGCTTCACAAATTTAAATCAAAAAAATACTGAAATTGTAACAATGGCATAGAAAATCAAGAAAAAAACCGATTTCCTTGGATTAAAAAAAAAAGTCCGCAATCACTTGCCGCCTACAGTATCCGAATAATAATAAAAAACAATTTCAAACCTAAAAACACGTAATTTGTTCGTGACATCATAAAATTGATCAATATTTTGCGTTGTTTTCAACACCACAAAACTATCTCGTCTGTTTGCTTTTTTTCGAATTTGTTCCTATTATTTTTAATGTTTAGAACAAACAAATAGACCAACAAAATAAAAAATGATTGTCGTGTGTTGCCAATTGGCTAATCCTTACTGGGTACTAAGCCTCGCTATACACAAAACCAAAACGGGAAACACCGCCGCTGGTGTTGGTCGCCCCCCCCCCAATTATTGCCTTTTATTATCATTGATTTATTGGCCATATTCGGCCGACCGACGCATTTCCTTCTTCAATTTCTCATCAGTAGGAGAACACACGAAGAATGACACTCGACAAGGGTACATTGAACGTTATTCAGCTCTCAATATCATTTATGCTCCAATTTTTCGCCTATATGTCTCAAGGTAAGCGTATGCGCCTTTAAAGTGGTCTCCCTAGACGCTTTTCGGTAAAAAAAAACATTGCGAATTGTTTTCGTCGAAAAAAAATCAATAATAAAATAAGTTAGAAACTTGACAGATATACCAAAAAAAATCAAATGTGTTCATTTCCATCTGCGCCTTTGAGATATCAGGCTATGCGCCTTTAAACTTTTTTGGTTTCCTTATGCACCTTTAAAATAAAATATAATAATTGGGGATGCATTTTTACACTTTTTTGCCTATGCGCCTTTAAACTGCCAAATTTGCCTATGCGCCTTTAAACATCTATTCTTGCCTATGCGTCTTTAAACTGACAAAGTTGCCTAGGCGCCTTTAAACATATATTAATGCCTATGCGCCTTTAAACAAAAAGTCTTGCCTATGCGCCTTTAAATATCTATTCTTGCCTATGCGCCTTTAAACAGCCAAATTTGCCTATGCGTCTTTAAACTGCCAAATTTGCCTATGCGCCTTTAAACATCTATTCTTGGCTATGCGCCTTTAAACAGCCAAATTTGCCTATGCGCCTTTAAACATCTATTCTTGCCTATGCGCCTTTAAACATCTATTCTTGCCTATGCGCCTTTAAACATCTATTCTTGCCTATGCGCCTTTAAACATCTATTCTTGCCTATGCGCCTTTAAACATCTATTCTTGCCTATGCGCCTTTAAACACTGCCCGCACATATCCAATTCGATGCGCCTTCGAGTCCGATCGGTGCTTGAATCGTTGAATGAATTTCAGAATTCATTCAAGAGCCGCTCATCGAGAGCGAATCGCGCAACGGCGCCAACATCGACAAACACGCCGGCTACAACAGCTTCGCGATCCTCTACTTCTTCTTCACAATCTCGTGTCTCATCGTGACGCCGCTCGTCGAGAAGCTCACCGCGAAATGGTCGATCGCGTTCGGCCTTCTCGCCTACATCGTCTTCCAGATCGGCTTCATCCATCTCAACGTCTACTATCTCTACATCACCAGCGCGTTTTTGGGTGTCGGCGGCGCGTGTGAGTCCATCGTTTTTCATTTGTTCCACCATTCTTTCGCTTCTTCCAGTTTTGTGGATCGCTCAGGGCAAATATTTGACGGAGAATTGCACCGGCAAAACCATCGAGCGCAACACCGCAATGATGTGGGTGATATTCAAATTGTCGTAAGTTGATCTACCCACCCCCGCGAAACGATTATTACGATAGCGCGAGTTGAGATTGCTTGCCGGCGGCGTTTTCCTCTATTTCATGTTTCGCCATCAGACGCTTAGCGATGTCGTCGAGAATCGAATGGTGAGTTATTTTTGAATTCTTCAATTTATTAAAAAAAGGGTGGCGCGTCTTATCACCGCCATCTGCGTCGTGCTATTAGTGTGTCAGTATGGCCTAGTGGTATTGCTGCGGCAGTACTGCCGCAGCAATACCGCTCCACCGCTCGTTTTCAGATCGTCTACCTCTGCCTGATATTCGCCTCGATTTCGACTGTCGCCGCAATCAACATCATGCTTCTTCCGGCGCCCGCATATCCGCCCGAGAAACGCCAACGCGAGACGATCGCGCAGACACTGAGTACGGTAGCTACAGTAGGCCAGAAAAATCGAGACTACGATTTTCTTGTCTTTCCCTCTTTAATAGTAGGATTACTGTAGACGCCCTCTTTAAACAGGGGTTACAATAGCCCAGAGAACGTCTACAGTATTATTTAAAGGGGTGGAGATAAGCAATATTTTGATTTACAGAATCGACATTCAAAATAATGGCGACGATGAGGATGTCGCTGTTGGCGGTGTTGTTCGTCTACGCGGGCTTCTCGCGGTCGTTCTGGATTGGTAGATAAAAAAAAAGGATTTTTGACTTTTGTTTGTTTTTCCTCATTTCCAGCCATCTATCCGACGTGCATCAAATTCACGACGCGTCTCGGCGAGAACACGACGAAGCTGTTGGCGTTGAGCGGCATTGCGACCGGCGTCGGCCAAACCGCCGCCGGTGTGCTCTTCTCGATCATCGGCAAACACGCGCGCGTCGTCGGCAAAGACATCATTGTGCTTTTCGCGTCGGTGCTTCACGTCGCCGTCTTCGTTTTGATCTACCTCCATTTTCCCGACGAGGCGCCGCTTCATCCGACCGAATCGCGCGGCATTCTTGAGCCGAACGTTGAGATATCGCTGATTTGCTCGGCGCTTCTTGGATTCGGCGACGCCATTGTTCAAACGCAAATCTATTCGTATCTCGTTGATGGGTATTCGAGTGAAAGCTCGCACGCATTTGCGCTCTTTAAGTTTTATAGTGTGAGTTGTTGAGAAAAAATTTGAATTTTTCAAAAAATGGTGGCGCGCCTTATCACCGCCATTTGTATCTATTGATCGCAGTGTTAACATGGCCTAGTGGTCTTCACAGATAAACGGCAGCATAGGCACAATGGAAGCATAATGGAACGGCTGTGGATATCATAGGAATCTTATATGCAAGTTATATGGAAGCATAATGGAAGCATTTTTTTGCGGAACCGCGTGTTTCGTATATGGAATGAGCCGTATGCCTTCCATATGGGCAAATAAGAAAACAATTTGATTGCTGTATTCAAAATTTATTTCATATTAACACATTTATTTAATTTAAAATAAAAAAAAACAACAATGAAATGAATTTCAATTAAGATATAATCAAACCATTAGTTACTGGCAACTGCCGAACTATTCGAATCATTGTCAGTACTGACATCGAGCGGGACGCTGTAATAAGTAGATTATAATGGGCCTATTAATTTGAAAAACTTGTAAACCATTGTTACGTAAACTAAATTTTTCGAGAAAATACAATCAGTTTTTTTACATCAATAATTTTCTTAAAAATAAAAATAATTTATTTTTATTGCATTTTTGGAAACCCTTTAGTGCACAAAATAAAAAGTGAATTGGCGGAAGAAAGAACAACTCCAAAATTTGAAGCAAAAAGGCATTTTGGTTAAAATTTCAAAGACATATGAATACTCACATCTGAGGGTTGCTGGTAGAATCAAGCAGCTTCCTTAATTGCGCCGCGAGCGCTTCCGGCGCTACACCAAATTTCCTTTGAAGTCGTTGGCGCATTCTATCGCTTAATCAAATAAATAAATTAATAGTCATAGTTCAAAATCTTACAGAAGATTATCCATGACTTCTCGAACCATGCGTAATGCTTTCGCTTTGAAGTCATTTGTCGGTTGTTGCCCAAAGCCATGGATAAGAACATATGTAATATAGATATTTGCAATAAAGTATAGGATCTTTATATAGTCGGCGTCTGGCGACTTCTGTACTAGAGCCCCACTTAAAAAGATAAATGCCACTGAATGATATTGGTACGAAGGCTGTACGGCAATCGGAAATTTCGGCGATTCGGCTAATGGCAAATTACCGATCGAAATTTTCTTCGGCAATTTGAAAAACCGGCAATTTCGGCAATCGGCAATTCCATTGCCGCACAGCCCTGATTGGAACCAAATAATCAACAAGCTTTAAACTTAGGAAGTACTTTATAAAGACTTCATTGCGCATATTTTTCTAATTGAAACCATTTCTGGTGTCGAACAGGCCAATTTTTGATGATAACAACTTACAAATTGGGCGTACGAAGGTTTAGGAATTGGCGTTGATTTTGTTGTTTGTGAGGACTGTGGAGAAAAATTTTTTTGCTGAGTTGGCGAGTAAATTGGACTATCTGGATCTGAAGTGTCGAGCGAATTTGGTTCCATGTTAGGGACTTCTGGTTCTTTGTTATTGACTTCTAGAGCAGTTTCAGTTATATCTGACAACACTCTCGATCTTGTCTTCATCTGTAAAAAATTTCAAAACATTATGTTTTATTAAAAGAAAAAAGCGAGCGATAATAAATAATATGTTAAAATAAATAAAAATAAAACGGATTCGATGAGAAATTAAACACAATTCGATTGAGAAAATATTTAAATTCGATTTTAAAAGTGTCGGAAACGATTTGAAAACATCGTATCGATTTTAAAATTTTCGAATGCTATCAATTTATTTTTGGTTTCGATTTTGATGATAAATATGAAAATTTTTCCTTTATTTTTTAAAAACATTTTTCCTTTAATTTTGAAAAAAATTCTTTAATTTTTGACAAAAAAAAACACAAAAAATCTTGAAAATTCATTGAGAAAAAGCAAAAGGACAAAAATTTTGAAAACGAATTTCGAAAATGTGAGGCGTGGCCGCATTGTGCAAAGCGGCGCACGGTTTTGCAATGCTGCGGCACGCCTCTTCTACGCGCGTCTGCTACCAGTTTGGAGCAAATTGTGAGTAGTTTGCGATGCCAATTTCGGAAAAACCGGCAAAAATATATTAATACGACTAAATTGTAGTTGGCAATCTTTAAACAAAGTGAGGAACAGTTGACTGAATTAACATAAATCTGAGTAACATAAGTCATTAAATGGTAGAAGCTAAATTTCGTCCGTTGTGTATCATGTAATTTTCAAATTTTCATTGTTTATATGATAGCATAAGTTTTTTGTATTGATTTTTCTAGAAATTGTCTTGGTCTGCCGTCCAGACGCCAATTGTATAATGTTTATTGACATATGATTATTTTATCCATATTCCATCCATATTTGTTCCACGGCTCGCAAACACCGGAAGCATATTCATCCCGTTTCATTCCATCCATATTCGTCCCATATTTCTTCCACAGCCACTAAGAATTACATTATGCTTCCTATATGGAAGCATTATGCTTCCGTTCCACAGATTTCCCACAATGCTTCCATTATGCTTGCGTCGCGCTTAATCAGTGTTGCTGCGGCGGTGTGGAGCCGACAGTCGAGGTTTTGAACCCACCCGGCACAATTTTTGCACATTTTCCATCGAAACTATTTGAAACAAATTTGTTTTTAAATGAAAATTTACAGCCTTTATACTAGCGCCAAAATCTGAGCCCCTAAATTAAAATCGGTTTAGTTCAATGTGTTTTGACGATTTTCTAATTTTTCTTACTTTCGTATTCTGAAATTTGCTCGAAATTTTTGCGAAATTCTAAAAATTATTTTTAAACATTGAAAATTGCGATTCAATTAGATTTTCGAGCAATTTTTAATTTTTAAAAATTATTAGGCGTGAAATATTGCAAAGCAAATTGATACATGCGCCTTTAATCTGGATATTGTATTTTCAAATTTTTCGGAGTGGTTTAATTTTTGCCAAAATTTCGCGTTTTTTCGCGGATTTTTTCAGGAGTGATTCAAAAAAAATTCGATTTCTCTTAAATTTCAATAATTTTCAGCCAGACTCAAATATTTTTTTGTGCAGGGCGCTTCGTCAACAATTGCATTCTATTTGTCGCAATTCTTCACACTTCCAATGCATTTGATTCTCTACACAATTTGCGCAATTATGTCGTCAATTAGCGCGATTATTGCCCAACGATGCTATTTCTACAAATTTCGGCATTTCTATCAAGGTAATTAGTCAATTAGCGTCTAATTAGCGTTCACACAAATTATCGTCAGACAAGGTGAAGCCAGACGCGATTCACATCGAAATTTCCGAAAATGGTTCGGTCATCAAAAAATAATTCGACAAAAATCGCAATTGTTGTACATATTGTTGATAAATGCAATTTTTGGCTCCGCCCATTTTTATTGTTTAAAGGGAGGCGACATGATTACTGTAGCTACAAAAATGAGATGAATCGACGCGGAATTTCGGTGACAAATCGAATAGACAGTTTTCTTTCATTTTCTTCCCTAATAAATTGACAATTTTATAAAATTGCTTTCATTTTTTTTTGTTGGAATTGTTTGAGACAATGTCACGCCATTTTCATTATAAATCGTCGAGAACATTGAACAATTGCTATGAATGCGCCTTTAAGGTCCCGAAGCGCACATTTCTTTTGTGTGTGTGTGTCGTGTGTCTGTCATCGAACCGCGTCTTTTATGGAAATCATATTTACTTTTTCATCTTCTTTTTTTGGTATATAATAAAAAAAAAACCGCGGAAAAAATGGTCTGTTCGACATTTTCCCATTAAAATGAACACATTCTCGTGTTGTTCACCACTTCCCATTTCATGGATTTATTGCTTCCCTCCAATATTTTTTTTTATTTGACGTCAGATGTGGATCGCTCAAAAATTCATATATTTTTGGATTTAAAGTTGTTATTTCTTATTTGATATATCTGTAATGAAGAGATTTTTTAACTGAGATTCTTAAAATAACCATCTTCAAGTGCCTCTGGCGAGCTGTCGCTTAGCTGGGTCCGATATTAGAGAATTATGGCTGGCGTGGGCCTGTGTTGCAATTGCCATCAAGTCATTACTGTCTTATAGCTGTGCGCACCACAAGCCGCGATAGCGCAGTGGCGGAAGCTTTCGGCCTCGGTGAAAATTGGCGGGCCCCGCGCGGGTGAAAATTGAGGGGCAAACACTTTCGTCGAGCGGGGCCCTCATATCACCGTCGCGGGGCCCTCATATCCCCAGTGCGGGGCCCTCATATCACCGTCGCGGGGCCCTCGTGTTTCACCCGCGCGAGGCCCTTATATCACCTTTGCGTGGCCAAAAATTCTAGATACGATTCATATTACAATTAATTAACAATTATATACTTAATGAAACATTTATTAAACGAAAAAACAAATTACACTTAAACATTCCTATGCATCCACATGGCTCGAATTTCAGCTCTTTAATTGTGGAGAATAATGTTCCTGAAAAACCATAAATAGAGTATTGAAATATAGAAATAATAATATGATATAGTCGGCGTCCGTCGACTGCTGTACGCGGGTAGATTCATGAAGATGCTCGTTTATCTTGGGGCAAGAAAATGCGAAACTCATCAAGAAAAAATAAAATGGTCATGCGAAAACAGCGAAATAAGCGTTCACACGTGGCGAGACCTTTTCAAGGCGCATGCACGTAAATCTACCCGCGTACAGCAGTCGACGGACGCCGACTATATAGACTTATAATACGATAAGTCTATAGTGAACCGTTTGTACATTCATTGCCAAAGTTATGAACAATGAAAAGGAACTTACTCAATAGTACTTCTGAAGGTCCATGGTGAGGCTCCATTTCCTTGCCAACTATAAACATAAATTATGTTACATAATATTATATATGTATTATATATACAGTGCGTTGCAGAATTACAAAGCCACCCCCGAATTAGAGCGCCGCGCAGGTTTCGATTTTGAGACCAAGCAGTGTTAAAATCGTGTTCAGCATGAAAAATTACCTATACGTACCAATTTTTATGTTAGTGTCTTAAAAAGTAACCGTGTAGTGGTCATAATTCTGCAACGCACGGTATTTAATTTTATTGGCTTTACTTACTAAATGTAAATATTCTTCTTTTTTTTACATTGCGCTTGGAACCCATTACCATATATATGACTGAAATAATTAAATTTAAAAGTAAGAAAAAACTAATAAAAAAATTAGACACTTGCTAATTAATTGGACGAGTTAAATGTGATTGGAACGAACAATTCAAAACGATTGAAACAAAATACGATAAACAACGGGCACGTGTTAACGGCGGAGTGTCGTACACTGTGTTTCCACTAAAAAAAATTTCTGTGAACGAGATTAGTCTAGAAATTCTCAATAAGAAAAATTGGTCTATTATTCGAAAAAAAAAAACAATAATAAATATATTAATAAAAAAAAACTAAAATAAATAAAATATTCCAAACGCAAAATGTCTTGTTTCCCAATCGAATTCGACCACATCCGAAAGGAATACGGTCGTGATGATTCAAACACTTTGAAAAATGTTATAATTGATACACAACATGTTTAATTCTTTTGCAAAATTGTTTTTGGAAAACTGTAATACGCTGATATATTGCGGTTGCCGCAAATGGCCCGCGCGGGCCCCTCGCATTTGATGGCCTCGCGAGAGTCCTTAGAGAGCCCCGCTTACAGCCCGCAGTTGCCCCTCAGAACCCCGCATTATTTTCACCCGCGCGGGCCCCTCCATTCCTATTAAACGCAAATCACCCGCGCGAGCCCTTCTGAGATATTCACCGGCGCGGGGCCCGCAGATATGACCCGCGCGGGCCCAAATAGCCGTTTGGGCCCGCGCGGGGCATAATTTCGAGTCGCGCTGACCCCGCGCGGGTCCAACCACTCATTTTCACCCGCGCGGGGCCTGCCAATTTTCACCGAGGGCTCATAATCGTGGAGGTTGTGAGTTCGGTTCCCCCCCCTCTCTGAAGCCGAGCTTTTTGCTGTCTGCGTCTTTTTATATATAATCTCCCCATGGCGTAGACGGTTCCAACATTTTACACGGCGCACCTGAAACCTGGCGAACGATTCTGCGGACATTTATCCGGGTTGTCGCACAGTAATTGCGAGACTCATGAATTTCTAACATTGTTTATTTTTTGGATACGCGCCTTTAACGTATACGGTAGTTTTGAATTGACTCGATACGCAGCCAAATCGAAAACCATCCCAATTATCAGCGTTGCCGTCGAGATGAGCGCCGAGACGACGAACACGATCCGCGTGGCCGTCTCGTTCATGATCCTCTTCTTCTCAATCCTCTGCCACGGTGAGTAGTAAGCTGAGAGACGGTTCGACCATTCGCTCGCAGAGTTCATCGCCGAGCCGATCATCGAGAGCTACGCGAAGGCCTACGGCGACATCGACGCGCACGCCGGCTACCGAGCACTCGGAATCGTCTATCTGTTCAACACGATGTCGTGCGTCGTCGCCGCGCCGATCATCGACGCGATCACCGGCAAATGGGCGATGGTCATCGGCATTCTCACGTCGATCGCGTTTCAATCGATCTTTTTGCGCATCAACGAGACCGTGTTGTATATCGCCGCCGCGATGATGGGTCTCGGCACGACGTGTAAGTTGGGCTGATTCTAAACGGGGTCTACATTGTGCATTTTGTTCTGAAATTTTTGTAACTTGGCACACTTAAACTAGAGGGTCGTTTGTGTGTGTTCAAAAAATTCCAGCTTGCCCTTGGAGGTTTCAGACGAGTTATAACTGTCTGAAAATTCAAGGGGCCCCTGAAAATGGGATCCTTGTCGTTGTTTGAAACCCAATAACTGGATTGTGGCGAATCCCGAAAATTGTCCGCAGATGTTCACAATCGCCACCGTAATCCATCGCTCGTTTTTGCAGTACTCTGGGTCGGCCAAGGTCAATACATCACGCAAAATTGCAGCGACGAGAACATCGAGAAGAACACGGCGATTCAATGGGCGCTGTTCAAACTGAGCCTCATCTTCGGCGGAATATTCCTCGTGCTCTTCTTCGGCTCGACGACAATGGAAGAAGCCACACAAGGCAATATGGCAAGCAGCTTTTGATTGGTTTCATTGTTGTTCGCATTTCAGATGAGCATTCTGTTCGTTGTTCTCATGGCGATCTCGATTGTCGCCCTGATCAACACGATCCTACTACCGCAGCCGAGCATCGAGAAGCGCGCCGATGGACGGCAACAATTTCTGACGGCGTTGAGTGGGGAGGATCCAGATGTTCAAATTTATTTTCCATTGGCTAATTTCCAGAAAGCACGTTCGAAATGCTTAAAAACTCGCAAGTGTTGCTTCTCGTCGCGTTTTTCCTCTACACCGGCTTTGTGCGCACATTCTGGGTTTGTAAGTTGATATTGCAAAAATCAATTTTTTCAAGACCCTCATTTTCAGCCATTTTTCCGACGTGCATCAAATTCTCGACGCGAATCGGCAACAACACCAAAATGCTCTCCTACAGTATGATCGTGACGGGAGTCGGACAAGTCGCCGGCTCGCTTCTCGTCACGGCCGTCGGAAAACGCGTGCGCGAGTTCGGCCGCGATCTCTTCGTCTCGTCGGCGATTCTCGTCCACATCGCCACGTTCGTTTTGATCTACGCGGCGTTTCCCAACGAGGCGCCGATGCGACGCACACATCTCGCCGGTGCGCTGATGAGTCCCGACGCGCTCGTCGCGCTGCTCAGCTCGTTCGCGTTGGGACTCGCCGACGCGGTGCTCCAGACGCAGGTCTACGCCTACATTGCCGATCTATTTCGCGACGACAGCAGCAAATTGTTTGCGATATTCAAATTTTTCAGTGTAACCCCACCATTTGTCGGTTTTTGATTTCTCCCATCATTTTTCGATTTGCAGGGTCTCGCCACCACGTTCATCTTTTTCGTCGCCTCCAACTTCTCGCTTCTCCACCATTTGCTGATACTCGTGCTGTTCGCGCTCATCTCGATGATTTGTTTGATATGCGGACAACGTTGCGGGCCGTCGAGAACCGACAAAATTCAGCCGGTGTTGACGAGCTTCCGAACGAATTGTATACAGTGTGGGAATTGAGCATTCGGTGCTCACTTCCTTATACGCCGTTTTTAATCAAAAGCATAAATAAACGATTAGAATTTTTTTGAAGAATAAGAGAATGAGCACCATAAAAATATTGTGTGGTCCCCCCAGCTTCCTACCTTCTTGTTCACTTTGTGAGCATTTTCGACGAGTTGCTCGCCGAGCAATTCTGAAATTGAGGTTTTGCCGAAAAAAGTCCATTCGAGCACATTTTATTCGCTGGCAACTCGAAACCAATCGGATCCGGAATCAACCTTATCCGATTGGAAATTGTACGGGATAAAATTGTTAAATTGTCGGATCCGTTTTGTTTTAATCTTTCAATTCGAATCGGATCCGACAAATATCCAATCGGATCCGGAAATACCCAAAAAAAAACCAATTGGATCCAACGATTTTACAATCTTATCCGTCGAATTTCCAATTGGATAAAGCTGATCGGAGCCGAATTTTATCGGATCCGATTGGTTTCGAGTTGCCAGTTGTTATACCCCAACATTGAAGACGATTCATTGAAAAAAAATTATAAAATGAAGGAAAAATGAAGGAAAGGGATAATTCGTAGCCTAGCGGGCAAGTGCGCTCCACTGCACACTCTTGGTCAGAATTCTCATCGAGATTTAAAAAGAAATTGTCATATGTGCAATTTTGCGTCTCGGTGCACCTACAGACCAGCGTTTTTCGTAAATTTGAAACACAACGTTTTTTTTTTTTAATTTTTTTTCAATTTTCGCCAAAAATTCAATTTCGTTGAAACGTTCCAAGGAGTTTATGCAACTTAATCATTCTTAATTACCTTTTAATTGCATTTGGAAACGGACAGAATTTTACAAAAAAAAAACTGGGCTTTTGCAATTTCTAGGCGACATTTTCAAGAAAATCCAAAACACAGTGATTAGATTAATAAATATTTATTTGACCACAGAAAAAAAACAGTAAGAGATGAATTATTAAAAAAGACGATGATGACTGGCTGATTGTTCACTGGGTAGCTCACACGGCTTGTTCGAACAGCTCAGCAGCACTGGTTGTTGTCGGTCTAGTCAAGGACGATCTCCTCGAATCCGAATCCGAATTTGCTCGAATCGAATGGCTTCTCGCCGCAATCGCAGTAGTACGTCTGAAAATTGGAGGCGAATTTGATTTGAATCATCCAGGAATGATGATCACCTGTTTCAGATGGCGCTCGATGTAGCCGAACCAGGCGTCCTGTAGCAAATCCCACGACGAGTGCAGCAACTCGAGACGTCGGATGTTCTTCGTCACGTTGCACGTCAACTCGGCGATCTCGTGCTCCCGTTGGACCATAAACTCGAGGTGCTCGTTGATCATGTCCCAGTCGAAGCGGAAGCGCGGATCGAACTCGACGCCGATGGCGTTGATCGCCTCCATGTCGGCTTGTTGGCGGGCGCGCACCGCCTCGTCGCCATGTTTGTCGAGACGCACCATCGCTCGCGCCATACTATGAATGCGTTTGAGAATGTTGAATTTCAGCTGACGCTCGCCGGTCACCGAATGACCGATGGCTTCGAATTCGGCGTAGAGGTGATTGAAGTAGATCATCGACATTGCTGGATGACGAGCTGAAAGATGGGACGATGATGAGAGCGGAAATGAGAAAGTGATGATGATGATGGTCCACAGGCACCCACCCTTTTATACGGACCATTCCTTGCGCGAGGCAAGCCACGCCTCCCCGCTAGGCTCCGCCCACCGAGTACGGTCAAGAATTTTTGCGGGATCGGTGTGAAAAGTGTCACATTTTCGAGAGATTTAATTGAAAAATGAATGGAAAACGTGAAATAATTAAGAAATTGTCAAAATTTGAGAGCAACATTGTTTTTTTTTAAGAAAAGGTTCTTCCAAAAAGAGAAATGTCCATCAAATGGACCATCAAAAAATAGAATAATAGATTTTGAGGTTTATTGAGAAACTAACGTTTTTCTATAATATTTTAGATTTTTTCCAATGAATTTTTGAAATTATTATAGTCCGGCAAAAATTATTGAAACGGTCCATAAAACTTGAAATAACCTGTTAGTCGTTGCGAGACCAAGAAAAAGACGCATCCCCTGTAAATCTACCAGCAGTCGCCAGACGTCCGACTATATTGTTGAAAAATGACAAATGTATCCAGGTGTCGTAGGATCCTGCGTTTTGTACGCAATGATAAGAGACAGTTACCGTAATCCTCGCAGCGATTTACGGGGACTTTTTTTTTTAAATTTCGCATATTCATTTTTTTTATTTTTCGCTCAACTTCCGAATTTCCCTTTGAAATTCTGTTATTTTAATTTTGCAGAAACCGAGTTTAATAATTTATTTAGCAGAATAAGCACTTTTAAACAGTGTGTGCTCTCGGGAGAGAATTTCCCGAGAATTCCCTAAACTACCCAGAAACAAAATTCTCGAGACTCCCGGAAGCACCGAGAAATTTTCGAAATTATTAGTCTCGGTACTATACGGGTAGTCGCGCGTACGGGAACCGAGAGTCTCGAGACATTCTTCGGGAATTTTTCCGAGACTCCCGAGAAATTCTCGGGAGTCTCGAGACTTTCTCGGGATTTTTTTTATTGATGAAATTCAGTAGTTAAATTAATAACTAGTAGGGTTTTGAAAACTAGCATAGTCAACATATTTTGAAAATGTTCGCCCGTATAAAAAGGGGATTAATACATAAATAAATCGTTTTTTTTTGCATACGATTGTTTGCGATTAAAGTAATGTCTAAGGTTTTCGTACCATAAGGTTTTAGTGCCATATGTTTCACCAAGACCAAAATTTCAAGTTGGCGTGTTTAGCCGACCGCGATTAACAACCGAAACGCGACGCGTATGCGTCGCGGTTAAAGCGGAACAGCTATTTTTTTAGTTTCGAAAATATTCACAAATATGTAGGAAATATCTTCATTCGTTTAAATTCTTTCTTTATCTGATGCGTAATGTGACTATTTAGTTTGGGTGGCATATCAATCACTTTTAACTTACAAGGGAGGTCTTTTTGCTGTCCGTTTTAAAAGTTGTCAATTTTTTGCATACAGATTTTTTTTAAAAAATTTCCAATCGAATGAACTAGGTCCCTACCTGCGAAAACTTCTAGTTATCGTGTTATGGACCATCAAAGTTTTAGCCCCACCCACGTGAATTTTGCGTACTAGAAGTTTTCGCAGGTAGGGAGGAACTTAGTTCATTCGATTGGAAATTTTCTAAAGAATCTGTATGCAAAAATTGACAACTTTTAAGACGGACAGCAAAAAGACCTCCCTTGTTAGCATTTGTTAGTATTGAAACGAACTTAAAGGAGAAAAAATAAATTTTTTGTTCACTAAAAAAATTCCCGTGAAGGTCTCGAGACTCCCGAGAATTTCTCGGGAGTCTCGGAAGATTTTTCTCGAGAAAGTCTCGAGACTCCCGAGAAAGTCTCGAGAAATTCTCGCAAGTCTCGAGACTCCCGAGAAAGTCTCGAGAAATTCTTGCAAGTCTCGGTACTTTTTGGAAAGTCTCGGGAGTCTCGAAGACATTGTCGAGAGAAATTCTCTCGACACCGGTTAATTTTCTCGATTTTTCTCGAGAATTTTTTCTCGAGAGCACACACTGCTTTTAAACGATATTTTTTGGTAAAAACAGCAGAGATTAAAAATAAATCATTTTTGTCGTTAATAAAATTATTTAATCGTGTTTTGCATTTTGTATGCGTTTCTATTATCTTGTTTTTGTATTCTTCATTTTGAAAATAATTTTTAGAGCGTCAAAATCTTCACAATAACTCCCAACTCAACTGGACAAATGGAAAAGTGCATATTCTGAAAAATAAATAATTAAACTCGGTTTCTACAGGTTTTAAATATAAGATTTCTAAAAAAAAATAAGAAAATTCAGCAAAAAAAATTGAAAGAAAATAAAAAAAAAACTCCGTAAATCGCTGCGAGGATTACGGTAACTGTCTCTTATCCTTGCGTACAAAACGCAGGATCCTACGACACCTGGATACATTTGTCATTTCTCAACAATATAAGATTTTCAAATTTGCCCAATATAATTTTTAGAATTTCTCCAAATATTTTCGAGTTTATTATTAAATATTTGATTCGCCTGAGATGTTCGCACATTTGAGCATCCAGGTTTATCATTATTTATGGTCCTTATAAATGATGGTCCCCTTGTGTGGCAGTTTGCCGTCAAAATATTGTGTCGCACTTTTTCCCACGTGTCAATCAATCAATTCAAAAAGAAAATTTGGCACCATTTATGGTGGGATGCGACTTTGATGCTTTTCGCACCAAATGTGCGAAGCAGTCTCTCTCGCGTTGCTGTGTGCCTATAATTTACTACCGTAAACTACAGTAACCATTCTCGTGACAATATTTGTCACTTTTCTTTTTTGTGGTGACCTCAAAGAATTGCTCGTCAAAATTTCAAATTTCGAATTATAGTACCGCTTAGAAGTCTATAAATTTTTGGATTTTTTTCCGCATATCTCGTATTCGATCTGAAAATTTCAGATAAGACGTAGAAATACCTTTTTTTTGGATTTTGAAGCAGTTAGAGAATACGCAATCACGCCGCGAACTTTTTGAATTTTTCGTTTTTTCAAATGTTTTTTTCATAATTTTTTATTGCTGTAAACTTTTTTTTTTCGAATTTTTGTTGAAACCTGATCGAAATCCAACTCGAGATTTGATAGTTGTATGGTCCCCCAGAGGCATGGGACAGGATAACAACCCAAAAAAGCACACGTCTCGTTTTGTCATGGTTTGAAAATACGAACACTTTCATAATCATCTCAAAGTTTAAAGAAGAGCCGTCGAGTCAACGTTGTCAGCTGGCCAAGTCGACCTCAATCCTATTGATCATCTGTGGGGAAGTGTTGGAGAGACGTTGTGCAAGTAAAAAAATCGCACAACTCAAATTTAAATGGAATCGGATCCCGATAAGGACCATTGATCAATTCTAGGCCCCGAAGACATCAGGCCAATGTGAATTTCTAACAAAGTAAATATTGAGTTCAAATATTTGGACTCTATTAATTTTTTTTTTCAAAATTTGGGGTTGAAACGTCAGTTCAAAAAAAAAAGTTATGGCCAAACACCAATAGTTCATCGACTTTTGAGTATACATAGATCAATTCCTCATCCATGTTCGTCAGGTGCGATTTGGCTTTGGGGAGTGTCGAATGAAATTGCTTCGTGGAAAATCGAAGAGTGCAGGTGAAAAAATGCAACAAATAAAGCAGAGCTGGTTGAAATGTGCCTAGCAGATGACGAGCTCCCCTTCAAATCGATCACATTCGTTTGCTACATCGTATTTTTCCCCTTCTATTTGGCCGCCTTTTACGCGTTGATCTACAAATGCCCGACATATTTCAAGCATTATCGAGTTCTTCTTCTATTGCATGTTAGCGGGTAAGCTTCCCCCTGGCAGAGTTGGACGGAATGAATGGAAATTGTTTTCCAGAAATTTTGTATTCGACACGTTCATGTCATTCTTCTGGCATCCGCAATTCATTCTACCATGGGTCGCAATTTGCACGACGGGAATTACCTACGATTTTCCATACGCTATGTTTTATATATTCTATGCGAATCTCATATGTGAGCTTGTCGAAATTGTTTCCGACATTTTCATAATGCTTTTCTAGACACCGGACTCGTCATACTCTACATGTTCGAATATCGAATGACGAGCGTCGTTACGAACATGCTCAAATCGCTCAAGCGATTCTTCCAGTCATGTCAGCGATTCATCGAGTTTGAGTGTGTGCTCATTTGCGTGAATCTCATGTATTGCCGCGAGCACATGATTCGATTCGAGCACAAGATTGACATTCATTTGCGTCGCGGTCCGATGCCCTATTTTGTGTTCTGCGATCGCTGCATATTCTATCTCGACTTTGACTTCATTCCGTGCATCACCCTACTCATTCTTTCGGCGAGCACCTTGTCGAAGGCCGCCGTTCTCGTTGTTGTTTACACGTCGGTGATGACTCGCAAACTCCAGAAATCGACGACGATCATGTCGACTCGCACCCTAGCCATGCAGCACTCGTTCCTAAGAGCACTAATCATTCAGGCAAGCGTTCGAATCCGTGGGGACTAATTGCTTCCGCGATTGCAGGCCTCTTGTCACGTTCTACTCATCGGCACACCGGTTAGCGTATTCCTTCTCGCCCACATTTTCGACTTCACGAGCTCAATATGGCATTGTGTGTATTTATTTGGGGGACGGGGGAAGTAATTATTTGATTCTCCAGATCTCACCTTCATTCTCACGTTGATGTTGGCCCAACACGGCGGCGTTTGCGCGGTGGTTCTCTTGGCGTGCAGCAAGCCGCTTCGTGACGCCATCACCGAGATTGGTTGGTGATTGATTTGCGCGAATTGCCATAATTGAATAATTCCAGCGATATTTCATTCGTTGACTCGGAACAAGGTCTCGCAGACTGCGACCAATCCGCAAATTTGACCCCACGGTTTTCAGTGAGTTGTTGGCGTTCTGAAAACTCATTTGGAAGATGTCATTTGGAATAATTATCAGCTAATTAGCCAATAATCAACACCTAAATCTAAACATTGAAACCGGTGTCGATTTATGGGTGCCGTTTCGCGTCGAGACGCTCTTCACTCTAACCAGACCAAATCTCAGCAAAATTAACGACAAACACAGGTGCAAATTCGATTTGCGTTCGCGCACTTGTCAGGTTCGAAATGTGCGATGCCGATGATGACTCTGTGTTCAAGACGATCACGTTCTCGTGCTTCGCACTGTTTTTGCCATTCTATTTGGCCGCCTTCTACGCGTTGATCTACAAATGCCCGACATATTTCAAGCATTATCGAATACTTCTTCTATTGCATGTTAGCGGGTAAGCTCGTCACGTGATCACCCTCAAATTGTTCGGCGAGAAACCAACGAAAAAATATTCCCTCAAAATTGAAGCTATTTTTTAAAAATCATTCGATGAGATTTTGAATGATTTGTGACACTTGATATTCGATTGAAGTTTTGTCGGACTAAAAGTGCATTTAATTTGCACGGGCCAAAAGCGAATTTGAATTTGCAGCAACTTTTTTTTCGACACGTTCATGTCATTCTTCTGGCATCCGCAATTCATTCTACCATGGGTCGCAATTTGCTCGACGGGAATCGCTCACGATTTTCCATTCGCCATGTTCTATATATTCTATGCCAATATGATATGTGAGACTTGTCGATCTCCACACCCATAAATGGCATCGTTCAGACACCGGCCTCAACATTCTGTACATGTTTGAATATCGCATGAGTGCAGTGATTTCGAATAAATTTGAATCGACGAGACGATTCTTCCAGTGTTGTCAACGATTCATCGAGTTTCAGTGTGTGCTCATTTGCGTTAATCTCATGTATTGCCGCGAGCACATGATCAGCTTTGAGCACAAGATTGCCATTCATTTGCGTCGCGGTCCGATGCCCTATTCGGCATTCTGCGATCGCTGCATATTCTACATCGACGTCGACTTCATTCCATGCATCACCCTACTCATTCTGTCGGCGAGCGCCTTCTCGAAGACCGTCGTTCTCGTCGTCGTTTACACGTCGGTGACGATTCGCGAGCTTCGCAACTCGACGAAAACCGCGTCGGTGAAGACATTAACCATGCAGCGCGCGTTTTTGAACGCCTTGATTATTCAGGTAGATCAATTTTTTGTTATGCAAACTTTATGCGTTTCAGGCGTCCTCTCATGTGGTATTTCTGGCATTTCCAGTTTGCCTATTCCTTCTAGCCCACATCATTGACGTCGGCACTGATTTGAATGGTTCCTAAATCCCTCCTCGAATCCATAATTGACAATTGCAGTTCTCGCCGCGATTTTCTCGCTAATGGCGGCCCAACATGGCGGAGTTTGCGCGATATTGCTCATCGCGTGCAGTAAACCATTGAGAAGCTCGATCACCCAAAATTGTTGGTAATTTCGATTAGTTCAAGGTAATTAGGCAATTATCTACAGTAATCTTCAATTCGATGATACGTCGCGTTGGCACGAGTCAAAATTAATTAAAAACCAATTATCTAGTTTTTCATTTTCTTGTTTTCCCATCATATTGCCTAATTAGTGAATATTCGTCGTTCATTTCCTTTTCTTGCCTTTTATAATAATGCGTTGCGATGTTCATCAGCCGATATGGTTCAAGCTTCTCCTATCGATCACCTATTTTTGCGGAATCCCGTTGTATTTTTGCGCGTTCTATTTTCTCATCAATCGAACGTCGAAAGAGTTCTCAAGTTTTCGAAATCTCCTCATCATGATGATCATCGGGTAGGCGTTAGCAATTTTCGAAACCAACATTTTTTTGCACCATCACACACCCAGAAATCTCGCCAATGACACCTATATATCATTTTTGTGGTTACCGAGATTCTATTTGCCGTGGATGGCGATGTGCTCGACGGGACTCGCCAAGAATTTCCCGTTCGGAATGCTCTTTTTGAACATGATCAATCTTGTGTGTAAGTCGGCATGCGCCTTTAAACCCGGGTCTCACACGCGACGATAATCTAGACTCGGCCAATCTCATCATCGAGATGTTCGATCAGCGAATGAAAGCTGTTCTGATGGGCGGCGAGTCGAAGATGACGCGCTTCGTGACGATCGACAAGTACATGGTGCTTATCGGCAGCTGCTCGGTGCTCATCGTCCAATGCCTCTGCCGCACCTACATGACAAGTCGCGAGTTGAAGGAGCGCATCAACGCGACACGCGGGCCGATGCCGTGCGAGGCGTTCAGCGATCAGTGCATCTTCATCATTGATTGGACCAACGTCTATTGCGTTCTGCTCGTCGCGTTGACGATGGTCTTCTCGACGAACGCATTCGCGTTGATGGTTGTCTGCGCGACGACGGCCTACAAGAAGCTGAAACGATCGAAAGTGTTGTCGGAGAGGACGAGGCTCATGCAAAAGAAGCTCTTGAACATCTTGGTCATTCAGGTAGTCTGACGTGTTATTAAAGATCCAAGGATGTTCAGGTGACGATCCACACCATTCTATTATTGACACCAATGGAATCCTTCTATTTGGCGCATTTCATTGATTTGGTGCACCCGTTTTGGAAAGGTCTTCAAAGGCCCATTAATAAAAATAATGATTTCCGATCTAGACTATGTCGTGTATTTCAACACGACCCTATTGGGAATGCATGGCTCAATGTGCACACTGACGATATTGATCACTGTGTTGCCGTGCTCCAAGAAGAATGTCAGAAGAGAGAGAGAGATTCACAATTATTTTGTTTTGTTGATTTTTTAGACCGCCCAAGTTGTCTCATTGGCGACGACGCAACTCACAACCAAAATAGGAAATTAATTAGGCGACCAACATATTCTACCGACTTATTTATTTATTCTATCGATTTTAATGGTCCCTTAAAATTTGTATTCAATTTAAATCAATACGTTTGTTTGCTAGAAGCTGACTGGACCCTAGTTGGACCCTATAATTGCTGCGAAGCTCAATGGAAACTCATTGAGCATGAAACGAGGCATTCATTTCATGCCGATGAGTCTTTTTGGATTACGGTAGCACTAGTTCGATCTCATCATTTTGGTCCCTTGATTGATGGTGCGAAATAGTATGCAAAGTTGAGAGAGCCTCCAAAAATCTTGGCGGCTTTTGATCTACCATCGAATTTCTCATACACATTTTTGTTTTAGAGAGAGGGAGAGAGAGAACGCATAACTGAGAGACGAAGAGAAAAAAAAAGTGGCGATGTCTCAAAAATAGCCTGAAATTTTCCAAATCTGTGGGGAAGAAGAGGAAGAGGCTGTTCGAGATCATCCGAATCGGCTTCATCGATAATTACATGTCTCGCCGTCGTCGCCAAGGCAGCGCAATTTATCAGGAATTTCCGTTTGCGTTTTTTTTTTTGTCGAGACCCCCCCCCCTTCTCCTCCAACCCCAAAAAATAATGCTTAAATTCAAATCAGAATATATTCATAATTGTATTGCGGCTTTGATTCTCCTCATCATATTCATCGCCTATTTGATCATGTTCAGGAGGAATATCGCCAATGAGAAGCTGGTATTGCGGCGTGGTTACGGTAGCACTAGTTCGAATTGCAGCTTCACACCTACCCCTTTAATGCCAATATTCATTTCATTATTATTGCTGGATACACGTTTAGAATAATTGTCAGCGTTATATTATTATTAGGCGTTTTCGATGTTTCGAGCAGCGCTATAACAATCATTATTCTATTGTAAGAGAAGAACAAAAAAAAGTATTTTCGCGTCGAGACCCTCGGCTTGCAGTTTTTCAACAATGATTATCCGAAATATCCTGATAATCATTGATGGTCCCTTATTGCCGACGATCATTCTCCTGCAAGCAATTCAGAGATATGTGGTGTTGTTCATGAGCGACGATTATCATCGTTATGTGACAGGGTAGATCAAAACGGAAAAAATGCAAATTGTAGCCAACGATTTGCAGAAAACCGCTGAAAGTCTACCTGTTCGCGTCGATCGTCCTCTCGATGATCTACGTGCTCTCGACGCACATGGACCATCCGAAGCTAGAGAGTCTCACTGCCGAAATGTGCCAAGTGAAATTGGTGCTCGGCATCGCCGTCTCATCCAAGTACCGAATGTCGACGGGCGTTTCGATTCAAGTGCACGTGAGGCGCAGAGAAAAAACACACACACACCAACACAGTAATTAAAGGCGTATTTCGTCATACACTCGTTGTTCCCAATTTTGGCGGTTTTGATCTACTATCTGGTGTTGAAAAACGTCCGCAGCTCCGAAGTGATATCGAATAAAAAGAAGATTGTCGAGATCAATATATTTCTGCAAACCGCGCCCATTATTTTCATCTTTTCGGTACCACTTTGTTTTTTTGGTTTTTTTTAAATCTCATTTCAAGTTCCGACTATTCATCATAATTTATCATGTGCTCATCGGCGAATTGAGATTCTTTCTTTTCGACATCGACGCGATCTGCAACTATCAGAACGAGATGATCTTCTTCCCGTTGGGCTACATATTCGGCAACGTCGATCGCCTCAAACGAATCCGCGCCATTTTTGTGGCGACGCGTGTGAGCAGCGATGATTCGCAGTTCGCCGAAACGTCGCTGCACACGTGAGAGGTGTGCGGTCGGCTTGCCGAACAAACCACGCCCCCTCCCATCACGAATGTATAATTTGTCGATTTGTCGTGCAATTTTCAGCGTCTCACGTTGCTCTTTCGATAAAAAATAACAATGGATTACGGTAGCACTAGTTTGAAGAAGTGCCTCTACCGGAGTACGGTAACACTAGTTTCGCTTTTGCTCATTTTTCATGCAAATCTCTTCTCGATTACGGTATGAAGGTGTTGCATTTCTGGAATACTGTAGCACTAGTTTCGCTTCACCACGCCAGTTTTGTTATACCCAAAATAGCTTTGTTCGATTACGGTAGCACTAGTTGCATTTTAGAACCACCCTCTAACGCAATATCAGCGCCTTCAACAGAAATTTGCAATATTGAAGTTTGGTTGTGTTACACGCCGACGCAAAATTACACACAATAATAATTATAGAGGGTGAGGGGGGGGGTTGCCTTGACAAACTCGAGACACATTTTTTGTCAAAAAAAAAAGGCGAATGGCTTTCGAACTATTGTTGGCATTTCTGCCGAACATTGTGCTCGAGATGATCCATCGAATCGTGTTTTTGATCTACGCCTACATGTTCAAAAAGAACATCGCCAACGAGAAGGAGGTGAGCTCGCGTGGACTACGGTATCAGTAGTTATTTTCTCCAGTTGCACACCTATCCCATCAATCTCGCGTTTTTCATTCTCATCGCCGTCTATCACGCTCTGTTGCTAGCCAGCAGCGTCGCGTTGCTGTCGGCGATTTATGATCTACTCGCCGACAACATTACGAGCAACGCGCTATTGTAGGTCGCGCTTCAGCTTCAAATCATTGACGCGCTTTCAAGATTCTTGTCGATGTTTTTCCGCGAACTCATGATATTCCTCGATGGTCCCTTCATGCCGAGCCTCATTCTCCTACACGCTATTCAGCGATACGTCATATTGTTCGCCGATGACGCCTATCATCGATATGTGACCGGGTAGATCAAACGGAAGGGGAGGGGGGAGCTTGCTTGATTTAAAATTGCCGAATGGTGTTTAGAAAATTCCTAAACTCCATATTGGGCTTGATCATAGCGCTTGGCGTTGCCTACAATTTTCTTCATCATCACGATCTGCCGGGATTGTCGACGTTCAGCATTCCCATTTGTCAGACGACCATCGTTGGCCGCTTCTTGGATTCCCCCCAGTCTCATCATCGGATTTCAGGTGTTTGCCGATTTGACGGACTGCGCGATTTGCTACAAACCCTCATTTCTCGTGTTGCTTCAAATGAAGGTAGTGATCCATCGGATCCGACAAAATCAATCCGATCCATCCTTGGTCTTGAGTTACCGACATGACTTTAAGGTCTACATGGCAATGCGATTTTTGTGCCCGTTTCTCGCCGTTTTGATCTACTTTGTGGTTTTCAACAACATTCGAGTTTCTCAGCAAATTGCGACGCGAAAACGGAGCGTCGAAATGAATATAATGCTCCAAATCGCGCCCATCTATTGCTTGTTTTATGTGAGCTCTTAATTGCTTTATTATTATTATTATTTTTGATCTACAATTGACAGATTCGCTTCCTCACCGTTTTGGCGTATTATTTCAACGGCGAAACGAAATTGATGTTCGTCAACACGAACAATTTGTGCTCGTATGAACGAGAGATGCTCTTCTTCCCGTTGGGATACTTATTCGGCAACGTCGATCGGATTAATCGGATTCGGACAATGTTCGGAGGGTCGAGAGTTCAAACCGAGCTGACGCCTGTGGAGACGGCGTAGAGCCGAAAAGAAATCGATAAAGAGAAAATTCGAGTGTAATTTGAAAGCATTCGACGGTTTTTTAATAGAAAAAAATGTTTGAACATTTATATTTTGAATAAATGCCAATTTAAATTTCTTTTTTATTCTTGCTAATCGCAAAATTCGCGTTTTTCACTTCAAAAACTGCTCAGCAAGCCGAGCGGGCGAAACCGTGGCAGAATGGTGGCAAAAGTAACGGACGCCCGCTTTTTGCCACCATTCTGCCCGCGTTTAGCCACAATTCTGCCCGCGTTTTGCCCCACTCTGCTAGCAAGTAGATGTAAGCGCGTATGGTCGTTATAGCCCTCCGTTTAGCGTAATTCGCGCTTACATTATTTCATATGCAAAAAGAAGCAAATGAAAGATCATTTATTAATTAAAAACGTTATTATTAATTAAATCCAACAATATGTTCAACGAATATACAACAATATATGCGATAGCAACTGTCCGAATCGAATTTGACCGTATTCGAAACCCGTAAATACGTAAAACAAATAAAAATGCATTCGAATTGAATTTTGACGATCATCAGATCTTAGTGATATTCGAATTTTATAATTTTGTACGATATGAGACTCACTGAAGCTGGTTAGGGTCGAATTTGGTCGTATTCGATTGTAATGAAATGATGAATGTAAATTAAGAAAAAAATACCACCACTAAAGATAAATATATGATGGTTGATCGGCATTCGTCGAATTAATTGGTGGCATTTCCATCGATGCGGCTGGTATCGTCTTCATTGCGCGAAGCGCGCTGACTGGCGTCTAGGAATGTATTTGACTATCGAAAAGAAATTTTTAAAAGCGAACCTCCGACCGTTTCCTTGAAAACCTCCTTCGCGATATTGGATTGCCATTTTCATCTTTTCCTACAATGACCTCCTCCATTTCCACATTCCTTTTGTCATTTCTAAACAATGTTAAAAGGTAGCTAACATAAAATGCAGGCTGACTTACAATATCCGCAAGGAGAGGTCGGCGAAATTTGGATTTTTTGTCTGTAAGAACGAAGTTGTAACTAAGTAGTTCGAATCGTACTATTTTCCGGTTTTCTGGAAGTTTTTGTTCCCAAAATAGAGCACTTTTAATTTTTTTTAAAAACCAACCCTCTCATTATGAAGAAACTTGTGTGTTTCAACAATTTCGCCTCCGCAATTTCTAAGGATGCGTCGTAACTGAGCCATTATGGAATACGTTATAACGATTGTTGCTTCTGTAGCCGTTCCTTTCACGCATGCTTTCCTTTAAAGTTCACAATATTAATTAAATAAAAAATAAGCTAACCCGTTTGATCCACAATCACTGTTAGTGCAGAAATGCAATGTTTCGTCGATACTTGATAGGCATTCCGAGCAAAATATAGATTTTATCGGCGAAAAGCAATTCCTATATAGGTCGTTCGTAAAAACTTCAACATCTCTAGCCTACAAATGTTGAAACCATCGACATCGCGTAGCTCAAAATGATTTCTTACCTTCACGTTGTTCTTTATAATCATCTCGGCTGCTTGAAAAACTTTCGTAAGATTTGGTGCCGACAACATCATTGGATACAGCAAAAGCGATATTTCCAACAAATACCACCGCTTGCGATTCGATATCGCAATTTATTGATAATTGATCATAAATCTCTTGTTGATTGTCGACAACCAAATCTTCAATTCCACTGGAATCGTTCTGAACGATTGTAAATCCGTAGCCTGCAACCCTCCTCTCTAAAAAACCTTATTTTTCAAGCATTTCTTATGATCGTGAAACCGTTTTCTTCTCGAGTTTTCCTCCAACGACCCATTGAAGAAACCTGAAAGTAGTTTATTGAACTTATTTCAAAACATTCCATAATTAATGTTCAATTAATATCGGAGTTGCCAACAACTTTCGCGACTAAACGTGTTTAACATTTAATGTTAGAAAATCAATCAAAACAAACAAGTAACAACACCTTATAATTTTTCGCTATTCAGCAATTCGCAAAAAAACATTTGAAAAAAATTTGTTAAAAACACCGTTCGTCTCAAATGTTTTTACACTGCCAGTACGACACTCCAAATACACATTGCCCTCGATTAACCGTAAATCGATTTAAATGTCGTGTTTTCTGCCGCCGTTGTGCCACGCTTATTCCCCAGTTGTGCCAGCAGTGTTTCTGCCACCATTGTGCCCCCATTTTTGCCCTAGTTGTGCCATCGGCGGTTTCTGCCACCGTTGTTCCACAATTTCACCTTAGTTTTGCCTTCAGCTAGTTTCTGCCACGGTTTCGCCCGCTCGGTTTGCTGAGCATTTCGATGTTGTCCATTATTTTTTATTTCTGTTTGGTTACTGTAGTTGGCAAAGTCCGCAACCACAACATTTGAATTGGTGTTTGCGGATTTTCTGAATTTTCGAAATGCGGCATCGTCATCGCTTAAAAACGATGGTTTTTTCGCGATTTTTCCGATTTCGACGTTTCGATTTTTTTTCGCCACTGCTTCTCTCAAAAAACTTGGCATTTTTTCGACGAGTTTGCCGAAAATTTTGTGAATTCAATTTTTGTTTTTGACGAATTATTTCTCGTGACTTCTTTTCTCGAAAAGAAAATTATAGATTTGAAAATGCTTTTTTTTTCTAGATGTCAACCGCGGAAAATAATGCGTTTGTGAAGTCTTCAACGAATTTTGATTGATTTTCGAATATTCAAAAAATCGTATGTATTTCTCATAAAATGTTGATTATTCATTATTTTTGCAGGCGGAATTTGCGCAAAAATAAGCAATGAATCGGAAATGAAGGGAAATGGCCAACTTCGTGGAGTGATATTGTTATAATTCTTCGAATTTTCAGATTTTTCGAGTTCCAATCAATCAATAAAAAATCGCGGAATGTTTCTTTTTGAAATTGTGTTTGAATTCTTCATTTTTCGCGAATCCCCCTACAATTTTCGGCGATTTTCGAAATTTCGTAATTGCGGCGTCGCGACGTGTGACAATCTGCCCCCGTCGACAAATTTACGGCCGGCCGATGACAATTCGGTATCAATTAACTGATATCCGTTCAATCATAAACAGTTTCGTGTATATGTTTACGGTCGGCGTGAAAACATTTCAAGGCCATTTATGAAGAAGGAACCATCAATTCATGACCTTTTTTTGTTGATTGATTCGGTCGCGTCGAAACGCCGCCAATTTTTCGGCAATTTTTGTCGCAATTCTCTTTTTCAGGACAATCTTCTTCGAGGATTTTCCACTCAATAATCATTTTAGCGTAATTAAAGGCGCATTGCGCGAGATGAACATTTATCAATGCAGGAACATGGCCGTGTTTTTTTTTCGCACCTCTACCGCCATTCGTTTCGAGGTGTTTGATGAATCGAATCGGCATTCATCAAGTCGAACTCGATTTGGCGCCCAATTCGGATAGTAAATCACATTTCGGACCACACACGACGTTGATAATGGCCATAAGGACAATCAAGAAGGCGATGGCCATATATGGGAACGTTGCGTCATTTAGCCAAGCCAAACATGGGAAAGAAAGACAAGTATTAAGGAAAATACCCATGGGAGTTCAAGCTTCGACAAATCCTCAAATTGCCGGTTTGGCTTTGTTTTTCACCATTTTTTTTGGCAGAATTCAGATTGTCCGAATCCCAGCACCCTCTCCGACGTCACTCCTCTTTCGAAAGAGGAATTGACTGAAGGTGGAAGTTGTTTAAAGCGAAATTGAAATGCGATTGACTAATCATCATCATCACATATGATTGTGATTGGTATGTTGTCACATCGGATTACCCAAGAATACAAGAAGAAGGAGAAGAAGCTGCGATTAGTTTTGTGTATCATCATGATTATCTCGTTCGAAGCCGCTATTCATGCGACATTTCACTTTTAAACTATAAAAACTTGAATGGCATTTATGTGCTTCTCTTTTATTTTCTCTCATCTCGTCTCATCCGCACTTTTGAATTTATGTTGTGGTTTTGCGTTTGCGTCTTATCATCAATTTCGACAATCGAGACAAAATGATGATAAGCGAGCGAATTTTGAGATTTATTGCTTTTTTTCTTGCGGGGCGACGTCGTTGATTTGGAATTCTTCAAAGTCACCAAAATTGTTTTGTTTTCGATTTTTCCGGTGTTTGCGTACCTCGGCATTTTAACGTACGCCCAATTTCGATGATTAAAGGGGTACACACTGAGCGGGGGAGAAATGGAATTGATCAAAACCGACACGCTAAATCGAGGGCGACTTAGCGTGAATGGAGTGTCGTACTAAATTGAAAATCGTTTGACGGCGATACTAAAAATAATAATAATATCGCACTGTGTACTCCACATGGACAATTTCTTTCGCGCGTAAATCGACACTGTTGTTGCAAGACCCAATTCGACAAGCGTTTCCAAATAGAAATGCTCTATTCAGTTTGAATAAAATTGTGTACTCCACACGGACAAGAGGCCACGATGGAAAAAACGCAAATATTTAAATATTTTGACAATTTTTAACACTTTTTCAGCAAAACCTATTTTTTGCAATCAATTTTCTGCGACAATTTCTTTATTTCTAGTGGTTCTCCCCAAAGTAGAAGTCAATTGTCAATAGAGCGCAAATGCAACATTTTTTCTAACCCCAATTATAACCTTTGATTTCGTTCTTTTTAGATATTATCGTATTATTTCTCAAGGCCCGGATTCTAAATGAGGGGGGCCTGTATGTAGAAGTGTTGCAATTGCGCCCTATTGACAACCGAATGTTCATTTCTCAAAATGTGGAGGAGGCTTCATCATTATTGGCACTCAAATGCGCATCGACGCCAATAAATCTCATCGACGAAAAAATCGTCGGCCGATCAACAAATCATTGAATCGGCGGCAATCGATCAAATCGCTGCTCGATCATTCCGAATCGGTCTGTCATCAGCGACCGAGAATAGGGCGTTTTGTGTGATAACTGGGGGGGTTTACGCCAATCACTTCCTTTTATGGAATATCGGTGTCGCTAGTTGGAAGAAGAAGACGACGAAAAAACGAAGAGACGGTGCGAATTTCAAAAATTCGCGCGTACCAGTCGCCGGCGATTCGCCGCAGGTGTTAAGTGATATGCTGGCTGGCTGGCTGATGATGTCCGAATTAATCATCTGATCGAAATTGCTGATAACGATGCGGCAGCGCCCCGCCCATCGCACGATAGCGATCTACAACTGTTCGCGGCGGAACAGTTGAAACCCCCCACTCCCGCCAACCGCCAATTATTGCAATTGGCGATCGGCGGCGTGCTTTTCAAACTACGGGGACCTGACACAACCTAATTTCGAGTGTCTCCCAATTTTCAGAATATCTTGTATCGTTTAATAGTGTTTTCATTTTTTTTTTTTGATTGCCGCTTGAAAATAGGCCAAAACTCGTTTTTATTACCATTTTTATTGGCGAGCGTTTGTCATTCCAAAAATGGTGCACCACTTCTTTGTGATAATTCCCTTTAGTCAATTCCAATATCCTTTCTATGGTTAGTCATCGCTTTTTGATGTACCGCGCATTTTTCGCGTCGAGACCCCACAATCATCATCAGAATTGTGGCCGACGCAATTTTGCACAAAATTTCATATTCTATCGAATTTGCGATTTTTTTATTTTGATTTTTTTCTAGCCATTTTCATTTTCATTCTTCCAATGTTCTTAAAAAGTCAATGGTGTGCAATTGGCGGGTAGATGGTGTACACCTATCAATCTAGGCTCCGCCCCCTTCCCTTCTTCCCTCCCCCCCTTTAACGCAATGATTTTCCCCATTCGCATTGCGTCTTCCCCCCGTCGACTTCTTCTCATTATCAACTCGTCTGTTCATTCCCCCCTCCTCTTCCTCTTCTTGTGTTCGGAAATCGAATTTTTTATTTCATTCGTTTGCCGTACTCATTAAACGCGCGGCGCCGCCGCTTTTTTTCCTCATTCAATGTTTCAAATTTAATCGGCTTTTCTCGCGATTTCACACCTCGCAGTTGGTAGCAATTTTTTCGAAAATGACAATTGGGGTCCGATTTCCCCTTTTTATATATATCTATTTTTTTGAATTGTGTATTTCATTCTTGATTCTACACATCCATCCATCCATCGCCTCGATTCATTGGCGCACTTGAGATTGTTGCGAACAAGCGAGACGACGGGTATCATCATTGTTTTAGGCACTCAAAAATGCGTGTTTGTTTCCCAAAATTTTATGCAAATATACATATGATCTTCCACTCGAGCTCAATTCGCAGCGCGGTGGTGTGCTGTTGCGTTTTTTTGGCCATTTTTGGAACCCCCTTTAAGAGGAATTGTGCATTTTTGCGTCTCGGCGTTTGCACAAAATTCCTTCTACAGTAATCCAAGACAATTGAAAGTGTATTTTACAATCGCAAAAACAAATTACGACGAGTTTTTCAAATTTAAAATGTTTATTTTTGAAAATCTGTTTGAAACAGATTTTTGTGCTTTCATCCCTCTTTAAAAGAAATTGTGCATTTTTTCGCCTCGGTGTTTACACGCAAATTCTCATTGTTTAAATTTGAATTATCGCGTCCGAAAACAGGCAAAAATTCAAATTTCGGAAAAAATAACGAAAATTCTAGATGGGAAAATCGATCGCAATTTAAAACAATATGTGTCGTCAAATAAAATGCACAAGTCCGCAATGATGTCTTTTTCGCTCGAGGACCTCGCAACCCCAAAAATTGAGCTTTCAAAATGTTCAATTATGTGAAAATCGCACGTTTAAAAATTGTCGTCAAATAAAATGCATTCGGTGTAAACACGCAACAATTCGTATTTCCATCTTTTTGTTCGTCTCAAGATCACATTTCAAATTAAATCTGAAAATGTCATTGCGGACTTGTGCATTATAATTGACGACAATTCACATGTGGTTGATTTCGCGTCGAATTTTCTGCTAAATGCCAACCTCGCCCTCCACCGCGCTTTAAGGGAGCATCCCTTCAAAGGAGCATACAGTAATCGATGACACATGTTTTAGAAGCACCAATTACACAAACATGCGCGAAAAGAAAGGAGATGAGCGCAAACAGAACGCATAGCCACCGTCTCTCTCTCTCTCTCTGTGTTTTTTTTTTCGCCTCCTCTCATTTTGATACACACGCGTTTCTCGGGTTTGGAGGAAGCGCTTCCATTGGGTGGCCAACAAAAAAAGATTTTTTGCCTTGCATTGCATTTGGGTTTCAATTTTTCAATCGAAACAATTGCATTGTTGGAATGAAAATTAATTAATTTCGCCACCGCCTCTTCCTCCGTGCGAGGTTCCTCTCCTCTCCTCTCGGCTTCCTTCCCGCCCCAACACGGGAGGAATCGATAACCTCAAGTCAAAAACTTGTTGGTGACACGCAATTATCTTTCTCTCTTCTCTCTCTCGCGACCATCTCTAACAAAAAAAGAAGAAACGCGAAAAAAAAACAGAAAATTTTTTGCCGTCCATCCGATTTCGAAACAAATTTCGATATTTCTCTTGTACTGTGATGGTAGTAGTAACCAAGCTGTTAGTCATTTTTATTAAAAAATTTTGTACATGGGACCCCCCTTGTGTCTCTTTTACTGCATTTTTAATCAAGTTTCGCCCCCTTCTTCTTCTTCTTCACCCTATTCCCATCATCAACACATCAAATGCATTGTATAATAATGGATTCCCGTGAGAAGAGCGCGCGCGTTTCAGAAAAATCGCTGATCCGTTGCTAACTATATGTATATATTATTACTATGTACTTACTGTAATCTGTTATGCAATCCGCCGCGCGCACACCTCTCGAATTGAATGGTTGTTTGCACTTAATTTGGTCGCTTTCGGGGCGTACCATAACAATACATATTCGAGATTGATTTCCGATTTATGCGCCCCCCCCCCCAAAATGAATGTGCTAATGTTTCGACTTTTTGTTTGTTTATGTCGAACATCGAAATCGAAACAACTTTTGAATATTCATTCATTTCTGCGGGTTCCCGTTTCGCGCGAGGGGGTTGCGGTTTCCGGCTTCTGACGACGCTATCAATTTCGCAACCTCAACACATCAAACACAAAAATATCACCAGCCATTGTCTGCCACCCTTCGAGGTTATTATTAACAACTATTGTAATAAGCCTGGCAAACACACATCGACAAGTGCGCGAGATTAGTTTTTCGAGTGTTTATTGGTGTTGGTGTCGGTCCGCCAGGTTTCAAAGTCTTGAACCCTCGACCTTAAGCGCGTGCCGATTGAAAATTTTTACCACTGAGCCATCAGCGTACCGCGTTTACAGCGCGAGATTGCCATTAACTGTGCTTGCCACCCTTCCGCGACACCTAATACAGTACTCCCGGGTTCTAAAGGCGCATATAGTATTTTGCACACTATTTCAAGTTTAATTACATTTTCCATAATTTTGCGTTTTTTTTTTCGAGAAAAATTGTTAAGAAAAAATGAAGCAAAGTTGAGTCATAACTAGAAAAAAACACACACATAATATTTAGCGAAACACAATGCGTCGAAAAGCGATTAATTCGACCGGAATTTGATTAATTTTGTACGAGTCTCGTCATTTCTCTCTCTCTCTCTCTTTCTCTCAATCTCAAACGACGCGCGCAAAATCCCGAATGCGAAATTCATCAACGAATTGACACCTTTTGACCTGATTAGGTGGAGGAGTACGTATTGCTACTGTGTTTTTTTAATCGGCCCCCAGCCCAATCCAACAACTCGTCACGATCCAAATCCAAATCAATCTTCTTCTCACCGAAATCCTGCTCAGCTAAAAGCCGTCGCTACCTCTCTTCTTCTTCGTCTTTTTTTTCAATCAGAATGATTGATGCGCCTTTAACGGCGGTTACGGTAAACGCGTACGCTCATCATCACGCTTGTGTTGTTTCAAGATGGTTATCGTGTGTCGCGCCCAAAATCACGCTTGACTGGTTGTGCAATTAACAAATGTTTAAAGGAAACTGATATCTCTATACTATATATGGCATAGTTAATCATACCTCCTCCCCCCCAATCGAATGATTGACTTGTCATGGACGATTAGCGTCTGATAATCAAGGGTGTGGTTTTGCGCCCCGCACCAACTTGACCCCCGGCCCCCCGCAATTATTCATTCTTCACCATATCGCTCCCACCGCAAATTGACTTCCAAAAAAATACAATTTTTTGATGTTGCAGCGATGCGCGAGAAATGGCCGCTTCTGCTGATTCTTGCGTTCGCCACCGCGTTCCCCAACGAGGAGATTTTTCGCGGCCTGTTTCCCGTTCAGCCGCCGCACTGCTCGAAGACGCCCATCGTTTTGGCGCAAACCTCGCAGAGTGAGTGATTTTCATTTTCATTTTTCCCCTTCTGCGGACAATTATGATTTTTTCGTGTCCGCAGATGCGCACTCGTCGGTCTCGCGCGGAATGCAAATGCAATTCTACATCGGACTGCACACGGCCGTGTGTTTTCGCCTTCACGACGGCCTTCCGTTGGCTTCGCGCGATCCGTCGTCGTCGAATCAGACGTCGTTTCTGCACACGATTCGACTCGATCGATTGGAGCACCATCACCCGGTAGGCGATCGACGACGACCTACCTCATCCGACGACCGGTTTTGCAGATCACCCAACGCTACACGTTCGGCGTGCCGGAGGTGCACGCCGATTGCATTTGCGAGTGCGACGCGACGTCGTCGACGTGCACCGCCGAATCGCATCAGTTCACTTCGTGTCCCGAATCGGACAAGGACGACGAGGCGACGTCGTGCTATCGGACGTTCTTTCCGAATCAGACGCCCATCGGATGCAGCGAGGACGATAGTCCGAAGTTGTGTTGCGATGTCCGATTCAAACCATACAAGTGAGTGTCGATTGTGTGCAAATTGTCGTCGAATTTGCTATGGCATTTTAATTGACGACAAATTGCACGCTAATTTCGATTTCTTGCTTGAAAATTGAAAAAAAGTTTGAAAAAAAAATTTTTTTGCTTGAAAAAAAAATTAAATTACATTTGCGCATCAAATTGAATGCATTGCCCGCAATGTTGCCAAAGAATTTTAATTGACGACAATTCGCACAATTTTTGAATTCACACTCATTTTTCTAGATGTTTTTTTTTTCAAAAAATTACAATTTGTGCAAATTGCGCGTCAAATTGGATGCATTGTCCGCAATATTACTTCTACATTTAAATTGACGAAAAATTGCACAAATTCTACGTTTTCATCATTTCTAGATTGTTTTTTTTTCATTCAAAATTTTCCGAAAAATCACAATTGCGCGTCAAATTAGAAGCATTGTCCGCAATTTCGCGATGTGACATTTAAAGGCGCATACCATAGACTGGTTTCATTTCCTTGCAGAAATCTCACATTCCTCGCGGTGAAACTCGAACAACCGACGACGTACGCGACGTTCGTCTACACCGCCTACGATTTCGTGAACGGCCGCTGGATCGAGAAGGACAAGACGACGATCCGATCGCAATTGGACGGCGGCACACAGGATCGCTATCTCGACACGCAGAAGCGCATCTCGTTGGCGGTGACGGCCGGCGGTCGCGCGTCGCACCAACTCGAGACCGGCATGTACTTCACACGGACGAGCCCCGGCGGCGAGTTCGAGGAATTGCGACGGCAGCCGCTCAACGAGATATCCGACAACAAGTGGGTTTCGCGCTTCGGCCGACGACCACCACCCACATGAATTTGTCTTGCAGCTTCGATCGTCTCGGATGGTATCGAATGGACGAGGCGGGACGATTTCATGTGAACAACGGCGTCGTCAAAATGGACGACATTCATAAGGCCAAAGTCAAAAATTGCAAGGAGCAGACGTATCGCAGCATTTTGGCGGCCAATAATTATGTGAGTCGCAATCGTTTGTTTTTGCATCGAATTTGACGACGAAATGCACAAATTTCTAGTTTTCCTCAGAAATCGCCAAATTTTCACGAGAATGTTGGTTTCGTCTCAAAAAAAAAAACCAAAATTTTAAAAGAAAAAACGTATGTTTCGAAAACATCGAATTTGACGACAAAATGCGCACTTTCGAGACCACAAAATAAAACGCTGTATTCGACGAGAAAATGCACAATTCTGATGTTTTTTTCCTTAAAAATCGCCAAATTTTCACGAGAAAATGTCCATCTTCGCAAAAACGTCACGATTGACGACAAAATGCACAAATTTCTATTTTTTTTCTCAGAAATCGCCAAATTTTCACTAGAATATGCACAATTATGTTGTTTTTTTTTCAAAACATCAAATTTGACGGCAAAATGCACAATTTCGGATTTTCTTCAATAAAAATCACCAAATTCTACGAGAAAATGCGTAGTTTCCAAAAACATCAAATTTGACGGCAAAATGCACAATTTCGGATTTTCTTTAATAAAAATTGCCAAATTTGACGACAAAATGCGTAGTTTCCAAAAACATCAAATTTGACGACAAAATGCACAATTTCGGATTTTCTTTAATAAAAAATCACCAAATTCTACGAGAAAATGAGTAGTTTCCAAAAACATCAAATTTGAGGACAAAATGCACAATTTCGGATTTTCTTTAATAAAAAATCACCAAATTCTACGAGAAAATGAGTAGTTTCCAAAAACATCAAATTTGACGACAAAATGCACAATTCAATTTTCTCTCGAAAACAAATGCATCAAACTCAATTGCACAGATGCCGGGCCATTTCAATTTGACAAAACCGCTCGACTTGCTCCTCCCATGGATCCAATCGGCGCGCATCTACGACAACTCGGCGCGACAGGCGATCGTGACGCACGCCGAGGGCACGAATCTGCACATCACACTCCATCTCGACGACGACATGGACGGCCTCGTGTTTTTCCATAACGCGTCGCGCATTCGCGACTTCTCCGGCACCATCATCGTCGACAGCCGCTCGAATCGCTTCTTCAATTTGACCGTCTACGAGGCGTCGGGCAAAATCGACGGAAGCGTGAAGTTCGCCGCCGACGAGCGTTCGGCCAACATCCACACGTTCACGACGTACGTCAGCGATTTGCGGGCGGCGAATCGATCGATGATCATTCCGCTGCCGGCGATCGTCGAGCCGGGACCGCGAACGATCTGCCTGAAGGCCGATGAGATGGCCGAGCGCGACTCGATTTGTCGCGTCATCGAGTACCACGAGAGTCCGCTTGAGGTTTGAATCGGTTCGGATTCCGATGGTCAACATTTCTCGATTCAGATCGATCTTGTCGAGGGCAAATGGCACGAGATGATCGGCTCGTGTCCGACGTGCAATCAGGTCAATTTCAACGGAATGATGAAGTTCCTGAATCCGGCGCACTGGATCAAAGGCATCAGCTCGCTCGGCGACGGCGTCATGCTCGTCACCGATCTCGTCGTCTATTTGGGCGTTCTCATCATCCTCTATCTGCTCATCACCAAGCTCATCATCCCATTGGTGAGGTGTTGGGTGTGCCCGACAACATTCTGCTGCTCGTCATCATCATCGTCGAAGCGGAGTCGACGAAGGTCGAGAAGAAGGTTGTGTCGCGACACGCAATTCGTCTCATTCTTTTGGATTTTCAGATCCGAATCGCCTGAGCCGAGAATGCATCCGAGCCGCGCGCGATACTACGGCGACGGACGCGAGCGTCACTACGAGGGCGACTACATTTGAATTTCTCGCGTCGAGACCCAAATTCTATTTTTCCTTCTTTCTTTCACCATTTCACTTTGACAATCTCTCTCTCTCTCTCTCAATTTCAATTATGGGTACCCTTTAATAGCGTTTTATTTCGCACATCATTTTCGAGTTGGTTTGAACACTCCAATTCTTTGTATATTTTCGTGTCAAGACCTTCAAACCCTCTCGCAATTTTTGTGCTCCTCCAATCACATTATATGTGGCCAAAAAAAATGAACAATGAACGGGTAGTCGGACCATCATCATCATCATTATAGTGATCATCGAATTGTGCTTATTTTTGTTCCGTTGCTTTTCTTTTCTGTGATCCATCACTGCCTTTGATCATGTGCCTTTCAACGGTGCTCACTTGTCAATTTCATCCCAAAAAACAAATTCTTCAGTTTTTCCCAAAAACACACACACAAATTGCCCCGGGTGATTAATAATAAATGCATTTTTTTCGCTTGTTTAAAATCTATAATTTCTAGAGCAAAATATGAAAATCGATTTGCGCGAAAAATTTGAATTTCGCGGAAAAAAACTCCAAAAACTTCGGCCGCGGCCATGTTGTATGCGCCTTTAAACGTCAAAATTTTTAAAAAGGCGAGACCGTAAAGCTAGTGTAGATTTAATATTAAATGCGCGTAAGATATAATGCAATGTACGCATTGTGATAAGCCAGTTACCGTAACCTCACAGCGATTTACGGGGGATTTTTTAAAATTCGCTATTTTAATTTTTTTTTTCGCTCAATTCTTGTATTTTCTTTCGAAATTGTTTATTTAAAGTCTGTAGAACAAAAATTTAATTATTTATTTAGTAGAATATGCACTTTTAAACAATATTTAATGATTTTTTTATTAGTAAAGTCAATAAAGATAAAAAAAAATGATTTTTTTTAGTTGTTTATAAAATTATCTATTCATGTTTTGCTTTTAATCCGCATTTTTACTATCTTGTTTTTCTATTCTTCATTTCAAAATAATTTTTAGAGCAAGAAAAAAATATCGATAAATATTGCTAGAAATAAACTATTTACGAACATTGAGCGAAAAAAAATTAAAATAGCAAATTTTCAAAAATCCTTTCGAGGAACTGGCTCATCGCATTGCGTACCAAACGCTGGATCCCACGACACCTGGATACATTTGTCATTTCTCAACAATAGCCAATAATTTTTTACATTACGATCTCTAAAATATGGAAAACTTGCTTCTAGTAACTTATTTTCCATTCGAGACCCAAGGGCTGCAATTCAAAAACGATTTCCGAAATTGGGCATCTCCATCATTTTTATTGAAATCAAAATCAATAGCGGCCCATCGAATTATTCACTCTCGCTCGACGACACACACAATCCTTGAGATTTCGCCAATGGCGCACATCGCCGAAAATATAGCCAATCGGAATGAGCACACAAAACGCGTTGTGGTTGCACAATTCGGGATAGTCGCGACGCGACGCGAGAATCTCCGCACACCACTGAGCGACGATGGCGATCAGCGTCGGAATCGTCGTCCAACTCACATCAAATTGATCGCGTTTCGAGCGATCCGAACAATGGCGCGGTTTGAATGTGCGCCAAAACAAAATCGCGTAGATGATCAACGAGATGATTGGGAATAATAATTGGATGACGACATTCAAATATAATTGGCCAATTAGTTTCAACGCCATTGCTGTTCCATTATTGCACGCGAATTGATTGCGCAGCACGCAGTTCAACGAGCACACCTCGATCAGCTCGAATTGGCAATTCAAATAGATGCTGGCGGTATTGATGACGCCCAAAATGATAGTAATATTCAAAATATTGCTCATCCACACGCCGGTGACGTACTTGTGCAAATCCGGCCTTCCGACGAGCATCACGTAGCGTTGAACAGCGAGCAGAAGCAAGTATGTCGAAATAATCGGACCATCGAGGATTCGATCATGAATCACCAGCAATATCAATGAAATTCTAAAACCCTCCAATTTTTGGCATTTCTCGAAGCAAACTCACGTCGCGAAAACCGCGTAGGCCAACGGGATCTCCGTGAGCTCGGCGGCCGAATTCGATTCCACGTAGTAGTTGAACGATTTAATTAGTCCGTCGGCAATTAGCACAATTGCGAACATCCTGCTGATCGCCAACGTCGACGTCGCTCGCTCGCGATGGCGATTTTTATAAACCGCCAACAAGTATAGTATTGGAATCACACCACGATAGGCGATGGCACCAATTTCGCTATACTCACCAAACGCGTTGAACATTGCTATACGACAAATAGTTAAAACCAAAAAAGAAAAAAAAAATTGCTCGCCTCAAAGGCGCCAATTTTGGGTGATGTGGGCGAGCCACTAATTATAAATCGCTAAAAGGTTACATTCTATGCGCCTTTAAAACAAAACGCAGCCTTGCGGTTCGCTTCAAGACCCAATTGACTACAATGTGGTCAGCCGACGGTTATCAATTGATTATCACTAAACAAAAAAAAAGAAGGAAAACGGTGATGCGTGCTTCTGTTGAATGAATGAGGACGAATTGCAACGAATGCGAAAATTTTACGTAATTTTCCAATATTTTGTGTTCCTTTTCATCGCGTTCGCCTCGAATTTCAATTATGGATTCTCGACGACATATGTGAACACGAGTGCCGATGAGTTCAAGGTAACCACTCATAAAAATGAAATTTTCATTCCGGATTTTAGAATTACCTCAACGCGTCGTATCATTTCCAATTGACCGAGTCGCAATACGAGCTCGTCTGGAATATTTTCCTCAATTTCTGGTTCATCGGCTTCTTCATCGGCATCTGGGTGAGCCCGATTCTCAATGAGCGATTCGGCAGAAAAGGTGGGCCGCACTTATTATTATCAATCAACATCGAATTCTTATCAATTATAGAGAAAAATGAGAGAGAGAGAGAGAGACACAGAGAAACAGATTGTGACTTGTGAGAGACGCAGAGAAACAGAATGTGACTTGTGAGAGACGCAGAGAAACAGAATGTGACTTGTGAGAGACGCAGAGAAACAGAATGTGACTTGTGAGAGACGCAGAGAAACAGAATGTGACTTGTGAGTGACGCAGAGGAAAAAGGTCCGAATAGAGGGACTTTTTGAGAGGGTGCTGTACAACTAGACATTTCAATAGGGCGCGTTTGTGGAGACCATAACTAAACTAGATCCTCTTCGTGTCGAGACCCAATTCAATTTCAGTCGGTTTTCTCGTCGGCAATCTGACGGCGTTTCTCGCCGCCGTCGCCCGATGCGCCGCCGTCTATTGGCGCTTTCCGATAGCGTTGATCATCGCGCGCTTCGTCACCTCGATCTGCATGGCCGTCACCTATCAATCGTGCATCCTATTCCTCCAGGAGTGCTCGCCAACCCATCGTCGCGGCCACTTCTCATTCTTCAGCGAGATCTCCTACTCGTCGATGACGATGATCGGCAGCCTTCTCGGCACCGACTATATTCTAGGCACCCATCTGGTTTGGCTGACGGCGTGCGTAGTCCCGTTCTGTTTCGTCTTCACAATCCTTCTACTATTTCTGCCGGACACGCCGAAATATTTGCTCATCACCAGGAATGACGAGGTCGAAGCGTGCCGATCTGTCCGATTCTATCATGGCGATGAAGCCGACGCCAAGCAGGTCCTTCTAGACATCCGAATGGTCCGATACTTTGACTCTTTCGTTGATGACAATATCCTCCCTTCGTTTTTTTCAGGAAGCCGAATGCGAGTCGTCCGATGACTCGACGACTCTAACCAACATCAAAGACCTCTTCATCCATTCGCATTTGCGATTGGCGTTGATTCTAAGCGTGTCAGCCCTTCAAGTAACGCGCATCAATTCTCTAAAACTTCAAATAACAACCAATTGCAGAACACCGTCGGCTTCTGGGCGCTTCTCCTCTCGTCGACGTTCTTTCTGGAAAACGCGAATCTCGATTTGACAATCGCGCAATGGAGCACAACCGCAATGCTGTTGGCCTATGTCGTCGGCACGCTGACCGGCGGCGTTTTGATCGAGCGATTCGCGCGACGTCACATCCTCCTCGCATTCACCTTCATCAACAACATCGCCCTTCTCGCGTTCGTCTTCTTCGCCAAAATTCGATTGCTGATCGATGCGATGAAATTCGGCTGCCTCGCTTCTCTAATCTTCTACGGCTTCACATATGGGTGAGCTTCTTTCAATTCCGAACCGCCCCATCTCAACACGCGAAACCAATTGCAGAACCGGCGTCGGCCCGATTTCGTGGTTCATCTGCTCCGAACTCGTGCCGCAACGATATCGCACAAGTGCCCAATCAGTCTCCTACGCGATTAACACAATTATGGTGGTGATTAGCACGTTCACCGTACTACCGTTATACTCAGCCATCGGCAGCTACGCATTCGTCATACTCTATTCGGTGCCATCGTTTATCAGCATGTTAATTCTATTCCGTTGGTTGCCCGAAACCAAAGGTCGCGAGATTTACGAGATTGTCAATGAATTGAAATCGAAATAAATACAACAATCAAAAGTGGGCGGGGTCTAGGAAACATTGATGATCACTAAATCGCTTGTCGTCGAGGTGTTGCGTTTCACTAAAAGCCAATATTTTTGGGACCATTAGGTGAGGGCGCCTACATTTTTGCAGAAGATTCCGGAGCAGCGGTTTCGTGCTAATGAGCATCACCGTCGTCGAGATTCCGCCTTGAGCCGATATCAGAATAGTGAAGAAATGAATCAAATCTGTGAGGCAAAAAAAAATCAAGATAAAAATGGGGCCAAGTCTCAAATTCCGCTCACGAGTCCAATTCGAGTAGACGAATTGGTGCCACGTGGCGACGACGAGAAGCATTGTCGGCAAGCCGAGCAACGCAAAATGCACCGACATCTGAATGAGCAAACCGCGTAGGAATTGACGCTGAAGTTCGTGGGTTCGAGGCGACACGCGCGACTTCAATTTTTGCAGCGACGCATAGCAATTGAGCGCGCAATAGACGATGAGGAGACTCGCGTGAGCGACGAGCATCGAGGAGAGGAAGAAGAGGAACGCGCAGGGAATGAAGTTGAAGTCAACGAGGAGAATGCATTGCGGGCAGAACGCCTCGACGGGTGGCGTCTGGAAAAATTTGGCTTTAATAAGTATATTTCTAATACCAATTCTCAAATGTGGAAAATCAAAAAATTTGACGCGAAAAACCAATCAATAATGAGTAGCTTTGATTTGGGAAAATTTCCACAAAAATTTTTTCGTTTTTTTTTACCCCATTGAATTTTTGATTGATTGCCGAATTCGCGAAAATGTCGCGACAATACAACACGAGCAAAATCGCCAAAACGCAACCAATTTTGATGAGAATTTGGCTGATCTCCACTAATTTTGGACCATTTTGGCACGGCGCCAGACTTGCTTTCATCCGATATTCGAACATATGAAGAATGACGATACCGGTGTCTATAAAATAATTAGTTGGTTTCATTAAATTGAATTCGATGTGCCTTTAAAGTCTAATTAATTAACAAATAATTACTTACAAATAATATTGATAATGAATAAAAGGAACATTTCGAATGGATATTGCCACGCGATTCCCGTTGTGCAGGCGATCATATAAGGAAGAATGAAGATCGGATTCCAAAAGAATGACATGAACAAGTCGAACGAGAAATTGCTGAAATTTAGGCGATTGTTGTGCGCAATTTGTCAAAAAAATTTCTCACCCAAAAACGTGTAAAATGAGAAGAATGCGATATTTTTGAAAGTATCTCGGACATTTGTACATTAAAATGAGCATTGAAATACAAAAAATTGGTAGGAATATGATGAATAGCGAATATTCGATGAGACGGAGGTGCCGTTCGGAGGAGAAAAAGCAGCGCGACATTTTCAGATGAGATGAAGATGGATGATTCGAAATATTCTAATCGCCTCTTCCGTTCGAATGAGCATTGACGATGATGACTTTTTGCGTGAAATTTTTCGATTTACCTGATTTCGAGCACATATTTCAGCGAATGTCCTTCAATTAATGTTTTTTACCTGGAACAAAATCAAGTTTGAATTGTGAGTTTTCCAGAGAATGGGATTTTCAAGAAAATCGATGGAGCGTCGAATTGAAAAAAAAAACCGCGCGTCGAATCACGCGCAATTCCGCAATACAACGCGACGTATATTTGCACACACCACATCAATTTTCGATTTTTCGTTCAAATTTCACCATTGTTTCCTATCATTTCCTCGTTCGGCAAATGTGTTTCAAGTATGGCGATTGTCATTAAAATGCGCGATAAGAATTCAATGATAAACATCGACTCAAAATGCATTTCACTCGACGCGCAATCTCGCCGCTTGCCTCGTTCGTTGTCGACGAGCGTGTCGGCACCGTGAACTCGTCGCTCTCCAGAAGGCCGCTGGTACACATCGACGATATCGCGATGCGTCAAAATTCATCGTATTCAAGCTTAGCCGAGGATGACGTTGAGTCTCAAGGTCAGACAACATTTCACACCCCCCGAAAAATATAGAGGGTCTCAACGCGAACAAATCGAAAATTCAAATTTTCGCCTCAAAACTAAGGTTTGAAAAAAAAAGAAGAAGAACATTTGTCGTTTTTTTTCCTCAAATCTTCTCGATTTCATTTCTTGTGTTCTCCTCCTCTCACTTTCCACGCTTCATTTTTGCTTCATTTCAGAAATTTATGGTTAGCAATCGATTTCGATGACAATTGCCAAAAGATGTTGTAGGTTTTTTTTTCTGATGGAATTTTAAACAAAAAATTTCTTATATGGTGGTCGAAAATTGAAAAATGCGGAAGTTTCTGCGATTTGATTTTTTTAATTGAAATTCGCCAAATTTTCACGTTTCCCAAAAATTCTGCGTTTCTACTATTTCCTTATATATGTAGATAGCCTTGAAACAAAACAATGTGATCGCACGTGGTCCAATTATGAAGAATTGTTTAAAGGGGGGGAGGTGGGTGATCAGCGGTATGATTGCGCGGAATTTTCTTCTCGTCAATAATATGTTCCGCCTTCTTTCGATTTTTTTTCATCGACATTATTGCGATTGTCGTCGAGATGCCTGCGCGGACACCAGCTTCTCGCTCTCGCCGTCTCGCCGCCCTCCTCATCCGCCGCACTCTCTTCGTCGCCGCTTTGCTTATGGGCCCCAGCCACACAAAGTTGAGCCAAATCGCACCCTCTCTCACTCTCTCTCTCTCTTTATTTTTCTTCTCCAATGTTACTTTTTTTTAGTCGTCGTTTTCCCCTAAAATTGATAGTTTCGTTGCATTTCATTGCATTTCTTCTCATTTTCTCGATGACGTGGCTATCGATTTTTACCGAATTCTGCATTTCTCCTAGTGTTCAAATAAAATATTTCGAAGCAAAATTACTTGAACAAAAGTGGTTTTGCTCAAATTGAGCGTTTCCTAGTTGTGACGAAAGAGGAAACGACACACACCGGGTCCCAAAACGCCCTTTTTTACATGTGCTGCCTCTTTTAAAATTGGTCTCAACGCGAAATTCGCCATCATTTCGAGTTGGTCTCACCGCGCGCAAATAATCAATATTTGCGGACTCATATTCTCCCACGAGTATCATCATCATCATCATCATCGAAAATTCGACGTCGTCAAATTCAAAATGTTTTCAGTGATGTCGATGGCGCGTCTCGTGCGCGTCTTCTTCGCCGTTGACATCGAGAACCTTCAGCCGCACCACACGGTGTTCGTCGTCGGCAACGTGGAGAGTCTCGGCAAATGGGTGGCGACGCAAGCGATGCCACTTCAACAGGATGAGCACAAGAAGTGAGTAGCAGCAGCAGCCGCCGTCTAATTTGATAACCCCTTCTTGTTGCAGAATCCGCTGGCGTGGTTCGATCGAGACGAAAGAGAATCAACTCAAATTTCGCTATTTCGTCGGCTATTATTTGAACGCGGATGGCGTCGATAAGCTGATCGTTGGTGCGTTTTTGGCGCCGGGCGGTTCCTCATTCTCCGTATTTCTTTTTTTGTTTTTTCAGACAAATGGGAGGCGTTTCTGAATCCGCGCTCGACACTATGCCAAGTTGAGAATCGCGACGGCGTGTGCCGCATCGATCGCGTCGATCTCTTCGGATACTATGGTGCATTCCCAAATTATCAATTTAAACAACTCGTTTAAGCTGGCCGCAAATGTGTGTCGGATGGTTGGCTGCAGCACGCCGAAGAGAACCAAATATTGTTGCGATTGCACGGCAACGCGCTCAAATTCTACAAGACCGCCAAAGAGCGCAAAAATTGCCGCGTGAAATTGACGCCGCTCGACGTCCGATACAAACAGGTCCGATTATTCGAGATTGTCATGAAAATTTCGAAATGCCTTTTTTTCCCGCCATCGTGTGATACGTGATTATTCTCTCTTCGTTCCTTCCTTTCATTTTTTGTTTTAACGAGTCCAAAGTGCATGCATGCAAACAGACGCGAGGGGGAAGTCAGTCACTTATTGAACCCCACCTCGTCGTGACTTATATCATATCAAGTTTCTCTCATATGTTCAACTAGGGCCAATATCAAAATAATTAGTTGATAAAATCTGGTCTTGGCTGCAAACACTTTTGATTCTTGGTCTCGTCGCAAATAGAATTGTCACCTGCGCGGTGGGGTCTCGCGGCGATTTTGCCAGCACAAAAAAATATGCTTTTTAAATAAACACTTTAATGTTTGCCGAAAAATGAGAGAGATTGAGGGGATTGTTTGCGGAATTATTTGACCAACTGAGTAGTGATTGACCGATTCGAATCCCGAAGAGGCAAATTGAATAAATATCCGATCGATTCGAATTGCAGTCAAGCGGCGCCCACATCAGCTTCAGCTATGGCGAAGACGAGGACGATGATGACGACGAGACGACGAACTCGCCGCCGCCGTGCACACATTCGCAGACGCACGTCGCCGTGCTGTCGGACCCGAAGCCGAAGTTCTACGAGCAAGACGAGACGGGTGTGGTGTTCAACAACAACAAGGATTACATTGTGTTTCGGACGCACTCGATAGCCAACGACTATTTGGCGTTCTACATCGAGATCTTCTCCGAGGAGAGGAAGCGAATCGGCGCGTGCTACGCGTTACCCAACTCGATGCAGGACACTTGCGGTTGGTTTCGGCTCTCGCCGCAATTCTCCAATTCCCCCCGTCCCAACATTCCGTTTGCAGGCCTCACCCAATTGCCGTTCATCAACACGTCCGGTCGTCCGATCGGCCAAATCACCATCGAATATTTGTTCGTGAAGCCGCTCTGCCTCGGACGACCCCAATTGATGGATTTGACGTATTGTCGGCATTGGAAGAAGCGCAACGCGTTGGAGGTTGGCCATCGCGGCGCCGGCAACTCGTACACAAAGTGAGCTTGATTATTTTATTTTTTTTTTCTTTCGCTCTCCGAAAATCCAATCAAATTTTCGTCGATTAGTCGAAAATTGCCTGGTTTTTGATGTTGTGTTGGGCCATAAAAACGTGCGTTTTGTCATAAATGATAACCAACTTTTCGACTTTCACCTCCCCCCCTATTTGGAACTTTTTTTTTTGGTGTCTTATCGCCTAATCGTCATTGTCGATGATGATAATTCGAAAATCGCCGACGAAATAATTTTGATAAATTGAAATGGGGGGTCGACATTTTTTTTTCAATTTTCTGGGGAGAAGCTTTCCAAGCTTTTCGGTCCTTAGCTTGAACCATGAGGATCGGAATGATTTTAATAAATTGGATGTGCAAGAAAAAAATTCAGATTCGCCATGTCGCGCGAGAACACGATCCATTCACTGAACACGGCGGCGAAGAACGGCGCCGACTACGTCGAGTTCGATGTTCAATTGACGAAGGACAAAATCGCGGTCATCTATCACGATTTTCATGTGCTCGTGTCGGTGGCGCGACGCGACGGCAACGCGACGCCGGTGCCGGATCCGAAAGACGTCGGCAATATGGATTTTCACGAGTTGCCCGTAAAAGATTTGAAGTTGTCGCAACTCAAATTGTTGATGGTAGCAGCAGCAGCAGCAACAAAAAGAAGAAAAATTGAAATTTGACAAAAGAAAATTGCAGCTTGACCATTTGAGTTTCCCGCAACGCAAAGAGAATGTGAAAAAATTGGTGGAGCAAGGCGAAATGGAGGAGGACTTCAAGCCGTTTCCGACGCTCGTCGAAGCGTTGACAAAAGTCGATCCGGATGTCGGATTCAACGTCGAGGTCAAATATCCAATGATGCAGAATGTGAGAGAGTTTTGGATTTCTGTTTTTTAAAGAGCGATTCTGTTTAGAATGGACTTCACGAATGCGATCACTATTTCGAGCGCAATCAATTTGTTGATATCATTTTGGCCGACGTTCTCAATCATGCCGGAAGTCGGCGAATCATGTTTAGCAGCTTCGATCCGGATATTTGCTCAATGTAATGGCTCAATTTGCTAAAAGAAAACGAAAATAATTTTTTAAAAACATTTTTTTAGATAGGAAATTAAAAAAAAAGTAATTTCTATTTGATTTTGAAGCCAAAAAAGTGCAATTCGTTTATTTTTCGAAATTTTTCAGGGTGGCGACGAAGCAAAACAAATATCCGGTGCTGTTTTTGTGCGTCGGCGATACGCAGCGATACACGCCGTTCCAAGACCAACGCACGTCGACGTCGATGACGGCGGTGAATTTCGCCGTCGGCGCCGATCTGCTCGGTGTCAACTTCAATTCGGAGGATTTGCTCAAAGATCCGATGCCGATCAAAAAGGCGAACGAGTTCGGAATGGTGACGTTCGTGTGGGGCGAGGATCTCGACAAGAAGGAGAACATCAATTATTTCAAAAAAGAGCTCGGTGTCGATGGCGTCATTTATGATCGGTTCGTCGATTTTTTTTTGTTTGGGGAAAAAAATTTGTCAAATTTCTAAAAATCGCTTTCAAAACGTTAACCAAGACAATGCTTTTTCAGAATCGGCGAAGAGGAGCGTCGTCGCAACGTCTTCATTGTCGAACGTGAGCAGAAGCGTGTGCTTCTGAGTTGTTCGGGCGCGTCGACGCCTCAACGCGCGCCATCGCCGGTGCTCCTCGACAACAACAACTCGTCGAGTCAGCCGGTGCCGCTGGCGGCGCACGCCCAACGCATAATCCATTCGGATCCGGTGCTCATCGAAGAGGACGAAGACGAGCACGCCGGCGGCGGTGGCGGCGACGACGATGAGAAGAAGCTCGCCATCGAAACCGAGAAGCTCACGCTGAAAGGTGCGCAAAGCTCATTCGACGTCTCGCATTCGACACCGATGGTCAAATAAATTCCACGCGTCTCTTCCACCCCTGCTTTTGTTTTGTCTTCCCGGGTTTTTTGTTTAGAGTGCCTACTGCTATCAGTCACCCACAACCACAAAATTGGATAATTTAGGAATATTCTCGTTTCTCTCATATCCTATTTTTTATTTCAATCTATTCGAATTCCGTTTTTTCCGGAATTGTGTGACGAATTTGCCTATGCAAAATCATGTTTTATATAATATACATATATACTAGATATTAAAATTGTTTTCTTTTTTCGTGGTCCTAAAACAACAATCTCTAAAAATCATTCGGGGAGAGTTTTTTATGCCTACACAACCAGAAACGGGGAAAAATTGGTAGTAAAGCTAACATTAGAAAAAAAACGACAAATGTTCTAAGATTATTAAGCGCGTCCGAGAGCCTTCAACACCTCTTCGGTCGTCTTGTACTTCTGAACAACCGTCTCGTCGATGGTAGCTCCGCGGATCTGCAAAAACCAATTTAAAATGAAAATTGACTCAAAACGTTAAAAAAATGAGAGAATTTCTGCGGCAATTCGAAATTTCTTCAACACAAAATTCAATTTTTACCTCCAATGCCGGCGTGTTGTGGTAAATATCGCAATAAAGAGCTTCCAGCGGAAGGACGCCATCAGTCGTCGCAATCTTCAATGCCTCGTCAACCTCTTTGCGAACCTCCTTATCAATACTCTTGAGCTCATCCTCCGTCGCCAACGACGATGTAATAATGCGATCCTTGAATCCAGTGATCGGATCGCGAGTCTTTCTCACCTCCTGAATCTCGTCGCGAGTACGATAGCTGTAACGTGCTCTTCGACATCTGCCAGCGTTGACACCCTCAGCCTACCTAGTTCCCGGGTCCGACATCGAGTGTCCGTGATATCTATAGGTGGCCATTTCAAGCATCAACGGACCATTGCCGGCGTCGCAGTACTCTTTCGCCCATCTCGTCGCCTCGCGAACCGCCAGCACGTCCATTCCATCAACCCAGATTCCCGGCACATAATCGCCTCTGCAATCATCATCAAGATTCTCCTAATTAGGCAATTCCAATCGAATTACCGAGTATAGTAATCGGTCGATGCCGCCGATCGTTCGATGGCGGTTCCCATGCCGAATCCATTGTTCTCGCACACGAACAACACCGGCAAATCCCACAGTTTCGCCATGTTGGTCGCCTCGAACAGTTGGCCTTGATTCGCGGCACCGTCGCCATAAAGTGTGATGCACACATTCTTCTGCTCGCTTCAAATATTGAAAATAAAAATAATAACCAACCGCCAGAAAAATTGTCCCACCGATATTTCATGGCGAGCGCGATTCCGGCACCCAGCGGCTGTTGGGCGCCAACAATTCCGTTGCCGCCGAAAAAGTTCGGCGTGTACATGTGCATCGAGCCGCCTTTGCCGTGCACGTTGCCCGCAACTCGTCCCGTCAACTCGGCGAGCACCTCGGCGACCGACGCGCCGAGCAAATGCGTCCAACCGTGACAGCGATAGGCGGTGATGACCGCGTCGCCGTCGGTCATCGCCGCCTTCATTCCGACGGCGCACGCTTCTTGTCCCGAGTACAAATGGCAGAAGCCGCGAATCTTCTTCTCTTTGTAGAGATTGCCGGCCGCCGATTCCATTCGTCGCACCAATTGCATTTGGCGATAGTAGTTGAGCGCGTCGTCGCGATTCAACGTCACCGACGTGTTCGGACCATTGTCGAGTTTGTGGAGTTTGAACGGCTTCGTGTGGAACGACACCTCGCTGCTGGCGAGACGCGCTTGCTGAACACGAAAACCGCCAGCGGAAATCGACTGCAAAACACAATTTCAAGGAAAAAATCGACAAAAAAAGAATAGAATTGTTTCTCACCTGCAATTTTTTGGCGAAAAGCGACATGGCTGACCAGAACTGCTCGACAAAACGAACGTAAACCCAGCTGAAATGCAATTAACTAATTAGCTAATTAGGCGATAATTGAATGGCAATAGTTAATAAATCACAAGGGAAAAATAGTAAGCCACAGGTCGAAACAACATCTCAAAAAAACCTACGTCATGAATCAAAAATTAAAAAATCGCTAAAAATGTCGAAATTGTCTTTTTTTTAATTGAGAAAATAAAAGAGATAAGTTAGGTCGAAAAACCCTTGAAATACTCAAAAATCACATTAAAAATCAACAAAAATCACTTTATTTATACAAAAATTTGATACGAATGCTGGTTATTAATATCGAATGAGGTTTCGAGGCAAAAAGAACAAGACAAGAATTTGAGAGCAAAAAAATGGGAATTGGAAATACTACGTGCACAACGGTTTGCTCAAAACTGACTTTTTACAAGAAATTCATAAATAAATAATAAGTTAGGGGGAGAAATTGGGACCATTATACTATACAAATATCAGCAGGAGGTGACCATGTCGAAACTTCTTATTCTTCTTCTTCTAACGACGAGCTTTTCGCTTTTCAGCAATCCACTCATCAATTTTCGCCTTGAGTTCCGGTACTGAAAATTTTTGCAATTTTTCGTGGTGAGACTCATCCCGAAAAAAATAGAAATTTCTCTGAATTGGGCGTGGAGTAGAGATTCCATCGGAGAATATTCAACTCAAAAATTGAACACCCAACCCTACCTGGAACAACTTCATTGATGTTGAGCGGCGCGCGATTGAAAGGGTTATTGGGTGTACTGAGCAGGTGTCGCTCGATGACACTCCGATCCATAATGTGTCCCGACGGCAATTTTACCGGCTCCGTCATCACCGCATCCATAATCGGATCTGCAAACGAAAAAAGATAACAAATGGGCGTGTTTCGGGCAGAGCCATCATTTTCTAAAAAATTATCCTATAAAAAACCAGCATTTCAATTAAAATCGAAGTCGTAAAAATCAGCACCTTTAAATTCTTCAGGAGCATCATCCAAATCCTCTTCAAGCTCCGCTTTCGCATTGTACTCGGCTTTGACATCATCGGCGAGCCGTTTGAATCGCTCCAAATAGCTCATCGAGACGATCGACGCCGATTCAATGCGATCCAACACCTTTTCCATCATCGTCGGCGTATAAGTACGCTCGTCATAGGCAATATATTTGATAAATTCGGGATTGTGAAGCGCCAGATAGATTTCAACAATAATGCTCACAAATTTTCGCGGGTCCCATTTGTAATTCTTGAGCGCGTCTTTGACCTTAAAAACGATCGGTATGACTACCGTATCCAAACGAGGTCTCGAAACGAACCTTCAAATCCGCACAATTTTGGCCGCAAAGCTGCGCCAAATTGTGATTGAGCATTGCCGCGAGTCGTTCGCCGAGCACCGACGTCTTAAACGGCTGCGGGCATTCAGAAGCCAATTGCGAGAGCGCTTTTATCGATTCATAGCCATAATCAAGCCATACTCGGACCTTCTTTCTCGCCTCCTCATAGACACCAATGTTCTGCTCACGATCCTCGTCGCTTCTCGCATTCCATTCATCGGTCCTGAAACGCAACATCCTCAATAACTACATATAATTCAGCAATGTCGCCGTAAATCGACATCTAGTCGTCTCCTATCCATTTTTCACTCAACTCACCTTGACATTTGTTTCTCAATATCGTGAATCTGTTTCAGCGCCGAAAGGCATTCGTCAATGCACCACGTGCAATCATTCAGAATCATGTTCACAAATCGAATGTACTCCGGCCCACATTCCCTGCAATCCCAATTGTAATTAATTCGGGGGGCGCAATTAATATTCAATTAATCAATTACCTAGATATGTCCAAAAGCGCACTCTTATAGTGCATATCCATGTTGAGCGCGCTCATTATCATCTGCAAACTCCAAAAATTGTTTGAAAACTTCAAAAATCCGCCAAAAACCCACATGAATATGTCGGCGAACAGTGAATTTCTGATAGAAATCGCCGCTATCCTCGAAATCGGAGTAGAATTTGATAAGGGCTGGCAATAATCGCTGCTGGGCGAGCGGCATTCGCGACATGTTGAAGAAGATGCCCGGCGTGTTCTGCATGTACATCAATGGATACGCCAGCGTCTCGACAATCTGAAATATTCATTGAGCAAAAACACAACCGACAATTGTTCAATGTCAATTTAAAGGCGCATTCAGAGATTACTGTAGGCCTAGTTGAGTTCTTACGTCGGCAATCAGGAACGGATTCTTGAAATACTTCATATTGACGAACAGATAAACGAGTTGGCCGGTCCAGTCGTTTCGTCGCTCCTGCAGAAATTCGGGCGCGTTCTGTTGCGCGTTTTTGAGCAAATGAAGCACGTCGCTCAAATAGAATTCGGGCAACGCGGCGAAATGTTCGGGAGCCTCATCGAAGAACTTCATGTTCTCAACGGCGCCGGCGACATCGCTGAAATGATTTTGAGCTGATGGCATGAATGGACGAATAGTCCGATTAATCAAATCATACCATGTCGGATCAATCGATCTGATAAGCAGCACCAATTGTTTCTCAATGAAATCCAAAGCGCTGGCGATCAATGCCGGATCATTAATGAGACATTTCATACAATTCAAATAGTTGCAATAATTCTGAAAATATCCCAGGTCATTTTTTGTGGTAATTCTCAATTCAAAATGGTCCCCTAGTATTCGGCTAACCTCAAGCCTCGTTTCAGTCTTCATAAGCTTCATCTCAAGTTGTTGCCGGACCATCGCGTGCGACTTCTCGATTTCCTCTTTCATACTTTCAATTTTTCGACGCAATTCGCCAATAACTCTCGAATAATTATCGATGGCGTCCTGAATCGGATTGAACACCAATCGTTGGCATTCAATCGTCAGAAAGAAGCATTCCGTCGTGAATTTCTCTTCTGAATTCGCTTCTGAAATTCATTTTTAAGGTGAAATTCCAGAGAAAAAAAAAACAAATGTCAAATCGCGTCGATACGGGCGATTTTTCGCTTACCAAATTTCGCCGCAAACTCTTTGGCTTCAATTTCAGTCATTTTGATTCGAGTTCGCTCACTAACATCAACCAATGTGTTCGGTTGGAATGGATAATAAACATTAACCTGAAATTCAAATTTGCCCGCTTTTTTGTTCTTTAAGTCAATGCTGAATTATACCTTGTCGAGCTCAATTTTCACGGAAAGCTCATACATGACATAGAGAAGATTGACTATATATTGATTTTTGACCAATTCGAACGAGTTCGAGTGCATGTTCGCCTTTTTCCGATTGCGCACCAACACGTCGCCGAGCCATTTGAGTGTGGCGCTTCGGGTGTTCGCGTTCACCAATAATTGGTGCATGATTTGGCGTAGATACGATCGGACTACTTGGGCGCGTTCGTGGTATTGCCGCGTTTCGAGCATATATGCCGATTTGTCGGCGTTCGGCTTCTCGTATCCTTTGAAAGCCTTTTTATAGATCTGCAAATTACAAAAATGATAATTCGCCTCGAATCGCTCCATTACACACTTTTTGATCTTCCGCCGGCACACCGAAACTGAAAAATGGTCCCAAATACGAGAAGTGCGCCACTTCTCTTCCTTCAAACATCTCCATAAATGGCGTATGATGGAAATCCTTGCGACTAACTAACAGATCACATATCGGACGCGTTTGTCCCACTTTGACACTGAGAAGCCTTATAAGGCAACGATAAAGCAGGTACATTGAGTGATCTTTATCGAGTTCGAGGTGTTGAGCGGTCATCGCGATTCGTTGCATGTCGAGAATCGGATTGAACACCTCCGACAGGGCATCGACATCCGAATGGTTGCGATCAGTGCAGAATGCGACGATCTTGACGAGAGTCGCTTCGGATAGAAGTTCCATGTAGATGCGATGCACCAGTGAGATTCGCGCGTCGTGGCCGTTGAGCCTGCAATTAAAAAAAATGGAAGAGTTCAATTTTTCAACAAATTCGATTAAAAACTACAATTTTTGTGAAATTCTCTCAAAATTTTGGAATAATTACATTGGTTCATAATGCCCGCGTAGAAGTGAAATGATATTGGAGAGCACAGCTCGATCAATAATCTCGAAAACTCGTCGCTCCGATTCGCCGCCGTCGGTTTTTCGCATTTCGGCACTCAAATTGGCGGCGGCGGTGACCAAAAACTGAAGGGCCCGGTGCGATTTCGTCCCAAACACGGTGTCGAGTTCCGGATAGCAAAGGTCTTTTCCGAATGATGGTCCCGTGATGGGTTCCGTTGAGGTGCACGGCGAGGCGAATATCACACCGGCGATGGTTTCAGCGATTATTGATTGAAAAATCTCATCTGAAGTTTGATTTTCTTTTTTTTTTTGAAAGTTTTGAGATATTTTCTTGTGAACCTTGCTCATTGAAATCGAAGCCGTGAATTGTCAATATTGCATCGGCATACGCTTCTTCGCAATCTGGGCTCATTTTGTCCAACTGGAATACGCTAATTATCCTCATCTTTAATAATTCCCAATCATGGTTCCTCTGAAATGAATCAAAAAAACATATTCTCCATATTTGGTTATACTCTATACCGTCGGCGCTTCACTAGTATCCATTTCTTCGATTTTACCCGTTGGTATCAAACCGGACATGTTATTCTCACCTGTGTCCATGGTTTCGCCTGAAAATTACACAAACATTCCAATATATTCCAATAAAAAATTAGAGGAAAAAATCGATTTTTTTTCGCAAAAATTTGCCAGCGCAAAAAATTGCGGTCGAACCTTATTTTTGGCATGATTTGCCAACTTTTAGACAAAATGAACGATTTTAAATTTTTTCGCCGACAAATTAAAAGAAAAAAGATGAAAAATGAAAAGCCGATGATGATTTTAACGAAAAAATGGGGAAGGCTGACTTTTCCAATTCGATTCACGATGGAGCGCGTTTGGTGCAATGGACGAGAAACAAGCGAACGGCCACGGCCGCCACGTTTTGAAATTTTATTCAAGCGCGTATTTGAAAATTCGAAAAATCTCGAATTTTAATATTAAAAATCACCGAGCGCGTTTTAATTCCTTCTCGGCTTCCTCGGCATCATAAAGCTTGCGAAAAGGCACTCCTATCAGCTTATATATCCCGAAAACCAAGCATATTTAAAAAGAGATGTCTGACTCGGATTGAAATTGGTCGAAATCAATTTCCTCCGAAATGGCAAGTTTCGGCAATTTTGACAATCTCCTCAACGTCGGGCAGCGTTTCATTACTTGTTCGGTTTTCGCGACGAGAACCGTGCCGCCCTTCTGGTCCTTCCGGATCAAAAGTTTTAGTCGGATCGGATCGAAACTTCGAGTTACCTATTGATCTTCCAAAAAAAGAGAGATGTCTCTTTCGGATTGAAATTTGTCGTAATAAATTTTCGCGAAACGGCGTGCCATAAATAAAAAAGAATCATTCTGTTGGCTTCTTTCTCGTTTTTTTCCCAACTACACAAGTTTCTTCATGAAATGTTTCGACGCATTCTAATAATTCTCGTTTTCCCGAATTCCGTCAACGGACAAGCAAAAGTTGTAACGGTAAATCATCGAAATGTCTCAAAATAGCTGAAAATGATCCTCTGAAAATGCTACTGCAACGTGTCAAAATTAGGGAGTCTGAAATTGAAAATTCTCAAAATGTCAGAAATTGATAAGGTAACATAATTTATTCACTAGCAAAAATAGAAAAAATAAATATTACTCTTAAAATTATTTTAAATTAAATAGCTGATCATAAGTATTGATAGTTTATGGTACCAATGACGTGCCAAGATGGTCCCTCTAGGCGCAATAGCGCAGTGGCAAAAGCTTTGGACTCCTCAATCGTGGAGGTCGCGGGTTCAACACTGATTAAGCGCGACGCAAGCATAATGGAAGTATTGTGGGAAATCTGTGGAACGGAAGCATAATGCTTCCATATAGGAAGCATAATGTAATTCTTAGTGGCTGTGGAAGAAATATGGGACGAATATGGATGGAATGAAAACGGGATGAATATGCTTCCGGTGTTTGCGAGCCGTGGAACGAATATGGATGAAATATGGATAAAATAATCATATATCATTACACATTATACAATTGGCGTCTGGACGGCAGACCAAGACAATTTCTAGAAAAATCAATACAAAAAACTTATGCTATCATATAAACAATGAAAATTTGAAAATTACATGATACACAACGGACGAAATTTAGCTTCTACCATTTAATGACTTATGTTACTCAGATTTATGTTAATTCAGTCAACTGTTCCTCACTTTGTTTAAAGATTGCCAACTACAATTTAGTCGTATTAATATATTTTTGCCGGTTTTTCCGAAATTGGCATCGCAAACTACTCACAATTTGCTCCAAACTGGTAGCAGACGCGCGTAGAAGAGGCGTGCCGCAGCATTGCAAAACCGTGCGCCGCTTTGCACAATGCGGCCACGCCTCACATTTTCGAAATTCGTTTTCAAATTTTTTGTCCTTTTGCTTTTTCTCAATGAATTTTCAAGATTTTTTGTGTTTTTTTTTGTCAAAAATTAAAGATTTTTTTTCAAAATTAAAGGAAAAATGTTTTTAAAAAATAAAGGAAAAATTTTCATGTTTATCATTTTCATGTTTATCATCATTCGAAAATTTTAAAATCGATACGATGTTTTCAAATCGTTTCCGACACTTTTAAAATCGAATTTAAATATTTTCTCAATCGAATTGTGTTTAATTTCTCATCGAATCCGTTTTATTTTTATTTACTTTAACATATTTTTTATTATCGCTCGCTTTTTTCTTTTAATAAAACATAATGTTTTGAAATTTTTTACAGATGAAGACAAGATCGAGAGTGTTGTCAGATATAACTGAAACTGCTCTAGAAGTCAATAACAAAGAACCAGAAGTCCCTAACATGGAACCAAATTCGCTCGACACTTCAGATCCAGATAGTCCAATTTACTCGCCAACTCAGCAAAAAAATTTTTCTCCACAGTCCTTACAAACAACAAAATCAACGCCAATTCCTAAACCTTCGTACGCGCAATTTGTAAGTTGTTATCATCAAAAATTGGCCTGTTCGACTCCAGAAATGGTTTCAATTAGAAAAATATGCGCAATGAAGTCTTTATAAAGTACTTCCTAAGTTTAAAGCTTGTTGATTATTTGGTTCCAATCAGGGCTGTGCGGCAATGGAATTGCCGATTGCCGAAATTGCCGGTTTTTCAAATTGCCGAAGAAAATTTCGATCGGTAATTTGCCATTAGCCGAATCGCCGAAATTTCCGATTGCCGTACAGCCTTCGTACCAATATCATTCAGTGGCATTTATCTTTTTAAGTGGGGCTCTAGTACAGAAGTCGCCAGACGCCGACTATATAAAGATCCTATACTTTATTGCAAATATCTATATTACAGATGTTCTTATCCATGGCTTTGGGCAACAACCGACAAATGACTTCAAAGCGAAAGCATTACGCATGGTTCGAGAAGTCATGGATAATCTTCTGTAAGATTTTGAGCTATGACTATTAATTTATTTATTTGATTAAGCGATAGAATGCGCCAACGACTTTAAAGGAAATTTGGTGTAGCGCCGGAAGCGCTCGCGGCGCAATTAAGGAAGCTGCTTGATTCTACCAGCAACCCTCAGATGTGAGTATTCATATGTCTTTGAAATTTTAACCAAAATGCCTTTTTGCTTCAAATTTTGGAGTTGTTCTTTCTTCCGCCAATTCACTTTTTATTTTGTGCACTAAAGGGTTTCCAAAAATGCAATAAAAATAAATTATTTTTATTTTTAAGAAAATTATTGATGTAAAAAAAACTGATTGTATTTTCTCGAAAAATTTAGTTTACGTAACAATGGTTTACATGTTTTTCAAATTAATAGGCCCATTATAATCTACTTATTACAGCGTCCCGCTCGATGTCAGTACTGACAATGATTCGAATAGTTCGGCAGTTGCCAGTAACTAATGGTTTGATTATATCTTAATTGAAATTCATTTCATTGTTGTTTTTTTTATTTTAAATTAAATAAATGTGTTAATATGAAATAAATTTTGAATACAGCAATCAAATTGTTTTCTTATTTTCCCATATGGAAGGCATACGGCTCATTCCATATAATATTGGTGATTAACTACGGCAAATTAGAGAATCCACTCACATGCAATTATTTCGTCACAGCGGATTATTTAGAATGCGCCGAAGCCTGTTTGGAGGCATCATTTTGCACAGTGAGTAGACTCTGATATAATTCAAATTTTGCTTTTTTTAGGTTTTCTATACTGACCTCACCATCCCAATGAATTGCTTTAATTGCTATTATGGTGTTCTGAACAATTTCATAAAGACGACTGCTGCCGACAATCACGTCGTCGGGGTCAAATTCAACAAATACACATCTAAATGTCCAAAAATTGATGAATTTGGCTATCCAACTTCCACGAATGGCACCAGCATTGTAAGACAAAGACCATGTAATCAAATTTTATTCTCACTTGCAGCTAACATTGGAATATCCCCCCGATGCCAGAATGTATGGCGTCCGTATGAAATTGTCCGGCAATAATTACACCTTCAGCTATTACTGTAAAACATTTGAAAATTATTTTTTTTACGAACAAAAATGAAATTTCAGCGGAAAAGATATGTCCCCCCAATTGGCAATTAGTGTTCCGCGCCCAGCAAAAATTTTGCCTTCGAGTGTTCGCCAATCAAACGCCACTTGATAGGTATACAGCAACTACGAAATGCAATAGAAAAAGAGCATATTTGGCGGGAATCAATTATGCCGACGAAATTGGCCTAATAATGGGTTTGGCGTGAAAGTTGGCGCCAAAAAAGAATTTCGCCAATTTCAGAAAGCGCCAACAAATTGGCGCCCGCGGGTCAAAACGAAATGAAGATGTGGTTCGATGGGGGCCGAAAAGGCGAATGCACGTATTTCTACAAGTCTGTGAAGGATTGTGTTCTGAACCCATATACATGGCTATATGATAGTACGGCGGGCGACATCAATCAAATCGTGTTCAGTCCGGGTGAACCCTCGAACCAATTAAGTGCAAGGTGCCGATTTTCAGAAAATCATGTTCTGATTTCAATTTTTACAGTTTCGTTCTTGAGCAATGCCTTTCACTGTGGGTAAAAACCTCCAAAGCTAATACGGTCTCAAAAGTCGCCGAGGAATTGTGAGTACAAATAAGAACCTTCTCTATTCAGCCCGTGCCCCTCCATTTCTACTGTTGGGGATAATAATTGGATACAGACCTGATTTCACGCCGTTTCTTTTTTAAATTGCAGTTGTGATAAGACCAACATGGACGGCGCCAATATTCAAATGTACCTTTGCGGAAAACACCCAGGAAATCCCGACTAATCTCAATTTTTTTCCGGCGAAATGTTATAGACACTTTTCTTGTCGAATTATTGCTTTTAGCCGTATAAACTGATTCATGCAAGTCTAAAAAAATGCGATTGTGTATATATTTCATGTTTAGGAATTTGTTTGAAATCGTTGCAGGAGACAAGTCAAGACAAACTAAGCTTTTAACAGATTCTTATATTCGAATTTTGAATTCCCGCCAGAACAATTCTGGCCGGCGGTGCCCACGCAATGTCTGCGTCTTCGTCCACCGCACGCTCTCTCAATTCCAAACTTTTTTCACTCTCTAGAAATTGAACAAGTTTTCTAGAATCACGTCCGTGAAACGTGAGCGTATCCAGAGATGGCCGAGAAATAGGCAACGGCCACGGCCGCCACCTGGACACGTATTCAAAAATGCTAAAAATCTCGCATTTTATTGTTGAAAATCACCGTCACACAACTAATACACTATAGAGGCAATAATATTGATTAAATTATATTTCAAAAAGATTTTTCGTATGGACAAATTATTTTTGATGAACTAGCAAATCACGCAACACGACTTCTTCTCATCCGTCTTCTTCTCGTTCGCCACTGAAATTTCCGACTCGACTTTTGCCAAATTCGCCGACGATTTTGGCTGCGCCGATTTCGGACGGCTGTTCTTCTAAAAATATCCAATCAATTTTTGCTTCACATTGTTTTTTTTAGTCATTTTTCGAAATTTGAGCAATTTCAAATATTGCGCTTACACAAGTTTCGACAATTTTGACAATCTCCTCAACGTCGGGCAGCGTTTCATTCTTATCATCCTCAATATGCTTGAACAGCACTTCGCCGGTTTTCGCGACGAGAACCGTGCCGCCTTTCTGCGAAATAAAATCGACCGGCTCATCAGGTGCCCCTTGCGAGCTCGCCGGCCGATTCTCGTCGACCAGCGACATCTCGACGACCCGACAAAGCGGCTCCCAACTCGCGTGCTTTTCCGCCGACTTCCGATGCGCCTTCAATTCCTTCTCGGCTTCCTCGGCATCATAGAGCTTGCGAAAAGGCACTCCTATCAGCTTGACGTATCCGCCACCTCGTGCTCCAATTGGGGGCCCCTTGGTGAGCAGGAACACATCGCATCCCAGTTTTCGGAGTTGATCGATTCTCTTGTACAACTCCAGAATATAATCGTTCACTTCCGTTTTGTTAAACGATCTAAAAAAACCGATGCGCTACATTTATTTTGTATTTCAACTAGAATACCTGACGACAACCATCAGAATGCAATCATACGGGCTACATCTCAAATAGTACGATATTGTTTTGCTCTGCAATCCGAACACTCCATCATCTGCAAAAAAAATGCTTGACGCACATTGAAACTTGTAATAAATTTTTCTTCGAATGAGAAGTAATAAATAATGCTAGAGCGTGTATGTTTTGGTTTTTTTAAGAGCATCACACAAAATTTTTCCTAGAATGTTTCGACGACTTCTTAATATTCTTATTTTCTTTAATTCCGTTAATGGACAAGTATTGTGGCGGGTAAATCTGGAAAATAGAGCCTTTAAAAAAACGAAAAAACAAAATCAATTTATCTGGCCTAAAGATTACTGTAGCTGCTAGCGTGTGTGCGGTACACTACGACGTCGAAGTGCACGCGAGATTTTAAATTTTCTTTTTCGCATTGTCGCAATTTGAAATTTTCTTTAGGCGAATGGCTCAGCAGTGGCGATAAACTACGGCAAAGTCGAGAATCTCAACAAATGTTTAAAATTCGAAGCATCTAATTATTTCGAATGCGCCGAAACCTGTTTGAAAACATTTAAATGCATTGTGAGTTGGCTTTTTACATTAAAATATTTATAAAATTGTTTTTTTTTTCTTTGAGGTTTCCTATACCGACCTCACCAACCAAAAGGATTGCTATAATTGCGATTATGGTGTTCTGGATAATTTCAAAAAGACGACTGCTGCCGACAATCACGCGGTTGGGGTCAAAGTCCACAAATTCACATATCAATGCCCAGAAATGAATGAATTTGGCTATCCAACTTCCACAAATGACACCAGCTTTGTAAAACTAAGACCATGGAATCAGATTTTATTCTCACTTGCAGCTAACATTGCAAAATCCCGACAATAACGTTCAAGCGCTCGGCTTCCTTTTAAAACGGTCCGGCGAGTATTACACCTTCAACTATTATAGTGAGTCGTTTTTTTTTAAATCGAAATAATTAACCCTGAAAAGAATTTTCCAGCACAATGGAAATGTCCGCCCGATTGGATATTATTTGTCCGCGCCAAACAATATTTCTGCCTTCGAGTGTTCGCCAATGAAACGCCACTTGATAAGCAGACAGCAAATACCAAATGCGAAACAAAAAAATCAACGTTGGCGGGAATTAATTATGCCGACGAACTCAAATTAGTAATGGGTGTGTGGCGTGAAAGTTGGCGCCAAAAAGAATTTCGCCAATTTCAGAGAGCGCCAACAAATTGGCGCCCGCAGGTCAAAACGAAATGAAGATGTGGATCGATGGGGTCCGGAAAAACAAATGCGCTTCGTCTGACTGGGACACAGTACCCGGTTGTGCTCCCAATCCATTTCGCTGGGATTTGGATAGTACGGCGGGCGACATCAGTCAAATCGTATTCAGTCCTGGAGAACCATCGTTTCTATTTAATGAAAGGTGCGGCTCTCGAATGATTTTGGCCAAAACGTTTTGAATTTCATAGGTTCGGCATTGAGGAATGCCTGTCAATGTGGGTAAAAACCTCCAAAGCCGATACGGTCTCAAAAGTCGCCGAGGAATTGTGAGTAGAGCAAAACCAATGCCCAATGTTTTTTTTTTGGAAATTTGCAGTTGCAAGGCCAGCAACACGGACGGCGCCAATATTCAAATGTACCTTTGCGGAAAAGAGACAGGAATTCCCGACTAATCTTGTTCTTTTTTTGTGTTCCTAATGTGATAGAGACTTTTGATCTACCTGTTGGCTCTGTCGTCGAATTATTGCACGGCCCGATGGTTTTGTCCAAATCGTCGTCAATTTCCTTCAAGAACGAATTCCATGCTTTTATCGAGTCGTTCAGCGCGTCCACAGAAGGCTCTGAAATAATCAATAATTGCGATGGGGCGCGTTTGCACTCACTCATCTCCTCATCGTTTTTAAGTGATTCTAGGGTCTCGCAAAGTGCCGAATAGCTCTTGACTTTGAGCACGTTTAGGAGTTTCGCGATTTCTCCGCAAAATTCGGCGGCGATGAAGCCATTCTGAACGTAGTTCACCACGAAAACCGCCCGACAATTCTGTTGGATCACCTGAAAATTTTGATATGGTGATCTTGTGATCTACAAATTAATTGAATTCCCGCGCGCGTGGGGGTCTATAAATTTGTCTGGCGAAAAAAAAAGTGCTGGGGGATTTTTGCTCATACATGTAACTTAGATTTTCCAAATATTTCAAATTTCGGGATCCCCGAAAAAATGCGATGGTCCGTTTTGCAGTAATTCAAATGAGCCGCAATCTCACTTCTATATACTCGGCGAGCTTGACGTGAATGAAGTCGACAACGCTGGCGATCTGATCAGCGGCTGATTCATGGACGTCCTCGCTGGTCGCCTTCGGCAACAACAGTATATCGCGAACCTAATTGAGCACGTCTAACTAAGGCAATTAGCGGAATGGCTCTGGAAGCTACCTGCTCGGATTGAGGCTGCTCGTTCGCCTCGTCGTCGCCCATCCGGAAATCCTTGAACATAACAAAATGAGATTGAGTCTCGGGGAGGAGGAAGGAGGGTTGGGGATGTGAGGAGGAAGAAGGAAATGAGGGTGAATTGTATTGAATACAAATATTGTATAGCCTTATATCGACGAGATTTTGCGCCTCTCCAATTTTATGGTTCTCGGAAACGAGCATTCTCGTCCTCGCCTTCTTGCATTTTTATTTGTTTGATGATTACATGTGTCATTTTCTAGGGTTTCGATTTTAAATGAGAAAAGTGCACAATGGCGGCCTGCAATGATGTCCGCAGATGGGAATTTGCAAAGATGATTGAAGTTGCGCGCGGGCGGATGAGCGACTCTTCATATAAGCTCTATTCATCATCAAATTCGAGAATGAATAGACATACATATTATGAATGGAAATAATGACGAATTTAAGAGAAAAGTGATAAGAGTTCTAAAAATGGAATATTTTGTCAAAAAATTTCGCTGTGAGATGAACACAATTAATGCGGTTTTTAGTTTTCCATGCGAGACCCACCAATAAAATTAAGCAACGCTAGGCAAGTAATAAAAATTCGATGCGCCTTTAAACTCCACACAAGACCCAAAGGGATGTGGGTTTTAAGAATAGAAACGTGAAAAAAATTGTTTTCGTCTGAGAGAAGCACAAAAAAATGTCTAATTAATCATGAAAAAAAGAACGTAGAAAAAGAAATGACATGTGTGAAAAACAAAAAAAACATGAAAAATGCGACTAGTGACCAAATTTGGAACTTTTGCGGGGTTCCCTCTAAAAAAAGAATAATAATTGACGACAATCAATAAATATGGCTGAATATATGGGAATGTGAAAACGAATTCGCGCCTTTCTCCCATTTTTGCACCTGTTCGCCGCGGCGAAAATGTTGTTTTCGGCCGGTTGAGCAGCACCTGCGAACACGCACACCAATCATTTTGATTGCCGGCTTTAGATTAATATCCATCTGCGGACAATTTCGACATTTCTAAATTAAACGTAAAAATTCGATGGGCGGACAATTTCAAGAATCTTCGATGAATTGATTTGATCTACGGATAATAATCTTCGAGATGTCGGCCGGATGATCGAAAACCAAAATCGGCATAATTATTTCTCTCGATTTTCTTTTTCATGCTTTTTTTTTGGTTATGAAAAAAGAAACGAAAAGTTGGAAACAAGAAAATCGATCGGAGCTCGTAGAAAAAGCCCCGGATAGGTGGGGGATATTAATTTTTATCGCGGGCGCGCCGGCATAAATAAATTACATGTTTTTTGTGCACATGCGTGTGCGTTTTATTTCCAGCCAATTTTCGCCTGAAAATGGCCTATTTTTGGGGCGGCGCAAAAACCTGCAAAATCGCGCTTATCTACCTCTCCCTCTCTCTCTTCAAATCGATTGATTTTCACACATTTCATCTGCGGACAATTTCAAGTCTCGTTTTACACTCAAACAATTTCCTAATGAAATCCAAACTACATTGATTCATTTTTTCACATTCAATGAAAGAATATGACGTCATTTAAGCGCGAAAATCAAATCAGCATAAATGGGAAAAAGAAGAAGAAAGAGAATTCATTGAGAAGGGATCATTTGGTGGCTTGGATGAACAAAAGGCACACACACGCAATCATTGCAAATTTCAAGACATTTTTAATTCGTTGAGCTTAACAAAAAACTTGAATCGTCTTTTTCTTTCCGGAAAAGAGACCACTCTTATCGGAGGGCGGGGCTTACACATTTTTTATTACACAAAACAGAATATTTCCTTATTCACAAAAAAAAGCATATTTTCCAATTTTCATACTGGTGGCGCGTACTCGGGTAAATTTACGCGCACGCGCCTTGAAAAGGTCTCGCCGCGTGTGAACGCTTATTTTTTTTTATAAATGGCCTGCTTAAGAAATGGTCTGATTAAAAATGGTCTGCTTACGAAGTGGTCTGCTTAAGAAATGGTCTGCTTAAGAAATGGTCAGGAAAAGAAAATGGTCTGATTAAAAATGGCCTGCTTGAGAAATCGTCTAACTGAAAAAGGTCTGCTTAGAAGTGCTCTGCTTAAGAAATGGTCTGCTTACGAAATGGTCTGCTTAAGAAATGGTCTGCTTAAGAATCGATCAGGAAAAGAAAATGGTCTGATTAAAAATGGCCTGCTTAAGAAATGGTCTGCTTGAGAAATTGTCTAACTGAAAAAGGTCTGCTTAGAAGTGGTCTGCTTAGAAGTGGTCTGCTTATGAAGTGGTCTGCTTAAGAAATGGTCAGGAAAAGAAAATGGTCTGATTAAAAATAGCCTGCTTAAGAAATGGTCTGCTTGAGAAATTGTCTAACTGAGAAAGGTCTGCTTAGAAGTGGTCTGCTTAGAAGTGGTCTGCTTATGAAGTGGTCTGCTTAAGAAATGGTCTGATTAAAAATGGTCTGCTTACGAAATGGTCTGCTTGAAAAATTTTCTAACTGAGAAAGGTCTGCTTAGAAGTGGTCTGCTTAAGAAGTGGTCTGCTTAAGAAATGGTCTGCTTAAGAAATGGTCAGGAAAAGAAAATGGTCTGATTAAAAATGGCCTGCTTAAGAAATGGTCTGCTTGAGAAATTGTCTAACTGAGAAAGGTCTGCTTAGAAGTGGTCTGCTTAGAAGTGGTCTGCTTATGAAGTGGTCTGCTTAAGAAATGGTCTGATTAAAAATGGTCTGCTTACGAAATGGTCTGCTTGAAAAATTTTCTAACTGAGAAAGGTCTGCTTAGAAGTGGTCTGCTTAAGAAGTGGTCTGCTTAAGAAATTGTCTGATTAAAAATGGTCAGCTTACGAAATGGTCTGCTTGAGAAATGGTCTGCTTGAGAAATGGTCTGCTTAAAAATGGTCTGCTTAATATGGTCTGGTTCTCCATAATTTGCTCCAAAAAATCGTTGAAAGATCGACTGAATTAGTCAATTGCCGGATTAATCACCTGCGCAATTTTCGTCGAATAATAGCAATTTCTTATAATTCAATCGTAAACTGCGCCAAATTATGAGAAAAATTTATGAAATTAAAGCAAACTTTGCCAAAATATTTCAAATGTTTCAGGAAGCAAATAGCAATTTAAAACATTTGAGAAAAAAAAACAATGTTTTTAAATGGGCATTAGACGTAGAATTGCAAAACAAATCGAATATATCAAATAAAAATTGATCACGATTCAAATTTATTTGATTTTTAATCACAAAATAATTAATGAATTACATAAGTAGTTTGAAAGACCGTAGACTCAATACACAATAATATTATTAACATAAAACTCGTATGTAAATTCAGTTAGTATCCATATTCTCTTGTTGGGCTTCAGGAATTGCATAATCGTGATGGTTAACCTCCGGTTTCACATCGACATTCTCATTGTTCTGCAATTGCGCTCCGAATTCTCCAACGAGTTTATCGACGACATCCTTCTCAACAACCAGACTTCCACCGTTCTGCTCCATCAACATCTGCAGCATTTGCGGGGTGAACAACGCGTTCGGATCAATGGCGGTGGCATTGACCTGATCCTGGATCTTCTTCGTCTCGTTCAGATTCTTGACCCGCCTCAAGTAAGCAACTCGATTATCGATTTGTCGGCCCAATCGCGGGTTCTTCGGCAATCCGAGCCTTCGAATCTCGTCGCCAATTCGCTCATCCCTCATATCGTTCGACCAATTCTCATTGAATGCCTTGTCGACGATCTCACGAACAGTTCTGCAAAAAAATTCCAATAATTGTTGTTATGTGTGCAATTACACCGAGACGCAAAAATGCACACACTTTGCTCCTATTTAATTGTTTTAAAGAACCTTACTTTGGTAATCCAGCGTGGCTTCCAGCCTGTCCGACGGGCTCAATCCCATGATTATGGGCGCACTTCTCCTCAACAATCAAGAACTCATCTTGCTTCTTCGTGCGAATCTTGAACCGACACTTATTCTGTAGTCGATTCAGACATTCGAAATACTGCCAACCATCCATTTTGCGTTCGTCCTTCTCAATCACATACAGCGAATAAATGAGCGCGTCGAATTCGGCTTTAGACGTCGTCGTGAAACATTCATACCAACCTTCCGACGATTTCGTCGACGTCGTCAACGCCTTCTGAATCCCGTCCGAATTCTGCTCGTCGGACTCGGGTGACATCGTCTGACGCGACGAATCGTTCGACGGCGACGGCTTCTCGACCTCGTCGATGCCGTTCGTCAGCGGTTCTGTCGTCGTTGTCGTCTCGATTCGCATCGGATTCTGAAACGCGTTTCCAATTCATTTTCTTCAAAACATGGGTGTGGCGTTTATTTTTTTTTCTCCCGCCGAAAATGATTTTCTGAACTGGCCGAAATGACGTCGAACGGCAGGCAAGCATGAAAAAAAAAACACAAAGAAATGAAATTTGAAATATACACCACAAATCGCGCAAACTCGCCGCCACCCACGGAAATTGCCAATAATTTTTTTATTCAAATTTGTCAAAAATGGTATGTTTCATTTTTTTTTATTTGGAAAAAATAAAAATTTAGGTAAATTTTCGAAAATGTGAAAATTTTTCGTCGAATTAGCTCAAAAATTCCAGGTGAAAATGATTTGGTTTGATAGTTTTTTTTCGGATTAAAAAAAAACGCGAAAAGTCACCACACAAAGAAAAGTTCAATTTTTTTCTTCTTTGACATTTTGCCAATATTGACGATCAAACCTGCATATTATTGAACAATGGCAATCCTTGAAGAATTTTGAGCACCTGCTCATCGAGCTGCCCGCCGGAGCCCATTTTTGTCGGCGATATGCTATTCTAAACCATTTTTTTTTCTGAAGATCAGCCGAAAAAAGCAAAAAAAAATAAAGATTTTTGAGACTTACGGGTAAAATGAGTTGATTTAAAGCGGCGAACGCGTTGGTCTCATCAAGCGACGACATTTAGCCTGCAAGAAAAAATCGCGAGAAAATCAATTAAAAAGGTTTCTCTCGATGAGCACGAGGAAGAAAGAGAAATTCGAGGTGAATATCGCAACACGAAAAAAAACACACACCAACGACGAAACGAAACAAAGTGCAACGACGACGCCGTCGCACTGAACAAACAATGGGTGGGACGGTGGTGGTGGTGGTGGCGATGGTGAGCCCGCGGGAAACCCCACACTAAGACACCATAGCGCAATGAGAGAGTACAGTGATGGTGCGCCCACCACTTCGTTCGCATTTTTTTATTTGGTGGACAATTGGCCCCCGCCGAGGTCAAACTCTATCCGATAACATCAATTCCAGTGTGAACACACAACTCGATTTTTCTCCAGATTGATTTTTTCGCAAATAATGATATCATTGATAATTACTGTAGATAAGAAATTGTGTGAACACTGATACGCGCCAATACTAACTTTACTTTTGCAAAAAAAATGCAATTGAAAACAATTTAATTTAAAAATTTCTTTCAAAAAAAATTGATTGGTGCTACTGTAGAAATAACTGTGTGGCCACCGAGACGCTGAAACGCACAGGACGAATTTAAATTTAACAAGAAAAGGGATTTTAAAAAATTTGTGGAAAGGCCATAATAAATAAAATATATCATGCTCGAAATTTACAAATTTAATTGAAATTTGATAAATTTCAAAGAAAAAGAATAACATTTGCCGTTAAAATTGAATGAAATTTGGAAAAATAAAGAATTGCAAAAATGATGATTTATTGTTAGAAATTACTGTAGGCACACACTGTGCGTAAACACTGAAACGCCAAAATGCAGATCAAATATTTCGTTTTTTTTAAAATCGTTTTTAAAAAAGGACACTCTACCAATAACCGAAAGAGAAAAAAGGTTCATTAAATAAAATAAATAAATAATAAAGAATAAATGGGCGATTCAAATTACAATTTTCGGGCTCTCGCGCGAAGATGCGCGAAAATCTCATTATCCGACTTGAACTGCGTATCGAACGGATCATCAAACTTGCATCCAATTCGGTAGTTGACCGTCGAGTTCAAGCATTTGCCACTTCGCCAGAGGAATTGCTCATCGCCACGCTAAAACGGATGGACGGCGTGAATGGCATGGAGTCATTCGGACCAACCTTCTCCACTTGGTACGTCAAAAAGTTGAAGCACGCTCGATGTCCCTGATCGATGTACGAAATGAAGACGGTGTGCGATTTGGGGCACACGAGATCGCAATACTCGCGCTCTTGCCCGTCATGCTCCTCCTACAAAATCGCGTCGCGTGCGGCGAACCATTGCAATCAGCAAGCTTACCTGCCAGCAGCCGAGTCCCGTCGGCACCGGACGTCCCGGCTCGAGCTCCTCCTCTTTCAGCACCAAATGGCATTCGGCGCGATCGGGACCGCCGCGAATCGTGTTCGTCGGCGTCGTGCACTTGAGCTCGCGATACTCTACAACTCAACAATTGCTACAGTAGCCAGCGTTACGGTAGGCTTACGATGGTATCCGAGCGTTGTGCAAATGAGTAGAGCAGCGGCAAACGTCGCACGATAGAACATCCCAATAATTCGCGGCTGATGCCAAACGCCGCATATATAAAGTGCGACCTATAGAAGAGGCGGAGCGTCGGTGGCGCATCCGGTTCCAAGATCGTCTAAAGATAATTTATATGTATATATTTATATATGTATATATATAAATATACATATATATTCAAATAATAATAATAATCAGCATAATACGACATCGGAGAGATGATATCAGGATTTGTGAAATGGCGAAAACATGAATGCCGATAACTGGACGACAATGTCATCTCTCTCTCTTTCATCCCAACATACAAGCATATGCAGGATTGGGGGGGGTCTTCCTTTTATGGAAATACACTACCAGTTTTTTAAAGGGACTATTATTTGGTTTTCTCTGGAAAAAATATCGGATATCAGATTTTTTATGCGCCTTTAATCATTTTTTTTTAAAGAAATTGCGCTTTTATTCAACATTTCAATGAAAATCCTTAATTCGAATAGCAAATAATTATTTTTTAAATTCGGTTTTAGAATCAATTTTTGAGTATTTTGGGCACGATTATTAAAGGCGCACGCAGTAATTGAGTTGATAGAAATAGGAAGTTAAGATTTTCCAGGAAAATGTGAAGATACTAATCGAATGTAATCGAAAAATGGGCGAAATCGAGGATTTTTGATTTTTTTTTGCAAATTTTGTGAATTAAAATTCAATTTTTTAATATCATTTTTAACCATTAAAATTTAAATATTTTCCTGCAATCTTTAAAAGAACAGTTTGACTTTTTTGGAATTTTCAATAAATTTATTATATTTTAATATTTAAATATCAAAATTTAAATTTTTGGTTGCGATTTTACGTTTAAAAAAATTAAAATTCGAATATTTTCTTGTAATTTTCAATAAAAATAAAAATTTAAACTTTATGTTGGAATTTTTCGTTTGAAAAATTAAAATTAAATTGTTTTTCTTGCAATTTTCAATAAAAATCAAAATGTAAATTTTTCTATTGGGATTTTCCGTAAAAAATTAAAATTCAAATATTTTCTTGCAATTTTAAATTTAAAAAAATTAAATATTAAAGTTTTTGGGGCACATTTTCAAAGAAAACGTGTCGAAACAACAAAAAAAAAATCTGAAATTCAATTTCAGTGTCGAATAACAAAAAAAACCAATTACCAATTATATCCCAATTATATCCCAGCTTGGCTGCCAACTGGAAACTCGTCTCATCCTAATAATTAGTATAATTATTAAGTAGTTAATTGTTCATCGATCAAACTCATCAGATTTCACTTTTCGTAATGGACGAAATTCCGCAAATTCCATTCAGATGTCCGCTGAAAAAATAAATTTCAAAAAAGAAAACACTGAAAACGTGCTTTTTCGAAACCAGACGAAACGGGGCGTTAGCCAACCAAAATTAATTTTGAATGATTTGCATTTTTTTTTCTTTCGTACTAAAATACTAGTATACCCATATATGGAAACCCGTTCGTTCCACACACACATACACATACCGCCCGTCTTCTTCGCCGCCTCCACCCCTCAACACTTTCGATGCGCCTATAAATTGAAGCACATTCAATTCGTCCCAATTGGTACGACAACGAAGAACAAATGCGATTCGCCACCTTCGCTGCCATTCTGCTTCTCGCCGTTGACGGCGCGCCGCTTCCGCTCGAGGAAGAATTCAACGTGTTCCAAACGAAACAAGAAAGTCATGGCGAGTTGACCTGCAATTTTAATTTGTCATTTTTTTCGCGTTTTAGAGCAACGTTTTCTTCGCGTCGACAAGAACAAGGACAAAATTTTGAATTTTGATGAGTTTTTGCACATGGAGCTTGCCTATGTCGAAGCCAAGAAAGAGGAATTCGATACTCTTGACAAAAATCGTAAGCAAGCAATTAATCATAGAGTACTGTAGAATTGAATGTGTGTTGCGTACACCGAGACGCCAGTTTGCGTACTCGATTATTTTTTTGCATTTCTCGTTTGCCTAAAATTCCTGTTTTGTCGCATTTTTTGTATCCTAATGATTTTTTATATACCCAAATGGTATAATTGAGAACCCAGTACAAAATTTCGTTAAAAATTGTCTTAAAATTCCAAAATAAAATAATTTTTCCAAATTTCAGATGATGGAAAAATCACGCTTCCCGAATATGAGGAGCATTTCCATGAGGCTTCCAGCAAATCCGAGAAGAGTCGAGCTGCCTATTATGGAAAAGTGTTTGAGGATTTCGACGAGGACTTCAATATGGCGTTGAGCATCGAGGAGCTCGAACGTGTGCTCGCCGAGCGTTTCCTAGTGAAACCGAGGGAGAACTTCCCGAAATTATTCTACAAATTCGATTTCGACCATTCCGGAGGTCTCGATTTGTCGGGTACGATTGTTTCAAGGCGCATAGCGCATCGTTTCTTTCGATTGCAGAGTACATGAAATTCGACGCCGGCTTTCCATTTGATCAAACCGATCCAATTGGTGGAGCGCCGCCAGCGCCAAAGGTGGGTGAAAAAAAATTTTTAATTGATTATTAGAATTTTGAATCCCTATTTTTCACAAAAAAAATCGATTTTAAAAGTCAAACAATAAAACTCACATGACAATTCGCAAATAATCGTGTATCTGTTCAAAATCAAGCATCACGTGAAAATTTGAATAATCTTTGACGGCGTACCAAAATTGCAATTTTTCGTCGGAGTTTTGAAGGTTCTTTGGAAACTAAACGAATATTAGAACACCAATTTTCGTGTCGAGACCTTAATACCAACAAAAATTTCAGAGCACAACGTCCAACGATCACACTCAACAACACACACAGATTCCCAACGACGCCGATGTCGCCGCAATCGCTGCTGTCCTTGCGCAAGCAAGCCCCACGTTCAACACAGCGCCGACTTCTGGCGCCGCCGCCGCGCCAAACGACGGCCAAATTCATCCAATCGCGCCAAGCGGTCACCAATCATCAATTCCCATCAAAAAAGCCAAAGTCTAGCTCGAATCAATGGCATACCGGTATTCTCTCATTTTTTTTCAAAGAAAAAAATCATCACAAATATATGGGTACAAAATAAAGCATTTTTGTTGCATTGTGTTGATTTTTTGGGGAAAAAAAAAGAAATCATATTGCTGGCAACAACACACACCAACAAAAATTTCTCCTATTGTTGCCCCATACCATTTTCAATGCGATTATTGTTGTTCACTGAGCGCTCGGCATATAAAAGAGCATCATATAGGTTCGCTTGAGAAACACTTGTCTTTATTTTTTTCGTTCTAGGTAGACTATAAATTTAAATTAATCCGTGTCATACACATCAAAAATAAAAAACTAGATGACTATAAAAATTGGCTTACCAAAGAGGGATTATACATTCCATTGTTCAGTTGCAACTGGCATAATTTTCACAAATCACAGTTCTATCTAGTTTTGATAATGATGTTTCTATTTTTGGGCGTCAACAAAAATTGACCCCCTAGAGTGTGATGGTGGAAGGCTTCTCTGTTTCATTGATCTCATTAAATCAGTGTCTTTCTTTTGGTTACCGTATCTCGCTCTCATTCTCCAGATGATAGACTTCTGATTCTTTTATTTCGAACCAGAATTCAAGACCATCGATATAGCCGGAGAAATTCTGAAAATAAATCGTCTTCCGTTCAAAATCAACAAAAATGATCGGAACCCATAAATTTTGAGGTCATCAGTAGTCTAACAAGGAACTGTAACCGGTCTCTCTCTTGCCACCCCCCCCCCAACATTTCTTCCTTATTTTGTATAAATGATCTCCTGCACTCGATGGGTTCTCTTTTGGGTATCTATCATGTTTTGTTAATGCAGAAGATCGCCAGGGAACAGTTGGGTGGAGCTCCACCTCCACTAACCGATGGTCAGCAGATTTTTGAAGAAACCCATTCCCACCGATCACGTGGTTATGTTGGTGTGTGTGTGTGTGTTACTTCCGTCCATTCATATCTTCCACCGAATTCAATTCTTCCTTCTCATTATTTCCTGGGTCTCACCGCGAAAGGCTACTACTGAATTTCCTATTAGGCCAACAATGCGTGCAATTTGCCGCTTCTGTGAATCGCACAAAAATCTAAAAGCGATTGGCTTACTGTACTTTAACGAAATTGAAAAAAAAAACAATCCATTTAAAGGAGGGGGGAGGGTGCACTTTAAAATTACGGTAATCCGTAATTACGACAAAAAATTGTCGCAGAGCCGGAAAAACAAGCCGTTAAACAAACACTTGATCGAAACCACTTTTTTTTGATTTGTCGATGGTGAAACAAGAAGACGGCTCATTCGGTTGATTTTTGCCAAAAAAGAACACACACATAACAAAAATCGGATAATTTGCGATAATTGTGCTCTGCGCCTCCGCGATTCACCCACTCTCTCGCCACTCACTCATCCATTCCAATCCAATATTCGCATTATTTTCGGTTTGTTCCGCACAGAATGTCGATCGCCGATGTTCTATTCCGCAAGAAGACGTTCGAAGGCGGCTCGCATCTCGAGTCGAAAATGAAGCGCTGCCTCAACGTGTTCGACATCATGTTCATCGCCATCGGCCACATGATTGGAGCGGGCATCTACGTGCTCACAGGTATCATTTTTTAAGTGCTTCAGGCAAACAGTATCCCTGATTGTAGGCGAAGTGGTCCGCAAAATCGCCGGCCCCGCCGTCATTCTGTCGTTCGTGTTCGCCGGCGTCGCCGCGCTTCTGTCGGCGTTCAGCTACGCCGAATTCGGCGCCCGGTAGGTGGCGGTTTGAGACCACTCGTCGATAATAAGCGCGATTCGCAGATTTCCGAGAGCCGGAAGCGCCTACACCTACACGTACGTCGGAATGGGCGAGCTGTGGGCGTTCATCGTCGGCTGGACGGTGCCGCTCGAGTACATGATCGGCAACGCGGCGGTGGCGCGCGCGTGGACCGCTTATTTGGACAGCCTCGTCGGGCACAAGATCAGCGAGTTCACCGCCAACACGATTGGCCGAATGAGTCAGGTAGCGCTGTCGCCTGACGACGAATCGATGTGTTTTTTTGCAGGGCGGCGGCTTTTTCGCCGAATATCCCGACATTCTCGCCTTCTTTTTGTTGTTCATCGTTGCGTTTGCGGTCGCGATCGGCTCGAAATTCTCGGCCAACGTCAACACCGCGTTTGTCGTTCTCAACTTGGCGGTAAGCGATTTTTCTTGGGAAACAAAAAAAAAGAAACTCAATTTTAATTCAAGACTACTGTAGTTTCAAAAATGTGCGGTAAATCGTGACGCCGAATTGCAGACGCCCAATTTTTTCCAGTGATGTGGCGCAAAACTAAACGTGCAGATTTATGGGCCTAATTATTAGGAGGCGCATAGCGTGCATCGAGACCTAATTTTCAATTTTTTGGCAGTCACAATAGAAATTCACAAAAACCTTGATGATTATTGAAAATGTGAAAGAATGTAACTTTTTGAAAAAGAAAAAAATAATGGGTACTGTAGTTTTAGAAATGTGTTTAGTACACCATGACGCCGAATTGCGGATCGCATTTGAATTTTCTTTTCAAATTTTTCAAATTTACCCTCATTGTTTTTAAGGTTCTCGCGTTCGTCATCGTCTATGGTCTTTCATTCGCCGATTTCAGCTTTTGGTCGGGAACCGATCTTCACGGAAATTCGCTGTTTTTCCCCTATGGATTTTCGGGCGCAATTCAGGGCGCCTCGGTGTGCTTTTTCTCGTACATCGGCTTCGAGGCGCTCGCCACCGCCGGCGAAGAAGCGAAAAGTATGCGATCGCGCTGAAACAATAATTATTAATTGCGGTTCCATTCAGATCCCCATCGTACCATTCCATTGGCAACCTTCGGAAGTCTCTCAGTCATTGTCGTCCTTTACGTACTGATGGGCGCCTCGTTGTCATTGATGGTCCCTTACTACGATGTCGATGAAAAAGCTGCGTATGCTTCTGCCTTTGCTTCAAAAGGCGCCTACGTGGCAATGACGATCATGAGCATCGGAGCCCTCGCCGGAATGCTCAATAACCTGGTGACCGGCGCGTTCGCGCTGCCGCGCGCCGTTTACGCGATGGCTGACGACGGCCTTCTATTCCACTTTTTTGGCGTCATCAATCGCTACACCAAGACACCGTTGAACGCCACTGTCGTGTTCACCCTCATCAACGCCATATTGGCGTTGGTGTTCGATTTGGCCGCGTTGGTCGAGTTCATGTCGATCGGCACCCTATTGGCATATTCCATGGTGACGGCGTGCGTGATTCTTTTGCGCTTCCAGCGCGCCTACAAAGACGGAAGTGAAACCGAGTTTGATGATGGTAATTTTTGCAATTTTAAAAAGAGAAAAGAAAAGAAACGTGTTGTACGCAATTTCGCGTCTCGGTGTATTGCACACTCAAAAGAAATCAATCAAAAATTATCAGTTTGACAGCCTCAAATTTCGATTTTCACATTTCAGGCGGCTCATTGAAATCGTGGGTTCCATTCAAATCGTTCTGGACGCGCTTCCCGCACGGTCGATCAATTCAATGCGCCGTCGCCGGCCTCATCATCGGCTATGTACTGATAGCGTTGCCGTTTCGCATCGCCATCTACACCAATCCCGGCGGAATCATTCTGTTGCTCATCGGCGCCGTCATCGCCATCGTTTCGTTCATCTTCATTCTAGGACACGAGCAGAACATTCGAACGGCCACCTACAAGGTGCCGTTCGTGCCGTTCGTGCCGGCTGTCGGACTTCTCGCCAACGTGTTCATGATGGTGTTCCTCAATCATCTCACATGGATCCGGTTGTTCGTCTGGCTCGCAATTGGTAATTTTCTCGTTCCCCCCCCCCGCTCATAAAAAATTTGTCAATGTTCAGGATTATTGATCTACTTCGCCTACGGCATTCGACACAGCAAGCAGGGCCTCAAACCGATTGTGTCATCCATCGAAATTGTTCCAAAAAAGCTTTAATTTTCCAACAAATGCTCCCATATTTGGTTGTGATCTCGCCATAAATAGCAATTTTATATACATTGAGCTTAATGACGAAAAATGAAAAGCGCTAGTAGATTGAGGTTGGGTCCGGATCAAGCACATGGATATTGGTCTCGACGCGCTTTTCTCCGACGACGGTAGTTGGCGATGGTGAGGCGGAGGGCATTGCGGTTTGCTGAAAATTTCACAATTGTTGCGATTTCAGATTTGAATCGGAACGTACCTTTTCGACAACGCTTCCGATGCACATCTTCTGCTCGGCGCAAATTGCTCGCGGCTCGTCGTTTCGCAATTTTCCCAAATTCACCCGATTGATGACGTCGCAAATCGACGACGTGCTATCGGTGCTGTTGAAGCATTCCTGCTTGATTTTCTGCAAAAACGAAAAGGAAAAACACTCGGAGCCGCCCATATTCACGAACCTCCTCGAAGTCGGGCTCGTTGAGTTGGCGATCTTTGAGCTTCAAAATGACGACCTGACAGAATTCGCAGAGAAAATCGAGCGGTATCAGCTGGAACATCGAAGTTTCGACGAACGTTTTTTTTTTTCCGATTTTGGCAACGATTCTACCTGAAACGGCGGCGCTTCCGGCTCGATGACGTCGGTGTCGTTCTCACGTGTGAACGTGTACTTCGTCACCGTGTAGTTCGTCGTCGGAACGCCGACGACGGCACCGACCAATGCAAACACCAAAACGAGCATGTCTGGCGGGACGCCGAAAAAAAAAGAAACGGAAAATTCGCTCTCTCTTTTTTTTGGAAGAAAACGAGCAGAAAAGGAAGGATGTGTCCGCTGCCACGAGTGGGCGGAGCTTGTGTGACGTGTGCCGAGCCGGCAGTCCATTTATGGACACTACCGTAGCACGGCGCCAAAAATAGAGAGAGATTTTGTTACAATTTGCTATATATATATTTTTTACATTTAAAATGTTGATTTGTTTACACTCGGTGTAATACGCTGAACGAAAACTACACACTATTCATGATCGACACATTTGTGAAGGCGAGAGGTCAAACAGGAAATTTGAATTTCGCGCCAGCGCTTCTTTTTTTCAACGGCAAAAATTGGGGGTGATTGTGACATTTTGAATTGCCGCCAAAGCAATGAAAATTTTTTTCAGCAAATTTAAAATGTTGGAAAAAAAGCGGAATTTTGTGATCATGGCATAAAAAAAATGAAAAAAATTTGAATTTCACGATATTTCTTTTTAAATTTTAAATTGCGTGCCAAAAATTCAAATTTCCAACATTTCATGCATTATTTTTTCATACAAGATCAAAAATCGCCCGAATTTCGAAATTGGCGCTAAAAGAAGAAAAAAAATAATATTTTGAAAATTCCGACAAAAAATGGCAAAAAGAAAAACAACAATTGTTGAAAAGCTGGTAAAAAGAAAAATGGCGAACGGGTCTCGCCACGAACAAACAATTCCGCCCTTTAACCCTCGGCAAATCCGCAAATTGTTACCACCAAAAAAAACTTGTTGTCGATGAGACAACAAAGGAAACTACAAGGTCATCGCCAAAAAAGGAAGAAGACGAAAAAAAATAATATATACAGTTCATTTATACACAAAAATCGTGAATTTCTTCAACGACGATTCTTGAGAAACTCGTCGACAATCCGCTGCTCGGCTTCCGGAATGCTGACGCATCGAAGTGCGTTCGCATCATCGATTCCAGCTTCTTTCAGCTCCTGCATGAGAAAAAAAATGGCACATTTTCGATTTCATTCATCCGTTTTTATTTATAACCATGACATTTATCGATGAATTGGTCCCAATTCTAATTAAATATAGACGGGCAAATGGCGAGCGCATTCAGAAGAAAAAATTCAATGATGATGAATGCGCGGGACGGACCATTCAAACAATGATCGAAACATTTTTCATAACAAAACAAAATTTTGACTCGAAATTCGAATAAAGCCAACAAATTCAAGAAATTTCGATTTGAAAATAGCATTTTCAAGTTTTCCAATTTCAATTTTTTAAATAAAATCGAAAATCTCTAAATTGCGCCTTACTTCCTCGATGAGCAGCTTCCAGACCTTCATCTGATCCTCATTCGACACTTTGACCGTCGTGACCTCTTCGATTTCGCCAACGCTCTCTAAATTCGCATTTTTAGACTTCATCTAAGAAAACTAATACCCAACATCGATTTGACTTCTTCAACAACACGTGACATTCTGAATCAAGTCGACTTTTTCTTTTTCCGTGGAGAATATCGAAAAGAAATACAAAAAATGGATTATTCACCACTATTTGTTGGACAAAAATCATGTAGAATTTCAGGGGCCAGAAGGATTCATTCAAGTTAAAAGTAATAAATAAATACACATAAAAAAGTGGACCATTTCAACCGGGGAATAAAATTATACGGGCTTGTAGTCAAGTTTCGTCTCAAGACGCTTCGCATCTCCAACTTTTCTCACCGCCTTCATGAAATCCTCATCAATCACATATTCGCGTTCAGCGCGAATCGCGAACATTCCTGAAAATCGCCGCCATCAATGGGCACTGTTTGATTGTTTAAAGGCGCATACCAGCTTCAGTGCACACATTTCTCAAATCGGCCGCGGAGAAGCCGTCGGAGAGCTTCACCACCGCCTCGAAATCAATCTCTCCATGCTTTGTGATCTTATTCGAATGGATTTTCAGAATCTCCAATCTCGATTGCTCGTTGGGAAGGCCGATCTCGATTTTTCGATCCAAACGTCCTGGACGCAACAGGGCGGGATCTAATGTATCGGGACGATTGGTCGCCATAATTACCTAATTAGATAATTGAGATTTAATTATGGTGAAATTTTACCTTGACTTTTCCAAGAGAATCGAAGCCATCGAGCTGATTGAGAAGCTCCATCAAGGTTCTTTGAATCTCTCGATCCGCCGACGTTCCCTCAGAGAATCTCCTTCCACCGATCGCGTCGATCTCATCCATGAACACGATGCACGGCTGATGGTCCCTAGCATAATTGAACATCTCGCGAATCATTCTCGCCGATTCTCCAATATATTTGTCGACGATCGCCGATGAGACAACCTTGAGGAAATTGCAATCCAATTGCGAGGCGACAGCGCGAGCCAACAGCGTTTTGCCGGTTCCCGGTGGTCCGAACAGCAAGCAGCCTTTCGGCGGTGTGATTCCGACGCGCTTGAACAACTCGGGATTGATTAATGGCAGCTCGACGACCTCGCGAAGCTCGCGAATCTGCTCGGCGAGTCCTCCGACGTCGGCATAGGTGATGTTTCCAGGATCCTCGTGCGACATTTTGTAGACCAATGGGTCGACTTCGCGAGGCAGTTGACGCCTGAAAATTTACTTTCTAATCAACTGGGCAATTAAGGGGCGATTAATTACATAATTGTCAAAGTTGTCATGTCAAGAGAAACGCGAGTGCCTTGCTTCAACTCCTCCTTGTTGATCGAACGCCGACAACCGACGACGTATCTCGGGCCATTGGTGGCTTTCACGATGAACTTCTCCTCGGTGAGCTGTTTGAGCACCTCGCCGACTATCTGGCCGACCGATTGAAGCGATTTGATGTCGTTCTCGGATTTGTCGAACGACTTCTGCATTTCGGCCTCTCGTTTGCGAAGCTCTTTCAATTTTTGCTCGATATCGCGGCATTCGGCGAGTTTTCGGCGATACGCGTGAAGCGCACGCGTTCTTTCGTCCTCAATCGCTGGAAATCCGGTGGACTCGACCATTCCGCTGGAATTTCGCGATTAAAAACACAATAATGAGACGAAATTGGTGAAATTTATTCGAAAAAAAAGGAAAATCGAGAGGAGGTGAACACATTTTTAAAAATTGTCATCAGATTGTCCGTGGAGCGCGTTTGCCACCGCGGCCGACGATTCGCCGGCCACCTCCGCGCAATTCTCACTCATCGAACACGAATAATTGCTCTGCAATCAGTTATAGACTAATTAGGAATAATTAGAAGCCTACTGTAGCATTGATACATTGCTGCGGACATGGAAAATAAGCCGCGCGCTTCGAAACATGGCTCAAATTGCTCAAAAACTTCAAGCTCTGTTGGAAGATAAATATCGCACCTGAAAAAGAGCAATTCAAAAAGAATTTCAGAATATTTGCACTTTAATTTTTTTGTGCAGTCATTTCTGCCAGGATGAATGCAATTCAAAACGCACGACGCTTGTTTCGCGGCTTTTTCGCTTTTAAACCTCCGTTGTTCGTCTATAATTGGCTAATAAACGAAATAATTGGTCAATTAGGCTCACCAAAATGCGGAATTCGTTCTTCTAACGCGTGAATAAAAATATCTCGAAATTCGCTGGGATTTCTTTCAAGCAAAACCGAATTATTGCGATTTGTGCAACCTTTGAAGCCAAAAACTTTGGAGAAATTACAAATTTTCGATTTTTGGAATAATTTCGAAAATTTTGAGATGCATTCGACGAATTTTGGGTCTCCATTACTCTAAAAATGGTAAAATTTGCCTGAAAATATCTCAATTTACAGCTTACCTCGCATTTTTCAACGCATACCTTGAAATTTCCAGTTCTCATTGTTTTCAAGCAAGCTTCATACTTGTTACATTCGCACTGTTTGATCGCCAAGCCATCAATCAAAACAACAGCAACGAATTGAACAACAATTACGAAAATGATGAACATTGTCGTCGATTGAAAATTTTTCGACAAATTCCATTTTTATAATCAATTAAAATTGCGTATGTCATTGATGAAAAACAAAATATTGTCGAGGCACCTCCTCCGAGTGACCCATTCAAACAAGTCTTAACCCGGTAATTTAAATGACTCGTGTTATTCTCGCGTGGTTGATGACAGCTATTCGCCTACGTCAACCAACGAACAGCCAGTACTCACGCTGGGGGAGCGGGGTCGAGTCGGCAACCTCTCGCGCGCCGAACACAAAACTTGCCGCGCTTCCACGAGGGCGCATTGCAGTGTAGCGACAAAGTGCGTTCACATGTGTACTACACGAGAGCGAATAGATAATTTATACAATTTTATTCATTTTGGAATTATTTTTTACATTTTCATCATTATTATTGTTATTGTTCACAACACTTTTGTTTTGACTCGATTTCCTCGATTTGACACCTTCGGCGGTGCCGCCTGGCGGGCACACAAGAAGCGGAGCATTCGAAAATGGTGATAAAGGACCGCCTGAATAAATGGCTTTCGATCTGGTAGGCGAACACAAGCCAACCTTCTGGAGGCCTCTTTGGAGCCAGCGAATTGAGAAGAACCGCTGTCGTCGTTCTTCCAACCACCGGCTTGATCTCATGCGGCTGCAAGACCCGTCGTCGCTTCTTCGGAAGTTTTGACCTACAATCGAAATCGCAGTCAAATTCGTATGATCACCCCCCCCCCGTCTTTAATCGAACCTCGCTTGAGCATGAGAATAGAACATGGCGAAATTGGAGACGATGACCGGCACCGGCAACGCGATGGTGAGCACACCCATGAGGGCGCAGATCGAGCCGACGAGGCGACCCAACGACGTTTGAGGCACCAGATCGCCGAAGCCGATCGTACAGATCGTGATGACCGCCCACCACAATCCGACGGGAATCGATGAGAATTGATTCTCGCGATTGTCCTCGACGCGTTCCGCATAATAGACCAACGCGGCGAAAATGACGATGCCGAGGAGGACGAAGAAGACGAGAAGGAAAAGCTCTTGGGCGGACGCCTGAAAATTGCACACCAATTGGTTTTTTTGTTTTGTTGGTGAAGCGTTCCGATACCTTGAACGTCTGTATGAGAATCTTGAGACCCGTCGAATGCTGGGTGAGCTTGAACAATCGCAGGATGCGAATGATCGAGAAGAACTCGACCGAGTCGCGATTCGAACCCGACAACGCGCGATCGAGCGCCCAATCGATGTAGAACGAGATCGTCGCGATGAAGTCGATGATGTTGACCGGCGTTTTGAGGAATATCGCCAAATTCGGGCAGAAGATCATTCGTGTGAGGAACTCGCCCGAGAACCAGATGTTCGACAGCAGCTCCACATAGAAGAATGACGGGTGCGCTCTGGAAAAAAATAATTTTTTAAAGGCGCATGACAATTGTTGCCTACCTGGTGGCGGTTTTGCCGACGTAAATTGTGTTCTGAACGGCGTGCGACGAATTGATGTGCGGATTTGCGGCCACCTCGATGTCGGGAATCCGAAACGACGGATGCGTTTTGAGGCAGAAGCACACGATGGAGATGATGACGAAGATGATGTTGACGACGGAGATGACCTGAAACGAGGCAATCATCGGAAGGTGGATATCGATGACGAGCGCCTAGCATCCACACCTAAACAGCTAGCGGCCAGAAAAAAAGAAATTCGAAAAAAAAAAAACAAATTGCTTGTGGTGCATTTTATTCCGATTATTAATATTATTTCAAAAAAAAAACGCAAGTCTGTAGTTCACACGGACAATAAAAGAAATCATAATTTTAAAAAACGGACATGCATAAAAACGGACACAATTTTTTTGACTAGAGAGAGAGATTGAGAGAGAGAGAGAGAAAGAGAGAGAGAAAAAAACAATATGGTTGACCCGTAAACAAACAAAACAAAACAGAAAAGACACACAAATGGGTTTTCTAGGCCATGAGTTTCGATTCGGCCGCCAAACCGCCGTTGTGGTTTTTGCACACTCGCGGCGGCGCCGGATTCGCCGGCGTCGATGGTCCGTCGGACGAGCTCTTCTTGCGGTGTTTGCCGTGGTGCGCCGCCGGCTTCACACCCAACATCGTCGGCTTCACCTCGTGCGCCTGCAATGACGAAAATTGTCGTCGTCCGCCACCCACGCCCACGCTGTCGGCCCACCTGCAAGACGCGTCGCCGCTTTTTCGGCAATTTCGCGCGCGCCTGCGAATGCGAGTACAAATTCGAGAAGTTCGACACGATGACCGGCACCGGCAACGCGATGGTGAGCACACCCATGAGGGCGCACAACGAGCCGACGAGCATGCCCAAATACGTCTTCGGCACCATGTCGCCGAAACCGACGGTCGATATCGTCACGAGACTCCTAGGAGACCATATTTCAATTGAGCATCAATATCGGAAGATGGCTTTTTTAAAGGCGTTTTTCGTCGAATTACCACCAGAGTCCCAGCGGGATGCTCGTGAATTGATTGTCCTTGTTCAGTTGCGATCGTTCGGCGTAGTAGACCAACGCGGCGAAGATGACGATGGCGAGGATGACGAAGAAGACGAGAAGGCAGAGCTCTTGAGCTGAAGCCTGAAAATTGTGGTGGTGTTGAAGGCGCATTGGGTCTCAAAGCGAAATAGTGATCAATTCAAAGGCGCATAGGGTCTCAAAGCAAAATAGTTATCAATTAAAAGGCGCATATGATCTCAAAGCGAAATAGTGATCAATTCAAAGGCGCATAGAGTCTCAAAGCGAAGAAGTGATCAATTTAAAGGCGCATAGGGTCTCAAAGCGAAATAGTGATCAATTCAAAGGCGCATAGGGTCTCAAAGCAAAATAGTTATCAATTAAAAGGCGCATATGATCTCAAAGCGAAATAGTGATCAATTTAAAGGCGCATAGAGTCTCAAAGCGAAGAAGTAATCAATTTAAAGGCGCATATGATCTCAAAGCGAAATAGTGATCAATTTAAATGCGCATAGAGTCTCAAAGCGAAGAAGTGATCAATTTAAAGGCGCATAGGGTCTCAAAGCTAAATAGTGAACAATTTAAAGGCGCATAGAGTCTCAAAGCGAAATAGTGATAAATTTAAAGGCGCATAGGGTCTCAAAGCGAAATAGAGATAAATTTAATGGCGCATAGGGTTTCAAAGCGAAATAGAGATGAAATTCAAGGCGCATTCATTCTCAAAACAAATTAATGATGAATTTGAAGGCGCATAGAGTCTTTAAAAGAATTTAACATGAATTTAAAGACGCATGCGAATGATTGATGTTGGATTTAAAGGCGCATTCATTCTCAAAACAAATTAATGATGAATTTGAAGGCGCATAGGGTCTTTAAAAGAATTTAACATGAATTTAAAGACGCATGCGAATGATTGATGTTGGATTTAAAGGCGCATACCTTAAAAGTCTGTATCAGAATCTTCAAGCCGGAAAAATGTTGCGTCAACTTGAACAACCTCAGAACACAGATCATCGACAGAAAATCCAATGTGACGAGCGAGCCTGAAGCTGAACGATTTTGCACAACTCACACCGCGCGATTCCGATCTACCGGTCTGAATGAGAATCGCATGAAGGAGGCTCTCGAAGAAGAAGGCGCCCGTCGAGACGACGTCGATGATCGTCAGCGGCGATCGGACGAATTTGTGGAACGACGGGCAGAATAAGCTGCGCGTCAGCTGTGTGAAATTGCGAATTGGACGACATTTAAAGGCGCATCGTTACCAGCTCAATGGTGAACCAGATGTTGCATATGAGGTCGACATAGAAGAAGTAGGGATGAGGCGATGTCACCGGTTTGTCGGTGCCGATCGTCTTGTGATAGTTCTTGAAGCCGCCTTCATCGACGACGCGCAATGAGTAGAAGACTGGAAATTTCAATGTTTCTTGGAATTGGATTCGAATCAAACTGCTCACCGTCAATGTCGGGAATCTGAAACGACGGATCGGTTTTGAGGATGAACGAGCACGTCGACGCCAGAATGAACGCGACCGACATCGATGAGATGATCTGCAATCAACGCCTCCGGGCTCACGACGCGAAAAAAATGTGGCGGAGAGAGAGAGAGAGAAGAAGAGACATAGAGAGATGGTGAGAGAAGAGAGGAGAGACGAGACGAGACACACACACACACACACATACAGAGAGGAACTGAGAAAAAAAGAACGTCGAACAAAGGTGACAGGAAAAGCCTGGCAATTTTCATGCATTCTCATTGGTCTCCTAAATTTTGATTCAAACTTTCAAACAAAACCAAATGAAGAATTTGTTAAAAAAAAAAAGGAACACAAAAGATTAGTGAGACGAAAACGATGGTGTTTGGTGTTGGGTGTTGGGTGTTGCGGTGGCGACGGCTACGATAAACGCCTACCCGAGCGTATTTCGAGCTCCACGGCTCGTCGAACAACGCCCACACACGCGGTTTGAGCTGCTGCCATTGCGATAGTGTGCCCGAATAGTAATCGTCTTCCCAGCCGAACTTCTTCGCGATCTCCTCTTGCGTCGGCGGATCGCCGTCGAGATCGAGACTCTCGATGACGGCGAGCGTGTCCTGCGTGTCGCGATGCTGCGTGTACGTCATCCAGCAGCACGGCTCGACCTGATTCGCGTCGAGACCCCAAAACTCGAGCTCCTCCTCGAACAGCGGGCCGCACACGTTCGTCGGATAGTGCAGTTTGCCTAGAAAAATCGGCTATCAAATAATATTTGTAAAAAATTTGATGTTTCAGCACAAAAAAAAAACTTGGCAACGAGCCAATCGGTTTTGGTTTCGTTTAAAGGCGCATCGAGAAACTGACTCACCGGTGCGATAATAGTTCAATATCATCGAAAAAACGCCGGGATGGCGATCGAAAAAATACTCATTGAGCACCGGATCGTAATTGGCCAAATTTGGCGTGAGACGCGACAATCGCGTCGCCGGAATTTTTTTGAGCACATGCGTGTAGGTCTCGTGACGAATTCCACCAACGTTCAATATCACCCGATGTTCGGTGTCCATCCAAGACTGCAAAAAATTAAGAAGATGAATTAAATGTTGGTTTAGAACGAAATAAAAAAGCCCCATCCATCTCAAATTTCCTTCCACCCCAACCTTCCGGAAAAGAGCAAAACTTTTGTTTTGCTTAATGGACGAGAACGACAACGAAACCGAAAACCGCCGGCACCGGTGAAACCGAGACGCTTGCTTTAAGACTAATCTCCACTCGACATTTAAACGGGGCTTTAAGCTAGGAAAACCAGGAAACAAACAAATTTCCATTCGTTTTTTTCCAACTAATATATTATCGTCGTTACGCGTGCGCGGAGGAACACGGTTATATGGCAACGCGCTAGCTGGCGCCGGCGACCGCAATGGCGCAGGTGGTTAGTCGCGCCGCAGCTTGACGGACTTGCCGAACTCAATCCCATTCTGTCGGCAGGGGTGTTTTCGATTTTTTGCGAACACTTTAACGAAAAGCCCCATTAACTGCATACTAATCGGCGGGCGCAAGAAATGGGTGAAGGCGAGTGCAAGCGAAAAGGCAACGGCGAGAAAAAAAATTGGAAATATTTTTCTTGGTTTCTTCATCTTCTTCTTCTTCTTCTTCTATCGCTTTGTGTACGACGATCGCGACGTCTTCGTTATATTTGTTCGAGTTGAAGAAGCACGAAAAAAAAAAGAAAAAAGGAAGGATGGGACAGGAGGCAAAAAAGAAGGTTTAAATGCCCGCATTTTCTTCGGCTTCTCCTCTTCTCTTTTTTTTTTGCAGATGTTCTCCATCCTTTTTTCATTCCTCTCGACTACCTAATTTGATTGAATGGGCGGAGTCGCGAAATGTCGACGTTATGAATGAGCAAATTGCACTTTTTGAATTTTGGCGCCAAAATCGGATACCGTATCATAATGGGTCTCGTGTGGAATTCGGCGCCAATAACAATTACCAATTTGATTGCTAATTAACTCCTAGTAATTAATGGGAAATTAAATATTGAAAATTATTAAAACCAACGATTTCATTGAATGGAGTAATTAGTGGCTAATTAAGACCGATTAAAAAACGGCAAAGAAGGGGTACCGTAAGTGAAGGGACCATCAAAATCAGTGAACATGTCAATTGATGGAGGGCCGTATTTTGACACACGAGTATCATCCTCATCATCATCAACGCCGGAGGGGGGGGGGCAACACAAAATATTACACATTGGAGGTATGTGTATATAATCTTGGTACCCTCTCAGGTTAGAGGGGTCCCGACAAGAAGCACACACACACACACACGCATTCAGAGGGAGAGACAGAGAGAGATGGTGCCATTTGTCATCGGCATTATTCAACATTTTCACCGCAACACCATTTAAAGGCGCATCGGCGGAAGACCAACGAAGAGAGGCGCGTAAAAAAAAAGAATTTGTTGGAAACCGACGAGAATGAGGGCGAAAAGTTTTGAATTTCGGACCCCCCGGGTTTCGAATATCACTAGTAGAAGGAGGACCCCACCCCCCTCTCATTCTTCTTCTCCTTCATCGATATCTATCGTGTACATCTTCTTAGCCGTTTAATTCAATGACCCTCCCTCCAATCGAACCATTAAGCGCCTTTAAACATTGCCTAGGATTACTGTAGCAATAGGGTTGGCTGTGTACTCCGACTAGAACTTCAGATGAATACTAGAGGGTGCTAATTACAGTAGGACGCGACAAGACCCGTTTGCGATTACGGTAGTGTGGGACAAAAACAAAAACAGATATAAAATGAATATATATATATATATATATATATATATATATATATATATATATATATATATATATATATATATATATATATATATATATATATATATATATATATATATATCGAATTTCAAAAAAAAGGTTGGCGAGCTGACGAAGGCGAAAAATGCGTTGCGGAAGTCCGGAATCATTGAATCGTAAAACGAAAAAAAAAGAACGACCTACCAATGATGTCTCGTTGACATTCTCGCGCGCGCGACGGTAGAACGAGCTTCTCATCACCGAACAAACAAATTGACAATCAACAACAACAACAACAACACCAAATAAGGAGGTGCGGCTGCAGCAGTGGCGGCAAAAAATCGGAGCCAAGGGGAGCAGAGGGTGGGCGTGGCCGTCGACGAATAGCTCCGTGCGAGATGGCGAACGAACACCACGCCGAATCCGCGCCTTAATGGGTGTCATCCCACTCATCAAAAAGACAAAGCCAATGAGAATACGGTAGTTTAATTGGGGTGCAACCGCCATTGAATCCATTTGGCGGCGCTCGGCCCCCTCGCCACGTCGTAAATCGACAACAACAACGCACCCCCATTTATGTGTGTCGCACAAACCTTGGATTTGAGCAATATCTTGGTCGGATGACTATCATGGCCCATTTTTGATTTGAAGCGGATTGGGACCACCAAAAAAATATATATATAAGTGTGTTGTTGGTTGGTGTTGGTGTATGAATGGAGAGGAAGCACGACTATCTAGGAAGCAATTATTAAAAGCTGAGAGTCGCAATCGAAAAATATACCACCAGAAAAAAAAAATGACAATCGCACGGACGAGACGAGAAGCAACCGCAAAAAAAACCGAAACAAAAGAGTGGGGGGTTTTGAAACATTCTTCAGCTTCTCCTTGTTGAACCAACAAAACGATTATCGTCTCCGCCTCCGTCGTGCAGAGAAGACGAAGAAAAATTTGTGGAAACAATTGGGGGGACCCGGAAAAACGTGATTATGGCTTTCGTTGGTTACTACTCTCTCTCTCTCTCTCTCTCTTTTTCTTTCTCGTTTAGAACTAATCATCCAATTTTGTGTTTCAAACTTTAAATCGTTTTCTTTTCAGATACTTGCGCGCTCAACCAATTATGAAATTTTTAAAAATTCGAAAAAAAAAACACAATTTTAGAACACGCTGTAACATGCGCGTTTGGTAGTTTCCTTTTAAGAAAAAAATTCAAATTAATTTTATGCGCGTCGGGGTACTGTAACATCGGCGAGTCCGCAATTGAGCGCGACGCGCAATTGCACACAAATTGGGTTGGAAGCCGATTAATGTGCGGTTTCTCAGCGGTGGCGTCGCAGAAAAAAAAACCACAATTTATAATCGTGTGAAAATAATGGGCCATTCATCATCACAGTTTATTGGCGCCACCAGAATGCACATAAATCGTCGACGGCTAAGACGGTGTGCGAAAATCTCGATGCGCTTAGAAAACTGAAAACAAACCTCTCGGCGAACCGCTGAAATCGCCATCGAGATGTCAAACGCACACACTTGAATTGAATAAAAAAAAATAAAATGGCGGTTGGAAGAAGAAGAAGAAGAAGAAAAATTTTGTTCTTGAAGGGGGTCCTTATTTCCGGAGCGCGCGTGCTCTCCGACCGATTCACACAATTTCAAGTGTATTTTTGGGTTGTTTCGGAATAATCGAGAATCAAATTCAAATTCTTACTTCACGCCGTTGATGCAGTCCGGTGGCTTTTTGACCAGCGGCAAACATTCCTAATTTTCTACAAAAAAAAATTTGTTTTTTGAATATTCATCGAGAAATAGTGTTGCAGTGCGCGAGAGACGCAGAGAAGATAGAGGAGGAGGAGGAGCCAACTACTAATAGGCAATCGACACCGCGGGTGCGGGTGCGACGCGATAAGCGCAATCGGTAAGCCGATTTGTCGAGCCAAGCAAGGCAACGGGATCGACGCCACGCGCCACGCCGGCGTTTGTTCGTCAATTGACATGATAATATTACACAACAAACAACTATCAATTAATCAATTGATGGCGGATAGGGGCCGGGGAAGAAAGAAACAAGCATCGATCGGTGCCGCCCCGCCTCAATCACTCACCGCTTTGCGATCGGCGAAGTTCGTCTCATCATAGAACATTCGCACAGAAGAGCTGCAAATTTCACATTTATTCTGGTTTGAAAAAAACATTGCCAAACAAGGTCTCGACGCGAAACCCGCCCCCCTCGAAAGAAGGCAAGTAATGAAACGAATGCGCATCTTTCGAAATTAAACAAAAGAAATGTGTGTTTGTGTGCGTTGGAGTAGGGGCGTGGTTTTTGAATGCGTCGAGCGGCTAGTTTAATTAAAACAAAAGGTGCACTAAAAGTTGAAAACGATGGAAAAAAAAGGAAAGAAATGCGAGTTTCGCGTTTCATCGTTTGTTCTGTTTTTTTGTTGTTGCTTCTTCTCTAATCTTTCACGATTTCGTGGGTATCAAGAAGGCAAAAAAATAGAAGAATTGCGATGGAGACGAATATAAGAATGAGTGCATGGGTAAACATGATGCGAACAATAAGACGTCGGCGATATTGTGAATTTTTCATGACGCCGCGACGACGTCACATCGACATTACCGTTTTCGTCCGAATCGCGAAAAGCCGCGCTCGAGCGTTCGATCCGATGAGGCGATCGACGTCTCGTCTTCGTGAATCGACAAATAATCCATCTGAAATCGATTTTTATTCGCTATTTTTGATTCAATTACCGTCGTCGTCGTCGGAATATTCAAATGGAAACTCGCGTGCGACGAATTGCTGATGATCGTTTTCAGCGGCACCTCGTCGGCGTCGATCTGCTCGCAAATTGGCAACGATTTTGACGACATTTTTGAAAAGACGAATGAATGAAATCGAAGCGAGGCGAATGAAAGTGGGCAAGTTTTAATTAGACAACAGCGGATTTCAATTTCCGCTTGTTTTGAATCGAGCGTCACAAGACCTGCACCTCGTGGCTCAAAAAACGGAAAATGTTTTTGAATATTCCAATTTCTCGGGGACCACCAATCCAAATTTCGAATTTTAGGAGCATTTCTTCTTTTTTTTAATTAATTCAACATTTTTGAGCAATTTCAAACATTCAATGGCCCATTTTTATTACAAGAATCGCGCGCTGCAAGACCTATGTGTTGCGGCCATAACGCGTTTCATACTATTGAGAGCCTTAAAAATCGTCTTCATGAAAAAAAATGGCAATTTTCACAAAATTTGCTGCATTGCTTTGAAACACAATTTCAGAACAAAACCGACATGCCAGCAGTACTTCAAGGCAGAAAAAAAATATAATGTGAAAAGCTTCGGCTGCATGTAAACTGATACCTCAATTCAAGAACGTTTATATACTAGGGGGGGGGAAGGGGAGGGGAACTCAATGGCCATTTTAGGTCCAAAAAAACTGAGGAGGAGTGGGAGGAGGAGGTTGAGGAGAAGGGCCGGGTTGTATGTTATGCCGGACACTGGATAAAAGGCGGCCAATTAGGGCGGCTTTCAAAAAAAATAAACACAGAAAGAAACAAGAAAAACAAAATCGGCTCCAGGAGAGCGCACAATTTCATTTTTGCAAAACGAATTTCTCGAAATCGACAAGGTATACAAAAATTGTTCGACAATGATAACACATTCCTCTCAATTTCTTTTCTGGGCCAAAAGAAACAACAAACGGAAAAAATAACCAACACACACACGCATTAAAAAAAAGAAACAGGATATTCGGATTTACACACACAAAACAAAACAAGGGGGGAGAAGCCTCGGGCAGTGACGATATTCAACACTCAAATAGTAATAATAATAATTATAATATAATAGATGGATAGAAATAATAATAATAATAGCAATAACTTACAGCTAAAACACGAGAAAATTCCATATAAAACTAGGTAAAAAAGGTACAAAAATTCGAGGCAACTTCAGAATCAAATACGCCTATGGCCAACAAAACACAAAAACACAAAAACCTACCGTAGTCTTAATTTACAGCAGAATTCAAAAAAAAAAAAGACAGAGATTACGATTTAACAAGATTTTCTCGCGAGAATCAACGTGTGCTGATCCGAAATCGACGCTCCAATAATCGAGAAGCCTTCCAAATGAGCCGATGTGATCTCCTCGGGTTTCGACACCATCTGAAAACCAGCATCCAATTATTTTATGCTAATTAGTGGAAACCGAGGGCGCAAAAAAAATAGCACGTAATTAAACTCGCGAAAATTCTTCTTATTAAAAATTCATTGAAAAACGCCTCACTTTCTCATCATCATCCTTCAAACCGAGTCCCAATTGACCGGTGGTGTCGAAGCCCCACGCAAACGCGGTGCCGTCGTCGGTCCACGCGATCGACGTCGCCAATTTCGCCGAAATTCCAACAATCTTCTTCTCGCCGCTTCCGATGTCCAACGGTTGCAAGCTGTCATAGCTGAAAAACGAGCAAATCGCATTTCACGCGCTTAATCGAAAAACCTACAGCCAATGCTGCTGATCGTCTTTTCCCGTCCAATTGCCCAAACCAAGCGCGTTGTCAGTGTTCTTGCCCATCGCGAACACCTTGCCCGACTCGGTGAGCACGACAACGTGCTGAACGCCCTCAATCTGCACAAACGTCTCCTCGGCGCCAAACGCCGGCGCCTCGGTCGGCAAAAAGACGCGCAATTCGCGAGTGTCCTGCCCGTCGGGTCCCAACGCCAATTCATCAGCTTCATCGACTTTGATACCAATCTGGCCGAAATTGTTCAATCCGAACGAATAATATTTGCCGTCTTCGCCGTGGACGATCGTCCAGAAGCCGCTGGCGAACACGTTCTTTGCGGCGACATCGTAGAATTTGCTCTTCTGTCGGAATCGCAACGAAACGACGAGATGCTCGCCGCTCTCATCGCACATGAACTCTGAAACAACATTCTCAATAAACGATTTTTGCTTGCCCCCCATACTTGATCGAATCGTTTTGGTGCGAATACTGCGCCCAAGTTGGCCCATTTCACCATCGCCAAATGTCAAAATCTGACCGCGCTCATCGAGCATCACAAGATGATTCTCGCCGGCGGCGATCTAAAATGAATTGCAATTTTATCGACAAAAGAAAGTTGCAAAAATTGAAAACCTTGACAATCTTTCGCTTATTATGGTGCACAATCACCACCGGATGCTCTTGCATTTTATGCAAAAGCGGATGTACATCGACATTGCCGTTCGAATTTCTCAAATTTCCCCATGCGATAACCGTTCCCTGATCAGTAAGCGCCGCGGTGAAACTGGCGCCAGCGGCAATCATAATAATCTAGAATATGACTCGGCAATTTTGAGGGAAATGAATTATCCTTTATTACCTTGCCCTCTTTTTGAATATCGTCGGAGAACGGGACCTTCGAGAATTCGTCAGTGCTTCCCTCATTCTCGACACCTTCGGCCGGCACGGTTCCCTTCTCATTGATGCCGCACATGAACACTTGTCCGTCTTCGGTGAGAACAGCCGAATGCACACCGCCAGCGACGACTTGAATCGGCTTCAAATTATTCTCCTCAAAAATGTCGACTTTGCGCGGTTTTTTGGTGGTGGTGCGTCCCGGATGTCCCAAAGCCTCTCCTGAGACAATCAATTGCGCAATTAGACTAATTACGGCGTTAATTACCTTCACCGCATGACAGAACGCGATCACCGACGACACTCGGCGCGAATTGTTGATAAGTGAGAAGTTGGGCGACTTTGGCTGCAAGAATTAAAACGCTCATTTAAAAATTCGAGAATTGCGCACGATTTCTACCATTTTTCCGCGCCGGCGTTTTTAGCTCTGATCCGGTTGTAGTGTTGAGAGTGGTGTTGGTCGATTCGGAAGCACTTTGCTTACGTTTTCGTCCACGAGTGCCTTTCATCGGCGTCACCGTGTTCGTCGAGGGGCTCGGCGCCGTGATTTTGCGTGTGGCGCGGCCGCGACGCGACGGCGTCTTCGCGACCGTTTCGCTTATCGTGTCGGCGGCCTCGTCGCCTTCAATTTCCTCTTCAGCCTTCTTATCATCCTCGGATTGGTTCGATTTTTTGGCGGCACTCTTTCTAGTGGTTCTTGATGACTTGCCCTCTCCGGAATCATTCTAAATTATTTCAAAATTTAAAAAGGTTTCCAATAAATGAATAATTTACATTTTTCTTCTGTATCGTCTCTTTTGGACTGCCGTTTTCCATTTCCTGAACAGTGGGGACTTCAACCTCTGAAGTGTCCATTCTTTCTGTGGTCGCCATTTCCTAATGCTCTTTTATTTTGTTTTTTGTTCAACTGGAAAAAAGAAATGAGAAAATTGATGAGAAATGCAACAAGTGGCGATATGTGATATAATCGGGCTAGCGATTGATAAGAATGATACGGAATTTCGATGAAAAAAGAAAATGCGAAAAAAAAATTTTTTCAAAAAATGCGCGTACCAACAATGCAATGGTGCGGCACTGTGTTTTTGTGTGCAAACACCGCGCGCGCAACACACACCGATTTGCCCACCGTAATCGCATAAGTATTCTTTTTTTAAATCATGATTTTTGTGGTTGTCGGCGGCGGAATCGCAGGAGTTAGTTGCAGTTTAGAGATATTGAAGCATAGCATGGATGCTGAAACCCAAGTGATTCTGATTTCAGCGTCAAGTCATGTGAAAACAGTGAAAAATTGGTATAAGGTAGAGAGAAAAATATTTTCGTCAAACCAAAAAAAATCAATTTTCAATTTAGATCGGCCAATTTACCGAGCATTTCGATGTCGGCGAGACAAATGAGCCAATAAGCAATGATAATCGATTAAAAATCATTTTTGACACCGTGACAAGCTTCAATCCACTTGAAAAATGCCTATCAACCGGGCAATCCGGCGAAATTCGATACGACAGGCTGGCGATCGCGACAGGAGCGAGTCCGATATGCCCATATAAGTCGAAAAATGTGATTTGCATTCGCGACACCGATACCGTAATCAAGCTCGAGGTTGGTTGCGACGAAAACGGAACCGAAACCCCGACGAATTTCAGGAGAAATTGAAGAACGCCAAAAAACTCGCGATCATCGGCAACGGCGGCATCGCTACCGAGCTTGTGTAGACCCCCAATTAATTAATTGCCTAATTGCCCTAATAATTGCAGGTACGAATTGAAGAATGTGAACATCGTGTGGCTGATTCGCGATTCGTCGATTTCATCGGCGTTCTTTCCTGCTCAACTCGCCAACTTCATCACATCCAAATTGCTCAAAGGACGAGGTGAGAATCGAAAAAATTCCGGGATTCTGAAGCGACAAATTTTCACAACGTCGTCGTTGGGTCCTTCGGGAGCCGCGTTGGGTCCCGACTGGTGTACAGCCGTCGATCTCACAGGTGCTGGCGATCAGGTAATCAACCAATCATGTTCTGCGATGATCTCGTCCATCTTCAGGGTCAACACAACGTCGAAATCATTCAAAACGCCAAAGTTGCGAATATCTGCGAAACCCAATCGGGACTCCGTGTGGACTACACAGCACGAGAAGCCCAACATCAAATCGACTGCGATTTTGCCGTCTGGGCGACCGGCGTTGTCCCAAACTCGCAAATTTGGGCCGAGCATCTGGAAATTGCTGAAAATCACGGAATAATCGTCGACGATCTTTTCCGCACCACCATTCCCGATGTATTCGCGTGTGGTGATGTGTGCACACTCAGATTCCCCGACTCTTCCCCTTTGTGGAAGCAGGTACCTCTAAATGGTTTCATATCAACATTCTCAATTCCTTCTAGATGTATCTTTGGACCCAAGCCCGCCAGATGGGCGCCTCTTGTGGCCTATCAATGGTGATCGGAGAAGAAGCCCGAATCTCCAACATCCATCTGGACCTGTTTGCGCATTGCACGACATTCTTCGGTTTAAAAGTAAGTTCTCGAAACAATTTATTTCCGATTTCTTTCAATCATTTAAAACAGAGATTAATAATTAATACAGAGCCAACAAATTATATAAATTAATGTATAACGATATATTGGGATGGTTTTTCTTTTGTATGAGACCAAAAAATTCGCGGTTTTTCTTTTTTCAAAAAAGTATTTTCAAAACTAATGGAACAAAATAATAGTATATACGATAAAACAATAATAGTTGGTTGAAACAAGAAACGAAAACAATCTTCGGCGTCACATCTTAATTGGTTCTTCCTTCGACTGAAAATTAAAATAATTAATAAGTATAATGAGTAGATAATTAGGCTTACTGTAAGTTGAGACATCAATCTTCTCTGGAAGCTCGGTGATGCTGATATCGAAGCGATCTTGAACGCTGTTTAGCGTCTTGGCATCGCTCTCGTCCGAAACGAACGTGATAGCCAATCCCTTGGTTCCGAAGCGTCCAGCGCGAGCAACTCTGTGCAAGTAAGAGTCAGAATCCTCCGGCATGTCGTAATTGAAGACAATATTCACACGCTCAATATCCATTCCACGTCCGAACAAGTCGGTGGCGACAAGAATTCGCTTCTAGAAGATTATAGGAATTCTTCTGGACAAATTCACGTTCAATTTACCTGGAAATCCTTGAATGCTTGGTATCTCGACAAACGCTCCTCCTGTGGCATTTGACGATGAATAGCAATCGATGGGAAGTTCTGCTCGGTGAGAAGCTGATGAAGAGCCTCGCATCTTCTCACAGCCTTCACAAAAATGACGACCTGGTTGAACTCCAAAGCGTCAAGCAACTCCAAAAGTTTGCGGGTCTTCTCAGCCTCCTTAAGCTTGACGTAGTGTTGTTGAAGTCCGTGAAGTGTGAGTTTCGCCTCGTCATCAACATAAACTTCCATTGGCTGAAAATTTAGGCAATTATTGTCGTGAATCGTCAAATGAATGCCAAGGGTTTTAGAGCGGTTGATCCGAAAAAAAAAACAAATTAATTTTGTTTTTAAACACACTCAAAAATACAATCGCGACCCCCGAGCGTGTTCTGTCTCATCGCACACGGCCTTCGCAGCAACACATTGGACGCCCTGCCATTAAACACCTCGGTTGCGGTGAAAGGCATCAGCTCCGAATGCGGGAAATTCTTATCCTGGTTGAAACAACCTGAACATCATCAAATCAGTGAAATTTGAATGACGCGCTAGCGCTAACCAGTTCAAGAAAATCCCTTTCTCGTCAGAATGCGGTCGACAGTGAGTTACTAAGAGTTTTTGGAAAGAGGTTTTTGTCAAAATTTGCTCGTCCAAATTCAATTCCCCCTGGTGATCGTATGGTGAGGACGACTCATAAATTCGTACATCTTGCATGAATTTTTTGCACACAATTCGAAGCTCCTTCGGCAGAGTGGCGGAGAACATCATAACTTGCTTCTCTTGAGGCGTGAGTTTCACAATTTCTTGAACATCCCTGCGCATATCTGTAGCATTTTTGGCATAATTAGCTACGGTTTTGATATCGAGCTTCATTACCGGCATCTCCAATCATCTTGTCGCATTCGTCAAGAACAAAATATTTGACCTTGTCGAGTTTCATCTTGCCAGACCTCGCGAGAGCGAGCATACGGCCAGGAGTTCCTACAACAATATGGGGGCAATCATTGGCCAGACGCTCCTCATCCTTCTTGATTGGCATTCCACCAAAGAATACAGCAACCTTGATACCAGGAAGGTATTTACTGAATCGTTCGTATTCTTTGGAGATTTGGAACGCCAATTCGCGAGTATGGCACATGCAGACAACAGAGATCTGAAATATTCAAAAAGTAAATAATCAGAATTGAATTATTGGTCTCACGTCTCCATCAACCGGCTCCAGTTGTTGCAAAGTAGCGATCACGAAGACCGCGGTCTTACCCATTCCAGACTTTGCCTGACAAACAACGTCCATGCCGAGAATGGCCTGCGGAATGCACTCGTGTTGAACTAGAAAGAAAAAAATTTAACTTCTATTTCAATTCACATTTTTACCTTCCGATGGATGCTCAAATCCACAATCTCCAATAGCGCGAAGAATCTCCGGCTTCAAAAGGAAGTCGCGGAAACCGCTGCTGTGGATGGACGCATAAGTTCCCTGAAGTGGAGTAATTAGGAATTAACTAATTGATTATGAATAATTACCTTAGTTTTTTTGGCATCTCCGGCGGCAACTTCCGGTTTGTCTTGGATATCCTCCTGCTCGTCTTCGTAGTCAAGAAGTTGATCCTCGTCCATTCTACAAACAATAATTGGTTGATTATTGGGAAATTATTGTGAATTTTTTTTAATCTAAAAGAAAATTTAAAAATAAATATTTAAAAAGCGAACAGAATAACGGATAGCGAGCGCATTTTCGAAAAGCGTCATTCGAAAACCGCACGCCGCCGCGAAAAGACGCACGCGTGTAAACGCGCTGGTCTCGTAGCGAAAGTGGTTGACATGAGTGCGCGGCAATTCAAATTTCAACCAATGTAACTCTGCGCGGCATATTTGGCACGTTTCCCATATCAAACGCGAAGCAATTAATTGATTAATTGAATAAAAAATTATAGGTCGTGTTTCTCGGTGATTATAAGCCAGAAAGGCAGAAAACTGGTGAATATCGAGTGGTTGAAAGGTAAAAAAAAAACGATTTTATGTGTTTTTTTCTTAGTTTGTCTAAAATTGAAATTTCTAGAGTTATCGGTGATTCCGAGTATATTCGATGTATTCTGGTGAATGGGAAAATGGTTGGAGCATTGTTGATCGGCGAAACAAATTTGGAAGAAACAATGGAAAATCTGATTCTGAATGAAACGGATTTGACGGGAATGGAAGAATCTTTCCTCGATCCCGGCATCGACATCGACGATTTTTTTGACTAGAAATTAATAATTTGTTTTTGCAATCAATTTTTGCCCAAGTGTGTTTTCGCGTCTGTCGTCTCTTCACTATCGCCATCGTCACACCCATAAAACTCTTACATATTTTGTTATTCGTCTATTTGGCTCGCTTACTTTTGTTACTATGCAATGGGACGTTGTCGTATTCTCCGTGGCCACTGGCATCGATCCGGTCAATTATAGGAAAGGTAAAATAATTTCAAAAATTAAAAAGTAATGTTTCAAACAAAAAAAAATATTAAGAAGCGGAATATTTTCGAAAAGTGGGCTTTGTTGAGTTCGAAGATTATGTTGTGGTCAATGATGCTTGCGAAGACGTCGGATCTGGTGGAAGTGCGCTTAACGCGATTCTCCTAGCTGCTGAAACGCTATCAGCCAAAAGAGGGTACACAATTTTGACGAAAGATGCTCTTTCTTCTTCAAGGGTCCTTATTTTGTTAATAGTAGGCTATTCAACAAAAATTCCATATTTGGAATAATAAGTTAAGGGTTCGAATTCCGCGTTGGCACCAATCGACGATAAACTAGTAAAATGCAAAAATGGGTATATTTGTAATTCGGCTCTTCGAACAGCAATTATGAATGCAAGTGAGATGGGCGATTTTGAGGGAATTTGGATAATGGGTATGCTTTTCCCTTTTCGATGTTCCATTCTTATCCATATTTCAGGCACTGATTCTACATGGACCCTTGATGAATATCATCCGATCATTAGCAATACTTCAATCGTTGCGTTTTCATTCGATGGCGACGAGCGCTTTTTGAAGGATCATGGCGTTTATGAGGTTGATAAGAATCATATGGTAACTGGCATTCGATTCCGTCCGGGACCCGTCGTTTTGCCGAACATCATTCTTGGCGGTGTGATCCTGCCGCCGATGATCGCATCGGAGCTTCTCACGTGCATTACGGTTTATCCGATTAGCGCGAGCACTTATTATGGAGTTGATAGCGGCGCTTTTGGCTTGAAGGTGGCAACCAACTATCAAATTTGCCACTAATTATTTTTTTCGGCTTCAGCTTTCCCTTATATTCGACATTGTGCAGGCGACTTGTGAGAAGGACGAGCAGAAATTCATCGAGAATCGAATCGGCAGCGAGAAGATTGAGAATCGGCGAATTGAGATGCATCGTCAGGCGCGAAAATTGATTCATGAGCGCATTTCGAAATTCGACACGAAAAATTGTAAGAAATTGTTGAAAATTTTGCAATTTGCTGAAAATCGCCAATTTTTCAAAATTCCTTTTCAGACACATTGTCAGTACGTAATTATCAATATTTGGAAAAGAACGTGGAGTGGAGATATTGGAACAAGTCTGAAAAAAAGTCTTTAAAAAAACAATCAAAAAATGTTTTTGTAGATTTTATGATGATTTGATGAAGAAAATTGTGAGTATCGTGTTCACCGATAGAGAATCTGATGATTCTCTGCCAAAATTGCTGAAATCGGTGATTCAATTGAAGAAAATCTTTAATATTAATCGTAATTCTTATATGAAGTTGCTCGAAAATGGTTAGAAAATGCAAATTTTTTTTTTCGGAAAAATTGAAGGCGAATTGCAGAAATTTCGAAAAGACCCGAAAAATACACGGCAAGAGCTCTTTATACAATTGCTCTTGGGTTGACGATGGAAGCGAACTCGCACGGTGGTCTTCGTTCGGGTCCCGCCGAGAATCCGAAATTCTACAGTGCACTTCAAGCGCTTCGAAATGGTGTGGGAAATGAGGCATTGAGTCGGATTTTTACCGAAATTGAGAATAATTGGATGGATGAGCCGATGAGAATGACGCGAGCCGCGAGGCATTTGGAAGCTGCCGCTCAAATATTTATTTCCAGACGAGTTGATCAATTTTGCGATAATGTAAGCTTTGTTTTTTTTTTTCATTTGAGGAAAAAGATTTAAAATTTATTGAATTCGCGTAAAAATCACGAATGTGGCAATTTACGAAAAAGTTTGAAGCAAGTGCGCTCCGTTGCACTCTATTCAATTTTTAAAAATGAGGATTTTTTTTTGAAAAAATGCTGAAATTTTCCTAGCTTTTCCTTGTTAAAATTGTCCGTGCTCTTCATAGTAGGAGACAATTCGAATTTTCATTGCAGAATTTGCCGATAATCACGAAGAAGCGCGCAAAAGTGCGCGAGATTCCTCAGGCAAATGAAAAAAAATATTTTGAGACAATTCTAAAATCTTATGAGGTTCGTTGAGAGGCTAACGTGTCTCTATAATATTTTAGATTTGTCTCAATAAACTTTAGGAAATCTCATAAGATTTTAGAATTTATCAATAAGTTTCAATGAATATTGTGAGACTTTAAAGTTTATCAATAAGTTTTAGATTTGTCTCAATAAACTTTAAATTTTATCAATAAGTTTTAGATTTGTCTCAATAAACTTTAAAGTTTATCAATAAGTTTTAGATTTGTCTCAATAAACTTTAGAATATATCAATAAATTTTAGATTGTTCTCAATAAACTCTGTCCAATATTATGTAATATCATACGTTATCGAGCAATTTTCACACAAATAGAATGTAATAACAGCCATAATAATTGAATATGTATGAACATTTCATTTATTACAATATTAATGCGAAATGAATATATTAATAATAAAAATCAGAAAATCGAAAAATATTTATTTCGTTTTTAACGAAGACTTCTAAAAGACAATCTTCAATTTTTAAATGCTGAAAAAGGAGAGACATAATTGAAGTACCTTTTATTATACGTGTTCCCTCGTGAAAAAGGTGGAAAATATCCATGGCCGTGATCCACATGGGCACCTGCTCATTGAATTTGCTGTATTTACCTCGTTCCTTAAATCTATCGGTCAATGTTTCTGGAATGTTTGTTCCACACTTTTCCCGATCTTCTAAAATATCGAAATCATTAGAAACTGAAGTATAATTGTAATTAATTGTAATAATTGTGCGTATTTTTAAAATTCATGAACCTGTTCATGCAATGACATGTTTAGACACAACTGTTTCAAATTCAACATGTAAAACAATGCAGATTTAAGGTAGTGTTAAACATTTATTATAAAAACTTGCATTTCATGAATACGTCCATCACTGAAGTGAAGAAACTATTACAAAAAGCTAAAAAAAACGGAAGGAACATCAAAAACATAAATTATTTATTGGAATTTAGGAGATCTTAAAAAGAGACGCCGCAAATTGCGTCAGTGGAAGTCATAAGGGCCCTATTCAAATTTTAAAGTCTCACAATATATTGAGATACTTTATACTTTCTCAAAAGATTTAACTTTCTCAAAAGATTTAATTTACAAATTCCAAATTTTTAAAATTTATTGATTCTCAATAAGTTTTAGAAAGTATCAATAGACTTTAGAATTTCTCAAAATATTTTAGAGTTTATCACTGAATATTTGATTCTCAAAATATTTTATTTGATTTGCCTGAGTCGCGTCGAATTGCCGGCGAGAATCGATTTGTATGGCGGATGGCTCGACACGCCGCCGATATTCATGGAAATCGATGGAGCGGCTGTTTGCAATTTGGCCATCAAAATTGACGGAATTGTGATTTTCCTCCAAATTATTTTCTATTCAATTCTCGAATTTTGCAGTATCCGATTGCTTGTACAATTGGAGAACATGGCGAACGGGGAGTATTCCAAATCCAAAATAGGGAGAAGCCATATGAGATTTCCAACTTCCGGGCGGCATGCTCGACACCATCGAATCCCGCGTGCCTATTGGCTGCTTGTTTGGTCTCATTGGGCTTTGAGACGAGCTACAGTTTTTTGAAGGAGGCCGGATTCGAGGGAATCCGATTCTGTTTGGATACGAGTATTCCGCAGGGCTCCGGACTTGGCACATCTTCCATTATGGCGGCGGCGATATTGAAAGGAACAAGACGGATTTTGGGATTGGCTGATTATGAAAATGAGAATGAGGCTCTTGTTCAGATGGTCCTGTTTCATTAGAGTTTAAAGATTTCTTATCTAGACTATTTTCAGGTGCTTAAAGTTGAGCAGATAATGACAACTGGTGGCGGATGGCAGGATCAGGTTGGAGCACTGTACCCGGGACTCAAAATTGCAACCGTTCGCGATAATCGAATCCATGTTGAGCATTTGCCATTAAATGCTGACTTTTGTCATGAAATTCACAAAAGGCTAATGATTATTTACACAGGGAAACCGAGATTGGCCAAGAACATGTTGCAGGTGAGCTGATTTTTGAGACCAATTTTCAGGCATATGTATTTCAGGAAGTTATTCGTAATTGGTATAAAGGTGGACAAACTCGTGAGTCTATTACCAATTTGCGGGATGAAATGCATTCTTTTAAAGAGAAATTGTCGCGAGGTAATTTTTTAAAAATAAAATCGATTAATAAACGCCATTTTTAGGATTCATGCCGATTGAAGAAATTCGCAATTATTATTTAACAAAAAAGCTTCTGACGAGTGGCTGTGAGCCGGGTCATGTCAGATGTCTCATAAAGTATATTTCACGGTGAGAAGATATTGTCAATTGTGCGATTAGTTTGCGAGACGTTCTTAAGCAGACGATGTTTTTCTTAAGAAAGCTGGTTTTTAGCTGACCATTTCTAAGCACATCATTTTTAAGCAGGCCACTTTCAACCAGATCATTCTCAAGAAGACCATTTCTAAGCAGACCACTTTTAAACATAGAATTTCTAGGCAGACCACTTTTAAGCAGACCATTTCTAAGCAGACCACTTTTCTTATGCAGGCCATTTCTAAGCAGACCACTTTTCTTATGCAGACCATTTCGAAGCAGACCATTTTTAAACATAGAATTTCTAGGCAGACCACTTTTAAGCAGACCATTTCTAAGCAGACCACTTTTCTTATGCAAGCCATTTCTAAGCAGACCACTTTTAAACATAGAATTTCTAGGCAGACCACTTTTAAGCAGACCATTTCTAAGCAGACCATTTTTCTTATGCAAGCCATTTCTAAGCAGACCACTTTTAAACATAGAATTTCTAGGCAGACCACTTTTAAGCAGACCATTTCTAAGCAGACCACTTTTCTTATGCAAGCCATTTCTAAGCAGACCACTTTTAAACATAGAATTTCTAGGCAGACCACTTTTAAGCAGGCCATTTCAAAGCAGACCACTTTTCTTATGCAGGCCATTTCTAAGCAGACCACTTTTAAACATAGAATTTCTAGGCAGACCACTTTTAAGCAGGCCATTTCAAAGCAGACCACTTTTCTTATGCAGGCCATTTCTAAGCAGACCACTTTTAAACATAGAATTTCTAGGCAGACCACTTTTAAGCAGGCCATTTCAAAGCAGACCACTTTTCTTATGCAGGCCATTTCTAAGCAGACCACTTTTAAACATAGAATTTCTAGGCAGACCACTTTTAAGCAGGCCATTTCAAAGCAGACCACTTTTCTTATGCAGGCCATTTCTAAGCAGACCACTTTTAAACATAGAATTTCTAGGCAGACCACTTTTAAGCAGGCCATTTCAAAGCAGACCACTTTTCTTATGCAGGCCATTTCTAAGCAGACCACTTTTAAACATAGAATTTCTAGGCAGACCACTTTTAAGCAGACCATTTCTAAGCAGACCACTTTTCTTTTGCAAGCCATTTCTAAGCAGACCACTTTTAAACATAGAATTTCTAGGCAGACCACTTTTAAGCAGGCCATTTCAAAGCAGACCACTTTTCTTATGCAGGCCATTTCAAAGCAGACCACTTTTCTTATGCCAACCATTTCTAAGCAGACCATTTTTAAACATAGAATTTCTAGGCAGACCACTTTTAAGCAGACCATTTCTAAGCAGACCACTTTTAAGCAGACCATTTCTAAGCAGACCATTTTTCTTATGCAGGCCATTTCAAAGCAGACCACTTTTCTTAAGCAGACCATTTCTAAGCAGACCATTTTTCTTATGCGGACCACTTCAAAGCAAACCATTTTTTCTTAACAGATATTGTGAAACCTGTTGGATGGCGGGTGCTGGTGGTGGCGGATTCCTCTATGTATGGTTGACGAATCATTGGAAATTCGAGGATGTCTATACGCATGTCGTCAAAAAATTCCCTGAAATGACTTGCCATCGAATTACGGTTGCGAATTGATTTAAATGACTCCAATGAAATATTTATAAACGGATTTTTTCCAATAATTTAGCGCCGAAGTGCGCCCTTCACATGTCAAAAAAACGTTGCGATAATCGCCTAGTTTAGTTCTAGACGGGCCCCGCTTGTCGAAACTGTCCTAGTTCCGCAATTGCCCTCCCTGTTTCGCTAATCACCCCCACAGCACCGATAATTTTGTATGTGTGTGTGTGCAAGCGTGTCGTCGCCGTAAAACCGATGCCGATAGCACTAATCAATGTTGCAAATTTGTTATCGCTGCTTTATACCAACCAAACAGTCACCCAATAATCGTTTGTTGACAAATAGACGCCTAATTATGATGACCGTGCCGAAAAATGCAAAATTCTTCTTAATTCGGTAGCTTTTAACTAGTATATCAGTCCTACCGTAGGAAGGGCAAATATTGGGGGCATCAGAGAGAATACTAAAGGTCCCAACGCAAAAATCACAACACCACAACGAATTACTGTATTAATATTTATTTATTTCTCTGAGATTAGCGAGAAATAATAAGTAGGAGGGTGTAAAATTCTCAATAAATTAATATGGACTAGTTTCTGAAAAGAGTGAGGTGGTATTGAGATCATTGCGCAACTAAAGCATGATAATTATTTGTGAGATATGTCGAAATTTTTTTGATATTCGGTTGAAGCAGCTCCTAATAGTCGTCCTCGTCTCTGACTTCTTCCTCCTCATCGGCCGGCCCGATTCCTTCGTCTTCGGATTCCGAGACAATCACAACCTCAACTCCGGGATTCTCCGCTTCTTCCATTCCGGGCAACACAACAACCAGCTCCGGCGGGCAGTCGACCCGCTCCGGCTCGGGCTCCTCAATTTTTTCCGGTTTGTAAATGCCGCCCGTCCACGGGATGCCATCCCGATTCGCCGGATTCGTCATGAATTCGATCATCTCCGACGTGAAGTGCTTCGGAAACTGATGTGCCAACGGATGCGACGCCTTCTTCTCGCCGTTCACCGTCCTCTGCGTCGACGTTGATGGTCCCTGATGAGCATTCCGGTCCTCTTCGAGCGCCTTCATCACCATCTCAAGCTCGAGCTCCTCTTGCGATTTCGAGATCGTGCCCGGCGGGTGAAGTTTGTCGTGGCGTTGGAGTAGCTCTGCAATGATTTCAAAATTCGGAATGTTCTGGAATTTTTTGTTTGTTCGATCTCTCAAATCAATCGAATTCACTAATCAAATATTAAAACCATTAAAGATAACAAAAAACAGAACATTACAAATAACTCCGAGAGAAAAAGTGAAAACACTCAGGCAAATCAAATAAAATATTTTGAGAATCAAATATTCAGTGATAAACTCTAAAATATTTTGAGAAATTCTAAAGTCTATTGATACTTTCTAAAACTTATTGAGAATCAATAAATTTTAAAAATTTGGAATTTGTAAATTAAATCTTTTGAGAAAGTTAAATCTTTTGAGAAAGTATAAAGTATCTCAATATATTGTGAGACTTTAAAATTTGAATAGGGCCCTTATGACTTCCACTGACGCAATTTGCGGCGTCTCTTTTTAAGATCTCCTAAATTCCAATAAATAATTTATGTTTTTGATGTTCCTTCCGTTTTTTTTTTTAGCTTTTTGTAATAGTTTCTTCACTTCAGTGATGGACGTATTCATGAAATGCAAGTTTTTATAATAAATGTTTAACACTACCTTAAATCTGCATTGTTTTACATGCTGAATTTGAAACAGTTGTGTCTAAACATGTCATTGCATGAACAGGTTCATGAATTTTAAAAACACGCACAATTATTACAATTAATTACAATTATACTTCAGTTTCTAATGATTTCGATATTTTAGAAGATCGGGAAAAGTGTGGAACAAATATTCCAGAAACATTGGCCGATAGATTTAAGGAACGAGGTAAATACAGCAAATTCAATGAGCAGGTGCCCATGTGGATCACGGCCATGGATATTTTCCACCTTTTTCACGAGGGAACACGTATAATAAAAGGTACTTCAATTATGTCTCTCCTTTTTCAGCATTTAAAAATTGAAGATTGTCTTTTAGAAGTCTTCGTTAAAAACGAAATAAATATTTTTCGATGCGAAGCTATTGATATGAAAGCGAGACTGCCATCTTCGGTAAAGTCGCTATCAGGAAAATTCAATGACATTAATAGGTCCGAAAAAGCTAGTGTAAGTTAATTTACCACTTGCAATTATCATCCTTTGAAGATTTTTGAAGTGAAAATTGTTTCTAACGCCATGATCGGAACCATCCCTCCGTTAGGTTCAGCTGTTGTGTTGCTTATACATGCCTGCTACCGATGGATGGTGTCACCGACTCGCTTAGTTACAAATACAACATTACCAAACAAAGTAATATGGGATCGTTAGCTATGTACATAATAGAAAATTTTTATTTCAGATCGCAGGTGTTTGCAAATTATTAGAAATTCTAATTTTAGATGGGGCGCCTCGATTGTTTTCTGGTTCAAAAGTGCACGTAAGTCGTTTTTTTTTGCAATTTTAAGAGTTATTGAACGTTGTAGCATCATGCTATTGTCGTTGATATAAGAAATAATACTAATGATTACTGTATTTATTGTTTCAGCAACTTATATACCATTTGTACAGTAATGTCAGGCGGTGTGGTCAGCTGTCGGCAATAAGCACGCAAGCGCATGAGCACATTTATCACGTTATCAAGAGAAACATGTGCTCGGAACAGACAAACGGGATTGGATATAGTATTTTGAGAAAGTTAGACTCATTCAGTTATTTTTTAAAACTGGCAATTTTCAGCTATAAACTATATCACGAGATTGTGACTTCATTGAAAATGCGTTTCAACGCGAATCCGGATTTAATTAAGAAGTCATTTTATCGCAAAGAACTCATGAAATTAATCGAAAAACGACAAATTCAATCATCAAAATTTGTAAGTTCAACATTTTCTTTCAATATATGCAACGAATTCCTTATAGCAACGTTGTGCGTCATTCGCAGAAAAAGGAGAAAATGCGAAAAGAATAAATTGATTCATTTATTTTTTTCTGATTTTTATTATTAATATATTCATTTCGCATTAATATTGTAATAAATGAAATGTTCATACATATTCAATTATTATGGCTGTTATTACATTCTATTTGTGTGAAAATTGCTCGATAACGTATGATATTACATAATATTGGACAGAGTTTATTGAGAACAATCTAAAATTTATTGATATATTCTAAAGTTTATTGAGACAAATCTAAAACTTATTGATAAACTTTAAAGTTTATTGAGACAAATCTAAAACTTATTGATAAACTTTAAAGTTTATTGAGACAAATCTAAAACTTATTGATAAACTTTAAAGTTTATTGAGACAAATCTAAAACTTATTGATACACTTTAAAGTCTCACAATATTCATTGAAACTTATTGATAAATTCTAAAATCTTATGAGATTTCCTAAAGTTTATTGAGACAAATCTAAAATATTATAGAGACACGTTAGCCTCTCAACGAACCTCATAAGATTTTAGAATTGTCTCAAAATATTTTTTTTTCATTTGCCTGAGCAACACCCATCAATCTTCTTCCTCTTTTTTTTCTGCCCCCGTTTAATCGGTTTCACTTTACCTCCCAATGTATGGTCGTCTAATCAAAAACAACATTCCCAAATTTAGATAATTTTAGTTTATCGCTGCAAGACCAAGCCTAAAGGACAAACAAACAAAAACCTCGATTAAAGGAGCACAATGTTTGCCAATATTCTAGAATAACCTAATTTTCATGTCATACGCCTTTAAATAGTACGAATTGCAAAAATCATTTTTCGCAGCAAGACCCCCTTTCCGATGCGCCTTTAATCATCACAACAAATACCAACCAATGTATTCTTTTTTCCTCTCCTCTCTCGTGTCCTTCGAGCCAATCAACTTCAATATCTCGTTGTCCGACGTCATCACCTTCTCGAGGAACTGCTCCTTCTCATCAACGGCTTCTGACGCTTTCGGCTTCTCCTTCATCAACCATCGACTTTCTATCCGCTTCATCACTTCCATTACTTCTTCATCGATTTCGCCGTCGGCTGAAAATCAATCGAGTTCAATTTTCACGTTCTTCTGCCTCTCAGTATCCCCTACAGTTCACATCCTCCTCCTCGTCGTCACAATAAAACCCCAACTCATTGTCTTCGTCGTCTTCGTCATCACCTACTTCCGAACAATGAGCGTCTTCTTCTTCCACCTCCACCTCATACTCATCATCAGGCGGTTGCGGTTGTTCTTCGCGTTCGTTCAGAATCGGCTTTCGATATTCCGGAGGCGCCACAAGAATTTCGGGAATCTCATCCTCAATCGTCTCCTCTCGTCGCAATAACTCCGTTTCCTCAATTTCCGGACAATCTGAAATTAGAAGTGCCGACGTTCGCGTCTCGAGAATCCGGGAATCTTACGCGACGGCGACGGCTGCGAACGTTGAACATCGCATAACTCGATTCCGTTCGAGTCGGCCGCTTGATCGATTTTCCGGAACACCGACGATTTGTCCAATTTCACTTCAAACACATTTTTCTCCTGAAAATTCGTCGAAATGAGAACAAAATGCGAGTTTCGCGAGTTCTGTGCAATATGGCGTCAAATGTGACGCAACTCAAAATTTCGGTGCAATTTCTCGTCGAATCCAATGCAAAAAAACGTTAAAGATCCAGAAAACAAAAAAAAATAACGAAATAATCAACGAACCGGCGCCTCGATCCACGCAACCGCCAACATCATCGCCGCCATAAAATTGACATAAACGATTACGGTAGACGTGAAGAATAGCGCGCAAACTCGCGACAACGTGCCGAACGCGACTAGCGAAACAATCCACGTGGCAGCGGCTCCTGCAACGAATTTCATTATGATGATGGTGAACCAAAAACGACCGGGGGGGGGGGGGTAGGGCGGAGTCGCATTTTTGAACAATTGCGCCGATAATTGAATGGAAGGTGGTCTCGATTTTGGCCGGGCGCGGTTATCAGCAGCCGCGGCCTGGCGATTCCATTATCGACGCGACGATGAGCACACACAATCGAACCCCCCCAACCATTAAGAGGGGCCGCAACAATGGGTACGGTAGCACGAGTTTCCACCACGTCTCGCCCTCCTCTCCAAACTCCAACCAATTCGCAAAGCGCCCGCCGCCGTTATCAGCGAGTTTTCAACAACAAAATGAAATAATCGGCAAATTTTCGTGTCAAAAAAAACCCAAAAAAAGATAACATCTCGTCAGGAAGACGAATTTAGAAAGCAATGTGGTCTCCAACCAGTTTCGTCGTCAAATTACTTAATTACCCTGCTAATTACTTCTCTATAATGAGTCTAGTCTACCTTCGAAATGAAACAAAACCCAATTGTCACTCTTAATTACAATTTGATTATTCAACATGCTCACGTGGAATCTGCATCCCCACCAATCAAGAATAGCCCGAACAACTATCACTCGCCCTAATCGAATTGCCTAATTACTCGGATCGTTGTCGCCACAAATCATCAAAAAAAAAGCGGCTAATTACCCTAATTAACGCCACTAATTACCACCCAAGAAGAGGGAAAACAAAACATAAAAAATAAGTAATGGGGTGTTTAAGAGGTCGGCGCCGCAAAAAAACACAGAGGGAGAGTGAAAGAGAGAGGGTGAACGAGAGCGTCTGGATGGTGGTGTGGCCAACTGCGATCCATCCATCACTCAACATTTTTTCCCGAGGTTCCGCCATCCCGGCCCGCAAAAATATCATTACACCCCCCCTTTTCTTTCTTTTTTTTCCCCCAACCTACCGTACCATCCATCGGTCGCAATAAATAACACGTAACCCAAACACACAAGAAACAAAACGGCAAATGTCTGCCATCATCATCATCACCGGACGGGCGGGGTGTCTTCTCTCGCAGCGAACACGCGAGCGATATCGAACAAGTTGATAAACGACGAGAATCGACATACTAATGGATCTCGATGGATTGTTTGGAGGAGGTTGGAGGGGGGGGGAGCAGAGGCTACGGTATCTACCGTTTCGGGACCCATTTATTCAGCTTCAAGGTTCACGGCTTCTATTCCAATTGAGATATATTCGTGTGGGTGGACCCCAAAAACGAAAATCCAGTTCGGCTACTATCGAAAAACTAATTTGCTTAATTAAAATATTGCAATTAATTCTCAATTAGATTATCAAAGCTGATTACGTCCAATTAAGGCAACTCGAAACAATTTGCAGGTGGAGAAAAACGAAACGTCGAATCAAGCCCCACAGGAAGTCATTAAGAATTAATCGAAGGCGCCCACCAAAAAGATTGAGGGAGGAGAACAAAAAAAAAAAACGAAAAGCCTCTGAGTTGCTCTCACTTGAAACAATTGTTGTAGTCACAAACAAAACCCAAAAAAAAAGAAGAAGAAGCCCGGGATGTGAAAAGAATCGTCTCACCGAACACCAGCGATGTCAAACAGCACGTCGAGTTGGCGAAATTCAGAATCGGTATCGTCGTCTGACGGCGTTCAGCGAACAGTCGAAGCGCGACGAGCGGTTGCCACGTCAACAGGAGTACTGTAAATGGACAAAAAAAACGAAAATTGGTCGCGAAACGACACCACGAACCGAGAGCGAGTCCGAAATTGCTCAGCGCACCGAACAGCGGCTCGGCGAGCAAATGAACGAGCGCGCAAATCTCCAATTTCGTCGCGAGACCCGCGACAGTAATCTGAAACATGACAAATTTAAATGAAATAGCTAATATAGAGATAAGCGACATTTTCGGGGCCGGCGACGAATCAACCTATTACACCAATGGGAGGCAGTGTAAACGATCCCAGCAAGACACGGGAGGGGTTTGAGTGGGTTTCTTTTTTCGTTTTTTTTTTTTGTTTACGACCAAATTTGGGCAACGCAACAACAAAAAAACGAATGTGAAGAATCAAGGAAAATCGAAAATCGAGACGGGTTTTCTTATCGTCGGCGGCCAATTATTGACAAGGCGGATTTTTTTTTGGATGTTGGTCGTTTCGAAATTCCGCTCAAGAGCAGCATTCGGGATAGGGCAGAGCAATACTAGTGCCTCGTAAATCGACAACAAACGAGATTGGGTCTTGACGCGAAGTCTCGATCGCAATTCGCTCCAATTAATACCATCGCAAAAAAAAGCGAGCGCCTTGAATAATTGTGGACCATCGCAATTTCAATTTTGAATTTATACAATGGAAATTTGGATACCGTACCCTTACCGTGAATCGGCAATATTTTTGCAAATGTGATAATAACTATGGTGTCGATTTACGGGGGTCTTAACGCGATGACTTGGTTCGGGCCCAAAAACAGAAGCAAAACGTGGGGTACAATAATAGAAGTCTTCAAAATTTGACTATTACAACAGATCAAAATCTCGCACTACCGTAATCCAACGTCCTCGAGGACTACTGTAGAAGGAGAGAGAGAGAGGGAGAAAAAAGGGAGAACGTAAAAACCAAGCGATGGGTTGGGTTTGGGCGGGAGGATGTTTACACAGAGGAGGAGCCGGGGGAGCAGCAAAAAAAACCAGGGGGGGGTTAAATTTCATACAACGACCGCCAACGAGGGAAGGAAGAGGAGAGGGGGGGGCTCATTTTCAGCAGCAACCAAGCCAACATCAGCCGGCAACTGCAATGACAAGCAAGGGGGAGGGGAAAGGAGAGGAAGGGGAGTGGGGGGGGGAGGAAGCGAGTGAGAGAGTAGAAGCGCAACAATATCCATTCTGAATCATTATCACACCTGTGCCACACATTATTATTATTAATAATAGTAAAAAAAAATATATATAACAAATGTATGTGAAATAAACAATCTCGAGAGAGTGAGTGAGTGAGAACGAGAATTTGCTCGACATGAAAAAAAAAATGCGGTGAAAGAAATGAAACAAGTGGGCGTGGCCCGAATTGCGCCGCCCCATTAAACACCTAATAGACCACCCGGTTCGAGAAGATGAAGAAAACGCTGCAGCGGCGGCGAGGGGACCATAAATTCTGGTTTTGATGAATGCGCGTCTATAAGCGCCGGCCGGCAGCGATGAACAACTACTTCGTCGCCAGCTAGCCGGCCGGCCAGTCAGCCAGCGCCTCTCGTTTTCTCTGCCCTCCCGCGTTTTCGCCGCCGTGGTGGTCCCGTCGACGGCACTTGCCCAAAAAAAGGCAGGACAACCACAAAAAAAGGAAAAAAAAAACGAATTACTCACCACCAGCGACAAGTGCGGCGGCGACAATTCCGTGTTGGTGAAACACGCGGCGGCGATTAGTCCGACGGCGGCCAATGAAGCGCCGAGCCACGACGTCTCGGTTTTGATGAGCGATCGCCTAGAAATTGACAAAAAAAAATCATGTACATTTCATGGTTTTATGCAAATAGTTTGAAAAAAAATTTGGGGGGGGGGGGGGTCTCTTTTTTCGCTATGGGAGGTTGAAAAACCAATTTTTTGGAGGAAACCTTTAAAACGATACTTTTTCTTTTGAGAATCGTCCCAAAAGAAACACGGTGGTCCAAGATACTTTGCACACGAGAAATAATAAACAAGAGGCGAATGACCCCCGCTGATGTCTTCTAAGAGCAACCAATTACAATCGAATGATGATAGAGCAACACATGGAGGGGGCCAACAACTTGTAAACAATGCGAGCGAGCGCGCGCGCGCGCGGGCTTTGGGACCATGTTGTTCGTTTTCAAAAAATAGAAGCCATATGTCACCGTTTGTTAATGTGTGATTAATCGACCGCCATTGTCACCTCTCGCGTTTTCAAAAACGCGGCGATTACGGTAGCACTAGGTGTTCGTCGAATAATCAACAAGCAATTTTCCGAGAAGAGACCACCTGCTCGGAAAAAAAATCTATTCTTTGCTCAATGAATGATGAAGCCCTCTACGTGATTTTCAGCAGTGCGGCGCCAACTTGTTGAAATCCATTTTGCCACTCGCTTCGCTGCAAGACAATCGCTCGCTACACACCTAATCCGCTAAACGATTACGGTAAATGCGATTATGGGTATGATAATTCGACGGCGCCAAGGTCGACGCGGCGGTGGGTCTCGAAGCGAAATTCAATTTCATATTGTTCGCGCGAAGATGGGGGGAGGGGGCAAAGTCCATCAAAGAAACTAGGACTACAAAAAAAACGACAACCCCCAACTCGTTGCGGATGACGACAACCAAATAATAGAGAGAGAAACCTTGTTTACAACTTCGCCTCCAAATATGGAAGAATTCCCCCGGATTATTTTGTTATCATTTCCCCCTCCTCTCTCCCTCTTTCGATCTATCAGCATATTATAGTCGGTGGGGAGGAGAAAATAGCACAAACATGTTGTAGGCTTGTTTCTTTTTCGATGAATCGCCTGACAATCTCAGAAAGGGGAAAAAAGGAGGAATGTCAAGCTTGTCGGAAGCCACAATGATCCATGCGCCTTTAAACAAGAATTGATTTGGTTCTCGATAGGTTCAGAATGCCCCCCCCCCTCGACGAGCGATTCTCAGAGATTACTGTAGCCATCATTTCAAAGGACTCCTTTATTCTCCAAACCCCAAATTCCAGGTGCTAATCGGCTAATCGCTCAAACGCTGTCCCCCCACCCCCCTCGCCGCCCTGAGCACACTTAATAATCTCCATAATTTTTTTTGGTGCTCTTTTTCTAGAAAACGAGCTCACGACGAAGAGCAAGAGACACTCACGCACGCACACGCGTGAGAAGCCTGGGGGAGACGGCGCGAAACGAGCTGTGGGTGACGGGCGGACGGCGGCGAGGAGGCGAGGGGAGGGCGAGAAAAAGCTGGGGGTGAGCTCCTGAGACTGACTAAACTATGTGCGCGCATGTTGCGAATGTATGTATAAGCGCGTCGTCGTCGAGTGACGGGGCTGAGCACGAGCATGAGCATTAGTGTGTGTGTGAGCGCGAGCGTGCGCGAGGCTTCTGCAACAGCATAAAAGTTCAATTGCACTTTTTTTTCCAGTTCGCCGCCCGGTGACGAACGTGATGTAGCTTCTTCTTCTTCTTCTTCTCCTCGTTGAGGTGACGATTGGATGAATATATATGTAGGGACGGGGAGAAAAACGACAAAAAAAACCCCCTTTCAACCAAGACCTACAGTAATCCCCCCATTCGCTTACCGTACCCAATTGGAGGGTCCCGCGGTGAGACCCACACAACTTTTGAATAGCGCCAATGCGACTTGTCAATCTCATGGCGTGCTCGTCTCGGCGATGAAGCAAGTACGTGGTGATTGATGGTCCGGTCTAGCCGGACGCTCACTGATCTCCTACTTGTCTGGACACCCCCGATCAACACATCCAGGGACCATTATAATTTGTTCGCCATCCCATCCAATTCCTCATTTTGATTAATGGCATCCCTCGCCTCCCCCCCCCCCCAAGGGGAGATGAGAAATCAGTCGGTGCAAAAGCGCGAGCCTAATTAACCCACTAATTAACCTAATTATTGGGCCACAATTTTTTTTGTGGCTCGTTTAAAATGCAAATTGGCTTGAGAGCAAACCAGAAAAGACAGAAAAAAAACTCACCACGCTCCAAAAATGCTCCGATACACCGTAATCAAATCTCCGGAAATTGCGATCGCCGGAAATTTGGTCAACGTCGTCTCGACGACCTGCAAAAACCAAATCCAACAAATTGGGTGTCAAACGATTCCGCAGTGGTACCGTGATCACGTTGGGCCACGCGTCGGCGGTCTCACACCGAATCGAGTGATCGCCGACGTCGACAATTCTGAGCGATGTGTTCGCCGCAATCGTTCGCGTCACCTCCCATTTGGGAACATCGCCGAAATTCACCACAACATCGTCGTTGGGCGAATCGCGCGTCTTCTCGTCGAGCAATTCGTACGTCGGCGAATAATCGACGGGCAACCATAAAAGGGCGAAGGTGCAAATCGACAACAATGCGGCAATCAGGCAGCAAATGTAGAATTTCTGACATTTTCAAATTTTTGTGCGCCAAAAAAAAGTGAAATATGCCAATTTTTGATGAAACCACCAAAAATTTTTGTCTAGGAGAAAAAAAAAACCAAAAATTTGAACCAATTTTTGCAAAAACGCCAAACAAATAATCATTTTTGATAAATTTTTAGGAAAAAATCCAAAAAATACTATTTTTGAGGATAAAACGTCAAAAATTTAGCAATTTTTGTGGAAAACGTCAATTGTTCACGAAAAACTCACGCGCTTCTTCATTCGAAACATGGCCAAATACAATTTCGTGTGAAGGACCATCAAAATGTTGAAGAAATTCAATGAGTATTCCTGTAAAAATTCAATAATATGTGTGGTTTGGTGGAAAAAAAATGAGCTGTTCGTCAAAATTATATGTTAAGGTGTCATTTTTCATCAATTACTCACTGGATATCAAAGCTCACCAACAAATTCAGATTTTCTCGAAAAAAAAAAACGTTTGAAATAATAAAAAAAAATTGCCGTATTTTTGCAATTTCCTACCAAAAATCGCCGAAATCTCGTTAAGCGACCCATCCGATACGGCGGCGGCGGCGGGCGCCTCAAATTCGGGACCATCATCGGCTCGCCAACATCCGAATCAGGCAATTCTCGTCGTCCGATCGGCGATTCGACCCATTGTCGAAATCGTCGAAGAAATTTGCAAAATTGCGACGATTCGTCGTCGGTTTCTGGAAAAAAGAAATCGCGAAATTTCGCGGGCAGAAAAAAAATGAATCAAAATCGCTTACTTTTGCTGAAACACCATAAATGGTAGCAGCGTTGTGCATAATAGGCCATCGTCGACACCAAAAATGGGACCAACACCTCGAAAATCGTTGCGCGAAAATAGACGCCGGCGAGAATGAGGGCCATCATGATGACATAGGCGTACTTCCTATGATATCCTTCGAATCCCGCGTAAAATTTCGACTTTTCCGACAATTTTCGATTTTCTGCAATCGATTTTCTTGAAAATTTCGAACCATTGACGAAAAAAACCTTTATAAATCTGCCGATTGATCAATTCAATTGCGTTCATTTGCGAATTCGATAGGCTACTTCGATGCGACGAGTCTGAAATCATCAAAAGTTGCGGCGAAAAAATTGGAGAAGCCAAAAACTCGCACTTTTCGATCGAATCGATCCCGTCGCACTCGGCGATTGACAGCATTTCGGCTTGAAACTCGCCAAAAACCGCTCAATTCTTCGCTTTATCCCAGTTTTTCGCGTTTTTGCGCGAAAATCACGAAGCCAGAGGTTGAGGAGCATGTTGAATGGCACAAATAACGCAAAAATGATCTAAATACCAATTTTTCTTGGTTCAGAATGATGGAAAAAAATTCTCCCAACCAAGTGACGAATCGCCAGCGTCAAAATCCAATTCGAATCGGCGAAAACGAGAAAAAACGCTAAAATTCCGGCGAATATCGTGAAATTGAGCGCGACAAAATCCGACAATTCGCCGCAATTCAAAAAATGGATGGCCTGAATTTCACGAAAATCATTCGTCTGAATTTTTCGTTTTTGCGACAAACCATTAAAATCGCATAGGAGACGACTAGAAACTCCAAAATCGACGATAGACCGCCCTCGTCGACAATTCCTTGAATATTGGCCGCCGGTCGGAAGCGGAGATTCGGCTCTGAAATGTTATTTCAATAAAAAATGACATGAAAAAATGATCAAACTTGATAAAATGTCATGTTTGGCGATTTTCGAAACGACTTGCCTATCAGCTGTCGCATTAAATGCGTCAACCTGCAAAAAATTGATTTAAATAAAAAATGTGGAAATATATCAAAGGCGCATGCACCAAAAGTTCACAGTCTCTCGCCGCGATTCAACTACAGTAACACTGTGCATACACCGCGGAGTCATTTTGCGGAATTTCTTTTTTTTCAGCTTACCGCCGCTCTAATAGCCAATCTAACTTCCAGAACAACGTCTTCTGCTTGATTCAAACTCCACTCTCTCGATTTACGGCTAATTCTCGCCGAATCCGTCTGAAAATGTAAGCGATTCGCGTGGAAAAACAATTGAAAACATTTTTAGGCCCAACCAATCTTTGACGAATCTCGTCAGGCGACGCAATCGCCAACTCCATTCGCAGAATCGACGAGTTGCGGCCGTCCAAATTGCGAGGTCTCGCGAAGAAATTCACGTCAGGCACAAATATTCCATTGCACAGTCCGTTGAGTATCTCCACATGATTCGGCTCATCGATTTTCACGCCCGTCATAATTTCGATCGCATTGTTTTTGCGATTCCATTCAATAAATTCATCGCGATGACGATCGCAATCCAATTGTGTGCTAATTTCACCCGAATCGATTCCATCAAATACCAATTTCTTCAACAAATTAGAAATGAACAATTTTATTTTAAATTGCCCCCCAAAATTAATTACCGTATTCGTTCTCTCTCCATAATCATTGAATTGCTCCATCGTTCGGCACATATTGAAATAATTCAGAGCCCCTTCAAGATTCTCGCAAGATCCCATCGGATCAGCGCATAGTCGCGGACGTGCTTGCGGGTTCAAACTCTAAAAAATTTCCATTTATTTTTTTGGTAAGAAAAAAGAAGGTCACAAACTTTTCTCCAACTTCTGAACAATTCGATCCAAGGAAGATCATCCATAATTGCCAGGAAGCCATCAAAAATCGCAAGAGCATCTAAATAGAAAAAAGATTTTTCGAATGAAAATTGGATTTCAACAATAATAAAAATTACCTGTAGCATTTTTAATATAAGGTCGCGTTCGATTCGGGTAGGCTTCAATGTAGGCATCGCGGAGAATCCGATGCGTCAAATCCGCGTTTTTCCATCCACTGCAAGATTATTTGGAAGATTTTCGCTAAAATCGATCGCGCCAAGACTCGACGCACAAATTCTTTAAAAAAAAATATATATATATATACCCGATGACCGCATGAATATAAAGCGAATCGAAATAGCAATTGAGAGGTGTGACCATCAAACACGGCGAAATTCGTCGGGCCTCATGCGCAAATTTCTGCAAAAAAAAAGAAACAAACAAAATCCATAATTTTCGTCTCGTTGGCACCTGAAAAAGAAGCGATTCCGTCGACGGGATACTCCCATTCCGGTTGATGATCTCAAAGTGCGGTTTCACGCAAACATCATTCAATTTGAACGGCCTAGAATTTGAAATTCAATTTTCTCAGGGCTCTCAAAAAAAAAAGAACCAAACCTTCCATGCACCTCCACCGAAACGTCGGCGATCGTCTCCAAAAGGTGGCGATGGTGCGTCAAATAGACGCCATTTCGCATATCATCGCCATTCGCGTGGATTTGATAAATTTTCTGTGGGAAAACAAAAATTGGAAATTGAAAATTGGGCACATTTGGCGGAAAACCTCAAAAACTCGATGGTCCGTCTCAAAAATTCCATTGGTTTCCACGTCATAGAACCAATCAATTTCATTGACGACGACGGTAAAAAACCTAAATACAATCGAAATCGAATTATTCCAAAATTTCAATCGAATATTGTCGGAGCTCTGGTAACTCAAAACGAATCGGATCCGACAAAATTCGACTCCGGAATCAACCTTATCCGATTGGAAATTCCACGGATAAGGTTGGATATTTGTCGAATCCGATTCGAATTGAAATATTAAAACAAAACGGATTCAAATAATTACCAATCGGATTCGAAGGAAATCTAATCGGATACGACAAATTACCGATCGGATTCGAAAAAACCCAAAAAACCAATCGGATACGACAATTTTCCAATCTTATTCGTAGAATTACCAATCGGATAAGGTTGATTCCGGGGCCCAATTTTGTCGGATCAGATTGGTTTTGAGTTACCAGAGAGTCTGGACCGAAATTTGTGCGGCGGCTCGAAGCAGCGAGAAGTACGCGAGACTGCGTACATTGCATTATAGTCTACGCGCATTTAATATTGCAGTCAACGATTAATTAAAATCTACACTAATTTTGAGAGTTTGATGTATTTCAAAAATGAAAATTAACCGATTTCGAGGGTTTTTGAATCGGAACCAAAATTTCAAATCGAATTTAAACTCAATTGAATCAGATTAATTTATATTCAATTTCCCTTCGATTGATTTTCATTTAGCTGAGAAAATTTTTTAATTACCCAATAAGGAATGCAATATACGGCCAAAACGTCGGAAACCTCATTGTTTCATGCTGAAAAATTGTTAAGAAATTTTCAAAAAAAAAATAATTCGTCAAAAAATATATATTGAAATCGGTTGAAGACCGCCGAAAAAAACCGACTCAAGAAAAAAATTGCACTTTATTCAAAAGGCGAAAAAATAAATGTTATTTTTTTTTTGAGAATTCGCGCCTAGTCGCTCGCCCATTCGGCATCATCGTCTTCCACGATCTCGTTTTGAAGTTTCACTGAAAAAAAACCAATTTTCAGCCACAATTTCAATTTTGGATTTGTTAGAAAAAAAAATGACATTTCTATTTTGTCAAAAATAACTCCCCAAAATTTTGAAATTGCTCAATTCTCAAGAAAAATTTTTAAACAAATAAAAAAAAGTAGCAATTCTAAAAGATCGCTTGGTGGGATTATCATCAAGAAATTGTGGGTGTTGCCAACACCATCTGGCGAATTATGGGTGTCTGTTGCACCATGCGTGCCATCACCCAAAAAAATTGCTATTGCGCAATCGACTCACCGCGCGCTCCAACTTTCTGGCCTTTCGTCACAATGCAATTCGTGACATCCGCGTGTTCGCCGATTTCGGCACCTTCGCACACGATCGAGTTCGTCACCGAAGCGCTAAACCCCAATGGTCTCGAGGCGATCATTCTTCTGTTTTTTGTTCTCACTCACCCGACACCAATGCCGACATTCCGGAATATGAGCGATTCTTTGAGTTTCGCCCTCTCGCCAATTTTACAGTGATCGAGAATCACACATCGTTTGATTATCGACTTCTCGCCAACCTGAAATTGGCTCATCTATCATCAGAATCCGGTGAGGCCCGACCTGCACACTATTCTCGACGCGACTCTCATTCGCCGCGATGCCGTCGTGCCGATAATTGAGCGTTTTGCCGTTGCCCTTGTCGGGCATCAAACGCGCGAACGTTTTCAATATCTAGAAGAAACAAGGCATCGTCTCGATTTGGAGGTGGGCAACAAGAAAAAAAAAAAACAAAAATTATCAACCGCTTTGTTGAGCTCGAAATAGGCGCCAATCGTGTTGGCGTGCGCCGTGACACATCCGTTCTCATGGGGTAGTCGATACGCGTAGCATTGAACGCTCGAATCTTCTGCAAAACGCCAATTATTGGACAATTCGCTTCAAGACCCCTATCCCCACAAAAATAATTTTTAAAGGCGCATAGAACGGTTTGAAAAATTTTTTGTTTCAATTTCCACTTACCAAATTGTTGATCGATGAGATAGGGCACAAAGTCGGCTTTGAACGACGAGAACGATCTGAAATCGAAATCAGTTTTAAAGGCGCATTCGGGATATTCGCCGACTTGTGTTTGTTCAATATTTGAAGCTCATGATGCCTTATCAAATACACGTGGCAATCGTTGAATTTGGCGCTCAACTGAACTCGCGCCAACAACTCCGACATCTTCTCCGTGTGGAGTACACCGTCGAAGTCCTCGTCGACCGATAAATATCCGAATCGGCCCGATTTCTCGTCGATCGCTATCAAATCGGTGGCTGAAAAACGTTGGCATAAGTAGAGTGAAACAACAACAACAAAAAAAAATGAGAACCTTTGGGTTTTTTGGTTTTCGGTCCCGGCGGCGTCGACGTCGTCACACAATTGTCGTCGAGAAGCGCGACGAGACTCGCGCGATGAGCGCGAAAAAACTCGATCATTGGCAGAAGGCTGGCGTCGGAGACGAAATCGCACGAGACGATCAGCGCGTTTCTCTGCGAACACGACAATATTTTGGCGAGAAGCGAAATCCGAACATTTTCAGACTTTTCTGTTTTTTTCTCGAAAATCATTAAATGAAAATCATCAATTTCGAGATTTTTTTGGGGCAAAATCCATTAGAATTTGAAAATTCGACATTTTCATACCATTTTTTGTTGGAAATCCTCAGTTTCGAAATTTTTTTGGAGCAAAATCGATGAGAATTCGAAATTCGGATTATTTCTCGAAATTCTGGATTTTTTTTGTTGAAAATCCTCAATTTCAAGATTTTTTTGGGGCAAAATCGAAGAGAATTCGAAAATTCGACATTTCGTCTATTTTTTTCTGGAAATCCCAGGTTGCGATATTTTTTGGGAAAAATTTATGGGAATTCGAAAATTCGATTTATTTTTTATTTTTTTTGCAATTTTTTAAAATGAAAATCATCAAATTTGAGCGTTTTAAACTATAAAAATTCATTTATTAAAATTTTTTGAGGAGAACACAATAATTTTCCTTCGAAAATCGATCAAAATATCTTCCCCCTTTTAGTCGAATTTCCTCCATTTTGAGATATTTTTGGGCAAAATCTAGTCTAATTCGCTATTTTGGAAAGTTTGGAATTTTTTTAAAGAACGATAATTACATTAAACTTTCATTTCTATTTTTTTGGTTAAAGTTTTTCAATTTCAAGAGATTTTTCGAAAAAATCTACGAAATTTCAAAAACTGCACTTTTATCAAAGTAGGACTCGAAAACACAAAAATAAAATAAAATCTAGTTCTCCAGCACATTTTTAATCATTTTTTATCAATCTAGAGCAATTTTCGAACAGAAAACCGGGGAAATATTTCTTTTTGCTCAAGCAATTTTCTACAAAAAATAAAAATACCGTAATTTTGGAATGATTCTGCCTAAGGAGATCACCGGTTCCATAATCCTCATGATTCATACTAACTACTATATAGTCAATGTTGGCGGCGAATTTCTCGAGAAGTCCCGATTTTTTGATTTCAACTTCCAGCGCCGATCGGCAACCTTCTCGCACAAATATCTTGATGTCTGCAATCAATTACGGCCAATTAGTGTGAAGCGGGGCAATTAGAGGTCAATTAAAACCTCGTACGCCGGCGCGAAGGATTGATGAAAGCGGATAAATGAACATTGGAACGCCAACAACGGGTAGAAGACATTTCGGAATGTCATCGGTGAGGGCCGACATGCGTGTGCCGCCGCCGGCGCAAAACAACACACCCTGCAGATCGGACATTTGCCTGAAAACTGGCGATATTTCACAAAGAAAACCTACGAAATTCAACGAAAAAAACCGAAAAAATCGCAAATTCCCATAAAATTTTAAGCGAAAATTCAACCGTGGCCGACCAATTTCTAGGCCACAACGACATCGGCCATGTCAGAAAAATGTAAAATTCAAATCGGGAATCCGGTTTAGACGCGAAAACAAAAATCGAACCGAATTAAAAGAGCGTTTTATTTTATTCAAGATAAATTACGAAATCATCGGATGCATTAGAAACACTAAATAAATAAAAGCAACAAAATTTTAAATAAAGAATGGGACGATGGCTTTGCGCTGCTTCGGATAATCCGGAAACTCCTTCAAATAATTTCTATGCTTTCCCTTTGCCCAAATCATCATTTGGAAGAAACCAGCGGCGGTGAACAACAACGCTGAAATCAATTATTTCATTAATATTAAACACACAGACACGGCAGGTGATCTCACCGGGAAAACTCTGGACCATAATCGAAAAGCAAATCCACGAAAGAACTTCGTACGTGTAATTGGGGCACGACACGTAGTTGAACAGCAATGAGAGGGGATTTCCATCAGGCTTTGGGATTCGACGCTCGCGTGTTCCCGCCGGACGAAGATTTCGAAGCAGAATGTGAATCGACAAATTTCCTGCAAAACAAAAACATTTCATGGAGGTATGGGGAATTGAACCCCAGCCCTCTCCCATGCTAAGGGAGCGCTCTACCACTGAGCTATACCCCCAGCTGTCAAAAGCTTGGAGAATGGCGTTGAAGTGAAGCGCGCGCGTGCGCGTCGGGAACCCGTTTCTTACCAAATTCGGCGATGACGAATCCAATCAATCCGAGATAGACTTGCAAATCGCCAAACAACGGCGGCGTGAACTGCGGATGATTGACGAAATATGCGACGAACGCGGCAAATCCCCAATAATACGAGCAATTCTTGAACAAATTGAACAGCGGCATCGTCGAGTTGCCGAATCGGTGCACGAATTGCGTCTCGAACAAACGTTTCGCGTAATGGAACGTCCACGCGATGAGCGCGTAGAAGATCGCCGGATGGACGGCCGCTTTCGACGCGTCGCCGCCATAAATGAACGACGGGCGGAGGTAGAAGATCGGATAAACCAACAATGGTCCGGCGTACTCGGCAAGGAACACCGTCTTCCACGCGATTTGCGGTCCCAAATCCTTGATATAAAGCACGGCTTTCGGACTCGACAATCCCAAATCGGAGAGTTTTTTGTCATTGTCGAGCGCTTTGCCCTTCGGCTCAAGCCTCAACGATTGCCGCTCGACGGTCAACGCGGCCTTCTTCTGCGAAATTCGCGTCTTGATCGTCGCGATCGTCTCCGATCCGGTGATATTCTCGAGTGTCACCAGAAGGCGATCAGTCCTCTTCGAATCGTAAACTTCGAGAATATCGCTCATTCTGCAAATTGCGCATGGAAAATGAATTTTCGTGGAGGAAGAAAATAATAAAAAATAATAAAAAACGACGACACAAATTTTGCTGCCAAAATGATAAAATCTGCTGTCAATTCGTTTGGTGGTGTGACTCTGATAACGAGCAAAAATTGACATGATACTTCTATTGATTTAAAAAAAAGAATCACTAAAAAAGGAAAAATAGGTAATCAAAATCCGATCAATTAAGGATTATTTGGCCAATTGACAACAAATCTATTACTATATATATATATAGTACAAGTTTATTTATATATGTCGAGTTCTGAACAACAATTTAGTAGGCGGGTTGTGGGTGTTGACACCATTCTCTAGATGTTCGCCAATGGCGCGGCGAGGGCGACGACGCCGCAAGCCGCGCGAGCTCCAGCGTTGCCAGTCTTCTTCGACTCTTCGGCTTTGTCGCCAACACCTTGGCCTGCAAATTATGCATCTAATCAAGGCGGCAAACATCAACTATCCATACCCAAGTCGTCTTGACCAGCGTGGACTACAATGGAGCGACCAATAACTGAAGTAAGACCGGTTAGTGAGATTTGGCTGTCAACAATATCAATTCTGCAATTTTATTTATATAATTGACTTTGTATTTGGGGATGGCTTACTTGGCGACGCCATCTGCGCCAGCCTCGACGTTGCCAAGATCGCCAGCGTGACGAATCTCGCTCGTCGGACCACCATGCGTCTTTCCATGTGGATTGAAGTGCGGTCCGGCGGATACGCATCCATTGGTGGAGTCGCCATATTGGTGAACATGGAAACCGTGAAGGCCGGGACTCAGACCCGAAATCTCGCCGGTAAGATGGACGGGATCCGTCTCCGATTTCTGGCTGAGCCAAATCGTTCCATTGACATTCTCGCCACGAAGCACAGCAACAGCACGACTCGTCATTCTTTGCGAAGCGTCAACCTGAAATTGAAAATAATTAAATGGTTTAAAAATTATTGATTTTATGAGAAACCGCGAGAACACACACCGAAAATTTATAATGACAAAGAACGTGGTTGGGTTTTGGGCGGGAGTTTTTGTGAGATAAAAATCAACCAACACACACACACACAGTCACACATAATAATAGGCAGAGAGATAGAGTACTGGCGAGAGTTTGTTAGACACGCCAGTAAACAAGAAAAATGATGATAAAACTAGGGGTTACCTGCGGAAAGATTGCATTTGATAATTGGGTAAGGAGATTCACGAACATTTTCGCTGGAAAATTCGATTTCGAAATGGCGAAATTTTTGAAAATGACGAAGAAAAACAAATTGACACCGCAGGCGCTATAACCCACGACAAGCTGTCGTCAATTAAAATGCATTGCACAATCGAGAGCGGCAATTTAAAACAAACGATATATATTTTTTTGCTCATCACGCGCGTTGAAAAATGAACAATTCTCTCGTCATTTTTGGACGAAATTTCTAAACCATTTTAATCGAAAAATTAATGGCTACCGTTTGCGAGCTCGTTCAATTGCCAGGTTTTTGCAAAAAAAAAAAAATAAAGATTTTTCAACAAAATGAAATTCAGTTGGAAGCAAGTGTGGCGAATGGACGATTCTAAAAAAGCTTGGTGAAGGCGCGTTCGGCGCCGTGTACCTCGTGAAGGGAAAAGACAAAGACATGGAGTACGCGCTGAAAGTTGAAGCCGAAACCGATCCGTTGGGACTTCTTCGAATGGAGGTGTTCGTCTTAATGGAATTGAAGCGACAGAAATACGAGGGAAGGCATTTTTTGGATATGGTTGATAAGGGAAATGTTGTGGGAAAATTCAACTACATGGTGATGACATTGGTGGGAAAAAGCTTTCAAGTAACACAAAAGCGATTCTGGAAAATGGCGAGAAATTCTATAAAATATTAGGATCTTCGCAAAAAGGCGCCGTTCCGCAAATTCTCGATGGGAACCGCGATTTCGATTGCCCGACAATCGCTTGAAGCCGTTGAGGATTTACACAATATTGGCATTTTGCATCGCGACATCAAACCCGGAAATTATACGATTGGACGGAAAGAGATGAACGAGCTGCGCAAGGTTTATATGCTCGATTTTGGAATGGCGCGAAAATTCGCCAGAGAAGATGGCACTTTGAGAAACCCGAGGTACTGTAGATAGTGCGTGTGTGCTGGCACCGAGACGCCAAAATGCGGACTCGACTTTTTAAATGGAATATTTTTGAGTTTTTAGGCTGTTTCGTGGTTATTTTGAATTTTGCATATTGAAAAGTTAAAATTTGCGCTCAAACAACAAAATTTCGACTATTATTTTTTCTCATAATTCAGCCTGAACTTTTTTTTTCCTTGTTGTCAAAATGATTTTCTTGCAGAGCTCGCGCCGGCTTCCGCGGCACCGTCAAATACGCGCCGCTAGCGTGCCACATTCAACGCGAGCAATGCCGCAAAGACGACATCGAGAGCTGGTTGTACATGGTTGTCGAGATGACGTGCGGCAAACTGCCGTGGCGCAATCTCACCGAGACCGAAGACGTCGGCGTGTTCAAGAAGGACTGCAAGACGAATCGAATCCGCTGCCTGTTCGGCGGCTGCCCGCGCGAATACACGGAAATCTTTCCGATTCTCGACAAAGTATCTTTTCGGGACCATGAAAACATTTTCGACGCGATTTCAGGGCAAATTCTTCGACGCGCCCGACTATCCAGCAATCTACGAGCTTCTCGAGAAGGCGATGGTGAACACGAGAAGCAACGAGTTCCCATATGATTGGGAGTAGATGGTTTTTTAATAAATCCTTGACCTCGGAAGCAAAAAAAAACCATTTGTGAACTCTTTTTTTTTTGTTCGCGAAACTGTTGCAAATGGGCCGGATAAGCCGGCCACCCTTTTCCCGTCAATTGTCATTAGTCACATCGCCACCCCAATCGGTTTTTGGGGTCGTCGTATCTCTTCTCGCTCGCCCATTTTTTCGTGTTGACCTGCTTTTGCCGCCGCCTCTCCTCCCTCGTGCCTTCGTGCCTGTTTCCGTTTGAACATACACTCGGTATGATGATGTCTAAGCACATTCACTTCGACGCAATTATCGTTGCGTGATTTATTCATGACCTTCATGATAGGACTCTTTAAACCACCCCCCCCCCTCTCACTCTTCCATCAACGAAATTCTTCGATTGTTATTGTTGTTGTTGTTGTTGTTGCAGATCCCATGCGAATTCCTATTCTCATTCTACTGGCAATGGTCCCAAATGGGCGTGGCCAATACGGAGAAGAGGTGCCCATCATCATTTGCTGTTTATTCATCCCAAAATTTCAGACGCCCAACTATTGCGCGGATTACGTCGAATGCGCGGCGGTGTCGGTTCTCGAAGAGCGTTTATGTCTCGGCAACTCGGTTTGGCGTCCCTACTGGCTGCCGGATCGTCATGATCCCAAAAAATGTCACGAGAAGCTTAAAAATGATTATATTATGGTATATTTTGTCGGGTTTCTTCACTATTTGTTTTTTGCCTTTTCTCTCTTTTAGTTGGAGCGTCTTGAAGAGGAGCTTGACACTCAGCTGAACGCGTGCTTGATGGAGAACTCGAAGCCGTTGGAGAACGCCGACGAGTGCTCGAGAATCGCGAAGAGCCCGAAATTCTCGTTCGGCAGAACGATCACCTACGTGCCGACGCGATGCTTCACGGGTCTCAAGAATCGCATTAAACGCCAGTGCGGCGCTCTGGCCAAGTGTTGTCCGGCGCTTTCGCGATGCCGCCTACTCACACTCGAATCCACACTTCAGAAGATGATCAACACGACGACGGCGAATCTCAAGAAGCGCGCCGTCGACTGCGAGAAGGGTCTTGAGGTGGCGCCGCTCACACTGGAGAACCATCAATTCTCGACTGACAGCAACACTGAGGACATCGGCGTGCCGGGACCCAGCGGCAATGTCGTCGTCAATTTTCGTGATCAGGAGACGCTTCGGAAGCAGATGGACGACGACAAATCGAAGGCGTCGGGATTCGTGAACGTCCGATTCCATACCCAAGACGAGCATGAAGCGCACGCGAACAAGGTGCTCATTCGGTACGGCGACAATGAGCCGAAATTGTCGTATCCGGAACGAGTTGCCGATTTTGAGAAGAAGTACAACAAGGCGATGAAGCATACCAAATATTATAAGGATCGAATTTCCGAATTGGACAAGATTGTCAATCAAGGTGTTGAGTCGCTGATTGACGCCGCCACCGTGTCCGACACAGCTCCACCAATGGGTACCGTAACCCTATCAGCGTCCAATGACGATCAGAATTTGGTCGTTGAAGATTTTGGAAGTGGTACCGAAGCGGTCACGTCAAGCCCTATCATTTTTGTGGAGAAGGAGAATGAAGCTGGAGTAGGTCAGGCGGTCGCGTGCAAGCCGATGACGTCGTTCAGATTCCAGAGGATTCTGGAGCTTCTCGGCGAGAAGAACGACTCTGATGACATGATGGAGGTGTCTAAAATGCCCCCCGGCGGGTTTGCATGAAAAACTCTGAAAATTTTCAGATTAGAAAGCTTGTGAAGAACTTTGAGGAGAAGCTCAAAGGCAAAACGTTGAGTGCCGAACAGATGAACAAGGCGAAATTGGTAGGAATTTCTTTTTTTTTTGGTCCCCCAATAAAAAAGCATAAAATTGAATTTCAGATCGAAAAATCTCTCGAGATGCTCATTCAGCATTTCGAAGTCGACGATTTCCACAAAATCGCGAACGACACCGACAAAATACTGTCGTCCGACATTCCCGTGTGCAATTCAAGCGGAGAGCCGGAGGGCTCCGGAGCCGTCGACGTTTCGGAATCGCTCGATGGCGAAACCGCCACCATGTTGGTCGACGACAATGGCGACAAATTTCTGATCAATCGTGAGCTTCATCGGCTTTTCTTTTTTGATTCACAAAATTGGTCTGTTTCAGAAGGCGCGACGGCGCTAATCGTCGGCGAAGCCAACACGACGAGTTTGGACGACGTCGAAAATGTGACAAACTTCATTTCCGACGAATATCGCCGCGAAATCCAGGAGTTTCGAAAACAGCAAATGCTTTGGAGTATGAAAAATGGCAAAGTAAGAAAGAAACAAAAACTAGAGAGAGGGAACAATTTGATTTTCAAGGGCGCCAAATATAATCGTCGAAATGAGACGACGTGCGATATGTACATGAGGTGCCGCAGTCAGATGCATCTGGCTGTCGACAGCTGCGCGTGGCGATTCGCCAGCGATCAACTATTGGCGACGATGGCCGAATCCGCCGAGAGCCTTCTGTTCAAAGACGACGGCATGTGCTCGCAGAAAGACGGCGAGCAATATACCAGCTTGTACGAGGCGATGATTGGCAGGAACGACAAGTTGCGCGAGTGTCTCGACGAGAAGAACGCGAAATTTGTGAGAAAACATTTTCTATATATTTTTTTTAATATTGTTTGTCTTTTTGCCCGCAGTTTGAGCAATCGGTGTGTCTCGCCTACCCGGAAGACCAACGGAAGACGTATGAAGCGGCTGTGAAGCGGCTCCTCGACGCCGATTATCCGTATCAGAAATCGTTGGAGTGTTTCAAAGACGCGAATTTGGTGCAAGAGAAATGCTCGAAATTGCGCGATTGTTGCCCGAATTTCGACGTGTGCCGCGAGACGACGTTCGACGCCGAATCCGAGCGGACGATCATCAATCTGACGGCGCGCCTCAACGCGATCAAACAGGATTGTGTGAAGGCGAAGGCGAAGAGCGCCGTGAAGCTCGCCGTCCGCCAATTGTTGTTGTCGAACTCGGCGGGCCGACACTTGCTCCAACTCGGTTTGGATATTTCGCGTGGCGCGCGCGTCGTCCGAATGGCCAAATATCGTGAATAAGACGGGGACACGGAACAATGGTCTCTGTGAGATTTATCAGCGAAATTCATACAGGTCGAAACAATCCCAATAGAGAAAATACACACGGTGCCTTATTGTAATTTATTTTTGTTTTGTTTTCTTTTTATTTTTAATATCGATCGCTTCAAGACCCCATCTTAATTTTTCTCAATTTCAGCGATCAATATCACTCTTTCTTTTTTTTTGATTCGCTTTAATCTTGTTGTATATTGTGTACACTTCTACTACCATAAACGGTGGTCAATTTTCGTGAACCGGTTTCCGTTGGTCGAAAAGAACCTAATGAGAGGGTGAGGAAGTGCCCTCCCCCCCCCATCCAAAAAAAGGTTGATCTCGGCGAGAAGAGAGAAAAAATCGAGTTTTCCGCAACACCTGCCTTAATTGGAAAAAATGGGGAGTGAGAGAGATGAAGCAAACGAACATCGTCATTGATAACGACGCCGCCGTCTTTGTCCCCTCCGTATCTGCCACAATCATACGACGACGAATAGACGGCAGCAGTATCGATTGGACGCACGTTTTACACTTTCAACCACACAATATCATTATCATCATCATCAAACGCATTTCCAGCCGACAATGCGTGCCGCTTCGTTCAGCATCCTATCGATAGTCCTTATATGGGCGGTCGACGGGCAGAGCGGCGACGACGCGTGTCGGGATTTCGACAACAACTGCCGCGATTGGATCGCCGTGAATCCGGCGGCGTGCGATTCGACCGAGTACATCAAGCGGAGTTGTCAGAAGAGTTGCGGACAGTGCGGAAGCATCGATAAGAGTGAGTCGGGCGCCTCGAATGTCTCGAACGCGATTTGATGCATTTCTAGAATACGATTTGCGGCGATTGGCGCCGGAGCTCACGCCGATCGCCTTCCTCGTCGGCAAATGGCGTTCGGAGCACGGCGGCAAGGTTGGAAATCAATCCCGAGCCCCCTTCCTTTTGAAATAATGTCTCTAGGCGATCTTTCCGACGATTCCCAAGTTCACTTTCGGCGAGGAGATCGAGATCTCGATTCCTGACGATGGAATGCAATCGGCGAAAGCGCTCAATTATACGTAAGACATTCAACGAGCGCCCCCCAACTCTTCCCCCTTATTCCAAATTAGGCGATCTTGAACTAGCGCTACCGTAATCCCAATTACAGGGCATTCGCGTGGAGCGTTGATAAACGCGAGCCGAACAATCCGAACAGGTTTTAGTGTTTTGGTGTGTCCATTTTTGGGGCCTCCTTTTCTCTCTCTCTTTTTTTTTTGGTTGAATTATTCGTTTCGTTGATGTCGTTGGTGTTTGTTTTGTTTGTTCGGGGGTTTCGGGACCACTGATCCATGGACTCGTTTGATCCGCTGATTCTAGGGCGTTCGCGTGGTCGATCAATGACAAAGACGAGCTGCACAGCGAGTATGGCTACATTTCGGTGAAGCCCAACACGAAAGAGGTCGCACTCACCACAGTGATGAACAATGGTAGGCAACTCGTGATCCATGGATCATCGCCGACTCTTCCTAGGCTTTGTCACCGTTGAGGAGGGCCCGGTGAGCGGCAGTCAGATCAAGTTCCGCCTTCAGGACATTGGACGAATCAGCTTCAGCAGAGATTTGCCGGTGCATGATGTAAGCGTTGTCGAATTGCCGCCGCGAATGCGATCGTGTTTCAGCTCGTCCGCGAGTGGACCCTTCTCGATCGCAACACACTTCAAGCGCGACTCAACATGGAGACGCTGACGCACGGAATGCAGGAGCACACGTTCATCCGTTATCAGAAGATTGAGCCGTGATGTCGGCGCCACAAAATCCAATTGTATCTAGTCATAATAGCTTTCGAATGAACATTTCGTCTTAAAATGGTCCCTACCCAATGAGTTATCGGCGACCCTCAAACAGAATAATTCGCATATCATTCGACGTCATTCGCTGATTTCCGGTCGTCGCTAGCGAAAACAAGAAAACGAAAAAAAAACCATGGGTGGCTAATTAGATTTTGGGCTCATTCGTCGATGTCTTGCGAGATTCGCCATCCCGTTGCGTTCGAAACTCTTCTCCTCGCCGGCTTCCTTCTAGGCATCGCCATTTACGCGATCACATTTCATTTTCTCATCAATCAATGCCCGAAGCATTTTCAAAAATTTCGATATTTATTGATTTTGCAAGTCGTTGGGTAAGATGGTCCCTAGGACCGCCATCAATTTGGCTGAAATTTGAAGCAATCTGATATCCGACGTCAACATTTCATTTTTGTGGACGCCGAAATTCATTCTACCGTGGATGGCGATGTGCTCGACGGGACTCGCCACCGATTTCCCATTCGGCATGTTCTTCGTGAACTACGCCAATTTAGTTTGTGAGCAGCTTCGAGCTCCCCAGTGATGGGACCATTCAAACAAATTGCAGATGTCTCCTCTATAATCGTCGTCATGTTCGAGTATCGTCTGAAGGCGGTTGCGATGAATCGGCGGCTTCTCAAATATGTCAACGTCGACAAATACATTACCATCGCTGGACTGGCCAGCAACACGGCGCCGCTGCTTTTCTGCCGCGAGCGAATGACGAGCTTGAATTTGAAGCTGAGAATCAATGAGACGCGTGGTCCGTTGCCCGACGAGGCCTTCTGCGCCCAATGCATATTCATCGCCGATTGGGACTTCACGCCGTTCTGGGTGTTGCTCGTCGTGTGCCTCGCGACGTGCGCCCATCTCGTGGCGTTTCTCCACTTTTGCGCCATCACCACATTTCTGAAATTGAACGCCACCAAGTTGATGGTGTCGGAACGCACGCGACGCCTTCAGAAGGACTTCTTGCGGGCGCTAGTCGTTCAGGCGAGATTTTCAGATGAGATGACGACTCCCTGATTGCAATCGAATTCTAGGTGTTGGTGCACGTTTTGCTTCTAAGCGCGCCAATCGACTGCTTCATTTTGGCGCATTTCGTCGAATTTCGCCATCCGTTTTTCACCGGTTCGATGTCCCGCCGTACGCGGGGACATTATCGATTTCTCCAAAAATTTCCAGAATTCGTCATGTACACGATGACGTTCATGTTGGCGCAACACGGCTCCATCTGCACGTTGACAATCCTGGTGACGAGTAGGCCGTTTCATCGAAAAACCGCCAAAAAAGTGGGTAATTAAGGGCAATTAAGACCTAATTAGGCTAATGTAACCATTGAAATTGATTAATTTTAGAGAACATTTGAAATTCGCCCCGCCTAATTAATTAATTCGCCCCCTTAATTACCCCTTTGAAAAATCGAAAATTCTTATATTTCAGAGATCAATTTCTGTTTCAATGGTGGTTTAAAAGTTCGCGTCTCAATGAGCTTGAGGTCATGAGCTCATTCTCATAATGTCGACGACAATCACGCATTGCATCTGCACCAGTTTTCAATATTTTGAATTTGTGAGGAAATAAAAATGGAAAAATTGTTTTTCAGCAATAAATTTCTTTTAAATATGGGGAATTGTAATTAATTAATCATTTGCAAGAAGCATGACGACAAAAAAAAGAAGAAAATTGCGATAAAACATCGAAAATTACGAATATGCCTGAATTGACGCATTGCTCATTCGCAGAATGTCATATTTTCTTCAGTTCCGCATTATCGGCAAATTTCATACTTCGATGATTCCTTGATTTAATAATTTTCTGTAAAAATTGAAATAATTAAAACTAATTTCGAAAGGAATTTAAGAGGGGAAGGCAATAAAAAAATAGCGAAATAAAATTTCGCACTTGTCCGCGCGGACTACACAAAATGCTTGGGAATTCGGCCGCGGCCACCTCTTCCACGCACACAGAATGTGTTGCAAGGCTGCAAATATGATTCTAATTATTTATTCGCTTGATTACAATAAAGGCGTCATTGATTTCCTTTCGCTTGACGCCTAATTAACGACGAGCTCCTTAATAAGCGGCCATCATAATCAAACTCGTCCCGCATAACAATGTCTTGCGATATTCACCATCCATTTTGGTTTGAGAAGCTGCTATTCGCCGGCTTCGCGATGGGATTGCCCATTTATGGGATCACTCTTCATTTTCTCATCAGCAAAAGCCCGAAACAATTTCAAAAATTTCGATATTTATTGATTTTGCAAGTCGTTGGGTAAGATGGTCCCCAGGACCCCTCCCCCATCAATTTTGCTGAAATTTGAAGCAATCTGATATCCGACGTCAACATTTCATTTTTGTGGACGCCGAAATTCATTCTACCGTGGATGGCGATGTGCTCGACGGGACTCGCCACCGATTTCCCATTCGGCATGTTCCTTCTGAATTCGACGAACACTGTTTGTGAGTCGTGTGCGCCTTTAAATCAAATCGGCAACTTTAAATTGAAACGATTTTTAAAAATGTGGTTTCTGCGCAAAAAAAAGCGCGATGAAGGGGGAAAAAGTGCGCGTCAAAAAAATGTGTGCACACACACGCACGCGAAATTGCACACATCTTATTAATTCACATTTAGAAGTGAATTAATTGAGAATCTTTTTTTTTGAAAAATGGAAAATATTTTTAAAAATTGACCCGAAATTGGAAAAAAAATGATGAAAACAATTTTTTTAGACGTTTGAATTTTTTCAAAACCAAAAATTCCACTTTTTTTTTTAAATTTGAACGTTTCCTTGAAGAAATTCATTCATTTTTTATGTGATGCCAAAAAAATGACGTTTTTTCCAATGAGGCAATTTTTTTTGAAAAAAGAAATGCGGAGAGGGAAATTCGATTGACGATTATTTCAAACACCCGACGCACAAATGCAGATTTGTACCGTAATCGAAAAAATTCTATCAATTTTCGTGAATTTTCTCATGAATTGTTCGAGATTTTTTTTAGTTTCGTGCCAAATTGTGATTTTCGGCTGCAAAAAAGTGGACAAAAAATTGTTAAAAATTGGTTTTTCGTTCTTGAAAAAAAAACGCCATGGCCGAAAAATTCTGGTAAAACCTCGGCCACGGCCACATTTTTTCAAATCCTACAAATAAAAACAAAAGTAGGTTTTTTTCTTCAATTCCCCATTGGAAAAAAATGCCATGGCCGAAAAATTCTTGGTAAAACCTCGGCCACGACCACATTGTTCAAAGCCTGCAAATAAAAACAAGAGTAGGTTTTTTTTCTTCAATTCCCCATTGGAAAAAAAATGCCATGGCCGAAAATTTTTTGGTAAAACCTCGGCCACGACCACATTGTTCAAAGCCTGCCAAAAAACCATTGTTCAGACATGGCGTCGCTGATCATTCTCATGTTCGAGCATCCCTTAAAAGCGGTTGTGATGAATCGCGAGGCGAAACTTCGAAAATGCGTCGAAATCTTGAAATGCGTGGTGATCGCCGGCAACTCGAGCACCCTCGTCCTACTGGTTCTCACACGCGAGCGAATGACGAGCTTGAACTTGAAGCTGAGAATCGACGAGACGCGTGGTCCGTTGCCCGCCGAGGCCTTCTGCGCCCAATGCATATTCATCGTCGACTGGGACTTCACGCCGTGCGTTCTGTTGGCCGTCGTCACCGTCGTCTTCACGGCGAGCACCGTCGGCTTGGTGTCGTTTTGCGTGTTGCGAACGTACAAAAATCTCAAAAATCTCAAAATCGTCATGTCGGAGGCGACGAGACGCCTTCAAACCGAATTTCTCACCACCATCGTCATTCAGGTGAATTCGATTTTCGATTTTTTTTTGGGAGGGACCATCATTCTTCTAGGTGTCGGTACATTTTTTGCTTCTAAGCGCGCCATTCGACTGCTTCATTTTGGCGCATTTCGTCGAATTTCGCCATCCGTTTTTCACCGGTTCGATGTCCCGCCGTACGCGGGGACATTATCGATTTCTCCAAAAATTTCCAGAATTCGTCATGTACACGATGACGTTCATGTTGGCGCAACACGGCTCCATCTGCACGTTGACAATCCTGGTGACGAGTAGGCCGTTTCATCGAAAAACCGCCAAAAAAGTGGGTAATTAAGGGCAATTAAGACCTAATTAGGCTAATGTAACCATCGAAATTGATTAATTAGCCAATCTCGAAATATTTTCAGAGAAGCTCCACCACGGCAGTGTCAATAGTGCTCTAATTGTGCGAATCGCAAAAATGAGAAAATGACGAATAAATTGTTTCTGAATGAAGCGTTTGATGATGGTCCCTTGGGTGAGGGGGACCATTGAGAAGCGCCAATGGTCCCTTTCGCTTGTCGGCATCTCGTATCGATCGCCGTGGGGAGGGTGGGCTGCTCGCCGCGCACACACAGCTTCTGAAATTGGCCTCCGCCAATGTCTGCGTCTCTTCAATCCGCCCGCACTCTCTCCATTTCTCTCTCTCGCCTCTTCGGATCTCCCCCACTCCCCGAAATGCACATATATGGAGCATATATACTAGACGCTTCGTCTCTCTCTCTCTCTATCTTTCTTTTAAGGAAATCCTGTCTGTGTGTGTGTTTTTTTACCAATTTCGATTATTCACGTCATTATCCCCAGCTGCGGACAATTTGAATTGTCGGCAGCAGTGGAATTCGCGTTTTCTTGATGCGTCTCAAATGAAATTCCATCTGCGGACATTTTTGCGCAATTCCAAAATTGTTGTTGTTGCGCGCGTTTTCGCCGAAATTCATCTGCGGACATGTCACGGGCCTTTCGAGCATCTGCCGACAATTGGCGACTCTCGGCTCACCATAATTGGCGTCGCGTCGTCGCCACTCTCGGATCGATAAATTCATTAAGCTCTCCGAGCTCGACGAGCATCCCAACTTTTCCTCTTCCCCTCTCGCCGACTTTTTTGGGCCCAAATTTCGTTTCATTGTTTTTTTTTGCGGCAATTTTTTAATCGTCACGCCATTCCATGTTCGTACCATGATGTCATTATGGTCCGCCTTTATTTTCGGGATCCACTGACGACAGAAAAAAAAGTTGGGAGACGACTGGTGGAAGCGACAATCTAATTAAATGCGCTTTTTTTTGTTTTTCATGGTCCTTTCCTTTTTCACTTTGTGGCGTTTTTTTTTGGGTCCCGCCACATTGGGATTATTTATTCATTCATTCATTTTTAAGCTCTTCAGATGTCATCTGTGAAGGTCGCCGTCCGCGTGCGACCCTTCAATCAGCGGGAAATCGCCAACAGCTCGAAATGCGTCCTTCTAGTCAACAACCATACAACAAGTAGGGGTGTTTAAAACGCATGCAAAAGCTTTATGGAGGTATGGGGAATTAAACCCCAGCCCTCTCCCATGCTAAGGGAGCGCTCTACCACTGAGCTATACCCCCAACTGGCGTTACGGTAGGCGATGACGTACACAAGTCGCGGCAGCAGGTTTTCGCGATAAAAATCACCGCCCTCGCGACGCTTATTGCCAGCTGGGGGTATAGCTCAGTGGTAGAGCGCTCCCTTAGCATGGGAGAGGGCTGGGGTTCAATTCCCCATACCTCCATGAGATTTTTTCACGACATTTTAATGCATTCAAACGAGAATTTTCAGCCATAAATGGAAGGGAGATTGGAAAAGAGACGCACAGCTTCAATTTCGATCATTCCTACTGGTCATTCAACAAGAGCGACTCAAATTTTGTATCGCAAAAGCAGGTTTATGAAGAGCTTGGTGTTGAAATGCTCGCCCATGCCTATGAAGGGTGAATTTGTGCCGAACTACTCGCATAAAATTGCGTATTCTAGGTATAATGTGTGCATTTTCGCGTATGGTCAGACCGGCAGCGGAAAATCGTACACGATGATGGGAAAAGCCAACGATCCGGAGGAAATGGGAATTATTCCGCGACTTTGCAATGATCTATTCGACAAAATCGATAATAATAATGATAAAAGTATTCAGTATTCTGTCGAGGTAAAGAAAGGAATTTTCAAGCCACTAAACAATCATTTCTAGGTGTCTTATATGGAAATTTACTGCGAGAGGGTCAAAGATTTACTGAATCCCAATTCCGGTGGAAACCTTCGAGTTCGCGAACACCCACTACTTGGTCCTTATGTCGACGATCTTACTAAAATGGCGGTTTGCTCGTACCACGACATTTGCAACCTCATGGATGAGGGAAATAAAGCAAGGTAATCATTGAAAGCAAAAATTTCAAAAAAGATCATGGAGGTATGGGGAATTGAACCCCAGCCCTCTCCCATGCTAAGGGAGCGCTCTACCACTGAGCTATACCCCCAGCTGGCGGCAGGCGGGTTGAATGGCGTTGATGAATTGAAAAGAGAGTGAAGAGGCGGCAAGAGTACGCCTGCGGTTATATGCCACTATAATGGTCGCTGGCATGAGGGGGTATAGCTCAGGGGTAGAGCGCTCGCTTTGCATGCGAGAAGTCTGGGGTTCGATTCCCCATACCTCCAGGAAAGTTTTTGCTCATTTTGAATTCAGAACGGTGGCTGCAACCAACATGAACTCGACGTCATCCCGCTCGCACGCGGTGTTTACAATTGTGTTGACGCAAAAGCGGCATTGCGCCGAGACGAATTTGGACACGGAGAAGGTCTCAAAAATCTCGTTGGTTGATTTGGCGGGCTCCGAGCGCGCCAACTCGACAGGAGCCGAAGGGCAACGTCTCAAAGAGGGCGCCAACATCAACAAAAGTCTAACAACACTGGGATTAGTGATCAGCAAATTGGCAGAAGAGGTAAAAAAATGAAAATTTTTTTGATTGGAATGAAATAAAATTGAAAATTAAGAATGAGGCTGAAAATGAGGGGGTAAGAGATTGCAGTGGTGTGAAATTTTGCTTGTTTTCTGCACCAAAAAGATTGAAAAATTCCAATTTTCCGCTAAATTGTCGATTTTTTGTTTCGGTTTTGCAGGCGGGCAAGAAAAAACGAAGCAAAGGGGTGATACCGTATCGCGACTCGGTTTTGACGTGGCTTCTTCGCGAGAACCTTGGCGGCAATTCGAAAACCGCCATGTTGGCGGCCCTCTCGCCGGCCGACATCAATTTCGACGAGACGCTCAGCACATTGCGATACGCGGATCGCGCGAAGCAGATCGTGTGCCAGGCGGTCGTCAACGAGGATCCGAACGCGAAGCTCATCCGAGAGCTCAAAGAGGAGGTCTACAAGCTGAAGCACATTCTCGAGGACAAGGGCATCGACATCACCGACGTCGAGGAGCCCGGAAAAGAGCACAAGCGGTCGTCGAAATTCAGCGCAAAAGACCACGACACGATCGAGCAGCTGAAAGCGTCGGAGAAGCTCATCGCCGAGCTCGACAAGACGTGGGAGCAGAAGTTGCGGCACACCGAGGAGATACGAAGGCAACGCGAGGAGGAGCTTCGCGAGATGGGTCTCGCCACGCTCGACGACGGCACCGCTCTCGGTGTGTTCAGCCCGAAAAAATTGCCGCATTTGGTGAACCTCAACGAGGATCCATTGATGTCGGAATGCTTAATTTACTATTTGAAAGAGGGAGTTACGAGGTAATTGTGGTTTTTGGAACAAGAAAAGAGTCGACAAAAAGTTTCATGGAGGTATGGGGAATTGAACCCCAGCCCTCTCCCATGCTAAGGGAGCGCTCTACCACTGAGCTATACCCCCAGCTGGCAATAAGCGTCGCGAGGGCGGTGATTTTTATCGCGAAAACCTGCTGCCGCGACTTGTGTACGTCATCGCCTACCGTAACGCCAGTTGGGGGTATAGCTCAGTGGTAGAGCGCTCCCCTAGCATGGGAGAGGGCTGGGGTTCAATTCCCCATACCTCCAAAATAAGTTTTGCGTCGCAATTTTCAAAATTCAGCGTTGGCCGACCGGAAGCCGAAAAACGTCCGGACATTCTGCTCTCCGGTCAAGCGATTCTCGACTATCATTGCGAGTTCATCAATGAGGACGGCAGTGTGTCGCTGGTGCCGAAAGACGGCGCGCAAGTGTTCGTCAACGGCAAACCGATAGCCGACGCGACGGTGATCCACACCGGCTCGCGTGTGATTCTCGGCAAATACCACGTGTTCCGCTACAACGATCCGCAAGAAGCGCGTCAGAGTCGACACAATCTCGCCGCGTTGACCGACCAGCCGCTCGACTGGAAGTACGCGCAGCAAGAGTTGCTCGAAAAGCAGGGAATCGATTTGAAGGCCGAAATGGAGAAGAAGCTTCTCGAAATGGAGAGCCAATATCGACGCGAGAAGGAGGAGCTCGAGCTGAAAATGTTGAGGCAGACGAAAGAGTACGAGACGCGCATCGAGAGCCTCCAGCGGCAAGTGGATCTCGCGCAGAGCATGATCTCATCGGTGGGCTCGACGTGGGAAGGCGAACGATTCCTAACATCGTCGCTAATGGAATTCGGTAGGTCAAATCATCATCACGGTTACGGTAGCAATAATTATTTTGTGTGTGCAGCCGAAGAGCTCAAATGGACGTCGGATCAGGAGCGCGTGGTGCGAAAAGCGGCCATCAAATGGCGCTACCATCAGTTCACGTCAGTCCGCGACGATTTGTGGGGCAACGCGATATTCGTGAAGGAGGCGAACGCGATATCGGTGGAACTCAAGAAGAAGGTCCAATTCCAGTTTGCGCTTCTCACCGACACCATGTACAGGTATGTATGGCGATTTCGGAGACTTGTCTGATGGTCCCACTTGCAGTCCGCTTCCGCCGGACCTTCTGCCGCCCGGCGAGGATCTCACCCTTCGTCCCTATCCGAAGACGGTCGTCGCGATTCAAGTGCAAGACCTCAAGAATGGCGCAACGCATTATTGGAGCATCGAGAAGCTCAAGTGAGTGTGAGAAATGAGGAAGGAGAAGCTGAACTAGTTCTACAGTAACCCGCACCTCCATAGTTTCACGCTCGCTTTCTTTTTCTCTTTTTGCATTTTTTTTGATTTCGCTAGGGGCACTGCACAATTTTCGCGGCGAGACCCCCCGCCCTCGCTTAGGTGTAGATTTACGATGTGGTCCGAACGCTTCTCGTTTTCCAAATTCAAAAATCAAAACCGAATACCAATCGAGACAATCATCTAGGCAGCGGCTCGAGGACATGCGAATGTACTACAACTCGGAATTGTCGGTGGCGGGCACGCCGGCGGCCGACGCGCCGCCGTACCCGTCGATCGCCGAAGGCTGGCTCGCCGCGCTTCATCTCAATCCGGCGCGTCTCGTTCCCGACAGGTAACGATCCCTCGAAACGAAGCATGCCTAATGTAGCGGTTACTGTAGTAGTCAAACAATCAATGCGCCTTTAAATTACAAATCAATGCGCCTTTAAATTTTGCAGGCAGCGTCTTGAAGCGATGCGCGACATGTACGAGACGGACGCGCAAATGTCGCCGACCGGCCACGACGATCCGATGATGGACGCGCTGATGGGCACCGATCCGTTCTACGATCGATTCCCGTGGTTCCGAATGATCGGAAGGGCGTTCGTCTACCTCAGCAATCTTCTCCACAACGTGCCGTTGATCCACAAGGTGGCGGTGGTGAACGAGAAGGGCGAAGTCAAAGGATATTTGAAAGTCGCCATCGAGCCGGTCGCCAAAGACGCCGTCGACACGCAGACGAAGGGCGTTCGCCAGACGGCGAAACTTCACTTCAGAAAAGAGGACTTCTTGAAGGCGCACGCCGATGACGATCAATCGGCGACGGAGCTCGAATTCCCGCCGCATATGCAAGAGGACGTCGAGTTCTGCTTCAGGGTCGTCGTGTTGCAAGCGATTGATGTTGCTGACGTCTATTCGGACGTCTTCTGTCAATTCAAGTAGGTCTTTTGGCAAAAATTCGTTTTTTTTTTTCTAATTCCACGAGAAATTATTATCGTAATTATTTTCAAAGACGCAATGGCTTTCAATTTTACATTTTTTTTCAATTCGATAACATTCTTTAAAATAAAATTAAAAACACTCATTAATTTCCTTTTTGGGAACAACAAATTGTGAAAATGCGAAAATTCTGTGAAGAAATCAATACCGATAAATTATCACGATTTGTGGTACTGTAGGTTAAAGTCCGCAAACACCGAGTGCACTTTTTATCGATTTCGGCGTTTTTTTTTTCAAAAATTCCCAAATTTTCATTTTTTCCTCAAATTCCCGCGATTTTTTCTTGCAGTTTTTTGCATCGCCACGATGAAGCGTTCTCAACGGAGCCGATGCGCAATGGAAAATCGCCGCTGAGCTTCGAGCACACGCAAAATTTGCACATCAAAATGAGCCGCACGTTTCTGCATTACGTCCACCATTTTCCGATCATCTTCGAGGTTTTCGGACATTTTCAACCAAAAGCCGAAGGATTCCATTTCGAGCGGCAAAATAGCGCACTTGGGTGAGAGAAATTGACAATTGAGTGGAAGCAGCATTTGCGCATTTTGTAGACGACGACTCTCGACGAAGCTCACGTTTCAACAACCCTCTCTCGTCATCTCGACGCCGGTGAAGAGCAAAAAAGCGAATGCGCCGATTCAGAATAGGTTTTTTTTTCTTTTTTTTTTTAAATAAAATAGCGGAAAATTGAATTTTTTTTCAATAAAAAAAAAGAGAAGTCAAAATAATTTTCTTTTGCAGCTCAAATTCCGTGAAATCGAAACACGATCTACTAGTGTGGTTCGAGATTTGCGAACTAGCCAATAATGGTGAATACGTGCCGACGATTGTGGATCACGCTCAAGGCCTTCCGACGCACGGCGTCTTCCTGCTTCATCAGGGCATTCAGCGGCGCATCAAAATCACAATTTGTCATGAAAAAGTGTGTATCAATTTTGGCAAACCGTCTCGAAATTGTTTGATTTCAGTCGGCCGACATCAAATGGAAGGATTGTCAGGAGTTGGTCGTCGGCCGAATCCGTTCGGGACCCGAATGGGCCGGCGGCGACGACGTCGACGTGTTGAGTCTCGGCCTGTTTCCGGGCACGTTTCTCGAGTTCTCGATGGACGATCGCACGTTCTTCCAGTTCGAAGCCGCCTGGGACTCGTCGCTTCACAACTCGCCGCTTCTCAATCGCGTCTCAAACTACGGCGATCAGATCTACATGACGCTTTCCGCTTATATGGAGCTCGACGGTTGCGCTCAGCCGGCCGTCATCACCAAAGACCTCTGCCTGTTGATCTACGCGCGCGACTCGAAAATCTCGGCGGCGAGCCGCTTCTGTCGGAGCCTCATCGGCGGCATTTCGAAGAGTCCCGAAATGAATCGAGTGCCCGGCGTCTATCAATTGTGCATGAAGGATGGGTCCGACTCAGGTAGTCCAGGTGAAAACGCTTTTCGCTTTTTGTCCTCCTCTTTCATCCTATGTTCCGTTTTTTTTTTCACTCGCATGCTGAGGAATACCTCTCAATGGTGCCGCGCAACAACCCACCCCAATTTCGTTGTTTGGTTCGATATTGGCGGATTTCAGGCGCGATTCGACGCCAACGACGCGTTCTCGACACCTCGTCGGCGTACGTGCGAGGCGAAGAGAATTTGGGACAATGGCGACCGCGCGGCGACTCGCTGATATTCGAGCATCAATGGGAGCTCGAGAAGCTCACGCGTCTTCAGCAGGTCGAACGCGTTCGTCTCTTCTTGCGTCTCCGCGACAAGCTCAAAGGCAAAACGCGGCGCGGCGAGGCTCGAACGCCGGTGAGCCCATGCGATCCGGTGTGCGCGATTCCCGAAACAGTCAAGCTTGATGAGACGGAGAAAGGTTGGTGGTCAATTGTGAAACGCTAGACACATCAATCATAATGGTTTTGTCCAGGCATCGTCGGCAAAGTGCTTGATCTGATTCGCCGCCGAATTCCGATGAACAAAGATCCGCCGACGGGAAGCAAAGCGGCGGATCTGAGCGACGAGAGCGGCTCGAACAGCATCACGTCGCCGATATCATCCGACAAATCGCTGATCAAAACATCGCAATCGAGCGATCTTCTATCGCGCCAAAAATCGAAATCCGATCAGAATCTCGCGCAAAACGACGACATTCTCGATTCGGTCGGCATGAAGCGCAGCCTCAGCGGCTCGCGCATCCTTCAACTCGACATCGTCGTGCCCGAAGTGATCGAGGAGCGCGTCGGCGTCGTCGTCTCGAAAAAAGGCTACATGAATTTTCTCGAGGAGAAAACGCAAGGCTGGACGCGTCGTTGGGTCGTCGTCCGCCGTCCCTACATTCTGCTGTTTCGCGATGATCGCGATCTCGTTATCCGCGGCATCATCAATCTCGCCAACGCGCGCATCGAACACTCGCCGGATCAGCAGGCGATGGTCAAAGTGCCGAACACGTTCTCGGTGTGCACGAATCAGCGCGGATTTTTGATGCAGATGATGCCCGGCGATGAGGTAATTTTGAAAATTCTTCAACATACCGTATCTCTAAGATTACTGTGACTATTTATTATTTTCCATTCTAGATGTACGACTGGCTCTACGCTATCAATCCCCTAATGGCCGGACAAATGAAGCTTCAATCGCAGCAAGTGAAGAGCTCGAACGGCTCGGCCGTCAAATCGCCATAATTTTTTTTCAAAGAAACATTGTGTTTTAAAGTAGTGATAGGATCCACCCAATCTAAGATTTTCTGTGATTTTCCCGCTAGTCACAAACCCGCTATGAGCAGCAGCATCTAAAGAAAAAGCTTAATTTATTAATTTATTAGATTTCTTTTTTTTAAAATAATTTTTAGTGAAACGAGTAAGGACCCGGTCCATTTATAGAGTTCCTATCGCCTTTTTTCTCTCTCTTCTCGTCTCTTTCGCTTCTTTTTCCCCCCGCTTATCTCTTTAATTTATTATCGTTGCTTTCTTTTCATTCGTTTCTTAAATACGTTTCCTTTGCCAAACTTTCATCATCACAGAACTTAAACAAGAGTGGGGGGATTTGGGCAATATTGCACTGGGGTCTGAATATCCACAAGAAAAAAAAACCGAAACTGAAAGAAGTGCGGGTGATAAAGCTATGAAATGCCATAAACGGGGCGGTGGGGGCGAATAAATATCGGGGAAACCGTATACACTATATATTACATATAATTAGTTAATTATGCCAATCGCTCTGTCTCCTCTATACCACGTTTTTCGATTTGTGCACACCGGTTGGTAGGGAGCTCGTCGGCAGCGGTTTGTAGGCGTTGTTGGAGTTTTTCGAGCGGAACGTCACATATGTGTAGAGGATGCTTCCGAATACGCTGGAATTTTTGCAAATTGGACCATCTCATGAGGGTTCCGTTTGCCATCCCCACCTAACATTGATTCCTATGAAGTTGGCCCATGAGAAGACGTAGTCGCCACTAGAGAACATTCCGGCATACGTGACGAACAGATTCTGAAAGGAATTCGAATTGAGAGCAACAACAACAACAAAAAATTCGCTATAGGACCCGACGGGTCGTAAATCGACAATAAACACTTCGATTGGCTATAAAGGCCGTAAAATAAATGGCGAGGAAGCGGAAAGCAAAAAAAAAAACACCTTTATGGGTCCAACGCACGTCGTCGTCAAGGCCGAATTATGATGGGTGCAGAGGACGAGCGAATAATTCAAGATGAAGCCGCAAACGCACGACAATAAGAAGCACAACCACACGGAGCTCGTCATCTCGTCGGAAGCGATGAATTGCATCGCCTGAAACGAAAATGGCTTCAGTGTTGTTTTTGGCTCGCTACCTTATCCAAATCGCCCGTGTATTTGGTGACGCATATCGCCGGCAACACCATAAAAAGGCAATTATAATACATGAGGCCGTATTTGCCGAGGTCTTTCGCGTCGAGCTTCTGCTTTGTGTACACGCCGAGCGCCGCCGTACATATGTTATTGATAAATATCATTGTGTAGCCGATGGTGTCGAACGACAAATCGTAGATGGCGGCGATGAAACTGCCGCCGATCATCAGACCCACCGAGATTTTCACCGCTCGCGACGCTTTCACACTGAAAAATTGAGAGGTTTGGCGAAATAATTACCAGAAAAAATTAATAATTAATTTTTTGACTGAATCACAAAAAATTCCCTTTAATTAAAAAAATGTGCAAAAATATGAAATTGAAAAAATTATTTTTCGCCAATGATTACTGTAGCTTCTTTAAGTCCGCAGTACACGATGACGCCAAACCGCACACAAATTCACATTCATTTCTTTTTTTTTTTTCAAATTTTTTTACCCTAAAATATAAAATTCCAGGATCATCGTCATCAATATTGAGAATCGCCGAAGAACGGTGAACATGGGAAGGCTGAAAATCGGCGAAATTGCACAAAAAAAATTGAATTCAACGACAAACTTGATCATTTTCGTGCCGCCGAGGCCGGTGATTAAATTGAAAAAATACAAAATCGGCAGCGGCATGAGTTTTCGCGGAATCGACGAGTCGAGCGACGGAAATTGGACAATCCGAAACAATTTCGCCAAAAACAATATGACAATCGTCGCCGTCATTTGTCCGACGCCGACGAACAGAAACGAGGGAAATCTGTGAATGGGTGATTCGATTTCGATTTTTGAAAATCCAATTTACCGAAAATTCGTCAGCAATATCTTATTGACGAATACGATGAGCACCGAAATGAGCCCGTAGAAGACGGCCGAGGCGACCCGCGAGAATATCGACGACGTTTCCGGTCCAACGGCAGTGCTCATCTACAATTATTAAGAGAGTGATTATCGAGCACAAATTCTTCAGATAAAATCAAGCGGCGAATTTCAATCGACCAAGATTCCAACAAATGCAAAATCACCGCGATATCATCGTGCTCAATTTATTTACAAACAATTCGATTCATTTTGATTAAATTCCATAAATTATGGCAATTAAATACAGTAAGTAGAAATGAGAAAAATAAAAGACACACATTAACATGGAGAATGTCATGAATTATTGCTTGCGAAATGACGAGAAAGAGAAAAATATATTCCTGACAATTTGAAAAAAAAAAAACAAACCGGGAAACGATTGCCTCTAAAATCTACAAAAATCCTAAGGAAACGAAAACACCTTTCTGCTAGGGGAGGTATTAAAAATGATTTGATGACCATTAAAGGCGCATGAGCAAAAATCGTAATAAGGTCTTGCCGCATATCGAGAAAGATTGTGAGTAGATGTGCATAATTTGTGTTGGCTCTTTGAAATTTGTCTAAAGACGCATGGCGAAAAAAAGAAAAACAATTTCAAAACCGTTTCAAGGAGCATTTCTAGACAATTCCATACGTCAGCGAGGGATCGATCTCGAATTTGAACTCTTTGAGCGAATGCATTAGACGCGAGAAGTAGGTCAAATGGGCGCGTGTGCGCAGAAACGACGGCTCGTTGAACATTTCGGCGGTGACCGGCGAGATGTACATCAGCATGAGAAGGCCGGGAAGCGTGTGATCCCTGCAAGACGATCGAATGAACAACGTTAATGGCCGCTAATAAAACAAAAGAGGAGAGGGAGAGGGCGAAAAAAAACCAACGCGGCCATCATTTTATTGGTATTACACATACACCCAAAACCAAATTTGGCATGTCGTTCGAGACTGGCCTTCGAATTGAAAAAAATACGAAGAAGAGGGGCGTGGCCCAACAAAAACACTCACCTGATCGACAACAGCACAAACACGTGGAATTTGCCATCTTTGCCGAGCGACGATCGCGCGTCGATTTTTCGATACAATCTACAATTATTTTATCGCGTTTTTCGATCAAAAGCTTTGAATTGAATTTTTTTTGTGCACACAATTTGAGCTCATTCAGAAATTTTTGCGCGCTTCTTTTGGGCGAAATTACTCAATTTGAGACAATTAGCGCGCAAAATTGCGTAATTTCAGAGCCATATTCGATAATATTTTTCAAAAATTTAAAGATAAATCTCGTTCCACTAGGCTAGATGAAATGAAAAAAAAAAAACTCACTTCAGCGCGTAATGAATAATCGCCTTTTGTCCATCAGGCAACTGGCCTTTCTTGCTGCAAATATCAAAAGCCCACGCGATGATTCGTTCTAAAATTTCGGCATTCTCAATTTCAATAAAAAAATAGCCATCAATTATCAAACCAATATAATCCCACGGGTAGGTGCTTCGGAAGTAGTTCATTAGCGATTCTTGCCGTCCGATTTGGAACGCCTGTTCGATGGCAGGCACCAATCCGCGTTGTCCGCAAAGCAGATGCGGCAGCTCGCTTTTGATTTGACGCTCCGCGCAAAAGTATTTGACGAGCGCGTTGACGGCCTCGCCCAGCGCGTGTTGCACTTCGTTCAGCTTCGATTCTGCGATAACGACGAGTTCACTTCGAGACCAATTATTACGAGACTTACTTCGACTCCTCGGTAGTGTATCTTGTCCCCGTCCGCTCGACGGACTCCGCTCCCTTTGTGGCGTCTGACTTCTGGAGCTGATCCGCCGACTCCTGAATCCTCGTCAAATTTTAGCACCGCGTTGTTCGTGCTTCTTCACCAACCTGGCCGGCGAGCACGGCTCTCCGCCAATCATTTCCGATCTGTCAGCTTCAATGAACGGCTCGGCAATCAGTAGCCTCTCGAGCGTCGAATCCTCGCTAGCGCCAAACCAGCGATCCTCGCCGAACCATCTGCCGCAAGGGAATCGATACGTTTGACCGGTGATCTCATTCCGAACAATCACATGATCCAAATACCATTTGTGCGGCTTCTCAGTCGCCTGATGACCAATTCGAAGTGTCGTCAGAACGCCAAGATTCTTGTGCTAGAAATAAATAAATAAATAAACGATTTCAGGTGTTGAGGGGCGTGGCCTACGTCAAACTTGAACAACGGCGTGTTCGACTTCAAATTGATTTGCGGACTCCGACACAGTGTGCCTTCTACCGTAACCCAAATCGCCGGCAGAGTTCCGCGCCAAGTTCCCGTCACAATCACCACTTGATAGTCCATTTCTGAAAGGCAATGAATTGTTTGAAAGAAGAAACAACAGAATTTCTCACTAGTTTTAGTGAAGGTGTTCGTGAAACACCGAAATTCGGCGGCGTTCAACGACAGAATATGGAACAGGAATTGCTCGCGCTCCTCCTCGCTGGCGACGAACGCGTACGGCTTGTAGAGCTCTCGCATGAGTCGACTGTTGGATAGAAGTGCTCCAAGATGTTTGTGAAGCAGCTTACGCTCCAATGCGAGTCGCACAAAAGCCCTAGCGTAACCAATGTCGGTCTTGATCTCGGTCATTCGCAGCACATTCCTAGCAACTCGGATATTACAAGGCAATAATGAGAAGCTCACTTCAAATCATAAGCTAGATGGGTTGGCAGCGGCGAGAGCACAACCCGCGCGCCATCCGGTGATCTCGCTCGACTCGACGATCGCGTCTTCCTTGGCGATCCTTCAACACTAGCGTAACCCGATGCCAGGTTCGATTGCGATCCATTCCACGCGGGATTCGTAAAGTCTAAAAATAATCAATCGAAAATTTTGCCACAATCTCGACGCAGAAGCCAAAGACATCAAGCCACACATAATTAGAGCGGCGGATTTTTTTTTTCCTGGGCGTGTTAAAGGAGCAAACGGACAAGAACAATCATCACGCCAACACTACATACAAACGGAACGAGGGAAACAAACCGCTATAGCTTGTCGATTTGCGAATGATCGGCTCCCTACTCGAGTTTCTCGATCTCATTCGTCCGATGGCCGATTGAATCAACGCCGGCCGTCGCGGCGGTAGATCGCCGCTCGTCGCCTCCGGATTCCCGTTAGCATCCTTTGTGATTTTGTCGGCGATGAACGTCGCCGCGCGTAGGAGACTCTTCGACCACGGCTCGTCACCGCCGCCGCCGCCGCGTATCGAATCGACGATATCGCTGATCGCCGCCATCACGTCGGTTTCGTTTTGCGGCGAGAGAATGATCGGCGCCGGCACCTCGTCGATCGGAATTTGACGCGACGACGGCGGCAACGACGGCGCGCGACATCCGCGTTCGTCTGAAATCACAACGAAACGTACAAACACAACTACTACACACAGAGATAAAGAGATAGAGAAAAAAAATAGAAGGCATGGTGTGGGGGGCCCGGCGACACAAACATCAGAAGCCATTCCATCGTCTTGCGCGGCACCAAATCAATATTCTAACCCTTACGTTCAATTTTTCGTCGTAATACGAGCCACGCTAGTGCTAAAATTAACAATAATACCTTTATCGGTGTGTGACGTGATGGGCAGAAGGGGGGTAGGGGGACGATTGAGGGGCATCGAATAGGAAAGTGGTGGAAAATAGAGGTGAGAGAAGGTTTTAAATAGAACAAAATTGAAAATGATTCGGTATACCTGGTGTTAGCATTGATGTCGACGCGGCTCTTGTCGTAAGTCCGGGCTTCTCGAAATCTTGGTGTTGAAGCACAAAATTCCATATCGACGATTTGCCATGTTTATTTTTGAGGCCATGCGCCCAAATACGCTCGAGTAGATCGCAAAACGACGCCACCAATGTGTTCTCTTCGACGCCCGTGATTCCGGCGTCCAAATGTCCCAAATTCACCGCCTCTTTGCCCATTTTGTCGACAAGCATTCGCTTCGTTTTTGCTGGAGATCGAGAGAAAAAATGAATAAAAATCATCGAAAAAAAAAACCCTAAATCGTGTACCTTTCGTCTCTTTGAGGAGTTGCTGCACAAAATTGAATTGCTGTTGGGCGAGCTGCTGTTGACTGGAATCCGCCTGGAGAATTCCGGCGCCACCGTAAACGCTCGTCGGCCGTTGCGACGGCGATGAGTCGTTTTTGGTGGTGGTCCGTAGTCTCGCGTACCGTTGACGCCACGGACTCGGCGCCGGACTTATGAGGTTGGCGCCATCGAGAAGACTAGTGTTGAGCTTGTCAACCGGCCAACATCCATCGTATCTCATCGCGAACGCGCCATCGAGCGGATGCGGCGACGGGACCACGTAGTCGGTGGTTTCCTCTCTCTTCGCGATCAGCTCTTCGGTGGCGACGAACGGCGGATTCGCTTCGTACGTTGGCGTTCGGACAATCGACACGCCGAGGTGTTCGCGCATCTTCGCGATTCTCGAATCGAACAACGTCACCGCTTCATCGGGCGTCTCCCATTGCGACAATATTTTCGCATCAATGAACGAGGTGAACATTTGGGTCTCCAGAAACGCGGCGAGAAACGGCAGATGGCTGTTCGGCTGATCGGAGAGAAACGAAGCTTTGTCGAAACTCGCCATACTCTCGCGATTCTGCTCGTACGTCTCGCGATCCTCGCACCCTTGGCCGCCGATGACGAAATGCTCGTACGAATAGAACATGTCGACGAATCGATTCAGAACGCATTCGCGAATCGCGTTCGTCACTTTCGCATCGGTGAAATAATGGCGCGCGATCGGCGAATCAATGTTCTGCCCAATTTCCGCTTCGATGTTGTCGACGTCGACGACGACGCCGACGCGTCGAGCGATTTCAGCCACCCTAAAAACGATGAATTCGATTCGAAGTATTCGAAATTCAAAAAATTCTTACCTGGACACTGTTGAATTGTTCCTGAGCACATTCTCCAGGGGTAGTGGCTGAAGCTCACTTCTAGAAGGCCTTCGAAGACGTCCTGAATCTATAGAATCCAATGAGCAATCTTCTAGCTAGCCGTTTCTTACCATTCAATTCGTCGGCGAATACATTGACGTCTTCAAAATCGAACGATCTACTCATTCGCTTCATCGCCCATTCATCATTCCTCCGATTCGCGCCGCTCTTCTGCCTCATCTTGATTTCCGGCGCCGTCGGCTCGGCCGAATTCAATCGTTGGAGCACCTTTTTGATGTCGGCGACGAGTTGATCGAATCCCGGGAACTTTGGCACCTCTTCGGGTAGATCAGCGATTCCCGTGTCCAAATCGACAACGCACACGTTGAGATGTCGAAGCGATGGCGGCACACTATCCTCGTAGCATAAGCCCATCACATAGGGAACCTAGAGGAGAGAATCTCAGAACCTGACGAATGGCAAAAGCTTACCGGCGCTTCGACGAACTTGAGCTGAGAGTAGGGCAAGACGGGAACGTACACCATTTGCCATCGGAATGGAAACGAAAGGGCTAGAAGGGCTTCGGAGACGCTCATGAGTCTCGCAAGATCTTTGGAGCACAGAAGAATCTGATGCTCCAAAAGGAAACACGAGAAGAGCTTGATGAAGTTCTCAACGAGCATGAAATCGAATAGTTTTCCAATGGAATCATCGAAAAATGGCAATTCTTTGGGTCCCGGCCGCTGGACCACTATTGTGGTGTCCAATAATGGAATCTAACAACGAAAAATGTAATAAAATAATTTTTTTTTGGATATTCCTACCTTCAATGTGGTCCCCGGTGACGGCATCGGCACCTCATAGAGGCACCAATAAATATAGCTTTCAATTGGCAAGCTCGGCGAGCTCGACGCGGTCAACATCGAGTGCAATACTGATAATAGAGCGCTAGTGGCGTGGACTAATGGCAAGCGAGTGGTTACACATATCGTACGGGACCTTCAGAAATAAAAAAAATGGAAGTTCAGAATTTCCTTTTTTGAAATCTCACATAAAAAGGGTGTTCTGCCCGCCTCCTTCATAATAGGACACCCGTTTCGATCGATCTCGCCGACCGCGCGGCAACGTATGGGTGCCGCCGGACACGGTGCCCGGTGGCAAATGGGTCCGTTGACTATTCTCGTTGGCCCCGTGACGCTCGGTGAGCTCGCGCACGTGCTTCTGATGCAGCTTCGACATTTCCTCGCAAATCGCTGGATCTTTAACCTCCTAGATTGAAAAAAAAAACCAAGTTTGGAATTTTATTCGTCGTTGCCAACCTCGTAGAACGTTAACGCGGTTCCATTGATGCGACTACCGTCTTCACGAATATTGGCGAACGAGTGAATCGATGGTTTCGACGGCACATCCTTTTCGGTGTAGAATCGAAGGCCTTTCGGCATGCATAGCGGCAGAATCTCGTCGGGAAACGGATTACTCGGCCGTCGTTGCGGAAAATGGTGAAGAATTTTGGCGACGAACGCCCGCTGCAATGGTGTACGTACATCCTGGATGGTGGATTCGCCCAGCGATTGGCAATGATCATAAGATGTGTCAACCTGCAATTTTTTTGTGTTTTCTCTGTGCTAAAAAATTTTATTTTTCAATTTTTCTGAATTGTTGTGACTCATCGCCATGACGCATTTGTTTCGTACAAACGTGTGTGCCTTTTTTAATAAAAAAATATGAAGCTATTTTTGGCAAAAAGCTTACAACAAGGCCAGTGTCCGGATCATAACCAATTACGGCGAAATAATCCACCAATGTGGTGTCAATGTTCGTCGTCATTTTATTCGATCGTCATAATCTGAATATTATTACACAATCGTGGCGGTGTTGCATGTAGAAAAAATTGATATAGAGACGCAAAAAAAAACAAAGAGATAGCGCGCAACAGCTGAGAAAATCCGGTTTATTGATGCGGAAAAGCTGAAGCGATCGAGAAACGCGCCATGCACGCCGGACACTGATGTAATTCTCGTGTGCGCATTTTTCGACTTTTTAAAAAAATTATTCAAATTTTGAAAAATAAATTTCTTCGGGAAGGAAAAACGTGAAAAATGTCGCCACGTGTTGCTCGCGCGTCTTCCGCTCGCCGCCATTTCAAAATAAATGAATTCAATGGAAACGACCTTGACGCAAGGACGCTTGGCGAACGGCGATGAGAATGCGACAAGTTCGAATTCGCAAGTATGTGATTTCATTTTGGGGGGTAGCGGAAAACAAAAACACACCAACGATTTCGAATTTGCAGACGCCATTGAACAAAGTATGCCGAAAAAAGTATGAATGACATGCGAATTGACAGCTCATTGATTTGATATTTGTTGAGGTTTTCGCGATTCCGACATAAAGAGTACCAATGCGATGATTGCGAGCGAATGTTCACGTTGAAGCACAATTTGCAGAACCATTTCATTTTGGTAGAAAAAAAAATAACTGCGCGCCAAAAATTGCGATTCGATGAGCATTTCTCGTGTTTTAGTACCACATGGGATGCAAAACGCTGAAAAAGCCGTGCATCTCAACGACATGCCAAATCTGCTTCAAAATCTATTCGTCGCCGTCGGTGCTCAACGATCACATGCAGGATGTGCACAAGTAATTTTTTGTCGTTTTGGCTTAAAATCAAAATAGCGCGACAATGGAGAGATAGAGAGAGGGAGAGAGAGAGTAAACGAATTGCAGTGTGACGGCGGCGTCGAAGGAATGCGATGAGTGCCACAAGAAGTTTTTGAACGAGGCGGCGCTGACGCGACATATGAAGGCGGAGCATGAGGCATCGGTTGCCGGTAGTGCCGGCGATCTGAAGAAATGCCCGTTTGAGAATTGCAAGCATGATGGATTCCGATTTGTCAAGGAATTGAATCAGCACATTCGCGATTGCCATCGGCAGGCCAAATATACTTGCTCGATATGTGCCGCCTCTTACACGAAACTTGCCAACAAAGAGAGGCACGAGAAGAGCCATATGGGACCGAGGCTTGAGAAAGGTAAAGATTAAAAAAAAAGGAAAATTTTGAATTTTTGAAACTTGAAATGTTAAATCTCTAGCTGTTCATTTTTCGTGAATTTAAGCGTTTTACAAATGTTCAAAATTTGCTTCAATTTTATAGGCAAAAACCCCCCTCAAAAAATTGAATATTTTAACGAATTCTCATTCGTTTTTTTTTTCAAATTTTCTATTTTGCTTAATTAGGCGCGCTGGGAGGAAATGGGCAAAGAAATTGCGAGTAAATGTAAACAAAACGCGTCGATTCGACGATTTTAAAAATAAATTCAACGAAATCTTGCACTATTACACGTTTTCGCGAGATTGAGCTCATCAAAAATTTATATACGAATTTGAAAATATACAGAGCGAAACGAGACATCGGGATTCGTCGAGAAACACGATTTGGATTCGCCGATTGAATTGGAGATTGATGAGGCGAAATCGGAAAAAGTTTGCCGTTGTTTGCGTTGTTTTAATCGAAATTTACGATTTTGAGGTGTCGATGAATATTCAGGCCGACGATGATGGATTATTACTGCCGGCACGCGCGCGCAATTTCCATCCGGAACTCGAAGCGATGCCGATTAAGCGGAAAGTGGCGCGGCGAATATGTCGCGACGAGATCCTCGCGAAAATTCAATGAGATTTTCCTGTAAATATGAAATTTGTTTTGATTTTTATATGAATAAAACGGTTTTGTAGCGAAATTTAGGCAAAAAAAAATATTTAATTAAATCGATTTTGCGCGCTACCGTAATCATTGTGCGGTTCACCGTGACCCAACAATGCACACGATTTGGAGTTTCACGTCTAAAACGCGTTTTCTCATTTTCTAAACAAAATTCTCGTCGAACTGCTAGTCAATGAAATGACATTAGACATTAACAACTATTCGGAAATGACTCGACGCAATCGGAGTCCGATACCGGCGAAGACGCCAGTGGTGGTTGGGTTTTGATCGCCACAGAAATTCAATGGTCTGTTTTAAGCATTACAGTTTGCCGATCGTCGACAAACCGCAAAAAGAGAGCTCGTCGTTTCGGAGCATCTCGCCGATGGTGCTCGCCGGCGAGCTTCGAAGCCCAACGCGTCGCCTTCGCCTCATCCTCATCGATTGTCGCTATCCGTTTGAGTACCTCGGCGGCCATATTTGCGGCGCCATCAATATTTATGAGGTGCACGAGTTGGAGCGCAAATTTTTCGAGTTCGGCGCGGTTCGAAGCACACTCGAAGGCGTGATACCGATATTCTATTGCGAGTATAGTCAAGTGAGAGGACCCGAAATGTAATAATTATTGAATTGGGGGCGCGAAATTTGAATATTCTAGGGCGCGTTGCCTTCGAACCATCGATATGCGCTATCATCAGCGGAATTGGTCCCAACTGGATTTCCCCGAGATTTATCTACTCGATCGGGGCTACAAGAGATTCTGGATGGATGAGTCGTTGAGGGTACCTCATTTCGATTGATCGTGGACTACGGTGGCGATCGTTTCAGGACCTCTGCACGCCCCATTCGTATGTTTCGATGAACACGATGGCCTATCGGCACATCTTGCGTCAGTACACCCAGCATCGACGGTCGAAGAGCGTGTGCGCTGGAATGAAGGCGTCGAAGCGACGCCAACAGATATTCAGCGATCATTGCTTCCATGTAGGGAGGGATGGGCTTGTTTCAGACCCCCTTGATTTCTTAAAACTGATTTTCAGCAGCCAAGGAACGGAGCGAAGACGCCGAGGCGGACGCTGAATTTTGCCGACGATTAATCAATGTATATAGCGAATTTTACGAATTTCCCCCTTTTTTTTGAAAAAAATATGAAGCATCTTTTTTTTGTCGATTTGTTGTGTGGCGTAACCCGGAAATTGTCCGCAGATGTTTATAATTAGAATCCAATTGGCTGATAGCGAGTTAGAGAGCAAAATTTCGCACAATTGATTATTTTTGTGTTTCGTATTGTATATTCTTAAAGGCGCATCGCGTCAAGACCCCTTTTTTGCTGGTGCGTAGGTGCTCGTGTCCGAGGCGTCCGAATTTTCGGCGGCAAACAACCGCCGCCTGTGACTTCATTAGAAAGTGCGAATCGAAATCCACACGGGACCAATTAGGCGTCGAATAAAAAGCGAGGCAGACGTCGTCGGCGGTGGCGACGACGACGACGACGAATGGAAACCGCAACGACGCGCGATGAGCTTCTCGCGAGCTTACAACTCGCCTTCTTCATGGACGGTTTCGCCGAAATTAGCTCGGCGCTGATTTGCGTCGCAGGTAGGATCGATAAAATGTCGATGCGCCTTTAATATTGAGAAAAATAATCGAAGAAAATGCGATTTCCAAAGAAACAATTGTTTGAAAAATGCTATGACCGAGAAAATCTATAAAAACCTCGGCCACGGCCATGATATTTTGAAGGCGACAAAACCGCAATTTTCTTTATTTTTTAATCAAAAAATTTTGAATTTTGCGCTGAAATTTTTCAGGATTCTTGCAGTGGCTGTAATTTTTGAAAAAACATGGCCGTGGCCGAGATTTTCATTGATTCTGCAATTTGTTTTTTGAGGGGGCTTTTTTGTTGCAAAATCTACAAAATTCCTCATTTCGAATCGCTTTTTATTATCGTAGTAGGCAGATTTTTTAATTAGAAAAAATTCTTAAAAAACGCTTTCAGAATGACCGAAAAAAAACTAAAAAAAAAAACTCGGCCACGGCCATGATATTTCGAAGCCTACAATACCACTATTTAATTTTTTTACATGGTAGTCCTTCACTAATGATATAAGGCACATTTTTCACGATTATTGCAATGGCTTCGAAAATCGTGGCCGTGGCCGAGTTTTCCAAAAATTCTACAATTTGTTTTTGCGGCGAAATCTGCACAATTCAATTTTTCCAAATTTCTTATAGTAGTATGCAGATTCACAAAAAATAATTGCCGACAAAATAATTGAAAAAACCTCGGCCACGGCCATGACGATTTCATAGGCGCCTTGGCGAACTTCACCCTGATATTGCTCATATTGAACTGCACGCCGAACACAATGAAATCCTACTCGGTGTTCCTGTTCAACTTCGCCTTCTTCGACCTCTGCACGTGCATCCTCTCATTGTTCGCGTGCCAAAAGTGAGGAATCGCTGGCCCCCCGAGTCGGCCATCAATCGCAAATTGCAGAACGGTGTTCTCCGGAATCGCGTTGATCTACATCTTCCACGGACCGTGCAAATACATCAGTGCGTGGTTCTGCTATTTCTGCCATTGTTTCGTGTGCCACTCGCTGGCCCACTCGCAATGGATCCTCCTCGCCAGTTTCATCTACCGCTATTTCATTCTCATCGGCACATTTCCAACGATTCGCACGATGATCGCCATCTCCATCGCGCTCTACTCGATGTCGCATTTCATTCTCGTCACCTACGTGATGGACATTGGCGATTCCGACGAGTTCATGCGAATCATCACCCATCTCCATCCACAATATCACTATGACGATGAGAGCATTTGGGGAAGTAAGGCCGTCGGGTCCAATAATTTCCACTGACGCTTGCCGACGATTGCAGAGCTCGTGCTCAGCGGCAACCTCTCGATATTCCAGCCGTTCACGATGTGGGCCATCGTCTACATGACGACGCCGTGCGTGCCGATCTACGCGCTGATCCTCTACTATCGCCATCGAACGCTGGCGATATTGAACGACAGTTCGGTGAACATCTCGGACGCCGCGAAATCGTCGCATCGCAAATTGATACAGGCGCTGACGATACAGGCGATGATACCGATTTTTTGGCTCATGGGCTCGGCGATTTTCACCATGGCCGAATTCGGCGTCATTTCGGGACCGATTTTCGAGAACATCATTTTCCGATTGATGGACTGCATTCCGTCGACGAGCCCGTTCATTTCGATCATTTTTATTGGTCCCTACAGGTTTTTTTTTAAATAGTGTTCACAATCTATTGAGAAATATAAGAGACGCAGAGAGACAGACTACGATCTGTGAGAGGCGCAGAGAAATAGAGATCGAGCGAGAGTGAGAGGGTGCTAGACAACGAGACGTTTCAATAGGGCGCGTTTGTCGACTTCCGTTTTCTTTTTCCCGGTTGCAACTATGCTCATATTATGCGAATAATTGCGTGCACTTTTTTTCGATGACGTCATTTATAGCGTTTTGCGTGGGCGGGGCGAGGCTGCACACGGTTTGCAATTTGTTTTTCTTCAAAATCATTTGTATAATGGTCCAAAAATTATAATTTTTGTTCAAAATGCTATGCGCCTTTAAGAGCGTACGCGAGAGTCGAAGACCGCAACGAAGTTTGAACGCGCGGTGTGATTATTATTGTATCATTGTGGGTCTCGTAGGGAAGAGGAGACAACGCGAACAATAGGCAAGAGTTACTGTAATTAAAGGCGCACGCGGTTAAGCTGCGAAATCCAGATGCTGCGCTGAGTGGCACTTGTCATCAAGTTATAAGGGGACTGTGCAGCGACGCAATAGCTCAGTGGTTGCGCTGTTTGACTCAAAACTGCTCGGTGAAAATTAGCGGGCCCCGCGCGGGTGGAAATGGGTGGTTGGACCCGCGCGGGGCCAGCGTGGGTCCAAATTATGCCCAGCGCGGGCCCAAACAGCTATTTGGGCCCGCGCGGGTCATATCTGCGGGCCCCGCGCCGGTGAATATCTCAGAAGGGCTCGCGCGGGTGCTTTGCGTTCAATGGGAATGGAGGGGCCCGCGCGGGTGAAAATAATGCGGGTTTCTCAGGGGCAACTGCGGGCCGTAAGCGGGGCTCTCTAAGGACTCTCGTGAGGCCATCAAATGCGAGGGGCCCGCGCGGGCCATTTGCGGACACCGCAATATATCAGCGTATTACAGTTTTCCAAAAATATTTTGCAAAAGAATTAAACATGTTGTGTATCAATTAAAACATTGTTCAAAGTGTTTGAATCATCACGTTATGTTCTAGCAACGCCAAGAACGTTAATAGAATTTTTTGAAACTTGAAAATAATTGTGAAATGGGGTGAAGGATCAATATTTCAGAATCTCTGTGGTTTGTTTTCAATTGTTCGAGTACTATTGTTAAACACAATGTTGACTTTTTAAGTTATTAAAATAATTTGCACATTTTCGACTCTTCTTGCTTTAGTATCTAAATGTCTGACTTCATGCATAGGAATGAGAGCCCTCTTCAGATGAAAGGCCCTCTTTTCAGTCCAATAAGCTTGCCTGGAATATCTGAAGCATCAGCTGAAACTCTAAACATTCGCAAACACCTTATAAGGGGCCATCACGGTTTGAACAACGGCCGTATTCTTTTCGGATGTGGTCGAATTCGATTGGGAAACAAGACATTTTGCGTTCGGAATATTTTATTTATTTTAGTTTTTTTTATTAATATATTTATTTTTTTTATTATTTTTTTTTGAATAATAGGCGCATTTTTCTTATTGAGAATTTCTGGACTAATCTCGTTCACAGAAAAAAGTTTTAGTGGAAACAGAGTGTACGACACTCCGCCGTTAACACGTGCCCGCTGTTTATCGTATTTTGTTTCAACCGTTTTGAATTGTTCGTTCCAATCACATTTAACTCGTCCAATTAATTGGCGAGTGTCTAATTTTTAAATTAGTTTTTTCTTACTTTTAAATTTAATTATTTCAGTCATATATATGGTAATGGGTTCCAAGCGCAATGTAAAAAAAAGAAGAATATTTACATTTAGTAAGTAAAGCCAATAAAATTAAATACCGTGCGTTGCAGAATTATGACCACTACACGGTTACTTTTTAAGACACTAACATAAAAATTGGTACGTATAGGTAATTTTTTATGCTGAACACGATTTTAACACTGCTTGGTCTTAAAATCGAAACCTGCGCGGCGATCTAATTCGGGGGTGGCTTTATAATTCTGCAACGCACTCACTGTATATATAAAATACAATATTATGTTTAGATAATGTGTCAACAGTTCGCAAGGAAATGGAATATAGACTACAAGAGAAAAAAAGGAAGAATCAGACTAGCTGTTGCTCGAGAAGACGGTATTGGTTTCCTATCCTATTAAGATGTTAACTTCAGCGGGTTGGAACTTTTAGTGATTTCCGTATTTGGGGATGGTTCATAATTTCAAGATAAGTGCGGTGCAGAGGCGCGCTGGGGTTAAGCGAAGGTTTCGAGATAGTACTCAGCCAAAGATTTATTGAGAAAATTTATATTTGGGTAAAATATTATTAATACAATATATTTTGAAAAGCGAAACTTTAAAGTTGTATTTGAGTGTTCTCTACAGATCACGTTTTTTCAATGAGCGAATACCGCGAAACATTGAGAAAAAATTGACAAGTTAGCGAACTTTGGGCAATTCTCGAGTACCTAGTTTAATAAAACGAAAACATTTTGTCAAATAATTGAGGATTGGTTCAAATAAAGCCCAAATGTCAATCAAATATAAATATTTGTTTATTTTAATAAAAAATTGTTATATTTATATCGAAATTTCAGGGATTTCACATCAGCATGAAAAATAATGGGTCCGTTATGGCACAAGATTCATTAATTATTGAAGAACCTTCAGAAGTACTATTGAGTAAGTTCCTTTTCATTGTTCATAACTTTGGCAATGAATGTACAGACGGTTCACTATAGACTTATCATAATATGATAAGTCTATATAGTCGGCGTCCGTCGACTGCTGCACGCGGGTAGATTTACGTGCATGCGCCTTGAAAAAGTCTCGCCACGTGTGAATGCTTATTTCGCTGTTTTCGCATGAACGGTTTATTTTTTCTTGACGAGTTTCGCATTTTCTTGCCCCAAGATAAACGAGCATCGCCGTAAATCTACCCGCGTTCAGCAGTCGACGGACGCCGACTATATCATATTATGATTCCTATATTTCAATATTCTATTTGTGGTTTTTCAGGAACATTATTCTCCACAATTAAAGAGTGAAATTCGAGCCATGTGGATGCATAGGAATGTTTAAGTGTAATTTGTTTTTTCGTTTAATAAATGTTTCATTAAGTATATAATTGTTAATTAATTGCAATATGAATCTCGTCTAGAATTTTTGGCCACGCAAAGGCGATATGAGGGCCCCGCGCGGGTGAAACACAAGGGCCCCGCAACGGTGATATGAGGGCCCCGCACCGGTGATATGAGGGCCCCGCGACGGTGATATGAGGGCCCCGCACCGGGGATATGAGGGCCCCGCGACGGTGATATGAGGGCCCCGCGACGGTGACATGAGGGCCCCGCACCGGGGATATGAGGGCCCCGCACCGGTGATATGAGGGCCCCGCGACGGTGACATGAGGGCCCCGCACCGGGGATATGAGGGCCCCGCGACGGTGATATGAGGGCCCCGCACCGGGGATATGAGGGCCCCGCACCGGGGATATGAGGGCCCCGCGACGGTGATATGAGGGCCCCGCACCGGGGATATGAGGGCCCCGCACCGGTGATATGAGGGCCCCGCGACGGTGACATGAGGGCCCCGCGACGGTGATATGAGGGCCCCGCACCGGGGATATGAGGGGCCCCGCACCGGTGATATGAGGGCCCCGCGACGGTGACATGAGGGCCCCGCACCGGGGATATGAGGGCCCCGCGACGGTGATATGAGGGCCCCGCACCGGGGATATGAGGGCCCCGCACCGGTGATATGAGGGCCCCGCGACGGTGACATGAGGGCCCCGCACCGGGGATATGAGGGCCCCGCGACGGTGATATGAGGGCCCCGCACCGGGGATATGAGGGCCCCGCACCGGTGATATGAGGGCCCCGCGACGGTGACATGAGGTATGAGGGCCCCGCACCGGGGATATGAGGGCCCCGCACCGGTGATATGAGGGCCCCGCGACGGTGACATGAGGGCCCCGCACCGGTGATATGAGGGCCCCGCACCGGGGATATGAGGGCCCCGCGACGGTGATATGAGGGCCCCGCACCGGGGATATGAGGGCCCCGCGACGGTGATATGAGGGCCCCGCTCGACGAAAGTGTTTGCCCCTCAATTTTCACCCGCGCGGGACCCGCAAATCGTTGTTTTCACCCGCGCGGGGCCCGCCAATTTTCACCGAGTGGCGATGCTGGGTTCGGTTCCGCTACGGGCCAGGGCGTTTTGCCAGATTTTTTGTTTTCGCCAATTTCTGAAGAAATCCGCTCGCCGACATCGAATTAGATTTCAGAACAAAACCACCCCAAATGCAGTGTTTCTCAAGTTGTCATGAGAGTCTCCCATCGAGCACACTCCTTAGAACTTCGTCTATACTATTTTTTTGTGATTTTCCAGATTGAGCCTCGTGAATGTCCTCAACAAATCGGGGCTCTTGACGAGTTCGCGTGTGGCTTCCTCAATAGTCGATGTAGGTCGAATTCAATTCATTTCAATTATTTTTTCCCCCTTCATCCTTTCTTCAGCGCACCACCCGCTACATTCAGACAATGAAGCAAAGCACGTATTCAGTGCCAATGGTCTAATTGAAACCCTTTCATGTTGTTTGTTGTTGTTGGTCGTCGCCTATTGTACTCTCAACGCCGATAAATTTTGTGTTTAGAATGTCGTCGAAATCCGACAATTTTTTCCTCCTCCCACCTGGCATACGGTAGATTCTTGTGGGCGGCGCCTCGCGAAACGCCCTCTTCTAATATCCCATATTCATTTGTGCGATGGAAGCGACCACTGAAGCCTACGACCGGCGGGCTCTCATCAAACAACTCCAATTCGCGTTCATCGTCGATGAAGTCGGTGTGCATATGTCGGAGGTGATCTGCGGCATCGGCATGTTTCTCAACGGCCTTCTTTGTTATCTCATTCTCACCAAAACGCCAGTCCATATGCGGGCGTATGCTGTATTATTGTTCAATTTCGCGTTTTTCGACTTTTTCACGTGTCTCGCTTCATTGTTCGCTTGCCAGAAGTAAGTGTTTTTTTGTTTGTTTGAACACCTAGCTTTTAACCGCGACTCTCCACGAGCGCCACCGCGTGGTTCTATGGTGTAGCGGTTAGCACTCAGGACTTTGAATCCTGCGACCCGAGTTCGAATCTCGGTAGAACCTAATCACTTTTGGCGATTCTTTCAGACCGTACTTCACCGGCGTTTCACTTGTCTACATCTTTTTGGGACCGTGCAAATATGTGGCGCCGTGGCTTTGCTACTTCTGCCATTGCGTCGTGTGCCACGCGATGGCGCACTCGCAAAATATTCTGCTCATCTCATTCATTTATCGCTATTGGATTCTCGTCGACATTCAACCGCGAATCGGCCAGATGATCGGCCTCTCAGTGGCGTTCTACTCGGTCTCGCTCACATTCTTCGTCTTCTATTACCTCGACATTGGCGATTCGAGCGAGCTGATGCGAATTCTGACGACGTTCCATCCGCAGAATCACTACGACGACGAGACCATCTGGGGCAAAATCACCGTGTCGGGCAACACGTCGATTTTTCGAATCGCCAGCCTCGCGGCGATCGTCTACATGACGCTGCCGTGTGTGCCGATCTACGCGCTGATTTTGACCTACCGCAAGAAGACGCTCAAAATTCTCGCGAGCTCGGCGCTGAACATGTCGGAGACGACGCGCAAAGGCCACGCGAAGCTCATCAAGGCGTTGACGATTCAGGCGGCGATTCCGCTCTTCTGGCTCGTCGCTTCCGGCATCTTCACCATGTCCGAGTTCGGCATCGTCTCGGGACCGATTCCCGAGGTTATCACCTTTCGTCTCATGGAGTGCATTCCGATGACGAGCCCGATGGTCGCGTTGATCTTCATCAGCCCATATAGGTTCGTTTGTGTACCTCGCGCAAAAAATGATGAAGAGCTCATTTCCAGAATCGGCCTGCTCAAAATGATCGCGAAAACCGGTTTGATCAAGTACGGCGACGGGAACAAAGTCGGCAACGTCGGCGGCGAGTCGAAGAGCAACGCGAAACCGTCGGCCGTCGACACCGCCGCCGATTTGGCATAAATTTCATTTATTTTTCATCGATTCTCTCTATTTTTTTTATTTTGCAAATAATAATAATAATAAATGAGTGTGTTGCGTTTGTCGAGTGTTGGCTATTGGTCATTTTTGAGCTGCGGACATTAGCGAGGTTGCGACGCGTAGGCGTGCCACGTTCTTCACCACTCGAATCCACGACTTCTTCGCGCGCGTCTTCTTCGACGTCTCCTCGTATTCGCGAAGGACTTGATCGCGAAGCGCCTCCTGAAGAACTAGTGCTACAGTAACCAAAGGGCACCCACAGTAATCTTGAACATTTTTTGTCACATAGTCACAATCTACAGTAATCGTCTTGAGCCAGCCCCCCCCCTCTCAGCTTACACTTTGCCGACATCTCCAGAAGTATTGGACGAAAAGCCGACGGATGAGCTTGTTGCCGTTGGCTCGCACGAGATTCCGCTGCTTCATCGTCAGACAGTTGGCCGGAATCGCCGGCTCGACGAGCGAAATGACGCGATGGAATATCGGCACCGTTTTCCAGCAGCTGAAATGTCGCGTCACACGATACACCTGAAACTAGTGCTACAGTAATACGTAGACGGACAGCGAGTCTGATGTGAGTCATTGGGGCAGCACAAAACCAAGAAACACACACACAATTTTTGTAGTGCGTCGTTTTTGTCGCGCGGAAATTGTCCGCAGCACGTTTTCGATGAAAGCGCACAATTTGCGGCGACGACTCACCCGCACAATGTCGACGCGTTTGATTTTGCCGCGCGATTTCGGATCGACGCGATAGGCGCCGCGCAGGCCGCCGCGGCACATCAGCGGCGTCACACGATAGAAGTCGTCTTTCCAATTGTCGGTCGCGTAGTAGTGCGTTGTCGACATCGTCGGCTTCCAGTGAATGTTGTCCGAGTCGTCTGCAACAAAAAATCAAGAAAATGCTGTCCCCGCGTCGAGGTTGCCCAACTTGCCAGATCGGACGGTTTACGGAAAATGAGTGGTTTAGAGTGGGAAAAAATGATGTTTCATTTTTTTCTCAAAAAAATGCATTATTGAAAAGCAAATCATGAAATTTCTAAACATCGAATTCTTTATTTTTGACTATTTTCGGAACTGCCCATGGTCGAGGTAGCGCAACTTGCCAGATCGGACGGTTTTCAAAACATGATTTTTTTCGGTACGAAAAATTAAAATATTGTCAAAGAATTTGCTTTTACAAAACAATTTTGAAGATTTTTTAAAGAAATAATTTAAATTTTGGTCATTTTTTTTACGGCTGCCCATGGTCGAGGTTGCCCAACTTGCCAGATCGGACGAATTTCGGGAAAAATTGATTTAGTGACCAAAAAATGGAATTTTTGCTTTTTTTTCGAAAAACAGAATTCTGAAATTTCTAGACATCGAAGTCTCTGTATTTGATTATTTTCGGAACTGCCCATAGTCGAGGTAGCGCAACTTGCCAGATCGGACACTCCAGCCTACCTTCAATCATCTGAATCGTCACCAAATTCCCATCGCACACGAAACAACTCGTATCGACGACATCAGAAGGCGCCGTCTGAATCAATTCAATTTTGGAATTTTGATTTCAATCAAAAATTTGATGATTTACAGGCGCGACAAGTTTTTTCGGGCATTGGACCGCGTGCAAAATCGTGTGGGGACCATCGAGTGGATGCTCGTCATCATTACTGTACACCGGAATCGCCTGTCCACCTATATATTTTTCCAATTTCTTTTTTTTTTCGCCTCAACATTTTCTGCACCTTTTCCAGGATGCGTCATAATTTCGACTTTTTGACGACGTCTTGGCCGCTGCGGATCAATATTATTCTGCGATTCGTCGTCCGAGAACCCGTTTTCCTCTTCCGATTCACTTTCATTGTCGTTATCATCAATGATATCCGCGAATAGATCATCCTCGACGAATCTGGGCGATTTTTTTCTTACGAGAGACACAAAGACATACACATAAAGAGAGAGAGGGCGAGAGACACGTAGAGGCGGCCACACACAAAAACGCCAATCGTCGCAATCGTCGCCGTCCGGTTCTATGGTGTAGCGGTTAGCACTCAGGACTTTGAATCCTGCGACCCGAGTTCGAATCTCGGTAGAACCTACTTCGCTTTTGCAAACCTTTATTCTCAAATTTCAAACAATTCATAAGTCGAAAGACGTTTGTCAAAGGATAGGGGAGAGAATGCCGGAAGAAGTAAAAGAAGACAGAAAGGAGAAAAAAAGGAGGAGACCCGGAAGAATAAAAAAAAGTAACGAACATAAAAGAAAAATCGAGTTTTGTGTCGATTCGGGCGCCTGAGGACAAATTGGACACATTTACATCTTCTGAAACCTTTTACGCGCCGCTGGATCCGTCACAAATCGCAACAATCGCTGCCGCCGCGGATCGAACTCCTTCTGCACACGCGCCTTCTCAACGGCTTTCGCATTCCGCCAAAGGTATTGCACGAATAGGCGCTTCTTGAATGTGTTGCCGCCGGCGGGCGTCGACGACGGCTCATCGACGACCTTGTCGATCATGGTGACGATGCGATGGAACGAGGTGCACGTCTTCCAGAACGAATAGAACCGAATCACCTTGTAGACGTTGCTCAAAGGCACCTGGAACACGAGTTGCGTCAACGATTCTTGATGACGAATCCCACTCACCTTGTTGGCGTCGTGATGGGCGGATCGATTCGGCGTCGAATGGAACGTGGCGCCCGATATCGACGAGCGCGGCGTGTTCGTCATACTGTGATGCTGCGGTTGCGAGTTCATCGACGACGAGGCGGCGGCCGACGCGAGATTCTGATGATGCGACATCGACGTCGACGGCTGATGAATTTGGGTGGCAAGTTTCGCGGTGATCACCTTGCCCTTCGCAGTAATACAATTGACGCGATGGAATTGGCGCAAATCCTCGGAGTAGAAGTATTTGGTGGGTCGCGACGTGTGACGCCACCATTGATCGTCGCCAAGAATGTCGCCCATTCGCACGCGTTCGCCATCGACCACAAAACAATAGTTGTCCTCGACCATGACCGGCGGAATGCCGTCGGTCAGCATACTCGACGGCGCCGACATCAGATTCGCCAACGCGGCTTCCGTCTGCACGGTGTCGTGGTGCACCGAATGCACCGGCATACTCTGATGGAAGATGACGGGCTCGTCTTTCGAGAGAAGCGCTTGCGGCGACAAGCCGGAATCGACGAGCTCGAACGCGCCGAGGTCGATCTCGTTGCTCGGATAGCGCTGCTTCAGCGCGTCGACGTTCACCGCAATCGGCTCCTCGTCGGATTCCGACGATTGACTCTCAAGCGGAATCGGGCTGCAAATTCACCAAGATTTCATCATTCGCGTTTTCAATCAAACGTCTTTCTTTTGTTTTTGTTTTTTCGTGATGCAGGTAAGAAAAGAAAAGAACATCGGATGATTCTAGGGATTCGGGTTGTCATGCTCATCAAACCTTGGCATTTGCAATTCGCGCTTTCCAACGTCATCGACGATCGGTTGCGCCTCGTTGCAATTGTTGTTGATCGGCACCTCGGCGATCGCGGCGTGACACGGCGTCTGATAGTGGACGATCGGCGCGAAGCAGCGCGACAAGCCCGCCGACACCAATGTCGACGAGCTCGTGTAGTTCTCCGTGTAGTCGCTGCGAATCTCCCACGAGATCGCCGTCGACGGTGGTGTGCGGCTAAAACTCAATGAAAAAAAAACCAACTGGAAACCAAAAACCGGTGCTTGACGACTATCACAGAACACATTCTCGGGATAAGAAATATTTTGAGGTCCAGAAAAATTTTTTTTAATCAATTATAATGGTACCTGTCATTGTCGTCGTCATCCTCGTCGATGTCAATCTCCTCGTCGTCGAGCTCCTCATCCTCCTGAATATCATCCTCCGGTGGGTACTCGAACGACTTGGAAGCCTCTTCAAGCATCTTGATGTACGAATCCCAGTCTTGCATGCACGCGAGACCGATCGGCTGTAATTTATCGGATTATGATGGTCCCTAGCGCAATATGTCGAAAAGAAACGAGATGCGGGGGAGGGGGGAGAAGGTTAAAAAGCCAAGCCAACATGCAAAGCGTACCGATCTAGGGCTTATCAACACCACCGAATCCGGCGACGATTCTCGCGGCGACGTTCGCACAAATTTGAACAGTTTCGGTAGATCGTCTTTGATGCACACCTCCGGTCGAAATTTGCGCGGGCTCACGTTGAGCCAGTCGAACGAATGAAGCGGGTGTTGTTGGCGCGCTTTGCGCTCTTTGTGTTTGCGTTTGAGAAGCGGCTCCGGCGATTTCGACTCGTCGATGATCGAGAGCCGCTTCGGCGAGAGGACGAGACGCGGCACGGGCGGCGGCGGCTCGTGAATTCGCGGCGGATCGACGATCGTCGCCGTCGTTGGCGCGTCGTCGACGCCGATCGGCGCAAGATTCGACGGTCTGAAAGAAGCGGAAGCGATCCTCGAGCATGCAGGATCATCATCGAAAGCGTCACACACGGCGGCCAAATTCGACAGCATGAATGGTTGCGGGAGGCGAAACGTGACGGGCTGAGCGCGATAGAGCGGCTCGACGCACGTCGCGACGTGCTGTTGCGCATGCGATGAATCGCGCGCGGACGACGCGCCGCGCTTCGTCTCACTTACGGATTCGTGCGATGGCGGCATGTCGATGGGCGGACACGACGCGCAGCGAGAGCATTGCTTCGCCTCTTTCGCTGAAATCATTGCAAATCGTTGGGACCCCCTCTTCTATCAAGTACCAATACTCTCATAATCGAACGTCGGCGAGTAGAGGTGACGATGCAGAAATGACAGCACACTCGACGTCGGCGACACGTAGTTGTCCCAATAGGCTTGACGGACGTGCACCGACGGCTCCGTCGACAGCGAGCAATGATCGGAGAGCGTCGGACCCGATTCGGCCCAACTGTCGCCGCGTTCGCGCTGCTGCAGAAATTGACGGTAGACGCATGAGCGCGCCGACGAGGCGCTCCAGACGCTCGGCTGAAATGAGCGAATCGAGTGGATCGTCGGTGTCGGCACGTCCTCCTCGTCGTAGGTGTCGTAGAAGCGGAGATTGAACGCCGACAGCGAGTCGTCGATTCGCATCATGCTGTTGTGAATCGACTTCTCCTCGAGCGGCGGTCTGAACATCAAATATACACATAAACGGTGTTGAGCCGAGATTCTTACACTTCGTGTTGTTGCTGTTGCATCTGCTGCTGTTGCTGAATCTGCTCGGCCTCCTTCTCGATGTGATGCACATACATTCGAAGGATGTCCTCGCCTTGGCCCATCGCGAGCCGCCTCTCAATCATCCGCTTGCGTTTCAGCAAATGGAGAAGATCGGTGCCGCGGAACTTTCGGCCAAAGTAATGGATCTTCTGAATGTACTGAATGCCGACGAGATCGATGCACATGGTGGTGACGGAGAGGCCGACGCCGAGATAGATGAGCATTATCACAATGTAGTCGTGATTCTCGGGAACGATGTCGCCGAAGCCGATAGTGGTGAGTGATATGAACGCTGAAATCGTGTTGGTGAGCGCTTCAAGAGTTTTCATCGTGACGGCTTACAGTAATAGAAGGCATCCATGTAGGACCAGTCTTCGAGAATTGAGAACAATATTCCGCCGAACGCTATGTACAGTAGGAGAATTGTGAACACCATGAGGACGGGCACCTCGGTTTTGTCGATGACGAGATCCTCCCAATCCAACGACGACGAGTCGGGCTCCTGCGAGTTTTTGCGGCGATCCGCCGACTCCAAATCGGTTAGGCTGAGCTCCTGACCGCGGAATCGGCGCATCATCACCTGGAATTGAAGGCCGCTTCGACGCATATGCTTGTACAGCCAAATCGTGCACTCCGAGAGGAATTTGCCGAGATCTGAAGCAATGATTCTTTTTTTTTTCATTGGGATGATGGCTCACCTCCGATGGTGATGATGGCTAGCGGGGCGCCGAACAGAGCGAAGATGACGCACGCGATTCGACCCGACGACGTCGCCGGCACAATATTCCCATAGCCGATTGTCGCCATTGTGGTGGCGGCGAAGAACAGCGCGCTGCTCGCCGTCCACATCTTCTCGCTCTTCTCCGATCGTGTTTTGCCGTGTCGATGCCGCCGTTTTCGATCGTTCTCGTCGTCATCGCTGCTTCGTATCTCAATGCCTATGTTTTTCACGTCTGAATACCTGAAAAAAAAACGAGGCGAACATTTCATTTTGTGGTTGTTGGTGTTGGAAAAAATTAAAACGAAACAAATTTGGTGAATAAAATATTAATTACCTAACATATTGCTCTTTGAACGCCTTGTAGAGCTTGTCGCTGTAGAGCATGAGCTCCGCGCCGAGCTCATCTCTCCAGATGTCGTTGTTCTCTGCAAATTTTCACAATTTTTTCGGGAGCCGCACACCTGCAAAACACCGTGCGGCAATTGCAAGCTGAGGTAACGCCCACATTGTTTTTTTTTTGTTGGATTTTCTATGAAATTTTTGCAAACTAAAGAAAAATGTGGGAATTGAAGTGAAAGGCAGACAAAATAGAAAAAAACCTTCAGAATTAATTTTGCTAATTAGACTGGTGCGCATTTCGGCGATGGTCCGCTTTCCAATGGCCTTGAGGCGATCCTCGTTGGGCGATTCGAGACGATAGAAGATGTAAGCGCCGACGATCGCGTACAAGCACACGACGGCCACAAGAGCGACGTGCGGTAGCGCGAGTTTCACGTACTGCAAGACGAGAAGAGCAATTAATGAAGCGCGTCTCAACGGCGTGCCTTTTTGAGGTTCTGCACCGGCGAGCTCTCATCGTTCTCGCCGGCATTGGTGGTTGTCTCGAGCAACCCCTCGATCTCTTTCAGCTGCTCCTCCATTCAAGCCATTTGGGCGCCCAAAAAAATGTGTTGTTGTTGTTGTTGTTTATTTGGTGTGATCAACCACCAGCACAAGGCGCCGGGTTCACTCGTTCGTCTATTTCTAAAGATGATGGGCAGATTAAAGGGAAAACGCCCGTCTAATTAGGAAACAACGACGACGAAACGAATTCTGACGGCGAAACCTTGGGTTAATCGAAAATTCATTGGGTCGACGACGGCCGACGCGACTTCAAAGATCAACAACCGCCGGTTTATGGGCATGGATTTTGAACAATGGGATGATAAGATTGGAAAAATTGAAAAATTGCTTCAATCTAGGCTGAAATTGATATTTTTTCCAGAAGTTCTCCTAGAAAAAATTGGGATGAAATCACATTTTTCAATGGAAAATTCTTGAAAAAAAAATTGATTGATTTTCGAAAATCGTCCGATCTGGCAGGTTACGCAACCTCGATCCATGGGCAGTTTGGGAAGCTTATGGAACTGAATCAATACTTTTTGGGCAAATTTGCATTTTTCAATTTAACTATCGATTTGATAGAGACGATTCTGAAATTGCACTTTTGAGAATAATTAGCGGACCATTGAAAAAAAAATCCCCACCGTCCGTCCGATCTGGCAGGTTACGCAACCTCGAGACGCGGCAGTCGAATAAAATCCGGAAAAAATTGATTTTTGAAAAGCTTGCCTTTTTCCAAACAAAAATTCCAAAACAAAAATTCCTGACACTCGCCATTAAAAAAAGAGACCTCGTCCGATCTGGCAAGTTAGGCAACCTCGACTGCCCACAAAATTTGTGGCAATAAAAAAAGTAAATTTCAGTATTAATCAATGGGAGCAAAAAAAAGGCACACCTCGTTTGGTCATAATTAAATTTGCAAAGAAGCGAACATAAAAAACGCAATTGTCTGGTGGCATCTCGAACTTTTCCTTTTTTATTACTTGCTTTTTATGGTCGACTATTCATGCTACTTTTTTTTCTTTCTTCGTTTTCTTTTTTCTAGTTCATCTCCGAAACCATTGAGGCGACCGAATAAAAAATGCTCACGGATTGCTCATTCGAAATTCATTGAAAAAATGTGCTATTTTTGTTTTTTCATGGAATTTTGGTTTTGGTTGGATTTGAAAACGCGCGCAATTAAATGTCTGCCATTTAGACCTATTGGTAAGCAAGTCATCATGGCTTTTTGGCTAGAGCGTTGCGCTTTGCGCAAAAGGTGGCGGACTCGAGGCGTGGTTGCGTGCCCGCCTTTTGCGGCGCTCTTTTGTTAGCGCCTAATTGCAAACCGGTGAGAAAGCGAAGCGCAACTAATTCAATTGGGCTCAACAACTTCCTTATAAGGCGAAAAATGGGGCAAATGGCAATAAATATAGTAATAATAATGAATGAATGGTGGAAAAATATTTAGAAAAACAAGAATCGCGTGTGTTTGACGCGCGTCGCGAAAGAACGATGACGACGGCGGCGAGAGAAGGGGAATTTTCTTTTTTTTTTCGGTGGGCCCCCACCGAATACATTTCGACGAAATGTTGTGCGTTGAGCCGCCGCCGCCGGCATGTATGCTCCATATAAGCGAGTGTGTGTGCTCATGGAGCAGAAGAAAGAAAACTGGCAACATTGATGGGACCAAGCTAGAGAGTGAGCCGCACACAAGAAAAACGAAAGAGAAGCGAGTGTTTTTTTTTTTTTTGTCTTTTTGTGCTGTCGGGTTTTATTGCTGAAATGTCGACGATGGTGGGTAGATCAAATGGCGGCAAATTTGAAGTTTTTGCGATTTTTTTTTGCAGCTGTCCGGCGGGAATTTTGAAATTGCCTGAAGAAATCGATAAAGAACGATTTCATGAAAAAATTTGACCTTTTTTGGCATTTCTTCGTAATTGTCCAGAGTCGAGGTTGCCCAACTTGCCAGATTGGACGGTTTTCAAAAAATGAAAAATGAATAGTATAGAGTTGAAAGAAAATGGATTTTGCATGTTTTTTTTCCCAAAAAATGCATTATTGAAAAGCAAATTATGAAATTTCTAGAAATTGAAGTCTTTAAATTTGACTGCCCATAGTCGAGGTAGCGCAACTTGCCAGATCGGACGGTTTTCAAAAAATCAATGGATAATCGGCGGTAAATTCAAATTTTTCAAATAAGCGAAATATTGAAAGATGTCTTTTCAAAAATTTTCCAAGATATATTTTTAATCATTATTTTTGTGGAAAAACTGTTCATAGTCGAGGTAGCGCAACTTGCCAGATCGGACGGTTTTCAGAAAATGACTGTTTTTAAGCGGAAAACGTTATTTTTTAATTTTTTTTTGAGAAGCACATTTTTTAAAAAGCAAATTATGACATTTCTAATAATTGAAAATTTGATTTTTCGCGATTGTTTGATAGCTGCCCACGGTCGAGGTAGCGCAACTTGCCAGATCGGACAGTATTTTTTTGTTTCGTGGCGGATTTTGAAAACGTCGAAAAAAAAACCCGAATAAAACTGGATGGGAGAAAAAAAAACAATGGAATGTTGGTTTTCAATAGGAGCGACGAGTGGCGAAGAAAATGCGCAGACACAGACATACTCAATTTGAGGACGGCAGCGTCGACGTTTGAAAAATGAATCTTCCTTATTGGTCTCGAAGAGAATTTGCGTTGGGATGAGGAAAAAAAAACAACAATAACAACACGAAACTCAATTTGCGTTGCGATTATCAAACGAATTGTTTTTTTTTTTTAAAGTTGACTGTCCACAGTCGAGGTTGCCTAACTTGCCAGATCGGACGGTTTTTTTTTGGAGGGAGTTTCAAATCTCGCATTTTTTGATTGGAAATTGTTAAAATGTTCGTTTCTTTGCAAATTTTATTATGACCAAACGAGGAGTGCCGTTTTTTGCTAAAATTGATAAATATATACTGAAATTTACTTTTTTTAATTGCCACAAATTTTGTGGGTAGTCGAGGTTGCCTAACTTGCCAGATCGGACGGTGTTTTTTCGGCGGGAGTTTCAAAATTTCGGATTTTTTTATTGGAAATTTCAACACTTTGAAAAGAAACCAATTCAACAAAAAAATTGCCCATTTTTCTCTCTCGAGTTGTTTTATTCGAGACTGCCGCGTCTCGAGGTTGCCCAACTTGCCAGATCGGACACGTTTGATTTATTTGCGGCTGAGAAGAGGAGAGGGATTAGAAATGAAATTTTCGTTTGAAGAACACCGGTCGGCAAAAAAAAAATTGAAAAAAGTGAAAGTTTGGAAAAAAACGAACAATTTCTGGAAAATTGCCGATGCTCGACGTTGCTCAACTTGCCAGATCGGACGGTTTCTAAAGAAAGGTTTCAAATTTCAGTGGTCCGCCAACTTTTTTTCGCAGGAATGTTGCATAGTTTAACTTTGAGCATCTTTGATGCGCCTTTAAACAAGGTCTCACAGGGATCGCTTAATTTCAGCTTGTTAGCCATAGTCGCGGTAGCGCAACTTGCCAGATCGGACGGTTTTCAGAAAATCAATGGATGTTCGACGGGAAATTCGAATTTCTGTCAAATTTTCAGCAAAAATTATTATGCAGAGAAATTTTGAAGATTTTGTTTGAAACCATTATTTTTGTGTTCATTTTTGAGTACTGCCCATGGTCGAGGTAGCGCAACTTGCCAGATCGGACGGTTTACGGAAAATGAGTGGTTTAGAGTGGGAAAAAAATGGATTTTGAATTTTTTTTTCAAAAACGCATTGTTGAAAAGCATATTATGAAATTTCTAGAAATTGAAGTCTTTGACTGCTCATAGTCGAGGTAGCGCAACTTGCCAGATCGGACGTTTTTTTTCTCTCGATAAATTCGAGAAAAAAGTGCAATTTCGCGTAACCAAAGATCGTCAAAAAAAAGTAGTGGGGCGCAGATTGGAGAAGCACGCCTAGCAGTAGTAGTAGTAGTAGTAGTGCTATTGGCATTTTTGTGAGCACACGCGGCCAAGTGGACATGGTGGGGAGGTTTTCAAAAGGAGTGGGGGGGTAATTGCTCTCGCAAAAACGGCTCATGAGCATGAGGAGGAGAAGACAAACGAAAATGGTGGTGGTGGTGGTGGTGGTGGTGGTGGTGGTGGTGGTGGTGGTGGTGGTGGTGGTGGTGGTGGTGGTGGTGGTGGTGGAAACCGCCACCACATTTCAGGCAATTACCTCGTCGTCTTTTTATGTTGTTGCTCGAGCCCAACCCCCCCCCCTAACAATCTCACACTCAATTTCGGGTTAAACACGGAGCTGGACGAGATACGGGGGGGGGGACACAACTGGCCGATTTTAATGAGCTTCAACTTGCCGGCCGAAACGAGACGCCGCTTCTAAGCTACCGATTTTCGGGGGGTGGTCCCACTCTCTCGACGCAAATGGTCCGCTTCTAACAAATAACAACAACAACAACTAATTGCAACAAAAGTGGGCTGAGAAATTGAAATTCGATATTTTTCGGTCGCACGGGCATTTTAAATGAACACCGTCCGATCTGGCAGGTTGAGCAACCTCGAGCCATGGGCAGTTGGGGAAGCTTATGGAACTGAACTCAATACTTTTTCGGGAAAATTTGAATATTTCAATTTCGCGCCAAAAATTGATCGATTTGATGGAGACGATGCTGAATATCCATTTTTGTGAATAATTAGCGGACCATTGAAAAAATAATCCCCCGTCCGTCCGATCTGGCAGGTTGCGCAACCTCGAGACGCGGCAGTCGAATAAGCAATTCAAAAAGCAAGCTTTTGAGTGTTGATAAGGAAAATTTGGATTTTTCAAAATTTTGAGAAGCGAAAAAACCGTCCGATCTGGCAAGTTGCGCAACCTCGACTCTTGACAATTGCAGAAATTTTCAGACCTATGCGATTTCCAGTTTCTGAAGGCAATTAAAAAATATATAAATGCAGAGATTCTTTTATGCGCCTTTAAATTCGGTCATCGTTATCAGAGGTCTTAAGGATTTGATTCCGCGACCTACCGCGCCACAGGCACTCACAATATCACCATGGCCGCAGTGCGTTGATGACAATATTCAGGTTTCAAGACTCCTCGATGGTCCGTGGTCCAACCAATAGCTCCGCCACCTTGGGAGGATTTCAAGAGAAATTAGAAATTACGGTAGCTACAGTAATCCCAAAATTTGAATTCGACAAGCCAGTTTCTCATCATACGAACCCCCGGATTAACGGACCATTCAAACCATCGAAATATACACACATGATTACCCCCCCAATCGGTTGCTCATTGCGATTAGGTCGAAAATAGAAATGTCAAGCTAGCAGAAAATTCGAATTCGATGGAGCAAAAAAGAAATGAATCGCGTCAAGACCGATTTAAAGGCGCATCGTCTTTTGTTTCAGTCTTCCCAGATTTTCAGAATCTATGCTGCCTTTTTGTTCTGGTTCGAGGTTCTCCGTGTGGACTACACAACACATTCGCTCGTACCAATCGACGCCAAGTCGATGAGTGAAATACGCCAAATGGGCGCCAACGTGCCCAATTGCGATATAAGCGATTACGTGAAATTTCAGAGAATCGAATAGCTCGCATGAAGAAGCGTTCATCTGGAAACCATTCTGATCTTTTGGCTTAAATTATTCCTGCTCGTCCAACGGACCCCCCCCCGCTCAATTTTCCAACAAACCCATGCGACGCTGCGAGTTCGACAACGAGCTTCTCCTTAAATCGATTGCGACACTTCTCGCGCTCCTCATCGCGCCCGTCTATCTCATCGCGTTCTACGCCCTCATATGGAATTGTCCCAAGTATTTCCACAAGTATCGCACACTGCTGATGCTCCACGTCGTCGGGTAGCACTTATTCGTCACCTTCCACCCTCTAGATCATCACCATTATTCAAGGAATCTGAGCTTCGACGCGTTCATGTCGTTCGTCTGGCATCCGCACTTCATTCTTCCATGGGTGGCGTGCTGCGCAGTCGGCATCGCTTGGCAATTCCCGTACGCCATGTTCACCATGTTCTTTGTTCATATCGTGTGAAAGGCTGATGGACGCAGTGCGTTCCCAATGAACACCTTCAGACGCCGGCGTTGTGATCATCCGCATTTCAAATATCGAATGGAATGCGTTCTCATCGGCCAGTCGAGGCATCCGCGGGCGAAAGGCGTCGCCAAATTTTTGGCAATCTTCCAAATCGTCAGCATCGCCACGATAACGGACTTCGTCTATGGCCGGCAATGGCTCGTCGATCCGCAGAGGAAAATTGAACTCAATCAGGTGAGATTCATTATCCACGTCAAGCTCAGTTCAGACGAATGGACCATTATTGGAGGTCGTCTATTGTGAGCAATGTGTGCTCATCGCTAACTTCAATTACATCCACACCTACATATTGTTCGTCGCCTCCGCGTTTCTCATGATCTCCGCGATTGTCGCCATCGCGTTTTGCGAGCTCAGCGCGCACGCCGCGCTGAGCTCGATGCGCTCGCGAGTCTCGCCGAAAACCCACGAGCTCCACTCGTCGTTTTTGCGTTGTCTCGTCCGATTGGTCGCCGTCCACGTCGGCCTTCTCGGCACACCGGTCGGCGTGTTCGCGTTGGCGCATCTCGTCGAGTTTCGACATCGTGTTTGGAGTTGTGAGCTTTGCACACTTGAAACAGAAGGCCTTCTGAGAGTGTCTACAAAATTGCAGCCGGCCTTGGAGAGTTTCAGACGAGTTAAAACTGTGGGAAAAAAAGAATCAATGCAAAAATTCTCGGGCGGGTGCCGAACCTTCATCAAAAAGTTACAACCCTATATACTATCCACTCCGCTACACCAGACATCGCACGGCAATTGCCAAGCAGCTAATATGAAACCGCTTGCCTAAATGACTACTGGCGATGGAAAATCATCTAGAATTTTCAGACGGCCATAACTGGGGCTGGAATTTTGTGCGCACACTTAGAAGGTCTTCAAGTTCAAAATTCGATTAAAAAATGTGCAAATTTGCCATTATATAAGCGCCGCTCAAATTTGCCCATTTTCAGATTTCGCCAACGCGCTGACCATCCAAACGTCGATTCACGGCGGCCTATCGACGCTGGCGATGTTGTTCTACACGCGGCCGCTCGTCAACAATCTGTTCCGGAAAAAACCGTCGCAACGCAATTCGGTGTCGAAATTCTAGTCGATAAATCAATCAGTGTTGTCTCTGTTGTCGATTTACGAGCCCCAAATTTCGTCATCATGTGAAACTGCGAGAATTGCCTATAATTGTGGGCGTGGGCGGGGGGCGGGGCGACCCAATTATGTGGCGCCAATTTTCACCAATAATTGCCTAGATAATTGATGTCAAGCTTAATTATATGAATAATTAGGGGGCGAGAAAGAAAAATCAATGTTGGGAGGGGGTCGTTCCGCTTTATTTTGCCAATTCGTGTGTGTGTGTTTTTTTTTTCGCTGCTTCGAGCTCTGCTGCTTTTATTAAACAAGTGTGCTTGCTGCCTAAGAGAATGAGAGAGGGAGAGAGAGAGAGAGCGCGACACGAGCAAAGCGCGCAGAGCAGCGGCTCACCGCCATGCCATATACATGCATATACGACGGCTCAACGAATAGAGGAGGTGGAGGAGAGGAGACGGATTCCTCTTCGATTCTTCCCCCCCCCAGCCATTTCGTCGTTTTTTTTGTTTCCACTTTTTCTGGCTGTTTTACTGTATTTGTGGTACACCGTGACGCGAAATTGCACGAATTCTATTTTGTAGAGCTAATTGCGAAATATTCCAATCTAAGCCACCATCAGTGTGTTACTGTAGGTTGCTAGGTACACCGTGACGCGAAATTGCACGAATTCTATTTTGTAGAGATAATTGCGAAATATTCCATACTAAGCCACCATCAGTGTGTTACTGTAGGTTGCTAGGTACACCGTGACGCGAAATTGCACGAATTCTATTTTGTCGAAGCAATTGCGAAATTTTCAAACATTCAAATTTATGCCATAAAGTTTGCCTCACAAAAAAAGGGGCTATCGTAATAATTCAATGTCGTCCGACGCGTTGCGGTTCGCGTATTGGAAATTTTTCAAATATGCTTCTTTTCTTTTTTTTTGGGAAACACACTATAGACGATTTTCCGTCGGCGTTACTGTAGGTACACCGTGACGCGAAATTGCAGAAATTTCATTTTTTCGAGCCAATTGCGAAATATTCAAATTTAAGGCACCATCAGTGTGTTACTGTAGATTGGTAGGTACACCGTGACGCGAAATTGCAGAAATTTCATTTTTTCGAGATAATTGCGAAATATTCAAATTTAAGGTACCATCAGTGTGTTACTGTAGATTGGTAGGTACACCGTGACGCGAAATTGCACCAAATAAGATTGTTTGGTCATTTTTATATCATCTTTTTGCCCTCTCTCTGCCTTTTCGTCCGCTGATTCGCCGAAATTTGCAGTGGCGCGCGCGTGTGGCGTCGGGGTGCTTTGAGAGAAGCGATGCACGTCTCGCGAAGCGACTACTCGATTCGAAAATCGCGTCAAAAGTCGGTGAGTTGGCGCGAATCAATCGACGTCATTATCGACATTTACTGTAGGATGGTCTCGACACGATATGCGAGGAGCACGCGCGACTCATTCCGCACAAATCGGCGACGTTTCATGATTTGACGGCGACGGCGGCGGCGGCGAATCGTAAGCCTAATCTCCGAAAGATTATGCGATTTGTTATCGAAATTAATCCGGGTCCCTCCGCACGGAGCGCTCACATAGTGCATTTTTGAATTGGTGTTATTCATGCGAGGGGCCCGCGGGTTCGAGCCCCCCTTATGCTCCATAATTTTTGCAGAAATTTTGAGACCCCATCTAGAAGGCTTCTAGAGGTTCGCGGGTTCGAGCCCCCCTTAGGCTCCATGATTTTTGCAAAAAATTTGAAATCCCATCTAGAAGGCTTCTAGAGGTCCATGGGTTCAAGCCCCCCATAGGCCCCATAATTTTTGCAGAAAATTTGAGACCCCATCTAGAATTCTTCTAGAGGTCCATGGGTTCAAGCCCCCCTTAGGCTCCATAATTTTTGCAGAAAATTTGAGACCCCATCTTGATTTTTCTGAAAACAAAAAAAGTCACGAGCTCGATCCCCCCACCATATGGTTCGAATGAGGCGAGCAAAAAGCAAACAACAACAAGAATGATGAGATAAACAAAAAACAATAGTGATAGTAGGAAAATTTTGTTTGTTTTTGCCCCGGTTGGCGAAATAGTAAAAGAAGCTCAATTTGTTGTTGTTGTTGTTGTTGTTTACTCGCCTCTACCCCCTGACTAGTTGTTATTTATTTTGGGCCACCAGCTTCATCTTTTGTGACCTGAGCAACAACCCACATTAGTTAGTTGGACCCCCCCCCCCTAGGCTCGCTCGCTCGCGTTCAAGAATTCCAATTAAGGTTTGACGGGCCGCACGGAATACAAAGCGTCGGGCGGCGGCGAGTATTTTCGGTATCGCGCCGCTTCGACCGACACCGCGAAGCGCGTCAACAAGAGGAGATCGATTTTTCACGAGGTTCGTTTCGTTTTTTTTGCGTCTTTTTTTTTGAACATCTCGACACCGGATTAAATTCGTCTCCGGCTTTTTTTTCCGACTCTCTCGTGAATGACGTTGATTCTTAATCAGGAAGTCGGTGTGAGTAGTAGTCGACTCCTCTCCTGGGGAGTTGCACATTTCTTGGAAATGTGCCCCCCCCCTCTCAGCCATCTATCATTCCTCTGGTTTCGTTTTTTTTTGCTTGGCTTGACACCCAAATGATTATGGGATAGTTGTCGATTTACGAGATCTCGACCATCTCTTGACACTAGCAATTATGAGCCCTGGCTTCAAGTGATATTTTGGGTCCCAACTAGAATTGAGATAGTTGTCGATTTACGAGCCCTGGCTTCAAGCGATATTTGGGTCTTGCCAAGAAATTGAAATAGTTGGTGATTTACGAGATCTCGGCCATCTCTTGACACTAGCAATAATGAGATAGTTGTCGATTTACGAGCCCTTGCTCCAAGCGATATTTGGGTCCCAACTAGATTTGAGATAGTTGTCGATTTACGAGCCCTTGCTCCAAGCGATATTGGGGTCTTGCAAAGAAATTGAGATGGTTGTCGATTTACGAGATCTGGACGATCTCTTGACACTAGAATTTAAAAGATTGTTGTCGATTTACGAGCCCAGAGATGTTCGTTAAAAAAAAGATGAAAAGAAAATTCGGTTTCGAGGTCAAACTTCTCGAGTGTTCCCTCTCCCTCTCTCTCTCTGATTTTTCAAACAAATTCCAAATATGGCGGCGGCGGCGACGACGAAGAAGAAGAAGAAGAGCATTGAAGTGGAAGGGACCCGTGCGGACAACAATTGTCCCCCCCCCCTCCAGCAGCAAATGCTTCCGCTATTTGGTTCTTCGAAGCACCACACGCTCTCCTTCCTTCTCTCATATATATCCATATATATATATATTTTTTTTTCTGTTCCTTGTTTCTTCCCCCCCCTTCCCCGCGAATATTCGCAATTTTTGAAATTTCCTTTTTTTTTTGGAAAAACCCAATCGAAGATTGGAGGGGGTGATTTGAATTTTTTTTGAATTCCCGCCTTTTGTTGAATTCAAAAAATGCAAAAAAATTGTTTTTTATTTTAAAAAATGGCATTTTTTGAATTCCCGCCAACAAAAATGCAAAAAAATTTAAAATAAAAAAAATTCAAATTTTTAGAAGAAAAGATTTTTTTTTAATTTCGGCAAAAATTTATATACAAATTCGAATTTTTTTTTCGAAATTTTTGCATAAAATTTAAAATTTTGAATTCCCGCCAACAAAAAAAGCAAAATTTTGTAAAAAATTTCATTCCTTTTAAATTTCCGCCAAAAATAGCAACTGTGAATTCAAATTTTTTTGATTTTTTTGCTGAAACAATTTGAAGTTGAAAAAATAAAAAATATGCAAAAAAGGCAATTTCATCCAAAAATTTTTTTGCCAAAAAAAGAGCGAAGAGAAAAAAAATAATTGCTTTCAAAATTTCCATCGAAAGGGACCATTATTTTTTGTTTCCAAAAAAAATTTGGGTTTTTCTGAATTTGTTAAAAATCTCTTTTCAGAGATTCGCGGAAAAATCACATTTTTCCTTTTTTACAAAAAAAAATTCTGATTCAGAAATCAAAAATATACCATTCTGATCGCCATCTTTAAAGGTTTCCCAAGAGAGGTCCCGCGACGAAAAAAAAAATTAAAAAAAAAACAATGGGCGTCGCACTTTCAAATTGTTTTTCATGTTGGGTCCCGACGCGAATGATGAGGCCACCAGTGGGCGTGTTGTCCGAAATCCGAACTCGACATGATCTTCGAACAAAGTGCGTCAGCCCTTCATTTCTAGGGACCATCACGATCGTCTTACCGTAGGTGCAAGTTCAAAATGAAAGAAACGTCTGACTCACACTTCCAAATTTTCTTCTTCTTCTTCTTCGCCTAATCGTCCGTCGTTTTAAGCTTCATCTCTGCGCCTCTCGCCAGTCTCCAGTTTTTTTTTTGCCTGCCGACGACTAAAAATTTTGAGTGTTCATATATGGCCGATGAATTTACGAAGAGAGAGAGAGAGAGAGTGAGGGGCGCGCGCGCGCGGCCCCGCTCCCCTCCACTTTCTGGCCATGGTTATGAATTCTTGATGCCCTCGCCAACATCTCTCCAGTGGATGATATGAAACTTGAATGCCATCGTCAGCTGACAATCCATATCTGGGAGGCGCCCCGTCATTTTTTTTTTGCCCTCAACACTTGTGTGGGGAGGGCTCGTCGAGTGCGCGCGCATAACTTGTTTATTTACATTCTTGTATTTTGGCTCCCGAGGAACCAGCTTCCTCAATCCCTTCCCCTCTCTCTCCCTCTCTCTCTTCCTTCCTTCCAATTTGTTGATATCGCAGATGGGCGAACGCATACGGTTGTTCTCGACGACGTCCTACGTGGCGCCGGTCGTCGACAGCGCCGACGCGAGCTCGTCGCATCAGCCGCCGACGAACGCGATGGCGAAATCGCATTCGCTGAACAGCGTCGAGGAGAACGGAGGTATGGCCATCTTCTTCTTCTTCCCTCTTTTTTTTTCCCAATTAGTCTAAATGGTCCCTCCCATTTGAAGCGCCAATTTTCGTTTCGGCTCGTTGCCCGTCGAGTCGACGCTCGAACAAGGAGAAGCGCATCGTCGTCGGATCGCAATTGTCGCTGCCCGGCGTCGAAGACGCCCTCATCGACGACGCCGACGTCTCGCAACTCGGCATTCTGTGCAATCGATGTTCAACGAGCGATCTCGCGTGTTCAAAAATGCAAAAGGTGACGATTGTTTGAATCGCGCAGCGGGTGGCGCAAGGTCGCCACCTGTTGGCGCACCACACCCACCTGGCCATAGTCAACGCATTCCATGTTCCAGGAGCTTCCGTCGCCGACGGCTTCATCGGTCTACTCGCTGGCGCGATCCGATTTGTCGAGCGAGCCGCTGTGCCGAATATGCCATTGCTGTTGGCCGCCCGACTCGAACGATCCGCTCATCTCGCCGTGCCGCTGCTCGGGCTCCCTTCAATACGTGCACGTCTCGTGTCTCATGGTACGTCACGATTCCAGACCAGACGCTTCCGCAATTTTGTGTATATCCAGCACTGGCTCGACATCTCGTCGCGCAAACTGCACCGTCCGGCGATATGCGAGCTGTGCCTCTACAAGTATCGCCGACGACGTGTGCTCAAGTATCGCGAGATGAAGTTGCCGGCGTGCGCGCAAACCGACATCCGCTACTACACGCTCTTCGTCGCCGCCATTCTCATGATGATGCTGTCGGCGTTCGCCACCATCGTGTGTTTTCAGCTTGAGAAGTCCTATGGACATCAGGAGAGGGCTGCTGGCGCTTCGACGACGACCCCCACCACGACCTCCACCTCCACCATCGCCACCACCATCGCTGGCAGCAGCACCAACGATGAGAGTTTGATGGTGGGCGTTCGAAAGCGAATCAGTAAGTCGATGAATAATCCAATGGGTGTCGAATTGATGTTGGTTGAAGGCGGCGGCGAGAATCGTCGCGAGGACACCGAGAATATTCTGTCGACGGTCACCCTCATCGCGGCGATGGTCTTCTTTCTGAGCTTCTTCCTAGCCATGTATGCGCACGTCAAGGTGAGACCCTTTGAAAGAATGGTGGTGGGTGGTTGGTGTGATGAAATGCCGAAAATAATTCACCCACTCTCTCTTCTCTTTTTTGCAGTCGGGCCTCTCGTTTTGCGGCTATTTGACGTTGTGCTGGAGCTCGAATTTGGAGTGGTCGATCGAGGAGTACAAGCATTCGAGAGACACACAATACCTCAACAAATTGGAGGAGTTGCGGCGAAAAATTAATGGTGAGTACGGTGGCCTACCGTAATCCATTGTTTCGCGTTGTTTGGCGTATTAATTGAAATGAGGGTTTGGTGTGACATTGGCGAATTGGGCGCCCGGGTGTGGTGGCAAACAAATAATTACAATGCCTCGCCGCTAATTATTGGCGCATTGATGAGCTGGCATTGGATTACTGTGGGGAGGAGTTGCTTGTTTAAAGGCGCATTCAAGGTTTTGAGATCAACGATTTTAAAGACGCATTTGGCGGTCTTTTTTTTTTGAAGCGCAATTTTTCCAAAAACTTTCAGCCCATTTTTAAAGGCGCACATCATTTTTTTTTTAAATAAAATCCGGTTTTTTTTTTTAAAGATTCACAAACATTTTTAAAGGTACATCGCATTTTTTTTAAATAGGTCTCGAGGCGATTTTCAAAAAAAATTACATTTTATTTAAAAAAATTTGTTTTTGAAATCGGTTTTTTAAGAGATTCTTCAAAATTTTTTATGATTTCAAAAAAAAAATTGATTTCATTTTAAAGGCGCATAGCGTTTAAAAAAAATAAATTTTGACGAGATTTTTGAACAAAATTTAAGCCATTTTTAAAGGCGCATAACGCTTTTTTGAAATGGGTCGCAAAGCTATTAAAAAACATTTTAATTCAATATTTCACCTCGCATACGCATTATCGAAATAGAAATATTTAAAGGCGCACAAAAAAATGTTTGGAAATTCCCCTACATACAGGGTGTCATTTAAGTTCCCGCACAAAAGTTTGACGCCATGAAGAGCTTGGCTGTCACACTTTTCGTGCACCAATACAATTTATTTTTGTTAAATAAGGTATATTTTACTTACTTTCCAAGTTTCACCTCATTCGGATGTGTTTCCGAGAAATGGTGAAGGCTAACATCCATCGCGCTTCCATTATCGAACTTCATAAGCAAAATGTGAGCCCGAGAGACATCATTCAACGGGTCGGTGTGCCTTGTAGAACGGTTTATGACACCATCAAACGATTCAAGGAGCTAAATACGACCAGTGACCGTCCCAGACAAGGAAGACTCGTCTCAGTAACCACTCCTCAGAAGATCAACGCCGTCAAAACGAGGATCAGGCGAAAACCGCACAGGAGCATGAGAATGATAGCGTCAGACATGGGAATGAGCATCTTCGCTTTGGAACAAATCGTCAAAACGAAGCTTGTACTGACCCCATATCGTGTCCAAAAAGCGGCAATTCTATCGGCCGTCAACAAGCAGAGACGCTTCGAAAAAGCAAAACGACTTCTTGCTCGCACGCGGTCTGGACAAGATCTCGTCACTGTCTTCTCCGACGAGAAGCTATTCACTGTGGAGACGGCATTCTACTCACAAAACCATCGAGTACTTGCCCAGACATCCCAGCAAGCTTCTGAGAAAGGAAAAACAATTAATCGAGCCTCACATCCTGCCAGTGTGATGGTTTTCGGTGCCATCTGCTCAACCGGGATGTGCCCCCAGGATTTCGTGGATCAGGGAGTGAAAATGAACAAAGAAGTCTACGTTCGGGACATTTTGGAGAAGCATGTGATGCCCTGGACCCAAACGCATTTCGGTGGGCAGATATGGGTCTTTCAGCGGGACGGAGCACCCGCCCACACTGCCAAAACTACTCAGGAGTGGTGCCAGACCCATTTTCCCGACTTCATCAAGTCATCCGAATAGCCTGCTTGCTCCCCAGACCTGAACCCGCTTGACTTCTCCGTGATGGGGTCTTGCAGGAGAAGGTCAACGCAAAACCCCACTCAAGTGTAGAGGCTCTGAAGAGGACATTACTGGCGGAGTGGGACAATCTTTCCATCGAATACCTGCGTACCACAGTCACATCCTACCCGAAGCGTCTCCGTGAAGTCATAGCTGCGAAAGGAGGCCGAATCGAAAAGAGTTAATAGATAATTATTTGTTGTACTATAGATAAATAATATTTTGAGTCTCGTTTGATTTGGACTTTTAGTTTCAGAAATATACGTCTTCAAAGTTGTGCGGGAACTTAAATGACACCCTGTACAATGCGTTTTTCTATTGGTTGCCTACCAAAGAAAAGCGATGATGAATAGTCAAAGGGGGGGGGGCCCAATAAACGTACACATATATTATAATCCGTGGGTGGGATTATAAAAGATGGCCTCGTCTGATAATCATAATACTCACTCGATCGAATTTTGCAGAGAAGCAGAAGAAGGCGCCGGACGAGGTCGAGCCGCTGCGAAGCTCGGTGATTGTGCTCGAGTAATCAAGACAGCCAGTTTTTGTCGCCGGCAAAATCTAGCCATTTTTTGAGACCACTTTTTTCATTTTGTTTTTTTTTCTTTTCTCTCTCTCTCTCTCCTTGATTTCCCTCACTTTTTGCTCACTTGTGACCGCCCATGTCGAACGGGTCTCGCCGCGCCGTTGGACCAACTCCACTTCACATTTATTTTGTATTTTTTATTTGGCTGTGATTTTGATCTCGTTCAACAATAAATGCGCAATGTATGTGATAAACCGAAATTGGGCATTTTAGCGCGAAAACTGTCATATCGGATCAATTAGTGAAATGGCCTTGGGGGGGACGCCGCTGGCCCGGCCCGGCCGCTAATCCTCGCACCAGCCGATCGCCGCCACATTTTGCGAACGAGACGCCTTTTTTCGGTACCGCCCTTCTCTCAGTTTTGACACACAAATCCAATCACTCGCGCGTCGCTTTCTCTCATCATCGATTTCTTTGGCGTCGTTGTTCGACAAACGATGCCATTCGAATCGCTTCGTCGATAATTGCCAACCAATTATCCATATTTTTAAGCTGACGACCTTCAAAATCCATTTCGAATGTTTAATTATGCAAAAAATGTTTAATTGGCCGCGAGAATGTCGAATTTCGACGCGAAATTATTTCTCGCGTCTTCTTTCTTTTCATTTTTTTTCGCTTGCTTACTGTCGCGGCGAATAGTACGCAGCGCACCGAGACGCCGAAATGCACATTTCGATTTGAAATGCATTTATTTTTGCGCGCGCGCATTTTTTCGAAATATTGAGTATTGATGGGCCATTTTTACAGGAATTTGACTGCTTTTTTAATTTGATGAAGAGAAATGAGGCGGAACTCGTCGGCCAACGAAAAAAAAAAGCGCAATTAATTTCGGTGCAGCTGTTTTTTCGCGGTTAATGCGCAGTTTCACATCGATGTGTAATCCGGTGAATTCAAACTTCCTGAAGCACTCGCAACAACGAAAATCGATAAAAAACATTAAAGTGATTCAATTTCTGCTTTTTTTTTAGCCGAGGTTGGTTTTTACGAAATTATTTTTGTAGGATTTTGATGAACATTTTGTGGCTTCGCTGTGTGTCGCTTTTTTCGGCGAATTTCGACACGAAATTTCCAAATTATTGCAATTTTCCATTATTTTTTCGACAAGTTCTGCTAGAACATTCCTATTTTCAGTTTTTTGAATGGAAAAATGCGATTTTCCTGCAATTCTTTTTCCAAAATGCACGTTTCCGGAAGATTTTTCAATTTTTGTTTTAGTTCAGCGCAAAATTCCAACGATTTTCAATTTTTTCCCATGATATTCATCAAATTTCCAATAAAATCCACAATTTTTGATACATTTCGTTTTTAAAATCATTTTTGGTTTGAAAATTTATATACGTTTTCTATTTTAATATCAAAAATTCCAAAAATGGTCTGTTTTTTGATTTTTCCAAATTTTCAATGAAAAATCGAAACAAAAAAGCCGTTTTTGATTAAAATTGGAAAAAAAAAATAAATTTTCAACCCAAAAAACTATAGTTTTTCGAAAACGCCGAAAATAATTAGAAATTCCGCGATTTGTCGTCGTCAACAAAAAAAGCATCGTTAAAAATTCGCCTCGCCGTCCGTCTTTTTTTTTCATTTTCGTCATTCGCCTTATTCTTATCAAAGAATGACCCATTTATCCGCGTCTTGCGATTTTTTTCCACAAAAAACCGCATAATGATATCAATTTTTTGCTATTTTTTTCGTCGAAAATCGTCCAAATTTCGCGAAACCCATAAAAATGGAAATTTTTGTGTGTTTGTTTTGCCGTCAACCGAAAAAAAAAATCAAATATTTGTTGATTTTAACATCGCATTTTTGTCGAAAATCAACATTTCTACATGAAAAAATCAGAAAAACGCTGGAAATTTCATCAAGTAAACGTACGCAATTCGGCGTGTCGGTGTACTGCACACTTGCTCCCGCCTACAGTAACCCATTGGTAGCTCGATAATGAATAATACGATTTTTTTTAGATGAATTTCGAAAAATGTCACGTTTTCATGTGAAAAAAAGAGATTTTGTCAAACGATTGAAAAAACCACCAATTTTGGTGCCAATTTTTGGCGACAATTGTGACGGAAAATTTCTGAAAGCTTGACAAAAATCACAATTTCCATATTTAGTCATAAATTGTTGTATTGGTATGAATGTATATGTATAAAGGACCCCCCCTCCCCCCTCCCGCTCCCACATACACGCACACACACAAATGTATACAATCTGAGGCAAATATTATACAACAAGCGCCAGAACACATTGTTGAGACCCCCCCCCTCCGTATGTTTCTCGGGACCATTATAGTTTTCAAGTGCTGAATTGATTAACACTAGTGTGCTTATTAGGGTCCCGTTCACAGCATGACATGGTTTTTCATTCATTTTGACCTCAAAATGCATTTTTCGACAAAATTCCAACTATTGTCAGCGTTTTGAATGGAAAAATCAATTTTCGAAATTATTTTGTTGATGGAAATGCGATTTTTTCTACAATTCTTTGCTCGAAAAGCATGTTTCCTGAAGATTTTTCAATTTTTTTTTTGAATTTTCCAACGATTTTCGTTACAAATTCGAATTTTCGCGTTTATCAATTCTTCAAACCAAAAAAATGATGAAGAAATGAAATTTCCAGCACTTTTCTGCGAATTATTTAGATTTTTTTTTTGATTTTTCAAATTTTCTCAAGAAAATTGCAAAAAACCGCAATTTTTAACTTGGAAAAATGGCGAAGTTTGTTTTGTCTTTTTATTTTTCGTGAAACCCCCAAAATTTTTCGAAGAATCTCCTTTTTTCTGCTGCTTCCTTAAATGGTTACTGTAATGGCAAAAGTGTGCAGTGCACCGACACGCGAAATTGCGTACCAAACAAATAGTTGTAATAGCTCAAAAATTGCTATTAAAACACATTGTATCACTTTTGGCGATCAGCAAAAATTGTCGAAACCAAATATGGTAAAGCATGAGACCCCCCCTCCGGTCCACCCAGCTGGATGCCACCCCACGGGTCATGAAGGGGGTGGGGCATTCGGTGAGGCGAGACGCGAGAGAAAAAGGCACAATGAGGAATGTATGTGTATGTATGTATGTGTGTGTATGTCCCTCAATCCGTCTGTTCAGTGTGATTCGTCGAGTGCTGTGTGCCGTTGGGGCATAAGCACCAACCCCCCCCCCACCCCACCCCATCATTTTTTTTCTGCTCTCGAGTGTCTTGTTTTTGCCGTCTCAATTGTTGCCGTTGTTTCACACGAAAAATTCGCGTTGTTGCAGAAGCGCCTTCAACGAGAAGACATCATCATCGTCTCGACGATCGCCGAGAACCGAAATGGTCGGCGCCAGTCGAACCGCGCCGAATCACGTCCTTCGGCTTGTCGTCGTCGGCGGCGGCGGTGTCGGCAAATCGGCGCTCACCATTCAATTCATACAGGTTCGTTTCATTCCACCATACCTTGTCTCGTCGAATTTTATCAGTCGCCAATTTTTTTTTCTGCTGCTTGATAAGACTTGAATTAGCGATCGATCGACAGCGTTTGGAGGAAGAAATAAACTATATATATATAGATAGATGAATGTTTTGCGAGGGTCGTCAAATGTTTGCCGAGTTTTCACGAAATTCGTCGCGTCGAAACCCATCACGGTGTTTGCGTTTTCAAATTTCGATCGCGACAATCTTTTTGCAATCGCCACGAGACCCTCCGTGGGATTACCGTTTTTTTTTGTTGTTGTTGAATTCAGAATTCACCAACCTTGAAATTTTTTTTCGTGATTGAAACCCGCCGGATTACTGTAGATACATGAGAGCCTCCAGAATTTGAGCGATTGGGGAGTTTTTTTTTTTAGAAATTTGGGTTGTTGATTCGATTTTCGGGTTGAGACCCAATTGATTGCTGTATACAGGAGTGTGACTATTCCGGGAGCCTGAAATAAGCCAAGGAATATTCTATAGAAGAAAATTCGCGATGAGACCTCAACCCGCTCGGCCATTGAGAGGTCTCGAAGCGGCAATATTCAATTTGCGATTTTGCAGAGATACTTTGTGCAGGATTACGATCCGACAATCGAAGACTCGTACACGAAGCAATGTTTCGTCGATGAGGATTTGTGCAAACTCGAAAGTGAGTTGCTCCTCTTGGATTACGGTGGCACTCGTTTAGATGTGTCGTCGAGCTCGAGCTAATTGATTGATTGATTGATTTCAGTTTTGGACACGGCCGGCCAAGAGGAGTTCTCGACGATGCGCGAGCAGTACCTGCGAACCGGCAGCGGATTCCTCATCGTGTTCGCGGTGACCGATCGCAACAGGTGAGGAGGCCTCGCAATATTTATGTAGAGCGGCGCGCGCTCGTGCTCCATGAGCTCATCTCTCTCTCTCTTTCATTGTCTTTGTCATTTTCCGATCGTGCGTGTGTTTGTCGCCCCATCGAAATTTGCGGTCTCGCCGCGAATATAAACGAAACGAATTTGATTTGTGGGTGGGGGTTAGTGGGGAAAAAATGAAGACGAACAACGGGTTGCCTATGATTTTTGTGGTCCCCAACCCGGCCGCCGCGACGACCTTGAAATCAAAATTTTTTATCATCAGCGATTATTTATGATGAAAATTGGCCTTGAAATTGTGTCGCTCGCGACGAGACCTCACCACCACCGGCCGGGCCCGATTTTACTGCATTATTACTGACGATTCGAAGGCCTTCATCCAAATTATGACTACTATTCCATTTTATTGGGGGGGGGGGGGGGTTCCGTTGATAACGAAACACGCCGGGGGCCGATTGTTGGGGGATTTACGCAAACATTTTTATGTTCGAGTCAATTCGTATCGTAATAAATATTTTTGCAACTAGAAATGCGCAATTTTTTTTTTGGAAAATCCCTGAAAATTTTTCGATACAGTATCCTGAGATTAAAGGAGCATATATGAAATTTGGTTGGAAAATTTCACGTCTAATTTTTTTTGAAAAATCCATGAAAATTTTTCGATACAGCATCCTGAGATTAAAGGCGCATGTATGAAATTTGGTTGGAAAATTTCACGTCTAATATTTTTTTCTGGAAAATCCCTGAAGAATTGTTCAATACAGTATCCTGAGATTAAAGACGCACGTATGAAATTTGGGTAGAAAATTTCACGTCTAAAATTTTTTTCTGGAAAATCCCTGAAGAATTTTTCAATACAGTATCCTGAGATTAAAGGCGCATATATGAAATTTGGTTGGAAAATTTCACGTCTAATTTTTTTTTGAAAAATCCTTGAAAATTTTTCAATACAGTATCCTGATATTAAAGGAGCATATATGAAATTTAGGTAGAAAATTTCACGTCTAAAATTTTTTTCCCCAAAATGACACAAACCATTGTAGTTTTTTTTCTCTGCGCGGAAGCAAAAAATAAATAAAAACCTTGAATTTTTATTGAAATTGGTTTTTTTCTTCGTATCAACACCCATTCCATGCGCGTTTAAATCGCAATCCTATGTTCTATTATTTTTTTTTTTGCAGCTTCGACGAAGTGAAAAAGCTTCACGAGCTGATATGTCGAATCAAGGATCGCGACGATTTTCCGATTCTGTTGGTCGGCAACAAAGCGGATTTGGAGAACGAGAGACACGTTCGTTGGCGGCTCGAGAGAAAAAAACAATGGTTGAATCATATTTTTTTGAAGGTCGCCCGACATGAAGCCGAAGAATTGGCGCATCAGCTATCGATTCCTTATATGGAGTGCTCGGCGAAATTGCGGCGGAATGTCGACGAGGCGTTTTTCGAGATTGTTCGCCTCATCAGGTCGGATTTCAGCTCACCACTATATATATAGCACAAAAACGAAATTGGAGATTCGACACTAAACAAATAGGCCCATGTTTCTTTCAAGTTTTGTCGTCGTCGCCAATTTTTCGCCACCCCTCCCGATTACATTTCTCTTTGTTAGGGTTTGGGGGTCCAAAATGAAAATTGAGGCAACACGAAAAATGCGGAAATTTTCAACTTTTTTAATGTAAGCAATTTGAGTTTCTGGCTTGACGAAAATTGCAAAATTTCTCAAAAATTTTCTTGTTTTTTTCCAAAAAAAAAAAACAAGAAATTTCGAATTTTTCAAAGCTGTACTAAAAAATTCCTCGAAAAATGTCGCCTTTTTAAACGGCTTGAAACCGAAAATCGCAATTTGGAGAATAGGGACCAAATCAATTTCGTTTTTCAATACCGCTCATTTTAGAAAGTTCCAACACGACGAACGACACGGACCATCGCATGACAGCGAGGATCGCAAGCTCGATTCGCCGGTGAAGTTGAAAAAACGCAAAAATTGCCGAATTCAATAGAAAAGAGAGAGAGAAATAGCGAAAAATTCCGAAGAATGGAGGAATTTTCGAGCCGAAATACGGGAAACCCACCAAACAAGTTAATTGGATAATTATGGACCTCAATTAATTAATTAATTAGTGGATGTACAAAAATGAGCACCTTTTTTTTGAAATTTTGTTATTGAAAAAAAAGCCATATAAATTAATTTTTTTGAAAATCACAGTTTTAATTACCAAATACATGTTGCAATTAGGGGGCTCCGATGGGTGAAGCTCTAGATGAATTCGTAGAGGAATGGAGTGTCGATGACGGCGTGACCGACAGCGACGCCGCCCTGGAAGCAAAAAAATGTTTGGGGTCTCGCATGGAAAACGAGACTACCGTACCTCGTCAACGGTTTCGCCTTTGGTTCGCAAAAGGTGTCCGCCGGTTTTCGTCACACATTCGTCGCGTCGTCCGAACGCGTAGCCGTAGACGCCGAGCTCGCTGACCGCCTTCGACAACGCGTACGGCTGATTGGCGCGGATGAGATAGTTCTGCAATACCGAAGGAATCGGACTTCGACGCGAAGCACGTCGTCTCACCTCGACAACAATCGGCTTCAACTTCTCCATTAGAATGAACGCGCCGCGTTCGTCGCCTTTGAGCGTCTTGAGCATTTCGACCATCGTGCGCGCGTAGAAATTGCCGGCGCCGCCCTCCAATTGCGGTTTGAGCACAAAATTGTCGGGATGCGCGATCGCGCCGCTCACAATCTTTTGCGTTAGCGCGTCGTCGCGATCGATCGGCCACAAGCCGGCGAACGTCGAGCGAATCGCGTTGGCGTCGCGCGGCGCGCCGACGAAACGCTCGACGACGCCGTCGTCGGCGAGCACCTGTTGCGTTTTTTTCGTGTTCACCAATTGGAGGCCGATCCACGGCGATTTGATCGCCGTCGAGAGTTCGATGATGGTGCGCGCGTCCCATTCGCGTCGCGTCGGATAATGGTCCGGCGAATAGCCGGCGCGGAAGTAGACGACCGCCACACGACTGCCCAAATAATGGAGATCCTTGTTCTCGGCGAGTGTGCATCTGGAAATTCGGGCCAACTTGCTCTTTTCTTGTCTGATGGCTCACTTTTCATGGCATTCCGTCAAATTTTTGCGAACAATTTGATCGCTGGGAATTCCGAGCTTCTCGAGCTCATATTCCACGTGACGCTGATCGATTTGATTCTGGTTGACGTTTTCAATCACAACTAGAACGATTGCGTTCGGATCGTTGAAATAATCCCTGACAAAAAAATGTATCATTTTTTTGAGTTACGCGGGGGTACTGTAGCGCGGCAAAATGTGCAGTACACCGTGACGGGCCTATTGCGGACTTTTATGAACCTATTCGTGAAATGCAATTTTTATATAAAAAAAAAGGTAAAAATTACATTTAATGCGCATTTTTTGAAACCCTGAATTAGAAAAATGTGTAAATTTTACATTTTTTGTCAAAAATTACATTTCGTGAATTGATCCAACACCAACCAGGCTTTGAAAATGGCTTCTGCGATGAGCGCAATCGGCTTATTTTCCGGAAGACACCTCGCAAGGAATTCTTTATCATATCCAAGGTTTAACATGGTCCGCCGGTGCATGTTAGTAAGCTAGAAATTGGAAAATTTTGAAGAAAATCAACCCAAAAGATTGTGTGTCGTACCCTTTCTGCATGAGCGCCCATGCTCGAAGCAATATTATTGACTTCAATTTGTTTTAGGCAATATTCCGATGAGAATGGGTCCTTGTGGCACATGTAATCCGAACGCTGAATCGCCAATGTCACCGGTTGAGCGAGGCCTATAAGAAATCGAAATTGTCTCTTCGAAATTTCCCTCCGCCAATTTTTGCCTTGCTCTTGCACTTTCGTGTACACGTCGAGCATATTCCTGGTGAACTCGTCGGTTTTCACAACATTTTCATGGATTTTCCGCAAAAACTCGTAATCGTAGGCGATATCGTGGTAGAGGCCGGCGATAAGCTTGAAGAAAAAAACAACGAGAAAATTCAATTTTTTGTCGCGACGGCAAATTTCAAAAAAAAATTACATTTTGAACGTTTACGGCTTTCTCGAAAATCGATTTTGGGAATGGCGATGGTAGGAGTGCGAATGGCGCCGATTGGCACACGTCGCTGCGGTCCTTCTGCTCGCTGGTGCGCATTACAAGCCCATGTGCCTTTAAACACATTCATGAATTATTTTTGACGTGTTTCGACATACATGGGCGTAGTCATGAGCATCAGCCACCATTTCAGCAACCCGAGAATCTTCTAGCGGCAATTTTGGATAATCGGCGAGAAGAATTCTTTCGGTGTTTGAAGCCATCTGAAAAAAAAATCTATATTAATTTCGTCAAAATTACGGTTTTTGTTAAGAGTCGACCATGCAAAAACGTCTGAAAATCGTCATTTTGCCAAAAATGAATAAAAAATTTGATTTTTCAACGTGAAAATTGGACTATTTTTCAGGTTTTATTGCAAAAATCAAAAACCGCACGAGAAACGCGCCAGTGTCGAGAGGCATTGACGCATTTCTGGAGCAACCGCGATTCACTTTCATTTTTTATCATTTTTCGCATGTTTTTCCGTTCCTTTTTTATTTTTCTCAGATTTTCTTAATTAAAATTAAATTTCAAAATCAGTTTGAGCTCGTTTTTATCGAAATGTTTGCCTAATATCCGTTGAAAACTCGAAAAACATGCGACCGCGCAAATTTTGCAATTTCAGAAAACCGATGGGTGCCACTCAGAGCGCCGATCAAACGAATCCCGAAGTGGTCCGAATTGATCGCAGCGAGATTCCGGAAGAATACAAGTATGAATTTTGGGCAATTTTGTTTCGACCCGACAAAAAATCGGAATTCCCGATTTTCAGGACGGTTGGCGTTTCAAGCGATGTCGTCAAACGCGTGCAGGCCACCAAAACGTCGGGTGGCGACAATTCGGAAGAAGCTGAACGCCTCAGAGCTGAATTGAATCGCGAGCGAGAGGAAAAAGCGCGACTCCGCGAGGAAATGGCCAGACTTAGTCAACTTCAGCAAAGAAAAGTGCGATTTTCTTTTCTGTTGAACCAAAAACCACTCAATTTTCGAAAAATTTGCAGGATTTTGGCGCAAGTGCACCAATTGGCGGAATCGGCTCCGATTTGGAGGATCGCAAACGTGTGTTCGATGAGACCGTCGAACGCGTTCAGAAGCAATTCTTCGCCTATCATCGCGAGAATGTCTGTCAGGATAATGAGAATGTGAGGAGAATGATCGAAAATGCGAGAAATGGAACCGTTTAATACGAAATAATGTTGTAGGAAATCATCAAATGCCTTCAATCGAATCCGGGACGCGTTTTGAAGTGCGCTCCGCTCACCGAGGTTTGAGATTTTATCAATTACTGGTTCTCGAAGCGAATATCTTGTAAAACCCAACGAGACGGGTTTTTTCTCGAGCGCCGCAAAACTTCAAAAAATGTTTCTCCGTAAATCTACAATAGTGGGGGCTAATTTTTCTGACCACGAAATTTCAAAATTGAATATAATCAGTGTATCTACCCGGGACAGGATTTCCCGGGATCCCGGGAATTTCGTTTCCCGGGTTTATCCGGGAAATCCCGGGACTCCAATCCCGGGTCTCGTCCCGGTTTCGTCCCGCAACTACCCGGGATCCCGGTATCTCGGGATCCCGGGATCCCGGGAAATTCATTTCCCGGGATGAGCGGGTTCCCGGGAAATCCGGGAAATTCCCGGGTTTCCCGGGAAATTCCCGGGAAACCCGGGACAATCCCGGGACAATCCCGGGAAAGTCTGCAAACACCGCGCGCGCAAACGCACACTCTTTGAATATTGCGTATTCTCGTTTCTTTTTAATGAATTTTCTTATTTTAAAAAGATTCCAATGCTTAGAAAATGGCGTAGGAAGTCCCTATTTGGAATTTTTAAAATTTGGCAGAAAAATGAGTACAATTGAAATGTGCAAATAACGATTTTTCCAAATTAGCAAGAATTTTATACGAAATAATGGTTTTAAACTTTTTTCAATATACTTTTTTCAACGAAAAAACTTATTGAAGATCGATCAAGTAAACAATAAATTATAATAATAAATAATATCGCTGATTCGATCTGAAAAGACTGACTGAAAAGATTCGATTTGAATATGTCGCGAATCAGAATGACAAAGAAAATAAGAAAACTCATAAAATTTCGAAAAAAAACGACAATACGCAATATTCGAAGAGTGTGCGTTTGCGCGCGCGGTGTTTGCAGACTTTCCCGGGATTGTCCCGGGATTGTCCCGGGTGTCCCGGGAATTTCCCGGGAAACCCGGGAAATGAATTTCCCGGGATCCCGGGATCCCGCGTTTCCCGGGAAACGAATTTCCCGGGATCCCGGGATCCCGGGAAATTAAGTTTCAATGAGTCCCGGGTCCCGGGAAAATTTTCCCGGGAATTTCCCGGGAACCCGGAAATTCCCGGGAAACTTCGTCCCGGGTAGACACACTGAATATAATCGTCCCTACATTGATGTTACAATAAATTCGCGTTGAGCTCACGTTTTTTTTTAATTGAAAATTGATATTTTGGACGTTTTGTCCCGAAAATCGAAGATTTTGTCAAAAAATTGTCGGTTTTTGATCGGAAATTCAATTTTTAAAGCGAAAAAAATAGTATTTATAAATCGAATTTGACGATTTTTTAGTTTGAAATTACCCGAATAGTTGATTTTTTGTGAGAATTCGTACAAAATTTGGTCAAAACAACAAAACATTTGCATTTATTCGTGAATTTTGGTGTTGATCTCTGTTGCTGCTAACAGAAAAAACAGATTGGTGCCAAAATTTGTGAGCTTTGAGCAGTTTTCAAGAAATTTGAGACGAGTGTGTGATTCGTGACGTTTTTTTCGAAAAAAAAATTGATGTTCGAATGAATTTTGACGAGAATGCTGAAATTTTTGAGCGAAAATTAAAGCATATTGTAAAATTTTTGTCGATATACGAGCGTTTTTTTGAGATTTTCGTGACGAAAAAAGTGGATTTTTGGACTAAAGTGGACTTTGACCCCTGGATTTTTGTTGAGAAAACCAATAAAAATTGAATGTGAACCTCATTTTTTTCGCCTTTTTGCGAAAATTAGCGATAAGGCAAGACTCTAGGCGGCAACTAGAGTGTGTTTCGCTGAAATAGCAATCTTTCGAGTTTTATCGTCATATTTGGAAATGTCGATTTTTGAACCTGATGGTTACTCAAATGCGGTTTTAATTTTTTATTCGAAAAAAGTTTGAAAAATGAATTTTTTGGGGAATTTTGTTAATTCACGGATTTTTCTTCACGTTTTTTTTTGCATTTTTTAGACCTGCAATTAAATTTATAGACAATTTATGGTGAAAAAAGAAGTCAGTTAAAAACAAATAGTGTTCTTCAATTTTAGGAGTTTTCTTTTAAGTTTTGAACTGAAAATCCAGTTTTTCCTTTTGAAATAATACTTTTCTGGAGGTTTTTGCAATTTTGAATTGTTTTTTTTTTACATTTTTGACAAATTTTTTGCTTCAAAATTAGTTTTGTGGCGATTTTCAGATAGTTGAGCTAAAAAAATTCAGTATTTTGGTCTCAAAATGAAAATGTTCAGCAAAAATCGAAATTTTTTTGTTTCAGGCTTACGAGAAATGCGTTGGAGAGTTTCGTCAACAGGTTCTCAAAGGAAATTAATTTCTTCATGTTTTTTTGTATTTTAAATTTTATTTGCGAGCGAAATTTCTCGTTTTTCTTTTCATTTCAATAGAATCATTAATTTTTAGAATGAAATTGTCGAGTTTTGCGCATTTTTTAACAACTTTTTGTTGGGGTTTTTTCCCCCAACCAATTTTATCTCAAAAATGTGTGTCTTTAAAATTTGCATTGTTTTTTTTATAGGTCCTCGTTGGCGTGACGAACCATCATAATTGGACATTTGGGTGTTGGTGGCAACAAAAATGAGGAGGCGGAGCCAACGATGGGACTCTCCAGCGGAATTTCACGTCTGCGCCTCCTTCACGTCGCCTCTCTCGCCGTCGCGCCCCTCCCACCGCCGTCGTCTTTGATGTTTTTCAGAGCTTGTTTGCTCTACATGAGGTGGTTCCTCGTTTTCATAAAATTTCTATCAATCTTTTTTTTATGCCGTCTTGAATTTTAGACAAATTTGATCGTGCTATATCGATTTTGCGGAAAAAAGCAACTTCCTCAAAAAAAAAAATTTGAATTTTGCGCGCTCTTCCATTTTTTTTAAATAAAATTTGACGAAATTTGAAGATCATAAAAGATTTGTCGAAATTTTGCCTTTTTTTTTAAAGAAAATTCCTTTTATTGCGCGCATTTTTCCACAATTTATCGATTTTTTATTACTGTAGGTTTTAAAGGCGCATAGCGGGATTTGTTTTTGGGCGGTCTCGTTGCGAAACTCATCGTTTCTTTTTTGCGAAAGTATAATAATTGAAATGAAAACGCAAAATGCACGCTCTCATTTTTGGATTTTTGAAAACTCATTTCTAAAAAAAATTAATTAATTAATTTTTTGAAGAATTTTGGACGACTAATTTACTACTGTAGCAATTGTTTTAGGTGTGTGACGAGATCAATTTTCAGATGCAATCGGTTTTCGCGTTGGTGTGCCTCGTCTATTATTTGCTCATTGCGAACTTCTACAAACAATCGAACGGATTTCAGGACCATTATAATCTGACATATGCGTTTTGGTGGGGATTTTGGTGTCGTCTTCATTGTTTTTTTGGCGAAAAAAAATTTTTGGGAAATATTCTTGCAGCGAGGCGTTATCGCGAAATCGCTATCACGGCCCACATATTTGGTTGTTTGTGTGCTCGACGAGAAATATAGTCTAGTTTTTCGTTTTTTTTTTTGCTGAAAAACGTTGAAATTTTAAGATTTATTGAAAGAAAATTGGGGGTTTTCGAAGAGAAATCACAACAATTCAATTTTTCCAGGAAAATCACGCCGATTCTGTTTTTGGCGGGCTTCACGTTTCTCCATGGCGGCGGAATGAAGCGACGCTATCGATTGGCGGCGGCTGGCGGACTCATTTTTGGCGGAATTGGCGATTGGATAATTGGTGAGAGCAGATTGGTGAAAATCGCGAGGCTCATGGAGCAATTTTTGTTTTGCAGGAATCGATCGCGATGGAATTATTCCCGGCGCGATTGCCTTCGGAATTGGCCATCTTTTCTATTTGGTGGGTCCCGAGGCGAATTTTTATAATAATAATTTTTTAGTCGATTTTCATTCGCCATCGGACCCAATTGCATAATCGTGCGGCTGTGGCGATGCTCATTTGGGCGGCAATTATCGGCCAATTATGCTTATTGCCATTAATGCGAGTCCATTTTGTGAGGCGTTCATTTTTTTTTCGATCAAAATTTTTTTTTCAATTCAAGGCGCCGGTTCTCATCTTTTCGATCTACTCGGTTTTGCTATCGGTGGTGACCGTCATCGCGGTTTCGCAATATTTGAACGGATCGAAAACGCAGGATGAACGGGTTGGTGGTCTCGAAGCGAAATTTGGATATTCGAATACCCTTGATATTGTGCATTCACGCGCGCGTAAAATTGCACACATTTGTTATGAAAAAGAATATTTTTGTAAAGAAAATGTTGTCCAATTAGGTGTTTTCGGGAAATTTTGTCGCAATTTTCAGGCGCTCTTCTACCGCGCCATCGGATTCGGCCTATTCTACGCGTCGGATTCGTTTCTGATTCTCACGCACACCGGCCATTGGTCATTTCATTCTGATCTGCTCGTGCTGGCCACTTATTATCAAGCGCAATTGCTCATTCTCTACGCCAACTCGATAGCGTGCAATCGGAAATGCGCGAAAATCAATTAATCAAATGTAATCGAATAAAATAATTGGATGATTTTTGGTGAAAAATTGAGTTTTTTTTTGTTGGGTGCCGTTTGAATGGTTGTTTCGCCGTCGACAATTTTTCTTTTTTTTTTTTTGTTTTTCGGGTGGCAATTGATGGTCTCCAGATGTTCACGCCATCGCAATCGCTCGCCATTTATGGCGGCACCGCGTTTCTGGCGTACATTGAAACGTCGGGATACGAGAAGGAGAAGAAGGTGCTTCTGAGTCTGCCGTTTTTGGTGTTGTCGCTTCTCACGCTGGCGACGACAATGCATCCGAAGTTGGTGTCGATCAACGCGAGCGCGAAAATTTTTTTTTTCTTCTAGGCCACGATTTGCCACCGCCGCTTCGTTTCTGGTGATGGCGACGGCGACGTACGCGCAGGTAAGAGAAGGGCAAACGCGCTCCACTGCGCAACGCTTTGTGTCGATTTACAATTTTGTGTTTTGTCCGTGTGGAGTACACAACAACAATCCATACACATTGGAATTGAGAAAAAAAGAGGCTTTTAGTTTGTTCTTTTTTTTGTGTGTTGGGGTACTGTAGTGCGGTACACCGGCACGCGCAAATGCACACAATTGTTGGTTTCGATGAATTGCAGTCGAGTCTCCGCACGACGGCGCCATTCCCGGCGTTGTTGATCACCGTCGCCAATTTGCTCTATTATTTGTCGTATAGGTAGGTGATTTGAAAAATTTTTGAATAAAACGCCAAAAAATTGAATATTTAAAGTATTTTGTTTGGCTGAAATTTGAAATTTTGATAACAAAAATATATAAATCGATTTTTTGGGCGAAAAAAATGAGTTGAGCCATTTTTTTTTATTTTTCGATGCTCAAAACTACACAGTGTAGGGGGGAATTGTATTATCAGACACTCGCCTCATTTTTGGGCTGTCATGAGAGAGACATTTTAAAAAACACATAAAAATTTTTGTTGGTTGATTTTTGAACTCGGACCCCCCCCCACGTGACCGGAACCGCGAGAAAATAAAAAACAAACAATTCATTCATGTTTTGTGCTGATCTTTTGAGCGACTCCCCCTGTATTTGCACAGTAAGACGTTGGCGAACAAAAAAAAAACAAATTGAAGATTGTTTAAAAGGGGTTGGCCTCAGAAATGATTGGAAATCGAGAAAATCAGAAAAAAAGAACGAAAAATTGGTTGTGTGCGAATTGTCGTCGATTCAAATGCACAAGTCCGCAATAATGCTACAGAGATTGATTTCGAAAATACAACGAACCTGAAAAAAGCGAATTTGAGACGAAAAAAATTGAAATGAACGAATTGTCGCGTGTTTACACCGAATGCATTTTATTTGACGACTTTTTTTTTTGAACACGTGATTTTCATGTGATTCGCTGGGTTTTGATGGCTTTGAGAGAAGAAAATTGAAATCATTGCGGACTTGTGCACTTCATTTGACGAAAATTCGCATCACGTTGTCTCGACGCAGAATTTTTGGCTTTTTTTATTTTCATCTAATTTCTATGATACTTTATACTTTTTGAGGTTAATACCGTTATTAAAGGCGCATGCGCAAAAAGGATACAGTAATCCTTTCGACGCTTCCACACCCCCCTTTAAATAGTTTTCTGAATACGGTAATTAAAGGCGCATGCGCATAGAGGAGCTCCCGCATCACCCAAAAAATATTTTGTTTTCGCCACAATTCAATTATTGCCTTCAAAGGCAATTTTAAAAATGTTTCTACGATAGTTAAAGGCGCATACAGTAATCCATTCGACGCCCCGCCCCTTTTTAAGACATTACTAATTTTGTTGGTGTTTTTTAGAGATCTCGTCACGAATCATTCGAAGCCGGTCATTGTGCTGTCGGTGATCGTCACGTTCGGCGTGTTTGTGTACGTGTTGCGCGACGTCGTCGTCGCCATACCGTACTTGGTAGGTGATTTCGTGTCGAGACCCGATTTTGAATGAAACCCGAAAAGCAATGGGATTTTTGCGTTGTTTTTTTTCCTTTTTTTCCGTTTTTTTTAGGCGGCAATTCTGATGACGGTGTTCATCTCGCACATACTGCTCATCTCGACGGCGGCCAGCGTTTGCCAATACGGCCAACACGGCGATTACGACGCGCGTCAGGCGTCGATGGTCCGCCTCATCGGCGCGATTCTCGCGTGGCTCTCGTCGCTGCTGTTCTTCATCAACGCGTTTCAGACGCACACGCGAACGGTGCACACCGTTTCGCGGGTCCTTATTTATTTGGCCAACAGCTTGTTGTATATTTCGAACGAGCGCGCGTTTTAGGCACTTGATGATTTTGATGGTCCGTTGTTGAATTGTTCTTTCAATAAATGAGTTTGCGGCATTTTTTTTTTGACAGATAAAAAAAAAATTTTTTAATTTTGCTTTTATTTGGAAAAGTTGCGCGACTCTTATACGCAATATACACTAGGCATCTTACGTGCTTGTTAGGCGCAGTGGATTAGATGCGCGATTGGCGCTCTTGGTATGGCGTTTCGGAGTCCGCGCATCTCGCTTTTAGCAATATTTGGGCTATTTCGTTTTTGCCTGTGGTTTTGACAAATTTTTTTTTCTTTCATTAACTACCGTCCTTCCAAATTTCCCATTATTTATTTGCGATTTAACGAGTTCAGTTTATTTTTTGACGAAAATTTTCGAGTTTGATCAAAATTTTGCATATTAAAAAATTTTTGAGCCATTTGTTAAGGGATTTTCACTATGGAAAAATTGCGACTAACAAATTTTCAAACGGGATTTTTGTGATTTCGAAAAAAAAAATTGATTTTAGTCCTCAAATTTTTTCAATGAATTCTCATATATGCGCCTTTAATCGGGTTACGGTATTTTTCAATTTTTCTCCTTCAATAAAATGCAATTTTATTGGGAAAAATCGCAATAATTTCATGAAAAATGGCCAATTCCTTGTCAAAAATTGCTTTTTTTTGTGTATTTTGAGAAAATCGAAACCAAATATTTCAAAGCGTCCTTCAAAACGCGAAAAATTGAAAGCGCATTTCCTCGTTCAGCACGATTTCCTATACTTTTTTTTCGTGATGTTGCGTTTGTTTGACCAAAAAAGGAGGTCGATGGAGACCAGTTTCAAAACGATCGTCGGAAAAAAATACACGACGAATAATAAAACGCCTCGTTTCGGCCATCAAATGCCAATATTGTTTCTATTCGTTCTCGTCCCAAATTTGGCGATCGCCGCCGACGTGTTGGTGTTCGCCGAGGTGCTGTTTCGGCATGGCGCACGTGCACCATCGGCCGCCTTCACCAACGCCACCTACGCGCAACACTTCCCGCGCGGTCTCGGCGAGTTGACCGATGTACGTAAATTGCCAACCCAATTAATTAATTAATTAATTAGCGAACTCAAATTAAAGAGAGGCTTCGAGAATTCGCATCGATTGGGTCGATTGTTGGCGAAACGCTACGTTTCAACGGGATTTCTCGACGCGAAAATGGTCTCGAAGCAGGTTTCAAAGAAAAAAACAAATCGATTACGGTAGCCATGTGTTGTTTTTAGATGTACTGGCGATCGGTGAATTTGGCGCGATGTTTGAGCAGCGCCGCCACCGTCGGCGCCGCCATGTTTCGAGATTACGGTCGCCATTTACACGTGCCGGTCAACACCCAAGAGACCGGCGAGCATTTGTTGAACTACGACATGAATCAATGTTGGCGCGAGACGGAGATCACACGCGAGACGTGTCCCGATTATGGGAAGCCCGACGATTTCAAAACGGTAACCCAACTTGGGACCATTCGGACCAAAAAACAAAATTTGCTCACCTAGTGGCCCGATTATGAGGAGTTCGTCTATAAATGCTTGAATTTGTCCTCCGACATTTTGAGCAATTATCGATTTCGCGATGTTGAGGCACACATCAATGAGGTGTGTTAATTACCCGCCCGCAAATTATATCGAATTAATTAAGTATAAGAATGGATTGCCGCTTCCCGATGATCTTGCTGACAATGCTGACGAGCTGGAGGCGATTTTTACACGGGTAAGATGTCCAAATATGCGTTCAAAATTGATGATAATGATAGTCGAGATTTTGGGAGGTTTGCGCGGCTCTTATACGCAATATACCGGGCAGCCTGCTGGTGAGCGTTTGGAGCAGTGGTTTAGCTGCGCGGTTGGCGAGCATTGCGAGGCCTTTTGGAGTCCGCGCATCTCATTTTTTGCAATTTTTTGGCTTATTTCGATTTTGCTGAATCGTTTTGTCAATTTTCTAATTTCTTTAAACTATTATTTTTTCGCTGAAAAGCTGGAGTAATAAATCCGATTTCCACCTGCATAAATCGAAATTTGAAATTCCGCCTCGAAAAATTTCAATGTGCTCATTTTTTTTTGCGATAGACATTTTACAAAATATGTGATTTAAGCAGCTTCAAATGAGTTTGTAATTTTTCTTAAAAACTTTTAAAAAAAAGTGAAAAATTTTAGACGTGAAATTTTCTAACGAAATTTTGTGTATGCGCCTTTAATCGGGGTACTGTAGTTCAAAATTTTTGGCGTTTTTTTCAGAGTTTTTTTTTTCAACAAAAATTGCGCATTTCTCAATGGAAAAAGAGCATAATTTGGTTGCAGATAAATCATTTCACCATCGGCGCCGGCTATTATCACGATCATCGTAAACTGCGCCTAAAATTCGGCCAACTAATGCGAGTTTTATTATCGGATTTGGAAAACGCGTGGGACTGCCATCGAAATCGCAAAAATTGCGTTGTTCAACCGAATTTCAAAGCCTACTCGACGGTAATAATTTTTTTTGTGGTGTTGCGATGAGAAAAAAACGAAAAAGAGAGAGAATTCTACGAATTTTTCCAGCAAGATTGGGTGATTTTGGGCGTTTTGGACTCGTTTGGCGCACTCGAAACGACGCTTGGCATGCGAAAAATGCCCAATTATAATTCGATGATTATGATTGAGCTTTGGGATAATGAGGGACAAGGAGAAGTTCGGGTAAATTTCAATTTTTTCCTTTTTTTTGAATTTTTTTTCTTCAAGAAAATGTCACACAAAATTGATTTTTTATAAGAAATTTTGAAAGTTTTCTGAAATTCAATTTTTTGATAGAAAATCTTTTTTTAATTCCTCAAATTCGAATTTTCAAGAACATTTTTTCTCAGTGCTCATTTTTTTTCAAGAAAAGTCGCGAAATTGAATTTTTAAATGCTATTTGTGTGAATTTGAATTTTGGCAATTTTTCTGAAATCCAATTTTTCTCAAAATTCGATTTTTCGACAATTTTTATTTCATGGAACTCATTTTTTCAAGAAAAATCTAAAAATGATTTTTTTTCAAAGAAATTTTGAGTGAATTTGAATTTTGCCATTTTTCTGAGAGCCAATTTTTCTCAAAATTCGAATTTTTGAGAAAATTTTTAAAATTCGATTTTTTCCAACAATTTTTATTCCAGGGAACTCATTTTTTCAAGAAAATTCTCAAAATTCAATTTTTTTTAAAAGAAAATTTGAGTGAATTTGAATTCTGGCGATTTTCAATTTTTTTTTCCAAGGAATTCACATTTCAAGAAAAATCTCAAAATGTGTAATAATTGAAAAGTTTGAATCAATTCGAATTTTCTTGCGTTCGCTTCGAGACCCAAGCTCGTCTACAATATCAATGTTGTTTCAGTTGCTCTACAAACCCGACGAGATCGACGAGACGCTCGTGGAGGGCGCGGCGCGCAATTGCGCCGCCGACGCGTCGCGATGTCCCATCGAGAATTTCGTCAAGTGTTGCGACGATTACACGGAGCACAAAATCGGCGAGTATTGCGAGCCGTTGAGCGTCGGCGAGTTCACGCGCGACGAGATCGCGGCGAGACGCCGACGAACAAGATACGCGGGACCATAAATTTGTGCGGGGCTGTGCGAAAAAAAAATAGAAATAAAAACACGCTCGTTGGTTGATTTTTTTTTCCAATTTTTTCTCCTCTTGATTATTATTCGCCTGTTTCGTCGAATCGATGTCGCTTCTCATCGCAATTTTGCTGGTTTTGAGCGGAGCTCGAGCAGCCGACGGCTCGAGCTCACTGCTGTTCGCCCAGGTGCTGTTTCGGCATGGCGCACGTGCACCATCGGCCGCCTTCACCAACGCCACCTATGCGCAACACTTCCCGCGCGGTCTCGGCGAGTTGACCGATGTACGTAAATTGCCAAAGCAATTAATTAATTAATTAATTAGCGAACCCAAATTAAAGAGAGGCTTCGAGAATTCGCATCGATTGGGTCGATTGTTGGCGAAACGCTACGTTTCAACGGGATTTCTCGACGCGAAAATGGTCTCGAAGCAGGTTTCAAAGAAAAAAAAACAAATCGATTACGGTAGCCATGTGTTGTTTTTAGATGTACTGGCGATCGGTGAATTTGGCGCGATGTTTGAGCAGCGCCGCCACCGTCGGCGCCGCCATGTTTCGAGATTACGGTCGCCATTTACACGTGCCGGTCAACACCCAAGAGACCGGCGAGCATTTGTTGAACTACGATTTTTCGCGATGCCACCGCGAGGTCGAAATCATTCGCGAACAATGTCCGCATTATGGGACGCCCGACGATTTCGACAGCGTACGATTTTTCCTTTTTGATTTCTAATTCGAGGGTCTCGTATGGAAAAAAACGTTTTAGAGAAGCGATTTTTACGTTTTCCAACTCTGATAATATGAAAGAGAATAATTATTAAAAAAAAGAATTTTAATCGCAATGGAAAACCAATGTGTGCAGTTTTGCGTCGCTGTGTACATGCACACTTTTCAGCGACGCCCGTCTTCATTTTCACATTTTCCTTCTTTTTTTTCGCGCATTTTTCAATTTCAGTGGCCCCACTATGAGGAATTCGTCTATAACTGCTTGAATATTAGCAGTCCGTTGCTCAAGAACCGCAATTTTCGGCAAATCGAAGCGCATTTGAACGAGTACAAAAATGGTTTGAAGCTGCCCGACGAGTGGGCCGACAATGTCGACGAGCTCATCGATATTCATACAGCGGTTGGTTTTTTTTTTCTTTTTTTTTGGTTTAATAATTTTTATTTTCAATTTTCAGGTAACCCATTGGATCACCGGAACCGGCCGCTATCACGATCCTCGAAAAATGCGCATCAAATTCGGCAACATGATGAACACGCTCATCGAGAATATGGAGAAGGCGTGGAAAAGCCACGCGGAGAAACGGGCGTTCCGCAAATTCAACGCCTACTCGACGGTACCACTTTGCGCTCAAAAATATTTTTCTCAGGCAAATCAAATATTCAATAATTAATTCTAAAAAAATTATGAGAAAATCTACAGTTTATTGATATTTTCTAAAACTTATTTTTAAAATCTTTAAAGATTTTCTAAAATTTATTAAGCAAATTCTAAATTATCTCGATGAGTTCAAAAATCTTTTAATAATTTCGAAAGTTGATTGAGAAAAATCTAAAATATTGACGCGATTAGTTTCTCAATGAATCTCAAAATATTGCAGCAAGACTGGATGCTTCTTGGCATTCTCGACTCATTCGGCGTTCTCGACGAGACGCTCGGAATGCGACGCACGCCCGATTACAATTCGATGATCATTCTCGAGTTGTGGGACGACGGCGTCGTGCGGATGCTCTACAAACGCGACGAGCGCGACGAGACGCTCATCGACGTGTCGCGGCGAATACGCGAGTGCGGCGGCGACGTGTGCCGAATCGAGAGGCTGTCGGAATGCTGCCGATTGTATCGCGAGCGAACGCCCGGCGCCTCGTGTGTGCCGCTTCGCCCGCGCGATTTCCTCAACGCCAACAGGCGACGACGATTCGTGGGTCCCGAATAATTTTATAACAATCATTAATTAATGAATCAATTATTGGACGCCAATTGACAACTTCACCACACCGCGTTTCGACCCATTCCCGGTTTGACGAGCTCCAGCGACAATTGTTCGCCCTCTTCCATTTTGTATCGAATGATGGTCGCCTGAATAATTGCGATCCTCGTTTTCGGATTTCAATCGCTCACATTTCGCCCTTCGATTTTCATACAGGCCGCATAGTTGCGAAAATTGTCCAAATAGGCGACCGCCGACACCAGTGTGATCACCTCGCGCGGTTTGTTCAGAAAACCCTCATCGACGAGCTGCCGTCCGCGAATCAGACATTCGATGTCGTTGTCGACGCAAAATTGTGCGGCTTGCTCCTTGAAAAATTGAGCTCAGATTTCGGTGTTTCTTTTTGCCCACCCATCGTACCATTGTGAAGCTCGGCATTCCGTTCATGTCTTTTTGCGCCTCGTTCAATATCAGCACCGACCACGACGCCTCCATGACGATCTTTTTGTCGTTGATCGTCTTCGGCAGCCGATTCATGTCGCACAGGTATTTGAGGCCGAATTTACGCATCAGCGGTCCCGGTCCGCCGGGCACACACAATATTCGCGTGTTGATCAACGCCGCCGGCGGCATGAACGAGCACGTGCGTTTCATTTGCTCGACGAGCTTCTCGGCGTCGAGTTTCGCCACACCGCGCTGAACGAGCAACTCGTTGACTTTGAGCAATTGAATCGCGATCGACTCCTCGTGGTGGCCCTTCAGCAGAATGACGCGATTCGGATAGAGCACCTTGTAGCAGAGGAGGAACGCGAGGCTCTCGAGCGGCGCGAACCCGTGCCCGAGATAGCAGCCGAGGAACACGTAGTTGACGTCCGGCGGCCGACCGGCCATGCTTATCAGTGTGATGAGCGAATCGGCTTCGCCGTAGATCGGCCCGAACACCACCGCCGGCGTCTGCGATCAAAATTCGTCAACGCTACCCCCCATTGAGTTCGACTCACCGCCATATTCGGCACCATCGGATCATTCTGCATCGCCTTCATCGAATCGTCCAAAAGACTCGACAATATTTTCGGCTCCCATTTCGGTTTGGGACCATTCGGATAGTAAGACATCATATAAATCCACAAATTTTTGCCTAATTGCTCTACAATCCAGCGTCTCCTTTTGGGGAGGGTGAAGCTCCAATGCGCGCCTACCGTAACTCACATTATCGGGATTGATGCCTTCGGAAACGTCGACGAACTGCACCGTCGCCTCATTCGAAAGCCCAACCGATTCGCTCGTCATCGCCACAAAAAAAATTATGTTGAAGATTAGAAATGGCCAGAAATGAGGGAAAACGAATGACGAAAAGCTCACGTCGATATTTTCGTTTTTTTTTTCTCGATACTGTACACTCAAATGTATGCATCGGTGTTTGCACAATTTTTTTTATTTCTAAATACATCTTAAAGGAGGTGGGGTTAGTTGAGCAGAACAATTAAGCGTTTGGCGAATCATCGAAATCCCGTATTTTGTACAAAAAAATGATGGCAATTGGTTTTTTTAGACACCGAAAAACACGCGAATCATCGTCTCCGCGGCGAGACCCGGCGTCGTTTTGCCGTTGGCGATGTCGCGTTCGAGTTGGGGCGCCTGCAAAAAAAAAACACATACAGAAATTCAATCGCTGCGAGACTCCAAAAAAGGGAAATCTTGAATTCTCGTTTTCTGTTTAAAGGCGCACAACACGGCCAAATCGTCTCAAAAATGGTCAATTCCACCTACCAAATGCGCAATTCTCGGATGGCGCTGAAACACCGACATGATCTCGTCTTTCACATGATTCCACATCCATTTCTTCATCTGCTGCTGCCGACGCGTCACCAGCTCGCCGCTGTCGCCGATCGCCTCCCAAAACTCGTAGAGCGTCGTGCAAACGCCGGCAATCGACGCCTCGTCCATGACCGACGAGCGAAGCACCGGCGGACGCCACGACGTCGTGCGCGGCCGCATGAACTTCAACGCCGATATGTATTCGGCTTGCGTGAGTTTCGCTTTCGCCCTCAGATCGCCGTCGTCTTTCGTGACGACCAACAAATCGCTCAGCTCCATGATGCCGCGCTTCACACCCTGAAGCTCGTCGCCGTGCGCCGGCGACAACAGCAGACACATCATGTCGCACATGTCGGCCACCGCCACCTCCGATTGTCCGACGCCGACCGTCTCGATGATGACGATGTCGTAGCCGGCGCCCTCGCACAGAATGATCGCCTCGTGGATGCCGCGCGTCACGCCGCCGAGGCTGCCCGACGTCGGCGATTGTCGAATGTAGGCCATCGGGTTCTTCGACAACTCTTGCATTCGCGTCAAATCGCCCAATATCGAGCCGCCCGTCATCGCCGATGTCGGATCGATCGTCAGCACCGCCACTTTTTTGCCGCGATTCGTCGTCAACTCGTTGCCGAGCGCCTCGATGAACGACGATTTGCCGACGCCCGGACTTCCCGAAATGCCTGAAGATGAAAAAATACCCCACTCGAATGGTCTCAAAAAAAAAATATTTTGGCTTGAAATTCAAGAAAAATCGCCAAAATCATTTCCAAATTGTCTCTTTTTTTGCGTTTCTGAGCCAAATTGTGTCAATTTTCTCAAAAATTGCTCTTTTTTTGTTGAAAAATCGCCAAAAATGCTCAAAATTGAGAGAAAAAATCGTACCAACTCGAAATATCATCGAATCGCGTCCAAATTTCGCGTATTTCTCGCGTTCGACGTCCAAAACCATTTTCAGCAAAACGTTGCCCTGCGCGCGTTTCGTCGGATGACGCGATTCGACGAGTGTGATCGCCGAGGCGAGAGCCGCTCGCGAGCCCGACATCAAATTGGTGAAAATGCGTTGCACCTGGAAAAAATCACCAAAAAATTGGGCATTAATCATTTTTGATTGAAAAAAAAATGAAAAATTGGCCAAATTTGAATAAAAATTTGTTTTTTTAAATCTTAAAATTTGAGCATTTTTGACATTTAACGAATAATTTAGCATTTTTATTCATTTTGAAGTAAAAAAAATTCGCAAAATTTGGTCATTTTTTAAATAAACCGGAAAATTTTGAAAAAAAATTGAACGTTTTCAGAGATTTTGAGCAATAAATCGAAAAAAATGGCCAAATTTTGGGCTTTTTCAATCATTTTCTCTTAAAATTGGCCAAAATTTGAATAAAAAATTTTTCAAAATCTTTTCATTCGTCCATTATCTACATTAATGGAAAAATTGGCCAAATTTGGGTATTTTCATTAATTAAAAGAAAAAAATTCGAAAAAAAAATGTTAAAATTGGTCAAATTTGATAAAAATTAGAAAAAATAGCCTCGAAATTTTGGCATTTTCTACAATAATCAAAATATTGGCTAAATTTGGGCATTATTAAACAAAAAATCCAGCAAAAATCGCAAAATTTGCAAATTTGATAAAAAAAAATTTTAAAAATGGGTTTTTTTTCTCCAATAAAACCCAAAATCTCGAAAAACAATTGGCCAAAATTTGGCATTTTCACTAATTTCGATAGGAAAAATCTAATAAATCGTCAAAATTGCCCAAATTTGGGCATTTTCAATCATTTTGAATGGAAAATCCGACAAAAATTGCAAAATTGGCCAAATGTGAATAAGTGTTTAAAAAAATCTTAAAATTTGAGCATTTTCTACATTAATGGAAAAATTGGCCAATATTGGGCATTTTCAATAATTTAAAACAAAATATTCTGAAAAAAAAATGTTAAAATTGGTCAAATTTGATAAAAATTAGAAAAAAAAAGCCTCGAAATTTTGGCATTGTCTACATTAAAAAAAATATTGGCCAAATTTGGGCATTATTAAGTAAAAAATCGCAAAATTTGACAAATTTGATAAGAAAAATTTTAAAAATGGAGTTTTTCTAAAATAAAACCCAAAATCTCGAAGTTAACTGGCTAAAATTTGGCATTTTCACTATTTTCGATAGGAAAAATCCAATAAATCGTCAAAACTGCCCAAATTTGGGCATTTTCAATCATTTTGAATCGAAAATTCCAGCAAAAATTGACAAATTTGATAAAAATTTTTTTAAATGGGGTTTTTCTCCAATAAAACCAAAAATCTCGAAAAACAATTGACTAAAATTTGGCATTTGCACTAATTTCGATAGGAAAAATCCAATAACTCGAAAAATTTGCCAAAATTTGGGCATTTTCAATTATTTTGAATGGAAAATTTCAGCAAAATTGGGCGCAAAAGCAAAAGCAAACAAAAAATATGTGAATAGCAACGAACCGTCGGATCATCGACGCCCACCGAATCGTCCCAATGAACTCGCGAATATTCTTGAAGCAAACTCTCAAACGGCACCGTCTTCTGAACGCCGCCAATCACCGGCGCGCCATATTTGGTGGCGGGCGCAGCGCGAATCGTCGACGATGCAAACCTACAAGAAATTACGACATTTTTTGCGGCGAAACACTCATTTTTTGCCAATTTTGAGCAAAAACCAAATTTTCAGCTCGATTTTCTTCGAGAAATGACCAACCTGAGGCCGGCGAAAAATCGAATCCTAGGAATATGTTGCATATGGGCCTGAAATGACTCAAATTCGATTCAAAAATTATTCAAAAAAGATAGAAAGTGTCAAAAAACAGTGGAAAAAATGCGAAAAATTGAGACGCGATTGGTACAAAATCGATTCATTGCCAGGCAAAAGCGGGGAAAAAAAAATAAACAAAAATTGTTAGTAAATATTTTTTTTTGAAATATCATTTGAAACACAAAAATTATACAGGGATACCATTTAAGGCAAAAATATGTGGGTGGGGGGATTAAAGCCAATCAAATTTGAAATTTTCGGGCGAAAAATCAACAAAAAAAAAACATTTTTTCACAAAATTTTGGAGAAATTCGCAAAAATCTGAAAGTTTTGCAATTTTTTTAAGCAAAAAATTCCAAACATTTTTGAATTCACCAAAAAATCTAAAAAAGTTTAGCAAAAAAAAGTCCGAAAATTCAATGAAATTTATGCAAAAAAATCATTTTTTAGCAAAAAAATTCGAAATTCGGAAGATTTTCAAAAAAATATCCGAAAATTCTGAAATTTCGCAATTTTTTAGCAAAGAATTACGGAAAAAAAATCTCAATTCTCATAAAAAATTGTTTTTTTTTTTTGACAATTCGCCTCAAAAATTTTCAGTTCAAAAAAAAACATTTTTTTCCTTCGTTCGACGATTCAATTAGCCAGAAGCTCATCAATCTCGTGCGTCTCTCTGAGCACATTATTCCAATCAATATTCGCTCGGAGCACCTCGGCCTCCATCCATTTCTCGTAGTTGTCTTTGAAGCGCCGCGAGAGCGCCGGCGTTCGGCCGAGCACCGAACTCACGCAGTTGTCGATCGGCTCGAAGTCGCGCATGTCGACGCGATTCAGATAGTCGTCGCCCGGCATCGGAGCATCGTTCACTTCTGCAACACGAAGATCTCGTCAGCCGCAATTTGTGCAAAAATATTCCCAAATTTTTGCTCGAAAAAATTGAATATTTCGCATTTTTTCGAGCTCAATTTTGACCAAAATCACAAAAATTCACATTTTTGCTCAAAAATTGAATTTCCGGTGCAATTTTGAAAAAAAAAATTTCAAATTTTCCTTCAAAATGAGCTCAATTTTACGCAAAAATTCAAATTTTCGACAATTTTGATGAAGACAATTTGAAAATCTTGTCCAAAAAATCACAAAAATTCGAATTTTTTATTTAAATTCGGTGGAAAAAAACCGTAAAAATTCAAAATTTTCGTGCCAATTCGAATTTTCCAAAAATTTAGGCCAATTTCAGACAATTTCAAGCATTTTTTTTTCAATCAAATCAAAAATTTCGATAAAAACCCAAGAAATGAGCATTTTTTGCCAAAAAAAGACGCACCAATCGCAAATTGCTTATAATATTTCGAGTATCTCCTACTATGGAATCGCTCGATACACGCTTTAATGATTCCATCCTCCTTCTGATAATCGCATTTTCTCTTGATATCCGACGCGAACGCCCAATCATCGGTCATTCTGCAACAAAAAAAAACCGATTTCGAAAAAAAAAAGGAATCCGAAATTTCTGCATCAGACATCACAATTTTAAATCAAAATTTTTAAATTTCTGCAAAAAAATCGAATTTGAACTCGAAAAAGTCGAAAATCGATAAACATTTCTCTTAAATATATTAATTTTAAATCAAAAAATCAAATTTGAACTGGAAAAATAAAAAATTCAATAAAATTGAATTCAAATATTACAATTTTTAATAAAAAATTTCCAATTTTTGGCAATTTTCTGCAAAATACATAATTCATAAAAAAATTTCCAATTTTTGCCAATTTTCTGCAAAATACATAATTCATTAAAAAATTTCCAATTTCAGTTTTAAAATTTTTCGCAAATTTTTGCGAAAATTCACCAAATTTTTCGATAAAAAGTGGGAAATTTGAAATTAATTACAAAAAATCGCAAATTCTCTGAGAAAAATGGAAAAATTCTGGAAAATCTCAAAAAAAATATGTCCAACTAAAAAGTTGACTCGAAATTGTCGAAAATTTTCAAAATTGCTATCAAATATGGCAATTTCATCAAAATTTTCAATTTTTTCACAATTCATTAAAAAAAATTGTCAATTTTCGATTGAAAAAATCCAATTTTTCGCAAATTCTTGTCAAAACTCACCAAACTTTTAAATAAAAATGGAAAAATTGAAATTTTCTCATCAATAATTCTCAAATTTTTAATTTTTTTTTCACAATTTGTCAATTTTCGATTGAAAAAATCCAATTTTTCGCAAATTTTTTCTCAAAATTTTCAAACAATCGCAAATTCTCACAAAATCTTCGGCACTTTTTCGGTCAATCAAAAAAAAAAAAAGAAACCTGTGGCGAACTCGCGAATAAATCGCCGATATCACTTCCATGTTGCTTTTGCGCCATTGCCGCCCCAAATAGCGCGATTGCATTTTCAGCGCCTTCAGAATGTAATGCTGGAGAATCGATTGACGGACGCGCAACAATCGTTTGAGAATCGGCGCCGATTTGAACGCCATCAACATTTTCACACGATCGTTTTTGGCCTTCACCAATTTGTTGAGCAGCCGAATCATGTTGACGCTGTAGAAGAGGTTCCGCCACATATAGTAGGGTCCCGAGAACGGACCACGAGGCGCTTCGATGTTGTCCTGCGTCAATATCGGCCATTCTTCTGCAAATTTGCCGATTTCAACATTTTCAAGTTTTTTTTTTTCAACATCAAAATTTTGGAAATTTGAAAATCTAAAAAAAAAATTTTTTTGGTTGGTTTTAGACCAAAAATGAAAGAATTTTGAGATTTTAAAACTCAAAATTTTCAGTTTTTAACCAAAAAAGAAAATTTTAACATTTTTAACGCCAAATTTGGACAAAAAAAATCACCACACCTAATTTTCTATATTTTTTTTTTGGAAAATTCCACATTTTCTGACCAAAAAAAAATGAAAAAATAGAAAATTTCATGATTTTCAAAACCAAATTTTGAAAATCTTTTAAAAAAATCCCAAAGTTTGTCGGTTTTTAGACCAAAACTGCTAGAATTTTAAGATTAAAAAAAAATTTGAAAAACAACTCAAAATGTTTAGTTTTTTGACAAAAAAAATGAAAAAATAAAAAATTTCAAGACGAAAATTTGAAAATGACGGCTAATTTTCAAAAATTCACTAAAAATCTGAAGATTATCCCAATATGTGTCGGTTTTTAACAAAAAATTTAAGAATTTTGAGTTTTTCAAACACTAATTTGATTTTATGAAGAAATTCCAAGGTCAAATTCGACAAAAAACCGGCCCATTTTCAGATTTCAACCGAAAATCTGAGAAAACAACAAATTTTTTCTAGTTTTCTCCCAAAAAATTTTCCAAATTTCAAAAAAAAAACAACAATTTGAAAAAACAATTCCCAAAATTGGGTTAAAGAGCAAGAAATTTGCACATTTTTTTTCGGGTAAAAGGAAATCTACCAAATTTTCAGCATTTCCTCTCAAATTCTCCAATTTTTGGGCATTTTTCTTCAAAAAAAAATCGAAAAAATCGAAAAAACTGTGGTTACCTGAATTGCGAACGTAGTGATAAATCACTTGCGGATAGTTGTAGGCAAAAATATCATTTCTCGACTGGATCAGCTTGTTGACCGGCTGTAAGAAAACAAAAAAAAATCAAAACATGAAAAAAGCGATGGCGCGTTTCGTCGAAAAATGCACGTCGATTGTCGCACGTCGACGAGAGTGCACGTGAAAACGAGAGACGCAGAGACAACACTCGGCGATCACAATTTGATCTCGATTTATACATATATCATATTTTGAACTTTGACATTCGGTCATCGAAAACTTCAATTTCCAGCATCAAATATTCCATTTTTATTTGAAAATTGAAAAATTTGAAGAAAATCATCAATTCGATGACAAAAATTGAGCAATTTTTGAGCAAATTTCAATTTTTCATTTTTTTTTCCAACAATTTTCTGCCAAAAATAGTGAAAATTTCAAATTTCTTGTAAAAAATCGAAAAAATTCAATTCTTTATCAAAATTCAATCAAATTTTTATTTTTCCATTAATTTTTCAGCAAATTTTGACCAATTTTCATTTTTTTTTCAAAAAAAAAAAATTGACCAAATTTCAATTTTTCTCAAGAAAAAAATCGAAAAAATTCCATTTCTCATCAAAATTCCACCAAATTTTCATTTTTTGCTGTCTATTTTCTGTCAAAAAAAAAAGAAAAAATCATACCTGATCCAAATACTTCAAAATCAGCGGAATTCCGTTGACATAGACAATCTGCTGGCAGAGATACTCAAATTGATAGACATGATTGAATTTGAAATGTTTGACGAGAAGCAAAAGAGTTGCCGAAATCGCTTTGACGATGATCTGCAACAGAAAAAAAACATTTCAATTTCGAAAATTTCACTCCAAAAATGCCATATTTAGGCAATTTTCTCAAAATACTCGCAAAAATCTTCAATTTCTACGACATCTTTTTCGTCATTTCTACAGCCCAAATATGGAATTTTCTTTCAACGCGCGCTCCCCAATTTTTTTTACCTCCTTATGCCGACTGATATCAATCGCCAAACGGAATCGATCTTCCAATGGCGAGGCCGTCGAGTGATCGAGCGATATCGAGTTCGACAGAATATCGGAAGCTTCCATTTCAGGCGTCAGCACATCAATGAGAATATTCAGGCCTTCATGACGCGCCTGTAAAAATCACAAATTTCGTATCGGGGGCTCAAAAAAATTCAATTTCAATTTCCTGCATAGAAAAATCGGACCTTTGACGACGGCACCGACGAAACGAGCACTTTGACGAGTGTACAAATGTATTGGCTCAGATTCGGTAGAGTTTTTCGATAGAATTGCTCCGTTTTCGTCTCTTCGATGTCCTCTTTCATCGAAAACAAATAGCGATTGAGCATCTCTTCGCGTTCAATCTCAAAAAACTCGACATTTTTGCATTTTTTAAACATTTTCGGTTTCAAAATTTAAAATTGTGAGCTTTTTTTGTGTCAAAAATTGGCCAAATTTGCCAAATTTTTCGAATTTTAATTCAAAAATAATAAAATTTTCAAAATCCGACAATTTCCCCCTTTTTTTTGAATAAAATTCGCTGAAATTTTAAAATTTTCAGTGCAAAAATCGAAATTTCAGCATTTTTCGTTTGGAAAAAATGCGATTCTAATTTTCGATTTAAAAATCTAAAATTCTAAGCTATTTTTCGGTCAAAATTCGCCAAATTTTGCCAATTTAAAATGTAGGCAAAAATTGCAAAAAAAAATTCCAACTAATGGAAAAATCGGAATTTTTTCACTAAAATTTACTAATTCTTTCAATTTTTAAATCTTCAGTAAAAAATCACAATTTTTAGGTTAAAAAAAAACCCAAGAATGCCAAAAAAAATACCTGCATTTCGGTGATCGACGTGTACATATTCTGCCGCAAAATTTTCACGGCCCCAATAAACGCTGGCGGCAGTCCGAACAGCGTCGTGTCGTCGCCGGCCTCAAATCGATAGTCGAAATATTTGAATCGACCGTTCTGTATGAACGCCTCGATGTCGGCTCTCGTCGTTTTGCTCTTCCACGGCAACACTCGTTGCGGCGGCACGTCGGGAAGCGGCGAGCCGGCGCGCGGCGTCGCCTCGCCGCTATTCTGCGTCTGAATCCCAACAGCACTCGGCGTCGGCGGTCCCGAATCGACATTGTCGTCGTCGACGCCACCGCCGCCGCCGCCGCCACCACCGACGTCCGTCACCGCATCGAGCGTCTCGTCGTCGGGCGCACCATCGTCGGCGCACGCCATTTGACGCGCCATCATGCCGCTTCGCGCCGCCCGATTTTTGACGCCGTCGCTCTCGTTGACGACGAACGCCGGCAGTTTTGCGGCGACGCGCAACGTGTGCTCCATGAGCGGCAGACCGAGACGCGCGCGTTTCGTTTGCTTCATCTCCTCGAGCGCATCCCAACCGCCGAGTGTGAGCAAGAGCAACTTCCAAATGAGCAGCACCATCTTTTTGATTGGAAAATGCGGCGATGAGTTGTTGTAGAATGGCTGGAGCATTTCGAGAAGCACTATCAGCAATGGCTCGTTTCCAACTTCGAGTGGCTCTTCTGAAATTCACATTTATTTATTTATTTTTTGATTTCAATCGCCAAAATTATTTTTTTTTAAATAAAAATTGTAAATTTTGCTTATTTCAAATCAAAATCTAATGCAAAATCTTTTAAAAAAAAAAATCGAATTTCGATTCAAAATTTTTGCAAAAATTGTGAAAATCTGGATTTTTCAAATCAATTTCAGGTAAAATTTTCAATTTTCCAACAAAATTAAAAATCAATCATTTTCTCAATTCAATTTTCAAATAATCAAACTGACGAATTTCCTCCAAAAACGCGATTCTCGCCGTTTTTTCGGCGTCCGTCTGAGCACGTTCCGTTTTTTCGTCCGGAATTTGAACGATCAAATGATAAATTGCCGCCATTATCACTCGCAACATCTCATTGTCAACCATCGTCGGCGTGTTTCGGCTTTTCAATCGCTCTAAATACGAAAATTTATGAATTGGACGCCAATTTGGGTCTCGAAACGATTGATAATTTCCAACTCTTTCAGACAAAAACATCCAATTCTTAAAATTTCCAATTAATTAACTCAAAATCTATTCATCTTCATTAATTTTGAATTTATTCCGAAAAAAAATTTACAAATTTACAAATTTTTGGCAATTCTTAAATTTTCTATGAAAAAAAACTTAAAATTTTCAAGTTTCACATAATTTTTTTCTGAAAAAAATCTGAAAATTCAAATTTTCAATTTTTTTTTCGAGATGAATAACTTAAAAATTATCCAATTTCTTCAAAATTAAATTTGAAATTCCAGAAAAAAAAAATAAATTTTCGACCTACCAGTGTCGGATAAATCCGCATTGCTCGCATGTCGGCTATCCCTCGAGCTCGCCTTCGACCCTCGTCCGTCATGCGCGACGCCTCCCGGCACCTCATAGGGCTCTTTGATCTCAGTGAGCAACAAAGTGCACAACGACTGATAGACATGATTCTTATAGCAGATGAAAGCATTCTCGATCGATCGTAGATAAATATTCAACGGACCATCATCATCCATTTCGCGTTTTCTCGGCACCGCGATATTCATTTGACGCGATTCGTCATATTTATACTGAATTTCGTCTTCTTCCGGCGGCGCGAAATCCGTCGGAGAGCCCTAAAAAAAATTTTCCAAAAAAAAAATTCAAAAAAATTTCAAACTTGTAAAATGAATAAAACGCATCTGGCGGCGCTCATTCGCACATCCGAATCGGCGCTTTCCATTTTCGCGCACAAATCTTGAACTACAGCGTCTTTCTGGGCCGACGTCATCTCGCAAAACTTTCCGGGCAACTGCGCTTCCGAATAATTATTCTTGCCGTCGATGTACTCTTTCCAACAATTGATGTTGGTGGCGAACTCCTCGATTTCCGAATAGCTGTAGAGCTCGGCGAGCTCGTTTAAAGGGGTATCAGTGTCATCGTAATTGAAAACCAGATCTTTATCAATCTGAAGTGATTTTTTTTTCGTTTCAAAAAAAAAATAACAAAAATTTAAATTCAACCTGCTCCTGAGATTCATTTGGCTGGAATGTTGGACAATTTTGCGAGCACACTGGCGCTGCCTCTTTTAGTTGTTTCAATTTCAAAACGCTTGCCGATCGGCGATGCGCCAGCGATGATTCGCTATACTCGGGTTGGTCTTCTTCGGCTTTTTTCTCTTTTTCGCCGTAAACATCTTCGGCAAACGTCGGCCGAATACCCATTCCGATCTAAATTCGCAATTTTTTCAAAATTTACTTCAAAGACTATTGAAAAATGATAGGAATCGTGACAATATCAATAAAATTTAGAGAAATGCAAGGGTAAACGAATTACGCTAAACTGAGGGCAATGCGTCAATGCAACGATGCTCCGGTTTGATTCGCAGGCATCGATACCGTAACCCCGTTGGTTAAATACGAATTGAATTTCTTTTTTCTTTAGGCCTAAGGAATTTTTGATGATTTTTTCTGTGTTTTTATCGATTGTTCAAACATTTTTAATGTAAAATTATTGAAATATGCATTTCGCAGGTAATAATGGTTGAAACTGCCAAGAAGCCATCGACTCCATCGACTGGAAGGTATTTTGAATTTTTTGTATTTTTCACCTTCGTTTACTGCTCTAAAGTATTAAATAATGAATTTAAAATACTATAATATCAAGAAACGAGCGTCTTGAAAAATTGTGGGTCATCGTAGTTTTTTCGAGACGGTAGTTCTATTTCGATTTGAACAGTAGGAATTAGTAAACTGTCCATGTGAAACAAACTCACCGCAAATTTAATCTGCTAAATTTTTGTAATTTCTAGGTCTTAATTATATTTATTTTCAGGCTCTATGTGAAAGGAATTTTCACTGGCTTCAGAAGAGGATTGAGAACTCAATCCGAAAATACATCGCTCCTTAAATTGGACGGTGTTTACAATAAGGAAGATGCCAAGTTCTACGTCGGCAAGCGCGTCGTCTTCCTCTACAAGGCAAAGAAAGCTACCTTGGTTAGTTTTTATTTGTAAACTTTTTAAATTTTTTTCTGAAGGCTTTTTTCAGTCTTCGGTCCGTGTAAAAAATATGACTTTTGCTTTTGACAGTAAAAATATATAGAAGAAAATTGTGCCCCTTTCACATATGGTTGGAAAATTAACAAAATGCAAAAAAAAAATATTTAAAAATCTACAATTGTTGTTGACAATATAAGAAATTCCACGGGCAGAGGAATTTAACTGAAATTTTAAAATATTTTACTTTACGTTTTGAATATTGTGCGATAAAACTTAAAACCATGTTAAGCTTTTTTTAATCTTCATGTAAAAAAACACAATGTTTGATTTAGAAAAAATTAACATGTTTTTCCTTTTTAGAGGAAGGGAAATGTTATTAGGCGTTATTATCAAGTTTATTATTTTTGGTACCGCCACAAAATGGACTTGGCCGGCATTTGTTTAAAGCTAGAACAAAACGAGAATAAAAAAAAATATGGTGACAAAATTAATAGAAACTGAAAAAACATCCTGGCTTCGGCTTGGTCGCAACCACAGTTTTTATAACTTTCAAAAGTAACGTTGCCAATATAAAAATTTTCAGAAGACCGGTCACTCCGTTGCCACCCGCACTCGCGCCATTTGGGGACGCGTGATCCGGGATCATGGAAATGCCGGAGCCGTCAGAGCCAAATTTCATCACAACCTTCCCCCAACAGCTCTTGGAAAGAGGGTGCGTGTGGTAAGTCATTCCTTGAATTTTTCTCGAAATAACATTTTATTTCAGCTCTTGTACCCATCTAACATTTAAGTTGGTTTTAATTGTTATTTTTTTTCCATTCAATAAATGGTTGGACATGTTTAACTTCGTTTTTTTTTTCAATTCAATTTTATTTCAACAAAAGAATAGTCACTAGCAATTTTGACTTCTGATTTAATCGTTATCTATCTATCGCATGAATGCTAGCTGATCGATTCTGGACAACCCGGGCAAAGATACGTTTGGCTGTCTGCGTACACCGATATATTTCGGCGAGGATGTGTTTAATCCAATTCGTGGGTATGCTCTTCAGAATGATGATATTGCTTTCGGTCTTGATAATCCTGATTGGCCTCGTTGATTTGTGCAGTAGCCAACTGATCCGAAACGCCGACCTTAAATCTTACAGTTATCATCTCCCCAAAAAGAAGGGGCTCTATGATACCGTTGGCAGCACAGTCGTCGATCCGAATCTCAAAGCATCAATCGAGCTGAAAGCGGTCTTGAACATGAGCTGTATGGAGAACGTCGAGATGCCGGGGCCGCAAGTCGGACAAGCTCTTCCAATGTAAATGTACAAGGCGATGAACGCGGCGAAATGAGCAACGGCGAACCACCAATCGATGAGCAATATGATCGCAAGGTTGACAAGAAACTAGAATAAGCCGAAGATGAAAGGTCCCGAATTGGGCATTCGTCATACACCAACAAACGAGATGTACCGATTGCTGAACATCGAATACCAAGTTGCTTCTTGCCCAATAATTCCGCTATCATTATCGATAGTGGTTGTCACGTGAATCTCGCGTCGCTCGGGGAAAAGCTCGTTCAAATCGTCCTGCTTCGATGTTGACCCATAGCCGGCAACTTCGACTTCTCTAAAATTGCTCAAAATTTCGATGGGCAAACTTTATAATCAAACTCACGATGCCTGTTGCACAGTGGCCAAATCGTAGCTCATCGCCAACGAGACGTACGCGTAATTCACGTAGGCGTAGGTGATGAGAAATGGCATTGTCGAGAGGATGGCGAGCTGATTGAGGTCGCCGAGGACGGCGAACAACGAGGCGACGCCCATGAGCAAATAGCCGGCGAGCACCGGATTGTCATTGGGACCGACGCCTTGGGCGAGCGCGTTGAGCGCCGGCACGATGCCCTCGGCGGCGATGCCCTGCAGCACTCGCGGCGTTCCCAACAGCGAGCCGACGGTCGATGAGAGCGAGCACACGTAGAGGCCGACGAGGAACACGACGCCGGTCAACGCGACCTTCTCGGAGAACATCGAATCGCACAGAAGCGACATTCGATCGCCGACGCCGCCGAGTATCATGATGAACACGAAGCATATCGACGAGCTGACGCCGACCGCCGACAGCTCGCCGAGCGGTATGCTCTTGTGCGGATCGCGAAGATCGCCGCTCATGTTGACGCCGGCGAGAACGCCGAGAAAGTTGGCGAAGAACACGCCGAACACGGTGAAGAAGCTCTGCGCGGGAATCTGTCGCGGAATGCCGATCGTCGTGCAATTGACGGCTTCATAGTGCGGTTGGGCGTTGACGCGAATTCGCGCCGACGAGAAGCGAAACACGCCCGATTCTGTAAGGTCGGCAAAATCGAAACCCGATTGAATTGTGCGATTTGGGCCTACCTGGCTCGCTGGTGAACAATGCGCCGAGTAGGAAGTCGGTGACGGCCATCGCAATCGTGAGCAACAGCACAATCTGAAGGCGAACGACCCACGTGACGCCGGCGGTGTTGACGGCGGTGAGGAGGAGCAGCGTGACGACGGCGATGATTTTGACGACACCGCGACTCTCGGAGCCGAACAGCAACGCGACCGACTCGCCGAAGCCGACGGCGACCAATCCCGTCGCCACCGCCTGCCCGAACGTGTAGATGAGGCCGACGGCGCCGCCGATGCGATGGCCGAGCACGTGCGACACCAAAAAGAAAATGCCGCCGGATTTGATTTGGCAACGCTCGACGATGCCGATCGCCGAGAACACGGTGATCAACGCGAGCGACGTGCAAATCGCCAGCAATAGGATCGCGTTGGCGACGCCGGCGGTTCCGACGATCCAGCCGAGTCGCAGAAACACGATGATGCCGAAAATGTTGACCATGACGGTGGCGAACACGCCGTCCCACGTGCCGAACAGCACCTTGTCGCCGCGCATTATCAAATTGCGCTGCCACCACGGTGTCGTCGAGGCGTCCGACGACGCCTGAGCGTATATCGAGTCAGGCGGCTCCATTTCCCCAAGTCTATTCGTCGTCGGTGCCTGCAAAACGTGAGAAAAATCATAATTGGTGGTCATTTAGAAAAAAAAAAGCGAGAAGGGAATGCAGCCAAAAAAACCCAACAACAACAACAACCTAAAATCGAGTGTGTTTGTGTGGTTTATCGATTTTGGCTGCGCGTGTGCTCATCGACGCGCATGAAGCACACTAGATGGAGGGGAGCGAGGGAAAAGCAGAATTCGTTGGCGAGCAGAGAACCGAGGCGTGTTGGAAACTGAGAGCACCACACGCGCACAATCCTAATTATTGGGCAAGATTCGCCATTGCGCCATTCACCAGACATATTTGGCGGGAAACATTGAAAATGTGACTTTTTTTTTCGACGAGAAACTTTCAAAAATTTTGAGAAAAATAGGAAAATTTAAATAGTAAATTGAACACTTCTTAATCCCAAAAATTTTTTCAATTTTTCTACGCAAAATAACTCAATTTTGCTCGAAATTCATAATATTTGTTTACTTTTTCCTATTTAAAATCATTTTTTTCGAAAAAATCTCTAAAAAATTAAAACCGAACCTTTTTATCGTCGACAATCAACACGAATCGCTGTAACGCTCACATCTGGCTCGTTTTTTTTTTCTGCAAAATTGATATTCTGCAATTTTTATTGGAAAAATTGAGAATTTACGAAGAACAATGAAAAAAATATTCAAACACCGAGTGTGCATATTCGCGTTCGGTGTTTACGTACCAAAAGCGACTACCGTAACCCGAATGAAAAAAGTTACCGTGATTGATTTATCACGCGATTTCGCCATTTCCTAGCGAATGATGCAGATAAACCAGTCGCAATTTCCAACAGATGAAAACAAAAATAATCTAATTGATGTTGAAAAGTGATTTATTGGCAAAAACAAAATGAAAGATGACTGAATTAAAGGACCACTATGAGCAGCGGATTTGCGCCGGCGCGGACCTCAACAAACACAAAAACCGACGAGGGCGAAAAAACCGAAGACGACGTTGATTACGAGATGCCGTTTGTGCAAATGTGCGACGGACCGTGCCAGAAGCTCGTTGATACGAAGCCAGAAGCTTGCCTCACGTGCGGGCACTTCTATTGCGACGATTGCAGCAAATTTTTGAACACGGGTAAATCGAATTTGAATTTCGCGCGCAGAAGGAGCTTTAGCAAAAAAAAAAACAAATTATAACGAGAATTTAGACTCACATTCGCTGGAAGCGTGCACGGAGAACTTTCGAAAGCTAAAAAAACGCGCGACGGCGCCATCGCCGCCGGTCAACGCGACACACGAGGTCGCCTCGCCGCGCAATTCGACGACGGTCCGTCGCGACGAGTCCGTGCAGGCCGTCGGTACGTGCACGCCGAAATGTACGGCGCTTCGTCGTCGTTCGACATCGTCCTGCAACACATTTGAGTTGGTTTTCAGCGGTTTCGGGCCAACTCGAAGAGTCGCCGCACAAAACGATACGCAAAATCACGCAAAAAACAAAAAAATCGGCAATGTAAGAACTTTTTTTCGAAATTTCGAAATTTATCATGAATTTTTCAATAAAAAATGTTGAAATTTGGAATTTGCGAAAATTTTCACAAAAATAATTGAAATTTTCCATGGATTGTTCAATAAAAAATGTTAAAACTTGATTTTTAATTGTTAAAATTGATTAAAATCGGAAATGTAGGAATTTTTCGAAAATTCTAAATTTTCCATGAATTTTTCAATTTAAAAAAATGTTAAAATTTGATTTTTCAAAAATTTTCACAAAAATAATTGTTAAAATTGATTAAAATCGGAAATATAGGAATTTTTCGAAAATTAGACATTTTTCTATGGATTTTTCAATAAAAAATGTTGAAATTTCAATTTTCGTGCAATTCTCAAATAAAAATTGAAAAAAATGATGAAATCACAGCAAATTATGGGAAAAATAAGAAGAAAAAAAAGTTGAGTCGATGAAAAAAAATTTGAAATTGGTACGCAGTGTTGCGCGCGCGGTGTTTACGTCCCCGCGCCTACCGTAGCCCACGGAAAAAAGAGAAAATATCAAAAAATGCGATTTTCACATAAAATTGCGGTTTTTAGGAATGCGCACGAGAAAATCTGGTACACGTTCATTCATGACAAGAAGCCGCTGGCGGTATGCATGACGCAATCATCGACGTACGGCGATTTGCTGCGACGAATCGCGTTGTGCCTCAACGTCAACCTGAAAACGCACGACATCATCATCAAAATTCAAGCATCGTCGAGCGAATCGTCGGGCGAAGACAAAATGACGTCCGAGCCGGTGCCAATCGGCAACATCGACGAGAAGCTGAGCCTCTACGAGCTTCAACTGCCGCGTAGTCGAATGCTCATCGTTCAAGTGCAGGAAAAGCGGCGACACAAGGAGGTCGGCTCCGCGCCTCGAATTCATTGTCGCCAGTTTTTTTTTCTTGAATTCCAGAATGATGATACCGACTCGCCGCACAACAAATCTCGATGATCTCATCTGGTTCATTTTCATCATCGCTTTCCGCTTCGTCGCCTCTCATTTTTATGGTCCCGCCGAAATTCGATATTCTTTGCCAAAGTTCTTTAGTCGCAAAAAAAAAATAATGAAATAGTTTATTTTATTTTTTTTTCATCAGAATTTCCGCAATCTGCCTTAATTCGCAATATTTCTAGCTCCACAATATATGTGCACTTGTGCGTTCGGTGTTTGCACAATTCTTGCCTACAGTAATCCGGGTGTTATAATTTCACGCCTAAATTTTTTTGTGTCATTTTTTTCTCAATTTTCTGTAGACTTCAAAATCGGACCTTACAATTTTGGCGGGAAATTCAAAAACCCAAATGTGTCCTGGTGCACTTGAAAGGCTCATCTCCATATAAGTAGAAGAAGAAAGCATATATTGCGAGCGCGGGGGGGATTTTCTCATATCGCACATTTGCACTCGGACATGTCTCGCCGTCGTCGATCGAAAATCTCTCACATATAAAAACACATAGTTAATTGAATAATTTTTGTTTCGCCGCGGCTTAGGCTTCTCCTTCTCATTTCTTCTTCGTCTTCATCTTTTTCAGCGCCGACTGCTCCGAGCCCTTTAAACGCACATTAGCCGCCCCATATTTGTTGGAGTGGGCGTGACGCAACATGTGGGGCGCTCTTCGAATGCGCACTTTTCGTCGATCCCAAAGAAGGTAATTATTTTCCAGACGGGACCCGATTTCGGTCAGTCGTTTTGTTCGCGCGATTCGCCAAACCCACCAACAACTCATTTTGATTGTCACATTTTGAAGGAACCTTTTTTTTGGGACCCCTTCAAAAAATGGTCCTTGTTTGAAGAGGACCCTTTTTTTTTCATAAAGGGCTTCATTTTTTTTGGCGCCAAATTCAATTTTTTCTCAAATATTTTTTTGTGGCGTGAAATTTAAAAATTATCAATTTTTATTCTCGGTTTTGGCGTGAAATTTAATTTTTTTTCAGAAGCTTAAATATTCACCGCGAAATTCAAAATTTCGAATATTTTATTTTTGGCGCGAAATTTTAAAAAAAATCGAATTCTAAAAATTTTGCGCGAAATTCAAAATTTCAAATATTTAAATTTAGGCCCGAAATTAAAAAAAAATCAAATTCTAAAAATTTGGCGCGAAATTTAAAAAAATTGAAATATTAAAAATTTGGCGCCGAATTTAAAAATTTTCGAACATTTAATTTTGGCGCGAAATTTAAAAGTTCGAAAAATTTAATGTTTGCTGCGAAATTTCAAATTCTTCAAATATTAAAAATTTGGCGCGAATAGCAAAAAAAAATTGATGTCAATTTCGAATTTCGCGCGCGTTTCCAATCGGTTCCTCGTACAAATTTTCTTTTTTTTTTCCATTAAAAACCGAGCGTTGCACAAATCTGCCGCTCGACAACATGGATTAGAAGGGTGGTTTTGGATGATGAGCGGATATATTCGCCATTCAATTCATTCTCCCATTCCCCCTCCAACCATCTAATCTTTTTTTTTTCCAAATCATAATTCGCTTCAGCATCGCGTCGCCAATGAAACGAACCAAGGCGAGAGCATCGGAGAAGCAGCGCACATTGGAAAGGTTTGCTCGAAATTTAGTCAATCTTCCGCGTTCATTAATCGCGGGCAAAAAAAAAATGAAAAACGAGTATCCGGCGTGTCAAGCCGACCACTAAACCAAATGTGTCGTTGTAGTTTTTGGTTCACCGCCAAATTTGAAAATTATAGGGGGGGGGGTTCTAAGTTCATAAGTGCCGGCAAAAAGTCAAAATTGTCGCGCGGCCTTGAACCAAAACCACTCCGATTGAAAACCGCGCAGCTAACCACCTGCGCCAACAAGGCAATTAAAAGTTGCGAGAGCATTTGCGTATAAGTGTCCCCCCCCCCTTCTCGCGCGCAATGACGACATCACTACAAAAATCGTATGAAATCCGTTTCCGCTCCAAATCCCCAATAAAAGGGCTGCATCGCACTTTATGATATTAAAAATTTTGCCGAGCTCCTATTCACTCCCCTCTCCTACACTTCTTCGCACACAAAACATAATTATCCGCCTATTATTCGCAAACGAAGCTCACGCGTGTGCGCATTATATTCAAAAATGCATGATGATGAGGTAAATAGCTCATGGTAAGTATCAAAAAGTTCAAATTTGGCGCCAAAAAAGAAAATAGCAAACCCGATCGATTTGGCAGGCATTTCGGCGCGAGACCACCGACAAAAAATCGCCTACTCAACACGATCTATTGGGCGCTGCGTCGCTGCCAATATTGGCTATGCTTCTACGATGATGGTACGGTAGCACTAGTGATTAACTGTGCCAATTGTATTCTTTTTTTTTAAGAGGTCGAGGTCGACGTTGAAGACCTGCTCTCGAATCCGTTCAACACCCATCCACCGGGACTCGAGCAGCTCGTCCAGCTCACCGGCTTCAACCGCAAATGGCTGATGTTCATGTATCGCAATTTTAAGCAGGTAGATCAAACCAACGTCGAAAGTGCCGCCCAAAATTGTTGTTTAAAGAGGTGCGCCAATGGGCGAATGACGGAATCGCAATGGCGCATTCTTTTCCGAAGCCTATTCCCGCACGCCAATGATTCGGCGTTCGTCGATCGCATGTATCAAGCGATTATTCGCAACAAACCCCAACAGCAGATCACTTTCGAGGTTTTGGCAAACGTCGAGGAGTGGATTACTGTAGGTTTCGCTTCAGGACCTCATCATATTCCTTTGGGAGCTCACCGAGGCCGGCCGACAATCGGAACTCGCCAACGCCCATATTAATGCGTCGAGCCGCGCGCAATTCGTCTTCGCCCTCATGGATGTCGAGGGAAAGGTCGGGGTGTGGGTCTCGAAACGCTAATAAAGATGGCAAAGCTTTAGGGAAAAATCGACGAGGAGACGTTTCGCAACTACACGCGTAGCATATTCGCACTGACCGCCTCTCATCATTTTTGCGACACGTCGGCGATCGGATTGCCGGCTGGAAGCATTTATCGATCGAAGGTGAGCGCGCGCAAAATTGGCTTGGTGTGGGCTCGAACCCAAAAGGGTTCGCGCGCAAGATGTGCAGCGGTACCGCTGAACCAACTAAGGCAGTTGTAATCGCTGCTGATAACGGCGTAGAAATGTTGCGTGCACATTTTTAAGGACAAATGAAAAATGAAAATTTTTTTCATGAAACTATCAATTTTCAATATAACTATTAAATATAATAAAACATGTAAAAAAAATAAAAAAAATATTTCCAATAAAAATCCATTTCTTGCCTAAATCCAGTCAATCAAATTTCCATTATTCCATTGATTACTAGCAAGACAAAAAAACAATCTGAAATTTCTACAAGTTTGCTGGCTTTTGTGGAATTTCTAGCTTAAAAAGGGCCGCAAAAATAAAAAGTGAATGGTAGGGCTCGAACCAAAACGGCCAGCTCGGTAAATCACAGCGGACGCCGCGCGGACGCGTTTCTATAGAAAAAATTGGCGGACGCCGCGCGGACGTTGTAACGGACGAGCAGCAGAGTCAGAGCGGACGCCGATGATCGAAAATTCGCGGACACCGCGCGGACGCGCATATCGGATACCGCGCGGACGATATCGTCCGACGGACGCATATCGGACGCACAGCGGCGTCCGCTCTGACGCTGCTGCTCGTCCGTTGAGCGTCCGCGCGGTGTCCGCTGTGATTTACCGAGCAGATTATAAACTCCGCGCTTAACCAACTGCGCCACATTGCCCACTCTTGACTTTGCGAGCGCATGGCGTATAACTGTGTTCCCACCCTACAGCAAACCAAAAATTTGTAGAGCGCCGACGACGATCTGAAGCCGCTATCACCGATGATCGCGCGTTTCGCGGCGAATCGCTTCCGCGAGATCGACGCCGACGGCGACGGCTGGATATCGGTGAAGGACATCGAACGCGAGCTCGACTACGCGAAAGACGCCGTCGCACTCAAATCAATGAGCGACATCGAAGAGCCAACGACATCAAACTAAAAACGCGCACAACACTTTCTGATAATATCTAGAATAAAAATACCAGTTATGCAAGCTTTCACTTGGTCACACCAAATCGCGCACGACAACACATTCATATAAAAACAGAATTGCCAAATTTTTGCCAAATCAGGCACAATTATGGGCTGTTTGACCAATGCCATCAGCTATACGTCAATTCTCACATCAATTCTAGTTATTGTGACATCGCTTGGTTATATTCCCTATATGCTGAGTCGAATGGAGCGAATTGTCGGCTCGTTGAAGGTACACGCTTCTAGGGACCACTATGAAATCGTCGGCGAGTTCTAGGCTCATAGCGACGAGTTCGGGGCGCTCGAAATGCGCGCGTATGCTCAATTCGAAGAGGTGCGTCGCGAATTTCCGCGACGTCGGCGCGCCGCCGCCGCCGCCGCCAAACGTCAAACCGGCGTTTGCACGTGCGACACGCAAAGCGTATGTCCCGGCGGGCCGAAAGGCGCTCCCGGCCACAACGGACTCGACGGGCTGCCCGGTCAGCCGGGTGCGCCCGGCGAGCCCGGCCAACCGGGCGTCGACACCGGCGACGAGTACGCGAAGGAGCGCGATTGTCGACAATGTCCGCCGGGACCACGCGGTCCGCCGAGCTACGGTGGCGAGCCGGGCGTGCCGGGACCGCCGGGCGCGCCGGGCGCCGACGGCACACCGGGACGACCCGGCATCACCGGTCAGATGGGGTTGGCCGGCGAGCCGGGACGCGAAGGCGCGCCGGGCGACATGGGCGACGTCGGCGGACGCGGACGCGACGGCGTTCGAGGGACGAAAGGCGCCGCCGGCGACAAGGGACCCAACGGGCCGCCGGGCCAAAAGGGACCATTGGGATGGGCGGGACGCGACGGCAATCAGGGACCGCAAGGGATTCCGGGACCACGCGGCGAGCCGGGCGCGCCCGGCACCGACGGTTTCCAAGGATTCGCCGGCAATCCTGGAGCAGACGTAAAGCATCCACCTTGATTTTTGGGATAATCTGTGTTATGTTTTTTTTTGCAGGGCGCACCGGGATCCGATTCCGGGTACTGCAAGTGTCCAGCGCGAGGTGCCATTAATCGATCGATCAAAAAGCGATTTTATTAGTGATACAAATAAAAATAAGAATAATAAACGGGTCCCTGAATTTATGATTCAAATGTCATTCGCTCGGCGTGGCAACGCTCATAGAACATGTCAAGAAGATCGTCGTCGATTTCGCCGAGTAGAATGCCGCGTTGTTGAATCTCGCGAAACGGTCGCAGAAGGCCTGCAAAAATTCCAATAACGCGGTGGGGGGAGTGAACCCAGCACTGCGCGTGTGTCGCCTCGACACGTAACCGCCAGCGCCACGCCGACGACGAGAGTCGCTGAGTGACGCGCCGTATAAGCGCCCGCCCACGAGTATGACTCACCGCTTCGATCATCATTGATGCCAGCCGCCAGAATCACGGGCACCGTCAAATACATATGAATCGACAATAGTACAAGAACCGTGTTCCACGTCTGCGGCAATCGTCGGCCACACAAAATGCGCACGAGGCGACGCGTGAGGCGTCGCCGATCCGCGCCGCTCATTATCATCGTCGTCCTATTGATGAAACAGCATAATAAATGTGTGTTGGGATGAAATGCGCCTGAAAAACAAACGAAAACGCATCTTTATATATACTTTCATAAAAGGAGGCGAGCGCTGGAGGAGAAATGGCGCACGCGGACAATGGACATCCACTTTGGTGGTGAGCTCTCTTCCAAAAGTTAATGAAGCGCGACACAAAATGTGGGCGGGGTTATTGCGGAGGAGCTCGAAAAAAAGTGGGAGGAGGATGAAAAAAAAGAAATTGGCTTTGTTATATATTTGAAGCAACAACAACCGAATTGTGCGCACGCAAACAAATTCTGAAAAAAAAAGAACGCACACACACACACGAAGAGGCGAACAACCTATCCCATTTCTCTTATTTGGATGTTTTCGAACTGGCATTACTTTTAAAGGAAGGAAGTTGGCCCTTCTGGCATAAAAAGAAAAAGGCAAAAAATTTTTTCAAACGATGTGACGTCACTGCACTAGGCGCGCGAACACACTTATATGCCAATCACTCGCGCGTTACCAGTGGTCCGCATGGCGCAGTTGGTAAAGCGCGCGAGGCAATCGCGCTGAGTGGTTTTGCATCCACTGATTAAGCGCGACGCAAGCATAATGGAAGTATTGTGGGAAATCTGTGGAACGGAAGCATAATGCTTCCATATAGGAAGCATAATGTAATTCTTAGTGGCTGTGGAAGAAATATGGGACGAATATGGATGGAATGAAAACGGGATGAATATGCTTCCGGTGTTTGCGAGCCGTGGAACGAATATGGATGAAATATGGATAAAATAATCATATGTCAATAAACATTATACAATTGGCGTCTGGACGGCAGACCAAGACAATTTCTAGAAAAATCAATACAAAAAACTTATGCTATCATATAAACAATGAAAATTTGAAAATTACATGATACACAACATACGAAATTTAGCTTCTACCATTTAATGACTTATGCTACTCAGATTTATGTTAATTCAGTCAACTGTTCCTTACTTTGTTTAAAGATTGCCAACTACAATTTAGTCGTATTAATATATTTTTGCCGGTTTTTCCGAAATTGGCATCGCAAACTACTCACAATTTGCTCCAAACTGGTAGCAGACGCGCGTAGAAGAGGCGTGCCGCAGCATTGCAAAACCGTGCGCCGCTTTGCACAATGCGGCCACGCCTCACATTTTCGAAATTCGTTTTCAAAATTTTTGTCCTTTTGCTTTTTCTCAATGAATTTTCAAGATTTTTTTGTGTTTTTTTTTGTCAAAAATTAAAGAATTTTTTTCAAAATTAAAGGAAAAATGTTTTTAAAAAATAAAGGAAAAATTTTCATGTTTATCATTTTCATGTTTATCATCATTCGAAAATTTTAAAATCGATACGATGTTTTCAAATCGTTTCCGACACTTTTAAAATCGAATTTAAATATTTTCTCAATCGAATTGTGTTTAATTTCTCATCGAATCCGTTTTATTTTTATTTACTTTAACATATTTTTTATTATCGCTCGCTTTTTTCTTTTAATAAAACATAATGTTTTGAAATTTTTTACAGATGAAGACAAGATCGAGAGTGTTGTCAGATATAACTGAAACGGCTCTAGAAGTCAATAACAAAGAACCAGAAGTCCCTAACATGGAACCAAATTCGCTCGACACTTCAGATCCAGATAGTCCAATTTACTCGCCAACTCAGCAAAAAAATTTTTCTCCACAGTCCTCACAAACAACAAAATCAACGCCAATTCCTAAACCTTCGTACGCGCAATTTGTAAGTTGTTATCATCAAAAATTGGCCTGTTCGACTCCAGAAATGGTTTCAATTAGAAAAATATGCGCAATGAAGTCTTTATAAAGTACTTCCTAAGTTTAAAGCTTGTTGATTATTTGGTTCCAATCAGGGCTGTGCGGCAATGGAATTGCCGATTGCCGAAATTGCCGGTTTTTCAAATTGCCGAAGAAAATTTCGATCGGTAATTTGCCATTAGCCGAATCGCCGAAATTTCCGATTGCCGTACAGCCTTCGTACCAATATCATTCAGTGGCATTTATCTTTTTAAGTGGGGCTCTAGTACAGAAGTCGCCAGACGCCGACTATATAAAGATCCTATACTTTATTGCAAATATCTATATTACAGATGCTCTTATCCATGGCTTTGGGCAACAACCGACAAATGACTTCAAAGCGAAAGCATTACGCATGGTTCGAGAAGTCATGGATAATCTTCTGTAAGATTTTGAACTATGACTATTAATTTATTTATTTGATTAAGCGATAGATGCGCCAACGACTTTAAAGGAAATTTGGTGTAGCGCCGGAAGCGCTCGTGGCGCAATTAAGGAAGCTGCTTGATTCTACCAGCAACCCTCAGATGTGAGTATTCATATGTCTTTGAAATTTTAACCAAAATGCCTTTTTGCTTCAAATTTTGGAGTTGTTCTTTCTTCCGCCAATTCACTTTTTATTTTGTGCACTAAAGGGTTTCCAAAAATGCAATAAAAATAAATTATTTTTATTTTTAAGAAAATTATTGATGTAAAAAAAACTGATTGTATTTTCTCGAAAAATTTAGTTTACGTAACAATGGTTTACAAGTTTTTCAAATTAATAGGCCCATTATAATCGAAGTGTAGCGACTAGGAAAAGTGGAGAAAAGGTAAAAATTCGATAACGGTTTCTTTCTACAAGCGTATATTTGCGAAAAAAGGATAGGTTAAATGTGCATTAGGACTTTTGCCTAATTTCTTAGCAATAGTTGTTGTTTTTAAAAATATCATAACACGGCTTTTTAACCAAGTGTGAACGATATGAATTCTACTTATTACAGCGTCCCGCTCGATGTCAGTACTGACAATGATTCGAATAGTTCGGCAGTTGCCAGTAACTAATGGTTTGATTATATCTTAATTGAAATTCATTTCATTGTTGTTTTTTTTTATTTTAAATTAAATAAATGTGTTAATATGAAATAAATTTTGAATACAGCAATCAAATTGTTTTCTTATTTGCCCATATGGAAGGCATACGGCTCATTCCATATACGAAACACGCGGTTCCGCAAAAAAATGCTTCCATTATGCTTCCATATAACTTGCATATAAGATTCCTATGATATCCACAGCCGTTCCACTATGCTTCCATTGTGCCTATGCTGCCGTTTATCTGTGTCGACCCCTCATCGCGAGGAAGCTTTTGCCTATAAAGTTTTTCAATTTATTTCATCAAAAACATGAAAGACAAAAAATAAATTAATTTGGTATCGATGAGTTGGGGGGGGAGTTGGGTGGCAAGCAAAACAACAAGTAACTACACATAATTAAAGTCAAGACAAAAAAAAAACAAAAAAAAAATTGAGAATTTAATGAGCCGCAAAAATTATCCATTATTGCGCGATCTGATGTGCTCAGCCTGCGTCGAAATCTCATTGATAAAGTTTTTGAACGCGTTCGGATCGCGTAGGCACTTTTGCGATTTGTCCTGCAAATGGTACTTGCACACGTCAACCCACAATCGCGCGCATCCAAGCTTCTTGTCATTGCCGTCGGTGAACGAGAACGTCAGCCAATACTCATTCTAAAATGTGGTCGAACGAAAATATGAATGATTTTCATGGCGTCGCGAAACTACCGATTGAAGTGGTCCGAAGAACGATTTGGGCAAATCCTCCGAGCTGAACACTTTCGAGAACGTCATCGTCCAATGGCCCTTCGGCGGCGGACACAATCGATTCTGCTTGAGGAAGTCCAACGCTTTGCGATCCTTCACGTACTTGTGCGCCCCTTTGACCGCCTCGTTGCACTTGTCGAGCATGTCGCAATAGCGGCACGAGCCGACGCCGTCGCATCCGTCGATGATGTTCCATCCCTGGCACGGGATCACCTGCCAGCCCTTCGAGCCCTGCTTGTTGGTCACCGCGTGTCGCACCTACAACGCGCCAACATTGAAGCCGAACGCAGATTCGTCAAACCTCAAGATCCATTTCGATTTTGTCGATCGGCAAATCCTCGCTGACGTCCATTGTGACGTTGAAAAAGATGGGACCCGGGAATCGCGGATAATCGGGCCATATCACAATATTCGAAACATTGACGACGTAGTTCGTCCATTGCTCGCTGGCGCATCGCGAGAATTGCCAACCGCGAATGACGATGCCGTGCGGTCCCGTCTGGTACTTCTCCCAGAACGGCTGAACGCCCGGCACCGCCTCGTTCCACGCCTTCGTCAACGGATTCTGGGCGACGACGACGACGGCCGGTATAAGTGCAAGTATGAGGTTGAGCATCGCCTGAAACCACACGGAAAATCAATGGAATCGCAAAAGTCGCGTGATGATAATGATAACAAGAAGAAGAAGAAGAAGACGAAGCGGCGGAACAAGATTATTATCTTATCCGCCTTCCACCCAATGCCCGCCTTATCCAGTAGTCCGGTTCCCCCCCACACTAGACGCCAAAACTACGCCACGATGTTTGGTTTTAAGAGGTGTTTCATGATGATGATGATGATGATAGGAAGCCTGATTCCAAAAAGGAAACGAAATTTTCGAGCCTAGGGGGTTGAATGTACGCGAAAAAGTTCAAATAACTAAACTGACGCGACGATCGCCGCGCCGCCGGGTATTTAGGTCATTCGGGCCCCTCCCTCATCACAATTCATCATTATCTCTCTTTTGTGAGATTCGTCGTCTTCGCCACGTTTGCGCAATCACTATTTGCATAAACGGCGGATGGAATGGATTTACGATTGGAATCGATCCGGGGACGTCGAAAATCATTGTGTTGGGGAAACGCTTTTATCGGTTCGACCTTGACCGAGCAATTTGTTTTAATTGTGTTGAGGAAGCGCGCGCGCGCAAAAAAAAAATACCAGAAATCACTAGGAGGAGTTGAACCCAAAAGGGGAGCCGTGGTGCGCGCAACGCAAAGCCACTACGCCACACAGATCCCCAGCGATCCGGGAATGATTGCCGGGTATGTGTTTAGCCCTCTCGATCCTCGCCAGAAGTACATGCAATAATTTTCCTGGTTTGAATTTTCAGCTTATTAAAGATCGTAAAAATTCCGTCGTCTAAATAAATTATCATTCGGAGTGCGAATGGTCTCAGGAAGTGTCAGCCAGCGAACATTTCAAGGGCGCGAGGGCGAATTTTCCCACGGGTTCTCGCGACGAGGTCACGGATCGAGGCCGCGTGGGCCTAAGATGCCTGATTGCCAGTTTTCTTCTTTTCCGCTAATTTTTAGCTATAATTATAGCAAAAATGGGCTTTTGTTGGCGAGGAAACGACGTAATTTTCATGACAATCTTAATTTTTTTAAATACTAGTCATAATTTAAAAATTAAATTCTTAAATTCAGCTCGATTTTTTTTCGCGCCTGCTAAATCTACGGGATTATATCAAACAAACTTGTTCTGAGAAATTTCATTAAACAATATCTGAGGAAGGAATTTGAATGGTGGAATTGACAAGGACCACAATTTAAATGGATGAGCGCAGCAAGGTTGGAGGAGATTTTAATTGAAATCGTCACAGAGTTGCTCTATGTGGAAATACGAATTATTCAAATAAAAATAATTAATTGAAAGCCTCAAACGACTGAAGGGACTCGGGGATATCAAATCAAACTCGCAAAATTAGTGTAGATTTAAATGTATCGTTGACTGTAATATTAAATGCGCGTACGTTATAATGCAATTCGTATGAGGTAATATTGATTGAATTTATTTCTTCTTTCAATTAATTGGTGAATGTTGATTGACGGTCTTGCGGATATCGCTATGGTCCCGCGTGGATTACTTGCCTATTTTCTTTTGATGGGGTCGTTTCAATTCAAATTAGATCAGAACATTCGATTGCATTGCTAAATATTTTTCTCAATAACTATTACATACACGTTGGGTAATCAATAAATATATAGCAATAAAATATCAAATTTGTCTATTTTCGGGCATCACAGTCGTCCGGTATCTTCGGATCAATCGAACATTGTCGATTTTGCCAAAAATATAAGAAATCGGCAATAAAATGAACAATTTTTGACTGCACAGATTGATTCCGATGAATTCAAACGAATCCACGTGGAATATTGAGAAAAGCGTCGACACAATAATTAATTGCATCTTAATTACTCCACCCTGTCGCTCATAATTAGCCTAATTGGTCACTTACAAACGGGACGATTAATATCGGCGCAGATTGGCAAACAATATTGATTTCCTCGTATTTTTTGCGTCCCGAGTAGGCGTGAACCTTGGACATTTTGCGCAGCACAATTATGAACATAATTAGGGTAATTATCGGAATAATTAAGTTGCATATGATATAAATCCTTTTGATAATTAGTACAATCGGCGGATGATTAGTATAATAACCAGATTGCATCCCGCAAAGATGCCAATTTGTGAATGCCTGAAAAAATGAGAAAAATGATTAGCGGGGGGGCCAATTATGTGGTGAGGCCAATTACCGATGTAATATGACATTCGGGAATTTTCTCAATTATGAAAATTTCGTAGACATTGCAATTGAACAATTCGAAGAGCGAATTCGAAAATCCCGGAATCGCGGCACAAAAAATCCAAAGCTTCATGCAATTACTAGAAATCGATTTTTTTTGTTGTTGCGCCTAGCGCGGCTCAAACTTGGACCCAAATTTGTGGTAAGCCTTCTTTTGAGAGACTACAATGTAGCGTTGAACGCTGAACACGAGCAACACGCTGGGAATTGTCGGCGATTCGACGAAATAGTTGGCGAGCTTCGCGGCGAACTCGACACACCTGCAAACGAGAAGGCGCGCGCCGCCGAATTGCCATTTTTCAACGCCAACGCCCTTCGCGAACTCACGTCGAACCGAATAAAAGGATGGCGACGACGTGCACGTCGGCGTTCACAAGGATCGGCACGTTATTGAAGGCGTAAATCGTGATCGGAATCAATTCGTGAAGGCTGACCGCAAAATGGACGAGCAACAGAAATTTGGTGATTGGACGCGTGTGAAGCTGGAAGTCATGTCCGGTTTTTTTTTTGGGGGGGGCGGGGGGGGCGTGGACTTCTAGGTACAGTGTCTTGTGGCTACCGTAACCCTGATGGATATGAGTCTCGCAGCATACATTCTACCGTAATCCGTGCTCCCTCAGGATCGCGTCTTACCACGACAATGTCCTTCTCTATGTTACCTTTAAACCGACATCGTGTGTGGCGACAAGCGCACAAAAACAAATTATGAAACATATCTCAATTCAGAATCGCACGTCATCGGATTCTCGCCACCACCTGATTCTCGATTCGCCTCAACATCGCCGTCTCGTCGATTTTGCCGAAAATGTAAGCGATGGGAATGATCGCCAGAATCGCGTCCAAATTGCACCAATCGATTCCGATGAATTCAAACGAATCCACGTGGAATATTGAGAAAAGCGTCGACACAATAATTAATTGCATCTTAATTACTCCACCCGGTCGCTCATAATTAGCCTAATTGGTCACTTACAAACGGGACGATTAATATAGGCGCAGATTGGCAAACAATATTGATTTCCTCGTATTTTTTGCGTCCCGAGTAGGCGTGAACCTTGGACATTTTGCGCAGCACAATTATGAACATAATTAGGGTAATTATCGGAATAATTAAGTTGCATATGAAATACATCCTCTTGATAATTAGTACAATCGGCGGATAGTTCGACAAGCGCCCATTTTTACAAATATGGCTATCGGCGAATAGCTCGACAATCCAACATCCCCTTATATGGCGAACGCCGAACACGTTGTCGATTCCGCATTGGAGAAGCTCGAAGAGCACGTTGAGAACGCCGAGCGACGAGGCGGCGACTAGCCAGAAATCTCGAGAATTCTCGACGAATTTGCGAAACTTGGACACGCATTTGAACGTGGCGGAGACTACAGTGTAGCGTTGAACGCTGAGCACGAGCAACACGGCGGGAATCGTCGGCGACGCGATGAAAATCGCGCCAGCGTTCGCGATTGTCTGAATTGTTCTGGAAAAAGCCGATGGTGACGAGACCCAGTGTGAGATGGGCTTACATCGTTGGGACCCGATAGACGAATACGACAACGTACAAATATTTCTCGTCGATCGCCAAATTGTCGACGATGGCGTTGGCGATGCGCGTGATTCTCGCTAAATTCACAACGACGGCGATGCGCAGCAGAAATTTGTTGAGGCCGCGCGTGAGAAGCTGCAACACGCCTTTAAGCAATATGCGGCGAGACCCAAAGTATATGGTAAACCGCGCCTTTAAACAACCCCGAGTTACGGTAGCCCAGACACTCACATATTCCTCATAGTCCTTTCGTTGGCGAAACACATGAATATGATAGAAAACGAGGCAAATCGTCGGAAGCGAAATGCCGAACGCTTCGATCGACGTGATCTCGTTGATCGTCGAATTACTATTCAATACATTGACGTCGATGGGCATTCGAAGTTGAAAGGCGATAGAGAGAAGCGAACCCGATAATCAACGATTTAATTCAGGGGTTTGGCTGCCAAGGAAACCGGCAATGCCAGCACATTGTTTAAAGGCGCACACCCCATCAAGCTCAGTGCCGATCAATGGACACACCGCTGTATGAAATCATTCTCAAGCTAATCTGGTATGAGGCGGCATTCGTCGTCTACGTCATCCTGTTCGCGTCGCGCATCAAAGAGGAGAAGGCGGTGAGGTTGTCGCTGACGACGATCTTCTTAATAGCATTCGCCTTCCTTCCAGATGCTCACCTACCCGCTGACGGTGACGTTCGTCGTCGTGTTGTTCGCCCACAATTTCCTGGTGATTCTCCGCGTGCTCACGGTGCTCGGCGCGGCCGTCAACGACGACGACGATGTGAAATTCGCGTTCCTCTACGCCACCGTGTAAGTGGCGAGACAGCGATGCGCCTTTAAAACTTCGTCGTGTTCAGACTCGCCACCGTCATCGGCGAGGCTTACAATCGTTTCCTCGACGCGCCACTGATTCCCGTCTGTCTGCTTCTCACCAGCGTTCAGCGCCTCATCATAATTCTGGCGCCCATCGAGTACCACAAGCTGGTGTCCGGCAATCTTCTGAAGCTCTACATTCTGATGTTCACGTGCCTCGGCGTCTCATTCGTCCTTCAAACCTTCCTCAATTGCCCCAACGCGTTTCTAATGATTCTTCATACGTGCTCAACTAAAATGGTCCCCACAGAGTTGGCACAATCAAATTGCGCTGATGTCTTGTGTTTCAGACGTTGACCAACTCGCGCCAATGCTCGAATCAAGATCGCATCTCGGAATTGCTGATGATCCAAATAAGGATCTACATGCTCTCCCACTACGCGCTCCCATTTCTGGCAATTATTCTCTACGTCCATCTTGCTCTCAAAATCGGCAAGCTTGACCTCCGCGCCGATAATAAGCTTCGTGTCAGCATCAACATTATCCTTCAGACAACGCCAGTGATTCTTGTGGCGATGGTAGAAGGGGTGGTAGATCAAAACGAGAGCGGAGAACACCAAATTTCAGATTCGCGCCGTTCTCGCCGTGTTCATGCTCGTCACCTACGCGGGCGACGTCGACGACTTCGAGGCGAGTCTGGCCGGCGGCGAGCTCTGCCGCTACGACACCTATTTGGTATTCATTCCGCTCGGCTACATCTTCGGCAACGTCGAGAGATGGAAGCGAATCCAGACGATCATCCGTCATCGCGTCTCAAGAGTCAGCAATTCGGAAACCAATCTCGACAACAACGTTTACACTCGACACGCCGAATAACACGCTTCCCTATAATTATGCGAATGAATTATATGTCTTGAATTGAGCTTCTTCTAGAAAGACCCCTACTAGTTTGAATTCTTTTTCAAACATTTGAAATCAATTATTTTTGATCTACCCTGTGACGCAAAACACCATCGAGTTTTGGGTGAAGCTACGAAACAACTAAAAATGGTCATTTTTCTTGAGCCATGATTACTGTAGGCGTTTAAAGGAGCAAGCTAAAAAAAAAATTGAAGTGCTGGTGTTGGGATTTGGCAAAATCGAAGTGGCCGTGGCCGAAAACCCCAAATTAGGAAATCGGAATGAAGGGAAACTCGCCAATCACACCCAGTAATTATGGTCGGCAGTCGTCAAATTCCATAATTGGACTCAATAATGGATATCGCTTTCGGCATAGCTCAATTGATTCTCTTCGAGACCCCCTATCTCATCTACGTCGTATTGTTCGCGAAGAATCGCAAAAACGAGAAGGAGGTGAGAGAGGTCCCTCGAAATGTCCGCAGATGTTATTTAATAAGATTGCAGCTTCTCACCTATCCGATAAGCTTGACCTTCATCATCATACTGTCGATTCACAACGCGCTGCTCGTTGCGAAAATCGTGGGTGTGCTCGCGCTCGATGAGCACGCCCATGGGACCCTCGACGCGATTTGTCTCGCCTTGATAATGTTGCAGCAAAATTCCATTTGGTGTTCAAACTCATAATTTCCAGCGCTTCCACAACACTCGGCGAGGCTTTCAAGCGTTTCCTCGACGCGCCTCTCATCCCAACATCGCTATTCATTCTCAGCGCTCAACGCTTCATCGTGATTCTCGGACCGCACAAGTGGCATCGAGCGGTCAGCGAGACGCCGCTCAGAATCGCGCTGCTCCTCCTCGCCACCATCGGAATTCTCTACGTCATCCAAACGTTCTATGAGTGTCGCCACGCGTTGTTCGTCATTATTCGTACGTGCTCGACGAAAATGGTTTCCGAACTCGACGCCAAACTTCTATCACCTTCTTCTTTTAAGGCATTCAGCAATTCCTACCAATGCTCGATGAGAGACTCGATCTCCGACGTCCTAATGCTCCAAATTCGAATCGCCGTCGCCTCGCACTTTGTGTTGCCGTTGATGGCGATCCTTCTCTACGCCTACCTTGCCCTAAGAATCGGCAAGCTTGAATTAAGCTCGAATCGAAAAATGCAAGCCAACATCAATGTGATGCTTCAAACGATCCCTCTGATTCTGGTGGAAGTGGTTCGTCGAGCATCGGCCGAAGCGTCCGACAATCGCACATTCCAGATTCGTTCGACGTTCGCCTTATTCATGTACACCTTCTACAAGGATCGCGCTCAAGTGTGGGAGCAGACGACGGCCGGCGTCGAACTCTGCCGCTACGACACTTATTTGGTGCTCATTCCGCTCGGCTACATCTTCGGCAGCGTCGAGAGATGGAAGAAGATCAGAAAGCTGTTCCGGCGTGCCTCGCGTGTCAATGATTCGGCAACCTATCTAGACAATCAGGTCTACACCCAATAATTATGGCAACCGCTAATTAGCACAATCCGACAATAAAATGTGAAGTCAATTAATTTTTCTGTTTTTGGAAGTTTTTTTCCACTAGATTCGCCCATATAATTGTTTCGCTTTTATTTATTTATTTTTTTTGTTCCTATTTTCTGCAATAAACAATTTGAAATAATTTTTTAAATCTTAAAATAACGTCAAAAATGCCACAATCGAATAAAAAACCGCGTGGCCTAGAGGCCATGTGCGATTCCTAGGCCGCGGCCATTGAAAATTTTTTTCAAAGTTAAAACTCGATTTATTTATTTTCTTTTGTTCAACTTGCTAATTTAAGGTTGAATTTGCATAGACTGTCGAGTCGCTGACACTCGATTGCCGTATCAAACGCCGAATCCACTTCAGACGATCGACATTCCCGAAAATGTAGCCAAGTGGGATGAATATTAAATAATTTTTGTAGCTGCAAACGGCGCTGAAATCGATTCTGTCATCAATTCCGAAGAAAATGTAAAAAGCGGTGACAAATATGCGAATCTGCGTCAAAAAAAAAATTCGACAATGCCAATTCCAATGTCAATTACCGAGGTAATTAAAATAATTGGTAGGGTTTGAAGGATGATATTGAGTTCGACCGTCTTTTTGCTATTCGAAATCAATTGCATTTTATGGATTTTCCATAAAAGGCCTGTATAAAATCCGACGGAAATTGCAGGAAGAAGGAGGTGCATTAGAACGTACACCTGCAAAAATGCCAAGTTTGCAATTTTTCGCATTTCAAAATATTCCACCCAAATTTGGGCGGTTAAAAGCGGGGAAAACTGCTCGGAACATTGTTGATGAACGCCGTTTATCAACTGAAATCCGTTCTAGTCAAAATTGTCCGCTGAATTCTCATTTGTCCTACATATTTGGTTGGGCACACATTGAAAACAATCATCATTTTTCCGTTACATCGTCGAAAATAATAAGAGATGTAAAAAAAATTGAGGAAAATTGGAATGATTAGCGCAATTTTCAGGTATTTTCTGCAATTTTTGGCCGTTTCCAATGAGATGAGCAAAAAAAAAAGAAAATTTTGTACCCGGTCACATATTTATGGTACGTCTCGTCGGCGAGAATGATCACCGATCTCTGAACGCTCAGCGCAAGCAAATAGACGGGAATTGCGGGACCATTGAGGAAATTGATGTAAGCTTCATCAACCATATTCGACAATCTTTAACAATTTTTTGAGGTTGACCGAAATGAGAGAGAGCTTACATGAAAAGGCCGTAGGATAATATTCGAAGCGACCAAATTTGTCCAGATGTCCCAATAAGCAACAATGTCCAATTGAGTGTTAAAATTGAGCCATGCACGACAATTAGAATGAAGAAAAGCGAGGTGATTGGATAGGTGAGAAGCTGAAAATGAGTTTTTTTTGCTGAAAAAAACCCCTCGAAAACCGACTTGTTTCTCGTTTTTGCGATTTCGGAAATATAAAACAGCGTAGAAAATGAAGAATGCTTGCTCAGTTATAGCAAAAAATACAATACAAAGGTAGATTAGATCCATTCAATAGAGTTATGTTGAGCAATTCGGCCGTAGAAGGCGAGGAATTGAAATAATTATAGGGCGTCGTTTGCCTTAGTTTTGGAATTACCCCCTATTTGCTTTAAATGGAATTTAACGACGGAAAATGTCGAATAATTCAAGAAATGAATTTTTTTCAAATTTTCGCTATAAAGAAATTTTTAAAAATTACGAGAATAAAAAGGAACTCAATTTATGTTTTTCAAATTTCCGAAATTCGTTTTTTTTACTTCAGCGTTCAGTTATTTTAAATTATCTGAATTTTTACATTTTTCCCCCATTTTGATTTCTACACTTTTTGCTATTTCAAACATTTCGAACCACCGCTGAAATTCGATCAAATTGCTCATATTACATCGATGGCCGAGTTTTGAAAATGGCCGAAGTTTGGATTCCGCGGCCGTGGCCGTGCGCGCAATTATTATTTTTTTTTATTATTCGTTTTTCGGAGTTTTTTCACGTTTTCTCGGCAATCCTTCATTGCTTTTCAAATTTTTCGAATTTTTGACGAAATTTGGGTGGTAAAGTTCAAATTGTCAACGCGGTTTTCACCGTTTTCCTCGAACAACCTCGAATTTTTGCAGAAAATGGGAAAAGTCAAAAAGATAAAATCGACGAAAGCCGGCACGTCGTTCGGAAACGTTCAAGCGTTGCCATTCAACACCGACAAAGGTCAGCACATTCTGAAGAATCCCGGCGTGGTGAACGCGATTATCGAAAAGTCGGCGTTAAAGCCGACCGACACGGTGCTCGAAGTTGGTCCCGGAACCGGTAATCTCACAGTTAAAATGCTCGAGGTCGCGAAAACCGTCATCGCATGCGAAATCGATCCGCGAATGATTGCGGAGGTCAAAAAACGCGTAATGGGAGGGTAATCGTGGTGTTGCCGCGATGAAAACTCGAAATTCTCGCAAATTTCAGACCGCTTCAAAACAAATTGCAAGTGAACGCGGGCGACGTGATGAAAATGGAGTGGCCGTTTTTCGATGTGTGCGTCGCGAATCTCCCCTATCAGATTTCGTCGCCATTTGTTCAAAAACTGCTGCTCCACAGGCCACTTCCCAGGTACCTAGAAAAAAAGTCGCCAAGAAAACCCGTAAAATTGTCCGCAGGTACGCCGTCCTAATGTTCCAAAAAGAGTTCGCCGATCGCCTCGTGGCGAAACCCGGCGACAAAGACTACAGTCGGCTGACCGTCAACGTGCAGCTTCTCGCCAAAGTCGAAATGTTGATGAAGGTGAAGCGCACCGAATTCCGACCGCCGCCGAAAGTCGATTCGGCCGTCGTGCGAATCGCGCCCAAAAATCCGCCGCCGGCGATCAACTACGACGAATGGGAAGGCCTTTTGCGTTTGTGCTTCTTGCGAAAAAACAAAACGATTGCCGCGATATTTCGCCAAACGCAAGTCATCAAAATCATTGAGGATAATTATCGACAAATTTGCAGCCAATTAAATAAGGTAAAGCGAAAAAAAACTCGAGGGGGGGGGTCCGATTAAAACCGAATGATTTCAGCCGATTGCCAAAGATTTCGACTGCAAGAAATTCATCGATGACACACTTGTGGCGTCCGGCTACGCGGAAAGCCGCGCCCGAAAAATGCGCGTCGAGGATTTTCTCGCGTTGCTGCTCGCCTTCAACAAAGCCGGCATCCATTTTCGTTCATAGATCTCACCCAGAGAATTTTTGTTGTTTTTGTTGTTGTTATTATAATAAACTATACGCTCAAAAATATTGTTCATTGATCGTCGTCAAGAGTTGGTGGATCTTTTGAAATATTTGCGAACGCTGAAGAATCATATATACTATTTTTCACCCTCTCTCTCTCTCTCTAGACATGCAGATTTTTAGGCGATTGTTGGCTAGTAGCTCAAAGGCGAATCAAGAGGTAATGATATTGAGCAATTTTTGAATTATTCCAAATTCTAGACCGCCCGAAAATGCTTACAAATCGCCGTCATCGGCGCTCCCAACGTCGGCAAATCGCTTCTGACCAACAACATCGTCCGATGTCCGCTGTCGGCGGTCAGCTCGAAAATGGACACGACGACGAGGGTGAATTGTGCAGCATGCGCTTTATTATTTAATTTTGTTCTTCAGAACATCGAGGCGGCGATTTGCGAGGACTCGACGCAGCTCGTCGTCGTCGATTCGCCGGGCGCCGTGAGCACGTCGCACGCTCGCGAGACAATGAAGAACGGTCCCGCCGATCCCGACAATGTGTTGATGGACGCCGAGAAGGCGCTTCGACGCGCCCAACAAATCGTCGTTGTTCAGGATTCGACGGCGCCCGGCGCCTACATCCATCATCGTGTGCTTCACATGCTCCACCGCTACTCGCACGTGCCAAGCGTTCTCGTCATGAACAAAATTGATCTAGTAATTCGACGGTCCGATCTTCTACCGCTTGTCGAGGTAGAGCATTCGGCGCGTCAGATCATCATCGACTCATTGCAGATTCTCACCAATGGCCAACTCAACGATCAGAAGATTGAGACGAAGCCGGCGCAAATTGGAAGGCTTGGCAAAAGCTTGAATGGAACGCTGAAGAGCACCGATCTTCCCAACGATGAGAAATGGCGAAGCCTTTATCGTAGTCTGATTCAGAAGCCAACCTATAAATGCGGCTATTCGGAAACCCGACGACTGTTCCGCAACGTCAACGGTTGGAGCGGATTCGATCGAGTGTTCTTCGGTATGAATTTGCGCGCAACGATCGACTCATTCGTCATTTTCAGTGTCATCGTTGACCAGCGAAGGCATCGACGCGCTGCGAACTCATCTGATCGATGTCTCGCCGCCAGGCGACTGGAAGCTCGACGAATCGCGGCCAACCAACGAGTCCGCTCAGCAACTGTGTCGCGACTCGATTCGCGCCGCCGTTCTCGACACGACGCCGTCGGACGTCGCCTATACGGTGCGCGTCGGCATCAACGAATGGGACGAGAGCGGCGAGATACTCCAAATCGTCGCCGACATCAAGTGCCTCAAACCGCGAGACGGCGTGCTCATCATCGGCAAAACCGGTCGACGAATCAGCGAGATCGGACGTCGCGTCAACGAGCACCTTCATTCGCTGTTCCAGCGTCAGCTCTACGTCAGATTAATCGTAACCCATAACGGGAAGTTAATAGCTCAATAAATTTATTATTTTTTTTTCAATCGGAATCCGACGAGTTATATTCCTGAGCTATCAGGGAAATGGCTGAAGGCTTCGCAGCTTCTTCTTGTTCCTTCTCTTCCTCAATCTTCCTCTGCTTCGGCTTAATCCCCAAAATCGATGTGCTTTTCTTATTAATCAAGCTTGATGATGTTGATGAGAACTAAAAAATGAAACATACCTAATTGGCCTCTAATTACCATTTAATTACCTTATCATTAATTCGTCGATCTCTCTCCATCTTCATAGTGGCTTTGAGCCTTTGCGACGCCGCCGCCGATGACGATGACGACAACGTCGTCGGCGCCTCATCGCCGCCAAAAATTCGACGCGTCTCAACCTTCTCACGACTCGAACTCTGCACCTCATCGTGGCCTACAATAATCAAAAAATAATTAATTAATTAAGCGTGACCAATTAAGCCATTCCTTTTGATTAATACGTCGACGATTCGGCAGAATGTCAGAACAAAATGATAAGGTAGTCAAGGGTGCCATCCGAAATATGGTTCGGATTCTAGGACGACAACAACAACAACACCGAAGAGCTGGTGATTGTCAGCGACGACGACACACTGTACACAACGTGTCCGGAGATCACCATCAGCTATATGAAGGACGCCTCGGTGAGTGGGAGGATTCCCTCGCCTCCTAGCATTCCAATCGATTCTAGGGAAAGAAGAAGCGGACCATCACCATTGATTCGAAGCACAAAAGTCGCGATCGGACGCGACGAAGCGACAACTTGCATCGGCGCGCTCTCGTGAACAGCGCGATTCGAAGTTCGGCGTCGAGCAGCAGCCAAACCGAATCATCGCGATCGCGGTCTCGTCCCAGCAGCGACGAGGCCAACAAGATTCTCGATGGCGCCTACGCGACGAATCGCAAGAAGCGCGTTCCCACCAGCGTTCGCAAAAACGCGCTTCATCATCAGGGAGGCGCGAAACTCGAGATCGCGCCGCGACTCGACACGCTCGACCAACGACGAGCCGATCCGACGGCGATCATCAATCTGCCAAGCCCGCTGTACATTCTGTCCGAGCAGCAGGTCACCGGTGTGCCGCAGGCGAAAGCCATCGAGTTCGTCACACGCATTCTGTTGACGACGAAAAAGTTGCTCATCGACAAGAAGGAGACGCTCATCGAGGAGATGGCCGAAGCGCGACTCGTCGGCGGTTGTCGAAGCTCGACGAATTTGGCCGACGACGACGAGCCGCACGAGGATTTCGATTGTCGCGTGTTCTATTCCGACAAGGGCATTCTCATCGAGACGCGCCAAATTGTTCATGTGAGACCGTCGTCAACGCCTCCCGACTCGCCTAATTTGGATTACTTCAGAAGGTGGATAGCAATCGGCGGTGGATCACCAGCGAGGAGAAGACGCATTCGAACATCTGCAAGACGAAGATCATCGGAATGCATGGGAAGTGGGACCATCAAAAAGGGCTCCTGTTCGCAAAACGAGCAACTGTTTCAGGCACGTCGACGGCTTCCTCAACGTTCAGATCAAAGAGTCGATCGAGGCGATCAATCAAAACTATAAGCGATGCGAGGAGATGATCATCGGCTTCAAAGGCGACAAAACCGAGGGCTTCTACGAGATCAAAGCCGACACGAAGACGTTCGATCCGACGAAGACGATCAAATTCAGCGAGCGCATCATGTTCGACAGCAAGAACATCGGCATCTCGATTAAGCACGACGCCGTCGCCGACATGTCGCGACATTGGACGTCGAGTCAGGGCACGTTCGGCGAACAACACTGCGATTATCGCGAGGTTCACTTCAAGTTCGACGAGGCGACGCCATCGATGAGTGCCGGCGGCAAGCCGGCGATTGAGACGAGCGGCAAGACGCCGAAGAAGTCGCCGACTCTTGTTCAGACCGCCGCGCGAACCCCAACAAATCCATCGACGAAAAAGGACTCGTCGTCGTTCTTCCAATCGACACCGCAAGCGACGTCGACACCCAAATCCGACGTCTCGCCGGTGTCGTTGCGTCCGACATCGGCGAAGCCGGCGCTAACGCCAACGGATCGCGTCGGCACACCGGTGAGCACACCGTCGCTGAGGAAATCCTCACCAGCTCCGCCACCACAAGAAGTCGATTTGGACAAGAGTTTGAGCAAGAGCAGAGTGGCGCGCAATCTCTCCAAAGTGATCGATGAGGGCAAGAAGGCGAACGCCGAGTCGGTGGAAGCGGTAAGTCGGCGCGATTCATCGCATTTGTGTTCAAATCGTCAATTTTTGATGTTCAGCCGAAAACACCGCCGCCAACACTTCGCGACGACAATTCCGGAAGCGGAAGCAGCAGTAATAGCGAGTCGCGAAAAACGACTCGAGCCAGTGTGCACCTCGGCAAACGCAAGAGTCGATCGGCCGACACGTCGCCGGTGAGCGGCCAATTGCGGATCAAAGAGACGAAGATTGTGCGCGAGGTGCGCGAGCGCGTCGGCAAACCGCCTCAGATCAAAGAGCACAAAGAGGAGACGGTCAAAGTGCAGCCGGTGGCGTTTGCGCGCGGTGGTCGTCCGACGGCGACGCCGATCAAACACGACGACGTCACAATGATGACGTTCAACGTGACAGTGCCGCACGGTTGAACGAATTTGATGGTGGCATAATTGATTTGTTCGGATTTCAGAGAACACCACCACAACGACGACGACGACAACGCCGACAACGCCGACGACACCAACCACATTGAGCAGCCCGAAACAGTAAGCCAACCAAAATTTGCCGGGGGACCATTTCAATTCTAGAAGCCGCGCGGCATCAACGAAGGCCAAACTCAAAAGTTTCCCGAAGGCGCTGATTCTCGAATCGACAGTCAACGGCAAACCCTACTTGATCAACATGAACATCGATTTTCAAGCGTACGACGCGCCCAAGGTCGACGTCAACAAGGTCGTGTTCGACAAACGCGTGTTCTTTGAGAAGAGCGTCGAATGGAATCCGACGACGTCGTCGATAACTACTAGTCAGGTGATTGGCATTAATTAATTAATTAATTAATTATGCGGCAAAGAAAAAAATGGTTAATTGTAGACGAAGACACTCGCGAAACAAGCCAGCGAAATTTCGAATCGAAGCGCTCGCAAATGATTGAATGAATATAGAATACTTACTCTTGACATCCTTGTATCTTGTGATCATTGACGCAATTTTGCGATCATCGTCGGATTCTGGAAGAAGCTTGGTGATTCCGATCGATAGCTTCCCGCGTAGGCGTTCGTCTCGAGCTCGCTGATCGCCGAGCGACTTTTTCTCCTTCTGAAACGAACCACATATTGCCTCCTCTCCAATTTCGATGCGAACTGACCCGAAATTGACTTCGCAAAAATGAGTTGGCCGCAAAATCGTCCTTCATTCGCTCCTGAATCCATTCGAGTTTGTCGACGCGTCCCTCTTCGCTCGCCGCTTTACTCCGATCGCCCTCCTCGTGCTCTTTTTTGAACATTGCGTCGGCGGCGAGTTTTTGCGCGAATCCGCGATCGACGGCGCCGACCTGCTGGATTTCGGCGGGATCGAAGCGGCGCTCCTGACGTGTGCAGCCTTCGACGAGCTCATAGTCGAAATTCTGGAAATTTGGAATTTTTTTCGGCGTCTTTTTTTGAGGAACTCTTTAGAAAAAGAAGAAGGAACTCGGTTTTGAATTATTTTGAAATCCACGTGGACAAGTTAATCAACTCGCTTCAAGACCATTTTTTGGCAATCCACGTGGATTTTTAATTATTTTATTTTTTAAGAAAATTGAGAAAATTGAAATCTGAAAATAAGCAAATTTAAGTCAAAATTTTCTCGGAAAAATCTCAAAAATGTGCATAATTTGATTTTAACACTTCGAACCCGCAGAAAAAAAAAGAGATTTCTAATTAAAGAGACCAAAATTGGACAGAAATTCTTTCTCGAAACCAAAATAGTCATTTTCTGATACTTTTTCAACTTAAAAAAAAGAGTTCCATCGAATTCTCATTTTTTTTTTCCGATTCAATGAAAAAAAAAACGCCTTTGTTCAGTCAAAAACTGTCAGCTTTTAAGAAAATTTTGCTAGAAATGAGAAATCGCAAAAAAAGCTATTCTAAGACAAAAATTTCCGGAAAAAAATGCATATATTTTCGATTTTGAGCGTTTTTAAGATGCCAAATAGTGGAAATCCATATTTTCGAAGTCAACTTCAAAACGTTTCCGGTAAAAGGCAATTTTTAGTCAAAAAAATTTGGGTTTTCGCTGAAAAAACCTGATTTAAAGCGTTCTAAGGCGCCAAAATCTTAAAATTTCAAAGTCAAACCTTTGGATCCGTCCGAATCACATAATAATTATCGCATAAGTGGCATTTCATTCGAAATTCGTGCAACGGCGTCGTATAATACATTCCAACCTAGATATAAAAGAAGAATTAGAGCAAAAAAAAAAATAAAATTGAAACGCTCACTTTTCGCTTCTCAGCATTATATCGAACGCCCATTCCGACATGATTGTGGCATCCGAGGCACCAAATGTTGAACGGCATCTCGAATCGAATCACCAGGATGCCCTGATCGATTTTTTTGGCGCGCTCGCGAAGCGCATGCGTTCCATGATACGAGTTCAGCGATTTGTGCTTCTTGTAGTCGAAATCCGGCGGATAGTAAAAATTTTGACCTTTGCGCTCTCCCATCTATCAAGAGAGAGAGGGAGAAAAAAAATTAGTGGCTGGGAAAAATTGCGACAAAAGAAATAGGCGTTATCGGCGAGAAACCGTCTTCAAAAAGCAGAAAGCCCAAAAAAATGAAAACCCGATCAAAATTTATTCAAAATTTTCAAGCATCATCATCAGCACCAACAGCTTGCGCTTCCAATTCGGTGAAGCCCGCCTTCTCGGTGAGCTTCTTCACCAATTCCTTCGATAACTTTGATTTTTCGGTTCTCGTGTGCCACACGTAAACCTTGGTGCAATTTTCCGCCAATGGCTCCATGTTATATCGATGGATGCCGAGTTTCTCGAGAAACGTTGATTCCTGGAAAAAATAAATTTCGAAATTTCGATTTTTAACGAAAATTCTTGGTTAAAATTATAAAATTTTTGACGAAAATTGCAAAATGTTCTATCAATTTTCAAAATATTCTCACATTTTTTGAATATTTCGTCTAAAAATTGTCCCTTTTCGCCAATTTTAAACCGAAATCGCCCATTTTTCTCTCTAAATCACAATTTTGAAAAAAAAAATGGCAATTTTACAAAAAAAAATTATAATTCTTTCGATATTTCAAAAAATTTGTGAGATTTTTCACCTAAAAATTGTAATTTTTGGCTGATTTTTAGAACAAATCTCAAAATCGCAATTTTGAACAATAAAATTTCAAAATTTTAATAAAAACTTCTAATTTGCTCAATTTTTTTTAAATAACCTTTCTATTTTCGCGCATTTTCCAGCCAAAATTATTATTTTCTTCCTCAAAATCACATTTTTTATTGAAAAATTAAAATTTTTGTTTCAAAAAATGTCTCATTCTGTCAATTTTAATAGTTTCACCAAAATTGTTCATTTTAGACTCTAAAAATCCCACGTTTTGAGACAAAAATTGAAAAATTCACAATTTTTTGTTACCTGATATCCTCTCGGCACCTCATACGAGAATTGCGCGTTTTTATTGCGATTCACAAGCTCCAGCGAGACCGCAAAAGCGGCCATATCAATTGGAAACGGTCGTTCGGGCTTCCAGACGGCGTTGAAGCCGACAATCGAGCCTGCAAGTGTGTGTGCGCCTTTAAATCAATTCGATTAAAAAAAACCACCAACCGTTGCCGGCCAAAATCGGCGTCTCGACAAGCAAACCTCCGACAATTCCGACCGGCCAAACGCCGGCATTTCGCACTTTTCGCATTTCGCCGAACAACCGCAAATCGTAGCTATTGTCGTCGTCGCCAAAATACACGATGCCATTCTTCTGAGCGGCCAATTGGGTTCGAATCCACGCGAGCGCCGAATTGCGTTGCTCGACGCCGCGCGGCAGATACCAATTCGGATCGTTGTACTTCATTTTTCGATCGGTCGGCGTTTTCGCGTTGAGATGCGTGAAACGCACCTTGCTTCGCATCAGAATCTCGCGAATCGACTTCGATTGCTCGTCGGCGTCTTCGACAACAATCCAGTGGAGATTCGGCACGTGCGATAACGTATATGATAGCCTTGTAAGGTCGGCCTTTTGCGCCGCCCGGAAATTCGTCGGCGTTATGAAATAGATCGGCACTAGCGTCTCCCGTCCGCGTGGAATCAACGATATATGATCTTTTATTCTAAAAACTCACATTTTTTCGATTTTCTTTAAGCAAAAAATACAAATTGTCGATTTCATTAAGTCTGCCGGCCAATCGCGTCAAAATTCGCTCTTTTTCCAATATTTGAATGCGCAATTCATCGCTTTTTCTCGTCATTACGTCAATCTGAAAGAGAATTTCAATGATGGCACGAATTCGGAATCGAAAATACCGTCGCTTCGAGACGCGCCTTCTCCTCATCGAGACTTTGGACTTTTGAAAGCGCGTAGAACAGCTGCCATCCGAAGAAACAGATTAGGGCGATGAACGCGCGAACCCACCATTTTTCCAAAAATCGCGCGCTGAACATTTCATTGGAAATTTGGCGGGATTATTGCGGATTTCCGCTTGTCGAGATTAAATTAATCGCGCTCGCATTTACGCTAAAACGCGGGCGGCGTCCAACGCGAAGCGTCGTTGCCTCGCCACTTTTTTCGCTCGTATCTCGTGAGGGGTTCGTCATCGAATGTTCCAGTTCGGGTTTTCGCCATTTTCAATGATTTTCTATACAAATTTTCATTATTTCTCGTCTAAAACTGTTATTTTTCAGTGATATTCGTCGAAAAACGAATTACGATAAAAATCAATATTTTTAATTCAATATTTTTAAAAATTACAAATAAACAATATTTTTCAATTTCCCTCCATTAATTAAATGCATAAAACATTTTTAAAAAAAGATTTTCTTTATATTTCAATATTAGCCTTTTAAATAAAAATCAATTTCATTGAAAAATCGACAATTTTTCGGAATATTTGAAATTTTTTATCGGTGTATTCCTGAAATGTAATTTTCTACTCAAAAAATGTTAAAGATTTCATTTAATGCGCATTTTTTACAACTCTGCACGTGAAAAATGTGTAAATTTTACATTTAATTGCAAGAATAGACCCTTTAAAGCCAAAAATTTCATTTCCTCAAAAAACAAATGACCAAATTGATTTTGTTGTTTCGAAAATTTTTCCCGTTAGAAATTAAAAAAAAAAACATTTGACCTATAAACCGAGTCACATAATTGCGTACTCAAATATTACACACCGCCGCCAATTATTCAAACACACCACCAACCCGGTGCCACCCATTGCGACAGCTACCAAATGGGTGTGGTGGTGGTGGCACACCAGCACAAAACCGTTTGGCCCTCTGACCTCCTGGCCGATTGCCGAATTGCTGTCTGCGTCCTCTCATACACTCATCGCTTTCCTCGCAGTTCCCTCGCCGCCTACCCTCCCAATCAATACTATATAGTGTGTGTGTGTTTGCTGCTGCTGCGTGCGTCCGCCTACCCGTCCGCCGATCGATTCGCTCCCATCGAATGGATGGCGCTCGTTGTAATCTGTTCAAATTCAAATTTTTTTGTATGCTGTAATATTGCGCTGATAACACCTCACAAAGGCTTCCCCCCCCTTCAATTCCTATCAGAAGAACGCCAAAGATAACGTTGCCTAATTATTTGCTCTCTTCAATTCCTTTTTCTTCTCCTCCTCTTCCTCCATCGTCTTCTTGAAGGTCGTCCTCCTTCACCGTCATATAGATACATATCAACCGCAGCAATTTGTTGTGTTATCTGACCATTTCATTATTTTTCGTTTCTTTTCAGGCCAATGGATAGCAACGAACAGCCGACGCCTCGTCGAACCCTTGGCCAGCATAATCCTGGAACATCGCCGATCAAGACGTTCTCATCGGTAAGAGCATATGAAACAATTTGAGCAAGTTCAATGCCGCGTTTTATAGGCGCATTCCTCGCCTCGAGTCACACCAACGAAAGGCGCCAATCCCTATGGTGATCGATTCATCCCGCTACGCCAACCACACCAGGAATGGAACGCGAGATTCTGCGCCATCAACAATCCCGACTTTGAGGTTGGTTTCAAATTTCCACAATCGTTTTTTTTTTGGTTCAAAATTTCTTTTTTCTATTGCCTCGATTTTCAGCCATGCTTCAAAAAACCAATGGGCAATTCAAATCGAGCCAATAACGCGCAACCGACGCCCACACAGACGCCGACGACAGCAACGACGACGTCGTCGTCTTCATCGTCGCACTCGTCCGACTATTATCATCACGCGCCACCGCCAACGTCGGGCGCCACCACGCCCACCGGTCAAATCATTCCCGCGTGTTTCGATGAGAGCCGACGCGACGAGATGGTCGTTCGCGCGCTTTTAAGGAATGAGATGCTCAAAGAGAGAATCGACGATGTAAAGGTAGCGAATTTCAATGTGTCTCGTATATGCCATCTCGAAATTCAGATGCAATTCTTGCCGTCCGATGAGCAATTGATGACGTTGACGTCGTCGAATCTACCCCGAAACACATCGGGAATATTCCCGCAACTCGAACGCAACGCCTATGGTGGTAGCGGTGAGAGTATCGTGCTTCCGATGGATGATACGACGAGGAATAGCCATCCATCGAATTCGACACCATCCACCGACATTCATGATCGAACGCGTGCCTCAGCCGGTGGCAGTAGTAATAGTTTAGGATCGTCAGGTCACAGCAGCAGCACCAGCAGTAGTAGTAGTAGTAGTCAATCGGCGTCGTCGCATTCGAGCGGCCCGACGTCGACACCGAATCCGCAACACAGCTCGCATAATAGTCAGGCGTCGCAGACGCAGTCGTCGACAAGCGCGACGACGTCGGCAACGACGACGACGACGCATGGTTGCGGCGAATCGCCGCGGCCGATCAGCTCGCCATTGATTCCGATTAATAATGTGCATCAGAGTCCCGCGAGAAGCCTATTCACCTATAGCGCAAAAACGACGCCGAATAAATACGGCTCGCCGAGCACATCAGTGAAGTGAGTCGAGATTGTTGAATCGTATGGATACGGAATTTAAACTTTTGAAGTTTCAGCTTCAGCGTTTCGCCGTTCAATGGTCCACTCGGCGAGGAGAGCCAACGACTGTTGAGGACGCCGAGGAAGCCGCAGAGGAAGGTGCCCAAGAATCCATATAAGGTGCTTTTCTCTTTCTTTTTTTTTGCTGAATCGCCTAGAATGCGTTTTTAAAGGTTCTCGACGCGCCCGAACTCCAAGACGACTTCTATTTGAATCTCGTCGACTGGTCGGCGCAGAATCAGCTCGCCGTCGGCCTCAGCAGCTGTGTGTATTTGTGGAGCGCGACGACGAGTCTCGTCACGAAACTTTGCGATCTCATCGGCGAGCAGGACACGGTGACGTCGGTTCAGTGGGGCGACAAGGGCGATCTGTTGGCGGTGGGCACGAATCGCGGTGTCACTCAGATTTGGGATTCGGCGACGTTGAAGAAGATTCGCGACATGCCGGGACACACGTCGCGCATCGGCTGCCTAGCGTGGAACGGCGACACGATCTGCTCGGGCAGTCGCGATCGGACGATTCTCCATCGCGACATTCGATGCGACAGTCGCGAGTTGCCGCGCACGCTGACGCATCATCGGCAAGAAGTGTGCGGATTGAAGTGGTCGCCCGACAAACAGCTACTCGCCTCCGGCGGCAACGACAATCAGCTGCTCGTCTGGAATATGCGGCGGCCGGAGCCGATGCAGACGTACACGCAGCACAACGCGGCGGTGAAGGCGTTGGCGTGGTCGCCGCACCATCACGGCCTGTTGGTGTCGGGCGGCGGCACGGCGGATCGTTGTCTGAGATTCTGGAATACGCTGACCGCGCAGCCGATGCAGTGCATCGATACTGGATCGCAGGTTCGCGACTACCCTTCTAGAACTATTCATTTATTTTTTTTTTTGGTTCCAGGTTTGCAACGTGGCATGGTCGAAGCATAGCAGCGAGCTGGTCTCGACACACGGCTACTCATACAATCATGTAAATTCTGACGCTTCTGATCGAAATAGCCTGATCGCGAGCTTTTAGGTAATCATTTGGAAGTACCCGTCGCTTCAGCCGGTCACCAAACTCGTCGGCCATCAATACCGCGTTTTGTATTTGGCGATGTCGCCTGACGGCGAGTCGATAGTGACGGGCGCCGGCGACGAGACGCTTCGCTTCTGGCACGTGTTCAGCAAATCGAACGCGCCAAGAATCGCTAGATCGAAATTGAATTTGTTGTCGAGCCTTCGGTAATAATCGATTTGAATTTGATTCATATGTAATATTTTTTCTAGTCGCCGCCCGTTTTCCCTCCCACCAAAAATGAATTTTTGAAAAGAGAAAACAAATGAAAATGAAAAAAAAGATCACCAAATATATAGTTTTTTTTAATATTTAGATTTTCTCTTTCACGAATAGTCAATCAAATTGAGCTTCTATGTGATAGTTTGTTTTGCGCCAATCTTTCGACAAAAAGAAACATTTTCCTATCCACACCCCCCTTCCCCATCCCCATTTCTCGCCATTGTTTGCTGTATTATAATCAAGATGTTCCATACCATGTTTCACTTTCATTTTTTTTTTCTGTAAGTTGAACTCCCCCCCAATCAATCAATCAATCCTCGCCCGCGTCGTCGCTTCATTTTATTTTTTTTTGGTGTCGCTGCGCGAGAAAAATGTTGTCAATTTTTATAAATGGTTTATCGTTTCAATAGCACGTTTTGTTCATTAAACTCTGATAGTTGACCTGAACGTTGCCTTCGGACTCCTCTTGAAAACCGGCGAAACAGTGGCAGCTGAAAAAGAGAAGCGTCGAGTTGGTGGGACGACAGACTGCTGTTTTTTTTTTTGGTGGTGGTGCTTGGTGGGTCGAACCTGTATTGGTGGAAAACGTCCTTCAGCAGGCGATTGAGGTGATTGATGTAGCGGATGGCGAAGCGAAGGGTGTCGACTTTGGACAGACGTTTTTCGCTGCAAGTATTCGACATTGAGGTTGGCGTGTTCTTCTCGAATGCAATCAGATGAGGGAGAGCTAATTAGCTAATTAGCTGAGGGTTTGATTGTCTCATTGGGGCAATTTTTTCTTAAATCAGATGTAATTTTTAACATTTTTCCGTGTAGAATTGTCCTTGCTGGCATATTTATTTAAAATAACTTTGAATCGACCTTGTTTCATCGAAAAAGTGATGAATATCTAAACAGATGCTCTAAAAACTGGCAAATGGTCAAATTCGCAAATGCGCTCTATTTCGAGCTCCAGGAATTTCGTTTTTTTTTTATTTTTGAACTTTCTATTTTAAATTGTATTTGGGAATTTTTAAGAATTTTGTTGTTATCTATATTTGACCTTTTGCTTGCGAATGAAATTTCGAAAAAAGATTGAAAATGCGAAAAATAGCACAATTATATTTAAAAATCCAATATTTGCCAATAATCTGAAATTTTCAAATACAATTTTTGAACAATTTAATGACTGCGCCTTTAAATATCTGCAATTACCTTGGCTTCTCCGAGATATTCAATTTTTCAAGCAAAAATTTTCAAATTTTAACGAAAGGTAAAAAATCAATCATTAATTATTTGAAAACCTTCATTTTTTTTAATTAAAAAAACCTTCTTTTTATTTTTTGCTTATCTAAACTCAATACCTACCCATGATGAAGGGGAAGATGGTGCCTTAGCTGCTCGTAGGCTTCATTCACGCATCGCACTCGGCACCGCTCGCGCTCATTGCGTTTCCAAATCGACGAACTGAAAAATTATTCTAATTTCTATATTTTTTTCTTTTTTTTTTGCATAAAAAACGCACACACGAAGGTCGAAAAGCTCAATTTTTGTCTAGCGAAAATTCAAATTCTGCTCACCTATAGGGCCCAAATTGATCATCAAGCTGGAATGGCAATGGAACCGTTGCTTCCGGATCGAACGGATCGATGATTCGTTTTTTCTTCGCCGCTGGTTCGTCGCATGACGTTGAAGCTTGATCTGAAGCAAGTTTTCGAAAGAAAATTTGAGAAAAAAATGGTTGAACTCGAGAAAATCGCTCTTCTCGTGTGGTACACCGTCACGCACAATTGCACAGTGCGCTACAGTAGCCGGCAAGAAAATATGCATTTTTTTCAGTTTAAAATTTAAGATTTTTGAATCGTTTTTTTTTACAAATTTTGCAGATTAGAAAGAAATTACCTTGTTTCATCGACGGGGGCGCCAAAATCGAGGTGTAAACCCCATTTTCAAGAGTATAGCCAACGGTCTGAAACGCGGTGTACAACGAAGCCATTTATGAGCAAAATTGCGGATTCCACATAGGCGTGGCCTGACAATCTACTACAGTAACACGGTACACATTTACTGCTGCGCAAACATTGCCTTGTATGGAAAAGAGAGGGGAAACCGCGGCGAGCATGTTTTGCCGGCTCGGCTCATCTCTTCCAAAAATTTTGGGCGCATGATGATTGTTTATTTATTTTGCGCGATTTCGGCAATCACTTTGAAATATAAACCATTCAACATTTCACGTTTTCTTTCCTGTTCTTTTTGACTTTAAGTTCAGTTTCTTGCAACTATTTGCCAATAACGGCCAGTTGGGTAAATATTATGAGGTGATCATTCGTCAAATTGATTGGCATTAACACCTGGTAATTGGTAAGACGAATAAATATAAAAAAATCGGCGGCAAAAGGGTTTGCAAGGTAGGAGGAGTCGAACCAAAAGACTAAATCTTGCTAGTCCATAAACTTCACAGTTTACCAAAGTCGCTGATGGCGTAGGTTGTCAAAGGTTGTAGACGAGACAGCACTCGCCGCTTTGATTTAGGAATGCGAAAAATGAAAAGCATGACTCATTATCAAGCTTTTCCATTCACTTTCTAAATCTTTTGATAAATCTAATCACCAAATTGGGAAGTGAGAGAAAAGAACGCATACCGTCTCCAAATCATTGCGGCGTCAATTATCGATTAATCACCGTCATGCTAATTTTCCTAATATTCCTCTCAACTTCATTCTCGTTCACCGTACAAGTAATGCGTTTCAAGCGCGATTTCATGTATGTCACCGACGGCAACGAAACCGACGCAAAATGTTTCGAGGTTCGCGTGTTCGTTTCAAATTTTTCAACACCAAAATTTAGGAATTTGTTTTAGACGTGCCAATCGGAGTTCAAGGCGAAATTCGAGTACACGTTTAATCAGTCGCTGGATGAATTCTACGATTTCCCATTTCATCCCATAGTTCTTCAGCAATCCTCCCTACAACCTTATTGTACTTTGTCGGAGAAGAAAATCCTGTGTTTTTCGGAAAAATGTAATGACTATGTAAGATTTAGCTAGCAGCAGTAATTTATATGCACCTAACTCACCATTGCGAGTGTGGCGATAATGGCTTAGTGGATTGCTTTTGACCTCGCGCGCTTTGCCTCGCAGGTTCGAACCCATGTGCCAATTTTCCGTTTTGCAGACCGCTGATACCTCATTCTCGCCTTCAAACTTTGTGTGCTCCTTCAAAAGGGGTCTGTTCGATAAATCGATCAAGTGCCTCTCTCAAACCGAGCCCATAACATTCCTCAAATGCGATCACGAGTGCCACGTGGACAGCGAACGTCTTCAAGAGTTTGTGCCATCGAAACTCGAAACCTATGAGAAGGAGTTGGACAAACTTTGCCGCTTCCAAACATGCTATATGAAATGTATGAAGCCGATAGTGAAGGAGGTAGGGAAGAAAAAATTGTTTGGAAAAATAAACACAATAAAAAATTTGATGAGATCTCAGATGTGCACCGATGACGATTCGCAATCGGCCATCGACGTCGTCGAATCGTACGTTCAATGGCACGCCGACGACATATCCGATTGGCACGCGATGACCGGCAATGAGGAGCTGCTGCCGAAGTCGTGTCGGGACCTCGTCAAAACGCCTCGCAAATCGTCGGATCCCGTTCTGCAGCTGATCTCCGAAGTCAAATAGGCGCGCATTTGGGAAAAGGTCACGACGCGCAACAACAAAAAAAGAAAGCTTTACTGTATTTTCTGCAATAAATTATTGTTTATTCAAAATTGCAATGAAGGACACGTATATGCAGTTCCGCACGCTTGCCGGCTTGTGCCTGTGGCGCAATCGGGAAAGCGCGCGCGCGAGGAGCAGGAAAACGTCGCGGGTTCGAGACCACATGCCCTTCTTCTTCCCGAGCCGCAGGCCAATGTGATGAAATCAAAGGAATGAAACGCCAGCGGTTTGAAGTGGAATTGACTCGTCATCGGCGTTCCCCCCTTTAGCAGGGCAACCGGTTTCATTACCGGCCGTCGGTCGGCATGTGTACGCCGTGTATGTACACAACTTTTCACCTCCTCCTTCTCCTCGTAATTCGTTGAGTCAAGAGGAGAGCCTCGGGGGGTGTGTTTTTTAATACGAAGCCTTTGCCTCCGCGCGGCAAACAATAAGCTCCGGTCCGGGTTGACCGGCTCTCGCGCTCTCTTGTGTTCAGCGCGCGCTCGCGCGAGTCCGACTGTCCACCCCGCTGTCAAGTGACTTTCATCTTGAAGCTTTTCTGCTCTCTTTCGCTTCGTCAGACCTCACAACTGATTGCCTTTTTGACAGCTCTTCTTATCCACCACAAAATTTTACTTCCTTTTTTCTGTGTCGCAACCGCAAAAATTTTTCTACTACCCTCCTTCCGACTCGCTTCCGTTGTCATTAATCCTCCGCCAACCTTCACCTTAATACTCTCATGTTACACCATCCAATTTCATATTTGTTCGTTCTAGTGTTTCAAATGGTCGTCAATTTGGCGCCGGCCCTGCTGCTATCGTTGGCGATGGTGGTGGCGGCGCAAGAGAATCCATCAGAAGCGTGCACGAAAGCGCTCAACGATTGCGAGAATGATTTGGAATGTCAAAATCGATTGGCGCCAATGATGGCCGCATGGTAAGGCGTTTCGCAAAAACCGAATTTCTTTGGGGTGGGCTCGAACTTGCAAAATTTTCGGCGCGCAAGGCAACAAGCCTACCAACTGCGCCACACCCGTAGTTATGTCTTTATTCCGCAGCGGCTAATAACCGTCTTCCCCTCTTTTAGTCGCGCGAGAGAGTATGCAAATTGAAGAGGGTGTGAGACATTTTCTCAATTTCCAGCACAACCGGCACATGCCAACCGCAATGCCGAAGCGCCGTCCTCAACGTCTACCAAAACAAATTGGGTCGTGTGCTTCTCCGCACCGACGCCACCTGCATTCCGGGACGCGACGAGCTTCGCGCGTGCCACTTCCTGCCGGCCGAATCGACCGTCCATTGTAGTCTCGGCAAACTCGCGTGCGAAGCCGATTTGCAGTGCAATTCCAAATTCGGCGTGTTCATGTCGGAATGCGAGCCGGACGCGGCGCGTGGCGTGTGCTCCGACAAATGCAAATCGCTTCTGAATCAGACGATCGAGACCGCCGTCGGAGCGGTGTTCAATAATTGCACGTGCACAACACGCGATGACCAATTATGCACCAATTTGAAGGATAATTTGCTAGCCGTCTGTTTAAAGGTACAATGCAAATTCGCGAAAATCGATGATGTCGAATTTTCAGAGTGCTCCGGGCGGTGCGACCCTCTCACCAAATGACAACTCGGTCACCGATGGTCCCAACGATTTGGCCGATTCCTACGGACCATTGAGAACTGTGCCGTTCGCGTTGCTCGCCGTTCTCATTGCTTATTTCATTTTCTAATTGTCCAATTTATTAATTTATATTCAATTGACACGTGTTCCGAGATATAAAACCCAAGCCCCGCCCACCTCCAAATGCTCAATAAATCATTTGCTGTGCAATTATTTGTGTCGATGTTTCTGTGTGATAATTTTTTTTAAGATAGACGGGGCACGTGCTTGATTTATGATAAGCGTTGCTGATCACTGATTAAGCGCGACGCAAGCATAATGGAAGCATTGTGGGAAATCTGTGGAACGGAAGCATAATGCTTCCATATAGGAAGCATAATGTAATTCTTAGTGGCTGTGGAAGAAATATGGGACGAATATGGATGGAATGAAAACGGGATGAATATGCTTCCGGTGTTTGCGAGCCGTGGAACGAATATGGATGAAATATGGATAAAATAATCATATATCATTACACATTATACAATTGGCGTCTGGACGGCAGACCAAGACAATTTCCACAAAAATCAATACAAAAAACTTATGCTATCATATAAACAATGAAAATTCGAAAATTATATGATACACAACATACGAAATTTAGCTTCTACCATTTAATGACTTATGTTACTCAGATTTATGTTAATTCAGTCAACTGTTCCTCACTTTGTTTAGAGATTGCCAACTACAATTAAGTCGTATTAATATATTTTGCCGGTTTTTCCGAAATTGGCATCGCAAACTACTCACAATTTGCTCCAAACTGGTAGCAGACGCGCGTAGAAGAGGCGTGCCGCAGCATTGCAAAACCGTGCGCCGCTTTGCACAATGCGGCCACGCCTCACAATTTTCGAAATTCGTTTTTCGAAGTCCGTGGGAGACCAAGAGAAAGACGCTTCCCCGATATATATATGTTTGAAATGATAAAAAATGATTGGTTTTCATTTTAATGTTAATATGCCAACGCGATTGTGTGTTTAAATTACGTCATTTGGGTTAAGCCGAGTCGAGAAATTCTTTCAGTTGCGGAAGAAACTCAACATTTGCGCATGTCACCGTTTTTATTTTGTTTTGTGTATCATTATGATTTTAGCTATGACTAACCACATTTAAAGCACATTGGTTTATTTTGTTTCCTTAAGATTTATCTTTGCTTCGCATTATTTTTCAAGGCGTTAATTATGTTCAGATAATGCCAAAAAGTATTCATCGCCACTTCAATAGTGTTGCACAAAAGTCAAGTTAGTAATTATAATAGTCCCAACTAATTGGATTTAACTTATAGATGGTGAACACGTTGATGACAAAAGAAGTCAAAATAATAATGTTAACGAAATAAGCGTGCGCGCTGAGGAGACGATGAACCTTTATGATGCCGATATCCATATGGATACAGATAGCGAGGAAGAACAAGAATTGTTTTCTAGTTGGGAAAGTAAATTAATCGAGGATAATTTATTCTACAGGAATAGTCAGAGATCTTCGTTCGGCTCCAGATAAAGTTATTCAATTTCTATGTGCAGTATGCATGTCAAGATTATCGGAGAGTGGTTAAGTTATTTATACCAATTTCATAATAGTTTTTTTAAAGAATTCAATCGATTCATATCAGTAATGGACGAAGACATGGCTGAATATGTTGAAAAATTGTGGAGCACGGAGAAAAACAAACATTTGATTCACTATTATTGCAATGGTTGCGGTGCTAAACGGCTAAATAATGAGAAATGGTTTGTTATTTTGAAAGCGTGTTTTTGTATTTTTGTGGAAAGAAGAATGTTAGAAATCTGCGCGGACTACTATTTAATTGGTCCCGCAAAAAATTCAAAAATTAAGTAATGCCATCTCCAAATTCGCACACCGTCAACTATAGCAGCACTATCCGAAACTCCAAATTACCACAATTGTATGTTTCTAGTTGCGGTTCAATTGTGAAGTTCGTGCGTTTGGGAATTCAGTCACAATTGCATCAGTTGATCAACGAATATTTCGAAAAAATCATCGCTATTCGTTCCAGTATTCGACAGGGAAAAGAGAGAGACCACAACTTGGCAAGCAAGTTCTTTAGAAAATTTTGGGAATCAGAAGAGGAAGGGAAAGAGCTGAAGCTATCTGGCGTATTGTCGCTAGATGGTGTCTGCGTTCCAGGAAGCAGAAAGTGATATAATGGTAAAATTACACATTTTCAAATAAAACGATTTGAGGAAACTGTGGCCCATTTCTTGCATCCTTGTTGATTTGCCAACCGGGGAAATGCAGAAGTCGACTAATGTTCTCCTCGAAGGAGTTGCAGAGAGTGATATGGACCCCAGCACGATTTTCTGGAACGCTATATTACCAGCTCTCAAGTCGGACTGCATCGGATCACTTGGAACAGTGAGAGGAGTGAATATTTCTTTTAAATTTGTAACAGTAGTAGCAGACCAACCTGTAAACATAAGTTCCTTGAGTCTACTTCTATCCATGCATTTATAGGCAAAAAGAGCCCTTTTCGGTTTTAAGTCACATCACTCGAGCCAGTCTTGTTTCTATTGCATGGCTACCGGAACATACTACAAGCAGGCTGGACCACGTAGGTTAATAATCGTAATCGAAACTTAATAGTTATTTAAACAGTTCGAAGTGTTACTCGTGGAGATATGCTTACTGTTTTAGACAGTTTACAACACGAAAATGGATTTGGAAACACTGCCGCAGGCATCATAGAGATCATCATGCCATATGAAACGCCTATAGATATCCTTCATGATTTGGGAGAAGGTTTATGTGAAATCATTACAAAAGGTATTCTATTAATTTTTTATTATTAGACGCTATTTCTAGAAGTCCTTCGGACTGCGAAACGCTTCAAATCAGATCTATTTCATCCAAATGCTTCTAACACCACTCTCGAGGAACTGCTTTCCGAAGTTGTTCTATCCTCGAAGTATTCTAAAATCAAGGATTGTCGAAACGGTAGCGACAAGCTTCACGTGAGCCAAATATTATAAATATATAAGATACGCCTAATTTATTGGTTTTAGTTTTTCCGAATTCAACTTTTCCTCGCCGCTTTATGTTCGCCGAATCTGCCAACAAAAGGACGGTTGGTGATTGTTGCCATTGCAACAATTGCAAATTCTTTGTACTCGAATTGCGAGAGTTGCGAAATATTTTTTGTGCAGCTGTGCGCTGCAGCAAGGTGGTTCTTAATCGAAGCCAACGAAGAATATATGACTTGTAAAGCTCATGTAAGATAAAAATTTAACAATTGTAAAAAATAGTTTTTCAAAGGAATTTTTATTTCACTTGCCGCAAATTGTTGACAAATTTGGAAACACAGCGACGCTATCGACTTTCAGTTTCGAAAGCGCCTATCAATTTATTTTGAAAGGCTACAAGAGTCGATTTTCTCGAAATTTCTTGGAAACGGCATCTTCGAGGTAAATAAAAATGATAAATACAATCGAGAAAAGCAAAGCAAAGACATCTTCAGATTCATGTTGCAAAAAGCGCTAAGACGAGAAGTAAGGCAACGAGCAGCTCAAGATACAGTTTCCATGTCTCTGAAGAAATTTTTGCAAGCAACTCCGGAAATGTTGCCAAGTGCGACAAGATGGAGTAACGAAATAAAGCGAATTAAAAATGAGGACGTAATAATTGCCGACGAGAACGCCATTTATTACGGAACATTACATATGGCTTGCGGAAAATTCAAATCGGCATACCTTGATGATGAAACTGTGGATGACGTGATGTTCGCTGTTTACAATAACAATTTAGAGGTTTTCCGATTTATTGCTGTTGTATACCATTCGAACTGTGCTGAAGTGGTTGTTGAACTAATAAAAGAAGTTGAACCAGGATCGCAGTTCGCTTCTCTCGCGAAATCAATTAATGATCTACATGACACGGACTATTATTATGGAAATGAAATACTGAAAATGTTAAAAGAATACAAAGGCGTGAAAAACGGCGAGCTCACAGGAATTCGGTTAATTATTTCTATTGATTGTATAAGGCATTGTGCATGCTATATTCCTACGCATAATGGAATTTTGATTGTTGCTGCAAATGGCGCTCTTGTGCATAATTAAAATATTTAATAAAGGTTTTAAATATTTAATGATGAAAATGAACCAGTTAATACACTGTAGAAGTATCTATTTTTAATCAGTTATTCATTTTCTGTCCATTAATGGAAATTTCCTAGTTGCAGTGTATTATACTCGAGAAATCATGAGATGTGCCGCAGCATTGCGAAACAGTGCGCCGCATTGCACAATTCTGCCACGCCTCACAATTTTCGAAATTCGTTTTCAAAATTTTTGTCCTCTTGCTTTTTCTCAATGAATTTTCAAGATTTTTTGTGTTTTTTTTTTGTCAAAAATTAAAGAATTTTTTTCAAAATTAAAGGAAAAATGTTTTTAAAAAATAAAGGAAAAATTTTCATGTTTATCATCAAAATCGAAACCAAAAATAAATTGATAGCATTCGAAAATTTTAAAATCGATACGATGTTTTCAAATCGTTTCCGACACTTTTAAAATCGAATTTAAATATTTTCTCAATCGAATTGTGTTTAATTTCTCATCGAATCCGTTTTATTTTTATTTACTTTAACATATTTTTTATTATCGCTCGCTTTTTTCTTTTAATAAAACATAATGTTTTGAAATTTTTTACAGATGAAGACAAGATCGAGAGTGTTGTCAGATATAACTGAAACGGCTCTAGAAGTCAATAACAAAGAACCAGAAGTCCCTAACATGGAACCAAATTCGCTCGACACTTCAGATCCAGATAGTCCAATTTACTCGCCAACTCAACAAAATTTTTTTTCTCCACAGTCCTCACAAACAACAAAATCAACGCCAATTCCTAAACCTTCGTACGCGCAATTTGTAAGTTGTTATCATCAAAAATTGGCCTGTTCGACTCCAGAAATGGTTTCAATTAGAAAAATATGCGCAATGAAGTGGGTATATAGTTTTGTGGAAAAAAATTTTTCCACTTTTTCGCGAAAATAACAATTTTAAATTGTTATTTTTTGTTTTATTTTGTGAATGTAATATGAAACTAATAATAATTGCGCATATTTTTCTAATTGAAACTATTTCTGGAGCTATTCGCTTTTTCGAGTTATTCGACAAAATTAGGGGTGGGTGTATAGTTATGTGGAGCACTGTATAAAATATGGCCAGACGCGGCTACAAAATTTTTCCTCATTGAATTTTAAATAATTTATGAAATGTTTTAGGTTCAAAAGGCAAGCACCGTAAAGAGGCAGCATACAGATTCTATGGAAGTCGCCGAAAACCAAGAAATTATGGCGATGACTACAAAAAAAATGCGAAAGGGGAATGCGTCTTCAAACCACCAGTGGAATCCAATCGACTTTGCTAAAAATTATTTATTTGATGTTTCTAATGGAGTTTCGTACTCGAGAGAAGTACAAGAAGTAAGTAATTAATCACAGGAAAAATAAAATTTGCATTTTTTCGGTAAATGAAAATCAATAGGATTCGAAATAATTTCGATTTCAAAATTCGAAAATAATTAATGTATCGAAACATATGACAAATCAGATACGATTTTTGAAATTGAAATAAGTTTTAAATATTGAAAATGAGAGTAATTTCGAAGATTTTCAATTGAAATCAAGTTTTTTTTTACATCGAATTCAATGTTTTCTTAATCTAATTTAAGAACATTCTTAATCGAATCAATTTAATTAATATTTCATTTTTCTTCGAACACAATTGATTTTCATTTACTGGAATTTGTACAATTTTACATTAATTTTTACACGTCTTTTTATGCAAATATACAAAAACTAATCAAATCTCCAAAAAATATTGATTACCAAATATTTCTATCTATGGCTGAGATGGAAGAGAATGAAAAGCTGAAAGATGTATTCCTCGGGCAAGCATTCTTAGCGTGCGCTGTATGCTTTCGTTTCATATACATAATACCTAATAGGATTTTTCATTGCAGATAAATACTGCAGTCAACCAATGCAAATCAGCAAATGAATTAGGAAAATTGCAAACAAACCAGGAAAATATTTTTAAGCCAAAGCAAGGATTTAGTATCGATCAAGTTATCAAAGAATGCAATGAGGAGTTCGTTTTACCGAGCTTCTACTCATTTCAATTTAAGGACTTGATATCCCCAATGATCGCTTCCAATCTTTCATCATCATATTTTGATAGGGACGGTCGGACTCTAATGCGAGAAGCTCTCACAAAAGTAATTTTATAGGCCATTTAACAATATAAATAAATCAAAATTCTTTTTTTAGGTAGCTTTAAAAGATAAGTGGTTTCCAGCATACTCATCGAGTCCATCGTCATCGAAGGGTTACTTGTATTTCGGAGATCGTTTCATGATGAAATGCTGCGGTAAGTCTTTATAAAGTACTTCCTAAGTTTAAAGCTTGTTGATTATTTGGTTCCAATCAGGGCTGTGCGGCAATGGAATTGCCGGTTTTTCAAATTGCCGAAGAAAATTTCGATCGGTAGTTTGCCATTAGCCGAATCGCCGAAATTTCCGATTGCCGTACAGCCTTCGTACCAATATCATTCAGTGGCATTTATCTTTTTAAGTGGGGCTCTAGTACAGAAGTCGCCAGACGCCGACTATATAAAGATCCTATACTTTATTGCAAATATCTATATTACAGATGCTCTTATCCATGGCTTTGGGCAACAACCGACAAATGACTTCAAAGCGAAAGCATTACGCATGGTTCGAGAAGTCATGGATAATCTTCTGTAAGATTTTGAGCTATGACTATTAATTTATTTATTTGATTAAACGATAGAATGCGCCAACGACTTTAAAGGAAATTTGGTGTAGCGCCGGAAGCGCTCGCGGCGCAATTAAGGAAGCTGCTTGATTCTACCAGCAACCCTCAGATGTGAGTATTCATATGTCTTTGAAATATTAACCAAAATGCCTTTTTGCTTCAAATTTTGGAGTTGTTCTTTCTTCCGCCAATTCACTTTTTATTTTGTGCACTAAAGGGTTTCCAAAAATGCAATAAAAATAAATTATTTTTATTTTTAAGAAAATTATTGATTTAAAAAAACTGATTGTATTTTCTCGAAAAATTTAGTTTACGTAACAATGGTTTACAAGTTTTTCAAATTAATAGGCCCATTATAATCGAAGTGTAGCGACTAGGAAAAGTGGAGAAAAGGTAAAAATTCGATAACGGTTTCTTTCTACAAGCGTATATTTGCGAAAAAAGGATAGGTTAAATGTGCATTAGGACTTTTGCCTAATTTCTTAGCAATAGTTGTTGTTTTTAAAAATATCATAACACGGCTTTTTAACCAAGTGTGAACGCTATGAATTCTACTTATTACAGCGTCCCGCTCGATGTCAGTACTGACAATGATTCGAATAGTTCGGCAGTTGCCAGTAACTAATGGTTTGATTATATCTTAATTGAAATTCATTTCAATGTTGTTTTTTTTATTTTAAATTAAATAAATGTGTTAATATGAAATAAATTTTGAATACAGCAATCAAATTGTTTTCTTATTTTCCCATATGGAAGGCATACGGCTCATTCCATATACGAAACACGCGGTTCCGCAAAAAAAATGCTTCCATTATGCTTCCATATAACTTGCATATAAGATTCCTATGATATCCACAGCCGTTCCATTATGCTTCCATTGTGCCTATGCCGCCGTTTATCTGTGATTGTGGAATTCTCATACAGTTTTCCGTTTTTGAACATTCTTCAAGCCATTTGTGTCGAGTTTGATGCCGCGCTATCAAATGCCAGTCTTTGATTTTCGACAAAGATTGACAATTTTTGATGTGGGCTCGAACCAACAACTTCTCGCGCGAAAGTCCGCGCGCATCATGCCACTTCGCCCACTTTGCACAAATCTTACGACACGCGCGATTGGGTTTACATGTGTTTTCCACCCTTCCGCGACACCTGCCCAAAAAAATTGTTCAAAAAAATTTTCCAGGGTACAATGAAGCCTCTATTCCTCGTTCTCCCTCTATTAATCCATATCTCCACCCAACGGAAGGTGGAGAATCCTGACTTCAAGCCGAATTGCCTTGTCGGCGGTCCCGATATCTACGATCCAACCGCTTCCGAGGCGGTCCCATGGTTCGACGTGAATCTCGACCTACCGCCACGTCAACGATTTCAGCAAATCGCGAAAGCCTATAAAAACGAAATCAAAGAGGTTTTCGATGTCTTGAATGTAAGCAAACGCGCTCAATCGCACTTTTTTCGGTCTACTTTGTTTTTCAGTATTTTTTCACTATAATTCCCGGAATTAATGCGTGGGACCTTCTCGGTAACATCACGGCGAAGGCGTTCGATAAAGGGATGATCATGAACCCATATAAAGACGAGATCCTCGGAATGGAAGAGGTTCTCGAGCTGAACGTTGGCAATTTGGTGTTTTTGAACATTTTCTATGAAATGTCACGATTTTGCACGTCGATCATCGCCCAAACCGCTGATAACAAGGATTTATATCATGCCAGGTTCTCTCATTTCTCATTTCCTGGTTCAACACGATCGAAATTGACGCATTTTTGTGGAAAATGAGCTAAAAATTTGAATAACAAAAATGTTGTGAGCAAGTGCGCTCTAAGGCAAATTTCAAATTTCACTTTTTTTCTCGCCTATTTTCCACGAAATTTTTCAATTTTCCAATTTCTTTTCAAAAAAAAAACTTGAAATATATTATTTTTTGAATGAATTCAAATAAATTATTGAAGAATCTTTCAGTTTTCTTATTTATGACGCCTAAAATTCTTCGAGAAAAATGTAATTGGTTTCAGAAATTTGGACTTTGGCCAGTTGTTCGTCTGGGATGTCAATGCTCAATCATGGGCGCTGACAGAAGCGCTGAAAAAGGTCACAATCAACATCAACTTCTACAAAGGCGGCAAGCTTCTATTCAAAGGTTCCACATTGGCGGGACATGTCGGCGTTTTGACGGCCATGAAACCGCACCATTTCTCGCTGTCGATGAACGCCAAAGTGCAACCGGATTTGTTGAATGTCGCCAGATGGTATATGGGATATTACGAGAATACCGATCTTCAATTTGTCATGTACTTCGAGAGATGGCTGTTCGAGAATTGCGATACCTTTGAGGTTTGACTTTTTTTTCAAAAATTCCCAAAAAACAATCTGTGAAGAATGAAAATTGTCAATTTCTTGCAGTGCGCTCGCGAGCACATCGCCAACGTGAAGCTTCTCACCGGCGCCTACTTCATTCTCGGCGGCGCCAATCCCGGCGAGGGCAGCGTTCTCGTCCGCAACACCACCGACGTTCAGTTCGAGCGTAAACTGTTCACCGGCGATGACGACTGGTTCCTGTTGCAGACGAACTACGATCCCGACAAGGTACCGACCTCCCCAAACGCGCCTTTAAACAACACTCTCCAGGACCCATTGTTCATCGACAATCGTCGAGACCCGGGAAACGCGTGCATGAAAAAACTCGGCCGCTCCAACATCTCAATGAAGGGCATTTTCACAGTAGAAGCGCCATTTCCTTTTTTCGATTATTACTCTCATTTTCAGGTGCTCTCATCGAAGCCAACGCTCAACAAGACTACAGTACACACCGTCATCATGTCTGTCACCAAAGGCTACTTCGAGACCTTCATTCAAAAGTGTCCCAATCCGTGCTGGGCGTTCTAGTCGTGTACAGTTTAACATAAATTCATTATCATTAACAAAAAAATAAGGAAAGCAAGAAGGAAAAACAAATTATGAGGTGTTCGATGTGTCAAACACAAATGCTCCCTGAAAATTGTCGGAGCCATTCGCTTGTGATACGGAGAAGCTTACATGTCGGAACTTGTCGCTTCCAGAATCGGAAGCGGTTTTATATTGTGAGAGATGCGAGCGCACTTGAACACTTGAATTGGTCGACGCCGCCTTCTGATATCGATCGGTGCCCGTCGAGTCCAAAGTCCAACCGCGAGAGCTGGCGCTGAAAACAAGCAGAGCGTTGGGGGGAAAGAAGAAGACAACCAATAACCTCGTCGAGAACGTCTTCGAGCTCATCGCCATCCAATACTTCAGCTCCTTTCGCGCGCCACCGGCCGCTTCTCGACGCGACGACACCTTGTCGGATTCCATCGGCGGGCTGACAATGTTGTTCGACGAGTAGTCGACTTTCGGCGGCTCCGACTCGGAGCTGTCGCGAACCGCCTGATTGTACTGGCTCGACGACGTCGGGCTCACTTCGTTCGTCGCCGACGATTTCGGCGTGCTGGCGATCGGCTCAGACGGCGAATGGGCGTGCTCCAAACTGGTGGCGGTGGTGGTGGCGATGGTGGTGGGTTTGCTTGGCGGCGCCAGAGCCCGGGTGAACATTGGCGGTGCGGAGACGGCGGCGACAACAGCGTGTGGCGGTGGTGGTGGTGGCGGCGTTGGCACGGGTGGCGACGGGACTGGCGCCATTGGTGCAGAGAAGTGTGGCGGTGGTGGCGGCTCCTGGCTTTGATTGACAGTAACCACCCGCTGGATGCTTGGCGGTCGTTCAACGATTTTCGGCTCGGCTAATTTTGCTGAAATTTTGCACAAAATTGAATTTGTCAATTTTTCGAGCCTACTATCGCTTGGAAGGGCGCTCATCGCCACCGGTGTGTCATCAACACTCGACTGAAAACGCAATTTTTGGTTTCCTCAATTGATTTCGACGACTCACATCCCTCTGATTTCGGAATAATTGACGAGGGCGCGTGTGTGTCGTCGGATATGTCATCCGAATGTTTTTCGAGTTGCCGCCCGACGCCGATGGTTGAGGCTCGGTCGATTTTTTCGCGATTCCCACGTTTTCTGCAATTTTATCCCCAAAAATATATTTAAAAAAAAAATAAATTCACCCACTTTTATTGATTTGATGCTTCGCGGCGAGATAGCTTAGTCGATTCTCAAACTCGAATTTCATTTTTTGCTCGAGTGTATATTTTTCCTTCAACACCGACAATCGTTTGCGCATTCGACGCTTGTAAAGCTGAAAATTCGAAAATTTGCCGAAAATAAATAATTCCGCAATTTTGCGTTGCGGTTGTCGCGGAATTGCATACAGTACCCACTGGCTAATTGAAAAAAAATAATTTTTTTTTTAAATTTTTTGTTACCCAGCGAACTGTTGCTGTTGCCAGCAAGCAGAACAGCAAAACGAATAGGAAGCAGAGGAAAAGAACGATTATAATCCACGCGTACGACTCGACAGGAATACAACAACCAAGTTTGGCGAAAAAGAATCTCGTATCTAGAAGAATGAAATTTCTTAAAAATGCAATTTTGTGTGAGAATTGAAAGCTTGCCTGAATATTTGTCACTCATCTCCAATTAGATATGCATGTGAAGAATGAATAAATTTTAAAATGAATTCGATTCGCTTATTTTTTTCGTTGCAAAAAAATAAAATTGAGCAGCGTGACCTGTTTGCGTGGCAGGGGCCGTCGGATGGGGCGCTCATGTAAACGCCAATCTCGCCGCACGGAATGTGTGCAGGGATGGCCGAGTGGTCTAAGGCGCCAGACTCAAGCGTGAAACAATTGCTTGCCTCGCGGTTTCGAGGTCGCATTCTGGGTGTTCTACTCGGTAAAATTTAGCGGGACGCGCGCGGGTAAAGTGGGCTGTGCGGGGCCCGCGTGGGGGCCGCGTGGGGGCCGCAAGCAAAAAATCACCCCCGCGCGGGGCCCGCTGACTCGCGGCACCCGCGTGGGGGAATTTCCATGGAAAAATTTGTTCAAGGGCGGCGGGGGCCGCGCGGGTGACCGCTTCTGCACAACTGATTAGTGGATGAGTTTACCCACGCGGCACCCGCGGCGCTAGCCCAGCGGCTGCCGCGTGGGTGTCAGAAAACGCGCCAAGGTTATGATTGTTGACGCGTTTCTCCTGAATGGCGCGTTTTAACAATGTTGGAAGACGATTTTTTTCTTTATCGCTTTTTTGTTGATTTTTTCGGTTTTATTGCGTTGTTCTCAGGCAAAAAAGTTGTAATATATTATTATATTTAGAGAACTTATCGCGAATTCTAAATTATTATAAGAAAATGTAAGTTTTTTTCATGTTTATAGGACTTATTGAGACTGAAAATTTTTTCAAAGAGTTTACATATTATTTTTGCACTTTGCATGAGTTGTGTGACGCTTTTTACAATGGCGTTCATTAATATTGGCGATATCGTGATATCCGTTTAATAAAAAATGTTTATTTCAGTAGATTTTCAAGGAAGAAAATGAAGCGATATTTCGATAGCAAGAGAGAAGATATAAGTACGTTTGATATAAGGTAGGTAATTTGGTGACCGCTGATGATTTCAGACAAGATCTGTCGGTTAGCAAGAGGAGGCCAAGGAAGACTACGTGGTATTTTTGTTATGAAATGTTTAACGTTAAGACTTTTTTATTGTTATAGCTAACAAAATACGAGACAAGAGGAACGAAGATCGCCATGAAGAAGGCGAAGGCGATACTCATAGAGATGGATTAGAAGAAGCAGGCGAACTGGAAATCGGTGAGCAATTTAACAAAATATTGCCGGTAGCTAATGAGACAAAATCGTAACCAGACGGTAATGTCGGCAATTTCTGTATAATGTTGGTATAATTAACCTATGTTCATACATGTCGTGTGTGCTAACAAAAACATAGTCGAAGTTTTAAACTTGCATTGTGTATTTTCAGTGAATGATGGGACGACTGGTCGACGTAATTTCGAAGAAGACCAAGCTGATTTCGATGATACTAACGTCACATTCGATGTCGGTTAGTTTATGTGTTTTCTAATGTGTTACTCTTTGTCGAATTTATTTTCAGAGAATGATGGCACTTCTGTTCCACGTACAATTGAGGAAGATCATGACGACGACGTCAACAATACCGCTCCATTCGATGCCGGTACGTTCTGCTATTGGTTTTTCAAAATGAATTATAGGAAACCAGCGGAAAATACTCGAACTGACGGCATTGCTGTTGAAACATAATTTTTCTGAGGAAGTCCGTCGCGATATTTACGAGTTTGCGATAATCCTCCGGAGGTGTCGGAATATCATGGCAACGGAATCGAAAAATTAGTGTTTTTAATCAAAGTTTTTAGTGCAGTGATATTGAAAGGAAGGTGAAAGAAATGAAATCAGTCGACTACAAAAGTTATTTGGTTTGTGGAAAGTGCAGCAATATGATGGAAGATCGCAAGTGCAAATCCGAGGACTGCGAATCCAGGTAAACCATAATAATGAAGCAATTAATTTAAACAATGTTTAGTATTGCGGAGCCTATCCGCTTGAATGTGTACGACGTGAGAGGCCAAATTGAGCATATAATTGAATGTGTTGGACTACCGAACTATGATAATTATATGGCCGATCCTCATTTCATTGCATCACGGATTCACGAAACTAAGAAGTTTGATGATATGAGAAATGTTATGAATGATAAGCGCACCCACCACATTTTTGGAATTATTAACTACTGTTTTGACACCTCAAACTTGGGTAATTAAACCTTTTATTTAATAAACGAGGCAAGAATAAAATATAAGTAAGTTATAAAATCAACAAAAATACAAATAGAAAAAGCAATAGTTCATAGCGAGCCACAATGTTAATAATGATTGATCATCGTTGTAACAATCACAAATATTGCATCAATGGGCGTGTCTGAACAGTGCTAACGAGCACACTCCCCGGGCCTACGCTTAAGTGACTAATACACTTGAGTTGCAAAACACAATTAAAATTTAGAAACAAGAAGATAACAGAATTGGCAAAGTTCAAAATTAAAATCTAACATTGTATATGTAAGAACGATAAGTATCAACTATTATTCTTCAACCAATTTCGTAATGGCCTCCCGGCTTCAGAAAAAAAAAACTTCATCAAAATTTGCGCCACTATTCACGATGTTTAAGTTAAAATTAGTAAAAGATAGATTTTTTTTTTACACAAAAGCATTATTATTGTTAAGCATACACATCAATTCACTCAAGAAAGTTAAAAAAAAAAAACTTACGCAGTGTGGTCTTTGCGCTGTGTGGGCTTGCATTTGCGACAAATTTTGAAAGGAAGGCTGATAAGTTTCCAAAGAAGAGATTTGAACAAGTTGCACAAAAACAAGTAGCTGCAGAGTATAATGACTATAACCGTAGCTATTGCGATGAAAACGTATTCCATGTATTGGAAGTATGTTTCCAAAAGGAACCAAAAATCTGGTAATTTCCATTCATCATAGATTTTTGTTTCTCCGTTCAGTATGCGGCTCATTGAACTCCAAACGTCGGCCTCAAAACGTAGGATTCCTTCCAAGTTGAATTGATTTATGGTCTTTCCGCCACAGTCGATCGTGCATTTTTCTGTAATCCTTGCTTTGTCAAAAAACATGTTCGCCGTATTTCTTTCGCCTGCCGGCGAGCATTTCACTGCGGCCCTGTGATTTCCACACTCCACATCTCCAGTCAATTGTTCCTTTAATGAATGGCATTTTAAAGAAATTGTTGCTCCTTTGGCACAATTGTAGCAACCCGTCAGTTCGACGTTTGAAATTCTGCACTCATCGCTGTTTTTGACAATCATCAATTGAGAATCGTCTTCGATTTTCAACACAAGTTCAGCATTGTTTATTTCTGTCGATTTCATAATTGCAGTCCCTTCATCGTCAGTCTCCAATTTCCACAAGTTCCGTTGCAGTGGTAATTTTCTGTGAATGTCATGGTATTCCTCCCATGAGTTCTTGCATTTGCAATTCATTTGTGTTTCAGCTGGTACACATTTACAATTTTCTTCGAATTCACAGTTTAACAATTCTGCTTCTTTCAGTGATTTGCATCTTAGCTCTGGGAATTTCCCGTTCGTCCATAAACTTGTCGATTGGTTTCCTTTCATAAACCATTCGCTGTTGATCGATGATGTTGGAAGGCTCACTTCTTGTAGATGAATGGACATTTTTCCCAGTGTGTTGCCTGTTTCAAGTGTCACATTCCATTGTTTCTTGACATTTTTGAAGCTCCGCAACCGAGTTTCCGTGATTTTGAACACAATTTCATGCTTCCAATCGCATCTGTACAATTCCATGATTTCTTCGTTGATCGGTACTGCGTATATTCTGTATAGAATGCATCCTGAGCTGGTGTAAAAACAATCACACCCCCATCCACCACATGATTCACTGCAACCCGTCGTCCCTGGAAATCGATTGACTTCGTCCAGTTCTGTCACTTTCGAATTTTCTGTGATGTTGGCGCATTTGTTTTCCGTACACGATCCCATTCTAGGGCATCTTTTCACACTTAATACTTTTTGTTCTGTTTCTCTAGAAAACGCGATGGTATTTTTTATGCATTTCATTCGCGATTCTATGAATTCGATCTTCAATTCTCTCAATGTTATTGCATTTTTTGTTACTCGCAAACATGCTTCACGTGTCCACGAGTTAAATGCAATGTTCTCCTTGATGTTCCATGCGCATTTTTCGTGATCTGCGCTCTTTGTACATAGCAAATTCCGTGATTCTGTAACATCGACTTCTTGGCATCCATTCGTTATCCCAAAGTGAACTAATACTAATGCTATAGAAACTGAATCCCAGTTGATTCGTCGTCTTCGTCTTTTTTCTATAAATTTTTCTGCAAACCATCTGAATAATGGTAATACCGTCCATTTCCCAAGCTTCACTGTTATTTGCAATATTGAAAAGCATAGTTTGATCAGGATTCTTGTTACAACCGACACAATCCATATCAAATTTGTCATCATAGTGCACATACATCCGATAGTTACAAGAAGAAGAAATAGTATTGTGGTCATCGCAATTGCTTTGATTGGGTGACAGTGTGGATTCAATATTAGTTCAAGGCATACGAGGCAATCGATCTCCTCACAAAATTCTCTTTTTGATGGATTGCATGATTTCGATTCCATTATCCATGTCGATCCTTTTCGAGCTTTCATTTTTAATTCAAAAAGTCGTGTTCTTCTGCTCGGTGGTATCCATAATTCTAACTCCTCATTATATGTTGTCGATTTAATGCAGTAGGCATCAACGCAGATTTCGGAAATTTCAAATTTATCGGCTTTCAGCTTTCCTCCAGTTGGTACACATTCCAAATGAGATTCGTGTGCTCCTGTTCCTGCTATCAGCATTGTTATCAAAGCAATTGTCATCCATCCAATTGTATTCAGTGATGGTTTTTTCATCGTCACATTGATACAGTTATCTTGACGTTCCTCCTCTTCTCCTTCTTCGCGGTAGTTTACTGGTTTCCGTTCTCGCAAGTTGTATCTTTTGATGTTTCCATCAGTTTCGCTTACGTTTGGACTTTCTTGTTTTTCTTCATCATTCGTGAATGTTTCTTCTGGCAATTCTAGTGGCACAATCATATTCACTGGTCGTCTGAGTCGTTTTTTGTTAGCGGTTTCGACTTCGACTTCGCGAATTTTTCCATCTGCACTTTCCTTGATTTCGACAATTCTTGCCAATTTCCAGTGATTTCGTGGCGTTAAAGTTTCATGCAATAAAACAATCTCGCATATATTCTGTTTGCCAAATGTTCCACATTTTGTTCAGTTGTTCCTTGTGTGCTGTTATCCATGTCATCGCGTCTTGTTTTGATTGAAGTCGCGCTGCATCTTCTGCTGGAACAAATGCTCCAATGACTGGGTCTTCAACTTCTTCGAATGGTAGATTGAGGTGAACTCCTGGGTTGATCAAGTCAATTGGCCGTAATGACTGGAAATCATCGGTTTCCGATCCAATGTAAGTTAGTGGGCGGGAATTCAACATTCCGGCGATTTCCATCATTGAAGTTTGCAATTGGTCCCATTCAAGGATCTTTTTTCCAGTGCTCTTGTGGAATGATTCTTTTACTGATTTTACTAGTCTTTCGTACATCCCTCCCATCCAAGGGGAGTACGGTGTAATCACCTTCCAATCAATTCCTTTTTCAGCTGTCATTTGTCTGATGTCGAGCGGCCATTGTGTTTGCGCTTCTTGTAAGATTTCTGCAGCTAGTCGAAATGTTGGTGCGTTGTCAGATACAATTGTTGTTGGTACTCCATAAAAAGACATAAATCTTCGGAGACAATTCAGAAATGAACCTGTCGATAGATTTTTTGTGCAATCCACGAACATCATTCGTGTCGTTGCACATGTAATCAATACTCCGTAGCCCTTTCCGACCTCGCCATTGTCATTTCTATAGCTGATTGGTCCAAAAAATCAATTCCAACGCATTCAAAAGCTCGATGTCTTTGTACGCGGTATCCTGGAAGATCCATCATCTCTGGATATCTATACGGCAATTTTCCCCATTTTTGACATGGAATACATTTCGCTTTGAAATTCAACACTTGTTTTCGCAACTTTGGGCTCCAGAACTTCATTCGAAAATTCGCCATTGTTTGAGACGTAGACGAATGATAGTCTCCATGCGCTTCCTTTATTAGCCATCTCGCCATTGCCGAGTTTTCTTTGATCAAAATTGGAAATTTTTCGTCATGAGTTCCTTCCGAGTTTCCCATTCGTCCTCGGCATCTGAGAATTCCATCCTCGTTCATGATAATTTTCAAATTTTTCAATTCTGTCAATCGTTTTTGATCAATTAGTTTTTGATGGTCTTTGATCAATAATTTTTCAGTTTGTTCAAGTTCTTCCGTTGACAATGGTCCATAATCCAATCCATCGCCTTTTACTTCCATTAGGTTTCTGATCTTTTTCTTTCTTTCTGGTGACAATTTGCTTATAGAACGATTGATAAATCGAATTACAAATGCTGCAACTTTTTTCATTTGAGTAATCGATTTTCCTTCGATATTTCCAAATAGCGATTCTCTGTTCGTAACTACCTTTCGGACTGCTGCAATTCTCTGAATTTCGAAGCCTTCGGGATCATTTATTGAAAATAAACTTTTCTCACATTCTTCGCTTTTCAGCCATTCTCTTGGTCCCGTCCACCACTGATGTTCAGCAAACTCGTCTTTGCCGGATCCTC